AATAGAGTCTATATAAACTACTAGAATACTTTGATTCTAATATTTCTATTTTCTTATAGAAAAACAAGGTTATACTATAGAAAGCGCTTTCCTAGGTTGCTCCGCCCGGTCCGCTTCGCGGCGGCGTCACGCACACTCCGCCGAGCTCGCCGCGACGTGTACTTCGAGTTCTTTTCGCCGGGTCCGGTTTATAGTAACGTCGCGACGAATACGACAGATTATTACTCAAAACCGAATAGTCGAACGCACAGTAGCGAGCTCGTACTAACGTTGTTCTTCGTTAGTTTCGGATAGGGTTTACTTCGAATGCGCGACTCTGCGCTCTCTGTCTTTTCGGACCGTCTGTTCGAGGCGTAATACTTCGTTACGGCATTGCTACGACAGTTCTGTCCGTCAATTTCGGCCGGCACGCGCTCGGTGAACTCGCGCACCTGAGCGCCGAGTTTTCTAGTAGTCCGTCTCATACTCGACAGCGGGCGTAACGTCCATAGTAGGAGACTCACATTAGCGTAGCGGGTTTCAAGCGCAGTGTAACGGCGCGGTGACTACGCGGCGCGGCGCGGCGCGGCGGAAGTTGTAGAGAGTCGGAGGTGCGGCGAGAGCAGGCCGTAGATGCTTGCCCGGCGGGAGATGCGTAGTAATGGCATGAACGCTGCCTGCTTTTCGAGACCGTCAACCTCCACCTTATGCGAACCATTGTGATGACCACGATGACGTTATTCCCGTCTCTTCATCTGCTGCGACGCTACGCACGTTGGCGACAGAAGGAGGTCTTCTTAGCTTGGTCGTTGGTGATGGCGCACCTGTTTCATCCTCTTTTAGGAGGCGGTGCATGGGAGGGAGTTGTAACGGAGGAGCGCGGCGGCGGAGGAGTGCGGCGGCGGAGGAGTGTGGCGGCGGAGGAGTGCGGTGAGGGTCGAGAACGACGGGGGACAGCGGTGAGGTGCGAGAACGATGGAGGAGAGCGGTGAGGTGCGAACGACGGGATACAGCGGTGAAGGGCCATGACTCATAGAGTTCTCGGACAAAGACGACTCGTTCTTGTACGGTTGGTCGCCTTTGAGTGCCATTCAACTCCGTGCAGTCGAAGTCGTGATGGAAGGCCAGCGAGGGGTGTGGTGGGAATGGCGGGCAAATCGCGGACAAGGACGGCGCATAATCATCTTGTCGTTGGAAGCGAAGAAGCTACCTGGCCTGCAGCGAAGACGGCATGCGTCGGAGGCGGCGCGGATATCTGGTGGTTGATGAAGAGAGGTGGCACGGATACCTGGCGGTCGATGGGTTGAAGCGGAAAGGTTGTCTGATGCTTGCGTCGGAGACTTGGCAGGAAATGCGCATGCTGGCGGATGTGCTGCAGTGGAGAGTTCGCCCGAGCTCAGACTTGTGTTCCCGCTGTCGACGAGTCCATAGTGAGAGAGGAGAGATGGCAAAGCGTATAAAGATGAAAGATGTCGCCGGGAAAAAGAGTATGCCTTTGGCCGACAGAGAAAGCCCGCAAGCCTTGCGTCTTCCCTGTGAGGCTGCGATGCTCCACGCTCGACCGCACCACGCCGAGTCCAAAGTTAACATACGACTAACAGACTTCGAGGCATCGTCTCAGACACTGCGGGCTTCAAACATTGGAAGGTTATTAGATAGGGGAGGGAGCAATAAGACACCGCGGCAAGATGTGATGTTGCGACTGTTATCGTCGCGAACGTGGACAGCGGTGGTACAGCCGGAGAGCGCGAAATAAATTACCAGTACACAATCCATCATCTACAGCTGGTCCTCCCGGATCAAGATCTCACGGTTCAGATGTTCCGGACTCGCCGACTGAATGCCCGCAAGATGTAGCGTCAATTCCAGTTCGCCGAGCAGCGACTTCAACACATGGCTCACCCCATCTTCGCCTCCCAGAGCCAGGCCATATACGTATGGTCGTCCGACGAGACACATTTGTGCCCCGAGCGCCATTGCCTTGGCGATGTCGGCGCCATTGCGAATTCCGGAATCGAAGAAGATGTCGAGTTTGTCGCCGACGGCGTCGACGATGCGAGGAAGCATGCCCAGTGAACCGACACCGCCGTTGACCTGTCGGCCTCCGTGATTGCTCACAACAATCCCTTGCACGCCATGTTCGACGCACTTTCGGGCATCGGCAACCGTCTGAATGCCTTTGAGCACGATCGGCCCATCCCAATTGTCCTGCAAAAACTTGATATCCTCCCAGCCGTGGCTCAGACTGGGAAAGACCGTTCCCGTCCATTCCGATGCTGCCGTGTGCAAGTCTTGCTCGATTTCGACTCCGTGCTTGGCTTTGAACTTGGAGCGGAAGACTGGGTCGGAGAAACCGATAGCTACGCCAATGTTATCCGAGCGGAGGAATGGGTTGTATCTTTTCACCTTCGTCAGTGCATGCAGCCTGATTCATACTCGCTCTCCCGCACTCACCCATTGTCCATGTCCGATGGTCTCCAGCCGAGGATGTACGTATCCAAAGTGACAAACAGTGTCGTGAAGCCCGATGCCTTTGCTCGTTGAAGTATACTCGCCGTAATGTCGTTGTGTTCGTTGGTGGGCCAGTACAGTTGAAACCACCGCACTCCAACGCCATTCGCTTCGGCCACGTTTTCAATGCTTGTGCTGCTCGCCGTGCTCATAACATAAGGCACGTTCTCGCGAGCGGCGGCAGCAGCGGAGGCCAATTCACCCTCACCATGGAAGATCCTCTGCACTCCCACTGGGGCCACGGCGATGGGAAACGGATGCCGCTGACCGAGCACGTCGACGGAGAGATCAGGTAACCCATCCGTCTTGACGAGTCTTTGAGGCACAATCGACCACTTTGCAAACGCCTCGGAATTCTTTCTTGCCGTCTCACCGTCCCCGGCATTACCGACGACGTATCCTTTCGCCTCGGCTGACATTCTCTCCTCCGCCAGCGCCTGCCATTTGGTCGTTTGAAAGGTGAAGCGAGGTCGTTCGTAGCGCAGGCCTTTGTCGTAAATCTCCTTTTCGTACGCTACCGGGTCTTTCGGCGGCGGTGGAGCGACGCCATCTCGTCGACGCGCAACGTTCCCGACTACATGATATGCTTGACGGCCGCGACAGGATCTGCTGGCGAAACGGAACGGGAGATTCCCGGCAGGCCGAAGTGTTTTAAACATGTCTGCTTGGTGAAGGGGAAAGTTGCAGTCATCCACGCCAGCAATGGAATGTTGTATCAACAGGACGTCATATGTCATCATGTCGGCAAAGTCCAAGCTTGGATGCACGGCCTCACCACTTCGTTTTTGAGACGAGCAACATGTTGTTCAGCGCTCTGGGCACCGGACATGGCATCTTCTAATGCTTCACGCACTCCGGCATAAACAGAAAGTGAAACGGGACAGGCACAGGCCGTGAGTTCATCATGATGTACATAAACGAGCGCCACTACTTCTCGCCCGTCGCTTTCTCCTCCTCTTCATCATCAACAGTAGTACACCAAGGATGCTCCAGCACAGCCTGGATGCCAATCCTCCGCTCGACATCGCGATCGAGCATGCGCCGGATCAGATCAATGCAGTCCTCGCTCATCACATACGGAATCCTCAAGCTGTGATCCATGATTTCGTCAATGTTGTAAAAGGGATTCTCGCGAAACACCAGCGTGTACAGCGTGACGCCGAGGGCCCAGATGTCTTGCTCTTTGCCGCGGTAGGGGAGGCCGCGCAGGACTTCGGGCGCGGCGTAATCTGTCACACAAAACGTCAGCAGGCGCAGTAAGAAAAGTGACGAGGCAAGCCATACCAATAGTCCCGACAAAGACATCAAAAGGACCGCTCTTGATGTACGCCGCGCTGCCAAAGTCCACCAACTTCACCATCCCATCGCCGTCGAGCACGATATTCTCATCCTTGATGTCGCGATGCACGACCTTGGCGCGCACATGCAAATGCGCAATCGCCTCGGCCACCTGGACAAAGATCTTCCTGCACTCCACTTCGTCCATCCCCGACCGCATCTCAATGTAGTCAAAGAGATCCATGGGGACGGCGCCATGCGGCTCCATCTCGATGTGGTAATGCTCTTCATTCTCGAACCAGTCCATCATCTCGACGATGTTGGGATGCTGCAGGCCGTTGCGCAGGTAGTCGAGGACGTGGATTTCCAGCGGCACCGTCCCCAGCCGCCGGTCTCTGTGCCAAGTGTCGACGAGGATCCTCCGCTTGGTGACGTACTTGATGACCATCTTCTTCGCCGCCGCCTTCTTGTACCGCGCCAGCTTCACCTGTCCGTATGCGCCTTGCCCCAACTCCTCGAGGATATTAAAGTCCTCGATGAGTTTCTTCTTGATCCTCTTCACCCCGGCGGCAATCATGTTGGTGGATGGGTGCTCAAAAGGCTCTTCATCGGATGTACTGGCCTCGCGATGCAACTGCTGATCGAGCAGCGGAGATGAGGGGACGTTGCCATCGTCTTTGATCGGAAGGCCAGCAGGCAGGGGACTGGGCATCTCGGAGTCGCCTCGCACTCTGCCGACTGAGCCTGGAGGAGGCTGTTGAGGAGGCGTACCCGGTCGACTCATCATTGGCGCCACGGGTCCAACGCCATGATGCACGGCGTGGAGTTGTCGGGAGTAGGTGATCCACAGAGCGTAGACAAGCTCACTCGTCGGTACATGCTGTCCAGATTCGTCTTCTTCCACAATGACGCCCCCTTCAAGCTCCCGGGCGTTCAAAACCACCCTCATCTGAACATCGACCATGATTTCCGCCCCATCTCGATGCCGCGCAGGGAGACCGCTGGGCCGGAGGAAGATCTGGGCAGCGTCTTGCTTTCCCTCTCGCAACGCCAGCAATGCTCTCGCCCGTCGAAAGGAGTGCTCGGGGATGACGATTCCGTCTTGTAGCTCGGTCTTGTCCTCTTCCGTCATCACATGCAAGACATTGCTGAATCCCGGGATCAAGTCGTCGACGGACATGTCATCAAGATTGGAGTAGCCAAATAGCGCCGAGGTGAAGACCGAGTTACTGCTGGTGATTCGCATCGTCGAGGATTTCAACACGATAATCCCTGCGATGTTGGGGAGGGAGGTGATTCGTAATAGGTTCTCGGTGGCGGTCTGCTCGACGGTAATGGGGATCGAGATGCTGTTGCTGGTGCGGGCCGTGAATCCGCGTAGCTGTGCAATGGCTTCATAATCGACTGCGCCAGTGTTTGTTCCTTGCAGTTTGGGGAACGCGGGAATGAGTCGCTTGACATCGCTGCCGTTGCGTACCCTTTCTATCCCCCAGATTGCGTGCACATCCCCGGTCCCACGAAGCACGCTGCCAATCTCATCGATGGTAAGGTAGGCAACGTCCTCGGCAATCTCTTCGAGAACCCAGATGAGCCCGCCACTCTTCTCCTTGACCCAGAGGGACGCACTACCTGTAGAGCCGTCTCTTTTGCGAATAGGCACCACGTCACCACAAAGCAATACTCCCCGACTCCTGTGATTGGCGTGGTAGGGATTGACGGGCGGCGGCGGCGCAGGCTTTGCGGGCGGGCCTCCACCTACACTCTTACTCCTGCGAGATGCCATGGAGTACCGTGAAGGGGGTTTCGAGAGCAGTTTCGCTGTGATGCCATTCCCCAGGGCACCCGCCAAGTTGCTGCTGGGTGGGGGTGGGCTCGTCCCGTTTGGCGAAGACTTGGAAAGCTGCAACTTTGTGGTCGTGCTGGGGTCGGGGGCTCGTAATCTCTCGGCGAGCCACTTCCTCCGTGACTCATCAATAACCTCCATAATACCGAGCTTCCTCACTTCCGCACGTGTCACGCCGAAGACAAGACACGCGAGGTCGTTCGCGGCCGTGATGGTCCAGGGAGACTCGGCATCAGTAGTGAAGATGGCTTGTGCTTGATTGTTTCTGTGGCCGTGTGGCGCACGATCGGTGATGCTGGAACCACTACGGGCTGGAGGCGGGGGTCGGAAGGAGGTGGTGGAGTGATTGGTGGTGTGATAAGGCTGTGCTAGCGCTTCGGTGAGCCTGTGTTCCAGCGAGTACCCGGCCACGTCGGTGTATGTGCGCTTGAGCGCGGCGCGTTGTGGTCGCTGCGTCTGCGTTGGCGTCCCGGCCTCCGGTCCCGGTGTCAACACCTCCGTGTCTTCAGCCGTCGTCACTTGAGATAGACAGTAAGGATCGGAGACGCCATCAACTTGCGCCGAGTCCCCCGGACGGTCGTACGTGGTAGGAGACACGGTAGTCTCGCTCACACCCTTTTCGCCTTCCTGCTCCTGAACCACGGGCAGGGAGTTGGAGAAGGTGGTGTGAGGGTTAGGCGTGCGATCTTGAAACGACTGCTCAAAGACGTTGTCATTGGCCGAGTACGCCGGCCCAGTCAAGGGGCCGGGTCCGCTGATGCCGAGACCGGCAGCGCTGGCCACCAGGCCATCCGGGTCCATCATGTTGGCCTTTTGCAGCAACTCCATCATACTGAGCAGCTCCTCATCGCCCGCCAATTTCGCCTGTGCCGTTGCTATTCTCGGTGTCGAGGAGGCCCAGCTGAGTCGTTCCCGCATGAAATCGATACTGCGCTTGAGCACGTTCTGTCTGTTGCGAAGACTGTCGCTCCCCTGATGCGCAAAGGAGAAGGAGTGGAGGGATTCGGAGGGGAAGCGAGTGAGGTCTTCGCCGAGTTGGAGGCCAGGAGTGGCGGGGCCGGGGGAGGCGTGATGGAAGGATGAGGAGCGCGAGGGCGATGGCGAGATGGGGGGAGAGGAGGGGTCTTGTGGGCGCAGCTGAGGGGATGAAGAATTTCGAATGGGTGGTTGTTGGGGGTTTCGTATACGGCGGAGGCCGGTGTCTATGTGTGAGGAAAGCATGGGAGATCTGGTAGTGGTCAGTTGCGGAACAAACATTCACGTGCAGGGTGCATAGGCAGCAAGCATGGGCAGAGCTTCCACGACATACCTCGCCAAGTTATCATATCCCCCGTCGCCTGGCTTTCCGGCTGCGACATGAAGTCGATCTCGTGCTCCGGGGACATCGTCGCTGTCGGAAGAGGGATTCGCTATGCGGGTTTTGGGGAGCTGGATGATGGGAGGCGGCAAGCGAGTGGGGGTCTTGGGATCTACGGAAGCTTCATGCTGTGTCAGTGGATGCGTGAGCAGGTCAGGCGGTGAAGGGAAGTGGACATATGAGTGGAGGAGAGAGGGCAGATGACTCGGGCGTGAGTCGAACACCAAGCAACGCACCTCCATGTTGCCCATCGCCAGACGGCGAAGTCATGCTCCCGCAGCAGCGGAGAGGTCGGCAAACGAGTGAGGCCGGCGCGTCTGGCGCTCTGTTGCTGGGCTCACGTGCGGCGAGGGAGGGCGAAGGAGGTGGAAGGGAGCGAGGCGGGCGGGAATGACAGGCGGTGCGGCTTCGTGTCCTCCTCTATCCCATGCATCTGGACCGCGTCTCTATCGTCTATGTGGTGGAATGTGGCCGTGTCGCGCAAGAATAGGAGAGAAGGGGGGGAGGGAAGGAGCGAAGGAATGTGTGTGTGTGGACTCGATACGGGCGAACCAAAGCCATCGTCGGTGGTTGACGACCTTTCCCCCGCCAATACCGGCGCAATGGCCCGCGCCGCCCCACACTTTTCTCGACTTTTTCCACGGGCCGATGCATTCATCAATTTAACATTCTTAGGTCAACGGGAGATTGCTGCATGACGCAGTCCGCAGGTACAAAAGATCCATGGCTGATACTACCTTGCAGCCATCCCGTGAACATGCACCCCAATTTCAGCCTCGCGTGACTCACGCCGCCGCGGGGTAGAGTTAAGTACAGTCGCCCTTCTCCATCTCTCCTCCTCTTCCCCTTCATCAACCATCATGCCTCCCGGTCCCTGGCCCAACGGCGCCCAAGCCGCCGTCTGCCTCACCTTTGACAACATGGGCGAGGCAGCGGACCTCAATCGCAAGCTCTGGCCCTCCTCCCAAGCCATTGGCTCCCACTTCACCGTCACCAAAGTCATCCCCCTCTTCCTCGACATGGTGCGCAAGTACGACATCCCCATCACCTACTTCGCCGAGAGCTGGAACCTCGGCGTCTACCCCGACACCATCACACGCATTGCTGATCAGGGCCACGAGGTCGCGTGGCATGCTTGGCAGCACGAGGCGTGGGGCTCGGAGTGCAAAGAGGAAGCAGATGAGCGCCGAAACTTCGAGAGGAGCTTTGGAAAGGAAGAGGGGATTGCTGGCTTCTTGGGTGCGGGTGGCAGGGACGAAGGCAGCAAAGTGAAGCGATATCGCGGCTTCAGGCCCCCGGGTGGCAGCATACATGGCGAGCGGACGTTGAAGATGTGCCGGGAATTCGGCCTGGGCTGGATCAGTCCGGCGGCGGAAGAAGGCGCACTTGTCCCCTTGAGTGATGGGCAAGACTCGATCGTCGTTTTGCCATTCCGATGGTCGACCGTGGACGCCTACTACTACATGGAGCAATTCTCGAAGCTGAGGGAGTCAAAGGGTGTATATCCTGCCGAGCCTCAAACTTCCGACGTCCTGATACAAAGCTTCCGCGAGCAGCTCGACGAGACGATCGAGAAGAATGGCTTCTTGTCTTTTCTGTTCCATCCCTTTCTTCACGACCCGGAAGATCGACGGCAAGCTATGGATGGCTTCTTGCAGCATCTTGCCAAGCTCAGAGACGAAGGTAAGATCTGGCTTGGGCGAGGGAGTGAAGTGGAGCAGTGGATTCGCGAGCACCCGACTGTGGTCGACAGTGATCCTCAGTGGGACAATTCAACCTGGATGTGAGGGCCAATGCTTCATCCTTATGAAATCATGAAGACAGCAGTGTGCTATGCAGCTAAAAGTTCGTCGTTCTCGTCAAGACACCTCTCTTCCTGCTGCAATCTTTACTCCAAATCATCACTGCGTCACCGTACACCTCATCGCATCCGAATACCGCGGTAACTCCTCTACCATCCCCGGCGCCGGCATGTCCCTCACCCCCAACTTCTTATGAATCGCCGCGGCTGTGGTGTCCAGCAAGCCCTGCAACGCCATCGACCACGGCACCGTCGTGCTCCACGCCTGCCCGCGCATCAGCGGCGTGTACTCGCCCGACGGACTGCAGCGCAGCAGCATGGCGTATTGCCACGGGTTGTCATCGCCGTCGGGAGAGACGCAGCGGGGTCGTGTGCCGTAGACGATTTCATAGGCGTCGCGTTGAGCGCCGGAGGAGGGGAAGAGGACTAGCGCATTGGCTGGGAGGGGTGTGTTAGAGGGGTTGTTGCTCTTGGTGATCACGTCCAGAGCAGATACACACCGAGTATGCGTCGCCTTAGCTCGTCATCGCTGAGACTTGTGCGTTCGGTGGTCTTCTTTGCCTTCTTGGGTGACAGCGTGGCCGTGGGCGAGGGTGAGGGCCGAGAGGCAACTGTGGTGCCCCAGAGGCTGGAAGCTGGCATTGGAGTGAGATTGGCGAACAGGCGATAAGCAGGAGACGGGACGATGAAGGAGACTGGGTTGGGATAGGCAAGGTTGTTGTTGAGAAGCGTCACGTCCGACAGATCAGGGTACGCGGGTGACTTTAACTAACGAGGATCAATCGTGCATAATCATGCCCAAGAGGATCGCATTCATCATCAACCAGATACCTGAACGACTGCCACTTATCGGCGTCGATCAGCCCAACACGGAGACGTTAGACTTTCCCGGCAAGGCTGAGGCGTTTAGCCGATATCTCTTCAACTGCCTCGTCCAATGGTTGATCCGCTTGGCCCAGTCTCTTATCTGCCCGCTCTATCAACGGTGATAATGGCCATCCGCGGCCCTATCCTACACATCTCCGGGGAAATGCACCAGGTCTTGTTCCTGCGCGAATAATGTGGCGCTCTCTGTAGACGGGTGCAAGGATGTATACTGATAGTGCTTGAGATCTTCGTATCCGCTTGTTACAGCCTTGTGAACGCGTCACATATGTCGCGCTATATCCAAATGACCATGCCTCCCATCTCCAAATGGTGACCATCCAGACTCCAACCACTCATGCCCATTCAAATTGCGCCAAAATGGTGTCATATTCACATAAGAGCACACCCGCCACTCCTCGCGCGTCTTCTACGCCCTCCACCCACGCCCGACCCCGGCGTACCCGCTCCATCCTCCTCATCCGCATGCATCATTTGCGCCTCACGCACCCGGCGTCGTCGCCTTCTGCTTCCCGCTCCCCCCGCTCCCGCCTCCTCTTGCGCCATCATGAACTCCGCCCACTTCCTCTCCAGCCGCCGTGCAGACAGGAAATCACCACGCATGACTCTCTTGGTGTGCTCTTCCACCGTGGGCTGGTAGTTGTAAAAGCACTTCAGGTTGACCACCTCGGTGGGATATGATGTGCTCCTCACAATGTGGAGGCGTGGCGGAGGTGTGACGGGGGATGGCAGTGTTTCTACAGACGACGCGGCGGACGATTCGGTGGTACTCTTGTCCAGAGGAGGCAATTCTACCGCGTGCGTGGTGACGGAGAATTCGGCATTGCGGGAAAGCACCTCCCTCACGCCCGTCCACGTAACATTCTGGCAGTCGTACGCAATGAGTCGCAGTCCGGTCTTGGGTAGGAAGAGGCCTTGCTTCTCTTGAACCAGCGTTCGTGGAGCACGTCGTCGCACCATTGCAGCTGCTTCGGTGAGGACGAGATCGGAGATGCGCGTGTTATCCATCTCGAGCGAGCGAAGGTTGGTGCAGGATTGAAGCAAGGGAAGCATTCCGGTGTCGCCAAGATTCTCGCAATATGATATACTCAGATGCTGGAGACCCTTGGCGCAGGCGGCGCCTGCGAGACTGTGCAGCATCGCATTGGTGAGTTCGTCCAGCTCTTCCAGATCGAGGTGTGTGAGGTTGGGAGTGGTGGGGAAGAGCTCGGTGAGCATGGTGTCAACAACACCATGACATTTGGACAACTGCAGGCCTTCCAGTTCGGGCACGTTGCCAACCAACGTACGCAATCCCTTGTCGGTGATGCCTCGACACCGAGTCAGGTCGAGATGTTTGAGCTTGCGGGGAGGCACGATCGGCCTGCCCGTCAGATAGTCCACTTCGCTGTCTTTGCCTTCCATCAGCACGGCGAGTGCTTCGTCGGTGAGAGACTCGCAATTCATCAGCACGAGCCGCTCCAACGAGTTGCGCAAGAAGATTTGGTGGGCAAAATCAACATCATCCCAACCACGGATCTCGCTCGCACGCAGGTCGGTCAGATTGGGGCAGCCGGCGATGACTCTCTTCAAACCGGTCGTGTCCACGTTGTTACACCAGCTGACCGACAGAAATTCAAGTCGGGGACAGTTGGCGGCAATGATCTTCATGGCCGAATTAGTGGTGCCCGCCAGACCGCACAGATTGATGTGTACAAGACGGCTGTTGTTATACAAGAAGTTGTGTATGGACGTCCGGTCGATGCGGCATCCTTCCAGGCAAAAGTTCTCGAGGTTTCGACACGCGTCTGAAAGTCCTCGGGCGTGCCATCGTTCACGAAGCTGCACACAGCCCCGAAGGTTCAAATCACGCAGGAAGGGACCGGCAGAAGTGATGAGGCTGACTAGAGCATCGGCGGGGATGTGTTGGTAGAAGGAAGCAGTGTCTAGCACCGCCCACAGTTGACCATCAAAGCACATTTCATGCCAGGACTTGGAGACGGAGGAGCATCGAATCACCTCACGGGGGTCGAGATAGCTCAATATTCCCATCCGGAGTTCCGAGGGCAGGTCTCGCCAGAAGTTGAAGTCTCTGAGGGGCTGTGCGGGCTTGGAGATGGGCCGCGAGAAGTAGTCTTCATCCACCTCGGCAATTCCGGCCTCGAGAGGGGACTTTGGGGTGGGCCGGAGATCCACTGGTAGCGTAGCGGTGTTCTTTGCTTCGGCAGAGATCAAATGTATCACCCGGGCGCGTTCATCGCGGGAAGTCAGGGCGATTCGGGGGGTGCTGGTGCCGGATGTTGGAGCGGTATGGAAGTAGGAATGCTCGTCGGAGAGGGTGGGAGTGTACGGAGGGCTGAGGAGGGAAGGAGCGGAGGAGAGGGAGATGCAAGAGATGGAGCCCTTTCCGCTGCCATTGTAGCCACGAGCATTGGCGTGGCCCGCACGTGAGAGGGATTGGGAGGAAGAGATGCGTTGTAGTCCCGCGAGCAGCCGCGCTCTGCCCTTGAGTTTCCTCCGAGGCTGCTCTTCGAAGGGCGGAGGTATGAGCCGGGAGGGGCTCTGAGGGGATTCGTCGGGCGGGGAGAGGGGTTGGACGGAGATGGACGCCATCGAGCCGTTGGCTGTCTCGGCGGCCATGGCGGGGCGGAGGGTGGGAGAGGTTGAAGGGACGCCGATGGACGGAGGAGAGGAACGGGGGTGGATGAGCAGTGGAGAGGTCGAAGGGAATGGCGGATCTAGGTGGATGGAGGGATGTGTCGTGCGAGAGAGCTCATGGAGAGATCATCGGTCTTGCGGCGGCGGCGGCGGCAGCGAGTTGGCTTGGTGGGGCTGGCTTGGTTGGTCAGCTGGGAGCTGGGCACGCTGCGGCGGCAGGAAGAAGCGTTGCCTACGCCGAAGAGTGTGCGAGAAAGAAGGTCGTTGGAGGAGCACACGTGCTGGGGGATGTGTCCAGCACGTCTGCCACTGTCTCTTCTTCCGACGGGTAATGGAATGGCAAGCACTGCCGCGGTGGAAGAAGGTGAGAGTGGGGGCCCGTCCCTTATCGCTATCGTCTCGTGGCGGCCCGGGGTCTGGATGGTGGGGAAGCGGTCAGTGCGCCGCTTGCCGCATGCTGTTTTCAACGCTCCACCCAACCCTCAGACGGCTGAATATCCTACGCTTGTGCAGGAAACGGTCGAGACGGGCAGAAGATGGGCAAGGAGGAGAGGTGAGTGTCAAGACTTTTGGAATGGCGGAAGGATGCAAATGCCGTGGAAATACCGCCGTCCCTGCCAGCCAAGGCTGGTCGAGTCGGTCAGTGTCTCGGCCAGCTCCCCACCCCTTCGGCAGCCTCCACTACTGCAGGGCACGCGATGCAACGTGCTGCTACCACTCGCCTTTTCCACTCCATTCTGCTTAGCTTCGTCGGGCCCTCCACCACACGGCAAGCCATCCAGACCCTGGCGCGCTCTTTATGCCTGGTGGCGTGTATCTTTCTCCAAGGCACTGCGTCTCAGTCCTCGGCCGGCCCGACTTGCCAGTCCATTGAGCCAACCATGCGGGTGGGACTGACTGTTGGTGGTCTGACGCGGATCTGACACTGTAAGCGCGAGGGCTGCTCGAAGCTGCACGCGACCAGTCCTCCAGCAAAGAAGCTGCGGGTAAAGTGGACGGCGGACAGTCACAACCGTGGTAAGCTTCGTGACTTACGAATCATTCCCTCTGTACATATGCCCTCATGGGGCTGTACGAGACGACACCCGGCATCCCACGTGATCTTCAACTCTATCGTGTTGGCAATTGCACTCCACCGTACCACGGGCACTTGATTTCGCAAGGCGCCGCGGCCCAAACCGACGTCGTGACCGTGTTTGGTGATGGAATCGGACCTGCGCTTTCGCCGATATTTTAACTTGACTGTTTCTCAGCCCCAGCATCCACAATTCTCACCCACAACTGGAACGAGCACCAGTGATTCCAATGCAAATGGCGGTCGTGCACAATTAAGATATGTTCTGGCTTACACGATGCTATGTAAGCATGAGGTAAAGTATCAGCCGCACGCTCCATCGTTGTATATGTATACCGCCGCGCCTGACGTTCATCAATTCAAACATCGCAATGGCGCCCTCTCTCACCATTCTAGAGCTTGCACAGTCCATTCTCAAGGATGCCACCGTCCTAGATCAACACTTCCAATCGCATGGCCTCCCCCAGCCCTCCTTTGACAAGGATGGGCCCAGTATGGTCGCTTTCCGCGATCCCGAAACATCACAGGCCCATGAAAGGCTGCTGTCGTCGACCAAGGCTCTGCAACTACTCGCTCGAGGGCCGGTGAACGCGATCAATGTCCCTCATTGGATGGTATGTAGCACATGCCCTTAATCTACCGCACTCCGCCAACCTACTCTGCACAGGCAACCAACGCCGCTGCGATATCGGTGATTGACGGCTTCAACATCTCTGAGCGTGTTCCTTTGGATGGCCAAGTGTCATACGAAGAACTCTCGACGGCCGTGGGCATTCCTCGCACCGATCTCAAATCCATCTTACGGATGGCCATGACCGACTTTGTCTTTCATGAGCCCAGCCCGGGGTTCGTAGCCCACACCGCGGCGTCGAGAGTCCTCGTAGACAGCCCTCTCGCTAGAGCACTGGTCAAGATAAACATCGACGAAATGATGCCAGCGATGAGCAAGGTAGATGAGGAGCTCCGAACTTCGGCATGCAAAATCCCACTGACATCAGACAGCTCCGAGACGCTCTGCTACAGCACCCGGGCTCTCAAGAACCCCAGCAATCAGTATGGTACCGGGATGTGGTGTTGTGACATACTGATACGAGGCAGGCACGGTCGCTCGAGAACAACGCGAAGCTTCCCCTTTTCGATGAACTGGCTGCCCGTCATCCAGCTCGCGCGGCCACTTTCGCGCGGGCAATGGAAAACTATGCTTCCAGGATTCCTGCCAGCATGGTAACAAGCGCAGTGGACTGGGCGAGCTATGGTGAGGCAGTGGTGGTGGATGTCGGCGGAGGCAAAGGACCTGCGGCAATCGCCCTAGCACAAGCGTTCCCCAAGCTGAACATCATCGTGCAAGATCTAGGGCATGTCTGTGCGCAAGGTCGCGAGCAGCTCCCCGAAGATGTCAAGGGCAGTGTGAGCTTCGAGGAACACGACTTCTTCACGCCACAACCGATGCGAGACATCGATGTCTTCTACATCCGCGCCGTCTTCCACAATTGGCCAGACAAATACTGCATCGAGATCCTCCGCAATCTGATTCCCGGCTTGAAGAAGGGCTCGAGAGTCGTGATACAGGATCCCATGTTCCCAGAGAGCGGCAAACTCTCCCCCTTTGCGGAAGAGTTCGCCATGTGAGTGTCGGATATCATCGCATGATACTGGAATCTCCATTACTAACGCATGCCGACAGCGCTGGCGATCTACGGATGATGGCTTTGTTCAACTCTCACGATCGAGAGGTGAAGGAGTGGGTGGAATTGGTCGCAAAGGCTGATCCGCGGTTCCAATTTCGCCATGTCGGTTCACTAGTCAACCCAGTGAGCAAGATGGGGACTTTCGAAATCACTTGGCAAGGATGAGATAGTACTGTGTCGTATGATAAGTTTGCTCTCGTTCGAAGAGGTGAATTCATGGTTGTGGACTTCTCTACACACATTTTCCACTATTCGCCTTGACTAGTTTCCTCATCCGACCAAGCCTGTTGTTGAAATTGCTGGTTAGCTGAGGACGGAGACCGCGATGCTGTGGCATCGATCGAGGCCGCGAGGCTAGCGCTGAGCGCGACAAGGCTGCGGACGCGCGACATCTTGCTGCATGTGGAAAGAGGAGCCCGACCAATGTGATTGATGTTTCGTTCATTGCTGACCTTTTGGTGGTTTTAAGTCCTCTACAAAGACGGTGCACTTGTGACACCGAGCTAGCCCGTCACGTGGAGTGGACGATTTCACTACAAGGCTGTAACTCTACTCCCGCTACACTCCTCCTCTGCCGAATGCATCCTGGACTACTCGACCCTTGCTCTCCCCTGCTTCACGGTAGTCTCCCATACCTCGCCTTGACGGTCGTGTTGACAAGATCGTCCCTTGCCCCTAAAAACCACTCGTTGTCTTCACTCGTGCCGATGCTCAGCTGATGAGTTATCGTGCCCCCACTTGGCCCTTCGCATTCCAGATTGCAAGTGCCGATATCCTCGAGATCCGGCACAACGGTGCACTGGAGGTAGACAGGTTGCTTGTAGAGGAAAGACATTGTATCAGAGCGAACGGTACGTGACAATGAAGAGCGTATCGAGCAACATCCCTTTACTTATAACGACGGTATAGGTGCAGGCATGTACAGGTACTTCTGGATCCTCCCTGATATCGCGTAGAAGCTTTATTTGAACCCGCCAAAAGCTTGTGGCGGCCCTCAATACACCGCCTTGACAATCGTATTCACAAGACCAAAGCTCTTATCAGCCCCCAAGTTCCACTGATTATCATTGTAGGGGTCGATGCTCAGCTGTGAAGTCGGTTTCTCCTTCGACCCTTCAAGCCCCTCGCACTCCAAGTTGCACGTTCCAATATCACTGAGGTCCGGCAAGACGGCGCACTTGAGGTAGGCGGGAACAGCGGACTTGACAATCATCGTCCCCGAGCGCGGGTCCTCGAGATCGATGTAGTCGCCCACGCGAGCCTGGCCGTCTGAAGCGTTGCCTTGAGGCGCAGCGGCGATCATCAGGTTGGTTGTTCCTGGCTCGATGGTGTACTCAAAAGCATCAGTGCTGCCGACACTAAAGAAGGTGTAGCATGGACCGGCTCCCGGCTGGAGGCAGGGAAAGCCTGGAGAGAGAAACTTCTGGACGACCTGGGCCTCGAGTCGGAAGTTTACGTTGGGCAGGCATAGAGATGTGCTTGCTGTGTCCGCGCTGCTCGCGAGTGTAAAACACGTGCCGGCCACGAGGATGTTGCGAAGGAAAGGCATTGTAGAACTCGGTGAGGGAATCTTGTGTCAGCAGCCCTGATCGCCGACCTGACCGATGATGGTTAATATGCTATAACGACTAGGCAACTGCATAAAGGCAGGTAGGTGTAGGATCGCAAGGCTAGCATCTCCCCCACACTCGCCTATAGGGTTTATTGGATGCGCGCAGGAGATCGTCCACCGTTCTACCTTTACAGCTTTATACGCTTTGAACGACCAGGTTGGCCAGGGGAACTAGTCGGTCCTCGACAAACGCACGAGTTCGTGGTGCCGAGCCATGTTGGACGTCGGCGGCGCCAAGTAGCTTAGGAATATGCAGCATACGGTACGATCCAACTTGCAGGCTGCGCAGCAAACTGCGCTGCTCTCACTTCGGATCCCCGCTTTCTGTCTGTTGATCTTTGCCAGTAGCGTTGGGATCCTCCTCGTCGTCAAGCAGATCAAACTTCCTCAACCACGGCCCTTTCCACATGCAAAGAACGATGCAGGCGAATCCAAAGAGCGCCAGGAAGCTCGCCGTTCCCCATACCCAGTTGATCCCGATCTTCTTGGTCCAGGGCTCGTAGAAGAATTGCACCGCGACGGCCAAGCCGATACGCCAAACATTCAACGCGGCTCCAACCTCTTGGGGATCTGATGCTGGTCAGCAGGGATTTCAATCAACACAGATAGCGTGACATACAGTGCTTCCAGATTTCAATAATGTAGTTGACTGTCGGTGGCAGGGAAGCCACGGCAGAGAAGACCAGCATACATTCGCCGACTGCAACGACAATCCAGTGCCAATGGGATTGAACCGCAGCGCCAAAGACACCGTAGCCAATGGGGCCGACGATCAGGCCTGGGATCCAAGAGGGGTACAGACGGTACTCGCCATGCCAGACGCCACCGTTCCTTTTCTGCAGTCACAATGGCAGTCGATCGTTGAGGAGAATACCGTAGACGACGCCCAGAATTGCGCCAATCCACGCCGCAAAGTAGAAATTGGCGACTTCCAGTGGAGCAAACTTGTAGCCGCCTTGGGAGACGGGGAGTTGGAGGATGAGGGGCAGTTGCACACCGGCCATGATATACCAACCGTACTAGCGGGGCTCGTCAGTTGTGGTCAACGATGAGAGAATGATGCACACCTACCGCAAAGGTGGAGAATATTCCACAGAGCACGGTGACTGGGCTGAACCCAATGGCCACGACAGCTTTGAGAGATTTGGGAATACTCTTCACGGAATTTGCCGGAGTTACGCGCGTGCCGGGCAGGAAGAGCGCACGCCTCCGTCCCAGCCAAGAGTCTGGCAGCTCCTTGTGTGCCAGCGGACGATTGGCCGAACATCCCATGCTGTTTCGTCGCAGAAGAGAAATATGAGGACAGCGGCCAGTCCATTGGCACCAACAGTCCACCAAAAGCACACCGGCCAGCTAACGAACTCGACGATGTAGCCGGAGAAGGTGGGACCGGCCAGCTGGGCAATCATGTAGACGGTGGAATATACGGCAAAGATTTTGCCACGTTGGTGGAGGAAGAAGAGGCGAAAAGAGGCCGGCCACGAACCTGGAGGCGACGAAAGAGCCATAGGATGTAGCCTCCGTACTGACGGCGGACCAGATGGAGGTGATGGCGAGGAAGACCATGCTCCAGAAGCAGCAGGACATGACTCCGAAGACGCGCACGAGAGGGACAGGCAGGATCGATCCGATGACTATGCCGCCGAGCACGGCCGAGACCTGGGCGTATTGTCAGTAACATGTGTCGTTCATACGTTGATGGAGCCGTTCACTTACAGAGTATGCGGCGCGCGTGGATGTTGTATGCCATGTCTTGGCTTGCTCCGGCGTGGCTAGCACGTTGGCAACAGCGGTTGCGATGCCCGTGAAGGTGCTGAAGATCAAGATGGTGAAGATGCTGATTTTCTTCAGCATGGACCAGTTCTGGGGCACGTTCGTGTCAATTTTGCACGGTTTCTCTAACAACAGATTCAGCTCACCAGCGGATCTCTTGGATCGTCACTGGGTTGCGGGATGAGGGTAGAGTGCTTCTTATCCACCTGCTGCTCCTGAGACATGCCGCGCTCCGGGTCGGAGTTGAAGTCGACTTCGGCTTCATCATCCTTGACCTTTTCCTCACTCGCTCGTGACATTTTGTCGGTTTGGCAGTTTGTTCTGCGTGTCGATATGTGATGTTGACTCTTCCTGGAGAGCACACCAGCTCAAACACAAGGGGAAAAAAGACGCCATCTGAAGCGGCAAGGACTACTCATTTCAAAAGGCGACGATCGTTGGGTCAGATATGACGACGCTGGTCGAACATGCAGCCGACACAGCCGTGCTTTTTACGCATCGCACGAGGGAGGTCGTCAAGCGACCACACGACGGCGCGAGCTGATTGGCTCCCCCACAGACACTCGGAAGGGAGCGTGCCGCCTTCACGCCTCCTCCACGAGCCGCACGAGAGCCTGATCGGCGATTTCCTGCGTCTCCGCGATCAGGCTCTCACGTGCAAGCCTCGCCGGTATCCTCGGTTTTCACGACCATTGTCTCATCCCGTCTCTGTCATGGCGAATTGTGTACGTGTTTGTTGATTTCGAGTTTCATCTCGCGTTGCTGGTTCTTCATTTTACTGCAGCTCTCGCTCGTGCCGACGATCCGTCGCCTCCTAGTCCATTGGCAATCTCCAGCTCCAACCATCCCTGCAGAAAGCCATGGCCCGGTCGTAGTGGTCTCCTCTTACTCAGGCGGAATTGTCATGCAGGCACCTCCACCTTTTGGCTTTCCCTTATAGCCGGATCTTGCTGATGTGTCAATGTTCGTTAAGTAACAGAAGCCCTGCCAACACAGTCTGCACGGAGAGAAAGACTACCTTATGTGAAACGTATCGCGAACGAGTCACGAAAACAAGATCCAATCCCCGTGCAATTCGCTAGCGCATGCTCTGCTACACATACAGCCCAACTGCACCCGGTCCTCATCTAGTCTTTTTCTACGTGCTCATTCAGGAAAGCAGGCCCCCTCATAGTCTAGCACGCGGGGGATCAACCGACACCTAGTCCTCCATCACCCCCTCCGTCCACCGGCGCGCCGCAGTGGTGGCGAAGAATCGAACGTCGACATCCTCGTCCTCCATCAACTTCTCCAGCACCGGCATCACTTCCCCCCGCACCAACTCCTCTCCCTTTGCACTGCCGGGGAACTCCCCTCCATCCTTCTCGAGTTGCAGGATCGTGGCGTTGGGTGGGGAGTCGGGAAGGCGTTTGAAGATGTCAATCAGAACCGCATACGATTTGGCGACGTTGAAGCGGATATTGGGAATCGGATCGGAGGTGAGTGATTGAAGGATGGGAAGGACCGAACGAGCGAGCACGGAAAGTGAGAGGGCGGGCGCGAGAGTCTAGCAAGGTGTCAGCAATGCATTCATCATGAAACTCCAAACAAGCAACCACTCACCGAGACCGCAAAGCATGTAGTCATGCGATACAGATAGTTGGGGTGTTCCGCCATTGCCGCCACCTTGGGCACAATCGCATTCTGCGCCCACTCCACTCCAAACACCTCCGTGAGCTTCTTCAGGTTCTGCGTGCTTGCCTCACGGATGGAGAAGACGGTGTCGCCAAGCCATGACATGCAGAGTGCGCTGAGCTTGTCGTCGAAGAATTGCACGCCGAGCTGGCTGGCGAGCAGAGGGACGTACTGGATGATGGCGAGCCGGACACGCCATTGTTTGTCCTCTGCAAGCTGCACTATAGCCGGCAGGAGGGACTGGGAGAGGAGGTCGACGCCGATGACATCATTGACCTGATCCAACTTCGAGATGATGTTCAGACGGACGTCGGGAAAGTCGTCTTTGAGCATTTGCAGGAACATCGGCAACAGATGTTCAATCGTCTCTTGTGCGCCAAGAATCGGGGCGAGGCCGCTGATTTGGTTGCCGAATGCGGCGCGAACGTGCTGGGATGAGTCGGTGACGAGCTCTTCGATCGCCGGCATGATGTCGCGAAGAAGGGTTTGTTGGTCGACCAACTTGCAGAAGCCTTGCTGGTGGTTAGCTTGGATCGGACGTATGCCTTACACGACAGTAGTGTACCTGGTATTTGCCCCGCAATGGCACTCCGGACCTCCGCCTCAGTGTCCTTCAGCAGCTTCACAAAAGCCGGGACCAAGTCTCTTGCCACCACCTCCTCGTCCACTGCCAGGGCAACCTTCTCGTAGCGGTCCGCCACCATGTATCGCACTCGCCAACTCTTGTCTTCGAACAAACTGCGAAGGGAGGTCACCAGGACACCATGGCTGCTTTGCTGATCTTTCGGGATGGCCTCGGCAATGGCAATGAGCACTTCGACGGTGAGTAAGCGGACGCTGTCCTGATCGTCGGCCGCCAGATGTTGGAAGTTGGGAATCATCTCATCAATGACCACCGGAGTGGGCATGTTTTGCACAAACTTGGCGAGGTTTTCCGCCGCTTTCCTCCGCACCATGGGTGTGTCATCATGCACGAGCTGCGCAAACTGCTGTCGAAGGCCTTCCTGGGACGCCTGCGAGACGCGGGGGTAGGGAGTGGTGTAGAGGCCGGTGGCGGAGATTTTGGATGTGAACCAGTCGGCTTTGGAGAGGCGGACGACGAGGGGGATGAAGTATTGTTCGATGTGTTCGGGTTTCAGCTGGGCGCAGATCTTGTTTAATGATTCGACAGCCTGAGAGGTGGGTTAGTTGGTAGTCTTGCGGCGTTGCAAGAAGATGACACACCTTGTCCCGCACCAGAGGCTCCTCAATGGTCGCGAGGTTCTCAAGCGGGGATAGCAGGACGTAGCCATGTTCGTTGCCGCCCACATATTCCACAAAGTTCCCCAGCTCGTCGCTCAGAGCAGTGAGCACTTCGTCTTCGTCCTCGACAGATTCTGAAAGGCGGTGAGTGTGGAGTGGCACAGCATTGGGACGAGCTCATACCATCAAGAAAAGGGATCAGCTCCTCTCTCGTCCGATCGGGTCCAAGAGCGAGGGCAATGGTCGACAACCTTCGAATGGCATTGAGTCGGAGGAGGACGTCATCATGCTGTAGGCGAGTGTCAACAATTCCCTTCCAATGCGGGCAGATGTTATGCGCTGCCGTTGAGACATACTTTCAATTCATCAATGAGAACCGCAATCGGGTAGAGCTCGTCACTTTGGCTCTGGTCGTCCATGTTTTGGTATGAGGAAGGGCAGGGATGGGTGTAAAGAGCGGACGGCCCTGATCAAGGCCTCAGAGGCTGTGATGGGCTCGGTTCGTCCGCGGGGTTGCGTGGTCGTGTTTGGGGTGTAGTGGGATGAGCGCGAGGGCGGAGGAGAAGTCTGGTACACGGTTAGCTCGCATCGCAATGAGCCCGTCTCTCATGCCCAGGCGACTGGTGGTTGACGTTGGGCTGTGAATGCGGGAGCGGCAATAACTCCGCCCACGTATCTGCCTGCACGTGCTTGGGGACACACTCACGAATCGGTGGCAGCCGTTGAGTAGAGAGGGCGTATCTGCCGCGAGAGGATGCGGTGGTATTGATGTGCGAGGGGAGTGGGTGTGGTTGGGGAGAGGGCGGGTGGAGGTGTTGTTGTTGCGTGGGAAGGAGGGAGGGAGATGCGGAAAGCTGCACCTTCCGGAGTGGGACTTTTCGTCTGTGGCGCATGCCCGCACGCACGAGCCACACTTGGAGGGACAACCACCGCCAGCTCCAAAAAATTCACAGTCATTCACAACGGCCATTGAGAGCGAGGCTGATGCTGATTGCCGTCTTCCTCTCCACGTCGCATTCGCTCGACAGTATACACCAGCTAGGATTCTTCCATACCCTCGCAAACATTTCCCCGGAACACCGGCGCCACAAGCCGTGGCCTTCTGACTCCTCCCGTGACTCAAATCTCACCGAACCGCCTCCTCTCCCACCTGTCCCTCCTCTGGCCTGACCAAACCGATCGATTGCGCGCCTTGTCAGGCGCACCGCCCATCACAAGATGCCCACCATCGGCGTCAATAAGGATTCGCTCTACCAATATCTCGGCAAAAGCTACACCAAGGATGAATTCGACGAACTCTGCTTCGAATTCGGCCTGGAGCTCGACGAGGACACGTCCGAGTCCAAACGGCCGATCGGGCCCGATGGAGTTGAAGAGCCGGCACAACTCAAGATCGAAGTGCCCGCCAATCGCTATGACATGCTGTGTTTCGAGGGCATTGCCATGAACTTGAACGTCTACCTGGGCCGCGAAAAGATGCCGGAGCTGAAGTTGAGCAAGCCCAAAGACATGATCACCGCATACATCCGCCCCGAGACCGAACAAATTCGACCCTACTTCTCGTGTGCGGTCTTGCGCGGCATCAAATTCACCAAGGAGCGGTACGAGTCTTTCATTGCGCTGCAAGATCGTCTCCACCAGAATCTGGCGCGGCAGAGGACATTGGTCTCCATTGGAACCCACGATCTGGACACGATTGAAGGGCCCTTCTCGTACGAAGCCTTGCCTCCGGAAGAGATTGTCTTTGCGCCTCTGAACCAGACCAAGACGATGAATGCGGCAGAGATGATGGAGTTCTACGCAAAAGACAAACACCTCTCCCGCTACCTCCACATCATCCGCTCGTCGCCCGTCTATCCCATCATCTACGACAAGAACCGCACCGTCCTTTCCATGCCTCCAATCATCAATTCGAATCACTCCAAAATCACTCTCGACACCAAAAACGTCTTCATCGACATCACCGCCACCGACAAGACCAAGCTGGAGATTGTCAATCAAATCCTCGTGGCAATGTTCTCTCGTTACTGCGAGGAACCCTTCACCGTCGAACCGGTCAATGTGGTGTCGGACCACAACAATGAGACCCGCGTTACGCCCGACCTCTCGCCCCGCGCCACCCAAGCAAGCGCGGAATACCTCAACTCTGTCTGCGGCCTCAACGAATCGCGAGAATCGCTCAGCAAACTCCTTTCCAAGATGTGTCTTCAGGCTCGCCCATCGCCGTCGGACAACGACAAGCTCGACGTCCTCATCCCCGTCACGCGAGCAGATGTGCTGCACGAAGCAGACATCATGGAGGATGTGGCGATTGCATACGGCTTCAACAATCTCCCACGCCACTTCCCGGGCACATCGCACTCGGTTGCAGCCGCTCTACCCATCAACAAGCTGGCAGACATTGTCCGACTCGAGGCAGCCATGGCAGGCTGGGCGGAAGTGATGCCTCTGATCCTCTGCTCACATGACGAGAACTACGCCTGGCTGAACAAACCTTCCGACAACGGCGAGTGCGTGCGGCTTCAGAACCCCAAGACTGCCGAGTACCAGATTGTCCGCACGTCTCTCATTCCCGGCTTGCTCAAGACGATTCGCGAGAACAGGAACCACGCGGTGCCGATGAAGATCTTTGAGGTGGCGGATGTCGTCTTCAAGGATATGAAGGCCGAGCGCCGTGCGAGGAATGAGAAGCATTTTGCCGCCGCATGGTACGGGAAGACGAGCGGGTTTGAGCAGGTGCATGGCTTGTTGGACCGCGTCATGCAAATGTTGAAGAGCGCTTTCATCACCAAGGAAGAAGGCCTGGAGAATGCCGAGGTGGAGGGGTACTGGATTGAAGAGGTTGACGGTATGTTCTGCTCGCTTCCGAGGGCTAGCCATAGACTAACGACGTGACCAGATCCAACTTACCTCGCCGGCCACGCTGCTGCCATCTTCCTTGGCGTGGATGGCAAGGCAAAGCGCATCGGAACGTTTGGCATCTTGCATCCGAGGGTGTTGCAGAAATTTGAGCTTCCCTTCCCCACCAGCACGCTGGAATTGAACATTGAGGTGTTCTTGTAGGCCAGCGCAACTGTTAGTAGATGCCCGGAATTAGAATCCATTTACCTTCCACCGCCTTCATCCCAAACTTATCGTGATACCATTGCCTCGTGTCCCGTGCAGTAATGCCGAGATTGGCCACGACAAACACCACCGCGCTCGCCAATGTCCAATTGACCCATGCACCTTTCGGTGCAGCAACCAAGGCGAGAGAGAGGTAGATGAAGCATTCGGCCGTGTAGTGAGGAGCGATGAGTGAGTGGAATGCGGGATGTTCCGGGAGTTTGTATTGACGAGCCGATCCCTTGTCGTCCTTCGCCTTCGAGTTCTTTAGATCGTGAAGATAGACATGGCAGTCGTGCTGGAAGCCGGATGCGAGGAGAAAGATGAGTACAGAGAGGATTGTACGGAGAGATGGGGCGTGGAAAGAGAAATCGGCCCTGGTGAGTGTGTGGGATTGCAATGTTGCTGGGTTGTTAGTTGGCGGGCTTCTCAGATGTCAGAAGGAATGTACTCACGGACGCCCTCGATCCAGATGGCCATACTCGTGGCCGTGTAGAAGAGAAGGCCTAAGAGCCAGTGGCCAATCCACATGATTGACTTGGTGCTGCTTGATGCAGACTGCAACGACCGGCATTCATATAATCTTCTCATGCCTTGTGCAAACATCATGAGCCATGCCACTTCGACTTGTTGGACGGACATGGATCCTTTCCGCGGATGCATGATGAATGCAGTATCCCCGGAGCGAGGGAATACAAGCCACGAGATCAGCCATGCAATACTCAGCCCACCAGAAAGGTAGTAAAAGCTCGAAAACCAGGAATGCGAGACCTGCCAAGTTGCGACATGGTCAAGAAGATGAGCGATAATGTTGGTGGCGGTCTTGCCTGGCCTCTGCTTCTCCTCCTCAACACTCGCGGGCACGGATGATGACGGGGATGCCGCTCGAGGACCGTATGCAAGGAAGCGAGTGCGAAGAGCTGGTATGACGGAAACGACAACGACCTACCGTCCCATCAGCACCTCGTGCGGCGTGCATTGAGCAGTCTGTCTCACCGCCAATGCTGCAGCCAGGTAACCTGCACGAAGAAGTACTACCAGGTCCATTGTTGAAGTCTCTTGATGGGGCACTTCAGCAGTCGGGTCGAGTAGGACCTAGTACATGCTTCGTCGCCACGCTTCGACCCGTCGAGTAGGTACGTATTTGTGTCGCCGGTCGACAACACGAGAAGTTTTGTCGAGATCTATGCCTTACGGCGATGTCGTGGTTCAGGCAGCCAATCAGGCCGCAAGACCTCTCCCAATCCAGCTAGCCGCACGGCCCCACTTTCCCTGCGTCGCACATGGTCCGTGCGACCAGCAAGACCTCGCAACTTGGGACGCGCCGGATGGACGCAAGCAGCAGCTTCAAAGGGCCGCCGTTTTCTTGACCAGGCCCGACCCTCGCACCCCCATCAACGGAGGCTCCCCACTTCTTCCATCAATGCATGAAGGCGACAGCACCCAGCCATGTCGCTCCGCCTCTCATCCCTGCTAAATCCTTCGCCGGAATCAGACAACGTTCCTCCGCCGCCTCGCGATGGAGCCCTTCCGCCCAACCCGTACCTCCAGTCGCCCGAGCACTATGCGACGTCTCCCTCGAGCGGCGCGCCACAAGCAGAACAGTCGTACAGACACCACACCTCCGGCTCGAGCCACGATGGGAGCATGGTTTACGATCAGCGACCCGGCAGCAGTGGATACAGTGAACCCATGCACCTCCCACCTCCTCCTCCGACCACGCTCGGCAGAGCACCGAGCTCTCCCACGCTGGAGCAGTACCAAGTGGCGTCACGATCACCTGAACAGCGCAGAGCCTCCATCATTTCTCCGCCCCAGCCGGGCTTCATTTTACCTCCATTACAGAATCCCAACCCTTCTCCCATCGAACACGCCGCGCGTCAGTTGAATGCATATGAGCCACCACCCACCCTTCACTCCCCTCCCGAGTCGACTTCACTTCAACCTTCGTTCCAAACGTTGCCAGCTTCAGCGACAGTCGAGCAATCACACTCACCATCAGTGGCGATCAAACAGGAAACAATACACACACCTCACCCATCCTCTCCGATCGATGCGCGACGCGTGAGCTCGCAAGTCGCTGACGGCGATCCGCACAACGTGAAAACGATTGTTTCACTCAAGAACGAGCACGGCCTGAGAACCCACTCACCACTGCGCGAATCATCGGTGCCAGTGCCGTCAACCGAAACAACCATGCCGGCATCTGCCATCCCGAAGAAGCGACCAGCGCCTTCCAAGACGAAGAAAGGAACGGCTGCCAAAAAGACTCCGGCCTCAAAGAAGCGAAAGGTCGAACACAAACGCTCCGTCACCCCCTCCTCCCGCGCATCGAAACCTTTCACTTTGGGCAGTAGCCTTGGCACGCCTGCGGACTCGTCGCCCGCACCATCCACCCGCTCTCAGTCCGAATACGATGAAGATGAGGAGATGGAAGATGTGGACACAGACATGGACGTAGACGGAGACGTCTACTGCATCTGCCGCAAGCCCGACAACGGCACGTTCATGATTGGCTGCGACGGGACTTGCGACGACTGGTTTCATGGGAAATGTGTCAAGATTGAGGAGCGGAACAAGAATCTCATCGACAAGTACATCTGCCCAAAGTGCACGGAAGCAGGCGTGGGTAAGACTACGTGGAAGCGGATGTGTCGACGCAGTGGGTGCAGGCTGCCTGCTCGGGTGGGGAAGACAAAGGGGGGTCTGGATGGTAGCAAGTACTGCTCCGAGGAGTGTGGTGTGCTATACTTCCGCGAGATGGTTGCGAAGACAAGAGGAAGGGAGGATGCATCGAAGAATCGGAGCAACAGGCGAAAGGGCAGCATCGATCGGGGTGGCATCGACTACGACCTGGGGGCTCGTGGGGGAACACTCGCTGCGGGAGAGTTGAAGAGCCTTGTCGATTCATCTGCCACGGCTGGAGATTTCCAAAAGCTCGGCGACGGCGTCCTCAGTCCACCAGCGACCCCTGATTCGAAGTCCGCCAGCACTGCTGCGCACGCGGAACCGGAGACGCAGGCTTTGCAAACCATTCACCAGCAAAAGGAAGATGCGCGCCGAAAGCATCAGCTCCTGAAGGACCGAATGAAGTTTGTGACGCTGGTGAAACAGGCCGCCGCGCGCACCGCCACCGAGAAGGAGCTGAAGCCAAAGGACTACTGCGGCTACGACTCTCGTTTGGAGTGGACGGACGAACGGTTTGAGCGGTGGAGGAATAGCGTGAGTGGGCAAGCGGCGTTCGAGGTGGAGAGTCTCGCCGCGGACAATGCGGAGGAGGAGAATGAGCATGAAGTGTGCGATCGAAAGAAGTGCGCCAGGCATCTCGAATGGCCCAAGCTCGCCGTCGATGATGTGCGATTCGAAATCAGCGACAACAGCGATCGCATGCGGGCGCTGGAGCGGGAGGAGAAGGAGGTACGAGAGCGGGCTGCGCTGCGGGCGAAGGCGGGGAGTTTGAATGGAGAGGGAGGGGTGGAGGTGCATGCATTGGGGCAGGTGAGGGGACAGTTGGATGGGGTCGATGCGGTGATGGAGTCGACGGAGAATGGCGGTGAGATGGCAGCGTAAGCCAAGTGGGAGGATGTCTGGGCTTGGGGAGTCTTTGGTGAACCGAGCCCTCACGATTGAGATTACGAGCGTACGAGATATGAATACGGCCGTCAGTCAGCGACATGGAGTTTGTCTCGCTTCAACTTCGAAAGATGCCTCGAGATGCACCTGCCTGACTTTTGTGTTTGCTCCTTCCTCGTTTGTAGTGCATGACATGGTCAACTTTCACCAGTTTCAGCCAACGACAATACCACCATCCCACAACATCGATGCCATGCCCGAGTTCCGTGGAGTCACTGTAACGCTTCAGTCGCAACACGGTGCCGCCACCATCCCCGAACAACCACTCTCCTCCTCGACACCATCCGAAGGACAAACGGCTCTCGCACCAACACCTCCCCCGATTATCACCGTTAACGTCCAACCCTTCCCCTCAAGCCAGTTCTGGATCTCCTACAAATGTGCTCCACCGCCCAACGGCAGCGACATCCGATTCTACTACTTCAAGCTCTATGCCGCCGGGAGATGCGTTGTCAGTTGGGGAGTTGGTGAGGAGGAGAACTGGAGCGGCAAAACAATGCATGCGATATTCGCTGCCGGGAGTGATTTTGATGGAAGAAGAGTCGTGGAGCGACGTGCGTTGTTCTTCAGCCGAGCGGCCAGGGCTTATCAAGGAGAGGGAGCGGGATTCGAGATAAGACTCTTTCGCGCGAAGGCGAGACGGAGGGAGGAAGTGAAGTATGAGAATATCGGTGATGTGATGGTGAAAGGTGCAGGGATTCAGTGAGTGCACCGAGAGCTCTAGCATGGTGAATGATGGTGCTGACGATGGATCTAGGTTGACGAATCTTGGGCGCGTCAAGGCCGAAGAGGCCCAGAGGATGTACACTTACGCACTCCTTGACCCCAAGGATCAGCCGTACGTGACCTTCCGATACGTGATTGGGGCTCAAGAGGATGCGAGTCCTTTGCCATACCGTCCTTTACGGGCAGAAAGTGAGAATGAAACGGAGGAGGCGGACGATCGATGGACAAGGGCAAGACCTCCAGGGCTGTCAAGGAGGCAGTGGAGTGGCAGCAGCAGTGGGATGGAGATGCTCCCGTCAATTAGAGAGGAATCGATGTCGCGCGGGCCCACCATGGAGAAGGAAGGCATCGAAGCGAATGAGACCGCGCATCGTGCTTGGGTCACCAGGACACCCTCGCCAATGGTGTCGAGGCTGTTTGAAAGACCAGTCAGTCCACCGGCCAAGCGAAAAGCTGGCTCGGCAGCCTTGTTGGAGAGTGTTGTTACGAACGCGTTGAAAGGAGCCAAAGGACGTCGGTGAGGCATTGTCTATCAGCAGGGTATCCGACCACGATTTACATCTTCGATCCACCTTTCATCGTCTTCAAAGCATCGTAGGCTGCTTGGACGTATCCAAAGGTTCTGGGATTCCCCAACAGTCCCGGGCCTAATTTATTCATGACATAGGTGAATGTCATTCGGGTATCGCGGTCCATGAGCACCAAGGAGCCACCCTGCGAGAGTGGGATTAGTAGCTGGCCTCGTGGGCGCAAACACATGGATGATCACGTACATATCCAAACCAGAAACAGATGTCGCCTTCCGGAATCGCGGGCAGCGTCTTTTTCAGCGGCAGTCCGTATCCTATCCCGTACCGCACCGGGATGAGCATGGCCAAATCGGTGCCGCATGTTTGCTCTTCGAAAATCTTATCAATGGTCTCTTTGGAAAGCAAGCGGACCCCATCAACTTCCCCCCCAAGCGTCACGGCGGACATGATACGATTCAAGGATCGAGCGTTTCCATGCCCATTCACTGCACCGAGTTCGGCGTTGCGCCATGTAGGGCCGAGCACGAAGTCGAGGGGGACAGGAGGATTCGTGAAGGTGCGTAGAGAGATGGGATAAGCGGCCATTGCCTGCATAACTTCCTTCGGGAGTGGTGGTGCAGGCAGGAGGGTGGAGACGCGAGGCCAATCTTTTTCCAAGGCGCCCAGCTGGAAATCCGCACCCAGTGGTGCAGCCATGTCTTCCGCAATGAACTGCTTGAGCGACTTCCCGGTGACGCGTGAGATCAAGCCGGACACGAGGGCGCCTTGGGTCGTAGAGTGATAGCCGGATGCCGTTCCAGGCTCCCACAAGGGTGCTTGTTTGGCAAGTTCGGCCGTGCTGAGGTCCAGATTGCAGATATCTTCCGTCGACATTTCCCTCTCCCATGCGGAGAGACCAGAGCTGTGGGCCAGGATATGTCGGACCTCGATGTTTTCTTTGCCATTCGCCGCGAATTCGGGCCAGTAGGTGGCCACTTTGCCGTGCAAATCCAGCAGACCACGGTCGGCGGCGATGAAAGCTGCGAGATTGGTCACCGTCTTAGAAGTAGACCAAGCGTTGACAATGGTATTCTCCTGCCATTCTTTGCTGCGGGCTTCGTCGACATAACCAGCCCAGATATCGACTACGTTTAAGCCGTCGACGTTTATGCAGATGGAGGCTCCCAACTCCTCGCCGGTGCTGACATTGTCAGAGAGCAGTTGTTTGACGGCGGAGAAGGCAGGATCGCTCTGTCCTTTGACGGCAGCCATTTTTGTGAGTGTGGATGGAAAAGGATCAAGATGGAACATGCATCTGGCAGGAGGTGGGTTTTTCCCTTGCAACCATCTTGGCGAATGGCGTGTTATAACTTACATGTATTTAACGTTGTGCCGTCAGCTGGGAGGGTGCAGATCTTGCCTCGACGTAAGCAGTGATGATCCGAAACCGAGGAACGCTAACGATGCTGAGGTCAGCTTAGGCCACGGACCAGGACGAAGGGCGCCAGAACACTTTGACAGGCGGTGAATGGGCAGGGATGGGATTGATTGAGGTACAGCCAATCGGCCTGTTACGAACATCCGCCGCCGAATCATTGCCAACGACGTATGCCTTACAAACGGCGATCAGCCTTGTCACCGCTTCAATCTATAGTGTCCACACGGGGTTCGACGAACTTTAAAAGGCGTCGGGCATCAACGCGTTGCCGGAAGCAACGAGGTGCAGGAGTCTAGACGCCATGCGACCTGCGTCAAGGCAACTGGGTCGCAATGTCCAGGACAGCTCGATACCTTATGTAGTGCCCATGGCCCAGTGCGAGCTGTTGAACCCCTCCAGTCCTCTGCGTGCTCCCCCACCACCTGCTGTCAACATCGTTGAGACATTGAAGATGCCTCCAACCCAGCGGGAAAGGCGTCGGCTCAACCTACAAGCACGTCCCAATAGGTATTACAACACTACCCCTCCTTACAATCATACCCGTCATATCTGTGGATCAGTTTCTGGCGAGAATGCCGGTTTGTTCCAGTCGCTCGTGGTGGGATAACGCCGCCACTAACACCTCGTAGCTGTCGAGCACCTCGATCGCATGCGGGATAAACACAGCAACAAGATACCACCAGGGCTCAACACATGGGATGCTGCAGCACTAGCTTGGTCGGCAGAATATGGCCCAAGCATCCGCACGTGGCCCCAGGCGCAGCAAAGCCTCGACCTGCTGGCGTGGTGGGCGGCGCAGGCATTCCGGCGCGACATGCTCGTCGAAGGCCCTATCAGCAAGGTGGGCGTGGCCATGCTCACGAGGCCCAACGGCTCTACGCGAGTGGTTTTCGGATTCACCGCGACCAAGCAGCCGGGTTGGGAGGTGGTGGGTCAGCGACAATCGCGAGTCAATCGGGTGATGAGGTCTTGCATGGCCATTGGCATCGCGGAACCGCGCCTTGAGGACACAGCGAACAGCAGGCCGGGGAGCTGTGTTGAGACGTTCACCTTTCCTCTCGTTCTCGCGCATGAGGGCAGGGCAAGGGAGATTGGGGGAACGCTGAGGACGATAGTTCGCAGCTTTGGACCCGGTGGCGCGATGACATTGGGCATGTGTGACAACTGTAAAAGGTATGCCAGAATGCTGAGGGAGGGTTGTCCTCGTCTGGTAATAGTGGATGCGGGGGAGAATGTTAGAAGATGAATGATGATGGGGAGTGGCATCCATTGCCGACGCCGCGTGGACCGGATTGGGGAAGGCTCGATGGGGATTGGCGCTAGGGGCTGGACTATCTCATCCGCAATGCTGTAATGAACCATCTTAACTGCAGACCTGCACATCACCTCACCCACCGGTATTGTTGTCCTTTCAACAAGGCCGAGCGAGTTCGCACCGACCTTCTACGGCCGCTGCACTCCGCCCGCATCCCTTGGCGTTGTGCTCAAGTCCGATCTCCGCAGACGTCATCTCACGCCGTCACCTCGACACCGCGAATCAGCAGACATTCACCACCTCCAGCCAACCAAACCATGCCCTGCACCCTCCTGCATCGCCTGTGCTCTATCCTTCCCTAGCAGGCGAAGCGACTGGACACCGGCGCAGCGCAGGCTGCAACGTACCGTCATCCACCATCATCCGAGAAGGCGCCGTCCGTCAGGATGGTCAAAACACATCTCCCCGCCCACATGGACAGTGTGCGCCAGACCTTGCGTCCCAAACACCAGCTGTTGATCCTCAAATGCTACCCGCGCCTGCCCAAAAACAGCGCCGCCGACGTCAAGCCCAACGGCAGCGAGCTGAGCTACCTCGTCTACTACGCCAGCACGCGAAAGAGCAAGCTACAGAAGGTCGGCAGCTTTTTGGAGCGCAAGACTGCGCTCGATGTCTCTCACTTCCAGAGTGTGCGCGTCCACGTCACGCTCCAAATATTGACTGCGCTGCTGGAGAACAAGGCCGTGGGAGCAGGCAGTGGGTTTGCCCTCATCGCCCCCTACGTCCTCCGAATCATCCGCGATTTGCTGAATTCCACCACGGATATCAGTCTCATCGAGGCCAGCTTGGAAACGTGGGAGAGCTTCTGCAACCACCAGGACGAAGCCACGCTCAAAGCAGACCACGAGTATCGCGAGCTGTTTGAAAGCGTTGTCACGCTATACGCCGCTTTTGCGCACCGAAATGGCAGGAAGAGATTGGGCAAGAGCGCGCAGAGCTTGGCAGTACAAGATGTGATTCGCTTGCGAGAGGCCGGTCTTGGTGCGACTCGCAGTCTCCTGGGCTCGGACTCGTTGACAAGCGAAAGCGGCCGGCAATTGAACGTGGTGGTACCGGCCATTTTGAGCAACATGCATGGCGAGGATGATGCCTACCTGACGAATCTCGTGCGTCTGGGGAAGAAGTCCGAGGACGAGGAAAAAGAGCGAGCGTTGGCGAGGAGGGTCAGCATGGCGACCACCCGAACGTTCGCCGAGGAATCCATCGATGCCGACCCACGACAAGCCGAAGGAACCGCGCAGGATGCCGATGCGTTTGCAGAAGAAGAAGTCGCCATTCTCGCGCTGGAATGCTTGAGGGACGTCTTTTCCAGCGACAATCGCGCCATGATTCGTGCTGGCACCATGGAAGTGCTCAAGTATTTATCCACGACGAAGACCCCACCATCCGAGAAGTCGAAACCGGCTGCTTCGGCGACTAGTTGGGCATCGCGGCTCTTTGAAATCTGCACGTCCTGGACCCCCGTACAAGATCGCTTCATTGTCATGGTCAGCCTCGTCGAGAGCCTCGTTCGCTTGCCGCTACGGGAGGAGGATCTGGACCAGCATCTCTTGTACAGCAATCTCATCGATCACATCCTCTACTCCGACCTCAACATCATCGGCCTCTCCGCAATGGATGTCCTTCTCAGCCTTGTGCAACAAATTCTGCGCGTTCTGCAGTTGAATGCTTCTCGACTGGGAGTACACAGCGGGCGGAATGGCGAGGACGTCTCGCAACCGCCTCAGTCAGCCAGAAATTCCTCACCCGACCCGCCGTCTGCAGCGAGACTGGAGCTATTGCGAATGCTGAAACAAAACATCGCACACCTTGGCACCCACGTTTATTATACCGACCAGATCACGGACATGCTTTCCGCCATTCTCGTTCGTTTGAAGCCCAATCCAGCGCCGACCGGCATGCAGAATCCCGTCATCACGGCGGCCGCCATCGAAGAACCACGAGCGGCTGCCGGAGAAGTGGCGTCCAATATCAGCGTCTCTGGACGAGAGAGACCCAACTCTTCAGCTGCCAACGGATTCTTCTCCTTTGAAACCGCACGACTGGCGGCCTTGGAGGCAGTACGTGACATCTTGCGGGTTTCAAACACCACAAGATTACAGGCGACCGGGGGCGTCTCGAGTAGCCGGAGCAAAGTCCCGGTCACGATATGGGAAGGCACACAATGGATTCTGCGCGATCCATCTCCAGCAGTGCGCAAGGCCTACGTGGACGCTCTCACTACCTGGCTCCGATTAGAGACCAGCAAGGCTGATATGCGCGTCAAGCAGCCCAAAGACAAGGCGAAGAAGAAGCCCGAGAATGCTTTTGCCAAACGTGCGATGAGCAATGCGAGCAACAAAAAGGACAAGCAAAGCAAGAAGGCTACTACAACTTTCCTTCAGCTCTTGCATTTGGCGGTATTCGAGAATGCACTGCAGTATGCCAGCATGGAAACCGTTGAGGCTGAGCGGGAACTCCTCATGTTGCATTATCTTCTTGCAACACTGGTGCAGAGATTGGGAGTCAACGCGTTGCAGAGCGGACTACCCATGGTCTTTGCCTTGCAAGATGAAGGCGCCAAGAGTGAGTCTATGGCCGTCAAAGTCAGCACTGGTAGTCTGGTCTACGGCTATTTGTGGGTTCTGGCAGAGGCCTACGATTTCGACGTCTCGTCGGTAGGTCAAGAGATCTTTGGCGAGATCAAGCGACGCAAGCAGAACAAGCTCTGGGTGGAAAACATCAGCATGCCCGCGAGAGGCCTGGAAGACATTGCGGCGAGTTCGAGAGAGTCTACCAGCTTGCCTGAGCAAAGCGGCGACGGTATGAAGCCATTTGAGCTGCGAGGTGAGCTCATCGAACGAATCGCCGATTGCTACGCCACGACCGTAGCCTCACCGTCGCCTTCTGCCCCTGGAAGCCCTGGTCGCACCCCTGGCCAGCGTAGACTCAGCGCATCCGCGGGTCCCGCTTTGGACCGGACGGCAAGCTCGTACTTGACTGTCAAACCACAAGCAGACTCTTCACTTCCGGAGAAAGTAAAGGAAGCAATGATGGCCACTTGGACCAGAGAAGGCTGTATGTCTGACATTGCCGCTGCTGCACCGAAATCCATCAGCTTGAGCGGCTACTCGTCACCATCACAAGCTCTGGCCGCCGGCAATCACCGCCAATTGCTCGCAGCGGCCGCGAACACCATGTCTTCTCGTAACCCAAGTCCTCTTCCGTCTGCGCAGCGTTTCGTGGCGCATCAGACCCCGCAAGCAGGCCAACAAGTCCTCGGCGCTCACCTCATGTCGGAGAGTCCGGCTCGGAGGCAGAGTGTCAGTTCGAACGGCAAACTCAGCAGCTCCGCCGGTGTACACGGTCGGATTCGGGTGGAGGATCTCAAGCGAGCGTTGGCAGAAGGCACCTTCAATTCTAGCCTCACCAGCCGACTCTCTGATCGTGGGGATGAACAACAAGACGTGGCGAGTGAAAGCCTTGTTGATGTTGGAGGCGAGGATCTTACGAGTGAGAATGGAGGGTTTGTAACGCCTCCGTCACGGGTGGAAGGATCGCAGGCACCATCTCTGCCGCCCGTGATTCCGGATGCCTTGGACCTGACGCCAAAGCGAGGCAATCCCGTGGAAGAAGAGCCACCGCTATTGGAATTGGCCGTGCTACCTGTGAGGAGACCGCCTTCTCGAGCGGGAGCGAGTGTGAAGAGTCAACGTGGCCAAGGCCGAAGAAATCTCGCTGCCCTTCTGGCGGGAATTGAGACTGAGGAGTTGGGGGCGCGGAAGTCCAGTAGGAGTGAGCGTCCGCCGTATTGAGTGGCTTGTATATATCAGAGACAATTCAGTGTGGCCCCATGCTCCTATGCCCTTGTAGCTCAAGAATGGTGAAGTTGAAATAAACGTCATGGGTCTTGGCTGGTCTGGCGATGGAGGAGTCGGCGTCGGCCAAACCTCGGCGGCGGCTTGACGTTTTGGGAATGTCCCGGACACGGGTCCGGTGACGCGCTGACCCCCGTACATCACGCACGCGCAGTCTAGAACCGCCGTCTGGAGAGGAACGACACATCCTGCGCCAGCCGCTGCGACAACAGCGTAAGCCCGACCGACCTTTGTCGGCGGTGAAGCGCTGTAACAATGGCAGAAGGAGGCGATTCCCCTGCCCCTCCACCATCGGCCTTCCCTCTCGACAGCACCTTCTTTGCTGCTGGGTCGACGGCCTGGACAGATGTGCTGCCTAAAACCGACCACGTCGACATCTTCCGGAATGCCGACTTTGGGAGCACGACACTGGGGCCCATTGCGCAATGGGGCCCGGCACTACGCTTCTACGTCACGATGCTCTTCGCCAACAGCCGTGCGACGGCGCTTTATTGGGGCCCGGACCGCATCGCCATTTACAACGAGTCTGAGGCGGAGTTGTGTGGCGAGGCGCATCCGCGCTTGATGGGCCAAGCGTTCCAGGAGGGCTTGCCAACTGTTGCGGATGCCGTAGGGGCTCTGTTCGACCAGGCGGCGGCCACCGGACAGACCGTGGATGTGAATGATATCCAGCTGTTCCCCGTGCGCCGTGGCGCTCTGGAGGAGTCCTACTTTATTGGCCAATTCATTCCCCTACGCGGCGATAGCGGGGAAATCGAGGGCTTCTTCAACACCGTCTACGAATCCACCTTCCAGGTCTTGTATGATCGCCGAAGACGGGTGATGGATGGCATTGCCGCAATCCCTCCGCAAACCGTCAACGAAACCTTCGTCCGTGTCATGGAAGTCCTTCGAAGCAATCCCAGGGACATCTCGATGGCCATGATCTACTCCCACGACGAAAACAATCCGGGAAAGGCGAATCTAAGTCTCAGTGGATCCATTGGTGTGCCGGAGAATGCACGATGCGCCCCACCTACTGGACGACTTGAGAAGGACGAGGATGGCTTGATCGGGTATTTCCGCCAGGCGAAAGAAAGCGGTGCGCCGGTGGTACTCAGCGACTCCGATGGCAGTCTCCAAGCGGTTGGGGATCTCTTCAGCGACGTCTCCTGGCAGGGTTTCGGGGAACCCTCGCGAGATGTCGTGATTGTTCCACTGAGGAGTGGCAAGAAGTTGCTTGGGTTTTACGTCCAGGGCACGAATCCGCGACGGCCCTACGATGAAACGACGGAGACCAGCATCGTTGACCTGACAACGCAGATTGTCGCCAAATGGTTGGCCTCCATGTCGGCCGAAGAGGCTGCAAAGCGGGAGGAGGAATTGCAGCGTAGACTAACGGAGAAAGAGAGGAGACTGAGGCAGATGGCAGAGGGAGCTCCAATGGGAATGGTGTCGATCAATGAGCAGGGCACGGTTGAGTGGGCAAATGACCAGTGGTAGGGGAAGCTTTGATGTAAGACGAAAGCATTCGCTAACGATTCCAAGGTACGAAATCATGGGCCTGAGCCGGACGACGACCGAACTGGTCGCATCGCTCGCGCCGGACCATCGAGAGTTCGGCAGACGAAACCTCGAAGCACTGCTTGCTGGGAAGCCGCGTGTTGTCTGCGAGCATAAACTGACTCGCATGTGGTCGCCACCTGGAAATGCCGACAACAGAGAGGCAGACGTTCCAGCCTGGATCCTTGCTGTGTGTTTTCCGGTTTATGAGGACGGGAAGAGGCTTATAACAACGTATGTGATGGACATATCGGCGCAAAAGCATGCGGAAAGTATTCAATCGCTCCATGCCGCCGAAGCGGAGCGCGCGAAACAGGACCAGGAAAAATTCATCGACATCACATCACACGAGATGCGAAATCCACTCACCGCAATGATGCAGCTTGCAGACAGCATCTCCCACAGCATGGACACTACTGAGGATGCCGACGCAGACGTTTACAAGGCGATTCTGGAGCAGAACGTTGAAGCGGCCAACACCATCCTTACATGCACGGCGCACCAACGCCGCATCATTGACGACGTCTTGATCTTATCGCGCCTCGAATCGAACATGCTGTCCATCACTCCATCCCCTCAGCAGCTCTCCATCCTCCTGGCAAATACAGTCAAGATGTTTGACGGCGAGGTGGCCATGTCTGACGTCAAAGTCGAGCTCATCAAAGACGCATCCTGCGACCAGCTCCAAGCCGATTACATCTTATGTGACGCTTCACGGCTGATGCAGATTTTGATCAACTTGGTGGGAAATGCAATCAAGTTTACGGCGAAGCGGAAGGAAAGAAAGATCAAGATGATGTATGGAGCGACACGCCAGCAGCCAAGTCGCATGAGCACGGAATTCGGGCCTTTGGAGTGGCTGCGGCGTCGTCCGGAATCAGGGGCTCCTCCTTTGTCGCCCGCGATCAAGGATGGCGGACCTCCGCTTTATGCATATTTCTGTGTCTCCGATACGGGCACCGGCATTGCGCCTGCGGAGATGGACAGGTTGTTCAAACGCTTCTCGCAAGCCAGCTCCAAAACGCATGTCAACTACGGCGGCACTGGGCTTGGGCTGTACATCTGCCGCGAGCTTGTTGAAAAGATGGGTGGAGCGGTCGGGGTGGCATCAAGACACGACGAAGGTTCGGTATTTGCGTTCTACATTGAAACACGGCACGTGGACGCACCAGGACCTCACACCAACGGGGTTTCACCACTCGCCGGACAAGCTGTTGGGATGCCGCGATCTCTGTCAACCACGAACGAGACACACAAAGTCCCCATCAGGGCTCGAGCACATTCTACGCTGCAGACGAACGGAGACGGCATTCGAGGGCATGTCTTGCTGGTTGAAGACAACCTAGTGAACCAGAAAATCTTCGCAAAGCACCTGAAACGAGTGGGATTCGACGTCAGTGTGGCCAATCACGGCCAAGAGGCGCTCGATGTCCTGGAGAAGAGCGGGAGATGGCGTCTGACGCAGACCGACGATGAAAGGAACTCAATTGACGTGATTTGCCTCGATGTGGAAATGCCCATTATGGGCGGCCTCGAATGTTCTCGAAGGATCAGAGAGTTGGAAGACGCACACCACCCCTGCAGGCCCCTCCCAATCATCGCCATTACGGCTAATGTACGGCCGGCGCAGGTTGCCTCGGCGCTCGATGCGGGGATGAATGATGTCCTGCTCAAACCCTTTACTGCGGCCGATCTTGTTCAGAAGATTTGCACGATGATGGGTCACAGCGCGGAGCGCTGAAGATGGGCATGATAATCTTGTACAGAGATTGTTCAGAGGACTTGAGAGCATGGAGACACCTTCTCCCGATGAGAGAACAGGCAGGGGTTTCAAATACGACTTGACTACCTGGTGCTACCTGCTACGGCCATTGCAACCTTGGCAGTACCCTAGAACCCCTGACCTGGGCCGCAGGCCTAGAAAACGACAATGCGTTAGTCTCAGTTTCGGCACAAGGGGTCGTTGGGAAGCTCGTACATCTTCGCAATCCTGCATCTCGGCACGCTCAGCAAGCGCCGGCTCGGGAATCGCCACGGCAGAGACGAGTGCCAAGAGGCTGAGGATGGCGGTGAGGCGAAGGAATTGCATTGTTGTTTGCGTCGACGAGTCGAGGGATGTTGGATTGGATGGAAGATGGTGTGGAAAGGAGGTTTGGACTGGAGTGAAGCGAGCAGATGAAGGACGACGATGGGAGCGAAATGCTCAATTTATGGACTTTCGGAGACGAAGAGCATGGTAGCATTCGCTCCTGCTCATGCAAGTTCCGACCTTCCTTCTTCGCTCGCTCCCCGACAAGTGGCGAAGGACTTTTCGTATTCACGAATGCTTCAGGATTCCGTCGAACATCAGCGGGGGAAAGGTCTTCCCCACGTTGTATCGCGTTTCCACGCTAGCGACGTTGTCGAATGGGTTGGAGAACACGACCGAACGAAGGATGCAAAGGATGCAGCTTGTGATCCAAGGCGATTGGGTTCTGCGTATTCAGTCCTCTGATTGTGGCCACGCTCCGTTGCATCCGTTCAGTCAGTAGCGTCGGAAGAAGGCTACCACCTGTCGTAGCCAAACTGCTTCTTTTGCAGTGTACTCGGCCTCGGTTGTTATTGAGAGGTTGTTATTGAGAGGGCTACAGTCGTTTGCCACCATAGTGCTTCGGGGGTTGGTTCATATCGTTTTTCCGATACGTAGGGGACCATGTGCTGGAGATTGAGCTTTTCTAGCATTGACTCAAAGTAAGTCTTCTGAACGTTGGACGGATGGTCCTCGACATTCGGCTTCAGTGGACTGCGATCCCAAGGAGGAAGGTACGTTCTCCGAGGTCTTTCGTGGAGAAATGGATCCATGCAAGATGATTCAATGGCTTCAAGTGTTCAAGCCACCTACGCCGCTACTCCAAGTGCTGTGTACTACATTCAGCTTCCTCGACTGAGGGGTTGGCAACGGTGAATACGGCCTTCTGCAAGGGCGAACAACAGGTTGATGCATGACTATGGAGCTCTATCCATTGCAAAGCCTGCAGTAACCTCTAATCCCGACCCCCTCCGTGATGCTTTACCTCAACCTGGGCGGCTCGTGCCAATCCGATTGCTTATGGGCCGCAGGCCTGGCAACAAGGAATGCGTTAGCGACAGCTTCTGATAACGGACATGGTATAGGAAGAACATACATCTTCGCAGTCGTACAGCTCCGCACGCTCAGCAAGCGCTGGCTCGGGGGCGGGAATTGCCACGGCAGAGACAAGTGCCATAAGGCTGAGGATGGCAGTGAGACGGAGGAACTGCATTGTTGTTGTTTGCGTCGACTGATGGAGCGATGGAGTAAATTTGCTTGGAACGAAGTGAATTGACAAAGTGAAAGAGTAGAAGTTGTCGAGCGAGATGCTGCAATATATACACCTCTGGGGAAGAGGAGCATGGTAGTATTCCCAGTCGCCGACTCAGGCCCCGAGTATCCAGTTAGCCCACCGTAGATGATTGATAAGACTCGCTCCCGCGCCGTATCTGCCCTAATCACCTGCGTTCTTACTCAGATGGGGCAAGATCTTCGTCACGTTGTATCTCGTGGCCACGCTAGCCAGGCAATGAATGGGGCTATCCTGATGCATTGCCATGCCAGAAACTGGGTCTATCCGTGCCGTCTCCGAACGAATGAATAGAGCACGCCACCCGAACGAAGGAGTGCTGCATGAGTAGATAGACATCTTCGTGCAGTGTCTGCGATCAATTGCATAGGCACTTTCCGAGACCAGCCGTGCCTCTACGGCGCAGTATCTTCGAGCCTCCTACACAGTACGTTGCCCGCCCATGGGCCGTGCGGCACGTTCCGGTCGATGCCCTAGCCTCGCATGCACCATCGGCCAATGATGCGATGGTGAAAGTAGATATGCTTCGAGGCTGCAGCGCGGGGCCGTATCGAAATGTAACACTACAGTACGTACTACTGCTGCGACGCTTCGTGGCGACAGTGGAGCTTGCCCGGACCCCCGGATCGAGTAAATGGCCATGGGTGCCTTCTTACCTCGACGCTCGTGTGCAGCACTACTGCATTGAATGTGTCAGCTTCCACCCATCTTCCTCATTCTAAAGCCGCGAGTGTTTCTAGTTCAGCCGAAGACCCCTTCGAAATAACCCCCATCCGTGGCTCGAGTTTCATCGCCAACGTCCTGCTCGTGTGGTTGGAAGTCCCAGCAAAGAAGACTCGCTGCAAGCAATGAGCAGGCATATCCAGGCCTGGAAGGAACGATGGACCTACAATCCCCTCGGAGGAGTCGCATCCCCCGAAGATGGCGCGGATGATGGTCTTGATGCAAGCGAGAAGGCTCAGCTTGACTCTGAAGGACGTCCCTCGCTGCAAAGCTTGAATGCTCGCAACATTCTTGCGCAGAGGCTGTGGTGGATAGCCGGCTTTCTGTCGCTGCTCGCTTTTATCATCGCACTCGTCCGCTTTCTCACGCCTTCGACAAAGGTGTGGTCATCCTGCGGAGGTGATCCAGCCACCGCTCGCGCTCGGGGCTGTCAATTCGATGTCATCAACTTCGCATGGCAGACGCGCGAGTGTTTTGACGCAGCACTTGTCGCCGAATTCGCTGAGCTCGAGCCCTGGACGTTTTGGCTGACGCCCCACGGAAACGAGACGGTATCGCACGAGGTTGCGTATCGTGGGGAACGATCGCTTTGGACAACACATCGTCATCATCAGAAACACTGCATGTGGTCGTACCGAAAGATGCATCGAGCGTACGAAGGTAAGAAGTGTGGGAACCCCCTTGATGTGAGGCGAGGCACTTGCTGATCGTTGTACATCGCAGCTGGCTTCATCGAGAAACACCTGAGGGAATATAGTCACACGTTGCACTGCTCGGAGTATGTGCTTTGGGAGGGCGAGGAGGAGGAAGGGGGGAGATTCTTCACAGTCGGTGAGGACCGGCATTTGACCTTTCTCAACATCGTGTATCCTGTTTGTGAGAGGTTGAGGCAGGGAAGTACGGCATCGGCCTGGTGGAAAGGAGCGGCGCCTCGGTGATGGGCGATCGAAGAGGCATGATTGCCTGATTAACACAAGGCTCAACGGCGAAGCCGCCAGCCGCATCACCACCAGCCATGAAGATTGCTGAGATGAACCACCTGCTTGATGGCCGATTCAACGATCAGCATCATCGCTGGTTAGCATCTGGGATGAAACCATCGCGACTTCGTCTCGAACTCCGACGTAGATGGCCGAGATTGTCAATCCAATTGAGCCAGCTATCTTGATAGCAGCTCATGGACAAGCAAGTGTCGTCACGATATGGTGTCTGACAAACAGAAGCTTCTTACCAAGAGCGCTGCCGGCTTACATCGAGAAGCTTGCTTACAGCCATGGAATGACATAAGGACTCTGTAATCCTCTCGAGAATTGTGTGAACCTTGCTAGTATCACGTATGAGCTTGCGAGAAGTGTGATCTTTTTTGCCACTGGCCCACATACGCGGGAGATGCTGCACGTGAACGACACCCAGGCGGCGAGTTTCATTACCAAGAGCAGCAGACTGCTCACACGTAAGGTAGAGGCATGGCATAAAACTCCTTTCGGAAATTCCATTGACTGCTCGGCAATATAGAAATCTTCGAACCGCTGAAACTCCGAAGCCTCCACATTATAACCCCGCCGTTCCACCGCGTCGGCACTTCAACGCCTCAACGCCAATCTCCCGGGAATGAAGGCCTCTGCTAGCAGTGAGCCGCAGAGGGGAGTCGAAGCTGGCAACCGTGCACCCAAAGTCAACAAGGCATGTGTTCCATGCCGCCTACGGAAGGTCAAGTGCGACGCCGCCGTCGTTGGTCTTCCGTGCAGTAGCTGCAAGGCTCAGCAGCGCGTAGACGACTGCACGCCGCTGATACGTAAGGGTCGGAGCAGGAAAGGCGGGCATGTTCCAGCGACTCCCAACCAGGCACACACTTCAGAGAGCCCGGCTACACGTCGACAGTCAGACCGCCGATCAGAGAACCAACTACAGGCTCATCCAACGCCAAATAGCCTGGTGCACCAAAGTCCAGGTCAGAATGAGCCAGACCTGCTCTACCTACGTATCTTGAACGATGCCGTCGAAGAAACTCCTACATCCGGCCATTCCATGTCAAATGCCCCTCTTGGCGAACAAATATCGAAGGCGAAGCTATCCCAACTAGACGACATTGATAGAGAATATCTCGCCAAGAAGGGTGTCTTTGATCTGCCCCCTCCACAACACTTGTACGGAAGCCATCTGTCTTTCGTTGAACTTGGATTCTGTACTCACGAACTTCTAGAGACATTTTTGTCAAGACGTACTTCGACCACGTGCATCCGTTTTGTGCAGTAATCAGCCGCGTCGATTTTGTTCGCCGCTACAAATCCGGGGATTACTCTCTCCTTCTACTCTCCGTCATATTGGCAACATCCAGTATCCACGCGCCAGCAGATCTGCTATCGGCTTGTGGCTTCAACAGCCGTTCGGCCGCACAGGAGGTGTTCTTTTCTCGAGCTCGACTACTTTACGACTTTGCCGCCGAAGACGACCCGATTTTGACGCTGCAGGCCTGTATCGTTTTGACTCTTGTGATACTCGACCATCCGACGGATCAGGACTTTGGGTACTGGTTCCACAATGCGGTCAGTTTGGCTACTAAGCTCAATGTCCGAGACATGTAAGTGGACTACACCGCAACCATTGTCATGGTTGCCATGTACTGACATGTGCACTCCACGAGAAGTGTATTTGAAAAGGCAAAACCCCGAAGAGAGCTGAAAGTCTACAACAGGGTCTGGTGGGCTCTCGATGTAATAAAGCCCTTCCTCGACCGTCGTGCTGCGTGCTTTGCTGACCATAACCCGTAGTTCTTGGACATTTTTCACGTCTCTATCAATCCTAGACGCTCACGGCTACTCGGGAATGGTCTGAGCAGCGCTTTCAAATTGGATGACGACTGGGAAGATGAAGATGTCTCGGCAGACTCGTCCGGCTTGCTCTCCCCCGTCACGCCTCAGCACAAGGCCGCGCCGTTCGTCCTCACCGAGTTGGCGCGAACCTTCGAAGAATGCTTGGCCGTTGTAAAGAAGCGGCAACAGCAAGATCCCGGCCAGACGATGCATCCCCTCGACGCATGGCGCAACTCTTTGGCCTCTAAGATGCACATTGATGAACAGCCGCGAGTCAACGTGCACTATCTCAACATCCAAGCCATGAGCTACCGGTTCGAATGCATCTTGTGTCGCTTGATACGGCGTACTTGGCCGCTTCCGGGACATGCGAACTGGAGAGAGTGGGCCAAAACGCGGCTTCGGTCCGCCATTATGGAGCTGGACACGATTATGATGAGGGTGTTGGCGAGTGGCACCCTTTACAATTTCCCCATCCCTTTGTAGGTGTTTCCCACTCGCCGTCATGTACTAGAGCTGACCTACCAAAGCGTGACGATCATCCCGGCTTTGCTCGCGTTACACATCGAGTCCGCCCTCGACCCAACCGAAACGGATCTTGTTCGATCAATGTCTCGCATATCCCTTAGCCAGACTATGCTTCTAATAAAGGAAGGAAGAGAAATTCCAGTTCTCAAGCGCGCCCTGCCGGTATTTGAGGAGATTCTCGCCAGCAACAAACTATCCACGCACCTAGAAGCACAAGACAACAACTTGACCTATGCGTCCACATCGCCACACATACAGGTCAACAGCGGCTTGCCCCAGATGGAGCAGTGGCAGAACAATCCGTCGCTGGACGTTGATTTTCTCGGGTTTGACTTTTTCGATGATTGGCAGCAGTTTGCACCTCTGGACTTTTCTACCTGATTTCGATCAATGTCCGTGAAGGCTTTGCAGGGAACTGGAATGTTCGTCTAGACGCCGGTATTGTTCACCATCTATGCCCTCGAGGCACCAGATTCAACCTGACTTCCTACCCGGCGCACCATCACGCATTCTACGCTGCTTCCTTGTTCGGTCCAATCGACTCAGCACCACTCACTGCGGCACGGCGACGACGTATCATCTCCCAAATCTCGGCTGCCTCAGCCGCATACTTGCACTTGGAGCGTATCCTCGAGCCGTACTTGAAGAACAGAAACGGAAAAGGCAAGCACCCAACGACCAAGAACGCAGGGATGGAGCTCGCCCATTGATCTCCGAGATCGGTGTACATTTGGGTAGTGAACAGCGGGAATGCGGTGGCGAAAAAGGAGCGCATGACCGTGTTGGCTGCGAGCGCAGAGGCCGAGTAGATGGTATCTGCACGGGTGTGAGCACTTTCTCTTCTTCTGGAGGGTCAGATTGACGTACAAGAATCGACCAAGTAGCTGATCAGCGATATAAACACCATCACCAGGCCTGCACTGAAGATCGTGGCGCCAATCACAGGAGCAATCCAGGAGATCTCGGGAAAGGTCGTCCAGGCGAATAGAAACAGACCGATGGGAAGAATGACTGATCCTATCATGGCGTTGTGTAGCCTGGCCTCCGGTTCAACTGCTCGTCCAGCTGCGGCGGCCACCTTTGTCATGCGCAAGTAAATCTTGTTGTCCACGCCACTAGCGCCGACTGCAAGGCAAACACCTATGGCCACTCCGACAAAAGGAAGTCCGCCGATGCCTTGGCTCCAGTGTCGAGTTACCTCGAAGACAATTGGTATGGCGGCGAAGAGGAGATACAATGTCGCATAGATGATGGAGGTGTAAACGCCAGTTAGCAAGACGATGGGCTCGCGGAACAGGAAGATCCAGGGGCGTGTGAATGCAATGGAGAGGGCCGTGGAGAGTGTGATGGGAGGCTTGCCCACGTCGAGCTGTGACACATGGACGCTTCCTGTCGCGCGTGACAAAGCCTTTGCTCGAGAGCGCAGGATGAAGGGTGCGTATGTTTCGCTGGTGAGGAGCAATGCACCAATCCAAAAGACTCCCGAAAGGATGGCGTTCACCCCGAGGGTCCATCTCCAGCCTACTGTTTCGGCAACGAAGCCGCCGACGATCGGTCCTGAGGTTGCAATCAGCTGATGTAGCGGCGCACTGATAGCTGCGACATACCAAAGGCAGGCCCCAAGAACGGACACGCAGCAAAGACTGCCATCACCGGACCGCGCTCCTCCGTGGTAAACATGTCTGCAATCATTCCGCCAGGATTGGTCTGCGCGGACGCACCAAATGCACCGGCAAAAAAGCGCAGGACCAGTAAGGTTGTGATATTGGGGGAACATGGCGCGGCCACGGTGAACGCAATGTAGATCGTGTACGACACCACAAAGGTCAGCTTGCGTCCATATACCTCTGACATCGGAGCCCACAAGATGGGACCAAGAGCGAAGCCAAGGACGTAGAGAGAAAGGCCTAAGATGGCCACTTCTTCAGAAACATGAAAGCGTTGCATGATTTCTGGTATCCCGCTGGCGTAAACCGAGCTGCCAAATGTCACTGCAAAGAAGGAGAGCGCCTGGACAAGGGCAATCGTCCATTTTCGTCCTTTGGAGAAGCTCATGGCATCTTGTCGGTCGTTTTGGAGGAAGTCGACAATTACAGGCTCTTCGAGTGTGCCGTTGCCGGGGTACTTGTGGCTGCAGGCATCGTGGTCGAGTCGCGTGCGGAGGAGGAGACAGGATATGAGTCGAAAGTCGTTCGTTCGCTTGGGATTGGCAGTGTCGGGAGCAGTGGACTCGGGAAGGGCAGTCATGATGTTTGACGAAGGGCCGGATCAATGTTGACGAACGAATGAAAGGGAGTGGAACTGGTATCATCCCCTGCATCTGTTCGTGATTTATTCTCGCTGTTGTCATTCGCCGCGGAGATTTGAAGTCGGAGTTTCGTCCAGCCTTGCGAGATATTGCCGAGAGCCAAACCCCCGCGGCGTTATCTTCGGGATTTTCAAGCCACCATGTCGACTCCGGAATGGTGAAGACCGACGAGTGTAGAATCGGAGCCTCTAATGCTTTGCTTGTATCTCAGCGTGATCTCCAAGTCGTCCTTCTCTTCTGCGGCCCAGCCGTCCATGCAAGAGGCCGGTGGTGAGGCCCATCAACTCTTCGAAGAGTGTCAATGTCCGGGAATTCGGACAGGACGGAATGGTGGCGCGGCGGGGGTGACATTGCCGTCTGCCATGCTGACGTGGCACGGCAGGCAAATCGAAGGGAGAAATTGGAGCAATTGGGAGAATGAGCGCCAAGCTTGGTGAGTCTGGAATTGGGAAGTTGAAGAGACTACATGGCGACAATATGCAGGGAATCGAGCCGCCGCAGCGCGAAGCATCTTTGGCCATGCAAGCATTCACTCCTCCTCCGGCTTCGAAGGCCTCCTCGCCGACTGCGAAGGCTCCGCCGAACGCTCATGCCAAGGCTCTGGTGTTCACGTCGAAGCTCGCCTGAACGACAAGAAAGCTCACAACTCCTTGGGATAAGCACCGTGTGTCTGCATGTAGGCCTCGATTGCACCCTACGCCGACTCACTCGTTAGACGATTCAAGTCACACCGGCCAAGGTTACTCACATAGTCTGCGCAAGAATGAGAAATTCCCGACCCATCGATTGGGGAACGCGCGTTCTCGGCGGCAAGTGGCACTCTTCTCGCCGGACTCTCCAAGGTGGTATCTCCCGCGCACATGATGCCTTGTCGGATGTAGTCGAAACAGTGGACGATGTGAACTATATCGGCCACGTGTGCAGAATGAACGTCATCGGTAGGTTTGTCTTCTACTTGCGTGGTCCAGAAAAACTTCCGAATGTTGTTCAAACAGTGCAGCTGATGATACATGGAGACCCCATAGACAGTCCTGGTGCCATTCGCGCTCGGAATGTTGACCAGACCGTGGCTCTGCAGACGCGTGATCAGTGTTTGAGATTCACCGGCCGTGCATTTGTTGGACGAGGTGCGTACCGGAGTCAGAGCTTCCCACGCTGCATCACTGTTCTGAGCCATGTACATCGGCTCCTCATCAAACACGACCTCTTTTCGAGCAGCTGCATCATTCTTAGTCGCGATCTATGCATAGGGACCAGGAAGCATCACCACTTGCGTCAAATATTCTCTTCCCGTCGTCCCATCGTCTCCCGCGTATCCAGCTCGGCGCCAACAGTACGGCGGCCAAGACAAAAGACAGCAGACCCAAAACCAACATCCATCGTCTAGCACGTTTGAGAGAGCGCTGTAGCCGGGCCTTGCTGTCTAGTAGTTGCTCTTCCGTGTATTCGTCCTCCGCGCCCCAATGCTCGTTCTGAGACTCTAGCTTCGTCCACACCATAGTAGAGGGCATCCTCCCAATCTCAATTGCCGTCGTTTGGGTTCAAGGTAAGATGCAGTCGCCATCGGAGAGGGCGAGAGAGATAGTGAGAGAAGAATACTAGACGTGCGCTGGCGTCATGATGGACGCAGCGATCGCCGGCATCCAATGCATATACTCAGGTCGGCGCACCCACTACTATAATGAGAATGCATAGACTAATGTAATATGAGTTGGGGAAGGGTTGTGTCTGCCCTGCATAAGCAATGTGTGCGTGATCTGCAAGCTGATCAAGCGATCGCCACGCTCGTTCCGAAAGGATTCTGAAGCCCGCAGCCTTGCATAGTGGCGTACCAGGGCTACCTGGGAACACCGGCAACTCCCCGGATGGCTTCACATATAGCAAGCGACGTAGACGAGAAGGATTATCGATTCACAGTTGCGTCATGAAGGCAAACCCCTAGCTTTCACACACATCCAACCGTGCGTTGGCGTCTACATGGCATGAATGCGATCATATTGGAACCATGGAAACTTGATTAAAGAGCGTATGGATTGTTGACCATCCGTAAGTCAAATTCGCCCTCCAACCACTTGCCCTTCCCATGTACATAGCCTGGTAAGCGTTCACTCTTGCTTGTCCTCGGCGTCTTTGGCATAGAAGTACTCATCAGGAGTTTCGGAGTCGCGTTTGTCCTCGGCGTCTTTGGCATAGTAGTAGTAGTCAGGAGTTTCGGAATCACGTTTCTCCTCGGCGTCTTTGGCATAGTAGTAGTAGTCAGGAGCTTCCGAGTCGCGCTTGCTGTCCTTGGCGTAGAAGTACTCGTTAGGAGCTCCTGAATCGCGCTTGGTGATTCTGCTGCTGTCTTTGGCGTAGAAGTACTCGTCCGGAGCTTCCACGTCGCGCTTCGGTAGCGATTAGCCTGACTCTAGAGCAACAAATGCTTGCTACACACCACTTCCACCGGATGGGTAGAGACCTGGAGAGCCAGGTAGCTGAGTATGGCTAGGGAAGTTGAGAGCTTCATCGTGGGTGGATGTTTTCGGGTCGGGATCGATGTCAGGTAAAGGTACAGACTTGAAAACCCGCTTCTTTGGAGTTGTGGTTCACTTTATATCAGCAACTGCCAACAATGGCCATTCGATTGAGTTTCCGATGGGGAAATGCATTCCCTGATAGGAAACCTGCGATCAACGAGATGGGTCGTGCGCTGGCATGGCGATCTCAGTATTCCAATCGGACTTTCTAGGGTCAGACGCACATCTCATTCATATCAGACACCGCCCTGACTGCAAGGCCGTCACTCGGGCTATCTCCTGCGCCCCGGCTGCTCCTTCGTGCCCGCACATCTTTCCAAATGCATAGCTCGTGCCCACACCACCTTGCCGATCGCGGCTACGTGTACAGATGACTACTTGCATTGCATGGCGGGGCGGTCGAAATTACCAAGCAGCCAGAGAAAAAGAAGTAAGGTGATGTCAGTGGCGAGTGTTCCATCTCGGCCATGTGCACGAAAGACCATGTAGTGTCATGGTTGCAAGATGTCCATGTGTGCAAGTTCCGAGCATCAATCATTCTAGCACATCCGAGCGTCGATGGTTCAGCCGCGACTCTACGATTCTCGAAGATTTCTAGCGACATGACTTCCACCCTGTCACATTGGAAGAAGCATTTACACGGCAAGCATGGGGGCGTTGGAGAGAGTGATGAATCACTCCTGAAGACAAGCCAGCAAGAAGAGGAATTGCCTGCGCGGGCACGACGGCCAGAAAGACGCTGGACGTATATTCTGTCTCTGGCAGTGAACGTCTTCCTGTTTATTGTACTCTTGAGTTTGACAATATCCTCACCCATCGTCAAGACTGTCGACCTGTGCCAGCAGATATACAGTAAGGAGCGTAACTTGTCAATGTCGATTCAACACTTACGCCTCGCAGCACCAGTGGAATCTATCGATTATTCTCTGACCACCTGGGATCTTTCGGAGCCAAGTATCGAGGATGACTGGACGGGACCGGCAACGCCGGAGCGAAACAAGAGGTGGAAGGCATTGCACGACGTCGGTCGCATACGATTGTCGAAAGACCAAGCTGCAAGGCTGCACAATAAGACTGCAGCGGCACAATACGGCCCGGGGGAAGACTATCCCGTGCTTATGAACGTATTTCATGATCTCCACTGTCTGTGAGTCGCGATACGCCAAATCACCCTTGCAATCAGTAGCTAACAGGTAGGATCAAGGGACTCACTCCGCCTGATGACTGCGTATCTGCTGGATAGCGATCATGGCTGGAACGCAACGTACAATCCCTACACGCTTCCTTGGCCGAATGACTTTCACGACGGACCACACTCCCTTGATTACGCTTATCACTGCTTCAACGCGCTGCGACTATCAATACAATGCGCATCAGATGTGACGCCGATAGTTTTCCAGTATCGGCAGGATCTTGACATTGTTGTCAATTCCTTTGCCGTGACACACACGTGCAGGAACTTTGACGCGGTTCGTAAAGTCCAATCTGACTGATAGCGCGAAAGTGCGCGTCTATTCGTCGCTGACAGCGTCGTGAGCTTAATAGATTCGTTCATGGGCTCTTGAACACTCTTACCGTGAACCATTCGAGAGGGATGGTCCGCGAGATCATCAAGGCTTATGTAACCCCGATGGTTGTTAGTCCGATTTGCGCCCTCGAAGATGTATCGACGGATGAGGGAGACCAAGAGGCCTTGATGCAGTCAGCGAAAGGCCAGGCGTGCGAGGCTGAGCTTCAAAAGTCGGATTCCGATCGAGAGAGAGTCAAGTCCGATATGAACGCTGGGTTTGCAGGGCACGAGTTTATCAGTTGGGTTGCGGCAATACGATGCACTTGAGTTGGTGTGTCGTCAGGCTGTGAAGCCAAAATCTCTCGTGCTGAACCTGGCGTACAGGTGGAAGACCATGTCAAAAAGAGAGGCGAACGCAGGGTTTAGAGGTCCCGATAGCAGTCTAGTCGGCATGGATGGAAATCTGAATCAATCTTGCAACCACAGCGGCAAATTTGACCGAGAGTGTGATGCTATCTTGGACAAGTGTGGTCTCACATTCTTCACCGCGAATCCAGTTCGATAAAGCCATCACGGTCGTCGCGAGACAAAGCTCAGGATTCTCGAGGACAGGTTGTGAAAAATCTAGTGCTTACTCCAAATGCGGCTCCTGAGGGTTGCGTGACCAGCGTTAGGGTTGTCCCCCATATGCGTAATGATGCGCACCTTGGAAATGTACAAGCCTGCAAGATGATCTCCCATTCCCCTTCTCCGCGTCATATCTGATGGAAGCGTGAACCGTCTCGCTCAGCATGGCCTGGCCCTACCATTTTGTCGACTTGACGGAGGCGCAGAAGCAGCAGCGCCGACAAAATCTCGACTTCTACGCCATCGTTGCGCAGCTATCTGCTCTCGCTCCACTACTCGCTATCCAATGCTACTTCCTCTGTTCCAAGCTGGCGAATCGGAGTCGTGTGGACGAGGATGTCCCCAGTTCTCCGCACCTCAAGAACGGACGACATGGAGAACGTAGTGGGCTTTCCAATGCGCGGTTAATCTGGAGGAAACTTGCGTGGCGATGTGGTGAGCCCGTGGATGCTGCCGGTGGCTATCTGGGACGAAGAGGGGAGGTATCGGCTGCGGCAGTTTGGCTGGTCTATCTACTGGTGCTTTGCTTCCCTCGAACGGGCGATGGTAAGAATTCCCTCATTGTACTCGAATGCGCGAGCTAAGAATCTCCTGCAGACTACCTGCATTTGACCAAGCGTTTCGGCATCGTGGCGGCCTCCCAGCTACCCCTTCACTATCTCCTGGCCATCAAATCACCCTACTCGCCCATCACCCTTATGACGGGCTGCACTCACGAGCGGCTGAACATCATCCACCAGCTGCTCGGCCGCATCATCACGATCCTACTGCTTCTCCATGCTTCCTTTTACCTCAACTTCTACGTCCGATCCGGTCTACTAGCGGCCAAAGTCCAGGAAGCATATGTCGTCTGCGGCATCGTTGCAATCATCAGTTTCGTGGTCATCGGGACGACCACCCTGGCCCCCATCCGGAAGAGGAGCTACCGAGCATTTTACATCATTCACGTTACACTATCGGCGGTGCTGTTGCCGATATTATGGTTTCACGTCAGTCACATCCGAGTCTTCGTGTATGAAGCAGCGGCTGTATACGCCCTGAATGTCGGACTGCGCATGCTCGACTCGAAGCAGCAAAGCGGAAGTCTCCGAGTGATTCCCAACTCGAGCCTGGTCGAGCTATCCGTGGACAACACTCGCCTCTCGGGAAAGAAGTGGCTGCGCGAATGGCGCCCGGGGCAACATGGTTATATCGCCCTCGTTGATGGCAATGTCCCATACGCGCTGCGAAGAAATCCCTTTTCGGTGGTGTCAGTCCCGGCCATTGATGGCCACCTGCGATTTGTGGCTCGTATTTTGAGTGGGAACACGACACGACTTGCACACCAAGCCAAGCTGGGCCAGACAAATCACCGCGTACACATCGAGGGGCCGTACGGAACGGGAAATCACATCGATACCCTGCTCCAATACGATCGCATACTACTGGTTGCCGGCGGAGTCGGAGCGACCTTTATCTTGCCACTGTACCAGCAGCTACTCTCCGACCTCAGCCCAAGCAAAGGGAGCTACCGCAGACAAAAGGCGACTTTTGTGTGGATCGCACGGTCCATGGCAGATGTGACTTGGGCGCTGCCCGAATCCACTACAGCAAGGGAAGGCTTCGCGGAGAGGCTGAAGATCTACTTGACGGGGAACGTCACCAACGACGCGGAGATAGGGGACTCGAGATATGCGATTAGGGAGAGGGTGGAAGAAGGAAGGGCAGTGTACGCCGAGAATCAAGAGGGCATTGAATTAGAAGAGCGCAAGGGCCTTCTGGGAGAAGAAAAAGTCGAGTCGGGCGGAGGAGATGTACAGATCTACGCGGGGCGGCCGGATCTTAGGAGGCTCGTTGACCGCACATTCTCGCACCGCGACTCGGAGCGCGTGGCAGTGGTGGTATGTGGACCCGGTGGCCTCAATCGCGGTCTACGAAGGGAAGTTGGAAGATGGGCGGCGAAGGGTAGAGCGGTGTGGTTTTGGGAGGAGCATTTTGCGCTTTGAGCCGGCTTACAGTAGGTACTCGCCCGGGAGAATGCAGTGCAGGGTAAAAGTACAGCCGGCGTTGCATCGCATCGATGATTCTCGCCCACAGGAGTTGTTCTAGGCATGCCTGGGTTGGAAGCCAGCTATGGACTCGGCGCATTCGGCCGAAAGCGGGGCTGGTCGCAGTGGTGGCAGAGCTGGTGTGGGCCCAGAAGCAGGCAGGGACTAGCAACGCGAGCTGGTGGGATGAGGGGCTTGAAGATGGCACGGAAGAGGGGTCTCGCGCTCTCACAAACCGCCCGCGTCTGGCCTGGACGACTCCCGAGGTGATGCATATGGTGGCAGATAGCTTTCGCGCGGGGCAAGTCGGAGGGGCGGATGAAATGAAGGGCGTGGGAGGGGATACGCCGCCGCGACACGGCCGTCCATCTACACGTCAGAGCACTCAACACGTGTTGGCCCGACCCACCGCGCGGTCGTTGACGTAGAGTGGGAGAGTGGACGAGGGCAAGCGAGTGTTGGCTATCAGCCACTAGGACTGCCTCGTGGGTGCAGATAGCGGCAGGAGCAGGGCGGAAGCTGGTGGAATGGCGTGGCCAATCACAGCTCGCGCCGCCAACCCGTCGTGGCTGCGCACTCCGAATGACAACACCCTCACCCGCACCTCCTCCTCCTCCTCCTCCCTCTGCCTTCTCCTCCCCACCATCACACAACAACACCATCTGCACCAACCGCTCGAACCCATACTTCCCCCCCAACTTGTTCAACGTGAAATCCGTTGTTCAAGTCATCCACCCAGGCCCGTCAAGCACCGCCGTCGCGATCCCGCCAACCCCGTCAGCCCGTCCCCGGCGTCGCAACGACCTCCGAGTCAGCACGACGCGCCGTTATTCAAGAGCAGCTTTCTTGCCCCGTCAAGTGAGTCGCATCCCCATCTCCATCCCTTTGCGCGATCCGTAAACCCCGACCGCCCCCTCATCGCCCCTACACCCTCCTCCCGACCGGCTCTGACTCATCACGTACGCGTGTCGCAGGAAAGCTCCCTTCTATAACACCACCCCCCATCATGGCCCTGACTTCCTCCATCGCGATGGCTCTTGCCTCGCCCAACCTCTCCCTCGACTTTCCCCGCGGACGCGACAACGTCGAAGCCGCTGCTGCCTCCTCGGGCGACAAGCAGTTGGCTGGCGCCCTGCCCACTCCGCCCAACTCCATCTCCCCCAACCTGCCTGCCCACGTCGTCTACCCCACCTTGCACTCCCCTCCCCCCATCAACATCGAGTACGAAATGGACATGATCGATGAGAGGGAAGAAGAGGAAGGGGAGGACCGCGACGTCGCGCCCGAAGACACGGAGTTGCCACCCGAGCCAGCAGGCACACCACTCAGCCGTGGCGCGCTATCGGGGCTGGATGCCTCGGCGGCCATCACGCCTGCCATGCTGGCAAAACACCATCTCCCCGCCATCATGCTGGGCAACGGTCCGAGGCCGATCCGCTACGTGATGGGTGAGCTGACGCACTCCGTCCCCGGCTTCTCGCGCATCCCGCCAGCCAAGGCTCGACGACTGGTCGTTGCTGCGCTGGAAAGTCGACATGGCGGCGGACCGGATGGCAGCGTCACGTTCAGCAAAACCGGCTGGGGTCGATGGGATGCGCACATCAAGGGCTCGTCCAAAGACTCCGGCATCGGCTCCTTCCAGGATGGCCACATGTCGCCACCGCGCAGCGAGCGTAGCAGCTATGCCGTGTCGAATGGCGACTCTGCCATGCACATGCCTGGTCATCGACTGCACTCCGCCTACTGCGACCATGTCTCCGGTGACAGCTGGACGGCGTCAAGCCTGCGCGAGGAGGACGAGCTGGAGCTGGACATGGACGAAGACGATGACGTGCCGGAGAACGAGGCAGACAAGATGTCTCTCGACGGACAGTCTGCTCCTGCCGACGACAACGCCTCTTCCAGCATGAATGACGACACCGATGACGAGGACTGGGCTGCGGTCGGCCCGGCGGCACTACGGAAGGCTTCATTGCCCACTCCTGGTGCCCCGCGGCTCGACTATAACGCCATCAGTATTCCGGGTCATGGACCGTCGAGAAGCTGGAGTCGACGACCATCCGCCATGGCCAACTGGCGCTTCCCTCAATCTACTTCCTTTCCCCAGCAGAGCGGCTTCGCCGACACTGCAGCCTTGAGCATGGATCCGTCCCTAGCCTCGCCCGAGGAGAGGGCTGCAGTGGCTGCTCTGTTGAGTTTGGGATCCATGTGAGCTCCGCTCACCGGCGTTTTGATTTACCTGGAGACACGGCGGGATATACCCCGGCGCTCTCCTTCACACACTCTCTCTTGCTTGGAAATTGAACGGACACTGGGCACCAGTCTTCGAAAGTCAAGTGCTGACTGAAGATCCTGGATTGACATGGGTGTGGGCGTTCAGACTCTCTCCCCTCTCTTGGCATGTTTACATCTGACATGACAAACTCTCTTGCTTGCTACGCCTGCTGGATACGATACCATACTTGTTTTTCGCGATGACGACACTGGGCACCAGCCTCTCTCCACCTCTTCGATGACTGCTGGAGGAGGACCTGGACTGACATGGGTGTCGCCTCTTTTCTGCTCGACCACCTACTCTACCTAATCAGGATATCCACTTGGATTCAATATACCCCGAGCGCGAGGTGCGACGACCACTGCACCACCACGACTGGCTGACGACAAACACCAGCCGCTTTGTCTTTGCGCTGCAGCGCGAACTTTCTTCGCGTGCTTGTTGACCTTTTCACTTTTACTCCTTCTACCACTACGACGACCGAAAGCCGAACGGGGATGGAAATGGAACGATGACAATCTGGAGCTCGCGCATGAGTGATGTGCCGCTGGAGCTTGATGGAGTTGCATTCTTTCTGTTCTGCTTTTGCTGTCTTTCGCTCGCTTGTCGTTGGCGGGATGGCATCATTACCATCGCAGGGGTCCCATTTATTTGGTTTACTTCTACGGTGGGATGGTTTGTCAGGCTGCTTGCGCTTCGCGGATGAGAATGGCCTTTCGATTGCGTGTATGTAAATACTTTTGAGCGCTACTCGACTTTTAATGCACTCTCCTCTGGAGATTCCACACTTCAAGAATTTCTGCTTCACTTCTCTTCTCGTATGGGCGACACCTCGGTTGCAAGTATCACGTACATCTGTCAAACAACGACCCGGACATGAAAGCGTCGGGACCGGCCCACGTACGGCAGGCTGCAGGGAACGGGACGTGTAGCAGAGCAAACAGCATCCAAGTTGACGGACGGGGTCATCCTTGGCCCGGCCGCTAGTGAATGCCCGTTACACGTAGCACACCCGCATTCTCGCTTTGTTTCAATCGCCACTCCGCAGCCGGGAATGGGTACAGTAGTATGCGGGGGAAGAAGTGGGTTTGGTGACAGGTTCGTCCCACGCTATCGGAGGCTACCCGGTTGACAAAGAGGCGGAGGGCGGAGGACGGGGGTCGTCTACCAATTTTATTGATTTGAGTGGATGGGATGAGGCTCTGTTGCGGACGACAAGGGTGCGTGATGACAGATCGCAATTCACCCTTCCGCGAGGTTGCCAGCAATCTGGTTAAGGTTGGTGGCTTCGATGTGCCGAAGGGTTCCCCGGCCGTTTAACCCATGCTCTCCATGCAGGTCGGCGGGATTTCTGCGATGCGCCGAGATGCCTCGTTTGCGTACATGTGTGTCTTTTGGTTCTGGGCTTTCCCATTCTCACGGACAGGTGAGATTTGAGCATCGCTAATCGCTCCTTTGGGCAGCCTGTTCTTTCCTGCTTTCGCGCGTCGAAGCAGGTGGACGACAATAATCTGCAGACCTCTTGATCACTTCTCCCGAATTTGTGCAAAAGCGGCCGAGATTCGATGGCGCGTGGAAGGCGTGTGGTTGCATTCGGGACGGCGAGCTAACGAGGGAGAGTTTTGCTAGGCGCGGCCGGGGAAACGGTGCGCAAAGTTATTAATACCAAGCCCACGGAGCCATGTCCTACCCAACGGGGAAGAAGAGAGTGTGTGTGAGATGAGGAGATGGGATGGGATGGGATGGGATGGGGAACGAGAGGCAGGCCCGGTTCCAGGCCGCGTCGGCTAGATGCATGCGTGGTTTGATGGATGGATGCACGCTGTTTGTCCGAGTCGTGCATGCGACATGATGTGCGATGGAAATTCCCCTTCGGCTGCGGAACGTCGGGCCTGGCCAATGGCCGGCGCATCACCTCATCTCGCGCGCGCGATAGGATGGTCGTCACAGCCATCAAGCCTCCCCTGGCCGGTCATCACACAGCAGACGCCTCTCGCCACGCCCTCCATTGAGAGTGACGGACATGGACCCATTTGGACATCATCGCTGGTGGACCACGAAAAGGAACACGTCCCGAAAACCCCAGGCCCGCCCTGCGCGTTGCACCCCGGTCGCCGCCATCCTCGCCAGGGTCAACCGTTCCTGCATTAGCCCGTCCCAATTAGCCCGGATCCGACGTCGCGGATGCACAATCCGCCCGCCAGCCAGGCGATCTGCAAATTGACCTCTCGCGTGTCGCGCGCGCCGCCCCGTTCGCAGGCCTGCGTCTCGTTGTTGCCTCGCCGGGAAAGGGGGATTCGTCCGATCGGTCGCCTGCAACGCATCCCCGTTTGGCAGTTTCACACCTGCCCGGCCTCCCCCGTTCTACGTCAGTGCGGAAGATGCGCCCCCCGGACGCATTCCAAAAAAAGTTGCCTACAAGACTCATGTGTCCAGGGGGTTGTGCGTTGATCGATTGCGAGCTTGATATTTCTCCGTTGCTGCCATCGCTCGCTTCTCTCTCTTTCTTGTTGTCACTTGTCTCGCTTCTGTCTCTTTTTCCTTTTCTGCTTTCGCTTCTTTGTTCCGAGACCTCGTTCTCTCGTCGCTCCCTACTCTCTCTCTCCTCTCTCCAGCAACGGGCGCAGCTTTTAATGAGCGCTCCACGACAACGACAGCCCTCATCATTCCCACCCGCGCCCATCATTGCCTCCGCTCCAACATTCCACAAGCCGCCCTGACAAGTCCCGCTTCTCGCCCCGTTCCCGCCGTCGCGGCGCGCCCCCCAAATCTCGCAGATCGTCCCGCGCAGGCGGTTCGATAACAAGTCACATCGCAAAGTCGCTGCAAGGGCAGCGCCGAGTGAGTCTACCCCTTCCTTCGCCCTACCCTTTCCCTGCGCCCCTCCGTCTTTGCTGTGCTTCGTCCACTGACCTTCTGCGCCGCTCTCAGACACACTCCGTCCATGATTGTCCGAGAAGACAACGTCGCCATAAACATGGGACGAGGCGCATATGGTAAGTTGCAGCCGAGCGTGCACTACGCGCATACACTGATCATCAACGTGGTAGACACCACGGGCCGCCCCAAACCTGCACCTCCTGCGCAACCTCCTCGCAAGAAGCGATAGCACGAGTCGATCTACGGCGCCCTCTATCGACGACACTCCACATCGATCAGCATCCAACCTCATGTAACAATATCCTCCTTCGACGCCGCATTCGACATTCGATGTATTACTACCAACCGAGCCCCATTTCCATCAAAGCTTCCTATCAGCATAGTGCGAGCACATCGGCGTTGGAGGAAAGGACAACGGACGTCCATGGGTTCAGCAACATCTAGAAACATGGTCAATCTCCTCGCGAGACTGGCCTGGCTGCAGAGCAATCTGCACTTGTACAACTACAATATTGCACTTCCGCACGGCGTTTTGGGATTACAGGGTGATGGCGGCCACCGAGGAGGCTCGGGGCATTGTTTGATTACCGGCGTGGCGCAGAGTGGGCTTTTGACCGGGGGCGTTACGCAACAGTTCTTTCAGGCGGCCTGGTATTGGGACTATCAACTTGGCGTGTACTTGTTTTCTGCAGCCACCGGAGACGCAAGATGCATGGGGTTTGCACGGTTTGCGTTGTTTGGGTTTGTGTTCCTTATAATCTTAGATACCCCTGTTGCAGTCTTCTTCTTCTTCTTTGAGAGTGTGGATGGAATACAAAAACCCGTTCATTGTGCTTCGAATCGTGCACTGGTTGGTGTCTGCTATGACTATCTTGGGCCGATATATGCTCGTTTCACGGAACAATTTGGAGGAGACGAGTACTGCTTCGCTTTCTAATTCGGTCTACCTCGTGCGTCCGATGATCTCAACTTGCATGCTGTCATTCTGCGTTGAGGCTGACTATCGTGCAACTAGCGACGCATTGGGATTCCGAGGGGGCCACCTTCTTCGGAAGGGTCTCTGGCACTGCCATGATCGGAAAACAAACTGCATCATTCGAAGAGAATGCTGACGACGCCGCCGTCTACGACTTCGTAGATGGGCCTGCTCGATTCCCTTCTCCCAGTCTGCAAAATGAGATTCAGAAATAGACTCCGATCCGAGCCCTTCAAAGCCTCTTGAAGTCGAATGGCAGGCTTCTTCAACTGAGATACCGCCTTGGGCGTCCCAATCTCGTAGCGGTGGCTCGACTGCTGCGGTGAGTCGACAGCCGCCGCATTGGCCGTTGACAACCGGTCGAGATCCTCCTTCTTCACTTCCGACAGAATACCAGCCATGCCGAGCGCGCCACACGGATGCGTAGTATTCCGCTCCGTAATTGGCACCCTCCACTGCCGATCCGTGACATCCTCGCAGAAGAAAGGCACCTTGCCTCTATCCGGCCCCGGGGGAAACGTGACATTCCATCGAATCTCCTTCCCATCCGTCATCCGGCCTCCAGACTTAGGTTCGGCGTACGCAATGCCCGTCCCGGACTTTTCGAGTCGCTTGATCAGCGCATCGTAGTCGATGGGTTGGGCGGCTGTGAGGGCGTAGTCGACTACGCCATAGGGTCTGTCCCACCAATGGCCGCGCCGGTTTTCCGGGTCGTCGTTGATGAAGGCGATGATCTCTAGGTAGGTGCCGTCGCGGAAGAGGACGAGGCGGTTCTCCGTTTTGTTGTCGCCGTGTCTGCCGCCTGGACTGAGGGTGAAGTTGTCCGTGATCCAGGAGGGCGGGTTGGCGAGGTAGTCGTAGGGGACGAGTAGGACGACGTGGTCGAGTTGGAAAGCCATCTCGTCTTCGCCACTGTCAAAGGGATGAACAGGCGTCTTAGTCGGAATGGAGGCCAAGTATGCTTCGGTGAGGCATGCGCCAGAAGGTCTCCAGAGTATTGTCCGGCGAGCTGCCGATCTCGGCGCCTCGAGAAATGACGAGCTCGCAAACTTTCCCGACATCACACCCAACCTCGACTTCAGCTTGCTGCTTAACGTTATATTCGACCTGCGATGAAGCCATTGACCCGTCTACTTCCACCAGCAGAACGTTTCCCTCAAGTTGCATTCCGACTCCGACCCAATTTTAGTCGCGCCAATCTCCTCCCATCCTTGCGCCCCCAAGAAGCAAGGAGAGCATTCTCTGCCTCGATCATGGTTCAAGATCCCTTCAAACCGGCCAAGAGAGTGTCGGGGCAGAGACAAGATGTTTGGTGTGAAGAGTCGAGATTCCTACACAGCTGTGGTGGACTGACGGAAGATGCAGGTCCATTGTCAACGAAGCGGCCGAGGCATCCAATGTGAAGCCGATGGTGAACATGGGACAAGGGTTCTTTGGTTGGTCCAGGGCGAGGAGCATAGCGGTCAGTGGCAGGTGTTGATTCGCTGAAACAGGATACAACCCTCCCGACTTCGTCATCAACGCTGCGAAAGAGGCGCTGGGAAGAGTCGAATGCAATCAATACTCCCCCACCAAGGTACACCATCCTAAACCCCGTCTCCTACTCGTCCGCCTAGCTAAACGCACCCAGTAGGGCCGTCCTCGATTAAAGAAGGCCATTGCCGATGCATACTCTCCCTTCTTCGATCACCAGCTCAACCCCGACACCGAGGTCACCATCACCACCGGCGCCAATGAAGGGATGCTCTCCGCTTTTATGGGCTTCCTGGAGCAGGGCGATGAAGTCATCGTCTTCGAGCCCTTCTTCGACCAGTATATCTCCAATATCGAAATGCCCGGTGGCAAAGTGGTCTACGTTCCGCTTCGCCCGCCAAAGGACGGCGATAAGAAGACGACCAGTGCCGGCGAATGGTCACTAGATCTTAAAGAGCTCGAAGCTGCCATCAACGAACGTACGCGCATGCTCGTCCTCAACAGCCCACACAACCCCATCGGCAAGGTCTTCACCAAAGACGAACTACAAGCCATCGGCGACTTGTGCGTCAAGCACAACATCATCATCCTCTCCGACGAAGTCTACGACCGCCTCTACTACGTGCCCTTCACGCGCATCGGCAACCTCTCGCCTGAAATCGCTAGGCTCACGCTCACGGTCGGCAGCGCAGGCAAGAACTTCTACGCCACGGGCTGGCGCGTAGGCTTCCTCATCGGGCCGGAGCATCTTATCAAGTACGTGTCCGCCGCACACACGCGCATCTGCTTCAGCAGCGTGTCACCTTTGCAAGAAGCCACGGCCGTGGCCTTTGAGCAAGCCGACGCACATAACTTCTGGGAGGACAGCAAGAGAGAGATGCAAGCGAAGGTGAAGCTGTTCTGCGAGGTGTTGGACGAGCTAGACCTGCCCTATTCCATCCCGGAAGGAGGATACTTTGTCATGGTGAACTTGGCGAAGATCAAACTGCCAGAAGGCTACGATTTCCCTCCTCATGTCGCGAGTCGACCGAGGGATTTCCAGCTGAGCTGGTTCTTGATCAAGGAGGTGGGACTCGCTGCTATCCCCCCGACCGAGTTCTTTACAGATGAGCACGCTTATATGGTGAGTTTCGACGTACTCTGGAATGGTTGTGCAACGGTGCTAACGCCTCGGCAGGCTGAGGACTGGCTACGGTTCGCGGTGTGCAAGAACGATGATGTGCTCGAGTTGGCGAAGGAGAGGATGAGGGGACTGCGCAAGTATATTCAGTAGAGAACTTGTAGCTGCTCACTATAAAGAATAGACCGCCTCGCCGACGCGACGCTCGATCTGTCATGTCTCTCCGAAGGTAAGTCATTGGAGATGCGCTGTCCGCTGCCGACTCGTTGCGACTGCCTCGGCGGCATCGAAAGTCGATTACTTCCTCTGTGCCCATCCTGACAGCTTGGTGAATATCGCTGGCGGCAGATTCGGGAGGCAGAGGGTTGCGAAATTGGGAGAGGGTGGTCACGTGGACTTTCCAGTGCCTTCCTAACCAGGCAGCGTTTGTCCTTTGACTTTAGGGGTTGTGCATCGGCGTCACATTTCGGCAACACAAAACAACACCCTCCACCTTCTGCCTGCAAGCTTCCATCAACTCCTCCTCCCACTCGTTAGCTTGATCCATCACCCCTCTCATCACATTCCTCGCGTTCAACTCTCGTCCATCGAGCTGGTCAACGAAAAGACACTTCCAGCACGCTCTGCGACCCCGACGTAAGCTCTGCGCTTGCGGTCATCGTCGTGACACAACCTCATCTCCCCCAGCGACGCGCGTTCATCAACTCCTGAACTCTCAGCGACGCGCCACGGCTCTTTTCTCTGCCATCACCGTCTTCGAACCCCCAGCGACGCGCCACGAGTGTTCCACGCTCATCACCACCGTCTCTGCACTCGCAACAACGCACCACGAGTGTCTCGCGCTCATCACCACCTTTTTCGTGCTCTCAGCAACGCGACACGACCCTTTCGCTTCCATCACCTCCGTCGCCGCATTCTCATTGACGCACCACACCGGTTACGCACTCATCACCACCTTTTCCGTGCTCTTAGCGACGCGCCACGACTGTTTCGCTCCTCAACACCATCTCCATCTTCTTTCCAAGCTGTTCACTGCCATCAACGCGACAGACACGATGCCGACCTTGCTGACCCTCCCCGAGGAGGTGAAAGCCATGATCGCCCAACGTGTCCAGAGGCTTGACGACCTCAAGAGTCTGTCTTTGACCTGCTGGGGCCTCTACGACGCGGCGATGCTCGACATGTACCGCAAGGTCACCTTCCGCGAGGAAGCTGGCCTCCCGGCTCTGATCCTGGCGCTCAGCTCGCGTAATAAAGCGGTCCAATACATCCGTCACTTCGAACTGGTTCCGGCGGGGAAGAAAGGGCCAAGCCAACTCAACGAGATGGTTCTGCTCATCGCAGACCGTCTGAACAACAACACGCTGCTCACGTTCACGTAAGTCGCGTTTGGTCTTGATCGCTGGCAGATGATGAGACTAACCCTCACAGATCGGACGGTGCAAGTCTCTGGGGAGCAACCCTTCACGCGATCCATCGACACCAGTCTCGCCTACTTACCGCCAGACACTCCATTTCCCAGTTGCCCACGGAAAAGATGCAGTGCATCAAGTCGTTTCAGATCTGTCGTGTTCCAGCCAGCCTTCAGGGCGTATGGACGGCGTTGTCAAAGCTCCCATTGCTGGACACCCTCGAACTAGTCGCGCCCCTGTGCGACAGCCGTGCTGCGGACTCCGAGCCCCAACGATCGAATCTACGGATGCAGGAGCTGTTTCTCTGGGGCGACGGCGAACTCAAACTCCAACAATTGCACCTTCGATCTCTGGTGTGTCATGGCATGGACTTGAGCTTGGCTGGTGCTGTTCTCCGTCGTGCTGTGCATATCGGAAAGCTCGAAGCGCTCACGCTCCAAAAGTGCTACGCACCTCTGGCCTTGCTGACGCATGCCATCTTGGACTCAGATGATGATAACATACAGCTGCGTCATCTCGTCATTACTGCACGCGACAAGGCCTCGTCCGGAATCTTCAATGAGGACATCAGCGAGATCGTGTATGTCATCGGAGAACTAGAGACGTTGGTGCTGCACGTTCCGGACTTGCCAGCATTCGAGTTTCGTAGCCCCGTACTGCACGAGCACGCTCCCTTTCTGCGCACTTTGTACTTCAATCGCACGGTAGACTTCAAATGGGACACCACAGGCATGGACAACGAGACGAGACACACGCTCTTTGCCTGGGCCGACAAGCTGGAGCAGTTGACGGTCTGCGCGAACCAGTTTCGAGTAGGTGAGATGGATCCATACCACGACCCTAGCCTCCGCGACTTGTGTGTAAGTGAGACTCTGGCTTCGTTCGGTGGACGAAGAATCACTGACGCAACGCAGGATGACTTGGCCGATTCGCAATCGCTCAAAGTCGTGCATCTCCTCGTCGACCCAATGTTCCATGTCCCCTACAGCGGCGAATGGGCGCGCAGAATCGCAGAGAAAGTCTTCGACAGCGTGCCGACTCTCAAGATTGTTTGCGTCGGCAACTTCTCCAAAGGTGCGGCGGATGACTGCAGGTTGCTCTTCGCCAGAGGCGAGACGATCCTCGTCGGCACCGAGGAGAAGAATCCTGGGGTGCTGAGGGTGAACAGCTCGCAAGCGCGAGAGATCGAGCCGCTGGCGGATCTGTGCGAAATGGATCCGCTGGGGCAGAGGATCCTGCGCTTCGGGTTCACTCGTCGCGGTTGATGCGAGCAAGAGGGAAGGGGGGGTGATGTGGGGGGTTTCTTGGGGGGTCGAAGAAGAGTGGTGAGAGTGTTCAGATGGGCATGGAAGTTTGTAAAGTAGTGTATTCAATGAGAATGGGGAGACTCGGCCGCGTTCATCGTCTCTGCGCTTTCGTGAGCTCTCATGCTGTTCGCTTGTGTGTCGAATCCTTTCCACTGCCGTGGATTCGTAAAGAGAGGGATTTGTTAGGCAAGGAGTGAGATTTCTAACGGGATCTCCATTTCCTCTCACATCTGCCCGTGGAGCTGTCTCTCGGGCATTCTTACGAGATTGATGGAATGAAAAACCCACAACAAGGATTGTTGGGCAAAAAGATTCCAAGGAGATGAATACATTGGCCAAGGGCTGAGAGACTTGGTAGTATCGAAGTATCGTTGTTATTTTTGGCCGTCTATCATACTCTCAAGCGTTCTGGAGAAGAAAGCAGTGCGGTGAGAACTTCAGGAGGGGGATTGAGCGAGATTTTGCTTGAGAGATGGGTACGATCGGCCGCAATGAAGGATTTCGTGAGTGCTCAGGATTCTTCCTCATGGCTGGCCGTTGAGCACGCTCTCAGATCTCTTTACAAGGATCGAGGTGTGTCGAGTGCATTGGGAGAGGTGTCAATGAACGAGGAGAGACTCGAGATATCACCCTCGGGCATGTCACGTGTAAATGACTAAGCACGCTTTAAGCTTTTAAGGTTCAAGGTTCCGCCGCCGCTACTTCCTCGCGCCGCGTCCCGCGTGAAGTCATCCAAACACTCCATCATTCACGCCAGGAAGAGGCCTCTTTGTACTCTTCGAATGATGCGCATCATTTTGATTACCTGAGAGGGACCGCGGCAATATGGCAGCCTCACTCGCGCCAGACTTCCGCTCCCTCAGCCGCCAAGCACCCACCGACCCCGACATCCAGGCCACCCTCTCCGACTTCCTCACCTACACCGAGCACTTCCCCTCGCAATTCACGCGCGCGCTCGCTCTGATTGCAAGCCAGCGCGAGCATGCCGAACGCAAGATTGGCAAAGTGCACGAGTATGCCACGCAATACAGCATCTTGCCGTCGATTGAAAACGGTAAGCCAGACCCCGTGCAGCTGCGGAGAGACATCAGCTATGCCCTGGAGGAAGCGGAGCGGGCGTGCAGGATGGCGGTGGAGGAGGCGGGCAGGCTGGATGATACGTGCGAGCGGGAGAGCAGGAGGTTGGATGTGGTGATTGAGAGGTTGAAGGCACAGCCTATGCCGCCTTCGCGAGACCCTACGCCCGAGCAGTCTGCACTCACCTCACCCAACTTGAAGCGAGAGCGTCGCATGAGCACACGGGGAGATGACATCAAGCCAGAATCGAGGAAGCTTCAGGACAAGGCAGCTACCAAACTCCGCGGGCGCAAGGTCATGGTTCCGGGTGAGGTACTTCCTCCGCCTGATCCAAACGCACCGGCGGAGAGTATATCCGACTGGACCTCGCCACGGCATTCACCGCCTCTGGAAGAGCCACCATTGCTCGACAAGAAGGCTACTCCACGCCCACGATCACGCACTCCCAAAGTTCCCAAGTCGTCTGAAAAGGACCGAAAGACACCGAAGCCGAGAGGACCGCGGGCACCTGGCCAACCGGGCACAAATGCTCACTCCGCCGTCGCCGGTATCAGCACGTCCAACGCCCTCCTTGCCCTCACGCAACCTCCCGATGATGCACCCAAAGGCAGCAAATGGCTCCCGTGGATGAAGCTGACGGAGTGGGAAATGGCGAAGCTGCGAAAGAGGATGAAGAAGAATGCCATCTGGGTACCTTCGCAGACTATGGTCAGGCGAGAGCTGAAGAACCTCGGGCGTGGAGTTGCTGGGAGAGAGGCAGCTAGGAAGAGTGAAGAAGAAGGCGGGCCGGCATTTGTGGATGAGCACGAGCCCGATCCTACCAAGGTCCTCATTTCTGGAGAAGAAAGCGCACAAATAAATGCTATCCTGGGCAACGATCAATTGTACATGGACGATGGAGGCGATGATGCCGATCAGGAGCTCATCAACCGTGGAATGAGGCTGAACGAGGCGAAGAAGTTGAAGAGACAACGCATGCTGGAGGACCAGCGCTTGCAAGAGGAGCAAGAGCTGAAGGCGCAAATCGCACGCGAGCAGGGGATTGAGGTGGCTGAGGGGAAAGTTGGCAACAAGGATGGCAAGAAACGCAAACGAGAGAGCACTCCCTTGACCACGGGCACCGCCATGGCAGCAGAAACACCCGACCCTCTCACCAAAGCCGGGCCAGCACCCAAACGACTCAAACTGAACGCGTCGAAAGTGCCGCTCGCACCTCCCGGCGCCTCCGCATCCTCACCAACAAAGCCTTCCTCATCTCGCAACCGCCGCGTAACAACGCCACCGATATCGAAAAGTCGACCAACCCTCGTCCTCAAAGCAAGCAAAGCCGTGTCAGAGGAGCCGCCCAACCGGCGAGCAGCGCTGAGAAGAGCCAGCATTGCCAGCCTCCCGAATGGCAATCTGACCTCACCTCGCATCGCAACCGCGAACAAAAGTGGGCGACGAAATCGCCGACCTGCGCCGGGCATCCTCACCACCGCCGACGCGGAGAGCGCCAAAGTCGGCGTCTCGAAGCGCAAAGCCGCCCCGCACAAGAAGGGCTCTACAGCAGTTTCGAAAGCAGCAACAGCAGCGAATACTCTGCTCCCCGAGCCGGTTACAGAGGAGTACATTGACCCCGACGAGCCGCGCTACTGTATTTGCGGCGATGTGTCGTGGGGCACGATGATTGCGTGTGACAACGAGGAGAATTGCGAGAAGGAGTGGTTTCATCTGAGCTGTGTGGGACTGCAGGATCTGCCGCCTCGACGCACGAAGTGGTATTGTCCGGATTGCAGGAAGAGGCTGAAGAAGGGCGTGGAGAGTAATGGGTTGGTCGGCCGGCCTTCGGGGAGGTGAGGGTGGGGCGTGTGGATGGCCTAGTCGATATGGTGGTATCGATAGCGTAAGTAGATCAGGTGATGACCTACGCGAATTCATAGGTGTCTGCTGCAAATTCGCTCTGGAATTACGTTGTGCAAGCTACACAGGCTCACATGTGCTCAAAATTGAATCTTTGGGCAGACTCGCCCTCTCGCTCCAAATTAATGCCCCAGAATGTGATCACCCAAAGGACCCTATCCAACCCAACCTCCCAATGTGAAGATATCCCAGTTACAGGATTACACAGCGCCAACGCTAGAACGCTTCCAAGTAGAAGACCCAAATCAAATCCAAATGCGTCCTCACATCTTCACGCCCAGCTCAGAGTAGAAGTGGCATTGAGCCACATGACTCTTCTTGCCCGTCGTCTCGTCGAAGATGTGGCAGCCATGCTTCGCTGCATTGGGAGGCTGCAGCGTACACGATTAGCATAAGGTATAAAGCAAGGCAAAGATGCAGGAAGACAAACAGTATACAAATGCAACGACACCGCAACCTCACTATCGCTCGGATTCTCCACGCGATGCAACCCCAACCGATCGCTCATGTACGTCACTTGCTCCGGGTGGTAAGTGGTGTCTCGCACGAGTTGTAGCGACGACGGCCCCATGCCGCCGGCGGGGGAGCACGTGTGTTCTGTGCTGGGGTAGAGGGAGGAGGGGTGGGCTTTGCAGGAGCTGGGGTTGTTGGAGCTTTCGCAGGGCCAGGCGTAGATGGTTTCGCGCAGGCGGCCTTTGAGGATCTTCATGACGCAGTGCGCGTTTGCGTGGTCGTGGATGGGAGAGCCTTTGCCGGGTGTCCAGACGAGGAGGAGCTGTGCGTCTTGGTTAGCATGGGTGTGCGCGACGAGGGATCAAGGGGATACACACCATATTGCACTTTCCATTTCCCCTGTCGACGAGGTTACGAGTGTATGCCCGACTGTAATCGGCAAAGGCATACTTCTCCCACTCGCCCTCGCACGACTTGTAGTCACGAAGGACGAATTTGAGCTCGCCGACATCGACGCCAGCGCTGTCGATGCCGTTGCACGGGCCGAGGATCACGTTGACATCGTTGATGAGTTGTTGGAAGCCGTCTCGAGGTTCGGGGGAGCCGCGGGCGGAGTCGTGGAGAGACGCGGGCTTTTCCTCGGTGGGGGTGGGAAGGAGGTATTTGTTGGAGAGCGCGGCAGCCATCATGAATTATGCCACACGACGGAATTGAAGAGGAATGAGAGCCTTGTAGCACAAGAGTTGATATAGCGACACGCGAGCGAAATAGCAGAACAAAGAGCGAAGAACGCGAGATCAAAGAAAGGACACGCACCCTTACCATCAGCGACAACATCACATGGCTGGCACGAGCGCAGCGCGTTCCATCCCACGCAGCGCCATTACATTACGCGCGTTGTGAGAGGGCGGGCAATGCTCAGGTCGGCGACGTGTAGGGGGGCCAACGTCGCCGACAGCGTGGATGGTCGGGACGTCGCCGAAGGAAATTGATAGCGCAATCGACGCGGGGCGCGATTAGCTGGCGGCGCGGAGGAATGTGGCTGTCGCTATCGCATCGGATGATTGCGTGTGAACGACAGATTGCCTTGCGAGCGTGCAAGCGATGCTTGCGGCTTCGCTTCCCGGAAGGAACGCCGGATTTAGAAGTGTCGTGGTTGCGTGCTTTGGTTACGCGAGGACGCGGCTGGGAAGAGGAAGAGAGAGAGAGGGTTGTGGTCGCCGACTCCGCGCCATCAGCCGCGGCCAGCCGCTAAGCCGCATTCGCGTTGGATAAGGCATCCATTCAGGCACCAACACCGTCGGCAAGTCGACCCGATGTCTTTACGAATTTATTTTCCAGCAACAACCACACCTCCGCGCACACACACACCATGGCCGCGCGCACCGCCGCACCTCGCGTGCATCCCTCCCGACAGGACCAAGTGCCTGTGGAGCGACGTCGAAAACGCAAAAGACCCGAGGAGCACGCCGGCACGAAATCCTTCAAAAAGGCCCATGCCACCAACGACCTCAAGTCCGAGATCCGCTCGTTGAAGCGCCTTCTCCAGCGCCGTGACTCCATGCCTGCGACCGTGAGGGTGGAGAAGGAGCGCGCGTTGCAGACTGCCGAGCATGCTTTGCAAAAGGTGGAGCGGGCGAAGAAGAGGAGTGAGATGATTGGGCGGTATCACAAGATTCGCTTCTTCGAGCGGCAAAAGGCTACGAGGAGGCTGAAGCGTGCGAAGAAGGCGTTGCGGGCGTGTGAGGATGGTGATGAGCGGCGGGATGAGCTTGCGAGGGCGGTGGACGATGCGGAGGTCGAAATCAACTATGCGATCTACTATCCGCTGGAGCAGCACTATGTCTCGCTGTTCCCCCGAAAGAAGCAGAAAGACGGTGATGGTGCGGAGGAGGAGGAAGATGAGGTTGAGGATGGCAAGGAAGATGTTGAGCGGCAGGGCGATGCCGAGATGTGGCAGATGGTGCGGCAATGCATGGCTGCCGGAACGCTGGACGACTTGCGCAATGGCAGGCTTACACAAGGCGACTCATCCAACTCTACCAGCACGCTGCCCGATCCTGCTCAGGCGAGTGTGACAAGACCCGCCGAGATCTCCGGTGCTACTACTGGACGCCGTGAGATTGATGGAGAGGACGATGCCGACAGCGACGGCGGCTTCTTTGAATGACGACCTCACGATTGATACTTACGATCACTATACGAAGACAACCTCGACGCTACCACCTCGAAGACCAACTAGTGACACGCAGCTTCTGCCACGAAGCAAGTTCTGCGTTCTTGTGGATGTTCGCAGCAGTGAATCCCTGCGCAAGCGAGCAGCATCGCCATGAATGACACCATCTGCAGCTCGCCAGAAGCGGCAAATGCGCGGTGAACATAAGACGCAGTCCACGGAGATGCCATGAAACACATCACAGAAGGTCGCTTCCCCCGTATTCTCATGCGAGTAAATACCAAGTTCAATGCACGCCCGTTCGAGTTGCATGAATGCGCATTGCATCAGGCATCCGCTCGCGCAATAACAAGCTTCACTCGAGCGTCTCACGATGTACGCTTCATGCATGCGTTTCCCACCTTTTCCTGCCAGATCGAGACTCGACTTCAAGCCTCATGAGTGGGGCCAATCAGCCTGGTTGCTACATCCTCCCGGCCGTTGGGGCGCACGGCTCGCCTGTGGCCGACCTGCATTTCCCATGCTCAACAGGAGGTGATTGGTAGGAGCTTCTCCAATGGCAGCGCGCTGCCTCGCCCCTTTCCGCCAAGGTGGGACCTGGCGGGCGGCTGGAGAAGCCGTAGACCGTACCTGACTGAACCTTGCACGTCCAGATCCACCTGGACGTCTGAAGATCGTGGATTGTCGTCGATCATCGCTGTTAACGTACCAATGGCCACGAACAATGGCCTCCGAGATATTTCCGGACACATGGTGGAAACAGTTGGACGACAGGCGGAGAAAGCGTGGTGACTCCCCCCGAAGCACACGAAGGCGTGTTTGGGTTGGCCGAAAGCAGAGAGGAGCTTTGATCAGTGAGCTTCCTGACTTGGGCGCGCGTTGATTGCTTGGACTGCTCGATCCTCAAATGATACGTCAGAGGTTGCTCATCTCCCGCTTGACTGGCGGGGAGCGAGGTTGGTGGCGGCAGGTGGGGCTTGGAGTTGGGCTAGGACCTGCCGAAAATGCTTAGTCCGCCGAGCTACGCCTGTCTATCGGGAGCACGTCCCATTCGTCAAACAACCTCGCTGCTCGGGCGCCCGCATCTTCCTGCCCATCCATCTGTCCTTGCCCTCCGAGCCATTGGGCGGCGGCGGGTGACTAAAGCAGCTGCCCCAGCCTGGACGGGCAATCAAGACAATGCACTTATCCTGGCCGTCAGACCGCGGCCCGTGGCGTTCACTGGCTGGACGTACCTCGTGTTCGAAGACGAGATGTCTGACTCCTCGACATCGCAGGGGCCACCCATGTCTCAATCAAGCAACGCGGAATCCGGCCAACTGTCGATTAAGGCTCGGGGCCGATGGGGAAGGGCTCCCTCCCCGGCGCGCCGCCCCGATGCCGTACTGTCAAAGACTAGCCTCCGCCTGCCCCCCACTCCACTAAGGATGTACCGAGCGGGAGAGGAGCATTGCAGTTACAAGCAGCTACATCTAGCCGTATCCCTCCCGGTCCTTCAATCTCGCTGCGTTTGTCTCTTGTCCGTCTGTCTCTTTTCTTCCCCTCTTCTCCCCGCATGCCCCCCGTGGCAGCACACCCCTCGATTCATCTGGGATGCAACATTGCTCGCATGCTCTCTCTCCATCTCCCTCTGCCGCTCCTGGCTTCCACGCTCGCTGCACGCGCGGGCTTGCCGCCCTCAATTCGGCAAGCCACGGCGGGTTGCACAGCGCTTGTAGACTTCTAGCTGCACGTCGCTGACCCACGGCGCCTGGCTGGCGTCTAGCCCGTGGGTTGGATGACCGCCGTCATCATGGCCGACGACGAGCGCCGCTCGAGTCTTCACTCCGCTCCGCTGTCCGGGTGGGGCAAGTCCCAGCAACCCATCTATCCCCGCTCGCATCACGGCACCCCGGCGCAAGAGTATTCGAACTTCACCTTTGACGGCGGCGCCGCGCATCATTACCCATCGCATCAGTACCAGCAACACCAACAGCTCCCCATGGAGCCGAGTTCATTTCAACCAAGCGTTCAACACCAGCGCATGGCGCACCCGCAACTTCAACCGTTGATCATGCCGCAATGGCCCTCGATGCTCAGCAATCAGTCGCATCCAGGTACAGCATCGTCGTATATGCCGTTGGTCGCACCGCCCGTGCAGCAAGTCCAACCTCAGTCCGCTGGTCCACTCCACACTCCCGTCTCGGCAACGTCCACCAAGTCGGGCTCCACTCCTCGCAAGACTTTGACCGACAGCGATCGGAGGCGCATAAGTCAATATGCCGAGGAGCATCCCGCGATGAAGCAGACCGACATTGGACGTGAGTGTTGCTTGCTCTGCATCACATTGCAATGGTTGCTGACAGTGAGGCAGTCATCTTTGGCGTCGAGCGAAGGTACGACCAAGCCATCAGAGCAACAACACCCCCCAATGCTGACATGTTGTAGCACCGTGTCGAAGGTCTTGCGACAAAAGGACAAATACCTTATTCCAGACGAGGGGCGCAGGTCTCCCATCAAGCGCGTCAAGGGCAAGTCACCTGACATCGAGAGGACATTGGCAGTCTGGGCAACAAAACAGGTACGCGTCGTTCAGCTTTCGATGGTTCAACAGCGGCTGAGAAAGACGTCTAGGCACGAAGGGGGCTACCGTTGACGGACGACCTCATCCGCGAAAAGGCGCGCGCATTCTCGAGTACGGCACTCAACCCAGAGAACCACTACACCACATCTTCCAACTGGATTGGCAAGTTCAAGCTGAGACACAATCTGATGGGCGCTCGATCTCGAAAGGGATCGCTCGCTCCGGACGACAGCGAAGGAATGTCGACCGCCCCATCTTCAACCCAGACGCCGAGTGGGACCTCTCCTGTATCGCCCGTACTGTCGCCTCAGCCTCTACACAGCGCCGAGAGCCTCGAGTCCCTGAAGCAGGAAGACCCCGACGACTACGACGACTTCAATGCCCGGCTTGCGGCCTTCCACACGCAGAGCTCGACGTCCCTCAACAGCGCCTTCAACGACACCGCTCCCTCTTCCTTCTCTCCACTTCCACTGAGCCCCACCTCACCCTTCTTCACCCCGGACTCCGGCACGGCTCCGGGCCCCTTCATCCCACTACCACCGCTGACCGCCCGACACATCCCACCAACGACAATGTCACCGAACGCGCCGCGACCGCGCAGCCAGACCTTCCCCCTCCTGATAGACCAGTACCTCTCCATGGCCGACATGCCCACCCCCAAATACGCGCCCGCCGCAATGCTAGACTCGCCCATGGAGGAGTCGCCCGACCCACTCGGCAGCCTCAACGCCAACCTCACCAGCATGAGCAGCGAAGAGCGCCTGATCCCGCAGACCGTCAGCCCCTCCGACACCATGGGCCCGCCTCCCCTGCCGCCGCACATCCTAGAGATGAGAGGCGACCTCACGCCCGCGGTATCCACGTCGTCCGCCTCGTCCGCCGCCTCCTACATGCACCCCGTCGCGACTCCCGAAGACGCGCGCCGGGCGCTCGAGTTCGTCATCAGCTTCCTTCACACGCAGCCGGACGGGTTTGTGAGTCTGGAGGAGGGGATGACGATGGCGAATGTCATGAACAAGCTCACCTTGCGTGCGAGGAGCGAGAGTTGATTGATTTAACTTCCACGCACATGACGCGACGCGTCACTCCTTCGCTTCTTCTCTTTTCACTCAGCATCGATTGCTCATTCCATGCGCTACTTTTGTTTTCTGGAATTGGATCATTGGGACTAAGATGAACAACCACAAAGTCACAGCTGGACGCTGTGCGACTCTCGCCATCCCCTGGATGGAAGGAGGGCAAAAGAGAGATATCAAGATGGAATTGCTGCAAAGCAGGGTCAGGACTCGTGGAATGCTTTTGCTGTCAAGGACAGTTTCATGGGCGGCACGCTGGCGTTTGTGGGATTTTCTTGGCTTCGTTGCGGTGTGTACTCTCACGACCATTTCGGCTCTTTGTCTTTGCATTGCGAGCAGCTGTACGTGTATCTGCTGTGACGGACGATGCTGTTCTTTTTCTTCTGCTACTTAGGTCATGCATTTCTTTCACTGGACGTATTGATGAAGGAGATTTCATCAATGCAATACTTCTCCTACACTTCTACATCCTCCCCCAACTCGGGGAATGCGCGAACAACCACCAATCCCAAAACACCCACGAGCAAATGCTTATTCACATACGCATGGGCAAACAAGTCCAGCGAGCGCTCCACATCGCCCCTCATAGCCAGCACGTCGCTCGTCGCGAAGAATCTACTTCTAACGAAAGGCGGCAGAGCAGCGAGGATGGTCTCCGCGCACTCGCGCTTGATGAGCTGCAACTCCTCGGCGGTTGCGGGCGGTTGGCGCGCGGAGGCCAGGGCGTTGTTGGGGAAGAGGGCGCTTCGGGTGGTGCTCAGGAGGCGGGGGAGCAGGGTCGGGTTGTGGAGGGTTGCGGCGACTTTGGAGGAGAGGAGTCTGCCGTTGCGGGGGAAGGGTCAGTAGGCTGTCATTTCCTTGAAGCTGCAGGATGAGAAAGAACGAAAGTCGATGATAGGTGGGAAAGGAGGGGAAGATGGCAGGGAAGTGTGCTTTGCATCGAATCAAGGAGCGCGGCCGGCTCGTTTTCTGATGGTGCCGTGGGGGCCGCATTTGAATCGAGATTGCTCAATCGGAACGTTCCAGCCAGGTCGTCAGGCAATATGCATCCTCGGACTGCAATCTGAATCGAGCGGCCAGACTCGGTGCGCAAAATCAAGAGCCCTAGGGTAGGTACTCGCAACAAGGCCACGATCGAGGGCGTCAGAGTTTCGTCGGGCAGCGCGACTATTCAAAGTCAATGCAAGTAGCCACTGTTGCCCGTAGCCCCGCGCGAGCCAGCCCGCAAGGTCCGAGGCCGCTGCCCGCTCCCGTGCATGCTCTAGTCTGATTTGATGTCAGATGCTATGTTGTGCGGGCTGCATGCAGAAGGCAAGCAAGCAGGCTCTGCAGGCGAGCAAGCATACCCCCGCTTTTTTGGCTAGCTTGACAGCTCGGGCTGAAACCGGCAGACCAGGGCTTGTGGTTGGTTGGATCGGCGTCCAGTGAGGTGGCGACTTTGTTGGAGTGGTGGAAGGCTTTGATTGCGCTGCTGCAAGTCGTCTCTTCCGGCAGGGCAGACTGGCGAAGCGGAAGGCACAAACATCACCTGATGATGGAGACCTGCACTTCTCCGATCGTTGGGCAGCGGAACTGCGTCCAGACCATGGGCAACCCAGAGTCCCGTCAATGGAACGCGTTCGTCGAGTGGTGGCGCATTTTGCACATGAAAGCGGAGAAGAGGACAAAGAAGGAAAACGCACCAATCAACTCACCTGTCCAGGGCACCATCCAGCCTGCACACCTTGCCCGGGCCATTCAACACAAGCCATTGCAAAAGTGAGACAAGGCCATGCAGCCAGGGCATGCGGCGCTCGAGCGCGGCCAACTTCGCGACACACGTCCACACGCGCATCTCCACCACGGCCGGCTTGTCATCATCGGCTCGGCCGTTGGAATTAAGGGACGGTTGCAGGCTCGGATCGCGATGTGCATCATCGTAGCTGGCGGCTAGAGAAAGTTTGTTCGTTGGGTGAGCTTCCGGGCGGCGAATGGAGCGTGGGGGAATCGAGGAGTCGTGCATGAGAGCATCTATGACGGCGCGCAGGATCAACCAACCCAGGGAAAGGGTCTGCAGCACTGACCAGAAGGCTCGCGCCACGTTATCGATGCGGCGAGGTTCTCGAGCTTGTTGAGTTGCAATAGTGATATTCTCTGCAGAAGAAAGGAGTCCAAATTGCTGAAGGCGATCCACGGGCTGTGCGACTTGTGCCTCGGGCGAAGGAACGGAGGGCTGCGTGAGTGATTTGATGAGCTTGGTGACACCTTCCCAAATCACCCAAGCCTCACTGCCTCTTCCCAAGACGGCATTGCAGAGGATGATCTGTGAGAAGACCTCAGATACTAGGACATGCAGACAGGGATTCTGCAGGTCCTCTGGGGGAAGGACCAATGGTAAGATGCGCGACACGAGAAGTTGCGCCCAGGCGCTTTCATTCTCTTGCTGTTTGGCCGCGTCCGTAGGGTTGTCGGGTGGTGGCGTCAGTGCTGGGTTGGGGCGAAGGGAATGAAAGATGTGACGGGCATCGCTGGACGGCCTGTCATCTGAGCAGGCGTTTAGTGCGATGGTGAAAGCTGCAAGAGATTGTTAGATATTTGGAATTGTTTTTAACCCGTCAAATGCCTGACCTTCGATGTGGGCGCAGAATAGCGCGGGGAGTTCGTCCAAGAGGAGCTCCTGGAGGTCGAGATGTTTCAGGCGTTGCTCAATGCCTCTGGTGCAATGGGCGATGATATTGATAATCTCGTCAATGAAATCGTGATCGACGGTGATGCGCTGATACCAGCTCTGTACGAACTGATCGAGAACGACGGCAATGATGGCGTAGAGTTGGATGTCGACATCGTTGGAGCTGGTCAGTGGCGGCAGCAGCTCGTCCAGGGATGTCGATGCGGTCGAGTGGTCACGCTGGGTCGGCGTGCGGGTCTTGTCGGAGCATAGGACTCGCTTGATGTAGGCAATCGTCTCGGCGTCTTTGTCGCCAGGTTGCTGCTGCGTATCCTGTCGTGCCTTTGGTCCATTGTTTCCGCCCGGCTTCACGATCCGGCTGGCAGGACGCGGAGGCCGGGGCCGAGGGTCACCGGGGGCCATTTGTACGCAATCCACTCATTTTCCCGTGACGCGAGACGCTGGAGTGTCTTTGCGACGCGATGGTGGAGGATATGTGAAGGCAACCGGGCATCGCGAGGCGGTGGATGGAGGAGGGAGCGCGACAAGCCACACCCGCGCCACACCTTCAGATGCGACCTCACTCGTGCCATCTTCCTCTTCCTTTCACATCCTTGCTCTCCACAATCATCCCTCGTCATGGCTGCAGCAACGATTGAAGATGCTGATGGTAATACCCTCTCAGTACCAACATCAAAAACTGAACAGCTAATTCTGCCTCCACAGCACATCTCCGCGCAATCATCACCAACCTCTACATGCTCCTCGCTCAAGCACACGACTACCATGGCCCCAACACACAGCAGGCCATGGCGGCCGAAATGTACACCCTCGCCCACCTGCATCCTCTCACAATCCTCTCTAACAAGCCCCGCCAGCAAATCCCTCCTCCAAAACCTCATCCTCGTGACCAACACCGCCCGCCGCCTACCCACCTATCTCCCCATCGAGATTATCCAATACGTCGAGGCCTCCCGCAACCCGGACATCTACACGCGCGAGTTCGTCGAGCTGGTCATGCGATACAATCAACAGCAAAAGGGGCGCAGTGAGGCCTTTGCCACTTTCCGCGACATCTTGGGAAGAGAGATGGCGAGTGGGATCCCTGATATCAAGGAGGACGTGAAGAGAGTGGTGGAGGCTACGGGTGGGAAAGTGGAGAGTTGATCGGCCAAAAACCTTCACAACCTGGCTTGTGGAAATGCTAGAGCTTCCGGCAGTGATACCACGGCTCTTCGCAGTTCCTCCCGATCGACGCATGCCGCATAGACGTATCTGTCTCGGCGCACTAGCAAGTACCTGGCCCGTGGTCGTAAAGACTTCTTGATCTGCATTGGATCATAGTTCCTGGTCGTTGGACTGCACTTCGACACCACTGGATCTGCCTCGAACTCCGCAGCAGATGCTATCCGAGCAACAATGCAGTCTTGCATCAGGTCGTTAGCTGCAACGCCGACAGCTTTGATATAATGCACCAGATAGACCGCCTGGTCTTCCCTCACCAAATCATGATTCGACTTGATCACTGCGCATATGTCTTCTCTGGCCAAAGCGAGTTCTTGGACGGTATCCAACAGCACGATCCACTGCAGCAAACCGGTATTCGACTGGCTGAAGAACAAGTCGTCCGTAAACTCGACTTTTTCACTTCCTCGGCCATCGATTCGGCGGCAGTAGACCTGCGGAAGGAGCACGCCGCCCCCAAGCTCTGGTCTAAAGATGAAGCCAGGCTCGTGCCGATACCGTGGTAGCACACGGTTCCCGCCTTGAATCTTCTCCCGCAAAAACGGCACTTTCTGCATGGACCAAAGCACCCAGTCACGCATCACGGTGTGCAGAATGCTCTTATTGTTGAAGAATTCTCCATTCTGCACCGTCACAGCAATCGAATGCGTGAGCTGCTGCTTCCTCTCTTCATACCACGTCTGCAACACCTTCTCAGGGTCCGCATGTGGATGGCGATGGAGGTGTGCCAATCGCCATGCCAATGCTGCGCTGTCTCGGAACCCCGATACGATGCCCTGCCCGCCAAAGGGAGGAAACACATGCGCAGCGTCACCGGCGAGGATCACACGGCCGAGCGCCCATTTGTTGCAGCAGCGAGCTTGGAAGTTCACTGGCCGTGATCGGAGCGTTTCGATGCAGTCTGTCGGGAACTGGATGGAGCGTTGCTGGAGCCCGTACCGCGAACCGTGGTGCGTGAGATAGGGCATGATGATCTTGCTCGTGGACTCATACGTCGCCATCTGCTGCGCATCCTCACCCGGCTGTACCACAAACTCAAAACGCCATAGCCGATCCCGCTCGAGCCCGAAGCGTCCACAGACCGATGGCCGGGAAGGATTGCAGAGAAAGCGAAAGTCCTTGGGGAAAAAGGCATCGTAGACCTGTTCAGGCGTGTACCCTTTCGACCACAGAGGGAAGTCGGGATGAGTTTGCGGCGTGGGCAGCCGGATATGCCAATTCAGTGCCACCCACGTTTCGTTGTAGTCTATACCTTCGCAGCGTTCCAAGTCCACCCCCCGGGGCTCCAGGTACTTCTTCCGCACATAGCCCGTCTTGCCATCTGCACCCACCAAGAAGCTGCCCGAGAGCGTCCGCGTCTCACCGTGAGAATCAACGTAATCCACCACCACTTCGCCTTCGCTCTCAGCAATTGACGTCACCTCACAGCCAAGTCTCAACTCCGCACAGGGCGACTTCGCAACAACGTCCCGAATGGCCCTCTCCAACTCCGGCTGCCGATGAAACACAAACCCCACATGCCCACTATACCCAATAGAAGCCACATCGAGCATCAAAAACGGCTCCTTGTGAAGCGTATGTCCAGCCCCGGCAATAAATCTCGCCTGCTGGCAATGCGCGATGCGCGAATACATGCGGTCCAGCATGCCGATGCTTTGGATGGCGCGGATGCCATCTTCGTCTAGGGCGATGCCGCGCGGATCCGTGATGATTGCGGTCTCGCGTTCGAGGACGATGTTGGGGATGCTGAGTTGGCTGAGCTGGGCGGAGAGCATGGCGCCTGTTGGGCCGCCGCCGCAGATGATGATGGACGTTCGCTCGACATTTTGGGGAGAGGACATGTTTGGTAGAGGTCTTGCTAGCAATTCATGGTGCTATGTAAAGTAGAGACTAATTTAATTCAACTGGGGACGCGACATTCGCATCGAAGTGCCCGCGGCTTCCGAGGCTGAGTAACGGCCTTGCTGCCTGGCTGCCTCAGGAGGCTGTGTCACCTTTCGATAAACCTTGACGTCTCGCCGTTTGCACTCTGCATCTTTCCACAAACATTTCCCCCAAGCCCTCCACTTGAACATCCGGAGTCATGGCGGGACGTTACGTGCCTCCGCATCTTCGCAACAAGGAGCACGGGGATGCAAAATCAAACGATGTTCCACCCGTTCAAACACGACCGCCATGGGTGAATCTAAATCAAACCGACATCCACTACTACTTCTGGCCCGCGCCCGAAAACCCAGAAGACGAAGAAGACTCACCCCTGTTCTCCGCCGATCATTCCAAGACGCTGCACGATTCACGATCAAACCCGGGTCGTTTGGCGTACATACTTCTCTTTGACCAAGCAAATCCCCGGTGGGAAACGGACTACATCATCTTCACGAAATCGAGTCTGGGCCTCCTTCCTGCAGTCCTGCCGAAGGTAGAGACCAGATGCAGTTCAGATAATGAAGGGGTCACCGATTCAGAGAACCTCGGTGTCGAAGTCACCAAAGCACCATCTGAGAACAACGACACAGACACACCACAGGTCGACATCACTAAAGGACCACCTGTCAATGACAATACGGACAACCCTCAATCCATTGCGGTATTCAAGCAAGTGGTCGGAAAGCAGCGGACCGCCGGCTTCCAATTCAAGGGCTGGTTCAAAGTGGAGAAAGTCGAGCTGCTGGAGCCACACAGCGACGCAGTCGTGAAGATGCTCAAGCAGAAGTGGACATTCACGGACCGTAATGGCAACACGGTTCTGGGAGAACGAAGCAAGGAGGAGTGGGAGAGGAGTATGAAGTATCGGTGGGCCGTTGTGAAGCTTGCTCGGGATGAGAAGGCGGAGGAGGAACGCGGACCTCCCAAGATTGAGAAAGCGCCGTCGAGACCGATGAAAGAGGAGAAGAGTGTCAATGAGATGTTGGCAGAGATGAGGATGAAGGATTCTCATGGCGATGTCCCTACCACCGAAGACGGCGCTGCTTGATCCAGCTGGGACTCAATATCAGCATGATCAAGAACGGGTCAAGCACTGCATGCTCAGATCATGATCATGCTGCCTCGTCCTCATGGCACTGTCAATGATGCGGTACTCCAAGCCGTGCAATACGGAAATGATGATACGGTCTATCCAATGAAGCATGCTGTATGTTGCCATGCAGGCTCCTACTCGCTGGGGGTTTGAGGGAACAGATTGCTCAGCAGCTATACCTTCTCAGCGAGGACAACACCATAGAATAGCATCGCACCCAATCCAACGAGATTAGACAGCGCGCTCCCACCATGTAACCAAGCAAAGGTCGTATTCAGGCGCTCCATCTCCGTAGACTTCGGGCCCGGCTCATAGGACTTTTTGCCATCTTTCGTTTCTGCGTATCCAATCAGTATCGTAATCAAGGTTGTCGGCCGATTAGACAGAATCATACCTTGATGCTTCCTCTTCTTCATAACTTGCGTCGTCGCAGGTCCGAGAACGAAAAGGTTCAACACACTCGTGCCAAACATGACAGCAATGGGGGTGAGAGCGGTCCACAGATGTCGATCCAACAACAATCCCCGCCAACCACTCTCCCGTCTCCCGAGCTGCTTCCCAGCAGAGTCGACAATCTTGATGCCGGGCCAGGTGACGGCCAGTATGACGGGCAGTGCAGTTTGGAGAGCAAAGTACGGCGGAGTGATTTTCGTTTGCAGAGTTGCGAATTGAGGCCGCGGGAGGCAGGAGTAACCTATTGGGCCTGCGAAGAAGGACTGGAAGATGTTGGATCCGAGAAGAGTGCCGTAGGCGATGATGTGGTATGCATTGGGATCGGATATCGATGCAAGGGAAGGCATTTTGTACCACTTTCTCCTTGAACGGAATTGGATGGGATGATATTTCGACAAATATCGATCAACTGGATGTGAAGATGAAGAAAGGTTTCCGTGGTGAAGTGTAGATGTCATCGGTAATGATTTACACGTGACCGCGTCAGGTTGGCGATTGTCTTGGCGCGTGGTTGCTGCCTTGAAAGCTGTGGCGCAACTTCACGCCCCCATCGACGAACGACATTCACTAGTTGTGCGGTTCACCAAGCATGGAAAAGCTGAAAAGAACAACCCTGGGCTGACGAAACGACCTCTCTTTCATCACACCGTCACCATGGCGCAAAAAGAAGCAACCGTCTACATCGTAGATTGCGGCCGCAGCATGGGCGAGCATGCTCACGGCCGCAAGCAATCCAACCTGGACTGGGCGCTGGAGTACGTCTGGGACAAAATCACCGCTACCGTCGCCACTGGTCGCAAAACCACTCTTGCCGGGGTTGTAGGCTTGAGAACGGATGGCACGGACAACAGCATGAGCCACGACGAGGACTACGAACACATCACCGTCTTTCAAGAATTGAGTCAGCTTCTGATGCCGAATCTGAAGAAGCTCAGCAAGGATCTGGTCGTGAGCAGGACAAAGACCGGCGATGCGATCAGTGCGCTCGTCGTTGCGATTCAGATGATTGCCACGACGTGCAAGAAGCTGCAGTATATTCGCAAGATTGTGCTAATCACCGACGCACGGGCGTTTGTGCAGGCAGACGGTCTTTCATCCATCACGAAGAAGATCAAAGACGACAACATTGAGCTCATCGTTCTCGGAGTCGATTTCGACGATCTGGAGTATGGATTCAAGGAGGAGGGGAAGGATGCAACGAAAGCTGAGAACGAAGAGGTACTCCGGACGCTGTGTGAAGACTGCGGCGGTGTATTCGGCACTCTTGCTCAGGCCATCGAAGAAATGAGCATGCCCAGAGTCAAGAGCACTCGACCAGTGCCATCGTACAAAGGACTTCTGACACTCGGCAACCCCCAAACTTTCGACACCGCGCTATCCATCAACGTCGAGAGATACCCAAAAGTCATGCAAGCCAAACCGCCCACAGCAAGTCGATTTGTGGTTCGGGGTGATATGACCACCTCACAAGCAGCCACCGATGCTTCATCCGCCACGTTGAATGGCGACGATGGATTGGCGGCAGTGAAAAGTGCTCGCACGTATCAAGTCGAAGATGAAGAAGCACCCGGCGGAAAGCGAGACGTTGAATTCGACGAGCTCTCCAAGGGATACGAGTACGGGCGCACAGCCGTTCACATATCAGAAAGCGACCGGAATGTGACGACTTACGAAACAACGGCGAGCATGGACATTGTCGGGTTCGTGGATCGGGCTCGATACGAACGGTACTTGGAAATGGATCGGGCGTGTCTCATCATCGGACAGCGGAGTGATGGCAAATCAACCATGGCCTTGTCCGCTCTGATCCATGCACTCTACGAACTCGACTCCTACGCCGTTGCACGACTCGTGGTCAAAGAGAACAAGGAGCCGCGAATGTTGTTACTCGCACCAAACATCGAGCCGGAATTCGAATGTCTGTACGACATCGAACTGCCCTTCGCAGAAGACGTGCGCTCCTACAAATTCCCACCCCTGGACCGCGTTGTAACCGTAAGCGGCAAAACACTGACCCTCCACCGCAACCTCCCCAACAACGACCTCCAAACCGCCATGGACGCCTACGTCGACAACATGGACCTTTCCACCTTCGGCAAAGACGCCGACGGCCAGGAAGTCGAATACGCACCCATGGACGAAACCTTCTCCCCCATGCTCCACCGCATCAACCAAGTCATCAAACACCGCGCCATCTTCCCCACCGCCGACCCGCCTCCAACCAGCGAGATCCTGATCAAATACTCCCACCCTCCGCAACAACTCATCTCCCAAAACCAATCGACCCTCAACAAACTCATCGCCGCAGCAGAAGTGAAAAAAGTCCCCCCCAAAGCGCGCGGAAAACGCTTCGGCCGCAAAGGCCGCAACGGCGAAGCAGACAAACCCCTCTCAGAACTCGACGTCACCGCCCTCCTAGCCGCCGACCCCAAACGCTCAACAAAGCGTCTCGACCCGCAAAACGCGATCCCTGAATTCAAACAACTCCTGGCGACAAGCGAAGACGAAAGTCTCACGGAAGTTAAGGAAGCGTGCATTCAGCTGCAAACCATCATTTCCAACTGGTTGCGGCATTCGGTGGGTGATTCTGGGTACGGACGGGCGATCGAGGCGCTGCGCGTGATGAGGGAGGAGATTCTCGATTACGAGCAGCCGGAATTGTATAATGGGATGCTGCGGGCGTTGAAGGGCGATGTACTGGAGGGGAAGCTGGGAGGGGACAGGAAGGATTTCTGGTATCAGGTGCGGGTGAATCGGCTGGGGTTGATTCGGAAGAGTGAGATGGGGGCGAGTGAGGTTGGGGATGAGGAGGCGCGGGAGTTTATGTTGGTGAAGTGAGGGAGGATCGATGAAAGCATGACTTAGCGAGGGCGTTTGTGGGAGTGTACGTCTACCATACCTGCGGAAGATTCAAAAGACTTGTTCACAAAGGTGCATTTCTACAACCATCTAAATAAAAACCGCTAAGTAAACAGCCGATCCGTCACGGCGCGTATACTTTTGTTATCCCATCTCCCTTACAATCGTCATCTCCCTTACAATCGAGCAACCTCGCCCTTGCCAGTCTCAAGACGGACATCATAGCGATCAAGCATCATCACCTTGTCCCAAGCCTTGACAAAGTCCTTGATGAACTTCTCGTTGCCGTCAGCGCCAGCGTAGACCTCAGCAATAGCGCGGAGCTCAGGGTGCGAGCCGAAAATCAAGTCGAAGCGGGTGGCGGACCACTTCTTCGAGCCAGTCTTGCGGTCGATGCCGTCGAAAATCTCCTTGGTGTCGTCGGTGGCCTTCCAGTCGACGCTCATGTCGAGCAGGTTGACGAAGAAGTCGTTGCTGAGCTTGCCCGGGGTGGCGGTGAGGACGCCGTGCTGGGAGCGTTGGTAGTTGGCGTTGAGGGTGCGGAGGCCGCCGACAAGGACGGTGAGTTCGACGGGCGTGAGGGTCAGGAGGTCGGCCTTGTCGACGAGGAATTGCTCCGTCTTGACGCGCGAGGTGCCGCGGCCGTAGTTGCGGAAGCCGTCGGCGTAGGGGTTGAGGTACTTGAAGCTGTCGATCTCGGTCCACTCTTGGGAAGCATCGCCACGGCCGCCGGTGAAGGGGACGGCGACGCCGCTGGCCTTCTCGAGGGCTGCGTTACCGCCGAGCACGATCAAGTCGGCAATGGACACCTTCTTGCTGGTGAAGCCGCTCTGGATCTTCTCCAGCGCGCTGAGCACTTCCTGAAGCTGCTTCGGCTCGCTGACCTCCCAGCCCTTCTGCGGCTCGAGGCGGATGTGAGCACCGTTGGCACCACCACGCTTGTCACCACCACGGAAAGTGGAGGCGGAAGACCACGCGGTGTAGATGAGAGTGGCGGGGTCGATGCCGGTGGCCAAAATCTGCTTCTTGAGCTCGGCGGCATCCTTGTCGTCGATGTGCGGGCCGTCGGGGATGGGAATGGGGTCTTCCCAGGTGAAGCTCTCCTTCGGCACCTCCGGACCCAGCCATCGCGGACGAGGACCCATGTCACGGTGGAGCAGCTTGAACCAGGCCTTGGAGAAGGCGAGGGTCAGCTCGTCAAAGTTGTCCTTGAAGTGGCGAGCAATCGGCTCGTAGGTCTTGTCGTAGCGCAGGGCAAGATCGGACACCAACATGGTCGGCTTGCGCTTCTTGCTGGGGTCGGTGGGGTGAGGAATGGTGGCCTCTGCGTTCTTGGCCACGAACTGGTTGGCGCCAGCAGGGCTCTTCTCCAATTCCCACTCAAACTGGAAAAGGTATTCGAGGTACTTGTTGGTCCACTTGGTCGGCTCGGGAGACCAGGTCACCTCGAGACCGCTGGTGATGCTGTCGGCACCCTTGCCAGACTTGTAGCCACCCTTCCAGCCGAAGCCCATCTGCTCGACATCGGCAGCATTTGGCTCCGGGCCGTTGTAGGAGTCGGGGGCGGCGCCATGGGTCTTGCCGAAGGCGTGGCCACCGGCGATGAGGGCGACGGTCTCGTAGTCGTTCATGCCCATGCGGCCAAAGGTGTCACGGATGTCACGTCCAGAGGCCACAGGGTCGGGCTGGCCGTTGGGGCCTTCGGGGTTGACGTAGATCAGACCCATGACGGAGGCGCCCAATGGCTCCTCAAGCTCACGGTTGTAGACATCGGTGTTCTTTGCGACACCGGTGGAGTTGAACCGAACATCGTCGGTCAACCAGGTGGTCTCGGCACCCCAGTAAGTCGACTCGTCGGCGCGGTAGGTATCCGGGCGACCACCGGCGAAGCCGTAGGTCTTGAAGCCCATGGACTCGAGGGCGACATTGCCGCTGCACAAGAGGTCAGTCTCAGAGGATTCGGTTGGAGAGGGATGAATGGCACACGTACGTCAACAGGAACAGGTCAGCCCAAGAAATCTTGTTTCCATACTTCTGCTTCACAGGCCACAGCAGACGTCGAGCCTTGTCGAGATTGCCGTTGTCGGGCCAGGAGTTGAGCGGGGCAAACCGCTGTTGTCCCTGGCCACCGCCACCACGACCATCGTAGAGACGGTAGGTGCCGGCGCTGTGCCATGCCATTCGGATGAAGAGACCACCATAGTGGCCAAAGTCCGCAGGCCACCAGTCTTGCGAGTCGGTCATGACGGCATGCAGATCTTTCTTGAGGCCCTCATAGTCGATGGACTTGAAGGCGGCGGCGTAGTTGAAGTCGGCATCGTGGGGGTTGCTGCCGGCGTCGTGCTGTCGCAGGATGTTGAGCTTGAGCTCGTTTGGCCACCTGGGGGGAGGAGTGTTAGCGATATGGACTTGTCGCCACTCATGCCTGCAGGGATATCCCGGCTTACCAGTCCTGGTTCTGGGTGCCTTGGCCGGCGACGTTGTGGTTCTTGACGGGACACTCTGCCATGATGAAGATTGTACGTCAAAGGGTGAGAGGTTGGACGTCAGGATATGAGAGGATGAGGAGGTGAAAGGCAGAAGCTCGGTGGCGTGGAGTATTTATTGCAACGAAGAAGAAGCTGCTGCGACAACACCCGAACATGACCCCTCCTTCGGCGTCTCGTCAGAGCAGCTGCGGGTCAGGATGACTTTGCGGGGCCGTGATTGGTCATTGCCGGCATACCCTCGCTGCGACACTTCCCGATTAGGAAGGGCTAGGAGAAACGTCTAGAAGTCGCGATGGACCCTCGCTCGCCCGACTTGCCTCGTCCAAAGCACGTGCACGCTTCTGGACCTCGCATTGTCGTCACGGTCGATCGATTGCGTGTTTCTAGACTATCTATAGCCTATCCACCCACACTTTGTTAATGCCCACCGACCACACGGCAAGCGTCCTCAGCAACGTCTTCGGAACCCTAGGCGCAGTCTGCTGGTCCATCCAACTCCTCCCGCAAATCCTGCTCAACCACCGCCGCCATGCCGCCTCCGGCCTCTCGCCAACCTTCATGCTCTGTTGGGCGTGTGCAGGCATCCCGCTAGGCGTGTACAACATCGTGCAGCGCTTCAACGTAGCCTTGCAACTGCAGCCGCAGATTCTGACGACGTTGAGTTTGATCACTTGGGCGCAATGCCAGTATTATGAGCGCAAGTGGAATCTGCGGAAGGCGGCTGGTGTCTCGCTGGCTGTTGCTGCGTTGATGGGTGGTGTGGAGGTTGGTCTTGTCTTCGCCGTGGACGTTGCTGTGAAGCGAGGGGTCGATTGGCCTGCAACATTAATGGCCGTGCTCGCCGCTGTCTTTCTCGCTCTGGGTGTGTTGGAGCAGTATCTCGCCATCTGGAAGACGAAGAGTGTCGAGGGCGTCTCCTTCCTCTTCTGTGGTCTCGACGCCTTGGGCGACCTCACCTCTATCGTGTCAGTATGCTTCGAGCCTAAGCTCCAGATCGTGGCATTGGTCACGTATGCCCTCGAGCTCGTCTTGTGGATTGGAGTGTTTGCCTGCGGGACTTATCTCCGCTTCTTTCCATGGATTCGAGCGGTCATGTCAAAGCGAAGCGCAGGAGAGGAGGCCCCTACAATAAATGCTCATATCACTTTACACGAGATGCCATCGTCGACCTCGGTCTTCCGCACGCCGTCGCAGACAGATGAAATCAGGTTCAGACGGCCAGGTGCATAGCTAGGTTAGTTTCGTGCTTGTGTCGAGAGAGCAAATGTTCTGATGCATCAAATCTTCGTACATAACTCCAGTCTATGCAAGCGTTACCATACATATTCCTTTCGCAGTCATCTGCCCCCCCCAAAGGTGCCTAATCGTCCTACGCCTCCTCCTTATGAATCTCAATACCCGGCGGCGCACCAACAAGCGTCTTGCACTGAGCGTAAATGACAAACTGCCCAGCAACAAGCCCAACCGTCATCACAATCCTCGGCGCCAGACCGGCAAACATCAGTCTCCTCGGCCCATACTCTCTAGCCAGCGAAAACATCCGCGCACTCGTCGATTGACTCTTGTCGCCCGCTCCCTTGTTGATGGCGCTGAGGAGGGTATCAGCGGGATGCGAGAGCACCGCGGCCGCCACACCCGCCGCCATGCCCGATGTGAGCTCCACGCCCGTCAACTCCAAATGTGAGAGCTGCGCTTTGCGCTCCGCGCCCATGCTGCGGAAAATAGCCTCGTTCGCAAACTCGTGCACGGAAAACTGGCCGACGGCATACGGGATCTGTTTGAAGATCAACGGGACAAAGCCCGAGTAGAAGCCGCGGAAGCCCTCTTCCCTCGCCAACCGCATGAAGCCGGGCAACAAGCCGCTCGCGTAGCCCCGCTGCGAGACGAGGCGAATGCGCGTCGCTTCCAGCGGACATAGCGCCACGTCGGCGAAGAATTCTCCCGCTGCACTGGCGCTCAGGTAGATGGGCATGCGATATTTGATGGCCGTCTCCTCGCTGCCGGCGAGGTCGATGAACTTCTTCTTGAAGAACTCGTAGCCCATGAATTTACCTCCGCCCTGCACGAGGTACCCGACGGCTGTGGGGCCGAAGCCAGTCAGTAGCGCACCGGCGCCCTCGCCTGCGATGATGGTGCGGGCGGCGCGGAGCATGTTCTGGCCTTTGAGCGAATCATCGACCTGTATCCGAGTCTTGACCACATCAATTGGAGTGGCTGACTAAGAGGCCGGGAAAGTTAGCAATGGGTGCTGTGCGAAGTTGGTTAGATTAAGACGGAATGTACTCACGGCATGTGTGCAGGTCGCTGCTAACGCGCCAGCGCCGAAGAATTTGGAGTAATCGGAGAGGGTGAAGTCGGGCGTCACCTTGCCGGCCGGCAAATCTTTGGAGCTGGCCATGACGTAGGGCGGCAAAGGCAAAGACTATCCGTACGCTGCAGCAATGGAAGGGAAGAAGCGGCGGGTGATGGCGGTGGAGGTCTCCCACACCCTGCAGCTTCTTAAAGAGTTCTGGAGCGGATGCAGTGCGGATTATGGAGGAAGGGGGGGAGTGATGTCGTTGGGATAAGGTGGTGTTGGGAAGGCTCGCGAGCTGAAGTTTCTTGGCTGACGGTTGCCTTCCGAGCCTTCCGCCGCGCGCATTGAGTTTCGCGACCCCTGCAATGTCAGCCACGTCGATTGTATGCAGCGCGTCAACGTCATTGCGATGGTCAATGCCCGCGCCACAGTCACAAGCGCTCTTAGATATGAGTGCTCCTCGTGTGATATCGACTTTTATATACATTTGCAACATCGAATTGATGCAACAGCCCGCAGTACGTACACTGCTGCGGAAGTCCGGGATAGCCTTGCTTACACATTCCTCTACAACTCCTCCACCGCATGTTCCACATGGAAACCTCTCTTGACGACCTTGGGAACGGCGTTCAGCGTAACAGCATTACCATCTAATCCATCCTCACTATCACCACTTTCGTGGACGCTGGAACGTCGTCCCAAAGCCTGTCGAACGTAGACACCGGCGCCGCTGCCAAAGACAATCTCGACTTCTTCCAGAGTAATCTGTGCCGTCACATTAGCGTAACTCAGCCACAATCAATTGGAACACACGCACTCCTTTAGTTTCCGGGTAAAAAAAGAAGACGACGAGGAAGGCGATGAGCATGCACACGGCGAAGAAAATCCACGTCCAGCCGTGCATGCTGTAGTACATGGGCAAGGCGGAGTACTGCGTTGCAAATCCCACCCCCATGGAGGCGACGTTAGCGACTGCATATCCTCGTGCTCTCAGGCCGGCGGAGTAGACTTCTGCGGGAAGCAGGTTGACCACTGCCATGGATGTCAACACTGCTTATGAACGCATAGATGCGAATGCTTACCTGGAGAGAAGAACATTACCCAGAGGAACCACTGGATGATATAACTTGGCCAGGTTAGCATATGAGTTCAAGAGCCGGACAAATCTCCTTACACCGTGACAAAGCCTGCGCCAGCCGCATGGTTGACGATACCTTTATCAAAGATGCCCAGCGTCAGTGCACCCTGAATGATCAAGCAAATACACGCCTGACCAAGAGCAATCATGTAATTCGTCCGACGACCCCAGATATCCAGCAGGTAACCCCCCACAATACCACCAATACACCACGACGCATTCTGCACCGACGAGATGCCAAACTGCACATGTGTGTTGGTGATGCCCGCCGCCCGGAAGACTTTGGTATAGTAATAGGTGAAGACAGATTGCCCATTCCAAGCCCACATGGACTGGCTCGAGATGGCAACGAAAGATCGATACCGGCCTGCTTTGGTCTTCCATAGCGCCGACCATTTGTCCTGTCCGTGCTTTTGATCCCAGTCAATTGCGGCCATCATGGCGTCGTGTTGCGTCTCGGCGAGTTCGGATAGCTGCACCTCATCGCCGACGATGGTGCCGCCGTAGAGCTTGGCGAGCACTTTGCGGCATTCCAACTCTTTGCCTTTGGAGTATAGGTAGCGCGGGGATTCAGGGATCCAGATGAGAGAGACAAGCATGATGGTGGCGGGGATGAAAGTGATGGATACGGCGGTCCGCCAGCCGGCATTCGTCTGGTCGTAGCTGATGCCGTAGATGATTCCGGCGGCGAGGAAGCCGAAGAAGTTGCCAGTGATCAGCGAGAAGCTGGACACAAAGCCACGATCCTCTTTCGCGGCCACTTCGACGGCATAGATCTAGAGAAATCAGCTCTGCACTGAACAGAGTTTGCGCAGGCGCCACACCTGATATCCTAGCAACAGGAAACCGATTGAAACCCCTTCAAGCACTCGTGCAGTGATGATGACGCCAAAATTCGGACTCCAGACCAGCAGGGCGGTGCTGACTTCCATGCATATCCCGCCGATGGCCAGAGTCATTCTCCGACCGAACGTGTCCAGAAAGAATGCTGCAATCAGGCCACCGACAAGCTGTCCCAGGGAATATACAGGTCCGACCCACTGGTTCTGCCAGCTAAGATGTCATCAGTACAGACCCAGGACTTGGGTTTCGAGGCTTCAACGCACTTGGGAAGGGCAAGTTGGCCCGGATAGCCGACATGTGCAATCCAAGCTGGAAGCTGGAAGATGGAGGCAATAACGCCAGCTTCGTATGACCTGGGGAGAGTGAACATGGGAGCAAGAGAGGGGGCGCAATGACATACCAGCCATCACCGCTCAGACTCAGTGCAAGCAGGACGAAATACCGATATCTCTTCGGCTTATCCCAGCCGCGGAGATTGTCGAAGAACTTCATACTCACTTTTGGCGCGTTGGTATCTGCGCCTCGTTCGTGATCGAGTACGGGGCCACGTTCGTCGGTGGGAGTGGTCAGTAAGGGAATAGAAGACTCCTCGGCGAAAGAGTCAACAGTGCGCGATCGACGGAGAGGTCCACGAGGCCGCAAGTCTCTCCCGACAACACCGTCCGGGGGAGGGCGCATTGTATATGCAACAAGCTATCAGGAACACGAAATGGGGCCTCGGGATCTAGAGCGGCGTGCTGAAAGCAGTGGCTTCTCGCCTTGCCCATTCCAGCGAATCGTGTGCTGCTCGCCGTCGACTGCGCGCGCCATTCTGGGTTAGAAGCAGGGATGGGAATCGTGGGGAGCTGCAGGGCGGTTGTCGCGAGGCAGGCCTGTTGCTCGAGAGAGGCCAATCAGCCTGGTCCGCCAAGGCGTTCATGACTTCATGACTTTCCGCCTGTCCAAGGTTCGCAGCTCCTCTCCTCCATGCATATGTGCGTTAGATCTCGCCCTTAGACTGTTTAGCACGTGGGCGTTCCGAGATCTCACGATCCGGGTGGGTGTTTGGCAATCACACGCGAGGAGTGGTGGCCATTGAAAGCACGTCGTGACGGAAGTGTGGTCGGTTTAGTTGAAGGCTTATTTCCATTCCGCATCTTCCACTCGAGCCCATAGCAAACCTCGGTAGGCCCTGGCAAGGCTGATGCTGTGCCGAGAGGTGACGTTACAATCAACGGCACATCGTGTCTTTGAGAGGCCACTCATAACACACCTATCCAATGCTTCGTCGATGAAGATCAAAAAGATCGGTGCTTGATTGTAGTGTCGTGTCTGTGCAAGCGGGCGGACGTCAATTGATCAGGTAAGCAGGCTATCGCAACACCACCCCGTCATCACATCATCAGTAAATCTGACGTGCATAAACTCAGCCATTTCTGTTACCCTTCTCAAGACAAGAGCCAGACTGCTGATCAGGTGCATCTACGATCTCGAAAGCCAACATGTAGGCCAGAGGCAAACGCACAAACCACTGAAGTCGCCTTGATGCGATCCGCCATCCTCCACCCAACAACATCGCAATGATTCCACAACTCGAACAGCTCGCAAGAGTCGTCTCGCAACTCTGCGGCTGGGCTTATTTCTTCTGCTGGACGCTCTCCTTTTACCCTCAGATCATGCTGAATATCCGAAGACGAACGACTGAGGGCTACCTGCCGGACTATCCATTGCTGTATGCTCGACCCCTCTTGCTATCATCCCCCATCAGTGAAGCATTTCCATTGATTGTTGTGACGTCTAGAAATATCCTCGGCTTCTCATGCTACGGAATCACCGCGGCTGCCTTTCTCTATTCTCCCGTCATTCGCGGGCAATACGCTGCTCGACATCCTGCGTACGTGCCATCCCGAATAGCCCGACGCTTCATTGGATATACAGCGTTACTCATGCTCAAACAGAAGCCCGGAACCAACTGTACGGTTCAACGACTTGGCATTCGCAGTCCACGCTTGCCTTTGCAGTATCGTAGTGTAAGTAAGATCCAGCCACTTGGTGTGCATGGCTGATACTCTCGTGCCGCTTCACAGGTACTCACAGTTCTGGCCGCGACTATGGGGGTGGAAGCCAACCACTGCAGTGCACACGAAAGCCGGCAGGACCTCCATTGGCATCATATGGGGCTCGTTATTTGGCGTGGTCATCACCATAGGCATCGTCCTCGTGAGTGGAAACACTACGAGCGACGGAGGCCATCTGAAGTGGGCTTGGATCGATGTGGTAAGTCAAACTGCCTATCTCGCTAGGGTCGTTTGTGAACCAGCTGCTAAGATGCTAATAGATCAACGCCATATCCTACGTGAAGCTCCTCGTAACGGTATTCAAATACACCCCACAAGCAATCTCCAATGTCCGACGAAAGTCAACCATCGGGTTCAGGTAAGAGCACGGCAACAACCTCCCTCGCAGCCATCTGCTAACCTCGTTTCGTTCCGGAAACAGCATCTGGCAAGTCCTCCTCGACTTCTCCGGCGGCATTCTAAGTCTTCTGCAACTCGTCATCGACAGCGCGCTCCAGTCGACCGGATGGAGGGGAGTGACGGATAATCCCTTAAAATTCGGGTTGGCGAATATCAGCATGCTTTTCGACGTCATCTTCATGGTGCAGCATTATATTCTGTTCGGACCTGTGGAGAAGCAGAGCGTGGAGGGCGGAGGGCATGGGCGGCGTGATTCTGCTGCTCAGTCGAGGGAGGAGGGAGAGAGCTTGTTACCAGCAACGGAACATCGATAGAAGCAATTGAGGTGCAAGTCAAGACGGACAAGCTGGCTGGCTGTACATCGCTCAGGTTATCTGCACACGTTCTACTTGACTGCCGCCCTCGACGTGACTCCTCAATCACCCCAGAAGAGGTTGAGCACCCTTCGGCAGCTTGACCTGAAACACCAGCGCCTGGTTCAAAAGATTGAACCCGCTGGCGTCCTTGTACTGGTACTTTCCAAAATTCAAGTACCCATTCTGCGTGATGAAGTCCTGCAAGAAACGATCAGCATACCGCCTACCTCCAGAAACGTCGTCTTTGGACTTACGTTATCACTGAGACTGAACAAAAAGTATTCCTCATCATTGGAACCAGGATTGACTGGCAACAAAGCAATACTCTCCCACTTCTCATTCAGCAAGCCCGCATTCTGCACGCCTCCATTATGCACCCCGAACCGTCGAAGCTGGCTATTGACATTGAAATCGAGCCAGCGGCAATACTGCGCCGGCTTGACGTCCTTATGCAACACACCCGCCTTACTCGCAATCTGGCACGTGTAGCAATCGGATACATTCCCCTTGACATTAGTCGCCTGGCTGATGTCGAAAATGTCAATGTCACGGTAGATGGATTGCGTGGAGGACTGTCCTCGACCGGCGCCCTTGTCGCGGGCGAGCAGCAGGAATTGCGTGTCGCTGATGTAGTGCATTTCGCTCTGGGCGGCGATTTTGGTGCTGGTGTTGCCGGGGATGGTGTGCGGGAGGGGCACGACGTATTCTGCTTCGTAGGTTGGGGGGTTGGTGGTGATGTCGTAGATGAGCATGCGAGCGTTGCTGTTGCCGTCTTTGGCTAGACCGCCGTCCTGAGCCAGTGTCAGTCAGAGTGTGTGTTTACTATGATTGGCAGCATCTCACCTGGTTCAAGGCACTCTGTATCACCGTGTACAGCTTCGTTCTGGCAGGGTTCGTAGTCAAAGCTTCGAAGCCTTGATTGTTGTTCCTTCCTGTCGGATTATCTTCCGGCTTGGGAACGAGATTTTGATTGTAGATGGGCGGGCTATCCGCGCTGAAAGATTCATTGCCCCGTCTCAATGGAATGAATGCGTCGGGGGGGCGGATAGCGGAGATCATGGTGCCGTTGCTATTGAATTGATCTGCAGAGACGTAATTAGCGAGATCGATGGCTCTTGAGCACGGTAGTCGCAAGCGGTGGCGTACAGATGTAAGGACCATACTCGTCACTGATCCAGAAGGTTCCGTCGGATCCAAGAAACAGGCCTTCACTATCAAGCACAACCCGAAAGCCACCAGGTCCTGCGCCACCATAGCCATTGCCCGTGTAGTTCACGCTGGGCAGCGTTAGTCCGAAGAATTCAAGGTAGGGCTGTCGGATATTGGCGTCCAATCCAGTGGTGGGGACGCCCTTGGGATCCGTGAGCAGGATTGAGCGGCTGTACTTCAGGTCGAGGTTTGGACCGGACGGATTGCCGAGTGTAGCGTTTGGATCGGGAGTGAAAGTGACGTCAATCACTTGAATCCGGTTTTGGTAGTTGAGTGTGCCCTGTGTATTCCTGTCAAAGGGTCAGTTGCAGGTCTCGACCGGAATGCCACCGCCACCTACCATCCTCTGTCAGGAAGAGCGTAGAGCGTGCCGGTGTAGCTCGCTCCTTTCTTCTTCCAGCTGCTGGCATCAAAGGCAATGGAGCTGCCGATGCCACCGATCGTGTCACCGTACTGGTCGCGTGCGTCCGAGGCGATGTAGCTGAGCAAGACGTTAGATTTCTTTCAATGAGGACGGAAGATCGAATAATGGTTTCGAAACGCACCCATAGCCTGCCAACTGCTGGTAGACGTATTCCTGTCCATTGCAGGTAGTGACGTTGACTGGCGACGATGCCGCGGTCTCGGTGGCACGAGGTACTACATTATTCAATGAGAGAGCGCAAGTGACCGAAGCCAAGGAAATGAGCGTGATGGCTGTGATGGCCAACATGATTGAGAAATTGTGGAAAACGAAACTCTCCGGTTCAGACAAAAGCCTACCGACGAATACCTTTCTATACTCTTCTTGAGATTAGACGCAATGAGAAGCCACGGCTATGGCGGGAGAGTATAGCAGGATCGCACAGAACACGAGGAGCATCTACAGCGATTGATTCGCACGACTGAAGAGCAAACTCGCAGATCGTCTTGGCGAGTGAGAGAGAAAGTCGCTGGCCGGCTTGGCGACTGCGGCCGGTAAATGAGAGTGGATTCGGTGCATGGCAGGGATGGGGGAAGAAGAGTGCGGTGGATTTAAGGAGTCGCTGGTCGATTTAGAGCGTGGTAAGGTAGGGTGGCTAGTGCAAAGCTTAACCAACCGTTAACCCACGATCAGCTCCGATCTTGGGGAGGACGATTGAAACACCACGTGCTCCTCTTCTGCAACACATCATCACCTCCACACCATGTCCGGCCAGCAGCCAAAGTGAGTGTTCTGTGCATTCTACGAGCTCATCAGCCACACAGCTCTGACAGCAACAGCGCATGGCATACCGCCAGTCGATCCAGAAACTCCTCCTCCCGCACTCCTCAGAACCGCTCGGGCACGCAATCTCCAAGTCAACAGACGACCGCCGCGCAAGCTCCTCGTCAAGATGCCGGCAGAAGCCAACAACCGCGCAACCCTCCCGCCAACAACGTCTGGGCGCAGCGAAGTTCGAATTCGGCTGCGAGCAATGGCTCGGTGAAAGCAGAAGCATCACCCGCACGGGAAGATGAGTACAGGCCAGTGAATGGGTTCAACGCCGCCGAAGTGAAGCAGTTCCTGGCCAGGGATGTAGCTGGTGCAACCGTCTACAAGCCAGCGGAGGTTGCAGGAACAGGTGGCAGGAACAGCGGAAGCGCATGGGGTCACAAGCGTAAGTAATGAAAACTGTCTCCATGCTGTGCAATTCGCTAATTCCCTTGCCAGCGAATCACATGGCCAACAATCAACCCTTCTTTGCGCACCTGGCGAAGCAAACCACGACCGTCGAAAGTGGGGGATGATGCACTGCCTCTCTTCCATGCTTGCATGTTCTGCCTCCTTTCGGCATTTGCGATCACGATACCCCGTTATATACTGCGTTCAGCGCATGATAATGCAAGACTCAATTCACTGCGCCATGCCAGGCCCGCGAGATACACCTCTCAACCACCAACTATGCCACTCTTTTCTCTCATCTTCTCACGTCTTCGGAGCACTGCCAGCCTCCCATTCATACCTTGCTAAAACTACTACCATCATGTCACAATTCAACAGATACAGCGAATACCAGCAAGCCCTCCGCCAAGTTGAGTCGCTGAGTCTTCGGTGAGTCCACTCACACTCTATCCCTTCTTCCCTGTATCACTATACGGAATTGTCACCCACTGATATGCAATACTAGACTACCCCTCAAGAAGCTCCCCCTAAGGCCGAATCTACCACTCCCAATAGAGGTGCGATGCATCGTCTGGCGCTTCCTGCTACTCCATCAGCACGTTCGCAGGCCGCCATATGGCGAACTTCCCCTTTCTCAGCGAAACTGGGTAAGCATTGCTCCAACGTACACCAACCAGATCCCAGCCTGCTGATCAGTCCCGATCTGTAGGAGTCCGACTACTTTGAACGGCAATTCAGCAAAGCGCACACCTTCAAATTCCACACGTCAATCCTTGGAGTAAACAAGCTGATCCACAAGGAATGCGTGGACGTCTTGAGGGAAAACCAGTTCGTCTGCATCACGCAGCAGACGCCCTTCGACACCGGCAAGCGCCACGATTGGCATATCCCCATCGTTTCCGAGTCGCCCAGGCATCTCTGGGGTTTGAAATACTGGGCCATGTCAATCTCTATCCGAGAGTCGGATGGCATGTATCCCGATTCAGATCCCAGCCAGGGGTCAGAATTCTGCGTGGTTGCGGACGACTTGCCCCTCGTTTGTGATATGATGCAGCACGGCTTCTATTCGTGTCCCTTCTCCTCGTCGGTGCTGGTCAGTACGGAAGACGTTGAGCACACGCCAGCCACGGTCTTGCGGATCGAAGCATTCAAGCAACAAAACGCCTACTTTGACACCGACATTCTGATCGCCGACTATGCCAGCGTCGAGAAGAATGAGCTGCGACGCTCGAATTTGCTGCAGCCTCTGCTCAACATGAAGCATCCCGGACAGCGCGTGACTATCCATGGAGTGCCTAGTGGTTTCCTCGCAGCCGAAAAGTTCGCAGAGGAGATCGATGAGTTAAAAAGACTAATGGGCCCGCAACCCGTCTGGCTCAACGCACTGGTCTGGGACGTGCTCACACCCGTGCGCAACTATATCGACCAAGGCAATGCGTACGTCGCCAGCGGCGAACTCGAATTGGCCGCTCAACAATTCTGCCATGCTCGCGAGCTGGGACCGCAAGATCTGTTCAACTGGTGTCCTGAATTCGCCTACAATACGAAAGCAGGTCTTCCGCTCGTACTGCTGTGGTATGAGACGATGGAAGCCGCACTCACCGAAGCCGCTCTCCTCATGAAACTCGGCGGCGACTCACCGGAGAATCTCCCAGGCGTGGCGCAGTTCTTGGATGCCTCGACAGAGTTCTACAATGAGACTATCCTGCCGACGGGAATCCTACAAGACCTGGTCAAATTTACCCAGACGGCTTCGCACATCCCCGAGCCAGCGATTATCGCTCGCGCGGTAGTCTGCGAGACAATCATGAAACTCTTCGAAACCGACGACGTAGATGAAGACTGGGTCGACGACTCCTATGAGATTTTCCGCGAACACAGACCTGTCCTCAGAGGAGATCAGCATTTCGAAATGGATGATGATTTCCATCGGACTAAAGTAAGTGGCCTCCATCTTCTTCCTCTTGGACCATTGCTGACAATAGCCCAACAGCGCCATGCCCTCTGGGCTCTCGGATTTCTAATGGGAGCGGATTACGAAGGCCACATCAGTGCGTCTTGCTTGCCTGTTCCGCTTGCCGGTACGCTGAGGGGAGAGCAATTCGATGTGCCGCCTGATACTTACGGTTTTGTGGATTTGGGATCGGATGCACCGGCTGAGACGGAGGAGGCGGATGCTGGTGGATCGGAGGAGGAAGATGGTGGAGATGAGGGGGCGGCTTGAGGGCGATGAGTCGACACTGGGTAGGTCAGACCTTGAATTGCTTCAGATACTCATAATGCGGCATGCTATCTTCCGCCAGCACTCTCAGCTGCCCTGCAACCGTTTCGCCGTACTTCTCTTTCCACGCCTGGTAAGTCCTCTCTATACTTGGCTCAGCAGGCTACATTCCTCCGTCAGCAGTCTTGCACTTCCTAGGCTAGAGATGTACATGCACTCACCTTCTCAGCTGGGCGCTCGATGCCCGCCGAATCATGGATATTCTTCGTCAACATGTACAGAAGAGGATGCATGCGCTCAATCTCCTCCTTCGACGTGGGAGTCCACTTATCGCTCAGACCGCTGGGATCAAGACCTAGCTTCGCACACAACGCTTTCGACATCTCCTCTGTGCGCCAGAGGATGTCTTCTCCATCGACGACGATGGGCTGTCTTCCCTGCGCCGTGAAATAATCAAAAAGGATTCGGATCGGCTTGTTCGTTGTGATGAGTTCGAAGTCTTCGTCGCCGGGCCGCTGTTGCGTTGCTTTCAACGCGGACTCGTAGATGGAGCGGACTGAGTGGGCGGGATGTCGAATGAGGACTATGGGCCGGAGAGCGTGGAAAAAGTCATCTGCGAGATACGTTGGATTGGTCCCCAAAGCAGACGGTTGATCGAGAGGAATTCCGCCTCGCAAGAGTTCGAGGACAACGTCAACCTTCAGCACATCGAACCAATGCTCGTTCAAAAAGGGGATCTTGCCCTCCTTCTCTGCCTGCGCCACCGCGTCCGTGAGCGCTTGACGGCACGTTGCCGGCGTGTCGGGGCAATCGGCGCGCTGCTGTCGAACCTCCTTCTCGCGGGCATCCGAGTGGCGGAAATACAGCGAGATGCGCTCGGGGCCGAACATGGCGGAGGTGAGGAAGGGATGGTAGATGGGGGCCAAGGCTGGGTGGGTGGATACATAGCGGAAGAAGAGATGGGAGCGTAGGCGGGTGCTGTCGAAGACGAAGATGGGTTGGGTAGATGCGGCCATGCTGGCTGATGCTTTCACGGCAGGATAGGGATCGAAAGGAGTGATGCTCACGGGTCTATATATATATACGCTGGCCTTACAAAGACCTACTTTTCCAACGCCGTGTTGGCCGGACATGCGCGCTTCCCGGCTTCCCGATGTGGGACGTCTGTCAGCTTGATAAATTGAATTTATTAGAAGCTGACATGATGATGATGGATCCGCCGACGATCTCCTCCAGCTTCTCATGTCAGACGGGAGGCCTGCGTGCATTATGCCTTCCCTCTCGGAGATCCTCGGACTCATCGAAGGCTGTTCTTCCCTCCTGGCGCTGGGTTTCCTCGCATGCATCGACACGCTTCTGCACGGCTCTCATGAAACTCCGCGAAGAAAACGAGAGCTGGAGAAGGCAACGCACGACCTCTGGTCTCTCGACACGCCGGCCGAAAATCCATTGAAGCACAACTTCCTGCTCCTCCCAAATGGCCTGCAATTACACTACTTGTCTCGCCAAAAAGACACTCGCGACCACAAGGCCCAAGTCCTCATCATCTTCCTCCACGGCTTCCCCGACTCCAGCTACCTCTGGTCGAACCTCCTCTCTTCAGACTTACTATCACCCAACGCAACCCTAATCTCCCTCGACCTCCCAGGCTTCGGCGGAAGCGACTCCCTCCCAAGCTATGCGCCGAACGACATTCTGCCAACCGTTGCAATAGCCACTGCGGAGTTAAGAAAGAAGCATGCGGGCCGATGTATCGTCGTCGCGCACGACTGGGGCGGCGCGATTGCCTCTCGTGTAGCGGCGAGGACTCATGGGCTGGTGGATCACCTTGTGCTTGTCAACTCGCTTTTTCCCTTGCATTTTCGCACTACGCTTGGGCGGCGTGTGAAGAGAGCTGTGGGCTCTGTCTCTGCGTGGTTGCGGCAGCCCCTTCGGACGGGACTTCTGCAAGTAGCGAGAGAAGAAGGCGCCGTTTTCTTTGCGCAACTTTTCAAATCGCATTATGTGCGTGATATGACTCTAACCAATGGCGAAAATCACTGACAAGTCCTGCGTAGGTCTTCATGATCAACCTCCCCTTCTTCTCCGCCCAGCGCTTCCCCCTCATCATCCACTACTTCATCACCACCTGTCACCGCATGGCCTCGCCCAAAAGCAAAGACGAAGCAACCCACTGGGCAGCCTCGTTAGGACCCAGTCGCACGGAGTGCAGCCAGAGCACGACAACCGGCACACAGTACAGCTCCTCAGTCAGCACCCGCGTTTCCCTCTTCCCAGCCCGCATCTGGGACGCACGACTCCATCTGTACAAAGATGGGCTCATGAGCGCTCGTTGGACTGGGAATCTCGATCCTGCGCTCACTGCTTTTATCCCTGCTGAAGAAGAGCGAGGAGGAGCGATAGACGAGTCGCGCATCCGGTGTCCCACGAGTGTGATTTTCGGGATGGAGGATCCGGCTCTCGACCCTAGGATCTGCGTTGACGGATTGGCGGAGTTTGTTCATCCTGACACCCGTGGGAAGGGGGTTTTGGTTCGACTGAAGGGTGTGGGGCATTGGTCGCCTGTGCATGCTGTTGGGTGGAGGGTGGTTGAGAAGGTGTTGGCGATTTTAATAAAGACGGGTGAAAAAGAGTTTCCGGGCAATCTGGTGAAGGTGAAGGACGAGCTGGGTGCAATGGCGCCTATTGACGATGTCCAAGTGGAGGAGCATTGATTGGCATTCATCATAGATCTAGAGCGGCACTGTTCATGCACCCAGCTGATATGGACCAGACCGAACACATCAAGCAAGCTCCGCCTCAACAATCGAATCCACAGCCTGCGGATGCGTGAAAATGCCCGTAATCTTCAACCCCACGCTCCCCAGCAACGCCGTGAACTCCTCCACCGTCCTCTCCCGCGACGCCAGAGCGGTCATGACTTCCCAGTCCATCGCCGTCGCCAGCCAATGCGCGCCCTTGTTGGGCAGCACGGCATCGCAGATGATGACTTTGGAGTAGCCTTTCTCCAGCGCGGGGACGAGGGCGCGGAAGATGGAGAGGACGTCTTCGTCGGGCCAGTTGTGGACGATGGAGTGGAAGTAGTATGCTCTTGCGCCTGGGAACGTATGTGTCAGTTCGGCGCTCACGATGGAAGGGAAAGCGAATCGACTCACGGGTCACCGGCTGCTCAAGGAAGAAGTCATGCGGCATCTTCACCACCTCCGGTGCAGCTTCTTTCTCCGCCAATTTGACGACCTCCGGCCGATCCTGCAGCACCAGCTTGCCTGGTATTTGCGGGCCAAAAGCCTGCAAAAGCCGTGTGAGATCATGGCCTGTGCTACCACCCAAATCTACCATGAACGTCTCAGTCGGGCCAGAGCGTGCACCGGTGATCAATCGATCTTTGACGGGGTAGTAGCCTTCCTGGAACCAAGCGGGCCGGTCGGAGGTGTACGTGGCCATGCAGCTTGCAAACTTGGCTCCCGCTTTGGGGTTGAGTTTGCCCCAGTACTCATACACTGACACGTCTTTGAGGCCGAGGGCGTGGGAGAGGGGCGTGAAGAGCACCGAGTCCGGGCTCTTGTACCCATTTTGCTTGAAGTATTCGGCGACATTCGTATGGCCGTGCTGGAAATTGGTGCACATCAGGTAGACCGTATCCTTGTAGCCTTGCTGCGTCATGGCGTTGGCAAAGGGCGTTGGAGCAAAGACGTCGGCCTCGGTTTCTCGCACATAATTAGTGGAGGCGAGGAGACGGAGCATGCGGGCGACGAGCAAGGGCTCGGCGGAGGGAGTGGTCAGGTCGGCGATCGCTTTGCTGGACTTTGGTGCTCCATTCTGCGCTGCCAGGGCTTCGAACAGCCCGATTTGCGTTCCGAGTAGCAGCGCTGCGTTGACTGTGGGCTGGGACCATTGCGTCAAGAGCAGCGTCTCGAGGGGTGTCAGGAGGGAAGAGCGTAAGCGAGAAGCGCTATCGAGTAAGGCTTCTCGTGCTCCGGCGGTCCCTTTCTTCCAGTCCTGCCCCTGCACGGCGATTTGTTGCAGCAGAGCACTGATCTCTTCGTCGGTCGACGTGGCCATGTTGGTGTGAATGTCGGAGGTAGAGACAAGCGTGACGTTGAGGACGAGGAGCTCGTCGAGCGAGGTGTAGAAAAAGCCATGCTCCTGACCGAGTGTGAGATCGGCACAGTCGCATGAACCCTGCCGGTACACGACGGCATAGAGCAGCGTAGCACACGCCGAAGAGACACAACCGGGGTCCGATCTGCCGAGCGAAGGGCAGATCGGCAGAACAACCAGGGCAGGCGATTGCAACGGCGAGGTGACGTCTCCGCGAGGTCCAACACGGCTAGCGCGGCGGCGCGGAGAAGCGAGGCCGCCCGCCCCGATCCGCCCGAACCCCCGCCGCCTCCACTTCCACTCCTCCTCTTGGCCAACCACCCCTCCGCCCGCACACGCATTTGATGGGATGCGGAGCGGTGATGCTCTGCAGCGTGATGCCAGTGGCTTCGACTTAGCCCGGATGTGGGGATAGTGCTGCAGGGTCCACCACGCCACCTGCAGCCGTACGGCCTAGGCGTCGACTCGACCCTGCATGCATTGCGAGCTGGTGAATCCACTATACTTCATCCCCGTCCCTCGTTGATAGTGATCACCTCTCTGCTACCGAGACGTGTGGCGTGTGGGTGACGAAGCAATATGGCGGCATCAACTCTCGCCCCCAGCAGCGGCGGCATACAAGCGCCTCCCATGGTCGAGTACGGCGAAGACAGCGCGGATCACGATCTAATCAATGGCGTCGACGCCACCATTACTCCTCAAGACGAAGGCGAAGGTGACGGCGACGGCGACTTTGACGACGACGAAGGGTAATTCGCTGCTCCCTTCACCCCAACTCCACGTCATATTTGGACTAACGGCCCACAGCTATGGCGCATCAGAAACGGGCTCATTCATCTCCGTCCTTTCCTCCGTGAGAAACGGCGTACGGGAGAACGGACGCCTGTATCCCTCCTACGGCAAATACGAATACGGCCTGCCCATGGACGAAAGCGAGCTGGACCGCAACCAGCTCCAGCACCACAAATTCACCCTCCTGCTCAATCACCGCCTCTACCTCGCCCCCATCCCCGACTCCGTCCTCGAGCAACCCGGCAGCCGCGTGCTCGACATGGGCACCGGCAACGGCGTCTGGGCCATCGACATGGCCGACAAATTCCCCCACGCCGAAATCATCGGCAACGATATCGCCGCCGTGCAACCCTCCTTCGTGCCCCCCAACTGCATCTTCGAAATCGAGGACGTCGAGGAGGACTGGCCCTATCCCCGACAATACTTCGACTTCATCCACGGCCGCGAATTTCTCTACGCCATCCGCGACTGGCCCCGCCTCATCTCCCAGGCCCACAACGCCCTCCGCCCCGGCGGCTGGATCCAGCTCGCCTCTTCATACCCGCTCCTCCGCAGCGACGACGACACACTACCCCCCAACAGCGCCCTGCTCGAAATCACCGACTCTTTCATCGAGATCAGCGAAAAGGCGGGTGCATCCGTGCACGCGCTGCGCGAGTGGAAACACCAACTCACCGACGCCGGCTTCATCAACGTCGCCGACGTCGTGCTCAAAATTCCCATGAACGGCTGGCCGAAAGACGACTTGCTGCGCCAGGTTGGCGAGCTCGAGGAGTGGATGCTCCGCGATGGGATGGAGTCGCTCATGCTCCGCGGCTGGACGCAGGTGCTGCATCGCCCGGCGGAAGACCTTGCTTTGTACATTGCATTGGCCAAGAAGGAGCTCCGTGACACGAGCGTGCATAGCTACATCTTCTTTCACATTACGTATGGGCAGCGACCTTGGAGTTGATATTGGGGTGGGTCTTTTTGTGTTGGAAATCGTCAAGCGCTTTTGGTGTAAATGGACGGGGGCATTTCTCTTCGAGACGGATATAATGAGCGTCATGATGTTGGGACAGCAGATTGCGCGACTCGTGGATGCGCCAGCATTGCAAGGGGCCGGTCGATCAGACACATAGCAAGAGACAGAGTAAGCCGCAAGGCTCGGGGACGATTCAAACGCACGTTGATTGGGAAAGAGGCACGACTTCATTCGAAACATCTAGAGTCTAACATTCTCAAGACTCAACACCCAAACATATTCTTCCTATACAACCACACCCGCCATCCCTCACAAACGTAGAACTCCACTCTAATGAGCAAATCGGAAATCCAACCGCTTGTTCCCCTTATCCGTCGTGGTGTTCAAGTACTCCTCGCGCTGCTGCTTGTCCATCGCGTCCCAAATCGCCGCGCGCTTGCGGTTGGTGCGCACGTAGAAGATCTTGGTGCCGACCATGACGAGGATGTTCCAGCAAGCAATGCCGATGAGCACCTTGTTGCCCGTGTAGTAGTAAGGCGCGTCGTCGGTGCGGTAGATCTGTTTTGCGCTCGTTAGCGGCCGCATGATGAGTAGAGGAGAAGGAGGGACGACTCACGTTGATACCAATCACATTCCCCGCTTGCACAGTCATGTTGTACAGCGCGGAGGCGACGGTGCGCGTGCGCACGCTGCCGGCGTTGCGGCTGGTGATGGCCACGAAGACGGCGTGGAAGTACGGGATGCCGAAGACGAGGACGGACAGTGCGTAGTCGACCCACGGGCTGCGACCTGGGCCAAGCACGACGAGGCCGATGAGCGGCGCGATGACCCAGATTTGGCTGACGGTGGCGAGGAGGAAGCGCTCGTTGAGTTTCTCCGAGAGCCAGGTCCACCACTGCAGGGGCTGTGTTAGTGGATGCAGCAGAGTATGGGGTTGTATTAGGGGTGAACTTACCAGCAGACTGACGATGAAGAGCGTGTAGGCCGGGATGGTGAGGAGGTTGGTCTCAAAGGTGCCAAAACCAACTTCGGTCAAGTTGAGGGTGATGTAGCCTTGCATGGGGACGGTGGGGATCAGCCAGCTGATGCCGATGAGGTAGATGGGCCACATGTGGTAATCCTTCAAACACGCCCACAGCGCACTCGGGCTCAGGCCTTGACGGTTATGCATGTCGCCCTTGGAGGGGTCGTCGCGGAGGATGCGGTTGGCGATGATCTTCTCTTCATGCACCGTGAACCAGCCGTCCTTGCCGCGGAACTTGGAGGCCGTCTGATAGGGTGATGGCGGGAGGTAGAAGTAGGAGATGATGCCGATGATCCCAGTCAGGGTGCCTTCCAACGCGAACAGCCATTGCCAGCCGTAGAGGCCTTGATGGCCGGGAGTGTCGTAGGAGAACTTGAGTTTGTGTGCGCCGGTGCCGACGGTCTCGTGGACGACTGGCCCGCCCAAGCGAAGAATGCCGTAGGCCAAGAAAGCGGACACGATGTTGGTGCTTTGGTACGCGACCCAGAAGAAGGAGAGTCGGGTGGGCAGTTCGACAGAGGTGTAGAAGTAGCTGAGGTAGAGGATGACATCGGGGATGAAACCGCCCTCGATGATGCCGAGGAGGCATCGGCAGATGTAGAAGCCGGTCTTATCCTTGATCAGGCACTGAAGCGAGGCGACAAGAGACCAGGAGACCATCTGGATAGGGATCCAGTTGTCCGGGCCGAGTTTCTTCGAGATCAGTTGAGAGGGCAGCTCAGCAGCGAGGAAGGAGACGTAGAAGATCATTTGGCCGTAGTTGTAGTTGTTGCTGGTCATCTTGAGATTCCCGAGCATACCGTCGGAGAGAGCCTGGACGATGTTGCCACGGTCGAGCTGGAGGGCGAAGAACATCAGGCAGACCCACGTGCAAATCTTCCAGTCGATCTTCCGCACGAGGCGCTTCTCATCCTTGGCTTCCCAGGCAAACTCAGGGTCGTATCGGTGTATACCTTCGTAGGAGGCGATGGGACGGTAGATGGCATTGTCGGATGCATTGCCGAAAGTGCCAACAACCTCGCCTTCGGCAATGGATGAGCGTCGACGCTCCTTGGTCGGGACAGCAGACTCCCGTCGACCTGCGAGGACTGGGTCGACGACCACAGCCTCTGGGAAGGGGTTGAAGACTTTGGTGATCTTGACATCCTCGAAAGGCTGGTTCTCTTCCGAGTCGGGGCTCGACCGACCGTACTCATGAACGTAGACGCCCTTTTCGTTGTCTTTGGACATTGTGTACAAGGGCACTAGGTCAGAGTGGATGAATAAGAATGATCAAGTAGACTGATCTGGGAGTTGACATGAAATGCCCGACTGGCAGTCCCTAGATATATACCAATACATGGTGCCGCCGGCGTATGGAACCGTTTCCTGTTGGGGATCTTCCTATCGGGAAAAGACGACGGGGCGCTCGCGTGTCGACGATGTTGCAAGAGACCAGACCCACCGAGATGCATTGATGCAATGGCGAAATCGTGTATTCCCGGGCGGATCAGCCTTGGGATTGACAGAAGGGACGGGCTAGGCGACGGGACATGGCGCCCATCAGCGACCACCAAAGCCATTCTAGCCCCACCAACCTCATTTGAGGGAGGCACAGTGGTGGCGATTGGGGCGCGTTGAAGGGATCTAGATTGCGAGAGTGCATGAGTAGAGGCGCGCATAACTGACGTGCTGCCGGTGAGGCTCCTGCGCCAAGCCAGCTTCGTGCACGTGGAAGGCCGAGCACGCCATATCCCAAGGCTGTCGCACAATTCAAGCAACAAAGCTATGCTCCCAATCAGCGCAGCTTACATTTCTTGAATCCACCCATGGCGCGACGAGGCGCTTGGCTGCAAATCACAATGCATGCATAATGGCTTGGTATGGGGCACTTGTAATCGGGTATGGCGCGGGACATGGGGTATAGCCCACGCGAAGAGTGGATGAATGGAACGTGGCTGGCCAGCTACTGATGGTGAACCGAGTGGCCAACTGTTACCGGCGGTGCATGATATCCTCGGAGGTTGGGAAGAGTCTTCTTCCCGACGATGCCTGGTATGTTCCAGAGAGATTCTCCCCATTCGAGCAAGAATGCCGATAGGATCATCACATTCGTTCCAATGGGTTACTGCCTCTCCTCGCTACATCTTACCACGGCCACGAAAGACGTGCTGTGGCCAACATCAACCCAGGCAATCGATCGAGAAAGAAAGAAACAACACAATGTTCGAGATCGAGTCCGACAGCCACGGCTCCGTGCCGCAGCACGGCGACATCCGGTAGATCTATCGCTCGACTTTCCACAAGCAGCCCTCCGGGTCGTCGGCTTTCTTCCGGCCAGGCTTTCCACAACTTCACGTCAAAGGCAAGTCCGCCCGGGCTCCTGCAAGGGCCATGTCGTGATTGAAGCTCGGGTCTGGAAGGCGATGACTCGGCGGCATCAGGTTGCTTTGAAGGGCATCCAGGAAAGGAAGGCGGTGGGAAGCCAGACATGCGAGCCGAAGCGCTTCACGGATGGCCTGTTGCTGACCATTGCTGAGCGTATTGGCGGTGATGTTCAATGCATGCATCTTTCTATGCATTCAGTCCTCGCTCCTTCCGCTGCTGATCGAGCGCTCTCTCTTCGATCGATGGGAACGATGACTGCGCGGCCGTCGATCCTCCGCCTCTGGATCTCTCTTTCGATGCGATCGTGGTCCGTCCCTCTCTTTGGGTGTTTTCTCCTCACCGCCGTCTCTGTGCTTGTGGTGATGTCGATGGCTGTGTTTTCGCTTCCGCTTGCTCTCCCTTTCCCGAGCTTCAGTGACCTCTGCTTTCTTCTGCTCAATGAGATATGCCTTCATCGGATCGTCGTCGTCGTGCTCCGCTTCAATCTTGGCCAATTCGACCTCTTCCTTGAGTCGCGGCCGATCGTCCTCGCTCTCACTCTCGGACCGGCGTCGCTTCCTTCGCTCGTCACCCTCTCGATCCGTATCGTCCCCACCGTCCTCCACCACCTCTTCTTCCCCAACCGTCTCTACTTCGCCCTCCTTCTTGGCATAGCGTGTATGATCCACGCTCAACACGCGGCCCAAAACCCCAGCTCCACTGAGATTGTCCACCGCCAAATCGCAACTCCGCTGATCCTCGTACTTGAGAAAGCAGAACCCCCGACTCTTGCCCGTATCTTTGTCCCGCATTAATTTGACGTCAACGGGGTTGCCGTATTGTGAGAAGATCGTGAGGACATCGCCCTCGCTCAGCTCAAAGGGCAGGCCGCCGATGTAGATGTAGGCCGTGTCGCGGTAGTCCGTATGCCAAGAAGCATTTGGCGGCACACATTTTTCCAACTCCGCCTCGTTGAGCCGTGCGACCTGGCGGATGGACTGCATGTTGTTGACAGGCCAGGCGGGCCCAGAAAATGCCTGATGATCTGCTGTGATGTGAATAGAAAAAGAGAAGCTGGAGACAATTCTGCCGTGAAGGCGGTGAAGATTTCCCCGCGATCTTGGCGTGACGGCCGACGCGTAGCCTCGCGTCTTCCACTGCTTAGAAACTGCCGTGGATGAACCACACCTCGCCTACACCTTCAGCATGCCTCTAATGTCCGGGCGCAAGAGACGTGCGGTAAGTGCAGAGTGTATACTCCCTTGTGTGAGCTGCTGCTAATATCCACCACAGGAAGCCGTAGCGGAGGAAGAATCAGACGCAGCCGCATCTCCCGTGTCCTCTCCGGAACCAGCCACGCAACGTCGACGCCTCAGTCCCGAAGATGAAGATTATGGCGACGGAAACAACGCTGCTGAGGACGGAAATCTCCAGCAGCTGGTTAAGAAGATGGTTCGGCTAGCGCTTGCTTGCGAATACCAACGGCGACCTATCCGACGTGCAGACATCAGCGAGAAGGTGCTGGGAAATGCAGGCAGCAGGAAGTTCAAAGAGATGTTCAACGCAGCGCAGATGGAGCTGCGAAGCGTCTTTGGCATGGAGATGATGGAGCTGCCACAGAGGGAGAAAGTAACGGTCGCACAGAAGAGAGGTAAACGCATACCCGCATCTGGCTCCGGTCCAAATCGCACAGCTGACGCAGGTTGTAGCCGCGCAAAAGTCCCAGTCACAGGCGAACAAACCCATAGCTTCTTGGATCCTAGTCTCTACACTTCCAGCCGACTTTCACGACCCTGCGATCCTCCCGCCCCCGCGCGCCCCGACATCGGACGAAGAGAGTCGCTACACGGCCATTTACACCACCCTGGTCTCCCTCATCAGTCTCTCCGGCGGCGCCCTCCCCGCTGCCAAAATGGAACGATATCTACGTCGGCTGGAGATAGAGGATAACACGCCCGTTGCCGCCCAGCAAGCCACCGGGCAAGAGAAGACGGAGAAATTGCTGAAGCGAATGGAAAGGGAAGGCTACTTGATCAGAGTGAAAGAGTCCACAGGCCAGGGCGACGATGATGTTTATTGGACAGTGGGGCCAAGAGGCAAGGTGGAGATTGGGGAAGACGGCGTGCGTGGGTTGACGAAAGCCGTGTATGGCGATTTGGACGAAGGCGCAGACGAGGAACTGGACAGGAAGATTGCGAGGAGTCTTGGGCTCGGAGATGCACCGCCTGCTGCTAGAGGGCAGAATGCAGCACCGCAAAAGAAGAAAGGTCGAAGGAGGAAGGATGCTGACGACGATGAAGAGGACGAAGATAGCGATGCTGATTGATCGAAGCGCCGTACTACGTCGTCGAACCAAAGTCTAGTCTCACGGTCCCTCGCTCGTTGTCCACAATCACCCTGGTTCCCAGCTCGGCACTCAGATCTCTAATCCTCTCCCGCACCCACTCTGCATCCTCCTCATCGGCATCTAATCTCCAAACCTGAAACCTGCGAATGGCGGTGGGGTACATCTCCAGCTTCCGCAACTCCAATCCTTCTTTTACCTGACCATCGCCGGATGCATCTCCCTCGGCAACAGTTATTTGCCAAACACCGCTCAGGTCATTCCGATAGTCTGGCTTGACGGCATAATCATCCACAAAGTCGCCGCAGCCATAGATGATCAACTTGCCCTTATACCTCTCTACTCCTTGGACGTGATGGGACGAATGGCCATGCACGATATCGATCCTGCACTCGTCGATCAAGTAGTGCGCCAGATCTCGGATCTCTTGCGCGGGCTGCCACGAGTAGTTTGGACCCCAGTGGACGGAGAAGATCTTTAGTGCGGGCGAGTTGTTGCTTGATGGCGAGCTTGTAAGAAGTTTCTTCAGTCGACTCCGCGTCTTGGCACTGTAGTCGATGAAGTGGAAGGTGGAAATGGCAGACCAGTCATCCGGATGGTCCTGCGGATCGAGGGGTCAGCTTCTTTATCTCCACTACGGAAAAGCGACATACCGCGGCGGCCCAAATGTGGATCTCGTGGAACTTTCCATCACCCCGCGACGACGGGAGGCGCAACACAGCAGGACTGCATGCCTCCTCCTCACTCTCACCCGCTCCGGCACAAGCTATGCCCGCCTTCCTTACCGTCCGCACAGTCTCTAGCAACCCCGGCTCACAAAAGTCAAGCGTATGGTTATTCGCCAATCCCGCGTGATCAATCCGCGCCGCCTCCAGCGCAGAAATGTTAGCAGGATGCATGCGATAATTGAACACCTTATCCGGCCATTTAGTCGGATGCGTCGTGACGGACGTCTCGAGGTTCAACAAGTTCAGGTCGGCGGAATGTAATAAGGGAAGGGTGTCTCCCCAGGGACTTGTGGGATCGTATGTCGGCAGGACGTAGTTGGAGGATCGAAAGGATCTTACTATTCGTGCTTCGTCGGGTTCGTCCACGTGTTGCGGGAACATTTGGTCGATGAGACGGCCTAGCATGGTGTCACCCATGAAGTTGAGGATGAAGGTCTGTGGAGCCATTTTACGTGCTCGACGAAGCATGCGGTTATGAGGGATGAAAATTGGCAGGCGGGCGAGACAGGAGATGCCCAGTCTGAGGGATAGGGAACGGACGTTGATGATGATATGGCTGGAGTGGGGCTTCCATATCAGCCCGATTTGCTTATTGCAGCTTCTCGAACAAGAGATGCGAGTCGAGCGGCGTAGATCGCCGATACTTGTCTGCGCGATACGTCCCTGATTTCAAGCAATGTCTGCATTAAATGATGACGGTAATCGTATGGTTAGACGTGAAGTACAATGGGCAACACGCCGAATCACGGCTTTCACGTGGAAATCCCCCGGTCATATCGCGCTAGGCCCATTCGGGGATTCTGGTGGGGCAGGGGTTTCAGACAGCCGTCGCCAAGAGTCGTCCAAACATTGAACGTCGATCCATCCAAACACAAACATCGCCGCTCACCGTCTCTTCGATTTTCCACCACCAAACATCCTCTCGCCGTAGGCAGGGATCGAGCGCCAGAATACAACAGTCGCAACACCGAGATCGAAGCTTCACAGCTCACCACACAGTCCACAATGGGTGAATCCAGGTGCGAGGGGCCTCCTGCATTGCGGTGTCGAGTATGGGACATTGACTGACGTACCATCCAAACAGACAAGAGCTGCTGGGATGGATGAATAGCCTCCTCCAGCTGAACATGACCAAAGTAGAACAATGCGGGACTGGGTACGTCTACATTCCCATCTCAGTCCCTCCCATCACAAATGGCTAACCATGCATCACCCACAGAGCCGCGCTCTGCCAAATCTACGACAGCATCTACCTCGACCTCCCGATGGCGCGCGTAAAGTTCAACGCAAACAACGAATACTCCTACCTCGAGAACTTCAAAATCCTTTCCAACACCTTCCGCAAGCATGCCATCGACCGCCCCATCCCTGTGCAGGACCTGATCAAGTGCAAAATGCAAGACAACCTCGAGTTCCTGCAGTGGTCGAAGCGGTATTGGGACCAGTACTACCCGGGCGGGGACTACGATGCGATTGCGCGGCGGAAGGGCGCGGGCGGCGCGCCGGCCATGCCTGTTGCTGGCGGCGGCGGCGGCGGCGGGCGGACATCGGGTGCGAGGCGGCCTGTGGGGTCTGCGGGCGTGGTGCCGCGGACGACGAGTCGGCAGACGGGGGGTGGGAGTGTCGGGGCGGGAACGTCGGGGGTGCTGCAGCAGAAGAATGCGGAGTTGATGGAGACGGTGCAAGGCTTGGAGCGGGAGCGGGACTTTTACTTCAGCAAGCTGCGGGATATCGAGCTGCTCATTCAGCAGGCCATGGAGGCCGAGCCGAGTCTGGAGGAGGATGAGGGCAGTTTGCTCAAGCAGATTCAGACGATTCTGTACTCGACAGAGGTGAGTGGTGCTTCCAAAGGCCGTGGCAGATTTAATGGCTAACGCATGAGACACAGGAGGGCTTTGAAATTCCCCAGGAGGCCGAAGCAGGCGAGTTGGCGGGCGAGGAGGAGACGTTCTGAGAAGACGGCATTTCGTAGCAGCATTCCCACCCTTCCCAATGATACCAAGTGATTGCAAGAGGACGGCAGGAAAATTGATCATACAGGAGCAGCCCTACTGTGCTTCACGCAAGGCGCTCAAGACTTCCAAACAAGCATCGTTGCACATCACACCTCCTCGAACGAATCACCCTACTTCACCCCACACACACATCTACAATCCGCAACAGGACAAACATCCCACTTGGCAAACCACATCCTCGCATGATCCGCGTGGAATCCATGCCCACAACTAACGCAGAAAGTAAGGAGTTGCGCTAGGACATCGACACCACCACCACAGTCCTCCAGCTTATTGGGAGTCGCGGCGCCCGGAGTCCGCGGCGACGTGCTTGTGGGTGATGTAGAAGAGGCCGAGACTGCTCGAGCGGGATCCGGCGTTCCCAACCACGTGAGACAGATTCCGCAGCGTGGGAGGTGGCGGCCGCAGCGGAGGCACACTGTGCCGGTGTGAGCGGCTGGACCGCTGCTGATGCGCGTAGCTGTGCGGTCAGCGGAGGCAGGAGTTAACCCCAGATCAGATGAGCGCGGGGGATTAATATATCGTCCACTCCCCGTGCCCAGCGCAGCCTGACAATGCAAACAACTCAACTCCGTCTGCGGCGGCGGAGACGGAGAGGGCGGGATCGCCTTTCCCCCCTTCACACGCGCCATGCGATTATGCCGAACCGTGAAGCGCGCCTTTTGCGCCCAGCACCGCCACCCCAGCATCTGCTCCAGATACGTCTGCTTCCACATGTCCCACCTCGCGTCGTCGTGCACGTACTTTGGGTTCGTGAAAGCCGTGGCCAGCACGGCGGTCTGCAAATCGTTCGTTTTGGCGATGTATGTTTGGAAGAGGTCCATGGCTTGCTCGCCGAGGCCGGTGAGCAGGAGGCCCTCGAGGTCGCCGTTTTTGACGCCGCGCGCGGTCTCGGATTGGATGAAGCCGCTGAGTTCGGTGTCGTTGAGGTAGCGCAAGCCGAGGGCCATGCGGTAGCCTAGGTGGAGGTAGTTGGTTTTCATCACGTCGCGCCAGTCGCCTGTGCCGTCATTGTCAGTGGCTCTTACGTGGTGAGAGATGTTGTGCGTCGCAACTTCTCACCGGTATTGAGAAACGTCAGCAACGCCTTGAGAGCAGGATCCGACGTATCTGCCGCCATCCACAGACACATCTCCTTCTGAGCCTCATTCATCTCATCCGTAGCGAGCAGTGCACCCAATCCGATATTCTCAATCGTCTTGCTCCGGATGAGCGTTCGCAGTAAGTTCAAAGCAATGTGCTTGTGGTCGTGCAAGACAGCCTGCACGATTGCCTGGTAGTAGAGACCGCGCTCGATGAGTTCCTGGCATTCGGCTTCGAGGGTGTCGACGGTGAATTTCCAGCCGCACATCAAAAGGCACCTAAGGGACCGAGTCAGTTATAAGCAGTCTCCGGCACTGACGCAGCAACTTACAATTGCCGATGTTCGGGAAAACTCGTCCGCTCCCCCTCAAACGCCGGGATCTTCTTCAAAGCCCCGAGGCCCACGATTGCCTTCGCAGGCTTCGTAGACGAATGGCTCAAATGCCGATGCGGCGATGTGCCGAACTGCTCGAACCACAGGGCCGAGATGCCCAAGTAGCTCAAATCCCAGCTACCGTATATCATGCCCTCTTTGGCAATGGTTTCGTAGCGGCCAACGATTTCCCAGAGTCGCTCGAGTTGGAAGTTGCCGGCGACGATGTCTGCGTTCTTTTTGCAGTCGAAGAGGTAGCCTTGGCGGCAGCGGTCTTGTCGGAGAGTGCCTGGTGATAGGAGGCGGGCGAGTTGTGGGGAGTCTCTGTCGCATAGACGAGGTGCGCCGTGTTCTACGCTGTTGGCTTTCTCATCTTCGTTGCTTGCACCTGCATTCACATCCCCTGCCAGATGGTGTGGAGCTGTATCATCCCCAGTAATTTGTGACGGAGCGGCAGGCTCGGTGATAGTCAATCGATCAAATGCCAGGATCATGTCCTGGCGAGGTGTGATACCAGCGCATGGTTTTGCAGTAGGCACTTGAAGTGCATGCACAGCTCCATTAGCACGAAGGGTAATCATAGGCTGTGAATAGCTGTCGGTAATCTCATTCACCCAATCGTAAGCAACAATGCGAGTCTTGCTCTCCTGGCCGTGCCGGGTGTCGTGGTATGGCGCCTCTAATACCCTCGTCTCCGATACGTAGCAATTGCTGGATCTTCCGCCGGAACCAGATCTGCCGTATTGGTCTGTGGTCTGGAGAGGCTCCGAACCTTGCGTCATATCGATGGTCTTCAGCTCCCCTGTGCTCGAACACAAAGCTAGCCTGCCCCGTCTCTGACCAGAGTACCGTAGACTCCAGACTGTGGTTTCGATGGCATTACTCACGACAGGATTAAATTCGAGGACAGCGCCGTTGGTCGATGTGGAGCTGGCTGAGGAAGAGGAGGAAGGCGACAGCATCCACCGCCTATCCCACACAGTGACACAAGGATCAGCGGTAGAGCCAGCAGCGGCAAAATAGTTCTCATCCAGAGGGTCAATAGCAATGTTATTCACATTCCTCGTCGACGCTTGGGCGACAACGGTGCCGGATTGAGAAGCAGCATCTCGAAGGTCGTAGATCCTCACGAATGCGCGTTGCGTGCCTGTGACGATCTCCTGCGGCTGACCGGGAAAGAAGCGCACGCTGGACACCAGCTCTGCAGCACATAGCCTCCGGATTGGGTCGGCAGAAGCCTCTGCGCGTCGAGTATCGTAGATGAAAAGGCACACATCGGACCGGGTGCGATCTACGGCCAGCGCCAGCCAGTCCTGGGTGCTGAAAGCAATGGAATTGCCCTTGCGCGGCTGCTTCACCTTGAGCGTCGCCAGAGTCTCACTCCCGCCTTCATCGTTGCTCCGAAGCTTGACCAGACTCGCGCTGCGGTTCCCAAAGCCCAGGGCAACGATGGACTCATCGCTTTTGGACCAGTCGAAGGCAGCGATGGGGGGCAGTCGGCTGTAGTGGGAGACTGCGTGGTATTCAACCTTGCCACGTCTGCTCTTGGGGAAGGAGTCGATTTGGTTGAGGGTCAGGCTGGAATCGGCAACGTCGACGAGTAGGAAACGCTTGCGCGCCCCGCCGCCGTGCGGCGACCATCTCACCGCTGCCTCCATTTGCGGTGTGATTCGCACTGGTAGAGCGACATGTCTTTCCGTAGGAGTCTCAATGTGTGGGCGGATGGCAATTGGACAGAATGTATGGCAAGAGGAGAATGGTGGAGATGTGAAGTCGCGGCCAGTCGCACCGCCACAAGGCTGGCTGTGGCTGGCTGTGGCTGGAAGCTCGATGTGGCTTGGACTGCAGGCGTACGTCACGTCACGTTGGAAATTGGCGGCGGTGATTCGCAAGGCGCGCGGCTACTGCCTGTCCCCATTCCCCTTCACCGGTGTCCGCAATGTAGGACAGTGCTCGTTCGCCCGGTCCTGTTTGACCGTGGCAGAGCATTCTCAATCATCTTTCCACTCACCCTTCGAAACCATGGCCACGACAACCAAGACGGCCCCCCGTCTTCCTCCCCGCCAACCAAGCAATGCCGCACCCTCCCCTTCCCACCCCGAAGACCCTCCTCCGCCCTACACCTCCTCAATGGCAGCGGCATCCGATCCCCGATCCTCCTCCATGCAATCTCTCCTCCCCACCGAATCCAACCGACACGACGGAACGCGGAGGAAACTGCTGTTGATCTTCATCCACGGCTTCATGGGCGACGAGAGCAGCTTCCGCTCCTTTCCCGCCCACGTTCACAACCTCCTCACAATCCTCCTCGCCGATACGCACGTCGTCTACACAAAGATCTACCCGCGCTATCGCTCGCGACGCAACATCATCTTCGCAAGAGACGATTTCAGTAAATGGCTGGAACCGCACGAAGGCGCCAGTGTCGATGTTGTGCTTCTAGGCCACAGCATGGGCGGGCTGTTGAGTGCAGAAGTGGTGCTGATGCCTTCCGCTCTTGAAAATGCTCCCCCCTTGAAGCACCGCGTCCTCGGCACCGTCAACTTCGACGTGCCGTTCTTGGGCATGCATCCGGGTGTGATCAAGAGTGGATTGGGCAGCATCTTCCACTCCGCCAATCTCGAAGATCAATGGTCTCCAGAGCTCGGCGCGTCGACCCCTCATGACGCTGGATCCATGTCGTCCGCCTCTTCTCTGAATCTTGGCCCTCCCGACCGTACCGATACCCTTTGGCACAAGCCTGATCCCAACTTCAATCAAGCGTTCAACAACGACGTCGTCCTGCCCGTGAGGAAAGGCTGGCGAAACGCACTGTATGTGAAGGTGGATCTCGAATGTTGAAACATAACACTGACGTCCAGCTCCAGCCACTTCGTCCACAAACACTCCTCCAACATCAACGAACTCACAAAAGCCACCAAGCAGCTCGTCACCTCCCACCTCGAATTCGGCGGTGCAATGGCCAACTACTCCGAGCTCAAGACACGGTATACCCGACTCAGAACACTAGACGAAACGAATGGTGTCCTGCGGAAATCCGTAACGAAGAGTGCACAACTTCCTGCTCGAGTCCGCTTTGTAAATTACTACACCGTAAGCACCGGCCGCGTAACAAAAGCCAAAACACCACAGCGGTCTCCCTCTCGCAGTCCAGATAGAGCGAAATCCCCCTCATCCACCCCTCACGACGATTCACGAAGCCAACAAAACCCCAACACCCTCTCCCGCTCAACAAGCACAGAACAAGTAGAAGACTGGCAAAGCGCCGCCGAATCCCTCACAATAGGCGAACCAAACACCACCACCACCAACAATCCTCAACCAGTCCTCGCAATCGCAGTCGAAGCACCCCTCCCCTCGCCCCCACCCCCTCTAAACATCTCCTACATCCAAGACCCCACCACCCGCAAACTCGTGACGGAAGAGCACGAGCGCGCGGTAAAAGCGTACGAAGAAGCCCTCCAAGTGCGGCAGAGTCAACGGCAAGAAGAGGGCGAGACATCAGCGGCGCGCCTAACGCCCACACCATCATCCACCTCCCTCACACCAACACCCACCACATCCGAACCCCAACCAAAGAAACCGCCCCGCGAACGCACCTTTTGCGCCCTCCCGCCCAAAAGCGCCAATAACACCCTCGACGCAACGTGGGTGCGCATCTTCATGGAGAATGTGGATGAAGTGGGCGCGCATTGCGGCTTGTTCTTTGTGGATGAGCGGTATGAGCGGTTGGTGGGGGATGTGGCGGAGAGGGTGGAGGGTTGGGTTAAAGAGGGGGGTCATGTGGGGATGGATTTGCATGGGGGCGAGCGGTGGGGGGAGAGTTTGGATTAATACCCTTTGTTGATTGGTTGGATGTGATGAGAGGAGTGGGTGGGGAGGTTATTAGACAAGTAGTCTTCATTATAGATTCTCCCAGAGCGGGTAGCTCGAGGAGGAATTCATCAACTATTTGTTATCGGTATGGTATGGTATCGGTTCGTTGTTCTCATTACGATCGTGACCCCAGGATCATCTTCATCTCTTACTTCCTCCACTCCCTTCATTAATCCTCAAGATCATACCGAACACCCTCTACCAACCCGACGACGCAGCGCTCCAAGCACTCCACGTCGGGGCGCTCTCAGTTGATGCGGCCCACGGCGTGGTCTCTGGCGTCGACGCGGTCCACGGTGCTGACTCGGTGGACGCAGCGCTCTCAGTCGAAGCGCTTGAGACGGGGGCGCTCCAGACGGTCGAGGTGCTGTACGATGACGCGCTGGACATCATCGAGCTCGAGGTGGTGTTGCTGGAGCCCGAGGAGGAGGTGTCGAGGGGCGAGCTAAGGTAGAGCTTGCGCGAGGAGGTGCCGACGTAGACGGTCTTGGGATAATCGTTGATGACCCTGGAGAGACAACGTTAGTATGGGAGAGGCCTAGTACAGGATTTGGGGAGTCTTACCAGTTCTGAGTGTCAATGTCCCAATTGCTCAAGTCACGCCGGGTAATGTCGGCGGAAAAGGTGACGGTCGCGCCAGGGGAGATGGTGATTCTGTCAAACCCGCGCAGCACCACCTTGGCATTGTAGTCCGACGGCCCGCCCAAGCTGATGTACAGCTGCGCCACCTCGTCGCCCACGACGCTGCCGGTGTTGGTGATGTCGGCGGTGACGGTGAAGATGACATCGTAGAGCTGCTGATTGCCGCCCGGGGCGACGTTGCTGCCGGCGCCGAGGTAGGGCTGGGCGCTGCTGTCGTAGCCGCCGGCGGGGAAGGTGTAGTCGATGCCGTACATCGGATCGCCGCTGCTGGCGTTGAGGCTCGTGGAGTTGAGGAAGGGATAGATGTACACGGGAACGCGGTCGAAGCCTTCAGGCACGAGGTAGTCGGAGGTGTCATTGCTGACGGTGCCGTACGTGGGTGCGGCCGGGGTGTTGCCAGTGGTGGGAACGTACGGCGTAATGCCATGCGATTGGACCTGCAGGTTGGAGTACGAGAAGGTGGTGTAGGAGAGACCGAAGCCAAACTCGTAGATGGGCGTCTCGTTGCGGCGATCGAAGCCGCGGTAGTCGGTGAAGATGCCGGCGTCAAAGTCGAGCTGCGGCGCGGCATCACCCTCGTTTGGCATGTAGAGCAGGTCGGTGCCGTAGGAGGCCCGCGTCTTGCCCCAGGTGAAGGGCGTCTTGCCGCCCGGGTTCACCTTGCCGTAGAGGATGTCGGTGATTGAGTTGCCTGACTCTTGACCGGGAAGGCCAGCCCAGAGGATGGCGGTGACGTTCGGGTGGTCGTAGAAGGAATCCACGAGCACCGGCCCGACGGTATGCATGACCACGATCGTGTTGTTGCAGTAGTCTGCCACCGTCTTGATCAAATGGTTTCCAGCATTCCACAGCGTGAGGTTGTTACGATCACCCTCGTTGTGGTCGACAGTGATGTAGCCTTCACCCGAATCCGAGTTCGCAAACACAATGCAAGCTCCGCCGACGCCCGGCTGGCCAACGCGGTTCGCCAATGCCTGCATCTGGTTGAATGCGGCGGAGGAGGTGACACTTTCAAAGTTTCCGTTGTTCGCACGCACCTCAGCCTTGATGGCTTCTTGCGGGGTGATGAGGTAGGGGAAGTTGGCGGTTCCGGAACCCCAGCCCATGGCCAGGGTACCATTGTCGCAGCCGCGATCGCCGCAACCGTTTGGTCCCCACCCGTTCTCGCCGGCGTCCTCTCCGAAGACAGTGGTCAGTCGCTCGTTGCCGGTCAGAGGGAGAGCACCGTTGTTCTTCAGCAAGACGGTGCCTGCAGCCGCGAGGGCTCGGATGCCCTGGGCATGGTTTCCCTGGACGTCAACGTGGTAATTGATCTGGGTCACATCCTTGTTCGCGTACCAATGGTAAGGACCATAGGTATCGGTAGTCCTGGCGAGGGTTAGCGGGGGTGGTTGTATCAGGGTTCAAAATCAAGATGCTCACCATGCGGAGAAGTTAGGTGCATCAGGGACCATGTTGTTGGGACGATCGACGTAGTAGTAGCCGGCCATGATGCGAACGCACATGTCGTCCAGCCTCCATTGCGGAACGGTGCCGTTCAAGACGGCAATGGTCAGGTTTGCTCCCCAGTATGCGGTTCCGGAGTCGAAAGACTCATCACCGGGCATGGTCATGTCAAGACCTGCGAGGGCGGAGCTGACACCTGAGTGCTGGGCACTCCAATCACTCATGACGAAACTGTACAGGCGGCGGAGGTTAGCATGGCTCCTTTGATAGTATGGTGATGAAGACGTACCCTTGAAAGCCCAATTCATTCTTCAGCAGATGGTTCAGTGTGTATGAGTTCTGGCAAGCATAGGAGTTGTTGATTTGGTTGTAGGAGCACATGATGGACGCAGTTCCCGCGCGGATAGCGTCGGCAAAAGGCCACAGGTACATCTCGTGCATGGTGCGGTCGTCAACGTTGGAGCTGTATCCCGGGAGCTCGACGCCGTCGAATTCACCCGGCTCGCGGAAATGCTCTTGCTCATTACCGATGAAATGCTTCGTGCACGCCATGATACCTGACCTCATTAGCGGGGATCAATCACGCGCTTCAAAAGAGGCCACGCTTACCTGCATCCTGCATGCCTTGGACGGTGGCCATGACGGCCTGACCAGCAAGATAGGGATCGTCGGAGAAGCCCTCCCAGTTCCGGCCGCCTTCAGGAGCGCGGCCCAGTGGGCCCACCACCGGTCCGAGCTGGACATCGACGCCCTTGTCTCGATGCTCCGAGCCCATGTCGAAGCCGCGTTGATAGATCAGCTGACGGTCCCATGTAGCAGCGGTCGTCACACCAGCCGAAAAGGCAGAGTTGAAGTCGGTATCACGCACACCCAGCGGAGAATCTTCCATGCACATGGAGTTGAAGGCAAGACGGGGAATGGCGCCGTTGTTGCCCACGCACTTGTCGCCCTCCCAGCCCACGCCGGTAGTCAGGTTGACCTTTTCGGTGAGAGTAAGCTGGGAAACGAAAGCAATGGCCTTTTCGTACGCCTCCGCCCAATCGCCGAGACCCGTGCCCCATGGGCTGGGATAGCTGGGTGGGGAAGTCTGGTTGGTCTTTGCGCCGGCTACAGCATAGGGAACGCTGGCACCAGGGTAGACGACATTGGGAAACGGCACGGCAGCTCGGCCGTTGGGGAAGCCATTGCCAGTGTGGTTCTTGACTGCGGCTTGCGAGAATGGGAGTGAGGCGGAGGCCGCCAATGCACCCCAGAGAAGATGCATGGTGGAGGTAGTTGCCGTTCACGCGGCAAAGAGAGGGAGAAGACGTAGGTGGAGGGGAGTCAATGAAGAGGTGTGGTTGGAAAGGAAGCAAACGGCGGACGGGCAGCTCCAAACATACATATGCCGCCGGTGGTAACCCCACCGTGTCAATGCGGAGGAGGCGGACACTGTGGATGCAGAAGAAAATTCGATGCCCGTCACATGGTGGCACATGCACTCATTGGCCCCGCCAACGCTCGGAGCTCCGATGAGCAGTCGTTCCTGCCTTGCCACCGTCATCTGGTGGGTTTGCCCGCGCCCACCCTTGCACCTTTCCCCAGATCTTGGCGGGTTTAGGCAGGGATCGGCAGCGGCGCCCGCCACGAACTTTTCAGGTGACGTCCGGCGTCCCTGCGGCGTCGCTGGAAAAGGTGGATCTGCGTCGAGTCTCCACTTCCCGGCCACGCTCGCGGCAGATAATTCTCCATTTACTCCTTCCCCATCGGGCACTTCTGCCTTCAAACCCCGCTCGCCCACGCGGAAAAGGCTCCTCAGCTGCACAGCGTCGTATAGCGACATCGCAGCGCTAGCCCGCCCACCGACATACTTGCATGCAGCGTGAACCCTTCTTCTTACCAAACAGCTATCGCGAGGGCGGGGTCTGATGCGGTCGTACCGGCGGGCTGGGTGGCGGTTGGTGCTACTCCAACCTTTCGCCGCCTCTTCCGTCGCTGATCGACCCCAGATGCGCCGACATACGCCCGCCCAGGGTGACATCGTGAGCTGACATTGCATCTGACCATGAGCCCACCTGGCCCCGCTATGCTATTGAAGAATGACAGAAGGTCGCCTCTTGGACGGCATGGCCGGCAACGCGTGGGGTGGATGAGAAATCATCTCCCGAGGCTGTCAATGGATGGAGTTCGGTAGGGCCTGTTCGCCGACAGGTATAGCTGGGTTGTCAACTGATGTGATGCAAGATCTCTTCACGCAGAGGTAATAACGGCCGCTGCGCGGCCGCTGCGCGGGTTACTACATTGATTTAGATGCTGTGCTGGGTGAATCTAGGCCTCCGCTCCTGACTGAGTCAGCCACATGTTAGCTTACATGGCTTCGCTTCGAGTTCAAATGATCCGTGCGATAGGAAGTGATCCAGATTCCGGAGTGTACCGGCGTGATTGCGGCTAGCGACCTTCTCCTTGGAGGAGGCCGATGCCTAAGGGGTTCATGAAGATTCCAACGAGTCCTGTACTTCCACCTCCGTCAAAGTCGTAGCCTGCGCTGCTTACGAAAGGCACCGGCCATTACGTTTCTCGTGCATACACAACGCATTCCAATATGTCAGCAACAGCGGCTGACCGCGATCCCTGGGTCTCTGAACGCCTCACGTATCGCGCGCTGGAGGAAGAGGACCAGGCATTCATCCTCGACAAACTCCTCGTCGATGCAGGTACACGGCTGAATTTGCTCCCCTCGCTACCCGTGCCCCCGGGGAAGAAGCAGGGTAAGAAGCTGTGGGAACACTTCAACAATAACACCCTCATGACGGCCATCGTATGCAAACCACTTCCCGGAGCTGCGACTTCTTCATTCGACGAAAAACAGCGGCCTACGCCCATTGGCGTCGTCTGTCTTCTCAGCAGCGCTGAACGTGAGAACGCGCACCATCATCGCGCCACGTTGGGGATCATCATTGCGCCAGACTACCAGTCCCAAGGCTACGGCTCCGAGGCTATCAACTGGGCGCTGGACTTTGGCTTCATCTATGCCAATCTCCATCGCATCGGTCTCAACGTGTGGAGTTACAACGAGAGAGCGATGCGATTGTATGAGAGCTTGGGCTTTGTCCATGAAGGCCGACAGCGGGATTTTGGGTGGATGGGCGGTAGGTACCAGGACCAGATAACTATAAGCATGCTGGAAGACGAGTGGCGGCAGCGCAGGGAGACGAATTCGGGGATCGTCCACAGGTAGATTTGCCCTAGATCTCTTTTTTTATTTCGAGCCAGTGCCATCTCCTGGGACGATCATGATCCCAGCAACCGCAGACTTTCGCTCGATAGATGTTCGATGTTTCCCATGGAAGACAGACGCCGAGCCAAGCGTGCGTGTGGAGTGGCCTGCCGCGTTGTCGGCAGATGCATTTTCCGCCAGTACCAATGATCGCCACGCATCTTTCCTGATTTCACGTTGATCGCTACACCTCGCCATTTCCACTGATTCATGGCATCAAACCGTTCTGGATCCAATCAAATATCATTACATTGATCTAATCGATTCAATATGCCCGCCCTCCCCAAGAGCTGCGATGTCCTCGTCGTCGGCGGAGGCAACGCAGGCTTCTCCGCCGCCCTCTCAGCCGCCGAAAGCGGCGCGCGCGACGTCGTAATCATCGACAAATGCCCCGAAGACTGGGCCGGAGGCAACTCATATTTCACCGCCGGCGCAATGCGCACAGCGCACGCCGGGCTCGAGGATTTACTACCCGTCGTCAACAATGTCGACGCCGATCTCGCCGGCAAGATTGATCTGGAGCCGTACACGAAGGAGGCCTTTCGAGCGGATATGGATCGGGTGTGTCTTGGTAGATCGGATCCGGCGTTGAGCAAGATTCTGATCGATGAGTCGAATTCTGCTGTTAAGTGGTTGGCGAAGCATGGCGTGCGGTATCAATTGTCGTTCAATCGACAGGCCTTCCTGGTCGACGGACGATATAAATTCTGGGGCGGACTCGCGCTGAAGACGCAAGACGGCGGGAAGGGACTGATCGAAGACCACAGACGAGCAGCAGAGCGACTCGGAATCAAAGTCTTCTTCTCCACCGCCGCGACTGCACTTCACAAAGACGCAAACTCCGGCGCCATCACTTCCGTCGATGTCGAATCCAACGGCGCGCGAGCATCCATTCGATCCAAGGCAGTCATACTGGCCGCTGGAGGCTTCGAAGCCAATCCTCGTATGCGATCTCAATACCTCGGACCAGGCTGGGACCTCGCCTACGTCCGCGGCACACCGTACAACACCGGCGACTGCCTCGAACTCGCCCTCCGCGACGTTTCCGCCAAACAAGCCGGGCACTGGTCAGGCTGCCACTGCACATGCTGGGATGCGAATGCGCCCCCGGATACTGGAGATCGACAGGTGTCAAACGAGTTCACCAAATCCGGCTACCCGCTCGGCGTCATGATCAACTCCGCTGGCGAGCGTTTCGTTGACGAGGGCATCGATTACCGGAATTATACGTATGCCATCTTTGGCAGGCAGATCCTCGCGCAGCCCGGCGGCGTCGCTTTTCAGGTTTGGGACTCGCGGACTATTCCCTGGCTACGACCGGAGGAGTACCGTGATGAAGTTGTGAAGAAGATCCAGGGAGACAGCATCGAGGAGCTTGCCGACAATTGCGTCAAAAACGGCTTGCAGAATAAGGCGAAGTTCATCGAGACGTTGAAGGCTTACAACAAAGCGACACACGCACATCTCAAAGAGAATCCCGACCAGAAATGGGACCCGGCGGTGAAAGACGGTGTATCAACGCAATCATCAACGGAGCAACTGGCCCTGCCGAAATCAAATTGGGCTCTACCAATTGACAAGCCGCCTTTCTTGGCGGTCAAAGTCACGGGCGGCGTGACCTTCACATTCGGAGGTCTGGCTGTTAACCCTCAGACGACTGCCGTCATTTCTGCCACCACGCAGAGAGAAATTCCGGGTCTGTTCTGCGTTGGGGAGATGCTCGGAGGTTTATTCTATGGCAACTATCCCGGTGGGAGCGGTTTGACGTCTGGAGCTGTTTTCGGAAGGCGGGCTGGATTGGCTGCGGCGAAGCTGGCTCTTGGTTCGGATGTACAGGCACGATTGTGATGGAGGTTCATTGCTGGCTGCAGAAATTATACGACTAAAGGGCGAACGACGATCGCTATGTCGTTGCATCGCCGCATTCAGCCCGCACAGCAAGAACGCGCAGAACCCATATCCACGACCGCCCTGCTTCAACTCTGCACTCCAGCCTTGATCACCAATTTCGCCGGCAGCTTCACCTCCTCAGCATTCTCCCCCGGTCTCCTCGGGAGTAGCGGCTCCGCAACCCTCTCCCACATCCCCCACTGGCCCAGAACAGACTTGATATTCGGATGCGAGTAATCCGGCTGCTGCTTGAAAATCACCTCATCCATAGCCAACTCCATCGTCTGCCCAGTCAACTTGTCGTCCGCAATAATCGCATCAAAAGCCGTCAAAACCGTCGACATGGGCGTCGTCTGCTCGGGAGTATGGAATTCGCTGGACATAGGCTCGGGCATGAGATTGGTGTGCACGAGCATGGGGTTAAGAGAGTTGATAGTAATCTTGTCCTTCAGATAGACGGGTGCACAAGAGCGCACGAGGCCCACGATTCCGTGCTTGCTTGCTGAGTAGAGCGGGATTGCGTGGCTAGGGTAGAGACCTAGGACACTCGACGTTATTACTATTCCCCCGCCTTTGGTGTTGTTCTTTTCGCTGAAGAAATGGCGGGCTAGATGTACGCCTTGGATTACGGCGTTCAGATTCACGTCCAAGACTCGTAGGTCCACGGGATGTGGTAGAGATGTGCGCTCGTCGATGGCGAAGTCTTTGTACATGCTGTCCGTATCGCCTTCCCCAATTCGCAGAGTCAGCCACACGTAGAGCACAAATGAGCAAATCAAAGCAAAAACGCACCAATGCCCGCATTCAAAAACACCAAATCCAACCGGTTCCCACCCCACTCAAAAGCCTGCAAAAACGCCCGGCTCTGCTGCGCGTAGTCCGTCACATCGGCGTGCAGGCCGAGGCAGTTGTGCGGGCTGATTCTCGCCGCTTCCTGCGCTGCTCGCGCGGCATCGATGTCGACGATGGCGACTCGCCAGCCGTATTGGTTGATGAGGTGTTCGGCGACGGCGAGGCCGATGCCGGAGCCGCCGCCGGTTATGAGGGCGACTGGGGCGTTCATTGTGGGTTATCCTAGTTTGATGAGGGATTGACAAGGGTGAAGGTGAAAAGGATGTGGTGGGCAAGTGAGGTGGATGAGACTTTCAGAATTCGCCAGCCGTTTCGAGTGAGCGAACGCGGAGACGTGGACACAGTGCTCGTCAGAGTAACTCCAATTAAATCCACAATGGCATATCTATCTGTAGCATATCTATCCTTCTCTCCCAAGTAGCAAGTCTAAACACGCAACTCACGTCGAAGACAAGCCCGGCGTCTCCGCAATGCGCAACACATACTTGACCGCCCTCGCCTCACCGTTCCTCAACTTCGTCAACGCCTCCTGGATCCCGTTCAAACCACCGGGAATTACCACATGCGGCTGAGGAACAAACCACCCAGCCTCCAATCCCTTCGCCAAAAGCCGAGAATACACCAGCCCGAAATCCTGCAGATCGGAATGCACATCCATGACATTGCTATAATCGCGTCGAAGCGCCTCAGGCAGTTCCATAGGCTGCAAATGCTGCGGCAAGACGAGCACAAGCAGGCCCTTTTGCATGTCAATCACGTTGCAGAGGATGCGAGTGCTTTCCTCAGACGTCGTGGCGTCGAACACGTGCTCGAGAGGCCTCCCGTGCAGAGCAGCGCGGATGCCGTTCGCCACGGCCTCTTCGCCGTCTCGGTAGTCGAGAACCACGTCGCCTTTGGAGGGGTCGATGAATTTCTCGACGTGCTCTCGCGAGCGGCCGGCGGTGAGGATGAGTGGGTGGATGTTGCTTCGCTGGGCGAATTGCACTGCGTACGAGCCGACGGCGGATGATGCGCCGTAGATGACGAGTGGGATTTTGTCATCGTCTGACCGCGGCAGCCATGGCGGAGAGAGGTTGAGGCGAGCGTAGAGGGCGACGGCCGCCGTGAGCGCTGCGAGGGGAAGCGCGGCCGCCTCTATATGTCGCCGTCAGTCAACGAAGACGCAGCGATTGGACTAGGGGAGAAACGGACCTTCGAAGGAAATCTTCTTTGGCAGATGAAAAGTGGTGTACGCCGGGGCCAAGGCGAACTCTGCGTAACTGCCTCCTCGAGTGCGCAATGGGTGGAGTGCAGCGACTCGATCACCACGTTTGAATTCCACTACCTCCTCTCCGACGCTGTGGATGATTCCGGCAATGTCATCGCCCTGATTCAACGAATCGCCCGTCCATTCTGGGCCCTTCCTGAGAAATGAGAAGGTGATAGTCAGTCTGTGATGTCTGCAAGTGCGACGTGTCATTGACGGAACTCACCAGTCTTTGGGATTGGTTCCAGTCACGACCACTTTGATCAGCACTTCGTTTGAATTGGGGAGAGGAACGGGCGAGTCGACGATTTCGACCTTTGTGCCCGGATGGACGATAGCCTCCTTCATGACTGGCCAGATCAGGAGCTCATAGACAACACCGCTTGCCTTTGCGCATCAAAGCCGCAGTGACGGTGCAGGACTAGTTGACAGCAGTGACGGGGGCCACGACATATCTTCTGCGCGCAGCCTTTGAGATTACAAACCATCCGTCGATCTTATAAGTTTCCTGCTGGCAGCCAAGTCGGGGAACTTGACACCGATCGTCCCTCACGCTGCCCGCTGCCGATTGGTCTCGCTTCGTGCGGGCTTTGTTCCGAACGACACCACTTTGGACAACTCGGCTGTCTTTGACCCTATTACATCGAAATCGACCACGACTTGAAGAAAGCGGACATTCCTCGAGTGATGACCTCAGAATGTCTCCTTCGTCCGCCGCCGAAGCGCTACGGGAGTCTTTCGGCGATCGAAAACTGCCCGACATCAGCCGCAAGATCACGGCGTGCGTCGCTTGCAGGAAGTTGAAGGTGGGTGGGCATGCTCGTCCTACCACTCGTAAGCCTTCGCTGATCAGACTGGTATAGATCAAATGTCATATGACGCACGACAAGCCGCCGTGCACTCGATGTAAAGGGCGCGGACAGCCTTGCACGGTGAACAAGAGTCTGCAGACCATACTGGAGAATGATGCGACGTAATTCTTCGGTTCGAGAATGTTTGAGTCAACCTTCACATACTGATCTTTATGCTTCAGATGGAAGGAGAGAATCGAAGAACGACTCAACAGGCTCGAGGGCAATATCGACGGACCTTTCGATGTCCGCACTGAAACAGTCGGGCGCCACACGCGACAGTCTAATACCACCACGGCCTCAGTTCCACCAGTCCACCAGTCTAACTCTTCTGAAAGAGCGAAACTGAACTTGTCGGGAAGTCTAGGAGCATTCCCAGCTTCTTCCATTACCGACGCTTCCATCGCCAACAACAGCTTAGGCGTCTCCTTCCGACCTGACTTGGTCTCTTGTGGCACAATCTCTCTCGACGTCGCTCATGATCTCTTCACATTCTACAAAGACCACCTGGATCCATATATCCACTGTGTCTTGGACAAAGATGCGACTCTGGCGAATGTGCGAGCTCGATCCTCGATTCTAACCACCGCGATCTGCACTGTCGCATCCTTTTGCACCGCTTCAGAAGATTATCAGGCTTGTTACAAGTTCTTCAAAGATGAGGTCAGTCGGAAATTGTTCGCAGACAAGTACCAGTTCGACGATGCTCGCGCGCTCTGCATCGGAGCCTTTTGGCTGCCAGACATCTCGTCCGCTCTGAACGGGTTAGGTGGGTCGCTCCATCCATTCGAAATCATTGACAGTCCTCTTACAAGCCTTACACAGCCGTCCGTATCGGCACTCAACTAGACCTCCACCGCTGCATCACCAAAATGCCACATGTCAAAGTGGACTGCTACGAACGGACTCGACTCTACTTCCTCATCTTCCTCTGCGACCACCACTGCTCCTTGATCTACGGCAGGCCACCCATGACGACCGAGTTCCGCTCCCTCAAAGGACCAGAAGCCTTCCTGCAAAGCGAATTCGTGTCACCTTTGGACCTCAATCTGATCAGTCAGGTCGAGTTCTGGTCCTTGAATCGCCGAGTATTTGATCTCTTTGGTTCGGATGTCCAGAGTACACTGGCTTCTCAACGGACCTTTGAGCTCGAGCGACTCAGTGACGCCTTGGACGTCTGGCTGCAGGACTCTTTGGCTGTTCTTCATTCGAGGCGTGATCCGGGCTTGTATGGCCAGCGAGTTATCGAGTTTTACTACCACTCTGCCAAGCTCTATCTGTTTTCACACATCTTCAGAGGCCACACCGATGATCAGCCGGCGGCGCAGAGCACCAAGCCCTTGGTCAATTCTGCGATACAGAGTGCGCTGGCAATACTACGGTCTGCGGTGGACGGAGAAAAGGAGACAGGATGGCTCAAGAAACTGCCTTACTACTTCGGTACGATGATCGCCTTCGCCTCGGTTTGTCTAATCAGGACCACCTTACAAGGAGACACATCCGACGACGCAATGGTGAATGAGACCTTGCGAACCCTACGAAACATCTCCGAAGTGCTCAAAAATTCTTCCACCACCGAACGCTCAACCCATCCGCTCTTCAGCATCGGGAGAAGCCTTGAGGCAGCCATCAGCGAGCGACGCCCCTCGGAACCGTCACAAATTGACGCCCACGAGATGACGGATTTCGAACCTGATCTGGCGTTTGACTTTGATCTCTTTGCGAGCGATCCTCTCAATCTCAGCTTTCCCGGGGACGAAGACAATTGGATGTTCTGTCCGGATCAGATGCCACATATGGGCTTATGAAGAGCAAATCGATACCGGATGTACTTTTAGTAAAGGATCCGTGAACGACTAATAATTCAACGCCAAATCAAAGACATCAAAGTTGCGGAGACTCTTTCCCGCAATCGGCATGTCCGCCTTGACAGAGCGCAGCAGCGGGATGTGTTGCTCTGACAGTCCACCGTGGGAGCGAAGACGATGTCCGTCCAGCTGGCTGAGATCGTGGGCTTCCTTTCTGCTCCCAATGACTGCATTGCTTCGTGCAATCACCACCAACTCTCCCTCACGATCCTCTGGCATCTCGAACTTGGCCGCTGCCTCTTTCCCACTCATCGCCACTTCCACCTGTGGAATCTGTTGGCACTGCCTGATCATCTCTTCCACCAATTGAGCCGACTTATCAGTGCCAGTGAGATGCACTCGAACGAAACCTCCGAGTGCTCCGTGGTGCTTGACGAAGGGATCGGCAATCGGACACATTACTCTTGCTCCCGACTGTGGGAACTTCTCGTTCAGAAAGTCCTCAAGGAAGAAGGCGTTGGGCTTGCCCTCGTCATCTGACTTGTCGCTCATTCCATGGTCGCCAGTCACCGCGACGACAGCGCCAAGTCGTTCAAACTCGCCCAGCCGAGCGTCCAGTTTGCGGAAGAAGTCGTCAGCCTCGTCAGAGCCGGGCGCATGCTTATGCTGGATGTAGTCCGAGAGCGTGAGATAGAAGAGATCCGCGCGTTTCTCCTGAAGCAACTTCAACCCCGCATCGAGGACGAAGAGCGAGAGCTCGCCAGAATACTGCGGCGGAGTTGACTTGCCCAGCCAGGCCTCAACATCAGAGATCCCATGCTCTTCAACAGTACACTGATCCGCAAACTGCGACGAGAAGCAAATTGCTCCCCCCTTCCCCGGCTCGAGACCATGATTGATGATCCTCCGCAACTTATCCTTAGCCGTAATCGCAGCAACCCGAACCCCAGCCCTCGCCATACGCTCCAGAATCGTCTCCCCGCGCATCTTCGACGCATCAAGAACCATCACTTCCTCCCCGCTGTCCTTGTCAAGGTAATAGTTGCCCGAAATGCCGTGCACGCTCGTCGGAACGCCGGTGATGATGCACAGGTTGTTGGGGTTGGTGACGGACGGCATGGCGCAGGTGGCCGTCGCGTGGAAGCCGCTCTGCACCCAGCGGGCCATGGTGGGGAGTATGCCGGCTTCGATGCCGGCCTGCAGGTATGTTGGGTCGAAACCGTCGACGCAGACGATTACGACGGGGCGGGTTGGGAGGTGGTAGGTTCGGCCGTGCAGCTCGATCGTCTTTTCGGAGGGAACGGAGCCCATGGTTGTAGTTGTGTTAGATTGTGGGTGATGAGTGATAGCTGAGATGAGTGAAGATGTGAGAGAAATGCATTTGTAGAACGTGGTCGCGAGCCTCTTCATATAGGCCGCTCCGCAAGGCTGCACGGCAAGAAAGCCGATCACGTGGACACGTGATTGGCGGCAAGATGTCCGCGATCGCCGGAAACTCAGTGCAAGGCTGCTGGATACGGGCATACGATGAATGATCAAACTACAGAAACACTAGTCCAGACGTCCATAGAGCGAAGAACGCCCGAAGCCCGCTCTGCTGCCTCCTCCATCTTCTTGAGATAATCCCCAATGATGCCCCCGGGCGACTTCTCAGCAAACTGCTTCCGCGTCATCACCACCTCCCACTTCCCGTCGTCCATCTTCTCAGGACTGTCGATCCAGTCTTCCCTCTCCAATCGCCAATCTGCACCCTTGAGGCAAGTCTTGAGTGCTTCCGGCTCCAACACCGTTCGCACGTTGCCGCCTGCTTTGGGCGACTCGATCTGCACCTTGACGGCGAGAACGTGCGCTTCGGCCGCTTCGTGCGAGGCTCGCATGCCCCATTCCGCGAGCAGTAGTTTCGTCCCTCGTGCTGCGGCGGCTTTACAGCTTCGTAAGAGAGTAGATAGATAGTCTGCAGACGGGAGGTAGAAGAGGCAGTGCGCGAGGACAATGTAATCCGGCTTTTGGGCAAAACTCGACAAAACGTCCACGGGATCCTTGGCGATCCATTCGATGTACGGGCCCAGGCGAGAAGCAGTCAGGGCGCCCTGCGATTGCCCAAGCGTGTACGGGCCTCCGTAGTCAAGTGGAGCGGGATCAATGGCGAGGACTTTGCCTTCCGCCGCCGGTTGTGATCCCGCGCCGGAGACCATGTAGGCGAGCGCGACGGTCATGTCGCCTTGCCCACACCCGATTTCGACGACCGTCTTGCCTGCGAGTGCATTTTTGGCCTTTTCGAAGCTGCCAAACCAGGTTGTGAGGAGGTGAAGGCGGTGCTGGATCTGATTGATTTGGATGGGGTTCTCGGGGGCGACTGTGCAAGTTGTGAGGTCGCGAGACAACTGCTCTTGCTCGCCTGCGGCTGAGCCTTTGTGGGATTCGGCCATGATTGTTGATCTTGTTGATGCCAGAATTATGTGAAATTATGAGTTGTGGTGCGGAAAGACTGTGGTATTCATATCTCAGCCGCGTGAATGACTCATGTCCAGAGTTGCGAATGCGATGGTGAATAAGGTTGCCGCTTTTACGCAAGGTTGCATTGAGGCTATAGGCTACGCGGATCTGGTTTCCTAATAACGATACGGTAATGTCGCCAATGGTGAGGGCTAGGCCTCCCTCTGTATGCATCGAGATATCCGCATTCAATATTCGCAGGCCTGTTGAATTCTCGCTATGCCATTGCAGTATGTCTGTCGGACTTCTGCTGAACGGATATGCGGCAATCCCCCCCCCCCGCCATCGTATTCTCTCCTTGGGTGGCACCGCATGTGCTCTTTAGCAAGATGAAGCCGCCGCCATCAATGCCAGCGGAAGAGCACGCACTGCCAGATATTCGTTAGTAGCTGAAACTTCGCCATCCTCCGTACGATTGGCCTCGACGACTGTCTGCACTAGCACATTGACTTTTCCGGTAGACCTTGGATGTCTTCATTGTGCGGTGGGCTCTCAAACCCTGGCGGAGTTACCACATCGCTGAGATTCCTCGCCTTGGGTTGGGGAGGATTGATGTGAAGTGAGATTCAAGTAAAGCGGCAGTGCAAGTGAAGTAGTCTTCAGAAGCGAGTAGTGCTTGCTGCGATGTTCCATGATGAGCAAGCAACTCCGACTTGTTGACATGTGCGCGGTTTCGAGCTGTGACGCTGGTCAAACGTCCCTCATTCGGCGGTTCTGAGCAGGTGGTCGCCGGGAAAGGAAGGCCCTGACTGTGCTGCTTCGAGGAGATTGCGCATGAACAGAATCCACGAGGAGAAACTGCAATCAACAGCGAGCGCACAGACTCCGCGCAGCAAAACGAAACCGCTCGACCAAAAAGCAATCGCAGACATGCGTAACTCTGGGCACGATGGAAAGAATCACATGTGAAAGAGAAGCACATGGAAGCGCCCGGCTAAACCTCGCCTCGCCAAAGCCAGGGTATATAAGTTCGGCGAGCGCTTGTGCTTCCAATGACATCGGGTACCAACAGTAGACCATTCGAGCGTTGAAAAGTTGCCGCCATTTGTCAGAGAAAGAGCTTAAAACCGCGATCCCCATGAAAGTCTAATGATCAACCATAGCGTGTTGTAGGGCGAATGTGCAGGGCCGGTTTCAGATCGGCCTCCACGTGCAAAATCCAATGTCGAGAATAGCCGGAGGCCTCATTTTTTCGCGCGTCCCGGGTTCGAGGGGTGGTGTCTTCTTTTTGAATTGGCTCTCACTATGACTTGCTTTTGATCTGGGATCGGTGCCAGCATTGCGAGCTTGACGTCAGTGTGTTTGAAGTCGTCGCGCACTTATTGGCCCCTTTTCATGGAGCAAGATGGGGGTGGGTTTGCTCACAGCCACGCCGCGACGCCGCATGGTGATGTCTGTGCACTGTCCCCGTGGATTTCGGCTTTCGCACTTCTCCTCAAGTCACATCCGATGGAGCGGACCGAATGTGTACTTCGGATGGATCTCCGGAGTAGACGCAGCGAACATCGTCCTGGCGGCAGCGAGCGCACTGATTGACACTGACATCAGTGAGTGCATTCTCGGTTTCTTTTGATCCCTTTCATCCGGCGTTTTCTTTGTTTTCCGTCCTGCGCGGCGTTTCGTTCTGGGCGCAGTCACCGATTTCAAGGTGGCCATCTTCATTGTGACGAGTGGGTGAGAGACTTGCTGACTTGCATACTTGCAGTTGTTTGTCTATACTTCCCCTTGCACGGCATCGCACGACCATTTCAACATCTGCAGAGGCCATTCATGGTCATGCTTGTGAAGCAAAGCAAACGGAACCAGAGCCCACCTCGCTCAGCTCCAAGCCTGCGTGAGTTGCAAATCTGTACGCAGCAAGCCTACAGAAGGGTTGAGAGCTGTTTCTACCAGTGTAGTAGCATCTTCATCATGGTGTTTGCCCCGCTGCGATGCTCCGGGAGGAAGTGAAGTCAGGCTTTGCCAAGCACATTCACCCGACGCTTTTAGACTTTCCCATTTCAAACGGCGGTTCACCTGACTAACCAATCTACGTCACATGCAAGCGACGTGTCGCCCACCACGGCCTCGGTCTTCTCTCTGTACACCCTACGTTCCTCCCCGCCTACAGCATTCCTATCCATGACTCGCCCTCTAGTCCAGTCCTCGCATGGCAGACGTCGATAAGGCCACCGATGGGCCGACGGTGGAAGATCGAGATGCCTGGGACTACCACAACCTTCCCGACTACGACACCGAGTTCTACTCCCAAGCCGACATCGACGCCTTTGCCGCCGCCCTCTCCGCCCCGGAGATATCCCCTTCGGAGGAGGACTTGACCAACCCCAACCGCTCGCAAGTCGAATTCATCACCGCCTTGAACGATTGGAAACCCGTGCATCAGAGCGTCAAGGGTCAGCAGAATGGACCATACGCCAACAGGAAAGGCAAGCGGCGGAAAAAGCCCCGCAGAGGAAAAGACGAGACGAGAGAAGGCTGGACATATGGCCTCGTCAAGTACCCACTCCTCTTCTTCGTCCTGGGCTGGTTGCTGTTCTTGGGAGTTGCGTACATGCTCACCCGCTTCTACATCTACGCCTATGAGCGATATGTGACGTGGAGGGGCAAGAGAGACCGGTTGAGAAAGAGTCTGCGCAAGAGTGTGTCGTATGAGGATTGGGTGGAGGGGGCGAAAGAGCTGGACAAGTACTTGGGCAGCGACGCATTCAAAGACCAAGACGAGTATGCGTATTATGACGACCGAACGATTCGACGAGCAAGGGATCGAATGAGAAAAGCGAGACGACAAGCGGAGAAGGAGGAGCATGGTCCTCGGAATAGGATCGGGGGTCAGCGCGCTGTGGACGTAATGGTCGAGTTGGCGGAAGACTGCATCAAGCACAACTTTGCGGGATTCGAGAACCCCCGTCTGTACTGCGAGACGTACTACGGAACGAAGACATTGGTGCAAGACTACATCGATGAAATGTCCACGAGCTTGAAATTCCTCTTCGCCAGCGGGCAGCTGACGCGGGAGGAGAAACGAAGCCTCACAAAACATCTGGGCACGAACTTTGGTCGCACAGCATTGTGTTTGAGTGGCGGAGCGGCATTCGCATACTACCACGCGGGCATTGCAAAGGCGCTACTTGACGCAAATCTTTTGCCGAAAATCATTACAGGAACGTCAGGCGGTGCACTGGTTGCTGCAGTGTTGGCGACGAGGACGGACGAAGAATTGAAGAAGCTTCTCGTGCCGGCGTTGGCATACCGCATCACGGCCTGCAGTGATCCACTCACCGTCTGGTTGCCCCGCTGGTGGAAGACTGGCGCGCGTTTCGACAATGTCGATTGGGCCAAGCGATGCTCCTGGTTCTGCCGTGGCAGTATGACTTTTCTGGAGGCATACCAGCGTACAGGTCGCATCTTGAACGTCACCTGTGTGCCTTCCGATCCTCATTCACCGACCATCTTAGCAAACTACTTGACCGCACCGGACTGTGTGATTTGGTCGGCTGTGCTTGCTTCAGCGGCCGTGCCTGGCATTCTCAACCCCGTGGTGTTGATGAAAAAGAACCGCGATGGCAAATTGGAGCCATTCAGCTTCGGGCATAAGTGGAAAGACGGCTCACTTCGCACCGATATTCCGTTGAAAGCCCTCAACCTCCACTTCAACGTCAACTTCCCCATCGTCAGCCAAGTCAACCCGCACATCAACCTATTCTTCTTCTCATCAAGAGGCACCGTCGGTCGTCCAGTAACGCATCGCCGCGGTCGGGGCTGGCGCGGCGGCTTCCTCGGCTCTGCAATCGAGCAATACATCAAACTCGATCTGACCAAATGGCTCAAAGTCCTGCGCCACCTCGAACTCCTCCCGCGCCCACTAGGCCAAGACTGGAGCGAAATCTGGTTGCAGCGCTTCAGCGGCATTATCACCATTTGGCCCAAATCCCTCCTCAGCGACTTCTACTACATCCTCTCCGATCCCACGATGCAGCGTCTCGCTCGCATGATTCACGCCGGACAGCTGGCCGCGTGGCCGAAGCTGAAGTTCATCTCCAACCGCATGGCGATTGAGAAGGTCATCGAGGATGCACGTATCGCGACTCGCCCCTCGTCGCTACCCGCTGCATCAGAGACAAACCAGCCAAGAGAAAAAAGGCTCCGCAACGTCATCAGCGAAGAAGACCTCGAACAACTCCTCGCCCATGCTAGGAATAACAATGGCGTCGTCGACGTAGAGTCACTCGCCGATCTCGACACCGCTACAATCACGCAACAGCAAGCTCTACCCCGTCAGAGAAACGTTCGCCACCGTCAACCTGATGGCTCCGCCTCCCCATCGATAGAAGCAGCACGCGCCAAATCCCCCTCTATCGGTACACGCCTCACTTCCTGGTTCTCCCCGCGTCACTCCTCCACCGCTTCTCCGACAAAAGCCATGTCATCCGCTGGCTCGTCGGCTACTGATCTTCGCAAGCAAGCGAGCCCTGAGCGGCGGAGAAGTAATGTGTTTGAGGAGTTCAAGCGGCAGTCGCAAGTCTTCTTTGACGATGAAGAACTCGGGAGCGAGGAGGAGAGGTCGGGGGAGAATGGGAAGGAGGTTGCGCCGTTTGAAGATGGAGAGGGGCATGATGAAGAGACGGGGAGTGAGGTTGCTAGTGAGGGTGAGAGTGTGGTTGATGAGTGAGGTGGACATGGGTCTTGGGCATAAAGCGAAGGGATGGTTTTGTTGTTTATGCGTTCGAGCGTAGATTCTTGGGAAGAAGCGGTGGCGAGCAGGGGTTGAGTAAAGGTCTGAGTCCTAGACTGATAAGATCTAGATTGAGAAAGACAGCAGCGCGTAGATGCGCTCTCTATCAATCATCTCGCATATCGCGACGCTTCCTCCAGATTCCCAGAAAGCCGCCGCCAACGATGCGATCGCCGACTTTGGGTCTACAGATTGTCTTCCAATCGTCGGAGGCATTCGATTCTTCACGCACGGCCTCTTCGCGCGGTGGACCGTCGACTTCTCCATCGCTGCTCTCGACAATCCCAGCAGCCATCTCCCCATCATCACTTTCCTCGTCCACTACTTTCTTGCCCCTAGGCTTCACAGCCCTTACGTTCCATTCCCTCCCGCCCGAACCGCCATTAATCCCCAACTCAAGCACATTCTCCATCTCCAATCCAATCCCTTCCTCGCGAATGCGCCGCACACAGTCCAGAATCTGCGTAATGCTCGGGTTGAACACAATCAAGCAGCCGTCCGTTCGCAGCGCGCGCGCCACAATACCCAAATGCGTATCCGCATTGGGAAGATCGAGGAAGGCGTGCGCGAGGAAGGGCAGCTGGTTCCTTAATGCGAGGGCTTTAGCCGTCCAGGCGCTCACGTCCGTGGCGTGGAAGTCAATGTTGGCGTGATACATTCCGCGGCGGAAAGCGGCGACGATGGATGAGGCGTGGTTGGAGAATTTGGCGGAGCAGTCGATTGTGTGGAGGATGGCGCGGCGGGTTGCTTTCCATTCATCCAAGACTGTTTCGTCACCTGGTGCTTCTGGGGGAGGAGGGTTGGCGGCGTGGATTGCGCGGCTTAGGTAGAGGGAGAGAGCGCCGTGGCCGGTTCCTGCTTCGAGGATTTCCAGCCGCTCATTGCCGTCATTAGCGGGTGTGTTGCCACTGTACGGCACGACGTGAAGATCGAGTAAATCGACGATGAGATTCGCATCGGCGGGATAAATAGGCGTGACAAGCCTGCGACTCAAGCGCACATACTCCTCCAACTTGACGTGATGCAATCTATACTCCGTCCCAGCTTTGCCCGACCGCAGCGGCGCAGTCCTGACGACATCGCGCACGCGCTTGCCGATGATGTCGTCGTGGTTCAGCACGCCTTTGTGGGTGTGCAGTTGCAGGCCGCTTTTCAGCGGGCGCGTGAGGATCGGAGGCGCGGTTTGGTCGAGCTTTTGGCGGAGGAGGAGGATGTCACCCGCGGCGAAGGGGCGGGTATCGGAGGTGTGGGTGCGGCGGGCGGGATGGAGGAGACATGATGCGCGGTGAGGGGCGCGCCATGTCTTCCACATGAACTCTTGACGTGATGGAGAGATTGGAGATGTAGGCGGAGTGGTGATGTCGCAGGGCAATCTTCACGTGCAACTTTCTTGGATTGCTTCTCCAGGGAAACTCGGAGGAAACACTCCGATTGGTCCCTAACCTCCGCTCTACGTAACTCTAATTGTACCTTCCAACTTCGTCAGGCAGACAAATCAGAGACACCCGAGTTCCAGTTTCCTTTCCCACTCTCCTCGCCGCAAGATGGCGTCGTGCTGCTCTGCCGTGCCTCCCTAACCTCACTCCAATCTCCGAGAAGCGTGCAGCTCTCGGGGAACCACAGCAGGCAAGATGACGCGGAAACTCGTAGGCCTCCACCCCCGTCCCCTCACCCAATGCCCGCTAACACGCGCGAGAAGCGCCAACTCCTCCAACTGCTCGCCTTCGCCGGCGTCATCTTCCTCTTCCTCTTCGTCGCCGACGCCCGCTACCGAGTGCTGCCCAACTCCCTGCACAACCACCTCCCCATCCACCACGCCGGCAGCGTCATCACCGACATCACCCTCGCGACCTGCTCGTCTGCCAACCCGCTCTCGTCATGTCGCTTGGATCCCGATAAATGGCACAGGATCGAGAAGGACCTGTACTTGAACACCGGCTGGCTGCAGAGCGCGTTCGTGCATGTGCAGCGGAAGCAGGAGGAGCAGTTGGAAGATGACGATAAAGTGGTGGTCGGAGTGGCTGTTTCCAAAGTCAATCCGGGGTCCAGTGATGGGGAGAAGGGATGGGAGAGCCGGTCGGGCGGATTATGGGTTCTGAGAAGTGCCAAGAGACACGACTCGGACTCCAGCAGAGTGGTGACTGCGGTCGATGTACTCTTCGGCGCGGACGCCGTCGAGCCGCGGCAAGGCTGGACCGTAGCTCAATTGCCCCTCCAAATCAGCGCGGATCCCACAGCGTGGGTGACGGTGCGCCAAGGCCAGCCCAAAGCCGCAGTGGCCGCCAAACCGCGGGTGAGTAAGAACGGGCGCTTCAAGATCCTGCAAGTGTCAGACATGCACCTCTCCACCGGCGTGGGGAAATGCCGCGACGCCATCGGCCCCGAGAACCGCCCCGTCAAAAACTGCGAAGCCGACCCGCGCACGCTCGACTTTCTAGAACGCATCCTGGACGACGAAAGGCCGGACCTCGTCATCCTCTCCGGCGACCAAGTCGAAGGCCCCGCAGCGCGAGACGCCCAGAGCGCCATCCTCAAATTCGCCGCCCCGCTCATCGAGCGCAAAATCCCCTACGCCGCCATCTTCGGCAACCACGACGACGAGAGCGGGTATGCAATGTCGCGCGAAGCGCAAATGTCCCTCATCCAATCCCTGCCCTACTCGCTGTCGAAACCCGGGCCGGACAACGTAGACGGCGTGGGAAACTACTACATCGAAGTGCTCGCGCCCTCCCCCTCGCAGCACTCCGCTCTCACCATCTACCTGCTCGACTCGCATGGCCTGACGCCCGACGAGAAGAACTTCCCGGGCTATGACTGGGTCAAGCAGAGCCAAATCGAATGGTTCCGCAGCACCGCCACCGAGCTCAAAGCCGCGAAAGCACACGCAAAGTACACGCACATCCACCTGGACATGGCCTTCATCCACATCCCGCTGCCAGAGCTAGGCGACAGAGAGAACCTCGTGGTAAAAGGCGGCAGCTGGAAAGAAGGCGTCACCGCGCCCGCCTTCAACTCGCACTTCTTCGACGCCCTGGCGCAAGAGGGCGTCGTGGCCGTTGGCTGCGGCCACGACCATGCGAACGATTACTGCGGTTTGCGCCCCGCCGCGCAGCCGGATCAGGACTCGCATAAGAAGACGACGCATCATGGGCCGTGGATGTGCTATGCCGGTGGCTCTGGATTTGGGGGCTACATGGGGTATGGCGGCGTGCATCGCCGGATGCGGTTGTGGGAGGTTGACACGAATGCCGGGCGCATCATGACGTGGAAGCGGGTGGAGTGTTGTGGGGAAGATATGAAGAGGCGGATTGATGATGTGGTGATTGTCGAGGCGGGGCATGTCGTTGCGTAGGAAGGGATTGAAATGTGTGCATCGATTGTTGGGACGCAAGATGCGGTATACCCATGATCCAACCCGGCTTGTGTGATTTACTTACATCTACCACTCACCGGTAGTGAGCGCGGCGTTGGGGTGCTTAGGCAAGAATGATGAGATGAGTAGACATATGCCTCTCAAAGACTACTCTGCCGACTCTTCTTCACCAACTTCTCCCTGATCGCCGTACTCGATAACTTGCTCTCAAACCCCTCCACAGCGCCCGCCCCCGCCTCCTCCCCAGCATCCAACACATCGACTTCAAACACCTCCAACGCCGCCCACCCCTTCTCCCTCCGCTTATCATTAACCGCTTTCCCCCCCGCCCTCGTCTCCGCCGAAATAACGAGAGCCGAAATCCCCTCCTCCGTAATCGTCGGCCCAAACGCATCCTGAATCTCCGTGCACTTGACCACGAGGCCGGAAGGATACGACACGTCCATCGACCTGCCGTTCGGGCCCGGGTCGTCGCGGATGGAGACGTGGCGTTGGCCGGCGGAGCCCGGGGGGGAGAAGTCGAGCAGGGCGTTGACGAAGGTCATGACGGCTTTGTACCTGTCTTCCCATGGTTCGAGGACTTCGCGGTGTTTTTTGTTGACGAGGAGGGCGTCGCCTGTTATGCCTATTGTGGCGCTGCGGTGGTCGGGTTGTTGCGGGGGGGAGTCGTCGACGGCGAAGACGGTCATGGTTAGGAGGAGTTTGTGGCCGATGTGGATGTGGTCGAAGGTGCCGCCTACTGCTACGTGGTGGTGGGTGTTTGCGCCGGAGGAGTTGCTGGGTTGGAGTGATGTGGAGTTCGAGGTTGACTGTTCCCGCCCGACACCTGATCCGCCACTAGGCACGCGCACAACCTCGTCCCCATCGCTGCCTTTGGCGGCGAGAAAAGCTCGCACCATCGCCTCGCCCTCCGCAGTCTCCACGCCAAAAGCAAATCTCCACGCCCTGCCCGACCTCGCCAGCGACCGCAGAGTCGTCACAGCGCCATACGGAGACCGCCCCGCATCAACTTGATCATCATGATCAGCACCACTCCACGCTACCAGCAAAACCCTCACATCGACTCCATCAGCATCCTCAACATTGATCCCCTCCTTAGCAGCAACGGAGCAAACCAAACCATACACGCCCGCGATGAGCTTCTGCGTAGCGGCGTAGAGGGATGACCGGGGGGGCGGCTGCTTCGTCTTGGACACCAGATGGGGACACGCGAGGGCGACTTCGAGGACGGCGGCCTTGGGTGATTCTGAGGCGTGTGAGGCGACTTCTTGTAGGACTTGGGTGATGGTTTCTGCGTAGGCGGTGGAGAGGGATGAGGTGGTTAGTGGGGAGGGCGCTGGGGGGAGGAGAAGGAGGAAGCGGGGTGCTTCTTGGGGGGATGTTGTTGCCATTGGGAATCGAAGTATTGGACCTGGTGCTGACAGGGCTTTACATGATACTCCAGCTGTGACCGGGTCTTAGAATGGGCGGTGTTGGTGAGTCCTATTGGACAGACATTCCTCTTCCGCAGGAGGTGAAGTTGTGGAGCAGAGGGGTAGATTGACGCCTGAGGCAGCCAGAATCTCGAATCCGGGGCAAGCAAGGTACATTCATGTCACCGCCTTCCTTGATGCCACCTTGTCAGCATGACATGAACCCTGCCTGGACTCTTGGGGACAACAAAGTCTTGGTAGAACAAGAGATCTACCGCGCGCAATGACGATGCACGTATGACCAACCTCCAGTACTCCTCCTCAACATGAACAGGTACTCCACTCCACCCCTCACTCCACACCCAAACACAACTAACATCTCCACCACAGATCCCTCTTCTCCAAAGCCTCCTCCAGCAAACGGCATGCCTCCCCCTACGAGCTTCCCCGCTGGCGAAGTCCCTCCCCCATGGCCGCCTCCATGATCCCACCACCAATCGTCTCAAGCCCATCCCAAGTTTCCCCCTCCCCTCGAGCACTCGCCCAATCCCTCGTCATCGCCCCCGACAATCCCCTTCAAGACAGACAAAGCGAGCTAGAAGCCGATTTGCAGTTCCTCCTCGACGCTCAAGCGGAGGGACTAGTCAAGGGGCTCGAGGGCGGAGCAGGACTATCAGACGACCAGACATCTAATGGCAGTACAACGCCGACGGCACGGAGCACGGGATCCGCCATTTCACAACACGCCAGAAGACGCGCCGCCCGTCCAAAACCGGGTCTAAGAAGTGCAAGAAAGGGAATCTACACCTCCATGCTCGCCCTATCGACTCTAAAAGACGACGAAATAGCAGAAGCAGAAGAAGACGTGCGTGCAAGCGAGGACAAACTCTCCCAAATCTCAGAATGGGAGACGAAGAAAGCCGGGCTACGCGAAGCGACACGCACTCTAGATGGCGACGAAGAGACGGTGCGAGCGCAGAGGCTGCGGCACGAGGCGGAGGTGCTGCAGCGGGAAATCAGCGCGGTCGAATTGCAGTTGGCGGATATGAAGGGGCGGCATCGCAGGTTGGTCGGGCAGTTGGAGGCGGTGGAGAACGCGGTGCAGGCGCGCTTGGCGTCGTATACTTCTAGTTTGCGGTTGTTGGAGGAGGATGTGCGGAAATTTCTCACGCTGGAGGAATCGTCGGCGGATGCGAGGGGTGGGGGAAGTCCGGCGGGTGGAGGGCGAAGGACGCTTGAGCTGGCTAAACAGCGTTGGACTGAGGAGCGAGGCATGAGTATGGAGCGAAGGCAGGCCATTGAGCACGAGAAGAGCGCGCTGGACGATGGCGCTGCGCTATGGAAGGATGTGGTGACGCAAGTGACTGATTTCGAGCGGAGACTGCGAGCGGAAGTGTCGAAAATGTCCGGCGCCTCGCCGCTTGAGTCCCCCGCGGCAGAAGACAATTCGCAAACACTGGCAGGCCTTCTGGAGCACATGGCGCGGCTGATGCACGAGCTGGAGTCCAGCTTCGACATCGCGCAGGAGCGGAAATGGAATCTTCTCATTGCGGCGATTGGAGCGGAACTAGATGCTCTGGGCCGCGGGAAGCGGCTCTTGGAAAACCTGCTTCATCCCGGTACCGGCGGTGATCAGAGGTCAGAGAAAGACACACATCAACCGTCCGTTGATGACGCATCGGCGCAGGAAATCCTCGAACTCGACAAGAGCTTCGACGAGACCTCAAGACGACGCCTCAGCAACGGCACCGACTCCGATCCCGATCCGGACCTCCTGTTCTCCCGGCGTGATGATCCTGACGCAGAGGACGATGCATAGATACCAGTCCCGCAATCACTCTTCTGTTCACTTCCACCAACTTGTAACCCTCCTCTGCAAAGCTCCCATGACCCCCTCCTCCCGCCAGAAATGTCCCGCCCCTTCAATCTCCGTCCACTCGAATCCAGTATCAGAGGTTCCTGCAGCAGCAGCTTCCCTACTTTGCTTCTCCGCCCAAAGTCGCAACCGATGACTCGAAGTGAAAGAATCTTTATTCCCGAAAACCGCGAGCGTGCGATGCTGCAGGTAATGCGCCGACGAGTGAGACGACGAAGAAGAAGGACTAGGACTCCGCCCTTTGCCCAGGAAGGAGAGCGATGGCAGCGAAGCTACTGCGCCGGGCGGGCAGATGGAGAGTGTTAGGGGGAGGATGACGGGGGAGATGAAGAGGTAGCTGGGGGAGATTGTCGGGCGGGTGGTTGGGTGCTGCTCTGCTGTCGTCTGTTTGGGGATGTCTGAGGGATTTCTCGGTGAATTCCGCCGCTTAAAGTGTAGCTTCTCCAGCGTGTCGTGGGCCAGATCTGCACTTAGTCGTACGTGGTGGCGGTGAGGATGGCTCTTGTTTGTTGAGTTGCGGTCGGCGCTGCCGAAAGTGGTGATGTGCGCGTTGCGTTCGTCCAGGTGACGTTGCGTCGTCTCGCTCGCTAGCTTCCTCGCTGTGGCAAGAATCTCAGCGACAGCCTGGCCTGGCGTAGCAGCAGCGGCCTCGAAGCGCAGTAAGATCTCCTGCACGGGCGATAGTCGTGCGAGGACTAGCGAGCCATATGAGTAGCCTGCAAGCAAGAGATCGATCTTCTCGTTCCCTTGCAACCCGTGCTTTTCTTCCGCAGTCTCATTGCCAGCATCGCCATGATCGTGTGCTTCCTCCAACGAGATCAGAGATCGCAAATAGCAAAGCAACAACCCCACCACCGACTCGTAATCCGCCTGCTCGCCCTTGCCGCTTAAGGATGTGCTTCCAGCTGAGTCGGCAGCTCCTCTAGTGAGTAGACGCAATCTCGTCAGCTACACACAAAACATCAAGCGAGAACAACAGGACAGTAGACAATACCGAAAATTAAAAGTCCCCACTACCACCCCCTCCCGAACCAGCGCATCGACAATGGACAAAACAACGGGATCATCGTAGCATCCGCCTAAGGGTGCGTAAGGGTGTGCGACGATTGCGGCTCGGGTTGGGGATTTGTGGTTTTCGCTTTGCGGCGCTGATGTGGAGTGCTGGTTGGAGTGCTGGGGATGGTAGATGCGGCAGTGGAGAGGGGTATTGTCGTGCAGAGAGGGGATGGAGAAGGAGTATGTTGGTTCGGAGGGGGGCGGCATGGCTGGGTTTTCATGTATATTTGGTGATGGTCATTTTGTTCGATTCATGCTTTCGTGTTCTCCGCCATTGGTACGATGGCCCATGCATTGATTGAGCGAGGTGGAGGAGGTGAGGTTGCGGCTGACTATTCACGCTTCCTCTTCGGGGATTGCGTGGGCTCTAGATTTTACGTGGCTGCTAACGTCTTCACGCTCAGACGCACATCCCAGCATTTGGGCAATCTCATCGACAATTAAGGACACTTCCACGACACTCCACATGTTGTCCATTATATTGAAGTGTCAAATAGGAAGGTGCAAACCGCGTACCTGTCAAATCGCCCCGAAGCAGCAGGACCTCGCGTGACGTGAATTATGACGTAGCTTCGACGTCTTTGCGGAGCGCAGCCCGAATTTTCGCGCTTGACCCGCCACCGCCTCCTGGGCGTGTGGGAAGAACGAAAAAGGTTTCACGATGATGTCGTTTTGGGCCGCGATCTTGTCTAGACGTCACTGGCATTGAGGCGGCTACAGTAGTATATAGATGGAGACCTGAGCCGGCGTTTGCATTGTAAGTACTGACGAATCTTCTTTTTACGAGATCTGCCGTTTCACTGCACGACTTCACCATTGAGAGCAGGAAAAGAGCCACGTCCAATTTCTGCAGTGGTGCATTCATTCCCGCCAGAGGAACAATATCTCTCAAACCTACCCAGCATGCAAGAACGACCAACCCTTCGATTGACGCTGAGCTCGCGCTCCATCTCAAAACGACCCCAAGCCTCAAAATCCAGCACCGACAAATCATCCAGCAAGCAGTCACGCGGAAAAGGCAAGGCCCTGACAAAATCAAAAGCCTCGCCGCCAGCAGAGGAGTCGACTGTCCACTGGTTGACGGAGGAGCTGACGCTATGGTGCTCGGATGTCATTGAAGGCCTTTTCCTTGGACCGTATGACTCCCCTCCGCCGATGACGGCGACGACGGCGACGGCTCGCGTTGAGGTTGCGAAGGGGTGAAGAGGGCTGGAAGACGTATCACTTTACATCCCACGGAATGTGGTCCCTTATGGTCTCAACTTCAAACGGGAGCGCACGCCTTCCATTCCAGTATCGTTGATGGAGAAATCTGTTCATCCGCATCACCAAACGGAGAAAGGAGCCGTTGCGGCCGTCCTCGAGCAGCCAGGCGAGACGGTCGGCGAAGTCCCGATGGTGAAGAGACACTCCGCAACTATTGTCAACTCGGCGAAATCGCAATCAGACTCTCGGGCAACATGGCCAGGACTACGAGCAAGTTAACGTCGAGCAGACGGTTGCGGAGGCGTAGGAGGACCTACGAGCGGGGCCCGAAGGCCTTCGCGGAGTATCGGCTGGGAATTGTGCGGGAGCCCGTCTTCTCCCAAGGCATGAGGAAAGTCGTCTCGAGGTTGAGGACTTGCAATTGGCCTACTGTTGCTTGAGAAGACAGGGCTATGAGGGCCCGGATCTGTTGGACGGCCAAATAGTGTTTGAAGAGAAATGTATTCAATGCAGCAGAACGTCGACTCTAACTCCACCCCGGGATCTTGCCGAATTTCCCTCTGAGAACACAACATTGGCACTTCATAGGCCAAGGCGATTCAGTAGAGGGGTAGCTCGATCTGTCGCATATCCGTCGTCGGACCGTGTCGTGATACTGTATTTTGTGGGTAATGCCCCGCAGAATCACCTTTCCTGGCAGTCCTCGCGGTGCAGTAGCCGAGTGCGGCTGATCGGAAGGCTTCCATCCCTCCTCCGTCCATTAGCTCGACAACCTTCATGCGAGCTCTCTTGCTGACATGTGAACCCTCTTTCTCATCAGCGAGATCCTATCGATTTATTCATCCTCTTGCAAGAATCGTCTCCTATCTTCACCCCCCAATTTCCCATTCGAAAACGATTCCACAGCAACCATGAGCTCCAAAGCCCCATCAAAGCGTCTCATCACGCCCGACGACATCAATAAACTGCGTGATCTCCTCTCCAGCACCGACGCCCACGTCCGCGCCCCATCAGACGCAGACTACGACAAATCTATCAGCAGGTGGTCATCCGCTGCTCAGAAGCCGGCGGGTGTCGCCATTGTCCCGACAACCGCCCAGGAAGTTTCCATCGCAGTCAAATACGCCAGCGAAAATGGCATCGATCTCGCGGTGAAGTGTGGCGGCCATTCTACCGCCGGCGTCAGCAGCACGAATGGCGGGTTGTTGATTGATTTAGGGCGTATGCGAGGTGTGGATGTTGATGCTGAGAAGCGGCTGCTGCACGTGCAGGGCGGTGCGTTGTGGATGGATGTCGATGCTGCGGCTTGGAAGCATGGTTTGGCTACTGTTGGGGGTACAGTGGCTGATACTGGTGTTGGTGGACTGACTCTTGGTGGAGGGTATGGGCATTTGTCTGGAGGGTTGGGGCTGGTGATTGACAACACCGTCTCGTTTACGGTGGTCCTTGCCAACGGCGAGATCAAGACGGCCAGCAAGCACGAGAACGAGGATTTGTTCTGGGCTCTGAACGGCGCCGGGCAGAACTTTGGCGTCGTCACCGAGTTCGTCTTGCAGGCCTACCCGCAAAAGGAGCTATACATGGGCATGCTTCTATTCGTAAGTCGTTTCCCCTTCCCCCTAACATCAATTCAAAACACTCACACCACGAACCCCCACAGCCACCCACCCCAGAAGTCATCACCAAGCTCGTCGCCATCATCAACGACCTCTTCACCATCCACCAAACCCCCGAAGGCCCGCAAGCAAAAGTCAAAGGCCAGCTCGGCAGCCTGATCGGCTTCGCCAAACCGCCGCCCGCAGGCGGCGAGACGATGATCCTCATGACGCTCGTCTTCAACGGCACCGAAGAGGAAGCGAAACCCCTTCTCCAACCGCTATTCGACCTCAACCCAGCCGTCAACGCCATGCGCATGGACGCCTACCCCGAGGCCAACAAGCTGATCCCGCAGGAGTACGGGCTGCGCAGCAGCATGAAGGGCGCGGCGTTTATGCTTCCCGTGCGCGAGCAGTTCTTCAACGACTGCAAAGAGACATTCGAGAAGTTCATCGATTCCTGCGACGATGCGGCGGGCTCGGTGGTGGCGTGGGAGCTGTTCGATCCGTCCAAGGTGGCGGAGCTGAGTACGGGCAGTTTCGCCAATCGCGGCCACCATTTGAACAGTCTCGTCATGCCGGTGTGGAAGCAGGCGGAGAACGACAAGCGGTGTCGCCAGTTTGCGCGCGATGTGAGTAATATGTTCAAGGAGGAGATTGAGTTGCAGGGCAAGCAGGCGAGTGAGGGCTTGGAGGGCGGGGCGGGCGTGAGGGGCAAGCAGGGCGCTGTGATGTTGTATGGGAACTACGATGTGAGTTTTTCTTTCCCGGAAGTTGTGGTGAGCGACCTGAGACTAACGGCCCTTCTAGCAATACGAGGAGATTTCAAAAGACATCTTCGGCTCCAACTACCCCGAGCTGCAGAAGCTGAAGGCAAAGTACGACCCGACGAACATGTTTGATAAGTTGTTCGCCATCACCCCGGACAAAGCGCGGGCGTGAGAGTTGATGAGACGCACCGGTTCATACGGTACATTAAGGAAGATCTGAATGACTACACTCCATGACCCTTTTCAGCTCCATAGAACCAAAATGCTACCCGCAATGCCTCGTTCACGCACCCCCCGCCTCAGCATCCTCATCCTCCTTCGCCTCATCCTCCAAAATCCGCTCCGTCACCTTCTCAATCGCCTCCGTATCCTCCCCCGCAACCACCAGCCCAAAAGCCCAAACCTTCTTCTTCCCCATCCGCGCCGCGCCCAAAATCAAAATCCGCGCCTCGGCAAACTCCCGCTCAAACTTCCTCTCCAACTCCTCGCGCGAAATGGTCAACATCGTGCACTCGTACACCGTCGCCACGCCGTACCCGAAGCGGTCGTTGAAGTGGCCTTTTAGTAAGTACAGGACGAGGCTGAGGGGCACGCGGACGTTGAGGTCGATGCAGAAGAGGCGGCCGGAGTCGGGGTCTTCCATTATGTCTGCGCCCACGGGGCCGTGGTAGCCTTCTTCGCACAACACCTTGCCAATAGCGTCGAGGGTGGATTGGAATTTCGGCTGCAGTTTGGGTTGGTCTGCGTAGGTGATTGCGGTGGATTGGCGCCCGCTTTCGCCCGTGGCGAGCTGGTTGCAGGCGCCGAGGAAGACGACGCTGCCGTCCTTCCGGACGTGGAAGTTGAGCGCGTGTGTCGGCCCGGGCACGAATTCGGACAGGATGAGCGACGTGGTGTACAAGTGGCGGTTCCCCTTGGTGATGCGCGGGAGGAAGTCGGCGAGGTAGTGCGTCATGCTGTCGACGAGCTTGTCGCGCGCCTCCTCGTCTTGCACGATGTTCGTGCCGACAGACGCCAGGCTTTGCGTGAGTTTGAGGACAAAGGGGATTTTGGCGTGGAGCAGGATTTCCCGCACGCGTTGGATCTCTTCTTTAACTCCTTCGGCGCACGCGTTGCAGTCTGCTCCGCGGTGGTACCATAGCTCGTCCGTCACGGCGTGCTGTTTGCAGTTGACGCTGCAGTCTACGACACGATCGTTGGCGCTGCGCAGCACGCACTCGGCCAGCCATTTCTTGCTGTTCAGCTTGTACGTCAGCTCCGGGTGGACGAGGCTGGGAAGGCGCTCGGCGAAGTCCATCGCGAAGCCCCAGCGGATAGGCGCGCCGTCGTAGCGCTTGACGAAGTCCTCGGTGTTTTTGAACGTGGTGATGCGCGGCCGTTGACTCTCTTGAATAACGGAGAAGCTGCGCGCGGCATTCTTCCCAACATCTTCTGCGCTGAGCGTTGGGTCATCGGTATTGCCTTCCGACCCCATGAAGAGCACGCGCATCGGGCCTGCGAAGAACATGAGGAGATGGCTGGTGTTCTCTAATTGCAAGTGAGCGAGGTTCTCCGCCGTGCTGACCTGCGCAGAGTGGATGATGTATTTGTCGTTAAAGGGCACCGCGTGGCCGTACTGCGGATCGGAGTTGGGTTTCAGTTTGCAGAGAGCCTCCATTTCTTCGCCATCTTTGAGATCGGCTTTGAGGAGGTCGTAGAGCGTGCTGTCCAGCTTGACCAGTGGGATGGATTTGGGTCCTCCATTGGTGGTTGCCGCCATGATCAACGTATGAAGCCCCGATGGGCGTGTGTATCAAAAGAATATTCCAATAACCAGTAATGAGGCTGCAGTAACGAAAGAGAGTAGAAGATGCGACTCGGCCATCGAATGTCGTCAACAGCGACCTCAGCAAAAGCACATCCTGCTTACCAGGCAAGCCAAGCGGCCCCAAACTAATGGAACCGCTGCCCAGATCAGATCCAAACAAAGCAAGATGCCACCAGCGTCGTCATAAGGGTGCTGCGCGCCTGGCAGCAGACACGAGTGCGAATCTCCAGATCTCCGTACCCCGCAGTCATCGCTGATGAAGAAGGCGGGGGGCGGAGAAGTGTGGGGAAAGCTGCCTAAGGCTGAGGTCGTGCCCCCGGTTTTCCCGCCGATTGTTGAGCCGCCCCAGGATCAACACGCCCAGCTCCGCGATTAAGTTTTTGGCAACTGGCGACTTCACTTGCCAAGAAGATGTTTGGGCTGGACGGTAAAGACAAGAATGATTGTCTGTCAGCGGTGTATTGGGCACGACAAATGTCAGGGTGCTTAAGTTTCCTGACTCCTTACTCCATCGATTCGACTCTGGGCGACGACGAGGGGAGCAGGCGGCATTGCAACGTCTAGACTAGAATGGAATCGTCCGACGGAATTGGAAGCATTAAACAAGAGGGAATCGTAAGGTTGATTGCTCATGAGTCGTTCACATTTGAGCACGTCAGATCTCCGCCAACAATAAGTGTTGTATTTTCACTCAATCATAAACTAGACTATCCACTCCACATCTCCCTCCTGCCAATCACCCCAGCACCCTCTTACGCAGTCTTCCTGTTCTTGGGCTTGATGCGAGTGCTCAAGTCACCAACCGGGATATCGGGCAGCGGCAGCTCCATGATGGCGAAAATCTGGGCGAACCCGAGGTACCAACCCGCGAGATCGGCGACGAAGAAGACGGCGCCGGCGCCGACGAGGCACGTCTCGGAGATGGCGGTGGCGCCGAGGGCGGCGTGCCAGTTGGCGGCGGTGGCGAAGCCGAAGCCGATGGTGGCGCAGAAGAAGACGACGACGAAGACGACGTTGATGCGCAGGGCGCCGAGCATGAAGAGGAAGGAGAGCAAGGCCATGGCGAGGGTGTAGAAGCCTGTGGGGGATTAGTTTTTGATACGATGGGGAGAAGCGTGGGTTTCGACTCACCGAAACCGGATGCAAAGAGAGCGGTGGGCTTGAAGGCATCACCACCAGAGCTGTAGGCAATGGCGCCGTAGCCGGGGACGAAGGTGGTGGCGTAGGTGAAGTAGTGGGCGCCGTAGGTGAAGAAGACGATGGTGGGGAAGGTGTTGCCGAGCAGGAACTCGCCGGCACCGGCAAGCCAGAGGAGAGCACCGCCGAAGAAGAGGGAGCAGGTGGTGGTTTGCGAGCCGTCCGCGCCGCCGGAAGATCGCCATCCCACTGAGAGGCAAAATCGTTAGCATTGAGGCTGATTGTATTTAGGCGGATTTGCCGCTGCAAACTCACTCAGTTCGATGGAGAGGGGGAAGAGGGCGACGGCGAAGCCGAGGACACCGAGAGGAGTGGGATTGGCAAAGGTGCGGCGCAGCTCGCCGGACACGCGAGTCTGCTGGGAGAGGTAGAGGCGCTCGAAGAGCTCGGGGGAGAGGCTCATGGTGTTGGTGAGGACATTGCGCAGCTGTTGCTCGTGGTTGTGGTCCACGCCGGTCTCGACCTTGGACAGGTCGCGCTCGGGGCTTTCGCTCATGATGATGGTGGTGGGGGGAGTAGTAGATGGAGGAAGAAAGCGATGCTGGACAGGGGCTAAGAGATGCTGGAGACGACGAGCAGGAAGAAGAGAGGCAAGGGAAAAGCACAGGCAACTCCTTACCACCCACGCGGGCGTTGCGACTACTTATAGATCCCATGACTGGGAGGAGGGCCTTCTCCACAAGCGCCTCCTCCGGACAATCGACCCATGCAAAACGCGGAGACGAGTGTCTCATTGGCGTGGTCAGGCGATGGGGTGCGCGGGTAGTGGTAGGTGGGTGGAGCCCGAGCGGGTGAGAGAGAGGAGATTACCTCCGCATGTTTAGTGACTCGCGTGAAGTGGATGCTGGTCTAGGCCCCAAGGCGGGTCGGGAGCTACCACGCATCCCTCTGCAAATACGTATACTACTCGACCATGCAGGCTGTCGGCGAGTGGAGCTGAGGGATGAGTGGAGTGGAAGCTCCGTGGCGAGCGTCGGCATGGGGTATCCTGGTTTGCTGGACATGCCGCGGCCATCATCAACAGAGTCAAGCGTTGGCAGATGGAGGAGGATTGGGAGAGGCGCGAGTGTTTTTGCAGGCAGACACGCACCTCGGTAGAATCCGCAGAAGGGAAAGGCCGGAGCTGGAGATGAAGAGGAACAACGGGCGGCGCGCGTGGTGTAAGCGTCAACCACGCAAAGCATTCCGCCACCAACCCCCGTCGCTCTCCACAATCTAGGCAAGATGGTGTAGCCGACTTGAAGTGCCGCGGTATGAAATCCGCCTTGTTTTGCGCCTCCAAGCCTCGCCAAGAATTGCCCATGTTCGGGGCGAGGGTGTCAAGGGGCTTGCATGCCTGGATTGGGGGCGTACGCCGCGACACATCCGGCCGGCCGGGAATAATCTTCCCACCGCTGTTGGCGACTAGGTGCATGAGGAGTGCGCTACGTTTAGACCGCTCTCGTCGTCGCGTTTGAAGAAAGAGAGAGAGAGAGAGGCCGGACTCGCCAGGCTCCCGTGTCCGATCTGGCCCATATTGAAAGCGCGGCAGGCCACTAGCCTCGGCCTCGGTCTAGACTCGCTCGCTCTACGTGCATGGCAAGCGCCGATTTCCCCCATCGTCCGCTGCACCTTCCACTTGAGGAAATCCCGGGCACGCGGAATGGAAGACGCCCCTTCTAGACATCGCCTCCGTGATTCTCGGCCCTGCTGTGATTGTGCATGCCCGTGGAATATACAGACCACCCCCCCCGTCGATACCCACGGCAGTGTCGGGGAGTATTAAGGTACGCGGTACCTCGCCCTCACGTGGTGTGTGGCAGCTAGTCGGCTTCCATGCAGCTTTCTGGAACCCGCCGCCCCCGTTACATTGAGCTTGACCGTGGTGGGGGAGAGTCGGCCTAGGCGGAATGAGGGCATCGATCGGCGACTGTCGTATTCGCCGTATACACACACACACAGTCATTTTGCAGCTCCTCCTCAGTGGGAGAGCCATCTCAGGTAAGGGATACGGAATCTCTCTTTGAGCGTCATTGGGTTGGGCATTGAGGCACCAACATTTCCCTACATTCCTTGCTCGTCCTACATTTCTTGACCATCCCCACAAAATCCACCGGGAAAGACTACATCCAATGGCGACACCCATCTGGCTCGACTGCGACACCGGCCACGACGATGCCTTTGCAATCCTCCTCGCCGCTCACCACCCGGATGTCCACCTGCTCGGCATCTCCACCATCTACGGCAACGCCCCCCTCGACAAAACCACCTACAACACCCGCGCCATCCTTAAAGCAATCGGCCGCGAAGACATCCCCGTCTACCCCGGCGCCGCGCACCCCTTCTGCCGCCCCGTAGTCTACGCCCCAGACATCCATGGCGAAAGCGGCCTCGACGGCACCACCGTGCTCCCCGCACCAACCGTGCCCGTCCGAACGGACAGAACAGCCGTGGAAGCCATGTACGCCGCACTAATCTCCACCCCCAAAGGAACCGCGTGGATCGTCCCCACAGGCGCCCTAACCACCACCGCCCTCCTGCTCGCCACCCACCCAGACCTCATCGAGCACATAGCCGGGCTAAGCATCATGGGCGGCGCCGTCGGCAACGCCTTCACCAATGCCCCAACCCCGCCGGACAACCGCGTCGGCAACATCACCCCCTGGGCCGAATTCAACATCTACATCGACCCGGAATCCGCGAAATCCGTCTTCAGCAAACCCGTGCTGGCCGCGAAAACGACGCTCATTACATTAGACTTGACGCATCAATTCCTCGCGACGCAGGAAGTGCAGAGCTCGCTGCTCGCCGGTAGTAGTGCTTCTTCGTCTTCTTCCACATCTAATACTCGGAAACTCTTTGCTGAAATCCTCGCCTTCTTTGCAAAAACCTACGCTGAGATCTTCGCTATTACTTCCGGGCCGCCTGTTCACGACCCCCTAGCCGTAGCCGCCGCCTTCCTACCGCACCTCTTCTTTGACTCCCTCGACAGCACAGACGCCGCGACAAAGCCAGTCCGATATGTAGTCGATGTCATTACGGAAGGCGCGCATTCCGAGGCGGCGGAGAGTGCGAGGGCTCAATCACAGTGTGGGCGGACAGTCGTTGCGCCTGTTGCCGGTGGAGGACCCGGCGTGAGGATCCCGAGGGGTGTAGCGAAGGAGGAAGTATGGAAGGTGATTGGAGAGTGTCTTGCGCGAGGCGAGGCGGCGCTGCATGCGCAAAATTGAATCCTAATGGATCTCAGTGGATGCACCACGCACCCATCGCATGGCATCAGCGAGCTCTGAATAGATGTAGAAAACCCTATACATAGTGGTGATAGATTGTACAGCTTCTATTCCTTATGCATGCGCTGTACACTCACAAACAAACAATAGTGGAGTATTCAAGCCCATCGCCCACCGCTTGCAGACACCATCCCCGCCACAACACCAGCGTATGCCCCCAACACCGTCCGAGTGCAACCCCTCCCTTACTGCTCCCTCCGATACAAGCTAGGCGCGCCCTCCGGATCCGGACCCCTCGCCAACCCAGGCGGCAAACCAGATCCACTCCCAGCATCCGACGGCGCATTGTCTCCAATACCCCCCGGGTTCTTCCCAAGACCCTCCTCCGTCTGCTTGGGCGAAGTCGATCCCCCGCCGAAATACTTGTCAAACTCGCCCTTGCTCTCCCAAGGTCTCGGGCCGAGCAAGCGCACCATATCATCGCGACTCAGCACCTCCTTAGCCAACAACTCCTCCGCCACAAGCCCGACTTCCTTCTTCTTCTCGACGAGCAGTTCGCGGCACTGCTCGTACGCCTCGTTGACGATGCGCTTCACCTCCTCGTCGATGGTGCGGCCCGTCTGCTCGGAGAAGGGCTTCGTCAGCGCCGCTTCTTGACTCTCGCTGCTGTCTGGGTAGTAGATGTAGCCAATCTTCTGCGACATGCCCCACTTCGTCACCATGGCGGTGGCCATGCGGGTGACTTTGTTGAAGTCGTCGCTCGCGCCCGATGTGACGGTGTCGAAGTGTAGTTCCTCCGACACGCGGCCGCCGAGCGTCATGGCCATGCGATCCATCATTTGACGCATGTTGAGTAGTACCGCATCGGCGCCTCCGCCGGGAAGGTACTGGGCGTAGCCGAGCGCGCCGGAGCCGCGAGGGATGATGGAGACTTTGAGCAGCGGGTCGGCGTACTGGAAGTACCAGCCGCAGATGGCGTGACCGGCTTCATGGTAGGCGACGGTCTTCTTCTCTTCGGGAGACAAGACGAGACTCTTCTTCTCCATTCCGCCAATCACGCGCTCGATGGCTTGCTCGAAATGTGTAACCTTCACGCTCTCTTCCGAGGTTCTCGCGGCGATGAGCGCGGCTTCGTTGACGCAGTTGGCAATGTCGGCTCCGCTGAAACCGGGGGTCAGAGCGGCCAAGCGACCTTTGAGATGGTCCAAGTCTTCGTGGGTGACAATCTTTTTCAGGTGGACGTTGAAAATTTGCTTCCGTCCCTCCATTGTCGGACGGTCGATGGCGATGTGCCGATCGAAGCGGCCAGGGCGCATGAGCGCTTTGTCGAGGACGTCTGCTCGGTTGGTACCGGCAAGAACAACGACTTGCTCCGAAGTATTGAAGCCGTCCATCTCGGTGAGGATTTGGTTCAACGTGCTCTCTCGCTCGTCGTTACCACCTCCGAAAGACTGCTTCGCACGACTCTTGCCGATGGCGTCGATTTCGTCGATGAAGATGATGCACGGCGTGTTCTTCCTCGCGTTGGCAAACAGATCTCGCACTCGTGAAGGTCCCACACCGACAAACATCTCCACGAATTCAGAACCAGAGACCGAGAAGAATGGCACACCAGACTCTCCGGCTGTAGCCTTAGCCAGTAGAGTCTTACCTGTTCCTGGCGGTCCACTCAAAATGGCGCCTCGAGGGATTTTGGCGCCTAGCTTTTGGTAGAGGCCAGGCTCTTTGAGGAATGACACAAACTCCATAATCTCCATCTTCGCTTCGTCCATGCCTGCGACGTCCGAAAACTTGACCTTGATGTCCGTTTCGTGGTTGAATTTCTTCGCTCTACTCCGTCCCATGCCAAAGATGCCTCCTTGACCTCCACCTGCACCACTGGCAGCACGGCGACTGAGGTAGAGAATGGCGCCAATAAAGAGAAGTGTCGGGCCGAAGGCAAGGATCGTGTTAGACCAAGAAGTCTCGGAATGGTAGGAGACTGGAATCCGCTCGGAGGAGGGAATGCCTAGCTCGGCTTGAGCTTCGTCCACTCTCCTCTCAAAGGCCTCCACGGATCCAATGGAGAAGTAGTAGAAGAAACCAGCCTGAGCGGCTGGCGACTCGGGGTACATGGCGGCCACACTCTCGCGATGGAGATAGACTCGCACGCGATTGCTGTTAATCACCACCAGCTTCTCCACCAGTCCCTTGTCGAAAAAGGTATTTCGGAACTCTTGCCAGGTGATCTCGCGACTGTTCTCAGTCGGAACCACGAGTCGGTAGAGCAGATAGGCGACAAAGGCCGACACGAGGAAGTTGCTCATGTCGAATTTGATCTCGGTCATGTTGGCAAACATGTCTTCTGACTTCTTCTTCTGCCCGTCCTTCTTCTTTTGCTGCCCTTCCTCGCCTGAATTCCGCTGCTGCTGTCCCTGTTGCTCTTGCTCTTGCGGGCGAGGTCCTTCCTCCCCTTTGATGTTGTTTTGTTGCGGGCCAGGATCGGACGAGGTTTTCTGTTGTGGAGTAGCAGCTTGCTCCTCCTTTTCCCTCTCTACATGCTGCCGCGCCAGCGGGCCCGTGAGTCGCCACAACTTCGCAGCTCGACCAGGCGACATGCCCTTCTCCATCACCTCTTTCATCACCTCGTGCATCTCGGTCGGCACGCCTTCCTTCTTCAATCGCGACGCTACAGCATCCAGCTCCTGTGCCATGGACTTGGGCATCCCTTTCTTCACCAGATCAATGATGTAGTCGAGATTTTCCTCCTCGGTCTGCGAGAGCTTGTCCATGCCGGGCTCAAGCTTGTTGGTCGGCGGAGGCTGGCTTGGAGCTGCATCGGGAGTTGGCGTAGCGGGAGTCGTGCTCGACGGCGGTTGTGGCGAGGACATGGGTGAGGATTTGCCATAGAGGTGCTCCGTGCCTTTGGCCGGCTTGCCCTTTTGGTCGGACTTCTTTGGTGTGGCATAGCTGCGACTGCATGCATATGCAAAAGGAGGTCGGGGGAAAGACGCAGGTCTCCTTGCGAGCGTTTGAGATAATGAGGCGGCATCGAGGAGGTGTCGTGAAGTGCGCGCAACAGTGTGCGGCCGACGAAGAATCGTGGCCATCGTGACACACAGCGCGGGTAGGAGAGAAGTTGGTGCTACCGTATTATGCACCACATCGAGAAGTGGACTTGCTGCTGGCGTTGTGGCAGAGGAGGGATGAGGCGTGTGCGATGGCGACGGCGATGTGTCTTCGATTTCAAACATGCATGACGATTCCAGCGCGCGGACTCATCCAGCGGGAGCTCCCGTTTCCGCCTCGCCGCTGACTAAGTCAACGCGACGACCGCAGCTTGAGCCGCGGCTGGAATCGAGGGCTCTGGTAAATGGCCATGGAACTTAACAATCTGTCCTGACGTTCTAATCGTCAGTACTGATACCGCCATGACACTCTACTGACGACTGTTGTCGATGTGGTCTCGCGACTGTTGTGTTTGGACGAAACCCCAAGAGACACAGCCTATAACCGAACAAAAGTTGTCGAGTCTTGCGCCGTCTTGATCACTCATCCGTACTACTTACTGAGAGCCGACGGCCTATAATAACCTCCGAACCATCACAGCATTGCTCTTGTTCGCAGTCCAAAGCATCAACATGGAACAGTATCCCACCACCGGCATCCTCGTGGAGGCCGAGGCATTCGATAACTATGGCGGCTGGACTCTCGACTCGCAATTCGAACTGGAGATGGGCTCGCCTTACCTCCTAGCTCACGGCCTCGGCAAAGCAGTCGCAGACGCAACTACGATAGTCACTCTTCCGAAGGAAACCAAGTTCCACATTTGGGTGCGCACCAAGGACTGGGTACCTAGGCATCATCCCGGAAGGTTCACTCTCTCCTACAACAACTTCGTGATTGGGGAGTTCGGCGCGAGCGGGAAAGAAGGCTGGTGCTGGCAGTACGGCGGGACTACCAAAGTCAAGAAGGAAAAGGCGCCGCTTGTATTGCATGATTTGACAGGGTTCGGGGCGCGGTGTGATGCTATCTTCTTTACAAAAGAAAAGAGCGAGCCCCCGAATGTTGCGAATGATGCTATGCGGAAATGGAGGAAGCGCCTGTTAGGACTGCCTGATCAGCCGGAAGATGCTGGACACTATGATGTGGTTGTCGTTGGCGGCGGGATAGTGGGTGCAGCTGCAGTGCTGACGTCCGCTCGACTCGGGAATCGCGTCGCTCTTGTCCACAATCGCCCTGTTCTGGGCGGGAATGGAAGCGTCGAATGCGGCCTGCGACCACGCGGCATTACAGGACCTCTCATCGACGACATCGCTGAGCGTGATCCCAGTGGTGACATCAAAGGGTTGTCATTGCTGAAAGCGGAGGCGAACGTCAAAGTCTTCCTCGAACACTGCGTATTTGATGCAGTCAAATCTGGATCAAAGATTCTCTCGGTGGATGCACGACATGCACGAAGCGGTAAAGAGATTCGACTTTCCGCCCCCGTGTTTATCGACTGTTCTGGAAGAGTCACACTCGGCTTACTCGCGGGCGCAGAGACATTGTCCGGCCAGGAATCGCATGGAGATTATGGTGAAAGCCTGGCCCCTGCGGAAGCCGATTATCACCACCACGGAAACACGATGTTCTTCCGCACACGAATGGCAGACAAGTTCGTCTCCTTCCCTGAAGTCCCCTGGGCGACAGAAGTCGCAAAAGACTTCTCCAACCTCGGTGGCCAGCTCGTCAAACCCGGCATCGACAACGGCGAAGGTCCGGTGGTGAAACCCCCGGGGCCCGATGTCCGTCGAAGAATGAAACTTCCCGCCACGCATTTCTGGGAGTATGGACAGGATATGGATATGTATACGCAAGGCGAAGAGATCCGTGACCATCTCCTGCGAGCGCTGTTCGGTACCTTCTCCAACGTGAAGAGGATGCAGCCGGAGAAGTATCGGAATCTCCAATTCGATCATGTTGCTTTCGTCGCTGCAACGGGCGAGTTCAAACGGTATCGTGGCGACTACATTCTGACGGAAACGGACATTCGTTCGCATCAACAATTTGAAGATGCAGTGGTGCAGAATGGCGGCGCGTTCTGTCTGCACTACTCCGGACATGAGCACTACGATTTTCGCCTTAAGGACTGGAAGTGGGATGAGCGAGACGGGAAGGACTACGACATTCCATTCCGCTGCCTGTATTCCTCCAACATAGACAATCTCATGATGGCGGGCAAGCATATCAGCGTGACTCACGTCGCCGGGTCGAATACCAAGTTCATGGGAAATGGAGGGCAGCACGCCATTGCTACTGCAGCTGCGGCGTCCTTGTGCAAGAAGTACAGCATCACTCCAAGACAAGTGAGGGAGCAGCATATGGCCGAGCTCCGAGAAGTTGCAAGGAGTATTACCGGAAGAAAACTCGACGGCAATCGAAGTCGACTATGAAGACCAATGTCACAAAAGATCACCACCAAACAACCCCTCCGGATCCCATTCCATCTTGAGCCTTCTCAACCGCTGAAGCCTCTCCAAATCATGATACCGTCGATGAACCGGCGACTCCGGCTCCCGCAGACTATTCGCGAAGTCCACATACTCCACAGGTTTCTGGCCCCGTCTCGTGACCGCAATCACTTTCTCCAAATACCCCTGTACGACTTCCTGGCTCTCAGCACTCGTGCACCACGTCAAGTTGTTCGCCCAGAAGCGTATGCCATGCATACCATTCGCCGTGGCGAATGTTGGCGGTAGCGGGGATTGCGATTCCCAAAGGATGCTGAACATGGATGGCATGGCGTCGGGACAAGTCGTCGTCATTTGTCGCCAGAGCTCTGCGATCTCTGGGAAGACGGAGGGGTCATAGACGTGGATGGCTGTCAAGCGTAGCTTCTTGAAATCGCCTGGAGCCATGAGGGGTTGGAGGGAGTCGCCGTTATTCTCAATGGGGATCATGCCGCCGGCAGACGCTACTGGTCCCAAGTCATAGAGCGCTTTGAAGACCTCTCCTTGCAGCTCTTCGCTCTTTGGGTGGATAACTCGGGCTGTGACTACAATAGCCGGGCAACGAGTCGGCGGCGGTGCGGCGATCATGATAAGGCCGCCTGCGCAGTAAGTCGAGTTGTTGACGACATGGCGCATAGCTTCTGCAACTTCCGCTACACGGTCCAAGGGGAAGATGAATCGCCCATTCCAGAAGCGACCCTGAGCGTTGCCGAAAACTTCAAGGACCGGATATGCGCGCACCGTCAACGACACAACGAGACCGAAGAATTGCCCTGCGCCGCGGATAGCAAACAGAAGATCGGTATGCTCGTCGTCAGACGCGTTGACGATTTCGCCACCGGCTGTGATCAATCGAGCACGCAGAATGTTATCGGAGGCGTAGCCCAGCTTCGACGCCAATGGAGAATTACCACCATTTAGGAAGAACGGAATCGCACCGACGGTATTGGATGATGGGAGAGCTGGATCCATCAGTACGCTCTCACTCGACAAGTGTTGATGACTGCTTACTCACTCGTGCAAACCCCATGTCTTGCCAATTCCATCGCAACCTCCTTACTTCGAACACCACCAACGAGCGTTGCTTCGCTTCTGCTTTCGTTATAAGTGACGGAAGAGAAGTCACTAAGGTCAATGACGATGCCGGCCTCATCGATCGTGGAATAGAGCGACATTCCACCCGATTTGCACACGAATGGCGTCCCTGTAGATCTCGCCCATTTGATCTATTGGTTCCTTCTGGTCAGCACATGTGATGTTGCGAAGACAAAGCTTGGCCTACAATGCTCAAGCAGTCCTCTTCCGTGCTGGGCAAGACGATCGCTGATGGAGTACGGAGATTGACATTCGACCACCGCTGCAGGTGTGCTTGGAATTCGAACGAGGACGGATCGGAGAGGAGCGTTGCGTCTGGCGTGAGACTGTCTCTTAGAGCCTGGAGTTGGGATGTTGAAGGCATGAATCTAATTGCCCGTGGGAGATAAAAGTGAAGCGCGATGGTTGACAAGCATGAAGTCTACCACGGACAAGAAAAGCTTCAATCTTTATAGCAAAGGTCAGCGAGTCCTGGGCACAGGCGGCTGATGCAGCACTTTCAGCCTCATGCGATCCTTCGGCGCGAAACATTCCCGATGAGGGCTGTAGCCGTTAACCCCGAGCGTAACTCGCTCGTAGAGGTGGAAATCGCAAGTCTGTATGTGAGTAGGTGCACGATCGCCGAGCTCCCTTCTCTGTCTCCTTTGTAGAAGGAGTCGGGCGTCCATCACTATTCCCAGGTGCGGTGAAAGAGCTAAAGTGCACGCGTGTCGTAGCCTCGGGCAAGCAATCTGAAGCATGCAACCTCCGCTTCAACCAGCGATGACACCCTGCCAACGACAATGCCGAGTGCATCACCCCAAGAATCCTCAACCCCTCCCGCGAAGAAAAGAAAGACAACAATGCCCTCACAAATCCTGACCCTGCTAGAACCGCACTTCGCCTCCGCGCAAAAGCACATTAACGCCGACCCCGACTTCCAAGCTTCAGCCGCGGGCGTGCGATGCGCCTTCGCCATCACATCCAGTGAAAATCCAAATGACTCCGTGATCGTAGGGATCGACTCGCAGCGCGCCGCTCTCGAAGTCGGGCCCGCGCATTATGGGACGTTTGCCATTCAAGCCAGGCCGGAAGACTGGACGGCTTTCTTCGACGGCACACTCGTCCGGCCGTATCAGTCTTTCTGGGGCATGTTGCGAGTTCTGGCGCCGGAGAACAAGGAGATAGCTATTCTAGGCGATCAGCAGTCTTTCGCCGCGCATGCGCGAATCTGGCGAATCGTGCTGGATCGAATACGAGACGCGGTGCATGGCAAAGCTATTCGCACGGCAGCAGAGCACGAACCCCCGGCGGAGGAGGTGGTCGAAGACGATGCAGTGACTGGGAAGTATATCTGGCTTGAGATGGCGGAGTACGGCAAAGTGAAGATCTTCTACGAGACGGCTGGCGACGGACCGCAGGATATCTTATTCCTGCACACGGCTGGCTCGGACTCGCGGCAATACCACACGCTGATGAACAATGCTGATCTGCGCGAGCGATGCACGATGTATGCCTTCGACCTGCCTGCGCACGGAAGGTCGAGTTTGGGATCAAAGCAGGCGCCGGAGGGATACAAGTTGACTGAAGCATCCTACCTCGAAGCCATAGGGAAGGTAATCGCTCGTCTCCGCCTGCGCAACACAATCCTCTGCGGCGCCTCGATGGCCGGCCACGTATGTCTAGCAGCAGCGATAGCCGCGAAAAAGCTGGACGTGCACGGCGTGATAGCCTGCGAAGCCTGCGAGCACCTCGCATTCGACCAGCCGATTTACGAAATCAAAGGCGCAGACACGTCGCTTCTCGACCCCGAGCGGGTGTGCGGAATGTGCGCCCCGACGTCGCCGGAGTACTACAAGCGGCAGGTCTGGTGGCAGTACTCGAGCAATGGATACGGGGTGTTTGCGGGGGATTTGAAGTTCTACTTCCGGGGGTGGGACGGGAGGGGGAGGGTGGAGGGGATTGATACGCGGCGGTGTCCGGTGTATTTGTTGACGGGGGAGTATGATTATAGTTGTACGACGGAGGCGAGCAAGGCTACTGCGGATAAGATCCCTGGGGCGAGGTTTGAGGCTATGAAGGGGTTGGGGCATTTTCCTTTGACGGAGAATCCGGAGCTTGTGCTGCCGTATCTTTTGCGGGCGATTGCTTTTATTCAGAGGAATCGTGAGGACGACTGATGGAGAGGCTTGAATGTCTGCAAGGCAACAGCGTAGCTGTGAGTTCGTCCAGACTCTGATCACTCGACGGACGACAGGTTTGCCCACCAGGCAGCAACCTCATCCATATAAATACTCCCCTTCCCACACCCACCAGCCCCTCAATCAAACCCCGATCCCACCGCCGCAGCATTCCACAATGTCAACGGCCGAGCCCAACGACACACCTAGAACTCAGCCTCCACCCTCCCTATCAATCCGGCTGCACCTAAGAGGCGGCGCAACGGACGCAAACGTCCAATGAGCAATCGAATGGATGCGCCAGCTAGGCTATTCCGTCAAAGAGCGGCAACGCATCAGCACGGCATCGGTCGAGTTTGTCCCTGTCGAGGGCTACCCGCACGAGTCTCCTGAGGAGGGCAGCGCGCTGGTGGAAGCGTTTAGGCGGCAGTTTGATGATGAGGATTCGTTGATTGAGACGTAGCCCATTATGTACGAGGGATGGACATCACGAGAGTGGATGTCACATCAGTTATCTGCGGTCAACCCGTCGGCGTTAAGGAGTAGGGTGGGAATAGGTACTCGGGGTGTTTCTCTTGAGAGTGGATGTGGGTTGGTCTTTTCGGTGTACGATGTCGAAAGAACCAACCTTTCCAACAGTACGCTGCTTCTCAAAATATACTCAACAGACTCCCAGAACATTCCATCCGATATGACGGTGATTTCCATACGCATCGCCGGCTCATAAGCGCAGGGCTCGCGAATTGAAGCCGCATTAGGAAAGAGATCGGCAGTGCTCGGGCTAAGCCTTGCTGCCTACCAGACCTCACCAACCCATGTCTCAAACCACAGTTCAAGCGACATTTCCTCCTCCAAATATTTATCCCATCATCTTCACAATGAAAGCATCGACGTCTTCTTCATCGCCCTGGAGATAAGAAGATGGTAGGCGTCCCAGGCCGCTCCTCCGCCTGCCAGCCGTGCAAGAAGCGGCGTATAGCGGTAGGTGCCATCTCCCCCTTCCCAAACAGCTCCCAAACAGCACATTACCCATGTCAACTAACGGAGATACGGCACGACAGTGCGATCAACAGCAGCCACAATGCGCGCGATGCCTCCTAGGAAAACGTTTATGCGAGTACACCCAAGGGCAGCGGATTTTCGTGCTCAACGACGCTGGCAGTCATAAGACGATCTACAAGAAGAAAGATGGCGAGGTGGCGGATCGGGAGCGCAGGGCGAAGGCATCCGGCGAGAAAGTCCAAGCGACGAATTCAGAGGACCAGCAAACAGCAGCATTGATTTTATCCAAGCAGCCTTCAAGCAGCGCACTCCACCAGCAGTCACTGCTGGCATACGCCTTAGACGACCAACTCTCCCGACGCCACAAGGCAGGCTACATGCAGGATCTCGCGTCCAGCTCCGCCGCCAGCAACATCATGGACTCCTGTCTCCGCCCCTCGTTCCTAGCCTACTACATCGCCTGGCTGACGCGGCGAGAGTCCATGGATGACCCGCGCCTCACAGCCGCCGGGCGCGAGCTGTACATCTGCGCTCTGCAGGAGACGCACAGTGCGCTTGCGAGCCGGCGCACCGCGCTCTCGGACTCGACGCTAGCGGCTTGCCAGGCGCTGGCGGCGTACGAGGCGCTCGAGTGTCCTGGCGGCACGCTGCAGGCTTGGGAGTGGCATCAGGCGGCTTTGGGCAGGCTGGTGCGGCTGCGAGGGCCGGCGGCGCATGTGGATGGGCCTGCGTGGCAGGTGTTTACGGGCTTTCGCTTGTATTCTGTATGGACGTGTGGTGTCCCCGCCTGGGGATCGTGACTGACGGATTGAACAGATTCTGCAAGCGTTCGACAGTGGACACGACACCTTCCTTGCAAAGCCGGAGTGGACAGACATCCCGTTTAGCGTGCATCCGAAGCGCAAGCTTGATGAGCTTCTGGACATCTTCGCTCTCGGACCCCAAGTCTCCCGAATGGGCAGCACGTTGTCCACACTGCCGCCCGACCAGGTCGTCCCCACCGCGTTCTCCATGGTCGACAAGTTACTCTTGATCATCAAGAAGCTGCAAGAGTTCGAGCAGCGGCTCGAGAGAGATAGCGAGGTGCCGTTGTACCAGGAACGCAGTCTCCCGCTGAACCCGCATCACGCTTCCGAGCAGCCGGGCGACGCAGAGTTCATCTTTCCGCCCATCTTCTGGTTTGCGGATCTCGATACCGCATTGTTGCTGACTCTCTTCTGGGCAATGTCTGCAATGGTGAGTATTCCATTCGTCAGCGCCTCCAGGACCGCCCAGCTGACCACATTTCGTCCGCGGCATAGGCATACTCCGGCCTCCTGAACCTGCACGCCCTCTTTCACGAACACAATCTCTCCCACGTCTTCGCCACAGCAACAGCGTCTCTCGCCAACCTCAGCGATGCCCAATACCTGCACTTCCTCCTCCGCGATCGCGCGAGAAAGGTCCTGCAGAGCGTCGCATATTGCACCACGCCTGCAGCGGTCGAGTTGGGACCGCCGCGCGTCACCACGCAACTGGTCATCGTGAGCGATGTGTTGAAGAACAACAGCGCGTGCGAAGCAGAGTACCAATGGGCCATGAGAGCGCGGGTGCGCATGGGCGAGAAGTACGCTCGGATTCTGAAGTGTGATACCTGATGGCGTGCATTTGGCAACAGCTATGTCAGTTGTTCAAGGCAACCCGTCCTTCTCCACCTCGACCTCCACCCTAACAGGTTTATCAGAGAGATCGCGCGGATGCACCACGACGTTATCATTCGCCGCTTGCTGCTGCTGTTGGCTCAGCAGACTCATGCCCGCCAATGCGGCGCCCAAATGGCCATAATCTGCGAACCGTTTGCGCCCGAATATCTGCACCTGCTCGCCGCGAGGCCACTCCAGGAAGCCGAGGACAAAGGCGTAATAGGTGCCAAAGCCGATCGAGGCGGCGGTGGTCGCGAGGAAGGCGGGGAACCATCGCTTTTCCCATAGTGGGTGCTTGCGAGGCGTGGCTGGGATGTGCTCGACTCTGCCGAGGCCGATGTAGGGTATTCGAGCTGCTAGGTCAGACGCGATCACGGTCACGGCATCCGTGAAGCTCGAAGATTGTCGAGCTGCCCAGGGGAGATTCAGACTGTGTGTCGCAGCATCCGCAGCCACGCTCTTCCCTCTTCCCATTACATCCCCAACATCCGTCCCCATCTTCAACCTCTCATGCATCCTCTCCGTAAACCTCACCAAAGCCGGGTACTTCCCCCTCAACATCTTCCTCAACCAACCCTGCGGGAGTTCAGGAAACAGCATCAAACTCAAATACCCATAAACCGCACAATCCACAGCCTGCATCTCCTCCGTGCCCAAAAAGAACTCCCGCTCCTCCAGCATATTACTCAAAGGCTCGAAAAACGCCTCAGCGAGCGCATGCAATCGGAAAATCGCAGAATGCTCCGGTCGCCTTAGAAGACTACGCAACGTATCCTTACGCGGAAGAAGTAAACTCGCCGCTTTGCGCTGACTCTCCGCTTCGAATTGCGGCTCTTTGCCTACCGAGGCGACATCGCCGGCCCCGCCGCGCCCGCTCAAATCCTCATGCGGATCCTCCTCATCGACGTCAATGTGTGAAATCCCCAGCTGCGCAGTCCTCTTCTTCGCGTCGGCGCGCCGCCGCGGAGGGACGGTGTAATTGGCGTACCAGGGGAGGAGGCGCGTGAAGGCGGGGCGGGTGGCGGAGCGGTAGTTTTCGGAGGAGGTGTAGAGGGTGATGTCGAGGAGGGGTTGGGCGCGGGAGTCGAGGAGGGAGGTGAGGGCTGTTGAGGTTGCTGATTGCAAGGCGTTGTCGTTGTTCGAGGTTGAGATTGGTTGGAGGTGTGTTTGGATGGCTTGGAAGCCCTCGTAGGTTTTCTGGTCGTCGAGGAGGTAGGGGAGGTGCCGGGTTTGGTCGTGGGTGGGGATGAGGTGCCAGTTGCTGGTGGTTGGGTGGAGGTGTTGGAGTAGGGCTACTGCGGCGTTGCATTCGGCGTCGATGGACGGTAGGCCGAATGCCGGCCCTAAGATGTAAAGCTCCATTGGGTTATCGGGGGGTGAGATACATTGTGCGGGTGGTGATGCGAGAGAGGATGTGCAGGAGGATTGCATGTGATGTGCTGGAAGTTTTTCTGAGTCATGCGGAAGCTCCGCTGAGCTGCGACTTGACTCGTGCAAGGCTTTGTGCTGCTGCCGCGAAGGAGTCGAGGCGATGCATTTAGCGTGTATTTGTGGCACGGTATGCTCAATGAATCGCTAAGCAACACACTATACAGACATATAGCACATACACAATCACAATACCAGCCGGCCCGGCTCCTGCTCAAGCGCCACCTTCATCCGCTCCAGATACTCCGCCGCCCGCGCTTCCTCGCCCACTCTAGCCGTGACCGAGAAGATATTGCCGCTAGGCGACACACCCACAGCCGCCGGCGCAGCAGTAACAGGAGACACCTTGCGCTTCGCAGCCTTGGGAGCCAAGAAGTCAATGATGTCCGGCTTCTTCGCCAACGCCCTAGAAGCTACGAGAGGAGGGTTGGAGATGCCCATGATTTGAGGAATGAAGGAACCCCGGGATGAGTGGTGGATCTGATCGAGGCCTAGAACGGAGTTGAAGAGTTCGTCGGCGGTGGGTTTGCGGTTCCTGCTGGGCGGGAGGTCTTCGTTTGCGAGTTCGGAGGCGCGGGCGATGAAGGTGGATAGTGGGAGGAAGATGCCTAGGGAGTCTTGGACGCGTTTTTGCGTGGCGATGACGGCGGATAGGGTGATGGGTAGCGCAATCTCCGTCTCCTGGGGAAGCTCGGCGGCGGCTGATTTCGCTTTGTCTGCTTGGGCGGGTTTCGTCGCCTCCTTCTTTGATATTCTGATGTTGGAGAGGTCCAGATGGGAGAGCTTTTCTATGCGCTTCGACTGCTTCTCTGGGTATTCTTTGTTGATGCGGCCGAGGTAGGCGAGCACATCGCCCTTCAGCAAGCGGCCGTTTGGTCCGGAAGTGGGGATTTTGTCGACTTCGCTTGTCGAGTAGCCGTTGGCGTGTAGCAGATGCTCGACAGAGGGTAAGAGGGGGTATTTCTGCCTGGCCGTGTTGCCTCCTTGCTTTGAAGTGGTTTCCTCCTTCGCGGGCGAAGCCGTCGGTGTAGCATCTGCAGATTTCCCACCGCTGCTCCCCTTCTCAGATGTCTGCTTTGAATCCTCCTCCTCCTCCTTCTGCTTAGGCTGTGACTCCTCTTTTCTCTGCTCCTGCGACTTGCTCGCACTCTTCTCCTCCGCAGGCACCTCCAAGCTCTCCAAGTCATCCCCAACATCCGCAAACACAGCAATCCGCTGCCCCACCGGCACGCCCTTTGCGCCCTCAGCCGCAATAATCTTAAACAGAATGCCATCATCTTGCGCCTCGACGTCCATGGTCGCTTTGTCCGTTTCGATTTCGAGGATAACGTCGCCGGCGGAGAAGGAGGCGCCCTCCTTCACTTTCCAGCTGGCGATGTTGCCTTCGCTCATGGTGGGGGAGAGGGCGGGCATGGTGTAGTTTTGTGCTGCTCGGTTTCTCGCACAGACTCGGAAGCCTGGGGGGGTGCGTCAGTTGATGTCTGTTCGGGGTTGTGTGCGACGCTGTCTCACCTCTGCGCGCCGGAGCTCGGGGTGCGCATCTTTGCGCCAGTCGCGCGGAGAGTCGGGAGGGGGTTGCGAGGGCCGCCATTGCAGCTCTACAGACTACAACATGCGCGGGGGGATGAGAGGGTGGAGGTGGAGGAGGAGGGCGAGGGTGGAAAGCAATGGAGAGGTGCAGACGAGAGCGTTGGGACCGGGCAGGGAGGAGGTGGCATGTGCGCTGCACGTCGCTCCGCGAAAGCGCCGAAGCTTCAATTTAATTCGCACTTCACCTCTGTACTGCAGGAAACATTAGAGTCTCCTTCATGCGGCCAGCCCATCTAGAGCCACGACAAGGCCGACGAGATGTCAACGATCCAATGGCTCCTCAGACTGCCTCCTGGATTGAGATGGCGCATCCTCTCCCCAAACCCGAATAAAACATCACGCCTCCAATCCCTCACTTGCAGACCATTCAGCCAGACAACATGCGCGCACGCAAAACCAACCAAACCCCCCAAACCCAAAGTCATCCGACCACTCCCCAAACAATCACGAGCACAACCACCCGCCCCACCACCTCCAACTCCATCATTCACCACCCCTCCCCCATCAACCAATCTCTCCAACACCCGCCCAAGCAACTCCCGTCTCGACCCATCCCTCACCCAGCTCCTCGACACCACAGGCCAGGTACTTCTCTACCACGCCCCAAGCCACACGAGCTTCTACTTCTTCTCCTACCTCTTCGGCACAGCCGTGCTCGCTGGTTCTCTCCTGCAAGCAAGCAACATCAACGTCCCCACCGCCGCCGAAGCGCAAGCAGAAGGCAAGCAAATGCCATGGTACCTGCGCACCGCCTCGTCTGGAGTAGCCATCTTCACCGCCGCGATAGGCACGGCACTAATCCTCGCACCCGCGAAATTAATCCGTAGCGTATCGCTCGTTGCCTCGTCTATGCCTGGGAATTTGACACGGGGAACGCCCTTCTTACGGCTCGAGACCAAACCCGCCATCCCACTATTCGGCCGCAAAGGCAGAGTAATCGACGCCCCAATGCACCAAGTCTTCATCGACAGACAAGTAGTAGGCATGGGCGCCATCTCATACTACCACATCCCACGCGAGGAAGCGCAGAAATTCACGCAGCTCGGCCTCCCCGCCTCCGAGGGGGGCAGCGAAGCAGTGAAACCCACTATAATACAACGCTTGCAAGCCTTCAACACCTCCCTGCTCAACATCTGGCCGAATTTGAAACAAGATACGCGCCGCATGCTGCTGCGCGACGGGATTGCGTACGTGCGGATTGAAGGGGAAGGCGGGCATTGGAAGCTGGATGTGAATGGGGCGCAGATGCTGGAGCATGGGAAGCCGTTGGCGGCAGCGCTGAGTCCGGGCGAGTTTGATCGGTCGTGGCTTTCGAAGGCGAGGAAGGTGATTGGGATTTGATTGAGGACTCAATCGGGGCGGGGAGGATTGTATCATACTGTACTGCTACATATATCACCTCATGAAACATACAGCCAGGAACTCTCACACACACCCCCTACCCATCCAACAAGCCAACCCCCACTTCCCTCCATCACAAGCAAAGAATCAAAAAAACCCCCCTACTTCGGCTGACTCGGATCCAACACGCGCTGACAAGCCTCAATATCCGCCACCGTCGCATTAAACGCATCTTTAACACTGTGCAGCACCTGGTTGCGATTCCAATTCCCCCGCTGGCCCCACACCACATGCATCATGCTCGCGTTGACCTGCTCGAGCTGCTCGACCGACAAGCCGGATGAGGCGGCCACGAGTTGGATGAGGAGGAGGGCGGCGGAGTCTTGGTCTAGGAGGATGCGGGATTTGTTGCCTGCGGGGTCTTCGTGGCTGGTTGTGGTGGTGGTTTCAGCTGGGGGGTTCAGGACGGCGCTGATAGAGCCGCGGCGGGGTTGGTCTTGGTGGTCTGCCTGCTGCTGTTGGGGTGGCGGCGCAGGCACGGGATGAGCCATGTATGGAGGCGAAGATTGCGATGACGATCCGTACCCCAGCTGCTCCTGCGTATCAGGTAATTGGCTTCCACCACGGGCTTCCGGCAACATGGAGAAGTCGGGGTGGTCGGCACCACCAGCGCCGCCGGGGAGGTGGACGCCATTCGAAAGCTGCGTAAGAACAGACGGACCACTGCTTCTGTCCTTCGAGCTGGTCTTCTGTCCCGAGGTGGTGGTTGAGGCGCTGTTATGGTAATGTTCGGGTTGCGAGCCCTGGGCGATGCGCGTGTGGGCGCTGTGTTGTGTCAGCTGGCCTTGGGTGTTGGGCTGGCTGAGTGAAGTGGGTGATCCGTGTTGGTGTTCGGTATCGATCATCATCTCCGAGTCATCCTGTTGCAGTCGCGAAGGCACGATGGAGCCGTTGGTGTGCGCAGATGGATGGCTGCCGTTCGTCGTGCTCCATGGATTGGAGAGCGGGCTTGGTCCGTGGCCAAAGCGACTGGGTGTGATGGGGAACAACGGCGGCCGACCACCCGGGACTTCAAGGCCGAGATTGACGGGCCCCGAGGTCTCGGTGGTCGTGTTGGAGACGTGCGCCGGCGGGACATTGGGCACGACCTTGGGCACATCTTCCCCTCGTCGCTGTGCCTCCCTCTCCTTCTGCAGACGCTCGTACTCACGAGCTTGCTCACGCTGGTAGACAGCCTCGCACTCAGCGCAGAGCGCAGGCTGCGTCTGCTCAAGCGTAGTCATGTCAACCTCCACATTAGCCAGCATCTCATTGGCCTTCAACGTGCGATCCTGGTCGCCCAGCGCCTTCGCGTCCTTCGCCAGCCGCTTAATATCCGCGAGAAAGTCCTTCGGGCGTTTGTAGTACCCGTTCGAAAGCCGCTTCTCAATCGTGACAATCTCCAGATTGTAGTAAAACTTGCCCGAAGCGACTTCGAGGATTCCAGGCGCGCCCTTGTCGTCCTTGCTCAACTCGTACGGCCGGAACAGCTGCTGCTGGCGTCTCTGCTCCTCACCCAGATCGGTGGTGAGCACCTCCGGATTCTGCTCATCGTACAAGTACGCAATATCGCGATCCTCAACGACAGGATTGCGGAACTTCCTGTACTTGAGCTTGATCTGATCCATGACGCTTTGGATGTGCAGCTTCAGCAAGTTCAGCGTCTGCCGATCCTTCTTCTTCTGCGCCTTGAGATCTTCTTTGCTCGGGCCTTGTGGTTCGGCCGCGGCAGGTGCGATGGGCAGCTCGGCGAGCTTTCTCTTCTTTCTATTCTCCGCCTCGGGAAAGTCCGATGGAGGCTTGCGAATGTAGTCGACGATGGAGGTGAAGAATTCGTGTCGAGCCGCCTCATCTGGTCGTGCAAGCTCAAATTGGTCTTTCATGGAGTAACCAAAGAGGTCGCGGATCATTCGGCCTTCCAGTGCGGCATTGTACTTCCTCGTGTCCTCGTCAATATCGTCTGGGCCCTTCTCGAGTATACCAAGAAGCAGGACAGGCTCGGTGGGCGGCAGGCTGCGCAACAGGCCAGTGAATGTGCGAATGGCAGAGTCTCCAAGCGTTCGATACCACATGTCGATGTTCGGGATGAAGATGACACTGGGCTTGTGACGCTTGACTTCCTCGAACTGCTGCACAATAGCGGCTTCGACGGACTGTGGACATAATTAGCATAGCACTTTAAATCAGTATGTCAAAAATGCCGCCTTACCCTCGAAGAATCCTTCATCAAAGTCGCCATATCAAAATTCTGCACATGCAAACCCTCAAGCTTGCTCAGCAACGCAGCACCAAGATACTGCTGCCCCATGCCCTGCTCGCCTCGAATCAACAATCGCGGCCGAAAGATGCGAGCCGACTCGAATTGACGCTGCAGGTTCTCGCGCTCAAAGCCTTGCTGGTCCTCTCGGTCATCGTACATGGCTTCTTCCAAAGCCGTCGCCTTTCGCTTTCGGGGGATAGCATGATTGACCAGATTCGTGATCGTCTCCAATGGCTTGCGAAGCAGCGGCTCCACGTCCTTCCTTAATGGAGCGGCGCCGGATGCGGCTGAACGTTCGGACGCAGGCACGATCTTGTTGACGGAGATCATGAAGTCTTTGGCCAGCACTTTGATCGTGTCCGGGTCGATGAGCAGCTTCTCATTGCTCGTGTAGATCTGTGGGTATGTGCCTTGAACCGCATTCAGCGCTGCTTCAGTGCAAAGAGCACGCAGATCGGCACCACCGTAGCCTCGCGTGAGCTCGGCGAGTTGATCCTTGAAGTCTGGCTTGAGCGCGGGTTCCCATCCTTTGGTATGAATGTCAATGATTGCTCTCCGAGCCTTCTCATCAGGCAAAGGGAAGTAGAACTCCCGATCGAACCGACCTGGTCGCCTCAATGCAGGATCCACAGAGTCTGGACGATTGGTGGCACCAATGACAATCACCTGCCCTCGGCCGTCCATGCCGTCCATCAACGCGAGCAGAGTCGCAACGATGGACGCGTGGATCTGCTCTTGCTTGCTCGATCGCACAGGAGCCAGTCCATCAATTTCGTCGAAGAAGATGATGCTGGGTTGATTCTTCCTTGCTTCTTCGAAAAGCAGACGTAGCTGTTTCTCCGCCTCGCCCACCCACTTGCTCAGTGCATCTGCTCCTTTTCGCATGTAAAAGGTCACTTTCTTGCCCTGCGAGCTTACACTGGAAGCCAGTGCACGAGCAAGCAACGTTTTACCCGTTCCTGGAGGACCGTGGAAGAGCACACCTCGTGGAGGTGTGACGTGGAACTTGAGGAACAGCTCCGGGTACAGCAAAGGGAGAGAGACCATTTCCTTGAGCTGGTTGATGTGATCTTCCAGCCCACCCACACCGTCAAATGTGACGTTGGGATCGACACCGAGAGGATCAGCGTCGGCAAGTGCTTTTCGGTCCTTGACTTTGCCCAAACCAGGTGGGCCACCTCCAGGTCCTTGTATCGGATCGGCATTGAGCGTCTGAGGCACATATGGCTTGGGGAAGGCAGAAGTAGGGGTCATGCCAACCGCACCGCCGACCCCTTGCTGACCAGCACGACCAAGACCCATCTCGTCATCACTACTGTCAGAGTCGACGCCAGCAGTCGCACCGGCACCGGCCCCTTCTGCACCTCCGAAAACGGGTGGAGGTCCTCCTGCGCCGCCGAAAGGACCAAAGGTTGAGAAGAGGCTGCGGTAAGCTCCAGCAGCCCCACGCTTCCCTCGTTGTGGGGTGGCAGCAGGTGGGATAGCATCATCGTCTTCGATGGGCAGGAGAAGCTCGGGACGAAGAATGCGATAATCCGGTCGATTGCTCCGGTTCCGCAGGTTCGGTTCAAACGCAATCTCACTGCGTCTCGACGGCCTCTTCCGATCACGCCGATTGCGCCTGTGGTCTTCTTCCAGGTCTGCAGCTTCATCTGCGATCTCATCGGGATCCAGCTGGTCATCATCGTCAGATTTGAGACGTTGAGATCGGCTGCGCTGCGACGCCGTCTTGCGCGCCAGTCGACCAGATCTCCTGCCTCCGCCTGCGCTCTCATCATTGCTACTACGCCCATGAGGAACTTTCAAATGATCTTCAGAGTCAGACACATCCTCTTCGTTGTCCGCCTCGCCTTCCAAATCGGGCTCGAAGTCGCTACTTTGTTCGACGGCGCCAGATTTTCTCGCGCGAAGCGATCTGCGTTGTGGTTGGGACTCGGGAGGAGGGGTAGGAGTTTTGCGACGTTGCCGAAGAGTTCGCCCAGCTCGCTGCACAGGGCCATCGTCTTCCTCTGATTCTGGAACGACCTGCTCTTCCTCGTCAACGAGTTCCATTTGGATCTCGTCTTGCACAGGCTCGTCAGCTTGGGGTGATTCAGGGTCAATCTTTGGTTTTGAATCTAGGCCTGCCGCCTCTTGTAGTTGTGACATCAACTCCTCATCCGCAAGAACTTGCGGTGGTTGTGAGTCCTCTTGAGAAGCCTCCATGATAGCACTCGGGAGCTTCTTCATGCTTTTGCCGCCTCTTGATGGTCTTCTCTCGGGGGGCTCCGGCGTAGCAGTGCCAGGGCGAGTGACTTGTTCATGCTTCCCGGAATCCGTCAACGCGACCAGCGGATCCTCGTCGTTGTGCGAGATGCGACTGCTCCTACGCGTCGCAGTAGCGCTGGTGGGTTGAGCCTGTGGAGTAGGTTCACGGCGGGAGCTGGGCCTGCTGTTCGTCCGTGGACGTGTGGCTCGGCCGCCGTCCATCACGCTGGGAGGAACTTTGAGCTTGACGATCAAGCGGCCACTTCGTGCAGCGCTGCTTCTCTTGACAGGTTTGATCTCGTGCTCGCTGTCCTCTTCCTCCTCTTTGAATTCCTCCTCGTCGCTGGGCTCTTCGTAGTGTACAGGCTTCTTCGCCGTCGCCCTCACGCTTCTTCCAGTCTTGGGATTCAGCTCCACCTCATCCTCACTGGACTCTGCAAAGGACTCCTCGTCACTATCGGCAGCCTCGCTGTCCTCAAGAATATCCCCGTCGCTATCTTCGTAGGTCTCGCGACGCCTTTTGGCAGGCTTCCGACTCGCGAGCTTTTGCTGCTTGCGCGAGCGGGCTTGAGGTCGAGCGCGAGGGGAGGAAGTGGCGCCGTAGTCGAGATCGTCGGAGTCCGACTTGTTGGGGTCGAAGTTGTCGAACTTGCGCTTGCTGGCCATGGGCGAGCGCGATAGCGAGTGGGGTGTGACTGGTTCGTAGCCAAGCCCGCTGCTGCCTAGATTTCACCCACACGCGTCTTGAGATGATGAGATTGGATGGACCATCCACCCTCACGAGATCTCGTGTCGCATTTGGGAACGCGCCAAGACGGGATGGACTTTGGGAGATGGAGGTTGTGGTGAGGGGATGTGTGTCGATGGCGGGCAGAGGGAGGGTTTGCTATGATGGGCAGAGGAATAAATTACTGCAAGGATGGAGCAAATGCAGGAGGTGTGGAGGCAGCATGGGAGTCACTGCAGACAACGGGGGAGGCGTTAGGTAGGCGGGTGCGGGATGCAGAGAGTTTGATACACGCTAGCGCAATTTAAACTTTCCCACACCACACGGCTTCTCTCGCCGATCTCCCATGGTTTGGAACAGAACTTGGACATGAAATACAATCAATTCGAATTTCCTCTGCATTGCATGCTGGCTTGCTGAATGTGGTCAATTTGCATCGCACAATCACATGCCACTCGTGGCAGTCCATTCTGTCGCTTTTTGGAGGGATTATAGCGCGGGATTCGCCCGTGATGGCAAGACCAAAACAGCGTGCGTCCAGCTACTTCACTCTCAAGCCTTGCCGCCGTCGATCTCCATGGTCGAGGGCAGTCCGCGGGGATGAGCTTAAGTGAACGTCGCTGCTCGTGGTATAAATATAGTGCCGCAGTCACGTGGTAGGGCTGACTTCTCTCCAGCGCGCGTGGCATTTAGCCGAAAGTCCGGCTTTTGTAATTTCGGTCGAGCGCATTGCGAGACACGTTTGGAACAGGTGTCTTGTGAGGTGTTGTGAAGTAGTTCAGCTAGCAAGCTTGAGAGACCCGTGATTACGCGTTTTGTACAGGCTCGTACCTGTGGAGCTGGGTGTCTGTGAAGATGTGGTAGTCAGCCTTGCTGAATGCGCTGAAACCAACAGGGCCGCGTGCGACCATACACCTCGCACACGCGGTTTGTTGCAACACAACGGGAACATGGAACAGCATCTCGTAGGGGGCATGGAAACACGGCAAAGCACCCACCTCATCGCCGCTCGTTCCTGCCTTTTGAGATTTGTTTGGTGGATCTCGGCAAGTCAGCCGAAGCGCAGGGTCTCCACGTTTCGCAAAGTTTGGCAAAATTGAGGAAGGAACGCTTTTTTTCGAGCTCCGAAAGCACCCATTGAGCGTGACAAACCCCATCCTCAACCCCATCGCAAATCCACCTCCTCCGCCTCCTCCACTCTCTCCAACCTCGCTCTTCTTCCCCTGTATATTCCCTTTTCTGCCATGTATAATACCGTGTGAACTTTCTTCACACTCACTCCTACTCACCGACTGGAACCCCTGTCTCTACCTTCACCCTCCTTCCGCGCTCCGCTTCACACGACAAACGGAGCACATCGCCATCCTTCTTCCTAATCACACCGCAACAGCCTCGAAACACCACCGTCGCTACCCTACCACCCTCTCCCGCAACCGACACTGCAGTGTCACAAGCTCTCCATCATGGCCTCCGTCACGGAGAAGGTCAAGGAGAGCCTCGTCGGCGCAGAGGACCTCCAGACCTCCACGCAGGTACAAGCAGAGTTCATGCAGTATGCTGCCAAGGATGAAGAGAGCGGAGAGTACTACATGACCCAGCACGAATTTGTGGAAGCCATTGCGCCGGAGAATGAAGACTACGTAAGTCCATTTCACTGTTATTACCCCTACACTTGCACACGGATGGGCACGGGAGGGTAAGGGAAGGGAAGGAAGAGATTAGCAGGCAGAGCTGCGCACTAGGTGAGCATGTCTTTTACGAGCAGCTTGCCAACAATGTCACAGCACAAAATCCAGAGAGAGCAATACATTGTGCTCTTCGACATCGCCGACCGCCGTCACCAGGGTCGCATCACCCTGCAAGACTGGAATGTCTTCAACAACCTCCTCCTCAAACCCGACGCCGAATACGAAATCGCCTTTCGACTCTTCGCCGACCCGGCCACCGGCCACGTTAACTTCGAGGACTTTAAGCAGGTCTACGCAGCAAACAAGACTGGTATTCCCTTCAACTGGGACGGCGATTGGGCGAAGCTGTACGTGGGTGGGAGGAAAAACAGACACTCCATGACATACCCGCAATTCGCGCAGATGCTTCGTGGTCTGCAAGGAGAGCGCATTCGCCAGGCATTCTTGCACTTTGACAAGAACGGAGACGGCTACATCGAGCCCGAAGACTTCCAACGCATCATCCAAGAAACGGCATCGCACAAGCTCTCCGACCATCTCCTGCAAAACCTACCGACCCTCTGCAACATCAGCTCTGGGTCCAAGATCAGCTACGCCAACGTGCGCGCCTTCCAGAATGTTATCAGCCAGATGGACTTGGTGGAGCTCATTGTGCGCAACGCCATTTCCAAGTCTGCCGACGGCAAGGTCACCCGCGTCGACTTCTTGAACGAGGCTGCCCGCATCACACGCTTCACCCTCTTCACGCCCATGGAAGCCGACATTCTCTTCCACTTTGCATCTCTCGACCAGCCGGCCGGTAGACTGGGCCTGTCCGACTTCGCGCGAGTGTTGGATGCGAGCTGGCATTCTGGCCCGAGCGGTTATGAGGCGCCGTTCCAGAATCCCCTCCCCACCATCGCGCAGAAGCGTGTCGCGGGCTCCGAGAGCTTCCTCCACGACATCGCCATCTCCGCCCACCACTTCGCCCTCGGTAGTATCGCCGGTGCCTTCGGTGCTTTCATGGTCTACCCCATCGATCTCGTCAAGACGCGCATGCAGAACCAGCGCAAAGGACGCGTTGGCCAGGTGCTCTACAAGAATAGTATCGATTGCTTCCAAAAGGTCGTTCGTAACGAGGGTTTCCGCGGCCTCTACTCTGGTGTGCTGCCCCAACTCGTTGGTGTCGCTCCCGAAAAGGCCATCAAACTTACCGTCAACGACCTGGTGCGCGGCAAATTCACCAACATCAAGGACGGCAGCATCCCCTTACCCGCTGAGGTCCTTGCCGGTGCCTCGGCCGGTATGTGCCAGGTCGTCTTCACCAATCCCCTCGAGATCGTCAAGATCCGCCTCCAGGTCCAGGGGGAGGCTGCGAAAGCAGCAGCGCGCGATGGCGAGGAGTTCACCAAACGCTCCGCCCTGTGGATCGTGCGCAACCTGGGTCTCAAGGGACTCTACAAAGGCGCATCAGCTTGCTTGCTACGCGACATCCCTTTTAGCGCCATCTATTTCCCGTCGTACAGCCACCTGAAGCGCGACTTTTTCGGCGAGTCGACGACGAAGAAACTCGGCATCCTGCAGCTCCTCACCGCCGGCGCCATCGCAGGCATGCCCGCCGCGTACCTCACCACGCCCTGCGACGTCATCAAAACCCGCCTGCAAGTCGAGGCGCGCAAAGGCGACACCTCCTACTCCGGCCTGCGCGACGCAGCGACCAAAGTCTTCCGCGAAGAGGGCTTCCAAGCCTTCTTCAAAGGCGGCGCGGCGCGCGTCCTCCGCTCCTCGCCGCAGTTCGGCTTCACGCTCGCGGGCTACGAGTTGCTGCAGGGCTTGCTCCCCATGCCGGGCGAGCACCTTCCGCAGGAGGAAATCACGCCGGCCGAGCGCCCTGCTACGGGACTGCAGGAGGCGCGCTCCCCGATGCCGTATTTGCGCAGTCGCAATGCGTTGAAGATTATTCTGGACTTGGATCTGGGGTTCGGCAAGGTGAAGCCTGTGCCTTCTAATGGGAATGGGTTGTTGGGGGCTCTGGGGCTCAAGAAGCAGGAGAACTGAGGCTGTTGAAGAAATGAAGACTGACGCACCGAGCGGGGGTGAGTGAGGATACGGATGCGAAGGGGAAAGCATGCGAAGGAACAGGTCGACGAGATGATGATAATCGGGAGGGGAAGTGGACTTCTGCTGTTTTTTGCATAGCGAACCCGGCGTTTCACGGTTTGCGTGCATGCATACAACGCCTAGCGACGAATGGGTATGCTGGGGCAGGAAAAGATGACTGCGGGTTCTGCTTTATACACGTGCATGCCACTTGCTGTGGTGTTGATGGGCAGCCTACGGACGGTAATAGAGTTGCTTTTGCACTTCACTCTTGGCGTTGATAGATTATGTGGAAGAGCTTTCTACCTGTCTAGTGTTCTGTCGAGGATCTCACTATTCATGCACGAGCGAAAGAGTTGGTCCAGTCGGTCGGCCGGGGGGAAGCTGATATTAACCTTTCAAATAAGGCTGCGGAGATCGATGGGCGGGTGGAGTTGGGTGGATCTCGAGCTCTTCCCCACACTCTCGACCGCTCATGCGATCATCGATGATGCATTGCGGCTCTGGAAGAAGCATTTTATCCTCCACATCTCTCCCTTCCTCTTTTCCGTGACAATTCTTCACAGCCCATATCCCTCATCCCCACATCCGCAATCGAGTCCCCAGTCGTCGCCCACCATGGCCGACAAAGCCTCCACCCACGACCTCAACTGCCTCACCATCGCCGAGCTGGAAGCCGCCGCGCACGAGCGCATGGACAAGCAGACGCGCGACTACTACAACGAAGGCGCCGACAGCAACTCCACGCTGCGCGAGAACATCACCGCCTACGCGAAATACCGCATCCGGCCGCGCGTGCTGCGCGACGTTTCCCGCATCGACACCTCGAAATCGCTCTTCGGGTTCCGCAATTCTGTGCCGTTTGGCGTGGCGCCTACGGCTATGCAGCGCCTTGCGCACTCTGATGGTGAGCTGGGGACTGCGCGGGCGTGTATGACGGCGGGAGTGCCTATGGGGTTGAGTTCATTTGCCACGCATAGTCTTGAGGAGGTGGCGGCGCAGGGAGGGGAGAATCCGAAGGTGTTGCAGTTGTATTTGTTCGAGGAGAAGGAGCATAGTCGGCGATTGATTGCACGGGCGAAGAAGGCGGGCTTCAAGGCGGTGTTTTTGACGGTTGACACGCCTATGCTGGGACGGAGGAACGAGGAGATCCGGAACCAATTCACGCTGCCGCCGCATTTGGAGATTGGCAATTTTCCCCCGGGAGAGCATGGGGATAGTGGGGAGAAGAGCGATGAGGAGACCGGGAGGGAAAAAGCCGCACGCCCGAGTATGCAGCGTCGCCCGTCTGCAAGAGGATACACAGACGGAGACAAGAGAGTGCTGCCCACAGGCCCCGTAACCTTCCACACGCACGCGCCGAACCCAACCCTAACCTGGGAAGAAGACATCGACTGGCTGAAGCAAGAATGCCTCCCGGAAATGGAAGTCTGGCTCAAAGGCATCGCCACCTCCGAAGACGCGCTGCTCGCCGTCCACCACGGCGTCAACGGCATCGTCGTCTCGAACCACGGCGGGCGTCAACTTAACGGCGCGCTAGCCACCATCGACGCCCTGCCTGAAGTGGTGGAAGCCGTGCAAGGCAAGATCCCCGTGCACGTCGACGGCGGGATCCGGCATGGGACGGATGTTTTCAAGGCGCTGGCGTTGGGCGCGGACTTTTGCTGGGTGGGGAGGCCGGCGCTGTGGGGGCTGGCGTACAAGGGGCAGGCGGGGGTGGAGTTGATGTTGAAGTTGTTGAGCGATGAGGTGAGTCTGTGTATGGCGCTGGCGGGGACGATCAAGGTGGAGCAGATTACGAGGGATTACTTGATGAAGGTGAGTCCATCCTTTCTCCGTCTTTGCGGTGTGGGTGCTGATGGGTTCCAGATTGATACCAATGGATTCGTCTCGAGGCTGTGAGAGACCGGCCGCTCTCCCGCAGCCTGCCATGTATCAGAGCCATGCCTCGTGTACGCCACCGGTGCAGCAAGAAAGGAGCGCCGCCTCGTCGATGATGTACATTCAAGGGATGTTCAATTCTGTCCATGTATATATCTCAATCTATTCTATACAACCCATCTACACAGGACTATCATCCCAGAAATCCAAAATCGCATCCACGCACCCTATGCTATTCACCACCGGAACGTCGTGCCCGCCCTTCAACTTCACAATCCTCACATTCTCCCTCCTCAGCACGGCCGTCGCATCCTCCCCCGTCTCCTCCGCAATAATCACCTCATCCTGCGCCCCGAAAATAATCAGCACCTGGTTCTGCTCCAGACCAGGCAACGTCTCGTCGTCAAAAGGATCCGCCGCCGCGGCCGCTGCTCTCCGCGCGGAGCACCGTCTGCCTACACTTCGCCAGCGCTCGTGCTCGAAACTGACGGGCGCGTACTTGATAGAGGAGATGAAGGACTTCAGGAAGCCTGGGTGGGCATCGACCTGCCACGCCACGGCATTCGCGATGGAGACCTTCGGGCGATCGGGGAAGATGAGCGCCGTCGAGTCGGCGGCGTTCGCTGGGTGGCCTGGGATTTCCGCCTCTGCTGCGTCACCCGCTCCCGTGGTGTCGTTCTCCTCTGCTCCCTTTTCCCGCTTCCGCCCGATGCCAGGCGGACTTGCGCTCCCTTTCAACCGCCGGCCGACAGCCCACCTCACCAACCAATCCGGTAGTAAGTTCCCGTACAGCAATTTACTCGACGCCGCCACCCGCTCTCTGCGCAATAAGCCCCCAGGCGCAACGAGCACCAACCCCTCGACCAACTCCGGGAACCAAGAGACGAAACTAGTCGCAATCCCGCCACCAAGCGAGTACCCGACAAGCGTAAAGCGCTCACCACCCCCACACCAAGCAAGCGGACTAGAACTCAAGCAAAGCAAAATCTGGCTCGTCCAGAGCGCCATATCCTGGCGATGGAATTGCGGATCAGGAGTGTCGGAGTACCCCCGGCCGAACAGGTCGAAAAGCATGACGCGGCACCCACGCTCTTCGACTAGGAGACGCGACATGCCTGCGAACGCGATGCACGGCGTGCTAATGCCGTGGATGAAGAGGACTTTGCGCCCATTCTCGGGCCCGAATTCGTAGACGCGGATGCTGCCGTAGGGGGTTGGGACGTCGCGGGCGCCGGGGAGGGCGTTGGGGGGGTACGGGAGGTCGTCTGGGTCTTCTTTCTGGGTTGATGGGTCTGGAGCGCGGAGGATGGAGGGGGGTTGGGAGGGGTGTGGGTTGGGGGAGGAGGAGGAGAGGGTGCGGAGGGCTGTGGCTGTTGTGATTGCTAGGAGGGGGATGGAGAGGGCTAGGTAGAGGGTTTGCTTGTTTTGCAGGCCGAGAGTGTGCCAGAGGGAGGAGGAGAGTTCCGTTATGTCCATTGTGGTGGAGGTGGAAGGGTTAGGGTTGAGGTAAGGTGTCGGGATGAGCTCTGCTGGCCTCAGGTGCGGCAGTACCGGCGGGATACAGTCGATGTAGAGTTCCAAGCCTGAGATAATTAATGGACATCGCCCGCATTCGTAGATTTGGGTCTGTGTCGTGCCTGGGTTGATGGTTTGTCGATGCTGAGTGGAGGTGAGGTTGGAATTTCGAAAACCTCGGCTTCTACTTCACGGCGTATGACGATCGCACATACATCGATTTCTTTCTACAAAACACAGACCACAACACCTTATCCTCATAATACTTAAAGCCAATGAATCGAAAGGCAGTCAAGATTGTAGAGTGGAAAATGCAGAAACACTTCATCATCTAACCTTGCTCTCGACAGGGGGTATATCCTACACGCCAAAAAGAGTAAACGAAAGAGGGTATCACGAGGAGCAATCCATCCAAGCCCAGCCCATGCAACCGACATCAACAACCAGGCCTTCAAGCAGAAGGCAGCGGCCAGCGTCTCCCATTCTACGAGAAACTCCCAAACCTCCCGAGATCCACAAGGCCAGGCGGGCGGCCGGGCTCGGTTGCGAATGGATTGCCTGCGCCCTTGGTCCCCGCCGAAGCGAGTAGGCGATCGACTTCAATCCCCGAGTCGCGATCGCCGCCTTCGCTGCTGCCGACACTCGCTTCCCCGACATTCGTCCATGTGTCTAAGAAGGTCCTCGCCTGGGCAACGGAATCATCGCCCTCCGCTTCATCCGCGACTTCAATCTCCCTCCTGTCCACCTCGCCATCATCATGCGTACTCAGCACGCGGCCACCGAGCTTAACATCCGAGACGCGCACATGGTACTCGAGCGCCTTCTTGCCCTCGCGAATCATGTCTTCGGTGGCATACATGCAGCGTTTGAGCGACTGGTTCATCGCCTGGCTCTGCACGAGGAGTTCGCGGTGTTTTTCCAAATCGGCGTTGAGGCGCTTTTCGTCTTTCGCTAGGCGGTCTTGGGCGGAGAGACTGAGCGGTTCGCCGGAGGAGAGGGTGCTTTCGTCTTCGTCGTCGGAGCTTAGGTCGTCTAGGTCGCCGTCGGACATGTTGTCCCCGTCTTCTTCGTCTTCTTCTGCTAGTGCGCCGAGATCTGCGGATCCTGATCCGCCTCTGTCGGCGGGGGCGAAGGAGAAGCGACCGGCGCGGGAGAGGCGGCGGAAGCTCTTCAACTCTGCCCTTTGCCGGCGTACTTCTCGCTCGAGACTTGCGTTGATGGCTAGAAGGGAGCTGTTGGAAATCTCAAGATCGAGCACTTTCCGCTCCCGTCGAGCCTCTGCTGCTAATTCGGACACGGCTTTGGTCGAGGTGAGTGATTCGGAGCGAGGTAGGCTGCCCGGCGACTCGAGGGATGTGTCGATGGAAGGTAAGTCTGATTGGGGTTTGGGAGCCCATGAAGGAGACACGGCTTTGATCTCGTGGATGAGGGGAGATGCTAGAGGGTCCGTGTCTTCTATTGTTGTAGATTTTCGATGTCCTGAGAATGCGCTGGGCGGTCGTGCGGAGGACACACTTAACGATTTTGTGTGTTGGCCCACACTTGCGGCAGTAGGACCTGTGCTGCCTTGCCGCTCGTGCAGGGAAGCGAGCTGGACGTTGTCGGCGCTTGTGATGGTTGATCGAGGGGCCGGGGTTGGTCTCGTTCCGATGATTTGCGACACGCCTTTCCGGTACGAGAGGTGAATATTTTCCTTACTGGGCGATGGCGAGCGTCTTTGGCCTGGTAAAATAGGACTGGCGGGTGCAAAGAATGGCGACGTGGCCGACAGAGCGCTCAGCGCGGGTGATAATATCGGCGGGGGACTTTTAGGTCCCGGCGCCGCATTCTCCGCCCGCACCCATGGGCCATGCGACTTTTGCTCAGAGACTGCAGATAGAACAGGAGACGACGAAGCAGCGGCCGGCGAGAAACTCTCCGCCTCCTGCATGCCATCCGCGTGGAAGAATTGCGCCTTCTTGGGCGGCTCCGGCTTCTTGACCACGGGCTCCTGACTCGCCACATCGCTAGCATGGAAGAAGCGGCTTTCAAAACTCCTGCTCTCTGACGGCGGACTCAAGTCAGACAGTGTCGGCGATCTGACCAAAGGCGACTGTGCCCGTCCACCATCTCCAACCATACTTTGAGGTTTGCTGCCCGCTGTGCCTTCCCTCGCGACAAAGTATCCTCTCTTCTCGCCTGCGCCAGCCGCGACCACTGGATTCTGCCTAGGTGTGCCCATGGGAGAAGCACTGGCGCTGCCCGGCCGCGAAGACCGCGCAGACGAGCGCGGGGTGATGTTGCCATTTGCAAAGACATCCTTGACGGGAGTCGGCGTCTGTCTCACCCGGGAGCCCGGGGGGTCTGATCTCACAGTCGATACGGGCTGAGAAGCAACAGCTTTCACCGAAACAGTGGCATTTGGGGCGGCGACTCGAGGTGCGACAGGGACTCGAGCGGTACGATTCGAGGACAGGGAGGGCTTGAGTGGTGGACGCTGAGGGTGGGTGGTGCGGTCAGAGGACATCGAGCCGGTCTGCTGCGTTACCGCTGCCGCATGAGGGTTGTCAGAGGCCGCGAATATGTATAGGAGTGCAAAGCGATCATTGCAGCTTCATCGACACTCGGGGTGGCATTTGTGGTTCGGCTTGTGCCTCTTGAATCCGGCGCGTAGGTGTCCAATATCCCGGTTGCAGAACGAGGCCTTGTCCCGGGAACAGTACCTCCCAGATCCAACAAGAGAGTTGAGTGCTGTATCGCGCAGGGCGAGCGATGGTGTTATGTGTTGTGGTCGCTTGTTGTTGACGATCGAACGTAGTCCCGCCGTCTCCATCTCCTTCGAGACTAGCGAGAATGTGGCGCGGGGCTGTGGCTAGGCTTCGATAGTGTGGCGCAAGGCATCACCACCTCGACGTGTATCGCGTTTTGTTTGTATCATCCTTCCTGTCTGCACCCACCAAATGGAATAACATCTTCAGCAACAATGCCACGATGGCCGAAGACGACACCGGCACAAAGGAGGACACCGCCACCCCTCCACGCCCCGCCGAAACGGCAGAGCAGCCTCCAACCAGCACCCAACACAAGACCTTGAAATACTCCCTGCTCGGCCCCTCCCTGACGAAATCCGGCCAAGACGGTGTGGACCAGAAGAAAGTCGCCGACATCATCTACAACGCCTCCAAAGGCAGCAAATTCTTCAACAACGAGGAGAGCCGCGACAAAAGCCTGACGGTCAAGATCGCCCGCATCCTAGCCAAGAAGCGCGAGCTGGAACGCATCGAAGCCCAGGGAGGACTCAAGAGCGAGCAGAAGAAGGCGGACGAGTATATTGCGGAATTGGAGTATGGGCGGGACCTGAGTCAGGCGGTGGTGCACGTCGACTGCGATGCCTTCTACGCGGCCGTGGAAGAGCTGGACCGGCCGGAGCTGAAGGACCTCCCGTTCGCGGTTGGTATAGGCGTGCTCACGACGTGCAACTATGCAGCCCGCAAGTTCGGGTGTCGCAGTGGAATGGCGGGGTTCGTGGCGGACAAATTGTGTCCGCAGCTCATCCACCTCCCGCTGAACTTCGACAAATACACGGCGAAGGCGAAGGAGGTGCGCGCTGTGCTGGAGCAATACGATCCGCGCTTCGAATCGGCGAGTATTGACGAGGCGTACTTGAATATTACAAAGTACTGCGAGGAGCACGACATGCAGCCCGAGGATGCGGTGGCGCAGATGCGCGAGCAGGTGTTTCGGGAGTGCAGCATTACCATTTCCGCGGGCATTGCGGCGAACGCGAAGCTCGCGAAGATCTGCAGCAATAAGAACAAGCCGAACGGGCAGTTCAGACTCGCCGCCGACCGCGCGGGCGTGCTGGCTTTCATGCGAGATTTGCCCACGCGGAAAGTGAACGGGATAGGACGGGTGTTTGAGCGCGAGCTCGACGCCATTGGCATCAAGACGTGCGGCGACATCTACCCACAACGCCACTACCTCAGCCGCCTATTCGGCGAGAAGGCATTCCAATTCCTCATGAGCGTCTACCTAGGCCTCGGACGCACCGACATCCGCCCAGCAGAGGAATTCGAGCGCAAGAGCGTCGGCACGGAAAGCACCTTCCACGACATGAGCGATCCCAAAGAGCTGCGCGACAAACTACGCCGAACGGCCGACGAGCTGGAAAAGGATCTGCAACGGACGGAGTTCAAAGGGCGCACGCTGGTGTTGAAGATCAAGCTGCATACGTACGAGGTGTTTACGCGGCAGGTGCAGCCGCCGAAAGCCGTGTTTACCGCCGACGACTTGTATCACTTCGCTTTGCCCATGCTTGCGAAGCTGGAGAAGGAAATGCCGGGGATGAAGCTGCGGTTGATGGGGCTGAGATGCACGCATTTGGTCAGCGTGAAGAAGGGGGAGGTGGACTTTTTCGGCCGCGCGAGACAGCCGGCACGCCGAGCTGGATCGGAGGAGGGAGGGAGCAGTAAGGTAGATGTGGACGAGCACGGCTGGCAGGTCTGGCCGGACGAAGAATTCGAAGACGCAGCACGACAAGAGCGGCAAGAGGAAGCGGAGGAACTGGAGCGGCTGTCACAAGAAATGCAGAATCAAGATCAAGACGGCACGACGGCGGACTATCGACGGTATGCGAACGGCTTCGCTTGGCGCTCATACCTGGAGGAGGAGCAACAGCAGAAGCAGCAAGCACCCACGCCCGAACAATGGACATGTCCCATCTGCTCCATCCCCCAGGGCGCGGACGAGCGAGCATTCAACGCGCACATTGACGGCTGCTTGTCACGGCAGACGATCAAGGAGATTGTCAAGACTGCGGATGAGAGTGGGGAGGCTGCGAAGCGAGTGCTCACTCCGATGCCAGCGAATACGGCGAAGAGGAAACGCGGGCGGCCGTCTGAGACGGAGAAACGCGCGAAGAAGGCGTTCTTTGCCTAGGACTTGTGGCAGATAGATGAAGCAATACCTTGGATCACCTGCCATTCTATCGATACGTCACAGGTCGTAGCAATGCATACCCACGCTTGCTCATCCTCCATGAGCACGACCAGGTCAAGGAAACGAAGATAAGCCCGGCAAGAAATCATGCCGACGATAGCAATGAACGACACATGCCGAGCCCGGCGCAACGGACCAGGGGCCCAAATGCCAGCTCCACTCGTCCAGTAGACCCTGGTCCCTGTGTCTTACGTAGGTTGGTAGGTACCGCAGCTCATATCACGCAAGCAAGCAAGCTCTAAGACATCGGGGTCCAGGCAGCCAGCCAGCAGTCAGAGTGCGCAAGACGCGGGGGCGGCAGTTCAATTTCGAAACGCAACGCGTGTGGATGAACCCTCTTGTCATGTTGAAGCTACCCAGCCGTAGCGGGCGGTAGTCAAGAGTCAAAAGACCCCAGCAGCCGCGGCGACGGCGGCAGACAGGGGATGTACCTGATAGACTTGGCGTGTGCAAGGGGAAAAGGGAAGCTGGCTGGCGGGCTGAAGGCCAGAACGGATGATGAGCCAACAGCCACAGGCATAGCATCAGGGAAAGGGAAGGGGAAAGGTAAGCTGAATGAAGGGTAAAGTAAGTCGGGAAGTCAAATGTTGCGCGTGGTAGGGGTGTTGATTATGGCGCGTTTGTGGACGGGCGGGGGATACGAGATCGGGCTGGGCGGAGGTGTGCTGTACCTGGAGCTCTGTCCGTCCTGGGCTTGTGGTTGATTGATAAAAATGGGAATGACTGGAGTGTAGCCTTTTCTGCCCATGTGGGGGTTTGCATGATGAATGAGATGGGCCGGGGCGGTGTTGGCAGGGTTTGGCCCTGCGTGGGTGAGATGGCGGTCCGGTTTTGTTGGACAGGGGAAGATTGGGGTGGCGCTCGTGCTCATTACGGGTGCATCGTCATTGCTGCTGTTCATTATTTAGATTTCTTGACATCGAGATTCTTCTTGACTGTCTTTCGGACACACGACGAGACGTAGCATCCAAGTGCGGAGTCCTGCACACTGGCATGGCATTGTTCCCCTCATGTCTTCGGCGGAATGGCAGCGACACCAGCGCGTGGTGTAATTGCTCAAAACAGCAATAGCAGGCTGACCGGGGCGCGGGAGAGGCGGACAGCGCCAAAGTCAAGCAGGAGCTCTGGCCTCGCGGAGACCTCAGCTGATGCTGGATAATGCATGCACAACCCCGACGCGGATCGTCGTCCAACTTTTCCCACGCTCGTGCCCATCTTTTTGCGTGCACGCCATCTCACCCCGGGCCGATATTAATTGCATACTGTGCATGGATGTAACCGTCTGGTGGGTGTCTTACTGAATGGGATCGGAGGATGGATGATCGTCGTATCTCGTGGACGGCTGGAAGCCAATGGTTGAGCGGCGGTTGGCAGATTGGAGCAGCAAAGGCACGAAAGGGCAAGAGATGCCGACGTCTGCCAATGTCACTCCGGCCTTCCTCCCTGAATGAGTGTGCATTGACGACATTGGGAATCGGCCTGGCGCGTTCTCTAACCCCTTCAAGCTCGCTACGTACTGTTGGTACCCCCTCGTACTGACACTCGCATGTGCCAATCCGCCAGAGTAAGAGGCCCCCAAAGTCAATTTCCATACTACCGCACCTGATGCTTCTCCCCTCGGCCAACACGGTGGTGCGAGGGGGCGTTAGACAACAAGACCAATGCACGGGATCGTGTCTCCAATGCACACATGCAGAGCATTCAGCTGCCCCCAAGCCAGCCCTCTCGTCTGGCCCGAGAGCGGATTTGCCGAAGGAGGGGATGAATGGCCGCGCCCCCAAAAAAGTTTCTGGGCCTCGGGCTCTGCGCACACGCGACACACGCGTAAATTGAAGGCGTCTTGCCGGCTCGCCCCCCCGCCCAAATTCCAGCCAAGGCCTGGCGTCGCGGCGCGCACGCGTGTTTGCCGAAGCGGATGCAGCTCTCCATCACCCGAAAGTGCACTTGTCTCACTCTAACTTGAATTGGGTCAATTTCGAGGGCTCCAGTCCGTTGCTGGATAGGGAAGGGAGAGCGTCTGGAAGGAGAAAGGATTTGGACGAGTCGGGCGACACAGACGTCTCACATGGAGAATATCGTCTTTGTGTGGAAGCGACGTGTGCGTCTCGTCAAACCGTTTGAGCTATCTATTTCTAGGGGATGGTGGATGGAGTGCTTTTGATGACGTGCCTTTCGATCTTCGCAAGCAAGGGCGAGACCGTTGTCGTTGAGAAGATGAAGGAAAAAGTGGAAAGTACTTTTGTCGTCGGATGACAAGACATGCCATGCCGTGTACACGGGAATGCAGCATTGAGTGCAGCATCCCGGGCGCGGCAGACCGGGGGTGCATGCCGAAGATGAAATCCCAGCACTGGAGGTTTTGGGTGGTTACAACGTGAGAAGCTTGCCTTGTCCCCTTGTCCTGCGGTGCACACCGGCGATCCGGTGTCGAGATCTGGATCACGGAGATGGGGCAAAAGTTGGCGGGAACACACCAGCACTCCTGCTGCATGCAGCTGCCATCGGATGAGTTCTTCGAGATCTGCAATCAAGGAGGCAATGCATCCCGACAATCGACGTGCATCGAATGGACCGCGGCCAGACGAGTGCAGATGCAGAAGAGTGCTCCTCCTCAAAGGGGAAATTGTGAAGAACACCCTTTTGACGATTGAAAGAAGAAGAACGCCCCAGGCGTGGTCGGTACCAGATACATGATAATTATGTCAAACCCCTCCCCGTATAATACACGAAATAACGACATGCACGACGGGGGCAACCGTCAGTGCGGAGCCGCGGTGGTCCATCCACTTGCAGCAGCAGGCGCGCCGAGACTGCAACAACGCGTGAGAGTGCAGAGTCGGGCGTCGCGTTGCCGAACAGGCTTAAAGGCGTGCATGGATGGCCAATCTGCTGCCGGGTGGGGTAGGATGATGATGCCCGTGGGGCCCTTCCTTCCCGCCCGTTGCGTGTGCGATGCCGCCGCGGCGCCGGAGGGTGAAGCGAGAGTCTCAGTGGGCAACGGCGAGGAGTACAGTTGGAAGGGGAAAAAATGGGAATTGTGGGCGGGCAGGGCAGGGGAAGCGTGGACGGGAGGGCTTCATAGGCGGACAGCGTTGCGCGGGAAGGGTGTTAGCTGCAGTAGCAGGTGAAGGGGCCTACGCGACTTGATTCGACGACACGAACTCTGCCTCGGATTTCTGTGGGACTTGGCACCGATCTGTGTAGTAGCCCGTCGTGTGTTCCACAGCTCCATCCGCCACGTCGAGAAGACGGCGAGCGAGAGGGAAGAGTGTGGGCAGATGGAGACACGCGTTTCGGAGAACCGAAGAAAGAATGAGGAGAATCGTGGGGCGGGAAGGGTAGCACGAGAGGTGGTGTCTCGTTGTAAGGGGAGACACATGCACAGAGACGATACGAGACGAGACGATACGAGACGAGGGCCCGCGGTTCCCTAAACGGGAGGCGCTCAGAGGTCAGATCCGTGTGTGAGGGAGGGGCCGAAGATCTGCACGGCCCTCGCAGGTCGAGGGATGAAGGGTAGCTTGAGGCAAGGTAAGACACGGAGCCAGCTGCGATCATCAGTGGGAAATGGGAAGAATAGCAAGACACGGGCGAGGCGTGTGCAAGCGTGTAGCAGTCGAGGCGGCAGGAGCGAAAGGCGTGGATTTGGCGAGATGAGCGATGATTGCGTGCAGGCAGCGCGCGGTGCTGGAGGCGAGTGGAGTGGGTCGCTTCAATCATCATTCTCCCTTCACCCCCGTCCGTCGGGCGGGCGTCTAGCGCGCGGCGGTGCTAGCGTGGCGGCGTGCTGCTGCTGGGCTGGCGGGCGGGCGTGCCGTTTCGAGGGTGCAGCAGCGTGCAGGCCAGGCAATCCAGCCGTACAGTGCGTGCGTGCGTGCGCTGACCGGACGTGTCTCTCCAACCTTCACCCTCGCTCGTTTCGCTCCCCTTCTTTATCTATCCCCCTCCCTCCTCCTCCCCTCCTCACCCCCCTCCTGCCATGGAGTCTTGATTCCTCTCGTCATCCCCAGGAGTTGTGTTTGTCAAAGACCGTGTTCGCTTTGCCAACCATCTCTTCCCTCCTCTCCTCCCTCTCCTGGACCCCGACACACACCACCTCCGTGTCTTGCCGTCCACCTCGACCGCTGGTATCGTGACCTCTGACACTCTTGTTTGAGACTGTCTCAGGTACCCGTCAGCGTCGATCCGCTTTTTGCCGAACGGAACTCTCCCTCTTCGTTGATCGTAGAGTGCCTCGACCGAGTCCTGCTCCTTCATCCACCTCACACCACCACCGTCATCACCTCGAACCCACCTCCTCCGCTCGTCAGCACCACCATTCTCGAATTGCAAAAGGTAAGCTGATGGTGTGATGTTCATGTGTGTGTGTTGAAGAGCTGGAATTCCTCCACACCCGGTTGCACCTTCCCCTCCGGCTCCTGGAATGTTGGAGCACACGACAGTCAAACGAGATGGGAAGCAAGCAGGCTATGATGGTACGGTGGACAACACTTGAGCGAGAGATGGTGCTGGTGAACAAGAGGTGCATCACGATACTGCAGTCTTGAATCACCCAGAGCCATGGCCCATCTCATCTGGTCTTCACACGAGCATCATCACATGTCCAATGGAGGCATGTGAGGATATCACTCAAACGTCATGACAACAACCTGCCACCAGACAATCACTGCATGCAAGAAACAGTTCAGTTCATCAGAACGGCACGACATTGCGTGGCAGTGATTGGCAACGCACGTCCTTCCTACCATCACCATCCAACCGCTGCCTCAGCAATCTCGGCAACTCATTACGCATTCCTTCGCCCACACGCCTCGTTCAATTCCACATGGAAATTGCCGCGTTGCTCCAACCACATCTCCCCATCCACCGCCTATCACTCACCCGGAACTGGCCTGGAGAGCCTTCACACACACACAGCTATTGCTTGCTTCTCCTACGAATCATCAGTGCTGACTTTTCCCCTCCTCACAGTCTTGCAGCGTTCTGCTTCTGCAGCGTTCATCGTCTCAGCCATCCCAAAACGTCCTGCCATCGTCAAAGGTCAGTGTGCAAGTCTAGGCCTCTCCGCCCCGCCTCACCTTGCCTATCCTCGAGCGTCATTGCTGAACATTCCCCGTTAGACCCTCTCCCAGCACGGTCATCCCGCAGCACCGACCAGCACCCGTGGAGGCGTTAGCTCGCTCTCCGCAGATTGCCACGCCGCATCACCGGGCTGTCCAGACCGACTCTACCGCATTCCACCCTCGCACGCTTTCTTTGCCCTGGCTTGCAAGGAAGCAAACGATCGTCCGAACCGCCTAACGCCACACTGCCCGTCCGCTGTAATCTAATTCACCAGGTATGCAGCTTAGCCTTTCGTCGTGCATCCCTCTTCACAACACTGCACACGACCGGATGCTGACCCCTTTCCTCCCAGGCTGCCTGTGGTGACGGTTCATAAGACCTTCACCCGCTCGGTGGACCCCTGTCGTTAGACCATTCACTCTTTTGGACCTGCTTTTCCCAACTAATTACGATCATTCGTCCGGCCAACATCACCGGCCTCACACTCTCTACACCATCACTCACCACCACTCTCGCTCATTTCACTCCACCCCGACACTCGTTACCAACTGTCAATCCCGGAGAACTGACATCCACTCCTTTTAATCCCATACCCAACCCGATCCGATCGAAACCATGGACTACCAACCAGAACGATCTCACGCCCAGGCGTTCCAACCGCCGCAACCCTTCCCGACTTACGGCTATTGTGATTCCTACTTTGTGGAGAGCCACGATGACGACGAGGGCATCTACGCCCGAGCCGCAGCCGAGCGCGAGAGACAACGAGGAGTTGCTCGACTACAACAAAAGGCCCTGGCCGAAGAGTTGACACAGGTGACGGCGAACGAATACCAAGAGGACATTCTTCATCACATGGAGGCCATGGAGCTCGAGACGATGCCCGACATCCAGTCCATCGAGATCCAGACCGAAATCCAATGGTACATGCGACCCTACCTGCTCGACTTCCTCCTCGAAGCCCACCACGCCTTCGGCCTCCTCCCAGAGACACTGCACCTCGCCGTCAACCTGCTGGATCGATACTGCTCGAAACGTGTGGTGTACAAGCGACACTACCAGCTCGTCGGATGTGCAGCTCTCCTCATCGCCGCCAAGTACGGCGATCGCAAGGAACGAGTGCCGACCATCCGAGAGCTCAAGTCGATGTGCTGCTCCCTCTACGACGACGACATGTTCACCCAGATGGAGTGGCATGTGCTGCAGACGCTGAATTGGATGGTCGGCCACCCGACCGTCTCCAGCTTCCTGCAAATGGCCATGGCCGACGTCTCCTTCGACCCGGAAGTCGAACACATGTCCTGCTACATCCTCGAGCTCGCCCTCTACCACAAAGACTTCATTCCGCTTCGGCCGTCGATGATGGCGCGGTGCTCGCTGGCGCTAGCACGGTGCATCCTCGACCGGCCACAACCTCCGTACGGAAGCTGGTCGGCACAGTACGACGCCAACGTCATCCTCAGCCTCTCCAACCATCTCTCGCAACCCTCGCAAGCCCTGCTGCGGAAGTACGCGTCGCCCCATCTGTCATCGGTCTCGACGACCATCGACCTGTTCCTCGCCCGTCAAGCCGCACTGGCGACGCGCGTCGTGCAAACGCCCGTCAACGAGCTTCCCACCATCCAAGTGCATCACCACCAGACGCCGCCCGAGAACGCGTACCTCACTCCCCAGACTCCGCAAAAGCATGCCGGCTTCCACACCATCCCCATCGGCATCCTCACGCCTCCGATTACCCCGGACAAGGACTACTGCGAGTCGAATGAGTACGGCAACCACTCGAACGCGGCGCTGGTCCAGCGCTTCCCGATCGTCGGCGTCCCTACGCCGCCTCCGAGCGCGCAGGATCTGCACTTCCCGCCACAGCAGTATGACCACTACATGCAGCAGGCGCAGATGGTGCAATGAAACACCATCCCTCGTCGTCGGCGGCACGCATCGGTCCCGCATCACTTTTACAATTTGCAAGCGTTGAAGCATCAGTCTCTGTGTTGTTTTTATTACCATCACCCCCCGCATCTGTACCGCGCGTCAGCGTCGTCGGCATCAACAAAGAAATGTCCGAACGAGCGGCGTGGAAAAAAGGGTCACTAATGTAACTGGAGTACGAGGAAGGAAGGAAGGCAAGGAAAGGAGGGAGACGGACATCAAAAAGCGTCGCATCATCTCCTCCCCCAAAGCGAGGCCTCTGGTCTTGTTTTGCTTCTCTTCATTAAGAATGAAAATGGTGGAGTGGAGTGGCACGCTTGTCACGGCGGAGGAGAGGGATGGCTTTGGTCAAGAACTCTCTTAGCTGAATAGGCCGCTTCCTTTCGAAGAGAAGGAGGCGGTGAGATACCCATGGTTTTATACATATGACTTTTTGCTACTCTCTTCCATGATTTCTGCTGTTCGTGACTAGAGTGGAAGGTGTCACACGAGTCGCGCGAGCACTCCAGCAAGGCACGTGACAGCCCTGCCAGATTAGATCGGGCAGATTAGATCGGACTTCAACCCAAAATTTTGTTTCCACCCGCACCTTCGAAGCATTCTTTCCACGAAACCCACCATGTCCTCGCCCACGCAATTTATCGTTCAAATATACGCCAGACCATGATCCAGCAAACACCATCCACACATCAAAATGGACATCCACCGCTCCCGCTTCGTCCCTTACCCCCTCTCCCCCATCAGCGCCCTCGCCTTCTCCCGGCCCAGCGATAGCGCAGGCGGGTCTGAAGGCGCGCTTCCCGCGCTCAAACTCGCTCTCGGGCGCTCGAACGGGACGATTGAGATTTGGAATCCGCAGCGCGGCCTGTGGGTGCAGGAGACGGTTTTTGCGGCCGGGGGAGAGGACTCCTCGGATGGCGATGCGGCGGGGATTGATGGGTTGCTTTGGACGCAGGGACCTGATGAGGTGATTGAGGGTGATGGCGGAGTGAGTGTGGGGCAGCAGCGGCTGTTTGGGATTTCGGCTTCGCCTGCTGTGCTCGAGTTCGATCTGGGGAGTGGGAGGGTGAAGAGGCGGAGCACGGGGAACTTCTCCGAGGTGTGGTGTTTTGCTGCGCAGCCGCGGGCGAGACTTGCGAAAGAGGCGAGCGAGGAGGAGAGGGAGCGGGCTGGGTGGCAGGAGATTGTTGCTGGGTGTGGTGATGGGACGCTTGTGCTGCTCTCTACTGCTGGAGACGATCTTGTGTTCAAGCGGTTCTTGGCTCGCGTGAGTGGGAAGAAGTCGAGGTGTATGTGTGTTGCGTGGCAGAATCGGGAGCGCGTTGTTGCGGGCTTCGCCGACGGGGTGATGAGGGTGTATGATGCGAGGAACGGGTCGCTGTTGAGAAATATGAGTCTTGGGGCTGGAATTCCTGGTGCGCCAAAGACGGCGTTGGTGTGGCAGGTGAAGTGCCTGCCGAATGGCGACATCGTGTCTGGCGACTCGAATGGAGAGGTGCGATTCTGGGACGGCAGGACATACTCGCTTTCTCAACGCATCGCTGGCCATGAATCCGATTGTCTCGATTTGATCTCCAGCTCGGACGGCAAGACGCTCTTCTCGGGAAGCATCGATGGCAAATTGGCCGTCTATCGCCAGACTGTTGATCGTGGGAGGAAGACTTGGGCCAAGACGAGCCATCGAAGACTACACCACGGCGAAGTGAAGACAATGGCCGCCTTCGACAGCAAAGGCATGAGCGTGGTCGTCTCAGGGAGCAGCGACGTTGCACCCGTCATCACACCCCTCCGCGAGTATGGCAAAGAGAACATTCGGTTCCTGCCAACTCTCCCGCAATCTCCGCCATTAGTGAGCGCACCCAAAGCCAGACTCTTTGCCAGCTGGTGGGACAAGACGATCTCCATCTGGCACATTGCCAAAAGAGCCGGCGTGGACTCTTCACCGGAGCCACAGAAACGCCGTACTCTCGTCGCGCGCATCTGCCTCGACACCAAAGACGACATTCGAAGCGTGACTATGTCCCCAGACGGACGACTCCTCGCCGCCTCAACCAGCACAGCAATCAAAGTCTTCCAACTCAAGCGCAAAGCCGAGCATGAGGCACACCTCGCCATCCGCAAACTCGAGCTTCCCCACGAACTCGCGGACGCCGGTGCGCGGGTATTGAAGATATCCCCGGATAGCAAGTGGCTCGCAGCGGCGACGACAGACGACGAAATCTACGTCGCGCGCTTCGCACCGCATCCCGCGAAGCCGAAGCAATCGCAGCTTTTGAATGAAGTCGCGGAGCTCGAGACGAGGCATCGCCCGGTCGATTTGCACTCTGCTTTCCGCTCGTACGATCGAGCTACGACGCAGATGGTCTTCTCGGACGATAGTGCCGTACTGGTTGCGAGTGATTTGAGTGGAAATCTCGATTCGTGGGTGTTGAAGGGCGAGGAAGACCCACTCGCTCCTGCTGTGGGTAAGGCTGCGGCTCAATTATCGTCTTCTGATTCCGACTCGGATTCCGACTCGGACAGTTCAGACGACGACGATGAAGATCTCGTCGCCTTCTACGCCCAGACCTGGACTGAGAATCCCGCCAACAACCTCCTGCCTAAACTCGACTCGACTCCACTGATCATGACGTTCCGTCCTACCCGCCAATCCTCATCTTCGAACACACAGCCAAAAGCAATCGAAGACGCTCACAACCCCAACTTACCCAACGGCCACTACCCGACCCCAGAACAAGAAGACCAACCCCAAAGCAACACCAACAAACACCACCTCCTAATCCTCACCTCCCGCCACCAACTCTACGAATTCGACATCGCAGCAGGCCGACTAACAGACTGGAGTCGTCGCAACCCCTCTTCCCTCCTCCCACCCGACTTCACCAAAATCCGGGATCGCGTGATGGGCGCGGTGTGGGACAAGGAGCGACTCTGGATCTACGGAAGTTCGTTCCTAAGCATGCTGGATTTGGGAGTGGATTTTGTCGATTCCGCTGCTTCTGCTGCTGGCGGCAGGGATACTAACGTGAGCACGAAAAGGAGGCGAAAAGCGGGCGATCAAGACGCCGCCACCGCCGCCGGAGGAGACCAAAACAAACGCCGCAAAAGCGAGAGCGGCGCAGGGGGTAAAGTCGCTTTCGCGGATCGCAGCGGTTTGACTGCTGATGGCGCTCTCATCAAACGCCATCAAGCCGGTACCATTACGGAGGTCGAGCTCGAGGGCCAGGGTGCGCGGATTTTGGAAGACGACGCCTCCAGCGCGGATGAGAGTGACTTTCTACCTCCTAGTCGGCTGCGCGTTGCTGATGCAGAGGAAGCAGGCGGTGACGGTGACGGTGAGGGGATGCAGCTTGCTGTTCGGAAGGAGGGTGATGGCCTGCGACAAAGGCGGAGACGGTGGTGGTGTACGTTCAAGTACCGGCCTATTCTGGGTTTGGCGGTTTTGGGTGGCGATGAGGCGGAGAGGGAGATGGAGGATGGGGAGGATGCGCCGTTGGAGGTTGTGCTTGTCGAGAGGGTTGCTGAGGGGGGGAGTTGATAAGATGAGAGAAAGGGAGAGGATGATTCTTAGGCAATTGAGAGCATATACCTTAGTTGCTTGCTCTCATTCAAGGAGTCTACTACTTAAACGACACGCTCGTCGTGCCGCTAGTTTCATGTCCCTTCAGTAGATATCATCGCTGTCTTACAATCCGCTCATACTGTACGCAAGCCAGGTTACCCTTCAAGCGTATGACATGTGAAAAGGGCAGCGATGGCGTCAGCAAGGGTGATCAAAACGAGCCCAGCAAGACAAGTAATAAGTGGGAGCAGAAAGGAGTAATAAAGACAATATGGAAGTGGCACATTCGCTACACAATCGCTCCAGTGCTAGGAATAGAAAAAGAACAAGACGACATCGCTAGCAAGCAGACGCGAGCGGCAACGCCTCTATGCACGACGATGATGCTCCCTCCGCGGAGGACTCTGCCCATTGCTCCCAGGCGGCCGCTGCTCGCCAACAGTAGTATTGCCAGCGCGGCGCACGCGCTCTGCGTCGCCAGCAGCGCCCCTCGCATGCTCCGCAGCCTTCGCCGCGTCCGCGTCTCCACTCGCGCCACCGCGGCGTTCCCTCCGCGCAGCGGCGGCAGCCATGGTAGCGGTATCGAGCCCGCGCATGGAAGCCTTCTCCCCGTCTCCACCAGGCAAGATGCGACTCACGTTAAACGCGAGCGCTTCGATAATGTACTTGCGGAGTTCGGCGTCTTCGCGCATGTCCTCTGCGTTGAGCTGGAACTTCTGCTTCTTGTCCATGTCTTTGCGGCGCAGGGCGTTGATTTCGCGGATGATGTGCAGGAGTTCGCCTTCGGTGACTTTGTTGCGGGGGACGGAGTGGGTGGCGGGGTTGCGGACGTAGCGGCGGGTGACGTCGCAGCAGCCGTCGGCGGAGAAGGCGATGCAGTAGGAGAGCTTCTTGCCCCAGCCTGATTTATATGTTAGCATGGTATGTAGATGGCGGGGAGTAGGGGGGATGACGAACCTTCAGTGTAAAGACGGGGCGCATCCCACGCTTCCTCGCAAGAATCAACATGCACCCAACGCTTGCGATGCACGCTGTACACCTCCGTCCAGACGTGATCTTCCTGATTCCATACCCATCGAATGCGACTACCCAGCGCGCGGCACAGCATTCCGAAGCAGGTGGCCCATTCGCCTACACGGCCTTGTCGCGTCTGAAGCAGGACAAAGGCATCGTTGTATCGGGCGAAACGTTCGTAAGATTGACATTGAGGGTGGGCGCATTGGTAGAGCTCGACGCGGTTCGCGCCTCGTGCTGCTTCATCGGGTAACGGGGCGGCTCTTCCTCGCGCGATGGTGGGGGAGCGGCAGGCGGAGCATTTGGGGTTATTGACCCACTCGAAGAAGTCGCGGCGAAACCATTTCATGAGAGCGCGGATGACGCAGTCTTGGTAGCCCCAGGCGGGGAGGATGTTGTCGCCTAATGAAGCCGCCTCGGCTGTGAGCAGGTCCGCCTCTTCCTGTGCCTCGTCGTAGATCCGCTGGAGCGGCACGACGCGCAGGGCTTCGTCGAGTAGGCCGGGGTTCTCCCATGTTACAGGCGTGGAGGAGAGGTTGATGAGGTAGTTGCGAAAGCGGCGCGAGAATTGATCGGTCGGCGCGGTAGGCACGGCAGGGATGTTTTTGAGGGAGGCGTATGCGGGTGGCGAGTCGGCGGCGATGTCTGAGGATTCGGCGGTGGAGGTGTTTGAGGGTTCAGCGGGCGTTTCTGGTACTGCTGCTGGAGGAGGGGGAGGAGGAGGAGCCTGTCGGGATGGTGGAAGCGGAGGAGGAGAGGCGATGTCGCGTCGTCGGCGCTCAACGACAATATCGGTGGGTACTCGGCGAGACGACGGGCGACGCTGAGAGGGCGAGCGACTGCTCAATTCATTCATGCGCTTGGTGGAGAGGGTCCGACGGAATTGCGCCGTCAGTTCTTGCGCCCAGTTCTCGGGGAGCTCTTGTGCGGAGTGAGGGACGGGCTTTCTTCGCGGCACGCCATTGTTGTCTGCCATGCTTGCGGAGGCGAGTGGAGTGTGGTGAGGAGGATGCGAAGGCAATGGTCGTGATGTGGAGGAGGAGGAGGAGAATTCGTGGTGGTTGTGTTGGCCGAGGAGAGGATGGCGACAGAGCAGCGCAGGGATTTGCTGGGGTATGCACAGCCGCGCAAGTCTGCTTCGCCCCCCGAGGTGATGTGCGGCGGAGGTGTCGATCGGTCTGTCCCTGCACCGTGAATGTGCCCGTCGCAGTAGACGGAGAGAGGAGGAGGGATGGAGGACGGGTGAGGTGTGGTGTGGTGAGGTGAGGTAGAGACAGCGAGAGCGAGTGGAGCGAACAGGCTCTTGGTCTCCGTCGTGGTGTCGGTCTTGCACGGCCACGAGTACAAAGGCCCGCGGACAACGCCTCTGGTTACGACGATTGAGAGTCTTACGCAAGCCTCTCTGCCACGCAATCGCTTGGCGTGTCCCTCCGCTAGTGCCTAATGCGGCTAGCGGCCGGCCAGGCAGGGCAAGCGATCGACCCCGGACCCTCCCGCTCCTCCTTTTCTGCGCAGGCTCCAGAAATCTCACTACGCGGCTGACAATTGATATATCGCGGTTGCGCCAGACGTACGTTGCATCTCCATCGTAGCACTAGATGTGCCCTTCACAGGAGACAAAACAGCGTCTGGAGCAACATAGGGGCATCTAGGGCTAAAGGCCGCGACTCCTCCTCCACAGCCAAGAGATTGGCTTGGCTGCATGTTGTCGAACTCTAAAATCTCTGTCCAACTCCATCTCTCCGCGCAGCCTCGGGCTTCCCATCACCGCACATCCAAGGCAATATAATGCTTGGTCGTCGCATTGCCGTTCACCATACGACGACGCCGACTACCAAGCCTTGCCGCTCGCGTACCTTACGCAGACTTCTCGACGTCAAATAATACCCTCGTGTCTGGCCCTCCAGCTGAGCTGCATCGTGGCTTGCAAAAGGGTGGTGTGCCAGCCGGCCTAGACTCACCACCTCACCACTCCAACGGCAAAATCAGCGACGTCGATGCACGGATGGATGGAGGCATACTTCCACATCGCGAGAAACGGTTTCGTCTCGAATCGTAGGAACCCGTTGTCCAAACTGACGTCTGACAGTATGCGCTACGACCTTCGATGGGTGTTTATTTTCCGGTTCAATACGCGCGCGCTGTAGAATGGGCAGCAGTGTCGTCAGCCTCATTAGACTCCACTCCGGTGCCGGTGGGCTCCAAATTGGGCAGTCCATCTGAGGACTTGCGAATCCTATAGGCAAAAACCTTGTCCAAGCGCTCCGGCGTTCTGATGAGATCATCCTCTCTCTCGCCATGCGAAACACCCGCGGGTTGCATGATCAGCATAAGCATGCCAAGACCACATGTCCGACATCCTATATATATGAAGATCCCTTCACTCTGCTTCACTGCGGATCTTCGTCGTCGAATGTCAACTCCTCCAGGACTTTGCCCACGCAAATTGGCTTTCGTGACGCAGCTTTCTGCCCAGGGCAGAAGATGACTTGCAGCAAGCCTTTCCCCACATCGCTCGCCCGCCGGCCTGGTTTCAATCTACCGCCGGCACATTGAGCCGTGGTGCTGCATTGCTGAGACACGACGTAATGCATCGTGAGCAGCAATCACAACCTTCCCGCCGGAATCGCGGATGCACGTTGTACGGACTGCAGGTGTTCTTCTTTTCGAAATACCACGTTTGGCATAGAGTGTTGCCGCTCTCTCCCGCCCACGCTACCTGTCGCTAGTCACGATGCGCGCGTGCGTCGAACATATTTCACGCACGCGGCGCGATCGTGCACAATGCTTTGACGTCAGTTATTCGAGACGACACCGCTCGTTTGCACAGTGGCATCACATCACCACACCTGGCAAAGTCCAAGGAAGGAAGGCCCGCAGACACTGTAGGAGCAACTTCAACACCGCTCGATGTCACCCACACCTTACGCGCTCGCCGACGGCATCCTCCACAGATCTATCCCAACCCCAGAAACCAGCACTCCGCTGACTCCATCTTCTTCACCCCTCCAGACCTCCAAGCCAGACACATCCGCCACGGCAGTAAAGACATCGGCAACTTTCTTCACTCGCATTGCTCCAACCGCGTCGACTTCCACCTCCCACACTTTGATGCGCTGGTCGATGCCCGCTGATACCAGTTGCACTTGTTGGCATTCTCCTCCATTGGGGCGTATGGAAATGATCGCAACCCCCGTCACAGCGGCCGCGTGAGCGCGGGGAATCAATAAAGTAGCCATACCCGTGTCGTCGCTGCTCTCGCCCGGAGTGCATCTTGTGATAGCAATTGCATTATCGTCGCCGCCGGTCACGAACAACGACGTTCCGTCCGCGAGTTCTAGATGCGCGATGGTGTGGATGGCGCTTTGGTGGACATTGTGTCTGCTGAGCCAGTCTAGACTTTGCTGCTGTTGCTGCTGATGCCTCCAAGTTGTTAGGTATCCATCCGTGGCAGCGGTGATGAAACGATGGTCAGTCGTCGCCATTACTTGCGTCAGACACGAGGTCAAGTAGTCACCGGCCGATATCAGCGTCCACGTCCGTTGCTCAGATTCATATGCCCAGACTTTCAGCGTGGAGTCCGAGTACGCCATCGTAATCCGCAGTCCACGATTTCCATCACGTGTATCCTCGTCCACGCAGAACCCCATGATCCGCAAATCGGAAGCTCCACTGCGCGGATGTGCAGACTCGCAGGCAACTCCGATGCCTAGATAGGGCACACCTGCACTCACCCTCCACACGAAAAACTCCTCGAATCCTCCGCTGGAGAGCAGGTAGTTTCCATGCCAGGCTAGGTGCTGAACACCAGTATTGTGCTTCCGCAACGTCTGCAGACAGTGAAAACCACCGCTCTTCTCATACCGGAAGAGCTTAATGTCCGTGTCTTCTGCTCCAGTAGCGATGACGGATCCTATCTCAGCAGAGGCCGAGGAGACAGCAACAGCCTTGATCTCCCTCCCATGGCCCCCCTCGTTCAAAAGACGAAAAGGCAGTGCAGCCTGCTGGGCGTGGAACAGCCTCCCCGCCTTCGTCCAGACGAACCGCCCTCCATTGGCGTCGAAATCCGGTTCAAACGCCCACTGCCGATGTGCGCCGCCGCACTCGACGCGCATAATCTCGCGCTGCGCCATCACGTCGTAGACGACGAAGTGTTTGCTCTGGAAACCCCAGGTCCACACTCTGCTGTCGTCGGCGTGCATTTTGAGGCCTTCGATGTTGGGCCCGAAGGGGAGGGCTAGTTGGTGGAGGGTGATGACTTCCACTGCGGCGTTGGAGTGGCGGAGCTCACGCACGGCGAAGGTGCCGTCTCGGCCTGTGGAGAAGAGGAAGTGTCTTGCGGCATGTCCTGGAGTGCGTTTCTGTTGGACTAGCCGCAGGCTTGTAACGGATTCAGCATTGTGTGCTTCACTGATCGTTATAGAACAGTCTAGCTGGTTCGACCCATCGACAGAAGGACAGTAGACTGCGATTGCGCCACCTCGGGAGCCGAGGACTGCATAGCGTAACGACTCGTCTTCGTAGTACGCGAAACTGGTGACGACGAAGCTTTCTGGCAGCTGCAACATTGTCGTCCTTGATGGCGAGCGAAACGGATCTGGACCGTCCAGACGTAATATTCGAGCCTCGGTTGCGTTGACTGTAGTTGCGAGGAGGTTCAGCAAGTCTGACCTGGGGCGACACGCAAACAATCCTGCCACCTTGCTGCCGACCTGCGCAAGTCCTACAAGTTGAGCAGTCCCACGATCGAATGCATGTATGGCGCCGTCACTTCCGCCAATGAACCCAAAAGCGGACACATTCGACATGATTGAGTAGCCTCGGAGACTTGCGAGAGGCGATGAGATCTCAATGGGATGCAACGGTTGATCACCGGACAGGTGGAATTGCACCACGCCGCCACGATCTGTAGTAGCTAGAACGGTGCTGGGACCCACGAATCCATATGTGCGGTATGCGTCACTGCCTTTGCTTTCGAGCGAGAGTGGTGGTGCAATTTCATGAATGTCGAGACTTTTGCCGGGTGATTCGTACAGTGCAATCGCTCCATCCGCGGCACCGGTAGCAAGCAAGCCGCGACTGTCGTGCACTGCAACGGCCCATATATTCTTTCCAGAGTGCGCCTTGATTGAACGCAACTGATTGAGGCTGCACAGCTGCTCCCGTGCTTGCAGCGCCCAAACAATGACGGAAGCATCCTCTCCAAACGATAGGATGCGCATGGTCTCGTCACGATGCTTCCCAGCTGCGTATCGAACATGCCAGATCCTGGAGATGTGACCCATGGCTTTGGCCAGGCACCGCGGAGCGAGTGCGTCTTCAGAAATCTTCGCGCCAAAGCCCGTATCTCGAGGGGTTTCGCCAGCCGCGCTGGACTCCATGGGCAGACTCGAGACATCCCAGATTCGGACGGTACGATCATCGCTACAGCTGGCCAGAACTCTTTCACATCCAAATCCGGGGATTTTAAGCTGGGAGGATAGGCGAACGCCAAACACCGACCCTTCATGAGCGGCGAAAGTGAAATGAGTGTGGGAGCGCAATGGAACTTCAGAGTCATGCTCGAGATACGCTGACCAAACAATGATGTCGCCAAAGGCAGTACCTGACGCAACGAGACAGTGAGATGGACTTAGCCATAAGATGTGTGCGGAGTAGAGGATGCAATTCGAGCCGGGTACGCGCTGTTGGAGACTCGGCCGGGGCGTAGGTGATTTGGCATGGGCAGGTCGGGTGATTGAGATGGTCGCGAGGGCATTATGCGCCGTGACGAGGCCGATTAAGGAGTGGGAAGACGGGGCAAAGGCCGCGTCGAGAATCCAGTCCTGTACATTTTGGACGGGTCCGAGGGAGGCTTCGATTCTTCCATCTTGGATGTCGATGGATAGCGAGCGCGAGAGAGAACCGCCCCATATCAAGGCGGCCGAAGCGAGGTCGTCTGCACTCAGGGCGATTCCATGAATGGCTTGGCCTTCGAACACTCGAATCTTCCGGTGTGTTGTGCCATCTGATCCATAGATGTAAAGATACGGGCCTTGTCCGGAGAAAATCCAGTCATCCCCGACCAAGGCCAACGCCGTCACAGGCACATGCTGGCGCTCATGCTGCATTTACCGCGCGTGGAGGTGGTCGAGAGGGTGGAGGAGCGAGAATAGAAATTCGATGTTGGTGGCATATTCTTTAGCAGAGCGTGAGTGGCCCAAGCGCGGTGAAGTCCCGCTAAGCTCACGCTTCACGACCTGCCCACGTTCAGTGGGAGAATGCCTCCTCGAACAACTCTTTCGATCGCTCACCTCCTCCCCAACCCCGACTTGGCCTCGATAGATATACACGACACGCGTGCCGGGCGCCCCCTGCCACTTCACATCACCGCGCATCAATCCGTCAGCTTGTGCCACGCTTTCCAATGACTCGGTAAGGCCACGCCCAGGATACACAGCATAGGCGTGTCGGCAAGAGATGGCTGGCCGCATTGGCCTTGATCACACCGCGCCAGCATCCGCCCCCGTCCAATCCGACTCTCAACCCTTCCCAGCGCCTCGTCGCATGCATTCGCACCGGCAATCAGAGGACTTCCGCATCCCCTCCAACGCTCCCCCGCTGTCCGCTCCCTACACGCCGCAACAACAGCAACAAGACGGCCTGTACTCCGCCAACCCCTCCTTCAACGTCCAGCAAGCCACTCCACGGGGCTCTGCGAGCTCTGCGTTACCAGGCGCTCTTCAGCCCGCCGGGGGTGTGCCGCGAGCTCCTCCTTCCACCTTCACCACTCCACCCACCGTCCCGAGCATGAACATTGCCACGAACGCGCAGCAATACACGCAGCAATCGCCTTCACGATCCAACCCGATCCATTCCCACTCGAGAAGCAGTCCGACAGGCATGGACGGCTCCCAGAAATACATCCCCTTCAACCACACCCCATCTCAGAATTCCCCCTCCACCTCCAACCCAAAAGCCTACAACCTCTCGCATACACAGAGCCCGGCGGGCCCGTCACACAGCCCATTAAACCTCACCGACATCCGATCCCGCGCAATCTCCGACGCAAACGATGGCACCAGCGGCACCAATGTCTTGTTCAGCTATTCCGATACTCCGACCAATTCCAACTACCTCGCCCCATTTCCCACCTACGCCTACGATTGGTGCAAATGGCCGGTATTAGGAGGAAGCAGCGCGGGCAAAATGGCGGTGGGTAGCTATTTGGAAGACCCGCACAACTTTATTCAAATCCTCGACACGCACATTGTCCCCCAGGAAGGCGCCTCGTCCGATCGACCGCAATATGGACTGGAATATACCAAAGTGGCCGAGGCGACATGCGCGTATCCCGTGACGAGGATACTGTGGGAGCCGCCCAGCACGCAGAAGCAGAGCACAGATCTCCTCGCCACGAGCGGGGACCACTTGCGATTATGGAGTCTACCGCAGCCCTCTACACCCCATTCAGGCAGCAGTATTACCCGAGGTTCAAACAGCAGGGATCAAGCACCGCCCAAGCTTCAACCGCTAGCCTTGTTGTCGAACAGCAAAACTCCTGAACACACCGCGCCTCTAACATCGTTGGACTGGAACACACTCTCGCCCAAACTCATCATCACCTCCTCCATCGACACCACCTGCACCATCTGGGACATCCCAACTCTGACCGCCAAGACTCAATTGATCGCACACGACAAGGAGGTCTTTGATGTCCGCTTCTGCGCCGGCTCGGTGGACGTCTTCGTATCATGCGGCGCAGACGGCAGCGTGCGAATGTTCGACCTAAGAAGCTTGGAGCACTCCACCATCATCTACGAACCAGCTGAGAAGACGGAGACAGGTGAGCTACCATCATCACCACCACAAACCAAATACATGCTGATGCAGAATGGCCCCTCCAGCCCCATCCCCCTCCTCCTCCTCCCCAACAAAACTAACCCCCGCCCAAACCCTCACCCCCGCCCCACCCCTCCTCCGCCTCGCGGCCTCCCCCCACGACTCCCACGTCCTCGCCACCTTTGCCTCCGACAGCAACGTCATCCGTATCCTCGACGTCCGCCAACCAGGCCAAGCCTTCTGCGAATTGCGCGGGCATCAAGGCAACCTCAACACCATCGAATGGCACCCTTCGCAGCGCGGGACCCTCGCATCCGGCGCGGACGATAGTCTGGTGCTGATTTGGAATGTGAATTCCGCTACGGGGGCTGGGGGCGGGGCTGGCGTGCCTGTTCCGCCGCCTCCGCAGACTGCGCCGGCTGCGGGGACGAATGGGGCTGCGCCGGCTGTTGTTCCTGATGTGCCTACCCGCTTGCCGCTAGCGAGTTGGAGGTGTGAGTATGAGGTTGCGAATGTGTCTTGGTCGCCGCAGAGTGCGCTATCGAATCAGGTGGGCGATTGGTTGGGGGTGTGTGCGGGGAGGGGCGTGTGGGGGGTTAGAGGAGTGAGGTGAAATTTCAGCGTTGGCATTGTACGAGCGCAATGAAGCTTTTGGACGGGTCTATCTCGAAGTTGGTAGAAGCAATTCATCTTGCCCGCAACATATCTTTGGACCAGGCCAAATCGTCGCCAGGCGTGAAACTACACCACCGATCAAGTGCTAGACACGGCGAGACTGATCCAGTACGCGCATCCCCTGCTAACCTGACAGTGAAGCGGACGATGCAATGAAGGCGAGTAGCGATGAGCAGAAGTGAGGTTGGGGCGGGGCATGCATTACCTATTTGGGCAGCACGAAATAGTGGACCTTACCTAATTGGTGTGAATCCTAGCGCGAAACTCTGACGCTTGCGAGCCACGGTTTGAAACGTCGTTGAAAATGGCGTGGGTGTTGCGAGAAAATGGAGGGGTAGCTAGCGGCCGACGTATGTTTCTCACAACGCAGAGCTCTCATCCCACCTCACCCTCTCTCCTCTCAAAGCTGCAGAATCAAGGTGCTGACACCCGCATGCACGATTTGTAACAAGGCCTCCGACGTGCGAGATAGGTCAAGACGGGCGAGATGCCCCGCACGCGCTCGTGGAACCCCCTCGCCTTCTACCCCATCCAAGTCACCTTCTTCGCCTCGCTCGCCTACATCGCCCTCTTCACCCTTCTCATCTGGTCCTTCGAAATCGTCCCGCCGGCCCCGAGCACTGCCACGCCTGTTGCCGGGGTGAATTTGACGGAAACATGGCTGGACCTGAGTTTCATCTCGGATGGCTACCATCCCATTGACAGTCGGCGGAATGGTGTGGTAAAGGCGTTTCTGCTGGACCGGGTTCGCGAGGTGTTGGGCAGGAATGAGGTGGGATTTGACGTCGTTAATACTGTTGGGAAGGGAGCGGAGAGTCTGATGAAGGGAAAGAAGGAGAAGGAGAAGGACAAGGCTGTCTCCGTGTTCGTGGACGGGGTATCGAATGTCACGTTTGTGGACGACTTTCGCCAGCAGCCTTGGAGTTGCTATGGCGAATCGGAAAACATCATTGTCTACATTCGGGGCTCGAACGACGACGATGGGAAGTGGTGGGAGAGCGATCGGCCGTACAATGGACCTGCAGGAGTCCTCGTCAACGCTCACTACGATAGCGTCTCTTCCGGGTTTGGCGCCACGGACGATGGAGTGGGTGTCGTGACACTGCTACAGCTGCTTTCCCATTTCACTACAGACGGCCATCAGCCCGAACGCGGTCTCGTGCTGCTCTTCAACAACGGCGAGGAGAATGCGCTCTACGGAGCCCATGAATTCCTCCGCCATCCTCTCTCGCAATTCACCCACACCTTCCTCAATCTGGAGGGTGCAGGCGCCGGAGGCAGAGCCACCCTCTTCCGTAGCACCGACACGCAAGTCACGAGATTCTACGCCAAGAGCCCCCGGCCTTACGGCACTGTTGTGAGCGGTGACGGTTTCAAGCGCAGACTTATCGGCTCCGGCACGGATTACTCGGTCTTCGTCGACAATAACGGCATGCGAGGACTGGACGTCGCTTTCTTCACTCCTCGCGCCCGCTACCACACCGATCAAGACGATGCGCGAAACACCAACCCCGATTCCGTCTGGCATATGCTTTCCACTGCTCTGGCGACCACTCGAGCGCTGACTTCCTACGATGGCGATGAATTCGAAGGGTCGGTCGGCCGGACTGGGAAATTGGATCTCTCCTCTGGCAATGATGGCGTGTGGTTCGACATCTTCGGCCGAGAATTTGCAGTCCTACGACTGAACACTCTCTTCGCCCTCTCCGTGGTCCTTCTCGTCGTCGGCCCCGTGCTTTTAATCATCCTCGAAGTCACTTTACGCAAGTTGGACAAATGGTACCCACTTGCGCAAAAGCAGTACCTCAACTCGGCCGACGATGACGAAGCGGTGCACTTCAGTGGCGTAAGAGGCCTCTTCCGCTGGCCGATTGCCGTCGCCGTGGCCACCGCCGCCGTCTTAGCGCTCGCCTTTTTGCTGACCAAGATCAACCCGTACATCATGTACAGCAGCAAGTACGCGGTATGGGCCATGATGCTTTCCGCCTGGTTCTCCATCGCCTGGTTTCTCCTGGCGGGCGCGGATCGAGTGCGGCCCACGGCGCTGCAGCGAATGTACAGCCTGATCTGGCTGTATGCGTTTTCGTGGGCATTGTTGGTCGCCGTTACAGTCGGAGCGGATCGTTTTCACATCGGAGGCGGGTATTTCATCGTCATCTACAACGCTTGCGTATTTGTCGCCTTGCTCATCTCCTACTTGGAGCTACTGGCCCTTCCCACCAAAACGGCGTATGTGGAGCGGGTGGTGAATGCGGAGGAGGAGGTGGACGGACGATCAGTCCGGCCAGCAAGCCGTCGAGGCCGCACTTCTCGAGATCACGACGAAGACGAAGCAACAGAGCGAACCTCTCTACTCCGCGGCGGAGACCGCCGAAGCGGAACATTCAGCAGACGTCAAGAAAGCATTGCCGAAGAAGAGCCCACCGCCGACCCACATCTGCACAATGCCTACGGCGACGAACAAGCGTGGTCCAGCAGCCTCCCACACTGGACCTGGCAGCTGCAATTCCTCCTGCTAGCCCCCATCAACCTCATCCTAATCGGCCAAGTCGCCCTCCTCGTCACAGCCGCCCTGCACCAAACGCACACAGACGGCGGCGCCTCCGTGCTACCCCTCTACCTCATGCTCTCCGCCTTCACCCTCCTACTGCTCCTCCCGCTCACGCCTTTCCTACACCGCTTCAAATTCCAAGTGCCCACATTCCTCTTCTTCGTCTTCGTCGGGTGTCTTGTGTACGCCCTCCTCGCGTTTCCCTTCTCCCGCGAAGCGCGCTTCAAGTTCACCTTCGTGCAGCGCATCGATCTCGACACGGGGTCCAACAACATCACGCTCGGTGGGCTGGACGAGTACATCCAGGACGTCATCGCCGAGCTGCCCAGCGCCATCGGCCAACCGGTGCACTGCAGCACGAGCCCCAGGAGTCCCGACTATCAATTCTGCAGCTGGAGCGGACTGGAGCCGAACGTTGTCCCTGACGACTACGACTCCACCACCAAAAAGGACAAGAAAGACAAGAAGAAATCCCTCGGCACAAAATCCTGGCTGCAATCCAACATCACCTCCGACTCAGCAACAAACACAGCCCTCTTCACCTTCCGCGCGCAAAACGCCAAAGCCTGCCGTCTGGAATTCGCCTCTCCCATCTCCGCTTTCCACTTCCCAGACGCCCCATACCCCGCTGCGTCCGACCCGCGCTTCCCCTCCGTTGCGGAAGAAGGAAGCTGGCAGATCCGCCTCTTTTCTCGCACGTGGGATCGGGAGTGGAGTGTGAACGTCACCTTTGCTCCTTCGCAGGAGGAGGAGGTTGAGGTTAAGGGCCAAGAAGGCAGGATCATGTGTCTGTGGAGCGACGCGAATGTCGCGGGCGCGATGCCTGCGTTTGAGGAGGTGTTGCGCTTCGCGCCGGTTTGGAGTGCGGTGACGAAAGCGTCGGATGGGTTGGTAGAGGGGTTTAGAAAGTTTGTGGTGTGAGTTTCCGAATAATTTTTTTGGTTTGGCATTTGCGACTTTGGAGATGATGGTTGGTGTATTGTTTCGCATGTTGGTCAGGATAAATGTGGATAGATCCGCGCATTTTGAATGCCAGAGTGCGATGTGCATGTTGCACTCCTCATCTACCGTACAAACCGCCTCCGACAGGCTACGTGCCAGAAGAAGAGGTTCATTCCTTCCGTCTCGCCGACGGCCTGGCGCTTCTCGTAAGGGTTAAGTGCATTCTTCTAGCGAGTCCTAGGTCGACTCCGCAGCTTGTAGAGGCTTGTTGCAAAGGGAGAGCGTCCATCCCGTCCACCAGGCTACGTGCTACAAGAAGTGATCTACTCCCTCCGCTCGCCGACGGCCTGGCGCTTCTCGCAGACGTCGAAGATATGGGTATAGCAGGTCTTGGATTCCTTCCGAGGCTCGCTCGGGCTTGTTGTAAAAGGGAGATGGGTACCATGTGGTCTGGCAGGCAGGCTGTGCATTTTTCTTCTAGTCACGAAGCAACTTCTATCTGGCACGTAGCCCCTGCCCGATCGGAAACCAAAGCTAAGCAGAGCGAAAAGCAAGCGCTGGGTATCATTTCCTTTCTCCCTACCTTCCTCCCTCCGATTCCATCCCATCCCATCTATCCATACATACAAAAGAAGCCGCAAAGAAGAATCAAGTCTGAAACCCATTCAGCAGCATAGAATTCCACTCCGGGCCCCCGAACAACTCCTGCAAACTGATATCGCCCGCTACGCCGCCTACGCCGCCCAAACCCGGCGCCGACGACATGTGTTGCTGCTGCTGCTGCGGATGATGGTGTGCATGTTGGGCATGTTGCGGGAGTTGCTGTTGGCCCCAGCCATTAGTCGCCATGGCCTGCTGTTGTTGACCGCCCATCACGCCCTGATGCTGCTGTTGAGGGTGGGGTTGCGCGTGCGCGGCCATATCCGCCTCACGACCGAATGTTCCTTGCGGAGGAGCGGCGGCTGAGCTGAGATAGGGTGGTAAAGCGAAGAATTGGGCTTCGATGTTATCTTCCAACCCAGGGAGGGTAGAAGAGAGGGGATTGTCGTACAAGCCGTCGTTGCCGTTGAGGTATGCGCCTCCTCCGTTGTCGTGCTTCGCGGCTGTCATTTGTTGTTGCTGATGGGCGTCGAAGGTGGTGAGTGGTTGGCACGGGTAGACGAAAGGCTCGTCGGCCTGGGGGAAGAGCATGGTTGACATGTCTGCTATGGCGGGGTTGTTGGGGCCGTAGTTGTTGGGCGGCGCGCCAGCGAAGGGGGGGTATTGTTGTTGCGGCGGGAGGCCGGTGGAGGTGGGCGTGCTGGTGAGGTTGAGGGGGTTGTAGTTGTTGATGTACGCGCCTGCGGACGGAGGGAAATCGGCGCTTGTGGGCGTTTGCGGGAGACTGGAGGCTGCGGAGGGGGACCAGGAGTCGTGGGTCGTGGGGGTCATGTTGGCGTTCCCGCCGGGACCGGACAGGTGGCGGGGGTACGTGACGGCGCGGCGGTGCAGGCCGGGCCCTTCGCTTTGCATGGAGATAGTGACATCCGGGAGGCTGCGTGATGCGGCGCTGTTTTGGGCGTGAGGGGAGGCTTTGCCCGACCCGTGCTGTCGCTTTTTGTTCCCCACCATGCTGGGATTCTGCTGTCCTTTCTGCATCCACTCCGGCAAGCGGCGAAACACGCCTTCGAGCGTCGCTGAGCAGCGGTCGGCGGCCAAGCTTCGCTTCGCCAGGGCAGCCAACACCTCTTTCCCCTCCAACGCATCCTTGATTATGGCCGCTGTGGTGGGATCGTCGGGGTTCGCGGCGGCAAAGTAGACGAGCGACAGGATGGCGAAGAAGGAGGTGTACATGACAAACCAGAAGGCGCCGTTCAGCAGACCATTCAGCTTCATTTGCGTTTGGATGTGGATGATGTTGCGGGAGACGCCGACGTACGACGCGGCACAGGCGTATGCGCGTTGGTCGACGGGCGGAGGGCGGGCGACGTAGTGCAGGAAGGGTCGGTACAGCATGACCTGCGCATGTGCATATGTCAGGCGGAGGAGATGCTGAACGCGAGTGTAGCGATCCGGGGCGGGCGATGGGTTGAGGACCGGGGGCAGATCGTTCTTCCACTGCTCCATCTCGCTTTCGATTTCCTTGATGACGGAGAAGGGGACCGAGTAGGATTGATCCGCCGTGCCGACGCCCTTGTCCTGTACTTTGATGGGATAGACGCATCGCACAATCTTCGAGAGCAGCTGCACCAGGCGAGTGTGGGCGTTGAAGGCCGCCATGAGCGACACCTGTCCTTCGGGCATCGGTCGGATGCCATCTCTGGTCACGTATTCGTCGTCGACTTCGGTGGGGAATTCCTGATCGATGTCTTCATCGCTCAATGTTTGGGGCAAACCAAGCATTGCGCCCACGTAAATGTCCATCTTGCGAACGGCCCAGAACACGCGTTTCCGCGTCTCAATCTCGAGCGGGTCGAAGTTGCCCTTGTAATTGCGGTGCAGGCCCATTCGCAAGGCCGAGCGAAGGGCAACGCCAACATAGGCATAGCATTGTGACAGCTTCGCCGAAGATTGCAGAAAAAGGACCATCATCATGACGGCTTGAATAGACATCAAGTCTCGACAATCGGCAATGTCGAGGAGCATGCGTGCAGTCTTGAAATGCACAAAGCCTTGCTGGATGGCATTTTCGTACCCTTCCGAGTTGATTCCACTCGACTCGTCTTTGTTGAAGAGATGCCCGAGTGCCATGGCGGTGTGAAACAGAGGCAGAAACTTCTGATCTTCATTCGTGTAATGCTCGACGGGAACGGTATACAAGCGTTCAAAGGCCAGCCAAAACGTCGGACCGTGGATAGCACGGAGTAGGGCAGCGGCGTCCTCGATGGCGAAACGGCAGATCTCGCGCGCGACGGCCTTTGGGGGGAGATCGAAATTGGCCGGCCCCGAGTCGGCATTGATGGGGGACTCGGCGGACGATTTGGGAGAGTCGAGAACTTGCGACATGTGTCGGGTCTTGATGAAGGGAGTAGTGGCGACTACTGGGCCCATCAAGTCACCCATCTGCTCTCGCATGCGTCGCATAAAGGTCAGGCCGGAAGAGTGACCGTGGTAGTCCCAGTTGCCCGACTCGTCCATTTCGATGGACGCGACCGCACGTACCATGGACTCGATCTTGTCCGAGCGATTCGACAGTCCGCGGTTCAGCGGGGGCATGGATTGCGGGAGTGGTAACGATGGAGCGTGTTGATCTTGCTCCTGCGCCTGTGTGGGGTTGCCCTTTCCTGGCGCACCGGGGATATAGCCTTGCTGGACGGCCACGTCGATTCCGGGGTCATTGAGGTCGAGGTTCGGGATGAGGATGTGCAGAAGCGTTTCTGCTCGGTGGACGCGATGCTCGAGATTCTCCACGTATTGCGGGGCGGGGTTCCTCCGGCGGTTGGAGGGTTGGTCGTAGGTGCATTCTGCAGGATGGATGAGTGGGTGGCGCGGAGGCGGAGGGGTGGGAGGGATTGAGTAGACCAACCATAACTATAAACGGTGCAATGGGTGCACGGCTGCTTGCCATCGCATTTGATCTTCTTGCGGCGGCATTCGTCGCATGCGCGAGTGACTCTGCGCCGTTTCTGCAGATGGGCGGGGGATTTGGTGGAGCTGGGGGACATGGGCTGCTTCGTGTCTACATCATCGCCCTGCGACTCGGCGTCACTGACGCCGGGCTCATCGTACTCCTCGGAAGAGGCCTTGTCCATGTCGTCTACGGGCCGGATGGCGGATGCGTGGGGAAGGGTGGCCGGGCGTCAACATTCGGGCTCGAGACGGGGGGACAGCAGTGCGCCAGGCATGGATGAGGCAGAGGAGAGAGGATGAAAAGGGAAGATGACGCCAAGATGAGTGGGATTGATGATCAATGAGGAAGAGGCGAGGTCGGGGTTAGGAGCTGGCAAAGTCCGACTTGGGGAGGTGGAGGGAGCATTGACTTGCCCAAGCCAAGACCGAACATACGTAAGGAAGGCGGAGGGCAAGGGGCAAGTGCGCTCCGTCTTCGGCAGGGTGGATTGCCGTCAGTCACCTATGCAACGTGCATACCACCCTCCGGCGTAGCATCGACGGACGGAGTAGTCGCAGCAGCTTTGGACGTGACGGCTACGGCGGGCGACGGCGCAGGCGAAGAAGAAGCTCATCAGCGGACGGTCGGTACGTCAGAAAAAGAAGCACCACGGTCGCGGATGCTCCCGCAATTCCGCTCCGCTCCGCTCTCGGCCTGCACCTTCCATTTATGCTGTCCTTGCCTTGGCATCGCATCAAGAGGGGAAGGTGCGATGCTCTGAAGTGTAGGGCACGCATGCATGTACACACTCATTGCACAATACGTCTGCGCTCCACAAATGCAACGCATCGTGGATGAACACTCTTCCCACTATTCTTGGCTCTCGTCTGCACGTGGAGTGGGACGCTTGCCCACTTGAGGACAAGTGGAGCCGCGGCTCGCCCTGCGCCAAGGCTAGCATTGCGCGGTGGCGGGGGAGCAAGGCTATTGCTGCGGCCGCTCGCTGCCGCTCTATCCGCTTTTCTCAGGGACAGCCAAGACCGTGATTTTGTCAGCAGCAACAGCACCACCGTTCTCACTTCACTTCACCTCGCCCTATCACCAGCCGGACGGCAGATCTCGACGGACGGCAAGGCTTGCACCGAGGCCCTAAATGTCTCCACAAGTCCTCCAGCCGGAGCTGAAAGACTGGCACGAGGCTTCTGAAGTGAGAGGTGATCCTCCTCTCCTCCACCTACACCGTCTCTTATTAAGACTTCGTCATACCGAGCATGATGGCCAGCTACTTCCAGAGTCGGGGAAACATGGGCATCCCCTATCCACGCTCATAACTTCGACACGTCCGACCGGATCCAGTCCTTCCACCCAGGCGCCCAAACACGTGCCTCTCCGTCCTGCCAAATCCTCCGTCTCGCCGACCCATCCTTTCACCCAGACCCTGCAGCAGCCCCATGCCCAGTCGAGATTAGGCCGCCCAACTCCAGGCCAAGCAGCTGCATAACTTGCTCTTGAATCCTCCATCCCGTGACTCCGCCCACCTATCCTACGTCTCTGGCGCTGGCCCTGCATATGCACGCCACACATCGACATTCGCTTAATGCCCACAACGGCTTTCCTGTAAGTGGACGTCATAGGTAACATGTCACTCCTTCTCGTGTGAGTATTTCAGCTATTTCTCCTCAAGACGTCATGTCTATCATCTTCATACAATCTCAGACAGTACAGTCACAGAACAAAGCTCTCCTTTTCTTCCATTGAAAGACGAACAAAATGGCGCCGTCGCGAGATATGGACAATCGCACGTTCCACCAAGACCCCACCTCCCTCTACAACCTCCCAAATGAGTACAACTCCCCTCCCTTGCGTTCCAATCCCCTCAAACTAACCCCCAGTCAGCCTCCCAGAACACTCCCGCCTAGACGAGCAAGCCAAACACGTCTCAACAATCATGGACCACCGCATCCTCCACGCGCCCCTCAACCCCAACAAACCCAACACCCGCATCCTCGACATCGGCACCGGCACAGGCTACGTAGCCGACACGCTAGCCCTCCAGAACCGCTCAGCGCAAGTCTACGGCCTCGACCTCTCCCCCGTCCCGCCGCGCTCAGGCCGCACGCCAAACGTGCACTTCGTGCGCGGCAACATTTCCAACCAGCCGCCGTCAAAATGGACCCCGCTGCCCGACGCCGAGACGAAGACCGAGTTCTCCGATTCCTCCTCGGACTCCGGGGCTTCGAATCCAGACTACACCGACAGCGTAGGCGCCGGCGGCCCGCTGTTCCCCCGCGACGAGGAGACCTTCGACCTGCTCTTCTCCCGCTTCCTCGTCGCTGGCATCTCCGATTGGGACGCGTTCATCGAGAAGGAGTACCATCTGCTCAAACGCGGCGGGTGGGCGGAGATCCACGACCTCGACGCAACGGTGTACAACGCGGCCGACGAGCCCATTTCTAACCGCGCAGACTGGCAAGTCCTCCCCGAGCGCGCGGCGGAGAAAGCCGGCCTAGACTTCCAATGTGCATGGCGCGCGGCGGAGCGGATGCGACAGGCGGGTTTCGTAGACGTGGTGCAGAAGGAGTATGCGCTTCCGCTTGGCGGGGAGGGAGAGCGCAGGCCGGATATGAAGGCTGCGGGCGAGTTTTTCGCGCCGACGTTCGCGGAGGTAAGGGAGATGGTTATAAGGCGGTATGTGGATGCGCCGGAGAGAGCGGAGGGGATGGTGAGGAGGATGCGCGAGACGATGATGGCGCCGGAGGCTGGGAGGCATTACAAACTTGTGGTGACGTATGGGCGGAAGCCGTGAGGTGCACTTACTTCCGCTGCTGACGGCCTGGCGCTTCTCTCAACGTTGAATGTGTAGTGTTAGCGAGTTATACATCGAGTCCGCGGCTTGTCCAGACTTATCGCAAGGGAGATGGTCCACCTACGTGGACAATGAGTGATGAGATAACGAGGTTTTGTCAGTCAAAAAGAATTGCATCTGTTGTTTGCCGCTCAATTCATAATTTTGCTCCGATGCTGCGCTATGCTCCTAACCCCCATCTCAGGCCTTCATACTCTTCAAAAATCCATCCAGGTTAAACTCCTCCTCATACTGCCGCTCATCCCACAATTCACTCAACTCATCCAAAATTCCCTTCTTCCCCTTCTCCTTCACATTCCCCTCGGCATCAACCGCATTCTCCGCATCCACGGTCCCCCTCTCCGCGTCCCCGCCCCCAAACGCCCCACCAGAATCCCCGTCCGTGTCTCCCAGACTGAACAAGTCCAGAATCTGATCCGTCTCCATGCTGCCCAGCCCGGCATTCTGCTGGTTGACGACCGTGGACGCAACGTCGATTTTGAAGCGCTGTAGGTTGAGAATCTTCTCCTCGAGCGTGCCGCGCGTCACCAGGCGGTATACATTCACCACCTTCTTTTGTCCGATGCGGTGCGCGCGGTCCATGGCTTGTAGGTCCTTCTGGGGGTTCCAGTCGTGCTCGACGAAGATGACGGTGTCGGCGCCCGTGAGGTTCAGCCCGAGGCCGCCGACGCTGGTGGTGAGGAGTAGGCAGTCGATCGAAGGATCGGAGTTGAAGCGGTTGACGATGTCCTGGCGTTTGGAGGCTTCCACGGAGCCGTCCAGGCGCGCGAACGTAACGGTCGGCAGCATCTTCTTCAGCACCGTGTTCTCCACCATGTCGAGCATCTCGCGCATTTGGCAGAAGATGAGGGCGCGGTGCTGCGAGACGGCTTGATCGGCCGTGGGCACGAGGCCGGACTCGGTGGAGGATTCGACGCCGATGCCGCAGTCGACAAGCAGGTCGCGGAGCGCGGTGAGTTTCGGGGCGTGCTTGGGGTCGCTCACGCTAGACTTGTCGCGGGCGAGGAGGGATTGAATAGCGGCGTATTGCTTGTGGCCCTCCTTCATGACGAGCGCCGGGGAGTTGCAGAGCTTGCGCATGTACTGCAGAGCCTGGAAGATGTGTTGTTTGGCCTCTTTGTCGGCGTTGCCCGCCATTTCCTGCAGCGACTTTGCTTCTTTGCGGCTGAAGTCGTCGAAGAGCTTCTTCTGCAACTCGCTGAGGTCGCAGTAATAGTTTTGCAGAATCTTCGGCGGGAGGTCATTAAGCACCTCCTCCTTCAACCGACGGAGGAGGAATGGCAGCACCTGCTTGTGCAGTGATTCTACCGCCAAAGCGCCTGCCTCTTGCTCTTTCGAAGAAGACTTGGCAAACCGACTGGCCGCGATGGGTTTGGCGAAGCGGTCTTGAAATAGCTTTTCCGTGCCTAAGAAGCCCGGCATGAGGAAATCGAAGAGGGACCACAGCTCAAGGACGTTATTCTGAATGGGGGTGCCGGAGAGGATGAGTCGGTGGTTGCTGATCAGCGTCTTGACCGCTATCGTCACTTTGGCCTTGGGGTTCTTGATCAAATGGCCCTCGTCGAGGACGCAGTAGTTCCAATTGATGGGCAAAAGAATGTCAATGTCATTCCTCGCAATGTCGTAGGAAGTGATGACGATGTCTGCCGTGTTCAACTGAGATCGCACTCTGCCACGCTCGGCAGGCGGTCCAGCATAGGCGACGGCATTCAAAAACGGCGCGTACTGCAGAATCTCTTGCTTCCAGTGTCCGGTGAGTGTCGGGGGGCAAACAATGAGAGAAGGCATTCTGCTCTTATCCGGAGCCTGCGTTTTCGCAAACTCCTCCGCACGCATGTGATGATCACTCGCCACGATGCAAAGCGTTTGCAGCGTCTTCCCCAGTCCCATGTCGTCGCAAAGCACACCATGCAGATTATACTTGTTGAGGAAATGCAGCCAGTTGACACCATCCTGCTGATACGAACGCAGCTCCGCTTTGATCGCGACGGGGATCTGGAAGGGCTCGACTTTTTTGGGATCCAGCATCTGAGCGATGAACTTGCGTTCGCGATCCCGCCCTTCGAGCATGGCTTGTGGCAAGCCAGGTGGGTCGGGGATGCCGGCTTCCAAGGGGACCAACTTAACGAGTGTTGCGAATGCGGTAGTAGCGATCAGTCGCACGCCCGGGTCGGAGTCGCTCATGCGTCCGAGCACGGGCACAAGCAGGAAGATCACGTATGGTAGGACACCGTCGCCCATGACTTGGATGAGGTGGTAGATGCACTCGATCGCTCCTTGCCGGTAGACGACCTCGTGCGCGTTGTTGATGGACGGCAACACCTTCTCCACAAGCATGGTAAATCCTTGGACTGTGATGACGCTGCACACGCTCGCGAAGCACTTCGCCGCGATGTATCTCAACACGGCTAATCGACACTGCAGCGCTTTGGCGATGAAAGGAAGAAGATCGAGCACCCAAGCGTGGAGGCCTGGATCCAGGTTGGCGATGAGCGCACGCAGAGTGGACATGGCATCGACCACTTGTTGACCAGTCGTGCTGGCAGGGTCGGTGATATCGCCTGGCAGCTCATTTGCGAAGCAGTGTCGGATTGGACCCTCAATCACTTCACTCAACGTAGGAACCTTCTTCAACAACTCCGCACCAAACGCCTGGCAAAGCTGTGCCAGGGCATCTCTGGCGCCTCGTCTCGTGATACGGGCAGCCCTCGCCTCCCGCTCGAACTTTGCAGCATCCGGGCGGTCCTGGACGTCTTCATCCTTTTGCAGAGAGAGAATCTCGGCCTCCTTTTTGGCGTTCGGGTGGAATTCGGGCGTCTCACCGGTCTCCATGCAGCAAAACTTGACGAGATTGCCCACCACTTTGTCAACCACTTTATGGCGCTCCAAGGCGACGAGCTGTTGCACAAGCGATGCGATGGCAGTGGCAGACCGATGTTGGAGATCCGAGTTCTCCTCTTCCTTTACACTATCCATGACAGCCTTGATCGTGGCCTGAGGTTTCTTTGGGATCTCACGGAAAGCGACGAGAGCCGCGGCAGCGGACGAACGAATGCGAAGATCGCTCCGACTCTTTGCGTTCTGCGCCTCACGAATGGCAGTCTCGGCGTCCAGCTTGGCGATATTGAGTGCTTCGGCCGCTGCCATCCTTTGCACAGTCGAAAGACCTTTGTTGAGCCGCTCAAAGTCTTCATTGACAATCTTCTCGGCATGTGCAATGGAGAAGGCATTCTTGCCAGCCTCTGGCTCCCCTTGACACACTACGGCCATGATGGGGAGTTTGCTGCCGGAGACATGAGCCTGTTCTTGGAAGGAGTTCATGAGTTGCTGGCACTGCGCCCTGGCGATGCGCAGATAGCTGGTCTGGTCGCTGTAGCATCCCGGTCGCTCATCGTCGACGAGTGGACGTAGTTCGGCAATAGCCTTGCTCGCGAGGGGGTCCGGGGAGGTGAGCAAGGAAGCGTACCCTTCCAGAGCCATCGCTGTGAAGATCTGCGTTGAGGCGTACGTTGACTGCAGCTGGGGCAAAAGGTGTGAGGCAAAGAATGCCAGTCGATCATCTTGCGGCCAGGAAAAGACTGCTTTGCCCAGAGCTCTCGTAGCGAAAATTCGTGACCGGATCATGACATCCGCACCGACAAGGTCAACATCGCCCTGCATGATTGCGGCATCGATGTTGTGTGAGAGCGCCCCGTACGAAGAGGCAATCGGAGCGTCCTTTTTCTCCGATTTCCGCCGTTTCTTGGCCGGCTCATTCCCGTTGATGGGAGATGCGCGACGAACGGAGGTGGAATTGGCAAAGACCTGTCCCGAAGGCTTGAGGAAGAGTGTCGCGTCCATGGGGATGGGGTGGCGGCTGATGCCAATGGGATGGAGAGTGAGTGATATGAGAGGCACTGCATGCGCGGCGAACTCATCTTTGAATCGCTGAACGCCTTGCTGAGTTAGACAATCGACGAGAGCGTCCCACACCTCAAGAGTAAGCCGGGACACGTCCTCTTCCCGTTCCACGAGCAAGTTTTGGTAGACGAGGCGAAGGGCCTTGCCGTTGATCCAGCCTTTCGTGTCCTTGCCCTCGATGTTGATGAATGTGAGCAACGCACGCAAGACGGCGGAGCGCACACTTCTGATTGTGTGTCGAAGGAATGGATAGAGGCGAGGCACGAGCTCGTCAAAAGATTGCTCGGGGTCATCGAGGGCATTCTGCTTCATGGCGTCCAGGACTTCCGGGAAGCTGCAGAGTTTGGCCAGAAGGTCCATGACTGAGCCGGTGCTCGCACTCAGATCATCGCTCAAGCTGGACAAGCACTCCCAGACCACGCTCATGAGGTGAGGAAGCTCGTTCTTTCGCACAGTGACGAATTGCTGGGCGACAGGAATGAGCGTAGCGGCGCTGACGGAGCGGACATCGTCGTCCATGTCGCCCAAACCTTTGATCACACATTCGAGCACACCGTCCATGAGAGATGGATCTTGGAAGACCAAATCAGTCCTCACGGCAACCAGATACCGCAGGCCGATCATCCCGCCGTGACAGGCGTGCCAGATGCGTCTCGAAACTTTCAGATCCTTCTGCATGACGAGACGATAGAGAATGCGATTGGCATCGTGGACGGCGGCGACAGGTAGGTATTGCAGGACGGCACCAAGCACCTGCCCGGCCGTCTCTCGAATTGGTGCCACGGCGGTATCCGAGACGTAGTCGGCGAAGCGATCGAGCATGAAGACGCAGCACAGGCGACAGGACAAATCGTCCAGCCACGCTCGATTGAGCTCGTCATTCTTTGTTCTAGACTTTCCAGCTTGTCGACCCGCTCCCGCGCCATGTACGCGAACGACTTCTCGCAAGCCCATGGCCGCGCCGTGCCGGATTTCCCACTGCGGGTCGAAGAGGTCGACGGTGAGAAATTCGCAGAGCCGGTCGAATGGCCATTCCGTGCCCTCTTCCTCCGCTTCGGTGAGAAGAGTGGACTTTTCCGGGACAGGCATCCCTTTGAACTCCGAGACAATCTTGCTGTCATCGTCACCGTCTTTGCGCTCCAGAGAGAAGTAATCCGCGGATCCGTTCTGATTTGGCTCGTCTTTGATCTCAGCTTTCACCTCTTGTTCAATGGGAGTCTGTGAGACGTTCGTCGTACTGCCCCGTCGCGCCGCAAAGTCGTATTTGAACTTTTTGTTGTCGCGCTTGAGTTCCTCTTTGCGACGGCGCTTGAGCATGTTGAGCTGTCGCTTGCTCATCTCGCCAGCGCTGCCGGTAGGTGTCTGAGCGGCGAAGTCATCGGGAGACTTTGTGAAAGGATCGTCCCGTGGACTTTCCCTATCCGTATTGATGCGTGGAGCGGTTGGGGTGGAGAATGAGTTGGACCTGATGGCGATGTCTTTTTCCGTCACCAGATCCTCTTCGATGTACTCGCCACCCAAGCCGAGGCGTGCGGTGAGCGTTTGCTTCTGATGTGCCAATCTCTCTGACGGATTCAGACCAGCCAATTTGAAGTCATACTGTTTCCCAGCACTACCGAGAAGCTCTTTGCCGTATGTCAAGATGGATTCGACGTCCAAAGTGGCGAGTTGTAGTTGAGCAGGAGCTGACGATGGAGACGGCGCATCTTCCGCTTTCGCCGGTGGCGCCTCGTTGATGTCGTCGAAATCTGCGTTGGGATCATACTTTTCCGCATGCTCGACGATGCCGCCGATTGCCTTTGCTGCAGCAGTCCGGGTGTCCCAGGAGGGCGAGCGCAGGTAAGGAACGACGCGAGTCAAGAGATTGAATAATTCATCCGGATGATTCTTCTGCACATCCGCCAACTGTTGAGCAGCGGTGTTGCGGATGAGTTGGGTACTTCCACTCTCCAGTAAAGTAACCAGGCGGTCAAGTCTGTGCTGAGGGTCAGTAAAGGTGTACAAAGTCACGTGGGATAGATGGCACATACCGTGAGGTCGTCATCGTCGCTCCTCCGCCCGATGGCATGAAGATGCAAGGAAGATGCAACGAGATGAGAGTGAGGAAGGCATCGATGCAGTCACATCAAGGCAGCATCGCGGGCATCATCATGTCGTAATCTGGTCAAACGACACACTGTCGATAGAGAGTGAGTGAGTTGTGAGGCAAGAGCGGATGAGCAAACAGTCACGGACAGCGTAGATTGTAGAATGAGGCAGGAGCGCCGGGGGGCCGAGCGTTTTTGGATGCGACGCGGGCGAGTGAGCGAACGCGGAAGCTCGATTTTATAAGGAAAGCGCGCGCTTTCGCGGCAGGGGGGCGGCGCGAAGCTAAGCTACTTGGGAAGGAGCGAATGGCGAATAAGGCGTAGCTGCGGGCCGAGCGTGTGGAGCTGTGATTCGTGCATCCCATCAGCATCCGCCGCACTATCTTGACAACTGTTCATCAAATTCTAGTGTGTGCCCATCCTGCTGCTCGCAATCGATGGTACACGTCGGGAGAAATCGTCATGAAATTTGACAATGGTGTGGTTTTGCAACCTCCTTCAATCCTGACCGTGGCCAGGCCCGGGTTGCTGCAGATGCCTGATGGACTGCAGCATGAGCGCCTATCGAGTCATTCCGTCTGGCTCGTTTGCCCATAATACAAACACATCACAAATTTCGACCCTGTCCAAAGGCCACAACGTGCACCATTACGACGTGTCTCTTGTCGTACCCGTCCGGCTGTACGACTGCTTCTCATCCTGCAAACCCAGGCACGAACAAACGGGTGCACACGACATGGTATTGTAGGCAGAGATCTGCCTGGTCAGGTCGGGCGGGAATGGTATTCTCAATGTGCATTTTCGATGCTACCTATCGTTGAGGCTAAGCCTCCTCAAAACCGCTCCTGCAACACGCTCCAGAGTTAACCCAATCGGTAAAGGTAAAGTATGCAAACATTCCATCTCGCCCGTCGGGCTTCAGCAGGCTCCCGCAAAAGTGCAGGCATCTGAGCGTTACTCTTGGTCTCGCGGAGGAAGTTTCGACCGCGTCGATTCCCTTGGTCTCCGTTATGATCGCATGATCACCCATGTCGTCCCGCCATAACTGGATCTCCCCGCTCTTTAACGCTGATGTACAAGGCATTAGAGCGGCACTATCTTCCTCGGGGGCGGAGACTCGGCGTTGTCCGGGCGAGTGATATCCTCCAGGATTGCCCGGATAGTCTCGTTCGTCTCGGGGGCGGCTTCGAAGGGACTTGGGCGTCGCAGCGTCACAGCGTCCATGATGGCTTGCAAGCGTATCAACCTCTGGCCCTCTGGCTCCATGCGGCGCTGCACACCATCCTCTCCGAGCCGCATTTCTGAAAAGTTCGCAAGCATGAGAGCGGGGCTTGTGATGGGGTGAGCCTTCAGCATGCTAAGCAAGGCGTAGGCATCGAACCAGCTGTCAACGAGCGGCGTCCCGGTCACGGCTATGCAAGCCTCGAATCGGGCGCGAAACACCTTCACCGTCTTGTATGCCACTCCCTTGTAGTCCCTCAAGTGGTGCGCATCATCGAGGATGAGGTACTTGCCGAACGCTCGAACGCCGCCGACCTTGAACACGTCTGAGAAGAGGGCGACCTGCGGTCTGGGAGGAGCCGTGTCCTTATCCCCACGCGAGTACCGAGCCAGGTCGACCTCGAATTGCACCATGCGTCTGCGCTCGGCGACCAGGTAATCGTACGTCACGATGACCACACGATAGCGAAAGAGATCGAATGGTGTGATGGATTCATCGTTGAGCAACACCGCCGGGAGCATGCCCTGTGTAAGATTGCCATGTCAGCCGGGTACGCAATTGCTTATCAATGCTGCAGATTCTCCTACCTTTTTGAAGCATTTGTTGATCTCATCCATCCAGTGTTGATCGTGATTCGCCGGCACCACTACGACACACGGGCCATCGCCCGGATCGTAGTCCTGGTAGATCGCTAGCAGCACGGATAACGTCTTGCCTGTTCCCGGCGGGTCCGCGAGAATCAGGCCTTTGAACTTGCTTTTCCGACCGTGGATCACCGTCCCGGCTGCTTTGAGCTGAGATGGCATCAAAGCTACCAGATGGTCCAGGAAATTCAACGCCGGAGGCTGTGTGCGCCATGTTAGACCCAGTCCGATAGCACTGAACCGCTCACGCAGTGCTTACGAGTTCGGTCAGCACGGGCGTGGATTCCTCGACGGTCTCCTCCGTGGCGGATCCCTCGTCACCGACGCCGGCCGCGGCCTCATCAGTCGGAACCGCTTCCTCGCACTTGTGCTCTCCACGCTGTTCCGAATCATCGTCACCTCCAACTTCATGCGCATCACCGTTATCGAAGAGGTCGCTGTCTTTCTCTCCCAACACAACATCTGGGCTTCGCTGGTTGGCCGCCATGTTTAGACGCGGTTGAGAGATTACTGTGCTCTGCGTTGCTTTCTGTTCAGCAAGGTGACGGCGTACGAAGACTGATCCTTTGCACTTACCAAGTGACGGCTGGTGTGAAGTGTCGTGAGAGTTGATGCTTGCTTGGAGAAGTGTGGGAGAAGTTGCAAGGCTGCTTCGCTGAACCCTGGGTGTTGTGCGGAAGGGAAAATCTGGTATGAAGTGAGGTTGTTGTTTGTGTGTGACAAGCGGAAGTGAGAAATTTATCAGTGAGTGAGAGCGGCGTTTGTGCATGAGCATGTGATGGCACAAGGAGGCTCGGATTGAATGCGTGCACGTGATCTCCCCTTTCACCCTCACTTCACGCTCACTTCACCTCGCTCAATTGTCCCCTCTCATGAACAACAAAGTGTATACAGGGCACCGCTAAATAACCAAGCCGCCCAGAGTATTACAAACACAGCACCGAGACGCACCCACTCAGTTGAAGTCCTTGTTCCCCTTCGCCCACTCCCGCAGCACATTCTTCCTCAACTTGCCCGTGCTCGTCTTGGGCAACTCGTCCAACACCTCCACCTCCCTCGGCACCATGAAGCGAGAGATAGTACTCTTGTTCTTCGCCCAATCAATCACCGCATCCCCCTTGATCTGCTTGCCCGACTTGACCGTAATGTACGCCTTGGGACATTCGCCCCACTTTTCGTCCTTGACGGCCACCACCGCCGCCTCCAGAATATCCGGATGGGTGACGAGCATCGACTCGACGGCCAGGGAGCTAATATTCTCGCCCCCAGAGATGATGATATCCTTCGCGCGATCGAGAATGCGAATCGCTCCGTCGGGATCCCACACGGCCAAATCGCCCGTGTGCAGCACATTGCCCGCGAACAGCTTGCGCGTCGCCACGGGGTCCTTGTAGTACCCCTTGGCGCAAATGTTGCCGAGGAAGATGATCTCGCCAATCTCCTTGCCGTTCTTCTCCACGTCGATGATCTCGTCCTGGTACTGGTCCTTGTTGCCCGCGTCGTCTTCCTTCGTCTTGATCACGCGCGTCACGTAGTTGGTCACGTGGCTGTGGCCCTGGCGCGCCATGCGCGCGTACATTTCTTTGCTGTCCAGGTCGCGCCATGCGGGCAGGAAGTAGCCTTTGGTGATGGGGCCGTAGGTCTCCGTCAAGCCGTACACGTGCACGGGGTTGAGGTTCAGCTTTTCCATTGTTTCGAAGAGGTGGGCGGTTGGTGGGGAAGCGGCCACGGTCACTCGGACGGCATCTGCAGGGCTATGTCAGCAAGGCTGGTCGCGTGTCAATGTTCATAAGGGCGGGCTTACCAGGCAGTCGCTCCGCATTGGGATCCGCGCACAGCAGTGTATTGACCGTCGGCGCAGCATTGAAATGGCTAATCTTCTCGTTCTTCAACAATCGCCAAATCTCCGGGTAATCGACCTTGCGAATGGTGTAGTGCGTGCCTCGCACCGCCGTCACGGCCCACGGGAACGTCCAGCCCATGGCATGGAACATGGGCAGCGTCCAAAGATAATGGCAGCGATCCGCACCCTTGACGGGCACATTGAGATTGCTCTCGATGATATTCGCCAGCGCGGCCAAGTAAGACGATCGATGCGTATACTCCACGCCCTTTGGCCGAGATGTGGTGCCGGAAGTGTAGCTCAGGGCATTCATGGCCTCTTCATCCGGCGCCTCGTTCTCCAGCCCTACCCATCCCAAGCCACCGTGCTCCTCATCGTACTTGAGCCCCTCCAGCACCACATGATCGTATGGTCCGGAGTCCTGCTCCGTATCCGTGTCGACGATAATCTGCACCTTGGGATGGGACTTGCGGAAGCTCTTGAGCAAATGCTCATACTCCGCATCCACAATAATGCTATCCACCTCGGCGTGGTCAAAGATATACTCGATGTCCTCCGGCTTGAGGCGGTAATTGATCGCCACGTTGACCACCCCCGCGCCGCCAATGCCGAAGATGGCCTCGAGGAAAGCAGGCGTATTGGGCGCGAGGATGCCCACGCGCTTCAGCCCTTTCTTCTTGAGGTAGTACGCCAGCCCGGCTGCGCGTCGCGCCGTCTCGGCGTAGGTGTATTTGACGATTTTGCCATTGGCGGAGGTGTGATAGAGGCAGATGGCGTCGGGCTCGATGGCGGCGGCGCGGGGGAGCCAGTAGGTGGGCGAGAGCTGGTGGATGTTGTGGCGGTGGAAGTGGTCGTTGCCGATGGCCGAATTGGCGAGTTGCGAGGCGAGGGCGGAGAGGCGTTTGAGCGCGGACGACATGGTGGATCGATCTCGGCGCAGAGGAAAGGGTGGAAAAGAGTGGGTGTGGATAGGGGTTGCTGTGCCTTTGCAGGAGGAACGACAATGGCAGGGGAGATGTCAGATGTAATAAGTTATGCGGCGATCGATCGTCCCCCGACGCCAACCACGCCCAAGCTCCCCAGCTTTGCGGAGACGAGCCGAGGGCGCGGGGCGGGCTAAGGTGGCGCGGGCCAGGCCAAAGGAGGCCCAGCTCTTTGCTCCGAATCGTCCCGATCTCCATCCGACTTGGGCTGCGTGGCTGCCTATGCCATGCAAGCCTCAATGAATAGACAGTACATTCGGAACACGCACGTAGGGTGGGGGTGTGTCGGGGAAGACTCAACGTAGTTCAGCCGCTATAGATCATGCCTGCATCTGATGTTACCCCAACAAACTCCTGAATCGCTCGTATGCATCCCGCCGCAGCAAACGTACGCCAATCATAACCAGCGGCCTCATGGCTTCGACACCGCCGCGTCCAACATCCCAAGCACCCTCTGAGTCTCCTTGACCAACTCCTTCCGCCTAGTCCTCGCATCCTCATCCCCCTCCGTCTCCACAGCGTCCAGCTTCAGCTGCACTTGCGTGAAGATCGTCTCTGACAATCGCTTATGCTCGTAATCCCTCTTCGCAGCCTCCGCCGGCGGATTCGCGATGAAAGCATCCACTTCTGTCTGGAACGATGCGAGGGTTTGGTGCAGAGCATTGAGTTTGTCTAAAGGAGTCGCTGGAGTTGGCGGAGGTCGTGGGGATGATTGTCCGGAGGTTTGCTGTTCGCGTCTGTTCTTTCGTTTCGACTTTTTGCCGCGATTCCTTCGCTTCTTCACCACCTCGCCATTGACTACTTCTCCCTCATCGTCGTCATCATCGTCTTCACTGCCAGTGTCATCGCGGGAAGCAGGGGCAGCCTCTACCACGGAGACGAGCAGTTCACACCCATCCTTCAACCCTTCTTGTAAGGCAGTTCGATTGTCGTCCTTCAAATTCTTTCCCTTGTACAGCAGCTTGATTCGACTCGGATCTCCCGCCATCAACTTCTTCGCCGCGGCCTCCCTGACATCCCGTATCTTCAACTCCCCCTTGGCAATACTGTACGCCGGACATTGAACCACATAATCCTGCCTCTTGTTCCGTAGTATCAGCACATCCTCGTCTCGTGGTGGCCCGTAATCGGCGGGACTCTCGCTCTGCGGCCCGTCAGTTACGGCAGAGACGGAGGCAGCTTCATATTTCCGCAGGTCATCGGCGGTGATGTAGCTGAAATCGGAGTCGCTAACCTTCGACGATCCGCTGACGGAGTTTTGAGGGGAGCGCGTGAAGGGGGAGAAGCGGCCGAGATTTCCAAAGCGCGAAGTCCAGGCCATGGTTATGGCGTTGCGGGTGAGGAGGAAGAGGAAGGTGCAGATGGCGAGGAGGATGGAGGTGTTCTCAAGCGCCGAGCGGGTGGAGAGGAAGTCGAAGAAGGTGGCTATGGATGCGGAGATTCTTTCTGGCCAGGTGAGGGGAGGGTCGGGCGGGGCGGTCAGGTTGAGTGCGACGAGGAAGGATTCGAGGCTCTTCGTGGCATTCCCAAGCACTGCCGTTAAAACGTTCGCTGCAGGTTCGCCAAACAGGGACTGTGTAGTCGAGTGGACGGTCTCGAGAAGGTTAGACGACGCCACGATTGCGGAGGCCGTGGTCTTCTGTCTGGGTACTGGCCAAGAGTCTTGACTCTTGAGACGAGGAGTTAGAGGCTGATGGGATGGCGGTTTTCGGGGAGCTGCGATGACGGATGGCGGGCCAGATCGCCGCAGTTCTGCGTGGTTGAAAGTCTGATTATGTAGCTGTCAGACCGTGAGAAGATTTCAGCACGCAAACGCCAAGACCGCACGACATGAATTTGCAGACACACTAACGACACACACTTTGCCAGCGCTTACTTGACGACACACAATTCCATCTTGACAACCCCCATCCCTCCAGTCAAGATGTCTTCCTTCGACCCGGTGGTATGTCTGGTCCCAATCCATGCGCAGGAGGAGAAACATGGGCAGCACGAGCGGTGGGCAGAGCAGTTGCACTGACACTCACTCTTCCTTCAGGTTGTGGTAGACGGCAAAGGGCACCTTCTCGGTCGCCTCGCCAGCACCGTCGCCAAACAGCTCCTCAACGGCCAAAAGATTGTTGTGGTCCGCTGCGAAGCCCTCAACATCTCCGGCGAATTCTTCAGAGCGAAACGTACGCACACCATTCTTCGATCAGACTCTTCCGCCAATCCCCTCCCCGGCTAACACTTCACCAACAGTAAAGTACCAAGCCTTCCTCCGCAAGCAAACCCGCTACAACCCCAAGCGCGGTGGCCCCTGGCATTACCGCAGCCCGGCGAAGATGTTCTGGCGCACCGTCCGCGGCATGCTTCCCCACAAGACCGAGCGTGGCGCCAAAGCCCTCGAGCGTCTGAAGACCTTTGAGGGCATCCCTCCCCCATACGACCACAAGAAGCGGATGGTGGTGCCACAGGCGTTGCGTGTGCTCCGACTGCAACCCGGCAGGAAGTACTGCACGGTGGGCAGGTTGGGACACGAGTTTGGATGGAAGTACAAGGATGTTGTTGAGAGGTATGTCATGTTCAGTGTGTGTCTGGTAGCGGCTTGTCATGCTGACGGTGGAATCACAGACTCGAGGAGAGGAGAAAGGTCAAGAGCCAGGCGTACTACGAGCGCAAGAAGGCCGCTCGCAGGCAACTCACCGACGCGCAGAAGAACGCCAAGGTTGATAAGAAGACCACCGAGCAGCTGGCGGGGTACGGGTACTAGAGTGTGTCTGCTGGAGGGCGTGTGGTTGGGCGGAGAGGATGCTCAGGTGCTAGTATCAAAATTCGCTTTCACTGCCGAAAGCTAGCATAGGTTTCCGTCTGCTATTCACGGCAGCCCGTCGTTCAATGTCATTGAGAAACACCCTGCTGTCTTTTCGTTATTTTGGATCAGCTGCACGTCTTCGAAAGACTACAGTAACAACGCTCTGCCCGGCTTTTCCCCCAAACATGAAGGTCGGGTACTTTGCCTCATCATAAAAAGCCAGCTCTCCGCTACCATCTGGCGCCAACCACCTCACCAACTCATCCCTCGTCCAATTACATGAAGTGATCAGGAGGAATTGACCCGGCCTGACCAGCCTCTCGACTCTATCTCGATACACCTCGCAAGGATGGCTTGAGCCGTCGTCGTGCTGCGCCAGGGAAATCGCATCAAAGGTGCCCTTGTCGAGCACCACGTCAAAGCCGTCCTGGAACCAGTCGCCAGGGTCTTGGGTGAGGAGATCCCACGTTTCAAAACGCAATGCTTCCCCCGTTGTGCTGGTGTCCGCTATCCGTCGAGCGAGCTCAATGCCAGTTTGGCTATAATCCACGCCAACCATCTCCCCCATCCAAGGACCTTCATCTTCATCGTCGTCCTCACGAAGTGAGAAAAGCATATGTCCATTCCCGGTCCCTAGATCCAGAAAGCGCGAAGCCCGCTCTCCCTCTCGACTCAAGAAGCCATGGTCCGCAAGCTTCGCGAGAGTTCTGGTTACGACGCGCTCGGCATTGCTCTCGGAGAACCAGATTGTGCCTTCGTCGTCTTCGTTCTCGGCGTGATTGTGTGATTCTCGTGTATACAGTTCGTCCCAGCTGGGTGTGCACGTTAGCTGAGGTCGTTCGTGGATGGGGGTTGCGCGCTGGGAGTTGGGGCAGATTGGCCGTACATACTACTCTTTTGTGCCCAAGTCACTGGGTTGCAGGGGTTCGTTGGTGTCCATTGGGTGGACCTGCGGTGCTCATACGAAATTGTTCGCCCACCATATTTCTTTCACGTCGTTGAAGCCGTGTAAGTTGCTGCCTCAGGCCGACAGCACATGCCCGCGCTCTACTCATTTCGTTGATTGAAGCCGAAAGCAGTTTAGCGTGCGTCTTCCCACAGTGGCTGCCTGGCTGTGCTCGACCTCGCCCCAAACTTGGTGAGCTTTTGACTCTCGTTTGGACCGGCGAGGAGCGAGCGAGGCGCAGCGATGACGGCTGGGCCGAAAGGCTGCTGAAACTCACTCAGCTCGTAGGTTCCGCAGGTTGGATAATCTCACGTAGGCAGCCATTGTCTTTCTGTTTCCCTTCTCTCTGCTTCCTGTCTTTCCCTATCATCGCCATTTCTATTCAGTCTCATTTACTGTCCAGATGGGCAATCAACCCAGCACCATGAAGACTTACCACAAGGTCGAGCGGGTCATGCCGTACCTGGGTCAGCCCGACGACGGCTCACTGTCGAGTCTCTGGAACGGGCGCGACAAGTTCTTCGCAGACCCCAAAGACCGCGAACAATTCATCTGTACGCTCCTGCACATCACGCACAAAACGCAAATCCAAACTCCAGCTAATCCGAAGACATCACGCAGACTCCTGCATCACCGTCATCGGCCACAACGGCAGCATCGACATCCACGACCACGACTTCCGCCTCCTCTACTCCCGCCGCGGCGCCAGCCAAAACCGCATCGTCGCCCGCCTCGTCGCAGCCAAAGACGGCGTCATCAAGTCGCAGATCGAGCCCGCGAGCGACGGCGGCAACCAAGCAGAGGCGTTCATGGCGTTCCGCCGGCACGTGGAGATGACGCTCGATGGCATCCTGGCTGATGTGCCGGGCTCGTCTTCCGTTTCGAGGTTCGCAGATGCTGGTGCGGGGAGTGGAGTGTTGACGCCTGCTACTACTGTTGCGTCGCCACCTTCGCCGATGATGATTGAGAGGAGACCCGTTGGCGGAGAGGCCGGGACGGAGGGACATAATGGGGCTGCGCCACCTGCATATGGGAAGGCTGTGAAGGAGTGGGAGCTGCAGGAAAAGAAGGGGTGATCTTGATGCGTGCTTGTCATCGCTTTGATCCTTTTCAGTTGGCTGGTCAGCACACGCTGCGGCCGCTGGTTGCCGCGGGGGGGTGTGAGTTCTAGGACTTCAAAGTTTGGGCTACTGTTCAGTGTTTGCGCGCGAGTTACGAATGCAATGGACATGACATATCTCGAGCACGAGCATGTCCTGCACTATGGGTTCATGGCGTTGATACGGGCAATACAGTAAGCAAGGTGGATACTCACCCCTGCACACCGAGAGCGAAGTCCGACGAGGGATCAATAGGCACACCGATAAGCATTCCCCTACCACACCCGAAGGATGCACCAACCCAACGACCCTACATTCTTATACACGAAAAGATCGACGACGTTAAGAACTAAGAAGAAATGGCACATAGTTTAGGCCGTGAATGGTATACCCCAAAAAGGCCTACGAAGAAGAGGATAAAATAACAAGCCTTTCGACCCGCCGATTTCCAGTGCAGAAAAACGACGGTCAAAGCAAGATGAAATAACAGGAGCTGAAGAGGGTCGGTGCAATCCACTCTGTACGGTGTAGCTAGAAGTATGTCTTGTCATTGCTGCCGCAACCCGTAAAGCGAAAACCAGAGCGTGAACCGCGCCGCCCCCGCCCAACCGGCCAGCCTTGTGTATGCTCAGCCTTCTCCACGTCCCCACTCCGCGATCGACGCGCTTGTCGTCGACCCTCACACACAAATCAAAATCGAAAAAGGGTAGTCAGATTAAAGCAATTACCTCCCCAGCCGCGCGTCCCCTCGGAAAGAGATTGGTGGATAGTAAGAAAAGGGAGAACGCCTCTAAAAGTGCCAAGCAGCCAAAGTCATTAGGAGTGGTCGAACGTAAGGCGCGCCCACGGCAGCAGCGACGACGACCGACGCCTTTTCAAAAGGCGCAGCGCGCCGCTGCTGCTGCTGAAAGCGGCCCTGGTGCGGTGGATGACTGAGGCGAGGAGCTTTTTACAAGAAGAGGGCGACGAGCGCGCCGGCGCCCATGAGGAGGCCGGCGGCCTGCACCTTCTCGCCGGCACCGGTGGGAGGAGTCCAGGTGGAGGAGGAGTAGGCGGGCTGCGTGGGGGTCTTGGTCCAGCTGCCGGACGGGGTGGTGCCGGAGGGAGTGGTGGCCCAGGTGCCGGAGGGAGTGGTGCCCCAGGTGCTGTAGGCCGGGTTGGACGGGGTGGTGGCCGGGGTGGACCAGGAGCCGGTGGGGCTGGTGGTCGGGTACTGAGGAGCGCCCCAGGTGGGAGAGGTGACTGGGGTAGAGGGCTGGGAGGGTGTTAGTTTTTGACCTTCGTTGCGCGTCGAGAGGCTGCAAGACTTACGGTGTTGGTCGGGTAGGAAGGCGCACCCCAGCCGCCGGTGGGGTAGCTAGGCGCGCCACCCGACGGGGTGTAGCCGGTGTTGTAGGGCGGGATGCTCTGGGGAGTGTAGGCCGGCTCGGTGGGAGTGTAGGCTGTGGAGCAACCAGGATAAGCGTCGGAGCACGAGGTCACGGTGACGGTGACAAAGGTCACTGGCCACGCTGGGTCAGACGTACCCGGAGAGGATTGAGGGTTGCCGTAGGCGGGACCCTGGGCGAACACGGCGGCGAAGAGGGAGGCGGCGACGACGGCGTACTTCATTTTGACGGTGTTGATTTGGTGTTGGGTTTGGAGGGGTGTTGAAGATTGGGGGAAATGTAAAACTGGAAATACGGAATGTAACGAGTGTGGGTTTGCTGATGCAAAGAGTGGTGAAAGAGAGGACGACCGAAGTCAAGATTATTGATATGTGTGATGTGAGGGAACGAAAGGAAAGAAAGGATGTACAGACGGCGGATTGTTTATAAGAGAGTCGCGGGCCATGGGGGAGGGGAGGTCGAGCGCGAGGCTAGGTGCGTGCTTGGTGCAAGACCATGCGAAATTACACTCGCCGTTATGCTCCACTAGTCGCGGCGATTGGCTCTGTAATCTCTCGATGCCCTCGGACGCTTGAGCGTTGGGGGTTAATCAGACTAGGTTCAGATAGTGCGCGCCCCGTGCCTGGATCTGTCCGCGGAGTACACAGTAGTGGCCGCCAGCGATCAAGCATCGCTTGCCATGGCTAATTAAGCATTGTTGTTGTTGTCGATGACGATGAAATAGTGGTCCGGCAATGTTTGGGCAAAAGTCCCGAAGGATCATGGGAGGGTTGTCCGAGTCCGCGTAGGATGTGGTGCACTCGAGGGCTGGTATACACGGCAGAACGCGCGCGCGCGCGCTCTCGCCGCCTCGTTCGCGAAACGGCCGAATGAATCATGGCGGCCTGTCTTGGTGGACAATGAAACAGACGACGTGCAGGGGTGTTGGATCTCCTGTCTATCAAAAAAACCTTCCCCTGGCTAAGCTTTTAGTCGCGTCGCTGATTGGCTGGCGGCGCAGAGCCCCCAACTTCCTAATTCAGTGCGGGGCTATTGATCGACGCGGTGGTTGGCTGCGGGTATATCGCCCTGTGTATAGCAGCCCTCGATGTTCTTTGGGGCCCGGCCGGTGATTATCTGTCGCGTTCTGTCGACCAGTGCCCGGCGACAGCAGTGGGCTCGGCAAGTTTCTAGACGCACACGTGAACAGATTCGAGCGCCACTGGTGTAGAGACGGCGTACGAGCAGCGCAATGGCAACACGCCACGCGCATTCGCCCTCGCCGACCGCCCTCGATGATTTGAGTACACCCCATCATCTCCTCATCGTCGTTGCTCCCGTGTGGCAGACTCTAGAGCGCGCGGTGCCAACTGCATTCGGGCGCGGCAGCGGAACATCCGTCTGCATTCGGCTGGTGGCTTGCACGTAGTGAGCGCCGTCTCATTTCCGGCCCCTTTGCGCGGGCGCTGGTGGCGAGTGAGGCGTTCATTTCGTCCCGCGGCCCGCTGAAATGATGAAGAGTCTAGAGTCTCTCCCCACGCCACGCCTGCTGTCAATGCTTGACTGCCCCGTGCCAAGCTGCCACCCACCGGGAACGTGCATTGGCTCCATGTGCGTGCTGTCTGTCCCTGCCCCCCGCGCCGCTGTACAATATCCAGATCTTCGCGCCGTCGCCTAGAAGTGGCCTTGAGCGTTGGGCTGTCCCGAGATCGACTGGTTCAATGACCGAATCGTGCAGAGATGTGCTGAGAGATATACTGAAAAGACAGCAAGGGCCGGGCGATCGTGCGATCTGCCCTCCTAGTTCACACGGAGACACGTCCCTGCCCGCATACTTTTGCCTCCGAAACATCAGCCAGCCTTGCGCCGCGAGTCCGTCACATCATCATCAGGAGAAATGTGCTCAACTGCTCGATGCGGTAGCTCTTCACATGCTCCGCGCAGTGACCACGTCCGTGTTTGGACGGCGTTGAAAGTGGGCGACAGATGCAGCCGACAGCACAATCTCGCTATCTGTTAATTACACGCGTTTGCACTCTCACGCCACCCCACCACACGCGGCTCAACTGTCGCGCAGAATACGAGATCCCGCGTTCGTACGTATCGAGGCAATGCATCTAGGGAAAGCGGCCAGCAATTTTCCGCAACACGCGCACACTTGTTGAGCAGGCCATTATTGTAACTGGAGATGGATGCCGGCGTGTGTCTCGGGTCTGTATCGGTGGGAATGCTTTTTCTCCGTCCTGTCTCCTTCCCTGGTTTCGGCATATCCGTGTTGAGAAGTGATGCAGCCCGCAGCTGTCGCCTGTCATTGGGCAATCCACGCCTGTTTCTCAACCTTCTCAGCGGCCCCATGCAATTTTTGGGTCTGAACCTTCCCGATAGAGAGACTCTCTCAGAAGACGACAGATTCGGTCATTCCCACATGGCTTGCCTCACGGATGATGGCAAGAGGCTCTTTGAGCTACCAATGGCTAGGCGGTTATGGTAGCCCCGACGGATGCGCAGGTGCGCGGAGGAAACCAGGAGAAGAAGCAGACGGCGCCGCTCCATGCATCTATAACAGCAGCTGCTGCAGGCCACAGCAGCTTCATCAACCGGGCCCCGCCCTCCCTCACCGCGCGCCGCCGCTGCCCCGCTACCGCCCCAGCAGGAGCCGTGACCGGTGGGTCGCTACAAACCTGACTTGGCCGTCGATCACTAGAACGATGGTTGGTCAGGAGTCGCTCATGTTCTCGACGAGCGTCTGATGGGTCTTGTCATCCCTCGAGCCACATTCGGTCAAGAGTCCCGTCGTAACAGACTCAGTCTTCGTGATCGCATCACGCCAACCCACATCGTTCGACAGTCGTGGTTCACCAGTTGCTTGAAGTCAGAGGCGATAGCTTGGAGAGGCGGCGTTGTTGGTCGAAGAACGTCGAACGAGCCTGGTGCAACTTGGAAGGGACAGAGCCAGAATTGGCGTCGACGTTGTGCAAGACCAGGAGGGCCTTGTGTGCGTTAAGCGTGTTTGAGAGGTAGCAGTATAGTGCAGTACGTCTCGTGAGGCAACTCAACGGCGAGATGATATGTGTAAAAGTGTCCAGGTGACGGCAAGAGGCTTGCGTTAGAGATGCCCTGAGCCTGAGTAGTCGCGGATGCGGATCGAATGCCACCGCAACTTTCCCGAGCGCAAATGCGAGGAAGCAGGTGATGGAATCCTCACACACTCTGTACAAATTCGAGCAGCAGGGGGGTAATCTTCGTAGATTATATCTGTCTTTTGAATGCTCGATAATGTGAAGAATGGAGATGAAGTCGCACCTCAAAGAAAAGCGGAGCCCTCTTCATCCATCTTCTCCCTCCGCCACTCTTCCACTCCGAACCAAGCATGCCTGCAATATGTCGAACAACCAACCCTTCCGATGGCGCACCATCATCGAAGTGGCTGTCATCTCAATAGTCCTCTACATCATCGTCGGCGCCCCCGGCCTGCCCTTCAGCATCTTCAAATCGACGGGCGACAGCGAGCAGAATGTGCCAGCAGCGCGGGCAAAAGTGGAATCGCTCGTGCACCCCGATCCAGGATTGAAGTGTGCTACGCATGACTTTGCCGTCCATCTGCTCGACACGAAGCCGCTAGTAGTGTACATCGAGGGCTTTTTGACGAACGATGAAGCGCAGCATCTCATAGACATCAGGTGAGTACAAGTCTATCACCAACGGATTGCTTTGCCTCCTGCTAAACTATCTGCAGTGCCAACAAATGGCAAGCGTCGACCGTGTTCAACGCCGGCGTGGAAACCCAAGACGACAGCGTGCGCAAGTCGGAAAAGGCGCTCATTGAGAGAGACGAAGTGGTGCAGTGTGTGGAGCAGCGGGCGCTCGCGTTCCAAGGTTGGCCGCGCGATACGTACATCGAGCGCCTGTGGACGCAGCGTTATAATACCAGCGGCCACTACTCGTATCATTACGACTGGGCGAGTGGGAGCAAGTGGTCAAGGAGAGCGAGTACATTCATGGTTTACGTCGGGGATGAGTGTACGGGCGGAGGGGTGAGTTGCGTTGAGTTCTTGATTCGAGGTGGTGACGCTGACTGAATGGTAGACGCATTTTCCAAAACTGCAAATGCCCACGGATGAGCGGTGGTGTCGGTTTGTCGAGTGTGGTGGAGATGGGGACGAGGGCGTCACGTTCAAGGCGAAGAAGGGCAATGCGGTGTTTTGGATGAATTTTGATGCGGATGGGAGAGGGTATGAAGAGACGATTCATGCTGGCATGCCCGTGACGAGTGGGACGAAGGTTGGGCTGAACATCTGGAGTTGGTACCAGCGGAGCTGATGGATAGACCATCCTTTCACCCTGCCTGTAACGGATGACATGGCGAAAGGCTGACTTGGTCACGTGAGCTTGCCTTGTAGTGATCGAGTAGAGCGACGAACAAGAAATGGAGAACAACCGCATCTGATTGGCGTACACATGACACCGTCGCAAATCCCATTCCCTCTAATCCATTCACACGCTTGTCTCACATCGTCGATCGGCAGCGTAGCATGCAAGCACGAGGCCGGCGAGGAGGCTGGGAAGCGGGAAAGTCTAAATCCCAAGGCTCGAGTCGTCAGGTTCCTGCCCGCCTCCGCCTTTGTCTCCGCCTCATCTCATCTCCCTCTCCGCATTCTCCCCCCTCCACCACTCAGGCGCATTGCCAACACCTATCCCCCAACACCCCGCGCATCCCTCTACACCACACAATCCGCGTCGCAAACATGGTCGCCACCCGCAACCACCCCGTCGACTTCGACGAGAATGCCACCGCCTCCCCAGCGCCCACGACCACCAGCTCCCCGCGCAAACGAGCAACGCGCACCTCCAACCACACCGCAGCCTCCACCTCCCCTCCCCCGTCCCCGACAAAAACCCGCCAAGTCACCACCACCTCCACGAGGAGCAGCGCCACCTGGGCCCACACCCCCTCCAACCTCACCCTCATCTGGCTCGCCATCAGCCTCCCCCTCGTCATCTGGGACACAGGCTACGTCCTGCTGCGCCCCTACAGCATGCCCGGCGGCTTCCTGCACAAACCCCTCTGGACACCGTACGACCTGTACGGGCGCGTAGACCACGTGTATGGCTTCAAAGCGTTCGAGGCGCGCTCCGGCTGGACGGCCGCGCAGGGCACCGTCAACGCGCTCGAGACGGCGGTGTACCTCGTCTATCTGTACGTCGTGTTTGCGTATGGGAAGGCGGAGCGGAAGCAGGGGAGTGGGGCGCCGGCCAAGGGGGCGTTGAGTGAGGTTGGTTTGGGGGCGCTGGCGGAGAGGAGGACTCTTTATGGGCGGTTGGCGGCTTGGGCTGTGCTGGTGGGCTTCTCGACGGCGTCGTTGACGTTTTGGAAGACGGTGTTGTATTGGTTGAATGAGGCCTTTTCTGGTGAGTTTCCTTGGTCCTGGATGGGTTGATGATGATTGTTCTAATGTTTGTGGCAGGGTTTGACAACATCGGGCACAACAGCCCTGCGGCTTTGCTCTTCTTGTGGATCATTCCCAAGTGAGTACTTTCTTCACACTCCTAACTATTGGACTCGATACTGACTACTCTCCCAGCGGCGCATGGCTTGTCTTCCCCCTGTACATGATGTACGTCTATGGCAAGGAGATTATCGACGGCCTCGAGACTGCCACGGCGCGGAAAACGAGGTGATCTAGACGCAATATCCTCTCCGTTTGATTCGCGCAATCTTAATTCCAATTCCAATCACTTGAATCGTGTCCCAGTCCACAAGATTCTCAACTCAATACAATGGCTGCCAAACGTGCTGACCCTCCTCCGCCCTGGCCAAGCTCACTGCTGAGTACGGAGCTCACCACTTCCTCTGGCACTGAGCTCGCTGCCGAGAAGAATCTCACCGCCGTCAGAAAGGGAGCCCGCCGTCGTCCGATGTACAGTCGTGTGCAAGCTAGCCATCGGATAGGTATTTTGCGGTATACCACTCATTCTTCGATGTAACCGTCTCACATACAGCGAAAGCTTTGTTTCCATCGAGGGGCAGGTAGTAATTCTTCCTTAGTCGTCTCAGTTTTGAGGTTCCTGCAGAGGCTCTGTCTGCTATCGCCCACTATTTGCAGCGTATGAGTTGCTCTTTGCGAGATGAGGTGACAAGGCTCCGCACGTGACTTGAACTTCACCTCCAAAGCGGAGCTGTGCTTCGCGATTCATCGGCACCTCACACGTCCAAAAACACCAACCATGAACGAACGATGACCACCACCGCGCCCTCTCACCCCGACAGCGCAGCGGAGAGCGCGCCAGCCTCCTCATACGCCTCCTACGTCCCGCACGACCTGAAGTACAGCGCGGAGTTCGAGGACGCCCTCATCGCCGCCGTGCTAGACTCCACCGAACCACCCACCACAGCAGCCAACATCCGCGTAACCCCAAATCCCGAACTCGACTCCAACGTATCCCTCCCCTCTATCCCGGAATCAGACCTTCCCCTCCCCCTCTCCGACCCGCGGCGCACGCACCCTTCCTTCCTCCCCGGCGTCTCCCTCACCCACCCCGCAGGCTACTACGAAGGCGGGCCAGGCCTCGATCCCGACCTCGACACCTTCCCCGAAGACTTCTTCACGCGGCATTCGAGTCTACAGACTACGGCGCAATTGCAACGGGCACTGCAGAAAGAGGTAGGGGAGAATCTGGAATTGCTGAGGGAGAGATTGGGGGCGCGGAGGCGTGCGCGCGAAAAGAATGAGGGCTTGGAGAGGGAGTTGAAGAGTTTGAGAGATCAGCATCATATGGAGCTGAGGATTCATCATCGCATGCGGGAGGAGAAGGCGATGAAGAAGGAGGCGAGGGAGAGCAGGAGGAAGGGTAAGGCGGGATGAGGAGATGTCCACTGGGGATAGGTTTTGGACGACTACACGGCACCGCATGGCTGCTCGATGTGCCAGATATAACGCCCTCCTGCGACTGAGCGTGGATGGTGGTAACGGCACCGACTTACGACATACTCGAGATTGGCCGTGGCGGGCTCTGCAATAACACGGATGATTCACTCCGCAAATCATGAATAGAGAAACATGATACTCTGGGATCCCACATGTTGGAATCCTTAGGAAGGCTCTGCCTCCAAAAACCAATCCTCGTCGCCGTCATTCTTCACCCATCCTCTCAGCGCAAGTCTCCTCGCATCACTCTTCACTCGCTCACGGTCTTCCAAAGTCTCACTCGCCTTCAAATCCTTGTATTGACATCTCTCCAATAGAGAAGATGCCGCAGGTGAGCCAACCATCCTCGCGACCTCATGAGCAGAAGCCCACATGCTCCGTCTAGAAGCCAGGCTTGCACCTTTCGGGTCGTGCAGCTTCCGGCCCTCCAACACACCGTTGATCAACACTTCGTTCTGCCGAGGTGTATACAAGCATGAGCGATTCGATGCCACCGGCTCATCAGCCTCGCCATCCTGAGCCATTAGATCCCGCCTCGAGAACTCAAACTCTCTATCCGTCACATCCACTAGAAAAGGGCGAAAGCTAAGGCCCGAAGCCTTCCACCGGTCTTGCACTCCTGCATTCGCAACAAGTGGCGCCATTCGCCCCGTCTTCCCAAACGCCCGCTCGCATGCAGCAGGCACGTACTCGCTCGCAGGCAGGGTGAGAGTGCGGAGATACACGTCCTCCGGTCTGACCAGCTGCGCAGTGAGAGCGGAGAGCAGACCCGTACATTGTTTCAGAGCGAGTTTGTCGCTGCAGCTTTTGCTAAGAGTCGGCGGAGCATCAGGTCTGCTGGGTTTGCGTCGCACGCGGCCTAGGCGGGAGAAGTGGCCTCTTCCGAGCAATTCTTCATCTGAATTAGACACCTCAGTTGCGTCGTTGGACTCCCACGGCGTGGCGTCTTCTTGCTTCGCCATTGTAAGCTCCATCGATGCGTCGCCGCACGGGGCTTCAGAGCAGTACATGTGGATGGACACATTCGGCTGCAATTCGAATGGTTGCTGCTGCCGAGCATCGCGTCGCCATTGCAGCCATTTACTCCCCTTGCCTAGCGTGCCGGCTGCGAGGTCCGCACATTCATCAACGAGGAAGCGGTTGAATGCGCGGATGGCGAGGATCTCGGCGTGCCAGTCGTGCAGCACGCAGCCGTGGAAAGAAGGTAGTTTGGCGTGCGGATGGCATTTCATGCCTGTTGCAAGAGCCACGCATTCTTGCGATTGATTGCTGTCTTCGTTATCGATCTTGTCTATTACGTTTCCATTAGTCGATGAGATGTAGTTTCACGTCCAATCGTTTTACCTCTCTTCAGCACAATGCCTGCAAGAGGAACCCATTCCCGCCGTAAACCGTCATTTCTGGGCTTGAATCTCTTTGGGAGGCGACGAAAGGTGTTGAGCACGGTATCAGCGATTAGATTGGGCTGTGAGGCCATGTTGATGGTGCCCCGTCAGCGCATATGGGCAAGTCGTTCATGCTGCCTCGAGCCCGTGGGAGTGCCATAAGTCGTGGTGTTGCGACTTCGCCTTCAAACTGCTGACGGTATCTCGCTGCGACATGCATCCAGGAATACGAATGACGCACGTACTACGTAGAGCGATCGTAGCAGAACCCGCTTCACGATTTGATTCTGGTCCACGATAATACTTCCTGGATGAGGGCGACTTCCGCAGGTTGTGCGTGAGCGTCCGCAACAGCCAAGAGCAGCAATATGTCTCAGGATCTATTCTCGTCCTTTCTTGGAGAAAACAGCGCTCCCGATCAACACCATAGTGCGCGGCAGAGCTCACCTTCGGTCGGAGGGACTTTTGGAAATGCTCCTGTGGGTGGCCAGCAGACTTCTCCATGGCCACAACCGAGTCATTCGCAGACACCGGAGCCGGCGGAGGATGACGACGATTTTGGCGACTTCGAAGATGCCTCTGCACCGGCATCTTCTGCTCCGGTATCCAAACCGAACGTTCCAACTTCCCCAGTTCCATCCAAACCCGCTCAACTTGCACGAAAGGCATCATTTCCACCCAAAGCCGCACCCAAAAGAACTACAGCCCCGAAGCCACCGCCGCCTAAGCAAAATGCAAAGCAGAAGGTCGGCCAGCATCCATTCGCCGGCAACATGGACTTACTGTTCGAAGCCGAGGGCGACGACTATGATGCCGGTGCCGACGACTTGGGCGATCTCGCCACCAACCCGGAAGCCGCAATGGCGTATTCCAAGCGCATCATTGCGGAACAGGAAGCCGAACTTGCGAGGAGGAGTCCGGTGTCGCAGTCGACGGGCCAGAGGTCTGCCGCGCCTGTCGCACCTTCTCCAAGCAGGCGAGAAGCTGTCGTATATGTAAATTCTGGCAGGACTTCGAAGCAGAGTGGCCGTGTTACTCCGAGAGATCCGAATGTGCTTTTTGATGCGGACGATGTCAGCGAAGAAGACGACGACGACGACGACGACGACGACGACGACGACGACGACGACGACGACGACGACGACGACGACGACGACTTTGGTGGTTTTGAGTCGGGGAATAACGAAACCTCCAAGGCGGTTGCTACTGAGTCAGAGGCTGGACGATCTTCTGCGCCAATTACAATGCCACCGTTAGATTTACTTGCACTGGAAGACGAACCAGTCAACGGATCACACGAGGAACATTACATCAGAACATCAGCTCCGACACAAAGTCCCCCACAAAAGCGTCCTACCCCAAACTACGCAGACATGGAAGACAACCCCTGGGACGACTTCGAACCCGCAGCACCCACGAGTCCCATCATACCCCCCAACAACCCCATCCCAAAAGCAGAAGAAGCCCTCCCACCCCCAACCAACATTCCCCCACCCGCAGTCCTCATCTCCCTCTTCCCCTCCCTCATGGCAGAAGCAGACGAATCCCTCTTCACCGCCCTCGGCAAAATGGATCTCAAACAAAAGCAAATGCTCCTCGCCCACCCCGCCAGCCATCAATTCCTCAAGGCATATCTGGGCCGGTGCACCGTGATGGCGCACATCATCGCCGGGCGGAAATCCCGGTGGAAGCGAGACAGGTTCCTTTCGCAGAGTATGCGGATTGGACCTGCGGCCGCGGGCGGGAAAGGCGGGATGAAGTTGGCGGGGATTGATAAGGGGGAGGTGGCGAAAGAGGATCGCGAAGTCGTGGATGTGGTGCGATTATGGAGGAATCAAGTCGGCAAGGTGCGCACGGCTGTCTCTGCTGCTTCCGCCGCCCCAGGCTTGCCGAAATTGCCTGCTGTGCCGGAGATTGTGGAGCAGATGGCTGTAAGGGTGGTGAAGGCTGGTGAAGGGGGAATCACTGCCTCACACGCCTGCGCGCTCTGCGGCCTGAAGAGAGAGGAGAGGGTAGCAAAAGTGGACGTCGAGGTGGAGGACAGTTTTGGAGAGTGGTGGGTGGACGGATTGAACATGCATACGACTTGTCGAACCTTTTGGAGGCAGTTTGAGAAGAAGTTGAAGTCAAGATGAGATGAGCCAAAGTAAGACAAGCCCCCGAATAGCGAAACACAATTGATCAAACGCCCCACCCCCCAATATCAGACATCATGCATAGTCTTGAGTACTCAGTCTCGCTCGGGTTCCCCCCACCTAACGATTGGCGTTCTCCTTGTTGAAGTCCGCAAGCACTCCCAGTGCGAGTTGAATAGCTGGAAGGGTGTCGCTTTCAACCCGGTCGATTGGGAGCATCCTGATGCAAGTTCTGATGAAGAATCTGGCGGACTTGTATGGAATCAGGTAGCCCAAGCCGTTGGCACATATCTCATCGTGGATAGCGAGCACTCTGAGCATCGCGTTCTTGTCGTCCGTAGAATCAGCAAGCTGCATAAGGATTAGTGTTGGTTGTGCAAAGTACTCGCGCGATACGCATAAACATACCCCGAATGCCTCCACCAAGTGCATCGCTTCCTCCTTGGAGAAGTTTTCATCGTAGTTACAGAAGCTCTGGAGGGTATGACCGAAGTTTGGACCGGGTTGACCTTCCTTCGAGGGCTGTAGTTCTGAGTCGTCGTCATCGGCCCCCATGTCATCGTTGACAGCTGCTCCTGTCTTGTCCCTAGCCGCCTGCTCCCGAATCCTCGTGAGAACGACCCTTTTCTGTTCCCTGAGGGTCATCTTCGCGGTGAAGCCGTGTCGGAATTCCTGATAGAAGAAGATGTTCGTGTTGGGGATGACACGTGGGAGCAGGTGTCCATTGACGGGCCTGACGCCGACGTAGAACCTCGCTTGAGGAGCAACTGACTCCGTCTCTGGTATGAACACACGCATTGCAGTCGGATCACGGCGCAAGGGACCCCTGGCAGCCCTATCGCTCTCTCTTTTCTTGTCACGAGGCTGGCCTGTGGGGGTGTACTTGTCAGGCTGATTGCCGATGATGATGCCTACTTCGAGGTATCGGTACGTTTCGTCACCCTCGACGAGCTCTCTTGGGTCTGGAAGTTTGGTGATAGTCATGCCCGCGGGGCGGTCTTCGACCGGGTCGTAAGTGATGTTTGTCGTGGCTGTTTGGGACTTGCCCTTGCGCACTTTGCCTTTGTCGGGCTCGGTCCGAAGATAGACGAATTGAAGAGGTTTGCGTCCGTCTGCCTCCACTCTCATCTGCTCCCCGTGGATTGAGGTCGCAATGTCGTCCCAGCCGTTGGCTATAAGGTCTTGCTGGTTCAGGTCTAAGCCTAGAGCTGCCATGGTGGTGTAGTGATGCGGAGCGGGAGAGGGAAGAGACGTTGGTGTTGTGGAAAGTCACAGCTATGTAGAAGATAGCAGAGGGAAGCTGTGTTCAGCATGAAAGAGAGAGGGAAGGTACGTTCGATGGCACCAGGTGAGGGGAGGATGTGCAGAGTGGGTGTAAAGGAGAGAGCAGGGAGGGAAAAGAAGAATTGTGATAAAGTGGTGCTAAATGAAGTGATGGAGTGACATGTGAGAGGGCACATGTTAGAGGACGCGAAGTGAACGGCAAATGAGGGCGAAGTGAGCGAAAGGGTGACATGTGAGAGGGCTGCACGTGAGAGGACGCGAAGTGAACGTCAAGTGAAGGCGAAGTGAGCGAAGGAGTGGTATGTGAGAGGACACACGCGAGAGGATGCGGGGTGAACGGCAAAGCGAGCAAAAAGTATAGGAAAAGTGAGAGCAGAGTGAGAGCAGAGTGAGAGCAGAGTGAGAGCAGAGTGAGAGCAGAGTGAGAGCAGAGTGAGAGCAGAGTGAGGACAAAGTGAGGGCAGCAAAGTGAGCGACAAGTGAAAGCAGCAAAGTGAACAACAACTGAGAGCAAAGTGAACGACAAAATTCAGCGAAGTGAACGACGTCTCAGCAAAGTGAACGACAACTGAGAGCGATATGAACGCGGTCTAACTGTAGCTGAAGCGACTGCGGTAGTTAAGCACAAACCGTAGATGATCACGGACAGTCCGTTCGGGCCAGAGCGAGATGCACTTCGCCGTATATTCGCCAGACCATCGCAAAGAGTTGGACGCGGTCCAAAGGCTTGTGCACATCCTGAAGGAGGCTCTGTCCATGAACAGCCGCAAAATCAGCTAAATAAGGCCAGAATATGGGTCGAGCGCAGCGGAGACATGGAAGTGAGCGATCTCTGAGATGGATGGAAAGAGGCAGGTGATTCCCTCACCACGGCGCATGAGCTGGAAATTGTGGTGTAGCAGTCAAAGTAGAAGGAGGAGCATCTTCTCTTTGTTCCATGGAAGCCTTTGACCTCAGTCGTTTATTGTCGACCGAGTCAAAACCTCTTGTCGTCGACGTCCACGATCAACTTGAAGTGAGGCCGTGAAGTTGCTTACTTAAGCCCGCCGCACGGGACAGGCCGAAGTGAATCCCGCGTTACACCAACGGCAGCGCGTAGGACCGGCGCGCTGACATCAACGGGTGAGAACCTCCAAGCTAAACACACCCTTCACGCCATACCGGAAGTGACGAACGTGATGCAGCGCATTGGCTGGTCATGACATGATGCGATCGCAACTGCTTGCACATCGTATGTGACACAGCAGCTCGCCGAAAGCATCCCCGTCCAACCACTCGAAAGACCTCCACCTCCAACCCAGCTCCGATGGCGGTTCACCCGCCCGGCCGCTCACGCCGCTCCGACTCCATTCAAGTGCACGTGGCACTGGAAGAGCCGCCGCGGAAGAAGCGCAGGTACGTCAGTGAAGTCCCTTTGAGAGGAGGAAGGGGGCGATCAGCAGGGGCGGAGAAGGAGCAGGTCACGAATGAGGTGGACGCCGAGGAGGATTCTGGAGATACAGACGCGCATGCACTGGAGAGAGCAGACACACTGGACTTGGCACAAGCGAACCAGATGCTGGGCGACGACGGCAATACAGCTCCTGCAAGGCGGTCAGCACCCGTTGGTCGCCCAAGACGTGATCGGTCTGGTAGACATGGGCGCCAGCCTGCTACGCCTCGAATGAGATACAGCAATGCTGCTGCCGCTGCGGCGGCCAGTCAAGCTAGCGATTACAAGCCGCGTAAGTGTCTTTGCAGCACCGGCTGCAGTTTGTTAGTATGCTGACATCAGGATAGGAGAGGAGAAGTCGTACACCGAGTTCCACGAGAACCTCGAATTCTACATCGGCCTGCCAATATTCACCGCAGATGAGGTGGACGGCAGGACTACGAAGAAGGATCTCAAAATCACATTGAACGACAGCAAAGGATTGCCAAACGGCGACGTTGAGATGACGGACGCTGATACCGCCGTCGAGCCCGCCGAGAACATCGTGACGCCTGTTAAACGCAAGCCAGGACGACCGCCACGTCGACCAGAATCGATGCTCCATGGCCTGGGCTCTCCACCCGCGCCACGCATCATGCCCCTACCAACACACAACCCGAAAGAGCGACTCAACCTTCCCAAGCCCTCGTTTCGACAATTCAACCATTTCCTCCAGTACGAGGAAGACCAGAAAGAGAACAAGATCAACTACGTCGATCGCGGAATGGCAAACATTGGCTACCAGGAGAGTGATCGGTTTGAGTTGCCCGGCAAAGCGTTGGTCAGGTACAACGAGGCCAACCAAGTTGAGGACGAAGCAGAGGTGTCACTGAGACTGGAAAGCGATGGTCCGGCCGAAGTCATCGCCGGTGTTCAAGTGGTTGGACGAGTGGAATACGACATGGATGAACAGGACGTGGCATGGCTGGAGGAAATCAACGAGCAGCGCAAGACGGAAAGCCTGGAAGCCATCAAGCCGTCGGTCTTTGAGATCACCATGACTCAAATCGAAAAGGAATACCACGCGCTGGAGAAACGCATCCCGAAAGCACAGCCCCGGCACGCTCAAATGCATAGGCCGCGTTCGAGCTCGCAGGCGGCCGTTAACGGCGATCCCAACCCGGCGGGCGATGAGCCAGATAGCAAATGCGCCATTTGCGACGACGGAGATTGCGAGAATGCCAATGCCATCATCTTTTGTGATGGTTGCGACCTGGCCGTTCACCAAGAATGCTACGGCGTTCCCTTCATTCCCGAAGGACAATGGTTCTGCAGAAAATGCAAAGAGATTGGACGAGGCACGCCGACATGCATCTTCTGCCCGAATGTAGACGGAGCGTTCAAGCAGACTAGCACGCTGCGCTGGAGCCATCTGTTATGTGCCATCTGGATTCCGGAGATCACCATCGCCAACATCACGTTCATGGAGCCGATTACCGACATCGACAAAGTCCCCAAAAGCAGATGGAAGCTGCACTGCTACATTTGCAACCAGAAGATGGGCGCGTGCATTCAATGCGGAAACAAGAATTGCTACCAGGCTTTCCACGTTACTTGTGCCCGTAAGGCGAAGCTGTTTCTGAAGATGAAGTCTCCGCATCAGCAAGGTATTGATCAGTCGGCGCTCAAGGCTTTCTGCGACAAACATGTTCCCCCGGATTGGAGGCGAACGCACGACACGGATCATGCGATTGTGGAAGCAAAGCGATGGTACAAGCACGCGATGAAGGACCGCAAGTGGGCCGACAGCCAGAGTGCGGCGCTTGAGCTCGGCGCCCCGCCTCCACCCGACGGAGGACTGTTCATCGAGGACCAGCAGGACGACACAATCGCAGTCACGAAGAAGCGGCGCCAGCCAACGACGAAGATGAATTGGCGTCTACCCTCCGGCGCGCCCGTCATTCCCGCGGTCGTCTTCAACACTGTTGAGGCGAGTCTCGCCCGCTTCTCCGTCCGGAAGCGTAAGGAGTTTGTGGAGAAGGCGTGCCGATATTGGACCCTCAAGCGCGAGGCTCGCCGGGGCGCGGCACTGCTCAAGCGCCTGCAGCTGCAGCTGGAGACGTTTTCCAGCATGGAGATTACGAGACGGAGCTTTGCGAGTATGGGCGCCGCGGGCCGCCCGAGATTGCTTCGACGGATCGAATTTGCAGAGATGCTGCAGGAAGAAATGCGCCATCTGACTCAACTGTGCGCTCAGACGAGGGAGCGCGAGAGCTTGCGGTTGCGGGAGGTCGACGTGCTGAGAGAGCTGGTCGACACTGTTTATTTTCCCATTCCGGCGCTGCTGGTACCGATTATGCAGAAGGCCAGGAAGTAAGTCTTGCGCTTACACCAAATCGGATGTGCTTATACTAATGTGCTTGTCAGGTTGGATGAAAAGACGCTCTACTTCAAAGAAGGCTTCGAAGAGCTTGCGCAGCAAGTGCGCGAGCGCTTCTTCACCTCCGTCTCGGACTTTTCGCAAGAGCTTACGCGAGTGGTCGGGAAACGTCTCGCCTCTGACGCCGTGGCCGACCCGGATCTCGAGACGATGCGCGACCAGCTGAACGAATCGCGAACCTCGGCACACCATCAAACCCTGACGGCAGAACAGAAGGAGATCAAGAAGCTGGCCAAGCGCATCCTCCGCGCCGTTAAGGACCCGCTGGAGGAGGCGATGAGGAAGGAAGCGGATCTCAAAGGCAAGGAGCGGGAGGAGGAGCTGCGCAAGCTCGATTCGATGGGTATCTTTGCTGGGGTGAGCAATCCTCCGGATGGCGATGAGAGTCCTGTGAAGAAGGGGGCGAAACGGCGCTCTGCTTCGGATGTCTCTGCTGCTGCTGGTGCATCGCTCGAAGACGAAGATGTCGAAATGGAAGACGCCGACGACGCGGACGAGGAAGTCATCCATCTCAAGGTCGCGGGCAAGAACGGCACCATTGCCAGCAACACCAAGAAGAAGTCGACACCTGCGCGCGCATCGTCTCGGAATCTGACAGAGGCGCCGATCTCTCCTCCCCTCTCCACCGACGCCGCAGACGTCTTCGCCCACGGCGGCATCCCCTGGTACCTCAAGCCTTTCGACCTCGAAGGCACGACGGTGCACGAAGAGCGCTACACGGGCCGCGAGGTGCTGCGCGCCATGTCGGAGGAGCTGTCTGATATGGATGAAGTCACGCTTACGGAGCTGGGTGTTGTGGGGGCTGGAGATGCGGGTGCGAGTGGTGCTGGCAGTGGGAAGAGACATGCGACGAGGGCGAAGGGGCTTGTGGAGGCTGGGGCGGAGGAAGACGATGAGGATGCTACTCCGGTGCAGAAGAAGGGGAAGAAGAGGGGGAGGAGTAATCAGTGGAGTCGGTCGCGCAGGATCCGATAGGGGAGAGAGTATCGTCTATCGGTATGCAGAGATACTTTCCTGAGTATGCATCGACAAGTGAACCTCGCGCTGGCTGTTTTCCTATCTTCTGTCGCCGCTGGCGAGGCAGATCTCGTCTATACAATCCTCTCTGTCCACTGCCTGAGCTTGCGTCCCGCTGGTCCTCGTGGATTGAAAGTGAGGAGAGACCATTCGACAGGCAAGGCTGGCAGTTTGGGTAAAACTCTCGCATCCGGCGCTTCTTGTCGGCCGTTCTGGCAGATCTCTTCGATGCATTTTCCATCCCCGGCCCGTGACTCTTATTCCAATGCTTTCCTCATTCATTAACCATTCCCGGGAGCTGCCTCATGGGCGATCTTTACCCCATTTCCCCAGTATTTCGGCCCCGCAATGAGATCACCCATGAATTCATCCTCAACTTCCTCAAAACCCCCACCACAGCGATCGACTTCCCTCTACATTATCTCTCCCATTGCCTCCCCCAACACTGGCCAACACAATCTTTCGCACAACCACCCGCCTCCTCGCCAAAATGTCATTCGAAACCAAAGGCACCATCGCCGACTTCGGCGGCAAACTGCTCAAACTCTCGCACCAAGCCAAGAGCACAAACTGCGAAATGAACCTCAACCTCTTCCTCCCGGGCTCCGCCTCCGCCTCCAAGCCCGTACCCGTCCTCTTCTACCTTGCCGGCTTAACGTGCACAGGTGACAACGGCGCGGAGAAGGGCTTCTTCCAGGCCAAAGCGGCGGAGAAGGGGATTGCGGTCGTGTTTCCGGATACCTCGCCCCGTGGGCTCAAGATTGAGGGGGAAGATGAGAGTTATGATTTTGGGAGTGGGGCGGGGTTCTATGTTGATGCTACGAAGGAGCCGTGGAGCAAGGGGTACAAAATGTACAGCTACATTACCGACGAGCTGCCGGCTGCATTGTTCGGACACTTCAAGGAGCTGGACGGCAATCGCGTCAGCATTACGGGCCACAGCATGGGCGGGCACGGGGCGTTGACGCTCTTCCTGAAGAACCCCGGCAAGTACAAGAGCGTGTCGGCGTTTGCGCCGATTTGCAATCCCTCCAACTGCCCGTGGGGCGAGAAGGCCTTCTCGGGCTACTTTGGGGAGGACAAGAAGGACAAGTGGGCGGAGCACGATGCCACCGAGCTGCTGGCCAAGTATCCCGACAACACCGACATCCTCATCGATGTGGGGACGGGCGACAACTTTTACAAGCAGAAGCAGCTGCTGCCGGAGAACTTTGAGAAGGCGGCCAAGGCGGCCGGGAAAGGGGTGAAGGTGAATTACCGCGACGGCTACGACCATAGCTACTTCTTCATCTCCACGTTTGCGAGCGATCATGTGGAGCATGCGGCCAAGTACTTGCTGAAGTAGTAAGTCTGTGCGTTCGATCTGGGGCAACAGTGGTTGGGGTGGACATTGGCTGATATGGCCAGAAAGCGATGACACGACCTCGAGTAAACGGCAGAAATTGTGAATGGGATAGGTATACGTGGATTTGAAGGTTGTGGAAAAGGAGTGTATCTACCGCCGTATCTTCCAGCAAAAGCGCATCGTCTCCTCCAACCTCTCCTCAGCATGGCAAGCAAATACCATTGGCCATTGATACCTTCTCTCTTAAACTGTATTTCTTCGGCCGACATGGAAAGTCATGCCACCCCCTCACACCTTTCTTATACTCCGAGAAGCGGCAAACCCAAGCGCGGCACCGAAAGCGAAGCACGCTTTCGAAGAAGAATGGACAGCGTCTAAAGCGTTCGATCCCAGCGCATCTGTTACGCACAAAGTCCGTCCAATCCCCACCAGCTCCACGACACGCAGATCAAACGTGGTCGAGAACGGCCGGGACGATCTGCACGAGTGAAAGGCAGTGCTGATGGGCTTGCGAGGCAAGCTAATTCATCTCAGCCTTGCGACTCGACGCAAAATCCAAGGTATCGAGATCATCTGGCACCACACCAGAAAGCCCGGGGCCTGCGATCATTACCCTCTTCGCCAGCAAAACGGATTATGGGCATCATCCACGTTATTCGAACAACGCCATCCGCCCTCCCACCACCACGGTCGATGCCATACCACGCACGAGCCCTTGGAGATGAACAGGCGACAGCTCGGCGGAGACGAAGTAGGTATGTCGTGGTGTCCGCTTTGATGACAGCTACCTGATAACGAGATAGGATGATAGTGACACGCTTACTGGGCCGATGAATATTTCGCTGAGCATCGCACTGGGAGTATCTTCAAGGGATCGATGGAGCTCTGCCAATGCTGAGTTGCCGCCATCAGCGACAGTCCCAGCCCCCCCCACTACTCTTTCACACCCTCGACCTCCTCAACACAACGTTGATCATAGGTCCGCGAAGTGAGATGAGGCAGATGGCCTAGCAAGACATCAACCATCTACGACGTTGAACACGACCACACTACGCTCAAATGGATCGATCCCTGCCTTTTTACCCAGTCTGAAGAACCCACTCTACTCCCCAGTTCCGCCCTTTCGTCCGGCCGGTATCATGAGACGAGGCATATGGCCATGCACCTCTTGTGAGAAGCCTACAGTATCAGACACGACCACCTCCGCCAGCTAGATCGATCTCAACCACCTTCATCGGCCTGAAACCATTATCTGCTCCCTAGTACCGCCCTGCTTGCCCGTCTGTGCCCACGAGATGCGGCAGATGGTCAGGCGTCCCTTTGGAAAAGTGCAGAATGGAATACGGTTGGACTGGGTCTAAATGGATCGATCCCGACCTCACTGCCCAGCCTGAAGCGCTCGCTCTACGCCTGAGTACCACTCTCCCTAACCCGTCTATGCCCATGAGAAGATACAGATGGCCAAGCACCTCTTGCAGAATCTACAGGATCGAATACAACCAGCTCCGCTCAGATGGATCGATCCCAACCTCTCCGCCCAATCTGAAGAACACGCTCTGCTCCCTCACACCATCCTCAAGCCCACCTGTGGCGATGGGATGAGGCAGACGGGCGCTCTATGCCATCCACCACGAGGACAAGGTTGGAAACTTCGAGCAGGAGGAAGGTCGTCACGACATGGAAGTGACATGCCTGTCGCCAGCAGAGAGCTTCCCCTCACCTGCAAGGACATTGATCTACCCTCTTTCTCCCTCTCCGAAGGATCTATTCTGCCAGCGCGACCTGCTAGTTCCCCGGTGATCCAGTTGCTAATAGAACACAATCGGACAGCATCTAAACCGCCCCCGTTCCACACCCTTCTCAGCCCATAAACGCACGCAAAACATCTCCAGAATCGTGCGACAAGAGAGCAGCAATACGGAGATCGTATTTCCCAGCCATCAACTTCATTCCCGCACAATGTCATTAGGCCGTAAACAGAATGCCAAACGATATCGAACGTATTCCATCTTCTCCGTCGAAATAGACACATCTCACCTCATCCTCCTCAAACTATGAGCCCACGCAAAGCATGTACAAGACGCGCGACGGATGGATGGAGACGGGGAGAATGTACCCATCAACCGTGTCTTATGCGGAAGACGCGTGTCTCAAAGAGACGGAGCGTAGATTTGACAATGCTTGATGTATTCCAGGCGCTTCGCCCGAATGGATCGATCCCACTCCCTCCTCTAGGCACGAGGGCACGGAGAACGTTCTCACCTTGAGATTACGAGCGGGCGGCGACGGGGAGAGCGAGCCCGCCGACGGTGACTGGCGATGACAAAGTGGAAAAATCGAGTACCCGGACGAGTTGCATTGCATGGGTTATCTAAAACACACGCAAGTCACTCACGCAAAAGCAGAACACCCGCAATGCATTCCATCGTCTACTGCTACTTCTACTCTCCATCAATTTCCACCAATCGCTTATTTCTTGGCACCAGCCTTGACAGCGGCCTGGAGAAAGTAAAGTTAGCAAAAGCTTGGTCTCACTATTGGATGAAACGATTGAACTCACCTTAGTGACCTTTCCGGCGCCCGCTGCCGACTTGGCAACTGACTTAATCACGCCCACAGCGACGGTTTGACGCATGTCACGGACGGCGAAGCGGCCGAGAGGGGGGTAGTCGGTGAAGGCCTCGACGCACATGGGCTTGGAGGGAATCATCTTGACGATGGCGGCATCACCAGACTTGACGAACTTGGGGCCGGACTCGATGGACTTGCCGGTACGACGGTCAATCTTCTCGAGGAGCTCGGAGAACTTGCAGGCAATGTGGGCGGTGTGGCAGTCGAGGACGGGCGCGTAGCCGGCACCGATCTGACCGGGGTGGTTGAGGACGATGACCTGGGCGTTGAAGGAGTCGCAGCCCTTGGGCGGATCGTTTTTGGTGTCACCGGCGACGTTGCCACGACGGATCTCCTTGACGGAGACGTTCTTGACGTTGAAGCCGACGTTGTCACCCGGGGTGCCCTCGGTAAGCTGCTCGTGGTGCATCTCGACGGACTTGACTTCGGTGGTGACACCAGCGGGGGCGAAGGTGACGACCATGCCGGCCTTGATGATACCAGTCTCCACACGGCCGACAGGTACCGTGCCAATACCGCCGATCTTGTAGACATCCTGGAGGGGCAGGCGGAGGGGCTTGTCGGAGGGACGCGACGGGGGGTCGATGGCGTCGATGGCCTCGAGCAGGGTCTTGCCGGTGCTCTTGGTCTTGGTCTCCTTCTCCCAGCCCTTGTACCACGGGCAGTTGGGGGAGGCGTCGATCATGTTGTCGCCGTTGAAGCCGGAGATGGGCACAAAGGGGACGGTCTTGGGGTTGTAGCCGACCTTCTTGATGAAGTTGGACGTCTCCTTGATGATTTCGTTGAAGCGCTCCTCAGACCACTTGGCAGTGTCCATCTTGTTGATGGCGCAGATGAGCTGCTTGACACCGAGGGTGTAGGCGAGCAGGGCGTGCTCACGAGTCTGGCCATCCTTGGAGATACCGGCCTCGAACTCACCAGTGCCGGCGGCAATGATGAGAATGGCGCAGTCGGCCTGGGAGGTACCAGTGATCATGTTCTTGATGAAATCACGATGTCCGGGGGCGTCGATAACAGTCACGTAGTACTTAGGGGTCTCGAACTTCCAGAGGGCGATATCAATGGTGATACCACGCTCACGCTCGGCCTTGAGCTTGTCGAGCACCCATGCGTACTTGAAGGAGCCCTTGCCCAACTCGGCGGCTTCCTGTGAGGCATGTCAGTGGGTGTCAAGGGGTGGTTGAAGTGGATGAGGAATGGAGACGAGAAATGCCAGACGGCTGCCCAAGGAGATATGGTGGAAGTGGTTGGAGTGGAGGGGTGATGTTGGAGAGGGATGCAATTTCGCTGCCCAACGCGCGCCCGAAAGCGGCCAAGTGCAAGATTTCGCACGCCCCAGACCCCGCCAAATTTTTGCCCCTCCAAAAATTGAAGAGCCAAAAACTTTTCGGGAGGAGGTGAAGTAATATGGAAAAGTGTGTCACTGACCTTCTCGAACTTCTCAATGGTACGCTTGTCGATACCACCGCACTTGTAGATCAAGTCTGAGATGAGTGTGAGTGAGGGTCTGGTGTGGAGGGAGGGATGGTGGGGGAATGCTTACGGCCGGTGGTAGTCGACTTGCCGGAGTCGACGTGGCCGATAACGACGACGTTGATATGAGTCTTCTCTTTACTGTGGGTGTTGTCAGTGCCTGCTCTTGCGTGATGTTGATGGAGGCGATGCCCGTAGATGCATACCCCATGTTGGCGGTGTTTGTGGTTGTTTGAACGGTGGTGGTTCTGAAAGTTGGCTTGGAAGTACGGTGACTGCGGCGGGTGGGTTAGTCGATGGTGCTGGCGATGGCGGGGTGATGGATGGGGGTTCTTACTGTGAAAATTACTCAGGTACGTAGCTTGTACGTTGGTATGAGCAGACGGAGAGGAAAAGAGGATGGAGAAGGTGGAATGAAAATTTAAAGTGCGAAGATTGCGCACGGCCCACTTTTGCCCCACCATGGGAAGAAATCAACGCCAGACCGGCTGCACGTGCAAGCAGTGGCAAATTCACATTCACCAGGCAACCAGCTGTATGAGTCTTTATTCACACACGATTTATTCATATATCAGCGTCTATTCATCGCCGATAGAGGGGAGATTTCCCGGGCGGTGGCCAGAGTAAGACACCGTGTCAGCCCCAAAGCGGTCGCCATCAATGCCACATCCCTCTTCCTCCTCTCTCCAGCATGCATCTCACCATGCGCAGCTTCATCAATAATAAGACTAACCCCCTTTCCACTCCCTCCAACAACCCCGCTCTGCCATTCACTATATCGCAGACGCGCCGAAGCCGGCCATCCGTCCACCATCTGTCTCAGCTCGTCCTTCGCCGTCTGTAGTATCTCGTCGTCGCGCGCGGGCACCAAATCCGCGCTCTGCCTCTGCTCAAAGCGTTCAAAGACGTATTCCACCTCAACATCTTCCTGCCCAGCCGAGTCTTGCCGGAGGAAGTGCGAAGGAATCTTGAACTTCACCGTAGGGTCACCGACAAGAGCACCACTCCCAGCAGAAACGGAGTGACGCAGCGTCCGCGTGAAGCGAGCGATTTCTGTATCTTGCTCTGCCTGCTCCCTCTGAGCTGTCAGACTGTGCCATTTCACCAGCTGCAAATCACTCGTGTCATTCAACAGAGGTATGCGATTGAAGGCATGCTGAAACGTAGCCTGCATGCGCGACAAGTGAAGACTTTGCCCGTCGGCGCCATCTGCGTAGTCAAAGTGCAGCTGAATCCGAGGGGTGTGTTGCAGGACTGTCACCCCCGCGCTGGTGAACGGCGACGGGATGAAGTGCGCAACGAGAGTTGGTGATTTCAGGAATGCATCATCGAAAGCGTATTGCTGCGCTTTGGCGGGTTGGAAGTATGAAAGCAGGGTGTTGAGGCCAGGGACTTCATATTGTATAGCCGTCGCCTGGAGTGGTTGGCGCTCCGGTTTGCCGACTTTCTTCTTACCGCGCTGAGCCTGAGTCGGCAGGGGATTGAGGATCTTGCAGAGTTGCAGTTCTTGATTTGGCGCGGTTGCGGCATGTGGACGTTCCCAGTAGCTGCTGTCGGGAATCTTGTCGCCTGGGAGAGCTCTTGTATCGCTTGCACGCACGGCTGTGGCTATATCGTCACACAGCTTCTTCGCATGCGCCCGTATTGGTGCATCTGACACATCCTTCATAGTCCTCGCGACTGCGGTGGGCCGGAAGAACTGAGTACCATGGTGTCGAAACGGCAGATTGGCGGTTGGTTCCACAGCCAGGCCGTCGTGCTGAGTCCACTTCGCCTCGTTCTTTCCCAGACTCAGCGACGTGATTGCGCTCGGGGCATGCAGAGGCAGCCTTGAGAGGAAGAGGCGTTGGGCATATTCTCTCTCCATCTCAGATCGGGCATGTATACGCAACACACGTCCGTCAAAATCCGGTTGGAGAATGCTCGACGAGTGTCGCTCTATCTCTGCGAGGACTGAGGGCGGGAACAGCTGAGCGATGCCCTGTGCCGAATCAGGCTTTTGTGTTTCCAGTATTGACTTGAAGGGTGCAAGACTCAAATCAAGCCTGCCAACGTCCCGCAACCCTGCTTCAATGAGGGTGATAATCTCTTCGGCATCTTGTCGCCGAGCAGTGACGTGCATGAGGCCTTGGTGGATATTCTGGGTGATTCTTGACGCGCGGAGCAACAGTGGCGATTGAATAAGTTGTTCGTATACGAATTGTCCATTTGGAGACGCGCGACTGAAAAGGTAGCGAGATTGCCAGTCCTCCAGCGGCAAAGATATCAGTCCGAGGCGCTGCTCTTCAGCATCTATCCTCACGTTCCAAGCGGCGCGAAGGATCTGGTTGGCTAGATGTTTCATTTTACCCTTTCCCATCTTCCCCTTTGCGATTTCGGTAGATTCTTCCGGTGGGGAAGACATAACAGGACGCCACACTGTCGCTCTTCGACGCGATGTGCTTTCTCGCTCGCCTGCAGTACTATCGACCGGTCGGGTCGCAGCAGCCAAATACGCCGCCAACTGTTTCCTGTTGTAGCCTTTGACCAGCTCCGCCACTAGTCTGTCAAACTCGTGCTGATCCAGTATGCTGAACTGCGGCCGCAGCGCCTCGATGGACTCATTGATCTCCTCTTGAGTAGGCTCCTCTCCAGAAGTCGAAATGCCACTGCTCAAATTCAAAGCAGGCGGGCTTGTAGGTGTAATCTCCGCGCTCTTCGACTTCTTCGCCTCGGGCATGTCGCGCATCACCACCACATCAAAAGGCTGCTGCATCGAGGCAATCTTCAAAGTCTCGGTGGTCTGTCGTTGTCGACGCCCTGGCTGCCCGACCACGCGACCAAGCGGGTATGCAAGGCGGTACCGCGCTCTCCTCCTATCATCGACGGCATTGCTCCTCAAAAAGACCTTGTCTGCGCCGGCGTCGTCTTGCCTGTACCGAGTGCTCGTTTGGAAGCCACGGCGACATTGTGGGGAGTAGTTGACGCGTGTGCGGAGGATGATGTGGCGGAGGTGTTGCTTGAGGCATGACGATGGCATTGCACGCCATGGTACATCGAGCATCGGCGTGGGAGAGATGGAGGATAGCTATGTTTCGTCTTTCGCATTGAATCGAGGTGAACACGGATATAATTTGAGGCTGCAAAACCCCTGGGACGCCATACGTCAAGACTTGACCTCATCATTGATTGATATCTGCGACTTTGTCCATGCGCCAACTTACCCGAACCTCAAGAATGCGTTTGCCGTTGACGAAGCTAAGCAAGAATGCAGCAGCAACAGTGCGATGTAGCATCAACCCGTCAATATCACACGTAAGAAGAAGCTACGCCATCCAAGCAGGCGGCGCCCCCATCGCCGAAGTCTTCAACCAAGGCACGAAATGGCTGCACAAAGAGCGAGCAGCAGCAGACGTCTCAACGAGCCGGCAAGTCGACTATCTCCGCGATGAAGTGGCCTTTCGCCTCTGCGAACGCCTCCTCGACATCAACCGCTCCTTTCCCAACGCGCTGGACTTTGGCGCCAATGCGTGCAACATCGCCCGCGCGCTGACCCGGCCAGACCCCGACATCGACTCGATGAAACCCGTCAAGGATCCCATCGGCCATCGCATCGGCCAACTCACCTGCACCGACACGAGTGAAACGCTGCTCTACCGCGACGCCGACCTCCCCTTCAACAACGACATCCAAATCACGCGCCAAGTGTTGCAGAACCCGGAATACCTCCCCTACGCCCCAGAAACCTTCGACCTCGTCCTCTCCTCCCAATCCCTCCACTGGATCAACGATCTCCCCTCCGTCCTCACGCAAATCAACACCTGCCTCAAACCCGACGCGCCCTTCATAGCCGCCATGAGCGGCGGCGACACGCTCTTCGAACTCCGCGGCTCCCTGCAGCTCGCAGAGCAGGAGCGCCTAGGCGGCATCGGAACGCACACGTCCCCACTCGCCGACGTGCGCGACGTAGGCAACCTGCTGTCGCGCGCGGGCTTCAAACTCCTCACCGTCGACGTGGACGACATCATCGTCGATTACCCGCACATTTTCGCGCTCATGGCGGACTTGCAGGCGATGGGGGAGGGGAATGCGGCGCTGCGCCGCGATGCGACGGGCATTCGGCGGGATGTGTTGTTGGCGACGGAGAGCATTTATCGGGAGATGTATGGGGTGGAGCAGGAGGATGGGACGGTGGTGATTCCCGCGACGTTTCGCACGATTTACATGATTGGGTGGAAGGAGGGAGGCAATACGCCGCAGCCTCTGCAGCGAGGGACGGGCGAGGCGAATTTGACGGATGTGCTTGGGGGAGGCGGGCGGATTGGGTAGGCTGTGGATGATGGACTCAATTGACTGATAAAACTTTCATTTCGTTTCCATAGCTAACAGGGGTATTTCTCTCTCTCCACTCCCCATCTCACTCCCGCCCAACACCTAGTTTGAAATGCTAGCAACGCGCTTGTCATTGCCACCCGGCTGCTTCCACAGACCAAAGAGCTGGATAAGCTCGCGCCAGAACCCAATCGGCTTGTCAATGAACGTCGCCTCGTACGCATCAATTGTCGGCCGCTCCCAAACGAGATCCACCTCCTCCGGCTTGATCCACTTGGTGCGCTTAAACACCTTCCAGAAGATGAAGAGGATGGGGTCGAGGATGACGAGGATGTAGTAGGTGAAGAAGGTGGTAACGGAGAAGCCGCCGAGGAAGGAGCTGTAGCCGAAGGTGATGACGATGATGACTTCGAAGAAGAGGGCGATCCAGGCGGAGTAGGGCTGGAACCAGCCGGTGTAGGGCAGCGTGCGGCGATCGAGGCCTTGCACTTGGCAGGCCTTGTAGAAGCGAATGTAGGTGATGGTGATGACAATGTAGTCGATGATGCCTGAAAGGATGTTAGAAATGTTTCCAAGGGTGTAAGATGGTTGCTAACTCACCTCCGGCGGTCGTAATGTTAATGAGCCAGACCAATGCCTGCTCCGAACCCTTGGAGACGGAGAGGAAGGAAAGGAAGGGGAAGACCATGACGACGAGGAAGCAGAACAATGGAACACCGCGGCGCGTGGTGTAGGCAAGGAAGCGGGGCGCGCGTCCCTCGAGGGCGAGGCCGTAAAGGTTTCGCACGGCGCAGTAGGTGTAAGTGTTGCCGGCAGAGAAGATGGAGGTCAACATGAGCCTGCAGGGAGGTTAGCGATTGACGATAGAAGGCAGAATAGATCAAAACTTACGCATTCACCAAGTCGGGAAGGCCCTTGATGCCCATATGCTGCATGGCAATGACATACGGCGATGCCGCAGCGCTGGAAGCGCCACTTTGAATCCTCGCGATGAAGTCGGGCCAGTTGGAATCACACACAATGCCGACGGCGAGTGCGCCGCCAATGAAGAAGATGCCGAAACGGACGTAGACGGTCTTGAAGGCGGTCTTGATGTAGATGCGCGGGCGACGGGCTTCCGCGGCGACCATGGAGATGTACTCGGGACCGACGATGGTGAAGGAGGCGCTGTAAAGACCGGCCAACCATCCCTGGAATTTTCCAAGACCACCAGCGCTACGGAAAGCCTTGAAGGCGGCGCCGTGTTCCCAGTAGCGGAAGCCGTACGCATCATTTTGAGGGTTGCCGCCGACCATGGTCACAAAGGTGAAGGAGAAGAGCAGGAAGATGAGGAGGACTTTGCCACCGGAAAGCCAGAATTCGGCTTCACCGTAGGCTTTGACGGCGAGGATGTTGATGAGGCTGTGTGCTGTTAGTTGGGCGGTACACGTCAAGGCAGATCTTGACACTTACGCGTAGCAGATGATTATGCCAATGATGACACCAGCTTGAGGGCCGGGGTTTGTCACGCTCTCGCCCCAGTACTCGGCGACTGCGATGAAGGCGGTGATTTCAAAGGGCTGTAGCCAGAGTCAGCAGAAGCGCATGGGCAACGAAAATGCAGTCAACTCACAATAAGCAAAGCCTCGTAAAGGAAAAAGTTCCACCCAGCCATGAATCCAAGGGCATCGTCGACCCAATGGCCGGCAAGACGAATGAAACCACCAGAGACGGGGAAAGCGACGGTCATTTCGGCAACACAGTTGTTGACCAAAGCGACGACACAGGCGTAGAAGGTGTAGGCAATGAAAAGACTGCCGGGGCCACCTTCTTCGAGGGCACCACCAATGGACACGAACAAAGCCGTGCCAATGGAGCCGCCGATGGCGATGAGTTGGATCTGTCGATTGGCGAGATGTCGCTGAAGGCCGTCGGCATTGTCGCTGACTTCGCCTTCCTGCACATCGGGCATCTCAGGCCTGAAGCCATCGGTCACCACCGCCTGGCTGCCGCCCTTCTCTTCTTCGTAGCCCTTCTTCCAGATCGCCATGGTGAGGAGTCCAAGAGGAGCAAAAGGGAAAGTGGAGTGAGAGAGAGAGGATCGCTATGGAAGCGGAGAGGTGGAAGAGAGGAGGGGAGCAAGACGGAGAGGAGGGTGGACCTCGACGGCTTTATCTACTGCCAAGTGGGCATTGGGCCGGGGGTACCATGTGAGGCAGAACGAGGTACCACAGTACAACACCAGCTCCATCCGTATGGCAGACACGGCACGCGGGCTGCCTAGATGCAGGCGATCCTTCCAGACCGTGCGCAGCACTGGGCAAAAAGTCTATCCGCGGCGTGTGTGTCGATAATCTCCTCGCCCTGCATTCGGGAGAAGCGAGAGGGCAGTGACACCTCCAATCACATCGGCGCCATCTCGCTGCCAAACTTTAAGCCAATCCCATTGCGGAAGCTGTGCGGCGGCGATCAGGCGATGGGCTCCGCTTGGGATTCGGGTGAGGCATTTCATCCTTTCTCGCTGGGTAGGATACGGGTGGCGAAGCGTCTTCTTTGCGATTAGCACCCAGCAGGCAAGTCGCACGCTGATCACCCCAACTTCTCTGCCCCAATCCGAGCGGGCCCAAACGTAATGGTCGGCTTGGTCGGTGATTCCAAGTCGCATGAACCGCCTCCACCTCGACGTGTGCCAAGGCCTGACATGCGACCCACATGCTCATGGCCCGCACGTGACTGTTGGTGAATCGGCGCAAAGGCGGATCAGATGAGGAATATCCAGCAGCAACTCCACGCGCATACAGTATCACCTGCACGCGACCATGGCATGGGAATTAAGCCATCTGCCAGTCCGAGACCCCAAATCTCCCCGGCTGTCATCGACCTGGTGCCGCCAGCCAAGAGGGTGGCGTTGGATGCCTGCAGGTCTGTGCGATCTAGATCCACCCAGAGGCTGAAAAATTGCAGGCCGAGGGAAAGTCTAAACGCTCGAGTCTGCTGCGCGATCGGGGCCCAGGCGCGAGGGCCGAGAGCCCAGCCTTCGTCGCCGCCTCGTGCCGCCTTCTGCAGGCGACCGGCGCCTTTTGCCTTCGATGCCGCGATTGGCCGAGCACGAGTCCAGATCTTTCAACGCTCCCCCAACCCGGTCGGCAGCTGCTTTGCTTCTTTGGCAAGGCGACATTTTTGCCGAGAGATCGCCGGCATGTGATGCCTGGCCTGACCTCGCGCGAAGGCAGCCACCTTCATCCGCCTTTTGTCCGCCTGATTGCTGTCGTTGAGGGGAATAATAAAGGCAAGGCCTGTCTGCTTCTTGTAGCTCTAACGTTATCCCCGGGAAGAGCTCTTTTCACATCCTGGGTCAGCGTCGGTGTGATAGTGCTCGCGTCAAGCACCGACGTGATGGTGGCTCGCTGCCTGGGTAATGGTGCTCGCATCTTGAGTGAGCGTCGATGTGATGGTGCTCGCATCCTGAGTAAGTGTAGAAATCGAAGTAACGAATGCCATCAACGTCTTAGCCCCATCAGCAGCAGTGACAGTGAAGTGACCGTGCTCGCATCCTGGGTCAGCGTCGAAGTGATTGTGCTCGCATCCTGGGTCAGCGTCAAGGTGAGTGTGCTCGCGTCTTAAAGTAAGCGTCGAGATAATGGTGCTCGCAGACTCGGTGCTCGCGCCTTGAGTAAGCGTGGAGAATACGGTGTTCGCGTCTTGAGTAAGCGTGGAGAATACGGTGTTCGCGTCTTGAGTAGGCGTGGAGAATACGGTGTTCGCAGACTCGGTAACGGTGCTCGCGTCCTGAGTAATCGTCGCAGTGATTGTGCTCGCATCCTTGCTATTGGCTCTGAAGATTGCAAGATTCTCATTCGCTTCCATCACTTTTCTTTACATCTGCAGGTATTTCCAGATGGGTGCCATCACAATCTACGATTCCTTCTTGCGGGTCCATGTCCAATACATCGTACTCGCTGCCCGATGCTTATGCACTTGTACAAATTCTTTCTAAGCCTACGACGTTACACCGACTCAACTCGCGCAGATGGATCGAGCCCAGGTAGTATTGTCGTGTGCGCTCTCATTGCCTCAATTTCTCATTGCTCTTCCTCCTCTTCTTCACCCGTGTCAAACTCACAGCAAAGATGCGTCTGGTCGGCAGCCTCCTCACCCTCGCCACGCTCTGGCTCTTGGTAGCCGGAGAGGGCAGCAGTGCAGCGGCGCGCCTGCAAAAGTTGAGACAACAGCGTGAGGATCGGCTTCGTGAGCATTTCAAACGCCATCAAGTGCAAACGCCATCCGCACCGGTCCTGGAGAAGCGTGCATCACCGTTCCTGAACTCCAAATCAGAGCAGTTCGAGGTGAATGGCAGTGCGTTGCCCGACGTCGATTTTGATGTCGGAGAGAGCTACGCCGGCCTGCTACCCATCTCCGACCATCCCGACGAAACCCGCCAGCTGTACTTTTGGTTTTTCCCCTCCATCAACCAGACGGTCTCGCAAAATGAAATCACCATCTGGCTGCAAGGTGGGCCAGGCTCTGCATCCACCGGCGGACTGCTCCTCGAAAATGGCCCCCTCCTCTCCCAACCGGGCACGGTCAAGCCATACCCCAACGCCTTTTCGTGGAATAACCTCACCAACATCGTGTGGGTGGACCAGCCTGTCGGCACGGGCTTCTCAGTGGGCACACCCAACGTGACCAACGACTACCAAGTCGCCGACCAGTTCATGGGCTTCTTCAAGAACTTCATCGACACCTTTGCCATGCAAGGCTACAAAGTGTACCTGACCGGCGAGTCGTTTGCAGGCTACTACATCCCGTACATCGCGAACGGTTTCATCGAAGCGAACGACACCGAGTACTTCAACTTCAAGGGCGCCGCCATCAACGACCCGATCATCGGAAATACAGTCATTCAGTTCCAAAGCGTGGCAATGCAGTATGTCAATACCTGGGCCAACGTGTTTGGCTTCACTCCCGCCGTCCTGGCAAGCCTCAACGCGCAGAATGAAAAGTGCGGCTACGCGGACTATGTCAACAAGTACCTCACCTTCCCACCCCCTCCAGCACCCTTCCCGGGGCCTTTTGGGAACAAGGCTTTCGGGGAGACGGGGCCGAACGACTGCAACATCCAAGACGACATTCTCAACGCAGTGTCCCTGCTGAACCCCTGCTTCAACGAAGACCACATCTTCGACACCTGCCCAATTCCATACACCCTACTTGGTGCCGGCTTCCTGGCAGACTTCAACCCTTCGGGGCCAGCAGTGTGGTACAATCGACCCGACGTCAAAGCCGCGCTGCACGCCCCCAACATAACATGGGAGTTTATTACCAGCAACAATATCTACGTAGGCCCCAACACCACGTTCGAACTGCAAGACGGCGACGACTCGTTCCCGCCCGCTCAAATTGGAATCGTCAGTCGCATGATCGAAGCAACAAACAACATCATCGTCGGCGTAGGCGGACTGGACTTCCAGCTGCCAGCCAATGGGACACTCCTCGTCTTCCAAAACATGACGTGGAACGGCGGACAAGGCTTCTCAGCCTTCCCGAATGAGACCCTCTTCGTCCCGAACTACCCGCAAGGCGTCGACGGCCAGCTGACCGGCGTGGGCGACATGGGCACCTGGACTTCCGAGCGCGGCTTCACGTTCTACATCAGCCATTGGGCAGGCCATGAAGACCCCTGGTACACTCCCGGCGTCGCCTATCGCGTGGTGCAGACGATGTTGGGTCGCATACCCAATCTCAGCGATAAGGGAGACTTTTAGTCGGATTTATCGAGCCTACGAGCCAGTGTGCTTCTTATCGAGGCGGGAGGGCGGATCAAGACGCACTTCTCGGCGCCGGTGCAGCGGAGAGTGGAGACGACGACGTTACCATCGTGTGATTCGAGCGGTGGGATCTGCGGAGAGTCGCTCACCTGGCTCGTAGATAGAGGCTCGTGAGATATCTTGCCCAATTCGAGTAATGTAGTCCTAGCAGCACACTCGGCTAGCCTCACGTGATATGCAGCAGGTCTAACCGTGCCAATTTCCCCGCACGAGGCCCCACTGTCCTGTGCTTGGGCGACAACCGGGCATGCTTCATCCACCCGGGGTATACTGCCCTCATAGTTCCAATGATTCCCTAGCATGTACCACGTGATAGCCTGCTCATGTATTCCATATCATCGCCGGTCAAAAAATATGGGTGACGTCAGAGCAGCCTTCGCGCACGTGAAGATTTTGCCAAGTCCGGGGCAAGGCGGGCCAGCTGATTGGTCAGCCTCGCCCCTCTCTTGAACCTTAATTACATGATATCGGCTTTTGCCAATATCGGTACATAGCCGCGGCAAAAAATGCACGTATCGGTGCAAGCATTGCTCCAATTGGCTTACTCCCCATCTGGGAATCGAACCCAGGTCTCCCGCGCTTGTTATTTGCAATGACAAGCGGAAATCATCTAATATTTTTTAGCATTTGATTCAGTGAACTCCGGTGAGTCCGTAAGAACTTACGACCACTAGACCAATGAGGACCTTGATTTGATGTGAGCCAGTGATCAGTAATTGTATATATTACCCCGGTACCCTACTCTCGATGCCGCCCGGGCTGGGCTGATGATCGTTCTGTCGTGCGTACGGGCTATTGCTGTTTGACTTGTTGCAAAAGCTCGACTTCGCATCAGACTCGGCGGCTATGGATTCTTACGGACTCACCGGAATTCACTGAATCAAATGACACGGTGGAATAAATTATTCGACGCGACAAGGACTCGGGAAAACTCATTTGCGGTCAAGACTGGAGATGTGCGAGTCTGTCCTCGTGGATTGAGGCCGTGTGGTGACGATGAAGGAATAGAGGACGGCCAAGCCAAGGATAAATCATGGCGAGAGGTGGCGGATGAGAATCTAACAGCAAATGGAAGCTCTTGTTATGAAGGAATTTATTCGGCGGCCGTTGTCGAACTCAGCATGAATTTACAAGCGGCGGAGCAAGGCTGTCGCAGAAGACAAAGACCGCGAAGTGCCCACGACGGAAGAGAGCACCAGCAGGCAATCAATAGATTTTGACGAGAGGCAGCCGATGAGAACACAATGGCAGATCGGAGCCTCATTGTTGTTAACATATCTATTCAAAGGTCGTTGTCGAACTCCAGATAACTTCATGAGCGGTGGAGCAAGGCTGTCCCCGAAGACGGGGACAGCGTGGTGGCCATGAGGGGACAGATGGTGGAACAGGCAGTGAATAAATCATGGCGAGAGGTGGGATATGAGCATCTAATTGGAAATGAGAGCTGCAGTTTCGTACGAATTCCATTCAACCGGCGTGCCGAATTCTATGAAGTTCATCCCTTCCGCCCCGATCTAGAACTACTCCAACTCCTCGAGCACGAGCCTGTGCATGTCGATGCTCGAAGGTCCCACCCCCTTCTTACACGCATCAGCGACGTAAGGCGCAGCAACCAGCGCCTTCATCGCGCGCTCAAAGAACTCCCCCGACATCATCCTCTTCAGCCCACCAGAACTCGCCCCAGCTGGAGCATCCATGAAAGTCGGACCACCCAACTTCTGCGTGTTCGTCCACGAGCATGGCAGCCCGGCGTTCACGCATTCCTGGCACCGATTGACGCTCCCCACCTGCTGGCAGTCGCAGTCTGCATCTCCGAGCACCGTCTTGATCAAGAAGCAGCGGTCGCAGTCTCGGCGGTTCTTGATCTCGGCTTGCAGCGTGCGAATGGCTTGCTTGGATACACCCTGCATGCGCTTTTCTCCCCAGATGGGCAGCTTGTCAACCCACCCCCAAGTCAGACTGCGCCATGCTCCGTTGACGTTCTCGAGGCCTAGATCTCTCATGCGTTTGGCCGGGACCTCGAGGCTGAATCTGGGGCCGATGAGTTTGGCCAGCGGTTTGTCGGACCGAGTTGCAATGATTTCTTGGTTGAAGGCATCGGTCTTGATCTGGACTTGACGGGTGAAAATGGGTGCGCCAACCCACTCTTGCACCTCTGGATACTTGGCGTTCATGAGGTTCATGAACAGCAGGGTACCACGGCGGTACTTGTCCGATCCACCAGGCGCAGCGTGCGCATACTCGTCCTCGGCGCTCATCTGGAGGTATCGGAAGTTCATTGTCTCGTCATCTTTGCCTTTCCAGAGCATCTTCACGGCGATGGCGTTGACGTCTTCCCAGTTCGACCAGCATCCAAACTCGGAAAGGCGGAAGAAGGAGGCCGGATGCTTGGTGTCTTTCATGACTTCGAAGACGATGAAGAAGTTGTCGCCGGCGGCCGGGCGCTGATCTGCTGCTTCGCCTTTTGGAACGGGCCACTTGATGCTAATGTTGGCGGTGAGGGGTAGGAGATGGATGTGAGTGATCTTCGCAGTGTCCCCCATCACCTGGGCGCTGCGGTAGAAGAAGAAGCGATCTGAGATTTCGCCGCGGGAGAGGAGCGGCTTTTCGATGGCGGTAGACGTGCTCAAAGCGGCCATTGACGTTGTGACATCCGGGTCAGGCTCGTACTTGACGTCCCATTTACCCCCGAGGGCTGGACCGATTTCGACGGCGGAAAGTCGAGCCGTAATGCGGGGGGCGTTTAAACGGGCGCGCAGAGCCAATGTGGCGATGCCATCGCCAGGTGAGTACTGTTCGATAGTACCTGTCTCTCCTTCGCCGACTGTTATGCTAGGTTCGTTGATGGCAGAGAAGCGCTTTCGCGCTTTGAATGTGCGATTCACGACATCGCCGGGCTGTGGACGATCGGCCATGGTCGTCGAACGGAAATGGGGAAGGGCGGAGGTGGATAATTTTGATGAAGACGTTGAGGAAGGCAAAGGATGCAAATGTAATGCGAGTGAACTGAGCGATGTAAGGTGAAGAGGTTGAGGAAGAAGAAGAAGAAGATGAAGATGAGAAATGAAGCAGATTTTGGGCGAATGAACTGAGCGGGGTGTCGGTGTGACGATTGTGGCGGCCTTGTTGTGAGGGACAATAGGAAGGAAGTGAATGTGAGGTTGCAGCTGATTGACGCTGGGTGCTACATTCACTTACACGTGAAGTCACTACGATGCCCACCTGGGGTCTCGGATTTTCTACCGAAGATGATGCAGCCCGGGGGAGCAACGGTCGTAGCACCGAGTCCGACCATGCATGATTCTGGGTGGAATGTACACGGTGGTGAGTTTTGGGCTTGTGCTTTACCCATGTTCACGTGACAATTGGTCCGAGGTTTCAGCGTTGTGATGTGCTGACTGCCTCATCCCAGTGTAGTGATGATGGAAGAGGAAGTCCGTGGAAAGCAAGGTGGATTTCGAGAGCGCGAAGAAGAATGGAGATTGGACCATTTGAGCGAAGGGTTGTCTCGGAATTCTCTGGTTGTATCGCACTGAAGAGGACTGGCGCAGGACGGTATGTTGTAGCTGCGTGGGCTGGCCGTGTTACCCCCCATTAAGGCGGAGTGTTGTCTCGGTATTTACCAGTTCTTTGCGACACGAGGACACCTAGCGCAGAGCAAGATGTTGTCGCTGTGGTTGGCTGACTGCCTCCTCCCGGTGCGAAAATGGAGGAAGAGGCCGTCGGTGGAGAGCATAGCTACTTTTGGAGAGTGTGATGAGGAATGGAGATTCATGATTTGGGCTGAATTTCTTGCTCTCTTCTTCGTGAAGTGAAGTCCAAGTGGGGCCGTGGATGATTGCCTGAGGCTCAAGTCCAAAAGTCCGAAATCGAAGCACGAGACTTGCACTGTCCCTTCATATCACCCACCAATATTGTGACTCGCAGTACTGAACGCCCAGAGCCGCTTATCCACACCCTCTCAAGCTCCCATTATCTTCATTCACCCCTGCCGGAAGTGTCCCCGAGCGTTGGAGATCATTTTGACTCACTGAGATCTGCCCACATCAACACCCCTCGACTCATGGCACAATAGCTCTTGCAGCAACGCTGCAGCGTGCAATCACGCTGCCATGTCCCGACCCTCAAACCCCTTCACACCCCTCGAACGTCCATCCACTCAACATGGACGCCCAAATAGAGTCCGCCATCGAACTCGCCTTCAACCCCACCACCAATCAAGCCCTCAAAGCACAAGCATACCAGTTCCTCGACACTCTCCGCTCAGATGACAATGGCTGGCAAGTCTGTCTCACCCTCTTCACCCGCACACAACCCCTCCCCTCCGAGGTTTCTCGCCTCGTGAGTCTGGAGATTGTCAACAATGCCGTACAGATGAAGAGACTCAGTCCATACAATCTCGCAATCACCAAGGACAGCTTGATGGGTTTCATTCGCCAGCGATACGTCGACCCGGATCCGGCAAGAGCAGACAGTCCAGCAATTCAGAACAAGCTCACCCAGACCTTGACCTACCTCTTCACCGCCCTCTACCCCGATGAGTGGCCCAGTTTCTTCGACGACTTCAAGAGCTTGACAGGGGAAGGCAATAGCAATCCCGTCGCTACAATGTTGTATCTGCGAATAATTGGCTCCGTCCACGATGAGATCGCCGACGTCATGATTCCACGCTCTTCGGAGGAGCAGAAGAGGAGCTCACAGCTCAAGGATTTTGTCCGCGCAAGAGACGTTAGCAAGATTGCAGTCACATGGCAGGAAATTCTCTCGCGCTGGCGGCAGATCGATTTAACCATTGTTGAGCTTTGCTTGCGGACAATTGCAAAATGGGTGTCGTGGGTTGACATTGGCGTGGTGATCAATCAAAGCATACAAACTGCGCTGCTGGACCTTGCCGGCCAGCAAGGCGACTTCACCTCCGAGACAAAAGAGGCACAGGCCCGAGATGCTGCTATTGACACATTCACGGAGACTGTGGGGAAGAAGATGGGTGCCAGCGACAAGATTGAACTGATTCGTTACCTGAACCTGTCGGCGATTGTCGGGCAGCTTGTTGCAAGCCGAGCGCTCAGTGAATTGAGAAGTACAAGCAACTACGACACCGATCTTGCCGAGACAGTGGCGAAGCTGGTCAACAACGTGGTGTTTGACCTCGTCAAAAGCATCGAATCGGACCAGGTGAACGGGCAGACGATGCAGCAGGCTAACCAGCTTCTGCAGACATTTGTCCCGTACCTCCTGCGGTTCTTTGAGGATGAATATGACGAGATCTGCTCCGCTGTCATCCCATCGCTCACCGATCTTCTCACAATGTTCAGACGGAACGTCAAAGCCCGGGGTGGTCTACCGTCCGAGCACGCGGACATGCTTCGGCCAATTCTCAACGCCATCATTGCCAAGATGAAGTACGATGAGACTGCAGCATGGGGCGAAGAGGATGAAGCGACCGACGAAGCAGAGTTTCAGGAGTTGCGGAAGAGGCTCTATGTTTTGCAGCAGACGGTCGCTGCCGTGGACGAAAGGCTGTATGTGGACGTTCTCACGCAAGTCATTGGCACTACCTTTTCGCGACTCAACGCAGCCGACAGCACATCCAAGCCAAACTGGAGAGACCTTGACTTGGCACTGCACGAGATGTATCTGTTTGGAGAACTGGCCGTCAAAAACGGCGGGCTCTACCAAAAGAGCTCACCAAGTTCGGAGGCCTCACACCGCCTCCTCGACATGATGGCGACCATGGTTGATGCTGATCTCGCCTCGCACCCTCACCCAGCCATTCAGCTACAGTTCATGGAGATTTGCGTACGATACGTGCAATTCTTTGAACACAATTCGGCCGCCGTGCCGAAAGTGCTCGAGACCTTTGTCCGCTTCATCCATTCCGATCACCCGAAGATCCGCCTCAGGAGCTGGTACTTATTCCAAAGATTCGTGCGGCACTTGCGGTCGCAGCTGGGGAACGTGGCATCCAACGTAGTGGGGGCCGTCAGCGATTTACTAGCCGTCAAAGCCGAGCTACCAAAAGAGAGCGAAGACGATGAAGGCAGCTCGGATGACAACGGACAGAGTGCTGATGCAGCATTTACCAGCCAACTCTACCTCTTCGAGGCGGTAGGCTGTGTCGCCAGTACATCTGCAGTACCTCTCCAAACTCGAGTCGCGATTGCAAAGAGTGTCTTGGAACCACTGGCGTCCGATCTGCAACAGCACCTGCCAGCTGCGAAAGGCGGGAACGCCCGGGCTATCCTCCAAGTCCATCATGTTGTCATGGCCATTGGCACCCTGGCTAACGGCTTCTCGGACTGGATGCCTGCCGCCACCTCCGGTAGCCCTCCACCGACCGAAGTGAGCATGGAGTTCGTGGGTGCAAGCGAGGCGGTCCTCGTCGCGCTTGAGGCACTAAAGGAGAATGCCGACATTCGAACCGCTGCTCGCCATGCCTTCTCCCGCCTTCTCGGCGTGCTAGGCTCGCATATTTTACCACAGCTGCCCAGATGGATCGATGGACTCCTGTCGGCTGCTAGCTTCAACGATGAAATGGCCATGTTTCTCCGCACGCTGGCTCAAGTGGTGTACGGGTTCAAGTCGGAAATCTTCTCCATCCTCGACACTCTGCTGTCCCCACTTCTTCGCCGTGTCTTCACGGGTCTCAGCAGTCCAGTGACCGGCACAGACGATGAGATTCAATTGCGAGAGTTGAGGCTACAATATCTCAACTTCATCCTCGTCATCCTCAACAACGACCTCGGCTCTACACTCATCAGTCCCACGAACCAAGGCATTTTCGACTCCTTCATCGCCACCATGTCCCGCTCCGCCACCACCCCTTCAGACCCGCAGTCCGCCCGTCTAGCTTTCTCAGCACTAACCCGCATGAGCACCATCTGGGGCGGACCAGACATCGCCCCCTTCTCCGACACAGCACCCGCCCCCGACCTTCCAGGCTTCGATACATTCATCCTCTCCCAGCTCTCCCCTCTCCCCTGGAGACTGATAGCCAGTCCCGGGTTCAACGCCAGCGACGCACAGATGCGCAGCGTCGTGCAGGAAGCCGGTGCACTGCAGTGGACGATCTTGCGCAAGGCGGGCGCCCAGTACCAGCGGCAGCTGGAAGGCGAGCTCCGGAATTTGGGTGCCAGTGACGAGGGCGTGCGCTCGTTTTTCGAGAGTATCAGTGGGGATGTGGTGGGCTTTAGGAAGTTTTTCGCCACTTTCGTGCAGCAAGCCAAGCGATGAGGGAAGGTGGAGGCTTGAGGATCGTGATGTGTGGGAAGCGAGGGCGGCAAGCTTGCGTTCCAAGATACCCGGGTTGGTGTTGCTCTTAGTTGAATCGACTTCACGCATAGGTTCAATCTGATATTGGGCCTATCGAACGACTCTCAGTCTGCAGTCGGCGTGCCTCATTGGCAATCCTGACAGTCGTCTGCGGTCTTCTTCTCGGGCTCAGCGACGTCTTTCGCTTCAGTTTTCTTTTGGGCGGCGTCCGAAGCGGCCTTGCGTGATGCTGTGTCCGAGTGGCCCAGATTCTTCTCTGGTTGGATGAAGTCGCGGATCTTTTGCTTCAGGACCTGAGGTGAAGGGTTCTTGAAGTCAGCTTTGAGAGATAACAGTAAGTTGGACGATGCTAGGACATGTGCCACGCACTTTAGTCTCCGGAAAGCCTCCATCTGTCTTGAAGCGAATGTCAGCAAACCGAAAAAGACCACAGGTTCCAAGGGCATACCTTTCGATCCCAAATCGCCACCGATTGAGTCGTGGAGCTCGCGTCCTGGTATGTGAGATAGATGGTGAATATCCCGCCCGTGGACGGCAGCAGCGCGATTTCCCCAATCTCTGTGCCGAAGGTGGAGAGGAGTTCCTGCGCGTAGTATGCTGCTCTGTTTGATCGTAAGACTACAGAACAAGCTGGACGGGAAGCAGTCGAAGTGCAGGAATGGACTATCCCCACCTTAGCATCCATCTACACTGTGTGCAGAAGGTTATTGCGACTCGAGGGAGCTTGATGTCTTGTTGGCTGTCCATTGTGAGATTTATTCTGTCCGGTGATGATAGAGGGATGGAAGAGGGACGTTCGTGACGAGCTTTGCTTCAAGAGGCCCGTGCACCGAGCCTTGCCATGGGCCGGGGCCGCTCCTTCCTCTTCAAATTGGACCTGGTCGAAACGATGAAGCACTAATGTCCTTCTTTTCAGCCTCCAGGCACAGTATATCTCCATAACACCTCCACGTGACTCTACTAATCACGACGGGGTTCCAGGACGAAGCGAATAGCGGCGAGCAAGATGATTCTACCGGCTGTGCAGCCCGGATGATGGACATGATGTTCTAGTTCGACTCCTCCAGGTAATTGAGAACGACAGTCCTCTCGAACTACGACACTTGTCGATCGAGTGATTGCGTGAGTCGCCCTGCATGTCCCCACACGTGATGGACGGTCCATGCAGAGACCAAGGTGCATAAGCCCGCGCAGCAGCGGCAGCACGAGCAGATGTGATGGTTGTTTTCCGACACTTTGGTGGGGCTACGGACCGGCTCATGTCTCAGATCGAATCGAGCCGCGACCTAGATCGTCAAACGGCCGTAGAAATGATACGCCAACCAGCACTTCCAAGACTTCTTATCCATTTGGGACGATTTCGAAACGCACTTCCAACGCCACGGAGCCTCTCAGTCGCATCTCTGGCCATAACGCAGCTCAGAGGGATTCGAGCGCACCAGTCCCCGACGAAAGAAAAGGTTGAGAGTACCCTCGTCCTCTAGAGATTGAGGGGAGTAGCCAATCACGTCAAAGATCCCATCTGTCAATCACAAAGCTTGCTTCCACCTTCGTCACCTGCGTCGGGAGGGTGGACTTTGCCGCGACTGTCGGGCGGACCGACGTGCCGTGCCAAAGTTCGTGGTGCAGTCGCGGAGTGGCCAGTAGAGATCGAGTGGACGAGAGACGCTGCAGAGGCCGGGACGGGTTCAAGCAGCGGATCAGCTCTCACGCGAGAATACGAGTTGGTTAAATCAACCGCAGACCACAGCTTCCACATGGCTACGCCTCGTTGCTCTCAACAGCTCCCAGCCCTTGGCTCCAGCCAGCCAATTCATCCTCACTGACAAGCGTTTGACAGGCGTTCACCAACACCCGCCCATCGGGAGTATGGAGAGTTCAAAGGTGGCGTCTGGCCCTGGATCGTCTGGGCCAATCAGCCCCGGATCGCGGGATGCAACGTTGGTGATTTGAGTCCCGCATGCAGCAAATCCGCGCTCGGTCCTGCCTACCTCGTCGACGTGCAGCACCACTTCGCGGGAAAAGATGCTCTCTGAGCCTCTGCCCGCCCGCCACCGCGTCCATGCTCGGGGTTTGACTTTGATCCTTGCAGGCCGCTCCAGCTTGACCCCATCGACGCCTGTACCCCGGAGAGATGTTGCAACCACGCGTACCGGAGTGGCCTGCGATGATCGCAAATACTTCTCTTTTGTTTCTCCTTCCTTTCACTTCGTCACTCACTCTCTCTCCTCGCACGGTTTATCCCTTCCTTTTCCTTTCCATCTCTTTCGCGCGTCATCTGGCGTGCTCTAAAGCCGCACGACTTCCACCGCGCCTTGCCGCCGCCTCGCGTTGCACGAAACCACCGGCATCCTATTTTCAGCGCGCGACCAGCACACGACACTCTGCCTCGGCCAGAAATCACCGGTGCGACCACTCTTCGCTCTCCACGTGTCACTGCGGCCTATTGAGCAACTGCACACGACCGACGACTGGGGTCGGGCGCGCCGCTATTAGACGTCGACCTGAACGCCACCGTGGCTGTGCACTGCCCTACTGTATGCATGAGCGCATACCTACAGACACCTACATGAGCGGTTGCAGGCACTGATTCAAATCGCGCCACTCTCGACTAAGAGGTATTTTCGTCGATTTCCTAATAAGGCTCTTGCCATTCCTCATTTTCGCTCTTGAAATGCCGTCGGAGCGCTGGACGCTAACGACCATCAGATCATCCGTCTCTCGTAATTAATGCCCTACCCTCGACCACGATCTCGATGACCATCTACGACCTCATGAGTTTCATGCCGCGCCCAGCGATTTGTGATTTTCAACCCGGCCTATCAAGCCGAGAAGCGCAATGCGAGCCTTCCGAGCTCCATCGCGACCGGCAGAAACAACACACAAAGATCATAATCGCCAGCCGACGAAGGCGATCAGCGGAGATGCGCAAGATGCACCGAGCAGGGCTTCGCAACACATCTCGAAGATGGCCAAGGGAACAAATAGCAATCTGGCATCCTCACACGAGCACATGTCCAACTCAACGCACATTTCCACCGGCGCATCCAGGAGAGCGCCTGTAACATCCCAGGCAGGCCCTAACCGGAATGAAGATACCACTCCAACCATCCACCCGCGAACTAATGCATTATCCTCACCTCAGTACTCACAGCCTCGCACTGTGAATCCGGCGACTTCACTATCGACAATCGGGACCCAAAAATCGAATGTACTGCGAAGGAAGGCCTCAACGATTGAACAGTACGCTGCGTCGAAACGGGCTCAGGTGCCAAAGTTCGATTCACGAAACGCGCCACCACCTGAAGATGAGGACAAGGCCAGCGACCTGGAAAATACCAGCATGAAACTTCCGAGACCAGAAGAGGGGCGAGCTGCGGCGTTGCACAGAGTCGACTCAAAAGCGCCAGACTCCGCCCAAACCTCCCATCTGGACTTGCCAGAAACTCGAGGCTTCACTCCGCCAGTCGCATATTACGCGCAGTCTGTTACCCCTTCTACTCGCTATACCGACTCGCCATTCAGCCATGTGCCGACACCCAGCTCTGCATCGTCGTATTCCTCCGGTATGATAGCACCAAGTCATTCCGCGCCGATTCGGCAAAGGCAGCAGAGCCCTGTTCTAGGGCCCCCGCTGGCTAGCAGGCCTACAACCGACAAGAACGACTACACTCGCCTGGGCCTTCCGCCTGCACGAGAATCGTCAACTTCCTCATCGAACTCGACGATCAAATCCTCGGAACCTCGGTCAGCACTGTCTAGGAAGAAGGCGCCGCAAACCACTATTCCTCCGTCGGTGTCTCGCAAACCGGTACCGACTGCATCGCAGCCATCATCAAAGAGCAAACCGCAGTCAAAACAACCACCGGCAAAGGCACCAATCGGTATTCCACCGGAACTGGCTCACCTCAACGTCGATCCGCCTGCGGTCACTTCTACCAATCGATCTCCTCCACGACGACCAAGTAGAGACGGAACAACAGCGCTGACGGGCATGAAGATCGGTTCACCCGTCGTGCAGAGCGATCTTCCACGTTTGTACACGTCTTACCACAAGCGCACTCCATCACAGGAAACCCCAACTTCTGCATCCTCTCCCAGCCTCAAATCACGATTCGGATTCTCTTCCAAACAGTCCTCCCCGAGAATCGACTCCGCCATCTCTCCTCCACCTGCTGCCCGTGCCCTCACGCGTGCCCCCAGCTCTGATCAACTCCCCACCAACCAGCCCCGCCTGATTCGTAAGGACTCACCAGCCATTGGACCGACTCCGAGCAAGTCCCCACGCTTCGGCTTCTGGTCGAGAAAACCCAAAGCGGACGAGACCAAACCGATTGAAAAGCCATCACGGCCTCCAAGCAAGGGTCCCGCAGCCGGCACAGGCCACGAAGGGTACGGCAGATTTAGCACGCGAGGGCGTAGTAGCAGTGGAAGCAGCAGTGCTGGCCTTCGCTCGCCAAGCACCACCAGCACCACCAGCAGTCAAGCGAAGCGAAAATCAAGCAGGAACAGCAGCATGGCGAGCACCGACGGACTGGAAATGGACGATTTCCTCCGCGAACGACTTACTCCTGTCGTTCTTCGTGGGAGCGCCAGCACCGTGAGTAATGCCACGTCGACTTCTGATGGGCCTGCTCTGTCGAAGGCGTCTTCCTTGGATAGCATCTCTCGACCCCAACTCTTGCCGTCTGCGATGGACAATACTGCCGGACGCTCGCCATCCAAAAGGTCCCCTCAGAAGCGTGCGCCATTCAGTGATAGCGAGGATGATTTGACGGCTCGTTTCGTTTCTACAACAGAGAAACGACATGCAGGACAGACCTTGCAACCGGCTGCGGTTCCAAACAAGTCTTCCAGGGACAACCTTGGTGACCGTGCTATACCACAGACTGTCTCAAACTGGAAAGGCCGAGTCGCCAATCATGAAGACAGTGGAGATGGATCTGGCAAGGGCCCTCGAAAATGGAGCTTCTTCCAGCGCACTCAGGCATCGCCCCGAGAAAAGGGCAAGGCAAAGGCGCCTTCAGTTCCAGATCTGTCCAGTCACCTTGTGCATCAGCCAAGTGTTCCGCACTATGCTATGCTGGATCCCGCCACCTCGATTGGACTGGAAGAGGTCGAGCAGATCGTACGGGACAATGAAACTTCGCCGGAAGACTCGACGTCTGAGACGAATGCGTCAGTCCGGAGTATACCGTACGGGCTGTCGTCTTTACGGAAGGCCGAGTACTCGAGCGATGCACACTTCCATGCTCGGCCTCACCCACCGAGGATCACAATCAGAAACGACTCCGCAGATTCTTCGAAAGTCAGGTACGCCGGAAGCATGATACCGCATCAAGCGCCGCACATGATCGATATTCGCAGGTCGCCAGACGGCTGGTCTGAGCAGAAAGCCATGGCTATCGACCTCAAACCTGTGCCGTCTATCGCCTCCAGCGCCGTGCACACTCCCGATACGCCACAGGAAGGATTCGACTCGCCCGATCCAGACAATGCCAATTCGCCTCGACAGCCCCGACTGTCCCCTATCGGACGCATACCCAAGGTAGTCTCAAAGCGAGATCGCGAGCGCAAGTTGTCAGACAGCTCCTTCTCCCGTCCATTCGTGCGCACTCAGCCCAAGCCTTCCGTCAAGCCGCCGGGGTCATTATACAACCAGATCCGAGAGCTCGCAAGCCCAACAGAGTCTACTTCGCAACCACTCTCGAGCACGAGCACCACATCCAACGGAGCATCGACCGAGAAGCGGAGTAGTTTCAACGCCAGCAATTTGCGTTCGGAGCCGACGGGACGCGCGAGCGTGGATGCTTTCGGCAAGTCCGAGTTCTTCGCCTCGCCCCGACGTAAAGACTCCGATGTGTCGTATTCGAGCAGTTCTGGGAATGCTAGTGTCCTGGCTATCCTAGCCGCACAGCCACCACAGCAAGAGGACATCTGGGACGAGTATGACGATCTGATGGACGAAGTCACGCTCGGTGAGGGAGCGTCGTTCTCGTCCTTCCAATACTCCGATACGTTCTGGAGCAGCCCTGTCTCCCAGGAGTGGCATCAGCAGTCGGCTGCCATGGATCTAGCAAGATCGCAAACTGTGCCGGCCACTTTGAGCGTCCCGCAGCAAATTGCGCGTTTCATGCAGCCATCTTTCTCGCCTTTGACGACGCCTCAGGTGCTCTCGGAGTTCTTTGAGAATTACGGGCGCCGCAGCACGAGCACGATGAATGGCGGAGAATCGATCAGATCGAGCATATTGAAGCCTCTACCTCTCGAACCGCGCACGGCGAATTTAGACAAGGCCTCAGAAACCAACCGCTCCATGCTGCCTCGAAGCAATCGATCTAGCCTTCCGCGAAGTAATCGATCCAGCCTACCGAGCGCACGTGGTAGTATAGCCTCTTCGAAACGCACATCGACCCATTCCCGCTCGGCATCCCTACCAGAGAATCCCGGCCGACATTCGCAATCAAGTCTGACTCCCAGCGGCCGACTCAACCGCGACACCCAACTCCTCGACATTGTCGAAGTCGACGGCGACGAAGAGAGCGCGACAGCGAATCTGCGCTACGCCGCCCTCACCACCAGCAAATGGCTGTCCTTTGGCCGCGTGCTCTTCAGCCCCGCGCACCACGAAATGCGACCAGCGGACGACCCGCGCATCCTCATCATCGATGGGCTGGGAAGTGACTGGTCCTACTACGTCGCCGCAACCTACCCAACGGCCGTAGTCTACAATCTCGGCCCCCCAGCGCCACCCAGCTTCACCGACTGGCCGGGCGTGCTCAACGAGCCCCCTCCCCTCAACCACCGCCACATCTCCCACTCCTCCATATCCGCCGCCTTCCCCTTCCCCAAAGGCTTCTTCACCGCCGTCGTCTTCCGCTTCCCGCTTGCCACAAGCGACACCGCCTACCAAGCGTGCATCTTCGAGTGCAAGCGGGTGCTGCGCCCGGGCGGCTTCCTCGAAGTCGCAGCGCTGGATCTCGATCTGATGAATATGGGGAATTTGGCGCGCAAGGAGCTCCGGGGGTTGAAGACGCGCCTGCAGTCTCGCGATCGGGATATTGGTCTGCGCAATTTGAGCGATATGCTTGTTCGCTTGATTGGGAGGCGGGGCTTTGAGGATCTTCAGAGGTGTATTGTTGGCGTGCCGGTTGCGGGCCAGATTCGGAAGAGCCAGGATATCAGTAGCGTGGGGTCCGCGGAGGGTGCGAAGACCAAACGAGGAGACGACAGACCAAGTCTAGAGGTCGAGCTTGCGGATCTATTCGAGGATGCCCGTGCGCAGCAACCGTATTCGGGAGCGAGCCAGAGCAAGCTCCACGACAAGACCACCGACAACGACGACACGGAGGACAACACGATCAAAATGGTAGCCAAAGTCGGACGATGGTGGTACTCGACGTGCTACGAGCGGCCGCACCTCCTGCGCACCGACGACAGCATTTGGAACGACACGGCGCTGCTGCGCGAGTGCGAGAAGCAAGGCACGAGTTTCCGGCTGTTGATCTGCTATGCGCAGAAGCCGGCGCAGACGAAGCGGCGGACTGTCAGTGTGTGAGGATGTCTGAGATCTTCTCATCTCCCCTTTCTCCCTTTTTCTCACTTTCGACAAAGAATGGGCTGGACCTGGTTAATGTTGGGGGGTCGGGGGTATTCATGACGATTGACGGACTCTACTCTCATTTGAAAGCGTTTTGAGCGAAAGGTGATGGGCGATGTGGACGTGTTCGATGATCTCTTATCTCCACGTCTTTTCTTAATTTTCTCGCAACTCTCCTTACTCTCCATCGCATGCCGGTTCAAGCCTGCATTGCGATGCTCTCTCGGCTGTCATGTTGGAGATTCCTCACGACTGGATCAACAAGACGCATCAGGCCTCACGGCCGCGGGCTGCACACTGCACTCTGTATAGACTGGATCTTTGCGTACAATGGAGTCATCCTTGGTTGTCCGCGCTTTCGTTCCGTTGAATGTACAACCCATGGAATGTCGTCACCTTGGCGTGCGAGGCTGTGCAGGGCAGAGCACTTCTTGCGTCATGGCGGCTCGGCACAGGCGATGACGGTCGCGCGGCGTGAAAGGGCCGAAGCCTTGTTGACTCACTATGCTTCACTTTCGAGTTCACTCAATTGTAATTTACATGGGATTGATTGCTATACATACCAGCACCTGTAGTCCTTGGGACGGCTGAGTCAGGGCGTTGCATTGGCCGGCGCCACAGGGTTGTATTTTCAGGAAGTCGCAGCCTGGATTGGACCGCGTCACATGCGCGCCCTCCCCACGCTTGCGAGTCGAGTCGAGCTATCCGCCCCCACCCGCCCGCGTAGTCATGCTGGGAGCAGTCAAACCGGCGGAGAGTAGAAGGTGGGCGGGTGGGATGCGCCACCACAGGTAAGAGTTAGATCCGGGGTGGGTTTCCAAGACATCTCTTTCCCTCTCGGACGTGCTTGGCCTTTCCTTCTTTCCACTTCACCAGCACGAGGTGAGAGTCTTTAAAGGCGCTCGTCGGCCCCTCCCCACCGGCCGCCTTCCTCCGCTCCACACGCGAGCGCTCCCCTCCACGATGGACACCACCCCGCCCAAGTACGCCGACGGGCTGTCACCACCGCACTACGCGCAGAACATCGCAGCGCGAGCAGCCGCCCAAGCCGAGCCGCCGGCCAAAGCACACCAGCTCAACATCCTCCCCTACATCGGCGCCTACCGCGACGTCCAGCTCTTCCGCCCGGGCAAGCCGCTGCCCGCCTACTTCTGCACCATCGCGCACCTCGGCGGGCACAGCCTGACGCTGCAGAAGAACTCGCAGAGCGGGCCCGTAGTGGGCTACGCACACTACCGCACCTCCGGCTCGATTAATTGCGGCATCGGGCCCGACGAGCGCTCGCTGCAGTGGATCCCCATGCGCGCGCAGGGCGAGTGCTTCCGCTTCGAGTGGCAGGAGCGCAAGTACAGTCTACGGAAAGCGCAGGGGGAGGACCTCGGGCTCGGGGCCGTCAATCTGCACGGGGAGCATTTGAAGGTGGTGGACGAGGAGACGCAGGGCATTGTTGCGCTGCTGATTAGCGAAGGGCAGAGTGGGGCGGCGAATGCGACGCTCAAGATGGCCGGCGGGGTGAAGGGGGAGGCGGAGGTGTTGATTGTGCTGGCGATGCTGTCGTGGAGGGATCGCATCCGGAGGGCGGGATCGTTGCGGCCGGGGGAGAAGTAGGCGGCGGCGGTGCAGAGGGCGAAGATGGTGGGGATTAGATCGTGTTTCCATGACGGTTTATCGAGGCTTTGCGGTACATCTATCAATCGACGGCGTGCACTTCTCGAGTTCGCCCGTGACACACTCCATCCAGCTTCGCAAGATCTGCCCATTTCTGCCTGTAGCATTGCACCGGCCTGCCGCAATCCCTAGTGCAGAGCTAATAGCACAGCGCTATACTGGATGTGACGATTGCCGCAGCTAAACCTATCACTCGCCTACTTAGGTAGATACTCATGCCACCAACCTTGGTTCTGGAAGTATTCATAGGCCGCGCGAGCGGCGCAGCTTCACGCTTCCGAGCTCGTGACTTCCCCCCACGTCCGGGGAATCGGAATGCATCTAATGCAGGTGGCGGGCGGTGGAGGGGGAAATTGTCACGAGGTAGAGAGATGGGTATAAAAGTACCTTTGTCAGCACCTCTCGTTCGCGTCTTTCCCTTCTACGCGCCTCGTCGTCTGTTTGGATTGTGAGAGGCGCAGGAGTGCAAAAGAGTAGGAGCAGAAACGACACGCCCAAGCCATGGCCTCCGCCCACCCTCCAGGCTACGACGACGCAGACCATCCCCCAGCCTACCAAACCACGCACGAACTCAGCATCGTGCCCATCGAGGGCGCCCTGCGCAACGTCTATCTCGTCCGGCCCAATGAAACCGGCCCCGCGTACTTCGCCGACATCACGCACTTGGGCGGGCACAGCGTGACCCTACACCAAGGCACGCAACACGGGCCTCCGATCGGGCACTCGCGCTACTCCAGCTCGGGCTCGTTCAAGCTGGGCGTGGGCGAGAAGGAAAAGGGCGTGGCGTGGATCGATTTCCACGATCAGGCGGATCACTACGGGTTCACATGGCAGGGGAGGAAGTACACTCTGCGGCATGCGCAAATTTCTGACTTCCCCGGCTCAGGGCTGACGGAGCTGGAAGGCACGCAGCTGAAGGTGGTCGACGAGGAGGCGGACAAGGCGATTGTGGCGCTGATGATCTGCGATGCCGAGACGGATATGGGCGTGTTGAAGCTCGGGAGCGGCGTTAAGGGGGATGCGGAGGTGATGGTCGTGCTGGCTGTGCTTACCTGGAATGATATCATTCGTGGCTCCGGGCGGCGGAAAGGTGGGAGCACGGCGGCGCAGAATTTCCTGCCGGGCTATCGCTGAGTTTGAAGCCTCGTCTGGTCTGGTCTTGGGTTGCGGAGCTCGGGACGCTGCGCTGTGTGATTGGTGCGAGTTTGATAAATACGAGAGCTTGACGGACAAGGTTGCATGCTTGGGTTGGCACCCCGCTTTGCAGGGTCCGGGGAAAGTGTTTTGGACCCTGGGCGGTGTTAGGTGTAACAGAGTCGAGGCGCAGACAGATATGAAGTCCGACTCTCCCGCCGCGTTTGTCGTTTCCGCCCAGGCCAGCACACGAAAGGCCCGATCCAGAGCGCACGCCTTCCATGCCCGCATTGAAGGCCACGCCGGACAATGGAAAAACAACCTCCCCCCCAGCCAGCAGCGACGGCCACATATCCCCGCGAACTCACCATCAAACCCGTTTCCCACCGAGACTGGGAGGTCTGGCCCAGCGGCGACAACAGTCTTTCCTCCCTCTACTACTGCCACGTGGGCCGCGGCATAGGCAAGAGCGAACAGCCCAACATCCTCGTGCAGAGCGGCGGCATGGGCGGGCCTACAGTCGGCGCATCGCACCACCGGAGCGTCGGCTCCATCATGTGCGGCCTCGGCGCGGACGAATTATCCATGAACTGGTGGGAGCTGCAACCCGCCGGCGGCCCCCGGACATTTCGCTACGAGTTTGACTGGCAGGGGCGGCAGTATGCATTGCAGGGGGCCACAGGGGAGGATGTCGGCAAGCCTGGACGGTGGATATCGTTTGGGTTGCAGCTCAAGGTTGTCGATGTGGCTGCGGGTAGAAACGTGGCGTTGTCTGCGCCGGTAAAAAGTACCAAAATGTTTAGCCTTGGGAGGCCGTCGAGGACGCTGAAGTTGGTCGAGGGATTGGGTGCGGAGTTGGAGGTGTTGATATTGCTCGGGGTGCTTTCGTGGGAGAATCAGAAGGAGAGGTCGCGTGAAGACTGAAACCGCGCGGATGCTGCTAGACGCGATGGGGGCAGACGCGCTCGAGGTGTCGTTGGCAGATAGTCGACTTCCTCGCGTCGTCTTTGGTGTTACTTGTAGCTCCGAGTCGATGATATCAAGTCGTTCTCAAGGTAATGATGGGCGCGAGCTTGGTAGACAAGTCACGGGCTTGGGTTGGTGCCCCACGATTTGTGGGGCGGTAGGGCGAAAAATATGGTGCAGCACCTTAGGCAGTGATATGCGAGGCGCAGTCATATAGCAAGCTGTGTCCAAGGCTCCCGTCCTGGTCGCCGATTGACGCTCAGGCCAGCACGCGCCTAGACGATTCGGGCATTAGGATATATTATGCCAGACCACTCCCCGGGCGCATGCAGTCCAGCTCCGCACCACACACCATGGACCAACAACCTCCAACCCAGCCAGCAGCGCCGGGCCCATATCCCCGCCAACTCGCAATCAAGCCGACCGCCTTTCGAGACTTTGAAATCCACCCCAACGATGGCGGCGACAACGACAACAACACCGCCCCGATCTACTACTGCAGCGTGGCGCGCATGGGCATCAACAAGCCCGACATCCTCCTGCAAAGCGGCGCAAAAGGCGGGCCCGTGGCCGGCGCATCACACTACAGAAGCTCGCGCTCCATCATCTGCGGCGTCGGGGCGGACGAAACGTCCATGATCTGGACGAAGCTGCAGCACGTCGGTTTCCTTTCCGGGCACTTTGAGTTCGATTGGCAGGGGCGCAAGTATGCCTTGCGGAGGGCAAGTGGGGAGGAGATTGGGGCCAGCGCGCTGCGGAGCTTGGTTGGCTTGCAGTTCAAAGTGGTGGATGAGGCTACGGGCAGGATTGTGGCGTTGTTTGTGAGCCATTCGGCGGTTGGGAGGCGCAGGCCGGCGACGCTGAAGTTTGTCGAGGGCTTGGAGGCGGAGTTTGAGACGGTGGTTGTGCTTGGCGTGCTTTCGTGGAAGGATAAGATCCGGAGGACGCGGGCGCGCGGTGCTGCTGCTGGGGGTGCTGGTGCTTGAGTTGTCGCGAATAGATAGGACCCCTGGCTGTGTGTCCCATTCCAGGTCCGAGTGCAAGAGTAGCCAGCATGACACAACTCATCCTCAAGTCGCCGGCACACTCCTCGGACTCGTCTTCGCCTCATCCCCGCCACTCTCACTACTGCGCTCCGTCGAACTCCACAAACTGCGACTCTCGCCCTCCACGCCCCTCATAGCCTCCGCCACGGCCTCCAGCTTCTCCACCACCTCCTTGACCCCCTCATCCACCCGCTTGAAATAAGCCTCATTCGCCGCCCGCCGCTCGCCCGCCAACTTGATGTCCTGCGCCGTCTCATCCTCCAACTGACTTCGTCCGCTCCGCGTACTTCCCCCCTCACTCATAACACTCTCATCACTCAACACCGTCGACGTCGACACGCCCGTTTCCGCACGATGGCGTGCCCCACCTGCTCCTCCCACCTTAGAAGCCTCCGCGTCCTCCGTAGCCTGGAAACGGCCAACATTCATCTCCCCAACCGCAGCAGCAGCGTTATCAGCCGCAGTCTCCGGCGCCGCCCCCTTAGCCTCGCTCCCCCTCCCCCAAGCCTTAGCCAACGCAACCTGCGCAGCGCGCAAATCGTCCAGCGCACGCGCATGGCTCTCCCCAAACACATGCGTGGAGCTCTGCGCCGTCAGTTCCACCTCATTAAGCGTATTCTGCATCTCGCGCCATTTGGCATTGATGCTCTTCTCGCTGGGTTTGCGCAGGGTATTGCCACCACGACCGGCAGCGGCATCGGGGGAAACATAGTCGGCGGTGGAGTTATTGTGCGCGCTCACGTCCGCCGCGATGTTGGCGTAGTTGTTGCGGCCTAGCGCGCTCTTCTGCCTGAAGACTAGAGGGCGGGCACTGCTGCCTTTTGCGGCGGGGTTGTCGGAGGGTTTGACGAGGGAGAGCTGCGAGGCGTTGCGGGAGGGGGGGCCGACGAAGAGGGTCGGGGCGGGCAGGCGCTTGGAGTTGGTGTTGGAGGTTGGAGAGGGTTTGGTGGGGTTTGTGATGCCTGGGACGTTGGTGGTGGACATGCTGGGCTGCGTGCTACATTTTTGGAGAGGAGGGGATGGGAAGAGTGAGGTGTGATGCTCAAAGCGGAAGGATGTCGTGGAAGCTGAGTCAGAAATGGCATCAAGCCTTTCTCTTTGACAACACCGTATGCTCTTTTATAATTCAAGATATAACGGAAAGAGATGGCTTTTTATAAAGGTCATACATCCTCCTCATAGACGTCGAGTTCAACACTCCTCCCTACATCTCCAACGTCTTATCCACATCCACCTCCCCTTCTCGATGCCGAATGGAAGTCCATGGGTTCTCACCCGTCTCCGCGCCCAAATCGCGCATGAACCCCGCCCACCCATCATACATCTGACACCTCTCCATCCAGTCCTTGGTGCACACAGCGTGGTCGTCGTCAAGGTCCTGCCGACCATGTAGTCACCGGGTAGGCAACACGTCGTCGAGCTCGATATTCGGCACAATGTACGGCTGCACGTCGTTTCGGTGCATCGTGCGTTGCTCACTGGAACAAATCTGTTAGCAGTCATCCAGCATAACAGACCAGTCTCTCACGTACTACGCATAAGCAAACCCAATCAGGTCCGCCTCACTCCACTTCCTCCCCATAAAACTCAACCCAAACGGCAGATTGGGAAACTTCTCCAGCAGATTCCCAAACCCATTCACCATAATCGTCGTGTTGACGGGGTAAAATCCCATCGGCACCGACACAACCGGACTCCCCACCAACGCCGGAATGGACGGACTGAGCTGCGTAGGCAGCAGCACAGCATCGGTGTTGGTCCGCTCCAGGGCCCCTAGAATGCCTCCCTCGCCGCCGAAATACAGGTTCCGCTGGTACGCGGGCCAGAACTTAGGCGAAGTATTGTTCCACCCTTGCTTCAGCGCGCCCTGCCAAATCAACGTGTCCCGCTCCGGCCACATCTCCGCGGGAAAGGTGTGCGTGAAGTTCTGCTCCTCGGCCAAATCCTCGATATGCAGCGGGTTGAACGTGAGTTCGGAAAAGTAGTTCGCCAGGTCGACGAGGAAGTCGGCGTTCAGCACCAGCGTTTCGTCGTTGCTGTTTTGCCACGCTTCGAAGGCGGTGAAGTTTGCATCGACAATGGTGGCGCCTGCGGCTTCGATTTGCGACACGGCGACGTTGAAGGCTGCGACGACGTTGGGGTCGGTGTAGTTGGCCCAGATTTCGAGGACGTTGCGCGCTACGCCGATGCGTTTGCCGGCGAGGGCGTTGTAGTCGCAGGCGGCGACGTAGTCTGGGATGGAGTGGTTGTTAGGGATGGCGGAGGTGTAGTTGTCCCGAGCATCGTAACCAGCGATCGCTTGGAGAAGGTACGCAGCATCCTTGACAGTCCTGGCCAGCGGTCCAACGGTATCTTGATGCTGGCTGATGGGAATGACGAGATAGCGAGAAGTCAACCCAACCGTAGGCTTAATCCCAACAACATTATTCACATCCGCCGGGCTCAAAATACTCCCCGACGTCTCCGTACCCAACGTAGCCCACGCCAAACCAATCGAACTCGATACCGCCGAGCCAGACGAACTCCCACTCGGATCAGCATCGGGGTAGTAGGCGCCCATCGTCTGCCCTCCATACGCAGACCAGCCATTACTCGTGTTGTCGGAGCGATAATTCGCCCACTGGCTCAAATTCGCCTTGCCCAGGATGACGGCGCCCGCCTTTCTCAATTTCGCCGCCATGGTCGAGTCGCGAGGCACTTTCGCTCCGACGAGCGACCACGAGCCGGCAGTGTTGTTCATCAGATCATCCGTGGCGATGTTGTTCTTAATCAGGACCGGGATGCCGTGGAGAGGGCCTAAGACGGAGCCGTTGGCGCGCATCGCATCCGCCTCGGCGGCGATGGAGAGGGCGTCGGGGTTGAGTTCCGTCACCATGTGCAGCGTGCTGTTGACCTCTGTGATCCGCGCGACGTAGGCGTTGACGAGATCGACGCTCGTGAAGAGGCCGCTTTGCAGGCCGGCATTGAGCTCTTCCAGGTCGACTTCGAGGAGAGAGGGCAAGCTGGTGCTGTTGCTGTGGCGGCATGTTGCTGCCCAGGCTGAACTTGAGAGTGCTAAGAGCAGTGCGAAGATATACATGTTGTCGGCAAGACGAGAGATGTATGGACGGCACGATAGAAAATCGGAGGAACAAGAGACCACCCTACCTCATGATAATCTAGGTTGCGTTGCAGAAGATACAGTCAGCGTGGCGGATAAGAAGAGGAGTCGGAGACGAGGTGGTGCCGCTTTGCTCAATGCAGAAGGTTGATGGAGCGGATGGTCGACGCTCGGCCGAAGCTTTCTCGATACGTCACCATCGGAGACTGCCGAATGAGGAAGGTAGTGGTGAAGACATACTCATGCACTCAAGGCCTTCTGAAAATGACAGGGTCTTGGAAAGCATAAGGTAGTACAGATAATAAGGTCTTCATTCCAAAGTCTCCCTATCATACCCTTTTGATACCGAAACAACAATGCTTTCAACCTGTCCAACGCCGGGCTAATAACTAACAGCACGCAAACAAACCACAGCGACGAGCACAACTCACCCTCCACCTCCGTTTCCCGCATTCTCCTTCGTGACGGGGGTAGGTGCAATCCGTCTCCTCTTTTCCCTTCCACCGTTCTCACCCTCCTGTGCTGCAGCAGGCGGAGAAGTACCCTCCCTCTTCACCCCCGCAGCACTAGCAACAGCCGGCACATTGGTATCAGACACGCTGCTCTCCCGCTGCGTGCCAGTCACACTCACGCCAGGCAGACTGCTGGTCGAGCCACTAGCGTGATGACCAGGTGTCTGCGGCGGAGTGAAAAGCGGCATGCCGCCGGCGCTGGAATTCGATCCTGTCGCTGCAACGGATGGAAGAGATGTCAAAGCCGGTGTCGGATTGTTCATGACCGGTGGAGCATTCTGGTCTGGTGCTCGGGCGAAGCTGGCTTCCGTTGCGATGCTCGAGGCCGACATGCTTCGCGCGGGCGATGCGGGGCGGGCAGTAGAGAGGTAAGGCGATGGAGATGGATTCGGCGGGAGCGTACTATTTGAGCCGGAGATTCGGCGCGCCGCGGCGGGGACAGGCGGTGGAGGCACGCTTCCCACTGCGGCAGAGGAAGTCGTAGGTGTGGCTTGAGGCGTGGAGGATGCCGAGTTGGCGTTGCCTACTGAGATTGGCGCGGGCGTGTGTTTCTCACTCTTTGCGGAAGAGTGATGGTATACTAATCCCAGTTCGCCGGGGGAGAATGTGAGAGCAGAACAGAAGCCGTCCGATGAGGTCATGAGGAGTGTCTGTCCGTCGCTTGACCACGACAGGTCCGTAAAGGTCGCATAATGTAGATTGCTGACAATACACAGCGGCCGTTGCTGCTGCGTGTCGTAAACGTGGACAGCGTCTTGGGTTGCGACGGCATACACCATTCGATACGGCAGGGCGAACGCCGGTGGTGGGCCGGCTGGTGGCGCTGGTGTCGAAGGACTGTGCTCTGGATCGAGTGGCGGCCTGGGCGATGCCATGGTGGCGACACTCAGAGAAGGAGATGGCGCACTGGTGAGGGGCGGGGGGTCCATCGCCGAGAAGGATGTTGCTGGCCTGGGAGGTACGGCAGGTTCGGGCAAGGGGGGAATGTCGTCTTCCGTCCGCGTATCAATGGTAATCTCTTTGGTCTCCACATTCGACACGCGAAGATGGTAGTAGACCGGAGAGCATTTGACCGCCACCGAGGGTTTCTTGTGTCCTGGCAGGTATGCCACTGGCGGCTTGTTGAGTCCTGCACGGGTGTAGATGTAGACGGTGTTGATGATGTCGTCCGAGCCCTTCGACCCTTCCGTGGCAGGATGGAACGTCCTGTACTGTCCGGCTGGTGTGAAGAGCAAGCTACCGTCTGGTGCAAAGGTCAGTCGTCGAAAGAAGGAGGTGAGAGTCTCGTTGGCGTAGATGTTTGAATTTCGGAAGCCCAGCGAGCCGGACAAGCTGGGCGAGGCAGAGGGCATGACGGCCGGGAGAGGCATGGTGGAGGGACTCGGGGACACGGATCGGCGCATCGACTGGCCCATTTGTGAGCCTATGGAAGATCTTCTGCTGTGCGAGGTCGGAGGGGGATTCATGGGCAAGGCGAGAGATTGCGGTGTGCCGGGGGCAGAGGGTCTCGGTGAGCCCACCGCTTCCGAGCTCAACTCTGCGTGTAGGGATGCTCGATGATGTCCAAAGTCCGGAGGGGCTGGGCTGTTGGAAGAGATGCGCCTGCCGACGGGGAGGTCCATCTTGACGACTTTGTTGTGTTGGGTGAGGGCGAATTGGCCATCTTTGGTCTTGAGGGAGTAGATATGGACCGATCGATCGGAGGACTGCGTGGCGACGTATTCATTGAGGGGATCCCAAGCCACGCCCTGGACGTAGTGATTGTGCTCTGCGATTTGGCGGACCGTTTGACCTGAAGGTTGTTAGTCGGGATGCAAGTATGAGGTATGGGGCTGGGATTCCTCCTACCATTCGATGCATTGTAGATCCGAGCAACATTGTCCATGCTGCCAGTCACGAAGAACAAGCCGTCGGGGGACCATGCCAGGTCGTAGATCTCCGAGCCCGTGTTGGATCTACACATGGTCTTCACCCTCCAATGCTCGACGTCTTCTTGTTGGTTGTCGTCGCCAAAGGTCACTGGTGCAGTCTCCGAAGGGGTCCAGAGGAGGACATTGCCGTCGTCGCCCGCGGATGCAAGAAGTTCGCCTGGAGAACATTCCGTCAGCGATGGAACACACTCCACCATGATGAGGAGGCGGCAGAATAGGCTTACCCCGAGGACACCACCTCACCACATTAACCGCCTGTGTATGCTTCTTGAGGGTGGAGAGGTAGGTGACCTTGCGCTCCTCGCCATTCGTCTCCACCTTCCAGATCCTAATATGTCCGTCGCCCCCAGCAGTGGCCAATCTTCCCTTTCCATGCGGCTCGAAATGAGCAGAGTAGATGGGGCTGTTGTCCTCGTGCCAGGAGACGAGGAGGGGAGCAGCTTTCATGATGGCGGCGGCAGCAGCAGCAGCAGCAGCGAGCGGGCGGAGGTGGGGGTGGTGGGCGACAAAATGCAAGATTGTCGACAGAGGGGGTTGATTGAGGGTGGGAGGGCGAGGGGAGGTGTAGCGGACTCGGTCACGCACGGGATCCCGAGTGTTTGCTTGCCGTGGCCTGGCATTCGACGGACGGACGACACGAGTGGACTGCACCTGAGGCCAGGCGAGCTTGGGCCCCGGCGCGGAAGCTGGGCTGGGCTGGATTGGAAGGTTTAAGGTTGCAGGGTCTACCGCTGCGCGCGCGACTCGCGACTCGCTCTTGCCCTCTCACCGCTCTCGGCAATCTTCTCACGTGCAGGGTTGTGGATGCAGTGGATTGCAGGGCTGGGAAAGGCGCGTTTTGGACGTTTCCGCGCGGGCAATCGTATCCGAAACAAGACGATTGGCGCACGAGATGCAAATCGAGACTCTTCCAATCGCTGCGGGGAAAGTGTAACGCGCGTGGAGACGCGGCTGCGCCTGCCGTCACGCCTCGCGTATTTATCAGCCTATCGTCCTCGCGTTTGAACTGGCATGTCCGGGCCTCATCCTCCCATCAACTTCTTGCTATGCTGTTGAAGAGACAGAATGTAAAGTACAATGTAGTAGATAACCCTCACTCGCTCTTCCCCTCATCTTCACCCTCCTTATCAGCGACCTGGAACGTCAACCTCCCCGTCTCGCGGCCCTTGGTATCAAAAGTCTTAACATCATACCGCCCGCGATCCCACAAATCCTTGATCGTCAATTCCCGCGTGCGGCCCAACGACTCAATATCGCCGATACGAGTCAGCGTCGCCTCCAAAAACCCCTCAAAGCCCTCCTCGGCGCACACCTCGCGGAAGGCGTTCATCATCGGCACGCTGTCGGCGCGCACCATGGCGTTGCTGTCGATGGTGAAGACGTTGATGGCGTCGTAGGATTGGATGAAGTCGGCGCGCGTCATGACTTGGCGTGCTTTGTGGAGGGGCATTTGCGGGAGGATGTGGCCTTTCTCCGCATCGTATGTTGATTCCATGTCCTTTTCCAGATCGACGAGAGCTTTGGCGAGGACCATCGCTGCCGATGCGTATTTCTGCTGGTCCATTACGTCGTCGTCCATTTCCGCGCCGAGGATCCAGCATTGATTGAGGAACCATTGCTTCTCCGTCCGACAGATGTGATCGGCCATTTTCAGCATGTCGCTGGACTTGGCGATGCGGCCGATGTACGACAGCCGGCCGCCCACTTTGTCGTACACCTTCTCCAGCACCTCCAACTCGGGTTGTTCGTTGTGGTATTTCCGGCGATAGTTCCACAGAGCAGATATGGCCTTCGGCTTGCTCAAGTCCAGGATGGGAATAACGTTCATCCGAGTGGCGTATTGCTTAAGCCGTTCGTAGATCCAGTAGTCGTCACTGTTGAACACGACCGTGGCCAAGCTGCTGGCCGCCCACGATTCCGCGCGTTGCTGCAGAAGTTCCAGCAAATCCCGCCCCTCCTCGTCATCCCTTACCAGGTGCATACTGTTGAAGATGATAATCAGAGGCCGGCCGACCTTTGCTCTCCGCTTCAGTGCCACCTTTTCCAGCTTATTGAACGCGCGTTCCACATCCAACAACGCACTCGCATCGCGCGGGCCTCGGATGGAGAAGAGAGATCCAATGTTGTCTTCGTGGAATTCAAAGTCCAACGCCTTACCCAGCCGAATGCGGAAGATCTCGGGGTCGGCGTGGGCATCTACCATGGCACACCCCTCACCCTCGATCTTGGCCATGGCATCAAGCAGCATACTGGATTTGCCACTCCCCTTCTCTCCGATCAGCAGGTGGTAGTTGCCTTGCAAGCGACCAGAGACGATGGAGTCGATGAGCTCCTGCTCCTCGCGCAGGATCCAATGCTCGTCCGCGCCGTCTTCGTTGGTGTGGGTGCTGGGCGAGTAGGGCTGGCGTTTCGACGAGGCGGCCAATTCGAGAGCGGGATCGCCAGGGCGGAAAGCATTCTCCATCTTCTCCAGGACCATGTGCTTGTAGTATCTGGTATAACTGTAGCCGACGATTCTGTGCACAATGTTAGCACGTTGATCTTAGAGCGTTGCCGGCCGATGACGAACCCGAGAATTGCAACAGAAGCGAAGGTGGTGAGTGCTGCCTCGGACATTTTGAACAGAGTCGGTCCCCAGGAAAACCCATTGGACTTTTTGTCCTGAGGGGGAGATTTTGGCTCGGGGCCATCAGCTTCATTTGGTGGGCCTGGCGGATTGGGACCAATTGGCATCGTGACTAGGTGTCGTTTGCAGGGTGGCAAGGCTGCCAGCCCATTGTGTGGAAATCTTCTTGACCATGTTGGGCTGGAATGTGAGATGGCGCAGCGTTCGAAGGCGGGCGAAGCACCTTTCAGCTGGTGGAAGAAGAGTCGCGAAAGAGACATGATGGGCAGCAAGCAGCTCGGCCGCAAGGCCAAAGCTCTCGTGTTATCTGCTTGTTATCATCTCGACGGGTGCAATTGAGGAGAATTAAGTGAGAGACAGAGGAGAAGCGCAATACTTGTGCACGGCAAAGGTGTAGTTGGAAGGTGGAAGTGAGGCTTAGCAGGCGCGGCGCTTTGAGTTGGGAGCCAAGGCGCCACGCTCTCGATTGGGAAAGCAGAGAGAGACTGGGCTGAATGGAGCAGATTGATGGTGTCTCCTCAGCGCTCCTCAAGAGGACGAAGTAGAATTCATGCCTACCGCAATAGCCTTACTTCTCTTGAAGAACATCCTAACTAATGTATCTGTTATTGTAAGTAGAAAGAAGGATGACCGAACGAGCCGAGGCTCAAATAGCGCGTATGTATATCGGCTGACAAATCTGAGTGCTCGCGTGCTCAACCTGTAATATGCTAGGCGTCGGCTCAATACCTTTAATGGCAAGCTGAGGCTGGAGCCCGGCAAGGTTTCTGTCGGGTCGCCGACACCATTCTCACACTTCTGGAACGTACGCAAGCTGTTCTCCCACACAACTACAGTGCTGGAATACACATGCTCCAAACGAAGTCGCAAGACTGTGCCAAACCACAAAAGCCTTACAATCACACGCTTTCATCGTCAAGATGGAGTACAGTTTTGTCTCATGGACCAGCGCACAGCAGCCACAGGATCGCCGCACCCAAAGTATGGTCAAAGCCCGGGTCATGCGCAATCTGCGCAAACATCAGCATTGGACGGGGGGCCGTACAAAGCGCGACAAGACGAAGAATCAGCAGGAAACTGGCACGCTCCCCCGAGTGATCGCCAATCGACCATGGCTTCCGCAGCAGGTCTGCAGTCCGAGTTTGACCAGGTTGCAACTTCGATCAAAAGCTGCCGACCTTTTCTTTGGCGAGCTCGGTGCCCGAGCAGCTACGTCTCAGTACTTACGCGACGTCGCAGCCACCAACCGGCTTTTGGACCTTACCCTCGACGCTTACAATCTTATTTGCGTTGGACGGGCCAGTGGTGACCAGACACTGCTTCATCATGGGATTGACTCGTACACGCTCGCTCTCCAGGCAACGCGGACGAGGCTGATGCACATCGATGAGGAAGACCGGAAACTCCTGATGTGCGTAACGCACGTGTTCCAGATCTGCGAGGAACTACTCGCTACTTCGGAAAGGAGTACGCCAAACGCGCATACGGACGCTCAAGCTGGCCTTGCGCGTGGTTTAGGCACGCACAATTTGACTCCTGAACTTCAACACCTGCTGCTCTGCAACTTTCGGCTCTTCGCTATCTGGGACGCCCTGTCTAATTGTGGGGTTGTGACCTTGCCTGCGGGTGAACAGCTTGGCGACTGTGATGCTCCGACTGACGAAGGTACTCTCATCACGGTTGCGTGCATTTCTGCCAATGCGCCTCGGCTCTTGCGCCAGGCCAGACAGCGGCGGAAAAGTCCGGACCGTACGTCAGCACATCTGTTTTGCAGCTACGTTGAACTCTCCGGTTTGGAAAGGCAACTACAAAGATGGGCAGTTCGATTTCACGCAGAACGACCAACGAGCCGAGCCGAGCTCAATACTTTTGTAACTGCCGGACCGATAGAGCACGAGGGCATGCTACGAGACGCTTATTGCTTTCGAAACTCCGCAACGGCGTCAGCCTATCTCGTGTATGCTGGCACACTGCTTGCCATCCAGAATGAATGCGAGGCGATAACACGACTCTTGATGGCAATCGATCCGCAGTCGGCCAGCCACATGCGGAGAGCACCTCTCGAGTCAATCGAAGAGCTGTGTAGGAGCCTGCCATATTTTTGTGAGCCGCAAAGAGGTCTTTCCGGAACGATTCAAGCCCGAGTCCCGCTCAAACTCGCCAGAGACGCCTGCGAAGCAAACGGCCTTGTCCACTTGGAGCGATGGTGCAACACTTTACAGACGCGCGCGGGACTTTTCGAGACCATCGTCCGAATGTGATTCAATGCAAATGTGGACTCGGCGGGTTGATTGGGCGCGGAAATCGTGACAACGAGCCTGTGCGCCGAGCTAAGGCTGGCTCAGGAGTCGGTTCAATCTCTTTCTTGTCTATATGGCTGGCTAGACCTGCTCTACAACTGCGACACATTGTATCGGCTCTTGCTCCTGATGCTCGGCCCGTACTTAAAGAACACCCATGGGATCGGCATCATAACGAGGCTGATGAATCCAAGCAAAGACGTTGCCCATGCGATGCCCAATGTTTCGTACATCTGAATCGTGAACAACGGGAAAACCGCACCCAGTACATAACGCAAGAACCCGTTGGCAGCCGCGGCAGACGCCCCCTGCAGCGGTCCGTAGACATCCACGAGGTACATTGAAGCACTCACAAAAACGTTGAGCACGCTCCAAGCGAACGGCACTCCTGCTAAGACTGGAGAGATCCAGTGGACCGAGGGTCGCGCCGTCCATGCGAACCAGAACAGCCTGCGCGCAATCATTAGCAGCGTAGTGGCTGACGACGCAAGTCATACTGACCCGATTGGCGCTCCAAGCGAGCCCAGAATCGCTGCGTAAAGACGATTTTCAGGCGGCAGCGCAGCTTTCCCCTCACGCACGGCTCCCAAAAACTTTTTGTAGTATACGAATCGATCGATGGATATGGCCGTCGCGACCGCCAAGAGTACACCGAGCGTGATACCCAGAAAAGCCAGACCAGATTGCCAGGCGTTGAACCCATAGACCTTTGCAAAAGTGTATGGATAGGCCGCAAAGAATGCATAAAGTAGCGAAACGGTATACGCACTATAGAGGCTCAGGAAGATGACGATTGGCTCCATCACAAGCATGTGAAATGGACGTGAAATCATCACTTTGGCGGATCTCCTCAAGATCGCAAAGCTGCTTTCGCCGGACGATGTGCCCTTGGCCGTGCGTTGTCGTTGGAGAATGATTTTCAGATAAGTCTCGTGCATGGGCAGGACGAGTGCGTAAGCCAAGATAGCGACAAATGTTGCGCACCATTGGGTCCATCTCCAGCTTTTATAATAAGTTGCGAACCCCCCGATGACCGGTCCAAGCGAGGGTCCAAGGAACGGCATCATCACGTACGACACCACCGCAAGGGCCCGGTGTTGAGGCGGCCACAGATCCGCATTCGTGCCCGCACCGACAGCCAGGACCGGACCACTAGCGAGACCAGCAAGGAGACGGCATATCAGTAAAGAGCCTAGGGACTTGCTGAAGCCGGCACCCACCAGGAAAAGAATGAACAAGAGGCCTGTCGTCCTGTAAACCACAGCACGTCCGTATAGCTCTGAGACCGGAGCCGCCAACATTGGCCCTAGAGCCAGACCAAGTACATAAAGGGATAGAGACAGCGTTGCCACCTCTCGCGTGGTGTGGAAGTGATCTTGAATCTCAAATATCGCTGGCGTAATCGTAGAGGATGCCAACGTGACTGCAAAGGCCAGTGTGGCAACCGCGGTGGTGTGGTAGATCCGTTTCCACAACGGCCATCGTTTGGCATCGTAATCGATGCTCATCGCCGGTGTGGAAGCATCAAAAGGAGCAAAATCGCGGCTTTGTGTCCGCGTCGGCTCACGATCTATAGTCTTGGGTTTCGATAAAGCAGACTCGTCGGTATTTTGATGTTTCTCCATCTGCGATGCGATCTCAGTTCGATCCATGGTGAAGACGACAAGTCTCTCAAGTGTATTGTGGCTCGTCAGTCTGGGAACAGTTTGCTAAGTCGTTGAATGAAGGCGAATGATCGCAACTTTCCGACATGGGTTTGATCCGAAGATGCTTCGCAGACATGGGGCCGCACAACCAACGGTCTTTCGCGTAGATTTGTCAGATATGCATCTATCTGGTGCACTGTCCCATACCGGTGCCGTCTTCCCGGCCGATGACATAGCGCATACCTGCTGTGTCGCGCGTACTGATGCCGACCTCTGCCGGTCGCATTAGACAGTTAATCGGGAGACGGACTCCCTGCTTATCATGCGGTAGATTCGAACACGCAAGGTTCCTCCATGATGGTGCGCATGATTCGTGTGTCGAGACAAGAGAGGGATGTGCTGTTTCAACAAGGCTAGGCACTAGTCTCGAATAGGAGCGTGCTGATAGGGTCGGATCAGGCGCTAGTGTCGAATAGGCAATTGCTAGGTCAAGAAAAGTCGCGCGTTAATACTGTACAGATGAACAGTGCGCTCGTGTTGTCAGTGATCAAATGCTCTTGCTCTGGTACCGCTACCAGGCATCAACATACCCAGCGCCAATGGTCGCCACAATGTGTCATGTCGATGATGATGCACGGGTCCACATCCCCGCTCCCGAAGCAAACCTGCGAGGCAATCGCAATCTAAGGGGCAACTAGCTAGCAGATATATAGTCATACTGCACCCCGAGCGCTTCAGAAGAGTGCGAGCTAATCCACACCCTAATTTCAGAAGCGTGTGAACCGTTTCCAACCCGACAAACCACAATGCTGCAAACGTTCCGCGAGCAGATCGCAGTCGAAAAACTGACTGAGGCTGCATTCGTGTCCAAGTGTCCTCCACAAAAGCTTGCCAACACGGCTCCAATTGGCTACGGTGGCTGTACGATTGCGATCGCGGTGCATGCAGCTTGCTTGACCGTCCCCCGCTCGTTCAACGTGTTCGTCGTTTCGGGATCTTTTCTGGGCCCGGCACAGACTGATAGACGACTCCACTGCGACGCAGAGCGGGTTCGCGACACCAGGAGCTTCGCAACGAGACGAGTACGCGTGTTTCAGTTGCATGGCAATGGCGCCCAGCGAGCCTGTGCTACGATCCTCGTGGACTTTCACGCCAGAGAACCACCATTGCTTACATATGGCCTTCCTATTCCCCCATGCTACGGCAAGGACGCAAACGATCGCAACTCGTCACTGCCCACGTCTACCATCCTAGAGCAAGCCGAAAAGTCCGGCCTGATTACTGCTGCCGCGGTCGCCGGTTTCAAGACCATGCACAACATGTTGGACAACTACTTTGAGACGAATCACTGTTTGGCTGGCGTCGGTGGGCAAAACGCACTGGGCCTCGCAAAGGAGGCGGTCACAAGCTTAGATCACCTTCCGATCCAAGACAAAGTAAGCGCTGAATGGACACGCTCACGCGAGCAGCTGGTGACGCACGAGGAGAAGGCGGCAGCGCTGGGGTTCACGATGGATGCCGGGTTGAGCTTTCTGCCCCTCACCTTCGAACACATGTATCTCGACGACGCCTCAGCGTGTTCGACGTTGGAATTCAGCTTGCGAATCATTGTGTCCGACGTGGACATATCGCAGTGGTGTCTTCGAGAGCGGAAAACGATCGCTGCCGCCGCCGGTCGCACGTATTCCGAGAGCAGACTCTGGCAGGACGGGGGCCTTGTTGCGATCATGACGCAGACGTCGATACTCCGCCCGCTCGCATTCGCATCCGAGAAACCAAAGTCGACGTTGTAGATACAACGGAGCCGGACCCAGTCCTCCCAGCGGGCGAGGAGAAGTTGACGGGCGCAACAAGAGCAGCGCCCACTTTAGCCGAAAGTCCCCGCGATGCACTGTACAATAGGACGAAGAAGGGGGTGGCCCAAGACGCTCGTCGTATCGACTTATCATCTCGACAGGTGCAATTGGAGGGCGAAATAAAAGGAGACAGATGTAGAGTAAGGGTGAACACACCGATCAGCACATCTCCCACCACGGCACTCTACGGAGGTTTGTCGCGCATCGCATGAATCATTGATCGGCGGGAAGGGTTAGCGCGCGTAAAGCTTCGACACGAGCTCCCTTCAATGCATAAGCCAGCAACCTTGCCTTACGTATGCACAGGGAAGCATCAATGACTGCAATACCCATTCGCCACGACAGTGTGAAGAAGGTGAATAAGAGGCCGAGCGAGGCCGGAGGAGAAGGGGCCAAGACGTCCAGTGTGTCGCGCATCAATCCCTCGTACTCGTCTCACCTCGGGAAGTCTCGGATGAGCGCGCCGACCGGTTTGGGGAAGGAAGGCTCGTGCGCCTGTCCAGATTTTAATTTTACAGCTGCAGCTTGCTTCCTCATCGTCGTCGTCGACGTCGTCGTTTCCATCACGCGTGCATCATTGTACATTACTCCCCACCTCCATCACTTCTCCTTCTTCTTCTCCTTCTGTGTAATATACCTTGTTGAAGAAGCCGCGGCCATCACTCGTTTCCTTCCTTGGCTTGATCTTTGCGAACGGGAGGTGGTGGTGCTAGAAGCTTCCTCTGCCATTCGAGGTCCTGAAGAATGGCTGCTGAAGCGCCGAGTTCGAGTATGTTTGCTCTCTCTTCCCAGATCGTGCCCGCCTCACGCATGCCTCCAACCATGTCGTGCCCCATCATCGACCCGCATACTGAGCCTGTCCAATAGAAGCAGACCATGACCCAATCCAACCCAATGGAGACGTCTCCCCGGAGCAGCACGCGACCTCGCAGACCGACGCGCCCCTAACAAACGGCTCACATGCCGCAGAGTCGAACGAGAATGGAGATGCCGCCGCGCCCCCTCCGAACGCCGAAAAGGTGTTTCAACTCACCATCAACCTCCCTCACGCCCCCTATCACACCCAACTTATGGTGTCGACACAAGAGCAGGTACAAGACATTAGACAGTCCATCATCGACACCCCGCAAACCTCCCAGTACTCCTGCTTCCACCTCGAGCACAATGGCAAGAGAATCAATGATTTCGTCGAGCTGTCCGAGGTCGCCGACATCGCAAAACATCCAGAGGTGAAGCTGGTGGAGGATCCGTACACCGAGGCGCAGGCGCGTATGCACATTGTCAGAGTGCGGGAGTTGATTGGCGCTGCCGGAAACCGCACCGATCTTATCCTGGGTGCCGATGCTGGCAGCACATTATGCGACGACATCACCCTCCCCACGGCTCAGACCGCTCAGGACGATCAAGCGTCACCTATTGCTGGGTACGACCTCAGTGCGCCGGGTAGCATTGCCGTACTTGCATCTAAACCTCGCGATCCTGCTCCGAAGACGGTGAAGAGCCTGTCTCTATCCTCATGGAACCCTCCACCGTACCACCTCCGCATGCGCGGCCACCTGCTCTATCTTCAAGTCACCACCCTCGAAGGCGAGCAGCATTACATTACCTCCTCCGTCTGCGGCTTCTACGTCAACAAGTCCACCAACAACCGATTTGATGCTTCTCCTCGAAATGGCGCCAAGTCGTCATCCACCCACTCCCTCATGGCTCTACTCAGCCAAATCTCTCCCGCCTTCGATCAATCGCTCAAGAAGCTACAGGAACACAATGCCCAGCGAGACCCATTGGCATCATACCAACCTTCCAACGCTCTGCCCGCCGCCCCCTGGCTCGTGCCCTTGTCCAAGGTGCAACATCATCAATCGGACATCACGCGAACGCAAGAACCGTTTCTCCTCGCAGGCGCAGACAATGCGGAAACGCTTCGCGATTGGAATGAAGAATTTCAGTCCACGCGAGAGCTTCCCAAAGAGACCGTGCAAGACCGCGTTTTCCGAGAGCGACTCACGAGCAAGCTGTTCGCCGAATACACCGAGGCCGCCGTGCGTGGAGCGGTGTTGGTGGCGCGGGGCGAAGTTCAACCGCTCAATCCGACCGAGGCGCGGGAGGCGCAGATCTTCGTGTACAACAACGTCTTTTACTCGTTCGGCGCTGACGGCGTGGGCACATTCACCAGTGATGGCGGCGATGAGGCTGCGAGGGTGGCGACCGGAAAGGACGTGCATGGTGTGAAGGCGGTGAATCAACTCGACATCACCGGCCTGTTCACTGCCGGCACCGTCGTGGTCGACTATCTCGGCAAGCGCATTGTGGGGCAGAGCATCGTTCCGGGCATTTTCAAACAGCGAGAGCCGGGGGAGAACCAGATCGACTACGGAGGCGTCGAAGGCAAGGATGTCGTCGCCACGCTCGAGTCGTTTGTCCAGCCCTTCAGCGAGCTTAGCAAGGCCACGCGAGTCAAGAGGCATGCGGTGTGGGACAAGGAGGGCAAGAAGCATGATCTGGAAGCCAGCGTGGAGACTAAGGGTCTGCTTGGCACTGATGGGCGGAAATACATTCTCGATTTGTACCGTCTGACGCCACTGGATATCTCCTGGGTCGAACGGTATCGCGAAGAGTGGAAGGATGAGCAGACTCGGTACCCTCACCGCATGACGGTGCTGCGGACGGAGCTGGTGGAGTCGTATCGCATTTCCAAGCTGCGAGAGTACATTGCGAAGGAACTTGATCAAAGGCGGGCGAACAAGGCACAAAGTCAGGGAGAGGGTACGAAGGAGCTGACGAACGGCTCTTCCGAACCCACACCCAAGGACGACACTGCGGAGGCGACCACCAACGGCACTTCGGATGCGAAGAGCGAGGCCGATCTCACCAACGGGGACGAGAATCCTAGCGAGGAAGTAGCCAAGCCCGCTCAGCCCGACCAACAGGCGCCACAGGAAACCGTCGACGTCTCTGGCTTTGCATTCTCGCTGAACCCCGACGTCTACTGCGGCCAACAGCCGCAGACTGACGAGGAGAAGGCAGAACTGGAAGCTGACGAGGTCGAAGTGCGTGCCGTCGGCAAGTACCTGCTCGCTGACGTTATTCCTCGAATGGTTCGCGAAATCGAAGAAGGAGACGTGGGCTTTCCGATGGACGGCCAGAGTCTTACGCGCGAGATGCACAAGCGTGGCATCAACGTGCGATATCTGGGCGAGGTGGTGCGCTTGTGCGGCGAGCAGGAGCAGGACAAGAGAGTGCAGGCTCTGTGCAGGCTGTGCAAGCAGGAGATGATAAGCCGGGCTTTCAAGCATGTTGCAAACGCGCACATGAAGACTCTGCCGCCGTGTGTTATGCAGAGCTGCGTCAGCCACCTTCTGAACTGTCTCCTGGGCGCTGGACTCAACGCCAAACCCGAGGCGGATGTCGACAACGACCTCAAGCAGATGTATGGCGATGTGGACTTTGCGTTTGAGCAGATGACGCCCGAGAAGTTGGCTGGGGATTTGAAGGCGCAGATTGCGCTTCGCTTCCGACATGACTTCACGGGCGATCTTGTCCAGTCTGGACGACAATTGCATCTGCTGCGCGAGGTTTTGCTGAAGCTGGGCCTCCAGCTCGAAGCGAAGGAGTATCAATTTGACAAGCAAGCGCCAACACCGCAACAGAACGGCGCGGAAGAGACGGCATCCCCGCCTCAAGTCAATGGCGCGCACGCCCCGGCAGAAGGAGGCAAAAAGAAAAAGAAGAAGGCGGCGGAGAATTCACCTGCTCGAGCATCGCACTCGCCAGCTTTGGCGCCAACGACTTTCCATCCGGAGAATGTGGTGAACATCGTTCCAGTCGTCAAGGAAGCGGCACCACGTAGCGTGCTCGCTGAAGAAGCGCTGGATGCTGGGCGGATGGGCCTGCAGCAAGATCAGAAAGAACTCGGGCAGGAGTTGCTCTTTGAGAGCTTGAGTCTGCACGAGCAGATTTATGGAATCCTGCATCCCGAGGTGGCGCGCGTGTACCATGCACTCTCCACTCTCTACTTCAACCTCGACGAAAAGGCGGCGGCAGTGGAGCTGGCGAAGAAGGCGGTCATCATCTCCGAGCGCACCCTGGGCGTCGACAACGTGGAGACCATTCTCGCCTACCTCAACCTCAGCATCCTCGAGCACGGCTCGGGCAATACAATGCAAGCCCTCGCATACGCCCGCCACGCCCTGGACTTGCAGAAGGTGGTCTTCGGCCCTCGACATCCCGACTCGCTCACGACCCTCAACAACATCGCCATCATGCTACAGCTATCGAAGAAGTACGGCGAGTCGCGCGGCTGGTTCGAAGCGGCGCTGGAAATGTGCGAAGAGGTGTCCAGTCGGCCGAGCCAAGCGGTCGGCACGGCGACGCTTCTCTTCCAGCTCGCGCAGTCGCTGGCCTTCAACCAGGAGCCCAAGGCGGCGATGGCGCGGATGCGCGAGAGCTACAACATCTTCAAGACGGAGCTCGGGCCCGAGCACCCCAATACCAAGGAGGCGGAGAACCTGCTCGACATCCTGACCAATGCCGCCGTCAGCCAGGCGAAGCACCAGGCCAATATCTTCCAGAACCGCAAGTTGCTGTTGCGGAATAACGGGCGGGCGCCGATGATGGGCATGCGCACGAACGCGAAGGCTGCCCCTGCCGGTACTGCTGTTACTGGTGGGGCAGTGGACGCTGCTGCATCGCATGTCCCTGCTGGTACTGCGGCTACCGATGCCTCCCTCCCGCAAGCGGTCGACCAGAGGAGCGTGGACGAGTTATTGAAGTATATCAACGGGGAGACGACGGCGAACACGAGCACGCCGAAGAAGAAGCCGGCCAATCCGAAGAGGAGGCGGTAGGCCTTGTCATTGCGTTCTGCCACTTCTTCTTCTTTGCGAGCATTTTGAGCATGGCACGGAGAGCGGCATTATACATCTGGCGGCCTTTGGGACGTTGTATTATCGTACGGACGGGACTGTTCCACTCACCAATTGGGTTTGCATCGAGGCGGGTATTGTGTAGATATATCATCCCGAGCAGAGGATGTTTGTAGCATACGTGTAGCATGTTATCAATGCATTGTGACAAGCATCGTACATTTCCATTCACTGCAACGCTTTTCCATTCCATCAATTCAATCTAGAAGCACGTGCCCAACCCCACCAAGTCAATCTGCTCCTTCCTTTGATCATCATCGAAAAATCCCACCGCACGGCTTCACCCGCGGATTTTTTTCTTTTCGGGCAGCGGAATCGGCGGCGCAGAACCTCATCACTTGGCGTCCCCATTTCCACCCAATCATCTTGCCCCGATTTTAAAGGTACTGTATCTCGGATCTTTCTTCTCTCCCGCCCTCCATGCCCTCGTGGTTTGGTAAGAAGTCTTCTTCCTCTATAGACAAACGACTCGACACGCCGCCTCGCAGTCCTACGAAAGAGAAGCACGGCCTTCCTTTTTCTTCACCTCCGACTTCGCCCAGCGGGAAAGGCAAGGGCTACTTTGTGCGGGAACAAGAGGGCACACGATCGAATCTTAGCGGCAAAGGGAAAGACTCCAGTCGTCGCCCTACGACTCGTCGACGAAGTCGCACACGCACTTCCCATTCGCAAGAACATCCGCTCAATTTGCCCCCCGAGCAGCGGGATTTGCAACGGGTCAGGGCTGCGTTTGCTGCTGGGATGATGGACGGCGAGAGCAGTCCGGTGGAGCAGAATGGGGACGTTCACGCGGGTGAGGGGATGGAGAGTACGCCTGTGCCGGAGGAGAAGGAGCAGCAGCAACAGCAGGAGCAAGAGCAGGAGCCAACCGCAGTGAATGGAGATGGAGAGCAGAGTACTGCGCCTACTCCGCCGTTACATCGCACGCCTACGACGCAATCGGAGGCTCCGAAGGAGGTCGTTGATCCTGAGGCTTGCAAGGCTGCGGGGAACAAGTTTTACAAGGCCGCGCAGTATAAACAGGCTATCGAGGAATATACGAAAGGTTGGTGGATTCTGTGCGTGGGTGTGCCATTGATGTTTTGTACTGATTTGGAGGAATAGCCATCGAAGCCAGCCCGTCAACGTCTACCTACCTCTCCAACCGAGCGGCCGCTTATATGGCTGCGAATCGATACGCCGAAGCCCTCGAAGACTGCAAGAGCGCCGACGAGCTGGAGCCGAACAACACAAAAGTGCTGCATCGGTTGGCAAAAGTCTATACGGCACTCGGACGACCACAGGAAGCGTTGGATGTATATGGACGGATCGATCCCCCGGCAACGGCAAAGGACAAGGCCCCGGCGTTGAATATGGCTCATCACATTTCCCAGGCGCAGGACAGTTTACAGAGCAGTACTTCAGGATCGATGGTTCTCCACGCCATTGATCAAGCAGAAAAGGGACTGGGATACGCTGTGACGCCGCCGCGGAAGTGGAGGTTGATGCGGGGCGAGGCATATCTGAAGATGGGCTCGGTGAACAGCCTGGGAGACGCGCAGAACATCGCCATGTCACTCCTACGAAACAACAGCGCCGACCCTGAGGCACTAGTACTCCGAGGGCGAGCGCTCTACGCGCAAGGCGACAACGAAAAGGCCATCACCCACTTCCGCAAAGCGCTGGAGTGCGACCCGGACTTCAAAGACGCCGTCAAGTACCTGCGCATGGTGCAGAAGCTGGACCGCATGAAGGAGCAAGGCAACGACCACTTCAAGCACGCGCGCTACCAGCCCGCCGTCGAAATCTACACCTCGGCCCTCGAAGTCGACCCGCTGAACAAAGGCACCAACTCGAAAATCCTCAACAACCGCGCCATGTGCCACACCCGGCTGAAGCAGTACGATCAGGCGATCAAGGACTGCGACCAAGCCATCCAGCTCGACCCAAGCTACACCAAAGCGCGCAAAACGCGCGCCAAAGCGCTCGGCGAAAGCGGCGACTGGGAAGAGGCCGTGCGCGCCCTCAAAGCCATCCAAGAGCAATCGCCCGAAGAGCCGGGCATCGCGAAAGAAATCCGCAACGCGGAGCTCGAGGTCAAGAAGAGCAAGCGCAAGGACTACTACAAAATCCTGGACATTGAAAAGCACGCCTCCGACCACGAGATCAAGCGCGCCTACCGCAAATTGGCGGTCAAGCACCACCCGGACAAAAACCCCGACGACCCGGAGGCCGAGGGCCGCTTCAAGGATTTGCAAGAGGCGCACGAGACGCTTTCCGACCCGGAGAAGCGCGAGCGCTACGATTCCGGCGCGGACTTGATGGATCCCATGGAGGGTTTCGGGGGCGGGGGGTTCGGGCATGGATTTGGCGGCGGCGGGTTCGGCGGCGGGGGAGGCGTGCAGATTGATCCCGAGATGCTGTTTAATATGATGGGCGGCGGCGGGGGCGGGCGTGGTGGTGGGTTTTCGTATGGGGGGATGCCGCAGAGGGGGGGCGGGTTTCCTTTTGGCTGAGGGAGGGAATTGTTGTTCTTTGGGGGTGTCGGGATGCATATGCTTTGTGCAGTGCATTTGTGTGGCGTTGGGCAAACGTCTAGAGAGTGTGGCCTTCAAGGTCGAGCATGGGTGCAGGGAATGCATTGCGGCGGCGGTGGTGTGGATTTTACCACGCCCTGAACACCTCCAGCCTAGATACGGGGGGATGGGTGCTTCGGCAACCAGCAAAGTGCATCTCATCAAAGACTACGCAAGATTCCCATCTCGTATCACGATACAGTCGAAATGGGAGGTACACGGAGTAGACATTGGATTCATCATAGAAATCTCTCCCTACAACCCCCTCATGTCCGCTCGTCTCTCTGCCCGTCTTGCACGTCTGCTTCGCCAGACACGAGTAAAGTAAGATATAAGATAGCTGTCCGTGTCGTGCTCAAACGACGTATACAAAAAGCCGCACACAAAGGAAGGAAATAAGTCAGGCGAGCACAACGAACAAACACGCGCAAGAAGGAGAAACGCAAGTCCACTGGCCCCTGGAATCTCATCTTTAACCTCGCAGCGCATAGAAGAGGGTGACACGCACATCGTCCTCGAGGGACATGGCGTGCGCCGTGATCCAGCACTGCTCATCGGTGTTGAGATTTCACCAGGGGAAAGGAGGAAGGCGGGTATGCTATCCATGAGCTCCCCCTTCTCCCGTTGCCACCTCCCATGATCGTAATATCTTTTTTGAATTGGTTGTCAAAAGTCCCGTTTCGTCCTTCGTGTGCAAAAGAGAGTGTGTGTGCACGGAAAGGAAAGAAACGCCTCCACGTCCAGAGTGCTGAAACCCGTTCCCGTCAAACATCCTGAACGACCGGTGCAAGCAATTTATCCAAGCAGAAATAAAAGGCAAGGGGTCGTATGTCATCCACAGATCGGATTACGCATCCATCTTGCCGAAAACGCCTTCAAACTCCTCGTGCGTGGGCTGGTTGGAGCGCGGGGGCCGCCGTTGCTGATGCTGCTCGCGATCCGCCTCGTCGTCCTCTGAGCTGCTCTCGTCCATGATCACGTCTTCCACTTGCGCACTACCGCGATGCTGGTGGAAACGGTTGGCGTACTTCTCTGGTAGCGGAGGCACAGGCGGGACATCATCGGGGGTGGGGCCAATCTTTGGCGTGCCATAGCTGCAGCTCAACAAGCCAACGGCCGCGGCGAGTTCTTGCGGATCTTCATCCGGGTAGCTAGCGGCGACAACAGAGGCATCGGCGGTGTAAGGTCTGCTGCTACCTGCGTCATTACTCCAATGGCGGTGGTGTGGGTAGGAGGAGGGTTCGGAGAAGACGGATTGATAAGAGCGGGAGTAGGAGTTGACGCTTGCGTTGCTGTAGCGCTTGTTGTCGTTGTCCGCGGGATCTCGGTAGGTGTGATGAGTCTGACGAGGCGATGGGGAGCTCTCGGGCGAGCTGGGCGGATCCTCTTCGCGTTCCGAGGAGCCGGAAGCGGCGGGCGAGGAAGAGTCGCTGTCGTGAGCTGCTTGCGGGCCATCCGTGTTCATGGCCACGAGCACCGAGGCTGCTTCGAGGAGTTGCACCTGTTGATGTTTGGAGATGAGGAGTTTGGAGGTGAGTTGCCATTGAGGAGTGTGTTCCCAGCTGTTGGTGTATGTTAGCTTCCGCCTCACTCTCAAATAGATGCGGGGATATGGGAAAACCCACAGATGCTTGTTGAGGCAGCTGCCATGTTTGTACGCCTTCCCACATTGCTCGCACTTCAGATCCCCACCTGCGGCCTTCTCTTTCTTGGAAAGACGCGAGCCATCGCTGGCTCGCCTCATTCGCTGTTTGGTGCGGTCGACAGCCTGGAATGATGACAAAGACGGGCCGTCGAGGACTGCGCTTTCGCTGGCTCCTTCGGGCATGGACTTGTGGTATGGAAGGCTGTTTGGCATGGACGGGTACGAGGCATCGTTCAGCGCGGCGAGAGCCTTGACAAATCAGCATGTTGCTCTCATAATGCAAGCCTGACGCAAGTGGGGCGCATGATGTTTGCCCACGACCGCCCGACTGCAGTACAATGTAACACGCGAAGCGATGTGATTGTCATGCGGAGGAAAGGAGGACTACGTCGCGGGTGTCTCGGAGGTACTCACATTGCGAGACATGGAGCTGCGCCTGTGCCCACTCGAGCCATCTGCCGCGGCCGTATTGAGGGCTGCGCCAATGGCGGCGACATTGGCGGGCGGCAGAAACGTCGAGCTCTTCCTGCGATTGACACGATTCGAGGGATTGACGGAGCCGACGGAGATGGTGTGGGAGTGGGAGCGACTATAGGAGTTGCGGACGGGGAGGGCGGCGGCGGAGCCGATGGAGAGACGGTGCTGGCTCGTCGGGCGGGAGATGTCCTTTGTTCAGCAGGCGTCAGTCGAGGGTGGAGGAGGGAAGTGAATGTGCACAGAAGCGGCGAGGGCGAACCTTTGACGCCGTCATTCTGCGTAGCTGCTCCCTCTTCTCCAATGCCCTCTACAAGTAAGAGTAACAGTCCAAAAGTGTCGAGCAAGTCGTGCGGTTTGGCGTGCGTGGGTGTGTGTGGGCGATCGACGGGGCTGGAGGATTGGGAAATAAAAAAAGACCCGGCGTCTCGCTAAGCGTGTGTGGGAACCCAACCCGGCACTTTCGACTCGACAGACGCGACAAACACAATGCAGGGCCACGCGGGGATCGATGTGAAGTCGAGAGCCGTCGTGGTCGAAAGAGACGCGTGGGTGGTAGTGGTGGTGTTGGTGGAGGAGGAGGTGGTGGTGGGAAAGAGAGGAAGAGTCAGGTGGAAATTCGCGAAAGGCGGGCAGGAACGAGGGATTTCCTAAGCAAGCAAGCCTCCCCCCGCACTTTCCGAAAGGCGGCAAGCGGCAAGAGCGTTTCCGCGTGCTGCGCCCTTTTCTTTCCGTGGAGCGAGGATTGGTTGGTGGCGGATGAGAGGGAGAGGTGTGTGGTGTGTGGTTGAAGGATGACAGTGGGATGGGGGGTGAGCGGATTAATTTTCGATTCACGCGTCAGACGAAAGTGGAAGGGAAACAAGAAATAATCGAGAGCAGCAAAGGGCTCGCTCGCGCTCTCGGCGGGCACATGCCCACGCCACACACGCACTCAAGCCCGTCCCCGTGCGCTGCTCACACGCCCACCGCACAGTCCACGCGCTAGGCAGGAAACAGCAACAGGACCCATCTTTCCCGTCGATTGCGAAAGACGGCGAGCCCTGGATTGGCATGCGGTTTGGCGGTGCTGACGGCTCATGTCGCTGTTCGCTGGTTGTCTGTCATCAATTCTCTGGGTCGGGCATGTGCAGTGCCCATCAACTCGACTCCTGCCCCCGACACACCCTCCATCTCCACTCGCCCTCCTGTAATCATTGCTCAGCATCCACCCGTTATTGGCGGGTAGGGCTCGACGACGCCCGCCCGTGCCTGAAATTCCAACCCCTCTTTCCCACTCTCCCTGAAACCCTCTTTTAGCGCCGCGATAAGATTAGCCTCGCTGGTGTGAACAACCAAACATCCGCCGCCCGAGCAAGCGAGTGCGATGTCCCGGTCCACGTGTTCTAGGCCCCCGGATTCCTGCAAAGCATCAGGTGGTCTTGTCGATCAGCGAAGCCCAGGGCGGGAAAGATGTGGCATGTCCGTCCACACCACCACCTCTCGGCCGTGTCACACGCATTGCTTGCTTGCTTGCTTGCTTGCAGGCACTGTCATTCGGACACACGCATAAGCGCGTGCATGCATTCCCCTTATTATGTAAATGCGAACCCCTCTGCTATCCGTGCTTTGCTGCTTGCGTGATTCCGGCGATCTCCCGCACCACAGCTAGTTGTTACGATGCGGCGGGTGCTGTTGGTTGCGCAATTCTACGTAAACCTCGGAATACGGGAGGCTGCTGCCTACACTATGTACATGGCATACAACCCTTTATCCACCTCGCACTGCATTCGTCGTCTCTTTCCCTCCATACGTGCCACGCAGTTGGCGGCCACAGGGCCTCTCAACTTCCCAAGCCCAACGCCGGCCCATTTTGCCCAGCATGCCGCCAATACAAATTGCAGCACGCCATCTCGATCTTCGTAACGACCTGCCATCCCCTCTCCATCATGGTTTTCGGCCATGACCAGTCCCGGTGGTAATAGATCTCCACCAGCGCCTCCTCCATCCCCGCCATGATCCGTCTCCATACAGCGTGCACGCTACCCACGAAGCTGTCGTCCTTCCAACTCGCCACCGTGTTACTTTTTGGGAAACTGATGGCCGGTCTCCCCCCTGGCGGACACTGTGCGACCCGACACACTCGTTCCCAACTGACCTCGCCCGCGTCATCCACCACCAACTCCACATACCGCTCGGGCATGTTCTGGAAGAAGCGGCGCACATTCGCCGTGTGATTCCGGTAAGCATTCAGCACCACCTCCCGATCTCCCTCGGTATCCTGGCTGCCGTAAAAATGCACCGCCGGCGCCCACACGCCCCGGCTCTGATGCTTCTGCATACTTCGCAGCCACGTTTGCTCGTCCTTTCTTAGGCTGAGGATGAACTTGGCATCGGGATACATCTCCGCCAGCTCCTCGTACATGAAGGGCCAGGGCAGGTCCTCAAAGGCATCATAGTACTTTGTCAGCTCGATCAGCGAGCCATGCTCGCCGTGCATAAAGGAGTGCACCAGCTGGCGACTACGGACGTCCTTCCAGTTCATACGGCGATAGCCGAGGAGCGCCAGGGCATTGCCCACCGATGTCGTGCCGGTTTTGGAGAGCCCGACCACGAAGACCTTGGGTCGCAGGTTGGTCGGGGGTTGCGCGATGTGGTTGATGATGAGTGAGATGCTGGAAAGGAGGAGCGGGATGACTATTGCGAGGAGATTCATCTTGGTGTGAGTGATGAACAGAGGCGTGTGTGGCGCGTGGCGATTGCGTGCGCGCCTCTCTCCCACAAAGGATGTCGCGCGTCAAGCGTGCAGCGTGTCGTGATTGTCCATCGCCATCATCCGAATCGTGAGCATTGCCAGGGCGAGCGAGTGCCAAGTCCACTTATCTCTTCCTGCTCGGCCGATTCTACTGAATCGAATGGATCGCGATCCGGCTTGGCACTCGCGAGGCTTTCACTAATTTGCGGGCGACAGAATGATGGGCGATTGCCGAGTAATGACAGGCACTCTCCGGTGCCAGAGCTCATTCCACCCTCTTCCACCGCGTCGAGCCGACCACGCATGTCTCGAATGCGCTCACGCCTTTCATGTACCCGCACGCGTGCAAGACGGTGTTTTTATTTTCCTGCCATCTAATTGCTAAGAGATACGCCGTGCCCCCCCGGCTTGGCCCAAATCGGCCATGGCTCCAACTCAAAGCAACACGTGCGGCCAGCTCAACGTCTTAGGCGGCCCCCGTATCTTCGCATCGCATTCCCCCTTATTAATAACATCAACATGTTTGTAAGAGTTGCATCGCTTCCTCCTCGATAGCAGAGCAGAGCCGAGTCGGATGGCGGAGAATGCCCGGCTGTGGCAGTGTCTGTCTCTCTTCCTCCTTCCCATCCTTCTGCTGCAGTTCTATTGGATCTTCCACAACGGCCATCCACACCGCGGCCCTCGACCCCCGCCCTTCCACGCCCCGCATCGCCCCCTCTGCGTCGGAGACAGCAGTTTATGGACGTACAATGCCACCCGCGACACCGAGAACACCGCGCTGAGCCACGCGCAATGCGCCCTCGCCTTCCCCGACCTAAACTACGAGATCGACCGCGCAAAGTCATACTGGCAGAAGCGAGGACACAGGATCACACAGCAAGACACCAACATCGCATGGCGCCCCGACGGCGCCTTCCGACTGTTGATCGTCGACAACCAACTGCGCATCCTCGAAACCAAAGGAGCATGGATGAGCAGCGGCTATCGCTATCGCACCCACCCCACCCTCCACCAAATCTACAGAGCTCTGCTCGGCGCCACGGCCGCGGGGGAGATGCTGCCCAATATCGAGTTCGCCGTTACCGTCGATGACATGTCGCTCATCCCGGCCGGAGGAGAGGACGACACGCGCACCATCTGGGCCTACGCGCGACGACTGAACGTCACGGAGGATGAGCGGCTCTGGCTCATTCCGGAGTTCAGCTTCTTCACCTGGCCCCCGATTGGCGGGCATTTCTCAGAGATGCAGAGAAAAGCAAGGGTGTACGATGCGCCGGTGCGCGACAAGATCCACCAGCTCGTGTGGCGCGGCGCAATCTGGACGAATGGGCCGATTCGAGAGGGTCTCGTTGCAGCCACGGCCGACAAACCGTGGGCGAACGTGGCGGAGGCCTCGCGGAAGAATCAACCCTCCAACCTCATTCCCACCGACGAAATGTGTCGCTGGGAGTTCCTCGCGCACACCGAGGGCCGCAGCTGGTCTGGCCGGCTCCTCTTTCTGCTCAACTGCAATTCCATCCCCGTCGTGCACGACCTGAAATGGACCACCATCTTCTACCATCTGCTCAAACCCAGCGGGCCGGAGCAGAACTACATGCCCGTCAGGCGCGACTGGTCGGATCTCGAGGAAAAGATTACCCACTTCCTCGCAAACCCCGACGAAGCGCAACGCATCGCGGACAATGCGGTCGCCCAGTTCCGTTCGCGCTACACCTCTCCCGCCGCCGAAGCGTGTTATTGGAGAAATCTGATTCGCGGGTGGAGCGAAGTGGCTTTCGACCCGGAGGTGTACGAGACGGTGACGGTGGAATACGGCGGCAAGACGGTCGAAAAGCAGCAATTGCGAGGGGTGGCCTTTGAGGAGTTTACGTGGGTGTTGTCCGTTCTTTATCTTGCGATGCCCGTGTTGCTGACGTGTTGTCACCAGTTGGATCCCCAGTGGCCAGGCGTGAGGATGACCAGGGTGATGCATTGCACATGCATAACGAATCAACGATGTCGTGCGATGGGCTGTGAACACCACTCTCCAAGGCCTCGACTACGTCCCTCCGTGGAGAGGATACAGACGACGCCGAGCCGACGGCATACGCCTTGGAATCGACACAAAAGCCCTTCTCTTCTCCGCCAATATTGGTGGCAGCTCCCGATACAGCGGTCAGCAGATGCATTGAGCAGGCTCCAGCGATGCATATTGGTTGGTCAAAACGGTGTTTGAGGAGATTGAGCGGGAGTAGCAGGATATCTGGGTACTGCGGAAGAGTACAGGGCCTGTGGACGGAAGCCGCCCCATTGAATAGAGATGGCGACCGGCTTCTCCAACGATTGTTAATGAGGACAGGATATGTCGGATTTAGAATACCCATAATGCATAGCCTTCAATTGCCCAATACAACCATAGTATCCCGCAGTATGTCGCGTTTCCAAGCCATAATGCACCCACGGAAACTCCGCCGAATGCTGCGCGCAGCTGATGTCATTCAAAGCGCGCCGGCCAGCACTTCCCTCATCCACTCCCAGCCCAACACCGACCCATTCCTCTCCCAACAAAGCACGCCCAACTCCAGCCCCTCGCACGCAAGGCATGGACCCAACATGCCCGCCCACCCCTCCTTCCCAACAACCGCCTCCTTCCCCTCAGAAAAACTCACTCTCGCCGCGGGAATCGCAATCTTCCACCTCGCCACCGCCCGCGTAGTCCTCTGCCACCACTCGCGCGACAAATACTGGTTCCTACCGAAAGGCCGGAAGAACGCGGGCGAAGAGCTGCCCGCCGCCGCGGAGCGCGAGGGCTTCGAGGAGTCCGGGTATCGCAATCGCGTGCTGCCGCTGCCTTTTAAGCACCGTGCTACGCATGATGAGGGGAGGGGACGGGAGGCGTTTGTTACTGAGCCGGTGTGGATGCAGCTTTTGCCGTTGAGCGAGACGGTGCAGTATGTGCTTTTTTGGTTTGTGGGGGAGACGGTGAGTGAGGGGATGGAGGGGGAGGGTGCGGGTGCGGGGAGAGGGTATTCCGCGCCTGTGGCGTTTCCGAAGGACGTGACGTTGAAGGAAAGGATTGGGATGGATCGGAGAGTTGGGGAGGATGGGAAGGTGGTGGTTTATGAGCCTGTGCGGCATGCGAATACGGGGGTGGATGAGGAGGAGCAGCTGTATGAGAGCTTTCTGGTGCCGGTGTCGGAGGCACGGCGGAGGCTGAGGGGGAGTGTTATGGAGGATGTTGTTCGACGGGGCTGGGATGCTGTGGAGTTGCGGATGAGGATGGAGGAGGGCAAAGGCAGTTGATGAGAGACTCATGAGGCCGAGGAGGCAGAGCAGGCTGCGCGCAGGTCACATGAGCTGCACTCTGATTGGTCGGATTGGCGAGGCCAGTGCGGCCTTGCCGCCTGTGCTGCAGCCTTCCGCGGACACCTGCAGACATGGACTCACCGCGTTGACTCAACCACGACATTCGATGTGTCGTTGCAGGATCGGCGGCGTTCTCTTCGTGTCTCTGTGCATCCCCGCCCTACGAGACATGACGTGAAGATTCCGGTACTTTACCTTCAAGAAGGTGGGAGACTGCACCCTTGAAACTGACCAAACAGCTCTCCTCACTCGGGCTGCGTGTCAGGCAGACGTGGCTTAGTCGCGCCAGCAAACGTGCACCTTCCGTGAGCGTAATGGGAAGGTGTTGACTGGCGGGTAAGGTATCGAAAACTCACTCCCTCACCTTCGAAGATCACTCTCACTTGCTATTGCGGCGATGAGGGCAGCCTTCACTCCTTGACAAACTCCATCACCTAAAGAGAAGACGCTCACCACTCTCCTCCTCCACCATGGCGGTGCCGCGAACCCCAGAGAACAAAGCTGCAGTAGCAGACACCGTACCACTCCGAAGCTGCATCGCCTGCTGCATGACCGAGAAGGAAAGCACGCTGCTGCGACCATGCAGAGCCTGTAACCACGACTATTGCACCGAATGTGTGCTCGACATGTTCATTACCGCCACCCACGACAGCACCCGCATGCCTCCTCGCTGCTGCGCCCTCCTCCCCATCCACACCATCATCGCCGAACTCTCCGACGAAGAAGCGGCCGAATATCGAGCCAAGGTCGAGGAATGGATCACCCCCGTCAAGACCTATTGCCCCTCGCCCACCTGTTCTGCTTTCATCTCCGACCGACTCATCCCCTGCGATACCCCAGCAAAGCCAGCACCTCTCCCTCCTTCCATCGTGTCCATTCTCCAAGAGGTGCTGCCAGCCATCGCCGCGAGCAGCTCCGCTCGCTTCTTCCGCGGCGAAATGGACATCTCCGAACTGCCCGGCTTCACCAAGGTCGTCAAAAACCCAATCGACCTGACCATGATCCAAGACAACATCTCCAAGTACCATAGCATCAAGGAAGTCACCGCCGACATGCGACATCTCGTCTCCAACGCCGTGGACTACAACGGGGTTAAGCACCCCGTCTCCCACGCTGCTCGCCGCCTTTACGCAGAGTACACCGACCAGCTGTCCGCCGTCACCGATCGCCTGATCAAGTACACCGCCAAGGAACCTGCGCCGAAAATCTTCGCATGCCCCAAATGCCATGTGGCCATCTGTCCCAGCTGTAAGCAAATCGAGCACGCGGGCCGGCCGTGCGACACCCGTGCCGCAGAAGAGGAGGCCGCGATGCTCGAACGCTTTGGGTACAAGAGGTGTCCGCGTTGCAATGCTGGCGTGAAGAAGATGTACGGCTGCAGTCATATCCAATGCGTGTGTGGCGGGCACTGGTGCTACTACTGCCAGAGGAGTACGAGCGAGTGCGATGGAGGCTGTGGCGAGTACAGCGAGGGAGACGACGAGGAGGAAGAGGAAGAAGAGAGTGAAGAAGACGATGAATCGGATGAGGAAGAGGGGGGTATGGATGCTGTTACTAGTGGACGTGATGTGGAGCGGGTGGAGGGAGGCCAGCCAGCTCAATCTGGGAACACGGGGAACAGCACGCACCCTCCACCAGCCGCAGCCGCAGCCGCTCCTCCTCCACCGCCTCCGGAGAGATTCGTCAACCTTGATGCCGGACCACAGCGCGTGTGGGCAGAGGGCGATTACGACTTCGGCTCCGAGCCAGGAGACGAGCCGTTCGCTCAGGTGTGGTCGTGTCGACACTACTTCATGACATGCGAGGCGCCCCCAGCAGACGGCATCAATCGCGGCAACCTCGATCGCATGGAGTGCAACCGGTGCTTCGAGAGGGTGATTGCCTGCAAGCCCGCGCCACTCTCGGGCCTGCCACAGCATCTGCTGAAAATGAAGAAGCGTCGCAAGGCCGGATCACGACCGAAAGGGATGTTGTTGCCGGCTGAGTCGTCGGAGATTCTCAATGAGGCTGCTGCTGCTGCTGCTGGTTCGAAGGAGGCGCTGGAGTGCGAGATTTGCCACATTATCGTTTGCTCGTCTTGTCGGAACAAGTACGATGCGGAAGATGATGCGGATTAAGTGTGTGTAGTATTGCCGGGTGTAAAAGGGGATGCTGAGGTGATCTGTTGCTTCGGCAGATCAAGCTTCGTGTGATAATGCTTCGTAGTTGCTCATAAGTAGTCATTCCAAGTGGACGTTGACGTGCAGTCAAAGTGTATCGTCTTGTCCTTGATTAGAGTCCTTCACTCTCCTTGCCCGAGTACGTACTTTCGCACCGACTGCTGGACATTAGCGACCTCCCACAAAAAAGAACCAAAGCCGTCAAACTCACAGCACGAAGATCCTCCAGCCTTTGTTGAGTGCGATTGTACACCACGCGATACTGCGCGAGCGTCTCCTCCACCACTTCCTGCCTCGTCTTCCGCCCCTCGCAAATGGCTTTCATCTTCAACTCCATCTAGCAACGTCATTAGCGAACAGTCAACGTAGAGCCGTCACCACGCGGGCATACCTCTTTGCGCAAGAAGGGTTTCGTCAGGCTGATTTCGAATCCCATGCTTTCGTACCCTTCGACGAGAGCGACGCCCAGCGTGGTCGGGATGAACTCTTGCACGCCGCGAGTAGTCCCTGCGCCTCTGCCATTTGCCCCGGCACCACCGCGGCCTCCTCTTCCTCGTCCACGTCCTCTTCCTCGACCAGCGTTTACAGGAGGTGGTTCATCATCATCCGAGATATCATCATCGCCCGCTCGCCCTGCGGCCCCCTGTGATCTCGTCTCCACATACTTCCTGTCTTTGATCTTGGCGATATGTTCCGCCATTGTCGCATCAGTTCCAATCCCATTGGCATCCATCAATGCAATCAGCTCCGGCTCCGTCAAATACCCCGGCGGCGACGTTAGCCCCTCATGCATCCTCGCCTCCGTCGGGACAAACACTTCCCCCTCGCGGAAATCCGGCAACTCCTGCGAGCTCGTCCATTTGTCATAGGGGTACACGTCGAGGTAGTTGCGCTCGAGCACCGTCAGCCCGTACGCGGTGAACGTCTCCGAGCCGTACAGCAGCGCAACGGTCGTCATGCTGCCTTTGGCATCCTGGCTGCAGCACGCGAGGAAGCGGCGCACGATGAACTCGTGCACTCTGCGCTCCTCGGCGTTGAGGACGGAGGGGTCGACGAAGTTGACGGGGTGGATGGGCGGGTGGGCTTTGTCGTTGTTGCGTCCGTTGCGCGGGGCGGAGAAGCCGCCGTTGGCGAGGTGGTGGGCGAATTGCTGCCAGGGGCCGCCTTGCGTTTGTTTTCGCACGAGCGCTTGCAGGTCCATGCCGCGGTCGAATTGGTCGGTTTCGGTGCGCGGATAGCTGATCCAGCCTTTTTGGTAGAGCTGCTCGGCGAGGTGCATGACTCGCTGGCTGTCCATGCGGAGGAAGCGGCTGCCGCACTTTTGTAGCTCGACGGTGGTGAGTGGTAAGGGCTTCCATTTGCTAGTGGGTTTGGTTTGGACTTTGGTGACGCGAGCGGTTCGGGCGGCCAAGCAGCGCTCAAACAGGATGACGACCATCATGCGGTCGAAGAGGTGATTTCTTGCCCAGCTGAAGTTGACTTTGACCCCGTCTTTCTCGTGCATGACTTTGATGCTCCAGAACTTCTCGGGGACGAAGTTGCGCACGCGAAAGTAGCGTTCGACAACGAAGCCGAGAGTGGGGAATTGGCAGCTGCCATAGCTGATGACTTGCTTCTCGCCACCGCGATCTTGCAGCATGGGTTGGATGCTCATGGTGAGGTTGCGGGTGAAAGAAGCACCGATGCGGAGGTCGAGCTCGATCCTCGAAGCGACGGCATTGGATTGGGCTTCATCGATAGTCACCGGGTTGCGGGCTGCAGCGATGATGTGTGCACGCTCGATGTTGGAAAAGTGAGCACGCACCGTCTTGCCCGCGTCTGCGAGAAGGCGATTGGATCTGACGGCAATGTCGCGGATCTCGGCGCCGATGTTCTCGCCCTCGCGATCGCAGTCGGTCCAGATGAATAGAACCTCCGACTGCCGCGCTCGGACCTCGATGTTCCTTTCAATGGGCTTCTTGTCGTTTTCCACATACTTATCAATGGGCGCCTCGAAGAGCTCGACTGGATCACATGATCTCCATTGTCGATATCGCGAGTTGAAGTCCTGGCTGACCAAGTGGCCAGAGACGGAGGTCATAGTCACATCCGAGTGGCCCCATCTTGGGAAGTTGTACTGGAACTGGTAGTTTTTGATGAATTGATTGCCTTGTACGTTGTGCTGTTCGTACGTCAGTGTGTGACTGGAGGTCGAGTTGCAAGTTCTTGCACTTACGACGGTCACTTGATTGCCGGAGAGATGGTTGGCGACTGCTTTGGCGATGGAGGGCTTTTCAGCCACGCACAGCACTTTGGTCGCCATCTTTGGGTGCTCTATTGGAGAACTCGTCGTGCCGCTTCTTCATATTGCAAGCCTGTGTTTGGTCGGATGTGGACTGGACCTTCACATTTGCCTTGTGAGGTTGCTAAAGGTTCAAGGCGTCGTTCGGTGCGGCAAGGTGAAACGCGCTCTCACGTGCTTTCGCGTGGTGGATCCACCCGACGTCACGTCTCTAAAGTGACCTCGAGTTGGATATTTCATTCACACTTTCTCTTCTACATTCGCATGCTTTCAGGACAGCATCATTATGCTCGTGCAAGGCCTCACGTGAGATGTATGAATGTCAGCTGTTCTCCAAACATCGCGCTGCTATTACATGATGTTTCTCGCACACTAGCCCTACCGTCGAGGTACTCTTTGTTTCTCGCTTTCCAGACTGCGGAAGGCTTCCACCATCCAAGCAGATTCGACACTCATCCTTCGCAGTCAGTAATCACGATAACAGACTGCGGAACTACAGGGTTCCGTCACTTATACTATAGACGTCCTCGTCCAGCCAGACAGCGTTGCAATCGGTAACCGCAGTATACGCTGGTCATCCACTTGCCGCAGGGCCGCTTCATGCAGCAATACTCAACGTAGGTCGAGTAGTTGAACGACCGACCATCAAGCTCTCTTCAACCTGGCAATGACGAGCCACTGCTTCCTCTCCGTCACATTCTCCGTTGCTCCATCCGTCCGTTCCCTCACCCACTCCTTCTTCACCCCATGGACATCTTCCTCGTAAATCTCCTCCATACTCAGCCCCTGCTCAGCGCAAATGTCGAAGAATGCAGCCAATGTCTCCCGCCCGGTGTGAAAGCCGGCCACGACCAGAGCTCGACCGGCGGGATCGAGAGTCATAAAGTGTAGGATGGAGTGCACGAGGTTGAGGTGCTGGTGCGACATCCAGAGGCAGTCTGCTGCCAGGATGCGGGTGAAGGCGTGCTGATTGTCCTGGGCGAAGGTGGAGGTTAGTTCGCCCCATTGATGGCCTTGGATTCGATATGCGCCGGTCAGATGAGCAGGGATGGCTCGAGCGGCGTTTTGGCGGAGGTTATCGAGGCCTGCTGGGGCTGGGTAGTCTGACAGTACGACCTGTATAGATGGTCAATAGAGATTGTCGAGAGACATTTGCAATCATCTCACCCTTTTTGCTCCGGCCAACGTCGCCACAATCCCTACGAGTCCGACACCTAGCCACAATCGTTAGCGTATAATGCACAGCAATAATCAAAACGATGCTTGTCCCTACCTGAGCCCAATTCTAACACATCCTCCCCTTCGACCCTCCATTTCAATCCTTCCTCACCTCCATGATCCCCCTCCTCCCCAACCAACCCCGCCAACTTAATCCCCGCATTCCACAAATAATGCCCAAAAAGCAGCCTCTCGCCCTCGCCCACAGGATCGGCAGTCTTCAACTCAACCTCGCCGAACCGAGCACTCTTGTACACGATCGTGGCGCCGGCGTCCCCGTGCGAGTTGCGCGTGTCGTCCGGGAAGATCAGGCCGGGGGCGCTGGCAAAGATGTCTTCGACTTCTTCCTCGTTGCCCTCGGGTGGGAGGACTTGGATTGCGTTGGTAAGGGGGGGCATCTCGTCATGGTTGCTGGAGGTCGACGTTGCGTTGATGATGTTGGGTTGTCTATGTAGATTGGTGAGGGTGAAGGTGGTGATGTGGTGTGATGGCTTGAGGTGGGGCAGGCTGTCCGATTCATGCATGTCATTCGGCATACAATTAAACGCTACAATCTGGTACAGGTCGTCTGTGATATGGACTGAGGACTGATATGAGCGGCATTCGTCGCATCCTCGGGGTATGTCCAAGTCCCCACCGCCCTCACTACACCATCGCCTCACTGCAGCCATTCCAAAGGATCTACATAATCCTTCCAAGTAATAATCACTTCCCCTCCCTCGCCAACATCTCCTCCACCCCCTTCTCCAACACCTCCACACTCGGACTCATCAGCGTCCGACTCCACGGGCCCCGGCTCAACAGCACCAGCACCGGCAACTGATTCGGCCCAAACTTGAACATGTCGCTCGTGTCGCTCGTAATCTCCATCTGCGTGAACTTGGCCGCGCCGCCGTGCTTCGCGGCCAGCGCCTCGTATTGCGGCGTGAAGGTTTGGCAGATGGGGAGCGCGCTGTTGGAGACGTAGATGATTGTTGGCGTGGTGGCGGAGGCGTCGACTACCGCGTCGTGGCTTTGGCGGTTGGTGATTTGGGTGACGGAGGAGGACATGGTTTGTGCGATCACGTTGGACGGGGTTGAATGTGAGACGGGGGAAGATGGGAGGGAAGTGAGAAGAGGAAGAAGAAGCTGTGCAGGTAGATACTCCTCTTGTCGGATGGACGGATATCGAGGCTCCGGAGAGTCGAGAGCTGGCATTTACGCGCCATTCTCTTACCTATTGTTCGCTACGTATCATGCTGAACAGGGACAGTAGCTGCGTGTCAGATTCTCGTGTTCCTGGAGAGCCAGCAGGACGAACGCTGAACGTGAGAGGAACATATCTCCATCAATGTCGTCGGTAGGTGCGATGGAAGCACGCGCGCGATGACGTCGGTCCGAGTTCGTTCCGACTTCATTTCACACGACTCGAGGCATTCCACGACGCATCGACAAATGCTTACACATCAATCGCCTTTCCTCCACTCCGTCTCGACATGACCAGGCAATCATAGCGAGGCAACATCAGGACCACAACAACTCAATTGCCCACCGACTCAACATGCCCTCCCTCGGCCCTCTAATCCGCATGCGCGCCCTCGCAATCGACGACCTCCCCCACCACCCCTCCCTCTCCCACTCCGAAAACCAAACCGGCACCGCAATCGAACCCTTCATCGCCGCCGCCCTCTCCGAAGCAACAACCTTCATGCAAACCTACCTCCCGCAAAACTTCCGCGTGAAAGCCGCATCAAAATCCTCGCCGCCGTCAACAGCAGGCGTCAAACTGCTCGAATGCAGCGTCGTGCCCTCTGAACTCCCGGCCGAAGTGCGCGGCAGCAGTAGTGAGACATGGTTCGCGCGCGTAAGCGTGCATTCCAACGAAGCAAAGAGCGGCACAGCGAGCTGGGAGGAGTTCGATTCCGGCCTACGGAAAAATCACAGCCAGCATGAGATGGAGTACACGCCGGACGTGTACGATGCGCACGAGGTGCTGAATTGGGACGCGCAGCTGGACGCGGTGCAGCGGCGGGTGGGCGAGTGGGAGGAGGTGCACGTGGCGGTGATGGAGATGGCGCATAAAATCCCCATGCCGCTGAACAACCGCGTCTTCCCCGAGTTGGTGATTACGGCGCGCAAAGGCGAGAGGGAGTTTATTGTTGTGCAAATTCCCGTGTCGACGAACGACTTGCCGGAGGCAAAGTATCGCAATGATAGCAGTGTGGTGACGGGCATGTATTGCAGTGTGGAGCTGGGGGAGGTGATTGACGAGGGCAAGCAGGTAAGGTGGTCGATGGCGACGGCTAGTGATGCCGGCGGCTCGCTGCCCATGTGGATGCAGAAGATGGGTATTGCGGCGGCGGTGGTCAAGGACGTTGGCTTGTTTGTGGACTGGTGCGGCAAGACTCGCAAGTCAGGGAGCCAGGTGAGATGTATGTGCTGTCGGGCATGAAACGTGACTACGCGGACATGGTGTTGACCTTGTGAACAGAATGACACGACGTTGTAAACGCGGGAGAGCATGACACGAATAGCCGACTCTAGGTCGTGTTGAATTAATTTAAAATCAAACGCACGTGATTGTGTACCGAGCAATCCAACAAAAATCGGCGGAAGCCATATATCACTTGGCCCGCACTGTCGCGCCGGCCGGGCCCCGTAAGGTTAGCAACGCCCCCAATCCCAGTTCCCATCCCGTGATGGTACAGCGAAAGCATGACGCCCACCCTCTATCATCAAACTCGAAAGCTTACGCGGGCGGGAGAGTGGGGTATTGCACCTCACCCTCAGCATCCGCCATCTTTTCCTCCACCAGCTTGGCAATCTTCACACTCATGTCGTCGTCCTCGTCGACGGCGTGCTTGAGGGCAGCAGCAGTCTTCTCCTCGTCTTCGTACTCGCCGTTCTTCAACCGGTCGCTGACCCACTTCTTCAACATCTCGATTACGCGGATGTTCTCCACCCACTCCTCTTGACGCTTGTCGTCAATGGGCGTTGACACCGACTCGGCGGGAGACGCCACATCCTCCCCTCGTAGCGCGGGATCGATGCTATTGACCTTGCCGCTCTTCGGGGATTGCTTGACATCTGATGCCTTGGGCGTACGGCTGCCGTCTTCCGCGTCTTCCATGTCAACGTCAGGGCGGTCTTGGGTCTGGGTGGGTGCTTGTCGTTGGAGGCGGCCACCACTATACCTGCGACCACCAAGGTCCTCGAAGCCCGAGGAGAGACTGGACGGAGGAGCGGAGGTGGTGATGGGATATCCAGAGCCGAGGTCGGAGATGCCGGTGACGGAGGGAAGGCTGGGGTACATCTGGTTGCTGCCCAGGCTCATCCGACTTTGTGCGCTCGACGGGGAGTGACCGGAGCTGGAGTAGGAAGACATCGAGGCAGGGGTGAGGACCGGGGTGTCGATGCTGTTGGCGTTCGACATGGAGACGCCGCTCATAGCGTTGAGGCCGCTGTCGCCGTCATTGCGGTAGTTGGGAGGGCTTTGGCTGGAGCGGTAGTGGTTTTGTTGGTTGTTGTTGAAGCCGTACCCTCCGGCAGTGTGCATGGCGTGCACCCCGGGTTGGACGACGCCAGCCGCCGCGGCCGCGCTGCTGTTCTCGTACACGGTAGTCTGCAGCTCCTCCAAGAAGCGGTCGATGTCTTGCAGGTCGTTCTTGGTGCGAGCATTGGGCAATGGCAGGGAGTAGTTCTGAGTGGCGACACCTGCGTGCATGTCACCACCATGGCCACCCATGTGGGTAGTGGTGTGGTTGTTGTTGTTATTGTTGAACGACTCAAGCAGGCTGGTGACGTTGCTGTAGTTGTTGTAGCTGGTGTTGTTGTACCCAGTGTTGTACCCATTGCCGACCGGGAGGGGGAGAGCGTTGGCTTGCAGTCTCTGGCCAACGTCATAGTAGCTTTGGGGGTCGATGGCACGACGCTTGATGTCGCCGAGGAAGTCGTTCAGGGCCTCGATGGCACGCCGGCGGGTGTCCAGGCTCTGAATGTCGTGGGAGGAAGTGGTGGTGGGATAGCTGACCGATCCATAGCCAGCGTATTGCGCGGGCGCGGTGTGTTGGTGGAAGTGGCCGGGGTTGTGTGCATTGGCACCGAGGGCGGACTGGTAGGTGGAGTATGGGTTGGCCATGGAGTTGTCATGGCCGGCAGCGTAGTAGCCGGAAGCTAGGAAGGCGCGAAGATCAGACACGGACGAGGCGGAGAGGGGAGGAGGGTTGGTGGTGGAGGGGTGCTCACTCTTGCCGTTGGGTTGTCCGACGCCGAGGGCGCCCGCGAGGCTGCCACGGCCCGAGTTGTTCTGCGTGGGCGAGTTCATGAGGCCGGGATCATCGGCGTGCGTCTTGACATGCTTCTTGAGATCCTGCGGGCGCTTGAAGGCCTTGCCGCAGAAGTCGCACTTGTGGGGCTTGAGCGGCACGTGGACGCGGATGTGGGAGGTGATGTGGTCGCGCTTGACGGTGGTGGTGCGGCAGGCGCCCCAGGCGCAGGTGAGGTTGAGGTTGTTGGTGCTCTTGCGGCCGACGTGGCGCTCGCAGACGTGGTCGTAGAGCGACTCGGCGGAGTCGCAGCGTTCGCCGCATCCTTGCCACTGGCAGGTGAGGTTGTCGATGGTGCTGCTGGGCGCGTGCTGCTGCAGGCCCTGCTGTGCCTGCTGGGCCTGTTGGGTGGCAGCCTGCACGGCCTGGGCCACAGTCTGAGGGGTAGAGTTGGGGTCCATGGTTGGGCTTGGCGGGCGCGTTGGAGAGGGTGCTTGCAGAGGGCCGGATGTCTTGGCTGCTGCAAAGTCTAGTGCGCCGCTCGGGGCGAATACGATGACCAACACGAGCAGACGAGGCGTGCGTGTGGAAGGGGAAACAAGGAATATATGGCCAGTCCAGCAGAGTACGGCGCGGACAGGTGTAAGGCAGGAGGGAGAAGAGCGGTGGGGGATGGAGGCGAGGGTAAGACGAGGAGGAATTTCTGGGCGTCGGAGCGGAGGGGGGGTCCTTAAGTGCAAGGGCAAGAGCGGAACGAGGAGGGCCTGGCTTGGCAGCGGAAAGGGCAACACTGCCACACCACGCGTACCTACAAGTAGGATGGCCGCCGGGGTGGCCCAAACTCTATTGTCTGCCTTTCCCCCATCGTCCTACCTGCCACTCCCTTCCAGCCGGCGTGCCCTTCGCCTTTGCGCATGGTTCGTCCCGTTCGCCTCAGCGAGCAGCCGGCGCATCCGCCAAGCCACTAGCGCCTTGGCAACATTCTGCACCTCTTTCCAACAACGGGGCTCGGTACAGGGTCGGTGATTGTTCGCTGATGGCGATCTGTTGATGACGAGAGGACAATAGCGACGGGTGGGGGGTGATGGAAGCAGAAGGCTGAATGCCCATCGGGATCAGATCTGGCCTCATGAAATGCATCGTGGAGGGCCGACGGGGTGTGGAGTGACACGGCCTTGCAAGCGACACGAGAACCACAACCACAAGGGCGAGACTCTGCCCCAAGCCGCCGCCCTTCTTTCGCACGTGGTAGCCAGACCGGCCTTTCATCTAATCGATTTCAGCAGGCGACATTACCCGAAATCACAACCGCTCCATTCGCCTTGACATCATCGACTGGAAACTTGCGCAAAGCGTGCATACGCCAAGGCACGCCAGGCATGGCTCGCTCGCTTGGCGCGTTTTGGGGCGGAGCGAGGGCGATCCAAGAAACTCCGCTCTTGTCCAACCTTGGCCTTCCGCTCTCCTCCCCTTCGCCAAGTCTCTCCTCTGCCTACCTGTTTGGAAGTGTTTACTATTCATAAAACTGCTCCCTCCCGCAATGTTTTCGTGACCGGCAGCATCTGGATCCGGCTTTGTCTCTCATCTACCACCCTCTATCGTCAATCTCCCACGCCACGTACAGTCTTGGGCGTCTTGGGTTGGTATTCGTCATTCTCAACACAAACGATCGTCCATGGGAGCGACCCGAGATCCCTCGCCTCGGCGATCTATTGCCGGATGCATTCCCGTGATCCTGGTCTTCGGCATTACGCTGTTGTGATTGGCCCGGCGTAGAGGGCCCATCTCGCTCTCGCTCGTGGTAGGTGGATGCGACGCTTGCGCTGCAGCGTGTCGTCGATGATGCCGAAACTCCCACGTTGAGCCATGTGAGTGGTCATGTGCGTGTAGTGTGATTGCATCGTGTGGAATGTGAGTTGTAGCACGTCCAAAGCCAGCCTCGTCAAGGGGTTCGGAGAATTTGTTGCCTGGGGCAACCGATGTTTCAACGTCAAGCTGTTCCAACAAGAACCTCCAAGTTTCTCATGCTCCCACCAAGCCGACTAGGCGGGAAGCTTGCAATGCCTATACTATAACATGCATTTCACCATCGGTTCGAGCAAGTCAACATGGCAACAGACATTAACGCGCATCCGACCCAGCATATCGCTCCCCAGCTGAGTTCAGCATGCAGAGACGCGGACAGCATGACGGGAGTGAAGCGCAAGCGTGCGCATGGAGTAGCCGCGACCCACCACCAGGAAGTCCCTTGGACCGCGGCCAGATGCAATCGACTCTTGCGTACAATCACCTCTCGGATCAGTATCCTGCGCAAACTGGCAAAGACTCTACCTCAACCCCAACAGACGATTCCAAAAGCACTCGCCGCTCAGCTGGCCGAGAGTCTTCCGAGCCCTATTATTGCCTCATCGTATTCGCCAGACAACAACGACCCAGACTGGCTACCACAAGAGGGCAAGCGTGCCCCTGACCGCACCTATCTCCACAGGACCAAGGCCAGAGTCGTGGAGAGGACGATCGCCTCTGCACCTGACTCGAGTGTCCACAGCCTGCATACTCCTCTAGTGCAACGCTTCTTGGCGCAGGGATCCGAGCAATGTGTGCGTCAGCTGGCCAAGACTCCTTCCCATGCGAGTCAACCCCCTGCGCATCGGGATGCCCAGAAGCGGCGAACATTGCCCCTCCTCCCCACCAATTGCGCAGACAAGGCCCTGCGGGCGTTGTTTGACGCTTTTGACGCGTTGCTGTTCACCACTCAGGGTCCCGCTCCTGAGCCAAGAACTGGCACCCGCTCGCTGCTTCACACGTGTCTCAGCAAGGTGCCTGCGCTCATTGCTCAGGAGCAAGCACTCCATCCAAGCCAAGATGAAGAAATTAGGACAAACGTCACAAGCGAAATTTACGACTATCTGGGAGATTTCGGCAGCGGAGCCAATGCGGGGTGGTCTGGGTTGAGGCACGTTGTCAGAGCGCATGCGATCCACCTAATTGCTGGTTCAATCGGGGATGGCATCCTGGATGGCGATGCAGTCGACAGTCTGGTGGAGATCTGCAAGAAAAGACACGCCGCCAAGGAAGCGCAATCGTTTTTGCAAGCCTGGTTGCACTGCACAGGAGAGTGTTCTTCCACCAAGATACTCCACTTCGTCCACAAGTGCTCGCAGGCCGGGTACAGGGCATTCCTATTTCGAACCCTGACTCCAGCCTTGCAACAGGGTATCGTCAAATGGATCAGTCTAGCGCAAAATGGATCGCTGTGGAAGGAGTGGCAGGAGTTGCTCTTCACCTCTTCGAACGAAACGGCAATGATGTTCTTGGAGACCTACACTGTCACCTCCATCCGAGAGGCTTCCAGTTGCGCATCTGAAGGTGGAAAGCACAGGCACAATGGTATTCTTCGAACGTTTATTATCGGTCTGACGGAACTCGCTTGGAGGTCAAGAGAGCAGGGCTCCTTGAACGGCGATGCAAAGCATGTTCATCGACTGGCAGCGGCGACTTCACTTGCTCTTGAAAGGCTACTTGACGACAGCGAAGCACAGAGAGAGCAGAAGGCTTGTGCCACTATCATTGCTCATCCATTCTTAATGGGCAGCATTGTATTGCAGCTTGCGGGTGTCGCAGCCGACACGAGTATGGCCCTCCCGGATGTACCGGCACTCTTTCAGCTACTCAGCGGGGCAGCATACGATGACAGCCATCGGCACGTTGCCGGCACTCGTCCAAGCCGCGAGGCTGCGTTTATTTGCAGATGCGCTGAAGACTTCGCCCGAACCGATTCCACTTCCGCCATCGACTTCCTCAGGAGTGTCGTCAATGGCCTGCTCGGTCGTGTACACGACAATGACTGCGAGCTTACTGCTTCGCTGCGACATCTAGCCGCCGAGACCGTGATGCAATGGACAGAGACTCACGATGACAATGCCAGCTACGCCCTTGCCGAGGACTTCGAAAGTGCCCTCAATGACTGCAAGACTCCTTCCGCCACTCGCGCCGTTCCTGCCGTGTCCGGCAAGCCTGTGAGCTATCGTTGGGAAGAAGGGTTGTGCGAATGGGTTGCTAAGACTCCGGCTGCGAGGGACTCGGGGGTTGGGCTCGATTTCGAGAGCAGTCTCGGTGGCGTCGACGATTCGGGAATTGAGATGGAAGAGGAAGACACGCGGGAGAAGCTAGTTGGACGAGCGAGTCGGCGGCTTCGCATGGAGGAGGAAGAAGATGAGCTGGCTCTCATTACACCTGCGATGCTACGATGGCGAGCGGTCACCCTGTTCGAACCCGAGCCTGAGTCAGAGTCTGAGCCTGAAGAGCGAGACGAGCTTCAAACCGTCTCCAAGACATTGCGCATGCACGCTGGCACGCTTCCGCCTTCGAGGGCTGTTGTCCACTTCGACGACGAGATGAGCGACGATGAGCTTGGCTTCGCGTAGATCGCTTTCTCCTGGAAGGACAAGGAAGAACATACTCCCTTGACCTCATCGCTCAGGACAAACCCGTCACATTCACTTCCGTCCCTCTACCATGATAATATGATACCCCTCACTCGTCTTGCACTCGCCCCATTTCGGGTTATTCGTGCTCGAAGGCTCCAGCTCAAACGCCACCTTCTCAAACTCAGGCAATAATGCCCCCTTCACCTTCCACCCTAACGAGCCACCTGTAAATCGAATAAGCCCATCACTCAGTCAGACAGCACTCGTCGCCCCTTGGAGTGAAGCCCAACACGTACCCTGCCTAGCCTTGTCCTCCGAAAACTCCTTCGCGACCTCATCAAACTTGACGCCCGCATTCAGCTTCGCCACCGCTTCTTCCTTCTTGCCGTGCTTCTCGCACAGGATGTGGCGGACGTTGATGCTCTGTGCGCCCTTTTGCGCTTTGCCACCGCCACCTGCTGCTGCTGCGGCTTTGTCTCCTGAGGCGTCTTTGGTTTTGCCGCTGGCTTTGCCTTTGGGTGCCATGGTGATGTCTACCTTGCGGTGGAGTGGGAAGTGAGGCGAGAGGTTATGTGGAGGGAGGAGGTGGAAGGCTTGGTGCACGGGCCAAATTGGGAGGACTTCATGTTCATCCGGTGCTGTGTTTCTATCCATTTCAACTCCATCTATGTGAATGATGTAGTGCCTCCGCACGACCTTGGAGGGTTTAGATGATCATGGCTGAAACTGGCGTGGCGACATCATCGCTGGAAGGGCACCGCATCAAAGATGCTCCAGCATCGATGTACTACATCCCCGACTTCATCTCAGCGGAGGAAGAGGCCTTCATACTATCCAAGGTGCGACGAGCACTCTCAATCACCAATCGACAGAACATGTCATTGACTCCGTGACCCTCAGATTCCCGCAAACCGCTGGATCTCCCTCTCGCATCGTCGACTCCAAGCACTTCCAGCACGACTAACCGCATCCAACGTCCTGGTCGCATCAGCTGGACTTCCGACCTGGCTGGCGAAGCCCGCAGTGGAACGCATCGAGGCCCTGGGTCTTCTCGCCACCGCTCCACACGGCATTAACCACTGCTTGATCAACGAGTACGAGCCCGGCCAAGGAATCATGCCACATGAAGACGGCGCCGCGTATCATCCCGTCGTGGCGACTGTGAGTCTAGGCGGGAGCATTGTGCTTGACGTAGTGGAGAAGACGCGGAACGAGCGCGAGAAAGACGAACGACAGGCCTGGCGCATTCTGCAGGAGCCGAGATCGCTGCTCATCACTACGGGCTCGGCCTATACCGACACTTTACACGGCATTGCGGAGGTGAAGGAAGATGTCGATCTGGACGAAACAACAGTGGCTAACTGGATGCTGCTGGGCGATCGGGAGTCGATTACGGCGTCTGCTGGACGTAACGAGCGCACCACTCGCATCAGCCTTACATTTCGAGACGTGCTGAAGGAGTCGAAAGTCGGGTCGAAAATCTTTGGCAAAACGAAGACGTGAACTGGAAGCGGTAACTATGCTCACAGGCTATCGACACTGCTGTGAGAGCCTTCTTCGAAGCGCCATCACTTCGCCTGGCTAAAGCGCTCACTCGCATAATCCCAATTGACCACGTTCCAAAACGCCTTGATGTAATCGGGCCGCTTGTTCTGATACTTCAGATAATACGCATGCTCCCAGACATCCAGGCCGATGATGGGATATCCACTGGCGCCGGAAATGGCCTCGCCCATCAACGGACTATCCTGATTGGACGTCTTGACCACCTTCAACTGCCCATTCTGCAGCACCAACCACGCCCAGCCGGAGCCAAAGACGCTCGTGGCAGCCTTTTCGAACTCCGCTTTGAAGGCGTCAACGCTGCCGAACGCAGTCTTGATGGCGGTCTCCAAGTCGCCCGAAAGCGTGGTGCCGTGCTTGAGATTCTTCCAGAAGAAGGAGTGGTTCGCGTGGCCGCCTCCCTGGTTGCGCACGGCGACTTTCTTGTCGGCGGGCACCTTGTCGAGCTGCGTGACGAGGTCATCGATGCTGAGACTGCTGAGCTCGTGGTCTTTGAGCGCGGCGTTGAGGTTGTTGACGTAGGTTTGGTGGTGGCGCGAGTGGTGGATTTCCATGGTCCGGGCGTCGAAGTCGGGCTCCAGGGCGTCGTAGCTGTAGCCCAGTGAGGGGAGGGTGTAGGCCATGGCTGTGGTGGTGTTGGCGGATGACGAGAGACTGTTGGCGGTCAGCTTTGACAGGCAGCAGGCAGATGGATAAGGGTGACGGACTTCTGAGAGACTAGACCGAGGCGTTGCATGAAGTCGTTGCCGGATTGCAAGAGGGAAAGGGCAAAGGTGAAGTTAGAGAGTTGAACCATGACGCACTTCCCGACCTGGAGGTCGTTCAACGATTCCTGCGGTAATCAATGCTCTGTGGCGCAATGCGGGACCATCAAGGTCGCGAGGGTTGGGTGGATGAGAGGTAATGAGGCAGTTTCCGGGATCCGCTCCCAGTTGTGCGATTCGTCGCACGTCACTGTCGGATGTGCGTTCGTGGGGAAAAGAGTTGAATGACGAACTCAAATGGGGAGGTTGATTTTGTAGATGCAGGACATGGTCAGAGGGGAATGCAGAATGGATATGTACGGGGGATATGACAAGACAGTTGGACCAGCTGGCAGCAGGACAAGGTTTGGCTGGCGTGGAGTGTTTGCCTGATCGGGAAGGCTGTCTGACCAGGCATGATGGATCTTCTACACAGGTTCCCTTTCGTGTACTCCAAGGGAGAGTAGAATGCGCATAAGTCATACGGCACGATGGCCCAGATCTATATGCAGGAGGAGTGGTGACGTTGTACACCCAGGGATCGAAACAACACCACCAAACGCCGTCGCTAACCAGCAGTGAGCATGCCACTTTCAACTCGACAAGCAGCTTCGCGATTCTCCCTCCATGAAACGCCTCACGTAGCTCCCTTCTCCAGAAACTCCTTGGCCTCGTTGATCTTCGAAGCAAGATACGGACTTCCTCCACGATCGGGATGGTTCTTGATCATCAGCGCCCGATGCTTCTTGCGGATCATGTCTTTCGTCACGCCTCGTTCACTACACGCCGCCCAGTTGTGTCAGTCCTTCTGCTCTTGTAGCCATCATGCTGCCCTTGAGAGGGAGTTTCTTCCACGTACGAAGTCTCCAAGATGAGCGCCGCCTCTCGCCTGTTCATCGTCTTTTCGAAGCCGCCTTTGTAAAATGCTCGGCCGAGGGCGTTTGTCCCGCCACGGTACTTTCGGAGGGCGACGAGGCCGGCGCGACCCTGTCGTTGTATTAGTCTTCGTCGTCTCATCTTGCTTCGCGATCGTGGAGGGGAGTGGCACGCACGAAAAAGGCCGCGGCCGCCACGCCTACACCGACTGCAAGTACGGTCGCCACCATGTACGTCTTGCCGACTGCGCCTGACGACAGTCGGACTTGAGGAGGATGAGGGGAGGAGAGGTTGAAGTGGAAGATGTACAGCAAAGAGTGTATCTCAGAGGTCTCAAGGCCATCTCGGAGGTTTGAATCTTTCGCCGCAACTGCCTCGGTGCACGGACCACCCAACTTTTTCCTCCCACTTGCAGATCCGTAGAATTTCTAGACGACAGACACTTCTCTTGCTACACCACCAACTACACCCAAAAGAAGAGTAGCTGCCCAACATGAGGTAAACCAGACCATCACTCTCACTCCTCGCCATCACGACTAATAATTCAATCCCCAGGGTCGAAACGTGCTACTTCTGCTCCCGCCCCGTCTACCCCAGCAAAGGCATCACCTTTGTGCGCAACGACGCCAAAGCCTTCCGCTTCTGCCGCAGCAAATGCCACACCAACTTCAAAATGAAGCGCAACCCGCGCAAACTCGGCTGGACGAAAGCCTTCCGCCGCGCGCACGGCAAGGAAATGACCGTCGACTCGACGCTCGCCTTTGCGCAGCGCCGCAACGTCCCCGTGCGCTACAACCGCGAGCTCGTCGCCAAGACCGTCGCGGCTATGGAGCGCATTGGCGAGATTAGGGGCAAGAGGGAGAGGCAGTTCTATCGGGAGAGGATGCGGGGGCAGCGGAAGAGGGAGCTCGAGGCGGATCGGAAGTTGGTGGAGGAGAATCAGCATTTGCTTCCGCCGCAGTATCGCGATCAGGTGCGCGAGGCGCTTGTGGAGGCCGAGGGGTTGGAGAAGGAGGCGATGGACGTGGAGGTACTGGGCGAGGAGGAGGCGCTGGCGGACAAGGTGGTGCAGAAGGTGAAGGGGCAGACGAAGATCAGGAGGAGCCAGAGATTGCTGCGGAGTGGAGATGTGGAGGAGGATATGGAAGTCGATCGTTGAGTGGCATCGGCACGGGTATAGAATGGAGGGGTCGTTGCTACTTAGCGGTGGAGTTTGTGGCGTTGGTCGTATTTCTCTATCGTATGAAACGCAATGATCATTCGCTCGCTGATGGGGTATCTTCCGTTATAAAACATGTGAGCATCTTTCTCCATCACCACCCATCATACGCCGCTTGAGCACTTTTCATATCACATCATGGCCAGCATGGGGTCAATCGCAGCCATTTCATCCGAATCTTCCGCGGGCCACCCGGGAGTATCTGCCTGACGGGTAGAATCCATCTGCGACACACCAGCAAGTTCATTCTCGGGTTGCAGTCTCAAAGCCTGCGACAAGGAGGTACGAAGCAGCTCTTCCTCCTCCGGCCCCATAGCCCCAGCACTCTCATCCATTCCGCCGATCCAGAACTGTCCGCCACCGAGAGCCTCTTCCTCCGCCAGGCGATCGTTAATGTCATCGACGTTCCATCCATGCGAGAGCTCCATGTGCTGCGCAAGGGCGTAATTGAGTTTGAAGCGCATGGGACAGGAAGACGACCAGCATGCGATGGGACGCGTGTCGGCATAGTTGTGGCCAGTGAGCAAGCCAAGAGCCGTTGCTCCTGGATCGTCCGTGTCATCCAGCTCAGCCGGCTCGTCGACGTCCATAAGAGACGAAGATTTCAACTCCTTCTTCATCTGTCTGCTCTTCTTTCGTGATGTATTCGTCGACTCCAGACCCAGGTGTTGCGTCCTGACATGGCTCTCCAGCGTCGCTTTGCTGGTACACGCCATGCCGCAGCCCGCTTCGTTCTCCCAGCCGGGGCATTTGTCGCTGCTGCTCAAGTCGAACTGCCCGCATACAAACTTTCTCTGCTTTACATGCGTGCTTTGGATGTGGACGTTGAGATTGCCCTTGCGGGTGAAGCCGCGGTCGCAGCCCGGCCAGGTGCATTTGAATTTCTCTTTGCGTGAGGCCAGGGAGGAATGCTCGATTTCCATGTGCGCGGCCAGTGCACGATTCGAGGGACATGCTTGCTGGCAGACGGTACATGTTGGTGGATGGACGGTCTTTAGATGCGCTTGATACTCGTGGTAGGTCGCGAACGCCACGGGTGACAATGAGAGGTCGTCTGGCGGACTGCAAATGGAGCAAAAGTGCTTCATGCGGTTGTGTTCTCGATTCTCGTGCGAGTTGAGCTGCCCAACGGAGATGAAAGTCTCGCCGCACTCTTCTTCAAGTCCAGAGGCCTCATCGTACACCAGCTTCTCACATCTGTACGCCTTTTCGCCCAGATGGTCCTTCTTGATATGTCTCTGCAGCGTTTCCATCTTGCGAAACACCTGTCCACAGCCGATTGCCTGGCATTTCAGCTCTTCGGCTTTTTCATGAGTCGCCGCATGTCTCTTGAGCCGGGTGGAGGTGGTGAATGCCCTGCCACACTCAAAGTCTTCGCCTTCATCGTTTGTGCTGATGACGTAGGTGCAAATGTAACTCGCTTCGCTGCTGTGGTTGTTTTGCAGATGAGCCTTGAGGTGTTCGGATTTGAAGAAGCTCTTCGTGCAGCCTGGCTCCTGGCAGACAAAGGGGCGGTCGTTGGTGTGGGTGCGTTTGTGGGCTTCGAGCCGCACCGGACGATCGAAGGCTTTATCGCAGTTCTCATAATCGCAGATGTATACCTTGGGCCGCTTCTTTGACGATGTGGAGGTGACGGAAGTGGCAGCGAAGGACTCGTGGTCATTGGACGTGGTGGTAGTTGGTGAGGCGGGCGTCATGGCGGAAGAAGGAGTGCTCTCATCATTGAAGGAGTCGGGCAGTTCGAAACGGGCCTTCTTGAGCATGGGCAGTGCCGCTGTCGCAGGCATATGCCCATCCAGGGGCCGCTTCTTCCCATGGACGTCCATGACGGCTTCGTCGTAAGCAGACTCGGTCGCTGTCACATCGCCGACAGGTTGTAGAAAGCAGATATGATCTTGGGCAGACGTCGAAAACTTGGCGGCCAAAAAAAGGCGGCAGGCACGACGATTAGAGTTTCGGCTGTTGCCGAGCGCGGATCTGCAGCAAAATAAATGTTCCTCCAGCCGACCACCCTCTCTTTTGTGTGACCACACATGAGTTGGAAGTGAATCAGCGGTCCAAGAGCGAGCGAGAATTGCAGAGCCTCCCATCACCTGCGAACAGCAAGTCACTCAGCAAAAATGTCCGACTATGGCGGTGGGGATGACGATATGGGGGACTATGGCATGGGGGAGTGAGTGCATCCCACGTGGAACGAGGCCAGCGCACTGGCAAGAGACCGTGCCACTAACCATCGTATGACTACAGGGAGCACGCCGACAACTTGATCGAGGAGGAAGAGTACATTGAAGATGCGGACGCCTACGTGAACGGCGGGATGGACGTGGACGCCGATGGCCCAGTCAACGCGGAACGCCAGAACCAACTCGACTCAACCGACTACCACCATGGCGGCAATAACATCGTCGCCAGCGGGGAAGTGGATGCGCAACAGGCGGCTGCGCGCGAGCTGAATACCGTAAAGGGCATCAAGAGCAAGCGGATTGCCAACGACAAGCGCACCACCACGCCGTACATGACCAAGTATGAGCGAGCAAGAGTGCTGGGGACGCGCGCATTACAGATCAGGTGGGTGCAAGCTGGATATTGTGGGACACACGGACATGACTGATGGTGTTTGCAGCATGAATGCACCGGTGCTGGTGGATGTCGAGGGCGAGACAGACCCGCTGCAGATTGCCATCAAGGAGCTTCGAGAGAAGAAGATACCGCTGGTGGTGCGGCGATATCTGCCCGACGGATGGTTTGTTGGACTGTATTGTTGCTTCAGGGACCTCATGCTAACTTGCGCGACAGGTACGAAGACTGGACATGCGAGGAGCTGCTGTAGTAGAGCAGGCTTGTTGTTCATGTTCGGAATGAGTTTGACATTCAGCGTGGCGTATGGAGTATCCTACATCAGACGAGAGCTGGGGGCGAGGTTATTGAGTAGACCGAACGAATCTAAAGACTCCCTCAAGAATGTGTGCCTGTCTCGGAGAATTGGACATCCGCCAGTTGCTTCCGCCAAAAACAACATCCGCTAGCGCCCGTCTGGGGAGGCCAATCCCGACACACGTCCATCGTTCCTTGAACCTTCTTGCGGTAGCTTACCACGTTGCCGGCGTATGGCGGTTGATGGATTGATTGATTGATGGACATTCAAGTACAGCCCCTCTGTCGATAAGTCGTGTGAACGTATTTGCAGGCATGTCTAGCCGTGGACGTACCAGTAGCGCAGTCACGAAAAGCCACGGCCGTTGATGCCCCTGTCATGGAAATTGCCCGATGCATTGACCAATTGCGGCAGCTCCAGCAGTGAGGCATCTCCGGCGATCTGATCCCTGTTTCCACGTTGGCCGCACGTCCAACCTTCACGCGTGTGCATGGCATTGGGAGACGAGAAAGGCAGACGTCGACATTGCTTGCCTTATCCTTGACATCAGTGAGAAGAGAAAGTGGAAGAGGCGGCAGGGATTCAAGCAAGAGAAGCAGCGGTGAAACTGGGCAACTGGGAAGCCCGCCGAGACAGACCGACACACATCCCGGTTCATGCTGTGTCACTGAGGCCATTCTGCCAGAGGCAGGCACCGGCTCATGCATGCCGCTCGTCCACTCCACCTCCCCGCCATACCCTCGACTGCCTCGACGACTGAGACATGGCAATGGCCAAGCCCGCTGCACAATGGAGTCAGCAGCCGCTCGAGGAGACCACCGGAAATGCCCGACGGCCTCTGCTATCCAAGCAGCGAAGTGATACCAATGGCTCGCAAGAGAGGCTACACACTGCATATCGCGATACAAAGGCCGCTCGACGCTCGCCCAGCGACTTGCACAACATCATGTCCGACTCGGAGGAGGTGAAGCATCGGAGGGTGTCTATGAAAGCGAACAACCTGTCCACGAGTCGCAAACGATCTCGAAATACCCTCGTCGACAACGGGAAGGCGGGGCAGGGTGACCACGCGGATGACTCGGCGTGGATTCATCGGGACAAGCTTGCGCAGATTGAGATCCAGGAGATGGAGGCGGCGGGCATTATTGTCAGACCCTCGAGACGCTCTATGAGTGCGGACCCTGGTGCGAGCAGAAGATCGAGTCGGTCGGCCTCTCGATCACGCAAGCCGATGAGTGAAGATTCGCTGCATGAGCCACTTCCCAACGGCGGGCGCATTGCGAGCCAAGATGGGTGCGAAGGCACTCAGCAAGCAGCAAGAGGAGAGCAGGAATTTGATCCAGACATCGACACGGAGTTTCGAACGCCAGAAGAGATTGCGGCGGAAAGGAACCTGGCGGCAATACAAATGCCACGGCCGAGCACATCACGAATACCCATCTCCAAAGCGGGTCCCGTACCCATGCCTTCGACGGTTGTGGAACGCGACTCTCCCCTCCCGCGCAGCAGACATGGGAGCATGAGCAGTGGGAATTGGGACGAAATGCAGTATGCACGAAGAGCGAGGACCAGTAGTATTGGCAGCCAAGTGTTACTGGATGAAGAACCGTCCACTTCCGACAACTCCAACAAAATATCCTCCGGCGAGGGCTCGCCGACAAAGGCTCGCATGCCGATGAAAACGCCTCCAAAGTCCGGCGTGCGGAAAGGATCAGCGTTCAACGGAGTCGACCGTCCTGGTTCAGCTCGCAAACCCTCTACACCGGCAAGCCATCGTCCGGGCTCCCGGGCGGGGTCGGCGCAGAAGACTGGACGGCCGTCGACGAGCCATCAGTACACACCAGAAGGCGATCCGCCGTGGATAGACAGCATGTACAAGCCGGATCCTCGTCTGCCCCCCGATCAACAGATGCTTCCCACCCACGCCAAACGCATGATGCAGGAGCAGTGGGAAAAGGAAGGCAAGAGCGGGACAGTCTACGACCGCGACCTCAACCTCCTCACGGACAAGGAACTGCCCATGCCGCCGTCGGCGAAGATGCGGCCTCCGCCTCTTACAGTCGATCCGAATGCGAGCAATGCTGCAGATGCGTGGCCGCTCGCCTCGAGTATTGATCCAGACATGCCCCCTCCCAGTCCTCGTCCCAGCACGAGAGGAGGGTTGAAACTCACGCCAAAAATATCCGCACCACCGTCGATACACAAGGCCACTCCGCCACCGGCCGCAACAATGCCGACGCAAAGCTTGCGAGTCCCGGAGCTGGATGAAAAGCAAGAAGCGCAGCAGCAGAAGAAGGGAGGCTGCGCTTGTTGCGTGGTCATGTGAAGGGCATGGACAAGGCTTCTATGTTTGTGGTTTGCAATTGGAAGAATGCACGATAGCTTAGCATTCCTTTTGTATTTCGCCAGGGTTTGATAGCGTTTTGGGCGACCGGGGCATTGCGGGTTCCCTTCTTCTTTTATATATCCGTCTTCAAGCGATGCCTTGGTAGCGTTCAGTACTGAATTGTTTTTCTCTTGAATATTCACTTTATGCGCTGTGAATGGTTGGTATGTCGTCGCAGCCTGATGGATGGCGGAGGAGCAGCAAACGCCGAATTCGGCAATTCGGCCCAGCGCAGCCAAGCATGTGGCTTCAACGTCACTTCATCACCTCTCCATCGTTGTCCAACAAACAGACGAACAAAGCAATTTATTCTTGCACATCATCCAATCAATTGAGTATCTGATCCACGTATCTGCATAGCACACGCCTTTAATCGACCACAATGAGCCAGTACACCGCTTCCGTGCCTCCAGATGGACAAGTGCGGCCGGAGATTGTAGAGTATTTCGAGCGCTTCTATGCCGTCTCTGATACTCCCGACGCGCACGACAAGTACGCACAGCTGTTTACGAAAGATGCCAAGTTGATTATGGGTCCGGCGGAGTCCAATGGGCGAGCTGGTCAGTGGTATCAAGCCTGAGTACAAATGAAGGCTGACGTGAGTTTCAGAGATTCTCAAGTTCCGCCACGGCATGTGGGAGAAGGTGGCGAAGCGCTCACACCGGCCGCTGCAAGTCTACGCCTTTGGCGCCGGCGCAGACGACGTTATGCTGCATGGCGATGTGGATTTCGTGCTCAAAGACGACCGCAAGGTGTCCATGAGCTGGGGAGCAAAGGCTCACTTCGCCAAGGAGGATGGAGAGCTAAAAATGGATGTGTATCAGGTGTTTTTGGTGAGGCTCACTTCCACTTCACTTGCCCTTTGCTATTGTCGATCTCTCACTGATATGAACTCAGGACACGGGTGCTATGGCGCGGGCAAAGTAGATTCGATAGATCGGCGATCCAATTTCACCTCCTGCACCAAGCGACGTCTTTTTTTGGTGCTGCGTTTGAAGTGAGGTGAGTTTGTGTCACCGGCAACAACCGTTCCTTGCAAAAAACGTGACTCCCAGCCACCTCATTTCGTCTACTTAAACCCCCTGATTTCTCGCACTTTGCAAAATTTCTTCCTGCTCTTCCTCATCCTCTCTTCGCAAGCAAGCACTCTCTTCCACCACCACCACCACCTCCACCACAGCTTCTTGCCCTCTTCTCGCCAAGAGAAGGACCAATCCCGCCGGAATCAATCAAATTCCGAACAAACCGCGGCAAAAATGTGTATCCCCACGTACCGTGGCAGCTTCCCGGCCTTCATCATGGCCATCATGATCAATCTGTTCGCGCCAATCGCGGACGAGGACGACGTGCCCTTTCTCCGCGTCCTCCGCATCTGGGTGCCTCGCACCATCGACCCTCCGCCGCCCGTCTCCTTGCTGGAAGGCGTCCAGACCGGCAACGGCCCAGCCGTTGAGCAGATGGCACTGCTCAACATCATCATCCTCCTCTTCGCCTTCGTCCTCTTCTTCTTCCTGGGATACGCGTGGGGCCGCGCCGCGGAGACGTGCCCTCTCGAGCACTCCTCCTCGTCTTCCTCCGACCTGGGTGCCTCCCCCGCCGCCAGGCCGCGTGCCGCCTCTCTGCCGTCCCTCCTTCTCGCCGGGCCTCGCACCCCCATCACCACCACCACCACCAGCGACCCCGCCCGCGCCGAGATCGGTCACGGGACCGAGCTCTCCCTCATCCTCTCGGTCGAGATCCCGGTTTCTCGCGGCTTGCCGTCTCCTGCTCGCCGCTCGCCCTCGCCGCCCGCCTCGCCCTGTCCCGTTCGCGGCTCCGCCAGTGATGCCGCGGCGGAACTCCTCCTCCCGTCGCCCGCTCTTTCGGCTCCGGCCGAAGAGATCAGCCAGCCCGCCGCCGCCTCCCCTTCTGTCGCCGCCCCGGCAGAGTCCCCAGTGCTTGCCACACCGGCGGCTCTCGCCGTCCCCACCGACGACGACGACGACAAGGATGCAGCCGGCGAGGCCGGCGCTCCTGCCAAGAAGAGCCGGAAGCAGGCCCAGAGGGGCATGGAGAAGGCGCGTGATTGGCAGTACGCCATCACGCACGCCGATGAGATCATGGAGAGGAGCTCAGAGGGGCTGAGCAAGAATCAGAAGTTGCGCCACGCTCGTCAGAAGCGGATGGTGCAGATCCATCGTGCCGGCGGGACTGTTGAGAACGCTGACTGATCAGACCTGGCATTGCGAGCGAGTGTGGATGGGTCTATCTGGTGCGTGCCTTCTGCTACTGGGTGCTCCTTCGGGATGCTACTTGGTGCGTTGGTGCTGCTACTGGTGATTCTGAAGCATTTGCTCGCTTGCACAGCGAAGTCTGCACGTCTCTCGCTTTCCCAATGGCGGCCTCCTTCTTTGTATGTAGCGTTTTGAGCATGACGATCACGAGATCGCATGATGATGATGATGATGATGATGATGATGATGACAGAAATGAAGCTTCTTCTCCCACTCGACTACTATCTAATTCCTCTCCCCATTCAATCTCAATGTATCCCAGACCTTCAGAGCCTATGTTGTGATCAGTGCCGTACGCAGCGAGAGAGGAGCACGGGAACGGCTCACCTCTTCAAACGCATCATAATTCTGAACCACCTCAAATTCATCCTTCAACAGATGCGGCATGGTAGGGGCCGATCCGGGACCAGGTACGTCGTCTGCCGGCTGGCAGCATATGGCAATAATGGCGCGGATATTCTCCCGGATGAGGTGAATGCGCGGCTGCCGCATGCGCGCGTACGCTTGTGCCACTGCTGGCCAGTCGTAGGGAGGCTTCATCCGGGAAATCATCGCCGAGAGCACGGTGGCGTCTTCGAGGGCCATGCAAGCTCCTTGTCCCGCGAACCTGCTGGCCGTCAGCATTGTGCTCCTTCGTCCTCATCATCGCATACTCACGGCGCGAACGCATGCGCTGCATCGCCAATCAAAATCACCCTCCCGCTCGCATCGCTCCATGCCACATGCTCGGGCAGCTCGGCAATCTTCCATTCGGTGCAAGACTCGACAGCGTCCAGCATCTGCCGTACCGTCGGCTCGTAGTCTTTCCAGCTCTCACGGAAAGCAGGCATGTCGGCAACGCGCGACACAAAGCGCTCCGTCGAGCCGTCGTTGGTCCCGCGGTATTCACCATTTCCGACCCTATGGTCGTTCATCTGGAAGTGATACGATTCCCGGCCGCGCATCGTCCATCCGATGATTGCCCTTTGTCCCCCAATCCAGCTCTGAAAAGCGGGCAGGCTGTAGAGTTCGGCGGTGTCGGGATGCTGGTCCATCTTCTGCTTGGGCACGTCGACCAGGAATGTGCGGTGCCCGGTCAGCTCGGGGGGAATGTCTCGATTGCCGGGGATGGCCGGCCGGACTTTGGAGTTGATGCCTGCATCGCGGTGAGATCACCACAGCTCAACAGGAGGGTGGAAGACGCACCATCAGCTCCGAGAAGCACATCGGCGTCGACGATCTCGCCGTTGCTGATTTGAACTTTGACACCGTGCTCAACTTCCTGCAGCGACTGGAAAGACTGGCCGAACATAAATTGTACGCCCAGTTGGGCCGCCCGTCGGTGCAGTACACGCAGTAAATCGGTCCGGTGCACGAAGATCCTCCTGAGCGGCGGTCAGTCCATCATCCGTGAGGCAGTAGACAAAACCAACCACTTCTCCACCTTTGTCCTCGACTTTTCGACCCCATCCGAGTGTCTCTGGACAAGCCATTCCGTGGCTTCATCAGCGATCTGCTTCAACTCCTCATCGATGCCCAGCCGAAGTAGACAGCGGATGGCATTGAACGATATGCTCAGCCCTCCGCCGCCATTGGAATCGAGGTACTGCTGCTTCTGCTCGATGACGGTGATGTTATGGCCTTGTTGACGGAGGGTTATTGCTGCGGTGAGACCGCCTACTCCGCCGCCGACTATGGCGACTGAGAGGGCGTGGAGTGTGTCGGCCATCTTTCACTATGCTACGAGCTGGAGTGATGGAGTGATGGGAATCGGCGGCAGAGAAGTCTTCTGCCATGGCATAATTGGTAATTGTGTGTAGGCCGTTTATAGTGGAGAGATTTATAAGGTGCTGACGCATTGAATTGCTGCCTTCCATTGGGATGGTGCTGAAGGATGGCGCTTACGAAACGGCTCGAGGTTTAAATGGCCTCACGCAGCGGACAGAGAGGCAGGCTCCGCAGGCTGGTTGCGAACGGAACCGAGACACTTCCAGAAGTGGCTTAAGCAGAGCTGACTGGGCCTCAAGCGTCAAAAGAAAGCGATGATAAGCACGGAGTGTCTCACTTTCTGACGTCTGCCTGACGGATCTACACCCATTTTCGTTGAAGAAGATGTGGACAAGCTTGCGGCAGGAGCGCAATTAAAGTGCTACGCGGAGATACATCACTGTAATACGACCAGTCTCAAAACTCCTCACGCCACCTTGACCTTCCTCTCCCGTAACTTCTTCAGCTCTTTAATCGCCGAAAGTACCAACGGCACAGCCATCGGACCGAGCAGAGGAACATAGACCGCAACCTTGTGCTCCTCCGGGAAATAGACCTGGCCCACCATCGACGGTTCAAAGAACGCCTTCTCCGCTTCTTCCTCCGCCGTGCGCGCGTTCTCTAATGCGCTGAGGTATCGTCCATCTTGCATGTGCTGACAAGCTTGGTCGAGTCGATGAATAGTCTCGGATACGGATTTGGCCACAGAATCGGGAATGGCAATACTAGTAAGCTTCAAGGTGAGTCTCGAAAGCGCGCCGAGCGTGGAAGAAGCGGAGAGGATGAGGGATGTCGTGCGCTCTCGTGTGAGGCCGGAGATGCGGAGAGACAATGAGGAGGGCGAGGGTGGTAAGCCGACCAGGGTGGAGAGCTGGTCTGCGAACGTGAGCATGGCCGGTCGAAGGTCCTCTGCAGTGAGTTGGTCTACTTGCTTGTCGGCGGGATTGAAGATTTGGACTCCGCCCCATTGAGGAACAATCCAGCTTTGGCCACCAGTTTCTGCTAGGACAAGTGGACTTTGGTGTTTGGACGGGACGTAAAGGACGAAGTTGATCGTTGGTCCCGATCCTATGCTGGGACTCAATGGCCATTCCGCTGCATTGATGAAGCCGCTCAGATCGGGTCTTTGCAATTGCCACTCCCGCGTGATCGGATTGTATTGCGGCCCGGCAATGGATGGTGAGAAGGAGGCGTACAGTTGAATCTGGGTATCGATGGTGAAACGGTTCACTGGTGACAGGCGTTCAATCAGAGGGTAGATGCCATCCTCTAGTGCCTGCTGTATATTCCAAGCAGAGGGAGAACTGGAGGCGACGAAGAGGGAAAAGGTAAGATGATAGGTGGAGGCGTATTTGAACGCTCGGGTGGTTCGCGCATCAAGGCCAGCCTTGACTTCCGGCGAGAAGCGGTTCACGTACTCCTTGCTTTCGAATGGAGTTTCCTGCAAAAGGTGATGCATGTAATTCTGCTCGTGAGAAAAGACCTTTGAGATCTCGCGGGCCAGGAATGCCGTCAGAGAGTCACCAGTCCTGGCTGGGTTATGTCGGACATCCAGGACCGGGATCAAAGATTTCAGAGCAGCCTGGGGCGTTTTGATCTTCTTGTCATTTTGGATGTTGACGATCAATGAGTTCTCTCGCGAAGCGAGTGTATCTCGCACATGTGATGGAAGCAGCGCTTGCTCGGAAGAGGCGTTGGCCAGATCTCCGGTGATGTGGAATTGGTAGAGGGGCAGTTGGTTCAATGCATTGAGAACATGCTGCGTCTCCGCGGCAAGTGCATTCGTCTCGTCGAACCCCGCGTCTTCGTATCGTAATTTGACATGGATGGGGTACTGGAGTCGGCAGACCTGGAGACGCCACATTTAGCAAGGCCATATTGATCGCGCTTCAAACCACGTACCTTGCCATCCGCCCAGTTGTTCATAGACTCCAGCGGCAGCTGGGACCGATGAATGGAGGTGGTCCATAGCCAATGCGGAAGACCAAGCACCACCACCACGCCCCAGAACGCGAATAAAATGAGGCGGCGGGTCCATATGAAACTGCCCTGCTCGGGAGGCGGCGATGATTTAGCAGAACTCATCGCAGCAGTCGTTTCGGGAATGGCATGATTGCATTATAGGCCGCGCTCTCAAGTCGCGTCTCCGTGAAGTTCAAAGAAGCTGCTGACTTAAGCAACGTGGCGGCACGGACTGGACTCTCAGGCCTCACACGTGGCGCGGCGCCTACCGCACCCGACCTCCCTCGAAACAGCATCCAACAATACGATGCTGGCGAGACGTGCAGCAGGATGAGTCTTGACAATTCGTTACTGAGAGCTGGAATGTTCATTCATCAATGCGACTGTCTTAATCCATTACAGCTTCGAACATCGGCTTGATCGTCTGCTCCGCGAGAGCCTCACATCGTGCATTCTCAAACGGCCCCGAACCTGTTCGGCGGCCTCTTTTAGTGACTTCAGTCGTCTTCGACGTGCGGTTCGAATCCATCTGCCCAGCCATACACCTCACTTCTTCAGATAAAACGCAAGATCGGCATTCGGATCGTACTCCATCTGCGTTCGCCCATTGCCCATGAATCTGTAGCATCCCGTCAGCACATCACAATCTTCCCTGTTCTCCAATCGACAATCACCCACCTAAATCGATTCTTAGTCCTATACCGGATTTCAAAATCCTCCGGCCGGATCTGGTTGATCATCGCCCAGTACCCGAGAACGCTGCCAGCCCATACGGCCGTGACTTTGCCGTCTGTTCGATTATTCTTATACCAGCTCTGGCAGCCGCCGCTCCACACCAGTGTCTGCATAATCTCGTCGGCGTAGGCGTTGAACTCGTCTAGTACTTCGGGCTTCACATCGATGAACTTGATATCCTCCTCTGCCATCTTGCGGATCCAGCTTGTCATGTACTCTGCGCTCCAGCCGAGTCCGGCCATGAGACTGCCGTGGCCGACGGGGGCGTTTGCTAAAATTACATTGTCAGATTGTCTGTAAAGCATGAGCGGGCAAGGGTGATACTTACGTCCAGAGAACACTGCAGGAGGTAGATGTCAGCACATTCAACAATCCGTTGAGAGAGAAGAAACTCACTGAAGAAATTGGGAAAGCGGGAAGCACACAAAGACAAGTACGAATACGGCTCTTCCGCCCACGCGTCCGACAACGTCAAGCCTCCTCTTCCTATTAACGGCCACGGTGGCCGATGTGACACATTGAAGCCCGTGGCGCAAACAATCGCATCAAATTCATGCAGCTTCCCATCCGCCGTCCGGATCCCCGTCTTCTCGATCGCCTTGATGGACTCGGTGACAAGACTGCAGTCGTCTCTGGTGAATGCTTCAAGGTATCCCGGACCCGGCGTGGCTCTTCGACAACCCACTTCGTATTCCGGCGTCAGCTTCTTCGCCAACTCCTCATCCCCTCCCAACTTCTCCCGCATCTGATCGGCCGTGGATTGTCGAGCGACATCCTGCGCATGCGAGTTCTTGCAAAACATGTCAAAGGCGCGATTGCTCCCCGCTTGGATCTTCTTGCGGTACTCCTTCAATTGCTCGGGGTGTTCGCGGAAATTGCGCTTCTCCTCCTCGCTGTAGATATATTGCTCTTTGCCATCGATGATGCCGCTTCCCAGTCCAGGCGTGATGTACGTGGGCCGTCGAATGAAGTTGGTGACGTGCTTTGCGCTTCCCACCATCTTGGGCAGGATCTGGATGCCCGATGAGCCATTCCCTATGACCGCTACTCTCTGTCCCTTCCAGTCAAAGTCCTTCTCCCACACTGCAGAGTGCATCAGCCGGCCTTTGAACGAGTGCAGCCCGTCAATGTCCGGCCACCGCCAGTGTGATAAGAACCCCACGGCGGAGACCAGCACGTCACACTCGTCGTGTATGACCCCGTCCTTGTTCTTCACCTCCAGCTTCCACTTGCCCGACTCTTCGTCAAACTCCGCCTTTTGAACGCGATGTCCCAGCTTCAGTCCCCGCGCCAGCTGGTATTTGTGCACGGTCCTCTTGAAATAGTGCCAAATCTCCTCCCCCGAGGCGTAGTAAGCACTCCAATCGGGATTCGGTTCGAAGGGAAACGTGTAGATATGTGCGGGAACGTCGCAGGCTACACCAGGGTATCTGCACGAAATTATGAGCGTTTGTAGTGTGCCAGTCCATGTGTTTCTTAACTTGTTCACAAGCCAGGTCCCTCCCATTTCTTCGTGAGCTTCAAAGATATTAAAATCGCTGACCACATCCTTGTCGATGAGGAGGTGCTCGTGGTAGATTTTATAGGCAAGGTTCATGGCCGAGATGCCGCCGCCTATACAGACTACTCGCAGACGGCGTGTGGGCGTGCGCATGGGCTTTCTATAGAGCGGTATCCATTCTTTGGGGAGAGGCTGGCCGTAGCGCTCAGGAGGGTTCGGGGTGCTGCCATTGGCCTCGTCTGCGATGCCATTGAGTTGTATCGTAGGGTCTTCCTGGAGCATGTCCTCTTTCGAGGCATCGGGGCCGAAATTCATGTTGGGCTGGAGATGTTAGGAAGGAAAGGAAAACGAAGAAGCAAATGCGTAAGGAACTGTACGAGAGACTATGAGATGCTGTGTGTATAACCTTGGTTACTCGTTCGAAGCCAAGCGCGCCGATGTACGGCCATTCCCCGGGCGTCATCGAACGTAGCCCGAGTGAGGGGAGAGGGAGGGGCCACGGCAACCTTACCCCGGATGTCAATTATCCCTCTGAAAGACGAAAGGTCCTGGCCCGATCTCCGGCCTACGCGAAAGAAAGACCGCGACTGTCGCTGCTGCATGCCTTACTAATTCCTGACTCGATCAAGAGAGGTTGCCCGAGGAGATGAGATCTTATTCAGCATCGCTTGATGAGACGAGATTGCCAGCCGATTTGCGGAGATGCTGGCTTTAGCGGAGCGTTTTTGGGAAATTCCGACTTCACTTCATCTCCTCCGCGTTACGCTGGCTTGAGGACTGTCACTCCGGAATACTGGCTTCTTGACGTTGGCATGTGTTGTGTGAAGCCGATGTGGCTCATGGCGTTACTCTATGCCGGGCAGAATGGTCATTTTGCGTTCGCTGCACGCTGCCGCGGCGTTATCTCTTTGTGCAGCTTTTCCCCCTGGCTAGCACTCTTCGACTCTTGATTGACGAAAATTGCACTGATCAAGCCTGCCTAGAACCAAGCGGAAGAACGTGAATGATGGCGAAATGCACTTGTCGATTCGTGCTCCCCGAAGTTAACACAAACAGTCGGCTCAGCGAGCAAAGAAGCATGCAGTCTCCAGCCTGGGACATGTGATCGTGAACAATCAGGCGCCGACGAAGGCTTCATGACCGCTTCACGGCCTGGCTTGGCGCATTCACTGTCTGTGCTCGTTTTTCTTGCAAAGTTAGTTTCGCTTTCCTTCTTCCGTCTTCCCCATCGTTCTGTTCGCATCTTGCGCATGCTGTATCGTCGTTCGTTTTCGTTCCTTTGTTCTTGGCTGCGCCCCTCCCACTGTCTCGAGTGTAGACCTGCTGCCTTCCTACGCCACCTCTACCTTAGAGCCTCTCCACCGAACCTCTTTCGCTTTACCACTGCTGCTTCAGCGCCTTGTTCATCTCTGCCGACCTTTCACACCACGATGGACTATCTGGAGAATCTGGGGATAGGAGTGGACGGGCTTAGCCTCCCGGAACTTGTTATTCCCCCTGAGTCTGAGGATGAGGCGCCTGCGGCGATGAGAAGGCCGATCAAGGGTAACTACCAGCTTCGCTGCTTCTCGGGTCTCGATATACTAATCAACTGCAGGAAGACGGGCAGTCGCAGCTCGCATGGCCATCGACCGTCATCGCGAATTTGCTCAGTTCTCGCTGAGAGCGCAGATGGACATGAAGCTTGGCGATTTCAGAGCCAGTGTCATCCGAATCTCTACGAAGCCACCCACGTACTGGGCCGAATTTGGAATCGAGAAGCGCCGTGGAAAGGTCTTCAACCAACGAGGATCCATTCGCGCTGCGTTGCATACAAAAGTCATCATCACCATCATCGACGCACCGTTTGCGGGAATACAACTGGCTGGAACGGTGCAAGAGGACCTCTTTGGCCGAGGGGCTGAAATGTGCTGTCACCTTGTGTTTAAGGGAAAGAAGGAGGTCCCGGGGCTCAGAAGGGAGATGGAACTCCCGGTGGTCGGTGTCTATCACATCGATGTCGAGTTGGTGAGTGATGGCACCGCTTGCGACCAGCAAGCCGCCGCCGTTGCGGAACTTGGCTCGGGGCTCAAGCGCATCAGAGGAGTGGATCTGCCAGCCTTGTTCTTCAATACACCATCGACTGTCACCGAACCCAGTGCCCTCTTCAAGGAGATCGAGGACAATTACGAAGCACAATCTGTCTACAGACAAGCACTGGAGAGATTTGTGCTCAACGAGCAGCAGAATGAAGCCGCAAAGATGTCTTTGACATCACCTTCTGGCGCCTTGACGCAATGGGGTCCTGCAGGCAGCGGCAAGACGACATCATCGCTTGCAATAATTCTCGGACACATGAAGATGGGCTGCATGGGCAAGATCAAACGTCGTCCTGTAATTGCATGCGCTCCGTCAGACGCGGCCGTCGACAGTATGATGCGCATCTTTCTGGGCAAGATCAACAAGCAAGACGAGCTCACCGTTTGTCGGTTCAAGGCAGCACAGGTCAGAAGTGCTCCAAAGTATCCCAACGCATTGTCAAGAGTGGTACGTGCGAGAGCTCAGCTTGCAGAGGAAGTACTGGAGTCTGGAGAGACGGCCGAAGATGTGCTGTGGGACGTGTTTGAGGCTTCCAAGGGCGTCAACAACGAGGATGAAGATCTGGCGCCGTACTACTTCCAGAATGCCCGCGCGGACTTCATTCGAGCTATCAGAAACGACTCGTCTCACGCATGGAGCCTGGAGGCCAGACCCTATCTCGAGCAGAAGAAGAGACTCAGGAGCAGGATAGCTACCGCATGGGAGCAAAGCAGGCTCCGGGGTGAGCTCGAGGACCAAGAAACGCTATGGGACGAGCGCTTCCTGCAAAAGTGCGACATTATCTTCTGCAAGAGCAGCGCCGCCGCGCACCCGACGCTGACAGACTTCTTCCGCCCGTCCATCCTGCTCTTCGATGAACTGGCCTCGGCAACGTTGCTTGACGCCGTGACTCCTATGGCATCATTCAAGGAGTCGCTGCTGCATATCATTCTGGCTGGCGACAATCTGCAGGACGTCGCACCAGACTCAATCAAACTTCATCGGAACGAAATTTCCAGGGACCTCCGCATGTGGCTGAACGAGCAGCTGCGGCATGGGGAAGATTTCGCCTTAGGTGAAAAGATCGCATTTACCACGCAGCACAGAATGAGAGATGTTCACGCCCGCATGGTCAGCGATATCTGGTATCAGGGCAGGCTCATTGATGACCCCTCACTGGCCATCAAGTCCCCCTTGGCGATTACCATCGAGGCAGGTCTGAGAGGCTTGGGAGAATTCTGGAACGGTCGCCTTCGCCTTGCCGTGGACGTTGAGGGAAGGCCTGGACCTGATGCCTTCGAAAGCTACTATCATAACTCACGCTCTCTTTGCAACAAGGCTGAAGCAACGTTGATCGTCGATCACATTCAGTGGCTGCTCAAACTCGATCCTCCTGGCCATATCAATGATGACGGGCCTGGGCGTAGAGTCGAACCCGGAGATATCATGGTCATATCGCCGTACAGTGGGCAAGTCGCGCTGATTCGCACGAAGCTGGCCGAAAAGGGAGTCAACACTGCCCACGACAACGCGGGTCAGACGATTGATGTGAGAACATCGGAAGCGGCCCAGAGCACCGATCGCAACATCGTCTTGCTCTCCTGGGTTGCCAGCCGGGAGGACAAGCCGTTATCCATTGGTCCCACGAAGGATTCCAAGCAGATGTGCACCAACTTTTCGCGGGCCAAAGAATACCAAGTGACGTTTGGCAACTGGCTGTCGTGGATGCAAGAAGATTTCGACGACGCAATTGCGAAGCAAGCCAGCCTTCAGACCTTTGGTAAAGTTGTGCGGCACCATCGCGAGATAGGGGACGGCATTTCTCACATACATATGCTTGAGCTACATGCTGGCGACCCCCCAAAGGCGGAAGACCGCTTGTACAAAAAGATCTGTGCTCGTCAACCTGATACTGGCCCTTCGCCATCAGAGTTGCAACCGCGAGAGCTCAGCAGCCTTCAGGCTAACTTTCAGTTCCTTCAAGCAAGGAGTAGGGAGAGGCAGGTCGAGCGGAACGAGAACGGCAGGAGAAGTTGAGGCGGATTCTCGATGCTGGTGATGGCCGCAGCGCCAGCGGGGATGGGTCAATGGGTGGCGCGGCGGCGTCTTGAATGTATCCGGGATGTGCCTCGTAGGCAGCGACCGTGACTGCGCGCCGCATAGTTAGAGGAGCACCTCTTGCGCGTCTACTACGTATAGTATGGATCAATGAAAGATAAACCATCAAGCATGATCACCGTGCGTGGACGTAGAGGTCATATTGCCCTCACGTGTACTTCGCCGCGGGACTGCCCAGATGCACCATCTCCACAAAAAAAAGTGAATGCCGATCACCACCGCACCTTCCCTCCGATGCCTTCCTTCCCTCCCACACCACTCGTCGAGACAAATCATGTCCACCTCGCCCAAACGCACGATCTCCACCGAAGAACCAGCAAACGAAGAGCTCCAATCGCACAAGAAGCCTCGACTGATGGGCCGACACGCGAAGAACGACCAGCCAAGCAATGGCACCACAACTTCCACAGCACCAGACTCGCAAATCAACCACAGCGCCGCGCTGGCCTACTGGTCCTCCACCGAGCCCACAGTCAACGGCGTCCTAGGCGGCTACCCGGAAGTCTCGCGCGTCGATTTGCAAGGAAGCAACAACTTCCTCGCCAAACTGCGGCGCGGCGGCAATGCGCAAAGCTCTCTGCCTGCACCGCCACGAAAACTACGGCGGGCGGTCGATTGCGGAGCCGGGATTGGGAGGATCACGACGGGACTATTGGTCAAGGTTGCGGAGAAGGTGGATATTGTCGAGCCGGTGGTGCAGTTCACAGATGTGGTGAAAGGGCAAGAGGGCGTGGGAGAGGTGTACAACATTGGCTTGGAGGACTGGAGGCCGCGGAAAGAGGGCGGCACAGAATATGATTTAATCTGGAATCAGTGGTGTGTGGGGCAATTGACGGATGCACAGCTCGTGGCGTATCTGAAGCGATTGCCGGGCGTGCTGAGTGTTGGGGGATGGATTGTGGTGAAGGAGAATCTGAGCACGAGTGGGGAGGATGTGTTTGACGAGACGGACAGCAGTGTTACGCGGACAGACGCCAAGTTCCGGGCATTGTTCGAGGAGGCGGGATTGAGGCTCGTGAAGACCGAAGTGCAGAAGGGGATGCCTGCGGATCTGTATCCGGTGCAGAGCTACGCTTTGCAGCCGAAGTGAAAGTGCTTGAAAAGGCCATTCAGGCTTCAATTATACCCAGATCAACGCCTTTTGCCTCATTCCTGCCCTCACTTGTTCTCCTCAGCCACAGGCTCCTCCGTCTCTCCCTCCTTCAACACCCCCCTCCCCACCAAATCATCCCTCCCCGGCCGCGAAGCAACAGCCTTCTCCAAGCTGTCCTTGCGCATCGTCCGCTCCAACTCCCTCTGCTTCTCGTGCAGCGCCGGCGCCGCCCGGCTGTCGCCGAGGATATTCTTGTTCACCAATTCATCCTTCTCCGGCCGCTTAGACAGGCCCTTCTTCAGGTTGTCGGTGATGCGTTGCCGCTCCAGCTCGGCCGCGCGGGCCTGCAGGGCGGGGGCGGCGGTGGTGTCGAGGAGGATGTGGCGATTCTTGAGGTCTTGGTGTTCAGGACGGGTCTGCGCGGATGCCATGTTAGCTGTCTGAGTAGTGGGAGGGCGGAGCAAGGGCGTACTTGGAGGTGCTTTTCGAGACTGTTGCGTCTTTCCAGCGGGCTGATGGGCGACTTGTCAACGCCGTCGTCGTTGTTCGCTGGCTTCTTGATCTCTTCCGCCATGTTGTGAACAATTCCTAAGCTTCCGGCGAGACGAGGTTGATTGGAGGTGGTGCAATGGTAAGGAGGATAAAGGTAACTTAGTGGACCAAGAGAGGGACAGACCAATGTGGGGGTGTGCCCCAGCTTCAGCACATGGCGGGAAGCGGAAAGTTGAAACGTGAATGGCACAGAAACAAGGCAAATACTCCCACCAGCATTATAATCCGCTACTACTCTACAATATATCACGACTCCCATCATTCAGACCCTCACAAAGTGTGGGACTGACCGTGAGATCGAATTGGCTGCTTGAAATTAATCCCATCCGCATCAAAGAACTCGTTTTTCTTTTTTTGGTGTGCTGTTCCATGACAAGTCGAGAATCGTAAAGGCAAATCATCCCTCACCCATCATGGTTCGTATCAGCCATCACGCACTGCTTCTCCGCTCTGCTTCTCCTTTTCCCCTTCTCAATCCTAGTCTTGTCGTTTGGAGGATCCGTGAAAGGGGACGTTGGAGAGGATGTCACATTTAAGCACCCTCGTCGTCGTCGCCGACGCGAATGGCGCCCTCGCCGCTGGCGCCGTGGGCCCAGAAGCCGCCAACCTCGATCTGGCTCTCGGGCATGGCTTGGTGGGTGAAGAGCAACCACGCGCCAAAGACGGGTTTGGCGAGGATGTCCAACACGGCGTAGGCAATGATCTCCTCGTCACTGCATTCAGCTGTTAGCAACTGCACTTGATCCATGATGCTATACGACGGAAGAAAGGTAGCTTCCTTCCAAGGGACGAGACTTACACATCCATGTTGCGGGAGCCATCAGCGATACCCCAGACACTGTGGCATACGTTAGCAAGGTTATTCACAATCGGCGAGAAGCGTTCATGTAACATACATTGGGTAGACGGTCCAGATGAGCAGGGTGAAGCCGCCAATGGCAGCGTAGAAGTTGCCGACCTTGCCACCCTTGGCCATGGCGGTGGAGCGGCCGTGGACGACGAGTTGCCAAACAACGACCAAGTAGGCGATGCAGGCAATGGTGTACCAGCCCCACTTCTGAGGAGAGTCCTCGGCACCGAAGGCGGCGAAGAGACCGGTGAGGATCATGATGACATCGGCAATGATGGCAATGAGGATGTTGCCGCCAGCCATGCCGGCCAAGAGGCAGAGGTCGAGGAGCAGGAGCGGGGTGGTGACGGACCAGTCGACATAGCGGGCCCAGTAGACCTGGCGGTAGATGTCGAGCTTGGTGTCGGGGACGCCGTGCTTGTGCGACTGACGGACGACGGCGTGGTGGTAGCTGATGCCGTGTCCGCTGGCCATGGCGAAGTAGGCGCACGAGGCGAAGATGACGATGAGGGTGGTGACGATGTGGAAGAGACGCTTGGACTGGAGGCTTAAGTGTTAGCTGCGGAGCTGTGGAAGGGTGGGAGAGGGACTGGGAGAACGTACGATGGGCACGCTCCAGGCCATGCCGGTGAAGACGATGCTGGAGACGACCATGACGACGAAGACGACCCTATTGAGTGGTTAGCAGGCAGAAGGGAGGTGGATGGAGCTCGGTTTGGAGCTGTTGCCTGGGCAGGCGGTGAAGCTCGCCCGTCGACAACACGCCGCCCACGATGTGATGAGGGTGCTGCAGAAGCTTGAGGAGGTGTTGTCACTCACCACAAGGTCCTCTCGCCAGTCTCGCTGGCATCCTGGAACTCAGGCAGGGTGGGGACGATGGTGGGGATGGGCGAGACGGTCGACGTCGACTTCTTGATGGCCGTGGCCATGTTGGCGAATGCCTGCACGGGGTCCACGATGTTGGACATGTTGGACGCTTGACTTGCTCACTGTGAAGCTACGGGGTGGGTTTCTGAAGGGGTTGTTGGTGAATGGGAGGGAAAAGGTGAGGGGAAGGAGAGAGAAGGTATGGCAGGAAGTGGAGAGCTTGAGCGCTCGTCATCGCATGCAAACTGGGAAGGCGAGGTGGAGTGTTTTCGCCGCTTCCGCCAATTAAAACGCCGTTGCTGGGCACACCAACCGTCGCATGCAGGTGGTGGTTATTCGCGGCTCCGAGCACCCCTCACTTAGGCCCGTCTTCGCGGTGCTATGTAGATACATCCAGTCGATTGAGAATGAGAGCAATGCATACATGTACATTGCAACAAATGCCGTCTCATTGAATGTTCAGGAGCCGTTGTCCATTGTCCACGATCTGTTCTTGCCCGCTCCCTGCACGTATTCCCTCCACATCGAGGCAAGCCTAACCGGCGGCTCGTCTCAATCGAGCTTGGCCCCTTCGCCCCATGCATTACATCATGTCACTTCTGAGTTCGCTTGCCTGAGAGCTATTTCATAGTACCCTGGCCTCTTATCATCGAATGGCGAGTCTCTCTCGCGCCCGAGTGGTTTATACCTCAGGTTCCCTTCGATCGATGAATCACGTGAATTGTTGGGGTATTGAGGAAGCACAGGAAGGCGCGATATGAGAAGTATGGAAAGGAGCACGAACGGAGGGAGGAAAGAACATTACCTTAATTCAACCTCACTATTGCACCCCACCGATGATCACATGATGCCACATACCTCCATGAAATCTCCTGCAGTGAATCCTCTGCCGCAGGCTGGGAGACAGGACTTCAAATCCCCGAACTCACCCACCTGAAGCGGCCGTGCCTGTTGAATGTTCCTGCACAGTTCTTGAAATGGCCAGTGGAAAGAAGGGCATATTAAATGAAATCGAGCAAAAGTAAGTAGACTGAAGGAAAGCAGCAAGACTGACAGCAGGCAGTGAGAGCAGCGCGCACACTCTCCCGAGGTCTGGACTCACAGGTCATAATATTCAGGCCGTTCGCTCAACGTCGTACCGCGTCCGGAAAGCGGAGAGCGCGCAAGCCGGCAGCCTGCGCCGGGCCGACTTGACAAGCGAGTGGCAGGCTCATCTGCCTCGCGACACCCGTACCCCTGAGTAACCAACGCGCAATGGGCCCTTCTCAGCAATCGCAGGGTCTCCCGTGGGCGGGGAGAAGATCCGAACCACATCGCAAACGGCTCGATGATAGCAGAGAGCGGCCGTGACATCAACTCCAGCAGGTCGGAAAGCAAGAAATACGAGTGTGAGCTGTCACCACGGAAGGGCCGATGAACTCCACGCCAGTGCTGCTCGGGAGACGGCCAGCTGCGTTTTCTGACGCGGACTTCTGAACGTGCTATGGCCCTGCCCTGCGCTCGCACGTAGTCAGATGCACCCCGCTGGCGTACATTCCTCGCGTTGCTAGGCTGACCAGCGGCCGGATGCAAGGGTCGACGTGATCCAGGCTGCTGAAACACGGCTGCCCACAAACGCAACAACCTCGCGGTCCTTCTGGAAGTGATCCAGCACTGCTGCCCAGCAAGATCGGAGAGTGGCGTTGTGAACGGATACCCGCAGCAGAAAGATGGGGCCGGCGGCTATGTATGAGCGGGAAGATGCGGTCTCCGCCCATCCACAACCCATCGAACGCCTCGCATACATTTCGCAAATGTAGACAGAGAGACACTGCATGCCCGCTTGCCAGCATGATTCGCGGATCGGCGTCGCATATCACAAGGAGGATGAGGCAGCTGTTGCACCAAAGCCCAGGCCTTCTGTGAAGATGTCAGTCTTGGAAATGAATCCGGTCCGGTCGGAGTGACGCTTCCCTTCCGCGGCACACACCTCCTCATCTCCGAGACCTCACCAAACGCCCGCCGTCGTGTTTGAAAGACGGAGAGCGCGAACCTCCGGGCGATGGTAATATCAAAACACGGCCTCACGGCTCCAAACGATCCCCCTCACACTCTTTCTCCCATCTGTAAACACCTCTTGTTCGTCTTCTTGCAGCAATCCTTTCCATACGGTGGCTTTCTGTCTCTCTTGTTCGATATTCGTTGGCGGGCGACGCTTTTTCCTGGCTGTCGCTGTTCGTTTTATCCCCATTCTCTGCTGCATCCCCCCTCCAACGCATACACTGTCGGCATCGAGACGAAGCGCACCTCAACAGGCAAACGGAAAATCGGTTGAGGTGAAGTTTCTAATTCCTCGTGAGTGTTCTCATCAAGACGGATGTCGCCCAGAGACCTGGACTAATGCAGGCTTTATGTCATAGTAAACAATCGTCGTCACGTTGGCTGCTAGAAGAGGCAGGAGCGGAACGACACGCCCCATTTCATTCACACCGCCCACTTGTCAAAACCTTCGCCGCCTCCCGCCCTGCAGCTACGCCAACACCTGCATTGCATCGACCGCTCCCCTTCTCAGCGCCGCCTGCACGGCTACCCACACACCGACCTTCTGTCTAGCCTCTCCGAGACCTCGCTATCTCACTCTCCTACGGCAGCATGGCTTCCTATCGCGTCCCCTTCCCGCATCCTTCATACCACTCTCATCCCCAGCGCATCTACTACCCTCATCCGCCCGCCAAAGCCCTTCCAGGCCCTCTGCCGCCTCAACCTGTCAACTATCGCCAACCCTGCACCACCCGCCCCGCTCCATACCCCCTGAACGAAGCACCCACGTACCAGAAGGTGATGGCGCACGCGCAGACGCAGGCCTACTTCAAGGAGTCCGTCAACGACACCGACCAGCTCTACCTTCCAGCTCACGCAGAGACGATGCTGGCGAACCAAAAGACTCTCTACCCCTTCTCCTTCCGCCCTCTAGTGTACAGCCAACACCCTTCGCCGGCCCAAGAGCCCGCCAAACCTTTGCAGACTGTCACTCTGCCCACCCCCAACGTCTTGCCCAGACCTGTCGACGTTTCCAAGTACGAGACCGTCTCCTATCGCGACTGGATGAACGCTCCGACGGAATACCAGTCGCTGTCTCCTTCCTCCTTCGCTTCCGAAGACGATCCTCCCTCGACGCCAAAGGACTGGGATCTGGGCTATCACGCCAACATCGGGGTTGCGAAGAACGGATCCTTCGGCCAGCTGGGCGTGTTCAACGGCGTGCCTGTGTGGGCTTCTGGAATGATGCCAGCCACCGCATCGCAGTATCTCCCCGAAGCCATGCTGTACTACGGTGCTGTCAATAACATCGTGATGGCTCAGCACCGCCAGAGTCTTCCTCACCCTCACCCCGACTCCTTCAGCAGCACCCTGAGCCCCTCTCCCGAAGCTCAAAGCACCGTGCCCTCCCCAGTCTCCCCGTCTGCCACAGTCGACACCGAAGTCGAGATGACCGATGACGAGGACGGCTTCTCCGAAGCTCGCGACGCCTCCGACCGCGCTTCCGTGGTAACCACCACCGATTCAGACGATGAAGACGATGACGATGACGACGACGACGAAGAAGATGACGACAACCTTCTCGCCGCCCGCACCGATGCCGCCCGTGAGCAGCGCGACAACCTCCTCGTCTCCCTCCGCGACAAGGGCGTCCCCTACAAGGAAATCAAGCGCAAGTACGGCTTCAAAGAAGCAGAGTCCACGCTCCGCGGCCGCTTCAGGGCCTTGACGAAGGACAAAGAGGAGAGGGTCCGGCGTCCTGCTTGGGAGACGAAAGATGTAAGTTTCCTTTTCTCCTCCACCAAGCAGTGTGGAGCAGGCAGAACAATTCCAAAACGGCACTGACATTGTTACGAGGTCATCCTCCTCCGCCGCGCCGTCCGCTACTACTGCACCGGCGTCGAAGCCGAGAAGTTGAAAGTGCGTGCTGGCCGTCGCCGCACCCCGTGGAAGAAGGTGAGTGAATGGATGAAGAAACATGGCGGCAGCTATCGTTTTGCACCGGCGACTTGCGCGAGGAAATGGGAGGAAGTGAAGAACTGAAGGAGGTCTTTTCGTCTAATCACTGGTACGTTTGTGGCGGTGATGCACACCGTCTTGCATACCCGCACAGAAACGTCGCTTGCATTGCATTGCATCTGTCTCGGGTTGGGAATGGGAGGAGAGGGGCATGGATACCTGATGGAGATTGGGTGGACTGAGCTGGAAAAAGGAAGGGTTGTCTTGTAACATTAGTCACACTCTGCTGCTGCTGCATAATGGCGCATACTGGCAGATGATGCACGCTTCGTCCGTCGAGCTTCGTTCCCTTGTTCCGTCATCAACAGTCGTAGACGAAGTCATGAACCTCGTTGCCATCGTTCATCGTGAGCAGACCGTTCCGCTCAAGCAACATGCGCCACGAATGCCATAAACCCATCATCTTTCAGCAATACCCCCATCACGTCCTCTTCGATTTCCACCATCACCTCCCACAGCCCCTCATCTTCCTTGACAGCATGCACAGTGCACCCGTCCGCCGTCATCTCTCTCCCAATCTTCCGCACCCATCCTGGCTTCCCCAGCCCCAAGCCCAGGTGCCCCTTCTCCGCAACATTCAGTCCGCTCCAATCCGCAATCTTCATAGCAGCGGCATCGTTGGCATTCTTCTTGCCGAGATCAGCCAGATCGGCGCCCGCGTTGATCCCAGCGATGACGGACCGAATGTGTTGCTCATTAACCCCCTGGATGCCAGTGTGAATTGCCAGCGCGGCAGCGCCCAGAGTGCCTACGTCGAACGGCATCATTAGATTGACGGTGGAGTGGTTGACGGCGATCTCCAGCGTCGCATTGCCCATGTAGCCTTCGTCAAGAGCTGGATCAATTGCTTTGCGGACGTTGACAGGGAGGAGAACGGCCGATTCGGCCGCGAGAGAAGGAGCTGGCGCCTGGCTGGCGCGGCGGCGGGCTCGGACGATCCCCTTCCAAAGGATGGCGAAGAGGACGTTGGAAGAGTGCACGGTGGTGCTGGCATCCTTGCGGATGATGAGGAGACGCTCGTTCACCAGCGCGGCGACCCCGTCAATAAGTTTCGTGTTGAATGCGAACATCCGGCCGCAAATCGCGCTCTCCACGGCATGTAGCCCTTCGTCAGACGTGTTCTTGACGGCGCTCGCCTCCACCTTCGCTCCTCTTGAGCCGGAGAGGCGGTCACGCAGGCGGGACTGATCAACGGCCATGTCGTGAATATCGTCGTCGGTGATATAGTAGGTCGGCAGATTGCTCGACAGGTGGGTGATGATTGTTTGGAAGCCGACGATGTCTGCCACGGCTTGGTGCAGGGAGAGGGCCACCAGAAGACCACCAGAAACGAAGTTGGCCTGGATTCCAAATGCAGGACTGCTCTCAGCGGCCGACAGATTTGGCAGGGGAGTGAGCTTGTCGTTGAAGAGAATGGCAGGAGACATGCCAGCAACCTCAAGATCCTTGTAAGTGTGCGGAAATTCGCCGTGGGAGAGAATTTTGATCATTGGCTTGAATCCGTTGACTTGCTCGCGCTTCACCATGACTTCAGTGCGCCCGGCCTGACCTTGAGCTTGAGAGGGGCGGACGACACCGGCGAGAATGGGCATGTGGGCGATGGTGCGCTTAACCGTGGCCGTGAGGTGAGCTGAGATCTTATCAAAGTCCGATTCCTCGTTGGTGGTGGAGAAGCAGAAGCAGCAGCGAAGATACACGCGCTCGGCAGCGTGGTCCAGTGAGGACAGTTGGAAGATGTGCTCCTTCATGGTGATGTGCGGTCTGCGAGGGTCTCTGAAGGTAAGCATGGTGAGTGAGTCTGCAACACAGCGACAAACATACAGTGTGTGTCGATGGGTGGTGACAGCGAGAGTGAGAGGAGCCAGAGGTGAAGTTTGAGGATGAAGGTTGAAAATCCAGAGTGCGTGTTGTGTCGTACGAGGGATATTTGATGACGTGCGGTGTCATAAGTAAGGGAGTCACGTGGTGGACGTGCCTCTACCACCACTTCTCGCAAAGCACGTGCTCTCGACGGATGCCGCGCTGTTGAGACAGAAACTCCACAAAGTCGTCCGTCATCTGTGGTGGGCCGCAAACGTAACACACCGTCCCAGCGCGATGTGTGTTGGGATCATGATGCTGCCGAGAGTAGCCATCCAGAGCAGAGAGCAAGTCTGCGTGTTGGACTCTTCCCGCGAACGTGTGGTTGGGCAGCTTTCCGTGTTCTATGCGTCCTGCATCACCCGAGCCGGTGAGGAAAAGATTCAGGGTTACATCGACGCTCTCTGCAGCAGCTACGAGATCCATCAGTCGCGGCAGGAACAATATCCTTTGCGGATCAAGGTCGGCGTCTGCTTTTGTGGTGTAAATGAAGTGGATTTCCTTTGGCCTGGAGGAAGTCCGAAGGAGATGGGAAAAGATGGAAACGAGGGGGCTGGCTACAAGTCAGCTGAGAAGTCAAAGGCGTACTCTGGAAGGGATACTTGATGCCAACACCCCCAGCAATCAACACCAAACGATTGATCCTCGAAGTCTCCAGCTGAGGTGGAGGCCAGATAAAGCTCCCGCCAACGCGCACAGCAAGACGCGAGCCCAGAATGTCTTGCTCCGGCTGCCACAGCCACTGAGCCGGGGGATTACGACTTTTCTGGATTGCCAGCTCTAGATACGGCGCCGAATGCGTCGATGGCCGAGCTTCTCTGGGCGTTGAAGTGATGGTGAACCCACCTGCTTTGGGGATTCCGGGTATATAAGTGTCCAGCCACTGTCCTGGGGAAAAGGCGATGGAATGGTTAGGATCCACGGCACTGAGTCGGAGCAGACGAATGTCGTCGTTGATTTGCCTGATCTGTGATAGAATGACCGACTCTATTCGATTCTCCCGCGGCTCTGCCGCGGTCCTATCCTCGTGAGGGAGGGAAGACCGGACGGTGGCCATCAATCGGAGGAGCTTGGCGGGACTGGGTGGTGTTCTACATAAGGTCCGCCGAGCTCGAGGTGCCAGAGTCAAGATCATTACTGGAGGTTAATGCACAGTTGGAACTCGTGCGTGATGGAAAAGAATCGATAATCCCTGACTGTACTCCAGCGCATATTTCACGCTGAAGTACAGTCAGGGAGCCACTTTTCCCACCGAATTAGGAAGCTGCTGACCGCCCGCGATCTCGCTGAGCGGAGAAGCGTGAACGCAGTTCCTCCTGCCAATAATCAACGAGCGGCTCCCCCGAATACACAATGGGCTCTGAGGCACGACACGCGGTGTGTGGCATAATCTCAATTGGGGACATGGGCATGGGCATCGCGAGGCTATTGATTGCAAACAATTTTGGTGTTGTATCAAACGTGTCGGATCGCAGTTCAGCAACGCAGAGGCGGGCACGAGACAATAATATCGGGGAAGTCCCATGCGATATCGATCTCTGCAACAAGAGCGACTACATCTTGTCAATCGTCCCTCCTCGAGACGCCGCAGCCACGGCGCAAAGAATCATCAAAGCTTCGTCGAGTTTGAATTTCCAACCCCGATCGAACCCACTTGTTTTCATCGACCTTAACGCCATCAGCCCCAAAACTGCTCGCTCCATTGCCGCCCTCTTCGAAAATTCCTCAATTCGCTTTATAGATGGCGGTATCATCGGCGGTCCACCTTCCCGGAAAGAAGACGGAACCTGGTCTCGACCCAGCATTCCCGTCTCAGGCCCTTACAATATCAACTCTGCTGAACCCTCAGGCTCCAAGATTGCAGAGGTTCTTAACATGCAGCACGTCAACGATACGATCGGCTCCGCCACCGGCCTGAAGATGTGCTTCGCGAGCCTGGCAAAAGGCTTCACGGCACTTGCTATCCAGTCTTTCACTACCGCACACAATCTAGGCGTGCTCCCGGAACTCAAGGCGCACATGGAGGAATTTAACCCCGCGGGCCTCAAAACAGCCGAGAGAAGCCTTCCGGGCATGTGCCCTAAGGCGTATCGATGGGTGCACGAGATGCGTGAGATTGCGGAGACGTTTGAGGCGGATGGAGGGTTTGCTGAGGACGGGAGTGAATCGCCGTTCAGGGCGATTGCTCAGATTTATGATTTGGTTGCGAATGGTACGGAGCTTGGGAAGGAGGTTGTGGGGGCGAGGAAGAGGGGCAAGACGGCGGAGGATGTGGCTGTCTTGGTTAGTGAAGGAACGGAGCGGAGAAAGGTAAAGATGGAGTGAACATTATCTTTCGTATCTTCTTTGAGAGCTAAAGCCGAGTCCGAGTCGGTTCTGGGGGTATCAATCTATCACGATGCATTGTCGTCACGCATCAAGCCGCAGCGGCAGCACCGCCATTCACCAGGCTCGCCCTCAAGTCATTGCACACTCTTTCGAATCCGCCGACAATATCTTTACACTCCCGATCACACCACCTCGCTCTGATCCTCTCGCTCCAATACGGACTCGCGTTCAACTCCTGTCTCGCGAGCTCTGCCCTCTCCCGCTCTCTTCTCAGCTCGGCCACTACCATCTGCGTCGAGCGTAAACACCGCGAAGCCGAATTCGTGGTCTGTCGACCCATCTGCAAGGAATCCGTCAATTGCGAAAGCGCGTGCATGAGACTTGTCGTCTCGCGATCCAATTTCTGCATGCCTTGCAAAGGCGCCGGATCCGGGATGGGGAGGTCTTTGAGTAAAGCATCGAGTAACGGTAAAGTCTCCTGCACGATCGCGGGGTCCAAAGACGCCGAGAATATGGTGGAGGGGGAGTAGAATGTCGCCGACGCTAGCGCTTGCATGGTCTTGCTTTGAGCCGTCAGATGTCCAGTCAGGCTGTTCGTTGAAGTTGTGAGGCGTTGTATGTGCGCTTCCACGCTGCTTTGATTGCCGAGATCTTGCAGGAGAGCAATCGTGCGTGGAATAATGGGGTCCTCGAAGGTAGAGGCTGCCAGCATACGTGCGACGCCGTTGAGCGCGTCTTCCAACTCCGGAGACAGCGCGCATTGCTCCTCTTTGCCTTCGTCTGTCTCAGTCTGTTTCGAGGACTTCTCTTTTGAAAGGTATGACACATCGACCCCCGAGTCCCTCGCGCCATAACTTGCGAAGTCTTCCTGGGCTGCAACACCGATCTCGTCTCCTCCTTCCCCATCAGATCCATCCAAAGCCTCCTCGTCGTACTCCAGCTCCTCCCCGTCGTCCAATTCATCTAGCTCGTCCGCCAGGGTTCCCGCCAGCCCGCCGCTTTTCTCCACCGCAGAGCCATTCGAATAGAACGAGGCGCCCGAGAATCTGTGGCTCCTCCTGTTTTCCCCTCCAGCAGGGCTCCGGTCATGGTTGGAGGAGAAGCTGCTTGTTCTTCGGCGCAAATGCTCGCGGTAGGAATGTGTGGGCGACGGGGAGGTGTCCAGCGGCGACATCATATATTGCCGCAGTGGCGTGAGAGGGGGCGAGGTTGCGATCTCCATGTCGAGTCTGTTGGTATGAATTCCTGGAATGCGTGGTTGGTGAGAGTGCAGTCTCCCGTCACGTGTAGACTTGCTTAGTCATCACATATGTGAGCGTGCCTTCCTCACTGCAGTGCTGCTCCGGATGAAACCATGGGTACTTAATGGTTGTAAAGATCGAAACATAACCAGGGCTTGAAAACGGTCGAGTTCGCAGCATACCAAAAATACTGTGCAAGACTCTCGATCAAAAACTTTATTGTAGCATAACTCCGTGCGTATGTACCATGGCAGCCCACAACTACTTACTCGCCATCCAGCGGATACTTGGGAGGGACGTTATCAACTTGTATTCCGCCGCGCTTGCGTTCGTCGCTATCATGGAATGGTAACTTCCAACCACCTTCCGATTCAGGAGTCGAGAGCCACAGCCGCAACAAGTGTCTCCGTGGGGTGGGGGGATCATGATCCACGTAGGACGTCCGAGAGTGGAGCACATGTTCGTTCGATAGCCATTGAATATCGCCGACGTCCAAGACCATATGAAGGGATAGGCGCATGCAGGTCTCCTCGAGGACTTTCAACGCCTCCAACTGCTCGGGAGACAAAGGCGTGATCTCGCCGGTTTCGGAGAAGCGAGTGAGAGAGCGGACGAAGTAAGGATCCCATCTGTAGCAAGATGCGTTAGTGGCTGCAATGGCGTCCTAGCTTTCCGGGACGTCACTCACTTGCAATACACTCTGCCTTGTTCGGTGGGCTCAATGTAGAGCACCTGGGTTCGGATGTATCTGCAGGCTATCAGTATGCAGGCGCACAGAGTCGGGACGAATCCAAACGTACGGGTCCTGTCCCTCGCTGACCTCGCCCTTGCGATCAAAGTACCAAATAGGCTTCGTCAATGTCTCGACGACGTCTGGGCGCTCTTTTTGCAAGGTGTTGTACACATGGTGCACCGAGGCAATGTCCGACTCCCCACCCTCTTTTGCGCGATGGATACACAGCAGTCCGACGATATCGCTGGTGTCGCAGTGGAAGAACTGCCGAGCGTTGGTGCGGTAGATTCGGACGCGGTGGATTTGGGTCGGGTCGTCGCCAAGGTCCTTGACATGTCCGAGGATATGCCCTTTGCCGTTTTGGCTGACAAAATAGCCAAAATAAGTTCCCAGGCCGATGTATGCAGTAGCAGACTTATCGACGCTCCATTCTTGCGCGGGGAATCCCTTCATCAGAATGAATCCCTTCCCGTTGAGAACATCCTCGCGGAAGCTCTCCATGAGCGGGCCCAATGTCGGCAGAGGGAAGTTGTCCTTTGTAATGCCAGTCAATGGAGTTCCGGTAGCAAGGAAATCATCCGTTGCCTTGCCCAACTCCGCCTTTTCGGCCTCGGTGAACCAATGGACCCATTTCTCGGGGCTGTTTTGATAATCTTCAGCCTTCCACACCGTTGGACCGCTGATTTCCTTGGGATAGTCGTTGTATTTCTTCAACTTCGAGTAGATAGGCGGGTGCTGGCCGGAGGTACGGATACCGTCCGGGAAGATGTCTTTTGGCGCATCGTTGTTCAGCCGCTTGCTTGAGATGTAGTGGGGCAGCTCGGGAGCGTCGTCGAGGAGGACGCCGGGGGCCATCTTGCTGCGAGAAGTATGACAGAGAAAAGAAGTGAGTAGAGGGGGGAGAGAGAAGGCCTATGAACTACGAGAAGTGGAATGCCATGCGAACATCGCCGACTTCATCAGGGTTTCTGGCGATCACCTCACTCTCGGCCTGGTGCTGTCGAGGAAGCTTCGGGAGGGTCCGCGCGCTGGAGGAAGGTTGTGCAATCACGCCATCGACACTTGAATCCATCAATCGCGTGCAGAATCGCGCCTTACTGTCGATAATGACGTCGAAAGTCTCGGCAACGTGAGGGAGGCGAGGAAATTGTGTAGGGCATTGCCGTCAATAATGGCGTGCGCGCTTGCACGAGATTGCTGGCTATAACAAGAAACCGTGAGTCTTGCGGCTCTTTGTTCTTATCATTCTTGCTCTCCCGTGTTCCGACCTTTTCCTTTTTGGCCGAGCATCACAGCGTCCTGAAGCATGTCGGTCCAGGACGAGAAGACGGTCTCGCCGCCCAGCGAGCGCACAGAAGAGGAGGGCACCGACGAGTTTGTGAACGAAAAGGCGCTGATTCGCAAACTTGATTGGCGACTTATTCCTTCAGTCACCATCTTGTACCTCCTTTCATTTCTGGACAGGGCCAACGGTGAGGCAGTCCGATCGTACTGTCCATCGACTCTGTGCTGACGATCGAACAGTGGGAAACGCCAACGTGGCCGGCTTGTCGAAAGACGTTGGACTTAGTGAGTGAAGCACGGCCAGATTGACCGCATCATCGACCTAACAATCGATGCAGCTCCCAGCGCGTACTACACCGGACTCACCTTGTTCTTCGTGGGCTACGTTGTGCTGGAAGTGCCGTGGAACATCATCTTGAAGTTGACATCGCCGCGCATATGGCTGCCAACCATTACTGTCATTGTAAGTTGGATGACTCCGAAAAGGGCTATTTGGACTGATTCAAATGCAGTGGGGAATCGTCTCTGCGCTTCAAGGTCTGGTAAGAAATCGCGCCGGTTTTTGGGCGATCCGATTCTTCCTAGGCCTTGTGGAAGGCGGTCTCTTCCCGGGTGTCGTCTTTTACCTCTCAATGTGGTATGTCCGACGTGAACGCCAATTCCGAGTGGCCCTCTTCTTTTCTGCTGCAGCATTGGCGGGAGCTTTCGGAGGTATCCTCGCCTTTGGCTTGTCCAAAATCAATGCTGGAGGAGAACACGGGTGGTCCTGGATCTTCTATGTGGAAGGTATCATCACCTTTGTTGTCGGTCTGCTAGCATACTGGTTCATCGAAAACTACCCCAGCACGGCCAGATTTGTCACGCCCGCGGAAAGGAAGTTTCTTCAGGATCGCCTCGCCGAAGATTCGGACTTGACCGAGAACGAAGGGTTTACGTGGGCAAACGTCCGGGCAGGCCTGAGTGATCCGAAAATCTACCTGTACTCCTTTGGCTATCACTTCTTGTCACTGCCTCTGTACACGATTGCTCTCTTCTTGCCGTCGATCATCGAGAACCTCGGATACAGTGCGGCCGATGCTCAGTTGTTGACGATTCCTCCGTACGCGCTCGCGGCAATCCTCACGGCAGTGGTCGCGTGGGTGAGCGAGTATTATGGAAGACGTGCGCCTTTCATAATGGGAGCCATGGTCATTGCGATGATTGGTTATGCCATTCTTCTGGGCAACACCGATCCAACGGGAAAGCCTGGAATCTCATACCTTGGCACTTTCTTCGCTGCTGCAGGAATCTATCCGGCCGTGGCTTTGGTGCTTTCATGGCCGGCCGTCAACGTGTCGGGTCCAACGAAAAGGTATGTTTGAGAATATCTTCTCGGGCGCCGACAAAGCTGACCACATAACAGAGCGGTCGCCAATGCACTGCAAATCACGATAGGCAACTGTGGAGCAATCATTGGAACTCAAGTCTATCGGACCCCTGACGCACCTCGCTTCGTGACCGGGCACTCGATCGCGATGGCGTATTGCTTCACAGCCGCATGTGTAGCGGGCTTGACGTGGTGGTACCTCTCGAGAGAAAACAAGCGCAAGGAGGCAGCTTTGCCAGGTGCAGGAGTTGAAGGGGGTGCGGGTGGATTGAAGGGAGATGAGGATCTTAAATGGCGGTTCATGCGTTGAAGTAGTGCTCCTGCACCTTCATAATCTCTCCGATCTTGCGAGAATAAATAGAGACTTGGCTGTAGCATATACTAGACCGTCGCCGTTTTCGATGCATGCTTTCACCCAGACCTTCCTTCCGCTGTAGCTGACCTGCCAGGCTCTCACAAGTATTACACATGGGGTATTGACTGGCCGCTTGTAGTCCACCGTCATTGTTGCCGTTGCGGGAGAGACTGGCCGAGGATCCGCATAATGTCTAGAAGCTTCAATGTTAACACACAGGCTTCTCGGCTTCATGGCCGGTCCACGCACGCAGAGTGTCCAGAAATGTGATCTAAAAGTACAGAGCTGAGACCTCCGTGAGCTCGTCCCGTCATCCCGTCCAGACCGTCGCCAATCGATACCAAGAAGCATTCCTCCAGGGCGTTGATGGAATCCGGTTCCTTGCAGGGCCTCCGGAACGCAAGATGAGCGCGAATGCCCTTTTCGCCGTAAAGCGTCCACTCGAATAAGCTGTTGGATACCCGCTCCGGAGAGGCGCCCTCGTGGGATTTCCTGGACCAGAGGATGCCAGGATGTGCGAGGACCCTCTTACACCATGGAAGATCGAAATCCGGGTGCGCCATCAGGGTGTGATACCCGGCTTGCATTTGGAGACGTGAAACGAGCGCCATTACCTCACCAGATTTGCTGTCATGACCCCACGGGACAACGTTCGTTTACTGACAATCCAGATAATCCGGTTGCTTGAGAACACAGCCTCAGTGGGCCGCGGAGGGGCTAGGGGAGGTCTGGCAGTCCGTTGCTGATTAAAGAACTCGAATGCACACGGGCCGGGAATGCGATTGTTAGACGCAACACAATTACAGCAACTCCCCTCCGCGGAAAGTGATCGTGTGGTAGTATATAGCCGACGAATTGTCGTCAAAGCACAGACCAAGAGGTCCGCTTCCTTACTAAGCATATCCCACAAATTTCCGTCTTGGCACGAATATTCTCGTGGGAGCGGCACAAGACAACATCTTCGCGAGTTAATTGCACCAACGAGCATCAGTCGTCAAAGGGTAAGTCCAATACGAGTGCGTCCTATCAATGCTGCTGCTGCTACCGCTGCTACTCTACCTACGAATAATCGAACATGTTGTACGGGTTGCTGGCCTCTGTGGAGGTCGAAAGAGCATGCGATCGAGAGAACATTGGCATTCGCGAACCTCTGGTCATAGGCCAGCAGGGTTTTATGAAGATGCTGGATTAGGTCGGGAGGAAGGGCAGTGGGAGCAGCGGCAGCGATCAACTTGCGCAGCACGTCCGGCCAGAATACTGATCTTTACCTCGTCCTAGAACTCACGACAGCACCTCCAATATGGCGTCCCAAGCTCCCGCTCAGGCAATGAGCGGTGTCAACATCTCGAAGCGTCGCAAGTTCGTGGCCGACGGTGTCTTCTACGCCGAGTTGAACGAGTTCTTCCAGCGTGAACTGGCGGAGGAGGGCTACTCCGGTGTCGAAGTGCGTGTCACCCCGACTGTGACCGACATCATCATCCGCGCCACACACACCCAAGAAGTGCTCGGAGAGCAAGGACGAAGGATCCGCGAGCTCACCAGCCTGATCACCCACCGCTTCCGCTTCCCCCCGGACTCTGTCTCCCTCTACGCCGCCAAGGTCCAGTCCCGTGGTCTCTCCGCTGTCGCCCAGTGCGAGTCTCTCCGCTACAAGCTTCTCAACGGTCTCGCTGTCCGTCGTGCGTGCTACGGTGTTCTCCGGTATGTTGCCCCTCTGCCAATCGCAACACGTTATGCTGATCCCTCCCTACAGCTTCATCATGGAGTCCGGTGCCAAAGGTTGCGAGGTTGTCGTCTCTGGCAAGCTTCGCGCCGCTCGTGCCAAATCCATGAAGTTCACCGACGGCTTCATGATCCACTCCGGTCAGCCCGCCAAGGACTTCATCGACTTCGCCACTCGCCACGTCCTCCTCCGTCAAGGTGTGCTCGGGATCAAGGTGAAGATCATGCGTGCGTCCTCGTCGCCCAACGACCCGTCCGGCGAGAAGAGCGGCGGCAAGGGCCTGCCCGACTCCGTCACCATCAACGAGCCGAAGGAGGACCAACCCATCTTGGCTCCCAGCAGTCAAGACTACGGCGCCAAGGCCGCTCAAGCCCAGGCTGCGTACGAACAGCAGCTGGCAGCACAGCGGGATGGTGCTGCGGCGGAAGAGGGGCAAGGAGGCGCGGAGTACTAGGAAGAGGTGGTGTGCTCTTAGCTGGCGTTTCGCAGAGATGCTGTTCTTCAAACTTCGACGGGAGTGATGCGATTATTGGTTGCGTAGCTCGATAGTCGCCGCAAATCAACATGCACGATATGTTATTGTCCTGGAAGTCATTTTAGGGCCGAATGCAGCGCGTCCAAATGAAATGATGCATCACGTGCCTTCGTGGGGTGCTCGCGCTACTGGAACGAGCCGGGCGCCCGAGCTCGGCACGACGCGATTGCCCATCAACAAATCCAACCTCATCCCGTCTGTTCCTCGTTGTTGTTGCTCCCACATCGTTCAACACTTTGTTTCTCGACTGCTGTCTAGCCTTTTTGCTTCTTCGTGTCGAGATTCTATCACGCGCTGACCCCATACTATCTATCGTGAAAATCTTATCTCCTTCTGGGCGATTGCACGCGTAGCTGCAGCACACCAACCATGCAACCCGGCACGCAGTCAAACGAGACTCGTTCTCCAGCCAGACCTGTCCCCAACTTCCACGATGTTCAAAACATCTACACCCCTTCGCAGCGCCGTCCCCTTGCCGATGTGTCGCCCAATGTCAAGCCTGTCACGCCGTCCGCAACGCCAGGCTTCCTCAAGAGGCCATTGACCGGCAGCCCTCTCAAACGCAGCTTCAATGCTGCAATGGAGTCCGGTGAAGGACTGATGTATCTCAAGAGAAGGCGACTGGGAGAGAATGAAGTGTTGAGTGAAGATGGTGCTCAACGCGAGCGGGAGGCGAGCATGGAGATTGGCGTGCAACCTGTAAGTCACTGCGGAACGTCTTTGACAGCGTTCGATGCTGATCTCAATAGCTGCCGCCTCTTTCTGGCGTGGTCGACATCCCTTCACCAACCGAGCCAAACACTCCCCCTTCAGAGGACAACGCGAGCACGGAAGGCTCTTCTGCCGAGCGCAAGTCGTTCTCGTCACTCATCAACTACGATGCTTCGTCTCAACCCTCCAACTTGACCTTTCCGACTGTGTCCAAGGCCGAGCTGCTGAAACTACGTCTACGAGTTGCAATGTACAAAGTACGAACGAATCAGGTCGCCGTGCCGTTCCCGGAGTTGCACGTTGAGTCCGACGCAAGCAGGAACTCAACGCAACAAGCAATTGAAGACGCAGTTGCGCAATTGCGGAAGGAGGCGCAGGAAGTCCTTGCCCGAGAGCCGTCTCAGCCTTCGTATCCGACGCTACTGCCAGCACCCGTGTTGCAACCGACAGCATACAGCTCACGCATGATCTACGACGCCAATCTACACAGCTCTCCCCCGACTTCAAAAACTCTGAACAGGCTCCCAATGACCATCGCCACGGCCACGCCCTTGCGAGCAATGTGGAGGACGGACAGCCCACCGACCAGCGCCCAGAGACTCTTCAGGCCGTCGGAGCAGGAATTGACGAGTAGTGTCGTCAAGGGCCGCGTGGCCGAAGGACTCCTCGGTCTGAAATATCTCATGTGAATGAAGTCGTGGAGAGTTGTGTAAACGAGGATATTTTACAAGCGACGAGAATTTGACTCGATTAGATTCATATATAGTCTACGTCAAATGGTGTAGACTGTTCAAAGATGCTTCATCATGAACGAGTAAAAGGGCTCGTTTTCGTAATCCTCACCAGCATCCAAAAAGTGGTTGAGGCCATGAAGACGTTCGTATTTCAGCTCAATCCCACACCCCAGCGCGGCCCCGACGACTTCGTCCGATTGCTCCACCCCTACAGCAGTATCGGCATCCCCATGGACGCAGTACATTGGCGGCAAGCGATGCTGGTAGATGTTTCGCGCGACTCTGAACGGCTCAGCCTTGTCCGCGGTGGGGACATGATACAGCTCCGCCAGGTTGGCCGACGCAAGCATGTACATGTACATATGGCCCCGGGGATCAACGTCCGGCTGCCCCGAGCTCGTCGACGGAACTGCATTGCGGTCCAGGTATTCGGCCATTTCCTCCTTGGACGGAATGCGACGACCCATGAAAGCGGGTTGAGGATTGGTGAAGAAGACGCCTAGAGGATCCGTGATGGCGTAGATGGGCAGAATGACTTGAGGCTTTGGATTGGCATACAATCCCGCGAGCAGGGTGAGGTAACCACCCGCGGAGGCGCCTGATACAGCCAGACGGGAGACATCGATTGCATGTGGTTTGACGTGAGAGGGCAGCTCTTCGCGGATGAATTTGATGCAGTCCAGTACGTCGTCTCGGATGTCTGCGACGCTCACTTGCGGTGCCAAGCGGTAGTCGGCCGATGCAACAGCGATACCGTACTTTTCTACCGCTTTGCGTACGTGAGGAGGACAAGAGTCTCGTCGGCCTTGGAGAAGGCCACCGCCGTGAAACCAGAGAAGAACCCCTACGCTCTTGCCGGTGCTTGGGAGGTACAGGTCCAGCGGAATCTCGACACCATCTACCGTCTTGTATGTGAGGGTCTTTGAAGGCTTGATGCTCGCCATGATGTTGGATGTTCCTTGTCGAAATAGTATTGCGGTTGTAAATGTTGGGATGATGTTCACGCGGAATAAGGGTGCAGTAGATGAAGCGTCCGAAAGCTTAAAAAGTGTCCCTTTCCAGGATATCGACCTCACCCGACGAACCTCTAATGATGATCATAGAGGAAATGATGGCTGAGGGGAAGATGGGGTCTCCTCCAACCCGGTATGAAGTCGTTCAATCACGTGCAGCAGCTGCCTCGTGCCTTCCGCGACAGGCTGCAGACGAGGTTGTGTAACGGCAAACACGGCCTTCATGTGCCTTGTTTGACGAGGCTTGGACAACTCTCACATCCTCCTCTTTCCCTCTCGCGCTCTTCCTCCACCTTGACATTCACACCACCGACAGCCATGGCCAATCTCTCACGTCTCGAGCGCCTGCTCCAAGCCATCGGTGAAGACAATCTGCCCCACCCGTCCATCGCTCCTGCCGCAAAGCCTCAGGAAATCGAGGAGGACCAACGTCACCTCATCAAATCACAACCGACGTCGTCAGCCAACGAATGGTGGAATGCACAGCCAGTCACACCCAAAGTGGCACAACCGATCACATCCAAACAGGCACACGTCTCACCCCAGTCCAATCCACTCTCAGGCACTCCTGCACCCCTTGGCCTGCGCTTCTCTCCCTTCATCGCCATCACCAAGTTCCCCTACAAATTCGTTCAGAAGCAGTGGATGCAACCAATTGCGACTTTGTTCTTCGACCAGGGCAAGATTTGGGAACGCGAGTGGGATCTGTAAGCTTCATTCCTCTCCGGAAACGGATTAATGGCGTCCACTGACTCTGCCACACAGCTACTACATCTGGACTGAACACTGTCCCAGCCCCAACCCGATTGCATTCATCCCCGAGCACCAGCTGAACGACTTGGTTGCCGAAATCAACCAAGCATTCCCCGACGCCAACGTCGTCATTACAGACGACCTCCGTGAAGACGGCCTGGTCCTCGATTTCAACGAGTTCACCGACAACCCCGATTTCCGTCCCCGTTGGCTTGGTCGCTCCACTTCCAAGGCCCAGTACCAGTCGTGGATGGACAATCTCATCATGGCCAATTCCACCCCGTCCGCTGCTCCCGAAAGATCGCTGCAAGCCTTCAAGGAGAAGATTGAGCGCGCCGCCGAGATCAACAAAAACAAGAGCAAAGCAACCAGGACCAAACGTCAGCAAGAGCAAGTGGTCAAACGTCAGGTCATGGCTCAGTCTCTTCAGCGAGCCCAGCGCTACCTCGGATTGCTCCCCCCAACTGACCCTACAATGCCCGACATTGCCAGCTTGTCCCCTTCGCCCATCGACGTTGACAAGCCCGCAAGCCACCCATTCGATCAGGAAGTCATCTTCATCGCTTTCGACGTCGAGCTGTATGAGCGCGGCCCCAACTTTGTCACTGAGATCGGCGTTGCAACTCTGGACACGGCCGACCTGGCCGATCTTGCCCCTGGCAGAGTGGGTGAGGCATGGCAGAAAGTCATCCGTGCCCGCCACTTCCGCATTGCAGAATACAAACACTACCGCAACAAAGACTTTGTGGAGGGGTGTCCGGACAAGTTCGAATTCGGAACGAGCGAGTTTATCTCCAAGGATTCAATCGGCACGACGCTGAGCTCATGCTTCAAACCGCCCTTCAGTAGACCCGCCGAATCGGAGAGAGAGCGTAATGTAATTCTCGTGGGCCACGACATCAGGATGGACATACAGTATCTGCAGAACGCCGGCTTCAATGTCCTCAACTCCGCATCCGTCATCGGCCAAATCGACACTGCGGAGTTGTATCGCGTCTACTCCAGAGACCCCAACGCTCGCTCGCTCGGTGGCATACTGCTCGACCACGATCTCATGGGCTGGCACCTGCACAACGCGGGCAACGATGCAGTCTATACCTTGTGGGGCCTTCTCGCGACATGCGTGCAGGCTGCAAGCCAGCGCGGAACTGCCGAAGAGGCTCTCAAGCACCAAAGCGTGATGGAGAAGAGGATGGAAGTGGCGGCGGAGCAGGCCAGGGAGAAGGTTCTTTTTGATGGGGAGGGATGGGTGGTTGGGGGTTCCACGACTGAAGAGGGTCAGGAAAAGGCCAAGTACTACACCCCTGGTGGTGCAGCATTGGATGTGTGATTGTGGAACGCGGGGAAGTTACGGGGCCCCGGAGCGTCTATGCTTTGATCCCGGCTACAACGGCCGAAAGGCGGCATCGCTCGTCCACGGTGCCTCGGCTCGTTGGAGAGCTCGACGACTGCGATTCGCCCAATTGCCATGATTTCGTTAGGAGATCAGGACGAGTGGGACAAGTGTAATGAAACGATCTCGAAGTCCATTTCTCTCCGTGACAATCCATACCTGTCCTCTTCGAACCCATTGGTCTAGTAACCTTTACAGCCTGCTGCTTTGCGCGCGGCCAATAAGCACTCGCGGACGACATGGCCGCCCTACGTGGTAGCTTAATGACCCTTTACTCTGTCACGATTCCAGTGCTGACCATGTACCAGACCTCCCAAAGATCATCTCCCTGCCTGCCCTTGCCGCCGCTGCCGCCTACATCAATGCAAAGACCGGGCTATCGTGGGATGTGTGGGCGCTGTACCACTTGTTCGGGCAGTATATGATCCCCATGAGGAGGGCGGAGAAGAAGGATCGAGTCAATATTTTCTACGTCTTCGAGGACCTGGCGAAGAACCCTAAGACCGCCGGCCGCACCTTCCTCATCATCCCCAAGGACGAATCAAATCCCGGTCAGAAGACGGAATGGACGTACGTAGAGGCGTACGAGATTGTCCTCAAACATGCCGCTTGGTTGAAGAACGAGCAGCATGTCCAAAAGAACGAGATCATCGCCATGAACTTCAAGAATGGCCCGGAGTTCATCTGGATCTGGTTCGCTTTGTGGAGTTTGGGTGCGGTGCCGGCGTTCATGAACTACAACCTTCGTGATTCGGCCTTCATCCACTCCGTGACCGTGTCCACCGCACGACTCTTGCTCGTTGGGTCGCCGCTGAAGGACTGCCTTACCGACGAAGTGCTTCAGGCATTTACACCCGATAAGAAGGGTCGAGCTGTGGATGCGGTAGTGCTCGATGCAGACGTCCAGCAGCAGATACTCGCGCAGACTCCCTACCGCGCTCCCGACGAGGCGCGATCAGGTGCCATGTCAAGCACACCAGCAATGCTCATCTACACATCTGGCACGACCGGCTTACCCAAGGCAGCATCAGTGCAATGGTCCAAGCCATGGTCAGGCGTGAAGCTATTCTCCACCCTCATCGGACTCAAAAAGGACGACCGATACTTGACCGCCCTTCCCCTGTACCACAGCTCTGGCTCCGTCCTCGGCGTCCTGCAACCACTCAACACCGGCGCAGCTGTCATCGTCCTCCCATCATTCAGTCCGCGCACCTTCATGCGTCACGTGCACGAGACCAGGGCAACGGGAATCCATTACATTGGTGAAATGTGCAGATATCTGGTCGCTGCTCCACCAACCCCGTATGACCAAGCACATAACGTCCGCTTCGCATTCGGCAACGGAATGCGTCCAGATGTGTGGCAAAAGTTCAAGGATCGGTTCAACATTCCAACCATTGTGGAGTTCTACGGTGCCACCGAGGGCGCCGGAAGCTCCTACGTCAATTCCCGCAACTCCTTCTTGCGCGGCGCGATCGGGAGACAAGGCACGCTGCTGAGGATGCTCCCTGGGCAGCTCCTTGTCAAGCATGATATGAACACCGACATGCCGTATCGCGATCCGAAAACGGGCTTCTGCGTCAAGTGTGCGTTTGACGAGGCCGGCGAGGCCCTGGTCGTGCTTGATCCTAATGATATAGCGGCCAGATACGTGGGGTACTTCGGCAACGACCAGGCCACCGACAGCAAAATCCTGCGAGATGTGCTGAAGAAGGACGACTGTTATTACAGGACGGGCGACCTACAAAGGCGAGACGCCGAAGGGCGTTTGTGGTTTGTGGATCGTGTTGGCGACACGTTCAGATGGAAGTACGTTTCGAAGGTCTTTCAAGGCGTGAGACGCAAATAGCTGACTGCTGCACTACAGGAGCGAAAACGTGTCGACACTCGAAGTCTCGCAAGCAATGGGTGAGCATCCCAAAGTGAGCGAGGCAAACGTGTATGGCGTCGAAGTGCCCAACGCCGATGGGCGAGCCGGCTGTGCTGCGATTGTGCTGGCGGGCGAGCAGAAGATGGATGAGAATCTGGCTCGCGATCTCGCTGCCCACGCGAAGCAGAAGCTGCCGCTTTATGCTGTGCCTCTATTCTTGCGCTTGATGAAGACTGTGGAAATCACAGGCACGCTCAAGCATCAGAAAGTCCAATTAAGGAAGCAGGGTGCCGATCCGGAACACATTGGAGAGGACGAGATGTACTGGTTGGAGCGTGGCGCCGACAAATATGTAAAATTGGGTGAGCGCGACTGGAAGCGGATTGTTGGGGGTGAGGCGAAGCTATGAGCAGTGAGTGATTAGAAATGCATCGCTATAACTCATAATATTCGTGCATCTGCATGCCAAGGGATATGTAGTCCAGATAAGACCCGTCATAATTTCGGCTTTGGTCGTACAGTCTCAAGGGGACCAGATCGGTTCAGAATCCACTTCACCACGTCTCCTGCGAAGCGCTCACCATCTCCGTTAGGCTCGGAGTGCAGCTTATGATACCATCCATCATATGCCTGAAATTCTTTGTCTTCCACTTGAATGCGATCGAACCAGCGCCGGCTGGCGTCGAAGTCGCAAATTTGATCTGCACTGCCATGGCCGATCCACACTCGAGTCTTGCCACCCTCACCAATGCCTTCGGCCAGCACAATTCGACCTTCGTTCAAATTCCCCGTGCGATCCAAGAGACCCGCCAGGCCGGCAAGCGATGCAGTATCGTGGCACAGGTCGTCATCCACCCATGCCTTGCATACTGCAGGATCCCTGCAGAGTTTACTGGCATCCAGCTTCTGCACCATTGTCATGGTAGGAGCGATTCTGGCCGCCAGTCGACCGAGAGCAACGGTGATCTTGAATGGAGTGGCGTCCTTGCCCAAGCCGATGAGGGGTGATTCGAGCAGAAAGCCTCGGATTCTGCTGACTACATGCTTGGGGCCGGTGGATGCATACACGAGAGTCTCACCGCCGCCCATGCTATGCCCCATCAGAAAGAGTGGTGCAGTCTCATCGCTGGGGAGACTTTGGATAAATGTCGTAATGTCTGTCATGACCTGTTCGTTTGAGCCCGTCTGGCCCTTCTGCTTGGGTAGGCGCACCGAACGGCCCCATCCTCCTGCGGGAGGGGTGTTAGCTGAATGGGTAGGGGGTGAACAGACCATGTGATACAGCAGTAGCGTACTTTGATCGAGTGAATACACTTTGATGCCGTTTTCGGCCAGCGTGGTAAACAGGGCCGGGTAGAAGTTGCAGTGATCCGAGAAGCCATGGAGGAACACCAAACGTGCCTTGACTTCTGCCGGCTTCCACGTCTTTGTGTAGAGCTGGACGCCGTCGGGGGTCGTCAGCCATCCGTCGAGCGTGTCGACGCCCATTTCTGCATGTGCAGGAAGGAACGTTGCCGGGCGCGCAGCGGGAAGCGGAGGAAGGCGCCGCATTCATCTCGTCCGCACTCTGACAGGCGTTGGATAAGTGGATCCCCGCTAAATTCGATCCGAGCTGCACGCTGGCCAAGAGAGCCAATCGGAGAGAAAGAATGGTGCGGAGAGTTCAGGGGCGCGCCGATTAGCTTGAAATGTCCGATGAACCGCAGAGAACACATGCATACATCTGGGGTTATCTTCCTTCCGTCTCCCTCGTCCAGCACTGCGGCATGTCGCTCCCTCTGCTTGTCGCCCATTCCCCTCCCGCACTCCTCCCTCCCCTCCGCCTCGCACATGTCCCATCCATCTAAACGCGCCTCGGTCTCCTCCCAACGAATCGTCCAGCCATTGATCCTCTCCTCCTCCGGCTCGAGACTCTCCTCCTCCAGCACCTCCTCCAGCAGCCACAAGAGAGACTCCCTGCGCTCCAAGAGAGATTCCATCGTCGGTATTGGATACAAAATCTCCCCTTCCTCCCGCCCGTCGTCCGCTCTGGAGGCCATGGCCCCGGTTTATCGATTGGTACGTTGATTCGTCCCACGGCATTGGTGTGGCACACCCGATCCTGCCACGCATGCACCACCATGCCAGCCATGTGGCCATGTGTGCATTCGGCAAGCCACTCCACTTCCATGCCGCGAACACGCTTGCGTGCATACGCCACGGCCAACCCGCGCATCGCCTCATATTGCCGCCTTGTCATTGCTGCTTTTGCTAACGCTCCATCGCCTCCAACAGTATCCGCACCAAGCCTCCAACGGACGAAAAGAGCGCAGTTCAGAGGGTGGATCAGAAGGGGTCGATGCAATGGAGCGCTACCCTTCCCCCAGTGCCGAATCAGCATCGCGAATCTCCCGCTCGGCAACGCCCTCACACGAACCAGCAACCAATACCATCCCCGAGGAGGAGGCGAACGGAGACCTTCCCTCGTCGCTTCCCTCGCGTGTGGTCAGCCCGGACAACGAATTATCCCCCGTCTCGCCCATTGCCTCCGAAGTCGATGATAGAAGAGCCGTTTCGCCCGTCATGTCGCGGAGTAATACACAAGACGCAGGGCCACTGCGATCGAGGTAGGGCATTACATATCCACGACTTGCGAGCGCGCATTCACTCACACCCCCTCTAGGTTTCAACAGCCATCCACAACTGCGCAGCGAGCAGCAAAACCTGCGCGCAAGCCGTCTCGCTCCGGCGGCGTGTCGGAAGCGGGCAGCGAGGTGATTTACGCCAAAGGGGAACGCAGCAGCGACGAATCCGACTTCTCCCAAGAGACCGCTGCGACGTCATACGTGGCCCTCCCGGCTCTGCAGAGCAGCGGCCCCGACAACTCGGATGCGCAACAACTCGAGCCGGTCGCCGAGGACGATCCGCGATCATGGGATCTCGTTGAGCCCTACGACGAATATAGCGGACCCACGGGTATGTACGCGCTGGAGAAACGGTCGGAACAGATGTTTGGCGCGGAGCACTTGCGCACAATCTTCAACGATCCCAAATTGCTGCTGAAATTTACAAACTATCTCAACACGCATCGCCCCAAGAGCATTGCTATCCTGATCTACTACCTCGATGCGCTGAAGGCTTTGCGCGCCATCAGCTACGCCAACGCCATCGCCGAAGCTCTCGAGCCTATTCATGGCCACGATTTTACCCAACAAGTTGCGGAGCCGACAGGGAATGCAGCGCTGGCGGAGAAGGCGGATCAAGCGTTCGAGATCCTAGCGCGCGACGATCTCCCAGCGTTCATCACGCACACGTGGGTGCAGGTGGTCAGTGTGAGCATCCTAAGACGCGTGACGGGCACACTGGCGCCACATCTCCGCGAGGCCAGCGAGGGCCTGGCCGAGGTCTTTTGCCTGACCGATCCCAGTCGGACGGACAATCCGATTGTATTTGCATCGGAGGAATTCGTGCGCACGACGCAATACGGGATGAATTACATCATCGGGCGGAACTGCCGCTTCCTGCAAGGACCCAAAACCAACCCCGAATCCGTTCGAAGACTGCGAGAGTCCGTTAAGAGTGGGAAAGAGCACACGGAAGTCTTTGTCAACTACCGCCGCGACGGAACGCCCTTTATGAATTTGCTGATGACCGCGCCTTTGATGGACAGCCGAGGGAATGTGCGGTACCACATTGGCGCGCAAGTCGACGTTTCCAACTTGGTGAAGGAGTGCAGCAACCTCGATGGCCTGATGCATCTTGTTGAGCGGGAACAAGACCCCGAAGGCGCGGCGGAAGAGGACGAGGCAACACGCAAAGACGAGTTCCAGGACTTGACGGAGATGTTCAACGGAGCAGAACTGGACACGGTGCGGAGGTATGGAGGGCGGATGCACAAGGAGTACGTGGACGACAGCGATCGAGAGAGCATCAGTGGCGGGAAACGCAGAGTTCTGCTCAAGGATAGCACGCAAGAGGTGCGGGAGAAACACGGTGCCTCTGCAGTCCAGGTCAACATTCCTGAGAATGTGAGGGATAAGAGCAACGGGAGATTAGAGGGCGTGTATCAACATGTAAGTCAGGACAATGAGGGTGGGACTGGAGATGGAATGCTAACCGCACACAGTACCTGCTCATCCGCCCTGCGCCATCCCTTCGCATCCTGTTTACGTCGCCTTCGCTCCGTGTGCCTGGCATCTTGCAATCACCCTTCCTCAACCGCATCGGAGGCAGCAGTCGCGTTCGTTCCGACTTGCGTGCCGCCCTGGGTGAAGGACGTGGGGTGACGGCCAAGATCCGCTGGCTTACGCGCGCCGACGCGGACGGCGAGGGCGAAGGGCGGCCGCGCTGGATTCACTGCACGCCGCTCTTCGGCCATAGTGGGGCCGTGGGAGTCTGGATGATTGTGCTGGTGGACGAAGAAGGCTCGCTGCAGACGGGCCGAAGATTCAGGAACGCGCCGCCCGTGTCCGCCGTGATTGCAGGCAAAGAGTGGGATGGACGGACGGACGAGAAGCACCGGTTGAACACCTACGACCCGGACACCGAACGGAAGGGCCAGAGCGTGCGGCACAAGACGAATCGGCCGGGCAGTGCGTTGAGCGGACGCAGTGCGCGGCAGAACAATGTGGCGAGCGGGGACGTTTCGGAGTTCTCGTTCCAACTGAAGTGAGGGGGCATGGATGGAACGCGATTACTGGTTTTTGGCGCGACGATACCTCTATATGTTTGAGAAAGTTTGGCGTCGTGGGATTTGTCTTCCAAATCGTCTGTGAAGACTAGAGGTAGGCTGAGACAAGGCCTGGTGGTGGCCATGGCAAGGCTTCTCCTCGTTGCTGACGGTGGTGTCTATGATCGGCAGAGGATGGGATAAGATGACGGCGGATGAGGAGGATTGTGGGGAGGTGTACGTAGTGAGGAGGGTGAGATGGGTGGATGAGGCATAGTCTCATCGCGTAGTCTTGTTTACTTTCCACACGCATCGAATGGCCAGCAGCCAAGATTGTTTAATCACTCACCTGTTGGATGTCATGAGGTACCGAAAATGATCGCCCTCGCAAGTAACGAGGAGGCAACATCATTGGTGGAAGCCATGCGGCCTGCTCGGGGGCCCTTCGACGTGTTTTCTGGAAAAGCCAGAAGAAGACTAGCGCGGCTAGGAACATCCCTGCAGACGACCCCGTGACACGACTTCTGGCCTGGCTTGGCCATCTGGCGGAAAGTCTCGCGGTGGCCTCTCATCATTCACCTCAGGTGTGAGCAGCGTGACTAGCCCTGCAGCTGCACAAGGCCTCGAGTGCTGCCGATGTGGGACTGAATCGTGACACCACCACCTTCCCAACACCCTTCTCACGCGCATGCGACCAATCGATTTTCTCCTCCCCGTCCCCGCCGCTGCAGAACCCCTCCCATCCGCCACCATCCCCACCCTCTCATCATCCTCCTCTGCCGCCAACGACCACCCGCCGACCTTTCCAGCTCATGGAAGAGAACATTATTGAGAACTGCAGTATCATCTACTTCTGCTCCAGCGCGCAGGATGACATCCATCATGTCTACCACCAGAACGATGCCCCCACCGCGCCCGCCGACAACGATCTCATCCGGCGCAATGTTCGCGCGCTGCTAGACGAGGACCAAGGCGATTTCGATGAAGGTGCGCGCCAGCATCTCCCCTTTCCACCCCTCTCCCTTCTCTACTGACTTTCTCCCCAGTCTTTGTGTGTTCGCGAGCCGAACAATGCACGGAAAGACTCGAAAGCAGGGCAAACTCCGTCCCCCACATCGTCCTGATTGAGCTACGCAACTCCGCGACCGAAGCCAAAGATACCAACAATGCGTCCTTCCACTTCCTCCGAACCCTCTGCACCGACATTCGCGGCGCTCACTATCAGAGATATGTCATGCCTTTCGCCCTCGTCATCCCCGATGCGCAGCCGGGCGCCCCCTCCGATCTCGACCAAGAACTGCCCACCGAGTGCCTTCGAGCCGGCGCGGTGGATATGCTACGAAGTCCGCTTCCACACGACGACATCAACCGCATGATTGGCCACTTTAAAGAGCTGAATCGGCCGCCGGCGCATCTGATTGGAGCCCCGATGGCCCAGAATTTGGTCGACAGTATAAACGACGTGTCCAAGCCGCCGCGCATGGATATCTACCGCCCTGACGAGATGCTGTCGGCGGAGCAGAAGGCTGCTGTTGAGAATACGGTCCATCGATGGCACTTTCCGGCACAGCAATTCAACATGGACGAGCTGACCTACGCCGCGCTGTACATGCTTGAGCACGTGCTCAGCTCACCGGAGTTGCAAGAATATCGCATGGAAAGGCGGCAGCTGATTGCATTCTTGCTGGCGACTCGGCGACAATATAAGCATGAGCGCGAGGTCCATTACCATAACTGGCGGCATGCTGTGGATGTGTCGCAGTCGGTGTTCTCTTTCTTGCTTGATCTGCAAGTATGCCCGCCTCTGGGTACCGAACCCGAGACCGGGACAACCCCTCTCGAACGACTTCTCACCCCCCTCGACGGCCTAATCTTACTGGTGTCGGCCATCGGTCACGATGTGGGCCATCCTGGCGTCAACAACGCATTTCTTGTCGCCTGCAACCATCCGCTCGCCCAGACATACAACGACAAGTCTGTACTTGAAAACTACCATTGCGCAGCATATCAGCAACTTCTCCGGCGACACTGGCCTTCGCTCAATCAAATCACTGCCTTTCGCGCTACCATGATCTCTACAATCCTGGCCACCGACATGCAGCGGCATTTCGAATATATGTCGCATCTGAGCCAGCTGCAAGAAAAGCTGGAGAGCGGGCAGTTTAGCGTGGAGGACATGAGCGACAAAGATCGGGAAAGCGAGCGCGAAATGATGATGGCACTTCTCATCAAAGCCGCGGACATCTCAAATGTCGCTCGACCGTACGAAATCGCGGCGCGATGGGCCCGCACGCTCATGCACGAATTTGCACGACAAGGCGAGCTGGAGTCGGAATTACAGATACCCACCTGCTTGTTCGGTGGCCCTCCCAACACCGAAGATATGCTGGCCGCGGCACAGAGTCAGAAGGGATTCTTAAGCTTATTCGGCTTGCCATTGTTCCAGGGCATCGCCGACATCATGCCATCCCTCTCCCCCGCTCTTCGAGAGTTGAAAAGCAACCAAACCCTATGGAACCAAAGGATCGACGAGGAGAAGCGGCGGCGAGATGATAACAGCATGGAGCCGCCGCACTTTGGCTCCGTGACGAAAGATCAGATGGACATCGCGCAGCTCGAACAACAAAAGTCGGCACCCAGCGCGTTGCCCGCAGAGGCGATCCAAGCGCTTTCGGGGACGTCAAAGGGCTCGTCGATTGCGAGTTCGGAGCCTTCGAAACGCACGATTGGTGAGAGAAGAAACCAGGCCCTCCCCCGACACCTGAGCCAGGAAAAACGTGCTTCTGCTCCCATACTCGGATCAATCCTCCCTCCTGGCATATCTTCGAGGCGTTCGAGCAAGGACGTAGCCCTTGACTCATTGCATCTACAACAAAGCATCGCCTCAAGCCACGACAGATCCGATCCTGGGTCCCGACGAGGATCCGCCGACGCGGGATTGCAAGTTCAGCAGAGCTATCCTGGATCCAGAAGAGGCAGCAAGGATGAGAGCCTGACGACGATTCTTGTGACGAGCGGCTCTCCGAATCGACGAAATTCTCCTTCGGCACCTGGCATGCGACTCTCACCTCCCAAGTCGTCGAGGAAACAAGCGGCCGCTCGCTCCTCTCCACGACTACTCCAATCTCCTTCCACTCCCGCCCCTGAGGATGGCATTCTCGTTCCCGCACTGGGTAGTATTCCCTCGACCGAGGATCCTTTCATCATGCCAGGCTCGTGGGGAAATGATCTCGACGGGACACATCGCGCTTCAGTACAAGATGGTATGCACCGAGATTCCCTTCCCGATCCGTCCACTTCAACAGAAGGCGAAGGCCTCCCCAGCTCACCTCCGCCTCCGCCGCATTTCAACGTCGCGAAGAGCGAGAGCTCGCGGGCTTCGACGAGGGAAGTTGGCGAAGAGGGGCCGTTAGGAGAGACGGGGACAGATGGCCTGAGAGGCAGGGGTTTGCGGGCTTCGAGGAGCCGGTCAAGGCTGCGAGCGTTGAAGTTCTGGAGGCGATCTGGTGGTCGTGATCAGAGAAGGGATGTGGCTGGAGAGGACGCTGCCATCGGTTGATGGATTATCCTCCTGCTTTCAGAGTGTTGTCGTGCGCGTACTTGGTGGTGCTGCCTCGGGGTGGCCCGACCTGTACGTTCTCGCTTCCTCTCCGCTCTGTGCGTGATTCAGCGGTATGACTTCATTGCGGCGGTTGATGTTTACACGATGGTGGCATGACTATAGGACGGGTTAGCATGAGATGGCTTAGCATGAAACGGACGATTGTAACCATTGATTGTGAATTTCTTCAATCTTCTGCTGTCGATCGATGTGTTACAGCATTATTGGACGGCGTGTTGAGTCAAAGAGGGCATCAGAGAACGAGCACGACTGCCAGGGTGAGAGATCGATTCAATTAACAATACAATCGACGCCGTCTATATTTCATGATGCACACGGCCATTAGGATCATAGCCAAAATTACAATGTATTCCTCAAACTGCTGCTTGAATGATCGCATCTCGCGCGCCTATATGATTTGTTGTGACCGTTTTCTAAGTCTTTCAATGGGCGTGACACGCGCACTGACCCTTGGGAAGTTTCCATTGGCCGACAAAGCAAATTCCGGCTGTCTAGTGCCTAGCACCTCGTATTGTGCAGTCGCCAGGCTTTGATCAAATGTCACTGGACATCTAGTGGCTGGCAGGGTAGTCTCTCCCTTCAGTAGCTGTCGGTGGCGCGTCTCGCATCCTTGTTCCCTAGTGTTTTCGCAATTACATTGTGCTGGGAGTTGGCGTGGAGGCGAGGCGGATGGGGGCCGATGGGCGGCATGCTCGCTGCATTGTGCAACGATGGCCAGTGAACAACGGGTCGGATACGTGGAACTGCCAATCCTGGGGGACGGAGGTGGTGTTGAGGCTGATCAGATTTGAATTGTTGGATGTGCATTGGCGTGGACTGCGCATGCTGTTTTCGCGGAGAGAGCGCTGGCAATAGAAAACTGAGATATTCTTCCAAGCCCACACCTACAGCCTTGTGACCATCCGCAGAAAGGCAATAACATCGTCGATTCCCTTTGGCTCGTTGATCCAATGCCCGCCGTCGGAGTATTCGTGAAATTCGACATTGGATCGTTGGACTTGTTGAAGTCGAGTTGCCAGAGCTTGGCCGTATTTGATGTCAATCACCTCGTCATCTTGACAGTGAGCGAGGAAGATGGGGGTGCGCTTGAATTCGATTGGGCGGTCGACAGTCGGCAACCAGGTTGAGAAGCCGATGAAGGCACAGAGACGCTCATCCATCTGGAAAAATGCGGAGAGGGCTGTTGCTGCGCCTTGGCTGATGCCGCATAGAATGCTCTTGTCGAATCCGACGATCTTGCTCTCCTCTCCGACGAGCTGTGAGATCATGGTGGTACTCTCGCGAAGCTGAGCCTTCTGCTCTTCGGTAGGCTGTTCAATAGGATTCTCCGTACTCCACATGTCGAACCATTGCGACATCTCCGTTTCAAAACGCCGTGAAATCAATTGCGGCGCCGAGGGGAAGACCCACTTGATCGATGGGAAGGCTGTCTGAAGAGTTTCGCCAGAGGAGGACTCGCTCTCGAAGAATTCGGACGAGTACTCCGATGCAAAACTGTCGCGACCGTGGAGGTTGATGATTGTGTGCGTGTGTTTTGCGGTTGGCTGTATGACTTCCATTGCGCGGACGGTTGGATGGAGACGAGGCTGAAAGTGACAAAGCTCTTTTGAAGGTTCTTGTGAGAGGATGGCAAGTCGCTGGGAATGTTGAATAGAAGAGGAAGGAGTGTGCGTAGAGCAGTTTCTTGTAACCTGAGCGAGCGAAATGTGCCTTCCTACGCTGTATATGAGCTCGAGCGAAATAGCCACTCCGGCACCGAATCAAGATCCTGAAGTAGGTGACCGGCTTTGCAGCATGACTTTTGGCAGCACGATGGTTGGAGTATATATTCTGAGCTTCCCATTTATCTCGAGATTGTCTGTCGAAGCCAAAACGTGGCTATCTAAACGCTTGCGCTGGATCAACGTTGTGTATCTGGCATATCTCTGTATGGTTTTGATACTGCGACGGGCTCATTCCATGTCTGGAGTAATAATATTGCCGTCCAGGCCATCAATGAGAACGTCCCGCATTGTTTGCGCGCTCTTCACCCGAATATCGACGAAGCTTTCGGGGCTGTAGAAGGCGGAGTGGCAAGTCATGACCATTCTTCCTTCCAGCCATTCTTCCTTCCTCCTATAGGCTTGGATGAGGCTATGCACGTTGTCATCTGGAACCGGCTCTACGGGCATAACATCCAGACCAGCACCAGCCAGGATGCCCTCCTTGAGGCACCTCTCCACGCCGTCGAGATCGACGATCTCGCCGCGTGCAGTGTTGACAAGCACAGATCCTGGAGGTAGAAGAGAGAGCAGGTCGTAGCCGACACTTTCCCTCGTTTGTCGAGTACAAGGGCAATGTATGCTCAACACATTCGATCTTCGGAAGAGTTCCTTGATGTCTTTTGTCCGTTCAATGTCCAGACTTTTATCAAAGCCGTTCGGGGAGTAGGGATCGTAAAAGAGAACGTGAAACCCGAATGCCTTTGCCCTGATCGCTGCCGCGGTGCCAATGCGGCCGAGTCCAAGGATGCCAAATGTCGAACGTTGCAATCTTCTCACCAGCGGTGTTTCAATGACTGCGTATGGCGCCGGGGGAGTCGCTCGTTGGCGGTCGTTGTGAAGCAGTATGCCACGTCTTAACGTCAAGGCGAGTGCGAGGGCGTGATCGGCGACTTCTGCCGTTCCATAGTCGGGACAATTACATACAGTAATGTTCTTCTCTGCCAACGCAACGCGGTCGAGTCGATCGTAGCCGACACCCATGCGCAGGATGCTGCGGGGCGATGGACGTCAGCTGGAGTGCAGAACGATCAACGTATAGTTCAGACACACTTACACCTTCAGATTGGGAAACAAAGCAACATCCTCGCGAGTAAAGGGCAGCTTCAACACGAGGATGCCATGAATCCTCTGCCGTACATCTTCCGGTATCGCCGACCACGGCTTCGGCTCGAGAGCTTGTGAGGGCCACAGATTCGCCTGGAAATATTCGAGATTGTACTTCTGGCCTTGCTGAGGCGCGAAGATCTGCTGTTCTACGGTGTCGTCGGGATACAACCCGTCTGCCTGGCAGATTGTATATGTTGGTGTCGTTGACTCGGCCATGTCGACGGATGTTGGTGTGCAGGTGAAGGGCGAAGTCGGATTTGGCTTTTGGCGGAAAGCGCGAGGCGAAGACGAGTGATATAGAAACTTAAGGCGAAGTACCGGCGAAGACGTCTTCTCGCGTGCTGATCTTGTGCAGTCTTGTCTACATACTGTACTTGAATTGAGTGTAAAACAGTTTGAGCATATTCCTTGTGTGATAAGAGTGAGATAGTATGAGCTTGAGAGGAGCACAGTAGATCAAAGGGAGGGCAAAGACCATGAAATCCAATGAAACAACGCTGCATTAAAAGCACGGGCACTTGCACGGATCTATACGGCCCAGCGCTAGACTGCCCAAGCGCATGGTTCCTGCCCTCGTTTCCGGTAAGCCAATCTGCGGCTGTGAAGGTACAGCACGGCCGAGAAAGCCTGCGCCCTCCCTCTGTCTCGCCGTAGCCACCAAGCCATCTTAGACGTATTGTGACAACCAGCGGATCCCCTCGCCATAGCCTTGTCGCATTACCACAGAGCACATGAAGATTTCAATCGCTCGGATTCCTTCCAAAGGCACCTTGCCTTTGCCGGCTGTACATTGAACATGGTTAGCATTCCGCCCGCTCATGTATATGTCCCTTGCTCGTTCAGTGTAAACTCACTCGTCTGATACAAGCCCAACTCATGCCTCAACTGATCCTCGCTCACGGCGTTCGGATGGTCGATCTTGTTGCCCAGAATCAAAAAGGGAGTCTTATTCAACTCTTCCATGCTGAGCAGCGCGTCCAACTCCGCCTTGCTCTCCGCGAATCGCTCGGGGTCTTTGGCGTCGACGAGGAAGACGATGCCGCTGACTTCGGGGAAGTAGTCCTTCCACAATCGCCGGGCCTGCTGATGCCCGCCGAGATCGAAGGTGGTGAAGCGGTTGTTGCCGATGGAGAGCTCTTCGCTGGTGGGGTGGAGAGTGGGCTGCAGAATTGCTACACGGTCGTTCTTGAGCATGTGCAGGAGCTGGACGGATGGGTTAGTAGGGAGGCGAGTGAAGCGTGAAGGATAGCTTCACGGGTGGAAGGGGTTGGAACGCTCACGGTGGTCTTGCCGGCATTGTCGAGGCCGAGAAAGAGGAGCTTGGCGTGTTTGTTGGCGAGGCCGAGTTGGGCCAGCACGTCCCAGACTAGAGGCGGCGTGTCAGTCTATTCCCCCGTTGCCCAAGCTCCGTTCGTTGGGGGAGCGTGATTGCGTACACCAGTCGATGATCCACATGCTGTTGGTCGGTGCGCGGTGTTCGGGGAGATATGCACGGGCTGAAAGGAGCACTCTTCAGTCGACGAGGGAAGAGGCAAGATAGATGATGGCGGGAAGTGCGGCGATGATATGTGGTCAGTAGGAAATGTCCTGCCGCCAAAAGTTCGGGGGAGACGTTGGCTCGGCTTAGCTTCCGAATGCGGTTCGCGCGACGCCACGGTACACGAGACACCACCACACGTCTCTCGACAAGTTGTCTTCATCCCAAACCTCTCCACGGGAAACACGAGACACCACCACACGTCTCTCGACGAGTTGTCTTCATCCCAAACTTCTCCACGGGAAAGTCATGGCCGCAAACGCCCTTGTACGCTATGACAATGCCCGGCCCCTCTTACGTGATTACATACTAATCGCCCACATCCAGCTCGATCGACTTGTCGGCCTCGCAATGCTGATCCTCGCCTCCACTGTTTTCTTATATTATACCACGTGGACTCTTTTGATGGTGCGTACACTACACCTTCACTCTTGTTCATTCAGCTGACGCGTCTCGCAGCCCTTTATCGAAGACGAATTCGTCCAATCCTTCTTCCCTCCTCGAGCCTGGGCCGTCCGCATCCCCGTCATTCTACTCCTGCTCGGCGGCGCTGTGGTGGGCAGTTTCTTGAGCTTGGTCATGATCCGGAGTAATCGCAAGAAGGCGGCCAAGGCGGCACAAAAGGCGAAGGCAAAGTGAGAGTCGCCGTGTGGGTTAGCGAGCGAGGCGTTGCATCACACATCATTACAGCGGGGGCTTCAGGGGAAGGGGGATCTTTGGGAAGGCTTGCTTTGAGCGCTACATTGCGTGGATACTCTTGTTGTGCATGTACGAGCGTCTTCAGCGGCCCGCAGACTTATTGCACTTGGCAATCCTCTCCAATGACCAGCCTCGCTCCATCTCCGTCATCCCCTCCAGAGGCAGCACGATGTAGCTGCATGCGTCTTGCGAGCTCGGCGAGCATAGCCCTCTAAAGACACGGAATTTCATCAGCAAGTGTCTGTCATTCAGGAAAATTGGTTGAACGGGTGCATCGGCACGTCCCCATCATCCTCCTCTTGCACCTGCGACACCGTGAAACCCACGCTACCTAACTGTGCGAGCAGAGAGGCGAACGGAGAGCGGGCGAGAAACTGCAAACGGCAGAAGTAGTGAGATATGGCTCTCATTATTACAACAGGTATCCTTGCCAGTCCGCCCTGAGGCAGGCAGACTTCACCAGAAGCCTCGCCCCATGATCAGCAATAGGGGATGGAGGTCCCTTACCGTTAGAAAAGCATCATTGTTGCCTCCCCTGCGCTCGACATCGTTCTGGTTAACGATCCTGTACGCATCATGCAGGCGCTTCCGACTCGCCAGCCCCGTCGGCGATACATAGTCCTCGTCTTCCGCATCCCGCGCGTCGACTGTAGGCCCAGGCATCGCGGGCTCGGAAGTGGTTTGGCTTTGCGACTCACTCCGAGTCTGCCTGCGCCTTCCGAATCGCGAAGGCCAGGCAAGGGAGCTGAACTGACTCGAGTCCGCGGCGCGCACCTCTTCGCCCAGCCTTGCCACTTCCCTCGCTCGAGCGTCGGGCGAGAATATCTTGATGGTATGGTCAATGCCGCTCACCGCTAGCATCGGTTCGTAGGGATGGCCCTGAACCACGTTCACAGTCTCGCCGTCGCCTTCCAGCACATTAACCAGCTCGGAAGTCTTGCGATCCCACATGAATAGGTGCCCGTCATCAGACCCCGAAACCACGTACTCATCGTCCAGGCCAAAGTAGTTAACATCCTTTACCGTGCGAACGTTGCAATGGCCGCGGTACTTCCGTATTGATCCCGAACACGGCACTCCGACGCCGACCTGGTCTCGCATACGTCGACGTTCGTAAGTGGAGGCGTGCATGAATCGCGGCATTCCGAGATTGGGTACGCCGTCTTCTTCGTCGGGTTCGCTGTCGTCTTCAGCCGAATCCTCTGCCTCATCTCCATCGTAATCGTAACCGTCATTATTGTCGTCATCGTCGTCTTCGCCTTCTGTATCTTCCACAGCTGTCGACCGTAGACCTTCTCCATGCACAGTCGAAGGCTCGAAGGCATTCTCGTCAATCATTGCAACCTCAGGTCCTTCTGACCCTTCAATCCGGTTGAGCCTGTTAACTTCTGGTGCGAGATCGTCCGCGTCGGCACCGTCCACAACTTCGCCGCGATGATCGAGAAGTTCCACCTCGCGGATTGGCTCGTCTTCTTCCTGCTCCTCGCCAGCGCCAGCCATCGCGACTTCCCTCACGACTCTGCCAAGCCCACCAAACGCGCGATCCACAAAGACATAATTGACTCCTTCAGCTGCATTCAACAAAACACCCCTCGCGACCTTGCCCACCCAGTACCTTCTTGCGGTCTCGCGGTCCTGGGCCTGGATTGACCCGGCATTGTCATCAAGCGTGACAGCCGATGAGAGATCGGCGAAGGGTATTCTCACAGCAGCTGCGAAAGCGAGGACGGCAGCTTTCTCCGTCGCGAACAGCGTCCGATTCTCATCCACTTCGAATCGATTGGTCTCGACATTCACAACCATCTTGTCCCTAGCCATACGAAGGAGGTAGGGGATCAGGTACTCATCGATGGCTTCCAGCGTAGCTTCGGAAGCGGGGATGGGTAGTCTTTGCGCAGCTCTCACTTCTGGTAACATTTCAGGGGGCCGAGTGAAGCCCTCCACAAGGTTTCCCACTCCAGACTCAATCCATAGCGTGATCGCCTTTAAGAAGTCGTATCCGAACTGTTCCTTCTGATTCGGTGCACGATCGCTGCCTCTCGCTTCAATACTGAGGAACTCGCCCAGCCGTGGATGAGGCCCAGAAGGGGTATTTAGTGTTGCACCGAGCACTCGTGCCAGAGTGCCAGCGGCTTGCACGAACCTGCGTACGCTCTCGCGATTCTCGCGTAGAGTCAGCTGCATTACCACCATCTCCGCCGAAGGATTCAAGGGATAGCGACTTGCTCGCATTGCTTCGTCAATCTCTGGGAGTATACTGGCGGCTATTGCGAGTGCCGGACCCACACTGGCTGACGTCTGCTGTCCTTCGGCTTTCGGCTCGAAGAGACTTGTACGAATCTTCCCCGTCATCTTCGCGATTCGCTGTGCTTCGTGCTGTTGAATTGTCAACCCCGGCTGCCGCTCCTCTGAAGCGGTGTTTGCTAGGGGTATGTCTTCACTCTGGCCGTTCTGGTAATTGATTCGCAGGGCCGAATTTTGGCCGGCAATTCGCGGTCGCGATAACGGGCGAGCAGTCTGACTAAGTGAAGTCTGGCTGCCAGTTGCTTGTCGTTTCCGTTTCCGATCCGTGTTCTTTTCCACTCGGTGGCTCTCGCTGCTTCTAAGTGGCGCCAGAGTATCGCGGTCATCTTCGGGATCACGGACCAAGTCGAAGCTGTAGATGTGGTCACCGCTCCAGCTCGCAATCATCTCGTTTGGGCGGGAGTCGCTGATCTTTGCCGCGGTGATGTGTCCGTTCCCCGTCTTCTTAGTCTTGCTGCCATTCGGTGCGAACTTGCGGACACACCGCGTAGCTTGACTCATTAATTCCTCCTCCTCGACCGACATTCTGCTGCTGGCTGGGAGAGCCCTTCCCGCTTCCTGTAACCGATCTCGCCCTGTCATGCGCCGGTCATGCAGCAAGGCGTAGAGGTGTGCGCCACCGAGGACGATGTAGTGAGGCTGAGATGGGGAACAAGAGATGGTGTTCAGGTCGAGTTGGAAGCGTTTGTAGGAAATTAGCGGGGGTGGTCCCGATTCATCTGACGTGCCTCCAGATCTGCCGGTCCGTGGGTAGGCTGAAGAGGGCTGCCGAGTGTCGAATTGCCTTATTGTTCCATCTTCCGATGCGCTGAGGAAGAGATGCGGCGAGCTTTCTGTTACAATTCTTTTCACCCTATCCGAGTGACTCCGGTACACGCGGCAATTGGTATTCCTTTCATTCAGGTATGCGGGTGCAGTCGAAGCGCCAGTGTGTTCCAGATCGAAGATTCTCACTTCGGCATCGCCAGCAGCGGTCACGACTGTCCGATCGTTGCTATGTGGCATGAATTTGACAGAGAAGATGTTCTGGGTGTGGCCCGTTGCGACTTTCGTTACGAGCTGGAATTGTGCTGTGGAGTTTTCGGGTTGGTACTTGTGGAGGCTGATGGTTTGATCGTCCGAACCCGAGGCGAGTAGACTGCCTGATTTGGACCAAGACAGAGCGTTCACACATCCTGTGTGAGAGTCTAGTTCATTGACGATATCGAGATTCTGGATGATTCGACGATCTCCGTACAACTTTCGATGGGTTGGGGAGCGGACTGCAAGGTCCGCAGTCTCCCGCATGTACAGCTTTTTGTGGAGAAGCGACATTGCCGCCGACGACGGAGGGTGAGTTAACGGAGCATGTAATTAAGAGTCCGGTCGTGGCAGCGGCGCTGCGTGTGTGTTCGTTTGCCTCGTGCTGAGGAGGATTGGAGTGAGGCTTCGATGTCGTCAAAAGGCCCCGCGTTACGCCACGCCACGTTCTCCAGCCCGCGCTAAAACTTTACCTACCTTAGCAAACTCAAATGTTCCCTTCACCTCTCACCACATTGCAGTCAGGACAATGCAAACTCAATAATCGACTACATCTCATGTGCAGGTACTCTTACAGCTACTAGAAACGACACCGCATTGTATTCAGGACAATGGCGTCTTCTGGTCTCTTCTCGCCCAGACTAATAGACAAGTCTGTCTCAGAGTCTTTTCCACCGTCCTATTCCGTGCGGCCACTTTCGAGAGACGACTATAACAAAGGCTTCTTCGAATGTCTACATTCCCTCACATGGACCGGAGATGTGTCCAACGACCGCTTCGTCGAGCAGTTCGATTGGATGGCAGGGAAGGACATCTTCTACGTCGTTGTGATCGAGCATGACGATAAAGTAATCGGTACTGGGGTCATCATGGTTGGGCGCAAGTAGTAGGTTGATGGCAGTCCGGGCCTTCAACCCAAGCTGATCATAATCTTCCACAGCATATGGGATTTGGCGCGGCAAGGGCACATTGAAGATGTATCCATTAGCGATGCCCATCAGGGCAAGGGGCTTGGCAAGCTTCTTTTAAAAACCCTTGCCTCGATTGGCCATAACGTTGGCTGCGGCAAGATCATTTTGAATTGCAGCGAGGAGAAGAAGGGATTCTACGAAAATTGTGGCTATGAACACAATGGTCTTCAGATGAGCTTGAACTTGCCAGGATTTACGGAAGAGCCACCGCAATAGCGGATGCATCTTCCTCCATTTACACCGATACGAAGACCCGCGGATGTGCCCCAGCCTGGTCATGTTCTTCTCCATCAAAGCACACGTTTTTTCGGAGCAGATGACATTGACACATGTCAACATCTCGAACGGACCCCGGGCTCTTAAGCAGGATGTCAGCAGCTCTTCATGCGTCGGGTAATCATGATGAGCGTCAAGCGATGGCCACGGGTATACATGCTCGAGCATGAACCAAATGCAACTCTTCAGTACTACGATCGATTGTATAACCATCTACAGCTTTGAATTCTGTTTCATCGCCCTTTGGTAGTTCTTGTACAGCTGCCGAATTGCCAGATCCAGCATGACATCTTCACTTCCGCCAGGAATCCGCGCCCCTGCCACCTCTCTCGCCATTCGTGCGATGAGCTCTCCTTGGCCGCTTTCGGTGAAGCCATTCCCGCCGAACAGGAGCTGCGCAGTTTCGATGACACACTGGTTCAGGACGATCCCCGACTTCGCCTTGGCAAGGCCAGTCAGTCCGCCCAAACGAACGTCGGCATCCTGCTTTGACATCTTCGAGATCTGGTGGACGAGAGTTTCGACCCACGCCCAACAAGCCTCGAGATCCGCACCGGCTTTGGCGAGGCGGTGTCGGACGACAGGTTGTTGTATCAACGGCGCACCGAATGCTTCTCGCTTCATCGTGTACTCGAATGCTGTAGAAAGCGCAACTCTTGCACGTGTGAGCACCCCGATTGCAATGGTAAGACGCTCGTGATTAAAGTTGGTCTACGCTTCAAAGTCAGCTGACAGATTCACAACGATTCACTTGCGGAGGCCACACCATAAGATACTTCATTCCCTGCCCCTCCGTCCCGATTAAATTCTCCACCGGCACTTTGACATCGTCTAGTTCAATGAACGTCGTTCCCGACGACGCCTGACCTGAGACTTTCATACGCCGCATGCTGACTCCTTGGTGCCCTCTCAGCGGTACAAGCAAGACGGAGAGGCCAGCTGCGCCAGGAGCCTTAGATGTACGGACGCACATAGTCGCGAAATCAGACCAAATGCCGTTAGTTATCCACTTTTTTGAGCCATTGACAATATAATGCCTTCCGTCTTTCGTTTTGACGGCTGTGGTTGAAACGTTGGCCACATCACTGCCAGCATCGGGTTCGGTGATGGCAATGCAGATTCGCTTACGCCCGAGTAAGAGGTCGGGCAAGATTCGCTCTTGCAAGGCCTGATTCGCGTAATGGAGGATTGGCGGAATGCCGTATCGGAAACCGGCGGTCACGGCAGAAGGGGGACCAGCGACGCCACATCTCGCCAGTTCGCTGCAATAGATGGCGATGTGATTGTAGTCAAAGTCTTCGATTTTGACGGGTCCAATGGATTCGATTCCCACTTTCTTGAGCCATTTGACAGGGAGAGGAGTGGGAAGGTTAGGGATGAGCATGTTCGCTCTTGCGAATTCATCGTAGACTTCTGGAGGAACATCCCCCGCTCGATCCCATTCCATGGCATTGTTCAGAAGGTTCTTTTCGAAAAAGGCCCGGCAATGCTTCTGCCATTTCTTATGTGATTCGGTGTAGAGCGGCGAGGGCAGATTGTCGAGCCACGGGGGTTCGGCGAAAGGTATAACAGTACTCATGATGGTGGCCAATGGGGACCGATGTGTTCTCGTCACCTCTCCGAGGTTTGCCCTCTGAGCAATGGCTTCGGGGCGCGTGCGACCGGAGATAGAGAGGCTGAGTTTTACTGAGAGAAGTCTTGAGGGCGAGTGTTATGAGTCGGCAAAAGGACCGAGATCCAGCTGCTAGAGGAGTCGTTCGCGTCACCTCTCCGAGGTTCGCACTCCGGGTAAGGGCTTCCGCGCTGGTGCAGCCGGACATAGAGGCGGCTGAGGTTACTGAGATGAGTCCTATGGGCGAGGACACAAATCAAAAGCGGCAAGTGCAACCGAGCAGCCGAGCAGCTGCCAAAAGTCAGTCTCACGTCCGCTGAAATCTGCTACACCTTAGCAGCCTTTCAACACACTCTCGTCAACCTTGCATCACATTCGTCGCACCATAGCCATTGACACGTTGCCGACCCCGCGGATTTCCAACTGGAATAAAAGACAACAAAAGCGCAGGCCTTCGGGCCAGTCCCTTGCCATGTCTCTCGTCAACCTCTCCCACGTCTGCTCGCATCTCCAGAATGCTTCGCTTGCGCGATTGGGACTCACATCGATCCCCTACACACGTCTACATCTTAGTCTCTCGCTACTGCTGCTGAAGCAAGGCTTCTTCTCCTCCGTCAAACTCGCCGGCCCAGCACCACCCGCCTCCAGCTTCCCAACCGGCACCCCCGACCACAACTTCATCACAGCACACCCTCCCTCCGAGCGCCATCAACACACACCGCAAGCCGCGCTCCAATGGATAACAAACCAGGGTCCTGCGGGGACGGCGGAGGGGCTAAGAGAAGATGGGTTTGGGGACTCGGCGATCGCGTATGCAATGGAAAAGCGGTTGAAGAACAGGGCGCAGCTGGAGAAGGAGGGGTGGAATGATGCCGTTGCAGACTTTTTATTGAAAAACAGCTCGAAAGATGCGCAGCAGATGCGCGAGGCGGGACACAGCGAAGAAGCGATCGCCATCATGGAACTCTACAGGCCTCAGGTCAAGGAGCGCACAGAGCTGGTACGGCGGTGGTATGGTGATCGAGAGGAGTTTGAAAGAAGCGAAGCAGAAGCCGAGACAGCTGGAACGCGAGCAGCAAGACCTTACGACGCTACGCTTCGACGCCGACTATACGAGCAGGTCTCTCTATTGGACTTTGACGTGCAAACGCTTCGCCACTTCGCTGGCGACAGCCGATATCTTACATGGCGAGAGCTAGCCCTGGAGGGGGTTGATGTCGACGCCATGGGGCTCACAATACCTGGTCAGGCTTTGGAACCTCCTGCGCCGAAGTCTGCGGCAGATCCGTGGCAGCTGGAAGAAGAAGGCGTTGTCACTCAAGCAAATCGAGCTTCAAGGCGGCTCTGGCTAGGCTTGAAGTACTACGACGGCCTGCCTGTGTTGCAGCACGCGAAGATGGTGTCAAAACCTAAGAAAAGAATCAACATGAGCCCTGGGTACCTGGAAAAGCTGGTTCGCGGCCGAAACGCCGGTGAGGTCAGACCTTTGACCCAGGTGGGCGAAATCATGGCCGTGAAGACGGATCTGGGAGTGCTGGAGATTCGAGAGTGCGTGGAAAGGAAGATGGGGGGCCAGATCCTCTGCCGAGTTTGGTAGCCTGGAGGACCGCGGTCAAAAGCAGAGCTACCATCCAGAACTCGGTTTTGGGTTACTGGCTAAGCTACATCGCGAAAACTCCTCCGCTCTCGACGACCTGTCCATCAGCGTTCGCGGGTTGACACGAGCGAGAAGGCTTCGTATCCTCTACGGATGCTGGGGACGGGTCAGAGCCGCCCGAGCAGAGGCGAAGCAGTCGAAGTAGCGAGATGTACTATCCGAGAGCGATGCATATTTTACGTCCAGGCGGGTGAGACAACGATGAATAGACAAACACTGTATTTTATGCAAAGATCCGAGCAAGCTGCCGGATAAAGTTCTGTGCACGATTCTACATGAATGAGATCCGAGAATGAGGGTTCTGGTGTATATACAGGCACTTGTAGGTTTATTGCAGTACTCTGTGTCGAACCAGGTCGCGTGGTTTCGTCGCAGAAGTCGCACGGCTTGCTCCGAGCCGCTGACACTTCCCCGCAAAGCTCCGATTGGTTGTTGCTCCGCGGTGGACGTCTGTTTACAAACAACACCTTCCGACGCTCTTTCTGTCTGCGCGCGAATCGATCCCATCGCATCCACATGTATTCGCCTTCCATCTCCTATTGATCATCAGTATGGTGGCAACCAGGCGCCAGGTCCAGACCGGACCCGAACTCGATCTGCCCATGGACCAGGATCCCGACCAAATTCTTAAGAAAAAGCCGACCCGCAAGGCAACGGCAAAGTCTAGCACCGCAGAGACCAAGAAAGCTAGCACGCGAGGCAGGAACAAGGTCTCTGAGCAGACACATGAGAGTGATGAAGAAGTACCCCTGGCCAAGGTGGCAACCAAGGCTGCTGCAACACGCGGAAAGAAGATTGCGGTGGCCGATGACGAGAAGCAGGGACAGAAGACGAGGCAGACGACAAAGAGCGCAACCGTGAGATCGAAAAGAGGAGAAGTGCTGGCGGAAGAGCTCGAAGATGAGTCAGATTCAATCCAGGTCAAGGCCTCCAAGTCCACAAGAGAACGCAAAGCGACCGTCCCTGATGGAGACCTGTCGGCGGCACAAGGAAAGAAGGCTGCGTCTGCCAGAGCTGGGTCTGTACGAGTCAGGAAGGCATCAGCAGTGGTAGACCATCCCGATTTGCCTGCTCCAGAAGAGCCCCAGCCTGCTCGAAAGACCCGCGGCGCAGCGGCCAAGGCAGCCCCGCTCTCACCAAAGAAGATTACCCAGGTCAAAGCGACGCGCACGACCAGGAACACCACGCACAAGGGTGCCGCCACAGTGCCGCAGGGGAGGACAACAGCGAGCGCGCGAGTTGGAGCGAGGAAGCGGACGGTGTCGGATGAGAATGCGGGAGTATCGAATATGAACAACGCGAATATCGACACGGAGGCCCAGACACCGACCCGATTTCATTCATCAACGAAGCGCCACGAACATACTGACGCAGAGAGTGAGATCTCAATGAGCTCCGCACCCACGACGCCCAATGACTCTCTGGTACAGAGCTTCAACACCATCGAAGAGCAAGATGACGTCCAAGAAGACAACAATTCAGCTGATGACGATGTCTCAGAGGACGACCATGATTCGGAAGACGAGCTCTGTGGTCCAAAGACGCCAATGAAACGTTCAAGTCCCACGGCTCAGGCTCGCTATCAATCTTCTGTGCAGCGTACAATCCGGAAATATGAGGACGATATTGCCCTGGAGACTCCGGCGCGTCGGTTTGCGGTACTGGGATCGCAGAGGGGAACGCCACAAACACAGAAACCATACTGCAGACCCGCTGCCCCGCCATCAACCCTTCGAACAATGACTTCGGATAGGCTTGCTACGAGTCTTTCGGTTTTTGACAACCCGAACAACGCCATACCGAATGTTCAGGATCTGGAAGAATCGTTGGAGGATCTGGACGTCTCATTTATCCCCGACGATTCCATCATTCCCGTGGATGAAGTCGAAATGGCGGATGAAGCAATTCGTCTGCCGTCGTATTCTGCATCAGCCATGACGGATGAGCCACCTTCAATGGTCAATATCTCAATGGAGGACGACGAAGAGGACTACGTCGTTCCAGCCGACGTAGAAATGTACGATGACGGTATGGATGACACCGTGATCGTGCACGAGACCGAGGATCCTACTCGCTCTCCACATCAGCAGCCCGCAGACTCGTTTGAAACGGAGGATACTGTCATCATCTCAAGACCCGATGGCGAAGCTTGCGGAGCTGAGGCTGAGGGTGATTCAGCAGAGCTCGTGACGGAACCAGTTCATACCGTCCATGAAATTGCTGTCAAAAGCCACCAGATCCCAAGCCCTCGGAGGAGGATCGTTGTCGACTTTGACGAATTTCTGGGTGCTCGACGCTCTCCGGAGCGTCTCCATGCGGAGACAGAGAACCTCACAGCGGTGGATGACGACCGCGACGCTCAAGCTGGAGCGGAATCGACACTTTCATTGGATCAAGCGCCACAAGATGCTTTGCGCCGTCAGACACTCAACTTCAACGATTTCTTCGATGTTGGCGCTCTTGCAGAGCCTACGGCCCAGATAGACATTGACCTGGATTCGGCACAAGAGCTGCAAATGGAGTTGGCGGGCCAGCTTTCAACCAATGCACCCGAGCAGCAGACCGACGGCACGAGCCTAGTCGATGATCAGTCAGAGGGACAGCCTGCCCATGATCTCGAGACAACCAGCGCAAACGATGACGCCGACATGTTTGATTTGTCGCGAGATACCACGCACGCGGACCGTGTGGAAGTCATCAACGAGCCCGAAGTCCCTCACTACGCTCGCCCAACCATCGCATTCCATGCGCGCCGCAAGTCACTTCCAGTGTCTAGCCTTCGCACGCCCACCAAGGCCGGCACGCGTCCTCACACTTCAGACGGCGCTAGCATGCCTCGAATCGTGAACCCCTCCGCGCATGCATGGTGGGCTAGATCGAGAGCGAATTCCACTTATGCTACACCCGTGAAAGCGCGTCCTAGCACCGCACACGCAACGCCAGTTGTATCACGCTTCAACACTTCGGTCAAGTCTGCTCACCCTTCTCGTGTCGCATCGCCGGCGAAGGCAACTCCAGGCGAGAGATATCCACTGCTCGCAGCAAGACAAAACTACGCAGAGCACGCAAAGACAGTGGCGGCTCCCGCTCGTTTCGCTACGCCAAATGCAAAGTCGCCCAAGCGTCGCGAAACGTTTCATCGAGCGATGCCTGGAGTGCAGATGTTGAACAAGAGCGAGGCGAACGCATCAAGTCCTCCTCTGGCCGATCCTCAGACTCCGGGAGACGTTGAATCCACCCCAAGGCCACGTGGGATGCACACCAACCATGCAAACACTGTAGCGCCGGTACGTTTCCAAACGCCGACTGCCGCGTCGCCACAGCGAAGACGAACGTTCCACAAAGCTCTGTCCGGACAATTGTTAGAGGCTGCCGGACCAGCACCCAGCACACCGGCGACTCCTGCAGCGGAACGCTTCCCCAAACTCCCGTATCGCTCGGATCAAATGGAGCATGCAAAGACTGTCGCGCCGGCTGCTCGCTTCCAGACACCTGCAAAGACGTCTTTGAAGCGACCAGCAACGGCGGGCAAAGGAGACGCACTTCGAAGGGCGGTATTGTTTGCAAACACCCCGACTGCGGTCCGCGATTGGGTGAAGACACCTCTGAAGGCGGCAGCAGCTACTCCATCGCAAGCACCGATGACCCCTCATCCGGCAGCGCCACTCAAAGGGGTCATGGCGTTAGTTGAGGTCTTCACACTGGAAGGCGCTTCTGCATCTGCCCCATTCGTGGCTCTCCTGCACCGCCTGGGAGCGAGAACCACACGAACGTGGAATGAACGCATCACACACGTGGTGTTCAAGGACGGCTCACCAACCACGCTTCAGCGAGTACGCTTGAACAACAAAGAGTTCAAAGAGTGCGGAAAGGGAAACCTCATGCACTGCGTCAACAGTCGCTGGGTTACGGACTGCGATCGTCAAGGCACGCATATGGACGAGACGGAAGAAGCGTACGTGGTAGATGTGTCCGAGGTGCCACGCGGGGGAAAGCGTAGGCGCAAGAGCATGGAGCCTTCTGCGCTGCTGAACGTTGGAGGCAACATTGTGCGCGAGCGAAAGAGCAGTGCCGGCCGCGTCAGCTCGTTCGACTACTCACCCGTGAAGTTTGCCGATTCGACAGCACAAGCATCGGAAGGGGCTCTCAACACTACTCCCATTGCTGCTGATGTGCTTGGAAAGGAGAACAGCGGCGACGAGCACAGCTCGCCCGTGACTCCCGCCTGGATCTCTGCGCCGGATTCACTGGTGCAACAGACTGCGCCTATGAAGCGAGTCAGAAAGCTCGAGTTGCCGGGCAAGGAAGCGGCCAAAAATCGACGATTGACATATTGGAGCGGCGCCGCTTGATTGAATAGGGGTGCCGTACTGGATGCGGTGACCAAGGGTGAAGGGATGGATGGGTACAGACTGTCACTTTTTCGTAGCTCGTTCTCGATACCAGTGTGCATGAATGTCAGGCTTCGAATTGTATTCCATTCGACCAACGCCGGCGCTATGATTTTGCAACAACCACTTCCACCTTGCTACACAGCGGCCGTGACCCAAGCGGTCATGGCTTTTGTAGCGTCGGCATCGTGATTCCTCAACAACTCGGTAGCTTTGATCTTGGACATGTCCAGCTGTTCCATCTGAATGGATGTTCAGCGACTGTAGAGTTATTCGCTGGGTAGCTCGAATGAAACTCACCACAAGTGTCACATCGGCCGGATCAACCTTCACCAAAGCCTTGGGCGCCTCCTCTTTCCTCACCGCAGCAGGCTTCTCCTTCTTCTTCTTCTGCTCCACGTCGAGATTCTTCATGGCATCGTTCAGGGCCTTGAGATCGACCTCTTTCTTTTGCGCCGGCTCCTCCTCGCCACGAGTGTCCAGCTTCGACATGGCCTTTGCGGCCTTGCGGTCTTCTGCATTTGCGGGAAGCGCCTCGGGCTGCTCCAGTCCTTCTTGGACTTCGAGGGGTACTGGCTCTTCAGCCATGGTGCAATTTCTTGCGCGGAGGCCGAGATCGGTTGGAATGGTGGGAGAGAGGTTGAGGGAAGGGTGAATGTGAGGTGTCACCGCAGCAAGTGGAATGTGGATGAGGTCTTGGCAAACGTCTTCAAGCTTGGATCATCAGTCATCGCTGTACCTGCATATAAGAAAACTTTCCTAAGCACCCTCACCGCTCGATCATCCAAACATGAGACGATGAATGGAGAACACGAAGAGCCTCACGGCTCTCAAAACGGAGAGGTCCATCAGGACTGGCGGCCGTCGTCATGGAAGACGAAACCCATCAAGCAGCCGGTTGTCTACGAAGACCCGAACGTTGCAGGCAAGGCATTGGCGCAGCTCCAACGCCTTCCTCCCCTCGTCACCCCCTACGAGATCTGGAAGCTGAGACGATCACTTCGTGATGTGGCGCTTGGAAAGGCCTTCCTACTCCAGGGTGGCGACTGTGCCGAGCTCTTCGACTACTGCCACGACAATGCCATCGACTCCAAGATCAAACTCCTGCTTCAAATGTCGCTGGTCCTTATCTGGGGCGGCAACAAGCCCGTGGTGCGCATCGCTCGCATGGCCGGACAGTACGCGAAACCCAGAAGTTCTCCCATGGAAACGGTAGACGGCAAGCAAATTCCCAGCTTCCGCGGCGACATCCTCAACGGCTACCCTCCGGATCAGAGGACGATTGATCCGAACCGCCTGGTACAAGCCTACTTCCACTCGGCGGCAACCCTCAACTACGTTCGAGCCCAGATCAGTTCGGGCATAGCAGACCTGCACAATCCACTCGAATGGGAGCTCGGACACGTGCGAGACCAGGGCATGCAGACCAAGTACACGCGAATTGTCGACAGCATCACGGAGTCTCTCCGCTTCATGCGTACCATTGGCGCAGACACTGCCGGTCAATTGCACACTGTCGACCTCTATACCAGCCACGAAGGACTATTATTGGCATACGAGGAGGCTCTGACGAGGAAGCTCAAGCACCCTCCCAATCGCGACAGCTCCATTTCAGGTGTACCTGAGGGGAGTCATGTGCGCACGGGCGAAGGGTATTATAACACGAGCGCCCACTTCCTCTGGATCGGTGACCGAACTCGACAACCAGATCATGCCCACATCGAGTATTTCCGGGGCATCGAGAACCCCATTGGGATCAAAGTTGGGCCGACGACGAGCGTGCAGGATCTGACGCAGCTCCTCGACATTGTCAACCCACGGAAGGAAGTAGGCAAAGTCACGCTCATCACACGATATGGCGAAGGCAAAGTCGACGAGCTGCTGCCCCAACACATTGCCGCGGTGCGGGAGAGTGGTCACGTGGTGGTGTGGCAATGTGATCCCATGCACGGCAACACTCGATCTACGACATCGGGAGTGAAGACTCGCTCCTTCGCCTCCATCTTCTCCGAGCTGTCGTCGGCCTTGAGGATCCACCAGCAATGCGACTCGTTCCTGGGCGGCGTCCACCTCGAATTGACCGGCGACGCGGTGACAGAGTGTACCGGCGGCAGCCAAGGGTTGCAAGACGAGGATCTCGGCGCGCGATATGAGACGTTCTGTGATCCTAGACTGAACGAAAAGCAGGCGATGGAACTGGCGTTTTTGGTTGCTGGGAGTCAGCGTGGAAGTGATGGAGTCTAATAATCAGTGGGCAATCATCGTGGGCGCAGTTTTGTCTCAAGGATGGTAGTGATAGGTCTTAATGCAACTTTCGCACCATCATATTCACTACGGTCCTTCTATTCGAGTCCGTAAACTATCGATAAGCTCGAAGTGGATCTCGCGTGCACCGCGAGTCGAGGCTTCGCGGCCTGCGCCACGCACGACCAAACAACCTTCAACCTCAGCCTCCTACACCTTCCGAAAGACCACACATTGAACACCGCCGCAAGGCCGCGAGGTTTTCTCACCCAGTTTGGATCCACGCAGTCTGCATGCTCGCCATTGGTGTTGAGCACAAGGCAATGGTGTGATCTACGCCATTGGCTTCCGCAGCATTCAATCCCCCCTCCTCCTACGCCGCCATGGCCTACGCTCCATCTCCCTCCGCCCCCTCCTCCAGCCTCTCTCTCCCCGGCCCGGCCTCCTCTAACGCTCCTCGCGGCACCTTCCTGCCCGGCACCAAAGTCCAAGTCGGCAATCAGAGGGTTATCATCGAGAAATATCTGTCCGAAGGCGGCTTCGCCCATGTCTACATTGTGCGCATCCCGCGAGAGGGCCACAAGCATGAACTCGCCGTGCTCAAGCGGGTGGCCGTGCCGGACCGCGAGCAATTGGCATACATGCGGACGGAAGTGGAGACGATGAAGAAGTTGCAGGGGCACAAGCATGTCGTCAAATACATGGACAGCCACGCCAGCCAGTTGAAGGCGGGAGGGTACGAGGTCTTCTTGTTGATGGAGTTTTGCGACGGGGGAAGTCTCATCGACTTCATGAACACTCGCCTCCAACATCGCCTGACCGAGCCGGAGATCCTAAAGATCTTTGGCGATGTCGCCGAGGGCGTGGCCTGCATGCACTATCTCAAACCCCCGCTATTGCACCGCGATCTCAAAGTCGAGAACGTCTTGATTTCCAAGTCCATGTCCACCGGTGCGCCCGTCTACAAGGTCTGCGACTTTGGAAGCGCCGCTCCTCCTCGGCCGGCAGCAACAACGACGGAAGAGGCACGCCTCATTGAAGACGATGTGCAGAAGCACACCACCATGCAATACCGAAGCCCCGAGATGATCGACGTGTGGCGCAAGCAGCCCATTGACGAAAAGGCCGACATCTGGGCGCTGGGCGTGTTTCTCTACAAGCTCTGCTACTACACTACTCCCTTTGAGAACGTCGGGCAGATGGCTATTTTGAACGCCAGCTTCAAATACCCCCCTCATCCTCCCTTTTCCGCTCGGCTGAAGGCTCTCATCGGCAGCATGCTGAAGGAGGATCCCAAGAAGCGTCCAAACATCTACGAAGTCATTCGAGAAACGTGCAGCATGCGCGGCGTCGAGATGCCCGTCAAAGACATCTACTCCCAACGCACGCAGTCCGAAGCTCGAAGAAACGAGACTCTCCCCTCGCCGGATCGCCCGACTTCCATCGGCCTGACGAAGCAAGCCCCTCAGGTCCAAGTGCAAAGTCTCCCGGACATTACGCCTATGCGAAGAGGTCGCCCCGGGGCGCCTGCGCAGCAAGCTCCGTCTCCCGTCATCAAACCTAGTGCCTCTCCCGCACGTGGCGATCCCTTCGCAGCTCTAGATTCCAAGAACTACGACGTTCGAGCGGGCGCTGTGGATGAACTTTCTAAGAAGTTCCCATCCTTAAATGAGTTCGCCATCACCCACGACAAAGGCGGCCCTTTCGTCTTTCCCTCGCAGTCTGACGCAGAGCCTGCGACTGCTCCTGTACAGGCCAATCCAAAGAACCTGCACGAGCGAGTGACCAATGCTCTCGCCGATCAAGTCTTCCGACAAGCGAACCCCTCGTCAAGCATCGGCAAGTCACAGTCCGCAGCTCAACTGTCGTCACCTTCGACAGTGCCCAGCACCAAGACCACTTTGCCCGCAGCCCGAGAGCCTCGAAAAGATTCCGTGCCAGCAACTTCCCCAGCCGGCGTCGCATATACTTCGACTGCAACGGGCGCGTCGCCACCGACAAGCGCGACCACGACGGCCTTTCCAGATATCAGCAAGCGGCCGATTTGGAAAGTGCCGGATACCCCTTCCGGCCAGACGCGAGTCGGCGGTTCGCCGGCATTGCAGCTCCCGAGCCCAAACCCCGATATGCTTCCAGTCCACCGCTCCAAGTCGCAAACAGCTACGCTGAGAGATGCAACCGGCCCGGCGTCTACCTCGTCACGGCCGTCTTTGGAAGGGCATCGGCCCGTGCTACCAGAAGCTGGAGAGCCTCTGACCAGAAGAAAGTCTGCTGAACTCCGTCCACGGCCTTCGAGCGCGTACATGAGTTCTGATATGGATTATCTAAAGGGTCAAGAAGAGCAGGCCCGTAGACGGCCTGCAGTGGTGAGTCGGCGATCCAGTAAAGATGTTGCTCGCAGGCATGAAGTAGCTGTGGACGACTCGAATATCACAGACGACATGGATTATCTGCGCCGCAGTGAAGATGCCGAGCGCCGAGTGAATCACAGGCATTCACTGCATCGGAAAATTTCGGATCAGCGTTCGCACTCGCACTCGCACGTGCACCATCATGCCCATTCCATCTCTTCGGGAGCCAAGGGCATGCTCACTGGTAAATTCGGCGATGCCTTCAAACGGTTTGAGCACCGTTCCAGCAACGAAAGACTTGTCGATAGAGAATCGACGGAGCCGGTCTTGCACACTCAACAACGGGAACATGAAGCAAGAGTACTATCCCCTACATCGGCCTCGGAGGCTTCCAATAGGCTCCGTTCCGATGTGGATTCGGCCATCGACGAGACTCAGGACCTGCCTCCAGAGATGCGACGAGAAATGGAGCGCCGACGGCTGAGTCAGGAGGAACAACGAGTGGCAAGAGCTACCGCTGAGTACCGCTCTCGAGTGGTCGAAGATCAGGGGACAGGCGGTGTGGGCGGGATTCTTAATCGAGCGAGCACGATTCAGAAACGAGTACAGACCCTGCTCGACGAGGCAGGACAAAACTCGGCACCTGTGAAAAGGACGGCCGAGGGGTATGGGCGGTACACTGCTGATTCGGATCCCGCAGCCCAACAAGGTCGGCAGGCTGTGCCGGCAATAGTGCCAACAAAGACAGCGCCGCCACCTATTGTATCGAAGCCGGCAATCATCTCCGAATTGCCATCGGTGGCGAATGCGAAGATCCGGCAGCGGCCTCTGGAGCCTACCAACACTGCACCGCCCCCGTCCGCATCCGCTCCGCCATCACAGTCGGCTGTTACTGCCGCCCCTCCTGCCAGAATGGCTCTGCGGCCCAGCGTTCCACCCAAGGCAGCGATGCTGCGGACTGGAGGAAGCGCAGCATGGCCTCCGCCACAAGCCTCGAACGCGCAGGAAGGCTCCAGCACTTCGAAACCATCCACTGGCCTCGCAGCTCTCCTTGCAAAAGACCTGGAAGGTGTGCCCGACTATCCACCATCTGGGTCCAGCGCAGCCATCTCCGCGCCCGAGAGCGATGTGCAATTCCCCGCGGTGGATGATGATCTGGAGACGGATTTCAGCAAACGCTACCCTACATTGAGCGGCATTGAGATGGTGGAGGCGGAAATTGGAGGCCAGCGGAAGATTCTACGCGCAAGGGAGGTGTGATGTGACGCCGTATGTCTGGATGATCTATGTGTTGTGCATATGACCAGCAGGAGCATAAATGGTAGACAGAGTTGTGAAGAGTGATGGGCTGCTTGGCCTGCCGGCCTGGACTTCAGAAGCCCTCAACCTTACGGCAGCTGGCTCCCGTGCCAAGGGAAGCTCTAATTTACCTGCAACGTGCGCCATATCTGGTAACATCTGCGATATGCTCATCATATGACAGTTCTGGTGTCGCGTGAATATGCATGGTCATCGCCGGCACCGTCAAATGCAGCATGACAAACCGCCAACCAACATCAAAGTGGTGTTGGTTTACGGATGCGGAAGGCAGAAGAAGTGAGGTGCGGCGCGAAGCTCACCTGGTCCGAGCTTAGGAGGGCGTGATTTAGCGCCAATCTTATCTTAATTTAGAATGCCTAGAAACGGTCGTCCGCCTTCTGGTGCAACGGTTTTTGTCTCCCCTTCTTCGCACACGACACGCTACCACGCGGACAGCATCACACCACCCCCTTCGAATCGACTCGACGCCGGCGACGACCCTCGAACCCCATACTTTCCCCGCCTGCCGATCTTCTCTCGACCCTTCACCACGCCGACTCCTTCCTCAATCGCCTCGGACGCGACCAGCTGGACCTGCTTTGTTCTCATTGCGGCGCATACGAGATCAGCAGTCCACGGGCGACTTGAGCACTCCCGTCTATTCGGCGCGAGGGATAGAGCCATTCATTGGAGAAGGCCGTCCCACATCGACTTCTCTCATTCAAGCTACTTCACCGGCTGGCCTGTCCACCTTTCAAGCGTTGAGTCGCGAAGCAAGACACCGAAAGAGCACGCGATTGCGGACACATCAGCGCCGGACCCGACTGCAAGAGAGTGAGGACTTCTATTGCAGAGCAAGGAGCGCTCTCAGACCCTCCGCATTCGTCCCTTTCGACCGTACCGCTGGCGTGCGTTGAAGACCAGGTACGTTTGGATCTGCGTACAGCTCCAATCTGCCCCGCTGCTGTCTCCCGGATCTGGTGGCATTGCGCGCCGGGGGCGTCTTGCCACGCACCTCGAATGCCGCTGCGACTGGGCAGCCTCATGCGCACCGAGGCCGTCGGGCATGTCCAGCGCTTAACCATTGACCCCATGATTGGTCGAGTCTGTTTCTGCCAAGAAGGCTAACCTCGCGCGCAGCTGCCCTCGCGATTGGTCCACAACGACCGACCCTGACTCTCGCAAGCGTCTGTCTGCACATCGTCGTACTCGCACCGCCTTGTCTACTTGCTCTTTTTCTCGCAATCTTCATCGCGCTGGCGTGATTATGCGGTGACACCCTTCTTTCTGGACCACTCTGTCGCCATACATTCCCGATACGTGCCTTACGGACTTGTGTAACAACAGCGCTTGGAGAGGATTACTGCCGCGTACAAGTCTTCCAGGCGAAGCCTTTTTGGTACGTATCCTATTGTCTTCCGTCTAAGCGCCTGCACGAGCCCGCTCCTGCAATATCGCACTCTGCCGCATGGCTTGTCTTCCGCAACTCTTGCGCTCGATTGCGCTTTGTATCGATGCTATGCGCCGATGTATCCAGGCGTCGCGTCGGCGAGGGACATTGCAACGATCATCTCTTCATCCCGCCACGCCTCAATCGCGGCCACTTCGCTAACCACGCTATCGATCAGGTCTTTAAATTCGACCCTGCGTTTCCCGAGAACACTTCCTTGATGGCGCATGTTGGTCCGCACGAAGAATGAATAACGCGCTGCCGGACGAAGCTTCGTCTCCTTTGCGACCGTTGTCCACGTCGACAAACATGCTGCAACCTAACGAGCAAACGAAAGAACCACCACAACCTGCGCCATCATTGCAGAATCGACTAGCGCCCTCGTACGACTATCTAGACAAGCCATTTCGCAGATTCCATCAACACTCCATAAGCGATCTATCGGGTGCGGGATCCACGGATTCCTCCCCGACCACCACCATCTCCACGGTGGATGACTCTAGCGCCACCGAACCCTCTCCTGGCTCTTCACCAGAATCACCGCCGCCGGCCACATTCGCCGCGGGCATGCTTCGGCCACGCACTGCGGACGACGGACGGCCGTTTTTCGAGTTGCAAAAGCAGCTGCCACCAAAGAAGGAGCGCAACTTGAAGAACCTCGCGGTCAACACGACGCGTGGTCCTGGACGACCCTATTCTTCCGCCAGCCTTCCTTTGCCAACGTCGACCGCAGAAAACTTTCCTGGAGATGTAGCCACAGCTTTTGTCAAGCCGTCAGCACCTTCGAAACGGAAACCAAGCAGTCTCGGGCTTACCCTCCTCACCCCCGGCGCGGGCAGGGCAGCTCCACCGGAGATGAAACTCGCCATACCACCCACGCCTGGTCTGAGTCGGCCTGCAGCTTTACGCCACTTTCAGTCTTCTCCGTCACTGCCGCTCTCCGCAAGGCTTGGCCCTCAAGATGGCGAAGTACGCCAGTTTGGTGACTTTAGCACGACACTGGCAACAATCCGATCTCCAACGCTACCACACCCGGCTCGCGCCGACGATGAGGAGGAACAGAACTTTGACGTTCCTCTCTCCCAAGAAGCAAAGCCCGAGGCCTACCCGAACGGGCCGATAGCCGTCTACGATCCCTACATTGATTTGTACTTGGAGCCCACGGTTGAAGAGGCCCGCGAGTACGACGTGATTATGAACGTGGCAAGCGAAGTTCGCAATCCTTTTGTGGATTTTGCTGAGCCCTCTGCCGAAGAACCACAGATCCGGTTGGACGGTGGCGGTGGCATTCAATTCGCGCCGAAGCGGGAAAGCATACAGCGGCGCTCGGCAAGACCAAGCACCGCAGGAGAGGTTGGCACTACAAGTTCAACGACAGAAAATGCTTCCGCCAATACCGAACCGGAATACATTCACGTCAAGTGGGAACACAACAGTGACATTGTGCCCGATCTGCTCAATCTCGTCAAACTCATCGATGAGCGGGTCATGCAACGCAAGCGCGTGCTGATCCATTGCCAATGCGGCGTGAGCAGGTCTGCTAGTTTGGTTGTGGCATATGGACTCTACAAAGATCCTAGTCTATCCGTCCAGGAGGCTTACGATCTGGTGAAGACAAGGAGCAAGTGGATCGGGCCCAACATGAATCTGATCATGCAGCTGCAAGAATTCAGGTCAAGCCTGATGCAAGGCGGTCTGTTGTCGAGCAACCGTGGGTTGACGCCCATCACACCGAGCTCTGCTGTCCAAGAGTGGCGCAGTCCGTTTGCGTCTGCTACGACCAATTCGTCACACTCCACGGTTCACCCACCTTTGAGAGCATCGACGCCCGATCAACTCCCCGTACGGGTGTCTGGTCCCTCCTCTGCGCCTTCCGATGTCACCGAGATGCCACTCGATACACCACCGATCCAACGATTACGCGCCATCAGCGCCGGGAAACCAAGCACACCCTACGTGGATCCCTCGGGCCGAGTTGTCCCCGTCATACCTGTGCTCCAGGTGGATGGACTCGATGCAAATACCCACACACTCCTCACGGAAAGCCCTGTTGACGAGCAGCAGCCGGACTCCGACTCGATCACCCCAACAGCGCCATCACCCGTGGCTGACGAATTCGCGATGACTCCTCTGCAACCGTCACCAGAAGTCGATCCGGCCGACAGCTTCGGGCTCATGTCACCATCAACTACGGAATACTCTTCGTCACCTTTCGATCGGTCTGCACTACTCGCAAAGCTGGGCATGGGCTCGATAGGATCACCCTTGGACGGAGCCCCGCGACGATCTGCTTCCCTGCGGTCGAGAGGCCAAACATCCAGCCTTGACAACATGAACCTCACAGCCGAGCCAAGACAGGCCGGGAGAATGCGTGGCAAAATCTCCTCGCCCGACTTACGGGAGCAACGACGACTCCAAGATTTTCAGGCGGCAGTCGAGGCAGCTCTACCGAACCATGGGGCTCGGCATGCGGACCTCGCAGCGCCACTGCTGTCTCCGCGAGCGACGGAGTTTACACAGAACCCCTTCGCCTTGGCAGTGGCATCAATAGCATCCCCGCCGCCACCGGACAACGAACCATCGGCAGCTCAGCCCTCGGACTCCGATCCGAGAAGCCCTCCGCTGAAAGGTGGAAGTCCAATCACCCGCAGCATTTTCGATGTGTTATGACACGTTTTGCCTTTATGGCGTACATCAGACTCATGATCAGGAGCGATATGATTGCAATGCGATATTCCAAAAAGAAAGCGGGAAGTTTGGGGATTGCTCTGCTATTGATACCCCATGGAAAGAAGGAAGGAGCATCGTGGGCCCTAACGTATGTGGCTACTCGATGGAGTGCAATCTACAGATTCAGGTCGATAAAGAAGCTCGTGAAGGAGATAGCTGAGTAGTCATCGTCGTCTCAAACATCGATCGATCTTGAATTGCAGTTCTATTGCACAGTGTCATGTCTTAGAATGTGAAGACAATCGGGTGGTTGGTAGGCTACCCTGAAGAGACGTTCCGTCTCGCAGGCTTCGCCATCTCAGCCCGGCTGCCTCACCTTTTGCGAAGGTAGATGAGACATGGCCATATGGCCAATGATTCGTGTCGATAACGCGATAACCATTACATTCAGGCAGCGCGTCTTGTCTGCGAGCAACGTGCAAACGTAGAACAAAGTAAACAACCCCGACTCCACGCTAATGCTGAGCAGTTCCCAAACCATTGAAACATCACGAATTCCTTTCCTTTATTCCACCAAAACATGCCTCCGCTGCTGCAAACTTGTAGCACGATGAAGAGACGGCCCTTCCCCGCTAATTGCCCCACCGCTGCGACGAGAAGAATGCGGGACGTAAGAGGTGACGCGACGATTTGTACGCGAGGTCGCTCGCGAGATACTTCGTCTGTCTCCGGCATCACTCTCTTCCGGTACGACCAGCGTATTAAAGGTGTCAAGTGCGTGCCGCCGTGCAAGATCTGCTGATGAGTCGGAAGGCACGCGCGAAAAGTAGTCCTGGCTAGTGCGGCGTGCTGCCAGGGAGTCTCGGAAACTGGGTGAGCGAGATGGGGTGTTGAAGTCTCTGCGGAGGAAGGATCTCGCGGACCGGCCGGCGTCCGTGGCGGCGCGTGATGGAGGGCGGATTGTAGGGTCTTCGTCGTCTCCCGCCGCACCGCTACCGAAATGTCTTTCCCGCGCTGCTTGGAGTCTGCTTGCTGCTCGTCCGCTCGGTGTAGGATCTGGCCTTTGAAGGCGAGGATAGGATGCGGTGGATTCGTGCTCGGATAGAGATGCGTCTCCGGTAGCTTCCAGTGGGCTGCCTGCAAGGCTGCTGCTGTTCCCGCCTTGCGATCCTAGAATGCTGGATCTTCGAGCTTCGAGACGACTCATCGGGCGAGCAGCTGCTCTTGAGATCCCATCAGTGGGACCGAGACTACTTCTTGAATACCTGAGAGATGGCGATTGCTTTGTCGAAGGAGTGGGCGAGGAGACCAAACTCGGCGCTTCGGATCTACCTTCGCATAGTGCTAGCACCAGATCGGTGAGGTTGCGACACATGGTGTCCGCCTTCCTTCGCACGTGTCGGTCGGAGACGGTGACGCCGTTGATGATGGACGCTGCCGTCATGGCCGTGCCTTGCGGTCCGGCGCTGCCGGTCATGGCTGCGAGCTGGAGAGCGTCGGCAGCCGTTGCTTCAAGCGTACGGAACAGAGTTGGGCTGAGCAGTGGCTTTGCTTTCGCCAAAGCGGCGTGGAGGTTGGGATGAATGTTCGCGGCCCCAGGGCCACCGACCGCGTACTCCCCTGACATCTCTTGGGCGATCGACCGCGACCTTGATTCAGGCATCTGCTGTTGCGGCTCGGACTTGTCATGTTTTGGCGAAGAGTCGATAGTTGTGGGAGCAGTGGTTGCCGTTCTGGGGCGATCGTTATGCTCAACCGGGAGCGCAGCGGCTCCCGAGGTCGAAGGTAGTTTGCCCGTCAGTTCCAGCTTTTTAATGCGCGACTTCAGATCATCAAGCTCGTCCCATACAGTTTCCGCGGTTTCAGAGGCCACCGAGGCGGAGTCGGGGTTGGAGGGTTTGGGCTCCGAGTTTCCAGTGGGGTATTGGAAGGAGTCTGGCCAGTTGTGAGAGAGCTGCGAAGGCTGTGCGAGCAATGTCTGTGGCGAAGAACCGAATGAAGGCCGGCCTCGACCAAATTGCGGGAGATCAGCAGGTCTGGCATGGTTGTTCAAGCGCGATGGTAGGCGCTCAGACGACATTTCTGGACGGCGAGGGACGCCAGAGCGCGACTTTGACGAAATGCTCGCCCCATCCTCGTCTATCCATGGGCTAGGGCTGGCGAAAGGGGTGCTATGGCGTGCCACGTGACGCTGGAGATGTGCAGACTTGTCCAGCATCGATGCACCTCCTTGACCCAAGGCATTTCCACTGGAGCGCGGCCTCCGCTCTGATGACAATGAGGGCGGATTGGCGGCTGAGGAGATGCGACGCTGCAGAGGTTCCCCGTGGCTGATGGGGCGTGCATGCTCTACTGCGGCGCGATCGTTGGCCAGTTCCAGGAACAAGTCCTCCCCTCTTTCCTCGCCTGTGCGAGACATCCTCCACCCGTGCGCGTCACTTGCGAGTACGGGAAGCACGTGTTGCTGGTTATCCCGGGGGGAGTTGGTGGGTATGGTGCGCGCCGGCGCAGATGTTCCACCTTCTACGATGGCATGATGACGCGAGAAAAGGTGTTCGCCAGCGGATACGGACGGGCGAGGGGTGGTGGAGAGGGTGGAGGTGGAATGCGATTGGAGTCGCGGGCGCGTTGGATGCAGCTCCTGCGCGTCGGTGCCTGCAGGGTGACGTTGCAGTACCGCTTCTGCTTCCTTCGCTTCCTCGTCTGAACTTCTTTCATGAACCGATGCGGCTGCTTGCTCTTCCGCCTGACGACTCCCTCTCGCTCCTGTCTCGAGTGTGGCCGTCAGCGCATGGGTTGGCGCGGCGGGTGGTGGTGATGGAGGGCGGACATGGAGATGCGCGCGCAACGCTGCCGCCGACCAATCAGCGCTCTCGTGCATGGCAGCCCCTGCTTCGCCTGAGGAAGGAGCGAGGGAGTAGAAGGACTGCGTGTCCTCCTCCTCTTCTGCCTCCTCCGACATTTTGATATGGTGATGTCTTGTATGCAGGAGGGAAGGGAGATGAGATCGGGGCAGACATCTTGCTTGCTGCCTCTGCTGCACCATCCCAGTCAGGAGGCATACAGGAGACGAGACTATCGCAGGTATTGCATTCATTTTCAAGGAAATTGCCTCCCTGCCATGCTTTTCTCCCTCTCTCTCGCTGTGCTGCAACGGTCGTGCATATATAAATCTACAGCACCTCATTATGTATCGCCTCCGGCCAACATGTACACGATGGGTGTCTATACATCCCTGCCGCCCTACACCACCTTCGCCCCTCGCGGTGACCGGAAGTCCTTGACGCGGATGTCCCTCCACATGAACACGCCCACCAGCATGACCACGAGGCCACAGGTCGCAGCGATGCACATGTAGCGTTGCGTGTTCCCGTACGCCAGCACAATCGCGTCCCGCCCCGGACTCCCCCACGTGTAGGTGAGTTGGGTTGCCAGACTTTCATAAATCTTGTCGGCTTGCGGCTTGAGATTGTCCGGCAGAGCGCGCAGGAGCTCGCCTTCAAACGTGTTCGTCCAGATGGCTCCGCTCACGCTGGCCCCGATTGCTCCGCCCACGGAGGTGAAGAGGGATTGCAGCGCCAGCGCCACCGCCACATTCTCCGGCCCCGCTGCCGCCATGATGGCCAGCTGCTGCGTGACTACAATCGTGCCGCCGCTGATGGCGATGAACACCTGGCACATGATCACGTAGCCGAGCGCCTGGCCGGGTTGGCGGAAGTAGATCATCAGGCCCGTTGCCAGGATCTGCAGCGGCACCGCGCACACTGCCATCCATTTGAAGCGCCCCGTAATCGGCACCAGGATGCCGACCACGATGCTCCAGAAGCAGGAGCCGAGGCTGTAGGTGTTGCCGATGTATCCCGCATCGCTGATGTCGATATCGTACACCACCTGCAGGAAGGAGGTGAAGTAACTGTTCCAGCAGTAGAAGCTGAAGAAGAGCGACGCAGCCGTCAAGCAGGACCCAATCACCGTTCGGTCGGTCAGCAAGCGGAAGGGGAGGAACGACTTGCGCGCGAAGAAGCGCTCCCACACGCCAAAGCCAATGAGGCAGCAGAAGCCGACGACGAGCAGGGCGATGATGGTGGGTGATTGCCATTTCGAAGGCAGGTCAGTCGCAAGGCTGAACGGCAGGAGGAACATTGACCAGCCTGCAATGAGCAAGATCATGCCGACGACTGCACGTTCGTCAGCGGGGATGCGTGGGGTGACATGGTCCGGAGAGTCTCACCATCAAACTCGATCAAGTAATGCTGTACCGACTGCCACGTAGTACGCCCACTCGCGGCTCGCTTCTCGACAAGCACACCTTGCCGCTTGGCTAAGCGCTGGTTGAACCAGAACACCCACAGGAACGGGATGGAGATGACGGGCGTGAGGATGGCCCAGGTGCCGAAGGCCCATCGAAAGCCAGTCGTTTCATACCACGCCTGGGCCGCCGCCGGGCCTGCGAAGGTCGTGGCAATGTATGGGCTGGTTGAGAAGGCGATCATGAGTCCACGCCACTTCAACGACGACGTGTCTGCAATGAAGACGTCGAGCACGTAGGCGAGCCCGTCTTGGCCCACCCAGTAAAAGACCTGTGCCGCCGCGTACACGGTGACGCCATTGGTGGCGGCCATCATGATGTAGCCTGGGGTAGGGTTAGTGGATGGGACGGAGTGGTTGGATGAGGACAAACGGGCATACCAAGCACGGCACAGAAGAGCATGAGGCAGTAGCCTTGCGGGCGACCCCAAACGTCCATCAACTTGGCGACGGGCAGCTTGATGACTCCCGACACCAGGCCCGAAACGACATTGGTGGTCGCCGTGAGGGAATGCTGATAGAACGCACTCGTCACGAATGGAAGCAGGTTGTTGGAGATTTGCTGGCCAAAGGAGTTGACGAAGAAGATGAGGAAGATGCTGGCAATGCGTCATTAGCTTCAACACACCAATTGTTGCCCAGGCGTATCATTGAAGGGGCTCGACATACAGGCCGTAGGCGACGATGAGGGAATTCCTGCTCCAGACAATCGTCGTGGCTTGCGCTCTCTTCACGCCATCTTGCACCGAATCCGAGTCGTCTTCATCGTCACCGGTGTTGAGCGCGGTGTTGGTCGTCTCCACCACGCTCTTGTCACCATGCTGCTCCTCAACTTCGCGGCCGGGCAGCTCAAGAGAATGCTCATGCTTTTCAGACGACTCTGACTTGAATTTGTCAAGGATGGCCATCTTGCCGTGAGCAGTGGATATTGAGAGGAGGGAAACAACAAATATTGGGGGGGGGGGGAAGATCATCAGATAAGATACACGGGTGGGCCGATGTATTAAACACGCATGGCTCTTGGCCGCTCTCGGCGCCACGTGAGGGACCGGAAAACTCTTCACCCGCAAGACTTTCGCTTTGGAGCGTGGTCGGAAAGCGCCGTGCCGTGAGGCGAAAATGAGGTGATTTCCACTCGCTTGGTCTCGGTCGAAGATCGTAATGGGCATGTTCCACGCCGATCTCCACCCGCTGGTGGAGTTGCGGGATTTTGTTATCGTTTTAGAAAATCTAATCAGATGGAACCTCCACTGCACCTTCCGCAGATTCCGTTCCTTTCCTTTCACTCACACCATAAACCATTGACACCTTCGTGGCCAGGCACGGACGTGTTCATGGTTTGCTCTGATCACCGATGTGAGTGCTGAACAAACACCTCTCCATGTGCAATCTGTCAAACTCGTCTACGCCATCATACCTGAACCTGCAAATGTGACATGCAGTCGGGATCCCGCTCACCATTCCCTCATCACTTGCTTCCCTGCTCCTCCGTCTTACCCCCTCCCAGCATGCCACCAACATACCCACCCGCACTCTGTGCTCCACTCCAAGCACTCTGGCCTGCCGACTTGGCGTAGCCTCCAATGGCCCCAGCGTAACTCCCGTTGTCTTCCTTGCCGCCGCGTTCGGCGCGATTCACGCCCTCTTTCGATGCCGTATCCCCAACGGGCTGCAAGATCCCACCCTGTCCCACTTGTTGGCCGACGGCGTTATTGACGGAGTCCTGGGCGGTGTCGACCTGCTCGATGCCGGTGACTTTGGTCTTGTCCATGGCCCCTGCAACATTGGTCAGTCAGGCGGGCAAACCAAGTCGTCCCTCCATCAGATGCTCTCCTACCTTTCGTTGCATAACTCGCCTTGTTGTCGTTTGTGAACCACTTCAAATACATGTCTTCAATCCACGGCATCCAATTCTCCTTTTGATGCTGGTAGCCCTGCTTGATCCACTCGGTGTAGCTGAGGCCCTGCTTCTTGTCCGATGGCAGCGAGTCGAATGTCTGCGTCTTCTGCTCTTCCGTCATGGCATCCCAGTCTTTGGTGCCTGCGGAGGTGCTGGATGTTTGAGGCTGGGCGGCAGAGCTCGCTTTGTTCGCTCCGGAAGACACGGTGTTGGTCACGCCCGAGGCAGCGCCTTTGAGTTGATCGGCCATGTTTCAAAATGAGCAACTGAATATTTTCAATCCACGAGAAAGTGTTTGGAGCTGATGTGCTGCAATTGTGTGGTCAAAGTCGAAAAAGTCCACAAGGCTGTGCAGCGCGTGTTGCTTGTGACCTCGAATTTGGCCGACCATCTTATTTATTTCCTGCCCACTCTCCATACCTGACGACATGGCAGGCATGTTGCACAGCTACAGTATCCATGTGTGACCAACCCTGGCCATCGGTGCATCAAGCGTACACCAGTTGCTCGCCAACCAAGTCTTTCGCGCAAGTGACGTATCGTCAAGCGGGTCCGACCGACCAGCCCACCACTCAAAGCCACTGTCAAAGCCTGATACCGTATTCCCTGTTTTTGGAGCCCTGTAACAATTGACGCGCACCGACACAGTGTGGAAAGTGGTGTTGGCCATGGCCGTCCGCCTTACCGGTTGTGACGACAGCTGCACACGCACTTCGTAGACTCGACTGAGGAAGATGCGAGCGACTCCCATCGACTTTCAAGGCGAGCCAACCACGCATGTGTCCTGGGCCATCCCGATCGTGAAAGGTCAGTCGCAACTCACCCATACGCCCGTTCATCGATCCTCCAACTTCTCAAATCGTCAATGACATCGGCTTCCACAATCTCGCCCTTGCCTTTCGAGCCATGGCCCCGTTGATGCCGTCTGCCCGAACTCATGTGCGACACCGGCTGCCTCGAAGACTGGCGATGATCCCCGTGCTTTCCTCCGCCAGTATGATGTCCGTCGGAATCGACGTTTGGAGTGGTCGTGCCCGAGCCCGGCCGACTGTTGTTGCCGCTCCCTCCATAGCCACCCATCCGCGTCTCCTGCGAATGGGTGAGCTGAGGTCGTCCATGCTTGCCCCAGCCATCGCCGCCCGCGAAGATGTCCTCGATGCACTCGTCTGCTTGGAGCTCGCCTGGCTGCGATGACCAGCCGGCCGCCAGCGAGCGTCGATACATGTCTAGCATCTCTCCCACTTCCTTGTTGGAGCTGATGAAATTGTGCACCGCATCGGGCCCGTCGGTATCCGCGAGGATATTGCCACCCCCCGCGACCGGCTCGGAGTGGGAGATGATGCCAGCAATGCCCCCAAACACGGGTGCGGTGCGCAGAGGAGGCGCGTAGTAGTCGCGCGTGCCTTCGATGTGGCGCATGTGAATGCCCACCTTGAGAGTGCTGTTGATTTTGCTCTCTTGCATCAAGTAGCGGCGCACCACCCCTTCCTCATGCAGTTCGCTCGGCGCCGGGCCGGGCGAGGACGGTAGGGCTTCGCTGGCTTCCACATACTCGGCGAGATTCAGCTTGACTGCTCCCAATCGAATGCGCTCGCCGCGTCCACTGGCGTTGTATTCCTGCAACACCTCCAATTCCACACTGCACTCCTGCAGCATGCCATCCTTGCCCACCGTCAGGCGCACATGGACCTGTTTTTCGTACTCGTACGCCACTCGATGGTCGCGGATGGGGCACTTGTTCGTCCGTCCTCGGTGCTCGGCCGCGGTGGAGGAGGGCAAATGCCATTTGATGAAGCTGGTGCCCGACACAAGCGGTACGTTATTGAGATCGATGATGCGCAGCGTCAGCTCGAAGCGCACGCGGCGCGACTTGGATACAAAGGCGCCCGACATATCTTCCCGCTCCCGCGGATGTGTGGTCAGCTTTGAGGGTGCATGGCGGGTTTTGGGGGAAGAGAGGAAGGAGCGTAGTGCATGGGAGGATCGCTGTCAGCGTCGCCGTCCCGCGGCTTTTCGGGACGATGCCGTCGCGAGGGTCAACGCAGTTCTTCTTTGCTCCGATTTCGAATACGTTCACACTCGTGTCACTTCCGGCGGAGCGAGGTGTTTCTCGCATGATCCAAGGCAGGGTATGTTAATGCCTCTATTTTTCCCGTGGGAGGACGCGCGATGGCCGACCGTGACGTCCGGTCAAGCACAATCTCGGACTCGACGGGATTGTGTGATTACACGCATTACTCTACACATGGTCGCCCTCACCGCAACATATATGGTGCTGAACAGCGTCTCCTGCTACAATACCTAGCAATGCGGCACTGGTACTCGACAACCGGTCCAGCCTGGGCAAAGCAAGATGCGATCGATCACGCCCGAGTCTAGACTCATCCATAGCTCCGCTCGTCAACGCCGGCACTGAACTACCCCTCCCGAACGATGATGATCGCCTATATAGATTGTCTACACATATATGTACCCTTGAATAGCCGGCAAGTCTGATTGCGAATTGGAAGGTAATCTTTCCTTCTTCGTCTCCCCCTCTTCCCTTTTCAATTTCAAACAGCAAGACCCTCGCAATGGCACCACAACAAGAGCCCATCCTCTTCCTCTGGGCCTTCTCCCCATGGGCCAGCAAAGTCGTCGCCTACCTCGCCCTTCGCGGCATCCCTCACAGCCGCTGCGAGCAGCCCATCACTCAGCCACGCCCTGACCTCGCCGCCCTCGGCGTCCAATACCGCCGCATTCCCCTGCTGTCCATTGGCCGCGACATCTACTGCGACACCCTCCTCATCCTCGAGAAGCTCGAGGCCATGTACCCCGCCAGCTCCGGCTTCAAGAGCATCGGCGCCACCAACCCCACCGAGAAAGCGCTGGAGAAGCTGTTTGAGAAGTGGACGGACGTTGTCGTCTTCAAGCCTGCCGCTGCAGCCATCCCTTCCTCCCTCGACCTGATGAAGGACCCCGGCTTTCAGAAAGATCGCGAAGAGCTCTGGGGCCGGCCGTGGCACGCAGAAGAGCAGGACAAGCTGCGCCCCGCTGGTTTGGCGAATTTGAGGGCCAACTTCGATTTTCTCGAGGACTTGCTTGCCGACGGAAGGCAATGGCTCTTGGGCAACGAGGGCCCCAAACTCACAGATATCCACGGTAAGCATACTACGTGATTCCTGACTCGTCCTGATCAAGCTGACTGACGAGCGTGAAAAGCGTGTTGGATCCTCGACTGGCTCTTCGCCATCGATGCCTATGACAAGGATTTCTTCAACAAGGACAACTACGCCAAGGTCTTTGCCTGGCGCGATCGGTACGCAGACGCCATCGCCAAAGCCAAAGAAGCCATGGCCACTCCTTCCGAACTCGAAGGCAAGGACGCTATTGAGAAGATCTTGAACTCCGACTTCAACGAGACCTCGCCGAAGGTCTTGCCTGATCCGATTGGGTTGAAGGAGGGGGATCTCGTGGACATGTGGCCGGTTGATACGGGGTACAATAAGCGTGACTCGGGCAAGTTGGTGCTGCTGAATGCCAACGAGGCCGCGGTCAGCACATTCACCCAACAAGGCAATAAGGAGATTCGCATTCACTACCCGCGATGGAACTTTGAGATTGCTCCCCAGAAGCGGCCTACTGGGGACGCGGGCAAGCTGGGGACTGATCACGTGGGTTAGGTGGATGTGCGCCCGAGTCAGCGTAGATGTATCAACCAAATCTTACACCATTCAACAACGCAGCACATGACATTCGCACAGTATGCTGTTGATGGGGCCTGTGTTAGCCGGCACGGATCACTTGCGTTGGGCACATTGCATAAACGATGCTCTACCGAAGAAGACAGGACGTGCATTCGATGTACATTGGATATTGTTGGTGAGCTGTTGCACAGTGCCAGCGTCCGGTACGTATTGCGCCATTGCAGTCTTACAAGCAGCTGTCATCTGTCGTGCATCTAGCACGAGGCCAACCCGGTGTTGTACCGTACCGCCTCGAGGAAGCAATTCCAACCTTGTCAACAGCCTATTCTTAGATGAGCAGATGTGTGAACGCAGCGGGAGGGACTGCTGGCATCCATACTCTGTGCGTATGGTTTGATTGAGAAACCCGGGAATTGTGACCGCTGCCCTCTGAGCTCGCATCGCAAATAGCGCTCAGCTCCAAGGCTGCCGTGTGACATGAAATGGCGCACTTTGCAGGAGGATGCAACGCATAGTGTACAACGTCACGCCGGCCCGCGGTAGGAGTTGGCGTCATCATTGGTCAGGCTAACCGCCCGTGACCCAACATGGCCCACGGGGATGCGGGGACGAGTGATGCGTCAACACGAAGACGAATAGCAGCGCTCTGACTCCACGGTGGTGCAGCTTTGCTTGGCAATCAATCGACATCGGAGGGTGGAGGCTGGGAAACGACCGCCCTTTCATGCCCGAACGATCTCACGTGGAACCAGTCAAGGAAGCAGATCGACGACGTAAGCCAATAAACCGCGTGGGCGCTGGAAAGCCCCTCGTTTTACGGGCAGCTGCCCAACCCCGGGGATGCAGGCAGGTTGGCAGGATGCTCGGGAGCTGTCTTGCTTTTTCGATGCCATGAAACCCGACACCCACGTCGCGTGCATGCAACTACAGAGCTCGGAGATGCAGGCCGGGAGTGCAAGTTTCGAACGGCGGTTTGAGAGAGGTTGCACTGGGCGTCTCGCCCTGCCCAAAATGCAGCGGGATGCATGAGGGACCCGCCCTGGCGTTGATCTTTCTCACGCGAGCCGATGGCCATGCTTCCAGGCCGAGTGCTAGTGAATAACCTAAATTGAATAGAGTCGAGAGCCATGGCATGGTGTGCCCGTTGGGAAGCCCATAAAGCGCGGCACGCTGCACACCAGCTCCGGTCGAGGGTACATAATGAACTGTCATCCGTTGGTACTCGTTTCCAGAACAAGGCGACCTTGGTGAAAGATCATCGCTCTCTTGGCTGCAGGCACAGCCTTCGGCGAAAGACTGCAGACCGCTTATCCTTGCCTCTTCGGCCGGCCACGCATCGACCGACCACCTATTATCGCCGACCGAACGCCCGAGGGGCGAAGAGCGGGAGGTACGCGCACTTTCTCGCAACATCGCTGCGCCGCTTCATCCATCGCCACTTTCTACACGTCTGGTATGCAGAAATGTTTCTAGAATCCCCCACGCGTTGCGACGTCACGCAGTTTCCGTTAGTCAGCGGCTTTTACTAACGGGAAAAAGGGCCGGAGCTTCCCGAACCAGCCTTTTTCTTCAGCCACTCAACGCATTATTGGCTCGTTCCGGGCCCGTGTGTTCCTGTCCACTCCTTCGGCAACCACCGCGACACAACATCCCCATCCTCATCCCTTCTCTTCGCCATCCGCCGCCATCCCCGACTGAGGCACAGCTGGTGGAATCCTCGACGGCAGTGCATTCGGTCGGCGCGCACCCCATACACCCACGGTGGCGACCATCCGCATTGCTCTCACATCGCATCATCTCCGACACACACCGCTCATCAGCAAAAGCATGCCTATCATCACCACCACAACAACACCAACCACACTCACCTAATTTGATCGCAACTCACTCCACTCACACGGCGCTGTCGTAGGCCCACACTGACCCCTTCCGACGCCTACCCTACGCCATGGACGCGTTACCTCCCGATCCTTACGCCGCTCTCGGTGTCGCCAAAGACGCCACCGCCGCTGCGATCAAGGCTCAGTACAGGAAGCTCGTCCTCAAACACCATCCCGACAAGATCCAAGACGAGGCGCTGAAGCAGAACGCCGCCGATGAATTCCACAAGATACAGACCGCCTACGAGATCGTGGGCGATGATGTGCGACGTCAGCGATATGACGCGCAGTGCAGACTCGTTGAACTCCGGAGAGAGATGGAAAGGGAGAGCGCGGAAAGAGGGTATGCCAGCATGAGAAGTTCCGGCTTTCGCGAGCCTCCGGAATCCCCGCGAAAGGGCGACTTCTACGCACGTACTGCCCATCGGTCGGGTCGCACATCGCCGCGTTTCGAGGAAAGACGCCCAGCGTATACCGAGTACTTCGACTCTCCGAGACCGACCTCGCGAAAAGACGAATCCTATGAGCCGCCCAAGCGTTCCTCCCGGCGCGAAGATCCCAAAAAGTCGAAGACGTCTTCACGGTCAACGAAAGAAACCGAGCGTTCGAGCAGAGCAGAAAAGACGAAGCGCTCCGACAAGGACGTGCGGAGGGAGCGCGAGCAGAAGAAGTTTGCCTTCACTACCGTGGAAGACGAGCCGAGCAGCGACTCCGACCCCTACGAGCGCACTCAGCGAAGGATGCGCGAAGAGGACGAGCGGCAACGGGCGAGAGCGGTGGCGGAAGAGGCTCGCCGCAGAGACGAGGAGGAAGCCGCCGCTGCCGCCTTTTTTGGAAACGACCGAGCCCGCAGAATGTGGGACCCCGATCACAACGCCGACTACAAAGCGAAGGAGAATCTCGCGAGAGAATACATGGCCGCTCGTAAGGTTCCCACGTTCGAACGACGCCCGTCAGGCCCTATTGGGTATTCGACGCAAGAACGAGGGGAGTTCGAGAGACGACCTTCTGCGCCCGTCAGCACTTCGTATCAAGAGAGGGAGGCATTCGAACGCCGGCCCTCCGCCCCGGTCGCTTCTATGCGAGACAAGATCGAGACCATCAAGCGCGAGGGCAAGCCATTGATCGAGGTGCGAAGGGGGAGCGGCCGGCCAACGCTGGCCACACGGGATTCCAGTCGCAAGAAGTCATCGCGGGAGAAGGATATTCACATTGTCGACGAACCGGCGCCAGAGCCACGGCGACGCGCACCAGGACTCAACAAGACGCATTCGTCGCCGGACAACATTCGACCGCCGTTTGAAAGACAGCGCTCGAACTCGCTGGAGCGCGAGCGCCGCGCGCCACCACCTCCGTCAATGAAGCGTTCCGAAACCATGCCTTACCCATCTAGCAAGAGCGAGGTCCGGCGCAGAGAGCCCTCGGCGAGGAACTCTTACCCCACTCCGGAAGCCACTCCCGAACCATCCCCGCTGTCACCGCTTAGGACGGCGAGCTACAACTATACCAGCCAGGACGAAGTGGTGGCGTCTCCGGAGACGTATCAGGCCCCATACCAAACGATCACTCGCGAGCCCTCCCCCAAGCAACGGATCACGCGCAGTCCCTCGCCCATTCGAGAACCACGCGAAAAGTCACGAGGTAGCGCTCTGAAGCACGAAGCGACCCAGCCACCATCCAACAAGCGCATGACAAGCCGCTCCTATTCCTACGCGGAAACATATGACAACCCCGAGCCCTTCGCACGGCCGCCGCTCAGCCGAGAGAACAGCGGACGGCTCTTCGCCGAGATCTCGACCACGCAGAACCAGAGAACGCCTTCGAGCAAGCTGTATTCGCCGCCGGCGGATGAGATCCGCTATTCGCCGAAAGCGCGACCCGAAGACGTCAGGACTGCGTCTGGTAATTACACCATGAAACGGTCGAACGAAAGGCCGTACTCGAGGAATGGTCAGCCTATCTCGGTGAGGTAGAATGGCCATACTCCACGCGCGAAATCGACCGGATCCGTCCTTGCATCGAATGGTGCTTTTCACCATCTCCTCTTCGGAACATACCATATTCTTTCAGCTTCTCGAAATGCCATCGTGCGTGGCATCATCAGCATCAGCCGAGTGTGCAAGCTTCACACAACTGTGCCCAGTGAAAGTAACTCTATCACCAAAGAGGGTCGAAAGATCACATTGGGTCCCCGCTTGCCAAATGCCATTGCGACAGAATGAGCACTGGAAGAAGGGTTGTACGGTGGCACGCCTTTGGAGGGTGGGTTTGGATAGGATTGTTCGAGGGCAGGGATGGCCGTTGAGGGATCAGAGACACTTCCGCTTTCCATCAGACTATGATAGCTCCTTTTAATCACATTTGGCTCAACTCCACCGTACTCCCTTTGTAATGTAGGCGTTCCAGAGCAGCTCTTTCTTGGTTATTGCTACGACATAGTTTGGGGAGAGATCACCGATTCCGACTTCCTGTTTGAGGAGGTTTGGCCGAATCCGAAGTGTTACGTCAACAGCTTCATCTTTGTGTCGATTGTAGGAGACCTCAGACAGTCTTGCTTAAAGATCCATCCTGGCACGAAAGTTCCTTACTCTGCTTTCACCTGCATATGCAGTCCTGTTTGCCTCGAAGCTTGCGAGTACCACGAAGTCTACAATCAGTGACGCAGCGTCAGTTATTGTCCGTCGGCGTCAACACGCATAACAGCATCCAGGTCGCCAGAATGTCGGGAGCTTCGACGAAGAGACAGCGAACGCATCCCCACTACGAACTCCTGTACCACCCCGGCATTCCTGGGCGCGGTGAATTCGTCCGTCTGGTGCTCGAAGCAAGCGGCGTGCCGTACACCGACGTTGCCAATGAAAGCAAGGACGGCTACTCCAAAGTGCAGCAATACTGCATGGACCAATCCAAAGAGTATACAGGAGACGAGGCGCCGGTCTTCTCCCCGCCGGCGCTGAGAGTGCTCAAGGCGGGCAAGGACGGGAAAGACATGGTCATCCATCAGACGCCGAGCATCTTGCTGTATCTCTCGGAGCGAACGGGAATGGTGCCGGAGGGGGACGAGGAGGCGAAGGTGTACGTGAACGAGGTGGCGCTCACGGCGTTGGATCTGAACAATGAGGTGCACGACACGCATCATCCACTCGGAAGTGAGTGCAGTCATGAACGCGGGTCCGGCGTTACGATTGATTACTCATGATTTGGCAGACGCGAAATACTACGAGGAGCAGAAGGAGGCTGCGCTGAGCAAGGCGGAAGACGTGAGGTCGACGCGCTTGCCCAAGTTCTTCAGCTACTTCACGCGAGTGCTGGGCTACAACGCGGCGCAGGGAGGAGGCAAGTATCTGGTGGGCAATGCTTTGACGTATGCGGACACGACGGTCTGGCAAGTGGTGGATGGCTGCTTCTTTGCCTTTCCCCAGGAGATGAAGGCGCGGAAGAAGGAGTTTCCCGAGTTGCTGGATGTCTTCTACAACAGCGTGAAGAACGAGGAGAGGCTGAAGGAGTACCTGGCGAGCAAGAGGAGGCTGCCGTATGGCATGGGCATCTTTCGCCATTACCCGGAGCTGGATAGGCAGTGAGCGGAGGGCAACGAGCCGAGTCCATCACTTGATGGACATGACTCCACGTAGATTGGGAAGCAGTGCGTAGACATGAGAAGATGGAAATGTCATCAATGCAACACTGATTCCAGAAGGCTGGCGTCGTTCCACACGGACCATCCCGATCCGGCGGTGCTGCGTCATCCTCCTCCGGGGAGGCTCCAGCCCACGTCCACCCAACTTCAACCTTTGGAAGCGTCTTCTACATAGACCCATTTGCGACATCTTCCAACATCTCTGGCACAGAGAACGTCTGCCATTCCTACCTCCATCATCTTTAGCCTCCTCCATCATGGAGCTCCGGCACCAATAAGTTCTCCTCCACCACACTCTCGAGTCCGCTTCCCCCGAGACCACACCACGCCATGGCTTCCGCAGCCTCCATCATCTTCTTCGTGGTAGCATTGTTGGCCATCTGCGCTGCCACCCTCCTCCTCATTCGCCACTATCTCCGCCTTCGATCCACCCCCTCCTACCTCCTCATCCCCGTCTTCCTCGGCCTCGCGCTCCCATGCAGCATCATCCTGCTTGTGCCCATAGACTTGGCGTCGGCAGACGGAAGTGCTGCGAGCGGCATCGTCTTGCCGGAACGGATAGTCCTGGTGGCATGGCGCATCACATACTGGCTCACCTTCCTCCTGACCTGGTGGCTGCTGCCTCTGTTGGGCGAGTATTGCGACTCCGGCTACCGAGACCCGCAGAGTCGAGTGATATACTCCTTGAGGGAAAACGCCCGCTACTCGCTCATGGTGCTCGGCGTTGGGGTGGCCGGTCTGGTCTACTTCATCCTTCAGAATGGTGTCCATGGCGCGAGCATCAAGGGCATGGTCATGGCGTTGGCCTATGCTTTCGGCTTGATCCTGGCCATAGGTCTGATGGGCCACGGCCTGGTCGCACTACCGAGACGCCTCTACAAGGCGGCAAGAGTCGGCGATCGCTTACGCGGATTGCAGATGCAGGCGCCCAAGACAAAGGAGAAGCTGGACGACGCAACGGAGTCGCTGAACACCCTGGAAGACACTGTCATCCAGCTCAAGCAGCGGAAACACGGCACACCCAAAGATTTGCAGGACTGGATTGACGAGCTCGCCGATACTACCTCACCGCCTGGGCCCCGAGCTGGCGCCGCCGCGGCCATCCACGCAACAAATCCTGTCATCCCGGCGGTGGTGACGGAGCGCTACCTCGCCGATTTGACGAGGAAACTGAAGCGAGGCCGACACAAACAGGCACGTTTCGTGGACGAATGGACGAATCTGTGCCAGCAAGCACAGGATTGCCAGACTATCCTCGATGCCGCGTCTTCGCAAAGACTGGACTTCAGTCAGGTCTCGCCGCATGCCCGAAGCTATTTGAGCCGGCTCAAATTCGTCACTCCAGCGATGCGGTATCAACTCTATGCTAGGGTGCTCCCAGTCATGCAAATTGCAAGCGCCGCCTTCCTCGCCATCGCGTCGCTTCTGATCATCTGGAGCGAAATCGTGCGCTCGTTTGCGCCGAACATCTCGATCGTCGGGCTCACTGTTGTCCATCACCCCAACTCGGACACTGGCAAGATTGGTCTGGCTGGCCAAATCATTGCCGCGGCTTGGCTACTCTACATGGACGCCTGCGCACTCTACGCAATCTCCGACGTCAAGGTTTGGGGCAATCGCGCACTTGTGAAGAGAAACACCTACGCCGAAAGCGCATGTTGGTACAGCTTGCAAGTGGCCAAGCTCACTGTGCCGCTCAGCTACAATTTCATCACGATGCTCCGACCGAGCGTGTACGAACAGACGTCATTCTACAAATTCTTGGGCCAGCTCATCAACCTGACGCCTCTGGGCAAAGGCTTCAGTGCCTTCTTCCCCTGCTTTCTGTTGATTCCGGTATTGGCAACGGCATTCAATTTGTATGGCAAGGTCAAGAATGTGTTTGGTTTTGGCATTCTCGAAGACGAGAGCGACGAGAATCCATCGGGATTCGGCACAGGGGGATGGCGGGAAGGACGCGCTCTGATTGAGCGAGAGCTACAACGGAGAGGTGAAGGGGCGGGCACAGTTGGACTGCTGGATAGAGATGCGTCTCTGGACCTGGAACGAGGCGCAAGAGGCACTGCTGCAGCCGCAGTACCGACGCCGAGAGCGCCGCTCATCGAATCGCAGCGCGATGCTCCCATGCCCTCACATATCCAAGAAGCACATCGACAGTTCAACTCCATCACTAACCAGGAGGAAGTCGTGGACGAGAACGACAACAGTGCTCGACACTTCTACCAAGACTTCACGGAAAGGGTAATGAACACGATCGACGGCGTGGATCGCCCGGACTGGATGCGCAATCTGGGCAGCGGCTTCAAGAAGCCCAAGTGGATGCAAAACGATGACAGGGATGACGAGGGCGGATCGAATTTGAAGAAGTGGTTTGGGGGAAGAGCAGAGGGCGGCCGGCTGAGGCTGTGATCGCCGTTCCATTGTTGGCAATGATGCTGCTAAAGTCGTGTTCTATCTGAAGAGCAAAGCCGTACCCGGCTATTCCACTCGTCTTTCGGGATTTCCGGACATGCTATTGCTTGCATCGGAGACGTGAAGTGAATGCTGGAGTCACGCGGCGAAGTTCGGCAGATGCACTTTCGCGACTGCCGAGAAGCTACACGCCCCAGACTCCAACCAAATCACGGCAGTTCGACTCTCACCTTGCCATATCGCATGCAGACCACTCGCGATTCGTCTTTGCATAGTCAAGCGAGTCTGGATGGCCAAACCAGGCCGCGATTCCAACTACCGTGCTCCATCAGTGTGCTGCAGAGTCCGAGTAATCTGCCGCGAGTCTCGCTGTTCACAAGCCACCCTGGTTGTATGAAGTATGAAGAGCTCCCTCAAGACATCTGCTCCTGTTTCGATACTGTACTCTCCTTTGCCTCCCTCTCTCTCTCTCAAAGGCTATCTATTGACGTGACTGTGTCAACATGCTTTCCACCGAGCTTCTCCCCATTCTATTTCGCTATTGGCTTGCTCTTCCTTTCCTTCTCCTCTTGATCCATCTCGTCTCGAACAAATTCTATAACGGCCTCCAAAGATATCCCGGCCCAACGCTCGCAGCATACACGAACTGGTGGCGCTTCTTTGAGAGCCGCCATCGCCGAACCGAAAAGACACACATAGCCCTTCACCGAAAGTATGGAGACATCGTCCGGCTCGGACCCAATGTCCTATCCTTTGCAGACCCTCGAGCCCTGAAAATCATCTACGGCCTGAACAAAGGCATAACCAAATCCGACTTCTACCCCGTCCAGCAGGCCGTGGTGAGAGGACAACGGCTTCAATCGCTCTTCAGTACGCAGGACGAAGGGTACCACGCGAGGTATCGGCGCTGCGTCAACCATGCCTTCTCCATGAGCAGTCTCGTCGGCTATGAGCCACTGGTCGACCGCACGACCGACGCTTTCATCGAAGAGACGAAACGCCGATACTGCGACGTCGGTCGAGCGTGCAACTTCAGCAAATGGCTGCAGTTCTTCGCCTTTGATGTCATTGGCGAGTTGACATGGAGCAAACGCATCGGATTCGTCGATCGAGACGAAGATGTGGATGGGATTGTCAAGTTCATTGGCGACTTCCTCGCGTATGCTGGACCCATTGGGCAAATGCCGATTCTGGATCTCATCTGGGAGAAGAATCCCGTTAGGTTGCTGTTACAAAAGTGGGGGCTCAACAATACCGTGTTCCCTGTGACGAAGTTCGCTTTGGATAGGAATCGCGAACGAGCCGCGGAGATGGAGAAGATCAAACGGGATGGCCGAGTTGATGAGCAGTCGGGGAGGGGCGTGGACCTCTTGATGAAGTTCACTCAGGCTCGTGAGTTCTCAGTGGCAGCTCATCATTGTATCTTGTCTACTGACTGTTGGTTCCAGAACACGACCATCCCGAGTTCATGACCGATAAGCAGGTGCTGGCTTCGTGCACCAGCATGATTTTTGCCGGCTCCGAGACGACGGCCATCAGCCTTAGCAGTGTCTTTCACTTCCTACTCACGAACCCTCGCGTCTACTCCACTCTCATGAACGAGCTCGACGAGGCTACAAACGCCGGCATCATCGCAGACCGAGAGAACCAGAAGGTCAGCTGGGCCGAAGCGCAGAAGTTGCCCTACCTCGATGCAGTGATCCAGGAGAGCTTCCGTACGTCTTTCAATTCCCTCTTTGACCTTCGCCTGCCATTGACAACGAAATTTCACAGGTCTCCATCCAGCAGCTGGTCTCCTTCTTGAGCGCGTAGTGCGGCCACAAGGAATCGACATCCTGGGTCACTACATCCCAGGCGGTACAATTGTCGGCTGTAACGCTTGGGTCGTGCACCGCAGAGTGGAAATATTTGGGCAGGACGTGGATGTCTTCAGACCGGAGCGGTGGCTGGAAGCAAGCCCTGTTCAGCTCTCGCAGATGAAGGCTACGATGTTTCAGTTTGGTGGTGAGTTGATGCCGGCCTCGTTCAGGAAGGGGCATGAACATACTGACTCGTGGATTATAGCTGGGGCTAGGACATGTCTTGGAAAGAACATCAGCACGCTCGAGATGTGAGTTTGCTTTGCGGCACTGTGCTTCATACATGCAGATACTGACAGAGCTCAGGTACAAAATCGTGCCCACTTTCCTACGCAACTTCGAGATTCGCATGGAAGAAGGCGAGAAGTTTGCGACGTTTAATGCTTGGTAAGAATTCCACGCAGGCCACTCGAAGTACACTCTGGCTAACGTTGCATTGCACGACAGGTTTGTGAGGCAGCTCAACTTCAACACCACGTTCAAAGGCAGAAAAGCGGTTTCATAATCCCTCTTGCTCGCTATATACATAGCCAGCCTACTCGCTCTCGCCATTCGGCGGCGTCACAAGCTGCGTAACCTGTCGTCTTCGATATCTGCAAGTCGGCCTCCCACAGAGACATTCCTTATCCAAATCGTCCCAATATGTATTGCCGTAATCCACGGTAATCTCGTCCCCGGCCGCGATGCCGTCCGACACCAGCACGCTGCGCTGCTTGCCCAGCCACACAAACCGCTCATAGTGAGTGTTGGGCTCGCAGGAATGGTTGATGAAGCGCGTATGGTTGCCCTTCCTGCCCTGCCAGATCTGATAGCTCGCGCGCTCCGTCCGGTCAATCATTACATCGAGGCCTCTGATGCCGGTGGTGAGCTCGCCCACAAACTCGCCCACGGCCCAGCCTTTCTCGAATGCGCCGCAGGCGATGAGCCCGTTGTTCTTGCCATTTGCCGTTCGGAAGATTTGGACGGGCGCCAGGCTCGACTTGGGACTGCCGTAGAGGTTGGCGTAACAATTGCATGCGTTGTCCGTGGGCGTGGAGGATTGCTTTTCGCCGCACGATTGACACGTGAACTCATTCTCCGCGTTACCGCTCACGACCGATCGGGGATCGTAGTCGCCCCAGGCTTCCTCGTCAATGACGGAGTCGGGAAGATGGGTATAGGAGAAGTTCTTGTCCCATTTGTGATAGGTCTTTGGGAGGGGGATGGCCTCATTGTCGGGGCCGTTCACCACCCAGTCGTGCAGATGGCCGGTGTACTTTGGTGTTGTCGGAGCATCGACGATGCCGAGGAGTGTTCGCCAGCGCGGGTGAAGGGTGTCGGCTGCGACTTCGAAACGGTGCTGCAGGCGCCGGAGAGTCTGAAAAGTGTCCTCGGTGAAGGAGACTCGATACTTGCAGAAGCGATACAGACCCATGCCTGCAAACACCAAGGCCGACCAGCCGGCTGCTTGCTTGATCTCATGGTAGCCCCTCCAGATGGCCATCTTGTTGCGCAATTCCTTCTCTGTCCAATTGAAGTCGGAACATGCCTCGCAGATGGCGGCCTTCCTGGCCTTTTCGCGGGTGATGGTTTGCGCGAGCTCCGCCACTCGATCGTCGAAGCAGGTGATCCAATGTGCTTGCACAATGACTTCTAGAGACCGGCATGCTTTGGTGGTTTGGCTGATTTTGCGCGCAAGCACGCTCATCCGGCCGAATGCGTCTTGTGCGCTTCGAGGGGCGAGTTCGTGGTTTGCATCGGTCAACAATCGGGGCTGCCTACTCGACTCGATGGTCTGCCATTGTGCGATGATCTCGGTAGGGTCCATGCGAACGCCGGAAAACAACGAGTCCCAGATGCCGTTAATGAGCTTCTCCAGGCTCGAGGGTTGAAGAGCAGGGTTGTCGGAGATCCGCTTCTTTTGCTGCTGGACATTCTCTCGGACATCTCGCCTTGCTACGGTCATCGTGGTCGGCGCAGCTTCGTCGATAGAGTCCGGCGGCGCGGCCACTTCTCGTCGCCGTTTCCGCGACCTGGCGTCTTCGTCCGGCGGTGGCATTGGGATGGGCGAGTTGCGAGCAGGCCATGTGCTAGGCTGCCACGCATTTGACGATATGCCTTGCTCGTTGGCATTAGGGTGGAAGCGGGTTGGGCTTTGAGGAGTGCCATTGGCCCGGGAGATGGCAGCAGAAGCGATGGGAGTCAAGGCTCGACCAATGTCAAGAGAGGCTACTTGTACGTCCCTTGTTGGGGCTTGATGTGCATGGCTCTCTCCTCCCGCGGTTAGATGGCAGGATAGGCGGAGAGGTTGTTGGCCTGGGGTGAAGCCACGGTGGAGGAGTTGATGCAGCACGGCGGGCAGTTGCGCGCTGACCTGGGAGGCGAGTTGCTGAGCAATGCCGTCAACATCCGCCGCGCATTCCAGATCGGCGAGAGGTAGAGACGCGTGCAATGTCTTGCCTGCCGAAGATTGAGGTCTCGCCATTGCCGTTGAGTCGGATTATTGCTTGCCCAGGCTGGATGGATTGCCGCTGGGCAGGCATGAAGCTACGCCATGGGAGGGCGGATGGACAGTAAGATACGATAGGTCGTGGATGGGATGATGCGTGAGGCCGGGCTGTCCACTTTGCGTCTGCTCGGGCAATGGGAATCGCGTTGGAGTGAATGTGTGGTGGCGTTGGGCGATGACGAGGTGGCAAGGCTTAACTCCAGGCACGTGACTGCCTCCGACCTCCTTCAATCCATCTCGTCTTGCTGTCTGCCGCGAACTGACAGCTGCTCGTGACACGCCCGGAAGGACTTCCACCTTCCATCATTGTCTTGCCCGACCTCGCTCAATGGGCTGTGCATTGGTGCAGCCTGTCAGCCACGCCGTCGGTAGCCAACGGGGGAGGGTCTGAGTGTGCGACGGTTACCCAAACGCTTCCCTTGTGCCATCCACCAGCCATTCCAAGTCTCACACGATCGAGTGGAGAAGGCGGAGAGAGAAACCGGCCTGAATGTGGCGTAAATGACAGAGAAGCATGTCAAAAGGCGATTGAAAAATCGCAGCTCGCATATTGATCATCCGCGCACGATCAATGGTTGCATGAAATGCCGTCGGTTTGACTTGCGCAAGGGCAGTCCTGCACGTCTACACACCCTCGGAGTCTCTTCCGGACCACCTCGAGCCACTCGAACTCCTCGGTGCGGCCTGTCAAGTGTCCAGGACGTGCTGCCGTGCCAGGTTACCTCAAAGTCTGACAGGCGCGTCGTTCGCGCGCACGTTGCACCACAGCTATCGAGTGAACGCTCGCGTACTGCCTTCGTTGGCTAGGATATACAGACGGAACTCACAGAACCACAATTCCCGGAGGAATGCAGTCAATGCGGGAGTCTCTGCACAAGTAGCGCCGCAGACGCACCATCACCACATCCACTCAGATTGCATCGCGTCGCCAAGCGTGCATCATGTTGCACAGGCCGCCAATAAGAATGCCATCCACCACGATTATCGATGCTGTATGGAGTAAGACGACAGATGAAAGCGCCAATCGATGCGCAGATTTGGTCGGATCAACGACACCCTCTTTCCCGCACTTGCATCACCCGTCGAGCCGCCTCGACGATCGAGTCTTTGTGCGGGAGCAAACGCAGCGCGCAACGCCTCCATGACAGTAGGTGCCGACCCGAATCGGAGTGTTGCATGTGCGCCATCCTAGAACAGCTTGTTGGGGTGGGTTGGCATTCACCGAAGCATCATGCATCACCAATGGTAAATACCTGTACGGGAGCTCTTATATCCTCCAGGCAAACATGGCCTCGTTCGTCCCCACCACTTCCTTTCTCCTACCCTCCACGACCTTTCCTTTTCTCTTCCGCAAGTGTGTGCGGTGTGTTTCGGTTTGTCGTCATGGACCCTTCGTACGCATACTCCTTTGGCTGGGGCGAATGTCCCGATTATGCCCCAATGTCGGATGAACAATGGAAGGCACGGGAAAGAGCTGCGTTTGCTTGGGAGATTGATGGCAGTAGTCAAGGCTGCTGGGTGTCCCCCGAATGCCTTCAACACTACCCAACAATGCCCGTGCCGTCAGGAAGCGCAGACTCGGCATGGAGTGGCTCAAGCATCTCCTGCCCTCTCGACTCAGGCACCGGCACCAGCTGTTCACATGCACAGGTCGCTGCTCAATGCACCGACTACCACTTGCTCGTAACCGACTTCCCAGATGTGTCCTCCTCGCTGCAACAAGCACCGCAGCAGCCGATGGCATTTCCTCCATCGTCCTCACAACAACCATCGACACAGACGCCAATGCTCCAGCTGACCACGCCCTCCCGCACTGCTCATCTACCCCCATTGGATACATCCAGCACGAGCACCTTGTCTCCGTCAACATTCTGTCCGGCTGAACATTCGCCGGAGAGGACTACACCAACGGAAGAAGACGTCGATGGGCAGACAATCCGCGTCCAACAGCCGCGATTCGAAGCAGATCTGTACACGGCGCGGTGGGTTCGTGGCGAGGGCACCGGTCGTGCAGGTACGCACCCCGACATCGTGCATGCTCGCAGGCGTTATCGTACTAACGCATCGACAGGCTGGTGCGGCTTCTGCAGCACTTGGCACAAGTTGAAGGACTCTGCCTTTGTAAGTCGACGATCCCCCATCGCTGTCTCCATGCTGACTCTCCCGTGAACGGCAGTGGTATCACAGTACGTATTCGCATGATGATGAAGCATAAGGAGGCCTGCAACCGCTGACGGACAACACCTCCACAGTGCACTACACACACGGCATCAGCTACGTGACCGGTCGGCCGCTCGAAGGGCCACGGAAAGTGGCGCGAGGCACCAAGACCTCGCAGGTCCTGTGCGGGCGCTGCAATAGGTGGATCGAGGTCGGACATCAGACCGAGCGCGCTCGGACAACCTACTTTCGCCATGCCCATAAATGTCACACGACGCAGGATGCGTTGCACAAGACCTCTCGCTAGCGCATGTCTGAGCTGATGATGCAGTGAGCTCTGGGAAGGCCAGCGCGCAACGGAGGGGCTTGGGCTGAGGACATGATACTTGAGTATGCAAAATGGATACAGGCATGAACGGAGGCTGACAGCACGATGACAGAACATCGCTTTGATTTTGAGTGGGCGGGGAAAGTGGTGTAACAGAACGGCGGGCATTCCGAGTGATCTGTGGATGATTGCGCTCGGGACGTAACTTGTATGATTGTAATACCGGGTATGGTGGTTCGGTGCTGGTGTTTCTTGGGTTGGCCAGCCTTGAACTGATGAGGATTCGACACAACAATAATTGAATTTGATGCACGCCTGACTGTGGGAACTTGCGGATGAGGATACTCACGTCTGGTCCTCCCTCGTATGCTGATGCACGGGCGTAGCGCCGAGTACCCAACCGAGTCCGCTCGCCAGTCCGCCAGAAACGACATTCGTGACCATGTCGCGTTTTCGCACCCGCTTCTCGCCCTCCAATGTGCCGTTGTCGTGCACCAAACTTTCCACGCTGCTTTCCAGCGGATCGTCCGCCGCGGAGCTCACGCCTCCCCGTAGCGGGAATGCGTTCTTGCTCAAAGCGTGTGCCGCGCTTCTCGTGAGATCGAACATGCTGACCGGGGCTTCGTTGCCACTTGGCTTCCCACTCATCCGGCCCATCTCTCTTCGTTTCTGATTGTAAAGCAAAGCAGGCTGCTCTCCTTGGATTGTGAAGTTGCCTGGGATCGAACTGCTGCTTAGACGTTTGTCGGCACGATCGTCCAGGTGCTCTTCTGCTTGTTGCTGTGCGAGTTGGAGCGAGGTCATCTCTTCCTCACATCGCCGCCACGCGGCCAAGATCTCCGTCAGGGCTGACACGGGAGCCAGGAGTAAGGCGAGAGATAGCAGTTCGGTGCGTTGTTCAAGCCGGCGAAGTGACGGAGAGGAGGATGTGGCAGGTCGGAATCTGCCTGCCAAGAAAGCAGCTCGCCACGACGTGTCGTCTTCGGCTTCCACCGCCTGTGAACGGCTACTTCCCTTTGATGCGTTGCGTGCATGCTTGGGCTCTACTGCGCCATCGCTCGAAACTTTAATGTCTGCACTGGAAGGCGTGAGCCGATTCACGATGTATGAGTACGCCGTTTCGAAGTCATTTTCGTGTAGCGCTGCCTCGACAGCCATGAAGGTCACTCTCCGTTCGACAGCCTTCGCCACAGCGTCCGCATCCCGGGCACCACTGATAAGACGATCTGAATCGTTCGCCTGCGACAGTCCGGCCGTGATGAAGTTCCGAGCGATACCTATCAAGTCGTCCAGCTTGGTGTAACTGCCTTCGTTTTGATCAAGTACTTTTTCGAGCAGCGCGACTGGGTCGTGACTGACTCGAATGCTCACTGGTTGGAAGGGGATGCCGTGCTGCAGCGTCAACGAATAGAAGGATAGCGCGTGGGTAGCAGTAATGAGGGCTAAAGCTTCGCGGAAGGCAGAACTTCGAGGGAAGTATGAACGGAAGGCCGAAATGATGTCGTTGGCCTTCTTCATGCCGCCCCGCGTTCGATTGCCATTGGTGGCTCCATCGTAAGCCTCCATTGTCTTCGCCAGGACGATTTGCTCAACATCCGCGTGAGACAGAATGCCGTCGGATGATTTGAGATACAGATCAGCGGCCAGGACATAGCACCCAGTATCGATGAAGGACTTGAGAAGCGTTTCTTCAAGATCTTGCCTTGAAATTCTTCCGAGCACACCCTCGCTCGTATTGGTCTGTTTGTCGGTGCCGCCCGCGCCCCAGTCCCATAGCCACAAGACCATTTTGCGATCGGCGGTCCACAGGGCTTCGTCGCGTCGCCCGCCGGTTTTCGAGAGTGATCGCAGTAAGCTCTGAAGGACTGCCGTCTGCTCTTCTGAAGTGGCCTGGAAACGCAATTGCAGCACTCCCTTTGGCGAGATGGGGTAGTTCAGGGAGGAGAGCACGTGCGCACTGTAAATCACGGTCTGGAGAAGCAAATAGTTCTCGGGTGTGGGCGTCGTGATGGGATGACTTGGATGCAGCAACGCCTCCTGCGCGAGATCGAGTGAATGCGGCAAGCTCCCAGGGCTTGTATATTTTGGCAGGGCATCCGCGCTAAAGTCTAGATCGTCAGGTGCTGCAAGATCAAGTAGCACGGCGATTCGAGACATAACAGAGTGTGCCCTGCGGATAGTGTCGATAGTGTCGTCTTCCACCACGTAGCAAGCAGCAAAGGCCGTCTGGACGTAGCGAGTTCTGAGCTTCCGTTGATCATCGGCATCCAGATGGGGAGGTTTGGCACCCAGAGTTGAGCCACCAAGATCGACATCGTCCGGTCCGTCCCACGCTTCTACAGCACGTGTGATGGTGGGAAAGTGAGTGTGAGATTGCAGCACCATCCATTGGAACACGGGGTCCCAGACATGCTCACTCTGTTCCACGCCAGCTGCACTAGCATCGCCAGTGTCCTCAATACTCGAGTCGTGCGGTGAAGACAGCTTCCTCCTTTTCCGGCCAGTATGTCCATACGCCCACGGGCCAACCAAGCCTCGAATATCTCTGCCAATTTCATTGTGCTGATCTGCTTCCACCGTGAGAGAATGGCTCAGGAGGAAGTCGACCACCTCCTGCGCATCTAGCTCTTCAAAACGTGCCAGAGTCATGGGTCGAGGCGGGGTGTGTGGGTAATACTCGAATTGAAGTCGTAGCAGAGGAAGCACGTATCCGATGTACCAAGATGCCAGATTTTCGTGGTGAGGCAGGAATGGCTCGACTAGCTGCGGCACCAGGTTCAGAAGGCCGGTCTCGGAATCCAAGCGCAGGGCTCGATGGCGTAGGAAATCGGTCGCAATGTCGTCTGTTGAATCGGGTGGTGTGGAGTGTGCTTTGAGAGGCAAAAGCTTCGCTTTCTTGACCCTTTTCCTCGCCTGCTCTTCATCCAAGTCTTTGACTGGGGCAAGGTCGAGGTGGACGTCCCCGCGGTCGTCATCTCTGTATGCGCCTGATATGACCTGATCGACAAGTGCAGTATATTCTCGGGGTTCCACGCTTTCGGGCAGATAGGTCAACAGGACGCGGAGGAGGAGCTCGGGAGGGAGAGCATCGTGGCGCAGAGCTGACAGCGAGTGGAGTGCCTTGACGTCGGCTGCGGAAGCATTATGGATGGCCAGAAGAGTGCATTTCGCCGGCGACAGGCCCTCTGCCATGCTGCGGTCGTGATAGTCAGCCTTGCGGGGGCGTTGCGCGATGCATGAGAGCGGGATGGTATGGGGAGACGTGTGGAAGCATGAAGCCAACAATTGTGGAGGTGGCGTCACTCCAGAAGCTCGACACGCGTGCACGTGACGCCGTCGATGGAAAGCCGGGAGTTCAATGTAGAAAGGCAGCCTAACCACACTCGTCCGTCATTTCATTCTTGAGGAATGGAGTTGCATTCTGCCCGCGCCATCGTTCAGTCATGCGTTCGCTCGAGGAGGCCAGGCGGAGTTGGCAGGAGGTGAGGCGGTGCACATCATTGCCGCAGCTCAAGGAAGCCGTCCGCCTCGATGGATCGTCATCACTTGCTACTGAAGGAGGCCGCTCGGCCTGCTGGAAGGCTTTCCTGCTGTTCGAGAGCCTCGACCTATCCGTGTGGCAGGAGACTCTGGCTTCATCCCGCTCGGCATACAACTCGTTGCGCGCCCACTTCTCGCGCCATCTAGACAACCCCGACAGCGTAGAAGCCAGCTACGATCCTCTGGCGGAGGAGACCGATGTAAGCACGTCGTTGTAGCGACAACCTCCATCCCGACGGCGAATGGCTAAGACTTGAAAGGCTTCGCCATGGGTGCAACTGCGGAAAGACGAAGAGCTCCGCGCCGAGATCTTGCAGGATGTCGCGCGCTGCATGCCCGAGAACCTCTACTTTCGACAACCAGACACTCAGCAGATGCTCCTCGACATTCTCTTCGTCTTTTGCAAGCTTAACCCCGACATTGGCTACCGTCAGGGCATGCACGAACTGCTCGCCCCCATCCTATGGGTGGTGGAACGAGATGCCATTGACCTTGGGGGAAGCAGCAAGGCCATGGGCGAGGACGCCGTCATCACCAACGTCTTCGACGCAGATCACATCGAGCACGACACTTTTGCTTTGTTCGGCCAGATCATGCAAAGCGCAAAGAACTTCTACGAGCAGAGTACGATGCTGGGGAAGGAAAATCCGATCGTCGTCCGCAGTCGAGTCATCTTCGTCGACCTGTTGTCAAAAGTTGACGAGCGACTCGCCCGTCATTTGCAAAGCATCGACATTGTTCCGCAAATTTTCATGATGCGGTGGATCCGTCTGCTCTTCGGCCGCGAATTCGCCTTCGACGATCTGCTGACGATGTGGGATGTAATCTTTGCGGAAGATACAACTCTGGAAATCGTCAACGAGATCTGCTTGGTCTTGTTGTTGAGGATTCGATGGCAATTACTGGAAGCAGACTACAACGCGGCGCTCGCTCTGTTACTCCGCTATCCCGACCTTGCAAAGGAACCGTTAGCACAGACGTGCGTCCTTGATGCTTTGTACCTCCGAAGGCACATGGATGCACACGGCGGGAGCTACTTGGTCTCCAAGTATTCCGGAAGATCACTCCATACTGGCCGCCCGGTGACGCCACCCGCGTTTCAACGAAATGTGACGACCATCTCAGGCCTGAGGGCCAACAAAAGCTCCAGGCCCATTACTGCTAGCACTCCTTCTTCTGCCCGCGATATTAACAATGTCCTTCGGTCGGCTGCCAACGACATATATGCACGTGGTGAGAAGCTGGGTAAGTTCCGTCCACTCCTCCGAGGCCGTCCAAAGCTTCCAAACACTCCGTCAAACATTTGCCGTAGACGCCAAACAACGATTATGGCTGACCAGCATTTCCTCGTCCAGGCATCGGAAAGGCCGTTCGCAGTGCTGTGGAAGAGGTCCACAAGCGTGCACAAGAAATCCGTGATGCACCGACTCCCACGCCACCCGTATCCCATCGCTCTCGAGGCTCGTTTAGCGCAGACTCTGCTCTCCGAAGGGTCAAGGCGCTCGAAGACCGCAATCGGAGCCTTGCGAAACTGCTTGAAGGCGCAACATCCGAGCTATGGGCTTACCAGAAAATCGCCGCTGAGCGGGCCAGCGATGGTAATGAAGGTACTAAGGACGACGCTGGCGTTACAGACCTTTGTGCCGCGATTGCCAAGGTCCAGTTCGTCCAAGTATATTTGAGAGACCCTAGTCTGCAGCTGTCAGACGACATCACTCAAGAAAGCAACACTGTGGACGCGCCGAGTCACACCACAGCCGAAATTGGGGTCCAGGAGAGCTCCTCGGGAAGGAAAAGCAGCTCAACACAGCCTCGCACAATTCCCGACCAGCCCAGGATTCAGATAGATGACCTTGCAGATCCATCCAGCTTTGAAGACGCCGCAGTGCCTCCCGATGGCGACTCTAGCAAGCTCATTGCTAGCAGCGGGTCAGACAGCGCGAGCGTGCAGCCCCAAATGACACCGGCGCGGCAGACCGAGAATTCTGCGAAGCTCGCGAGGCCGTCGCTCGAGCAGAGTCCATTCTCGTGGATGCTCGAAGAGCAAAAACCGCAATCCAGCAGCGCCAAAGGACAGACTTTCTCCCCTGGGCGAGGGAAGAGCAAAGGATTTCTCTTTGGAGACGAGACGCAATAGAGCAATGTCGTCGGACTAGAGTCCGAGGCCTTGCGACAAGTTCTAGACCAACCAATGTAGATCCACCCCCAATCCAGGCAATGCAAGCTTCTTGCTTTTGGCTCAGCCTCGCATTATTACGGCCGCAAGGGCCGTCTGCACTCTGCACTCTGCTTTTTCCTTTTACTCCTTCTCTCCTCCCGTCCTCCAAGTCACTACATACCTGTATTGAATCAAGTACCAAGACATAGTCGTGAGGCTTCTTGGTGTATGGGTGTAACGGACTTCGCGCGAATCCTCGCTACTGTTTGACTCGCTGCAGGAGTCGTCATTTCACAGAAATGGGTCGTGTCGCATTCTTGTAAGTCTGCATAGTCGTTACAAAAGACCACCATCTTCGCCATCCTCCTGTGGAAAGCTTATGCATCGAGCCCTCGGCACGGATCGAGGCGCACGACAACCCGCCAGCAACGCATCACGCCGTCAGAACAGAGCATCATAGAGCATTCTGCAAGGCCCATCAAATAAGCTGACAGGGTAGATGAAGCCCAAGAGCACGCTCCGGACCTCGACCCAGCTGGACAAGTGAAGGTCCTGCAGCAAAGTACAAAGCAGCGGGCGGAAGAGGTTGCTGCTGGTGCCGGTGGTAACGCTGATGATGAAGACCGCCCACAACGATGCTTCTGCCGACTGCGGCGTCCGCAGCGCATTCCGGTCGAGGAGCCATGCCTCGGACCACGCCGCTTCCAGGCCTCTCTGATATCTGTCGTCCCTGGCGAACACGGCGGCATCGGTATGCTGGCCCTGGTAAATGGACATGGAGATGCATGCGATGCGGAGGTAGTCTTGCAACGGAGAGTCGCAAGCGCCAGCGGCTGTTTGCTCGTGAGACCGAAACGTCAGGTCCACCAGCAATTGCTGCAGCCTGGTCTCCGTGCCCTGGCTGATGAAATCGAAGCACGAAGTCCTGCTTAGCAGCGCCATCAGACTTTCGGAGATATAGACGCGGCTTTGCAGAGTCACGAACCCACGAGGGATCGCGAGAGGGAGTTGTGGACGGTGTTCGTGCGAGCCGTCTTTCGCATCGAGGAAGGAGCCGAAGCCGGGACTCGTCCCAGGGATTCTGCCGATCGCTGTTGCCCTGCCTCTGTTCTGGGATGGAGAGGTTGGATCTCGGGCGTGGTGAATCAGCTGCCGAGCGGTCATGTTCAAGAGGCCTGAAATCCACACCACGAGAGGTCTATGTGCCTGCGCTAACATGCTATCCAGATTAGGGTCGTGAGTCGAGGGTTGTACGAGTGGGGACGAATCTGTCGGGCCCGGGGACGGCGGCGTTCCTCTCGTTGCGCCATCTCTCCTGTCCTCACGATTGCGCGCTCGAGTGACTCTGCTCTGGGCCGCACTTGCGCGGGCGGCCTGCGCTCGAACAATGCGGCGCGACTCATTGCTGTGACGGCCTCCCTCGGAGACTATGACCAGCGTTGAGACTGGAGAGGAATTCGCTGCGGCTCGTCGACTCAAACCTCCTGGCGAAGTCTCTGTGCGCTCTTGCATCTGTCATGCGCATGTGTGCATCGAATCGACGAAGTCGGTCGGCAATTGATCCGGATGCGAAAGGAGAAATGTATCACGATCGATGAGAGTGGGCGAGGTCTCTTCGAACAGAACCCAAGCTTCCTCAAGGCCAGTATTGTGGTGTGGCAACGAGCGCATGCAAAATGTCAGCGGCAGCGGCAGCAGTCCCCTGGGATGCACAGAAATGGGAGCCACGCTGTCGGGAGGGTTGAGCTGCATGGCAGCAGAAGGCGCAGCAGCAGCGCACGAACAAAACCGGACACGAGGACTCAAAATGATAGCGCGATTATTCATTGCTCCTGCCCGGGCAAGCGATGCGGCTCTTACGCCTGCTGACAAGGGAAGTTGTAAGGATAGACAGGCGAGGCTAAAATGCACGCGACTCATGTTTCCCTGATTTGCCTCACGTCGATGCATCGCCCGAAGGCACTGGCGTTTGATCGGCGGCGCACCAGACAGAAGCTTAAAAGGACTAGGTCGATCGGGGATCTGCCGCTTAAAGTCGGGTTGGAGCAAGCGACCAACCTGCCTGCCGCGTTGATAAGCAATGCGCTCTGCAATAGGGCTGCGTTTGCCCCATTCGTGCAATGCGTCGAGCGTGATTGCCGCGCGTACGCGAAGGAACGCATTGCATCTTTCGGGCAAGGTAACAGAGCGTACGTACGTTGGTGACGCGCCAACTCTCCGAAACCAACGGAGGTAGATTAGGTAAAGTGCCTGAATGTGCATGTGTGGGGTAGCGGCGGAAGGTTTAGTATCAAGACCTCTCTTTAGCCGTGGCAAATGATCGGATGTATGCCCTATCGCGCTCTCGTATCTAAAACAATGGCCCTTGGCAGCGGACAATGTGCGAAGTACCTCGTATTGATCGGAAGCAGCGTGCCGTCCGGGGCCACCCTGGTCGTCAGCGCAAGTATGGGCGAATACGAGCAAGCACGTCGGAGACACTGCCCAAGTCCACCTTGCGATCCTGGCTCGGGCGCGGCGCGTTCCGGGCATTTCAGTCACCGTCAGTCCGCGAAGGGTGTTGGGTGTTGGCGTGGAGCAGTCATCAGAACGAGTAAAGCCAACTCCACGCTTACCGTTGCTTATTACCCGCCTTAGCCTTCTTCTCGCGCTTGTTCAGCTCCGCCTCGATGCCGATGCCCCCAAACACCAGCCCAACCCCAAGCCATTGCATTGCACTGAGCGCGTGCCCGAACCAGAGCACCGAGATGATCATGGTCAGCATCTTCCTCGTCACTGTCACGGTGACTAGGAGAAGACTGCCGAAAGTTGACAGGGTCATGACTGTTGCGTTGTTAGCGTCGTATCGTTGCCGTTCTGATGAACAGGAGCACGCACAAATGAAGACTTGACCCATCGCACCGCAAGCGGCAAATCCAAGAATGTCCCGTGCGACAGCGGGATGGCGTTGCATGAAGGAAACGGCTTCGGAGAGTTCGCCTGCACTCTTGGGATCCGTACCCAGCAATGCGCCGAGCCCCGTTTGCACGAGGTAGGGAGAGAGCAAGAGGTAGCAAGACGTGAGGCACGTGGACATCAAGTTCAGCGCGCACATCATCTGTTTCCCGCTGTAGGGCCGGAAGCGAGCGTAGATGTCGTCTTGTGTCGAGTTGGTCAGACCGTCGAAGAGCAAGTTGATGCCGAGCAGCATCAACCCGTACAGGCTACTGCCTTCTGCGCCTTTCTTCTTCTTCGACCCCTCGGATTGATGGAGAGTGAAGATGGCCACGCCCGCGGTCACCAGAGCGACGACGGCGTACTTGTAGAAGGGGTACTTCTTGCGGTACAGGGTGACGTGGAGGAACATGACCGGCAGTAACTTGCATGACTTGGCCAGAATGAAGGTGATGTAGTCCACATGCTGAAGACTGGCGTACCCGAACGGAGAGGACACGGCTGAGACCACCGCGACCAGGCTCAGCGCCCACGCTATCTGCCTCGACGGGAAGATGGGAAGGTCGGAGGACGACTTTCGAGACAGTGCGGTGTAGATGTAACCCACGGTAGCAGCGAAGGCAGATTGGAGGGTGTTCATCACGACCGGATATTTGAAGACCTCGCGTCTACTCTCCGTGCCATAATTGGTGGTGGTGATCCGTTCTTGGAGAACGCCCCAGGTAAGGCTGAAGACTACGATCAGCTTTATTCCGTTCCCACCGGTTTGGGGGACTGCTTACAACGAGGCATAGATGCCTCCTACGCATATGAGAAGATTGAGACCCGTAGCGGAGGGAGGTTCTTTGTCGCGGTCTTGAACGGTGACGTCTTGTTTGCCACCGAGCTCCGGCAATCGGCCATTTGCATGTCGCTGCCGGACACCTCCATTTGCCGTCATGGCGAGAGTTCGATGTCGGGGGTGAAGTCCTAGTTGGGTCCAGCAAAATGAGCGAGCAAAAACTCCAATTGCATCAGGATGTCAGCGTTTGGAGATCGCAAACAAAAGAGTGACTTGGAGTTAGATTTCGGCGTCCAATTGATCTCGGCTGCTCCGGTCACAGATTCGTACTTGATGAGGGATATGAAGGCTCGCACAGCTTGAGGTGTTCACAGACGGAAAGAATGCTCTCCTGATTGGGAATGACGCTAAGCCGATTGCGTCGCGGGCCGTTGCGTGGACGCGGGTTGCCCGGGGCTACGACGGGACGGCTTGATCCGGACGTCATCAAAACTTCGACTTCGCGACGATCGACCGCACACGCCAGCATTCCCTCCACTAGCCAATCGTAGCTTTTCCGTTCGCGTTTCTCGACACCACCCGCGACTCATCATCGTGCTCTCACCAGAACGTCACACTCAACTGACAACACACCCATCATGGCGCGGGTCAGCGCTCGTATCCGCAACCGCAACTCATCCACTCCCAAGCGCGTCTCTCTCTCTCACGATGCTGCATCACGCACTCCGCGTACAGCGCCAGTCAAGCTCCAAGCACTGCGAGAGTATGAGGAGATGCCCGGTGCCTTTCCTGGATCTTCCTCGCCGCCAGCTGTCGACGTAAACAAGCAGGTCACCACGGTGTCGGTCAAGTTCGATGCGTCTACCCCGAAGAACAATACCCCGATCAAGCCTGCCGAAGAGGAAATGCACCCACGGCAACACCAGCAGTCGACAGCTAAGCCTCTGGAAGAAGCTCGATGGCTGGGCTTCTCCAACATGCATCCAAACACTGAGCCACCCAAGCAGGCCAGTAAAATCGCCATCCTGCAAGGCACTCCAAGCAAGCCATCCAAGTCTGGTCATACCCTAGGCTCACCCAAGATTCGATTCACTTTTGGGCGAGAGCACTCGCTTGAACTCAGCCCGGAAGCGAAGCAGTTCATGGACCAGAAGCGTGAGGAGGCGCTCAAGATCCGCGAGCAGATGATTGCGAACGGGGAGGGGCCGAAGGATGTGGCCGAACTCAAGGCGCGCAAGATTGCCACGCCCAAGGGCAAGAAGGGCCGATTCAGCGAGGTGCATTTGGAGCACTTCAAAAAGCTGGAGTCTATCGCTGGCCACGCCTCCTCCTTCCGCACCGCGCCAAAGCATGCAGATGCCGCCGCAAGCGAAGCCGCATCCAATACCAGACCCCTGCAATCTCAATCGATCCCTCAAGAGCCACCCAAGTCTTTGAAGCGCAGTCCGTCCAAAGCCGAGCTAGATGAATCGGATCGAAGGCCAATGGGCATCTCACAGTCCAAGCTTCCGACATCCTCGGCGAAGGTCGCCAACAGCCATGCTTTAGCTGGTCCCTCCAAGACCCAGCTCACTCAGGCTTCCCCAGAGTCATCGTCTCCATCCAAGCGCGTCAAGCGAAGCGAAGACGAGCACGTGTCCACTAGCAGCAAGCCAGCGGCCAAAAACCAATCGCTGTTACCGCCGGACGCCGGATCAGCCACTCCAAGCAGAGCCCATGCGAAGCCTCAAATCCCGTCGGAAGTCTTCACATTCGATTCACCAACACAGGCGTCGGTAGCCCGCGCGGCAAGCATCAAGGCGGCAAAAACCACCAAGATCCCGGCTCCTGGACTTCCCACACCTTCCAAGGTGGAGAAGGGCGAGCTCACAGGGCGTAAACCCGAGCCGACAACGCCATTGCTGGCTCGCACCCCATCCAAAGTATCAGTGTTCGGCAAGCCGGCGTCTCAAGGACCTAAGGGCTTCATGAGTCCTCTGCTCCTGCGCACACCCATGAAAGCGACCCCGAACAAAGGCCCGCAAGAGAAAGCGAACGAAGATAACGTAGCGGCGGCGAAGCCCCAGGAGACGCCGCTACTAGCTCGCACGCCGCTCAAGGGTGCCATGTCGAACCCGGCGGAGGCCGAGGTGCAAGTTGCAAAAGCCGCATCGTCTATTCCCCTGCTCTCCCGTTCGCCAGCCAAGATAGGGGTGTCGACGAGCGACGCAAGCGGGCAAATCGAACAGATGCGAGATGGGGTGAAGCACGGTAGCGCGCTGATGAACCGATTTCATTTGCTGCGATCTTCTCCGATGAAGTCTATCCTACGATCGCCACAGCGTTTGTACTCCAATGATCCCGCCAAGGTTGCGGCTGGCACTCATCTCGCATCGCCGGCGGGCATGTCTGGCGCGAAGGACAAGCCAACGCCCGCGTCAGTCAAGGCGGCCGAGAAGCACGTGGAATTTAGCTCCTCGACCAAGGCCGGCTACGAGCGTGGACGGGCTGGGAAGAGCAGTACATCGTCGAAGAGCTCGACCCCGACACCCGACGTATCATCCGCATCGCGCAACTCGGCCGTGGATACTGCTACTTTGTACCCCGTCCTACCCACGAGCGACGCCGAGCAAACGATCACCCCGCAGAAGCGTCGCCAAACAGCAGGCCCGGGCGACTTCACCTTCACCACTCACGGCAGCGGTATTATTTTTGGGCGATCTCCAAATGCTCCAGCATCCGCTGCGGCGCTCAAGATCCCCTCCACCATCCGTCACATTTCGTCGGAAGCTCCTTCCCCAGCTCCAGCGACGGGCAGCAAGAAGCGCAAATTCGAGTTTGAGAACGAGCAAGCCGTGGAGGAGGAGATGGTGCATCATCTATCGGACAAGGAGAATGGGGGCGAGGAGGAAGAGGCGCGTCCAGCGAAGCGTGCCAGGGTCAATGCGCCTGCGCAGCCCGCTGTCAAGCCGGCCGTCAGGCGTCCCACGCTAGGGGTGAAGCCGAAGAAGAGCGTGAGAGATGGAAAGGACAAGAAACCGACGACGATTAGCATGGCCAGGCTGAATGCGCTCGCCCAGCCGAAGCGGAAGGTCTGAACGTCTTCTGCACGCGAGGGGGAAGAAGTCCGAGGGTTGGGTGATTGTTTGCCACGGGAAGCATTGATTGCAGTGGTGTTACTGAGCTGGGAAGATCGAGGGACGCTTGATGATTGACGACGATTCCGGGACGTTTGAGTTGCTTGCTTTCGTGGATTGGCGTGTGGCGATCTCCTCTGCAGGGCCGTGGGCGCGCGAGGTTGTGGCCACATTGCACGATGTCCTTTAGCGTGGAGTTGCGGGTGACGATTCGCGGAGAGCTGTATGATAGCGAAGTAAGGTTAGCAGGAGCAGCGTGTCATGCCGTAACGATAGTCTATACCTACCCGACCGGCTTGCATCATGAGGTGATGATTGCCATCAGACTGCAGGTCGCGTGCTTTGGCACAGTCCGCGTCAGGATGGTTGGTTTCTGCGACCAGCGCCTTCAGTGGGGAGAGATGAACATTGTCATCCACCGCTCAACAGAAGCCGGCGGGCCCGCGCATGCCAATGTGCTTCATCAGCATCCATGTGCCCTGCTTGCGCTCCCACGAGAGCACGGCGACGGCCTCCCGCTCTAAGCCATGCGCCAGGCCGGTGATGAGGTACCAGAGATAGACGGTGGCGCGGCCGCGACTCTCGTCGACTTCGGAGGAGGTGTTGTAAATCTCGACGTGAAAGTCCAGCTGCTCGGCGAGGTGCTTGCCGAGGAAGCGATGGTGGTCGGCGGCGTTGGTGGCGCGGGGCAGGGCGTCGTGCTTGTTGCGGAAGTCGGGGGACTGGTGGAGTTTGAGCAGCGGATGCTCGGGGTCTTTGAGGTTGAGGCAGATGTTGAGCACCTGCGAGGAGAGGCTTTCGAGAAACTCGCCGGAGGAGTGCTTGCGGGCGGAGGGCGGGGTTGGGGATCTGGTGGAGGGCACTTCGGAGCTCACGACGCTTGGCGTGGTGACGGGCGAGGCTGCGGCGGTGAGGGAGAAGGGCGAGGCTGCAGCTGCAGTCGCCGCCGCCATTGTGCCGGGACTGGGGGCGGAGGCGGTGGCCATGGCGAGGCTGGGGAGGGCACCCGAAGGCTTTGAGCTGGATGGAACAGGTGTGTAGATGAGAGAGGGCAGGTGGCCGGGTCATATAGCCCTCGACTCAAGGGCCACGACGATGGAGGGGAGTGGAGATGCGTGAGGCGAAGAGAAACAGCCGGGTGGGGGTGGTGGTTGGTGGAATGACATGAGGTGAACTTACCAGAAAGTGGTAATGGGTGGGGATGAATGAGGGCAGCGTCCGATGGGCTGGAACGCAGCCCTGACGCTCCAGGGCAGGAGCTTCGGCCGTGGAGAAGCAAAGGAGAAGTTAGACGGTCGGAGGAGGTAGGGATGCGGGGGGAGGGCGCGCGCGGTTTGCCCTGCGTTGCATCGCCGCGTGGAGGGCAGGCAGGCAGGGCGAGGGCAGGCTGGTGCACGTCAAACGGTTGGCCGCGTGCCACGCATGCTCCCGAGAAGTATAAAACGAAAGGATGGGCCCTGGGTCGTCGGCCGCCAATGGGCTTTGGAGGGTGGGGAGAGAGGGCTGATAATCAGGGCAAGTCTGACGAGGCAGAGGTTGGCGAGGTTGCATCGCCTTCGGAATCTCCCATTTTCCACAGCTTTGCCGAGCAAGGTAGGGCACGCTGAATGGATACCTCTGGTAGGCATGATGCTCGTCGTCAATGGTCGGTCGCCCTTCACCCATCGTCGCCTCCAGATTGCGGGCCTTGCATCGCCGCTGGGTAGAAGGCGTTACGGTTGTGTTGATGTATGGCTGCGATTCACAAGCTCCAAGCTCCTTGAATGCTAAGCCGCGGTCACGTGCGCGCGTGCTAAAATGAGTCATATGCCGACATCAATGGGCGGTGCACAGCAGCGTCCCCTTCAAAAGACGCCCCTCTCGCCCGCCCCTCCCTCTCCTTTCCCTTTTCCTTCTCACCTCTTGCGACTTCCGCGACAGACGAAGTTGCAAGAAACGATCAATTCCCCCTCCGGCTTCTCCCGTTTCCCCCCGGCCTCCACCTGAGGCCACTCCCAACTTGCCGTTATGGCCCACACCGCTGCCCCCGCCGCCTTCGTCCCGAGACGTCGTGCCACCTCTCTCCCAGCCCTGTCTGGACGACTTTGTTAATTGCGATTTCCTTGATTACACCGCATTCCTCTTTCCCTCTCCCGATCCCGCCTTGTTTGGCGAGGATGCGTCGCAACATGTCGCTTCCGCGGACGTGCCGCTGAACGCCTCGCATCTCGAGCAGTCTTGGGACTCTATTACAACCACGGATCCTCTAAGTCACGCTGACGACGATATCCTCGCCCATCTTTACACCAGCACCCTTTCATCTACCTCAACTCCTGGCGCGAGTGCTTCAGGAACTCAGGCAACTACGATTCCTATTGCATCCACTTCCACCTCGCCTCCATCCTCTTCGTCATCATCCTCGAGGAAACGAGGTGCAGCCGCGCTATCCGATTCCTCTCTCACCCCACCCCGCATCGACTCCCCTCAGGACTCGGATCAGGTGGTGAAGCGACAGAAGAACACCGAGGCCGCTCGAAGGTACCGACAGCGCAAGGTGGATCGTCTAACCGAATTGGAGGACGCGTTGGCGGAGATGAAGAAGGAGCGTGACGAGTTGAAGATGCAACTCGCCCGGTCGCAGGCCGAGACGGATGTGTGGAGGCGAATGGCCGGGAAGTGAGAGCCATGTCTTGCGATTGGATTGTTGTCTCTACCTTTTTTTTATTCTCCAGCTCAGCCCTTGCGGGTGGGTCTGGTTTGTTTTTTGTCGAGACCAAAGTCAGCATGTTTTTCAGATCAGACGAGTTTTGCATGTGCAATGCGTATTTTCCCATGTCGATTCAGATGAATTCGGTAAGGTAAAATGTAGCTCACAGAATCGTCGATTCTCGTTTCGGCGAGTGAAGATGGTTTGCTTTCATCATGTAATGGGGCCCGCAGATGGCTGGGAGGAGGGGGGAGATTTGCCTTACCTCGTCGGAACGCATCCATTGGTCTCATCGTGAACGTGTGGTGGAATATTGCACAAGGTCTACGCGTGCGGAATCGCTTCTTCACGCGGCTATTTATGGATATGGCTCTCGGAATGCTCATTATGACAATCAAATGTGCGCCGCCCGTATATCCCCCAGATGCATCGAGTGCCGTGAGCCGATATGAGCCATCCTCGCTCATAGATCCTGCTTTCGGCATGGCAGCCTCCGTTGGAGCCGCTCCACACACCCAAACACGGGGAGGGAATAGTAAGATCACCCCCACATCATGATTTGGGAAGGGCTTCCGTCTTCGCTATCCTATCGGTGATGATCCTCTTGAACTCCGGCCGGATCTCAAACGGCGCAACATGGCCAATGCCCTCTTTGAACACCTTCGTGACCCCGCTTTCCTCGCCGCCGAGCTCACGGAGTAACATCTCCCCGTGGATGAAATTGATCATGTTGTCTTTCGTGCCGTGGAAGACCAGGATGCGGTCCCTGCCGACCACGTCGCCGAGCTGCTTCAATTGCGCGGCCGACTTGTGGTGGAAGCCGGCGGCATAGAGCTGGCAGAGGAAGCCTTGGCGAGTCATGACGCCGGGCGTAAGTCGTTTGCTGATGTCCCCGGCGGCAAATCGATCGCCGTTGGTGGGGAAGGGCTGGACGGTGTATTCGGTCTCGTCGGGCCTGGCGAGCCACTCGGCGGAATAGCAGTCTGCTTTGACGCGCGCCATCTGCGCATCCAGACCCTTCGGGATGAGCAGGTTGATGCGGTTCCGCACATTCTCCAGAAAGGGCAAGGTGCGCACGATGCGAGGCGCGGTGGAGATGAGATTCAAGCTGCAGATCCGCTGCGGAATGAGCAGGCCCAGCTCCTGCGCAATCATGCCGCCCATGCTGATGCCCACCACGTGCACGCTCCTCGCCTCCGTCCAGCCCACGTGGTCCAGCAGTTCAATGGCATCCCGCGCCATCTCCGAGGTGGTGTAGCGCAGCAGCGGCTTGTCGCTCTCGCCCATGCCTCGATTGTCGAAGATCAGGCAAGTGTACTCGTCGGCCTGCGTGTGGCCAAAGTCCTTGGTCTGACGCTGCCACGTCTTCATAAACCCGCCGAGTCCCATGATCCAGAGGATCTTCTTGGGTCCATGGCCGTGGATTTCGTAGCCCAGCTTCAACGGACCGCCTCGACCGGCGGCAACGTCGATTTTCTCACGTTTGTTTGCCTCGAGCGGCCAGTGCACGTGGGCGTACTCCGGGTGAGCCTGGATCTCCGCCGCGCTGAGTTGTCGAGATCCGTCTCCCTTCGACATGGCCGGCAAATAGTACACGCTCCCGTACTCCTAGTGAAATACACGGATCTTCCTGGAATGCTCTGCTGCGAGTGTTGCGCGACGATCAACGGTTGAAGTTGACTGACGTCCTGTTAACCTGCCTGGGGGAGTGGACCGTGCGCGAGCATCCGCACTTGGCCCCTCCGTGCCTTTACTCCTACAAGGTACAGGCAAGCCTTGTCTTGTGTGGAAGCACAGCGGACGGCTATCAGAGGAGTTTGCTCAGCTACAGCGACATTGTATTAGGCAGATTTGCTCTGCATATGCCCTCAAACCCCCCTCCCACCCGAACCCGGTCCATGCCCTACTGCATATGCTGCTGTTGGCCCCCGATGGAATCCTGAACGCCCGTGTCTCCCATGCCATACACATCAAACATCGGGCCCGGAGTGAAGCTCCCCAGCCCTAAGCCCTCCGCCCAATCCCACTCCAAGGTCATCGGCATCTGCCACAGATCCTGTGGCACGAATGGCTGCTGGAAACTACCCGTCCCGTTCAGAATGTCGGGCGACTGCTCAAAGCCTGTGGAGGGGTCCATGCCAGAGAGAGTAGGTCCGTTGTTGAATCCATTCGATGCGTTTGGCCCGAAAGCGCCTCCCATGACGCCAGGTTGGGTGGTGTACGTACCGGTACCGAAGTCCTGCTGCGGGAGTGATGCGTTGGGCATGCCCGGTGCAGACGGGTGCCACTGGTTGGGGCTCCTCGACTGGCCGCGCGGATGAGTCTGCTGGCCACCTTCCACGCTGAGACTGTGGCCGTGCTGAGGCGTCTGATACTCCGGCCCGTGTCCTCCAACTGGACTGGCGGCCCAGCTCGCAGGGCTTTCGCCTGTTGCGCTACCATTCTGACTGAAGCGCAGGCTCGGCGTTTGGACCGGCCGCCTGTAGTTTGCTTGCGTCTCCACCTGGATCTGCTCCAGACTCTTGCCCTCTTCCAGGCCTCTTTCGACCACCTCGTCATTGCTGGCCGCCCTGTGCTTTGCCGCCGCAGCCTTCTCCCGTTCCGTGGGCTTCCGCTTACCTCGCCCGCCGCGCATTTCGCTTTCGGCTTTGTCGAGGACCACGCGTGCGATACGCTCAAACTCGCTGCACACGGATAACATGCGCTTGACGTTGCCGTTGGACTCGACAATGTCGCGCTCGAGCATGGTGAGGAAAGAGCAGACGCTGCTCATCAGCTTCAAGTCTCCTCTCGCGCGCGCGTCCTGCGGGTTCTGTAATATATTCGCAAATAGTGTCACGAGTGCTGACACCGGGTAATACAGGATTAACCTGGTTGAAGAGGATTAGCACGTCGCCTGGGATGACAATCACGAGGTCAGAGACTTACCAAACACATGCATAATCGCCTTGCGGAATGTAGCGGATTAATCCTATGCTCGTCCGCGCTGCATTCACGCACAAGGCGGCAGACATGAAGACCCTCGGGTTCAGCGGTCGCGCGTTCAAGCCTTGTATAGCGTACTCGCTCAATCTGCTGGTCCAGTAGCCGTGGTGGACGCTCATACGATGGATGGTGGTCAGGCAGTTGTAATACGCGAAATGCAACACGACCACATGCAGGATGAGTGGGGTGTGTGCGGCGTTGATTTCGTGCTCCGGCCGGAAGTCCAAGGGGATGCTTTCCTTCCACTCCTCCAGCTGAGCATCCAATTCGCCAATGGTGTTCAGGAGCTCTCCGTCAGTCTGTCGGGAGGCCTTCACGGAGTACAGCTGTTTATACACCCGGCTTTGAATCTGCGAAAATGTGCACATCAGCCGGAAGAGATTCATGGTTTTTTTGCCGTCAATCTCCTTGGCCAATGGTATGTTGCCCACGCAGTCGGTGGGGTCTTCGGAGGGGAGCTCCACGTTCATGTCATCGTCATCCTGCGAGGGCGGACGGCCGGAGCGAAGACAAATGTCCTTATCGAGGAGGTATGCGATCCAGAACACGCGTTTACGTTGTTCATTTTCGACGGCGTTCAAGTTGAAGCCTGCTCCGCGCTTGTGCAAGCCAATGCTATGAGCCAGGCGGATTGCGGCAGCAACGAGGAAGAAGGATGGCTGGGGATTGGGAGTGCCCTGCAGGAACATTGCCATTCCCAGCAAAGCTTGGACGGACAAGAGATCGGTGTTGCGCACCGTAAGCTCGGTCATGACTGCCATGGCGTTTTTGAGATAGCCCCAGGCATGATCGTCTTCCTCCTGCCCAACGACGTTCGACATGACTCGCAAGCGGTGCGCGATGGCCAACGCGACATTCAGCGACGCCCACCACCCGCTGGAATCAAAGGGCTCGAGGCTGTAGTGCCGGTCGACCAGATGCATGAATGTCGGCTCATGAAAGAGGGGAAACATGCAATTGAAGTTCTCAAAGTAGTCCCTCAGCAGAGCGTAGCATTCCTGCCGGCTCGGCAGAGGCTTGAAGACGCGTCGTTCGAAAAGATCGTTGAAGACTTCCGGGCGCCAGTGGTCCCAGCCAGATTTGTCTTCGACGGCAGCATCGGCAATCATTCGTTGGAAGGAAGCGTCGCCCGTCTTCTCGTTCACCCACTGGATGCCCTTGGGACTAAAGATGGAGAAGCCGGAGGAGCTGCCGATGTAGCGGGTCTCGCCGACATTGTTGGTGATGAGACTGCACATTTGATCGGCAAGGCCATCGTCGTTGGTGGTGTTGTCCTGTTTGAACGGGTTCTCCGGCGGCGTTATCGTCTTTTCGTCCGACTTTGATTTGCTTGCGCCGTCGTTCGGCCGTGAGTTTGGCCGGTTTCCTATTTGAGGCGAACTTTGGTTTGGCGTGGGATTATTGCTCGCTCTCGCGGCGCCGACCGGCGGACTTGCACGGGTGGCGGAGGGCGGGTTGCTTTGTCGCTCCGCCAATATTCGCTTCTCCAACATGCCCAGATCCGTCTTGCCACCGTCGTCTTCCCCCAGCAAGCCGGTCATCTTGAGCAAAGACTCCATGCGGCCCAGCCGATTCTCCAAGCCCTCAATGTACTTTGCCCCCTTGGGCGGCGCACGCTTCTTCTCCTGGGGCGTGAAGATGCACTCGGTCTTGTAGTTCTCGCAGTGGCCGCACTTGGGCATCTTGCCATCGCATTTGATCTTCTTTTTACGGCAGGCGTCGCACGCGCGGGCGATGCGTCGTCGCTTGGGTTCCCGCCCGTCCACCGCCGTCCCGGCGTCATCATCGTCATCCGCGGCATCATCGCCGTAGTCGTACTGGCCCTCGGGCTGGTACCACTGCGCACTCTGCTGCGAGGGGGAGTCGTAGACGGTCTGCGGGCGACCGCCGTGCTCGTCGGCAAACATGGCCGATGGAGGATTCATCACCGATGGGGCCGGGGGCAGACGGTGGTGGCGCTCAGGCGCATGCGCAGAGGGTGCGTGGGGCGGAGAGTTGATGGATGGGGTTGCATTGGAGGCTCTGTGAGGGCAAGACGAGGTGCGGGCCTCGCAAGTTGATGGGTTTGGGGTTGTTGGAGAGGATTGACTGCTACAGCTGCAACGATGACTGCTGCTTCCGTCCTTCGCGATGCTCGGAATCGTTCTAGGCCCGTCATCCGGTCCCGCGCTTTGTCAGCGGCCAGAAAGTGTAAATGTATAGTATGTACAGCCCCCCGCCAAGCCTCTCTCGGAGCTGCATCCCTACCGTACACTGATGGACCAAAGGATAGATCAGAGGATATCCTTGGCGCGACTAGGAATGCGAAGATGCTCTTCGAGTCTCTGCTGAATTACGAGTGTCGGTTGCCCACAATGTGGCCCCCGGAAAGTCAATTTACTCATGGCCTCATCCCATCACTCTGTTCATCCTTCGGCGGCTCATCCTCACAGACACTCAAGTAATCCACGCCCGGCCGTGGATCTCCTGGTACACATGCAGCTAGTAAGCAATGCAAACACGCCCGGCCTTCTTCACGCGCCTGGCTCGCCGTTCTCAAACGCCTTGTTCTGTCTGCCAATCGACACCACCACCCAGACATAAGTCACTGTGAAAATGTCAGCTTCTTCGCATCGGCCATGACGGATGGAACGCATTGTCGAACCTCCCGCCCAGACGGCAATGTAAGTGAACAGCACTCCAAGGCTGAGTCCAAACGCATAGTGGAAGTCGAGCGTCCAAATGACCGCCGACACACACCCGATATAAACGCAGACGCCCAACTCCCACCACAGCGTCAGATGCACAAACATGCGTCGAAACTGCGCGCTCGCCTCATACCGTTCGTTGAAGCGAATGCGGAACTCGCGGTCTTGCAGCCCGTCCACCGCCATGAAGTCTTCGGCCGCGTAGTAGATGAAGGGTCGAAGCTCCGTGCCTCGAGGCTGGGAGTTGATACCGATGGGAAGCTTGAAGTTGAACGGATGTAGCGTCGTGAACACCATGAGAAGCCCCAGGAAGCCCATGATGAATGAAGGGGAGTAGAGGTAGAGTTTGGGAATGACCAGCGAGCTGCCCACGATGAAGGGGATCAAGGCCACGATCAAGGCCACCCCGTAAACCCAAGACGTGGCATCCAGCTCCCATTTGTTCCTCGACAACAGCGGCGCGCACTGGTCCCGGCGATAGATAAGCCGCCACACCCTGGCAACCAAGATCCAGAGCTCTCCAACGCCAAACGACGCTATGGCCGATCCGAGGATGCTTTTGTCGAACTCCGGGCGGCGCACAGGACAGACTTCTCCACGGGTGTGGAAAGGCGCGCACTCCCTCTCCCATTGCGGTTTGTGCGAGTCGTACCAGGTGTAGTAGATGATGCAAGGGACGACTAGATCAAATAGTATGATCATAGGCAGGCCAAGCGTGATTCCCAGATGCTCCAGCGGATGCGACTTCTTGTTGGCGAGCTTGGTATGTACATGCTTCAGTGCCGGAAGGCTGGCGGCGACGGATTTCTCGGTCGGGGCGGCGGAAGGATCTCGCAAGATGCCCGGGCGGCTTACACCTTCAGCTCCGTCGTCGTCGCTGGAACCTGGGGAGCTGTTTTGAGGCGACAGCTGCCGGGCCTCGAGCGATTCTTGTGGCTCCAGAGCCTCCACAGCTGTAGTGCTCAATGGGTTGTGTTCGGCGCCCTGCGCATCCCCCGGCCTCGGATCTGGTCGTTCCATTCGAGCCTGGATATTATTGTTGGCGACAAGAGCCGTCGCTGGTGGGGAAAAGGCATGAGTGATTAATGCCTCATATAGGTATCGACGAAAATACGGCGGATGTGGTCGGATGTCCGCGGGAAAAGACAGTTTGGGATCGCTTACATCACGACCTCACCCTGTGGATCCCACGTCCGCAACTCAACCTCGTCTTAGGGCGTGTAGATACCATTCGTACAAATCACAACAGTGGCTTATGGTTCGCCGGTTGGGCATGTTCAGACATTTTGACGACGAGATTCAGACTGTAGGTCACATTGCTAAGGTGCGAGGCAATCGTCACCGCGCCTTCATCTTCTTCATGCCGCGCACCCGTTTTCCCTTCACGTCCCTCCCTTCCTCGAGATTCAGCATCGCCTCTCTCTTCTTCTCTCCCACCAGATTGAGCGCGTCCCTGACAACTCTGCCTTCCACACTGACCCGATCCTCGGCGTACTCTGCCATCTCACCACCCACGCGCGCCTCTATAGCATGGACCAGTTCCACGTCGCGTTGCCCGACCAGACTGATTGCTAACCCTTTCCGCCCAGCTCGCGCCGTACGCCCGACACGGTGTATGTAGTCATCGGGATTGCGGGGGAGGTCGTAGTTGATGACCACGCCCACTTCGGGAATATCGAGACCACGGGCGGCAACGTCGGTGGCGACGAGGATTCTTGCTGCGCGAGCACGGAAGCGGGCGAGGTTCGAGGTGCGTTGCTGATTTTCCAGTCCGGAGTGGAGTGCCGTGACTCTGTGTTCGAGTAGACGAAGCATGTATTCCAGCAAAGTAGCGGTAGACGTGCGGTTGCAGAAGATGATGATGTTCTTGTCCTCGTTTGCGGGAGTCAACAGGAGGACATGCAGATACTTCTCCTTGTGAACGACATTCACCAGCTGGTAGGTTTGTGTGAGAGTTTTGGGCACGGCCAAGTCTTCCGTGTCGACCTCGCACACGAAGACGGGAGGCCGACCGGGACCGCGCGGCATGTCCTTGAGAGCGCGCACCTCGGGGGTGACAGTGGCGGTGAAGAGACATGTTTGTCGATGGGTTGGCGCAGGCATGACGGATAGACAAGTCTCCAAGTCATCAAGCATGCTTCCTTTGCCACTAGCGAGCAGCCGGTCGGCTTCGTCGAAGACGACGAACTTGACCCGGCGCAGCCCACATATGGTGTCCTCGCCAGACGTTTCCACGTGCGCAGCGAGTCGTCCGGGGGTCGCCACGACGATATGAGGTCGTTTGCTGAGATCGAGGGCCTGCGCTCTCATATCTCCTCCGCCGGTGATGAGGGCGCATCGCAGACCCTGCCTCGTGCCGAGTGCTTCAATCTGCTCGTAGATTTGCAGAGCCAATTCTCGAGTAGGCGTCATGACCACAGCAAAGACGCCACTCGGCTCTCGCGCCCATTGCTGCAGGATGGGGACAGTGAAAGCGACCGTCTTGCCCGAGCCCGTGCGTGAGCCACCGATGCAGTCGCTCCCGGCCACGATCTGAGGAATGCAGCCCTTCTGGATGCGCGTGGGGTAACGGATGGACATGTGGGATAGCGATGTGACTAGCCATGGATCGACTCCCAGCTTGGCAAAAGTCGTCTGCTCATCCTCATCTGTGGAGGCGAGGATAGTAGCTGGCGCACCGTTGGGGTTTGATGGAGGAGGAGGCAGTCCATTTTGCGGGTTTGCCTTGGCCTTGATTCGAGAGACGGTGTTGGTGGGAACGTTCACCTCCGCTGCGTGGCCGTCCCCGCCAGGGTTCGGCGAGTTTTCCTGCGGATTGCTGGAGATGTCATCATCGTCATGTTCGTCGTCGGGAAGCGATAGCCTCCTCCTTTTCGTGGGTCGATCCATAGTGAGATGTTGTCGACGTCGAGAGAGATGCTGCACTCACAAATTCTTTCCAGCAAATGCAGCCTGAGGCGTCGAAATTAAAAAGCGGGTCCGTCGCGGCTTCACAGCCTCGGCCCGATGTCGCTATCCTCCACCTCACCACCACCTCACCAGACATCACCATCCGCAGACATCCTGCTACAAGGCATTGACAGTCACGACATCCCAACAATCAAACCACTCAACGACCGAAACCATGTCCCAGGACAAAAAGAGCATCATCAACGACCCCGACCTGGCGCTGGACCGCTATGGCAACATCTTCGTCATCACCATGCGCAAGGCGCCCGAGAACCGCCTGAACACCAAGTACGCCCGCAAAATCATCCGAACCTTTCACAAGGTCCGCGACCTGCTCGGCTCCTCGAGTGAAGGAGCAGTCATCACCCAGGGCAACGACACCAAGTTTTGGTGTACCGTGAGTGATTAATCACAATAGACGAAGCCCCATTTACTTACATCATACGCCATTGCAGGGCCTCGAACTGGACGAAACAGACACAAACCCTTACGCAAATGCCGAAGGCTTCTTCCCCTTGCTGGCCACTATCGTGTCCTTCCCATTCCCCACAATCGCCCTCATCACCGGCCACACGTTTGGCGGCGCGTGTCCCTTCGCCCTGAGCCATGATTACCGAGTAATGAACAGCAAGCGCGGCTTCTTCTGCATGCCTCCCGTTGACTTAGGCCTGCATTTCCCCGGCATAGGCTCCTTGCCTCGGCTGAAACTGCATCCGCAGATTGCGCGCAAGATGTTGCTCGAAGCACATCGGTGGACCGGAGAGGCGGCGTTGAAGGACGGCATTGTCGACGCCATCGCCGAGCCGGACAAGATGTTCGATGTGGCCATGGAGCTGGCGCGCAAGTGGGCTCCCAAGGCGAAGATGGATGTCTATGGCGTGCTGCGAAGCGAGCTCTACGGCGAAGCGAACAGGCATTTCCGCGACGTTGCCTACAATTACTCGCAACGACCACAGCCAGCTGCCAAAGCAAAGATATGAGGCCAAAAGGTTTGAGATCATGATCAAATGGGGGACGTATATCTATCTTCGTACATGCGAGTGCTACAGTTTCGCCAAAATCGAATCGATGTTCTCCCCACTTCCCTTCACAATCTCCTCCTCCTTGTAGTAGGGATTGAACGTGATTTCGTTCAACGGATTCAGCCGGTGCGCCCGATTGAACAAATCCTCGTAGACCTTGCCATCATATCGCCCAAGCGCACTATCGAGCAGGAAATCCGGAATCTTCCACGAATCCACCAGGCGCACGGCGTGGGGGCGGACTTGCGCCATGAGCTCCTGGATCTTCGCCGGAATCTTGTCAAGATCATCGTCAGACACCGCCTTGGCGCGAGAGAAGTCTCGGGCTTCGCTGTCCATGGTATAGAAGGCGAAGAGACGGAACAGTGTACGGAGGTGAGCATGCAGCGTGGAGGAGACGGCGGAGTCTTTCTGCTGCAGAGCATTGTAGAAGTTCTGCACCAGGATGGACTGGGATTCCGAGTGGCTGACTCGCCGAAGCTGGATCAGCAACGAGTTCCAGCTTTGCTTCTGCTCGTTGCGTGCAACGTGCGCGCGGTACGTTTGGTCTCGTGATCGTCGGCGGAAGGCTTCTACGATATCCTCGTCGCGGTCAAAGACCCGGAGCTGGCTGGGTTTGTAGCCGTTCTTTTCGTCGAGGTATTGTCGGCAATGCCCTTCGATCTCGTCTTGCGGCTTGCCTTTCCGATCCACCGCCGCTTGCATGCGTTTGATGAGGAAGCTGGCCGTCTGCTGCGTAATCATCCAATTGTCGCCCTCGACGGTGGGCTTGGACAGATAATCATTGTTGAGTTGAATGAAACCACTCGGCCCGCCGAAGCCATGGCCGCCCATTGCCCGTCGACACGTCTCGATGCTGTTGGCCGCAAGTTCCGTACACAGACTCTTCAACCCTGAGGATTGAGCGTGCAGGACGGCGAGGCGGCCGAAATTGCCTTGGTTGATCTCCTCTCGCGTGTTCCAGTACAAGCTCTGCATCGCCTCGCCGGTATAGTGAAGTGCGAAGGCGGTGGCGAGGAGGGGTAGGATGCGGATTTGGACGGTGGGATAATCGAGCACGCACAGCTCCGGCGCTTTGGCATCTTTGCTGTCCCGATCTTGGAATTGCCGTCGGACACATGTGTAGCGTACGGCGATGGTGACGGCGCGAGCGATGATGAGTCGTGCGTGCATGATGATGGTCGCCCGCACGTACGTGAGGCTGCCATAGACAACAGCGGGATTTGCAGGCTTGGTGTATTCGGAGGTGTTGGGATCGACTCGGGAGTAGCGTGACAGCATGGCGGAGTGTGGTACTCGATGGCGGTCGAAGAGCATATATCCATTGTCCTACAATCGTTAGAAACCCCTGCTCTCGGTTGCCATCTCGAGGAGACTTACCATTGGAGCATAGCCATATTTGGGACCAATGTCACCGACCGCGATGCCGTCGAGGGGCTTGTGTGTTTTCATGTCGCGGATCTGGACGACAAAGGTGTGCGGCCCTCTGCTGGTGTACTCACCGGGGCTACCTTCTTTGGGCAGCATGAGCTGCGCCATGACGATGGCATGGTTGGCCGTTCTACCCATCGTCCCGTTCCACCATTTGCTCGCGGTCAAGGTCGGGCTGTGTATGATGAACTCTTTGGCCTTGGGGTCCCAGAAGGCTTGACACTCCAAACCACGCACATTACTGCCATGGCCAAGCTCGGTCCTGAAAAGACACATCAGCATCGTCTCGGTCCTTCGGAAAAGATGGAAGCAACACTTACTGAGCATAACATCCAATGACTTCCATGGCATCAATCTTGGGCGACCAGTACGCGCGTTGCTCGTCATTGGCTTGCTCGCGGACAGTCGTGATGAACATAGCATAGTGGACCATGTAGGGCGTCACGTCGTCGCAGAGATACACCGCCATTTCATGATCCTTCGCATCCCATCCATACTGGTCGGAATACCTCCTCAACTTCTTCCCCCGCGCCAGGCCGAGCTTGAATCGGTCCGGACGAGACAGGTTGAATTGCTTGGTCTTGTTGAACAGAGGGTCCTTCTCCACGATGCGCAGCATGCGTTCCTGTCGGCCGAGAAAGTCGTCGTTGGACAAGAGGTGCTTTGCGAGTTCATCCACGGGTACGTCGGATTGGCCGCGCTCTTGCGCCAGAACGGTCGTTCCATCGGGAGCCGCTGGCTTGAGGCGATCGGTGAAGTCGGGCATTGTGGTTATGTCTTTCAAAGGCCGTCTCGCGTACTGTCACACGCACTTAGTGATGTAGCATTGGAAAGATATCAAATGCTTCCGCTGCGAGGGAATGGAAACATCGAAGACGCCGTTCCGTACGACATCCTCGGCCCCCGCAGCCCGACTTCGGCCATAACCCGCCACCGCGACAGATCTCGGCAATAACAACCATTGACGCATATTTCGAACTGCACGCTGTAATCGACATTGGCACTACCGCTCAATTCATTGTCAAGGTCCGTGGTCGACAGAAACAGTCGACGACGCTCGTCAATTCGCAGACCCCGCCGCGCATATCACCTTGGACTATTCGTAGCGAGTACAGAATGCAAGACCGTCCATAAACATTGTCCGAGGCTGCAAACTACAAAATGAAAGACGACCGGACGACTTTCGTCCCCAGGCACGTGGGCCGCAACATCTTCCCAGGCTCGCCTTTCTTCAACCGCCTGCTCCGTTTCGCTCACGCTCTGCCCCCACGCATATGCGTCCGCGATGACAACCTGGGCAAGGAATTCACGCATATCCAACTCTTGTCCGACGTCCTGGCCTTTCGAGAAAAGGTATGGAACGACTTCCTCACCCCCGAAGTTCGCCGACAACTTGACAACCGGGAGGAGGTGTATTTCGCCATTCTCGCCGCCGGGGGCTATGAGTATACCGTTGCGACGGTCGCGGCGCTCGCAATGGGGGCCGCCATTGTTCCCATGACCGTCATGTTGCCGCCAGAGGAGGCACTGTACTTTGCCACCAAGTCCAAGGCGGCGTGTGTGATTTGCTCTGCTTCCGCGGAGAAGCTGGGCAGTGACCTCGAGCAGCTCGTCAGGAAAGGCGACCCGAACAGTACCTTCAGACACGTACCCGTGGCACCATACCTCGGGAATGCGCCGTTGCACCCCGGCGAGATCTTCATCTCCTCCGACCGCTACCTCCCAGAATCCGATCCGGGCGTGGTGATATTTACATCTGGAACGAGTGGTCCGCCCAAAGGCGCCGTGATGCGGCGAGGCTTCATCCACGACACGGCTCTCGCAGTGGCAGACCACTACTCATACGGGCCGGAAGATACCCTGCTCCATCTTCTTCCAGTGCACCACGCCACGGGTATTGGCATCAACTACTTTCCCTGTCTCATAAGCGGCTGCGTGATCGAATTCAACAGTGGCTCCTTCAGCGCCGAATGGACCTGGGAGCGGTGGAAGCGCGGCGGCATCACCATCTTCTCCGGCGTGCCGACCATCTACATGCGCATGATGCGATATTTCGAACAGAAGCTGGCCTCGCGATCGGACGTGGACGAATATATCCAGGGTGCACGCAACATCAAGGCTTGCCTGTGCGGCACGTCGGCCTTGCCGAAACCTATTGCTGACTTCTGGGCCAAGATATTGGGGAAGCGAATCACCCTACGCTACGGCGCCTCAGAGTTCGGCGCGGTGATCAAAGTGCGGCTCGGCGATGAGAACGTGCCGGATGGATCTGTGGGCACGCTGTTCGCGGGCTGCGATGTCAAGCTCCGCGACGAAGAGACGGGCGCGTATGGCGATCAAGGCGAAGTCGTGATACGATCACCCACGGGGGAGATGTTCGCAAAGTATCTGAATGATCCGGAGGCGACGAAAAAGGCCTTTACATCCGATGGGTACTACAGGTCGGGAGACATTGCCCGGAAAGAGGGGCCTTATTATTGGATCGAGGGCCGAGCATCAATCGACATCATCAAGTCCGGCGGATACAAAATCAGTGCTCTGGACATTGAGCGCGAGATCTTGGGTTTGGACTATGTTTCGGAGGTCATGGTGCTCGGCGTGGCCGACCTTGAGTTTGGCGAGAGAGTGGCGGCCGCGGTAGTCTTGAAGGCGCGAGGCGATCAGACGTCCAAGGAACCGGTGGAAGATCTTACAATTGACCGGCTGCGACAAGACCTTCGATCGCGACTTGCAGGGTACAAGATGCCGACGGTTTTGCGAGTCATGGACGAGGAGTTGCCCAAATCGGGGACGGGGAAGGTGGTGAAGAAGGTGCTGGGTCCTCAATTCTTTCCGAAGAACTACCTGGAGCTGAAGGAAGTACAAGCTTGGACGCCGCAAGAGAAAACAAAGGCCAAGCTGTAGACTCCGGCGGGATGAAGAAATTGAATGCTGCCGAGCGGAATCTCGATAGAGGCTCTTCGAGCTGTTGCATTTGAAGTAGACAATAAAGGCCCGTTGCCGCGAGACTGCTGCCGAGTCCTTCTGATCTTCATGAATCGACGCCGTTGACGATTTCTTGGCCATGGCGTAACGTCATCCTCATCCACCGTTCTTGAATCCCTTAGGCACACACGAGAGTCATCGCAGGTGTTGAACAGCCACCACTGCATACTCCTCAGCTGGCTGTTGCATATTTGGCCTTGCGTCGCTCCATTGCCTCTCGATCTGCTTGAGTCATCCAACCCGGATGGCCGCCCGCTGCCTGTGGGGTCCGTTCTCTCACTCCGCCTCCGCCTCGTCCTCCTCTACCAGGTCTTCCGCGTTGAGAGCTACCGCCCCTCTTTCTCACTCCACCATCGGCAGCCCCATCTCCACCGCGCTTCCGATCATTCGGGAGTGCTCTGTTGAGTAGACCGGGCAGAGCATCAGTGCCAAAGCGCTTCGCGCGCTCCAGTGCTTTGATCTCGTCATTGTCCTCTGGCAGCCCAAACTTGCGTGCGCGAGCCTTTCGCTTCTCAATCTCCTCATCAATGGTACGGTCGGCCAAGCCTGTAGCAAAGTCTCTCTCTTCTTTGACCGCTTCCTCCGCAGCGGGAGCAGGTGGGTCGACGGACAGGTCGTTTGTCTGGGCAGGGTCGATGGTGGCGACTTGGTTGGGAACAGCTTGTGGATTGCCGACTTCGCCCACACCGCCAGCGGCCAGCGCATCGGCGGCAGGTTGGGTGGTCGCGGCCTTTGCTGTCTCGGTTGCCGGTTCGTCGTCCCAGTCGATTTCATCATCCACGCCAGCTTTCTCGACTGCACCACCCGACGAAGCATCGTAGTCTTCCAGTCGCTTCACAAGCTCTGCTTTCTTGCCAGTATGAGCCAGACCGCGCTCTTTGCAGAGTGTTGCGAGCTCGTCATTCTTCTTTTTGGCGTAGTCGGCCATGTTGCTGTGCTTGTCGGAATCGAGATTCGCCTTCCAATCTCAGATCAGGATGACTGGGGTGAGGAAACCAGGATCAATGCTGAACCAACGTGTATTTGAAGCAATGGGGTGAGTGAGTTTGCAAGAGGAGGAATGTAAGCAAGTGAGGACAAACGAAAGAAGCGCGAACAGCTGGCGCGCGGATGAAGACGTGGAGCGTGAAACGATGGCGGGCCGGCCCGCCTCTTGTGTACCGCTAACCTCTTTCGGAAGCGCGTCTGTCACTTTCACTCCATCACGAACGACATCACTCGCTCACGCGTCCTTTACATCTCGACATGGCGGCCTCAGACGCAGCGGACGCTCCTCCAGCGCCATCGCGCTCTCCCTCACCACCCATCGCGCCCCCAATCGCCTCTGCGCCAGGACCACGTGCGACGGCCCTCCAAAAGCTTTACGCCGATGCGACAGCACACATCCTCAAGACTTGCAGCTATGCCAACTTTAGTGCTTGCTTTCCCACGATGGCGCGCGAAGCTTCCGACTCCCTCAAGCTGCTCCATCAAGATTTCACCGAAGGGCTTGGAGAATACTGGCGCACAAACTTCGAATCGATCCTGGACAACCGAAATGTCGTGGCGAGTTTGAACGAACTGGATAGTCTCATCGAGGATGCGAGACGGCGGAAGAAAGGCAGCGCTGGCGACGCGTCCGTACCGTGAGTTTGAGATTAACGGCGAACCGCTGAAGAGAGCCTGACAATCTTGCAGACCCCACACGCTTTCTGCACAACAATTATACCTCTCCCACCTTGCCCCTTCTCTCGCCGTATACTCCCAAGAGATGAAAGAGCGTCAGGATGCCGTGCAGGAGGACAACGTGGAGCTTTTGGGCCGAGTAATGCAGCAGCGAAAGGAGATCGAGGCGCTGATGAAAGGGCTGGAGGGAGTTGCTGCCGACCTCGATGCCAGCGTGACTGCATTAGATTCCGAGGCCGCAGATCTCGAGAGTTCGAGGGATGCGGTCAGAGATGTGGACACGGACATGCGGTTGACCGCTTGATGTTTTTGATGATACCCATGTAATTTTTACAAGCCGAAGTTTTGACTCCTGCTCTATGGCGTGCATGATCCAATCACTTCCCCTTATTTTCCGCCCTCTCGATCGCCAGTCCACTCTCCACCGCTCAACAAGTTCACCAGTGCTCCATTCCTCCTCAACAAGTCATCGAACCCGCCCTGCTCCACAACCCTTCCATTCTCCAACACCACCACACTCTCCGCAATCTCCATCATCTCCCGACTATGCGTGATAATGATGACCGTCATCCCTCCTCCGCTGACCTGATCTCTCTCTCGCACCAGTCTCTCGATCGTCAGTCGCACGAGCCCGGCCGACTCAACGTCCAGCGCCGACGTGGCTTCGTCCAGTATCAGGACAGCAGGCTTACGCACGAGCGCACGAGCAATGGCTACTCGCTGCGCTTGACCGCCTGAAAGTCCGATCCCGCCATCTCCAATGACCGTAGCGTAACCGTGAGGGAGGCTTTCGATGAAATCATGGATGCCAGCCAGTGCTGCTGCGGCGGAGATCTGCGCGGGATTGTTGTACGGCGAAGTCGATGGCAGCCCATAAGCGATATTCTCTGCTACTGTAGCTGGGAAAAGGGTCGGGGTTTGAGAGACAGGGACGATGAGAGAGCGAAGGGAAGATGTGTCGATGCGCTTAATGTTGCGGCCGGCCAGTACTAGGTCATTGGCCCGGGCAAAGCCAGCGGTGAAGTGTGGCTGAGTGGTGTAAAGGTTTAGCAGTAAGCTCGCGATGGTGGACTTCCCAGATCCCGATCCGCCGACAATCGCAGTACACGTGCCGGGGTGGATGTGCAAGCTTAGATGTTTGAGCACAGTCTGCTCGGCGCGCGACGGATAGCTGAATTGCAGATCGTTGAATGCAATATCCCCGACGGTGTGTATGCGCGTGTTGCCCATGTGCTCGTGTGAAGCCGTGGGCAGTTGAGCAAGTCGAAGCACTCGTGACGCCAGGTCCTTGGAAGCGGTGATCTGAGGAATGTACTCGAGGATGGCATTCAGGTTGGTGATGGCGAAGACAAGCAAGACGAAGACTTCGACAATGCTTTCGGCCGAGGCGCCCCTGGTTACAAGCCATGCGCCGACGTAGTAGATCATGGCGATGCTGAGGTTACCGGCAGAATCAGCAAGCCCGTAGAAGAAGCCGGCAAAGAAAGCTCTGCGAAAGCCGATCCGCAGCGCATAATCCGTGGCCTTGGTGTACTTGTCGATAAAGCGTTGTTCAAGAGTGAGAGCGCGCACAGTTTTGATGTTCGTGAACGTCTCGGTGAAGATTGCGGCCGCATCATCAGAAGCATCATTGCTCAACTTTTCCCACTTCTCGCTGACCACGCTGAACGCCTTCGTGACACCAAAGATGTACGGAGCCGTGGCGAGGGCGACAAGTGCCATCTTCCACTGTGCCAACATTGCCCAGATGACGGAGACGGTGCACATGAGAGCGGCAATCCAAACTAGTGCTGAGAAACGTCCAAGAAGGTTGCGCATCTCCTCAGCATTACGATCCAGGCAACCTGTCAGCCGAGAGACCGCATTTTCTTCTTCGTCGAAGAAGGCACGGGGTTGGTCGAGGATTTTCTTCATGGCTTGAGTGCGGATGCTGTCGATCCAGCATTGGCCAGCATATTCTAGTGAAAAGTGGAAGACGTATGTGCTGAATGCGTCAACGCAAGATATCCCCAGAATCACCATGGAGTAGATCAAGGACCTGTGGCTGTCTCCTCCCGGGATAGAGTACAACTTCAGCAACTTCGAGAGCACGAAGGAGAAGACGGGTGTGCTGACGGCGTGGATGCTTGCACCAATGAAGCCTGTAATCAGACATGCTCTCGCGCGCCAATCCACGTGTGGCCACAAGGTACTCAAGATCTGTCGCAGTGACTGTGTGCGAACGGATGGCTGTGCTGCGCAGGTATTCCTCTGCGTCTCTTTGGTACGATAATACGATTTCGCAGCAATGGCGTCAAGGTCAACGCGTTGCCTCTGTCGAGGTGAATCCGTCGTCATTCTGGAAGCGGCAGCCATTCTTCCGGTCCGTTGTACGAAGTTCTCAAGGGCATTCGACAGTCTCTTGCTGCTCCTTTTCGTCCCTGCATCGTTGATGAGGGCGAGCCCCTCTGTCTCAGTCCAATCGCCAGACGATGGAGCTGTGGGTGATATATCACCGGGGAGCGCCCACGGCGGCGAGCGCATCCAGGGCGAAGCAAGGGCGTTGTTGCGTAATCGCAGCCCTATCAACGGACTGCCCTCCTGGAATAGTGTCGGTAGCACAGACGATCTCTTACATTCGAAAGCTTCGAATTGAGCTTCCAGAGGGTCATACGCAGCGTAACTGACAGGTCTCGACGGCCGATTCTGAGTGAAGCCCTGCATCGTTGTGTAGTCGAGGCCATTCCTTTGTTGAAGGTCTTGTGGTGCTGTAATTGTTTCCGGCCCCTCCGTGAGGAAGCCTTGGAACGGTGTGTCTTTCAATCGCTCCATGTGTTTCCGATAGCCCTCCTGAACCAGACTGCCCTGCTCCAGTACGTACACATAGTCGTCCGATAGGATTTGCGATATGTCATGCGTAATAACGATGGTAGACTTGCCTCTCCGCCATTCTCGGATAGCGTCCATCATCAAGGCACGGCTGATGTGGTCCAGCGCACTTGTCGACTCGTCCAGAATGAGGATTGGGGTGTCCCTTATACGTGCTCTCGCCAAAGCTACCCGCTGGCGCTGCCCTCCAGACAAAGAGCTTCCTTTGTAGCCGACGAGCGTTTGCATGCCGTTCGGCAAGTCGTAGATCATCGATCTGAGTAATGCAAATTGTGCAGCCTCGTCCACCTGGACACTGGTCACACCGGCCTCTCGTTTGCCCAGGGCGATGTTCTGAAAAACAGTGTCGTTGAACAGCGAGCTGGTCTGCTCGACCAACGTTGTGTTATTGCGGAGCCAGCCCACTTCCAGCACATCCAGATCGTAGCCATCAAGGCTGACACGGCCGTGAGATGACAAGTAGAACCGCATCAGCAGCTGTCCCAGCGTACTCTTCCCCGACCCACTCCTACCCACGAGGAATGTCATCTCTCCGCCTGGGATGTATAGGGAGACGTTCTGCAGGGCTGGTTGCTCGGGTCGCGACGGGTAGGAGAAGGTCAGATTCTTGACTTCGATATCACCCCGACAGCTTGCAGGGACCAAGTTTCCCTCAACACGCCGATTTTCGTATTCGTATTGCATGTCAGCCATGACCGCGCGGAGCATCGAGCCTGCATTCCTGCCCTTCTCCAGAACGATGAGCTGAGGCAAGACGCTGTTGATGGCCTGGAAGGCGTTGATGGCTGACATGAATGTTGTGATGACGTCCGCTGTACTTGTCTCTCCTCTAGCGATCAAAATGCCGCCGTAATAAAACCCCTGAACGAACATCGACACGGATAGCAGCACCACCAGGCCGAGTTGCAAGGCATTTGAATGTGCGGCGCGGAAATACCACTGTGCAGCGCTGGAGATGGTTGTGGCATACTTCTTTTCCTCGACGTGCTGACCGTTGAAACACTTGACAGTTTCAATGGCGGAGAAAGCATTGGCGGCGTGCTTCTGCGCTTCGGTAAGGAGTTGGCTTTGTTGATCGAATGCCTTTTGCATACCCCTTCCAATCCAGACGGCGCCAAGAATGACAAGTGGTGTGGTAGAGAGCGTCACCAGGGTCAACTTCCAGGAAAGGACAACAGCCTGGATGAGTGATAGAAGGGCGGTGGATGCGGTACTCGCCAGCACTCCAAGGGGCTGTGAAGTAGCCAGCTGTAGTGCGCGGATCTGCGTTTGAAGACGGGGCAGTAGAGCGGCGATGCCATGCTTGCGCAGATCATACCATGCGATCTCTTTTTTCAGCAGACCATAGAACAGTCTGTCCCTGGCGCTCTTCGCCTGCAACTCACCAAACGAGACCCAGAGGGCGAGCTCGGCGTACAGCGCAATCCAGGACACGCCGGAGATGATGAGCAAGTACAAGACGTAGTTCTTCTCCTGCTGCATGAAGTCATGCTTTGTAAGTTGACCCGCTGCGTAGATCGTAAGTCTGTCGAAGACTCTTCCGGTAACGAAGGACTGCGCAGGCAGGACGGCACCGGAGATGATGGAAGCCAAAGCACCCGCCACAAGCACAGGTACATTTGCCCGAGTGGTGAAGAAGAAGAGGGCACGCCACGGCGCAGAGATGTCATCTTCTTTGTCGTCTGTCGATGTCTCGCTGTCAGGATGAGGTGGTTTGGGTGGATGTGAGCTTGCGTTATTGTTGGATTCAACACCGCCGCCTTCATCGGTGAAGACGACAGATCGCATTGCATGGCTTTCACGGGGGATGCCATGCGCAGGACGGGTTCGAGGGGCACGAGGGGCTGATTGATTTGTCGTGATGGAGAGATGGCTATCCTAGATAGGTACCGCAGGGGGGAGCTCCCGATCGAGTGAGGTTGAAGGGGTGCGAAGGTTGCCCTTTGTGGAAGTCCGAAAGGAGATGACGGAGGGAGGCGCTTAGTATTGTTCTCCCTCCCCATAAAGCGGTTTTCTCACATTCCTCCGACTTTTAACCCTTCTTCTCGCCCACCCTCCAACCATGTGTCCTCCAATAGTCCACATCTACCGCGATCTCGTGAAGAAGGGCCCGGACGGCGACCACCTAAGGCCCCTCACCCAAATCTGACCTCACCCTCTCCTGTCACCGGCGAGCTCGTCCGATCACGTCCTTCCTCACCGTCGCACCGGCGACCACATCACCAGCCTCGAGCAAGTGTCGCACCTTTGAGAGCCGGATCGTCGACAGCAGGGCACGCGGGTTTCATGATGATTTCCCAGCGCTCGCCTTCTCGGAAATCCAGTCGTTCAGACCTGCGCGATTTCTGCACCCTCATGAGTCGCTGAGCAGGTTCACATGTCTCGATTCTCCACTTACCGCGCAATCTCAATGGCGTAGAATTGCATCCGTACAGCTACAAGGGTCATCAGCAAGGCGAAGGTGTACATCGCAGAATAGAGCATAGCAACCTACCAAAGATTGTTTCCTTCTCACCATACTCCCAAGCCGGGTTGGCGCGAATGATGGTGCCAAAGTTGTAGTCCTCAATCTTGTTCTCGTATGCGTTGATAAACGTCCGCCACTTCTCCTTGCCGTCCTTGCTCTTCATCTCGTCCTCGTTGATCGTTGCTTTGAGGTCGAAGTCGGGGAATTCCTTGTTGAAGTGCTCGAGGATCTCGTCATCGCACTTGGTGAGGCGGAGCTTGGAGCCTGGGATCTTCTCCAGGATGGCCCAGTAGGTGTTCATGTGTTCGACGACTATCCCGGGTCTCATTAGCATCGCCATACGTCGGATTTGAAGCGCATGCACCACGGCTCACCTTTCACGGCGAACTGCTTCTCGATTTCCTCATAATTCGGCGCTTCATCCGGGTTGATGGGTCCGGCGGGGCTTGTCAACGACATGTTGATTCTATAGCACCGACTGCGCAGAGATGAGTTGTTCTTGTAGTTTTATGCGGAACGCCGTACGTCAATGGCAAAGAGTTGAAGGTCGCTCTTGGCGCGCGGGAGTAGCCGCCTGGCATTCACTTTCCCGCCAGACCTCACTTGTCTTGATGACCACCTCATTTGTCCCTGTGACCGCCTCATTACACATGGCGGAGCGAAACAATCGGAAAAAGACGTCTCAGCAAATCATGTTACTTGTTGCTACACTTGAAAGCCTAGGAAGGCCTCGATACCTGCGAGATTCTTCAGATATGCTCGAGTACTATTCTTATCTCATGACTCGTGATCGCCACATCCCAAATAGTCAACTCCACTATCACCTCTGGGAATCAGGTAGGTAAACAGGACATTGCATTGTCACCCATCTTTCGGACTTCATCACGAGCCCTCCGCTCTCGATTCCAAGAGCCACTTCTCCGGAAGCACCGGGCTCTCCTCGAGCCGAGTACTGGACTGCTCGATCGATCGACGCATCGCGATACGCATGGCGGGATGCGTTGTCTTCGAGGAAGTGCACTCCATTCGCGAGCTCTGAGATCGTGCATTGGCCGAACTTCCGAACTTCCCGTCGATGCTCTCATCCTCCCCGTCCAGTCTACTCCGCTCGAAGTCGAGTCGTGTGATCTGAAACCACGGCAAGCTTCGAAGCGGGTTGAAGAGTCCGGGCTTCGCCGTGGTAGATGAATGTGGAGAATGGCTCGGCGAGCGCAAGGACGAGAGTTTTTCGGAGAGCTTCGAAGACAGCGACTTCAGCGGATCCTGCAGAATCGACTTCCACGCTGGAGCACAGGCGCATATCTGCCGTTCCGTCAAGACGATGTCCAAGTGCAGGTCATGCGCTACTCACCATCCCCAGATGAATCTCCACTGCGGCGGCAACCCACAGCCAGTAAGCCCACCATGTCTCATCCCAGTTGGCGAGTAGACTATGGTCGTTAGCAAGGACCTCAATCGATTGGAATCATCACCACCGACCTTTTCCAAGTGAAGTACGTGCGTGCTGCACCCGCAATCGTTGCTACGCCACCCATGCAGAGCAAAACGGAAACTCCGATCCTTTGCCGTAGCGGCATCTGCAGCCGCATCACGATGGGAATGGGAAGGATGGTCGTCCACAAATCCGTCACCGAATTCACGACCCCTCCACCCAGCATGACCTTGCCTTCGCTCATGCAGTGGCCTGTGGGCGGGAACATCCAGTATCTATTCATGTCGGTCAGCCGCCTCGCTCACCTCTCCGTGGAATCCCATCAGGTTGGATTCTAGTGCGCAAGATGCGTTACTCACGATTGAACTGGCCTAACACTCCATCAGCGTCAACACTTCCGGGTCTTTGAAGCAGCATTCAACTCACGTGCATAGCCATATGGTCAGTACTATGAATGTGACACACACCGCCATGTTCCAAACCACGCTGACGTGCAAAGCCCCGCGGAACCACTTGATCTTGCTGTCCTTGACGAGCCGGTAGTAGAAGCAGATCAGAGACAGCCGAATGCACGTCGCCGCGAGCGTGAAGAGAATCTTGGCGGCGAAGGCGATCTTTTGCGCCGGTGGGATCATGGATGTCGCTTTGGCGGCAGTCAGTACCTGGCACGGAGGGGGGCTTCCATGACATGGATACTCACGCAAGTCATAGATGTGTCTGTCCCAGCCATACTTGAAGTTCGCAAGCAACACCACGGCAGTGAGACCGACGTCGAAGATCTGGAGGCGCACGCAGTGGTTAGTCCAAGGTATACATCCAGAGCTGCATGCTACCACTCCACTTACAAAGGCAGGGATGATGATGATATCGTCCGCTCCGAACCATCTCCGGATGTAAAGCCGCGAGTACAGCCTACCTACGACGGCGAGCGTAACAAGGGTGATTAGGATAATATTGATGATGAGCAGAGTCGGGCCGCGGGTATCGGGGTGAGTGTAGTTCGGTTCGGGGTAAGTCGCCCAGACGGCAGGTGGTGGAACTCTCATCTTTGACGTGTCAAGGGAGTGAATTCTCGCGGGAAGGCTTTGCTTTGCAAGATGTCGAAGACTAGGCCAAAAGGTGGTGATTGGGAGAAAGGGTGGGCAAAGGCGATTGTCGCAAGCATGCGATATCAGGAGCAAAAGCGACACACGCCGTGCTGTGGACGTGACGAGGGAGCGAGGGCAGTGGATGAAGGCATGAGCATCTCCCACACCGCATCGGCATCATATGCTTCTTGCGTCAGTGACCGAAAAAGGGAGAAGTGAAGTAAAATGGAACCAGAAGTGATGCATCGACTTGTGGGTGCGCGCGCGCATGCCCGTGGGACAAGCAGACCGCTCACCAGCGCTGACATCCTCGTCCAAGGCATTCCAAGGAACGCTGTCTCACTCGGGACAGCAGCACATATGTTCCACGGCGTTGAGATCCAGGTGCAGAGCACGCAAGCAGCAGGGCCTCGAGCCATACAGACACGAGGCATCGAGTCCAGCGGGGCTGGTCGGGCCGGCATTCAGCTGTCTTATTCCGCACCCATGATGCCAGCGGAACGGCGGTGTCGAATGGCCATCCCGGTCGTGGAGGGCGGCTGCATGTGCGAATGCACGTCACGAGTTGGGTCCCAGGGCCGAGCATTGTCAGACGTTGCATAATGCCAGTCTCCACATTTGCACGACGCTGCTGTGCAACACGCCGACTCGAATCAGATGGCGTCAACTTTGTACGACGCGGAGAAGGAATCCAATGGGGCTAGAAATGTTTGCAAGAAGCACAAACTATGCCTGCTCTGCTGTTCAGCTTGCCCAAAGAGAACATTGCGCCGACGGAACAAGGGTGGACAAGTCTAGAGTGAATAGTGATACATACAGAATCCCACCAATCTCACTCTATCCTCGCATGCGCCGTAGATTTTCCACAAGCAGAATCCGAGGGAGCCGTGGCCGAACGTCTGGATACAACCCTGCCACAGACCATCGAAAGCCAGACACGATGTCGCGGTACGGGTGATGATTACTTTACTCCTCCATCTCTTCGTCGTCGTCGTCCTCCTCGACTTCGAACTCCTCAGGCACCGGCGCCTCCTCTCCGCCTTCCTCGTCTTCGTCTACCGCGGTCAACACGCCGACAGCCGCTGCCGCTCCACCAGTCCCCAGAACCTCGCCGAGTCCGCTGGCGCCAGCGGGCCCGCCATTTGCCGTGGTCCTACCGGTGGTGGGTTGAGGAGCAGGAGGCGAAGTCTTCTTCTTCGCCTTGAGTTCGACAAGCGATTTCTCTTCACCAGGCTTCGTGTCGAAGAGAAGGATGGGACCACCGGTGGGCTGGCGACGATGTTAGCAGGAGCGACAAAAAGCATGCGGACAAACACATGGCACTCACCTTCTTGACGGGCTGGTACCGCCCATCCTGCGGGAAGGAGATGTACTTGATCTGACCCGGCAAGACGCGGCTCATATTCTCCAGGTCGTAGCCCACCTTCTCCTTCTCCACCTTCTTCCTACTGCTCTCTTTGTCGCCGTCCTTCTTCTCCTCCTCCTTGCCCGTCTCGACGACGTTTGAGTCCTCATCCTTCATCTCAGCATCCGCGCCATCCGCTTTAGGCGTGGTGGGCGTGGGGTCGACGTCCATCCCCTCTGCCCGAGCTTTGGCCAGCTTTCTGCGCTTTGCTTGCGCCGTCGTCGATAGCACAGCCGTCTTGACCTTCTCCGGCGCTTCCTCGGCCTTGACTTCCTGCTCAGGTGGGTAGTCGAACAGGCTAGGTCGCGTGTTGCTGTGGAATTTGAAAGACGGAATCTCCAAGTCTTGGTCCACGCCGGTTATACTGGTCGGCGTGAATGTCAAGGACAGGAAATGCGTCAGTGGGAACCAGTACCAATACTGCGTAAACACTGCCATGCCAACAATCGCCTCCATATTGAGGTTGCCCGTCTGCGTTTGCAGGCTAATGGTGCAGTTCCGCCCACCGGCATCGATGATGCCGAGCGCCAAGGCGCAGCCAAACTTGGCCATGGCGTCTTCGTGTCGGTCGCCGATGATCTTCTGCAGCTCCCTCCGAATGAAGGTAACCTTGGGGTTCATCGCATCGTTCTGTTGAACGAGAATCATGGACAAGCTGATGAGGGCGCCTTGCCGGACAAAGTCCACGGTGTCCTTCATCATTGGTTCGAGAAGGTCGACGGCGGCCTCGAGGCCGGTGCCGGCGCAGGCGATGCCCAAGGCCATAGTGGCACCATATCGCACATGCGGATTATACGACTCCGACAGCAGCTCGACCATGCGAGGCACCGATCCCGGCTTGCGGAAGAGCACGAAGCCGAGACTCATCACGGCGACTCTCCGCACATCATCGCTGACATCGCTGACGGCGATATGTAGGAGTCGGCGCACAGCCTTGTTGCTTCCACTCCCGCAGTACGCCAAAGCGATCGTCATGATGCCTCCGTATCGAAGAGCTGGGTCCGGATCGTCGAGCAGGCCGTTGGAAAGCTGATCCGAGTTCTCCTGTCGGGCATACATGATGAGCGCCATGCCCATGGCCAGTCCTCGTACGATCTTCTCATGCTGTGTGTCATGTGCATACTGGATCATGTCTTGTACAGCTTTCAAGTTGCCTGTTCCCAGCATAACAAGACCCATGGCCAGGCCGACAGCCTCTCCATTGATTGCTGAGTCCTGGTACAGCACATTCTTGAGCGCTTCGTAAATCTGCTCGGACCCGGTGGCCATGCCGGCCACACCCAGGCCAAGAGCACCGCCGTGTTGGACCACCTCTTCTTGCGTCGCAGCAAATTGCCTTTGCAGGTAGTCGAGCACATGCGTTCCGTGGTTGGCATATATCAGACCCAGGGCGTACAAGGAACCTCCTTGGCTGTACGTACTGCCCGCGCCAGCCGTGGGGTGCTCCTTTGGTAGATACGGCTCGAGTAGTTTCTGTCCCTGCCCGATGTTGCCCCTGTGTATCACACCAAGTGCGGCCGTGGCGGTGAATTTGCTCCAGTTGACAGCCTTCTGCAGCCACTCCAGGTTATCTCTTAGCCACCCATCGATCATCGTGCCAGCGTTCATAAAGGCGTTGGAAAAGGTGATGGCGGAATGGAAGATGCTGTTGCGCGCTTCGAGCGAATCGCGGATCTTGTTCAGAATGGCTCGGTCGGTGCGGCTGCTCCGGTAGAGGAACTCGACGTTCAGCTCGATGCTCTTTGTGCCACGAAGGATGCTCTTTACTGAGGCGAATGCCTTGGCATCGTCCGCAGAGCCGGCCTCGGGCTTCGCTCTTGATGCCACAATAGTTTGCGGAGGGCCGGAGCTCTCCTGGAGTTCTCGCAGCAGCTGGTCGGATTCCTCGGAAGTGGCAGCCTCGTTTGGATGCACGATGGGTCGAACGGCGTTGCCATTCATGGTCGGCAAGTCGGTTTTGTCGGTCTCTTCGGTCTCTGGCAGCTCTTCGACGACTTTTTGCAAGAATTCCTGGGTGCCGTTCTCGTACAAATCAAAGGACAGCTGATACGCGATTGCCAAAGAGCGGCCGTCGCCCTTCTGAACAAGCTCTCTCAAGATCTTGGAGGCCATGCCGTGCTCGTTGAGGTAGACGACACATCGCGCGATGGAGAAGTAATCGGGGCTCGGGATGTCATTGAGGAGGTTGAGGATCAGCTGGAGGATTTGATTGCGCAGGCCTCGCTCCTGCACGACGTTCATGCAGATGTCCAGGACGTACTCCATCAAGTCGTCCGTTTGACCCGTCGCCACCTTCTTGCCCTTGCTCCTTTCATCTTGGCTGGAGCGGAGGATGGCTTCTCGCAGGACATCCATATTGCGCGCCTCCACTGCGATGCCGACCACTTGCTTGTAGGCGGCAACGTCGTAGCAGCTCTCGAACAGGCGGCGTACGATGGCGTGCAAGCTCTTCTTCACCGCGCCCGAGAGGGTGGAGGGGTTGGGATGGGCACCGGAGCCACCGGGGTGGCCACCACCCACATCGTGGGGGTCGAGCATGCGAGCATGGCGCGGATCGCCCTCCTCCTCCCCCTGTGCCAAGAGCGACTTGGAAGGTAGGGAGTCGTGGGAAAAGGGCAAGATCGGGGAGGTCTGGCTGGCGGTGGCGGTGGCGGGAGCGTTGGCGTCCTGGGTGTACTTGTCCAGGAATTCGGAGGAGCGCTTCTGCCTGATCAGTGGGACAGCGGGGTTGTCCAAGACGCTCAGGGCGATGTAGGTGTCGATGCATCGTGCCACGATGGTCTCCTCGTATTCGCCGGCGTTGGCAAGGTTGAAGTATTTGCCGGCGCCGAGGGCAAAGACCATGGACTCATTGTATTCCTGCAGTTGGTAGTAGACTTTGGAGAGGACGAGGGCGGCGAGTTCGCGATGCGAAAAGGTATCGTCTTCGTACAACGCTTCTCTGTGGGAGGAGAGGAGGGGTTAGCGAAGGCACACGCGGAGAGCACGGGGGGAAGGGCAAGGAAGAGTCGGGGGAGACATACATTTGGCCGATGGAGCCGGAGACCTCCGTCCAGACACTGTCGATTTCCTCATTGAGTCTTTCGAGAGCAAAAGCCTGCAAGACGGGGTCTGGCTCGGCGAGGAAGCCAACGAGGCCCGCGGCCGATGTCAATCCCACCATCGTGCCTCTGCTCAGCTCCTCCGCCCCGAAAGCTTGTGGATATGATGGGGCGTGTGCGTGCTGCCGGCGACGGTTGCGGATGAACGGGAGTCGATGAGGGAGGGTGATGTAGGCACGGGTGGGTGATGAGAAGGCGGCTCAGGCGCGGTGCCAGCTGCGATCCCGTGATGGAATGGGGGTCCGCCGAGCTCTGGGTGAAGGAGAGTGCGGAGAAGGAAGGGGAGAAGGGAAGGAGACGATGGCGCGAGTGGCGAGGAGATGGATACGGGCGAGGGAGTGATGGGGAAGAACAAGGCCGCACGGGATTGGGGAGAGCAACAATTGAATTGCACACCTCGCTCCAGGCGCACGCCGATGATGTCTGCTCGCGTTTCGCGCTAGCCGAAGCTTAATCCGTTCGGGCTGCTTCCATCGCATGCACCTTTCGATGCCACTTTGCCTCGTGGAATGCATGCAGGCGGCGCATTCGGAGTACATACACAGTCCCTACATGTAGACAATCCACGTAGAGAAGCGCTGATTCGTCTTCTCCTCTACTACAGCCCCCCCATGTCGTTGCAGCCGGAAGGAGCCAAGGCCGGCCTTTTGCTACCCGTCCCATCTCCGCGCGGATCGTTCCTGCCTCGCTCGCGGGTGGTGTGGAATAAAATATTGTAGACGCAAACACCACTCCTGCTGCCACCCCAACCCCCATCGCCATCCACCTCCCACGCTGCAATCGCCGCTTGCCGTGCCCTTCACGATCCATTGCATCCCGACATCCCTCCTCGCGCCACAGTATTCCGTCCTCGCGCCACGTCACGCCCGGCAAACGCTTCTCGTGCAGGAGACAAGAGCCCGCAAGGGACAGCCATCGCCGGAAGCAGCCACCACGGACAACAGTGCTTGACAGGGTGTATATGGAGGTGTTGGCCTGCGTGTACGGTGGATCCGGCGTCTGTGTAATGCGCGCCAGCATCCGGGTTCAAGAGTAGGGCCTTTTGGAGGACACCAGCTAGGCCAGGCCAGGCCAGGCCACACCAGGCGCGATGGATATCAAGGGCATTCTTAACGACCATGCCCCCGATACGGCCACCAGACAAGATCGCCCCGGCTCGCGACACAGCCATACCCCTCCTCGTCCGCCGCCCCAGCTCGCGACAACCTCCCACCCCCCGACCCCGTCCAACTACGCGCTGCACGCCAACCCGCAGCAAACTCCTCTGTACTCCCGCTCTTCCGCCAGTCCCGCCGGCCCGCCCTTCATCCACGCCCAAACACCTGGCCACACGCCCTCCCAGGCTCCCGCAAGCGCACACCACTACTTTCCCCAGCAGCATCCCGCCCTAGGCAGCCCGGGGGGCGCCTCTCAGCACCATCCATACGACCCCACCCGTGCCAGACCCGTCTCCCACGGCTACCCATATCCTCCTCCCTCCGCTGGAACCACACCGGTCGCTACGTCGGGCCTGCATGTTCACCCAACCTCCTCGCAGTCGCCCACCCCGCCGTCCCATGCGTCGTACGGCGCGCGACAAAGTCCGGTGTCTGCCAGGCCCCAAGCACCCTCCCAAATCCCGGTTCAGCATGGGCATCACTATCCCCACCAGACGCCTCCTCTTGGCCCGCCACCCGTCCAGCATCGACCCACAGGACCGCCGGGAATGCAGAGCCCGTTCCATCCCCAACAGCATCAGCGTGCCATCTCCACCGCTTCAACTGAAGTCGCTTCGCCATGGCCGTCCGCGAGAATGCAGTACGCCGCATCGCCCGGCGCTCCAAGCCGTCCGTCTTCCATCGAACATCCGTCGGGCGATTACGTAAACCAGACGCACCGCGAGCGCAGCGAGTCCGTGAGCCCCAAGACGAGAGTGCCTCCTCGCCGACCGTCTCTTGAATCTCGCCACAGCAGTAGTCAGCAAACGCCCCTCGGCCATCGTAGCTCTGTCCCACTCAACGCCGTCATTCCGCTAGCTTCGCCAAGTCAATCGCTGCATCATCCTCACCATCCTCATCATCCCTTGACGGCGGACAACGTAGCACGGACACCCATGCCAAATGCGGCAAGTGAAGTGTCACAGGCCACAGGTCTCCCAGCTGACGCACCTGCGACCCCTTCACTTGTCGTCGCCTCGGATGCTGCGACTCCTGCCTCCCAATTACCACAACGTCCGCCTCTAATTCACCATTCGAGTTCGAAGATGGGTATGAATCACCTCTTGACGCCAACCACCGAAACGGCGCCAGTGGCGAACGGCAGTGCGAGATCACATGTCGACGTGGAAATGAGGATGGACATGCCCAGCAAGCAAAGCGACGGCTTTGTGAAACCCAGCCCAAAAACAGGATTCTCGGCCCCCCCGTCGCAAGCGGCGTATTTCGATGGCCGGAGCGTGCAAGCATCTGCGCTTCCTACTGCGCCGCCTCCCGCTGATGCACGCGCGGGTCAGAAAAGGTCTGCCGGGTCTGACATCGCGGATGGTCCCCCAAGCAAGCAGCGGAGGACGCGAAAACCCATCGAACGACCAATCTGGGCCAGGCTATCGAAGCACAATCCCCGGTTTCATCAGCAGGATGTCGCTTCAGCGCCACCCCAGCACATGGCTCCCACTCCTCAGCCCAACGGTGACCCATCGCATAGCGCCGGTGGAGGCCCATCTCCAGCGAATGGCTTGGGCTCTGCGGAGCATCAGCCATGGCTGCTCAACCCCCCCGTCGATCACGACCTCCTGCACGCAAGGCATGTGTTGGGCGAATGGGAGAAGACGATCAAGTGGAAGACGCCATACCCGGGCATACTAAAAGCGATCCAGGACTGGCTATACACCCAGCTGGGCCAGCTTCGTGACGTGGCCCGAGACCCACGCGAAGGCATGGTTGAGATCGAAGCCAAGTTTGGGACTCTGATGCGAGATGGCGAGAGGTATCAGTTGCCTGTATTGAATGCCTGTGTGATCAACCCACAAGCCAATAGCAGACTCCATTTTGAGAGCACAATGAGTGTGGTAAGGGCCATCTGCTCCTTCATCCTGGCGACCCTGACGTGTCGGCGCTAATCCGTGAAACAGCTCGAGCACAAGAGCGCCAACGAATTCCTCAACGAGACGATCAAGCAATCGATGCTGCCCGGACGCGTCAAGATGAACTACGTGCATCTGTACGAGACCGACTCCTTTTACGCCCTCTCCGACGCCGGGCAGCAAGCTCTCCCGCGATCTATCCAACAACGACAAGGGACTAGAAAGCCTCGCCTCCGAGTCACCCGGCGCCACGCCAAAGACGGCTCCAACGCCATCGTTGCACGCATTGTCAAAGTTTCCATCGCCAACCTGCACATCTACAACCCGGGCGACAACTTCGACTGCCGCATCTCCATCAACCTCGAAGTCAACCTCGACCGCCCCGATCTGGACCTGGACTCACTCATCTCCCAAGATCCGCAACAGCAGGTGCAGGAGGTGGATCGCAAGAAGGACCGCGTGGCGTACAAGCACCTTGCTTATTCCATCGACCTCACCAAGGTCGAGAGACAAGGACTTGAAGCCAGTCATGAGTTGGAGCTCGAAGTCGATTCGACACTTCTGCGCGAGCAGTTGGAGCTCTTGGGGCAAGGCCGTGATAATGCGTTTGGTGACATTGTGGGCGGCTTCTGGGACAATGCCGTCTTCTTGATGGACAAGCGCACGCAGCAGAACCAAGCCGCGCCCAGGCCCTCCGCTGCTGCTTAGTAGAGACAAGGGGGCTCTGTTCACGATATTCGCTTCGCACATGCGTGAGAGTGTACCCGACCGATCGGCTTGCGCGGTTGGATAATCATACACCTCAGCCGACCGTGGTCGGAGGCAAGACATTTCTATACAACGCCGGTCTACCAGGCTTCGCCATGCTGTACATAAATCTCACCCTGCACGCCCTCGCATTTCTCGCCAAGCTTTCAATCAAACGAAACAAGTTCAAATCGAGTGCGTACTTCTCTTCCGTTCCAGGTCATCTAGGTTGCCGGAGTGGGGGTCGTCGTCCCATCTGCCTTTTCGTCTCGATGATGAAACATGTGTCGATGCGCGGGCTTCTCCTTCTTCTTTTCCTCCTTCTTCTCCCGCTTTGCGGTTGCTTCGGCCATGAGCTGCTCGAATGCCATGTAGTCTCCCTCTTCGTCCGGGTCTCTTTGCGCCTGTACCGCATGTAATAATCAGCCACCCGTCCTCGCATCAAAACTTTATCGAGCCTTACCTTTGCAAAGATCTCGCCCACAATGACCAACGCTTGCGCCCTCTCCGCTCTCTTGTCCAACTTCACTTTCTTGTCGTACAGCACATTGTCACACACGTCTCGCAGCACACTCTGGATCTCGAATTTGCTCCCGCGCCATGCGGCAGCCAGAATCTTACCGGTGACCCGCTTCTCATACTCCGCCTTGCGCTCGTCCGTCCACTCGTCACCACCCTTCTCCTCCGCGCGCGCCATCTCTTCGATCTCCATCTGCGCTTGAATGGCCGTGGACACCGTACCCCAGGTGTCCTTCACCATCGAGCCCTTGTCCTTTAGTCGGCTGAAAAAGCCGGATACGCCACCAATGATGGGCTTCTGGGATTTGAGGAAGGTGGTGGCCTTGGAGACGTACGTATGGCCGATGGCGTGCAGGATCTCGATGCCAAAGGACTCCATTTTGAGATTCTCGACTTCGAGGCGCATCTTCTCGCGGAAGGCGTGGGTGACGTCGGGACCCTTGTCCGTTTCGGTCCAAACGCTGATGCGATCCACGAGTTTTGATGACAGCGAGGTGACGCGTTCCTCGCGAATACGCCGCCGTTCCATCTCGAAAGCCGCCAGCTCTTCCCGTTGCTCTTTCGTGAGACCACCGCGCTTCTTCTTCTCTTGCAGTCTCTTCTCCTCCTCCGTCATACCGGCAGCCGTTTGAGCCGCTTCCTCCTCGGTCTTGTCGGTGATGGCGAGGCGTGTCGGGATGCCTTGAGGCCTGGGGGTCGATGCACCCGAGCCCGGTTTTGAGTCGCGGATGGGGATCTCCATAGTGGCGCCGGCGGTGGTGGATTGATCTGGCACAGTCTCTGCCTGGGGCTGCGGGACGCCGGCAGTGGTGGTATGTGAGGTCTGTTGCGCTCCCGCGGTCTCAGGGGCCGTGGTGGCTTCTGCATGCATCTGATTCTCCTCTTCCATCTCGCGCGTGGAGATTTCCATGCTCTTGGTGAGATCCTTCATCATCGATATCTCGCCGATCCAATCTTGAAAGGCCTCCCCACCGAAGATCATGGCGAAGAACTCGGACGGGTCTTCAAAGCCCGAGTCGGGCTTCGCGCCCTCCTTGCCCAGCTTGTCATATTGTTTTCGGAGTTCGGGATCGCTGAGGACCTGGTATGCTTCGCCTACTGTCTGGAATTTTTGGTGTGCGGTTGGGTCATCAGGGTTTTTATCTGGGAGGAAAGGTCAGTCTGCTGCGCGCCAGGCCATGCGGGTCAGGATGGAACAGACCAGGATGGAGTTGAATAGCAAGTTTTCGGTATGCTTTCTTGATTTCAATCTCTGTTGCGGTGGGCGGGACCCCAAGGGCATCGTAGTACGTGGTATCGACGACCATGGCGTGTTGTGGGTAAGTGCGCAGGAGCTAGGTAACGCGTCGGCGGCGACTCATGCACTGCTGGGTGGGGGACGAGATGGAGGCGGCTGGTGGTGATGCGGAGGTGAGATCAGGTAGAAGAAAGAAGAGATCGCAGTCTCACAGTTGGACGCGCAGGCTTCAAGTTTGCGTCGAGTGACGTGTGGGCCGTGGTTGTTCCGCCGCGGCAATCTTAACCGCTTTTGATTAAGACCTCCGTTTAAGCTTAACGGCGCGTTTCACGCATTTGATGACCACACTCTTCGCAGCTTCACCAGGCGCCTGCAGCTCCTCTCCCACATACAAGGCTGGTCCAGCGTGCGAGCTGGCAAAATGGAACTGGAAGTCACTTATCTGTTCTTGCAGGCGTCGGTCTCGTCGTAGGCTCCTTCAGCCTACTCTTTAGCGGCTATTCTGCCATGCCATTCCGGCTTCCACCACGATGATACGATGTGCATGCTTGCTTGCATATTCTCCGCCTCGGTTCTTCTTGAAGGCAAGGCCAGGAAGGGCAGCGAGATGGCTCCATCCAGTTTTCAGGCCACGGGACTTTTCCTCAACCTCGATTGCCAAAGCGGCCCTGCCTCACTCGCCTCTCTTCGATGCCTTGCGGCGCCACGACCCCGATAGCACAGCCATTGTGCATTCGCGCTCTCAGCGGTCCTTTACATATGGATCTCTCGTACACGACGTGGCCGACGCAAAGGACCGATTGTCCACGCACATTGGAGAAAGTCTGGCTGCCAAGTCTATTGCCTTTATGGTGGAGAACAGCTACGACTATGTAGGTATGCCATCTCCGAGGACCACGCTGCGTAACGGCATGCGCTGGCAAATGTGCTAATTAACGTAGTCACACTCCTTGCCCTTCTCGCATCCAACGCCAGAGCGGTGCCTCTAGCGCCCTCTTTGCCCCCTGCGGAACTGAGCTATCTCCTCGAGCACAGCGAAGTATCGGCCCTTGTGTCGTCGGCAAAGTATGATGCATTGGCCTTGAAAGTGCTCAAGGACGGCGGCGGCAAACCGCTGAGGCACGTCCATATTGGTAAGCTGCTGACCGGCTCAACAATCCGAGACGACATCTCCTTCGATGGACACGTAGACGTGACAGGAGGCATTATGCTTTATACGTCCGGCACAACCGCTCGACCCAAGGGAGTCTTACTGGATGAAGAAGTCCTCATGGCTCAAGCGAATAGTCTGATCCAAGCTTGGAAGTACTCTGCAACCGACCGCCTACTCCACGTCTTACCACTCCATCATATTCACGGCATCGTCAATGCACTTGTCACGCCACTGTTCGCGGGAAGTTCCATCGAGTTCCTCTTCCCGTTCACGCCCGATGCCGTCTGGCGCCGCTTGGCTCAACCTTTCCTGCCGGACGACCAGCCACCGCAACACCAGAGAGCGCCAATTACGTTTTTGACTGCTGTTCCGACAGTCTGGGCTCGACTTCTGCAGACTCACCAAGACCTACCACCAGAAGTCCAGAGGGCAGCAGATGAAGCGATTCGTCGAGAAAACCTGCGTCTGAACATCTCGGGCTCGGCAGCTCTACCTGTTCCTGTCAAGCAAGCTTGGTCGCATCTTTCAAAGGGCAATGTACTGCTTGAACGATTCGGGATGACAGAAGTAGGCATGGCGCTCTCTTGTGGCCTTGCGGATGTGGATCGCATCGATGGATCCGTCGGCTGGCCTCTTCCCACGGTCGAAGCCCGCCTGGTCGACACCGATACCAACGAAGTACTCTCCAAGGATCGCTCCGAAACCGGTACGGCCAAGGAGCGTTCTGGTGAAATCCAGCTTCGCGGGCCTACGATCTTCAAAGGATACTGGTGTGATGAACAGGCTACACAGAAGGCTTTCACTTCCGACGGATGGTTCAAGACGGGAGATATCGCTGTGCAGCGACCTGTGTCTGGCACTGGCCTTGGTCACAGCGCTGGCGACCCATATTTCATCCTCGGCCGCGAGTCGGCCGACATTATCAAGATGGGCGGCGAGAAGATCTCTGCGCTCGAGATTGAGCGCGAGCTCCTGTCTCTTCCGCAGATTCAGGAGTGCGCGGTAGTGGCCTTACCATCCGAGACCTGGGGCCAACAGATTGCAGCAGTCATGGTGCTCAGCAAAGAGGGCAAGACCGCGGGCACAAACGGCGCAGCTTGGACTGCGATGGACATGCGACGGGCGCTCAAAGGCCGACTGATCGCTTACAAAATCCCTCGGCGTGTTCGAGTTGTTTCGGAGATCCGAAGAAACGCGATGGGCAAAGTTAACAAGAGAGAGCTGGTTGCCAGCGTTTTTGACTCGGCCAAGGGTGGTGGCGTGTGATTGGTCAATTTGGCAGCAAGTCACGGGAACTCGCTGACGAAGCGCGTTTTGACTCACCGCGACAAACACGACCTTCAAAAAGACGTCGCGACTCCGGAGATACGGAGTATTCGCCAAAGCACATTCGCGACCGCGTTGCACATCACAATTTGTATCAAACGCGCATTCGTCGCTGGGAGCCGGAAGTCTCAAAGCCTGCCACCGCAAATCGCCATGGCTGCCGCCGAGGTCAAAGTGACCGAGTTTCAATCGCGTGTCTACGCTCTGCTCAAGCAGATTCCAAAGGGCAGGGTCAGTACCTACGCGGAAATGGCAAAGGCGTTGGCGTCCAGTCCACGCGCCGTCGGCGGAGCGCTGCGAGTCAATCCGTTTGCGCCCGAGGTGCCGTGTCACCGTATCATCCAGGCAGACGGGGTGAGTGGTCTCTAAATCCTCCCGCATATGTCCATCAAACATGCGACTGACAAGACGATGACTCGCAGTACGTGGGCGGCTTCAAAGGCGAATGGCAAAAGGCGCCAAGCGGGGTGAATCAGAAGATGAAGATTGATATATTGAGGGACGAGGGCGTGCAATTTGATGCGAAAGGCATGCTCCTGGACAAGACAAGCCTGTGGGCGGACTTTCGGTGAAGCGTAATCGTTTGATGATGTGACGGGGTGGCATGAGAGCGCGGCAGATAGAAGGCACATGAATCTCACAAAGTTCCAGGTTTTCGCCAAGCCATGACGTTGACTGCTACTCTTTCCTCAACACGCGTTCATCGAATAAACACATGCAACTCGCCACTGAACACGCCGGAGTACTCGCATCTACACTCATCCCTCGTTGAATGTTGTATTTGCACAATGGCGGACAAGTACATTCTCAAAGTCACCGCCGGCCCCGACTACTCCGACCAAACGCCCATCCCCATTAACACCGCCGAGACCAGCCACATCTCATCCTCCCACCTCACCGCCAACCTCCAGATCCGCATCCAAAACTACCGTGGACTGCCCGCAGGCTCGCCACAGACATCCCCGTATTTCTCAAAGCACCCGCACGAGCACGATCTCTACTCCTTGGAATTCTCCTTCACCCCCAAAGAAGACATCAACGGCCACGATCTGGTGTTTGGCAACGACTTTGACCATCCGATCAGAGACAAGCTTCCCCCAGGATTTCAGCAGGCCTTCAATCTGGTGAAATGGTTCATTGATCCCGGGTTGTATGGAGATGTCCACGCCGATGAACCGTATCTGTACGGGCCTCTTCTTTCATCCATCAACACTTTCCGCATCGGCCCAAAAGACGACCAGGAGCAGGAACGGACGGAAGAGGTCCGGGCGAATGCCGCAGAGGGTGACTCCGTGGAAGAGGGTGGAGATGGTGATGGCCTGCACGTGAGGGAGGAGCTGGGCATTCCGGCAGACGCCGCGGCGCGAAAGAAGCACTTCCTTACCGAAGCCCATCAGAAGGCTTTTACTTTTGAAAAGGGGCGAGAGTATCGGAACGACTTCTTCAACCCATATCTGGACTTCAATGGTGAGCTGAAGATCGCTTGGCCTTGACAGACAACAATCAGCATGCTAATTCAACAATCTCGCGACAGAATTCTCCCTTAAGCTACCCGGCTGGGGAATGATACCCGGCATCACTTTGCCCATCATCAACTATTGGGACGGCCAGCCGTTACGGTGAGTACATACAGTCCATCCAGCCACTTTCTAACCCTGCTCCGAATCGTCTCCCTCCAAAGCATCTCTAATGCGCTGACTCAAAGCTCGCACTCGCTCAGATATGTGCTCAAAAACCGGGCGACCAACGACCCGCTCTTCGTCATCGTCTTTACTCTGCTGCCAGCGGACGGCAAAGAAGATGGCGAGGGCGAGCAGCACGCTTCGGCTAATGACAACGACGATGTGGATTGATCCCTCACCTAACATATCCTGAGACATTCATCACTCCAGAGGACGCTTCCAGTGCTCACCCTCGCTCGCAAAGGGGGGCCGACTATCTCCCGCACATGTAACCTTCGAAGAAGTAAACTGCGAGATGAACACCCCAATCCTACACCGAGGCCGCCCTGGTCGGATGTCAAGCGGAGGCAGCAGACAAAACCTATGCTATAGAGAGACGAATTCTATGATCGGCGCATTCCGCAGGGCCATCTTCCACGTTTTGTTGTACATGTGAGGGAGAAATCCCACCTAGCAAGTCACACTCGGCGAATGAGGACCATGCCTCTACAACGCAGCAATAGCCTTCCTCAACACATCAAGGCTGCCCTCAGTAATGCGACTGCCACCATCCTCATCATTGCTGTCACCATCCTTCAAGATCCAGCTCACATCACTCAGCAAGCCCAGCGGCATCCAGCAGCTCTCCTTGGCCTTTTCCAGGCTCTCGTGAATGCGTCCGGTATGCTCCCACGTTTGCGCCGCTTGTTCCGCACGGTCAATGACCTTGTCCGGAATGCCGCACATGGCCGCGCAGTGCATGCCGTAGCTGCCCTCCGCCACTCCCTCCTCTAGTCTGTACAGAAAGGTGACATCGCGGATGTCGTGCTCGACTTTGACGGCCATGCGCTTGGCTGTAATCTCCGCGTGGTGCTGGAACTCGGCCGCCAGAGAGTGGTAGTGCGTGGCGAAGTAGCCCAACGCACCGACGTGAGTGGCGACGTGGTGGAGCACGGCCTGCGCGACGGCGACCCCGTCGTAGCTGCTTGTGCCACGTCCGAGCTCGTCGAGGATGACGAGAGAGCGCGGCGTAGCTTCCGCCAGGATCTTCTTCGTCTCCGCCAACTCCACCATGAACGTGCTCTGGCCGGCGAAAATGTTGTCTTGAGCCCCAAGGCGTGACATGATTCGATCTACCGGTGTCATGCGCGCTGACTCGCACGGCACATAGCAACCAACCTGGGCGAGGATGACGGCGACACAGGTCATTCGCAGGATGGTAGACTTGCCTGCAGCGTTGGCGCCGGTCAGCAGAGTCATGCGAGGCTGGGAGCCGCCGAGCTCGATGGTATTTGGGATGAAGTTCGTCGTGGTCTCGAGGCAGGGATGGCGCAACGTATCGAATTCCAGCACACTACGAGCCCCTTCCTCCACAACGAATTGTGGCCTGCATGACGGGGAGCCGAGTGAGGTAGACGCCTTGGCCAGCGAGATCAGACAGTCGAGTTGAGCAACAATCTTGACGGCAGCAAGCCAAGTCTTGTACTCTTCGTCAAAGCGAGCAAAGAATCGGCCGGCCATCGCCTTTGTCACCTGCGAGTGAGTCTCCTGCGCTTCTTTGAGATCCCGCACCAATCTCTCGAGCTCGGGAGAATACCATCGCTTGCATTGCTTGGTAGCAGACATCTGCTTCCAGTTCGACGGGATCGTCCCTCGCACTTTGATGGGCACCTCGAGTTGGTAGATCTCCTTTCCGTTGTCGGTATATTTGATGGCGCTGGAACCGAGGTCTTTGCGATATGTATTGAGCAGCTTCTGCAGAGCTTTCTCCACGTTGTCGATAGTCTCCTGGCTGTCGTCAAAGTCCTCTTCAACGCCCGGTTGTGGTACGAACAGACCATCGTTCCTAGCCTGCTTACGGTCGAACGCATCCTTCCAGTGCTGCAATGCACCCGCCAGGTCTGGCATGGACGCAATGAGTTGGCCAAGCAAGCCCTCGCCGCTACCGAACGATCCGAGCATGGACATTGTATACTCAATCTGCTCGAAACCTTCGAGGACCCGTACGAAGTCTTGCGCCTTGCATCGACCGGCATGGATCCGCGAGATCAGCCGTTCGAGATCTGGTAGCCGCGACAGTGAAGCGGTAAAGCGTTCCATCACAGTGCCATCCGCATTGAGCGCATCAACGGCGTCAAAACGTTCGTTGATCTTGTTTGCGTTGGCCAGTGGATGGCACACCCACTGTCTAAGCATACGCTTGCCGAAGGGCGTAACGCAACGATTGAGCATGCTGAATAGAGTGCCTTCCGCGCTCCCATCGAATGTGTTTGCGAAGATTTCGAGGTTGATCAGGCTTTGTCCGTCCAACACCAGGCTGGACGCTTTGCGGATGGGGTCGTACCACGTAAAGTTGCCGCAGGTGATGAGGTCGCGCTCGATCTTCAGCATGCTGAGATACCAAACGAGCGCACCCAGGGCAGAGAAGCAGAGCTCCTTGCCTTTTGCGTCTCGAAGAGCGGCGGGCCACGTGTCGACGGAATCCTCGACAGACTTGTCAAAGTACGCCTCACCGTCAATCTTCATTCGAGTCTTGTCCGCGGTCAGGAACTCCTTGTCCGGCTTCAAGTAGTTCCAAATCGTGGTGGGAGGGGTGTTGCTCTTCAGGATTCGGAGCGCTTTGGCCGAGATCAGTCCTTTCTCAATCACCAACTCTCCAGGTCGAGTCTGGGCGACGAATGTCTCGAAACGAGTCATGTCTGCATCGTCGACGAACTCTGCAAGGTAGAATTGAGCAGTCGCGGTGTCGACGAAGACAATGCCAAATGCAGGCCTGCCATCAACCTCTGATTCCTTGATGGCGGCGCAATAGGTGGCCATGTCGTCCTGGAGCATGCCACCGTCGACTAGCGTCCCGGCAGTGAGCACAGAAGCCAACTCTCGTCTGATGACTTTCTCTTCCTTCTTTTTGGAGGAACTGTCTCCACGCTCCCGCATGTCTTTGCCCAGCGCAGTCTCCATTTGGTCCACACGAGCAATCTTGTAGCCCTTCGCGACAAACTGGTTTGCCCAATGGTCCAGACTGGCTTCTGGTACGCCCACCATTCGCATGTTGACTCGATCGGTGAGCTTCAGATCGAACAGCTGGTGGCCGATGGTCGCATCATTTTCATAGAGCTCGTAGAATTTCCCCTTCTTGAAGAAGACAATGGTGTCCCAGAAGTTCTTCTTGATCTCCCAGTACTGCTGCTCAAATGGTGAGAGCTTGTTGAAGTCGTGGGGTGGTACATATACTGTGCGTGGATCGTAATCTGGATGGTCTGGCGGATGGCGATCGGCGTCGAGAATTTTCGCCAGCCATGGACGACGCAGCTCCACGTCGATGGTGTGTGCTTTCTGCTTCTTCGCAGGTCCGGAGGGCTCGGCCTTTTTCATGGGTGGTTTGCGAGGCTCTGTGGAAGGTGGAGCATCAGGATCGAATTTCCATTGCTGCGCAGTGGATGTCGAAGGTATCTCATCGTAGTTTTCCAGCGGCGGGGATGGCGATGGTGCTGGCTTCGCCGATGGTTTCCGAGACGATGTCACTGATGTCGACGACCGCTTCTTGCTCTTTACAGGCTTCTCGTCATCGTCCAGATCGTCTGCCACGACAAAGTCTTCCATGTCTGGTCATTGCGATCAGCATTGAAATCCATTCTAGCTACCAAGAGACTTGAGTTTCTTTAAGAGAGTGAAGCTTACCATCGTCACTTTCAGCCTGGGCGGCAGCATCGCCGCCAAAGTCGTCATCCGAATCGTCGTCTACACTTATACGCCTTCGCTTCGCCGCCCGACGATTGCCGGACAGTGGTTTGAAGACCTCGTCTTCATCCTCTTCAGCATCGGACTCGGCGTAGTTGACTTGCTTTTTGCCTCTTCGGGACGGACTGGAATACAACGTGCCTGGCGTCTCTATCAGTCGGTTAGTCCGTGTCTGCGTATGAGGGACTTGATGCTTGTCGTACCATTCTCTTTATCGCGCCCAGCGTTCGCCGTGCTCAGGTGTGAGGCTCGAGAAGCAATGGGGCTTGACGATACAAGCTGGCTTGAGGGAACAGGCGTGATATCCTGCGTCTTGGACGCGTTGGTAGCCTCGGAGGCATCAGAGAGTCGCTTTGCGGGTGTGACGGAACTCGGAGTAGAGCCGGTCGTCTTGCGAAAGAAGCCAGCAATGCTCTGCTGCTTCGTCGCGCTCTTTTGGCTGCTGAAGCTGGGCGTCTTCTTCGGCTTTTGCGTGCCCATTTCGTTCCCTTCTATTCCTCGTGCCATCTCGAGTGCATGCGCTTACACAGTCCGCGCGATAGTTCCGAGTAGTCAAGTATACATGTAGGAGGACAAGCCGAGACGGGATGAAGTGTCGATGGGGAAACGCGAACTTTAGGCGGGGACGCGACTTTGGGATTACGTCAGCCGCGTTCGCGAATCAATTTGATTAAGCTTCAACATCGTCCGTGTCTTTTCGTGATATGCGCATGGCTATTCATGGCCAGCAGAACGTACGCTCGACAGGTTGTCGGATGCGTTAGACAGTACGCCACCCACAATGGCCGTCGCGACTACAACGCCGCGGTGGCGGCTCTCAATACCCTTCAAAGCAACTTCTCCGCCGTCGAAGCCATTCGAAAGGCCGGACCGGGTTGGAACAAGCGTGCGATTCCAGAGATGATAGAATGGGTGCACCGGATAGGTTATGAGGTGTGCGTTGTCCGTTCCACCACGTCGTTGCGCGTAGGCTGACACATTTTCTGAGCCATCGGATTTCGATCAGCTGAATCCCGTTCATATTGCCGGCACCAAGGGCAAGGGTTCCACATCCACTTTCATCTCGTCCATCCTGGCTCAATATCTCCCGACCAGGCGCAGCATTCCTGCCGAGCGACTGCCGTCAACCGTCGGCCTGTACACTTCACCCCATCTTCGCTTCGTCAGAGAGCGCATTCAGATCGATGCCCGGCCCATCTCCGAAACAGCCTTCGCCAGATGCTTCTGGGAGGTTTGGGATCGGCTCGAGTCTTCCGCTCCTCCTTCAACCGACATCGAGCAGAGGAACGTGGGTGGGAAGCCCGTGTACTTTCACTATCTTACTCTAATGGCTCTTCATTGCTTTCTCCAGGAGAGCATCGGAACGGCCGTTGTCGAGTGCGGCATCGGGGGCGAATATGACACGACAAATATTCTCGTCCGGCCCAGTGTGACGGGCATCACGAGTTTGGGCTTGGACCATGAGGCATTGCTTGGTGATACAATCGAAAGCATTGCATGGCACAAAGCTGGAATCTTCAAGTCGACTGTGCCCGCATTTTCGGTGCCGCAAGTTCCCAGCGCAGAAGAGGTCTTGCGTGAGCGAGCGCGGGAGAGAGAGACGACATTGCATTTCGTCACGGTCCACGCTGCCCTGCAAGGCAAGAATGTCAAGCTGGGCTTACAAGGCGAATTCCAAAAGATGAATGCATCGCTTGCCATCGCCGTCTCTTGCCAGCACTTGCAACGCCTGGGATTCAGCGGTATACCCCACCCTCTGGACTCGGACTCTGCACTTCCCCCTGAGTTCATGCGAGGCCTTGAGAGTGCGCGGCTAGGCGGCAGATGTGAAGTACGCCATGACTCCGTTCAACCTGATCTCACGTGGTACATCGATGGAGGCCACACCCTGGCGAGTATTCAAGTCGCCGGCGAGTGGTTTGCCACCGCTAGTGATGAAGCAGCGGATACCAAAACGCCCAGAATATTGATATTCAATCAACAGACAAGAGATGCTGCCAGCCTTGCGAGGAAGCTGTACGAAACCTTGTCATCGGCGCTCCAGGATTCGAGGCCGTTTGAGCATGCAATCTTCTGTCCGAATGTCACCTACACAACTGCGGGATACAAGGCCGATCTCGTCAGCATGAACACTAACAATCACGACATCGCCTCCTTAAAAGTCCAAAAAGCGCTAGCTGCAACGTGGGATGCAATCAACCCTCAGGCTACGGTGCACGTCGTCGCCAGTATTGAGGACGCGGTTGCAAAGGCAAGAGAGGTCTGCGAGGGCAGGACGGCGTCGGTCCTTACCACGGGAAGTTTGCATCTTGTGGGTGGCCTAATTGACGTGCTGGAGAGTGAAACGGAAGGCGGGGAGCGGTGAAGGAAAGGACAATGCCAAAGCAATCATGTCACTGGCTGATTGATTGACCGTACTGCTACGAGGCGGTCGTGAAGAATTCAGTCGACTGCTTGGGATGTCTACATTGCGAGTTGCTGCCGTCTAGCGTGATCGTTGTTCTGCTTAACTCTAAGGAAACCTGCGAACAACAAGTCTCGCTGGTAACGAGGGTCATATTTGAATCACTACGTGGACCTTCGACATTACGCAAGCTGCAGTTCGCTTAGTCTGCTCTCGTACTACCGGAAAATCGCTCTGTTGACGATGCGTCCGTGTGTTGTCCGCCTCCAGAACCGAAGGCCCCTGTTTGACGTGCAAAATCCTATCCGTCATGTATCACTTCCTCGTCGCGCCATCGTTTATTTCACTGTGCATGGGAACAGCATGTCCGGAGTGTCGCCCGCTCAACCAACCCTAGGGCTCGCTGGCAGACTCCCGCGTTCTCCCTGCACCGGTAGCCGCGTGCCCTGGTTCCAGGTCATGATCATCGTGAGCCCATGTGGTGACTGGCTCATAGTCATAGCATCTATTGCGAATAGGACATCACCGAAGGTGACTCCACATCTCGTATAGACGGTCGATTCGATATGGACCCATCCCTTGTTGTAGAACACCACTGTAAGGCCCACAGCCTGGCAGCGAGGCACAGTGATGAAATCTTCGGGGCCATAGTTCGAAGATTCGATGCGACGGCTTTTCGTCAGCGAAATCTGAAGTCCTTTCTTTTCGATGCCGGTTACACTATTTCCGCTGTTGTCGAAGGTGTAGTGATCTTCACCATCGATGATGCGAGGCGACAAGCCGAGATCTTCTTGATAGACAGGGGGGACGACGGCGCATAACGGGAGTTCTTGAGCTTCAATCTTGGAAGGTTTGGCGCATTTGGCGAGATTCATGCGTTCAGACTTCCTGTTGATGAGGTCTCGCCACATCTTCGCCACGAGTTGGACTTTGACGATGTCGTACGGGGAGAGCTGGAGGATGATGAGTTCCACCAGCTCGGGGCTCTCGAACAGTTGATGGCTCTGCTCCATCGTGCTGATAGGTCGTTGAGGCGAAGGTGATTGGTGTGTGTTCTTGGGTTCGAAAGAAAGTGGGCGGGAAGAATTCGAGATTGGGGAGAATTTGCGCGCGCGACGCGTGATGCGAAGGTGAGGTGATGTCACGAATGTCAATTGGGAAGGCGCGGGTGAGGAAGTTGCGACTGACTTCTCGGCCAGTCCGCGACACGAATTCACTGCGCGCGATCAGAAAGTCTGCATTCACTTCTCGGTCTTGTTGATCGCGACACCGCCAGCCTCATCGCCAGAGCTCGTATCTGCCTCCTCCTCATCTTCCGAGTCCTCTTGCCCATCCTCCGCATCGAAGCCCTCAAAGTCCTCGTCATCCCCCGACTCCCCATCCTCGCCGTCATCCTGCTTCTCATCCTCGTCACCGCCTCCGACGTCTGCCAGCTCCCTCTTCCGCTTCTTGTGCGTGAAGCCCAGCATTTCATCCCTGCCCTCCGCTCCATCGCTTTTGGCGACGACCTCTGTCGTTGGGGGCGGCACAAACCATGGGATCTTCCCCCTGAGAAAGTCGTTCAGGACCATCTTTGCCACTCCATCCATGTCTGCCTCGCCTCCCTTCAACAATCTTCCGCCCTTCTTCGCCAATGCTTCCAGGAACCGGATGGCTTCCTGTGTCTTCTGCTTGTCGGAGCTGGGCTTCCCCACGATGTTGTCTTCTGGCGCACTCTCGGAAGGAGCGACAGCATCGGCACCCCAGCCTTTGACATCGTACGTCCTCTCCAGATGATGCCGACGGCACTTCTCCAGCACAGCAGGCACGTATTGCGCCGGGTTCTCCACATTTTCCACCCTCACAACGCCACGCAATAAGATGTCCTCGGCCGAGTCGGTCATACTCGGTGGCACGATGCCCGGACAGTCGATCAGGTAGATTCGCTTCATCAGAGTGATGTACTGCCAGACCTTGGTCTCGCCAGGTATGGGTGCGGTGGTGCATACTTTCTTTTTGCGCAAAGTGTTGATGATGGAAGATTTGCCGGTGTTCGGGTAGCCAATGAAGCCGACGGAGATTTGCTTTCGCGAGGAGTGAAGGGAAGAGAATTGTCGTAAGAGGGAAATGAGGGTGCCTTTGCCGAAGCTGTTGGTGAGACTGGCGTGGAAAGCGAGCGTGGGGTAGTCTCGCGAGAGGAGTTTGACCCATTTGGCCTGATACATCGTCAGCTCTGTACCAATGTCATTGCAAACAGTAAAACATCGGCCGGTATGTGTGTCCCATTACTAAGCTCTCCTTCATGGGAAGAAAGTCAGGATTGCTACTCAAACGAGACACATTCATTCTCTAGCGACCATGCCAAGACGGCAGAGGGTCTATGTGAGAAGAAGCGTTGATTTGCCAGAGCTGTAACAGGTTTACGTCCATTGAGGGGTGAACGAAATCTTGACTTAGCGCTGGCGGGCCGAACTGACCAGCTGACGTGCGAACAAGGAAATGGATGTACGTACCGCCACGGATGTAGGCACCAGGTCACATTTGTTCAACAGGAACAACAAGTGCTTGTGTGGTGCCTCCTCTTTGATGTATTTCTCCACACTCCGGCATCGGGTGCCCAGGGGATCCCGAGCATCGAGAACGTGAATGACGACGTCGGAGCTGTCGATAACCTTGTAAAGTTCGTTCCAGATTCGCTTCGACTGGCCTTTGGAGAAGATGGGCTCTCTTGCTGTCGCAAGCTCTCCGCTTTCTGGGATGTAGTGAGAGGCCGCGTCCGCTTGGAGTTCCCCAGGCCCTGCGTTGGCGGAGCCGGCCTGGTTCACCTTATCTTGGTAGCTGCCGTGCTCGAGTATTGTTGCACTGGCCATGTCCTCCAGAGTCCCCACATTCAGTCGAACTCTCTTCCTCTGCGCCTTTGGACCAAAAGTGTCGCCAAACTTTTCGCCTTCGATTCTGATCTTTGCCTGATGCTGCAACAGCCCGTCTTTCCTCTCCTTGTCCTTGTTGTCTCGAATAAGTGACATGGGGAGTTTGTTCTGCTTGAGCAGATAGCTGTACGGATCCTTCGCCCTCTCTTCCACTGCGGTGCGAAAGGCGGAGAGCGCATCCTGGCCGATCACTCGAGTGTTGGTAAACCAGTTCCGATGCGGTTCAATTCGAGCTTTCGGCGTCTCAGTCTTCTGGAATGGCGCTGCTTGCGTGATGTCTCCACGCGCGTTTCGCGTAGGAGCGCCCTGCTTGAACATGTTGAGCGTCTTGACTCGCTTTGCGCTGCGGTAGAAGTTCTCGCCCTTGGTGCGGACGTTGCCCATTCGGTCGCTGCCATCCGACTGCCGCGACCGCCGGGCGGCCTCTTTCTTTCCCGTACCCATGTTGACAGGTCTGGTGGAAGATCGGAGGTGGAAATATTTGCTCGGGATAGCAGACGAGTCGAACAGAAATTGTCCCCGCGAAGTTTATGAAAATGGCCGGGGAGATCTGCCAAGAGACTTTCCTTGGTGCACGGACCACACACTCCCGAGCTCCGCAAGCCAGGCCTTTCTGATCTTCCTGCAACAAGAGAGATTCCTCCCTTGTCTACCGCCCACAATGCCTCCTCGACCAATCCTATCAACTGCCCTCCGCCGTTGGCAATGTCCACAATGCACGGCGCGGGGGTTCGCATCATCTGGCCCCCTGTCGGCCTTTGGTCCCGAACACCCTCGCTACATCGAAGTTCCTGAACCTCCTCAACAGACCGCACCATACCGCCCATTCATCAAAGGCCGCCTGCCTGTTCCGCGCGAAGTCTTGAGGGGAAAGGATTGGCGGCATCCCGACGCAGCCTCGCTTGACAAAACGACTCCTCTACCGCAAAAGAAGCGAGCAGCACAGCCGGGCAGCCGCGAAGAGTGGAAGCAGAAGATGAGCGAGGTCCGCCGTCGCAACTTACGCGAGGGCTTACAGGCCCTACGATCGCGCAGGGTTCGAAGAGAAAATAGAGATGATGAGCGCCAACAGCGCAACGACATGGAGCGCGCCGAGCTCCGCGCTCGTCCGGAGCGGGAGGACGAGCGACTCACTGCCGCCAGCCACGGGCTGGATCTCGAAAAACTACTCCACGGCCCACTCGAAGACCCGACAAGAGAAGCACGTCTGGCTCACAAGGCCAGGAACCTCGAAATGCACGACAGCGCCAAGCGCGCCGAGCGGCTCGACCACCTCCACACCCTCTACATGAACGCGCGCACCTTCATCGTCACGCCGGAGCAGTTGAACGAGGCGATTGAAGAGGAGTTTAACAAAGACTTTAGTCAGGCAATGGGTGGATATGTTGGACAGCAAGATAGCGAGGCAACGAGCATGTGGGCTCATGGCCCACCGATGACCGTCCAGGAAATGCTCAACCGCGCCTCTCGACAGGGCACAGCTACGGGCTCGAGCAGGAGCCGAATGAGTCTCACTGCGGAGGTGAACCGGGAGAGGATCAGGAAGATTGCGGAGAAATTGACGGGAGGGAAAATGGAGGATGTGGTCAAGTAGGAGCATGTTTGCTCCGACTGCGTATGGGTGACGTCTTGCTCACCTGCTGCAATATGGCTAGAGCGGCGGCTGAGCAACGGCCTCAGCAGCAACGTGGACGATCGACTCGCCGCTGTTTGTAAAAGCTAGCGAGTCGTGTCGATCCGCATTCGGACAGACTCCCATCCAAAGATGCCTCAACCCCGACAGGACTTTTCCGTCGCACACAAATGTTTACTCTCCAACGAACGTCATCCAAGCACCCCCATACGCCCAGGACGTGCTGCATCAGTGGTCCACGTCGCCGGTTCATTCTCCAACATCGGCATTGCCGGCACGCAAGCTCGATGTAGTCTACTCTTTCAGGAAGCACAAAGGTGGGAGAAGCTGCTCGGAAGGTGCTACGAATATATTGACAAACCTTCGGGCCCACGCACTTCTATACGCAGCTAGCTCTTCCACTCGCTTGGAACGGAACATGCAGTACAGTACTCCCAGCAGACCACGCGCCCGTTTTGTGCACAGTTGAGGGGTTTATGACGCTGCTGCCGGGTGAATCACGTTGTGGCAACGCGTGGAGATGCTCGCGGGGAAGCGCGAGCGGTAAGTTCAATAGCTCCCTCCTCCTGCCCACACACCACTTGCCTCAACCGACGCACTACATACATGTTCTTGCATTCCGATGCTCCATCCAACAGATCCGTTCCTGCCGGATCCACGCAGCCTGGACAACGTGCATGCACGGCAGGTGCGCAAGAAGGGTATGTAGATGCAATGACGTCCTCGGTTCCTCCGGAAGGCAGGATGGATGGCATGGCAAGCGGCAACGCAACTCGACTCTCTCCTCATCTCGGCCTTGGACCATGATCACGAGGCAAGTGGGATGAGCAGAGCTGTGATGGCAGTCGCGAAGGGGTTGTTGTTACGTTGCTTTATTAATCTCCTTCGTCCTTCTCTTCTTCCTCTCTCTCCTCAAAACATCACATCCAACCGCAAAGCACTCATCCACATACCATTTGCACTCTGCACAACTCGAATATCATCACATCCCCAACAGCAATGTGAGTCCATCCAGCCTTACCATCACCGTCACCGTCATCGTGAGCTGAGCACCCCGTCTACAGAACCCAACATCAACACAACACTCACCAACTCTTGCTCCACCAAGACAACATGAAGGCGACCGTTGCTCTTCTCGCCCTGGCAGTCGGCTCACAGGCTCTCGTGGCCCGTACAGAAAGCTGGTAAGACACCCTACCTTCCCTTTATCCCCCTCGCCTGAGCTCACCGTCATTCGACAGCTGCACCTCTATCACCGCCTATGGCGGACCTGGCGGCCTAGTTGGGCAACTCAGTGACGGTCAGAACCGCATCGGAGACCACAGCTTGCCCACCGGACAGTACTGCCTCGGTGCCGACGGAGGTGAGCGTCATTCTTGATCATTCTACTCACCGGCTGCCGGCTGACCGCAGCATAGGCTTCGTGGATGGCCAAGGCCGTGGCTGCATCTTCACCCCGCCCACTACCCAGTACCAATGCGACACTGGAGCGAATGCTACCACCGGCTTCTCGATCAGCTGCAACGGAACCATCTCGTACCATGGACAGGTGAGTAGAGACTGGGACGACAGCATACCCGGGCAACTACGTGCTGACGATGCGGCCAGGACACCTTCTGGGCCTGTCCCACCGGCCAAAACGGCGGCTACAACATCTACGAGGAGCCCATCAAGAACGAGCCTGGCTGTGTGGCCATCTGGCTGGTACGTTGGCCGAGCAAGCCCGCATTTCCAAGACTTGCTGACGGTCCTGCTCACCTCCTTCCAGGAAGCCGACAGCTGTCACGCTGAATGCCCGGCTCCCCCGCCAGCCACCACCCCAACACCAACACCTACACCGGCAGCATGCCCTGCTGAGCTGACCGGAAGCTGGCAATTCCCGCACCTCATCGTCACGGTCAACTCTGCCGAGCCCGACAAGGCCTATGGCACTCAGTTCAACGGCACGGCTTCGGGCACGATCTCAACGATCTTCAACTTCGACATCCCCGCTTCCTACGCCGGCAAAGAATGCTCGATTGAGTTCCTCTTCCCGACACAGGACCAGCTCGAGACGTCTGCCTACACGTACTCCCCAGGCATGTTCAACTTTGCCTTCCTCAAGGGTGCAGCTACTGAGGTCAGCCTTCCCCTTGGCAATGGGAGTTGATCACCCACTGACTGTCTTTTCTACAGGAGACTACCTCCGCCAATGCCCCCGAAGTCGTCTACAACTTCGGCAACTTCGAGCTCAAGCCAGGCACCGCGACGCATATCGGACAATGCCCGAACGGCTGTGCAGCTGGGGAGAAGATTGCCTTCTCGATGTCGGCAGTTGGAGCAGCGTCTCTGAACTACTTTCAGGACTACAACCCCTGCCGTGAGTGATCCTTGTCCCTGATGCACTCTTTGATCAATGCTAATTGTCTGGCAGCCATTGGCGCGTACGTCACTGCCCAGTGATTGTGACCATACAAGTCTGGGCCGGGCTTCCATGGCGAAGGAGGCATGCGGATGTGGAGGGTGAAGAGAGTGAAACGAAGCAAGCATGACATTCTCTTGATGCTGCGGCTTTTGAGCTTACTGTGATTGCTTTTATGATGCACGATAGTGTATGCAGACGGCAACTTGGTAGTATTGGAATGCGAGTTCCGGCCACGTGTCTGCTTCTGTTGCCATTTCGTTGCCATTCCGTCTGCGAGCGAAGTATCAAACCGTTGTGGTATGATGTGCCCACCTCACCGAGCAATCTGTTCCACATAACGTCTCATGCTGTCCAGCTGAGTCTTTCCCGTCTATCGATCGTGTCAAAAGCCGCCGACCACGCAATTTCTCCCAAACGACTTACTGCAACAAGATATCGGATATGATCCTGGTGAACACATCAACACTGCTCAGCTTGCCGAGCAACTCCTGGCGGGAGAACTTACCAGGTCCTTGAGATGCCGATTCCTCTCGAATTCCGTCCGGGCAAACTCTCGCATCTCCTGCCGAGTCGACGACGGCGGGATCTCTGTAGGATCATCGTCAATCTCCACCCTGTCGGAGTACTGGACACACGAAGGTCCGGAGAGGCCTTACTATGCACCTCTCGCATTATCTCCCTCCAGAATCCGAGGACTCGTTGCTTTTGCAGGAACTGTTGAAATACATTAGATCGTAATGTAGTTGATAACGATTACATGTAGGACGTACCTGTTCGAGGGTGAGAACTGGCCCTTTGTCTTTGAGTGACCTGGCCCGCGAGAAGGTGGCGTAGAGCCGTAGCGAGCGCATCATGCCATGGCTGCGCATGCGCATTGGCTCCGGACTGCGAGAGACTCTTTGATTCTTCCCTGCGATGTACTTTGCGTTGCGGAAAGTGTCGACGATGCGAGGAGATTGGAGTGGTAATGCAATTGTAGAAACCAAGACGAAGCCGAAAGCGAGAGCGAAGTTCTCCTTCGTTTCTTAGCGCGACCGACACATCAACAACTCAGTACTTCACGCCGCATTCTGTGGACGGAGGAATGCCAAAACGGAATACCGTCGAAGCAAACGGGGAGCACCATTCAACAACCACCGACGATGCGAGTCGGTCAAAGAAGTCCAAGGCCGCGAGCGACGCCTTGATCGATGCCGCGAATTCTCGACCAGCTCAAGAATTCCAAAGTCTCTATATCAAGAGCGAACGACTCATTTACTCCACTCGAGACGATACCAGACTCAACATCACATTCAAAGCATCCTCGCAGTTGACGAACGACGAGCTGGACGCCTGTTTGCATCTCATCGACACCACGAGCCGGCATGACTACGAAGCAAGCAGCTGGGGCTGGCATCCGAGACGCAAGAAGCGTGAGATGAAGGAAGCCGAGATGCGCTACCTCCTCGTCCACAATGCATCCGACGAAACTCAAGCAATCCAAGGCTTCCTCAGCTTCATGCTCACGCACGACTCCACCCCGAGTGTGCCGGTGGTCTATGTCTACGAGGTTCACCTGGCTGCGACATGGCGCGGCGTCGGGCTCGGGGCGCATCTGATGTCGATTGCCGAGAGTGTGGCGGCGGAGGTTGGCGTGGAGAAGATCATGTTGACATGCTTTTGCAGTAATGAGAAGGCTCGGGCATTTTATGAGGGTCGGGGGTATGCTGTTGATGCCTCGTCTCCTGAGGACCGCAGGACAAGGGGAAAGGTTGTCAAGGTTGATTATGTTATCATGAGTAAAGACGTGGTCAAATGATCTCAAATGAATGGAAGGGAACATGGTATGTGTATCGCGATCTGGATGGTTGGCATGCATGACACACTAGATGACAGGCCCGTGTGGATAGAGGTCTGTCGATTGCACAACAGTCTGCTTACCACTAGAATGAGCGAGGAGCCACCTCATTGGTGTGCAGATGGACAGGCGGTTTAGAGAGCAGTGACATTTCAATTCATCACACAAAAAGAACAGAGGGAGTATAGAGCTGCTGAAAAACACCACGACAAACAAAATGAAACGCATCCACATGTAAGACTCTCGCCTCCCCTAAGCACGCCCGCCTCCATCCAGGTAGGCCTTTGCCAGGGCTCCCAGCAGCGGCTTAGCAACCGGCTCGACCGTCTTCCAGTGCGTCTTCCCCTTCTCCATAATGTCCTTGGCTCCGCCGCCTCCTCTCTTCTCCCCACGATCCCTCTCTCGGTCCCTGCGACCGCTGCCATGATCTGCACTCCGCGCTCGGTCACTCTTCCGATGCCCCCGATCCCGGTCTCGGTCTCGATCACGATCACGCTCTCGTCGCTCTTTGTCCCTGCGGCGGTGGTCATCGCGTCCGTCGCTGCGATACCCGCGGTCTCGATCGTCTCTTGGAGACCGTCTTCGCCTCGGCTTGGCTTCACGATCACGATCACGGTCGCGCTCGCGATCGCCGTACTTGCTATCCCTCGGGCGGGCATCGTTGTCGCGCGCGTAGTCCCGAACCGTATCTTTGCGCGGCGGGAGCGCCTCCTTTTCCGGCGGATATCGATCGCTTTGGCTGCGTCGCGGCGGAGGAGGATCGTCGTAGTCGTCTCCCGCTGGCCGGCGGCGCGGCTTATACCCGTCATCGTACTTGTCTTTCTCGCGACTTACGGGCGCCCGTGGCGATTCGCGTCTCGGTCCAGAGCCCCGACCGGATCCACGGCCCGACGCGTCGTCGCGTGGAGACGGCTTTCGGCGCGCATCCTCCTCGGAGTCGTAGCCTCGGCGGGGTCGAGGACGGTCGGAGGAGCGATCACCGCCTGATCTCCGGTCGCGTGGAGGCGGTGCGCGACGTCGACCGTAGTCATCGTCCCCTCCGCTGACATCACGCGATCGAGGGGGTGCTCGGTCGGCCTTATCATCGGAAGTCCTGGAGCGCGGAGGAGAGTCGTCGATGTAGCTTGACGGCATCTTTGTCGACAAGGTGAGACCTTCTAAGGCCTGGCGAGCACAGGAAAGGGAGGCCTGAACGGGGCCTGAAACGAAAGGTGAGTGAGCATAGGCAATGATTAATTAAAGTAGCCGGCGGCCGTTGTGCAGGGTACGTCATTCGTCGGAAGTGAAGGGGCAGGGGTGGCCCGTGGGGAAAATGCCCGAAGCTAGCGAAGAAGAAGAAATCCCCCGAACGCCGCCTCGCATATTGCAACGTCGCTGCATGTTGTCATCACGCGTGAAAAGGGGGGAGACGTGTAGGAAGGGACCGTTGCCGCGCAAATGATGCCCAAAGCTGCGTCAAATTGCGTTCCTCTAGCTGCGGCTGCGCTGGCGACACCGGCCCACGTCACACTCCTCCACGCCCGTCGTCCGATTCGGCGTATGCCTGCCACTTCCGCGCACGAACTGGTCGCGGCGAGGCATATCCGGCCCGTGGCCTGCGCGCAGCCAAGGCACCCGTCGACAACGGGGAAGCGACACGTCTGATCGAGTGGAATGGTATGTGAGGGGCCACATGGTTCCGGTGTGGGATTGGGGAGCGAGCTCGCTGACGGCTGCGCCGTCCATGAAGAGCTTCTGTATCTTGCATGACTGCTCGATCGCCATATGTGTTTGATGGCAGTGATTGCGGCAGAGGCTTTGGTCGACTCCTGCTCCAGTCTGACGACGAGTCGGCGGTCGATGCACTGCTCAGCAGTGGGCTGGCCTGACTGCCAATTTCTCCATCCGACTCTGATGCTGGGTAAGCTGGGTATGATGGTTCTCGATCGCCGGTTTCGTACCAGTAGCGAGGGAAGAAGGGGGCTCCCGTGGTGTAGTCCTTTCGTGCCGTAGTGGCATGGCGATGCGGGTGGTAGCTCCGCACGCTCGGGGGCGAGAATGCTCGCACTGTCGTGCCCGCCGAGTCCGACAATGTCTGACGTACAATACTCTCGTTCCGCTGCTTGCCGGCTGCTCGCCCAGCCCGACGTGGCATGTGGCCCTTGACATCCTGCAGCCTTGCGATTTCACGGTGCAGCGTCTGGTTTTCGGCTTCGCTGCGTGAGATGATGAGCCGCTGATCGAAAATCAACGCGTCTTTCTCCTCACAAAGATCCTCCCAGTATTGGGTTTCGTCTTCACGTTGTGAGATTTCCTTCTTCAGCTCCTCGCACTTGAGCGCGTAGTCCTCATAGGGTGGCGTCCAGGCGGAGTACCCGGGCTGCGCAGTTGGACCGTGGTACCAGCCTTGTGAAGGATTTGGCACCGTTGCGAAATTGCTGATGAGGCCACCAGTCTGCATTCCATATCGTTGGGGAAGCATGTGATGCGGAAGTATCGTCACTTCTAATTCGCTGATTTGGCAGGACTGACGTTTCTGGTTTTGCCACGAAAGAAGTCGATCCTGCTCTGCGAAGCTGATCCATCGGGCTTGGTCAGCGATCTGTGTTTCGGCGGTCTCCAAGCGCGCTTGAGCAGTCCTGAGTTGCTCAGCTAGGCGCACGATTTCGCTGTCTCTGAAACCCATGCTGCCCGCTGATCTGGCTGGAGAAGGGAAGAGCGGAGGGGAAATCTCAGCTGGCATTTCCGATGTATTGTTTGTCGGGCCTGTCTCCGAAGGCTGCTCCAGGAAAGGCCGTTGTCCATTTGGCGCCACGAGAGATGGGGATTGCTCAGTGCTCGCAGTGCCCGTACTGGACGTTGCTGTCGGTTCCTGGCGAGGGCTCGTGCACTCATTATCATTCATGCTGGCGGGAGGAGTGAAGCGATTCGGATCCAGTGCATCGAACCTGTCCTCCAGCTCGGAGACACTGGCCTGAAGCTGGAAGATTTGGCGCGCGATGACGTCCAACGGAGCAGACGCGGGCTTCGAGCGGTCTGCCGCTGTATGCGAATGCTCAGCGGTGTTATTGCAGACTTGAGGAAGGTCATAGAGGGGGCCAAGAGGGCTCGATTTAGCTGCCATCACGGGCAATGGAGCGTCCACCTTCTCCGGCTGAGAGGCGAAAGGATCTAAAAACCGAGGCACATCTGAATAGCGTCGACGTGTCATGTCCGCGAGATGCTGTTGCAGAGCGTGGAGCTCGATTTTGAAGAGTTTCTCATCCATGTCTGCTGGTCGAGTGACAAGGCTCGGGGAGCTTTATGGCCGTTGGGTGGGATGAACTAGGACTCCTGTGTAGAGATAGTGGTCTGAACTGCGAGTGAAGAGTGGGCGTTCTGATGTACACTGTCCTTGGTGCATGCTTCACAGTGTCCGGGGAGCAAACATGTGTGGAGCGATGCGGTGTGGGTGCACAAGCAGGGTGGGAAGGAAGATGAGGCTGTGAGTGACGGGAGTGCATGACGTTGCTCTTGGCGCCCTTCACCGGTCACATGTAGAGCTCGTCCTACCACGGACTCTTGTTTGTTAGTAAGTACTCAAGCATCCTGTGCTCTCGTTATCTTGTGGAGCGGTGTATGAAGAATCATCTAATGACGAAACTTGGTTGGATCGGTGCATGGGTGACGTTGTCCGGCAACTTGTACAAGCTCGCGCAGTCGAACGAGTACATACATCTCTTGTAACACAACGACATCGCGCTTCGTATCACAGCTTGCTAGCCCTCAACTTCGTGCTATCTACCCGCCTGCCCTCGTCATCTTGCTCCGCAACATTGAGGTCGGGTAGCTTTGCTGGCATGATCCTGCGCACCGTTGCACCTTTGACGAGGTCGTACTGCGAGAAGTCCGTCTGTCCTCGTTCCCGCAAAAAGTCTTCGTCTAGGACCGTGCGTCCGCTGACGTCTTTGGTTGGGGCGTCAATGATTGCCAAGATGGCATCGGAAAAGATGGTGGGCTTTCGCAGCTCCGAGCGAGTGACTTCCTCGCCTTGCGTCGCTGCTGAATCAATGGCCTGTGGCACTGGTCAGTCTCTCGAATGCGTAGCAATCGGGCTTTCGACGCACAGCAGCTGGCCACAAGCTGGTGATGGCCATGTCCGTTCGCTCTTCACGTTGAAAATCGACCGCGAGACCTATCGTTAGAGCCGACACTGCCTTGACGTTAGCATGACCCCGACGCTTTCCGCATGCCAATGCTTCTATGCGACATTGCCTTCTCGCGAGACGTACTGCCGAACTGGAAAAGTCAGTATGGCTAGGCGAGCTGTTGCTTGTGGCAGTCTCACCTTTCCCATTGCGTATGCAGTTTTGCCCTTCAAAAATCTGCTATAGATTGGAGGGCTGATCACAACGATCCGCCCTTTCCCTTTGCCACCGTTCTTGTAGAAGTGGGGAAGACAGGCTTGCACAGTGCCGTACAGACCTACGGTGGTGGTGGTGACAAGTTAACATCTCGGACGGAGCGGGCGGTGGCCATTGTAGTGATACAGTTCAGCGCGTACCTTCCGGATTGATGCGCTGCATGAGCTGGAAGCGCTTCATGGGCGTCTTCTCGACGCTCGCCCACCAGATGGCTCCGCTATTGTCTGACATCGGCATTGTGTCAATGAGTGCTTGAGATGGCGAGATCGGTCGCAGCACAGGCACTACTTACAGACCAAGACATCAAGTCGGCCGTATTTGTCGATGGTCTGCTGGACCATGGATTGGACCTCTTCGTAATGCCGCACATCGACCTGCACGGGTAAAGCTTGGCCACCTGCTTCGGTGATCTCGCGGGCCTATCGGAGAGAGAATGAACGTCGTTCTGGGCAGGCGAGGGAAAGGGCATGATGGACTGACCACGGTATTGATTGTCGATTGCTGGCTATTGGGATTCGGAGGAAACGGAGAGCATTTGGAGGCATCTGATGTCGTCTTGCCCGCAATCACCACTGACGGCCGTGGTCAGCGCAGGCAAGCTACTCGGATCTGATGACACAAGTCTAGTCTTACCAGCATAGCCGTTTTTCGCAAGGTCAATGGCGACTTGACGACCAATGCCCCCTGTGCGGTCTCATGTCAAACAAAGGTCGAGGGGTGGGAGGCTTTGGTCCATGGACTCACGACTGGCGCCGACGACGAGTGCAACTTGCTTTCCCATTTGGATGGATGCGTGTTCAGGAAAGGGTATGGGTGGAAGAATGAGACAGCGAGTTCATGCCCTGCCGGCGGCCTGTATCAATACCTCGACCTCCCGGCCGACACCGACACCGACGTGATGATTATTACTGAACCCTGTTCGACCGAGGCCCGGCGAAGGTGCAGATGCGAGCTTCGCGATGAGTAATCCTCACTACACCCATCAAAGCATCACTACACACCTTATGCAGTGTGCGTGTCTGTATGAATGGAAATGATGAATGCATCGTGCCCTTGAAACAACCCGTGTCATTCCATATTATGGTGATGGGGTCCGGAATGTGTAAAGAAGATAATCGTGTCATATGAGTAGCTATTTGAAGCAAGTACTGCCAAACGCAGCCTTGCGGTTTGATTCGTGAAAGCTCTTCTACATTTGTCGTTCAAATCGTCGAAATCGTCCAAGATCTCATCTCTAATCGAGACTCTATTGTACCCCTCCATTGCTGACGATGTCAATGGTCGTTGATCAGAAGCAAAAGACCACGCCATGGTAGTCCATGTGCGTGCCGTGGGTCGGGCTGGGCGCCTTGACGACCGGTCGGTCAAACGGAAAGCCTTGCTCCGCCGACTTGGCCTTGGCCAGGCTGTATGTAGCATTTTGCACCTCTGCAGGCGTAATTGGGTCTTCGCTCTCGCTTCCATGAACGGAAGGCGAGGCTGGCCCGCTGTCTTGCGTTGGCATGGGCGAGGGCAACATGTCCAAAATGGAGCTTTCGCGCTCCGAGTCTGGCTCGGGGGTGAAGCCATGCGACTTGTAGCTGGGAGGTCGAAGTTCCCACGTTTCCAGCAACTCCATGCGCCAGTTGATCTTGACGCGCCTGCCGTGATACATGAGGATGTCACTTGCGCGAGGAGAGTCGGCCAAGAGCACGGGCATGCACCTGCGGATGTAGCGTTGGATCTGCAAGGGCGTGCGGGTGTGCGGTGGCACCCATTTGCCCGTGTCGTCGAAGTTGTCGGGAGAGGTGGCATACATCATGTCGTTGGAGTAGGCAGAGATGGGGCTGGAGGGAGTGACCTGTCTTGACATGGACGGACGAGGCTCACCGTCCGCTTGTGGTAGCGGTGATGGCGAAGGCGTCGGCGCATCCTCTCTGATGGCCGCCAGATCGAGGTCGTCTTCTTCACGAGCGGGCGTCGGTGGTGCCGCTTCGGACGGGGCATTGTCGGGAGTGATTGGAGTATCGGGTTGGCCATCGTCCCTTGACTGCTCGGCAAAGGCAGGATACATGTCTCTGAGGATGCGTTCCTGTTGGGCAAGGAGCTGGGGGTCGTTGAGGTCACTGATGGGAGCTGCCGGCTGTCGTCGCCGGCGGCGCGGCACGGTGCATTGCTTGGGAATGCTTCTCTCGTCGATGGGGAGCGCAATGTCAATGGCAGCGCTCATGGCTTGAACCAAAGAATGAATCTGGGCTTCTGAAGAGGACGCTAGCACCAGCTGATCGGTCTCGGCGCGCACGCGGAGGACATGCTGGCGGACGGGCTGAAACAGATCTGGATCTCTCTGCCACGCCCTTTGGCGAGCGGCGGACGGGATGAGATGGGCTAGTCGGGTCTGGGGACGAAGTACGACGTGTTCCGTGTCGGTGGCCAGGCCCAGCTCGGCGTGCTGGAGGGTGTAGGTTCGCAGCAGTCTCCCGGGACCGGCGTCTTTGGGTCGATGAAGGGCGAGCAGGGTGCCGCGCACGACGACGACGACCTCCTTCCATTCCGAGTCGGAGGCCATTTGCAAGGGATTTCGCGATTCGACGTGGAGCAGCACTTTGGCCTCGGCGGACACGGTGCAGCTGTACTTTGGCAGCGGCTCTCCGCCGATGCTGCGGGGTGGCGGTGGGGGATGTCGGATGGCACTTGGATAAGACGGCGGGTCGTCGGTCGCAATGGAGCAGGTGGGCTGAAAGGCAGCATGATAGCTCGTTGTCCGGCGGGTTGTCCTGGACGTTCGCGTCTCCGGATGCGCCGGAGAGGATTCCGCGGGGGAATGCGAGGCGCTGCTGTCCCTCCGCCGCGCGAGGGATTCGGCGCCGAGCACGCCGAGGGCGAAGGGGGTCATGGACATGTTGGTGGATGCGAGGGAATACTTCTGGGGACAGTGATGGCAACAATGGTGGATGCTGCGGCGGACGTGGACGGTGGAAGGCGAGGTGGTCAGGGCGGGGCAATAGACATGATGGTGGTGGATGACGACGATGCGCGGCACGCCTCCGCGACTCCGAAACGGCGGCTGCTGTGTTTCCTGTCGCGGGGAAAGTGCGATGTGTGGTCGATCGCTGCAAGAGGGAGCGGCGCAGGGACCAGGATCTACACGGAGTACCTGTACCTCTGGCGGATGGCGGCCGGGGTGGTGCAGATGGGCAGGTTGCGGAGCGTGTTGCACACTGCGGGCCGGAGCGTTTGCTCGGACAACGGCGGACAGAACGACAGCAAGAAGAAGGTGGTGAAGGAGGAAGAAGAGAGGGAAGAAGAGGGTGAGTGGGAGAATATGGATGGTGTGGGTTGGTACGAACGCCTCCCGCGACGGGACAGGGCATGCAGCTGGGCCAGACCAGACCCTGGGCGTCGTGTGCTGCTCATCCCACCGCCATGCACGTCCCAAGCCCCTCTCAGCCTGGGCCGCGCCCCCCACGAATCCACACGAAACGCTCGGGCCACTCTGCCAATCGCGAAAGGCCCAGAACGTCCGCGCTTGGCGCCGCCACTTCCCACTTGGGCCTTTGCCTGCCCTCCACGCCAGCTGAGGTCGAGATGAAGCCAGTGACTGTAGCTGTCTGCATTGCCTCATGTTCCCATTGAAACATGCGAATCTCAGTATACCTTTTGACTGCACGCTCTATCCGCCCTTCTCGGACGAGACACTGCGGCTGATTCACTGTTCGTCAGCCGCTCGCCACATGTAATCACAGCCTCGACGATCCGTAAGACGGGTGCACCTCCACGCGCACGCACATCCGCGTATGTCCATGCCCGGCTGTCCTCGATAGTGTGACTTGATTCATCATAATCCCGCCTTTGCTTTCCTTGCCTTGCCTAACAAACCACGAACATGGAGGCCGCTGCCCGCGCCTATCCGCGGCTGACCAAGCCTTCCCCATGCACTGCACTGCTCTGCTGACGTTGAAGATCTCAAGCAGATGTCCCTGTATTTCGCCGCCGTCTCGCCTTACCGCTGCCCTCGCTTCGTTTCGCAAGCACTTCCCACAGCTCCGGATCGTCGCGGTCCTTGTCCACGTGATGCACGCGCACGTGTCTGTCACCGTCATCCGTCAGCATCCTCCACGTCTGACCTCGCCACACCACTCACCTCTGCAAATTGTCCGGCCGAGGGTACTTGTGCTCTCGATCCGGGCAGAACGGGCACACATACCCGGGGCTCTTGTGCACGAGCTGATGTCGAATCATCTCATTCTTCCGCTTGAACCCTTTGCCTCCCTCCCCGCGTGTACACCCCTCATATGGACAGAAATGGTTGCGAGTAGAGCTGTGCACGTTTCGGTGAGAGCTGCCGTTTTCGTCGTTAGCCACGTCGGATCATCACCATTTGGTACATACCTGAGCAAGTATTGCGTTTGAAACGGGGGCGCGTTGCAGTCTGGATAGTCACACTTGAAGCCTGGTGTACTCCCCATACCTGGCGGTGGAGGGAGGACGGCTCGAGGCGGGCCATCCGACGCCTGCGCCACCGCCGGCGGTGTGGTCCGAGCGGTGCTATACCCATCCGTCGTGGACGCGCTTGCATGCCCCAAGCTCTCCCCCGACGAGGAGTGCGAGGGCTGCAGGTGTGGGTGTGGCGGCGCTCCACCATCGCTTGGTATCAGTGGCCTCCGATGCGCGAAATAGGCCGAAGGAGGGTGCTGTGGTGGGGATCCATAGAAGGGCTGGTCTAGCGGGGCTCGTGGGGGGGATCGTGCGCCATGCGCGTACGGCAGGGCGGGCGGTGTATGCTGTGCAGCAGGGTAGGCATGGTGCGTGGCCAAGGGCGATTGAGACGTAGCCGATCCCACCGAATGGCTGTGGTGATGCGCGTAAGCTTGGCCGCGAGGGTCTTGCTGCGCAGCGACCTCAGCAAATACGTTCAATGGGTCATGCATCTGGCCGGTGATCTGGTGCAGCGGCGGCAATTTCGCGCCTTGCGGGGATCCGCTCGTGCCCTCGATCGGTGACATGGCGTGCATCGCCGGTAGAGTGCCCGTCGCACCCTCTGCCACGGGAATCACATGTTTGGAAAGGTTGGGAGAGGTGGTGATGGTGTCGATTTGGAGAGGGGCAGGTTCGTAGGGCGGTTGCGTTTGGGTCTTCAGAGGCGCGGACGTGCCAGACTGCTCTCGCCGCTCGGAGTGAGCTTTGAGAACGTCGGAATGTAATGGTGGGTGGACCGTGTCTGTATGGTCCGAAGGAGGAGCATTCCTGTACTCGCCACTGATGGCGGCGTGTTCCAACACGGCGTTCGCCTGATTCTTGAGCGCCAGAGCATCGACGCCGGCCACGTTACTCTCATGCACGCTGGTCTGCTCCACTCTGTTGGGGTCGAGCGGCTCCGATTCCGTCAATGGGTCTGTCATAATGTACAATGAGCCCTGGATGGGGTTGTCTGCGCATGCAAACAAACGCGAAGCAGGCAGATGGCGACGGGCCCAATTCCCAGGCCACAGGACTGGGCGCGAGGGAACAGCTGACGGCTAGCGTCTATGTACTGAAGTTCGGCTTGGAAGAAGCGGCCAAGACGGCGTAGAGAGCAGAGTAGTTCCGGTAGCACGGGTCAGATTGCTGCAGGCGAGGTCGCTGGTTGATGCGGCCGCTGGTCCTGCTCCAATTGGTCAGTGAACGGATGTCAGAGGAAGCGCGCGGGGATCAAGGCCATGTCAAAGCAAAGATGCGGCACGGGCAGGCAAAAAGTGAAGAATCATCCGGAGCGGGCCCCGGGTGAAAAGCAAAGGGAGATGGTGGAAGACAGGATAGTACGCACCTCGGACATGTTTTGAGCCGCAATGTAGTCCCGATGCGGCTGACGAGGTGCAAGAGTCGGGCACGCGCGTGTGAAGGCCGGGGTATGGGATTGTAAAGAGATCAAGGGGGCCTGAGAGTGCATGTGTGGAAGGGAAGTGGAGGGCGGGTGAGGCTGATGTCAGTGGTGGGGAAAAAGTCTGGAACTCAAGGATCTTCGGGGCGTGAGGCTCGGTCGATCAGTCTTGCATGCGCGCTGCGCCCGGCGATCCGAAACGCGGCTCAACAGCTGGTGGTAGGCATCGTCCAGATGTCGTTGAGCACTCTACCCGAGATATCCCGCAAAAAAGCGACGCGATTGAGGGCGAAAAGTGCCTCAACCTCGCCCGTCGTCACGTTCAACCCCAGACCCCGCAAATGTTGCCTCAGGTTGCGACGGATTACCTAACTCACCCTGCTTGCCCAATTAGGCAGTTGGAGCAGGCTCGCCGGTCACGTCCAGTACATCATCACGGTGTTGGTGCATCACATCACGGAGCTTACATGAAAACACTCCTCCGCGCCAACAGAGTCTTCTGTTTCCAATCCGCGCAAAAGCTTGGTCGAGGTCCTTTGCCAGCACTCTACGCCTTTCCCCATCCATCCCCGCAGCTCGTATTATCGTGGCATCATTTCCGCGAGATGAGCACCAAAAGAAAAGGCCCCCCTTCCAAAGCGACAAATGCTGTGAAAAGGCAGAGAGTCGATGTCCCCGATTACCACCTCACTCCTTCAGTTCATGAGCAAGATGGCTCAGTCCAATGGCCCGCTCCCAAGGCGCAGATTGAGACGGCCAGGAACATCATTCTTTCTTGGTATCTTTCTTCCCCCAACCCGGAACGAACATCATTTGTCTGACCATCTCTAGTGCCGACGCTGGAGAGAGCACGCTGATCGTTCCCGACAAAGATGCCGATGGCCTGTCCTCTGGCGCAATCCTCCGTCATACTCTCATTCTCCTCGGTCTCCCGACGGACAAGATCCACGTGCATCTCCTCTCCAAGGGCAATACTGTCCACACGGAAGAGGAGAGGGCAGCCATGGCTTTGCACCGCCCGCGTTATATCTTCGTCCTCGATCAGGGCAGTCGATCCGGCCCCCCGGTTGTAGACCAAGAGCACGTCGCTCTCATTATAGATCGTAATTCTCAGCCTACCTTTCCGTCACGACTTCCACGCCGCCTGATTCCCAATGCTGACCCACCATCCCGCTGTAGATCACCATGCCACCGACACCAGCTTTCCCAAAGATGCCCTCCATGTCACCGCCTGCGACTCGCCGCCCGTTGCCACATCGTCACTGCTCACATACCTGATCTGTCAGCCACTGCATCCAAAAGTCGAGGAAACGTGTGACTGGCTGGGCGTGGTCGGGTAGGTTGATTCGTCACGCTCGTTCGCACCACACGTATACAAGCTAACGACCGCTTTAGCACGCACGCCGACCTAGGCACAACGATCAAATGGGAACTTCCATTCCCAAATATGCAGCAGTGCTTCAAAACCTACTCCAAGAAAGTGCTGAACGATGTCGTCGCTCTTATCAATGCCCCAAGACGCACGGCTCAACGCGATGTCCGCTCGGCTTGGGATGCGCTCTGCGATACTTCTGACCCTCGCACAATCCTCAGAAATCCACGTCTGCTCCAGGCGAGGGAAGAGGTAGCCGCGGAAGTGGAGCGCTGCACTCATGCCGCTCCCAAGTTCTCTCCAGACGGCCGCATCGCCGTTTTCCGCATCAAAAGCGAGGCCCAGGTTCACCCCATCATTGCAACTCGTTGGGCTGGCCACTTGACCAGCAAGAATCTCGAGATGGTTTGTGTTGCGAATGAAGGCTACCGTTAGTCCTCCCCTCCAACGTATTGCTCGCGGATGTGGCGTCCTGATCCCTTGAACAGTTCCCGGAAAAGTCAATTTCTCGTGTCGGATACCACGATGTGCGAGAAGCAAGGACCCGCCGGTGGATATCATTGCGATGTTGAAAGAATACGCCAGTTTGCCCGGTCCAACGGGCGAGGAGGCAAACGTCGAGAGCGGCGACATTGACAGACCGCCTCTGATAGAGCGGCTCGGGGAAGACTTTGCACGCGGTACGTCAATGCGCAAACCTCGCGTGATACGAATCTGACTGGCGGATCTGCTCCATAGGGCACGTACAAGCGTCGGGCGGGATAGTCGATGCAGCAGAGTTCGAGGAACTGATGTGCAACATGCAGATCGGTGTCAAACCACCCAAGAAAGACACTGAGAGTAGCCCGAACAAAAAGACGAGGGTGGGGGCGATTGACTCGGGACAGAAGAACAATCTGATGAATTATTTCGGCAAGACCGCAACAGCGTCCAATTTTACATAGCCAGGCAGATTCATCAACTCAGTGCACCTTTCCCTTGTCGTCACTTGACTCTGACGAGGAGGCGATCGACTGAATGGAGCTGTTGTTGAGCGCATGGAACGTAAAGTCAATCTCGCCCACGAGATCTTGCGTGAGTCTGCAAACAAGCGTCAGCGATCGTAACCCATCCAGTCTGGTGGGCGGAAATACTCACGACACCAATTTTGCGAGGTCGTTGTTTATGCGCTGCGACACAATCTGCAGCACGGCGAAAGCACTATATTCCGGCTCCACGAGGTGTCGAATGCTGAGGATGTCCTTGTCCACTGACTCTATCAGCTTGACAAACTGAAAGGGCTCCGGGATGTCGAGGTAGGGCGGGAGTGGCTGCGCGTTGGCCAGGCTGGAGGACATGAGGGAGAGGAGGGAGGTGATTTTGTTGGAGTTGACCGTGAGTTTGGAAAGGAGCTGGCCTGCGTGACAGAGGCTCGTTAGTGGGAGATTGTCGTGAGGAGCGAGAATAAGGGTGGAAGCGTACGGAAGTCGGAGGACCATTCGGTCAGTGTCCCGTCTTTTGCTCGCGGCTGAAAGGTCGTCGAAGTGTATGCCGCCAGCGACATCCATATGGCGAGTCGTTGAAGGCAAGCTATTAATCTATAAAAGTTTAGCCAGGCCCGAGATCACGCTCCCATGAGGGTTGATGCTTACTCTTCGTAGGTGTGGCGAGGAAAGCGTCCACCTAGTTGTACCTGGAATTTTGAAAAGGCCGTGTTCATCCTCAGTCTCGTGAGCAGCGAGAGAAGCTGACCAAAGACCCTTGCTCGCGCCTTGTCAAGATTGTATGCATGAGTGCCCTTGATATTGATATCGCCTCCGGTATTCATAACCCGAGCTGATACGCTCTCGTGCACGATAGCTATGCGGAGAAGTGACTCAGCGACGGCAGGGAGTGTGTTAGATGCAGGGGGCAGGGCAACTCACTGTAGAAATGACACATGAGATATGTAGCACTGGCAACGTCCTTTCGGATGATCGTGCTCTCGGAGACTGGGAAGGGGAAAATGGTCCAAATGCTGTTCACAGATGCTTGTCAGCGGCGAGCAGTCCACGATAGCGCCACGGACTTACAAAGCAACGAAGAGGCCTGCTATGACAGTCGCTAGCCGATACGGCGCCAGTACGTAGGCTGGGTAGGCCGGCTGGCCGTTCGATTCTGCAGCCTTGACACCAACTGCTTGCACTTGAAGCTCGTAGCCAACGATGATTATGACGGTGACGAGAGCGAGAATTCCCGCAATGGCAAACGGCTGATGCTTCACCACGATGTACATTGAAAGGAATCTGCGAATCTCCGCGTCAGCTTCGTCACGCAGGTGGATGGTTATTCATCATGGCTGCAAAACGTCAATGGGACTTACATCCACACCCACAGAAAAACAATCACCCCAGCAGGTTTGCCATCGACAATGTAATATACAATATAGGCGCCGATTGTAGCGATGACTGTGCCGACCACTCGAAGGCCAAACTGCATAATACTTTGACCAGCAGTACGGGTCATGCTGATGGCTACCATGATGAGGGACTGGGAAGAATCAGCTAGGTCATGTTCAACCAGAGCACTGCACTTACCCAAAGAAATCTCTGTCGTAGGAAGAAAAACTGTGAACCACTGACGTAACAGATAACGCCGACGCTCATGGTAGCAGCGGCGACACGCGCACCGTGGAGTGACTCTTCGCTCCCTAGGAAGCGAGGGACAACCCGAAGAGCGTCCCCCACTTTCTCCCTCGCATTACGAGGAGGCAGATGCTCCGGATCCTTCTTGCGGTCGAAGTCTTGGCCCAAGAAAGGCGCCTGGGCCCCGGATACATCCCAGTCGGCGATATAGGAGTCTTCATGACTGAGATCCTCCCGGCCAAACGTCGCCTTGAACCATTTGTACAATGTCTTTGATCCGGGGAAGATGACCCGCTTTCTCTTGAAGATGCCGTCTTGCCTTCTCTTGTCCAAATAGAGCATCAGATCCAGCACGCTGGTGCTCACGCGCCAAAGCAGGTATTCCAGATACAGCGTGAAAAACAGTTGCCGCTGATATGTCACACGCATGCTCTCATCCCTGAGTAAATCATCTGGAGGTTGCCAGCTCGTTGGGCCGTGGAAGAAATCATCCGGTAGATCGACGCCGTGCTCATGACACCAATCTCTCAGCGTCTTCTCCTTTGAAGCGTAAAACTCGTCAATCTTCGTTTTGAATGCTTCTGTGAAGGCCGATGTACCCGGACGTGGGCTGGAGTCGGCAGCATTTTCCTCATCAGGTTGTTTTTCTTTCTTCGGCGGCTTGACTAGCTCCAAAGTCACCATGATATGCTGGATGGCCTGTTCGATGTTCGCCACCTGCGTCGAGAAAGGGGCTTGTAGCTCTCTGACGAGAAAGTGTAGATTGTCGAGCTGTTGATGCCTCGCCAGTTTCTCCTCATCCGTTCCATCCTCTCGCGCCCACCCACGTTCTTCGGCTTGTTGGTCGAGAATGCTGACCATCGACCCAAGTCCCAAGATAGGAAGGAAGATTTGTTTCAAGAGCCTCCAGATCTCGGTGAGATCATGCGACTCCAATTTCCCCAAGGCAAATTCACGCTTGGCTGGGACAATGTCGCCCTCGATCTTGGTGTGCAGCTCCACCAGTTTCCTTCGGACTTCCAGGTATTTGAGCGCGGCAGGTGTTTCCAACGCCGTGTGGCTTTTGGGCGGTTTGGCGTGCTTTCCTTGCTTTGCTGCAGCATGTTCATCTGCTCGCTCATGCTCCTCCCGCAGTTTCCGCGGGTCGACGTCTGCGATCGATGCCATATATCCGAGTTGAGCCTTCAGAGAGCCGTTGAGGAGCATGAAGTACCCGGTCCACTCCTTCATGACGACCGTGCGCGAGCTCAATGGAAACACGACAAAGTGTACGGCAGTGGCCAAGCCCATGCCGGTGAGAAAGGTTTGCAGTAACGACTTCACGAAGGCGGTTGCAACGGCGATACTCGGAAACGTGACTCCATATGTCAGCAGGACGATGGTGAAGATGGAATAGATGATGACGGCGAACTGAAGCTGCGGCCGCGATGCCCGGGCCGCATTGATGACATATGTCTGGAAAATCAGCCATATGGCACACACGGTGCTCGCAGTGGCATTGTAGGTCGGGATGGTCGAACGAGGGCCGGGAGGCGTGCTTTCAGTGCGCGCCTTGACGACACAGAACAACGCGAGCAGATTGACGGCGGATGCCAAGCAGATGGCGACGACGTTGATGGCGAGATTCTGCAGGAACTTGCCCCGGGGCATGATGCATAACGCCAGGACGCTGGTGATGGCGACGAGATAGCCGGTGTTGCCGTAGACCTGTTGGACACCTCTCGCTTGATAGATGGCGATGCCGATGGTCGGGGGAAGTGAGCCTTTGAACATCAGCAGCAGAGTCACCGGATCCAGGCCGAGGGCGGTCCATATCCGCTTGGGTCGAGACGGCGGCTTCTCTTCAGTCTTTGGCGCGTTGGTTGGGGTCTGGTCGCTGTCCGAGCGAGCTGCCGCAGCATGGGAGTCGGAGGGAGAGAGCGCGCCGGCCTCGGTCCTGTGTGCCATCTTTCACGACCAAGTTCACGAGAGTGTCGGGAGTGAGAGAGCCGTCGACGGTGCCGGGAAGTTAACGGTCAGATTCGTCCATGTTCAAGCTGACAACAAAACACTCAGCTCGGGTCCTGCAGCCTTTTGGTGTGGTCGAGCGCGTTGATTAGTGTTTGGAGGCGGCCCCACTCCGGACGTTTCCGGCAGTGTCAATGGGGCGTTCTTAATAAGCCGCGCGGGAGTATCATGTCTCCCTACACGACAACCACGGGCATAGATAGGCGAGGGCAGTCAACGATCTTGAGAAGTACAGTGGTATCCCAGTCTTGCATCAGGATCGGGGATCTCGGGGTCAGATTCATACGTAACGTTCCTAGACTCTCTCTTCAGTCCCGACGGCATTCCAAGTATCGCTTCGAGGCATCGCCGGAGCCTGATAGCCCCGCCGAAGCACCCTGCAGGCTGATCCATCAAGCCATGCTGCGTGGAGTTCATTCGCCTCCCTCTTGTACCGCAATGCATTCTGTGACTTCGCTGGACGTGACAATGCCGAATGCCAGGCCAGCACCCGGTGTAAGCGCCGCAGACCGACCCTCACTTCCCCGTCTTCGTCTTCTTCTTCGGCCGCTCCACCTTGGCCTCCGTGTCACTCGCGCTGTCCTCGTCCATGACATCCCCATCCTCATCCTCTCCCCCACTGCCCGAGCCGGAGGACTTGGCGTCCGAGTCGAACTCCTCCGCCACCTCACTCTCCGAATCCTCCTGGAAGTCCTCGTCCACGCTCTCGTCATCTTCATCGGCCGAGCCGCGTTCCTCGCCGACGGCATCCTCATCTTCGCTGCTAGCGAGGTCGGGGTTGTCGTGCAGCGCGGCCTTGAGCATCGCCCCATCCGCGTCCATTTCGTTCTTGATCTTGAGGTTCTTCGCCTTGAAGAAATTCTCGAGCGGCTGTTGTTCTTCGCGGTTCACGTTCAGGAACTGGTGTTCGCCCGCGCCGTTCTTCAGCGCCACCGTGACGTCGAAGGTGCGGCTGGCACTAACAGCCCCGCCCACTCGGCTCATGGTGATGGAAGAGACGTTGTCGAATGAGATGTACGTGGCGGGCTTTGGGACAAACAGTAATGCGCGATCCAGGCAGAAGAGGTGGCCTTCGTTGGCCTTGATGCTGCACTTCACCCCGGCCATTTGGTGGTGGCTGCTGAACTCGTGCGACGGCTGCGTGAGTTTACGCCCGGTAAGTCCGCGGAAGAGCTTCGCCACCACGCTTCCGATCGGCTCTTCGTATCGCGGCTGAAGCTTGCCGGCGTACTTGCTGTTGAGGTCTTCTTCCGTCATGTTCAGCTCGATGTTGACTTCTTCGTCCTTCTTGAATTGCATGACGAGGAAAGGGTAGCGAGTCTGGCCCTGGCGAAGCGGCGGATCGAGCCCGACACATAGCAATTGATGCGTCTCGTCCGGTTTCGGCAGGAGGAAGAAGCGTTTCGCATTCTCATAAGGGATCTTATAGTCGTACGTCTTGCCGCGCAATCGGAAGGACTTCTCATAGAGGTCGATGTCGAAGCGGCCACGCGGTGTGAGGTGGAGAATGTCCAGGAAGGTGGCAAAGGCATCTCCCGCCACCTCGCCAATCTCTGCTTTGTCCATAAGAGCTTCGTAGAAGAGATTGGCGGCGTTGTGCTCTTCCTCATGCTCGCTGCCCTCCTCCTCTTGCCCCTCGTCATTCTTGCCTTTGCGCGTCTCGGTGCCGGGGATGTAGAATCGCATCTCGGTCAGCTGGTCCACCGCCGCTCCCATCATCTTCTTGACTTTGGTCTTGGTGCCGTTTGCCTCGCCGTTGGTGCTTGGCTCCTCGCCGTCTGCGGGTAGCGCAAACTCCACCGCCACCTCATTCTTGCCGGCCAGATTCGTGTTGGAGATTTCGCCGTAGGGGATCTCGAAGGCAGGTTGATTGCGAACGTTGAACGCCAGCTCATGGCGACCCATCTCAGTCTTGCCCCAGTTCCATCCCCTCACAGATATCTCCTTGGTGACCAGCTCCACCCCGTACCAGATCTTGAAGCACTTTTGTATCGCTTCAAAGTTCTGCGTTGTGTTAGCAGTGGGATGCGCAGACGTATGACCGTCAACTCACCTCTTGCTTGAAGCCATCCAGTAGTACGACACCCGTGTTGCGCGTAAACACCTTCAGCTCAAACCCTCTCGCGGCTCTGCTCCACTGCGCGCTGACGCACTCCGCCTTGTCCAGAGTGAACGCTGCGCCATCGCTCGGCTTCCATCCTAGGCCGGATTCTGCGATCCTGCATTTTCCTGGCGCTGGACCCAAATCCAAATGAATGTTCTCAAAGGACTCCATTTTGTGGGAGGATCTCGATGTTAGGTCAGCTGGGGGCGCCATCTTGAGGTTGAGGGAGAGGTGAGGGTGGTTTAGTGATGAGAGAGTGACGTGAAAGGAAAATGAGCACAGAAGCGTGCACGTGCACTCACATGTTGGACAAGGTGAGGTGTAGCGCCTTTCCACGACAAACGAGGAAGCCGCGAGGCCCGGGTGATGGCAGGTGCGACTGGCGTTGAGGAAGTTGCAAACGGGGATGGTTTGCGACCGTTTTTCAGGTCTCGGATGGGGCGTAACGTGGTCGATGAGAATGAGGGTGATGTAGAGTCTGCGATAGAGTGAGTTGTAACTCAGATAGATATGAGGAACTTAAGGCGCGTGGATAGAACGCGCTGCACTCGCAAATTGAAGATGGCACCCAGATTTGGAAGGTGGAGCGTGGTGAATCTTGGCGGACATCTCTTCGGTGGCAGCCCTAACGCTAGAGCTAAACGGGCGAACGACTGCACCAACCTGGACTGGGAGACTACACTTCCTACTTGAAGTTCACCCTTGAAACGCGCTCGAGCGTAGCGCTGGGGCGGTGCTGCATTTTTACGCCTTTCCATCCCCATCTGGTGCGCCGTGCAGAGGTGCTTAGAGTACGTCGACCATGCGCCATTCGTAGCCCAAACGGCCACCAGGCCCCCCTGGTTCGCATTCTAGCGCGAGGCTTGGGCGGCTTCCAGTTGCTGCTCCCAGTCGCTGCCGGATCTTGGATGTGCAGCAGTCCAATCTGCGTCTCTGACTTCCGTGTTGCCTGTTCAGGGAAAGGATCCTTGCCGGCAATCGCATGCGCCCACCAACCTTGCATATGTTCATGTGCCCAACCTTCCGGGATGGACTGCCGTTCGGCTGCTCGCATTCCGCACCGCCGTCAAGGATGGTCTTCTGGGTTGCCTTTCTATGCCATCATCTCTCCGTTCCATCGACATGACTCACTCGCGCGTTTGGACACGGCCGCGTTTGGGTTGCGAACGGTTGCCTGAACGGCGCACGGTGCATGCCTGAGCTGCCCGCCATTCATCGAGGCCGCCACTCGTGACCCTTGTGCCTTGATGCCTGCTTGTATTGTATGGCTCACCGTACCCTGCTCGCTATACGCCCTCCTCTCTTCTCCTGGGTCTTCTCTTTCTCTTTCTTCCAACTCCCAACGGTTCCCTTGCTTTTTCTCCAACGCAAGGACATCCATCCATCACACCATATAAACATTGCTAGCCCTTAGCATCCATCCTCCTTTCATCTATCTCTCTCCGCAAAAGTCGCCTTACAGCCAGTTCTCAACACCACTAGCATGGCGAGCAAACTCGGGAAGAGCCAGCCTGTCGTTCAACCCCCACATGGTCAATCAGGCGTTGTGTTATGCTCTCTTACACGTGACCACACTTATCCTCATCAAGGTCACGTGTTCACCTCATCTTCCAGCAGATGCTGCTCGGGTAGCGGAATAAGCAGGCCTGTCAAGGTTCACAACCCATCCGCGCCTCAAATCAACCCAATCGTCCCGAAGGATGAACCGCGCTCTAGCGATGCGTCGAGGAAGACCCACTGGAGATGACTCTGGCGACCACGACGGACAGATGGGCGGACTACAAGGAGAATGTTATTGGGCCGAATCGGAGACGAAGACATGGAGGACCGAATGAATAGGATCGGAGGATTACCTTGGCGGAAGAAGAGGTGGACGAGCAAGCGGGAGAGGAAGTTACGGAAGACCAGCTTCCTGACGGCACCACCGCACCTCGTCGCGGTGCCCCAATGCGTATCGAGCCCTTCAACATCGATGCCTTAACGTGCCTCGACATCACCGCCAACACAACGATGCACCACCTCAGCATGGGGGCAATTCTTCACCGCTTTCGCATTTTTGAAGTGATCTTCCGTCAGGTCATCTGTCTTTGCAAGGCGTGGGCCGACAAAACAAACCAGCAAATGGGCGTCGCGCAGCGCATCGCGCTCAAGCGTTGAACCGAGGCACAGTAGTGGCAATGCGTCCTCGACAGCCACTCAGAGGAGCGCCGCGTTGTTCTTGAGAGATACTCCATGTCCTCCAACTGGCCGACCTGGGTCATCTCCCTCCGATCCCTCCCGCTGAATTCCAGGATGGATTTTGGTATCAAGACCTCCCAACGAAAGGCACGGCCGATCCAGCTGCAGCGTTTACTGCAAGTGCCACTAATATGGACGGTGCGTGGATGCGGCTACGCGAATTCGCCAAGTTCCTCATTCCCAAACTCAGGAACATCGCGACATCCGCATCCGAAGACGCATCCGCACACCTGAGATACACACGGCAGGCGGATGTCGAGTTTCGGTCCCGGGTATTGGCAGCGCCGTCAAGTATATACGGAAGGTTGAGGAGGCTCATACTGGAGGGGATGTGGGCCATGCTCACGGCCGCCATCCGTCGCGGACATCGTTGATAAATACGTCCACAGCAGTGCAATTATGAGGTTTCTAGGGCCGATGGTTGGTGCAATCACTTCTTGCCCTCCTTCTCATTATCCATCTCTTCTCTCAGAATCCGGATCTGTTTCTTGATGACCCTCCACAACAAATAGGAGTCGAGGTCGTCGTCCCCACCGCCGGATTGCTCTAGTTGACGAACCGCCCACACCCAATCGTAGAGGCCTTTGAACGGCCGCGTCGTCTCTCTGTCACACGTGCCTCCGCTGCGCGGCTTGTCGTGCGAGTCCATGCATTCCAGACACGTTGTTTCGTGCAGAGACGCATCCTCTTCGTCGCCGTCTTCAGCATCCCTTGCAATCAACAGCAGAGAGCTCACCATGGCCTCCTGAAGGTATGCAAATGAGAAGTCTTTGGTGATCTTCGCAATGGCCGCACACAGCTTGTCCGGCAGTTCGACTTCCGATTTGCCCTCCAACTTTCCTTGCCAGTACTTCATGTACATGGTCCTCTCCTTTTCGTTTGGATTAGGGAAGAGGTATTTGCGATCGAAGCGGCTGGGCCTCTTGGAGATTCCCGGATCCAGTCGTTCCAGGTGATTTGTGGAGCCCACCATGAGAATGCCATCGTTTTTCTGAATACCGTCAACAGCATTGAGAAAAAAGGATCGCACATTGTCGGAAACGATAGAATCGAGGTCCTCGAAGACGAGGTAGCACGGGGCGGTACGTCGCGCGAGGGAGAAGATGTTATTTATCGAGTACTCTGGTCCTGCGAAGCTGCTCAAGCTCTTGACGTATAGCTGAAGAACCCTAGTCAGTATGGGTGGTGGGAGAGGGATCAGTGGACGCTTACGGTAGGGATGGGGTCCTTTCGCTTGTACAGCGCGCTCATCATGGCCTTGATGCTGATTGTCTTGCCGTTGCCTAAAACAAATGCAGCGCGATTAGACAATGGCGAGTGTAGAAGAGCGCCGGCTAAAACTTACCCGGAGGCCCGTAATAGATGACTCCACGCTTCCACGGGACAGAGAGGCGGTCGTAGGTCTCGTGCCCGTTGAAGAAGTTGTCCACATCTTGGATGATGCTCTTTTTCATCTTTTCGTCGAGAATCACATCATCCCAGCTCGCCTTTTTGATGCTCTCGTAGAGCTCTCGACTCTTCTGCCAATACCCCTGGTCGAAGACCCAGATTTCATCGTGCAACTCGCTCGTCCAGACGCCAGCATCCATAAGCAATTTGTTTGTGGAGTCGACGGAGGGCGAGAGGATGTACTGATACACATCCGCCGGCCAGGGCTCCATACCGTCCCTGCCAGATTGGATGTACACAACGAACTCTTTGCCCTTCCAATCAAGTAAGAATTTCCCGAAATCAACGGCCTCGGAGATGGTGCCGCGTTGGCCGCCGACTCGGGTTGCGGGGGGGAGGTAATTCTGCACGCGCAGCCGGTCTGATTCCTTGTCAATGGCAGCGAGGCCCGCATGACCTGCGGCAGCCCAACTGACGAGATCGCAGCTGACTGGAGGCACGACGGTCAGATGGAGCTGGGGGTATTCGGCGCGAATGGCGTCGACCATCACGGCATTGGTGTAGACGCGTGGGGCGGTGGCATGCTGGAACCATTGGCGCGCGACTGACTTGGAGCTTGACTGAGACGCGGACGAGGCGATTTGGCCATGCTCCGGCCTGGGTGCGAATCCAGCAGTCATCTTGAGATCGATTGTGGGACGGAGGAAGGGTGCGAGGGGTTGCGACTGTCGAAGCGGGAGGAATTGGTTTGCGGGATTGAAGAGCGAGGGGTCGAGAGAGTGGGAAGACATCAATGAGGCAATCTCAGCTCTGATTGATGGTGAAAGGACAAGAGGCGAGGTCGATGGGAAATGGGAATGCTGTTGCCTACCTTGCGAGCTTGCCAGACTTGACCTGTACCTTACGTCGTCGTCTGGGGTATGGGGTAGCGAGTCACGTGTCTGCCTAGCGCTTGCCCTTCGAATGGCGGGGAGCACCTTCCCAGTCTTTCCACAACAAGTCTGCAGCAGTGTCGTGTGCAAAAAAGGGCACGACAGAAGCGCGTCTGGGGAACGTGACGTCTTGGACGACGCTGACAATTAGATGCACGTCCACATGATCCGCTGGCTGGACCGTCGTGGCTCCCCTCCGCGATTCTACATCCGCGGCTGGCCAACCCCGATGAATCGCATTTCCGAACTCGGCCGGGGGCCAAGCCTGGCGCCCACGCCGTGTACCACTACTGGAGACACCCCCATAGCCGATACCCGCGCCGGCAGGCTACCTTGCCACCATCGTTGTACATTTCGTGCTCGTCGGCCTGGTACATTTCGTCGCTGTCGCTGTCGTCACCACTAGGGTTGGACTTTTGTTGTTTCGGATCTCTTGCGCACACACACAACACACGCAATCACATACTCAACAACTCCATAGAATAATTCATTATGGGCAGCATTGGCGAACCGAAACCAGACTACGATGTCTTGATCATTGGAGCCGGCCTGAGTGGCATCTACTCCCTGTACCGCATGCGAGAGCTCGGGCTGAAGGCAAGAGTTCTTGAAGCAGCTTCAGGCGAGGGCGGAACGTGGTGGTGGTGAGTTTCATCGTTTGATGCTCCGACAATCTTTAGACTGACGACTTGTAGGAACCGATATCCTGGGTGTAAGGCGGGTTGCTATCTAGATGACCTGAACAAACAACTGACTCTTTCTCAGGCCGCTTCGACAGCGAGTCGTACACATACCATTTCACGTTCTCCCAGGAGGTCCTGGACGAATGGGACTGGTCTGAGCATTTCTCACCTCAATCCGAAACGTTGCGCTATGCGAACTACATTACGGACAAGTTTGACCTGCGGAAAGACATGCAGTTCGACACCAAGGTCAAGACCGCCCACTGGCAGGACGATTTGCACACCTGGCTCTTGACCGACGCCTCCGGGAAATCCTACTCTTCGACCTTTTTGATTACAGCAATGGGAATTTTGAATGATCCGACACTACCGAATATTCCCGGTGTTGAGAGCTTCAAGGGTCAGGCGTTCCACACGTCTCGCTGGCCTCATGAGTGGAGCATGGATGGCAAACGAGTCGGCATCATTGGCACCGGCGCCACTGCAATCCAAATCATCCCTGAACTGGCCAAACGCCCAATCGAGAGTTTGACTGTTTTCCAACGCACGGCGAATTGGTAAGTCTTCGGTTGATGTATGAACGGACATTCCTTGCTCACATACTTACAGGGCTGCTCCGCTCCGTAATGGCAAAATCGACGCCGAAGAGATGACCGACCTGCGCAAGCGTTACCCCGAAATCATCCAAGCCTGTGCCGACTCGGCTGGCGGCTTCTGCTATTCCATGGACACCCGCAAAACCATGGAAGTGCCGGAGAAAGAACGACTGGCTTTCTGGGAAGACTTGTACTCCCAACGCGGATTCGCCAAGTGGATGGGTGCCTTTGCGGACCACCTAACCAACCGGGAGGCCAACAAAGCATTCAGTGATTTCAACGCCAACAAAATCCGCCAGCGCTTGAACGATCCGGCCATTGCGGAGAAGCTCATTCCTCAGGGCCATGGTTTTGGGACTCGGCGTGTGCCGCTCGAAACCAACTACTTTGAAGTCTACAATCGTCCCAACGTCCGTCTCGTCGACTATGCAACGGACAGCCCGATTGAGAGAATCACCGAGACGGGCGTCGTCCTCGCCAGTGGCGAGAAGATTGAGCTTGATTGTCTCGTATACGCGACTGGGTTCGATGCCGTCACCGGAGCACTACTCCGAGGGATCGACATGCGAGGCATTGGCGGCACCACTCTCTCCGAAGCGTGGAGCGAAGGCGTCAAGACGTATCTGGGTCTGTTCGTCAAGGGATTCCCCAACATGACCATGATCATGGGACCCCATCAGGCCTTTGGAAACATTCCGCGCAGTATCGAATTTGCCGTCGATTCGGTGGCGAGGTTCATCAAGTTTTGCCTGGATAACGGCATCACATATGCCGATGCGAAGGAGGAGGGTGTGCAACAGTGGACGGTGAGTTTGCGTGTCAAGTGTGCATTTCAGAACTACCGCGCTGACTAGTATCGTCCAGGATCATGTTCTCAAAAACTCCGAGGGTCAATTGTCGAATGAAGTGGACTCGTGGTTGACTGGTGTCAACAAGAACGTGGCGGGCAAGACTGTCCGTTTCCCCGTCCGTTACACCGGTCCTGGGCCGCTGTACCGGAAGACGGTCAACGATGTGGGGGATAACGGGTGGAAGCTATTGGATTTGCAGAAGTAGACGGGTAGGCATAGCATTGTGTACAAGGCGTTATTAGCGAATGTAGAAGACTGCTTATATTTTGTATGTTCCGAAGCTCACTGTAGATTGAATGACTATTTTTAATTGAGTACAGGCTAAGATAATCAAGCAATATCAATCACACGAAGAGCTAGTCTACTCATTCGACGGTATCATCATCCCAGAAGACAAAGCAACGGACTTCGACGCTCTCCCTCGGGGGGCCAGAGTTCTCGTCTTGGCTCTTGAGAGGGAAGGAGGAGTGCACGGCGCATCGCGCGCGGCCGTCCTTCTTGCTGTCGAAGATCTTGAAGAGCCATGCCTCCTCGGGAGTCATGTCGCTGGCGTAGTACCACTGCTGGTTGGGGTTGTGCGCGAGATTTGCGACCTCGTATCTACACTCTTGTCAGCATATGGAAGGAAGGGGGGTGCGGAAGGACAAATCATACCTGGCGGCAGAGTCGCCGTTCGAGGAGTATTCGCCACGTTGCTTGTGGGAGAGATTCTTGGAGACATTGCCGTACTGTCCGGCACCCGGGGGCGGGAGGTTGGCAACAACGGTGCGGAGATCTCTCTCGTCAAGGGACTTGTAGTCGCAAAAGGCAAGAGGGTCACGCTTGACGGTGTTGTTGATGGGCATCCAGATGTTCATGATGCCCCAGCGCGTCTTGGTGCGCCGGTCGGCCTCTTCCTCGGGCAGGTTGAGGTAGAGGATTTGCTCGGCGCCGCGGTAGGACTGGTCGACGTGGACGAATCTGGCCGGGTTGTTCTTCGTCACCGGCTCCGAGTCGGGCTTCTCGGACGCATCGTTCTGCGCTTGGGCGAAGGTGTGGCGGCGGCACATGTGAGAGACGACGTGCACGTGGGATGCGCCGGTCTTTTGCTTGATAAAGTCGGAGACTTCGGGATACCAGTCCTTCTCGACCTTGTCATCGTCGAGGAACTCCTTCTCCTTGGACGGGAATTTGACGAGCTCGAAGCCATTCTTCTCCAGCGTGAACTCGGACTGGATGGGGCGCAGGTCTTTGATGTTCACCTCATGCGGGACGTGCTTCCTTCGCTTCTCAAAGGCAGTGCCAGGATATGTTTGGACGATGCCTCCATCCTTGACCTCGAGGTAGTAGAAGAGGGTGGTGGGCTCGACGGGGAGAGCGCTGGTGGGGGTTTGGACGGCAGCAGTAGCCATGGTGTGTGATGGGTTGATGGGTTGATTGATGGATGGATTGGTTGATGACTGATTGAATGATAGAAGAATGGATGAATGGATGGAGTGATGGAGCTAGTTTAATATTTCCACTCGATTCACGCGATGCCGAAAGACTTTTGTGTCGCTGGCTGAGCCTCCCCGGATATGCTGAAGTGGGGTTTTTGGGCATGACGTGTGAGCGGGCGAATGAGGTGCGACGCCTGCTGCCACTTCACACCCACGGCCCACGGCTCTCGATCCCGCCAACTGTTGCCCGATGCTCTCTGTGATCGTTGTCACGGGGTGTCAGCTCGACGCATCTAGATCTACCAAGTGATTACTTCAACGACTCGAGTCTCTCAGCGCCAAGAGGATTACTCTGTTGGTATCTTCGCGCGCCTTCACAGCGAACGCGCCAGCGCATGGCGGTAAGGTGTGCGCGAGGCTGGCCGGCAGGGCAGAGTGGTCGGCAGACCATCCACTGCACTCAGACGAGTCGACGCGCATACGAACAACACACGCGAGCCGTCTTGCCGTCCTTCAGCATGATCCTGCGCCATTTGCCACACGCATCGCTTGTATTTTGGCCAGATCAAGGGTTCGCTTTCATGCACTCACCGTGCAGACTCCCCGACACCGGGCCAAGCAGGGGATAAGCGCGGATGTGTTTGGAGGCGTTGGCCACGTGGAATTGATTACTTGCCCGGTCTACCTACCCAGCCTTGTCCCCGGTGTATTTCGTGTAGAGTCCATGGTCAATAGACGCGCCACGGTCTCGGCACTCTGTGAACGCACCGCCTTCCGAGGGAGTTGGGGGCACGGCTGCTGGACGGCTGCGCAAGGCGTCGACATTCCCCCGGCACTGCAATGCGATAGCCGCGGATGCAGCCTGGGGTAACCCCAGCCTTGGGCCACTAGCGCGCATTAGCTCAACCTTGTCCCCGGCTCCCGCCCTCGAATGGTCCAGACCACGGCCAATAAGCGACGGCCTCCTCCACGATCGTGGAGATCGCTCGCCCTTCCCCACGATTACTCCCCCGGCATGCGCGGTCGGGGATTTTGCTTTTATACACCATCACCTCGCCCCTTTGCGGGGTTGCCTGCCCGTTTCCTCACCCTCCCCAACCCTCCCCTTCGTCTCGTCGTCGCTGCGAACCACACATCATGGCGGTGGACCACGAGAGCAAGTTGCCTGTGGGCAACCACAATGAGAAAGCAAACCTCGACGTCGAGAACAACACCTCCGGCTCCGAGATGTCCAACGACCCAACCGCTGAGGCCTACTTTGCAGAGCCCGTCGTCACCCCGAAGACATGGCTCGTCGTCATGGTACGCGAGCATTGTTGCATCTTTCCTTCGTCCGCCGCGCGCAATACTGACTACATTCGCAGGTGCTCGCTGCCTCCTACGGCATCTCCTTTTTCCCCGTTCCCTTCTTTAGTCAGATCCAGACAGAAATGGCAACAAGTTTCGGCAGTAATCCAACAGAGGGAGCATGGTTCACCACCGTGTACACTGCTGGCGGCACGATTGCCTTTATGGTCTGCGGTGAGTTGTGATGATGCTCACACTTCTTTGACGCGTTCACGCTGACTCTTCCATTGCAGGCGCCAACAGCGATTTGTTCGGTCGACGTTATTTCATCCTGCTAGGCAACATTTTGATTTTCGTTGGTTCGGTCGTCGGCGGAACGTCTCACAGCGTCGGCCAATCCATCGCAGCACACGTCCTTCTGGGTTTCGGCGCGGGCAACTGCCAGCTAGCCGCATTCGCTTTGCCTGAGCTTTTGCCTAACAAGTGGCGACACTGGGCAGTCGTGCTTGCTGATGGTCTCATCTACTTTGATGTCATTGTCGGACCTGTTGCAGCTCGTGTTGCCATTAAACACGGAGATTCTGTAAGTCCATCGAGTTTCTCGTTGCCTAACCTTAGCTAACCACCCCTAGTGGCGCTGGGGATACTGGGGTGTTCTGATTTGCATCACCATCAGCTTCGTCATCCTTGCCTTCTTCTACCATCCACCAAAGCACCCCCGCGGCATTCCATGGGGCGAAGCCTTGCGACATCTCGACTACGTTGGTATCGTCACCTTCACCGCCGCCGCCGCCCTGATCCTTTCCGGCATCCAGTACGTGCAGCTGCTTCCCTCCAACTCTCCAACGGTCATTGGAATGCTCGTTTCTGGATTCGCCTTGCTCGTCTTCTTCGGCACGTGGGAGACCGTGGCCAAGCTCAAGGAACCGCTCGCGCCCACGCGCTTGTTCACCCACAACAAGGGGCGATCCCTCACCGCTCCCTTCATCGTTGGCTTTGTGGTAACCATGTTCTTCTACGGCGTCAACATTTCTTGGCCCACTATGCTGGCGGTCTACTTCACCAACGCGACCACCCCTGAGCACATTGTGTTGTCTCTCGCCACCGTGCAAGGCTTCGGCATCTTCACGGGTGCCATGATCCTTTCCTTTGGCGGCAAATACTTCCAGCACTGGAAGTGGCAGCTAGGAATCCCAATTACCGGCATGACCTTCTTTGGTGGCCTGTTGGCTTACGTAACCCCCGAGCGCGAGGCTATAGGTATAGCGTTCACTTTCTTGACCGCTATGTTCTACGGGTAAGCAATTTTTACGGCGAACTTGTCCTGCTGCCTTAAAAGCAGTTGCAGCGATCGATGCCTGGACACTATCCCCAGTGGCAACCTCGCGCAATTGATCAGAGCACTAGACATGTTTTACCCGACACCCTTGAACTGAGACCGAGCATTTGCTAATCCTAAAAATTTAGCTATGCCCAGTACCTTTCCATCGCCTACATCCAGTTCGGAGCCGACCAGGTCGAGCTCGGAATTGCCGGTGGACTGGCTGGCGTGGCCCGGTACGCTGGCGGTGCCGTTGCTGTCACCACTTACTCGTCGATCCTCTCCAGCGTCCAGCGACCATATGCGGAGACCCACGTTATCGCCGCCGCGAAGGCAGCAGGTGCCTCGCAGAAGGTCGCCGAGGCAGTGCTGGCCGCACTTCCATCCGGTGCTGCAGCCCTCGAGAAAGTCCAGGGCCTTACCACAGCTATCGCGACCGCCGCCGGCGGGGCATTCGTTGAGAGCTACGTGCAAGGTGTCAAGTGAGTACCCCACGCCCTTCTCATTATCAGTAGTGGCGCTAACAACGTGTCAGGACTGTCGCTCTCTCCTCAATCGCTTTCGGCTGTGTGGCCATCATTGCTTGCTTCTTCCTCGAGGATATCGGCCCTAAGATGAACAGTAAGGCCCATATTCGACCCTATAATTGATGGACATGGGCTAATCGTATCGCTACAGACAAAATTGAGATATATTTAGAGAACGACAAGCTTGCTGACCGCAACCGCTATCATTGACGGCTCTACGGCACCCCCTGGCCTTATTAGATACGAATATACCTTCTGTATACCATTTGCAACCTTGCAGAGCTCGATTTCGTTCGGATTCGCACGACTTCAACCATAGAAAGAGGATGCAGCACTTGTATTGCGATCCGCGACTACACTACCTAGCTTGCTACCCCTCTCTTACCCCTTTTCACGAGTATCATACGCGGGCCTTGCACTAATGACACGGTTCCCCAAACGTTGAATCCCAGAGGGTAGACATAATTAACCTCCTGCAGAATGAGATGGAGACGGTTGGGACTTGCTAATGAGAGAAAGGCTAACGCGCGACAGGTCGTCGTGGATCGGCTCTTCATCAGGGGCTGGATTCTACAATGGCGAAGATAGCTGCCGCAATGCCTCTTCAGACGAAGTCCTGACATCTCCAGTCATCTCGGCGAGCGTGTGACGAGAGTAAATTGACTTTTCTCATCTTCTGCCAGACATCTCCGCCTCCTGGCCCCCTCCGCCCTCCTCCCTCCTCCCGCAGCCCGAAGGCCAAAGGCCTTCATTCTTCAGGCCTTTTCATTTGGCCTTCTCGTGTTGGCCGATCGACCGTTGGCCGATGGTGGGAAGCGAACAGTAATTATAGGGCGAGGAATCAATGGCGCAGCGCTCGAATCTTGCGAGGCTCGACGATGTTGTTGGACCGATATGAAGTCTTGTAGAGCATGGACACACTTTCCTGGTCGAGCAGATTCAGGCATTAGACTCGGCTTGAGGTTAGTCGAGCGTCGGGTGTAGAGTGTACTCAAATCGCGCATCTTTCAGGCCGTCTTTGCAGATCCTTCTCACCACGGCCGTGAGTCTCGGCATATCCCATGCTTATACCCAAGTTGCGCGACAGCTGTGTGTTCGTGCCTCAAGATTCAGATCGAAGGTATCGCATTGGACGGCGGGAGCGCGCAGAGGGTTTCTAATAGTGGAATGTCGATGGGGATCAAAAATACTCTTGAAAAATAGGTGGCAGCGTGTTCCGTGAAGTGGAACAAAGTCGTTGGAAACGACATGTGTACGGCGGATGGCCACAGCCTTGCAGGATTCTGCCTGAAGCGCCGAGGCGCTAACCACATAACGTTAGCGCGCGATCCTCGCACGTCGCGCCTGCCTGACGCCCATCAAGAAGACAAAACCACAACTTCAAACACTCCATAACCACATTCAACCTCTACCCCAACCGCGAACATGCCGCCCCCTGCCTCCAGCATGACCAACCGTGCTTGTGCCCACGAAGTATATCGTATGGGCTGCTTATCTTGTGCCAAAAGCGACATAAGATCTGAAGTCGATGAGGTAGCGCACCGCGTGTCCGGATTGCCATGCATGAGCTAACAACACATAGGCCCACTCGCAGGTGAGGAGGCTCGAAGAAGCTGTGCGTGATTCTGGAGCCCAAGCCATAAAAGGCGGCCTCAAGAAGCCTGAACGAGACGCCCTTGCTGCGAAGCAGAAGCTGGCGACAGATCGGCTTGCGGCGTGGAGGCAGCGCGTGCAGCGGGTGCAGGAGATGCTCAATCACATCAGCCAGCAGGTACAGCGCATGTGTGATGGTAACCAACATCCTTCATAACTAGCATGAACAGCACTGACCTCGCCTTAGCCCATGATTCTAGCGAGCTCGCCGATGCGTTGGAAGCGGATGCCGCCGACCGTGAGGAAGAGTTTCGGCAAATTTGGCGAAGTTCGACAAGAGAAGGAACTGGCGAATTCAATCGATTCCGCCCCGAAGACCCCAATCGGACACTGCCCTCGAAAGCCACCGATCGAACCGCCATGCCTGCGAATCTTGATGATCTTGTCAGCGATGGCGTTGGCCTAGAGACGTTCTTGCGGCATTGCAAGACCATGGGTCAACGACTGCCCTCGCGCGCAGTCGGTGAGCAAACTGGCCCCGCCATCATGAGTTACGGCGGCGCTATCGCCAGGTTCGGCGTGCCAGAAGCCCCTCGCGACGAAGAGTCACCGAGCGACGAAAACGTGACGGGCGGAGACCTGCCGCTGAAGACCGAGCCAGCCACAAGACAGTCTGCTGAGGATGCCATGGCGAATGCGAGCATCGCGGAAACGACCGAGTCGGCAGAACCGCCCAAGCCGGCAAAGACCGAGCACGCTTCCCCGTTGGAGGATGTCCAGCTGCGCCCACACAACGGCCAACCGACCGAGCCGACCACATCATCGCCGTCCGATGAGCAGCGTTGGGGGCTGTTCAGCTCCACGAAATTCATGGTGGACACGGCGATGCTCGTCCGGCAGTACGTCAAGCTTGTCAAAGACAAGGCTCTGGTTGAGGAGAAGACGGAGGAGGACGAGAAGGAGCAAAAGGCAGGTGCGACGAGTGCAGTACCTGGCGGGAACTTACCAGTGGACTCTGCCGCCCCAAGCAACGACGAATGGCCACCGGCGGGTGACCTCGAATGGGTTGGGCTCACCGACTGGATTCAACGCTGCAGAGACGTCGACCGCAAGTTTGGCCGCAAAACGGTCGGTACTTGGAGAGCCGAACGGCGACAGCTTGAGGATGATCTGGTCAAGGGAATCAAGAAATGGACGGACAACCCCCCGGCGGACTTTGATGACGGATCAACCAGAGATCCAAAACCCTGGATCTACTTCCCACACAACACGACACTCGCGAAGCTCGACGCGGAGAAGACGGCCATCTGGAGCGATCGGGAGGACGCCAAACGTAAACGAGAGGCCGATCCCGCCGTGCCGTCACCCACTGCGGCGCCATACACTACGCCGGACATATTCACACGGACACCACCATTCACTTCGTCGCCACCGAAGTGTCCTCGACCACCCGCAGACCCACTCCACGGCGAGGTTATAGAAACGTCGTGGTTGTGGGATCAGCGCGTATGGGAGCATAAATACGCCAGCGGTGCCACTGTGAGAGACGCGCCACCGAGCGCGGAGATCCCCAATGTACGTTACTCACTCTCACACGCTGTGAACGGCCTGTCGCTGACCTGAACCACCACACAGTCGCACAGCAAACATGCCGGCCCCGCCCTCGCGCCGCGCACAAGCTCGACACCGGCCGGGCGATACACGACGTCCTCTGGTGTCAATCAACCACCGTCCAAGAAGCTGCGTGCTTCCCAACAAGCGCCATTCAGCTCGACGATGGCGTCGCAGCGGCCAGCGGCCAGCCACCCCCCCGCCAACCAGCTATCCGCAGGCCAAGGTCAAGATAGTGCGCCGCGTGAGACATCGATGACGATGGAGGTGGATGCCGGCGCCATGCCGGAAGTGGCGCCAACATATGACCAAGAGGATGGATCTGATGGTTACGTGTCCGACTGAGCACCCACTCTCGGTCCCCCTCCCACCATTGACTCACGTCTCTGGTCTCTACCATACCCACCAATGACTCATCTCTTTGGGCTTTAAATAGATGACCAATCGAATACTCTTCGCCGCTCTGCCTTATCCAAGTTCTTCAATACGATCCTTGCGGCATCCTTCGCGCAAGGCGAGTTCTGCTCGACACGCACCCCAAACGTTGAAGCAGCATAGCGCGTCGTGCATTTGTCACTGGCTCGACCAAGACAATGCCGGGTTCTTTGAGTGGCCTGGCAGGATGGATGGTGCTGCGTAAGGTGCAATGAAAACACTTCCGTAAGCAAGGCGAAAGAATGGAGCGGAAGTTTGTGGGACCCGCCCACCGCCCTGGACTCAATCATCTACCGGCTGTCCACAGTCGATGACGGCAGTCTCGGTGCAAGCGATTCGTCCGATGACGATCGTGCTCGCTGCCAACATTGCGGCTTCTCCAGATACGTCGCCTTCAGCGTGGACTGTCAACGGCTAGACCGCCTTGACTGCGCCGGCAAGAACAAGCTGAAGATCGAGCGGATTACCGACGCCGCCTCTTGCACCCGTGAAGACACTTATCAAGCTGCATGCGTCCACCAGTCAGCCTTGCCCCTCCTCGCCCGCAAACGAACCGTACAAGAAAGGTATGTCTGTTGACTGCCGTCCCGGACAAGATGAAGGCCTTGTTTCGGGTGGCGGCGGTAGGGAGTTCTACCATACCACTTGCCTTGGGGTCCTTACGACGCAGGATATCCTCAATCGCCAATGGACTTGTGATGTCTGCATTGTCGAGGTGGGGGAAGAAGAGACGGAGGGCAAAAGGCTCATTGGACTTGAGAAATTGCCGTGCTCGAAGATCTGGCAGAAAGACCTGCAGACGAGAAGCTCCGACGTGTTCTCAGCTCCAAGTATTCATCTCCGGCTTTCCAGCTGTCGTCGGAGGATGCAAGGCTCCGGCTAATGTCTCCTCATGCATGCTCCACACATTTGACAAGTAACCGGGTTTTGGGCGGCGGTTCACCTTCCGGCGCTTAACCGAAGACCAATGGTGTGAGTAGGGAGAAGATAATCGAGACCATCCCAAGACGCACGGCTACATTACATATTCGATGCTTCCTCTCGTGGGATGGGGAAGCTTCCGCATACCCGAAATCCCAGCCGGTTATTGCAACGTGATTGATTATATAATAAGGCTAGCCATTACATGTAGGCAACCCTCAGCTCTCCTTTGCGAAATCCCTCAGCTGAATCGATGTAGCGTACACGTTTGTATAAAGCACTTGTTCAATTTTCCTTTTGCCTCGGGGCGCAGCCGCGGAGACGTACAATCGGCAGCCAATCGGGAAGCCGAATAGGGATATCGGAAGACGTTAACAAGATGACCATGCGACCGAGGAAGGCGGATTGGTGGCAGGGAGAGAATCCCGGTGGAAATACCAAGGAAAGCGTACAGAATGTGCTCAAGGGAGGCTTTACCAAATTCGTCCGCGCCCTCACCCCTCGGCATGAGAAGGCGTCTGAGCTGATGGCTATGTGGTGACGATCTAGCTTAAATAAGACGCTAAGGTCAATGAACGGAGCGCCCTACTTTCCTGGCTACAAGCCGCCGAGGTGGTGGAAGCGGTGAAGACGTCTAACACCACCGCACGCGTTACCTACCGCTTCGCCGTCCAGCGCACCTATTTAAATCCCGGAGGCACCCTGTAAGGCGGCATAGCGGCCTCCATGTTTAATAACGGGACTAGCATCATGCTGCAGATAATCCGGAGGAGGGATTTCTAGTAGTATTTTAGGACGACGAGGACCTTAAACGTCACGTATCTCCGCCCGGCTATAGAGGGCGAGGTGTTACTAATGGAATGCGAGGTGAGTTGCGTAAGCCACTATACTTAGTTGTTGTTTGATGTTCTAACGCCGAATTATACAGATTGTGCATGCCGGCAAGGCCATGTGCCTAATAACGGCGAAGCTGGTGCGCGAGTCCGACCGGGCGTTGATATGCACGTGCGAGCACCAGAAGTTTAACATTGATCCGGTGCTAGCCAAGATGTGAGGTTTGAATGAAAACAAGCCATCACGACTGTGGCCGCGTCGCAGGGGATTGGCGACCGGTGGACCTGGTAGAGCGAGTCTGAGCGCCGAGGAGAATGATTTTGATGTGGATGAGATTTGCCAATTAGGCAGAGTATGATGTAGCTCTTGACGGTGAAACGCATTGCTGTCCGTCTTGCCGACAATCAAAAGTCATCTTCCGTCAAGCAAGCTGGTTGAAGAGGTCCCATGCACTGTCATGGGTGCGTGATGCTTGCGAAGGACAACGGCCTAGAGATGCCCGCCGGACACTTCTCCCTCCATTCTGAATGGATGAAGCCCTTGGCATCAAGAGGACTGCCTGGAACTTCCTTGCTAATTGAGAGGAGACGATCCAGTACATCATCTACAAAACCCTGCACTCATTCCGTTTCGGCTGCTTCGACATGGCCCAGCAGGCACTTCTCGCTGCTACTTGGAAGCAGTGAAGCCCGGGGGATCGAAACCGCAGTGCCTTCAACCGTTTGCTGTTATCCATGAGATGATGGTATCATGGCAGGTGGTCCTGACAATCGGGGACGAGACGTGATGGTGCTTAATGATAATATTACATGGCGTCTGCGTATCAAGAGCACGACGCGTATCACACGACCAATCGCGAAGTACGTCCGGGCGTATTGACATTTAGGAGTAAGGTAGTAAGACAAATGAGCCATGTGCCTACCACACGAGACATGGTGAGGTGTACGGCGTGTGGGTGTATGCCCGCGGAAGCTCGGGATGAGGTCTGCTGTGCTTACGGGACAGCTCTCCGGTCGCCGGGTGTCACCACGCGCGACAGAATGATGCACAGGAGTTGGCTCGGTCTTTGTTCGCACAAGTCGGGATGTGCCACAGAGAGCGCACAGATGGATGAGACGGGAAGCGTGCAGTAGGGCAGAGCAGAGCCTCATCCCACCACACCATGCCCGGCAACCCGGCTCCGGGCGCACTCGGCAGAGATGCGATGACAAATGCCAAATGTGTCTGAGGGCGGAAATGACGCTCGGAGGATAGGGTGGATGTTCGATGATGATTAGTAGACGGCACTGGAGATATGGATGTTGCGGATGACGTTAGAAGCGAAGCGCGAGACATTTCCACAGCCAATCAACCGTCGGCGCGCCTTCCCCTTTGGGCTAGTCGGCGGGCTGATCTTTCGAGGCAGAACTGCGCGGCACTTGCACTCGAGCGCCGACGTGGTTCAAGGCGCATCGAGGCGCGCGCGCCTCGCCATTTCGCACGCTCGTGGCTGGCCGCGCTGCAGTCGAGGACGACACGGTCCAAGGCACGAGCACTAACGACCTCCAGCAACGATGCTGAACGAGGAGTTCGCGCGAACGACAGATCGACGCGAAGAGTGGGAAGGAATGGGAATCCCCGCCGCACTACCCGGCCGCCAACCTACCTCTGACTTCATCCCGGCTTGAGCCTCACCCGGCCTTTAGCGAGTCGATCACGCGCGCCGCTGGAAAAAAAGCAGCTGGCGTCTGTTGTGTCCATGTTGATAAGATTGCGCGAGGCGAAATGCCTCGGACTGTCTCGTTATGTCCGGTCTTGTCGACTGCAGCCCGGCATGTCATTGGTGGCCGACCCACCTCCGCCTCTTGGGCGGAGCAAATGCGGACGGTGACGATGTCATGCCAACAGACCTGGCCCACCGATATTGTGCGGTTCCAAATAGTATATTTCCTTTGCGCCCCGTCCCCAGACCCCAGACCTCCCCGCGTCTCCTCATTCTTTCGACTCATCTTTGTTAACTCTTTCTTTCCTCATCTCCGTCCTATCCTTCGCCCTCTCTAGATCTGCAATAATGGCCGACAACGCCCAAAACCACCACAATAACCTTGCCGTGAAGGAACAACAGAACGGCGTCAGCGGTATCAATGGCACCAACGGCCAGGACCATGCCCCGCAACAGCGTAGACCGTACGATTATGGAGGGAACCCCCTTTATCATGCGAACACGGGAGAAAGTGCTAGACTTCCCGCGTTCGGTGGCGACTTCCAGCCCGGGTTGTACAAGAGCGACGCCAGTCGCAAGTTCGCCAATCCCGCCCCTCTCGGTCTCAGCGCTTTCGCGTTGACTACTTTCGTCCTCGGCTTGATCAACTGCGGCACGGAGGGCATCACCCATCCTAACATCGTCATTGGAGCTGCCTTTGCTTACGGTGGTCTATGCCAGCTGTGAGTCAACTCTTACCAGCGATCTCTTCCTCGAATACTTCACTGCCAGCTGGTGCATCCATGCTGACCCTATGACTGCAGGCTGGCTGGAATGTGGGAAATGGCGGTCGGCAACACCTTTGGTGCTACTGCCCTGACATCCTACGGAGGATTCTGGATCGGAACAGCCATCAGTACGTCCAGCGCCGAACAATTCCCCAATCTATTCACGCTGACTCGGAGATTGTAGTCTTGACTCCCGGCGGGTTCAACATCATTGACTCCCTCAGCGCTTACGGCACCAACACATTTGCCAAGTCTTTCGGTTTCTACCTGATGGTGAGTCGTTGAACCTTTCACACCGCTTGCGCTACAGCTACTGACGGGAAACTCGCAGGGATGGTTCATCTTTACCTTCATCTTGCTTATCTGCACGCTGAGGTCCACCGTCGCCTTCTTCCTCCTCTTCTTCACCCTTGACCTCGCATTCTTGCTCCTCGGAATCGCCTACCTGATCCCATCCGGAGGCAATCCCAACTCCTCCATCCTCTTCGCCGGTGGAATCTTTGCCCTTCTCGCGGCCTTTTTGGCATGGTGAGTTCCAGGAGCTTTCCCCAGTGCAAACAGATTCGGAAATTGACCGACATCGATTAGGTACAACGCCCTCGCCGGTATCGCCGACCCCAGCAACTCCTTCTTCATCATTCCGGTCTTGCACTTCCCGTGGAGTGACAAGGGGCGTGAGAACCGAAAGAGAGTCAATAACGACGAAGCTCGTATGGACGCGCAGTCCTCAGTCTAAGAATGTGCAAGACTGGCTGTGCAATTGGTGTTTGAATGATCACCAGACATTCTTTTTGGGTGCATTTGAATGGAATACCCCTCCGCGGATACATGTCTCGTACTAGAGTGTAGCAGCACCCTTGCTGTCATGCTCATCCATACTAGTAATAATAATCGAACTCCTTATTGTTGCACATCTGGATCATCTCCTTGCACGCTGTCAGACTCTTGGTGTTCTGGTGCTGGTAGACGATGTACTCCCACGGGTAGTGAGTTTCAAGGGAATTATACAATTGGCAAGGTCTGCTGCACTTGATAGCTGCAGAGCGATGCATCAACACGCGCCACATGCCTACCCACCGCCGCGATGAACGGGTCATTAAAGACGACGCCTGGATCGAAGCGTTTCGCCGCAGTCCGGTGATTACCTGCCGTCGGCGGAGGCTGCGGAAATGACCAATTTTCCGTCTTAACTGCTGGAGAAAGCGGCGGATTGATGCTAGTAGACGCACATGCCATTCCGCGCCACTTTCGACTCACAAGTCAAACGAGACCGGCGGCAACTCCAATCAATCAGGCAAGGTCGATTGCATATGCGGGATTAATCAGGAGGAGACCAATGACACCTGTTTGTTCCAGACCACATCGCCTATCGCTGATCAACGTTCACCATTTCGAAAAGGAGCCTGTCTCGATTGCCGCAGCCCGTGTCTTAGTGGACGTCGATCACTTATGCAGGGTCCGCGACATGTGTTATTAGTCTCTGGGCAGCTGCGTCACGCTGGTGCAAGGGGCTCGGACGATCACCAGGTAAGAGGTATCAAGGGGTGCCTGTGAGCAACGTGGGCATGCGCGGCCATGGCGACATCTTATCGGGCGGCTGGCATTTCTTGGACCCGGGGACCACTTGGCCAGAGGTGTGAGAAATCTTCAATGTGGACTCGAGCGGTTTTGTAGGGATCAAGGGGGTGTATTCGATTTCGAATCGTGTAGACTATGGTTACAATAAAGCAATAATTCTGTCGCGTGCGGCTGCTATTGCTCGCAGAGGGTATATCTCGTTCTCATTCTCGCTCTCCCAAATCACGCCTGCATTGCTCAGGCGGCGCAAAGAAACAATCATAGCAATAGCGGTGGTAGTAGTACATTGCCCTTCGCCCATTCAGTAGTCCGTCGCAGAATCCGAATGGCAGGAAGCCAGAACAGAATAAAAAAAAAGAGGTTGGCCCAGCCATCCAGTAGCCCATCAAATCGACAGGGGGTGTAGTGATACAGTAGTGCAAGTGTTCGGTGTAGGGAAGTAGGCTGAGGTTTGCGTGGTGCGACAGAGTCGCGTGATCCGGTGGAAGGAGCGTTGCAGGCGCGTGTTCGATGGGGTTGGTGCACCCCATTAGAAGATTACCGCCAGAGCATGCCACGTCGTAGGAGTGGCATGGATGATGGCGAGTAGGTGCTCGACATGAGTACAAGTGAACGCGAATGGTGGCGCGTTGATCGAGAATCGAAGGGTGCTTAGGAGGCGTCGGCGATGAGAGTAGCGTGTCGCATGTGCATGCAAGGCACGCTCATTTCGTTGGAATGGGTGGGAGGGGACGGTTTGGCGGCGGGCCTGGGCAGGGTGGGAAGCTGACAGCAGGCATTTTGAAGGTAGTGGGCGCCGTGGTGAAGGCTGTGGTGGAGGTAGCTGGAGATGATACTGGCTGATAGGCGAGGGTCGGAGAGCCGAGCCGAGTTGCTGGTGGAGTAGAGGCGAGATGAGTGGAAGACCAGCTTTCGTGAGAGGGGGAAGTAATTATTGTACAAGGGACGGAGCGACAGGGCGGAGAGGGCGGCAGAGAGGCGAGAGCGGTATATGTAGGCGGATGGGGAAGGAAGTCGAGGAAAAAAGTCAGGCGATTCATCATCCCCCCATGAGCCTCGTAACGACGCTAACCAGGGATCGCGACAAGCATATCCCGGCTCGTGGGCAAAGCGAGAGTAGACAGACGGGGGCTGGGCCGCTGGGCGCTGCTGCGCGCCCGTTGACAGCTGCCTTGGCCGCATGTTTTAGACTTTCGTATAAAAAGGAGCAGCTTCTCTTGGAGCGGCCCGCTAGGCATGCGACGCTAAGGAGCTAGGGGAAACAAGGCTGACGACGGAGGGCGCGCGTGATGATGATGCGGACCGCCCGGCTCCGGAGAAATGCAGGCATGGCCGGCGTGAATGGGCAGGTTTCATTTTCCTCCAGGCCGCCGTCATCATGCTTCCCGGCCAGTCATCAGGCACGGCGGTTTGTCAGATTTCGCGCGCTCCGACTGACCGCCTACCTCCTTGATGCTGTGCGCAGGGGCAGCGTGCGCGACGTGGCTAGGCGAGGTAACGGCACGGTAAAGCGCCTCACGGTGAGTAAGAATCCCCCGAGATCCAACCCATGTTTGGTGCGGAGCGTTGGCGGCCCGGAGTGCGCCCCATCAGGCATGCTGCATACGCTGTCCACGCAGGGGCACGATTACGTCTACTCTTGCTGCGCTCCATGCTCTCACGATCGAGTGTGCCGGGAGCCCGAATGTCCGATGCTTGTTTCACCTTTGCTTCGGAGCGGTGAAGGGGTGCATTGCGCACGACAAGACGTATCCCGCTGTCGTGCGGAGATGTCGGGCGCGCAACCGGATAGCGGCATTGTCTGAAAGCGTGTTCCGGCCGCTGCGCCTCACATGACATGAGCTTCTTCAGCCCGAGTGTTTTCCGGAAGCTTCATGCGATCTATGCGCGGTGATGGTTCGGCGCGCACGTCGACTCGCGCTCAGCATCTGCGCACGTTTGCGCCGGCCAGACCATCGAGCAAGCTGAGATGGCTTTGCGCCTCTTCGCATGCTAGGGCGTATAGTATACTCGGCAGCAGTGGCGCGAGTCGGCGGGCTGGGCAACAAGCGGCCAGCGAAGAGTGTGTACCTTGCATTCCCGTCCAGCCCATTCCGGCCGCCACTCCACGTGCTCCCGGGCCGGCGCTAGAAGTCGAGATCGGCAGATCATGCATCATCCTTACCAAATAATCCCCTGGCGCGACAAGGTATTCTTGCGGAGAAGGAAACACCCCGGCTTGCCCGGCCTGAACGCTACGTATGCCCATCCCGCATCGAGATCCTCAAGGGAGTGATGAGCATGCCAAGAGAGCACTTCCGAGTCAACGCACGTCCCAAGGAGGAGGACGCCATTGGAGACAGCGGGCCAAGGGGGGCCTTATGCAGCCGCGGGCTTGGGTTCGCTTGGGTCGCTTGCAGCATGCAGCTCGTCTCGTCTCCCTTTGTTCATTTTCTGGAAACCTGACGAACAAGCGATGAAACAGCCGTCAGGGGGGCACGAACCGCTCTCTCTTCGTGTTTCTAGACCATCGCGATTCCCCGGCTGGGCCCCAATGCTGTCGAAGGTGTCATCGCAGATATCCCGCGTGCGCAGTGACGTGCTGTGTGGTCATGCTGTCGTTTAAACTTGCGCCATCCTACGCGAGCTGCCTTGGAAGGGCATCAAGACTCGGGGATTTTAGCGTGCACCATACGAGGCTATCGTGCTTGTAGCCAATGATCGAGTCAACCAGATATTGCGAATTCAGGTACGATCTCACGATCTCAAAAAGTTACGAGTCTCACCATCGATTGCGACGCCATGGCGATACCCCCGGCGCTGGCATTGCTGGGTCCATGGCTTGCAAAGCTCGTAAATCTCCTGCGCGAATTAGGGCAGCACCGTGAATACATGTGTTCGGCATGGTTCTGTTTCGTACATGCCTTGTCACCGGCTCGGCGTCACACCTCGTCCAGTGCGGACAGTCCTATCTTTGGAGGCTGAGCATTCCACTAGTCCGGTCAGCTCGGTGCTCATGCTGAACAAGTGTCTGTCGCCGCACATCAAAGTCGTGTGAGAACACAAGGCTCCCATTCGTCGCAGACAGTCATTTGCTTTGCCCGCGGCGTATAATGCAGGTTCTATCATGTCCTAGCTGGGCCACTATCGCTATCGACATATGAGACGAACGCCGGCCTCGATCTCAACCCACCAGTGGGTCTTTGCGCCGGGCGCGGCAACCATGTCAACGCTACACACGCATTTGCACGATGCTGGGCTCATGTGCGTGCAGCTGTCGAAGCTCGAGAAGTAGTCCACGCCTTGGATGCTCCGCATGCAGCCTTGCCTGCTGCCTGCGTCTTTCCCGAGATTGTGGCTCTCAACTTACCTCCTATGCGCAAACATCGCTCCAGTACAGCCAGAGCTCGGCAGCGTACAGACATGACCAAGTTCAGCTTCAGCTTCAGCTTCAGCTTCAGCTTCAGCTTCAGCTTCAGCTCCAGCTCAACCGTCTTCGTCCTCCTCCAAACCAGCTTCCTGTGCTGCCTGCGTGCTGACCCATTTCTCCATCATTTGGCTGCCGCCCAAAGGCACATCCTCACGTGCTGCCGTCCTACCCTTCCTCTTCACCACCAGACACAAAGTGCGTCCGTAGATTCGGAAGCCATGAAATGATGTATTCATGGCAAGCTTCTTCTTATCATCGACCTCTTCGGACGTTGGTTGTGGGCGCGATGCAGCACGCTTGTGCCGTTTCGAGCCTCGTTCTTCTTGGGTTTGAAACGCTGGTTCCTCGTCGGAGCTCAGAATCAATGCTTCATCGTCTTCTCCCTGAGCCTTCCGTTTGCTGCCAGTATTCGCAGCTGGTATATTGTACAGCTCGACAACTTCATCGTCTTCGTCCTCCTGCAAGATGTCTGTCGCCCGCTGACCAGATGCCTCGCTGCCTGCCGTCAAGTTGTCCGTATTGTTGAGCCAGCCAGTCAGCTTGCTGCTGTTGCTCTTCAGACGAGGCTTATCCACGAAGCTTTTCTGCTTCGTGAGCAGCACGTGCCGCGTGGACAGCTCCTTCAAGAAGATCACCACCTCAAATTCCTCCGTGCTCACCACGTCTTTGATCCCCTTCTTCTTCTTGCCGCCCTTCTTCTTTGCATTCTCATTCTCTTCGCGCAGCTTCGGCAGGACTTTCGGCCGGATCTCTGCCATGATGCGTGGGAGCACGGGGTCGCGGGAGGAGAGGAGCCATGGTGCATCGGAGGGCTTGTCCAGGTAGATGCGCACTTCTAGGACGGAGTGTTTGGTGATTCGCAGATATCGGCGAATGGGCGCCATGTCTTTTACATTTTGAATGCAGAGCGGTGGACGTGGTGGAAGCAAGCGAAGATGGTTGATGTAGGATGTCACAGTTGCAACCTCAGGCACAAACATGTGATCCGCCAAGCCCTCCGCTGGTTCCCCGCGACTTCATGCGTTCGATGGGTGCAGTACAGTACAGTGCAGCCCATGCTTCCGCCGCGCGAACAGACTCCATGGCCGACCGATCCATCAAGCGTGGTGCAAGCCATGCGGGCTCCTGGTATAGCAGCGACAAATCCAAACTCAGCACGCAGCTCGACGGTTGGCTGGGGGCGGTGCCGACACCAGTTCATTGCATCGGACCCAACACGCAAGGCCAGACCGCGGAGCAGCTACCAGTACCTAGTGCTAGGGTAATTATTGCACCGTATGTGATGTCTCGCTCATGATCTGGGTCGCTTGGACTGAGACAGCTTACAGACACGCTGGCTATTCGTATTCTGGACCAGCAGCGGCCTGGGCGTACCGATCGTGGGATGTCTCTAGAGCGTGAGTGGTGTCTCTCCATCGTTCGCGTTGCTTCTGTATACGTGTTCAATGCTTTTGCAATCACCACCTTACCCGTCGCAATCGTTGCTGCGAAAAGGACTAACACCAAGAGCAGGAAACGCATATTCCTGCTTGGACCATCCCACCACTTCTATCTCTCCAAAGCGACTCTGTCAAGATGTACCCACTACGAAACCCCTCTTGGAGACCTCACTGTAGATCGAGAAACGACTGCAGAACTCTACGCGACTGGCCAGTTTGAGTGGATGTCTCAGTCGGTCGATGAAGACGAACACAGCCTGGAAATGCACCTGCCATATATCTTCAAGGTGCTGGAAAGGTAAATTGACGTGAGTGTATGCATTTCGCGCTTGGACTAACAACGGCCCCAGCACGTTCGGCAGCGGAGGCAAGCATCCATCGCTCGTCCCAATCATGGTAGGCAACACCTCTGCACACGCCGAGCGAACAATTGGTCGCGTCCTTGCGCCCTATCTGGCCGATCCATCGAACGCATTCGTCGTTTCCTCCGACTTTGCTCACTGGGGGTTGCGCTTCCGATACACGTACTACCGCCCTTCACTCTCGTCCCAGCAAGCACTCAATCTCAAAGCCTCTGCCAAGGACCCGAGAGATCCGCCGATACACGAATCGATCAGGGCCGTGGATTTCGAATGCATAGGTGCTTGCGAGACTGGCAACCACGAGGCATGGTTGAACTGCTTAGAAGCCAATGGGAATACGGTATGCGGGAGGCACCCAATCGGGGTCATGATGGCAGCCGTGGAGGAGGTGAAGAAGACACGCGGTGCCGACGACCAATCGAAAACGGGGCGATTTCAGTTTGTGCGGTATGAGCGGAGCAGTGAAGTGAAGAAGGTCGGCGATAGCAGCGTGAGCTATGCGAGTGCTTTCGCGGTGATATGAGAGACATGAGGCTGATGGGCACCTCGCCATGGGTAATGTAACCCCGTTCCCGCCTCCTGCATTGCGTTTGATCTTCGACACCAAGTAAGACACTCGTCAGCGGACTCATTACAACCTCACTTCACTTCGTCTTCACTTCATTTCGTGATGTCATGTGAACTAATCTGCTCATCTCGCGGCACGTGCCGCCGGCCGCATGTCACAAACGCTTCCATCACTTACTTGTTTCCAAAACTTCTTCAAACTTCCATCCCCCTTCACCACCGCCCCGCCGCTTTGCTGTTTTGCGTGAAGCAAAACAGTTTTGCTGACTTGACCGCAGGTCCCCCACACTCCCTACAACGCTCTGAAGACCCTATTGCTTCCAACCAGTTCCGCAACCCAGACCAAGATGGCCACGTCCGGCGGGCCAAGCAGTGAGATGCCAGAGTGCATCATCTGCACCGAGCCACATCCCCCCCACGAGAACGCTTCAATCTTTGGCTCTGACGTATGCTTTGGCTGCGTGTGCAAGATGTTCGAAGATGCAGTTCACCACGAAGACAGGTATCCCCCAAAATGGGGCAGTCAAGTTCTCCCCGTCAGAAAGTTCCGCGCAATCCTTCCAGCCGAGCTCTATCAACGCTTCACAGAAAAGGCGAAAGAGTACGAGATCCCGCCAGAGGAGCGAATCTACTGCAAACAGCTCAAGACCGATACTACCGACGACCAGCGCGCCAGTGTGACATGTGGTGAGTATGTCGGCCACATCCCTGAAGCCTGGAGAGAAGACATTGCGGCTGGCGTCATTTCTCGCGGGCATTGCAAATTATGCTCAAGCATCCACTGTTTGATTTGCGGTGACCTACTCACCATCCCGGAGCACATCTGCACAACGCTGCCGGACTGTGCAAACGACAACGCAGCCTTTGAAGGTCTCATCAGAGGCAAAGACTATCAGATCTGCCCCGTTAGACGCTGTCGTCGCAAGATTCAACTTTCAGATGGCTGCAATCTCGTTGGCTGCGTGTGTGGCCATCATTTCTGCTTCGTGTGCGGGGCCAAGGCAACAGACCGCCATTTCAGGAGAACCAGAGAGGAAGGTGGCTGTCCTAGGTATAACCACCCAAGCATGCCGACTGCCTTGTGGCAACCGACCGTTGCGGAAGTCCAAGGACAAAACAACTTCGCGCTGCAGACGTTTTTGTTGCAAGCACACCGCCATCAGCTGATTGTTGCAGCCCGGCGCAGGGAGCGAGACCGTGCAAGGCAGTCCATGGAGCGTGAGCAAGACGAACACCGTCAGACGCGTCAGCATTCCGACATGCAGTCTCACATGGAGCGGGAGCGTGCAACAGCTGAGCAGCACCGTGTTCATGAAGACATCCTTCACATGGACGACATCCCCAACATGCAGCCTTTACCGGTAACGCCTCACCTCGCACATGACACCTTTCCCACACAAGACCCGGCAGGAGCTTTCACGGGTCAACATACTATCGGCGCGATTCCTCCGGCATACTACCTTCCGCAGCAGCACGCGCCAATGTCGGACCAAGGCATGGCAGGAGTAGCGCGATTGATGCCTGGGCCTGCGATGCGGCCCCGAATGGAACACGCGGTGTTGCAAATGGCACCGCCACAAGACAGGACGGCAAATGAGCTCGGCGCGTTTGAACGTGCAGGGCATTTCGGGGAGATCGCACCGCCAGGCCCACGTATGATGGGACCGACGCCACCCCTTCCAGCTCACACAGTCCCTGCACCGATTGCAAGTCATGGAGAGCGCCCAATCACTCTCCCAGCAATTCCCGGACCGCCTCCACTCCGCCTACCGGTAGCAATGCCTATCCTACGTTCCGGACTGAGGCCATATCCTGTGCTTACATTCGACCGTGAGGGATCAAGTCAAGTACAGCCTGGAGCGCCCACTGGACGGCACGATGCTGATGCTGAGCAACGGTTGATGAGAACTACCATGAGGACAAGGGACGCACTGCGGAGGGCGCGAGTGGTCCTTGGCGGAAACGAGGGAATCCAGGTCAGGAGAAGCGCCGATCACGGAACGTCCGAAGATGAGCCTCACAACGTTCCCGCTCCCGTCCCCATGGTGTCGACTCCACATCATTCGCAAGAGGCGCAGAATCGCCATTCAATCATCAACCGACGCCAACAGGCGCAGATGACAGGCATGGCATCACCCAACGCACATTCTGGACAAGCATCGGCCCGGCGTTCACGGCTCGTTGGTTCTCTGCCTGACGGTGGTGGGTCGATTGATCCGACGCTGGATTCGGACCTCGAGTGGGATGACGTTCACATTTGGCGCCCTGGGAGGTAACAATGTGGATGGGGCAGAAGAAAGACGGTGAAGGGTGAGAGAAACGAATGAGCAGGATGGATGAGGGTTACTGAGGTAGCAAACGAAGAGTGATCAGGTTTGCAAGGTAGCGATGGGAAGATGAGAGATCAGGATGGGTACGGAGCAAGGTTTGATGAGATGTGCTGAGGTGAGGGAAGCAGGACAGCGAGACTGATAATACGCGCTCACAGAGATGGATACGACGGAGTTTTGATGGAGGGGCATTGATTCTCGCTACGGCAGAGAGTACGAAGTGGGCATGGCTGTGAAGAGATAACGATAGTTTTCATAGCCGTCCAACGCTTTTTCAACAGTTTCCACAGTGAAGCCTCCGTGGAGTGAGGTTGGCGGCACGTGATTACGCGACTCAGGGTCTGGAGAAATAGAGTTTGTGCTGGCAGCTTCCGACAATTTCTTCGACCTTCTCTCGGTGGCCCGAGCTTCATCTCGTTTCTAGGCCAAACGACGAGATACAAGAAGACCTTTTTTTCAATCCACCATCACCCGCATCCGCAAAGCACTCACCCCACCCACCTTTGATACCCGGCCATCCCCAGGTCACACCACAACATCAGCGTCTCCCAGCTGTCCACTCGATTGTAAGTTTCGCTTCCTCTCATCAACAGCCACCGGTTGCCTGAGCAATCTCTGCGCAACGCTGCCTCATCTTCTACTTGATCAACCCACTTACACAACTCTTCAGAACTACCCTTCAACCAAACTCCCTCACACACACACCGCCATCATGTCGACCGAGACGTTCGAGTTCCAAGCGGAGATTTCGCAGCTCCTGTCCCTCATCATCAACACCGTTTACTCCAACAAGGAAATCTTCCTGCGAGAGCTCATTTCCAACAGCTCCGACGCCCTTGACAAGATCCGATATGAAGCCCTCTCAGACCCCAGCAAGCTCGACTCCGGCAAGGACCTGCGCGTCGACATCATCCCCGACAAGGATGCGAAAACCTTGACCATCCGCGACACTGGCATTGGCATGACCAAGGCCGACCTCGTCAACAACCTCGGAACCATTGCCCGCTCCGGCACCAAGCAGTTCATGGAGGCCCTCACCGCTGGTGCGGACGTGTCCATGATTGGTCAATTCGGTGTTGGTTTCTACTCTGCATACCTCGTCGCCGACCGGGTGACCGTCACTTCCAAGCACAACGATGACGAGCAGTACGTGTGGGAGTCGAGTGCCGGTGGCACCTTCAACATCATCGCAGACACCACCGGCGAGCAGCTCGGCCGTGGCACCAAGATCGTCCTGCACCTCAAGGACGAGCAGACTGACTACCTCAACGAAAGCAAGATCAAGGAGGTTGTCAAGAAGCACTCCGAGTTCATCTCCTACCCCATCTACCTTCACGTCCTCAAAGAGACCGAGACGGAGGTCCCGGACGAAGATGCCGAGGAGAGCAAGGCCGATGAGGACGAAGAGAAGAAGCCCAAGGTAGAAGAGGTGGACGACGAGGAGGAGGAGAAGGAGAAAAAGAAAAAGACCAAGAAGGTCAAGGAGAGCAAGATTGAGGAGGAGGAGCTGAACAAGACCAAGCCCATCTGGACCCGCAACCCTCAGGACATCTCCCAGGAAGAGTATGGCTCCTTCTACAAGTCGCTGTCCAACGACTGGGAGGACCACCTCGGCGTCAAGCACTTCTCCGTCGAGGGTCAGCTCGAGTTCCGCGCCATTCTCTTCGTCCCCAAGCGCGCGCCCTTCGACCTCTTCGAGACCAAGAAGACCAAGAACAACATCAAGCTTTACGTGCGCCGCGTCTTCATCACCGACGATGCCACCGACCTCATCCCCGAGTGGCTCTCGTTCATCAAGGGTGTTGTCGACTCCGAGGACCTCCCCCTCAACCTTTCTCGTGAGACCCTGCAGCAGAACAAGATCATGAAGGTGATCAAGAAGAACATTGTCAAGAAGACGCTCGAGCTCTTTGGCGAGATTGCCGAGGACAAGGAGCAATTCGACAAGTTCTACAGCGCCTTCAGCAAGAACATCAAGCTTGGCATCCACGAGGACAGCCAGAACCGCCAGGCCCTCGCCAAGCTGCTCCGCTTCCACAGCACCAAGTCTGCCGACGAGACCACCTCGCTCGCCGACTACGTCACCCGCATGCAAGAGCACCAGAAGCAAATGTACTACATCACCGGCGAGAGCACCAAGGCCGTGGAGAAGTCTCCCTTCCTTGACGCGCTCAAGGCCAAGAACTTCGAGGTCCTCTTCCTCACCGACCCCATTGATGAGTACGCATTCACTCAGCTCAAGGAGTTTGATGGCAAGAAGCTGGTCGACATCACCAAGGACTTCGAGCTCGAGGAGACCGAGGAGGAGAAGACGCAGCGTGAGGCGGAGGAGAAGGAGTACGAGTCGCTCGCCAAGTCGCTCAAGAACGTCCTTGGCGACAAGGTCGAGAAGGTCGTGGTCTCCCACAAGCTCGTCGGCTCGCCCTGCGCCATCCGCACCGGTCAGTTCGGCTGGTCCGCGAACATGGAGCGCATCATGAAGGCCCAGGCTCTCCGTGACACCTCCATGTCCAGCTACATGAGCAGCAAGAAGACCTTTGAAATCTCCCCCAAGAGCGCCATCATCAAGGAGCTGAAGAACAAGGTCGAGGCGGACGGCGAGGGCGATCGCACCGTCAAGTCCATCACCACCCTGCTCTACGAGACCTCGCTGCTCGTCTCCGGCTTCACCATCGACGAGCCCGCCGCGTATGCCGAGCGCATCCACAAGCTCGTCTCCCTGGGCCTGAACGTCGACGAGGAGGCCGAGACTGCGGAGGAGGGCCCGAAGGAGCAGGCTGCCGAGACTGCCGGTGCTGGCGAGAGCGCCATGGAGGAGGTTGACTAGATGATGGCCCTTAGAGCTTCCATCCACCTTGCATAATGGCTACATGGCTGTGCAGAGCAGGCGGCGTTCCCCCTTTACTTTGCTGTACTTTCATCACGGACAGGTCTATACTTCTTCGGCTGCAGAAGGTCAAAAGACGGAGGATGGGCTGTAACTTTAGTATTCTAGATAACGTGTTGTAAAAGTTTGCCTCGAACCTTCCTTCACATGAACTTCAATAAATTGAGTGAGATTTCCTAGGACGCCTACGAAAGAGCAAACGTCTAAATGCGTCTAAATGCAACGGGTATATCTTAACGCCACGATCGTTCCCTCGTCCTAAATTCATATCATGCAGCTTGCCGCCCTCAATACCACCCCTACCTCGCCATGCCCAACATATTCCTCCAATCGCCCGCATCCAACCAGCTCCGCCCCACGGTACCAGATCCGGCAGAAGTCAAAGTAGAAGCAGCAGGAGGAGGCACAGCAAACATCGTGATGCCCGCCGCCGGCGGCTGCCCGTTGATACCGACGCCCTGCCAACCCGACAAGCCCAGCCATTCCTGCAGCTCGGCCCAATTCCTCGCCATCCACCACATGGCGGCGCCGAGCGCGCCGCACGTGCCTGCAATCTGCAGCGCGAACCAGCCGCGGCGTTTGAAGGCTTGTGCGAATGCGAGCACGCCGAGGGGGTCACTGGGGTCGATGATGCCTAGGTCGCCGCCGAGACGGCCCTTGGGTGGACGGGAGGTGAGGCTGGTGTTGCCGTTGCCGGAGGAGGAGATGATGGCTTTCTCGGAGTCGGAGGAATATGCTGTGGTGCTGCTGTGGTGGCCCGTTAGGGCAGGGGAGATGGAGGAGGAGAAGATCTGGGCGTAGCGCTTGCGTTCGTTTTCCAGGCTGCGTTGAAGGTCCTGGGCCCATTTCGCGAGGCGGACTTGACGGAAGGGCGGCTCCGAGGGTTTGTTGGTTTGGTCGTTGTAGCGTGCCAGTGCTTGGGCGGAGGTTGCGGTGATGTTGTCGTTGCTGGTGGGGAATGGCGCGGATCCTTCCGAGGCAGATGGAGAGGCGGAGCGGAAGTAGCTCGAAGACCCGTAGGGAACGAGCACTTTGCTCGGCTCGTCGACGATGCTGCCGGTGCTGGTAATGGCTGGGCTTCCGGGCTCGAAGTGAGAGGATTGGAGGAGAGTCTGCTTGTGTAAGTCCAGAGGGGAGGCCAGATGTTCCTGTCGCCAGAGGAGGAATTTGGTGGCCGAAAGGTGCCGCCAGCGCGCCATGTTGTCGGGTTCCAGCAATTTTGAGACGAGGACGCTAAGCTCGCTCGGCAGGAAGGGCTGGAGATAGCCTGACGACATCAAAATGCTGGCATCGATGGTCTCAGGATCGTCTCCCAAAGCGGAAGAGATGGCGTACGGTTCCAGCGGTACGTCTGATGCGGCGGCTGATTCGTCAGTCGGATGGATGTGTGATCTTTTCGCGTCGCCTAGAATGCCGAGATTAACGTCGAGCTCCTTGAAGATACTCGAGAGCTGCTCCTTTCTTGCGCCGAGGTCGTCGGTTTCGACAGTATCGGCATGACCGATGAGCGGGATGACATTCGTCCATTTGCATAGATGCTTCAGCAGCTCGACTTGGGCGGTGTCCAGCGTTTCAGCGGGAGACGGATCAAACAGGAAGAGGACGACATCAACCTGCAATCCACCTTCGCCACTCAACATGCCAACGAGCTCGGTGTCATGCAATCTCTCCATGTGGCCCATGCGCGCTAGAGCATCGGCGAAGTAGTGGCGCACTTCTTGAACGTTACGATCACCGTCAAAGCCGGGAGTGTCGATGAAGGTCAGGTTGCGCTCGAGCACGCCATCGCCCATACTCTTACGGCGGGGGGGCATGCGCCTGCTCTCAAAGTCGGTCCACCACGCCGGATAAGGGCGAGTAGATGCTCCAATGGCCACGATTTGCTCCGTCGGCTGCGTCTGGCCGTCACTCACATCCAAGCTTGAGCCACTGCCAGACATGGAGTCCAGGTGTGCGACATCCTCGCTGAGGCGGCAGATACTTCGAATCAAACTCGTCTTGCCCACTCCCTGAGGCCCAACTACCATGATCTTCAACCGGCCCATTTGCCTCCCCCTCTCCGTGAAGGGGCGACGCATGGGCATGGAGATGGAAGGCATAACAAGCTGAGGCATAGCATCTTCCTTTCCCACGTGCTCGGCGTCATCGAGCTCCTCACCCCCACACGAGGACTGGATGGCTTGGCTTCCGGTCTCGCTGGCGATGCTCTGCTCCTCATCACTTAGACGCAGCGACTTTGGAGAGCCGGTGCGAGGAGTGCTGGGCATGGCCGACTCTGGCCTCGGGCTCATCCTGAGCGGCGTCAGGGGCTGGCTGAGATTCACCGAACTCGACGGTGATGCGCGGCGTGCAAAGGGAGACTCAGCGGAGCGATGAGACATGGGCGATACTGAGGGGGCGTGATGGTGATAGTGTTCCGAGGAGATGATGCGCTGTCCCGTAGCCATGATTTTAGGATGAACCGGGTTGCCTGCCTTTCTCTTCCTACTGGCAAGCATATTCACGTCTGCGCCTGCGTCAGCACTCAGGTCGGAGACGTTGCTGCTGGTCCTGGAGAGGATGTTGTCAGATCGGGTGGCGGATGTGGAGCCGATGGTGTCCTCCAGGCTCTGTACACCAAAGGAACTGTCCGCCAACAGACTACCAACAGGCGTCTTCTGCATGCCATCGTCCGTGTCTCTCGAGGGCGCGCGGCCGCGTTGAATGGTCTTCTCCATCTCCTTCTCGCTACGCAGGAAGAAGGTGGTCGGGCTGGAATGGGCGGCAGGGCTGGCCAATGAGGGCGGATTGGCGGCCGTTTTCTTCCCTCGCAGCGTGCGAGAGGGCGAGTGGGAGTGGGATGTCATGGCATAGAGTTCGGGTTGGCGATAGGCGGGGCTGTAAGGAGGGCGTTTGGGAGAGTTGAGTCGGGGGCTCCTTGCTGATGGAGGTGTTGTGGGCGGGGTACCAGGTGAGCCAGGCGAAGGCAGAGACACGCTGCGGTCAGGGGCAGGAGGGAGGAGGAGCGATGTCCTCCGTGCCCGCACGATCTCTTGTCCGGCGACCTGGTGGATTTGAGATAATGTCCGAGTGAACGTGCACGTTGGGCGTGGTGGATGGAGCACGAGTGGGTGTTGTCAACAAGCGACCCCTCCCTTGCACCCTTCCCGCTCCGCTGTGGGGCGGACTGGATTAGTGCAGATGAGATAAGCGAGCACGAGCACCAGCATCATCCCGTGATCCTATCAATCAAACACATCATGTACCGAATGCTCTACAATCCACCCTACAAATCACCTGCACGCTTCCTACGCCCGCAGTGATGTAGCTAATCGAAGGCAACGAACGCAACGCACAAGAGGCATGTCGCTCGAACAAACCATGCTGCGCAACCCAGAGACACCTCCCGACCCACGCACAACAAAACATGCACGAAGCAGAGGCAGAAGCAGAAGCAGAGTGCCACGCTATGCAAAGTCACTTTTCCCTTCCCCTCCCCTTCCCTCCCCTCTCCTTCCCTTGCTCACCCATCCCACTTCCGCCGATTGCCCTTCATGTTCCATCATCCATCCCTTCCAATTCACCGGTCCATAGCAAATACAGCCGTGAAGAACGAAGCTGAAATTAGTGTACACCCTCCGCATCGTCGCCGTCAATGGTCGGCGAGAGTATGCTGACTGCGCGAGAAGTCAAGTTCTCTACGCCGCCTGCGCCGCCCCACCGCGCCCCCTCGGCGCAGCAGAAGCACTGCCGCCACGTCCACGCGGCCCGTACCCTCCGCCTCGGCCTTGGAAGCCTCCGCGCTGTTGACCTTGGTTCGCGCCGCCGCGCCCACGCGTGTTCTGGAACTGGCCGCGGGGAATGTAGGGCCGTCGCTCTTCCACGTACAGCCGCTCGCCGCCGACATCATGCGGGTTTGCAGCAATGGCGGCGTTGTAAGCCTCGGCGGTGCGGAATTCGACGAAGGCGGAGTTCTGAGGCATGTTAGCATTCGGCAGAAGATCTACGGGCATTCTGATCCGCCTACCTTCTGGCGCGACAAGTCAAAGTACACCACCTCGCCATACTTTTCGAGGTGCGCCTTCAGCTCATTCCCCTCAATTCCTTCATGCACATTCTTGATGTACGCGCGTGTCTGCGGGCCTTCTTGCTGCTGGGAATTGACTTGGCGGGATTGCTGACGCGCGTGACTGCCTCCCACAGCCGTCCACTCGTCCCCTTGGCTGGACTCCGCGGACGTTGCTTCCTCGCGCTGCGCTGCCGGAGCAGTGGGCGGTGCAGCTGCCACTGGTGCGGTGGTTGTTGGTGAGCTTGAGGTCTTGGTGCTCGGAGGCGTTGGGCGGGCTTGCGATGCGTTGGAGGTGGTGACGGATGGGGATGCCGGGGTGGCGACACGGTGGGCGGAGGCCGCCATGGACGCCCAAGTCTTGGGCGCGGAGGGCTTCGGAGCCGAGACTGCAGCTGGCTGCGGCGTAGCTTGCTTGGGCGGAGACGGAGTTGGTGCGGGCTCGACTGGCTTCTCCGGCTCCTCTCGAGTGAGCTGGGTGGCTTCGGGAAGGACGGCGGCTGCTGGTGCATCCTCCGCGTGCTGGGCTGCAGGCTCCGCTTCGGCGACACCATTCACGGCGGAGGGCACAACCTCTCCGGACTTGGACGGCGTGAGCACCTTCTCCTCAATCTCTTTGTCGACTTCCTGAGCATCACGTTCGATGGCGACCGGGTCTGTCGAGCTGGTCAGGGTCTTGTGTTCGGGTTCGGCAGCGGTGCTGGGCGGGTCCAGCAAGCCACTCTCGGCGGCGGCCACTTGCTGCACCTCCTCCACCGGCACCGAGGCCTCGGCGTCGACCTCTTCCTCTTCCTCGTCGATGAGATAGCGGAAGATGTCGTTGAGGACGAAGTACCCGTTGACCTGCGTCGCCAGCACAAAGGTCTGCGCAAATTTTCGGTGGGGCTGAGACTTGTTGGACATTTCGCCGATGACTTGGATGACAATGTTGGAGTCGGAGGCCTGGGCGTCGACGTTGGTGACGCGCACCTTGCAGTCTTTGAAGTCGAGTTCTTTTATGCGGTTGTTGATGGCGGCCTGGCCGCCGTATACGCGCACCTTGTCCGTCTCCTGGCCCGAGACGAACTGCGAACGCTTGTTGTAGAAGAGGTAGAGCTTTTCGGGGTTGCGGCTGAGGGTGGTGTAGTATTGTTCGACAAAGTACCAGCCCACCTCATCCTTGGAGATCTCTGCGGAGCTGGTGGAGTTGGCCGGGGGTTGAGTGGAGTTTGCGGCAGGGTGGGTGTGGTTGTTCTGCTGTTCGCCGCCGGCATGGGGTTGGTGCGCGGCATAGTTGCCATTGACAGGGATAGATGCGGTCTCCGCTGCCATGATTACGACGAATGGCGGGACGTATATAGCAGGACGGACGAGGCGGAGAGGATGGGTACAGAAGGGCGCGGAGCTGGATTAGGAAGGCGGTTTGTCGCTAGGGTGAAGCACTGTGGCGGGCAAAAGTCAGCAAGCAGATCATGCATGAAAGGGTGAAGCGAGATAGGGTGTACCAGAAAGGACGCGAGCTTCAGAGGCGGAAAAAGTCCAGTCGGAGGGTCAAAGTTTGACAATGGGAGATGGAGAGGACGAGGAGGGGATGGGCGGTGGAGGGTGAGGGACGAGACGAGTAGAGACGAAGGGAGTGTGCGCGTGTGATGGAGGGAGAGAAGAAAGAGGGAGAGACCACGTGAGCACGAGCGGCGGTGGTGGTACAGAAGGGCGTGTGCGATGGGGTGCAGTGCAGTGCGGTGCGGAGACTGCTGTGTGTGCGCACTCGGGGTTTGCCTTTCAAACAATCCGTCAAAAAAAGGCTAAAGCCTCGGCCATCTTGCCCTCGGAGATTACCGGCGCGTCTTTCCCTTCACGCGGCGGCTGGTCAATCATGGGACAGCGAGAGACGCAGCAAATACAGTGAGCAGCAAAGCAGCTGCTTTTCCAATCAGTCTTGATTTGTTTGCAATATGCAGAGCTGAAGGCGTGTGAGGAATTCATGCTTCAACCGCAAAGGCTGCAAGACAGGCACGTGCATACCGGGGATAGCTTACCTAGGTTAGGGAAGGTGTCGCGTGATGCCTGAGGCCTCCATCCCCGCCAAATCACGTCGCGTCCTCCATTACGCGATCCAACTTTCATCAAGCGTCCGCTCTGTCTTTGCTTCCTTGATCCACCACACACCGGTTGCATCCACATCACTGCGGCCTTCAAGATGCTGGCAGTCACGACAAACCCTCGCATCGATCCCAAGAAACGCGCCGTCCTCGACCCCCGCAAACGACAATTCGCCAAAGCACAATGGGTCGAGCAAGAGTATGCCCATCGCATGAACTTCTACACCACCCCGCCCACCGGTGACATCAGTCTCGAGCAGTTCGAGGAATGGGGCATTGCGCGGTTAAAGGTGCTGGCTGAGCTGGAAGCCTGCCAGTTCCGCAATAAGCCTCCCGCCGAGACGGAGGAGTACATGCGTCCGGTGTTGGAGAAGCACATGCGACTGAGCAGTACGCGCAGTAGGAGCTCGGAAACGGCAATGGAGAGGAAGAAAGACCACTACTCCCACTGGTCCTTGCGCCTGGCTTTCAGCGGTACGGCCGACCTCCGACAAAGATTTGCCCGGCTGGAGACGCAACTCTTCAAACTGCGCTTACAACACGACGATCTCGCCGAGCGAAGGGCCTTCATCGATTCCCTCCCGATGAGCTGGGAGACGGTGACTGCGGAGGAGAAGAATCTGTGGCTGGATGAGCTCAAAGCTGCTACTGGCTTCAGCTCGATGAGAGGCGATGAGGAAAGCTGGTTCAAGGTCGATTGGGAGATGGTCCCCGAGCTGGTCGAGAGACGGCAGGTCTTGCTCAAAAGGGGCAAGGCGTATGTGCATGTCAGAGAGCAGCAGACCATGGTCGTCAACGAGTTCTCGCGCCGTCTCGAGGCCGGCCTTGAACTTGCCGCCCGCTTCTTACCGCGCATGGACGAAGACAACCGACTCGCCCCAATCCTGCATCACTTGTCGCAATCCTTTGTTGCGCCAGATGCAGGCTACAGCGAAAGTTCGAGCATTGGTGACATGGCGAGCATCAATGCCAGTAGCATCGATGCCCTGAGCCAGCACTTCCCCCTCTGCATGCTAAATCTACATCGCGAGTTGCGCAAAGACAGCCACCTGAAGCACTACGGCCGCCTGCAATACACTCTCTTCCTTAAAGGAATCGGCCTGAGCCTCCAAGAGTGCATTGTGTTTTGGAGGAAGAGCTTCAAGCTCCTCACCGACGGTACGTTCATTCCCTTCCGTTCATATGCAAATGCTGACTCATTGTGGCAGAGAAATTCAAATCGGAGTATTTGTACAATATCCGCCACTCGTACGGAGACGTGGGCGGCGATGCAAACAAGCGAGGTCGAGGTTACACGCCTTACTCTTGCCAGAAACTCCTCACAGAGGCCCTTCCTTCAGGTGGCCAGAGTCATGGATGTCCGTACCGAACATACTCCCCGGACAATCTGGTTGCTTTGTTACAAAACGTCGGCATCAACGATCGCGAGCTTCTGCGTGGAGTGAGGGAAGATGTGGGCAAGCAACGGTATCATATCGCTTGCAACAGAGTGTTTGAGACAACACACAAGAACGAGATCAAGAAGGTTCGTCATGCCATCAGGCTGTATTTGACTGCGCGTCGCTAACCAACTCCACTTCAGGTCAAGGACCAATCACTTTGGCCCGCCAGTGAACTTGATACCATCCTTCATCCCAATACATACTTCAAGCGAGGCTTCCTGTTGAAGAACCTGGGAAAGGTGCAGAGTGGAGATATTGGAGTTGACGTACCGACGCAGATGTCGGAGTAATGACGGCCGAACGGCAACGAGCATATCGGAGGCATTGCATATCGCGAAGGCGTTTTACTGTTGGATTAGAAGAACTGTCAGCTGTCTAACATGGCACTGGAATTTCATGCACGTCGCTTTTCACGAATATTGGAGAGACGGATATGGGTTTACCTGAAACCTCTGATCCGTGCATCAGGCTGCGCCCGTGCGTAATTCAGAGCACAACGGTCTGTCGCGTACAGCGCGTCGGGTTCGTGAAGCCATTTCGCTTCCAGCCATCGCGAAACGCTCTTCTTCCCTTCACTCGACTTCGCAGCAATTTCATCGTCTTGACATCCCACGCACCATTGGATCGTATCACTCTATCCGGCATCACATACATCTTGACCATGGCCCTGAAACGCAAACGATCCTCCGCAACCCTGAGCTCCCCATTCTCCGACACGACCACCATCAGCAGCGACGCGAGCAGCCCCGGCGGTCTCCCCTTCTTCTACACCCAAAGCAAACCCACCGAGCCGCTCTACCAAAAACCCACCTGGTCATTCCCCACCTACGACTCCGACTCGAGCTACAGCGCGCCGTCCCGTCACCTCAACAGCCGGACGCGCAAACGCCACCGCGACGACCGGCCGGACGAGGAGAGCGTATTTGGTTCGTTTCAGCCCTCCTGCATCGCGTGGCTAGGCGCTGCACATATGGGTGCCTTTGCTGATGTCTGCCTACGTGCAGCAAGCACCCTTTCTCGCCTCTACGAAGCGCAACGGAGCCTGCCGAAACACGAACCCGCGCCGAGTGCACCGAGTCGGATGGTGGTGGACGAGGAGCCGGTACAGAGGAGTACATTACATTCATTCTGGAAAATTGAAGGCGCTGCTCCGGTGCCACCGACAACACACATGGCGATTGACTCGGGAGGAAGCGCTCCTATCAACCCGGAGATGAGATGCGAGGACTGCGATGGTACCTTAAGACGAGACGATGTCATGGACCTGGATGATGGGATCGTTGAGCTGGAGACAAGCTGTGTGTCATGTAGACGGCACGTCTGTGACGCGTGCGCGGTACTGGGAAACGAGCGGGTATGTTTGGCTTGTGTAAGCCGGAGTGGGCGGTAATGCGGCATTGCTTCAACGAAATAGTGACAAATCCATCACGACATCTTCACGAATCTAGTTCTTCGAACCTCGTTCAGCCCATGGCCGCAAATATCTCGATAAGTGCCCGATATGCACCAAGTTCCACTTCGAGTCGAATCCGGTACGAGTCGAGTTCGGCGAGAGTATCACGTGCCAAGACTAGACTATATGATGAACGCGGGAGTTTCCGTTGGTGAAAATCTGCTCTCGAATGGGTGCAGATACTCAAAGGTCGCGTAGTCTAGTGGTTATGACGTTTCGTTTACAATGGGATTGCTGCCGAAAAGGTCCCCGGTTCGACCCCGGGCGTGACCATCACGTTTTTTGAACAGTCGTGTTCAGGAACCATTGTTTTGCTCTCCATGAGCCACTGTAACCCTCCAACTGGCCACAGCGATGGTGAAGAGGGCAGCCCAACGCACCCAAATATACATTCGATCAAATTGGGGACGTAGGGATCGACCGTTCTTGTCCACTACCATAGGTAGGTGTAAAGCTGATGGGTCTGAAAGGAATCTAAGTCTCTACCAACGCCGGCACCATCCACCGACGGACAACGACCATCGAACAACGTTGAGACTTCGCGTATCTTGATCACCAACAGAAGGATGGAATCAATGCTTGTTCATTCGCGCTACGTAACGCACGATTGACGATGCGGTTCTTCGTCTGCAGCCGACGGACCGACGGGCGATCGCTCGAACACGGCCGACCTCGCATCCATCTCGACTGTTGAAACTGGGCGGACGTCAGATTCATCGAGACGACCTGTGTGTTGATGGACTAGAGACCCAGTCTGATCGTTTCAATGCCAGTTGGATTGAACGTTGTCTGAGTTGGAGATGTCGACTGTTCAACGTGACGTGACGTTCGAGGGGAAATCTACAATTCAACGACAGACACCTTCCATGACAAACACGGAACGACTCTGAAGATTGATACGACACGACCTTCTAATCATCTTGAAAATAGTCTCAACATCAATTAACCCTCAAACGGCGTCTCATACGGCCGCTCTCCCCGGGGAGTAAGTCTAGCCAAATGCCTCCGCTGGCCGTCCTGCCAATCCAAAATCGCCGAATGGCATGTGACACGGTTGTCCCAGACAACAACAGTCCCGGCTTCCCACTTCACGCGGGCCTGCAAGTCGGCAGACAAGGCTATGTGGTCGTAGAGGAACTTCAGGAGGAAGTCGCTCTCCTCCTTCTTGTAGCCGACGATGCGGCGAGTGAACTGCGGGTTGACGAAGAGCGCCTTCTCGCCCGTCACCGGGTGAGTTCGAACGATGGGGTGGATGGTGCTGATGGGCTCACGGCGAGCGATACTGCCGCGTGCAATGGACGCTTGCACTTGCTCGTGCCCAGAGTGGACTGCTGACAGACCGTGGAGACGCTTCCGGAACTCCGGCGAGAGGCGCTGGTATGCGACTGCCATGTTGCCGAAGAGCGTGTCGCCACCGGCAGTGGGGCCGTCGAGGAGATACAAAAAGGTGGTGCCCGGGGGCTGCAACTCGAAGGTTACGTCGCTGTGCCAGGTGATGCTGTTGGTACGCTCCTCAAAGTAGGTTTTGGCAGTGGTGTCATTGGCGCTGCGGTGAACCAAGTGGACTCGAGGGAAGCCCTTGGGGGCGCCGGATGTTTGGTGAATGTGAGACGGGCCGTAGTACTCCGCGAAGTCGAGGGCCTCTTGGATGGGTAGGTCGGCCAAGTCTTGGTTCCGGAAGGCGACGACTTTCTTCTGGGCGACAAAGAGGGCGAGCTCGTCTTGACCGGCTCGGGAGAGTTTGCTCAGCTGCACACCAGTGACTTCGGCTCCGATGTTGGCCGTGAGGTCTTTGACGTTGACCCCTTCCTTGATCAGGTTGGGGAAGGTGGGGTCGGCATCGCGACCGTGGTCATAGGCCTCGAATGGCTCGTAGGGAGGGTACTTCACATCGTCCCAGTCTGCTGATAGTCAGTCGTGGCGCTCCTACGTCTTTCGTCATGCTCGATGCTTACAGGGAAGGTAATGCGGGTACTTGGCGGGGGGAGCAGTCTCTGATCCGTTGATCTCAGTCTCGTACTGGGTCGTGTCGGCGGCCTGTTGGAAGGCTTCCTTGTAGTTGGCTTGACGCCTGTCCTTCAAGTAGGCGACCTCGGCGGTGTTGTTGGTGCCGTTCTCCACGAGTGAGGGAGCCATGTTGTTGGATTGGCTGGGTGGGGATGAATAGTATAGATTGGAATGAGATGGAATGAGCGTGGGAAGCGAAGGTACGGTGTTGGGCGACTTATATTTATTACATCTATCCTCCGGCCGGGTCGCCGGCATCGCAAAGGGTCGAGTGACCCCACAAAATTGGGGGATGTGTAAGGAAGGTCAGCTACTTACAGCACTGTCGAGGGAGCTATCACTCAAAGGCTAGCCTGCTCGGGCAACACGCGCCGATTCTCTCGACGACCTTTGCGATGGAGGCGAGACCGAGTCTCGCCATACATTCGATGTCTTCAACGTAGACGCTCAGTAGAACAACGAAGACATCTCGACGATTGTAATGCGAGCCTTGTCCATCGGCTCGTCGTCGAATTGCCACTTCAAAGCCTGCCGACGGGGCGCCTGCAATTGTGCGATGAGTTGTGGCGATTGCGTGCGAGCAGCACACGCGGATCCTGCACCAATGTGCATGGCAACGCCTCTCATTCGCCATGGGAAGGGTGGTCGGCGTTTCTTTGCTTCATCAGCATCCGCCATCTCTTTGCGGAAGGTCACATTACACTATCCGTCAGTCTACTGCAAATTGGAAGAGTACTCGTGTTTGTTAGACCTCGAAAGGGTGACGTTGTCTGATGTTGGTTTCACGTGGCCAGACCGCTAGCCGTGACCATAAATTCGCACCGGTCTGTAAACTACCCAGCGCAGATCTCGCACGCAGTCCTCCGACAACTCCACCTCCTCATCCTGGAGATACATGATTTATTACGGGAGATCTCCACGTTCAGACTCGGCGTCAGAGTTCCAATCCGTATTCAGATAGAGTCGTCTCCCATACTTCCATCTTCCCTACCACGGCATGTCTTCAGCTCCGTCTTCATTCGAATACCATGCAAAGCCATGTCGAGTCCTCTTTGGCCGCGGCAGTATCCAAAAGCTTCCGGAGGAGGTGAAGCGACTGGGCAAAGTGAAACCATTGCTGCTGTCCGGACCGCGCCAGAGCGATCGGATGAAGCCGCTTGAAGCCGTGCTCGAGCATGCGTCCATCACGCCTGCCGGAACCTTCGCCAACGCGACTATGCACACCCCCATTCACATGACGGAAGAGGCGCTCAAGTATGCCATCGACACCGGCGCAGATATCCTGGTGAGCTTTGGCGGCGGCAGTGCCGTTGGCCTGGGAAAGGCTCTCAGTGTTAGGACGGGTTTGAAGCACATCTGCGTGCCCACCACCTACGCAGGAAGCGAGATGACTTCTGTCCTGGGCGAGACGGTCGACAAAAAGAAGACTACGCGCAGTGATGACAAAATCCTGCCTTACGCGGTCATCTACGTAAGTCGTCCGCTGCTCAGCACTCCTTTGTTCCTTTGTTCTCTGCAATCTTGCGTCCATTCCTCGTCAAACCCTGTGCATTCCAGACACCCACGCTTTGTGAAAAGATATGCTCACCCTCCCGAACCAGGATGTCGACTTCACCATGACTCTCTCGCCTGCCATGAGTGCGACTAGCGGCATGAATGCGTGAGTATAATACCCATTAAACATTCGTTGATTATTCTGACTTGTTGGCGTCAGCATTGCCCATGCCGGTAACAACTTCTGCATCCGCTTTGAACCGTCTTCATATTAATGAATCGATGCAGTGGAGGCCCTGTATGCGGAGAACACAAATCCTGTGACCGATCTTCTTGCTCAGGAGGGCATCAAAGCGTTGGCGGAATCCCTGCCGGTGATCGTCGACAGACCAGATGACGTGGAAGCACGTGTCAGGGCCCTATATGGTGCCTGGCTGTGTGCAACTTGCCTTGGCACCGTGGGCATGTCTCTCCACCACAAGCTCTGTCATACGTTTGGAGGCACTCTCGGCATGCCGCATTCGGAGACGCATACTATCGTTTTGCCCCATGCCATCGCGTACAACAGCCCCAACATCTCCGAAGCCCAGCGGAAGCTTGCAGCAGTCTTGCCAGACAGCGACGGAGATGCAATCAAGGGTCTCAACGTCTTGCTCGAGAAACTGAGAGTAAAGCGAGGCCTGAAAGAGTTTGGAATGAGGGAAGACGATATCGACATAATCGCAGACACCGCAACTGGCAACCCTTACTGGAATCCTCGACCCATCGAACGCGCTCCTCTTCGAGAGACTATACGACGGTGTTGGGCTGGAGAGGAAGCTCGAGCTGATCTATAGACGTGTGCGCTCGTCTTTTCATTGAAGCGCTGCGATGCTGCATGTTGGAAACCAGTCACATCGAGTCGACCAATGATTAAGCAACAGAGGCATGCTCTCCGATGGACGATGACTGAAGCCACACTCGAAATCGATTCACCCACTCCCACGGCATGCCGAGTCTGATTGGCTTTGTCTTGTTGTTCGAGGATTACCAACCCAGGACCCCCATTGTCTCGATTCCGACTCTCTTTCAAGTGTGCACACACAAGGCACAAGGCACAAAGAACGCAACATTGGCGTCAATCTCCACGCGCTTTGTATTGCACCTCCAATGTCGCATAAGTCGCGAACGGAGTTCCCCTGGACTTCCCTTTTTTCAGATTGTCACACAGCCACTCAATACAGCCTTGCTACGCGATGAGTTCCACGAAAGACGACATGCGAGGGCGTCAATGCGTCTGGTGCTGGGACACAAAGACCGAGCAAAAGCCGCATCTTGTCGACGAACACTTCTTGTGCCTTGATTGCGTTCGAATGCACATCGTCCCCAGCCTCGAGAATGCCCTGCAGCACGAGCACCACTACCCACCAAAGGCCGGTGCCATGATTTTTGATCCGGCAGCCTTCGAAGACTTGTTAGGCCCAGAATTCCTGGAGCGATATCGCGAGAAAGAGGTCGAATACAAACTTCCAATCACCGAGAGGATCTATTGTGCGCATAACATACTGCGGACTCTAGGGGACGAGACTCCCCTGAACATGCTCGACGTTGTCGACCCGGGCGAGAAGCGTCCAGAGAGATGCAATGCATTCGTCGGCCAAAAAGTCGCGGATGTACGCCTTCAATTGTGTGATACGTGCTGCGGCTACGTGTGCTTGTCTTGCGGTGCAGCACTGGAACGTGATGCCCACCGCTGCAAAGCTGACACCCCTCAGGCAGATACAGAGCCTGACCCATGCGAAGGTCTAACCCGAGGCGTCGACTACCAGCAATGCCCCAATTGCAAGAAAGTGGTGCAATTGATGGAAGCTTGCAATGAGATTACCTGCTTCCCCGGATGCCTCGGTCACTTTTGCTTCATTTGCGGAAGTGACACCGGCAAAGGACCCTCGGACCACTGGGTTCGAGGAGGCTGTCCTCGCTACAACAGTGCCGGAGCAGCCAACGCCAGATATGACCTATCAGACGAAGAGGCTGCCGAGCTACGCGCAGAGCTGACGACTGAAGCTCGCGCCAATGGAGTTACATGGGCAGACACACCGGGCGAGGATCCCGTGGATGGTCAATACTTCTTGGGGCTGATCCGAGATGGCCGTTTCATTGACCGCACCATCAACGAACTAGCACCTCTTTTACACGCTCCAGCAGAGCAGCATGCGGACGACGTCTCTCGAAAGCGCATCATCGCCATCGCCGGGCAGATGTTCCTCATTACGCAAACCTTGATGGTTATCCGGAGGTTGGAGCTCAGTCAATTGGAGAAGGGACTGCGCTTTGCCCGTGGCGCTATGCAGAACCTGCAATCCGAAGCCGAGAACGTACCTGGAGTGGATTGGCCGCTGTACTTCCCTCTCCTAGAGATCGCCCGTGTACGCCTCCTCGAGATGCAGGAACTCCAACAGCGGGGGCGAAAGGCTCTGATCGAAGCCCGGCGAGGCACGATAGGAATGGACGAGGGAAGTTTCCTTCAACCCATCGGAGGCGACGACACGACGCTGCGAACCGAGAATGCCCAGGCCGCGGAGGCAGCAAAAGCTCGTCGCCAAGGACTCCGCGACTTCGCTGAACGAACACTGGCCGAATTCGAGCAGGCACGCGAACAGGACAACGAAGTAGGAGCCGATGCCTTGCGAGCATTGAGAAGCGTGCTCACCACGACGCTGCAACAACTCGAAATGCTCGAACGCCTGGCGGCCGCTCCTGCCATCCTCATTCCGTGCTATGTGAACTTCTTGACGAAGAGCATGGACCGAACCGATGGCGAATTGAACTTTATCCCGCCCAACTTCCATCAGCTCTATAATTTACCCGGCTCGATTTCCAGAATCATTGAGAAGCACCATGAGGACGTTAGGCGAGCAGTGAATCTTGTCAGCGCTGGTCTGGGCCGTCTACGCTCAGCAAATCAAGGACGCTCATTCGGCAAATGCCATCAGCAGTGAGTCTTCAGCATAGCATAGCATTGCATTCTTCGTAAGTCATTTTGATTTCTTCCCACCTCTCACCGACTCACGAAAATCTCCACTTCCACTTCATTTGACCACCCTGCCTCCTTTCCACTGTCCTTCCACGCCTTCGTGACGTCAATCTCGAGCACTCCCCCCTTGCCACTAGTCGTCACAATCGAGTTGCTCTTGGTCACACACTCCACCGAAATCGGGTTCCCATCCATCGTGACCATGAAGTCGTCCAATACAGTCCTCTGATCGAGGTCGCTGAGCCACAATCCCAGAACTCCGAGAGCTTTCAGCGAAACGGAGACTCGCAATCGACCGTTCGGTTCGACGCGTGCCTTCGCCGATGAGACTGCCGCAGCACCAGTCATCTTGCCCAGGAGGCCCATGACTGCTGCCCTCACTGGCTGGCGAGAGGAAGAGAGGTGGAAGGATGGCGCCGGGTAGGCCGTGAGAATGTCCCAGCCTCGGGTGCCCATCTCCAACCCCACAAAAGCCTTTTCGTCTCCTCTATGCATAGGTCCGCTCACTTCTTGCAACCGGAAAGACCCGACAACGTACTCGCCTTTCTCTGTTCCAGGGAACTCGTCCAACCTCACAAACTCCGTTAGATTGCTCTTCCCGACGTTGAAGACGCCAAGAATCCCACTTCCGACCTCGCTCATGCCAACGTACGTCCCGACCTTCAATAACTTTTGGGCATCGTACGGATTGTACGGCTCCACGGTTTTGCCCACTCGACTCGGTCGGAGAATGACAGTCTTGTCCTGCACCGTCTGAGCACACATCTGCCCAATCAGCTCCAAGTCGTGCTCGCCAGGCTTGTCGGTGAAGTAGATGGGGCCGCCGCTAACGCACCTCGCCGCTGCGTGGAAGGCCGCCCAATCGTGCGATGTTTGGAACATGTCCCAGTCCGGCAGGGCGTTGAGATGTTGCGTGAGCAGGCTGTTATGAGCGTTGCAGAAGATGTGCCAGGCATGGCTTGCCTCCACCCCCGGGAAGAAGTCGTCGGAGTTCCGAAGCAGCAGAGTGGGTTTGTTCTGCGGAAGCTGGCTGTGGAAGATTGCTTGGGGGAACTGAGACATGCAGCTAATAGCCCTGGAGCTGAAGTGCCGCAAGTGAGCAATGGTCCAGGCGTCTTGGTACTCGGTAATCAGCTTCCTTCTGTCGGGAGCATGGAGGAGCATGTCGAGGAAGAATTGCGCATCGGTTTTCACGGCGTCAATGCCGTTCTTGGCCAGAAAGGCGTAGAAATCGTCGTAGAGTCGCTCCGCGTCCTCTGCGGCAACAACAGTAAATGTGCCCCCAGCTACGCCAGGCTCCTTCTCTACCTCGATCGTCTTGTATTCCTCTGCAATCTTGCCCTGTGGATCGATTCCGCCCCAATAGCCTAGTATGGCATGCCAGACCGCGATATGTTGGACGTTCGGATACTTCGTCCGGATGTCTTTCGTCAGCTTGCCCAGTCCTTCGGGGAAGCCGGAAGGATTGGCCTCGAATTCGCTCCAGCCGCGCTTGAACTGCGAGTCCCCAGACGAGAGACTCTGCCAGTTGTCATCGATGATGAGGTTTGTGATCTTCAGATTGTTCTTGTGCAGATCGTCGACCGCGTCGAGGATCTTCTGCGCAGTAAGGTTCTGCCCTAAGCCGTTCCAGGTGCAATAGGTCAGTCCCTCGTACCATTCCTGTAACCATTCGGGTTTGACGTGAGAGTCTGTGAGGGTCGAGATGCCTTGGGCACTTGGTGATTGCGAGTGTGTCTTGGCCACGAGCCTTCGAGCATGATACATTACTGCCGCGTTGGCGGTCTCAAAACTCTCTGCGACTGCAACAAGCACTTGACTCGTTCCCGCGTCTTTGCTGTCGTTGCGGCCCTTAATTTCCACATTCCCATTGCCGTGAATGAAGGTGGTCAGGACGTCCTGGATGCCACTGATAGCAAGACAAACGACATGCATGCCGTCGGAGCGAAGGAAGGAGAGCAAGATGCCTTCCTTGTCCAGCTCAAAGCGATCGCCTTTGCCGTGACGGGGCGCAAGCCACGGCGACCACAAGCGTACGAGAGCAAACCAGCGCACGCAGTCCTTTGGCAAGCCGAGTCGATGGTGGGAGTAGCCTGAGTCCACGTCTTTGGCTGGCGAGACGGGGCAGGTGAGAGAGTAGAGGAGGGTGTGGGAAGTCTCTGGTTCTTCAGTGGAGACTCCAATATCCGGACTTATGTCCTCGAAAAAGTGTGACAGTTTGTATGAGCCGTGCTTCTTGCTGTCGACCGAAGAGCAGGATTGGTATAGTAGAAGGCCGTCATCGACGCCTGTGCCGTCCTTGATCCAGCTCCAATTTCCGTGAGATCCCACTCGCCACTTCAAGGTGAAAGAGACGGCGTGCCCATGCTTGGGGAGACCATACAGCTCGCCGGTAAACCATGTTTGTTTGACACGGTTTGCATTCAGATGGCTGGCGAGCATGACTGGATCGTGTGGTGCAGTGGGCTTCAACTCCAGGTCTTGCCACTCATGCTGGCCGTTGTGATTGTGCCAGATGGACAATTGTGGCTGGCCCTGCAAGCTTGAATGTGAGGATTGTTCGAGCAAGACGGTAAAGCGAATGGAATGCCGGTCGCGAGCAATGATGGTCGCTTGTCCCAGAGATGGAGTACAGGTTGCCTTGATGTCCATGGAACCAGGTGCCTGAGAGGCGGAATCTTCCTGATCCGGTGGTAATTGTTCCGGCAAGAGGTCCGACATCTGATCCTCGGGTGGTGGGGGATAGACACGCTGGCCCGTACGTGTATCACAGTCTGCAATCAATCAATCAGTCAGTCAGTCAACGTTGTGGCAGGAGTCGAAATACAAAGGGAGACCGACAGCCGAGGGAGATTTGTTGTTGTTTCGTTCGTCTGATCGTCATTGGGTTGGAAGTGGCGAGGGAGATGTCGATGGAAACAGAGAGCACGCACGAGTGATTGGGATATGGACAGCTCCAGCGGTGATGACAAGGCGAAGAGAGAGCTGCGGTGGATTTGAGGAGATTTACAGATAGATGGAGGATCTTGAGGTTATGACGATTGATGTCTTGATGGACAATGCCTGACGTCCCCGTCCCTTACGTGGCCAGCAGAGCCTCAGGCATTCAACAACATGTGAATGCCCCCCACCTTCCCGAATTGGGAAGGGGCATTCGCACTCGGCGCAGCTCTCGCACCTCAAGAATTTCCCGGTCGACTCCCTCCCTCCCCCTTCTCCTCCTCTTCCTCCCCCAATGTTCGACACCCTCTGCTCCTTCCCGTTGGAAGCGGACCTCTTCGCCCAGGCAGTCCATCCCACACGGCCATTGGTCGCTGTCGGGCTGTCGAGCGGCCATGTCTCCACGCTGACCCTTCCCCCCGCCGACGACGAAGAAGGCACGCACAAGAGGCGCCGGGGCAGCAATGGCACCGATATCGTTGATACGGCATGGCGCACCAAGCGACACAAGGGGTCGTGTCGCTGTCTGGCCTACAGTCTAGACGGCAACACCCTCTACTCCGCCGGCACGGATGGCATTGTTAAAGCCGCCGACAGCGAGAGTGGGAAAGTGACGGGCAAGGTGGCCATTCCCGCCGACCCCTCCCACCCCAACGCGACCATTGATGCGCCAACGGTGGTGCACGCCCTGAGTCCCCAGACGCTCCTGCTCGCCACGGACTCGGGAGCGCTACACCTCTACGATCTGCGCGATCCTGCCCCCTCACTGGCCACCGCGACAGCAGGATCCAAGACGGCGTTTGTGAATGTGCGGCCGGCGCAGACGCACCATCCCCACGCCGACTTCATCTCCTCCCTCACCCCCTTGCCCGCCTCATCCGCCTCCACTTCCGGCTACAGCAAGCAGTGGATCACCACCGGTGGCACCACGCTCGCCTTGACCGACTTGCGCCGAGGCGTCTTGGTCAAGAGTGAGGACCAGGAGGAGCTCCTTCTCTCCTCCCTCTACGTCTCCGGCCTGTCCGCCAAGAAGAGCTCGACGAGCAGCGGCGAGAAGGCGTTGGTGGGCGGCGGCGACGGCGTCATCACTTTGTGGGAAAAGGGCCAATGGGACGACCAGGATGAGCGCATCACCGTGTCACCGGAGAAGGAAACACTCGATGCGCTGCAGCTCGTCCCAGAGGGGATGGGTGGGTTTGGAAAGCATGTCGCCGTCGGACTGGGCGATGGCAAGATCCGCTTCGTGCGGCTCGGGCACAATCGCGTGGTGGCGGAACTCCTGCATGATGAAGTGGAGGGCGTGGTTGCGCTCGACTTTGACGTCGGACGGAGAATGATCTCAGGCGGCGGGCAGATCGTCAAAGTATGGGAGGAGAATCGAGAGGGCGACGATGAAGAAGAGCAAGATGCGGATGGTGTGGGCTCGGCGAAGAGAGCGGCTCGAGACAGTGATGACAGTGATGACGACGGTGGGGAGCAAGACAGCAGTGAGGAGGAGGAGGAGGAGGAGGAGAAGCCGGCGAAGAGGAAGAAAAAGAAGAGGAAGGGCAAAGGTGGTCCGCAAGAGAGCCTCTTCAATTTCGCAGGCTTGGACTAGTCTTCCTTCTTCCTAGACTCTAAAGTCTTTGAGCAACAATGAGCACGAGCGCGTGGTGATGGATGAGGCTCGAAAGCTGTCGGCATTTCCCTGCTCGTCACCGCTCTGCACGCCTCCGATGATCCTTAATTCCACGCATCGCGGCGACCGCGCGTCCAAGTACCTGCAGTCCTTTGTACACTCGCCATGGCCACCATCGTGCTGCACGGTGTCCCTGCCATCGCCTCAAGCGTCCAAACCAAGCCGAGGGCGGGTTACAAGGCCTGAGCATGATGTCGAATCCTCGCGCAGCTCGTCAGGGCATTGCGCGCGCCGCTCTTTTGTAGAAGGGAATATGTGTCGGTCATGAACAAAGTCGCGTGCCACCTCACTTGATGCCGGTGGGAAGAGGAGCGGTGCGCGTGGCGATGCGGAAGAAGGTGGTAAAGCTAGACCAGGTGGTGGTCCTCGTGTGTTCCTCGATCGTGCCCGGTTGGGTCACAAACTCGTTGATGGTCTGCAGCACTCCCGTTAGCCTTGCCCACGCCTGCTCGGATTCTACCATCTCACCTTCAGATGCGTCACAGTCAGCACGATCGTCCGGCGCGGCTCGCCCCTGTTTACAATCGAGTCCACGGCCGTGCGCACGACCGTGTTCGTGGCATGGACGACAGTGTCGCAGACCACTGTGGCGTACTGTTGCAGCCCGCGCTTCTCCCGTCTGCGCTGCTTGTAGTACCAATTCTCCTCCTCCGTTGCGGTCTCTACAGGCATCATGGGGGCCTGGGGCGGATCGACGAAGACGGTGAGGACGGGTCTCGAGCCGAGCGTAGTTTCCGTGGCGACCCAGACAACAGACGTGTACGTTTCCTGCCGCAAATATTAGCACACGTGCTTCACACCGCATGCGCGGGGGGGAAGGGGGGGTGCATGTCGCACATAGTAGTCCGTCTGCGTGGCTGTCACCGTCAGCTCCGTATGCTCGGTGATGGTGGAGTCCGGGACGGGGCCGGTGAGGGTGTAGGTGATGCGCTCGTCCCTCCACTCGACTTGGGTGCGGGTGTGGGTGCGATGCAGCGTGGTCGTCGGCCGGTCCGCGGCATAGGGCAGTTGCGGGGAGGTGCATGTGACGGAGAGGTCCTGGGCGGCGACATACGGGATGGCCAGGGCGATCAGCAGGCAGTGCAGCATGGCGACACACCGCATGGTGGGCGGGCGCCAGGATGAGCGAGACGGGAGGAGGGAGGCAGCGGCATTGGGGGGGGGGGAGAGAGGGCAGCAGGGTCACGATATGTACTGCGCGACGGGAAATACGATGCTTGGGTGCCTGAGCATCTGCCCAATCGCCGCCCCACCCGTAATGTAACTAGCCTGCACGCTATAGGGCGGCGCTGGGGCAGATACGCGAACGCGAGTCTGGGAGTTTGCGTCTACGCGAAATTAACGTGCAAGCGTGCCTCTTCCGTCGCTGCGAGACCTCCCGCCCCCGCACACCGCACCCTACTTGGCATACATATACAGCCTCGTTCCGCAGGGGCCGGCTTGGCAAGGCCTAAGCACCCCTGCTCGCGCCGCGCAAGAAATGAATAATGTCTTACCAAACCCCCCCTACAGCACTTGGCCTCCTCCGCGGCTAGAAGCTCGCCCATTCCAGCCAGCTCGTGACAATGCCTCGCAACTCTTTGCTGCCGTCCGCCCGCACACACGCCTCCATCTCCGCCACGTTCAATCTGCCGGGCCCGCCGCGCTCTTGCATTGCTCGCTCGGCCTCGTCCAGGCTTGCCAGGTACTCCAACCGGCTCCTATCCTCTGCCCGTTCGTCGACATCATCACGCTCGCCCGACGAGGGGCGGTTTGGCCGATTCTGCGGCATCGTTGGGTCGCCCGTGCGCTCCAGATGCGTCGGCCCTGGCAGAATTCTCGTGGTCTCGGGTGAATGTGACACAACAGCCATGCCGGCATCCGCTGGCAATACATCTTCACCCACTCCCGAATGTCCACTACCCGTCTCCCCGTCGACAACAGAGTATCCCATGTTGTCCAGCAGCTCCCCGAGCGGACGCTGTGCAATCTCGGCTTCACGCTGTTCCAGGCTCGCGGCATCAGTCGACACGGGGGTATTCGAGAACGCGAGTCCCTGTCGTGGCTTCCGTGGCCTGCCGTTTGCTTGAGTGTACGACTCGTTTGCGATGGCCAATAGAGGATCAATATCAGATCCCGTCGCGAGCTCCTCTCGAAAGGCCTGCTTGTCTTGCACAGCCTGGTCGATCTCCATTCGCAGCTTCGCACGCTCTTCTCGCGTAGCGACGACAGCGTCATCTTGCTCTTCCTTTTCCTTGAACAATGGGTCAAGTAACTCATGTAGGCCAGCTTCGATCACTTGCCACAGAACATCCTCGTCCAGTGCGTCTTCGTCTTCCATACCCGTTCCCACATCGGCATCGATGAAGCCCATCGATCGAATGCTATCGGCGACTTGGGGCCCTGATGCTGTTACTGCCTGCTCGGTGTCTTGCTGCGGCTGCGCCTGCGCTCTGCTAGCTTCAGCATCTGTCGCTTCCGAACGCTCAAGCACCTCTTCGAAGCGGGACATGTGGTGCTGCAGCTGCTCATGCGGCTGCAACTCCGCTCTGGTCTGACTTGTGGTGGATACTTGCGCGTTGCTGGAAGCTTCCCATCCTTCGTTGTCGCCAAGTATAGTATGAGTGCCCGATGCCGGCACCAGATCATTCGTCGACAGGTCGAGATGTTTGCCATTGCGTGGCCGGTCTTCGCCAGGCTGAGGGTCGTCGTTGGTGAAGAGCGAACTAATGGGCTGCGCAGTGCGGAGTACAGACGCGGCCCGCTGAGCCAGATCTTCGTCTCGAGACTCGACGGCGTCGGTGATGACTAGTTTGTGCATCTCATGCTTGGCGCGGAGGAGGCGGATGAAGTCTGCCCGATCTACGTAGCCATCGCCGTCGAAATCGAATCCCTGCAGAGCCCGACGAAGGTCTGCGAAGCGTTGGTTCCCCCGCAGATATGCCAGCCCATCCACAAACTCCTCGAATCCGATCAGGCCATCATGATCTGTATCGTAGAACGCGAACATTCGATCATACATGGCATTCGGCCGGAAACGCTGAGGCCATCTTTCAGAGGTGAGGGCCTTGTTGAACGCGTGTCGGTCAATGGCGCCGCCGACTTGATTGGGATCGGCCGGCCAGGACGTGTTCGCAATGCAGATGAATTGGTCGTAATGCGCGTCCATGTGCGGCTCGTCGAAATCGTACCTCTCTCCCAGTCTCAATTTAAAGCTGGCTGAAAGCGGATCGCTCACCTTCTTAGGGTCCCCGGGGTACCACAGCGGAATCTCTTTGGTGGGCTGTGACAGCAAGGGCAACGGGATCTGGATTTTGGCGAGCACATGTCCCGGCAGATGCCCGATGGTGGCCTCACACGTAGAACAGAGATCAAAGTCCGGACAATTCAGGCAATGCCATCTGACGCCGCGAATCGGCCGTTCGCCGCACTCCTCGCAATGGATCCCACGATGTTCATACGATTTGCGCTTAGCATCCGCTGCCGCGATGTGGTAGAGCAGACTTTTGAGCCCGTGGGTGGTCTCGCGGGCAGCGCCGTCAAGGCCGTCGAGATCTTCCGTAGGAGCATGCGACGAATCGTCTGCGGGAACGTCGTGAACAAAGAGGTTGGTGTACAGGCTCGGCGTTCGAAATCTCTCAAGACCCACTTGGTATTCTTCGGGCTCGACTTTGAGCAGGCGAAGGACATCGGGTGATAAAAGTTGGACGGTTCCATAGTCTCTTCGCATCAGGGCTTCGGAGAGGTCGGCAAGCCCGAAGCGCGCGATGGCTTGACGCTGCGTGTCAGATTGAGAGCCGACCGCAGCGTTCAGAAGGCACTCCACGGCCGCCACTCGCAGGCGGCTCGCAAGGGCTGTAGCTTGCGCACTGGTGATGCGCATGTCGTATCTCAGACCCACGTCATCGGGCATGACGCCTTGTAGGAAGGCGATGTTGAATTCAAATCTCTCGTCGGTAGCCGTGCGGTGCATGACAACCATCCCGAGCGGAGCATCGTCGTCTGGTGGCCGAGTAGAAAGCACAAACCGGTGCGAGGGTCGTCTCTCTGGGCGCGTGCGGTGAACTGCATTGCTCCGATGTAAAGTGGTTGTGGGCGCGTGATCTGCGGACGAGGTGTACACATAGTAGATGCCGTACGCCGCCGCGAGGCCGGAGAAAGCCAGCACGGCAGTCCGTGTCCTCGACAAGAGCGTGGTACTCGACATTTCCGAAAGCAAGGCTGATACGTGGTAAACGCGACGTGCGCTACAAACTCGGCTCAAGGGTGATTGGTGTGTATTGCGTCGTTGTTGGTGTTGGTCTTCTCCGACCACAGAATGGCCAGCGTCCAGATGAAAGTGCCGGCGCAAGAGCAATCACTCCGTGCGGCTCCTGCAGGCATGTGTTCGTATCCTGCCGCAACTCCCAAGTAAGCACATGCATTTTGGCAGTCCACACCACGGCTGAGAAGCAGGAACAAGCCGCAGTCGAGTGTCTGAGATCGAAAATGCGAGCACGCTGGCTGCGAACGCTCAACTCGTGGATGAGCCTTTCGCAGAGCCTGAGAGGTGGAAGGAGTTACAAGCGCGTGAGCGGGCTCGCATCCAAATCTCAAATGGGAAAGAGTAAGCGGGCTCTAATGGCCACGTGCGAGACTTTTGTCGTCGAGTGTATTGCACAAGACATCTAATGCCGCTATATCTCCAGTACATGGAACACCGATCGTGTTTCCCAAACCGCTCTGCCGAGCCGCTCGTGCACGCCAGATCTACTTAGTCGCGCAATCTCCATATTCGATCACTGCAGCTCTTTTTGCAACGGCAAATAAAGGGGGCGTCTGTCGAAGTCCAGCTTTCTTTGGCCATCTCGTCGTTGATATCCTCATGCAGCAAAGTCGCGCCCCCTTCATCTTCATCGAGCCAAGCGTAGTAGTCGGCAAGCTCTCCCTTCTCCAGCCCAGCAGCCGTCCGCTGATTCTGCCACCGTCCGATCCTTTGATGCTCCTCTAATTGCCAGGCATCAAACCGAGCAATGCTCGACTTCTTGACATAACCGCAGAGCCGTACTGGATGGCCTCGAAGGAAGGGCCAAGCAGCGTCCAGAATCCTGTTCACCACCAGCTTCTGACAAGCGTCATCAAGCCACTCAATCCCCAGCGTCCGTGAGGGTGCGGCAAATCCAAGCTTGAGATGGTCCAGTTTCAAGCTTCTTAGCGCATGTGCTGCGGCCCTGGTTTCGAAGCGAATTTCACCCGTTTCCAATCCAAACAAGTTGAAAAAGGCTCGATGACTGAGGGAGAGCTCGAGGCTTCGAATCCGAGACGACTGCATCGAGTTCTGGAGTAGCTTGTCGAGGACGCCTAAGATGCTGATTCGGAAGGTCGCAGATTTAGACAGAACCCTGCTCGCTTCTCCGTATACGAGCCTAGAGGCGAACAGCAGATTGACGTTGGGGTTGCCGAGGCGTAAAGCGGCGATTGCTCGATAGTTGGGTCCTAGCCGTCTTGCTTTGCAGGCTGGATACGGTTCCACCTGGGAGCCTATGCAATGCGCATAGATCATCTCGCGAATCTCGGCCGGAAGATTGGTGAGCGGGAAGTGTCTCCCATTCATCGTCCACCATCTTTGCTGCTGGTCGAGACGCTTTAGCTTCATTTCATGCTCGGACTGGCCGAAGGAGTGGATATCATCTACGGGCAGATCCAGATGTTCCAGGTATGTGGCGATGTTACACCAGATGTCATCGTACCAAATCTCTGCGCGACCATGCTTTGTGGTACGAACTCGCATCGCCCTCGCTTCAAGGCCAAAGACCAGGAAGCTATATTCATCGAAGCCGATGGACTGTCCGTCTTGCGTCCGTACCTGACACGCCGAGGCAGTGGAGAGGATAGAAACTGTGAGCCCAAAGTTCTGGAAGCTTTGGTTCCGAAACTCGTCCACATCCTGGTAGAGAAGCGCTCGAATGCGGTCGGATGGTAAACGAGCTACCATCGTCCTCTGATGAGTGAGTCTGACTCTGCCGGACATTTCGACGACTCTGAGAAGATTGTAACGGCGGGTTCGGCGATCTTAGCTGCGAGTGGTGAGCCTTCGGCAGTATTTCGCAGTGCCGGACTTTCGAGAAGATCGACGGTTGACTGTTGCAATCTGATGAGCAGACTGTCGTGAATACTGAAGACTGTGAAGCCTGAACAGCTCCAGGTTGGTGTGAATTGGGTGAGTCTTAGCGTTCCTTGATGCCGTTTCTCAACGCGTGCCGATCAAGGCAGTGAGGATCGTGGATGGGCTCTCCCTGATGAGTGAAATTGAAATTGATTGTGTTGTCGATGAGAAAGGGAACAGGGTTTGTCTTGATTGAAGAGAGAGGAAAGTAAGAAGTACACAAGGCATGAAAATTCAGAGGCCACTACGCTCGTGCTATCACGAGGCTGTTGCTCACTTTACTTCACTTCCTCGGGACATGAGACGGATCAGGAGCTGGAGAAGATCGATCAAGCGCCTGCCGTAGACTGGATGATGTGCGAAAGACACCAACGGCGGGAAGTATCCAACAGAGCATGTCGGATGTTTTCTTAAGGTATGAATGGTCATGAGTTATTTTGTAGCACTCTGATAATCAATGCGCGGGAGTAGACAAGGGAGGCAAGGAGGATGTGGTCGGAAGAAGGGCTCGGGACGCTGGCATGCAAAACTCCCGAGACACACCCGTCGGCTGTGCTTGCACACGCTCCGTTCGATCTCTCAATTCATCAAACCCACCAAACTCGTCTCAAAAGCATGGCGATGACACAGGACAATATACGGGCTCTGGACCAGTTGCGCCAGCGTCTGTCTCAGCTATCAACATCCATCTCCTCGTTGCGCGCAGACCTGGAGCGCAACGAACCTCTTCCGACATGGTAGGTGTCGCCTGTTTGCGCCTTTGCACAATTCGTCCTCGCACGATGCGTACCATTCCATCGCAACAAGCGCTAAGGTAGGCAGGCCTTCTCTTCAGACCTCTGCACACGCCCTCTCCTTCAATCTGGAAGAGTTAAGCAAGACCTTCAACAATCATCGCCAGTTCCTCAATGAAGCGCACGCCTATCCCCTTCCCCAATTTCCGGGCAACACGCACGAAGCACTCCTCGGCCAACTATTGCGCAAGAAGCTGGAGCCGGGGGCGGAGGACTGGGTGGCGGAGCATACCACGAAATTCGATCAGCGAAATGGGGCACGAGCCGGGGACAAAGCTTTGGACAAGAACGAGTTGAAGGAGCTGTGGGCGTGGGCGGCTCCCACCAGCGCTGGCATCGTGCGGCCCATGCTGGAAGATGGAGGTGCATTCGACGATGACTACACCATCGCGGAGCGCGAAGCAGGGGTTGCAAGCGTGGTCACCGGATTGAAGAGGCAGCTGGACGATGAGGAGGACGAGGATGAAGAAGAGGAAGGCGATGGTGGGGATACAGACAAGATGGAGGACGTGGTGTCAAGTAACCCGCAGCATTTGAACGCTGGAAAGGAAGAGGATCAAGGGGTCAATGTCGCTCTGCCCGCAATGCCACTTGGGTCGATGTTGCGGTTGATGACCACTGGGACGAGGGCTCAGGGCAACCAATCGAATCTCCGATAGGCAAATAATGCATCCTAACGTCAAGAGAGATCAGTTGAGGCACATCTTTCTCTATCTCGGGTTCCTGTGCGAGCGACAATACGAACAAAGCCGCGAAGTCTCGTGACATTCCCGCGTCGCGCATATTCCCCGCGTTTCCTAGCAACCACGCTGTCCACAAATACTGCCTTCCCTTCCTCAACTTCACTGCCTGTCCATCTCCATCCATCGCCACACACCCAAACAGACATGGAGGCTCTCGAGCAGACGCTGCGCAAAGTGCTGCAGCCATTGACGCACAACTTGCCCCCGCCCATTCGGAACACGGCGACGCAACTGCTGGGCGAGTCCTGCTACCGCTCCATCGTGCACAACATCAACCTGCGCGACATCGACTGCATCAAGCTCGCCATCTCCAAGGCCCTCGGCATCGTCATTGTCAGCACGTCAGCGATCGTCAAGGTCCCGCAGCTGCTGAAGCTGCTCAACTCCCAGTCCGCCGAGGGTATCTCCTTCCTCTCATACTTCCTGGAGACTGCCAGCTACCTCATCACCTTGGCCTACAACGTGCGCAACGAATTCCCCTTCAGCACGTATGGCGAGGTGGCATTGATTGCGGTGCAAAACATCGCCATCAGCGTGCTGGTGCTGCAGTATTCCGGCCGTGGGCCAGCCGCGGCCGCGTTCGTTGCTGGCATTGCCGGCGCGGGCTATGCCATGTACAGCGACACCATCTGCCCCATGAGCACTCTGCAGTACCTGCAGGCCGGCGCAGGACTGCTGGGCGTGGCATCTAAGTTGCCACAAATCCTCACCATCTTCCAGCAAGGCGGCACCGGGCAGTTGAGCGCCTTCGCCGTGAGTCCCCCGTCACCCCGAGCGAGCTTTGCCGTGATTCTACTGACACTCCCCAAAGGTCTTCAGCTACCTCTTCGGATCGCTGTCGCGTATCTTCACAACATTGCAGGAAGTGCCGGACAAGCTGATCCTTTACGGCTTCATCGCCGCCTGTGCACTCAACGGTGTGCTTGCGGCGCAAATGCTGTACTATTGGAACAGCCCCACCAGCAAGAACACCTCGGAGCTCAAACTCGAGGAGAAGGGCAAGCAAGCGGCCATCGAGGCTACGTCCACCGGAGTTCAAACGAGAAACAAGACCAGTCCGTCGACGCGCCGCAAGGGCTGAGCAGTCTTCCGAGGAGAATTATGTAGTTTGCAAATTTTGATGAATTCTACCAACCACGAGCCCAGACTACAAAACTACTGTTTGCTGGTTCATCGCCCCTGTTTCGCCATCGCCAACTGCTGTCTGGCCTCTGCCAGCTCCGCTTCCGAAGGCAGGTTGACGATCTGGAGGTAGAGCACATCACTCTTCATGAGTCTCTTCACCCCTCCAACCCCGCCTCCACGGCCACCTCTACCCCTCCCACCTCGCCCAAAGTCTTGTCGGGAGCGGCCATATGGCGCCGGCGCATTGTCGTACTGACTGTAGTCCGCCGTTTTGCCATAGGAGTCGTACACTTCTCGCTGCTGCTGTATCATTTCACGCTCGTCAAATGAGCGTCTTCCGGCCCCGGAATCGCCGTACGGTGCAGGCGGAGCGGGGTCATTAGAGGCAGCCGGGCGATTCGATGGGGAGTTCTGGGTGGCAGCAATCACACCGCCGACCAGTCCGCTTATCAGGCCACCTCGTTGCCTCCCATCGCGCCGCCTTCGTCCTCCATAGCCGCTTCTATCTCCGTAATCATAGTCATAGTAGTCGGCATCATCGTCCATGTAGCGGCCACTACGCCGACTCCTGAGGTCTCGTCTCCTTGCATGCCTGCGAGATGGGGCTCTGCCGTCCGAATTGGCATTCGGGTTCAGAAGGCCGCCTGAAAGCAAGCCAATGGGTCCGCCGGTGAACATGGGGTGGTTAGGATCTGCCCACTTGGACCGAAAGCTTCGTTTCGATTCAGGGATGATCAGAGAGGAGGTTGGGTCGTTTCGAGCCTAGTGGAGCTCCGTCAGTATGGCGGCGCAGCGCATCGGGTCTGCGCAACAGAGGAGGACTTACGTAGTTGAGCTGTGCTCGGCGATCCAAGTAGTCGGCAAGGAAGTACTTGGCATCTTTGGTCTTGTCCTTGAAGGTCTCCGGTCCTTGCTTGGCGATGGCTTTGTCCACGTCGGGCCAGACGAGAGGAGCCGACTCTGGGAGGCGCATGGCGCCTTGCGTTGTGCCGGAGGCCACCCGAAGTTTTTGCATGTGGCGACTCATAGTTTGCATGGAACCCGATTGCGAGGAAGGAGTTCGATCGTACTTGGCGATGGTGTGGTTGGTGTTGAGATCGACGACTTCGCTACTGACACCAAAGCGGGCGAGCAGAGAATTGCCGCCTGCCGCGTCGACCTCATCCTGGGTTTTGTACTTTACTATCAGCGCGTAAAGACCCGCAGGCTTGAAGAGTTGCTCGTTCATTTTGTCGAGAAAATTGTTGGTGCGAGCGCGTTTCTGCACTTCCTCGCCGGTACCCACGGCGACCTGGCCTGCAATGGAGATGGCTTGGCATATGGGTTCGGGGACGAGGCCCAGGACGCCTGTTGCAATAGCCACGACGGCGAATGCTGGAGAGGCCTGAGAGGATTTGTGAAAGTTCTTGAGGAAGGAGAGGAAGGTGTCCTGATCGATGCCGCAGCACTCGCCTAGGAGGGGTGCATAGGCGCGAACAAAGCCGCGATCTTTGCTGCCGGGTCGGCGCTGGGGCAGGATGACGGGGCACGGCAGCGGTTGGCGGACGAATGGGTGGGAAGGGGTGGTCGACAGGGCCAGTGAACGCTTCTCGACCACCTCGCGGACCAGGCCGTCGGTGTTACCGCTGGCCACCTCTGATTCGTCGTAGGTGGGCAAACCCGCATCCGAGTCGCTGCGGAGCAGCTCGTCGAGTTCCCAGTCCTGCTCGTCGCCTTCGAGAGAGCTGACGTCGTCATCACCCTCGTCGTCACCCTCGTCGTCATCATAGTGGCCGCCATGCTTCTCATCACCGTACTGACTCCACGCCGCTTTCTTGTCTGACATAGCCGGCCCGCCCGATCCAATGGACCGCTCGGCAGCCGGGTTGACTGCATGTGCGTAGTCCGGGGGAGGCAGATCGGGGTCGGCAACGGAGCGCGAGATGGGTTGAGGAGGGGCATTCGATGGGCCAGCTTCGGCGCTGTCGCTCTGAGCGGAGTTTTCTCTGGAGAGCTTCTGCTCCTTGCGATGCGCTCGGTACTCGGCGACAACGCCGACTCCAGCGCCCACGCCTTTGACCAGCAGTCCAAGTGGCCCCCCAGACCTCTGTCGCTGTTGCGGTTGATTCCCGTATTGGTCGTACTCGTCTCTGTTGTAGCGCCTCGACATGATTACGGCAATGGTAAGGAAATTTGGCAGGAGAAGAGACGGGAGGAGATGGGAGAAATTGATGGGAGTTGGTTAGATGAATGAACACATCCGATCACCGACGGCCGACCCTGTCGCTTTATACAAGACTACAAGCTTAAGCAGGGCATACCCGCAGGTGGGCGAGCTGCAAGAACTGCTGAATCAGGAGATTCTCGCCGTGGTTGGAGTCGAGTCAGCACGCTCTGCATCCAGCACACCCTAATTGGCTTAGTGTCCTCGCGCCATCAGCCTCATTTAGCTTTAACCTTCAGGCAGACGGAATTGCCGTTGATTAGTTGAGTTCATACGGCCGTGACAGACACGCGGAGTGGCCGAACGGCCGAATTGTGCATGTGGCGCCCGCGAGATGCATCCTGGACGATCCATGGACCTTTCCAATAGACACGGGTAGTGAATCGTAGGCGCACTCACGACTGGTGCCTGTTGCATTTGGACATGGCCTCTATTCACTACAAAGCCACCACCATCGTCCAGCCTTCCCGTGCCTGACGCTTTCAATCCGTCCTCCCATCCCCTACAAGTCTTTCTTCTCCCCGTCCCCCTTTTGTCCGTTGATGCTGACCAGTTCCGTCTCAAAGATGAGCACGCTGTTGGCGGGAATCGGGCCCATGCCTCGCGCGCCATATCCCCAATCCGGCTGGATTGTCAACCGTCTCTTTTCCCCCACGCACATGTCTAGTAGGCCCTGATCCCACCCCTTGATTACTTGGCCTGTGCCAACTGCGAAAGACAGAGGGGTGCCGCGGTTGTAGGAAGCGTCGAACTCGGAGCCTGGAATAGCATGTGAGTAGGTAGGTAGGTCGTGGAGGCTTGTGGATGCAACGGAGTCATCTCGTACCATCGGCCTCCAGCGTTCCGCGGTAGTGCACCTCAATCTTGTCCCCTACGCTCAAGTCAGTGTTATGTTAGGTAGGGGCGTCGCTGGAAGTAGTACCTTTCTTGGTCTTCGTCGAGCACTCTGCCGGGTGCGTGACTTCAATGTTCAATGGCTTGTCCAAAGCGAGGGCGCCGGTGAGCAAGAGAGCAATGGCTGCGGTGACCGAGAAGAAACGCATGGTTGCGATGGGGGCTGTTGAGAGTTCAAATGAGAAGGGAAATAATGGGGATTCTTGGAGTGAAGAAAACAGAACACCTTTTCGGTGGACAGCGATGGCACAAGACAGCTCGCCTTTAAGCTTTCGTCCCTGTGACAATGTGGCGGGACCCCCTCCGGGAGTCGGAACATCACCTGACTTCGCGTTTAGCGCGTCACGGCCTCACGCTTTCCCGGCCCACCACGCACGCGCTCCCTTCTCCCTTCCCATGCCCTCTCGGCGGGCGCCATGGATCTCCTCCATGGCCTCAATGCCGCGCAGAAAGCCGCGGTGACGTCCGACGCAGCTGTACTTCAAGTCCTTGCTCCTCCCGGCTCCGGCAAGACCAAAACGCTGACCGCTCGCGTCGCCTACTTGATCGCGCACCGCAGCTTGAAGCCATGGAACATCATCACCTGCACCTTTACCCGCAAGGCGGCCAACGAGATGAAGGAGAGAATTCGCACGTTTGTGGGCGAAGAACATGCAAAGCAGATCAAGTTGGGCACTTTTCACGCCATTGCCGTGCAGTATCTTCGGCAGTATGGCCAACATATCGGCCTCGGCAAAGACTTTGGCATCGCAGACTCCTCCGACAGTAAAGCCGTGCTCAAACGAATCATCAAAAGGAACAGCTTTACCATCGAGCCCGGCGCCGCCTTGTCGAGGATTTCATCCCAGAAAGTGCGAGGCATCAACAGCGAGCAATTGGCATTGAAAGCCAAGCACATTGAGCAACAAGAATTCGCCCAGATCTTCGCCGAATACGAGACAGAGCTGAAGGCGTCAAATCTACTGGATTACGACGACTTACTCCTGCAATGCTGCTTTCTCATGACAACACACCCGCAGTGTGTATCCAATGTCGAGGCCGTTTTGATCGACGAGTTCCAGGATACGAACACGACGCAGTACGACCTCATGCGCCTCTTCGCCCAGAAACGAAACATGATCACCATTGTCGGCGACCCAGACCAGAGCATCTATAGCTTTCGCAGTGCCGAGATTCAGAACCTGACCCGAATGAAGGAGCACTGGCCGGACACGCTGACCATCAACCTGGAGGAGAACTATCGCTCATCCGGCGCCATCTTACACGCGGCCCAGAACATCATCGAGCAGGATGAGAGCCGCCCTCCGAAAAAGTTGCAGGCCACTCACGGTCTGGGACTATGCCCGGTTCTTCGTAAACTACCCACTGCGGCCGCCGAAGCAACTTGGTTGGTCTCTGAGATCCAGCGGATGTGTGCACTGAGTGGCAAGGTCGTGAATCCAAGTGACTGTGCCGTCCTTCTACGCTCCGCTGCACTCTCTCGCATGATAGAAGCAGCTCTGAGCAAAGCAGGTGTCCCTTACCGTATGGTCGGCGGGGTCCGATTTTTCGAGCGTGCCGAAGTCAAGCTGGTGTTGGACTACCTCCGTGTCATCAATCAACCTGACAATAATGAGGCTGTCGAGCGAATTATCAATGTCCCTTCACGTCGAATCGGCGATGCGACCATCAAAGGCCTCTTGAATGAAGCGAAAGCAAAATCCACCAGCTTCTGGACTTTTATCCGCGAGGTATCACAAGGAAAGTGCCGATCAAAGACCAAGCTTGCAGCACCGGCGGAAAAGGGCCTGGCTTCGTTCGTGAACATCATATTGAGTGGACGAAGGAAATTGACGAGCGTCGACTCAGATAAGGTCTCGGTTGTCGATCTCATCAATCTCGTCATTAAAAAGGCGGATCTGCAAGCTTATCTGAAGAACCATTACGAGAACGAGTACGAAGCTCGATGGTCCAACATTGAGGAACTGATGGCACTCGCTGCGGATGCCTGCGATCCTGACAAAGTCCGAGCCATGATGCAAGAAGAGACTCTGCCTGCTATCGATGGCTTCGAGCAACGCGCCCCTACCGAGGAAGATGCGCTTTCGATCTTCTTAGCTAATGTTGCATTGACTGCCTCTGCGGAAGAAAAGAAGGCGGACGGGGAGGAGAGCGAGCCCGTCCAGCAAGTGACCATCTCCACCATCCACTCTGCCAAAGGCCTAGAATGGCCGGTCGTGTTCATACCAGCATGCTTCGATGGCTCCATCCCTCACTCAAGATCGGATGACAACGATGAAGAGCGTCGCCTGCTCTATGTTGGAATGACCCGGGCTCAGGCCATGCTGTATCTGAGTTGTCCCATCAAAAACACTCAGCGTGAAGACACTACAATGTCTTCCTTCCTGACTCAACCCGGTGTCGGTTCTTTCTTCGAAGAGCACGGCCCAAGCATGTCATTTGCGACCGCCACCGGCCTCGCTACCACACTGAAGCGTGACCGACCTTCCCATGATGCGTTTCAAGACGGCAAGAAAAGTCTCGAGCGCGACGAAGACGACTATTGGCCACTGAACGGCGAGGAGCCGCCCGCAGAACGCGCCAAATGGGACTACGGCAGAGCCGAGAATCCTTTGCCGGCATTCGGTACAACGCGCCCCGCAAGCTGGATGAGTGTGAGTGCGGTCAGTATGGGACAAGAAGGCTTCTCGTCTGCCAGTGCGACAATGTCGGCCGGTTTTGTCAGCGTCAAAGACAAGTACGATGAGTTGGTGGAGCGGGATAGACTGGCCGCGATCGACAAACGCTCACAGGTACGCCGAAAGGAGAGTGTGGAAGCATCAAAAGGCCGCAAGAGGCAGATTGAGGGCCAAGGCTGCATATCAACGTTCTTCGCAAAGCGGCGAGCGGTCGCTACCGATTTAGAGCAAGAAAGAGACAAGTCCTTCTACACACGGGAACCCGCGTCTGTCCAGCCTGCACTGCGCGACATCTCGAATCTAGGTGTCCACCGCAACGTTCATTCCCAGTCGCTAGAGCAGAACCCCTTGAGCAAGCACAAACTTCGCAATGCGCCTTACCGGGCACCGACAACGACGACGCAAGTTCAGTCCTCGGACAGGGGTTATGTCTTTCTGTCCAGTTCGCCGACTAAGACTGAAGAGGAAGAGAATCAGCCGTCGGAAAAATCGATCTGCAACGGGACAGAGCGGGATGTGGATCCTGTCAAGCAGGCGAGCACTTTCCACACAACCTCTGTGCAGTCGCTGCAGCAGAATGCGGTGCGCGGGAGGAGACTGGGTGTGCGGCCTAGCTTTAATGGCTGGGCGAATAGAGGGAGGAAGTAACGGCTGATGATAGCATAGTATTGGCTGGCCTTCCGAACGGCATCACGAACGGCATCACGATACCCATGTACAACTAGCGAATAGTCAATAATTTCTCGTACGTCAGCTCAAGAAAGAGAAAGATATATGCATTGTTGAAGTCGCTATAACAATCTGCCCACATCCTACGACCGGAAAGCGCCTCGCTAAATACCAAAAGCAAATGCCACCGCGCCGGGTATCACAGAACGGACAATGAAGATGCAAACACATTGGGGGGAAGATAAGCTCAAAAGACCAACAACCACCTAAGCAACCTCCAAATTACAAACACAACCTTTTTGCACGCGTTGAAGACCACGACCAAAAACCAGATCCACCACAAGATGCCCAGCACCATCCACTCGAGTATCTTGAAGCCCGCGTCGTGGACGAGTCGGAACTGCCTTCGGCGCCGTCGCTGCATCTCCTCGACCGCGTCGTCGACACGCTTCGACTGCTGCGGACTCTTGGTGTTGAGTTCCATGATGAACGCATCGGCATCGTCGGAGGTATCGTGCACGAGGTTGGAGAGATGGTCGGACGCTCGCTGGCGAAGCTGCTCCAGTCGCGAGCTCAGCTGTCTTACGGTATGGTCCTGGAAATTCGAGAGGGCCATCTCGAAGGTGGGCATGGTGGAGTTCAGATGCCTTGTTAGAAGGCGCGCGGCAACGACGTGCTCCTCTTTCAGGGCCACCTTTTCGTATGGCTGGCAGGCAGTCACGGCGGCTTGGAGGACGATGGAAGAGGGCTTGTCGCTTGGTGTATTTGCGCGACGGTCGATCTCTCTAGCTTTGATGCCGGAGGACAAAAGTAATGCTCGTACACGCGCGATGTCTCGAGCGGTGATTTTGTCGTCTTGATTCGGTTGGAGCCTGTCGTAGATGCTCCAGTGACGCTTAGCCTGCGATATCCCGGGGGTGTACACGCCCGGAGCGACCTGGTTGCGCCACACCTCGCCAAAGGGCTGAAGCTGACCATAGGGCTTTCGACTTCGTCCGACGCCCTCGAAATCGCCGACCAGCTCAGGGTCAGCACCCTCGCCCTGCGGAATCGACAGCTGAGGAGGTGCTACGCGAGCGAATCGTTTGGGCCTCTTGTCGTAGCTGAACGAATCGTTCCAACCCGCTCCCGGCGTCTGAATTTGGATGCGCTTGTCCCGCGCGGAGGAGGTGAAGGCTGGTAGGTTGCTGGTATGAAACTTCTGCTTCGGCCTCGCGCGGTCAAGGGAGGCGCGAGGGCTTTCATCGTCCTCGAGCTCTGTATTTCTTCGCCTCAGTTGCGTGGTATTGTCTGCGGGCTCATCAACCTCGGAAACATCAGTCACAGATGCAGAGTGCTCTCCTCCGTCCCACTTGTCTTTGCCCTTGAAAATCCGGTCTCGCCTGTTGCGCAGAAACCGACCCACGCTCGAGCCGGGCGTAATCGCAGATCCCAGTGTCGAGATGGTGTCTGTCCGCCGCATAGCCATCCAGCTATCGCTCGTACCTTGGCGTTTCAGGTGTTCAGGCGAGGCATCGTTGCCGGCACGATGTGAACCCGCACTTGGAATTGGCGAGAGGTTGTTGGCTGAATCGTCGGGGAGGGCGAAGTCCGCTTGACCGATTTTGTTGCGCTCTCTGTTCCGTGAGTGGAAGTTCGGTAGAGCCGGCACGCTTGATCGACTTTCATCCATTGACCGGCGCATATCGCCGACTGCAATCAGATCCGTACCCACCGATGGTGTGCGCAGAGTGATTCGCGGGGATCCAGCATCCGAGCCCGGAGACTCCCCCAAGTCGAAGTCGGAGTACTCCGACGCGCCGACTCGCCCATCCGCGGATTTGGTGCGGCGATGTAAGTCGCGCGGAACGTCGAGAGATGCGCGCGTATCTCGCCGACTCGCCGACGAACCCCGACGCAGTCTGTCCACACTGCCGCGTTGTGCCGGCGGGTGCTTCCACGACGAGTTCCAGTGATCTGCCGACACGAGTTCGGGCGAATTCAGCTCGCCTCTTTCCTCTCTCTCGATCAGGCTTTGCATATGCCGCTCCAGAGGGCCAATATTCACCGGACTGCCGTTTGCTAGGAGTGGGCCCGAGATATTACGCTCCCGATCTGTGTCAGTGCTGCTGTTAGATGCTCGGCGAATCAGTCGGCCATGCCGGGTTCGATCCAGGCCTGTGGCTAGGGGTTGGATCAACTTCCGGCGTCGAGGTTGTCGCTCCGCCGTCTCCCAACTCTCTGGGTCGTTGAAACGTTCATAATCGTCCAGTCTATCACGATGCAAGTCCACGCTGATCTTGGGCGTACTGACGCTTCGTCGCCGACGGGGAAAGACGAGCTCACCGCGGCGGGACTCGATGAAGGCTTTGTTGTTGTCTTTCTCCGTCCAGTAAGCGTCGGCTAGGAGCTCTGTAGGCTCAATAGTCCAGGAGTTCTCCGGCCGGGTGATTACTGAGCCGGCAGTGTCGGACCTTTTGTGACGAGGGCCAACGGGAAGCTCTCGTGATTCGGGTCGTGCGTTGAGCTTCTCTCCATCGAAGAGCGGTAAGGTGATACTTTCATCCGGGACGTCGAGGCTGGAATCCTTGACCTGGGACTCGACTTCGTCAATCCACGCCTTGACCTTCTCAGGATCTTGCCAGGTATCCGGGGGCGCCGGAAATGGCCGCTTATTACTGATTCGGGCTCTTCGATTGCGCAACGATTGGATGGGATTGTATTGCCGGCTTGGGGCTGAAGTTGTCCCTGAGATCAAAGGGGGAAGGCTTTGCAAAAGACGTCGATGCTCACTTGCCAACTCCAGATATTTGCGTGCCTTTTCTGCACGTACCAATGTGGCCGGGGTGAAGGTATAAAGCATGCTGCTGGCATCCACGCTTAGACCTGGAATGGCCACTGGGGGCTCGCCAGAAATTTCCTCGGCGTTGGTGGAATCATCAAAGCTCCGCGCAGAGTCACCAGGCAGTTGTATGCTCTCATTATGTGCCTCAAATGCTCCTCGCGCGGTACTGATGTTCGACATGGGCATGGACGTGAGTCTTCGCTCGGTGCCCGAGGGTACTCGTCGAGTATTACTAATATTCCGCTTCCTGTTTTCGCTCAAGTTCAACGCCATTTGCACGAGCTGAGCGGGGTCCATGCTCGGAGCTCGCGAAGAGGGGTCTCCATCCCTTCCATCTGCCGCGCCATCCACGCCTGATGACACTTGGCGAGATAAGGGCGAGCTACGGAGGGAGGAGTCGACGGAGAGGCGGTTGGTGGGATGGCGTCTCTTGTCGACGTGCAATTGTCCGTCTATCGCTTTGCGCTTGCCTTGACGATTCGGGCCGGGAGGCGAGCCATTGGCAAACGCCGAAGGCAGCAAAAAGCCGCCGGACGGACGCGTGCGTTGTCCCAGGCTACCAGTGGAGGTGCGGAGGTAGTCGAATTGTGGAGAAGCAGTGCGCGAAGGGCCCTCCTCTTCTCCCCTGCGACTGCTGCTGCTCCTCTTGTGCGAGGTCGAGGTGTGCGAGTCGGCCTGCGAGCTGGACTCGCCATGGCGGGGGCGCAGACTGGAGAAGGCGACGTCTAGGGGGTTGGGGGTGGAGGGGGTGGAATGGGCGGGAGATCCACCATTGCTGGACATGGCCTCTTCATCGGGAGGCCGTTCTGCCAACGTTCGGGGCGGGCGAGGGTTGGCGAGGCCGCATGATGAGACGGCGTTGCACGCGTCTGCCCAGGCCAGTGACGTGAGCGGAGGTGGTGGATGGAAGGGTGCAGAGGGTAAGGTAGCAGGCAAGGTGGTAGTGAGGTAGTCACTCGAGGCCGGCTGGCTCGATCGAGGCTACGCCGATGACATGCACGTGTGCGAGCTCCGGCATGTAACTCCCCTAACCCCATTCGGACAAGCGGCCGGAAAGGGGTGGGACGCTGCAGCAACGCCTGATGATGTGACTGTCTTCTCCATCCTCATCCTCGCCCTTCCCTTCTTGATGGACATTGCCGCTGTGACACATCTCCTAGGGCACATGTACCTAATGCTTACAACGATCGTGCTGTACGAGGGCACAATAAGCAAAAGCGACGGTGTAAGTCGCACATGCGTCAAGGTGTCGCTGTCGACGAAACATCGAGTCGCCTATTGGCAGCGCACTTTTCATCAACAGGCGTCCAGTGTCTTCGATATCGGCCGCTGTTTACTGCGTAGCAGCCACATTGCATAGACCGCTGGCGAGCCGCTTCCTGTCTTCGTGGACATCCTCACGTATTCTGGTGAAGATGTCTCGGCTGCTGGCAGAAATGAAGACCCAAAGGAAGTCCGTTTTATACAAGCCTGTGCCCGCCGCGATCTTGATATCTCGCGCGGAATCTCCAAATGTACCCTATGTAGACTTTTGGTATGGTCGATCGTTTGAGCCATTGGTTGCATTGTCAATGTGATCTGAAATTCACGCCATGGCGAGAGCCTCGGCGTCATGCGGGGCACGCGGCTCTCCAACGATTCCAATCCTTTTCACCATCCTCTGCACATTGCGCTCGGAACGACATTGATCTGAAGCAATCGAGTCAAATCATGGCCACAACGAGTCCACCCAAAGGCAGCTATGGCTTCATCGGTCTGGGTAACATGGGGTTCGGCATGGCAAAGAATGTTCGTCAGAAAATGCCGGCATCCTCCAAGCTCCTCGTCTGCGAACTGGTGCAATCTCAACGAGACGAATTCTGCTCGGCGGTGGAGGGAGATGTAGAGGTTGCGCGCACCCCGAGGGAAATTGCCGAGAAATGTGTATGTAGGTACCTCCCAAGGCGTACGGGAAGGCAGACAATTGTTGACAGTGCACGACACTAACGTTACAGGATATCATCATCACTTCTCTCCCCAATGCGGCAGCGGTCAAAAAGGTCTTCCTTGACCCCTCGACTGGTCTTCTATCCGGTTGTCCCAAAGACAAAGCCATCCTCTTCCTGGAGACATCAACGATTGAAGCGAGCGCGTCTCTCGAGGTTCTCGATGCGGTCAAATCCTCGGCGCTCGCAGCCTCATTCCTCGACGCGCCCGTTTCCGGCGGGATCCCTCCAGCGCACGCTGGAACATTGACGTTCATGGTTGGAGGGCCCGAGGACGTCTTCGAAAAGGCGAGACCCATTATGGCCACCATGGGCAAACCCGAGAATCTAATTCACTGTGGTGGTCCCGGGGCCGGGTTGGCCACGAAGCAAATCAACAATTACATAGCTTATTGCAGCTATGTCGCGCTGTGTGAAGGTGGGATGATGAGCTCTGGCGTTGCACTCGTTGGCTGACTGAGACCCAGGGATGAACACGGGTCTCAAGTTTGGACTGGACCCCAAGGTTCTAAATGGCAAGTCTGCCCTTCATGTACAGGGCCGATGCAGCCTACTGACACGTAGGACAGATGTGATCAATGCGTCGAGCGGTCAGTGTTGGAATAGCCTTCACATGAATCCGGTCAAAGGCGTCTTGCCCAACTCCTCGGCCTCTCGAGATTTCAAAGGCGGCTTCAAGACCGAGCTCGCCCAAGGCGTGACCCGTCAAATGACCAAATTGATGGAAGAGGTCGGCGCCAAGTCCGTTTTCGGTCCTGTAATGGACGACGTATGGGCTCGCGCGGTGGAAAGCGACTTGTGCAAGGATCAAGAATCCAGGAGCATTTGGCGGCTGTTCACCGAAGAGGATGGCAAGTTGTTGGGCAAGACTAAGATCGAGTGAACGAATCGCATCAATCCCAGTACTTGACCACACCTCCCACATCGCCCGTCACGACTTTGCTCGACTCTCTGGGATGCCATGCCACCCCAACCACCGCCTTGCCTTCCTCACTTGCACGAATCTTGTGCCACATCTTGCACGTCTTCCAATCCCAGAAACACACCCACCCAGCCGAGTCACCACTGCACACGATGCCTCCATCTGGACTGACGTCCACATCGATCGCATACCCAGCATTGTTGTGCCCTCGAAAGTCCTTCTTGCGGTTCTGCTTGATCTTCTCGCCCGTGTTGTACACTTGAATCGTGTTGTCCGAGCTTTGCAGCAGCACACATGGCTTGGTGGGGTGCGTGGCGGAGGACGTCAACGCAAACATGCTCGGGTCCGAGATCAGCTTGATTGGAACGGGAATGTTGTATTCCCAAGCCCGCAGACTCTTGTCATCGGAGGTGGTGATGAAGCGCCTGTTTTCGTCGCAGAAGGTGATGGAATTCACCGGACCAAGATGGTGGTCGTACTCCTGTACGGGATTCCTCTTGTCCCCAGCTGCATCTTTGTCGGATGATATGCGAGTGTCGAATTGTACGATCTTGTTGTCATGCATGCCCGCTAAGAACTCTTGTCCCGCACGCTGCTCCGGCTGCCAGCGCACCACGTGCGGCGTACTTCCTGTACTGTATCGGCCTAGACATTTGCCAGTCTCGGTATCCCAGACCTTCATTTGACGGTCGTATGACGCCGAGATGAATTTGGTCCCATCCGGGGTGAAGTCAATGTCCACCACGCTTTTTGTGTGGCCGGAGAAGGAGCGGAGCAGCTCGCGGTTGTGATACACGTCCCAGAGCTTGACCTTGCCGTCTGCGGCCGCGGATAGTAGAAGATGGCCGCTGGATGGAAAGAACTTGAGCGCGGTAATGGCCTTCTCGTGAGCATCCTTGCTACCGCCCGGAGCCTTTGACGAGGCCTGGCGGAAGGTGTGGATCAACTTCTTTGGGTGGTAGCATCGCAGGTTGAGGTTTTCGAATTCAGAGGTGAGATCGACGTCCAGATCCTGCGGTACGTGCATGTATGTGCGGCCTTGATAGTCGAACTCTTGGCTGCCCTCGAACGTGCTCGTCTCTTTGTCCGCGCTGATATCTGCATAGCCCGTGCCCTTCAGGCCGCCCTTCTCGGGGACGGGGGCAATCTCGTCTTCTTCGTAGACGACCACTTCATCGCCACTCTCGTCGCCGCTCATTTCCACCTCTTCCCCACTGTCGCTGTCGATCCTTTGCTCTTCGTATCGAGCCCATGGGCCTTTGTACGCATTTGCTCCGTACGTCACCCCACTGTCACCCTTGCCCTCTCGCTTGCGCTTCTTTCCCGCGGCCTGCTGAGATTGCACATCGCGATGTAGGGAGCGAAAAGACTGCTCGGAAATGGCAATCTCTTGGGCATAGCCGGTTGGGACCTTGCCCTTGGTGGACGTTTTGAAGATGTCCTGAGTCAGCTGGGCGGCACGAGTGGGTGGCGCATTGGCACCGTTGCGTGCCGGAACGAGCGACATGGCTTCAGCGTCGCATGTGTGTGGGTTTGCTCAGGCGTGGTATGGATGGAGGTTGCTGAGAAGTGTCAAGCCTCGTGCCAGGACTTTTCTTGGGCTGTACAGCCACAGCAAGTGAAGCCGGGCGGGGCGGAGCGGGACGTTTCCGTGAGCTAGCCCAATGTGGTCTCTCACGCCTCACCTGCCGCGTTTCAGGGCCAAAAAAAATAGAATGGATCTCGTGCATCGCCATCACCGACCCAGATCCGGCTGCGCGTTCGTTGCTTGTCGCTCGTTTCATCAATAATGCGGAGTGTCCTCTCCTTTCGCGCGTCGCTGCGAGGGGCAGCATTACGCAATGGAGAATGGACGGCGTGTCGGAGAAACTTCGCCAGTCTCCCTGTCCAGTACCGCGTGGTTGGGCAGAATTGCCAGAGAGCAAGCGCACAGCGACAACAGCGAAGATGGCAATCGGGAGCAGCAGCGGCAGTACAGGAGGCCGCGGTCCAGACCCCAGAAGAGCTGTCGCAAGAGAGCATCATTTCCAATCTCGATCCCGCCGAAGCAGCGCGCCTCGAGAAGGTGCGCAACATCGGCATCGCAGCGCACATCGACTCGGGCAAGACAACTGCCACCGAGCGAGTCCTCTTCTACACCGGCCGTATCAACGACATCCACGAAGTAAGAGGGCGAGATGCCGTGGGCGCCAAGATGGATAGTATGGATTTGGAGAGAGAAAAGGGCATCACCATCCAGAGTGCCGCCACCTTCTGTGACTGGGTGGTCAATGAGCGAGCGGAATACGGAAAAGCAGGGCAGGGAGAAGAGAAGTATCACATCAATCTCATCGACACCCCTGGCCATATCGATTTCACCATCGAAGTCGAACGGGCATTGCGTGTCTTGGACGGCGCGGTCATGATTCTGTGTGCTGTATCTGGCGTGCAGTCCCAGACTGTCACCGTCGACCGACAGATGAGACGATATAACGTGCCCCGCATCAGCTTCGTCAACAAGATGGACCGAGCTGGGGCCAACCCGTGGAAGGCGATCGACGGCATCAATCACAAACTTCGTATCCCTGCGGCGGCGGTGCAGGTGCCGATCGGGATGGAGGATGAATTCAAAGGCGTTGTCGATCTGATCAGAATGAAAGCCATCTACTCCGAAGGAAATAACGGAGAGGTCGTCAGGGAGGCAGAGGTGCCGGATGACCTGCGCGAGTTTGCGCAGGAGAAGCGAAGGAAGCTGATTGAAACGCTGGCGGATGTCGACGACGAGATTGCGAATGCCTTCCTCGACGAGCGGACCCCTTCGCCAACCGAGATCCAAGCCGCGATTCGCAGGGCCACCATCTCGCTCAAGTTCACGCCTGTTCTGATGGGCTCGGCGTTGGCGGACAAGAGCATCCAGCCCATGCTGGACGCGGTATGTGACTACCTTCCAAACCCGTCCGAAGTCGAGAACCTCGCTCTTGACCGCCGGCGGTCCGAGACACCCGTCAAACTGGTTTCATACAACAGTCTTCCGTTCGTCGGCCTGGCTTTCAAGCTGGAGGAATCCAATTTCGGTCAGCTCACTTACATCCGAGTGTATCAAGGTCAAATCAGGAAGGGGCAAACCGTCGTCAATGCCCGCACTGGTCAGAAAGTCAAGATTCCCCGCATCGTACGCATGCATTCCAATGAAATGGAGCAGGTGCAAGAGATTGGCGCGGGAGAGATCTGTGCCGTCTTCGGTGTGGACTGCGCCTCTGGCGACACCTTCACCGATGGTGGACTAGGCTACTCCATGACGAGTATGTTCGTTCCCGATCCTGTCATCAGTCTCAGTATTCGTCCGAAACAGACCAAGGATACACCGAATTTCAGCAAGGCCATGGCACGCTTCCAGCGGGAAGACCCCACGTTTCGAGTCCATGTCGACACGGAGAGCGGCGAGAGCATCATCTCCGGCATGGGCGAGCTGCATCTGTCCATCTACGTCGAGCGCATGAAGCGTGAATATGGGGTGGAGGTCGTCACAGGACAGCCGCAAGTTGCGTACCGAGAAACGCTCACCGAGCGCGTCGAGTTCGATCATTTGCTCAAGAAACAGACGGGTGGTGCTGGCGATTATGCACGTGTCATGGGCTGGATGGAACCAACGGGTCAACTGGGGGAGAACAAGTTCGAGAACCAAGTCACCGGAGGAACGATTGACGAGAAGTACCTTTTTGCGTGCGAGAAAGGCTTCAACGACTCTTGCCGGGAAGGGCCATTGCTGGGACACAAAGTGCTTGGGACACACATGGTCGTCAATGACGGAGCGACGCACATGACCGACTCGTCCGAACACGCCTTCCGCACCGCGACGATCCAAGCCTTCCGGCAAGCCTTCCGCAAAGCCGGTCCGCAGGTGCTGGAGCCGCTGATGAAGACGGTCGTTTCGGCACCCAACGAATTCCAGGGCAACATTGTGGGCATTCTCAACAAGCGCAATGCCACCATCCATGACACAGAGATTGGGCCGGAGGATTTCACGCTTACGGCGGACTGCTCGCTGAACAGCATGTTTGGATTCTCGAGCCAGCTGCGAGCGGCGAGTCAGGGCAAGGGCGAGTTTTCGATGGAGTTCAGTCACTACGCTCCCGCGCCCATGCAGTTGCAGAAAGAATTGGTGGCGAAGCATGAGAAGGCGAGGCTGGAGAAGATTAGCAAGAAATGAAGCTGATCTGGAGAGGAGATGAGGATTCTGCCGGGTCGCTGGCGCGGTCGAGGGTAATATGCCAGACCAAGTTGCATCAGCTCCACAGCCCCAAGATGGGAGCCCGAGAGCAGTCGTGCGGAGCAGGGGAAGCACGGCAAAGCAGCCAGGCTGTCACCGGGGAGGCGGGAAGTGGCATTGGCCCATGGCGCGCCGCTCGGAAAAGGGATTGTGTTTGATAAGCGTCTGGAGAGGTGCCCTGCTACTGCACAGCGGCGCTGTCGGTCACTGTACGATAGATCATCTCCACTTCAAGGGTGTATATAAGGTAGAAAGCGAACAGATAGAGGAGCTGCATGATACAGATGAGTGCTCGACTCCACCCGAGCCATTGCCGCCGTGTCATTTCGATCGTTGTGCAGCGGCCAGGCGATTGATAGGAAATGCCGCGCAGGCAGCGGGAAGTGGAGGTGTGGTGCGGTGCGGATGGCGAGGTGGACCCCGGGATTTGTCGAACCACACGTGCATGCCCTGCGCCGCTTTTGACTTCCGACTCCGCAAATATTCATCACTCCATGCAGCACATGGACATACCACGCTGACGCCTCTGACCACCCTGCTCGCTCCCGCACTCGCTACTGCTGCACATTCCGTACATTTTGCAGCTTCGAAGCACCACCACTCCCCCCTTCCACCGCCCATCATGCCGTCGTTAAAGGGCGTGGTCTACTACCTCTTCCACGTGCAGGAGCTGCGGAACATGATCCAGTGGTCGGTATGGCATGATCCCGTCCACAACCGAGAGCAAGAAAAGGAAGGGCCGGACTTGAAGGAGTGCTTCCGCCTGCTCAACCTCACCTCGCGCTCCTTCGCCTCCGTCATCCAAGAGCTCCATCCCGAACTCCTCGTCCCCGTCACCCTCTTCTACCTCATCCTGCGAGGCCTCGACACCATTGAAGACGACATGACCCTTCCGATTGAGAAGAAGGAACCGTTGCTGAGGAATTTCGACGCCCATCTCGAAGACGAGAGCTGGACCTTCCACGAGAGCGGGCCGAATGAGAAGGATCGCGAGTTGCTGGTCAAGTTCGACGTGGTGGCCAAAGAATACAACAAGATCAAGAAGGAGTACCGCGTCATCATTGCCGACATCACCAAGCGCATGGGCAATGGCATGGCCGACTACGCCAAAGATGCCGAGCACAACCAGCAGGGCGTGCAAACCATCAAGGACTACGAGATGTACTGCCACTACGTTGCCGGCTTGGTAGGTGAGGGCTTGACGAGGCTGTTCGTCGAGGCCAAGCTGGCCAACCCCGTGCTGCTCCAGCGCCCCGAGCTGATGGAGAGCATGGGCCAATTCTTGCAACAAACCAACGTCATCCGTGACATTCGCGAAGACCATGACGACCGGCGCTACTTCTGGCCGAAGGAGGTCTGGAGCAAGTATGTCGACAAGCTGCCCGACATCTTCCTGCCGGAAAACCGAGAGAAGGCGCTCCACTGCCAAAGCGAAATGATCCTGCACGCCCTGCAGCGCGCCGACGACTGCCTCTACTACATGGCCGGCGTGCGCGAGCAGTCCGTCTTCAACTTTGTGGCCATTCCGCAGACCATGGCCATCGCTACCCTCGAGCTCTGCTTCCAAAACTACGCCATGTTCGAGCGGAACGTCAAGATCACCAAAGGACAGGCGTGTGGGATCATGATGCGCTCCACGCAGAACCTGCAAATGGTGTGTGAGCTGTTCCGAGAATACGCTCGCAAGATACACCGCAAGAACCGACCGCAGGACCCCCACTTTCTCGACATCAGCATCGCGTGTGGCCAGATTGAGAAGTTCATCGAAACCATCTTCCCCACGCAAACACCACGCACCCTAGCGGCCGGCGCGACAGCCCCGGCAGACGAAACCCAGGAAGAGAGAGTGAAGCGGGAGAAGGCGGAGAGCGAGGCGAAGTGGGACACGATCTACATGCTACTTGCTGTAGCGACAACGCTGTTCATCATCTGCAGCGCCATGGTATGCCATGCTCTTGCCCCTTTGTTTTGTTGGATGGACTAACGTTGCATGCAGTTTGGAATCGCCTATTCCTTCGGCGCCCGATTCGACCTCGCATTCGAGGCCATCCTCGACACCGTGCGCCAATTCCGAGGCCTTCCGAGCACGGCGGACACGACATCCGCAGCCGCCCCAATTGTGAGTAAGATGCCTGGTAGGGATGAGCTGTAGCCCGGGCTGTCGGTCATCGGCCCCGTATATCTGTCTTACATTGTACTATAACCTCTCCAAAGCTCTCGAAGCAAGCGAGCCAAGTGCGGACATTGCGTTGATTGCTGAGAGGCCCTCTGTGTATGCTCCCTTCTCATCGGTCAATCGCAGATCTGGAGAGTCCAACAGCACGGATGTCAAATTGCAACGTAGCCTTCCTTCGTGGCTCCAGTTGTGCCGTAGAAGTGCTAAAAACAATCGTGCCTTGCCGTTGGTCTTGAAAACAAGACCTGGCCTTCCTAGCTTACGCCCTGCCATTCCCTGGGCCGACGCTGAGGTCGGGCTGCAGACATTCCTACCCGCCACCCTCCCGGGTAATGTTCCTATTGACGGGTTCGGTGCATCGTAAAGGTGTGGCGGGCTTGCGAACCGCGTCAATGTGAGGCGAACCACACGTGAAGCCGCGCGATTTGTCCACGTTAAGCCAATCGCAGCGCGACTCCTTCGGGCTGGGCGGCTATGCGGTGTGATCAACGACAGCTCGCTCAGCCTCAGTTGCAGGTAGCTCTACCTATGCTTCTTGGGAAGGATGAGATGCCCTTTTAATGCACAAGTACTCTCTCGTTATTTCGTCGCCTGTGCCCACTGCTCGTGCGCACACTCAATTCATAAAAACATCTGTTCTGCCTCCAAAGATGTCCACCTTCACCTTCTCTTCCAATGGCGACGTCGTCCTTTGCATCCCATCGCACACATCTGTCACTCTCCAATACACATGCTCTTCGCCGTGTGTGACGATGACGAAACCTCCAACAACTCGACAGTCTTGCGTGCACCGCGGCAGCGACCTGGACGGAGCACGATGGGGCACACCTTCCAAAGGCGCACGCGGCACCGCTGGAGACCGCTGGCGACCGTCTTGCACAGATACGAGAGTCTCGCGGTACAGGACGCAGCGTCAGCTCGAAGCGCCACCGGCTCGAGATTACCTGTCAAGCGTGTCCGCACGACCCTCGCAGCATGAACGCCGCGTGGGGGGATACGACGACTTGGCAGTAGCGAGAGGGAGACAACGCGCGCGCTCTCCTGCTCTCCCGTCTTCAGCCTCCAGAGTGAGAAGATGTAACACGGGCGGCAGCACGATGAACTCCGGGAAGCATTCCAACGGCGGGAAAGAGGTGGTCAAGTACATTGGAGATAGGCCGCTGCACTACGACGATGACGACAATGATACAGTCATGCCGGCCGACTCGATTTCGCAAGTATCTTCGAAGTACTCGCAACCTCCGATTTCCTCGAAAAGTCGATACCGGTGGAAGGGGCCGGGTGGGTATGGGCGGCGGCGTGATGACGCGCATGGGCACCACTTGAACCTTGGCCAAGACCGAGTGTCGGCGTACGAGGGCCAGAGAGTGTACGATGGAGATCGGGGTTGCTTTATCGAGGAGCGATGGCCGCAACGTGCACAACGTTCTGCAAGACAGTCGTTGCAGGTGAGATGTAACTTGGAATAGCTTTGCAGTCATCGAATATCACCGTGGCTTGAAGGCGGCAGTATGCGACTCAGGTCGGTCCAGTAGTCTGGTATGCAGGCGTCTGGCCTTGAGCTGCCGGCGAGCGTCTCATGGGCGGAGGAGGTGGCGTTGCGGCGTCGGCGACCTTCTCCTTGAAGACCTGGCGACACATGGGGCATTTGCCTCGACTGGCCTCCGACGAGATCCAGTCGCTGATGCAGTGCATGTGGAAGCAGTGGGTGCACACTCCGATGACTGATGGACGCGTTAGTTGATGTGGGATATTTGGAGGAGAAGGCGAGGGAACGCACCTATTGGACAGTCCTCCCCTGGGTATTTACATTTGGCGCAAGTCCCTTCAAACTGCACTCGACAGATGCCACACGTGTCGTCCGCGTCTTCGGGCAGATCCCATCGCCACTCGGCGACGGCGGTGCAGGAGGTGTAGGTGACTTTCATCGTTTTTCAGCTGTCGACACCAGCAGCGAGAAGATGGCGATGTGCAAGTATATGTACTTGGTTGCTAAGGGATGCAATTACAACACGTCAACTCGTGCATGCAGATCCAGTGCATCAGTTCTTAGTAAACAGGAGAGCCTAGCGGGAAGCCGCGAGGGACGGACCAGGGGAAGGTGGGGTCGGAGCTTTAGAGCTTTAGAGCTTGCTATCAAACTCTATGCACGCCCGCCTCGCGTGATCCCGGTGGAGTCGACAACAGGGCAGGAGCTCTCTCTCTCTCTCTCTGCCTGGCCCTTATCTGACCACCACTCCATGCACCGTGGGTGCCTCCCTCCTCTTCCCGCATGACTTAGTCACTCCTCCTCCAACGGACTGCCTCCCGTCAAGGCGCCTTTAGTGAACAATGGCGGCCACGCTTCTCATCCGACCCCATTCCGCGAGGCCCGGGCAATTCAGCCGAGCAGCCTTGAGCGCAACGCTTCTCACCTCTCGTCGTCAAAGCACTCTACGCAACTTCCTCGTCACCCCGGCAGAACTGCGCGAAGCTCTCCGCAAAGGTGCACCTAGCGGAATCTCGCCCGACCCCAAGACCATTGCCGTATGCGCATCATGGTTCCTGCCCAACGATCCCCATAAGCGCACGGGGTATGAAGTCTACAAGCAGGCTCATATCAAACGCGCGCGCTTCTTCGATCTCGACAAAGTCGCCGACACCTCCAGCCCATACCCGCACATGCTGCCTTCTCCGGAAGTCTTCCAAGAGGCCATGTGCAACCTGGGCATCAATCGCGAGGATACAGTGGTCGTCTACGACTCCGCCGAGCTGGGCATCTTCTCCGCGCCCCGCGTGGCTTGGACCTTCAAAGCATTTGGACACCCTGCCGTGCACATCCTGAACAACTTCAAGCTATGGCTGAAAGAGAAGTATCCGATCGAGCAGGGCGAGCAGAGACGCTTCAATCGCACGGAATACCCCGTGCCGACGCTCGATGAGAGCAAGATAGCAGACTATGAGCAAGTGAGGGTCGTTGCCAGGGACCACAACAAAGAAGGGAGGGAGGAGATGCAGATCCTCGATGCACGCCCGGCCGGGCGGTTCAATGGCACCGACCCCGAACCGCGCCCAGGTCTCGAGTCTGGGCACATCCCAGGCTCCATCTCCGTCCCCTTTCCCGACCTTCTCGACCCGAAAACCAAAGCCATGCTGCCTCCCGAAGACCTTCGCAAGCTCTTTGAGAGCAAAGGAATCAATCCAAATCAGCCAATCATCTCGAGCTGCGGCACTGGCGTCACAGCAGCCGTTCTTGACACCGCATTAATCCAAGCAGGATTTGGGAAGGGTGTACGGCAGGTGTACGACGGAAGCTGGACCGAATGGGCGCAACGAGTGGCGCCATCCGACAACTTCATCGTCAAGTCCGAGTAGGACGAGAATTCGTTGTATTTTCGGCACTGAAAGCGCATGGTCCACGCGCAAGGTCGCAGATTTCCGCAGGTCTAGGGGATCCGCGCGTACAACGGCGTTGAGGCAGTGCATGCATGGGCTCTGAGCACATGTGCGCGCACGGTCAGATGTGTAGGTCGGCCATCACATCATTTGTATGACTGCAAATCAGTGCACCACGTTTGCACACTTCCACAGCAAAACCTCTGGCGTCACCGCGAGCAGGGCTCGGTGTCCAGCAAGCATTCGTATGCACCACTTCGGCCAAGCTCAAATAAAGTCAAGGGTTACACGACGAAACAGGTGCGCCGGATCTCGGGAGGCGGTAGATCCGCGAGGGCGTTCGATTGTTACACAAACACGACGCATCCACTTTCAGCCACCCGCTTCTTTTTTGCTGTTCCGCCCATGACGGAAGCCCTGGTCAAAGCCATGATGTTCGCGAGCGGAAAAGGGCATTCGCCACCGATTGGACGCGTCTCGTTGGACGACTCGCACATGGCAAGCGGTGTGTCGTGTGACGCTGCACCATTCCCTCTTTATTGACAGCATACGTCGGTAGCCGTGCGTTCTATTGAAACGAGCGTTCTGGGAACCGTCTTGGCTTCACAAGAATAGAATTTCCATCGCGTTGCCCGCCCAACGTTTGCTCTGCAGCTTTTCCACCCACATGAAAAGAGTCTCAAAGACCGGCTCACGATCTTTAATATATCAAGGTAGTCACTGCTCCTTTCTCAGCCCCGTTTTCCACATTCCCAATACCGTTCGCGTTCAACCTTGCTTGACCACATCCCTGACCCTTCTGCCTACGATCGCGCCTCTCTCAGACATGATGTTATCCCTTCTTGCATTCTTCGGCTTCCTCCTTGCCCTCGCCGGCGCATCCCCTGCCTCCACTCGAGACATCTCTGCAAGCACAACAACAACAAACACCCCCACCACACCGACACCCTGCCATTACAAAGCCTTCGACAAACCGTGGATCCTCAAAGATATCACCATCTTCACGCCCTCCGGTCAGGGGAACTCGTCAAACGCCACGGCGCACGGCACCGTCAGCTTCCACTTCTGCGACCGGAATGCGCGCCTGCTCCTCGAGACCGATTGCTCGGGCGATGTGATCGGCGATGCATGCGAGGCGGGCGACGGCGGTTACGTGTCTTGCGAGAATGCGAATGTGGGCTTCAAGCTGGCAAGTGGCGGCGTGGTCATGGTAGAGCGATGGTATGAGGATAACTGGTGGGTTCTGTACCAAGCCGTGCACGCATTTTGGCAAGACTGACATAAGTACTACAGCTTGGGCCCGTATCCATACAACTCGGGAGAGGCGTTTGGACAGAACACTACAAAGATGAGCATTCAGCAGGGAGCGTCGGGCACGTTGGCCTCGCAGTCGGAACTGCTGGTGGAGATTACGGCGATGGCATGAGGGCGGCCACCATCCGTAGTGGTCAGACAAGCATCGTAAGGGACCGGCACAGTTGGATCCAAGGGGCACGGAAAATGGACAGGCTCGGAGCCATATGATGAACGATTGTGATGATAAGACGGCGTAACGTTAATGTCTACTCGCATACGGGCAGATCGTCGAACTCCTTCCTCATGAACTTCCTCAACTCTTCTAAGCCGTCCTTGACGATCGCCGTCTGATTGACATAGCCGAAGCGCACGTACCCCTTGAACTCGTCGCCAAATCCAAGGTCACCAGGGAGAAGCAGGACGCCCGCCTTTTCGTGCACAGCCTTACAGAGAGCTACGGCATCGATCGGTTTCCCATCGCGCTCGAACTTGACAAAGGCGGTGGTGCCGGCCACGGGTTTGACGTACGAGCAAAACTCGTCGTGCTTGACGATGAAGCGGTCTAGGAGTTCCAAATTCGTTTTCGCGAGTTGGATGTTGCGTGAGAGCAAGGCATGGATGGTGTCCGGGGAGAGAGCAAAAGAAGCAACGGCTTGGTCGAGCTTGGAGACGGAGATGGTGGTGTAATCTCTGGTCAGCTGACACTTCTCGATCACGTCCTTGTTGCGACTTGCAATCCAGCCGGTTCGGATGCCGGCGAGAGCGTAGGCTTTGGAAAGACTGCCAGTCGCGATGGTGTTGTTGTAGCCCATGGACAGAATGGACGGGGGAAAGTCCTTGTCCATAGGACTGATGCCATGGAAAAGGGGACGATATACTTCATCCGACAGAAGTATGATGCCTTTGCTCTCGGCGAAATCAATGATTTTGACGAGAAGCGATTTGGGCAAGACGGCGCCAGTCGGATTTTGTGGATTGCTGGGAGGAGGTCAACGATGCTCGATACAGAGCCAGGGTTGATGAGACGAACTTCAATACAATCAATTTGGTGTTGTCCTTCACCATGGCTTTTAGCTCTTCAAAATCGGGCAGCCAGTTGTCGTGCGGTTTGGAGTGCCACTTATCCACGACAGCACCCAGAGACTCCGGGACGGTGACGAGCTGTTGATAGGTGGGCCAATGGCAAATGACATGGTCGCCGTCTTTGATCAGAGCGTAGAAGACGAGGTGATTGGCGGCGATGGCTCCCGGAGTGATAAGGATGTTGTCGGGGGCGAGTGGCGTGCCGACTTTGGTGGAATAGAGTCGACTCAGGTTGTTCCTTAAAGCGGTCGTGCCACGAATTTCGCCGTAGTCCTGAATGGCCGCGGAGTTCAGAATGTCGCTCGCCGTGGCGTCCTTGTTCTCCGACAGGGCGAGGAGCCCGTCGATGGATAAGCTGGCGGAGCATGTCTCGCCGAGATCGTGTTTGGCCGTCGGTTGGTACTCATCCATCCACTGCGTCTACGTCAGTCTGCTATTGGTGGTGGACATGGTGGCCAAACGGATGGAAGGGAATTCTCCCGCAAGTGACCCTTCACTTACCTACCTGTTCAATACGAAACGGTGGTAACCGAGCCATCTTGACGACAGTCACTGGAACGGCGGAGGAACGATTGGCGATGATGGATGATGGAGAGTTGAACGCCGAGAACGAATGGACTTTTCTCCGATGATGTCTAGTGAGCATCGAGGAGTTGTGCACGAATGGAAGCTAGGCAAAGCCAGTCCACCTGCTGACTAGAAGTCTAGAACTTCGCAGCGGCAGCGCTGTCGGCCAATCATCGTCAATTGGCCCTCCGAAAGAACCAAAACAGATACGTGAATGTTGGTGTTCTACATCTGACTACGACTTGTCGTGCAAGTATGACAACCCTCCGACTGCAGCATTGCGAAGGACGGGGCCAGATGAGCATCGAAACGAGGAATGGGTGAGGCTGGATCGGGTCAAGCTCCCGCCGGAGCTGGTCAGCAACCCGCCACTTCGAGCTAGCGGGCATGTAACATCACGCCGCCGCCCTCCCCTCCACGTGCCGCGAGATCGCAGCGCATAAGGGTGACCAATTCCCTCCCTCCCCAACCTTACCTTCTCATTCTCGATGCGGTGACAGCTCCACCCAATGGCTGCATGCCCTACCTAGACTTCGACATCTTACTCCCTTCTCCCTCCACCGTCAACGCCGCGCGGAACACTCCCCGCCGCCCTTCCCTACCAATGTGGCGCCTCATGCATCTTGCGCTCCTCGTGCCCCTCGCCATCCTCCCCCATACTGTCGGCGCCGAACTACAGTCCTCTCGCTACTACACCACCAGTGACGAGCTCCTCCTGCAGCCCTCCATTCTCTCCCTCGATGATAAACGACCCGAAGACTGTCCGCCGTGCTTCAACTGCAATCTCGACAACTTTGTGTGCCAGCAGTACGCCAACTGCACCAAGAGCAGCGGCAAATGCGCCTGTCCTCCGGGCTTTGGTGGTGAAGACTGCGGCAGGCCGCTGTGCGGCTCTTTGGCAGATGGAAGCAATCGCCTGCCTCGCGAAGGCGACCAGTGCAAGTGCAAGGACGGGTGGGCCGGCATCAACTGCAACGTGTGCAAGACCAATGAAGCTTGTCAAGCATTCCTCCCCGACAAAGTCAAGGATGAGGCGGTCTGCCTCACGGACCCCCTGGTCGTCAAGGAGAACCATCAGATGTGCGACATCACCAACCGAAAGATCTTGGACCAACTGAAGAATGAGAAGCCGCAAGCGACGTTCAGCTGTAACGCGGAGCGCAGGGACTGCAGCTTCCAATTTTGGATCGATCAAAAGGAGAGCTTCTACTGCGCTCTCGATACCTGCGACTGGACAAAGGTGGCGACGGAGAAGCGCAACACGACCAAGTACAGATGTGACAATATCAAATGCAAATGCATCCCCGGCCGCATGTTGTGCGGTCGCGAAGGCACTGTGGACATCGGGGACTTTCTGGATCAAGAGATCAATGGCCCTGCTACGTTCACCTCCATCAGCACCGAGGGCGGGTCTAGCGAAGATGGGAGCGTGTTTTCCGAGCCCGGAATGAACGATCTGATCTCTCAAGTCTTCGGCGACAAGAGCATCACTTTACGTTGTGAAAGCGGAGAATGCGTGACCCGCACCCAGGTTCCCGGCTATACGAAGCCCGTCAAGGAGATCAACACGCCGCTGATAGCGGGCGTCATTGCTGGTTCTGCTCTATTCTTGGTCGCCGTGATTCTACTTATCTTCCTTATCCGCCGGCGGACCGGTAGTTCACGATTCGGGCAAATTCGTTTGGACACCGACGAAGAAGAGGAGGAAAACGCGAGATTGCTGGCAGATCACAAACCGGCCGCTTTGTACTTCGACAACGTCCACTATGAAGTAAAGGGCAAGAAGATTCTCAATAACATCATGGGATCGGTGCATCCAGGCGAGCTACTGGCAATTATGGGCGCATCTGGGGCAGGAAAGACTTCCTTCCTCGATATCCTCGCGAGGAAGAAGAAGCGAGGGACCGTCGTGGGTGATTTCTGGCTCAACGGTGATAAAGTTGCGGATGACGAGTTCAGGAGCGTCACTGGCTTCGTCGACCAGGACGACACCATGATCCCTACTTTGACGGTTCATGAGACCATCCTAGACTCGGCTCTACTGCGCCTACCGAAAGATATGAGCAGAAATGCCAAGGAGCAGAAGGTCGAGGACGTCGAACGCCAGCTCGGCATCTATGCCATCAGGGATCAAGTCATTGGCTCCCAAGAAGGCACGCGCGGCATTTCTGGCGGCGAGAAGCGACGCGTGGGTATTGCCTGTGAGCTGGTGACGAGTCCGAGCATTCTGTTCCTCGATGAGCCCACTTCGGGACTGGACGCCTATAATGCCTTCAACGTCGTCGAATGTCTGGTGAACCTCGTCAAGACGTACAATCGAACGGTGGTCCTGACTATTCACCAACCGCGATCGAACATTGTTGCGCTCTTTGATCAGCTGATGCTGTTGGCGGAAGGCCGACTCGTCTACAGCGGTCCTTTCCACAAATGTCAGGGATACTTCGACAGCATTGGGTACTCGTGCCCACCAGGATTCAACATTGCCGATTATCTGGTGGACCTGACCATGCATGCCGGAACGCCCACCGAGCCGTTGGACCTAGAGGATCTGGAATACGCGGGCGAAGACGGACGAACCACCAGGGCAAGTTCGACCATTGCGGTCAAAAGCATTCCGAGCATTAGCAATGTTTCCATTGGCGACCGCTCCTTGAATGCCGGCTCGTTGCGGCCAAAAGCGCAAAGAAAGACGAGCGTACGACAGCAGCAGGAACGCCAGTTGTACGGCCGAAGGCGCACGCAAGAAAATGTACATGGGTCGCCGACAATCCGGAGCGAAGGGGACAGCATCATGGAGAGGGAGTACGATACCGTGAAGCTGTCGAGACAGCATGGCAACGCTGCGGCACATTCCGATGACCCTCACAATTTACCACCGTCGGCGAACGGTATCAGTACGAATCTGGACACCCTGGTCTCCTCGTTCGCAGACTCTGATGTGGCGACCGATCTACGGGAAGACCTTCACAGTGCCATATCCGCGGCCAATGACAGCAACGGCCAGCCTCCAGATGCCTCCAATGGAAAATCAACGCCCAAAGTTCGAGGCTACCGAAAACCCTGGCTCCCCACGCAGTTTATGATTCTCTCCCTACGGACATGGCGAAATCTTTACCGCGATCCCATGCTCATGCTGACGCACTACCTCATTGCGATTGTGCTTGCCTGTTTTCTGGGCTTCCTCTTCTATGGGCTTACAGACGACGTCCCCGGATTTCAAAACCGGCTCGGTCTTTTCTTCTTCATCCTCGCCCTCTTCGGCTTCAGCACCCTCACGTCTCTGACTGTCTTTGCTCCCGAGCGACTCCTCTTCGCGCGGGAACGGGCGAAAGGGTACTACAACCCGCTTGCCTACTACCTTGCCAAAGTCGTCTTCGACATCGTCCCGCTTCGTCTCATTCCGCCTATCATCATGGGCTGTATCATTTACCCCATGACCGGCCTTTTACCGGCCTGGGCGGAGTTTTTCAAGTTCATTCTGTTCATCGTGTTGTTTAATCTCGCGGCTGCCGTCATCTGCCTCTTCATCGGCATTTGCGTCAAGAACCCCGGCGTGGCAAACCTATACGGCGTGCTGTTCATGCTGTTCAGTCTACTCTTCAGCGGATTCTTATTGAACCACGGCACGATTCCCGGGATTGTTCTGTGGTTGCAGAAAGTGAGTTATGCACATCTACTGAGAGCACCTCGACTGTCCAGAGCTGACGTATCTCCAGCTCTCCATCTTCCACTACGCCTTTGAAGGGCTGATTGTCAACGAAGTACGCTATCTGCAGCTGGAGGACAAGAAATATGGCCTGGACATCGACGTGCCCGGCGCCTCGATTCTCAGCATCTTCGGCTTCCGAGTGTTGGAACTGTGGCACGACGCCGTCGGTCTTGCCGTCTTTGGTGGTGCTTTTTTGGTGTTGGGCTATGTGGCAATCCACTTCGTCCTGGTCGAGCGGAGGTAATGAGATCCGTAAATGTACATACAATAGAAAGCGATAATGTAAAGATGCCCGTTGTCCTGATTCGGTGCCAAGACCTGCGAGCGGCTCGACGACTCGCGTTTCAGCGCGACTCCCCTACACCTTGATCACAATTCCCAAGGTTGAGACAATGTACATTGCCCACGTACGAACGTTTGAAGAGATGTGCGCACCAGACCGAATTGCTGTCACGCCGCTTCCAGCTCTGGGCACCACGCGATGCGCGCGGCGATGACAGTGGGCCATACCGTCAAATTGCTGGTACCACAGAACGCAAAGCATCTCTTTACGTATTTTGTTGGATGTTGGGGAACCAGGCAGACTGCAAGCATGTCCTTCGCGCGTCCGGGCCCGCGAACGTACGAAGTCAGACGATCTCTCTCATTTCTCTCAGTACTCAACGTTGACGCATGAACAGGATGCCGTCCGGGTCATCGAGAGCCGTCAGCGGAGGAAAAGACCAAAAGGCACATCGGCCGGAACTTCTGCCCAATCCACGGGCAACAGCGGCACACCCGATCTTAGAGGCCTTCCCGGTATCACAGGCATGCGCGAGTGGCTCGATATGCTTGGTCATTCAGTAGGTATTGGCGTAAATCTACATTGTCTACGTGCACTGACACGCTAGAAGCCCGACGCCATCAACTCACTGAATGTCATCCACCTTGCGGGAACGAAAGGGAAAGGCAGCACTTGTGCGTTCACCGAATCCTTCCTACGAGCGCATGGCAAACGCACAGGTTTTCCCCAGAAGACCGGGATGTACACCTCACCTCACTTATTGAGACCAGAGGAGCGTATTCGGATCAATGCGTCGCCTCTGGCCACTACCAAGTTTGCCCAGTATCTCTTTGAAATTTATGATAAGCTGCCTCAGCTGGCGGCTGAGTACGATCCGGGAAAATCAGTCGTCGATCGAGGGCCTCGAACTCTGCAGCTCTACGCTCTGCTAGCCCTCCATACTTTCATCCGTGAGAGGGTGGATGTGGCGATTATTGAAACTCACAGCGGCGGCGAATACGACGCTACGAACGTGGTATCAAGGCCGGTGGTCACTGCGATCACCAGCCTGGGGATGGATCATGTACAGACGCTCGGCCCGTCTATCGAGAACATTGCGTGGCACAAGGGAGGGATCTACAAGGCTGGTGCCGCTGCATTATCGACGAAGCAGGATCCAGAACCCGCCCGCGTGCTTGTCGAGCGTGCTGGGCGGGTGAGTGAGGACGTGACGTTCGTGGAAGAGGATCCAGCTCTGCCAAGGGGCACATTACAGCTGAAACCGCTGGTGCAGATGAAGAATGCGTCTCTCGCGGTTGCGGCGGCGAACGCCTTCCTCTCGCGGACCAGAGGGCATCAGTCCCAATCTCTTGACGAGAATGATGTCCGCCTCGGAGTGGAGCAATGGCACTGGCCTGGTCGATTCGAGATACTCCCCAGAGACCAATGTACCTACTTTGTGGATGCAGCACACAACGACATGAGCGTGGGCATCGCAGCGGACTGGTTCGTGGAGAGCAGTCGAGAAATGTTGGCATCAGCCGTTCGGGTTCTGGTCTTCAGCCATATCAACGAGCTCCGGGATGCCGTCGGAGTTTTGAGCAGTCTGGCCGAAGCCTTGCGGCGGGTTGATACGCATATGGAGCACGTCGTCTTCACCACGTACGCTGAAGCTGAGAGTGACGATGCATCGGCAGCAGCAAGCGACCTGGCAGTGTTCCGTGATACGTGGGAGCAGCAATTCCCGAATTCTCGCATTTGGCTGGAGCCAACGGTTGAAGGGGCCATCAGGCGGGTGGAGGTGGTGGCAAAGCAGCATATTGCCGCGGACATTCATGTTCTGATCACGGGAAGTCAACATCTAGTTGGACCAGCGCTGCGGCTGTTGAGTGCCGGCTAGCAAAGCCTCGGTCTCGGCATCTAATGGCTGGTTATGAGGACGATGAAGGGATCAATCGATGCAATCACAAGGCATCGTCTGACATGAGATAGACACGACCCTCACATCACAATCACCTTAAACTGTAATTGTCATTACAGCTTCCCGTCTCCTACCGCTCGTGACGTCTATGTGCCAGGAGCTTCCCCTGCGATAAATGCAAATGTCAGGGGATATCGATATCATTGAACTACCGGATCGAGGCATGCCGCCGGCCGACTTGGCTGTGGGGCGTGCGGTGGTGTGGTGCAGGAAGCTCCGATCGCCAGCGACCAATATCGTGCGTGGCAGAGCTGGCCAGGCATGTCGATCGTAGATGTCAGACGCCACTAGCAGTTTCACCACGAGCGTCTTCCGCTGCATGCCTTCAAGCGAGGGGGTTTTCGTCACTTCGTGGCTGAATGGTGTGTGACCAGGAAGACCTTATTAAGAAGCTGGTGCAGCACTCCACCAAGGCTACGAATATTGCACAAGCAGTCAACGTTACGTGAACGAGAGGCGACGGCCGCCGGCGCCCCTGCGTTTCCGAAAGCGCTGCGCCCTCTGCTCGCCGAGGACCGATCGCCATGACTTCCATGAAAGATTACGAGCAGGTGCCGAAGCGGACGGTGGGGAGTCTGACGCACAGCGAGCTGCGCGCCGACGGCTGGCGCATTCTGGAGAAGCAGTTTGCGCACAAGACGATTGTTACGAAGCCCCACGACTTGACTTACGGCTACTATGTCACCCACGATTTGGCGAAGAAACAGGAGAACGGCCGGGTACCGGTGCTTCTCATGCTGCATGGCTTTCCCGACGATGCTTACATGTGGGCGAGCACACTCCCCACGCTGACCGCCCTGCCTTATCCCATCATCATCCCCGATCTCCTGGGCTATGCGAGTTCGTCGAAACCAACGGATCCGAAGTTATACGCCTACACCCAGCAGGCTAGCTCGCTCATCCAGATCCTGGACCAAGAGGGTGTGTTGAACAACGTCATCGTCGTCGGACACGACTGGGGCTCGGCGGTCACGCAGCGATTCTTCCTCCTGCACAAAGAGCGATGTGTCGGACTAGCCCCGACATCGCTGTTCTACTTCCCGCCGTCCGAGACTGCCTTCAACCTGCCGGAGATGAATCGAGCGACGGAGAAGCGGTTCGGGTACCAACAGTGGGCCTATTGGGAGTTCTTCACGGCAGCAGACGGACCGAAGTTGATGCATCAAAATCTGGAGAGGCTGTACGAGGCGCTGCATGGAGAGAAGCCGAGTGAAGATCCGCAGGAGGATGGGCGGGATATCTGGATGAGGGAATTGTTCTGTCTTCCGGGGACGATGCGCGAGTATGTGATGAATCGAGGGCGGTATCAGGTGAGCGAGTGAGAGATGCAGCGAAGTGTGAATTCCGGGCTAATTCATGACTGTAGGATTGGCATGTTCCGCTGAAGCCTTATGCACAAGATGAAGTGCTGAAAGAGCGTTGGATACAACGGCTGCAACGAGACGGACTCGAAGCACCCATCTGTTATTATGAGGCGTTGAAGCACAACATCAACCTCGACACCGATCGCGAACTGATTCAAGATCCGGAGTTCTGCACAATCACCAAACCATACCTTTACATTGCCTTCACGGGCGACTGGGTGCCGCGGACGGACCTGATTCAGGAGGCGGTCGAGCAGGGCTTGATTACCGATTTCGAGCGGCATACGGTGCGCGCAGGCCATTGGGCATTGTATGAGAAGCCGCAAGAGATTGCGGAGATTTTGGCGGATTGGTTGAAGCGGCGATTTCCCGTGTAAAAGACACAGATACACATTGCAGCGATGAAGAGGACTGCAGGTATATTCTGGCAGCCGTGTAGGGCGGGGCGTTGGAAGGACTAGATGAGGGGCAGAAGCTTTGCCCCACCAAACGTCACAGCATTGGGGACTGCACATAATCCTCGCAAACGACTAGACGACAGCGTCACGCTCACGCCACTTCTCTTCCACCCAATCATGTAGGCGTCGTGCCAACTGCAAGAGTGAGAGCAAGGTATGTCTGGCTTATCATCAAGCTTCTTCAATCATCATGTGAACGAAATTGTCCCTAGTGACGTTGGAGATCACATCGTGCGCCTGTGATATCTATCACTATCCATGCACCACGATTATCCCCCTACACCGCAACCATGGCCACCACAGACGACGCTCCTTCGCCCGAGGGCATCTTCTCGCTCCTCGACACCGACCTCTACAAACTCACCATGCAATGCGCCATCCTCAAGTTCTTCCCGGACGTGCACGTCGCCTTTGCCTTCACCAACCGCACCCCGCACATGAAGCTCACTCGCGCCGCGTATCGCTGGCTACAAGAGCAGATAGGCAAGTTGAAGAATTTGCACATCACCGCGCAAGAGGTGGAGTGGTTACGCACGACTTGTCCCTATCTCAGCTCCGAGTATCTGGAATACCTCGAGAGCTTTCGATTGAGACCTGAAGAGCAGGTGCAGCTGGCGTTTGACCCAGATGAGACCGGCGAGGGAGAGGATGTATCTGGCAACATCTCCCTATCGGTCCGTGGTTTGTGGCTCGAGACCATCCTCTACGAGATTCCCCTTCTCGCACTCATCTCAGAGGCCTACTTCAAGTTTGTGGATCGCGATTGGACGCATGCCAATCAGGTGGAGAATGCGAAGCGCAAAGGTCTCACGCTGTTGGAGCATGGGTGTCTTTTCAGCGAGTTTGGCAGCAGGAGACGACGAGACTACAAGACGCACGAGAGTGTGATCCGAGGCTTGGTAGACGCATCGAAGGAAGCGGAGACGAATGGGCAAGGGTGGCAGGGCAAGTTCACGGGCACATCCAATGTGCACCTCGCCATGAGATTCGGAGTCCCGCCGATCGGCACCGTAGCCCATGAATGGTTCATGGCCATCGCAGCCATCACCGACGACTACGCCAACGCCAACGAGCTGGCGATGAAGTACTGGATTGCCACCTTTGGACGTGGCGTGCTTGCTATCGCCCTTACCGACACTTTCGGTACAACGTCATTCTTGAGAGCATTTGTGAAGCCCGCGCCTCCGAGCAATACCACAAATCAGCCCGATCGAGCCCAGGATCCGAGCTATGCCCAGGTCTTCACCGGTGTGCGCCAGGATTCTGGAGACCCCTTGGCGTATCTGCAGATCATGAAGAAGTTCTATACCTCGCAAGGCATCACTGACAAGAAGGTCATTGTCTACTCCGACTCGCTCAACACGGACAAATGCATTCAGTACCGCCGAGCGACGGTGGAAGCCGGCCTCTCTCCATCGTTTGGGATCGGCACGTTCTTTACAAACGACTTTGTGCGGGCGAGTCGGCCGGATGAGAAGAGCGTGCCCCTGAACATTGTCATCAAGCTCAGCGAGGCAAATGGTCGGCCGGCGGTGAAACTGAGCGACAACAAGTCGAAGAACATGGGAGACGAGGAGTTGGTGAGGAAGGTCAAGCAGACGGTCGGATATGAGGAGAGGGAGTGGAAAGAGGGCGATGAGGCGCATCGATGGGATAAGTGATGGAGCAGCACTGATGGGGTGCGGTTTCCAAGGGTATCTCCGGGTACAAATAGATATCCAAGATAAATCAGCAAACGAGGCGGTCAATCGGACATCACAGCTTCGCTGGCCTCCACTTGGGCTTGCGCTTTTCTCGAAACGCCGCCAGCCCTTCGACCGAGTTGTCCGACTTCATCAGTTTCTCATAGTACGTGTCGTGGACCAGCTGGAATGCACGCTCCACGCTGCCCGTTTCCCACGCTTCCCTCAGCGCCGCTCGAGTGACAATGATGCCGTCGGGCGAAATGGCCGCGATCTGCTTAGCCTTTTCCAGCGTCTCCTCCACCACGGACTCCGGGGTTTTGGAGATGCCTTGGATGAGGTGCATGGAGAGCGCTTCCTCCGCGGATATTCGTCGGCCAGTCAGGGCGATGTCGCTGGCAGCTTGCATGCCCACATTTCGGACGAGCCGAGGAAGACCGCCTCCGTACGCGTACACCCCGACTTGAGCTTCGGGCAGGCCGAATTGAGCTTTCGGAGAAGCAATGACAACATCGCTGTAGCGTAGTCGTTAGACAAGTCAGACGTCTCCTCTACTTTGGAAGCTGGCTCCTTACGCGTTCAAAACAATTTCGAACCCCCCTCCCAAAGCTATTCCATTCACGGCAGCAAGGAAGGGCTTCTTGCCCTTCCGTCGCGAGATGCCAGCGAACCCCCCGTTCGGATGCTGATGCAGCCATGGCTCAGCATCTTTCACGTCGCTCTGGTTGATGGTCGCCTTTTGCGAATGCTCAATCTCGATGAGGTCGGAGCCGGCGCAAAAAGCCTTTTGGCCCTCGCCGGTGATGACGGCGCATCGGAGGGAGGGCTCGTTGTCGTACCAGTTGAAAAGGGCCTCGATTTCCCAGTTCATGGTGTGCGTGACCGAGTTCATTTGCTTCGGTCGGCTGAGGGTGACGAGCATGATGTTGTCGGTGGGGAATGAGATGGTGCATCCCGAGCACCGCGGTGGTTTGAGGCCCATGATTGCAGTTGTGTGCGAGGGTGGTTCGTCCAGAGTCGGTTACTTCCTTTCGGGGGAGAGGGAGAGTGGCAGGACGAGACGGGTCGAAGATACAATCGCTGAGGTGGAGGCAGCTCAACGATTCATGTATGGATGGCTACGTCGTCAGCGCTCGTCAATCCTCTTCCAAGCGCTCGCATTCCTCAATCTCCAATGGGAAGAGGTGGTGTGATGTACGGGTCGGAGAGAGGTTGGATGTAGCCGGCCCCGAATCGGCTAGTCGAGGGCATGGGGGAGTGAGAGGCCCAAGCTTCGACGCGTGGGGAAAGTGAAGTCACGGTGGGGCGCTTGTTCAAAGTCGACTTTGAGCCTCATTGCGTAGCTGCTCCAAACCACCTTACGAAACATTGATTTTACTCGCATTCACTCTCAACACTGCATATTGTCACGCGACCTACCCCTTGGAGAACCACATGGGCTTGCCATTGCCGCTGCTGGATCTTCCTTGAGTGCAGTAACAGCAAGCACCTGCTTGGTGTGCAGAGCATCAATTGAACCGCCAGCATGTTGCGCTGGTATGCCGCATCGCCTGAACATCTGCTACAGCGCGTCAGCTGACACATCTGCAGGTACCAGGCCCGCCTGGCATCGCGCCCCATCCTCACCCAAGCCGTCAGCACTGCCATCCTCTTCGCAACCGGCGATGTCCTCGCGCAACAGGCCGTGGAAAAGAAGGGCATATCCGAGCATACGCTCGAGCGAACGGGCCGTATGGCACTCTACGGCGGCTGCGTCTTCGGCCCCGGCGCCACGCTGTGGTATCGCTTCCTGCAGCGCCAAATCAAGTTCCCCGGCAAACCAAACACCGAGATTGTCGCGCGTGTCTTGACGGATCAGACAGTCTTTGCTAGTACCAACCTGTTCCTCTTCCTCAGCAGCATGGCCCTTATGGAGGGCAGTGACCCGAAGGCGAAGCTGGAAAAGAGCTATTTCGAGGCGCTGAAGAAGAACTGGATGGTCTGGCCGGGCGTGCAGTTTATGAACTTCAAATACGTTCCCTTGAACTACCAAGTTCTGGTGGTCAACGGCGTTTCCATTGGTATGTGATTCCACGTGCAAATCACGACTTCGATACTAACCCCGTCATCTACAGGCTGGAATTGTTACCTGAGTTATCTCAACAGCGGCAGTGGCAGTGATGAGGTAGGTCAATCCATGGTTTTGCGTGTACAGCTACTAAGACAGACATGTATAGAACCCCACCTACCCGCCAGATTCGTGAGGAGCTGCAGAGTATTCCTAGGCATCCTCATCGACCACGTAGTGCATGGCGAGCACGGCGGTATTGCAGTGGCATCGGAGTCCAAGAGCACCTGGCGAGGGCGTACGGTAGGGTAGTCATCGGAAATTCGCGAGATGCATCCCTTGCACCTAAGCACAGCACGTCATGACCTTCAATTGCCCTTCACCACCTTCAATTGCCCTTCACCCTCTCATCCTCCTCCACCGTCCTCGTCTTGAGCTGTAGAGCGTGAATCCCACCTTCCATGGCCATTTCGTCCTTGAGCAGCGCGTATACCATCCGATGTCGCGCCGGCTGCATTTTGGACTTGAATGCGTCGGAAATGATATTCACTCTGGGGCCAAACTGTCAGCGATTTGCCAGAAAGGAAGACGGATGCTAAAATACCGAAAATGCGTCTCTTTGGAAACGCTCCCTTCCATGGCCTTGTGATGTGCATGTAGGTGCGAGTCGTTGTGAATCTCCAAGGACGTCGGCGCCAGTGCTTCTGTAATCTGTCCAACGACAAGTCAGCGATCGTAGTACCTGAATGTACGAAGCGCAGCCCCGATTTTCGACTTTGCATACCTTCCGTCTCATCGCATCCTCCATCGGGCTGTGTGATTTACTCGTCGCCATGCTGGCGGACGGCTTACGTAGCGCGGTAAACGCAATCCTTCGGAACATTCCAGGAGAAAGATACGTCGTGCAGAAGCACTTTCTACTCCATTCTCGTTGACGGGAGAAGTTGAAGTCCGATTCTTTAGGGTTGTGTGTTCTTAGGGTTTCAACTCTTAGGGTTAGACTTCAACGTCACGTCTTCACCACAGCGAACGAGACGGCATTTCATTGTAACTCACACGAGATGCGAGAAAGTTTGTCGTTGTGTGGTACATCGATATATACGTATCTACGCAGTGGACATATACCACGTTGCTGCACGTGCAGTCCGCCAATTAGTAGGCACCAGCTCGCGGAGCATATGTAGCAAGAGGTGCCATGGGCACGTCGCCGTATCCACTCATAATAGTACCGTTCACGGTCAATGCCAACCCTCCTACCTTGGCTCCAGATGCTTCGAGACTCCACAGGGACATGGCAACGTAGTTCGTGCCGTGGTAGTTCCTGCAATCGTGTTAGCGACTACATTGATCATTTCTCACGCGGCCGCCAACTTACCAGATGCCCTGCTGAACGGGATACGACGTCTGCGGCCCGATGTTGTTTACGTATTTTCCGCTCTGTGATCCGTTAGTCTTTCTCCTCTTCTTCAAAGGCAAGTACTCACTTGTAATCCGTTGACGAAGATCTCAACGCGGAACGCTGGAGCGCTGTTCGGAGCACCGTTCGGGCTGGAGGTGTTGGTGAAGGTGACGGAAATTGGGATATCCCATCCAGAGGGTAGGTCCAAGTCAATCTCCGTGGCGTACCAGGCGACGCCGGCTTTGGAGATACCTTCTGTGGGACCACCGCTGGAGGTCCAGTTCGAGATGGGAGTGCCGGGCAGGTAGTATCCCTGCCGTTCGGCCCAGAGACCACCCTCGTTCAGCGGGCCTAGCGCCTTCTCGAGATACTGTTGCCCTCCGAGATTGCCAGTGATCTTCCAGGAAACGTCCTTGGTCGAGTGGCCACCCAAACTGTAGCGTAGAATGCCACGAGGGTTCTTCATTTCGTTCTGTCCAATGACATAGTTTTCGTCCAGCCCCATCTCGTCTACGAGGATGGTGAAAACGTAGGTCTCGTTCGCCTTGAGCTTCGAAACAGGGTAGGTCTTGTTGCCGTTTTCGTCGGCCGGGTTTCCGATGAACGAGCCCATGTACGTCGAATTGATCCAGACTGATGTGCCAAAGGCTGTACCGCCTTGCGTCTCGAGGAAGAAGTGGGATTCCTTTCCATTGGCCGTGAAGCTTCCGCGGAAGACCAAGATGCCCGTGTTGAAGCCATAGTCGCTACCAAAGAGGCTCACCGGCGTCCTCAACATTGCATGATCGTTGTGCGAGCTCGTGAGATTGGCCACCGGCCAGAGGGAGTCGTCGTACGTTGGTTGAATCTCTGGCAGAGAATCGATATACTTCCACTTTGCGCTGGAAAGCGAGGGCACAGTGATGTTGGGTGCGTTGAATTGCACGGTGGCGGTCACAACACCGTAGCTGTCCTGCTTGAAGCTCGTCGAGTTGCCGTTAATGTTGAGTTTGGTCAGGTTGGCCGGAGCACCACCGATGATCTCGATCGGCGTGGTCGCGTTGAAATCGCCGACAAGGTTCAAAGTGGTGCCTGAGACGCTCGCGTTGCGCATGAGGTATCCTGCTTGAAGAACAACGGTAGTCGCGTTCAATGATGGTGCGAAGAGCCCCCGTTCGTTGGGAAGCTTGAGGACCCAGTAGTTGTAAGCAGCATTGCGGTCTGGAGAACAAGAAGTTAGAACAAACTTGTATGATGCTAAGGTCCAACATACCAAGCAGATAGAGAGTCAGTCCGGATGCGAAGCTGACGACGTTTCGCTGTCCTCCTGCCTTCCAGTTCAAGACCGTCGCATTCTGTTTGGTGCTCTGTTTCACTCCGCCATCCTCGAGGATGGTCGCATTGCCAGCGTTTGACACTGCCAGCTCTTGATATGTGCCAGGAGCTCCATAAACGACCAAGATCTTGCGATCCCCGTATGACTTTCTGTGCTGTATATTAGCGCCAGTCTCGCGCGCAGGATGAGATGCTTACGAAGTGAAGATCTGCGCCGAGGAGTAGAGAATGTTGACTCCGCCGACGTCGAAGTCAGTCACGCTCACCACCGAGTCGCGACCTAACAGAGACAGCTGACCGTCGAGCTGAGGAATGGTGACCTGCCCTTGACTGGTCGTCACATTGAGCTTGTAGCTAGTCGTGGATTGATCGGTGTAATTGGAATGCCTGATGATGTAGAAGTTCGTGGCAGAGCCGTTTCCAAAGAGCGGAGTGACGCTCAAGGCTTGAGTATTGGTGTACTTGGTGGTAGAGAGGTTGCCTGGAGTGGCGGTGTAGTAGGCAGCGGAAGATTCGACGAAGCTGGCCAGAAGCTTGGCCTCGCTGTACTTCTCCCGCTCCACCATGCGGTTCTCCGCAATGGCGGCCGCGTAGTCATAAGAGCTGTAGCCTAATCGAAACGTTAGCCAGTAGTCTTTGAAATAAAGTGAGTAAGTATGTACCGCCAGGGTGCCCAAGATTGCCCCAATTCGAGCCACCATACGTCATGTAAAGATTGAAGATCCCGATGGCGGAAGCGAAGTTGTTGGTGTAGAAGACTCGCTCGAATTCATAACCAGTGAGTTCGAGACAGTTCTGCCATCCATAACCGCCCCATGGGTCGAAGCTGCCTCCCTGGAACTCAACGAAGGCGAATGGTGTGAGAGGACTCCATTCCAGATGAGTGGAAGTAAGATCTGTCTGTAAGCCGTTTGCTGGCCACTGATAGGGGTTCCCGCAGTCGAACCCGAGAGGATAAGAGTCGATTCCATAGATGTCTACGGCTGCAGGAGTGCCGGGGCGAAAGTTTCCATCATTGTCGTCGTTGTCGATGTAAGGGACTGTAACTCCAGCTTCTCGGAATTGCTTCTCGACAAACCCCATATAGGTGGAGTTCGGGCATGGCTTGACCGACGGTAGGCAATCGTAGTACTCGTTCTCGGGCTGCATAAGAATGATGGGCCCGCCGTTGGTAATCTGGGCATTTGCGAAGATCTTGCCAATCGACTGGGCGTAGAGCTGGGTAGCGTTGAGGTAGGCTGGGTCAGTACTTCGCAAGATTCCGGGGACTTCCTGGAGCCAGCCAGGGAAGCCTCCACCGCTCACTTCGGCATTGATGTACGGTCCGGGTCTGGCGAGGAGGTAGATTCCCGCTTCAGTGGCGGCGTCGAAGAACGGTTGCAAGGAAAAGATGCCCTCGGCCAAGAAGGTGCCCGGGTCGCCTTCAAGCAGCGCCCAGTCGGTGTAGAAGGTGACGGCGGTATAGCCCAGACTGCGGATCTTCTGGAAGACGTCAAGCCACAAGCCCGGGACAGGTAGACGGAAAGGGTGGAAGGAGCCGGAGTAGAAGATGATTCTCTCGCCATGCACCATGAGAGTATGTTGGTCCCATGTCACGATGTCCTGCAAGGGCTCGCTCTCGTATGGTTTGATGCGAAGAGCAGCTGTATGAGCAGCAACGTTCAGGCAAAGGCCTGCCAGCAAGGCACGAAGGAGACGCATCTTGGGGAAGAATTGAAATGTTGACAGGAGGAAAGTGGCGGTCGAGGGCAACGAGGAGATGGCCTACCTTTTGACGGGTGTCTCTTCATGACGACGTCCCTCCGACGGTTGGCATGCCCTGCCGTCGTCTTGAGGGCCAGTTGCGGAGGTGATCGGCTTTGCAGCAGCAAGAGAGGTGGCGGTGGACGAGGGGCAAGGCGCGGGATGTGGAGAGGAGGTGCCGTCTCGTATCTCCGCACCATGCGGCTCTCACGACAACTACCTCATCGGTCCCTGAGTGTCAGGCACGACGATGTAGATCGCGCGGCATTCGGCAAGCGTTATTGATCAATGCTGCAACTTCAGCCGTCTATAGGGAGAAGAGCGGCATTGGGAAGCATCGAATTCAGCCTGAATTCTTTTTTCCCCGCATCAACACACTTCCAATAGCTCTGCTTCTATCGGGATGACGCTCCGTACTCCATCAGCCTTCTAGTTGAAGCAGCCGGGGAATGACCTCGGTATTGAGGTCGCTCATCGTCGTCCCTACACATCCCACGCAATCTGGCCGACTCTACGCTGTCTGACTGCACACGCTCGACACGATCATGTAGAGTCACGGAGAGTGTGGCGTACCGCAATTTCGTCGTGACTCACTATGGAGTAAAGATTTGATTATGAACTTGGGTAGCTACCTACCTAGCTAATCATATAAACCCACCATCACAGAGGCGAGCAACATCCAATCGTGCCTTGTCCTTCCCACGTCTGATCATCACCACTGTCAATCATGTCTCAGCCTTTGTCCGTCAGTCAAACCTTCGACGCATCCCTCGTCGACCTTCAAAAATCCTTCTCATCGACAGACACCAACACCTCAGGAGCCAGCGCCAAGGAGAACTTGACACCGACAATGCACCAAGTCGGACGATCACCCTCGCCTTATTCATCCGTGTCGACGGAGACGCTCTACAATCAATGGGCAACGACATACGATCACGATGGCAATGTCATGCAAGCCATCGATGACACTCAGCTCCATGAGCTGCTGCCTGCGTTCGTCCAATTGGCTTCTCAGACATCAGCGGCATCAAATGATAGATCTCAGAGCCTGAAAATCCTGGATCTAGGATGTGGTACTGGCCGAAATACTGTCAAATTGCTGCAATCATCTTGGCACAGACCCGTAGACATCTCTGGCTGGGACGGTAGCCAGGCGATGCTCGAGGTCGCGCGCGCCAAATGCGAAGCCGCTGTCGCCAACAGGCAGAATGTCGGAATCGAACTCGAGCAGGTCGATATTTCTCGCCTCGAGAACGTGCCGGCCCGATTTGCCAACCATTTCGATGGCTTAATCTCAACTCTCGTCCTCGAGCACATCCCCATTGAAATCTTCTTTGGCATTCTTGCCAAAGTCCTCAAACCCGGCGCGTATGCTCTCGTCACCAACATGCACGAGAACATGGGGAAGCTGTCTCGGGCGGGATATAAGACGGCCTCGGGAGAGCGAGTCAAAGCCACATCATATATCTACTCAGTGCCAGAGACCTTGGAGGCGGCGGCGAGGGCTGGGCTTAGCGTGGTTGGGGATCCGAAGGAAGCGGCGGTCGATGAACAGATGATCGACGGTGGCACGGTCAGGGGAGTGAAGTTTGAGAAAGGCCAGGTTACGGAGAGGGCGAGGAAATGGGTCGGAACGACGATTTGGTATGGGCTGCTGTTGCAGAAGAAGTGAAGGGTTCGGGGTCAGCTACACATGTCTTAAAAGTACAATTCAACCACTCTATCTCGATGCGACACGAGATTGCCGTATTTGTGCAGCAGCTCCTTCAGTGGATTCTCCTTCCAGTCCATCAACGGCGTCTGAGCGGTTTCGTCCGAGTCCAAGACCAGGTGGGTATAAGCAAAGACACTTGCATCAAACAACCCAGGGCCAACGATTGATATATCATTATCCTTTTCCGCATTCGACGTTGAAAAGAACCATCGATCATCACCGAGTAGTGCAGACAACGCAGCAAATGCCTGATCGGCATCGCGCATAATATCCCCCTCCTCGATTTTGATTGCACTACTTGACCTTGCAGAGGCTTTGATGATCTCCGTCTCCGCAGCTGCGTGTAGTTGAGCAGCGATGGTCATTTGCACCACCGGGTTGGAGGAGCACGGCTCGGTGTAAAGGCGTTTCACCACCGATACATTGGCCGGGTTGAGGTAAAGTTGAAGAAGCTGCCGCAATTAGCTTTGTACTCTGCAATCCGTCATGAGCAACCTGCAAACGTACCCAGGCTTTGCGTATCCGGTGGTCAAGTAGTGAGGCGAATGCTTCATATCGGATGTCACTTGGTTCGTGTACTTCATTAGACGCCGATTGTTCTTTCGCCCATCTCTTGATCTTCTGTCCGGAGATGACTTCGAGCGACTGAGTGACATCATCTGACCGCGCAGATTTGCTTGGGAATGGAAGAAGGAATGGAAGAGCTCCGGAAGGACTGGCGTGGTTGTTCGAAGGCCTTGTATCGAAGGGAATTCCAGCGATTCTGAGATAGGTCTAATAGGATGGCTTGTTAGGAGAGGTTCCGCCGGAGAGGATGTCTATGCGTCCGTGCTACACACCTGCCATTTCAAACAAGACGGATTGAAACTCGCTCTGGCAAACCGAGCATCTTCCTCGGTGGTAAAGATGTAAAACACGTTCGACGCGCCCTTCCTTCGTGCCCTGATTGGCAGCGCGTTCTCGGCGTAGACGATCAGAGGAAACTGATCAAACACTCGTTTCAGCGGAGTCGGAATGGAGAACCAGCTCTTGGCTCCCTTCTTGTCCGTCGTCGCGACTGCATCTCCGCTGTGTGGCGGACTTTTGCGATGCGCAGTGGCCGTACTGGTCACCGGGTTGTGCCCGTCTTCACCTTCCAAAGGACGCACGGCGCTCTCAGGCCGCAGCCCTGCGTCGCGCGCATCCTCATCGACATTGACGACGCTATCGCCGGGCATTGCCATCCATCTCTCCCGATGCGTGAGGAAATAGGTTGGGTGAGCCTGATTGTACAGGACAACAAACGTTTTGCGGTGAGTGTGAGTCTGCTTGAGGAAAGTCGATTCCCCACACGCATCGCGGATTGGCTTACATAAGCCGTGGTCGGAGCACGACCAGGAGTCCTCTGAACCAAGCCGCTCTGGGTGCTCGCATCTTGATCAACGTCATGGATGCCTGTCCAAAGCACAAAAGCAGCGCTGGAGTGCAAACGCATTCTCGAATACTGTTTCGGTGGGAGGGATCAGTATGGTACCTGATTGCTTCTTCAGCAGACCTCGAGCAATTGGACGCACCTTGAGATCTCCCTTGCAGTCGCGTTCTTTTCGCCTCCGACAGCCAGGAATGGAAGGAGACAAGGCGCTGGTGGTGGGGAGGATGGGTGTGTAGATATACCGGCACGACCTCTTCCTCCAGTGCCTCCCACCGCGACCACATGGACAGAGCAGCGGAAGGGTCATAGCCCGACTTTGCTGCCAGTTGCACGCCGAAGTAATCGGCCTCCGTCTCCTGGGCCCGGGATCGCGGGAGAAGAAACATCACGTCGGTCGCCAGGCCGACGAGGTCTTGGTCGATTCCGCTGGCTAGAGAGAAGAGGTAATCGACGAAGATGATCGGCAAGACGCGAGACAACGTTTCCGACGTATGCTGCATCAGCCTGTGCATGATTTCGTGGCCAAGCACCACGGCAATCTCATCCTCCGACTCACAAAAGTTGAGCAGCCCCGTATGCACAAATACCTCGCCACCCGGCAGGACAAAGGCCTGTCGCACTGGATCGTTGATCACGTAGAGCTTCCACGTGTCTGCAGCCAGGCCTGGTGATGCCACGATGCGTTCAAAGATGCGTTGCACCAAGGAATGCTCGGTGCTCGTCGGTGGCAAGATAGTGTCGTTATATCGTTCCATCTCACGCTCGTAGTACTTCTTGCCGAGTTGCTGCGTCATTGACTCCCCCATGATGTTGAATCTCACACGTCCGGAGATCTGCGGACAGGCGTATCACGATTAGTCGCGCGCCTTTCGTGACACATATTCGGGAACACCTACGGGTGTTCGCTCGAGATTGTAGCAGTAGACCATCCCGACCAGCGTCCCGACGCCCGCGATGTGAGCATAGAACATCGGACTCCTCATCACCGTCCGCAGTGTGTTCCATGATCCGAAGAGGCGTTGATGGTTGACCGCCCGATACCAATACTCCCGCCGTTGAGCAACACGTGGTGGATTCAGCCTGAAGCACAGCGACTTCCTACAAAGCATTCCAAAGGCCTGCGACGTGATCAAACGCAGTCATCGAGTCAGGTAGAAGTGCTGCTTAGTACAAGTGCGAACAGTTGACCGATGTGTCGATCTCGGTTCGGCCGCGGTCGGCATCAGGCAGCCACGGGCTGTGCGAAACGATGGGTCCATCTCAAGCCGACGCAAAACAGAGCGAGAATGTACAACATGCCAATAAACTTGGTGTTATCAGACCTAGTGCTTTTCGAAATGGCGTACAAATCGGACGCATGAACTAACGTGTCGTCTAAATCTTCGACTTGCCCTTCTGTATGGATCTGAAGCCACTCTGCGTGCTACCTCCATCGAGCTCAAACACGTTGCCCGTCATATGTGCTGCACCCAACGAGCTGATGAACAGTACCAGACCTGCAAGATCCTCCGGCTTCCCAACTCTGCCGGACGGCTGTCCGGACACCAGCAAATCCCCGGCCTCCTCGAACCCGTACTGCGTCATTCGACTCGGGAAGACGCCAGGACAGATGACATTCACCGTGACATGGTCTGGCATGAGTTTGCTTGCTTGCATCTTGGTAAGATGGATACAGGCCGCTTTACTCGGGCCGTAGGAGAAGGTGCCGTGGCCTGGGGCGGCGAGGCCACCTTCGGCGCCCGAGGTGACGTCCGTGGTCTGGACGCCGGCCATTGAGGCAATGTTGATCACCCTGCTCGGATGGTCGGCTGTTGCACCCTTCTTGAGGAGGGCATCGAGGCCTGCAGTGACGTAGAAGATGGATTTCACGTTGAGGGAGTAGACCTTGTCCCAACCGCTCTCGGGAAAGTCGTCGTATGGAGCTCCCCTGGAGCCGCCGTCAGTTTCCATGTCGCAACGGCTTGTTGAATGACGGACAAGACGTACCATGTAGAGCCAGAATTGTTCAGGAGTACGGTCAAACGATCCGTCTTCTTCTTCACATCGGCGCATAGCTGCAGACATCCTGCCTTGTCCTTCAGATCGGCGACGATGTAATCACAAGATCCGGGACCGAGTTTGTTCAGACGACTCGACGTCTTCTCCAGCTCCGCCTTCTTGCGGCTGGCAATGATGACCTTGGCGCCATTCTGGACGAATCCTTGCGCAGCCATCTCGCCGAGGCCGGTTGAGCCGCCGGTGACCAAGACGACATGGTTCTTGTAGTTGAAGATGTTGCCAATCGACAGATCGGCGGAAGTAGATGCGTGGGCCATGACGGAAGATAGCTATTTCTGGTTACGGTGTGCAGAGAATGTAGTGCTGGTGATGGAGTCTTCGAATGGTAAGCAAGAAATACCGAGGCCTGTGGACATTGATGGAGGGCTGACGGATGACTAAGGCGATTCGGCGGGGTCAAGGCTGGCGAACGGCCCACCAATGGGAGTGCGAGTTCGCCGCGGGAGTGAAGGGACGGACTCGCACATTGAAGCCACGACAGCAACATCCATCAACCAACAAACCTCGCTCACAACCCTCTCCACCCCGGGCGATTGAACACCCTCGCCATCACTCCCATCTCACTGGTCACCATGGATCCTTTTGGAGCAGAAGGCGAGCTGGTGAACATCCACACCGCGTTTGTCCAAGGGCAATACGAATTGGTCCTCTCCGACTTTGAAGCCTCCTCCTTTTCCGACACCAATCGCCAGCCCGTGCAGATCCTCCAATATCGAGCACAATGCGCCCTCGGGCAATACGACGACGTCATCAAAAGTGTAGGAAATAGCAGCGTCCCCGATTTGCAGGCCGTCAAAGCCCTTGCTACGTTTCTCAAGAATGGATCGGACGGGGCGGTAGCGGATGCGGAGAAGCTGTCAGAGACACAAGGCGAGAATCTGACGGTGCAATTGCTGTGTGGGATTGTGTTGGCCCGCGCAGGCAAGGCGGATCAGGCGCTGGCCTTGCTCAGCCGTCATGAGGGCAGTCTGGACGCCGTGGCGTTGAGCGTGCAGATCCATCTCAGTCAGAATCGGACAGACCTGGCGTTGAAGGAGGCGAAGAGTGCGCGGAGTTTTGCACAGGATGCTCTGTTGGTGAACTTGGCGGAAAGCTGGGTTGGCATGAGACAGGTGAGATGGTGCAGCATTGCTGGAAATCACGCGTGGAACAATTGTTAACCCCAATTTGCAGGGCGGAGAAGACTACCAAAAGTCATTCTACGTCTTCGAGGAACTCGCGCAGGCGCCTTCATCCGCATCGGCCACTTCGCTCATCGCACAAGCCGTGTCAGAGCTGCACATGGGCCGACTCGAAGAAGCAGAGACGGCGCTCAACCAGGCTCTGGTCCTGGAACCAGACAACAGCGCGGCATTGGCGAACAAGGTGGTGCTGGATAGCATCAACGGCAAGGATGTGAGTGAGGTGCGGAGCAAGCTGCAAAGCGTCGACTCCCAGCACGAAATGCTCCTCGATTACGCGGCGAAGAAAGAAGCATTCCAGGCGGCATTGGAAAAGTACAGTCCCAAGTTCGAGGCATGAAAAGAGCCTTGCTATTATGATGCATATGTGGCGTTGGAAGATGGTTTCATTACTCAGTCGTGACATTGTCAAGCATGGGGATCCCTCCCGCTTAGAACCTCAGCTTAGGTCCGATAAACACCACGAGAAAACACGCAACCCACAAGCCAAAGATGAACGCATACAACTTCATCCTGCCCCACCACCCCTGTCCCTCACTCATCTTCCTCAACAGTCCCATCCGCTTCTCCGCCGCCTCCATGCCTTGCGCACTCTTATCCAGCCCGCCCTCGGCCCGCTTCAACACCTCCTTCTCCGCCTCCAGACTCGAGCTGAATTGAAGTGACGACTGTTTGAGTGCTCGCGCCAGCGACAATAGACCGCTGGTGAGATTCTCTTGCTCGGTGCGGTTGTGCGATAGCAGCGTTTCCGTTTGCGGCAGAGTTGCACTTGATTGTGACGGAGGTGCGCTTTTGGAAAAGAGCTGTTCTCGCGCAGTTGTGGATGCTGCGTCTCTGTTGTCACTGGATTGAAGTGGCTTTCGCGCGCGGAGATCGGGTGGTTGCAGTGGAGGATCCGGCGGTGCTTCTGGCTCAGGTGCACTCCCAAAGTCGCCCGTGTCTAAGCCATCCTTCGCGTCTATCCTGGCCGGTGCATAGGAAGGTTTTATGCCCTCCTCTTCATCCTCCTCACTATCATCGTCACCAAACTCTTCGTCGCCTAATTGATTCAGCTCCAGCAATCTGGCATTGAGTCTCTTGATCAACTCTCGCTTTTGCTGCAGATCCGCCTGCGCCTGCTGCCGTTGGGTCTGAACTCGTATGGTGGAGGATTGCTTTTCAAGCGTCAAGAGAAGCGTGCGCGCGTATTCAACATTGCTGGCGACTTTGTTGCGTTCGTATTGCGAGCCTCGTAATCGAGCAAGCTGGCTAGCATCGGAGGATTGAAGGAGGGTAGAATCTAATCGGGAGAGGAGGCGATTGAGTGTGACCGTGGAGGCGGGATCCATGTTGTGTAGAGACCTGCACTCTTGGAAATCGAGCGGAGTCTGGCTGTCTTCATGAAAGCTGGTGTTTCGACAAGTCGATGCTGGACGTACAGCACGTCCCCACATTTTTAGCCACGAGGGTCGGCTCGGACCGAGCGCCACGCCCGACACGACAGCCTGGTGCCGGGAGAGCTCGCTCGCTATCGACGACATTACACTCCTTGACTCCCTGCGGGCAAACTGAAAGAAGCATACGAGGCCGTCCGATGTCGTGTCTCCAGTCAGAAACGGCAAATGCCTGTTATCTTGGGCATATCGTGTATCTCAGCTGTACAGCACTCCCAAGAAGCCTCTGAAAGCCGCGTCTTCTTTTGATCTCCCTCCCCTCCTAAACTGCATCACGCATGTGCGCATTGAAAGCCAACCTCTCACGCAATCAAGTCTTCCATCTATTAGCGGAGCTTTGTGCGGCATTACCTGTAACGCCCATACTCTCCCTGGCAGCCATCTGGGCAATGTTACCGTTCGCAGATCGTTGCCGAGGCTGTCCCACATTCGCTCCTACACCAGTCGAAGCGCCGGCGAGAGCTCCATTCGAGGCCCTCGTACCACCTGCAGTGGCTGCCGCGCCAGCCGTAGTGATGGTACTGTGTCTTCGATTCGCATTTGCTGCAAGTTTGACAGGTGATCCTTGCATGGGATTCGTGGACGCCGAAGTCTGCGTACTGTTTCGAACTGCTGTCTGTGGAGTTCCCAAAACCCCTCTCGCTCGATCCTTGGCGGGAGTGATTGCGGCGGGCGCATTGAGCGAAGCGACGGTGCTTCTCTTGACGGGCGACGGGATTGTGGACCCATTGCCCGCCGGAACAGCCGCAGTACTCCGTAGCTTCGCCGCTCTGCGAGCCTCATCAGGTATGGCAGAGCGCTGGTTGAAAGGCGAATTCGTAATGAAGGGATGCGTAACGGCTTCCGAGGCCTTCAACCTCCGATCGGAATCCCAACGTAGACACCGCGTGATGAAGTCGATGAACGCCTCGTCCTCGGTCTTGATCGCTTGTTGCAAGGTCTTCGAACTCGGACGTCGTCGCCTTCCCTTGCTGGACACAGTCACCCTTGGCTTGCCAACCGAGTCGAAGAACAGCTTCTTGCGTGTACACTTCTCCACCAAATGTCGATCAGGTGGACCGAAAATCTCCATGATACACGCGAGTTGCTCTTGTTCGTTCTCGCCCGGGAAGATGGGATAGCCGGTCCAGAGCTCGGCGAGAATACACCCGAAGGACCACATGTCAATTCCCAGGCCGTAGCTGCTGCCGAGAATGACTTCCGGGGAGCGGTAGAACCGGGACTGGATGTAAGTATACACCTTCTCCTCTTCTCGACACGAGCTGCCAAAGTCAATCACACGCACGTCTGCTTTCCGAGCCTCAAAGAGTAGAATGTTCTCCGGCTTGAGGTCGCAGTGAATGATCCGTTTGGTTTGCAGCAATGTCAAGCAGGCCAACAGTTGCCGAGCGATGCGACGAATGACCGGCATGGAGAAGCCGGCAAAGTTGTGGGCGCGAATGAGCTCGTAAAGGTTAATTGACAAGCACGGCGTCACAATGCAAAGGTGGGAGCGGAAGTAGAACGAGCCCGTGATGCTCAGGGTTGCGTGAGCGCCATCGGGGTCCTGTGACCATTGTCAGCATGACGTGAAGACATGTGGTTAACACGCCAAAGGTCAAGAGTACTCACCCATTCCCTCAGCTTGCCCAGAATCCCCACCTCGACAAGCGCCTGCTGATGAAACCTCTTCTTGTTCCGGATGATCTTCACCGCCACAATGCCGCCTTCTTTATGGTCGACACAGCGGACGACCTGTCCGAACGAGCCTTTGCCGAGCACATCCACAACTTCGTAGCGATACGAGAGGTGATCGCCAATGACGATGTTGTAGTCTCCTCTCTCATCGTCATACCCGAAATTGGTGCCGCTGGTGTTGTTCTTGTCAGAGGCTGCCGACGCTGCCGACGGCTGCGGGGATCCAGCCAAAGATCCAATGATTTTTCGCGCAGACTTGGAGCCCGTGAAGTAGATGCCGTCTAGTTCGTAGTCGACGATCTCGCCTCTCTCGAAGACGTTGAGCGCACTGCCGCCAGTTAGGCTACGATCATGCAGCACGTGTTCCGCCGTGTTCGGGCTTCTCGCGATTGCTCGCTTTTTCAACTCTTCAGTTTCTCGTGCAGCAGAGTCGACATCCTTGCGCTTGCGGGAAAGTCGGGCCATTTCATCGTCAGCGGCGAGATCGTCCTTGTCTTTGTTGGTTGCGGAGACTGTAGATGGCGTGAGACGGTGTTTCGAGGCCGAGGCTGCCTTCGGCGTGCTCGAGCGGAAGGCTGAACCCAATGCGCCCCAGCTACTAGCCCTAGTAGTGGTTGGAGCGTGGACCGGGGTAGGCTGCTCTCCATGCAGGCTTCTCGTCTTCGAACCCGTCCCAGTAGCGCTGTCCAAATCGATGCCAGAGATGAGGCTTGTGGTCGACGCTGACGTCGGAACCTGAGATTTCCTCCTCACCACACCCTCAAAGCTAGGCCTGGCACTACTGGCGAGAGACGGTACGTCCCCAGTGAAGGCGCTGGTGGCGCTCGCTGGTAGTTTGGGTGGCGGCATCACATCAGAGGGCCTCTTCTTCTGCAGCACGCTTCTCTCCCTCTCCCGCTCCGCCGACTGCCGCTCCTTCTGTGGCGAGCTCTTGTTGTCGGCATGGTTGGCCGACTTGCTACTGCTCCTGCGCCAGCCCATCGACAGTTTTCTCCTGAGACCTTGGTCCTTCTTCTCGCTTTCCTTTCCATCGGGCCGAGCGGTTGTTTCGGCGATCGGGCTGTCGGAACTGACCGGAGTCTCAGCACTCAGTGAGCTCTTCAAACTGGTCACTGTCGCGCCTCGTTGCGGTCTCACTCGCAGCGCCTGAGCCGTGGACTGCTGACCGTCGGAGTCCTCTCCAATGCACTCTCCGCTCGGCCGCCCTTTCAATCGAACAAATTCCCCACTGCCTTGGGGCAGAGATCCCGACGAGAATGGTGTGATGGCGTTTCGCGTCCTGCCACCATTTCCGTTTATAGGAACCCCGGTATTCTCAGCATCACTATCGTCCCAGTACTTTGCCAACATGTTACCGTCTGTGTCCATACCCAGGACGTCTCTGCTCAGAACGCCCCTGAGAGCGTAATGGCTTGAAGTGCTTCGAAGAGCCTTGTCCGCATCTTCCTGACGTCTGAAGAATGTAGCCTTGGACGCAGTCATGGGTGTGCCAGGAGTTTTTGCCGTCCGCTTGGGTTCGGGCGTAGAGAAATTTGCAAAGTCGTCACGACGATCGGCTTCTTGGCTGGGTCGTGGCATGCCTGGAAGTCCATCGCTGAAAGAAGCCATGGTGGAGATGGGCATGAGATTCAAGGGCGGCAGACGAAGAGGCTGCAAATTAGCATTCTTCCGACCGTTTGAATCCGGTTGCTGCCGCATCGGCTTTGGGGCGGCCGATGAAGGCGCGGTAGCAGTGTTGCCGCCACTGTTTCCGTGATTGGCCCTGTTGAACTCCCTGGAACGCTTCTGAAGCGGCTCTGACGGCATGTCTGAGCTCGACACTGGCGTTCGAATGGTCCAGGGAGAAGGTCCAGACGTTGTGGCGAGCTGTGGATCAAAAAAAGAGGAATCTGATGTCCGGTACTGGGATGGATTGAAAGATGTGAAGAATGGCGGCTCCACTTCCAAGTCCTTGGGGCTCTCGTAGGCCTTTGGAATAGCCGGGACCGGGGGGACGAGCTCTTCTCCGCCGCTGAAGCCGCTGTACGCATCCTGTCCATCGCTATATTGGTCTCGGTGGTGACCCATGGCAGATCCCGATGGAGCACCCGACTTCATCTTGAGGATCGGCAACTTCGACGAGGATCCGCTCTGGGCGGCGTTGAGCAATGACGAAAAGCTAGATTTCGAGCTCAAACTCACTCCGCCCGCTCGCGCTTCTGGGGACGCCCGAGTGGACGAAGTTCTGCGATCGCTTGTCCTTCGTGGAATCAGGCTTGGGCTGGGTTGCGTTAGTCTTGGTAGCTCGGGTAGGCGAGCATCTGTCGCAAGTGGTACAGGCATGTCTTCTGGGGGGTTCGGAGTTGGCCTGCGCCGCTGTGCCGAGGATGGCATAGGTGGAGGATTCATCATGCTCATTCTTTTCAATCTCCGTGCATCTGTTGGGCTGATGGTACGAGCTCCTAGTCCGGAGGGAGCGCGGTTCTGTGTCGTAGACTGACGTTTATTGGCGGAGGAGGAGGGAGTGTTTGATCGGTTCTGGTGGGAGTTTGAAGACGACTTCACGCCCGAGGGTGTGCTGGCCAAGTCGAGTTGTTCCGGAGGTGGCGGCTGTAGGCTTCTACCCTTCGTCTGCCGTGACTGTGTGGCGGCTGTAGATAAGGAGGTTACACGCGGAAGATCAGTAGTAGTGGTAGAAGCGACGGGCTGGTTCGGTGCTCTCCTGTTACCGCGAGTCAAACTCGCGTTACGCGACAATGTCGGCTTCGGGTGGGTGTCGGCTGTCAACGATGCGGTGGTCATCGATGGAGGAGGCGCTGGATGGATTCCGCCGCTCTTGGACACGCCTGCGGTGGTTCCCGGGCCCATACTCTTCCTGGGTTGTCTGTAAGACGGCAATGCTGGAAGAGGCCCTTGCGGACCCGGAGACCGCGAGACCGAAGTCTGTCGGCGAAGCTTCAACGACTCATCCCTCGGCTGAGAAGAGGCCATGCCCGGTCTCTGCTGCGGTGCTGGGGGTTGTCTGCCACTAGCCAAGCGCTGTCTCAAACTTGACGTGCGGCTTATCTCACCCCTCGGTGGTTGTTCTGGCCGGGCCTCCGACCTGGCAGCAAGCCCGCCACGGGCTGTCCTTTCATGGGTATCGGCTTTCGTTCTCTCTGCCGCCCAGACATTGAGATCTCCCAGTAACGGAGGTCCATTGGCGGCGTAATTCTTGATATTCGTGGTCTTGATACCAGTCTGCAGGTCGTCGAAGTTGAGGTCGGGCAGGAAAGCGCCACCGTCGTCGGTGGATGGGGTGGTGGTGGAGGTGGAGGAATAGTCGAGCGAGTCTTTGGCAGTAGCGGGGTTGGCGAAGCCGAGGTGAGGGAGGGCAGGTGCAGTGCGTGCATCGTAGTAGATGGAGTCGGAAGTGGATGAGGTCAATGGAGGGCGAGAGGTATTGGTATTGGTCGAGTCACCAACGGACGCCGTTACCGAATTAGCACTCACTTTCCTCTGCTTGCCAGGACTGGGGAAGTCTCGAGGACCGCTCGGGACGCGGACGTTCTCGCGTTGGAAAGTACTTCGTCTCCTCTGCTCCGAGTTCACCGGGAGGCGATGCTCCATGGTCTGGGGGCCTCGGGCGGCAGAGGCGGGCATTGAGGGTTTGCGAAAGGAAGGGCCATCTGGGGGAGAAGGGGGAGCAGGATCGGTGGCGGTGCGGAGAGGATTGCGTCGGGCCGGGCTGGAGTCGGCTAGGTGGGCAGGTGTTAGTCGTCCTTGTGCATGATGCAGAAGGGAGTTGGAGGGAGAGATACCGGCATCAGCACTGGCGGCGCCGACGCCAATGAAGTTGCCATCCCGATCGAACAAGGAGCCCGCGCGTGCACGAGCCTGAAATCGAGTTGCGACATCCATGATGCTCTCCCTTCCCCCAGCGCAGTCGAGTGGCTTCTGTTGGGAGGAAGGGCAGGGGCGAGGTAATGGTGACGGTGGTGATGAAGGTGGTGAAAGTCCGTCAGCTTGACGTTGCTTCCTCCGTGGCTACCGGCGCATTGTCAATCTCCTCTTCCACAACACAGCCCTAACGTCACCTCTTGCAATGTCCTCTACCGCGTTGGTAGCACAGGTCACCGGAGCCAGAATGGCGACATGTTGGAGGGGAGAAGGTGGAGAGCGGAGGGGGCAGCAACGTGGAGAAGGATAGATAGAGTCGAGGCACAACAGTGGAGCCGTGGCGGACGGTGCGTGGTGAAACAGCAGGGTCCAGGAGGATGGGGAGAGCAGCGCAGGGCGATCACAGGTCGAAAGCGGCAGTGAAGTGAGGCCAGCGGCGGCCGAAACGGGGTTGGCTGTTCGAGAACAGCAAGACCGGCAGGGGAAGAGCAGTCCGGCGAGATTAGGCTCGGGCCAAGTGCCGACGGGGCGTGGAGGATGATGAGAGCTCTCTGACGATGGATCGACAGGTGTTGATATGACGGAGGTGAGCCCTGTCTCTGTGTGTGCTTGTCTCTGTAGCAAGAGTAGAGTCAAGGCTGGACAGGCTGCGTCAATGTCCCTGTTGATGAACGTCTTCACCGCAACAACCAGCCCGTTCATCTCGCCAACAACCGAGAGCTGCCACTGCCAATCCAGCCGGCGCCACTCCCGTCCTCCCGCCTTCCCGCAGCACCTCTAATCCGTTAAGCTTTCTGCACCTCCCGCCTCCACGCATGCACACTGCAATACCGATACCGACCTACAGCACCATCGCCTCCACGGCCTGACACATCTCCCCACCATGCCCCGCGACCCGCTCATCGGGCTCGTGGGTAAGCCGTCGTCGGGCAAATCCACCACCCTCAACAGCCTGACCGACTCGTCGTCCAAAGTGGGTGCGCCGTCCTGTTCAAAGCCCATCTAGCCCTCCCCACTGACCCGGTTCGCCGCGCAGGCAACTTCCCTTTCACCACCATAGACCCCAATCGAGCCATCGGCTATCTTCAGATCCCATGCGCTTGTTCGCGCACCTCCCTACCTGGCAATGCCGGTGCACCTCCGCCGCTGCAGTCCCGATGTAAACCCAACTACGGCGCCTGCCAGCAGGGCACGAGAAGCGTACCCATCGAACTCCTCGATGTCGCCGGCCTGGTCCCCGGTGCTCATCAAGGCCGGGGCTTGGGAAACAAGTTCCTCGACGATCTCCGGTCCGCCGACGCCTTGATTCACGTCGTCGATGTTAGCGGCACCACCGACGCCGAGGGCAAGGCGACCAGAGGTTATGACCCCAGCCAAGACATCGCATGGCTCCAGAATGAGATTGTACGCTGGATCCACGGTAACCTGACACGCGAAGGCAAGTGGGCGAGCATCAAGCGCCGCCACATCGCCGTCAAAGCCTCGTCTGTCGAAACGCTGCAAGGCCAATTCTCCGGCTACGGTGCAAACAGTGCCATCATCTCTCGCACTCTCGACCACGCCCACGTCAAGCATCCCTTGCAGGACTGGGACGACCCAACGGTGGAAAGGGTGGTGGAGAGCTTCGTCGAGACCAAGTTCCCCACCGTCCTAGCCTTGAACAAGATCGACCACCCCGATGCGGATAAAAACATCGCCAAGATCGCCAAACAACACCCTCCCGAACGGCTGGTCTTGTGCTCTGCAATATCAGAAGTCTTCCTACGCCGGCTTGTCAAGCAGAACTATGTGCGGTACATCCCCGGCTCTGAATTCGTCGACACGCACGAGGATCTTCTCGAGATCAGCGAAGAGGAAGCGGGTGGATTGAAAGAGCTCGACGAGAAACTCAAAACACGCATCGAGAATCTCAAAGACATGGTCCTGTATCGCTTTGGCAGCACCGGGGTCAACCAAGTGTTGACTCGCGCTTCGGAGGTGCTGGGGCTGGTACCCGTGTTCCCCGTCAAAAACATCAGCACCTTCGGCTCGGGTGAGCCAGGCGCGGCAGGTGGCGACCGAGCAGCGGTCTTCCGGGATTGCTTGTTGGTGAAAAAGGGAAGCACAGTGGGCGATGTGTACAGAAAAATTATGGGCGATGCGCCGCTCGCTTTCACCGAGACGGTAGGCGGGGTGAGAGTGGGCGAGGAGGATGAGATTCAGGCGGGAAAGAACGATATCCTGACATTTCGGGTTGGGAGGGCATGACATGCAAATCTCGACGACCACCCCTTAATTAGTCTCCAACCCCAAGCCTCTGGCGCACTTTCTCGCCAACACCATCTTCAAAAAGCACTCCCTCCCCAAAGCCCTCATCTGCCTCACAAAATCGTTACCACCCACCCTTCCCCGATCCACCGCCTTCTGCAGCACATACATTGCCTCCCTGCACGCCGCCTCCTCGGCACACAGCGTCCAAAGCTGATTCGCCACCATGGTCGGAGCGATCAGCACTTCGTCAATCGGCGGCGGCGGCTTCGACTTCGCATTGCTAATCGTGCGATCGCAGTCCTGAATGCTTCGGCGGAGAATGGCTTCGTTGGAAGCGAGGACTTTGTCCAACTGGTCGACTTGCCGGATCTCCGCCTCGAGGCGCTCTTGTGCTGCGCGGAGGGCGTGTTGTTGGGCTTGCAGAGGCGCCATGGCGGAGAGGTTCTGGTGCACCTTTCGCTGTGCCTGTTGGACGAGGGTCTCGGAGAGCGCGTGCAAAAGGTGCTCTTTTTCCGGGTTCGGTGGAATGGGTGGGGCGGGCACGGCTGGGCCTGCATCAGGAGGCCTAGCTAGTGCAATGTCGAAGGGATCGGAGAGAAGATCTGGCGGTGGTTGCTTTTTGGCCTGGGGAGGTGGTTCTTGAGGCTGCGGGCCTTGAGGATATGTCTGCTGGGGCACGTATTGGGGCTGAGGTGGCGCTTGCTGATACGGTTGCTGAGGGGGGGCCTGAGCGTGGTACTGCATTCGAGGTGGTGGCTGCTGCTGTGGGAAAGCTTGTGGTACTTGATAGCCTTGTGCCAACGGCGGTAGTTGGGTGTGTTTTGTTACAGGCAGCTCAGAGTACCCATTTGTTGGCGACAGCGGCGATACAGGACTTCTGTCATAAGGCGGACGATGCTGCTGCAATGGTCCTTGTTGTAGTCGTTGTGGATCCGGGAGCTGCGGCAAGGGCGGGCCTGGTGGCGCTCCACTCCCGTATGTCTGATACTGCTGAGGCGAAATTGGAGCTCGAGATTGTGGACTAGCTCGATATCCCTCTTGTCTCGGTGGAGCGTCTCGTTCATGCGGTAGGGGTGGTAAAGGAGGCCCATTCGGTCCTACGTCTCTCGATGAGCTGCGCTGCGGCCATTGCTGCTCATCCTGGCCTCCGGGCTTGGGAGGGCGTGGCGGAGGCACATCTCCACCGGCTGTGGGCTGCACTTCCACACTACCGATTCGTTGCTTCGGCGGTAATGAAGGTGGTGCCTGAGATGCACCAGGCTGCGGCGGCGGAGATGGGCGGCCTATAGTCCTCTGATACTGCTGTTGTTGGACTTTGCTGATGACCGGCGGCTCCTTGGCGAACACTTGTTGCAGGAATTCGAGGAACTCCGCCACGCTCGCCCGATCCCACATGTTTGCCCAGTCTCTTAAGTATGGATGGTATACTCTGCCGTCTACTCCGACGTGTTGACCCGCTCTGATCATCATGTCCGTTCCCGGCGTAACGTACACTGTGGGCGGCTGTTGTGGATAGAGCTTTGGGATCCATAGCTTCACGGGGAATCGATAGACGGTGCCACGAAATGAGACGGGTAGTGTGCCGGAAAGAGTGAGCAGGAGAGCAGATGCGCCCGTCTCGGAGGTGTACACTTCGGTTCGCGGGCTGAGGGAGGGATATGCGGCGAGGGTTCGAGCGGTATCGGTGTAGGTGCGCTGTACATCTTGATATTCCTGGAGGCCAAGTGTGAGTTGGATGCATGGCATGCGGCACGCCAGGGGGACGACACACATGCAATACTTTGTACAGCCACGCAAGCACTTGCTCGGGTACTTGCGCCATGGCGGGGGGCGTGGGAGACGCAGCGCATACTAAACAGCCGACGTCTGCAGTGTCAATCGCATCATTTCGGTGGCCGCATGGTCTCGTCAGTCGTTAGGGCGCAGGTGGAGCGTTGGGTGCAGCGGCACGTCTGCGAGCTTGTCCGCGGAGAGTGGAGGATTGACGAACGTGAGGTCAAGCATTGTGCCAAGCAAGCGGTTGCCTCCAACGCCAAAAAGTCCACGTCATTCAGCCTTGCAACAGCGAGGACAGACGCGAGGTAAGGTACATGACGGAATCAATTGATACACGCAAGGCAGTGATACGAAGGTCACTGAGGTTTATACACAACCAGTTCATAAAGCTTTTACATTGAAGAAGAGTAGCGCGCCCAGCCCGAATAAGCAACGACGCCCGCCCGCCCTCGAAGCACACCTAGTCATAAATGTCAGTCCGCCGTTCAATGCTGCGACCATTCAATCGTGTTCAGATCCACGCCCTCCTGTACCAGCTCCCACAGAGGACTCAGCTCTCGCAAGAATGACACGCGCTGCTGTACGGCTTTCAATACGTAGTCAATCTCCGCGTCGGTCGTGAACCGGCCGATTCCGAATCGGATGCTGCTATGTGCGCTCTCGTCGCTGTTGCCCAGTGCTCGCAGCACATACGACGGCTCGAGAGATGCAGATGTACATGCCGAGCCGGAGGAGAGGGCGATGTCCTTGAGCGCCATGAGAAGCGATTCGCCTTCCACGTATGCAAACGACACGTTGACGCAGCCGGGGTAGTGGTGAGATGGATCACCATTCAGCGACGTGTGCTCCATTCCCAAGAGACCGTCGGTGAGTTTTGTCGAAAGTGCTGCAATGCGTTTGCTATCGTACTGGACGGACAGTCAGCTCGTGCTCGCGGAAGTGAAAGATCGCCGCAAGTGAGAGGGAAGGGGCGCAATCATAAAATCTGCTGCGTTCAGCACGCCGAGTGCGTCGGTCAAGACGCCAGCTCAGAAAGCCATGCATGTGTAAAGCATATAATCATTCGAGGAAACACGAGACGAGCGAAGGGAAACACGTACCTCCATCTCCTCATTGCAGATTCGCGCCGCCTCGCCCATGCCGATGATGAGCGGCGGCGCTAGGGTGCCTGATCTCAAGCCACGCTCCTGGCCGCCACCCGAGATGATCGGGTCGATCCTGACCCTTGGCCGCCGTCGCACATAACAAGCTCCGATGCCGTTTGGCCCGTAGATTTTGTGTCCGGAAAGCGACATGAGGTCCACATGCATCTCATTCACATTGATGGGGATCTTGCCCACGGCCTGCGCTGCATCTGTGTGGAAGTAAATCTTCTTGCTGCGACAAAGCTTTCCAATCTCTTCAAGTGGCTGCACCACCCCAATCTCGTTGTTCACCGCCATGATGGACACGAGACACGTTTCCGGCCGCATGGCCTTCTCCAGCTCTTCCATGTTGATCAAGCCATTAGATTGCACGGGCAGGTAGGTGATGTCGAAGCCCTCGTCCTGTAAATGCCGACAGCTATCCAGCACGCATTTGTGCTCGGTCTGGCAGGTGATGATGTGGTTCTTCTTGCCGCCCTTCTTGAAGAAACGCGCAACGCCTTTGATGACCATGTTGTTGCTCTCGGTGGCGCCGCTCGTCCAGATGATCTCCTTGGGATCTGCACCGATGAGGTCGGCGACGTGCTTCCTCGCCTGCTCCACCGCCGAGTCCGTCTCCCATCCGTAGGCGTGTGTGCGAGAGTGGGGGTTGCCATACAGGCCGGTGAAGAAGGGAAGCATGGCGTCGAGTACTCGTGGATCGGTGGGGGTGGTGGCTTGCATGTCGAGGTAGATGGGCCGCGTGCCTTCATCCATGACGGTGGCCTGTTTCAGAATGGCGGCCGACGGACTCATCGCCGCCTCGCCACCCATCCCAGAGGCGGGCAGCTGTGTTTGGCCGGAAGCCAGGCCAGTTTGCTGGATGAACGACTTCTGCTCCTGTTGCATAGTCTTCTCCACGGTGACCGTTGCTTGCTTGGGGCTGCTCTCCGAGACGTAATTCCGCCGAGTGGGAGCGAGAATGCATGCTCGAGGGAAATGGGTGGCGGCGGGAGATGAAGCGGTCGCGACGCGGCGACTGCATTGGCGCAGTGCCTGTCGCGCTGCCTTGGGTGCTGTGTGAGACATGGTCGCTGATGTGGTGATGATAGAGGCTGGAAAGAATCGTGCTCGAGCCAGAGTTTGTTCGTGAGATTAGATTGATATCGGTGACGGCTGGGAGGGACGGGATGACTGATTTCTTAGTCAGCCGGTTCCCGTCGATTCCGCGCCGCTGGTGAAGACTGGACGGCGCGGATGACGTACGCGGGCGGGCCGAACGGTGGTGTTGGCAGCAAGGTGAACGTGTGGAAGACTGCAAGGCAGCGAGGTTTCCCCTTCCCCCCACGCACGAGCCTGCATCGGACTCCCTAAGCACAACGAATCTGCACTCATCACACTCACCGACTCCACGCACGCGCTACGAGGCCAGAACGCGCCGCGTTCCGGATTCAAGACCACGCGTGCGGAAATTCACGCACTTCATCCCTGCCCTACCGGCACACGAGTGTCACAGTCCGAGTCGCGTTGCCTGGACTAGGGAGTGCGTGTTGTGGCCCGGCTCTCCGATCCACGACGTGGTGAACCACGAAGAGCGGGCCAGACATGAGTTGGAAGGGCTTTTCGAAAGGCGTGCACCGTGTGAGTATCAGCCCAGCCGCGCCCGACATCGTGGGCCAAGACTCACGCCGGAACCGCAGGCACCGCAACAATTCAAGCAGAAGTTCAATCTCGGTGAAATCACCAAAGATGCCGTCTTCATGGACGCCGAGCGCCGCTTCGCCGAGCTCGAAACCGAGACCAAGAAGCTGCACGACGAAAGTTCGCGGTACTTCAAGTCCATCAACGACATGCTAGACCATCAGATTGAATTCGCCAAGGCGGTGGAAGAGATATACAAGCCCATTTCCGGCCGAGCGAGCGATCCCAACTCCTTCGTCGACGACGTCGGGAATCCAGAGGGCATTCGCGCATGCGAAGAGTACCAGACGCTCGTGCAAGAGTTGAAGGAGAGTTTGGCGCCCGAGCTGGAGCTCATCCAAACCCGCATCGTCGCCCCGGCCGATGAACTCATGGCGATCCTGAAAGTTGCGCGCAAATGGACCGTCAAAAGAGACCACAAGCAACTGGACTACGACAAGGAGAGGAACAAGTTGAAGAAGCTCCAGGACAAGTCGGATCGCTCGGCAAAGGACGAGAGCGCTCTCTACAAGACCGAGAACGCCTACGAAGACGCCACGCAGCAATACGAAGATCTCAACAACCTCCTCAAGCTGGAACTGCCGCAACTGTTCGAATACGAGCGCGAGTTCATCCAGCCGCTATTCCAATCCTTCTACTACATGCAGCTCAACGTCTTCTACACCTTGCACGAGAAGATGCAGGCCATCGACATTGGCTACTTCGACTTCACGCGTGACATCGAGGACGCCTTCCAGGAGAAGCGGGGGGACGTTCAGGCGCAGGTGGAAGCAATTCCCGTGGTCAAATTCAAGACGACCGGGCAGCGGCGACCGCCCAGTAAATTCCAGAGCAAACTCGCGCTGGAAAATGGGCGGACAAGCTCTCCCACCGGCTCCGTCCCTTCGACCCGGCGATTAACGGTCGGCTCTCACGACACTCCCCCTCCGTATTCCCCGAACGGCGACCTCGGCCGATCGGCCAGCACAGGCAGTAGCATGGTGGCAGCGGCGAAGGCCAAGCCTCCCCCTCCCAAACCGAAACCGAGTAGACTTTCTGGCGCCCCGGCTGCGGAGACGGTGACGGCGATCTGGCCGTACGAAGCGCAGGCCGAAGGCGACCTGACCTTCAACACGGGAGACGTCATTGAGATTGTGCAGAGGACGGAGAACGTCAACGAGTGGTGGGTTGGACGGATTGGAACGAGGCAAGGGCAGTTTCCCGGTGAGTCGTACCGCTTCGTCCCGTCCACTACAACCGCTAATATATGGGGGTAGGAAACTATGTCGAGCTGAACTCGTAGCGTGGGTTTCGGCACACGGATTGATGGGACTGAGACACCCCGTATCTGCTTATAATGCTGCTCGGTGCGCGTGGCAGCGGGCGAGTTTTGCAAAGCGATTGGCGTCTAGAGGCTGGATACGGTGGGAGAGGGGTCGAGTAGACGGTCTCTGGCGTAATTTCATAGCGAGCGCATCCCAGCAACGTAATTGACACATCGAATCGACGAATTCGTGTGCGCATCTCAGTCTTGGACATGCGACCGCGAAGCACTTGTCAAAAGATCTGCCAGGTCCGCTTCCGCGTCATTTTACCCGTCTCGGGAAGGAAGGTGGGGTTCTCCAAAGTGAATTTGAAATCCAACCACAGTGGCAAACTTCCCTTCGACCTTTGTTCATTTACTCTCCATTCATTAACTAGTGACGACGACAAGATGGTCTACGAATCAGAGATCCAGTTTACCCTGTAAGCGGTGCCCGTTGAATCGGCATGAAACTGCTGCAGCATTGACCTTGAGCCCAGAGACACAATATGCCCATGGACCTACCTGGCCAAACGCCGGCTCTCCAAGGCATTGTCTCAACTCCCAGCAGACTGTCCCGTCAAATTCACCACAGTCTACAAGCCTTACCAGCTGTTCCCTGAGGCCTCGCAAGATGGCCAGGATAAATACGAATGGTACAAGACGTTCCGCTACAACAACAGCGACGACCTGATGCAGAAGTACACCAAGGTCATGTCGTCGTACGGCGAGCCCGAGGACATCAAGTTCAAATTCGGCGGCTCCGTGGCCAACACCACGCACGCGCACCGACTGATTCAGCACTACCAAGAAACCAAGGGGCCGGAGACGGCAGACCGGATTGTGGACAGCTTGTACCGGCAGTACTTCGAGGAGGAGCGACATCCATCTTCCGACGACACTTTGCTACGGGCGGCGACGGAGGCGGGAGTCGACGAGGGCGAAGCGAAGAAGTTCATCGAGGACAAGGATGAAGGGCTGATGGAGGTGAAGATGGCCGTTCGTCAGCAGGCGGGCAATCAGGTTGACGCCGTGCCTTACATCGTCATTGAAGGCAAGCGGCGGGACATGCAGCTCGAGGGAGCGAAGGAAGTGCAGGAGTATGTGTCGACGTTGAACAAGGTCATCAAGGAGAGCGCATAGCTTGTTATTTACGTGTAATCTGACATTAGCGCGTAACGGTCATCGTTCTTCATTGAGAGCGCGTCCCCCATCTTGGACGTTGCGATGGCGATGCAAGCATCCTCACAACTTCGAAAAGTCGCCCGACCTGCCAGCTCCACCAGAGAACCTCCCAGCACCGGCGACTCCCTCGCGTCTCAAACAATCCAGCCCTCCAACGAACTCAAACTTCAATGCCTCCTCCAGGCTCCGCGCGTTGTACGTGGCGTTGTAGCAACTGTCCCGATCAGCCTTCATGCACTCGTACGGAAACTTCAGCAGCTGCTGGGCAATCTCGAGCGCAGCATGTACCGCCTTGCCCTTCGGGACTACTCGGTTGGCAAGCCCCATGGCAAGAGCCTCTTGTGCCCCAATCGGGCGCCCGGTCAGGATCATGTCCAGCGCCCTTCCCAGCCCGACGATCGCTCGCAGTCTGACGGTCTGGCAACCCGTTAATTCTCCTTTTCCTCAAACGACAGAGGGGAAGCACTGACTCCTCCATCTAGTAGTGGCACGCCCCATCGGCGACAGAAGATGCCGAAATGCGCATCCTCTTCCACCACTCGTATGTCGCCGATCAAGCTCAGCTCCGTGCCTCCCGCAACAGCCCAGCCTGCCACGGCGGAGATGACGGGCTTCTTGATCTGCAAACGACTAGGTCCCTAGCGAGCCTTGAGTGCTGCGAGCATGCAAACCAGCTGGAGAGTCAACATACCATTGGCCCGGGCGTCCTCGAAGCATCGTTCGGGTCAGTGTTGGGAATGGGCGCGGACAGGGTGGGAGACTCCGAGACCGTGTGCAAGTCGTAGCCGGCGCAGAAGGTTCCATTCTGGCCATGAAAGATCGCGACCCTGGCCGCCGGGTCGTTTTCAAAGTCGATGAAGGCCTGGTAGAGCTTGAGAGCAGTGGCGGTGTTGACTGCATTGTGGCGATGCGCGCGGTTGATGGCGATGACCGTGATTCCGGGGACCGGATGCGAGACCTGCACGGCTTCTGGCTCGGGATCGCGGGCTGCCATTGTAGATATGTATTGAAGAAGCTCCGGTCGAATAGAGTACAACGGGTGGATCTGTGGTGGTTGGGTAAGAGGGACAGAGCTCCATCCCACATCAGCCTCGGTTGGTGAAGCTCAGGTAATTGACATTCAGCCTTGCCCCTCACGTCCATTCCATCGGGCCCAGATGGGGTATGATACCGTGCATAATCAGGCGGATGCTCGAAGGAGCACGATTAAAGACTACAGGAGGTGCCTGAAATACACATTACAACTTGACAACAGCCATACATCGTCAGCGTACATCCAACAACGTCACAAAGAGATCGCGGTAGTCCATCAACCCATCGATTGACTGTTCCGTTCATGCGTCCTTCGATCGACGGAAAGCTTGTCAAGCACTTCTCGAATGCCGTCGCCCCGACCCCTGCCATTATCGACCTCGTCGACAAGCTGGACAGCCTTCCGATTCAGGCCCCTGATGACCCGGCGCGTGTATGAAAAGCTGCCCGTCTTCTCCATATAGTTGACCGCGAATCGCTTGACATCATCATCTTGCGTCTTTTGCTTCAGGATGTTGAGGAGCACCAGGTTGCTGGGGTCGGAGCGAATGGCGTGGATGATGGGAAAGGAGAATTTGCCCTCGGTCAGGTCTTCGCACAGTCCTTTATTGGCGGTGTAGACCGTGTCGGACAGATTTTTGTAGTCGTCGAGGATTTGGAACAAAAGGCCGATGGTATTGACGAGCGGGATGTAATCGACCTGATCGCTTTCCGCCGCTCGCTGGCCACTGGAGGCGAAGTTGTAGGACGGCGATTCGGCGCACATCAGCTTGATGGCGAGACGGAACAAGCCGCCGGTTTTGTTGCCCACCATCTCAAGGTAATCGTCTTCGCTCGGGCATGTCAACGTGTCACGCCAAAACAGATCCATCCCTTGCCCTCGATGCAGGTTGAGGAGCTCCTCGGTGTAGATGCGCACGGCTTCGGGGTTGTTGAGTTTCAGCAGATCCTGCAAAGCGCAAAAGTAGACGTAGTTGGCGCTGTTGATGGTCTGCGCAGTCCCAAAGATGCTATGAGCCACTGGAATTCCCCGGCGCAGTAAAGACGAGTCTTCGACATCGTCGATGAGGAGGGAAGACGTATGTAGCATCGCTACCACGCCCGTGATGATGCGCAGGGACGAGGGCGGGACCTGAAGCCATGTGTTGAAGCCGGTGATGAGCAGTGAGCGGATGTCTTTGCCCGGATGCGATTCGAGGTAATTGTAGGGAGACCTGAGGATGTTTTCCTTCTCGCCACTCCAGCCCAAGGATCTCCCGGAGACGAGATCTGCGCCGACGCCGCTGTGGAGGGGATCAGACTGCAGGGCCGGGGCGGCGAAGGCGTTGGAGACGGCTGGCAGAGCTGCGATGGTGTTGCGGTTGGGCGACCGACCTTGAGCCATCCATTCTCTTTCATCGATCTCGGGATAGCGTTTGCGGTGCTCTTCCGGCACCGACGCCATACTCCTGTGCTTACGCGGCGTCTTTGTGGGACTGGAGGTCTTGTCGCCGTTTCCGATGGAGTTGCTTCTTGAGCTCGTGCGGATGGGGACGGTGGCGGGGTTGACGAGGGAGTTGATGATGTGGGTTGTAGTGTCGCCCGTGTCTGTGTCATCGGGGAGCAGGACCTTGTAGCGACTGTTCGAGTCGGGAGAGTATCTGGGCGCGGAGGAGCTGCTCGCCTCAGCGGCTGGCTCGTCCACGCCGTTCAACACCAGTCGGCCCGAACTCATGGACTGCTGGAGTCTGGAGGAGTTAAGTCATGTAACAGGAGTATGGATGCGGGAGTGGTGGGGTGGAGGAATCAGGACAGGGTGCGAGGGGAGTGCGAGTGGATGGTGATACATCTCAGACATGGCGAAGCTGATGCCCAGGTGTGACCTGTGTTGGAAGTCTAACCAGAAAAAGAGGCGCCACTTACTCTGGATCAAGGAAGAGGTTGGGCGATGTAGCTGGCTCACCAGAGGGTGCCACAGCCTGCTCTTTGGCGTAGACCGGCTATCCATAGAGCGGAGGGGGTTGACGGTGGCAGTGGTTGGTTGACGGCGTGAGGCAGCTGCAGCAGCATCATCGCAACTTGAATGCTTTGCCTGACTCGCGCACTTCCCCGTGGCTTACCTAAGCCGTGCATCCGTCGCCAAGCAAAGCTTAAGGCTGCAAGAGCTTCCGGCTTTTTTCATCCGCAATGCCTCGCACATAACACCTCTTCCACCCGTACACTCCCCACGCTCCGTACCAACTCATCGCCATGGCCAAAGACAGGAGCGACGCAGACAAGAAAGAGCGCAAGGAGAAGAAGGACAAGAAGCGTAAGCTGGACGAGGCAGACGAGGTGGAGGTGGTCGCGGAGAAGAAAAAGAAGGACAAGAAGCGAAAGTCCGGCGATGGTGATGTGGTGATGGGTGCCGCCTCCGATGCTGCAGTAGCTGTCGTCAAGGAACAAGACGATGAGGACGAGGATAAGAAGCCAGTGGCCGTAAAGATGGCCGTCCCTCTTGCCGCCATGGTTCCATTCGCGAATCCAATGTGCGACGACAAGACGCAGAAAAAGGTGCTGCGCAGTGTCAAGAAAGGTTTGTCATTCTTTGAACAAGACACGAACTGGAGAGATCTACGGAGACTAATGCGATCTGCACAGCGGCGAAACACAAGTCACTCAAACGCGGGGTGAAAGAAGTCGTCAAATGCATTCGAAAATCGCCCCTAGCCACCCCCTCCACTTCCGCGACCGCCCTCCCTAATGGCATTGTCGTACTCGCCGCCGACATCAGCCCCATGGATGTCATTTCACACATTCCCGTCTTGTGCGAGGACCACAACATTCCCTACGTCTACCTTCCGAGCAGAGCGGAGCTGGGTGCGGCCGGAGCCACGAAGAGACCCACGAGTGTGGTGATGCTGATGCCAAAGGGCAAAGATGTCAAGGGCGATGACGGAGCGGAGTCGAAGGAGGATTGGGATGACGTCTACCGAGAGCTCCACAAGACGGCTATGAAGCTGGGGCAATATGTTCGAGTTTAGATATGGATGGTCGTGGAAGGAGATCTGAATTATCGGTGCCGGTGAAGGACTTGATGTCGAATTCCAATCCATCACATTCTACCACAGCGGTGGATATTGCACTGACTGGAATGATTGCCACGCTGGCAGTCGGGAAATTGACTGTTCACCCTAGCCAGGGACGGCGTGAGCCGGGAACGAGCAGTCGGAAGTGCATCGAAAGAAATCGGGTATCATCACGTAACAACTGCATGCACTTAATCTTTCAATTAGCCCCCCCCCAGCTCATGTGCCTCCACATTCCTAGCTCGTAGTAGGCGCAGGCGCCTCTTTCGTCGGCGTGGGCTTCGCGCCCTTCTTCAACTCCTCTTCGATCGTCGCCTTCAAGCTTTCCGGCTTGCTGGTGCTGGCCCAGCGCTGCACCACTTTGCCATCCCTGCCGATCAAAAACTTTTCAAAATTCCACTTGATCCTCTGCATCCCCAGGAGACCTGGCTTGGCCTTCTTCATCCACTCCCACACAGGCTCGACGTTGCCTCCATTGACGTCCGTCTTGCCGAGCACTGGGAAGCTAACGCCGTAATTGACCTGGCAGAAGTTCTGCACATCGTCATTGCTGCCAGGTTCTTGCCCGCCGAACTGGTTGCAGGGGAAGCCGAGAATCTCGAAGTCGGGGTGCGTGGGCTTGAGTTCTGTGGATGTCAACTCGTGGATCCAAGCAGAGGCAAACCCAGGCCTTACCTTTGTAGAGCTTCTCCAGGCCGGCGTATTGAGGAGTGAAGCCACACTTGCTGGCTGTATTGACAACCAGCACGACTTTGCCCTGCAGGTCTTGCAGGGAGTATTCATTGCCTTTCTTATCTTTGGGCTTGAACTCCCAGAAAGTGTCTGGCTTGGCCGCCATCGTTGCGAGTGTCTGTGTCTGTGCGAACCTGTGGAAGGAATGCGGTTGATGTGGTCCGATAGACTGCGTAGCCGGTTGAATGTGTCGAGCAAGGGCGAGGAGACGACGGTGGTAAGACGGTGGCATATAAGGTGGCGGAGCGAAGACGCAATAATAAACTTGAAACGAACATGAGTCGTTTCCAAGAACGAGAGTGGCAAGTCCCTCGGCATCTTGAGCTTCCGTCCAGGCTTAGGTAAGCTTCGCCGCCGGTGCGTGCTTCAGTTGTTGCATGTGCCTGATGCCTGAGGACTCTTCTGCTTCACCTCCACCGCCGGTGGTCTCTCTGCATGGCACATGCTACGACCGCCAATATAGGTATACACCTGCCTTGCGTTCTTCAAAATTCCCTGGTGATTGTCTGAATTGCCGTCAACGTATGGAGAAAAGAACGCTACGATGCAACATACTATCACCACGCAATCCAACTCTCCACCTTGCTCAACTCTTCAGAAATTCAAACAATGTGTCAACTTTCATTCAGTGATACAGTACCGAACTGTCTCCTTGCCCGACGTGCATGTCACACAAGAGCCCGACATCTGCGGTCCGCACAATGGTCCTCATTCCGTGAACTCAGTACCGACACGCGGAGTTTGGAGGGTAGCCACCCTGGCGCGTTGGGGGTTTCAACGCGCGCGAAGACCTGGGCTTGGGACGTTGAGCCGGCTGGGCTGAATCCAACGGACTGTTAGGCCTCCTTTTGGATCCGCGGCTCTTCGACTGGATTGCCGCCTTCCCCAACGCCGTACCGGCCGGTGAGGGATTCGCGGTGTCTTCCTTGTGGTCATGCATGCGTTTCATGTGGTCAAAGAGGTTGTACCTCCTCGGAAAGCCGTTACCAGGCTGGCTCCGGTCGCAGCCGGCATAATAGCATTGGTGTGGACGTTCGCCGTGCCCGTACATCCCATGTGCTTCCCGTTCGTGGCGCAGGAGGCAGGCGGTAGAGGAGAACGCCTGAGTCTGACAGGCGTCCTTGTTACAGCGGAAGGGCTTCAGGTGCGAGTCGATATATTTACTAGGCACATGATCAGAGTCAGCGCACGATACGATCGGACCAAAGCCAAGGGGGGACGGAGCTTCGTACTCGTAATTGCACTTGAGTTTGGTGGACTTGTGCTGACAGCCCTCCATGTCTTTATATGGGCACCGGTAAAGTCCATCTCGGCCGGGCTGCACGCGATAGTGGAAATGCGTCCGGTGACGAGCTTCATCAACCTCGGCCGCTTGGTTGCTCTGGCCTCGCGGGTATGGTCCAACGATCGGTTGATCAACCATGCCATTCACGGGTCTCCGTACGCCTCGTCCCCGATTTGCCGACAGAGGCTCGACGGCATCCAGGCCGTGGCAAGAGTCTGCATTCAGGTTGGTGCGATTTTCAACAATTTCGAAGGGCTCCTGCTTGTAGGTTGAATGTGGCCAACGCTCCGCCACGGATGCTTCGCCGTCTCCCAAATGGATGCAAGCGTTGGCCCTCACAGCAGGTGCGGCCGAACCGGTACTACTGGCGCGTTGGGTAGGTTCCTTCTTCATCCTGCGGCAGTCACCAACATTGTTGCCATCTCTGGCCACGGAAGTCTGCAACGCGTAGGACCCGGGGCTGTGTGGGTTGAGCGGACGCTGCGATCCATAGGTCGGTTGACCAGAGCAATCAAGGGTATTGGGTCGCGGCTGTATGGGTCGCACTGCTGCAATATGCGCATGAGGTCCACCATTGCTGGGATGTGGAGCCTGGCCCATCCGCGCGTCATCCAAAGGGATCGGTTCCGTGTAGAATGTTGAGGCATGGCAAGAGCCAACCCTTGAACATAGTCCATTCGGACCTTGAACATAGTGGATCGCATAGTCCGGACTCACTTGGCCGGCAGGCTCAGCGTGGCAGAACGTCAATGCGGCTTGGTCATCCTGATCTGGAGAGGGCATGCCATAAAAGCCGACAGAAGGTAGTATCGCCTCAAACTCGGAGGGGACATGGCGAGTCGCGTCAATTTGGCTTGAATAGCTCAAATTCGGCGAACAAGCATAGCTCAAATCTGGAGAGACGCCTAGGTCTACAGATCCATCGAGGACATATGGCCATGCGCCGACACGCGGTACTTGAGGATCCAGCTCCGGGAACGGTATATCAAGGGGAAATCCATCATCCGGGGATGGGTACTGCAGCGTGCTGTGGTCCATTGCATGTCCAATCGTCCAATCGGCTGGCGACGACCTTGGACTCAATGTAGATCCGCTCATGTCAGGGGAATCCAATGAAGAAGAGTCAGAAACGCAATCCGAGGGTTCCGAAAACGACAATCCAATGGGCTGCTGTTGTTCCTGGAGGTCAAGGAGGTCGTAGCGGACCAAAGCCTCAGGCCAGCAATGATGGTAGGCGGCCTCGCTGAACGACAGGTGTGGTCAGTGTGTGCTCAAAAGCCATGTAAGGCAAATGCATAAAGCAGCAACGTAACAATGCAACAACGCAACGCTCTCTGCGTAGTATCAGTCGATAATGCTCTGTCCGCATGATAATTGAGCTGGTCGTACGAACCAAGAAAGTCCAGCTGGGAAAATTGATCGTAGTACAGCAGCCAGCCGATGCGCGATCCGATCATGGAAGACAGAAAGACAGGGGCTCGAACGGAGTTGCAGATGGCCTGAACAATCAGCCTGCTCTGCAGGAGTGTGTCTCGTTGCGGCGCATCAGGAGTTTTTTGGGATCCAAAACCTTGACGGACACAGCACAGCTTCCAATGGTTTGGTAAAGCCGCTGGAATTCGGCCCCCATAAAACAGACAGTCACCGGAAGGTTGTGCCCGGAGTGCAACAAAAGACAAAAGACGTATCTCTTCCAGAAGGTGCAGTAGGTCCAACAAAATCGTGTCCAACGGGCACATCTCATGCATGGGTCCATCCCGCGTGAGCTGGTATGCTCAATCATGCGATCCTCATGGGTGCAGCTCCCGTGCGAGATCCCTGATCCAAATGGTCCGAAACTCATCCAACTGGCTTGATCGTTGGACAACCAAACCAAAGGGCGAATCCAGATGGTGTTCTCGCCAGCAGACCGGACTATGTAGCATTTCTGCCCTGACATAGGCATGAACGTCGGCCACATCGTCGCGAATCTGAGGACTCGCGCTGCGGAGAGACAGGGGTCATCAAATGAGCCAGGCAGTGTCCGAATGATGGCCTGGCCTGAAAGCGGGAACACGCGAAAAGCAGACAAAGCATAGACTTCACACGATGTGCTCGAAACAGAAGCATGCGTTGAACGATATGCAGAAAAGTAGTACCTGGAGTCCACGTTGTCCTCACGGGTGTGAAAGGTCATCCTGGATCAATCCCGGCGGCACGCCACAGGCTTTCCAGGAAGCAGGTCCGAGCAGAAACACTTGCACAAAATCAAAACAACGAAAAGGCAGAATCCGCGACAAGGGTCGGTGGAGAGCACGGGACGGCCGGGATACGTTGACGTTGGCTTCCAATCGCTGTATATTGTAACAGAGCACAGGATCAGGAGAGAAAAGGGAGACAAGCAGAGGGTTGAGAGCTTCTTCGGCGGGGAAACGCGCCATGATATCTGTGATGCCATTGAGAAGAAAAGGGCGCAAAGCCGAGAAGGCTGCGAGCAAGCTTGCGCCGACACAGAACGGCGAGGTGGGGAAAGTGGCATCCAACCTGCCAGTCATATGAGACCAGCTGAGAGAATCTGCAAGATTGTTATTAGCGCGGTGATAGCAAAGATGAGCTGCAGCACCGCTCAGCTTGACCATCGCGCTATGTGCCGTCGCATCTTCCATTTCACCTCTGCCAGCTGCACAAAGAAGTGCTGACAAGGTCCTAGCTGCAGCTGCCACGTCAGGAAAGCCAGCCTCCGTCATGCACGTGGACGCAAAGAGGCGTGGGGGCAAGACCCCTGCAACAACCAGGTGGTCTCCGATGCATACGAGAGGTGCAGGAAGGAGAAGACTATTCGCTTGCTGAATGGTGTGGCTCTGCACGCGCTGTGCTGCTGGACCAATCGTGCCGTGCGCGGAGGCTTCTCCGTGGACACAGCGAAGGATCTCCCAGCAGCAGGGGCCGAAAGTTGGTACTGTGGTACAGTGAGCTGGCACGAATGATCGCGATGCGGTCCCGAGAGGAGTGGTGCACCCCCACGCAGGCAGCCACATAGCAGACGGGACCGACAGATGGCACTCCTGTAAGGTCTGGACCTTTGAGAGCCGTCGCCTGTTGGACACGACGCGGGAATGAGCAATAGGGTGCGGAAAGGTGAGGTGGGGTCAACATTTGGTGAGGCTAACCAAGGCCTCAGGCCCCCAAGGCCCCCCCGGCTCCCGCTGTCAACCGTCAACCGTCCCGTGGGGCCCGGTCCGCGAGCCCCGCAAAGGCCCGCGAGGCCCCTGACGCCCCATCCAGCGCCAGCAAGAGTGGGCCGGGCCGCCGAGCCGCCGGGCGCTGAGATTGAAAGTTGTCCGCACGGTATGCGCACGTTGATGAAGGCGGCTGCTGCAGGTGACTTGTCCACCCCCGATGCTCCCGCGATAACACGCCCTTGCCACTGCGGACCTACCGCCTCTCCTTGCCATGAACGGTTTCTCGGACAAGGGTCTCGACGAGTCCGACTTTGGCGGCGATGCAAAGTCGGCGCGCGGCGTCGTCCAGGCCTTCGATGCCTTTCCCAAGACCAAGCCGAGCTACACGGAGAAGACGTCGACCGGCGGCGTCTGGACGGTGGTGCTGATGTGTGCCAGCATCTGGCTCGTCGTCAGCGAGCTCGGCCGCTGGTGGGTCGGCAACACCACCCACTCCTTCTCCGTCGAACAAGGGGTTGGGCGAGACCTGCAGGTCAATCTCGACTTGGTCGTCAAGATGAAATGCGAGGACATCCACGTCAACCTGCAAGACGCCTCGGGTGATCGCATCATGGCCAGACAGGCATTGACCTCCGACCCTACCACCTGGCTTCAATGGGCCCCTGCCCCCGGGCGCAGAGCGCCGGCTCGAGAGTCCCGCACTGATGGCCGAGAATATTTGGAAGAGGATGTGCACGACTATCTCGGGGCCACTCCGGACAGCAAGAAGTTCAAGAAGACGCCGAAGCCGTGGAGGGGATACCCTATCGACAGTTGCCGGATCTACGGCACAATGCACACGAACAAGGTGCAGGGCGATTTCCACATTACCGCCAGAGGCCATGGGTATATGGAGTACGGACAGCATCTGGATCATAGTGGTAGGTGGCGTGGTGTATGTTCCCTGCAAATTTGATACTGACCCCGTCCGCAACTGCAGCCTTCAACTTCTCCCACTACATCAACGAACTCTCCTTCGGGCCATACTATCCGTCTCTTACCAATCCTCTCGATGACACATACACCACCACCTGGTTCAACTTCTTCAAATACCAGTACTACGTTTCCGTTGTCCCCACCATCTACACCACCGATGCACGCGCTTTGAAGCAAATAGACAAGTACCATGAGTCTCCTTCCTCAGGCTCAGACGGGCTCGGCCAATATCCGGGCCGCTTGAGCAAGAATACAGTCTTCACGAATCAATACGCCGTGACCGAGCAGCACTACCAGGTGCCCCAAAATCAAGTTCCCGGAGTGTTTGTCAAATTCGATATCGAACCCATCCTTCTCACAATCGCCGAGGAATGGGCATCGGTCCCTGCACTGTTCATCCGACTGGTGAATGTTGTCTCGGGAGTTCTGGTGGCTGGTGGCTGGTGCTTCCAGCTTAGTGAATGGGCCAAGGACCAGCGGCGACCTCGGAGGCAGGCGACGAGCGACGGCATTCTGTTTGGCAATGAGAAACAAGGTCTATAGAAGCTAAGGTGGACGTGTCCATTTGCAATCTGTATTGAGTACGTTATCCCTGCATCATTCTTTCTTGCCAATGCAATGAAGGCGAGCACACCTTTACGTCTTACAATGCATGTAGCAGCACCGGCCAATGAGAGCGCTACGCTGACGATTGCGAGCGTCTACATACCAGAGCGTCAAGCTTAACCACCGTCCATGAGGTATAGCTCGGCTGTTACAGCGAGAGCAACGCCCTCATTCGCCATGTTATACAACATTCGCCGCGCCGCGCAAGGAATGGTGACAGCTTAGGAGCATGGTATCACATAATGCGGGCACTTGTACTGCACTTCGCCAGATATATTTTGCTCGACCTCCTATTTCCTGGCCTCCCGATCCATCATCCTCCATACTCCCGCTTCACGACCATCGTCACGCCCAATCGTACGCAAAAGACTTTATCGACAACCAGTCAGCATATCGACCGTCCACACTGCGATGGACTTTGTCTTCCAAGGCCGCAAAGCTGCAAGCTACGCTGGCGGTGGGCACCCGTCCAACCATTTTGCGGAAAAAGAGCCTCGCTTGATTTTCATGTCTAAAGCCTCGTCCAAGGACTTGACGAAAGGTCTGGATTCCACCGGACGTTCAAGACTCTGGATGTGCAAATATTTGTGCGAAGGCAGTTTCAATCATTTCCTCCACGCTGCAGACATCAAACAGGCGCACGATTTCGACATGAGTGGCTACGAATTCGACGTAGATCAAAGTCCACTACTCTGCAACATCGATGTTGCGGAGCTGTTCGCTCTCTTGATCACCATCTTCCCGAACATCAGCGTGAATCCGAGCGGCGATGCAACGAGTACTGGCAAGGTCCCGCTGATCAAAGGTCTTCGCTGGAAAATGCTTGAAGGCTGTCTCATTAGCCATGCGCTTAGTCTGGACATTTGTATTGCCAACAACGTTCCAATCCGCAAAGATGCTCGTACCGTATCCCGCCTGTCTCCAGAAGAGAGACTGAAGACATGGTTCCATTTGTACTTCGAGCTGGATCCGCAAGCCTCGGTGGGTATGGTTGGGCTCTGGGGTCTGTTCGAATGGGGTACGTCAGCTCAATCACGTTGTATGCACAACCACGCGCTCACATTTGAGAGTAGCCTTTCAACCCTATCAAGGCAAGCTAGCTCCTATTGACGAAGAGCAGTTCGTGAAGTGTCTTTTCAAGACCTTCCCGAACGTCAAGATGGTTTCGGTCACGACCCACTACGCCGTTATCCAAGGGCTGGGCGTCAACTCTAAGCCCATCAAGGCAGACCAGGCACTACAGTCGCGGGCGCGAAAGAAGGTTGAGTCGCTGATAAAGAAGGGGCTGATCGCGCCGCCCAAAACGGAGTTTGCAAGAAAGCTGCTTGAAGATCCATTGTTCAGCCACTGGCTTGACGTGAGTATCCACTGCGCTGGAGATACTTTCGCCTCGGCGCTCTCCATGAGGTATGCAAGTGCAGACACTGACACATGGATCTAGGAGGGCGGAACAGAACCCGATCCTATTGCCGAGCGCCTCCCACGGCAACGGACCGAATCCCTCGCAAACCAGTCTCTGACGATGACGAGGCTCTCACCGAGGAGGACGAGGATGAACCCGAGAGTACCCAAACTTACACCACGCGCAACGCGGCGACGGAGATTGAAGCTGCTCGTGCGCGATACCTGGCTCAGCCTCCACCGCCAGTCTATGAGTCGTCAGCCTCGGAACTGCCAGCCAGTAAGCGCAGACGGTAGTACGGTACTGATGTGAGATACCAAGAGCATTCAAGCTCGCCGTTGGATGACTTGGCTACAGCTCTAATGCATTTCGGATGGCAAAGGGCATCAATGTCAGTACTCGCGCGGACTCGCAGTCCATCTGACGATCTCGCGACTACCCAACCAACAGCATAATGTAGAGACGCTTCACTAATCAACACACGCATTCATATCACTCTTGTTCTAATGTCCTCGACTATCATACACTCCTCGTCAATGGTCATATAATACAGTATCATCATGTCGTCCAGCTACAATCGCACCAGAAACCTCTTGTACACCTCTCCTCCTGCCCTTGGTGATTACACGTCAAATGTAGTGTTCATGGGCGTAGCAACGCCAACCTGCAAGAACAAATCGTCCCCTCTCTTCTCCGGTGTCATCTTGGACCTCCACCCTGGGTCTTCGAAGCTGGACTTCCGCGGTGGCAGTGAATGTGGAGTGTACTGGGCCGTGTTGGATGTGACTTTGAGCGACCGCGGACTGTTGCGAACGGCTTGACCGTGGCCGACCGAGGGATGGTCCCGGTAGTTCACTTTTTGAGCATTGCGAGATCGTTCCTTCCGATGCTCGAGTGGCTTCGAAACGGCCTTTGCAGGGACAAAGTTGGTGCCTGGGATTTCCAGCCGGAGATCAAGACTTTGCGCCGCGCTACTGCCTCTGCGTTTCGCTGCGAGCGTGGAGCCGCTGAGGGACGGGCTTGCAGTGTTAATCGGACGGATGGGCGTCACCGGGCTTTTGAGCGGCCATTCCTCCTCTTGCTTCTGCGGATTCGGCGAGTAAGCACGATAGACGTGTGGTGACGGCTTCGGCAGCGTCCGATTGCTAGAAGACTGTTGATTTGTCGGGGATGCCAGCATGGAGGGAAGTGATTGAGGAATCGTCTGATTCGTGCTCCTTGGGATCTTGGGATAGCGTAGGTCTGCGATTGGTGATGAGCTTTGGGCGAAGGACCTGTCACGTCCCGCAGAGAATTTCTTGTGGTCTTTATGCGGTCGAGCGGGTTCTTCGAGATCTGTGCTTTCGAACGAAGTATCTGAGCCAGCGGACTCTCTTTGTGCAATCGGTCTCAGGCTGCTTGAATCAGGGATCTTGATTTTCGAGGGTGCCGCTCTTCGTCCGTGAGATACACCCCTTGACTGAGAAGGACGACCCTCAATCGGGATTGGCGGAGTAGTCACGCCGGCCTCCGGGCTGGCGTAGTAGTTCAGAAAAGAATCCCTGGATCTCGAGCCTAGCGGGGTCCAAGCTGATTGCTCGTAAACACATCCTTCTCCGCCTGTGTCGGCATGAGCCTGAAGTGCCCTCGGGGATGGCGCACCCCGCTGTGGTCGCGTGGACGGTATTGCACCTGCATTTGGCAGGGGCGCACGGATTCCTGGTGATCTCATGGGAGACTTCAGAGGTGGTCTTGGAACCGGTCTGGCTGCAGATCTGGGAATGTCCAAAGACAGTGGCGGAGGTCTGACGTTTGGCGATAGTTGCTCTGGGAGCACAGCAGACGGTTGCGGTCTCTGCATCGGTTGTTGATAGGCGGGAGAATTTTGTATCGCTCGCGGGTTCGGAGGCAAACCAAACCCGTTGAATCGGGGGGCAGTGATTGATCTTACCTCGCGTGGTAGTAAGTCTGAAGCATTGTCGGTTCTGGCGCGTACTTGTTGCGGCTTGGGGGAAAGAGCCATAGTTGCATTCTTTGGCAATAGCAGTGACAACGCCCGAGGGTCTGGCTGCCCTTGTTCACTCCTTGGCAAATTGGTAGGCTGTTCGTCGACTTGTAAGGGGTGTTCCGCGGAAGGTAGCTGCCAAGTCTGGTTTGCATCCCCATGATTCATTGGGACGCCCAGAGGTTGTGGTAAAGTGGGCTCGCGGGCAAGCAGATCGTAGATGGGTCTCGCCGGTGGAGAGACTGACGGACGCTTGTCGATGAAGTCGTAAGAGTTTTTCTCGGTCTCGTTTCTGTCGTCCTGCCGCTTCTTCCGCCGCCGCAAGAAGATCCAGAGCACAACGGCAGCAATCAGTAGCACGGCGCCGCCTAATGCGGCAACTACGATTCCCACGGTTTGAGAGTTGTTCAGTCCATGCGGGCTTGCTGTGCGTGACGTAGCAGCGGCAGCAGCCGCACTGGCAACAGTCGAAGACGTGGCCCGCGTGGAAGCTGGGTGGAAGGTCTGACTTGCCCGGAAAGTTTTGATGCGTGAAGATGAGGGTACGGTGGCGGAAGAGATGGTCGAGAGGCTTCTCTGAGTTTCTGTTGCCGATGAAGTTTCCAGCCTTGTCGTCGTTGGTGCAACGAGGACCGAGAGCGTGGGCAGTACTGCACTGGTTTGAGCAGCGCAGACATCGTAGAGAGCGGTGGACTGGCTCGGAGTCGCGTTTGAGCAGTCCTCGTGCAGACACAGGTATGCGAGTTCACCAAGCGTGAAGCCAGCCGAGCTGTAAGTCTGGCATAAACATGAGAAGCCATTCCCGGAACATTTGTACTCTTCAGCAATGTATGTTGAGAGGCACTGCTTGGCGCAGTTTGGTACAGCTTCGCGCAGCTGCGGCGGCAGGAGCGTGGAGGAGAGGGCTCTGGCGACTACTGGCGTTGGTGTGTGCTCGTTCCTTGTTAAACTAGACGGCCGGTCCAGCGGCATGGTCTCGTAGGGGTTGGCATGTGGCGTTAGACTGCACTACGCAACGAGGCTCAAGACGTAGAAGAAGTACATAGCCACCGTCCAGTAGCACGAAGAAGCGAGGAAATCAGAAAGAAAGTTTTAAAAAGGGAGAAAGAACGGAAATGGGAAGAATTGAAAGCGAGTTGCGGTGCTGCGGTGAATATAAACAGCGCTTGGAGGCGGGTGGGCGATATTTCAGACAATGACGAAACGGATGCTTACCATCGCGCGGCCACCCTCGTTCACGAGTGGCCTACGTGCTGCAATGAATGGGGGATAGGCGCCGCGGTAGATGGCATCGACGCGCAGTAGCGAATGAGACTGGGAGTGTGGCATGAGGTTGGAGGGCGCGTAATAGAGCGCTCGGACCACCACCCTCGCTCTTGCCGCAATCGGTCGCGCGCCGTCCAATTTTGGAACAGCCGGTTGAAGCGTCATCTACCGTGTTGTCACTTATCACCAATGATGATCTTGGGTACGTCTGGCTGTTACTTCGCTGGGATACCCAGTATTCGGACATGTTCGTGAGTGAATACAGTCATGGTTCGCGGAATGAACAACCCGACGGGCACATTGACCCGGCGGACGCAGAAAGTGCATATACGCAAGACAGCCCTGCCCCCGAACACCATGCTTGCTGAAGGAACACGAAAGCAGAAAGCAACCCAACACCACACCCTTTGTCATGCGGATACCGCGCCGAATGGAGAGCTCTCTTGCAGATCATGAACGAGGTCCGCAACATTGCTGAGATAGCGGCCCAGCAGCTGCTGCTTCTCTTCCATGCTCCTCTTCCCCGACGGCTCATCGATGTCCATCCGTCCACCGCCACCGCCATCTCCGGAATGTGTCCTTGCGTGTCCGGGCACGTTCCTGCCAAGCTTGCTCGGATTCCGCTGCAGGACTGCAGTGTTTGGCGCACTGGCAGTTGTGGTGTGGACGGATTCGGGCAGCAAGTAAAAGTACAAGAATTCCAATGTCCGCATCCTGACTTCCTTCGTTGCGTTGCGGCTCTTGAACAGGCTGGTGACGGTGAGTAGGCCATCGATGCTCTCGAAGGTGCGGGTATTCGCGGGGCAATCGAGTAGTGCTGAGACGAGGACGAGCAAGGCTTGCGACTGCACCTTGGGTGGGTTTGTGGAATCGAGGAGGTCGAGCAGGAGGTTCATGTAGTCGGCGCGGTTGAACAGGCATCTCGAAGGGGGGTGTAAGAGCAGGATGCCGTGTAGGAGGTCGAGGGTGGAGAGGATGAGGAGGTCGGTGTGCGAAGGGTTGCCCATTCCCATGAGGCGCTCTAGGGTGGAGATGAGGCGTGAAGCGACTGTTGGACCGTCATCAGTATCAGCGCTGTGCGACTCGTCCGTCACGCGGGCTGCACCCACTGTTCCATTGAAAGCCTTCCTGCAATCGGAAAAACTCGCGGAACGCAGCGTCGTTCTTCAGCTCGCCCAGCTTCTTAGGAGGGGGATGCTGTTGTTCGGCCAGCGCCGATGACTTTCTCTGATGTGCGGCTCGTGAAAGACATATTTGCGCCAACAGGCCTTCAATCTGCCGTAAGCCTTTGCGGATGCGTGTCGTGTCGCGGGAAGAGATGTTGTCGAAGGAGACGGCCAGAAAAGCCTCCATGCTGCAGTCTGTGCGGCGGATGCGAAGAGAATGACTATGCTGCGAGAGAGGGGGAGTGTAGATGCATTGCAGAGCAGAGATGGCACCGCCTCGTGCCGAAGCGAGGTGAGGTGTGAGATGAGATGCATCACTGTTGGCTGCCAGAGCAACGCCCGCAGAGCCGCAATGATGACTAACAGGCAAACCCGTTGATCGGCTCGGGGCGGGCGGCCGCGGGCGCTAGGGCCAAACACGCGCTGCCTTGTACCGGATTGGGAGGCCGAGCCGTGCACGTGTCCCCATTTAATATCCACCATAGAATTTTCTCGACGATATGAAGAGTCTGTGCTCGTTGGGGATGGCTCGTGTGTGAAAACGGGGGAATGGGGTCGGCAAGGGGTCGCGCTGGGGCGGCGAAGGTGTTCGGGCCTCAGATCCTTTTTATTTCGCGCAAGAGTCGAAGGTCTTTTTAAATTCCATCCCTCGCTCCATCCGTCCATTCACTCTCGCAACCAACTCACTCGTTAAGCATCATCCCTTGATCCACGGTCACTACCATCCACGCCTTCTACTGCCACCACCACCACCACCACCACAAAACCAACTCCCTCCCCACCTCGCAACCATGTCTGCCCTGCTCAAATTCGCCTCCATCGGCTCCGCCTTCTCCCTCTTCGGCGCCAGTGCCTTGTACTCCATGCGCAACTCTTCCTCCGACTTCTCGCGCAACGCCCTCGCGCTCGAACACACCGGCGAAGCGCAGACGCGTGGCATTCCCAAGCCGAAAGTGTGAGTGTCTCCTCGAAAGGCCCCATCCACGCGCTCGCCCCGCTAACCCTTCTCCTCCGCGTTTCTCAGTCCCTCCAACTTCCTCGCCATTTCCATCGGCGGTTACGAAATCAAGACCGCCGCATAGACCCGCCGATGCTTGACGCGATGATTTGCGACGTGGATTTGAATTCAATGAGCGAGGATAGGGCATGCATTATCGGAGTTGATTGTTGAAAAGGCGTATGCATACGTGGGGAGAGCTTGCGGTGGCGAGATCCTGGAGTGCCGCCATCCGACACGGCGCGCGTCTCCCCTCTTTATCGACCAAAAGTAGTCCCAATGTTGGACTTAATAGCACTTCAGACGCGTTTTCACCTGTCTCAGTCGTCCTCCACCAAAATCCATGAACGGTAAGGGCTCGTGGCGCCTCCCGCCTCAGCTTCGTGAGGCTGCGCTTGAGGCCATGACCGATTTCGCCCAATGAAGAAAGTGGCGACTCGTAGTCTTCGCTTGCATCGATGGCCAAATGCCGCGAAAACCCTCAGGTGGGCGACTTCCGCGCTATTCGACGTCGAACAACTCCTCCGCGTTGTCCACCAGAACTTGCTTCAGTGGCACATTCTCCTCGTCGCACCAGTGGAACAGCTGCTCCAAGTAGACGGACACATCGACATCTTCGAATCTCGTGTGCGGCCAGTCGGTAGCAAAGACGCATCGATCCGGCCTCGTGCGCAGTAGCCAGCGAGCGAGCGACTGCACGAGCGGATGGAAGGCATCACGATCCAGTCGATAGGCAGCCGAGACTTTGACCCACACGTTGTTCATTGCAAGCAGATTGACCAGCGACGCGAAGCCGGGAAGGACATCACTCGATTGCGCCGTCGCGAGCGAGACTGCAGACGGATGGGCAAAGTGGTCAATGCAGACCTTGATGCCTCCGAGATCCGGCACGACGTGCTCCAACAGGTGCAAATCCTCCATGCCAATGTAGAAGGCCAGGACCCAGCCGAAGGGCCGCACGGCGTCGGCGTACTTGTGCACCATGGCCGCGAACGATGCGCCCTCCGGCCGAACGCCGACGCTTTTGAAGTTGAGACGTACGCCTCGCACGCCGAGATTGTGCCACTCCTGAAGCTGAGCGGAGGAGGTATCGGCGGGATCGAATTGAATGATTGCGCGCCCATTCTTGGGGCCGAGTTGCTTCAGGCCGTCGAGGGTACATGAATTGTCGTTTCCGTAGATGCTGGGCTGTACAATGACCATCTTCTGAATCCCGAGAGCCCCGAGAAACTGATGGGCGTCGTGGATGGTGTGCGGAGACGGTTGGTACGCGGCATTCTTGTCCAGAGGAAATGTCTTAGGGTCGACTACGTGCATATGAGTATCCCATGTCTCCTTGGGAATGCGGGAGGCGAGTTGACTGATGCGGGCGCTGGTGGAGTTGGGCCTGGCCCATTTGGATGCCATGAGTGTGGCTGACTGATAGACTACCCTCCGTCCAGAGTAGCGGATACTTGCTCGGCATATGAGTGGTGTCATTTTGCGCTGCACCAGCGGTGTGCTCATCGCACAATATATATCATGGAGAGTGGAGCGATCTCGGAGGAAAGATGGATCAGCTTTGCTGCCCGCTCCTTCCAAGCTTCATGTTCCGTAGGATTGCCCGGCGGGGCTGAGGTACCCATGTACTCCATTTCGGAAAAACGTCCTCGCTGCACCACAATGATGAGGACGGCGTGTGGAAACGTTTGCTCGGTCTCTGGCTGGAACACTTGTCGAGGTCTACATGCAACCCCGCCACACGTTAGGCAGCTCATACGCGTCTCTGCCGGTTGACCGTTGTTCGTGAAGCTTGCCGACTGACGACTACTTGAACTATGACATCTTCTCTTTGATATACATCGACCTTAGATCCTTGATCAGCGCCGACATCCCATCCGCGCCGCGTAGACAAGCCGGGTCGTCGCGGAGGAGAGCACGCAGCGTGGTGAAGATGAAGCCGACATCGCTTTGTATGGCGGCTGGCTTTCTCGTAACCGTAATCCACTGCCACGCCTCGTCCACACTCCACTCTCCCTCTGCATGGCCTCGCCCCAATGATATGCACATGGCGCCATTCGAGGCGTCGCGGTCGTTGGTCAGGGTGACATGCCGAACCCAAAAAGACATGCGCAGCATCTTGGCCAGCATTCGCTCATGCTGTCTCGCCCACTTGAGGCTCTCATGGAATCTCGGCTCCTCGGTGTGAAAGATCAAACAGTTGACGCGATAGAAGACTTGCAGACTTTCTTGTCGAATCTGCCGGCTGACGCGAGTCAATGCTGGCTGGGTGGCTTCTCGATAGCTTTCGCGTTGATAGTTATCCAGGCGAAAGGTGACGACCGGCTTTTCCGACACCAGGGCGAACTCGAAGATGTACTCGCGAATCTCCGCCGGCAAGTCGAGCAGACGAAAGTGAGCTGAGGCCCAGAAAGACGGGCGACTGGCCATCCGCGGCCTCACTTCAGGTCCTTGCTGCCTCTACAGCAACCGGTTGATCATGACAAGCACGGGGAACTTTGGTCTCCCTTAGGCCAGCTGGCGGTTGAGCGGTATCCGGACTTGTAAGGACAGCCGTAGAGTGTGATATGTTCAGTAAAGTGACGGGAACGTGATGGACTGTTCCGAAGCCATGCATCCCCGGCAGCGTCGGTGACAAAATTCGAGGACCTCAGCCTTCCCTGTTTGAATATTTGCATCAAGCCCTGGAGCCCATCAACTCTTTCTACTCCCACATCAACCCCTCCCCCGCCCATCAAAATGGAGGGCATCAACATCGCCGATTTCGCCACTCGGCAGTTGACCCTGCTTGATGGCGAGTTGCAGGCGGAGTTGGAGGAAACGCAGATGTTAACCGCCACCCACGCCCCGTCCGTCCTGCAGCGCGCCGGCCTTGCTCTTTTGAACCTCAGCGTCGCATCGCAGCGCACTGGCTTTGGCGGCAAGACCATGCTCGAGCTCGCTATCGATCCCGCTGTTGGCGGTGGAGAATTCCCGGAGCACGCCTTCCGGGTCGGCGACATTTGTGCTGTGGCTGAGCAGCCCAAGGGAGCGGAGCGCAAGAAGGAGCGCGACGGTATGGAGAGGAGAGGCGTCGAAGGCGTCATCACCAAAGTCCAGAAGGAGAACCTCGTCGTCTCGTTGGACAAGGAAGATGCCGACGTTCCCAACGGCAAGTTATGGCTGTACGTGTGCTTCTATCAATGCAAAAGGTAGGTCGAGTGCATGGGCTGATTTTTGCCGTGCTCCTGGTAGTGTCAAACTCGCCAACGACATCACATTCAAACGCCTGCAGCACACCATGTCTACGCTGCAGAAAATGCAGACTTCCGAGCATAGTACTTTGACACAGGTCTTATTTGGTTTGGCGTCTCCTACTCTTCCAACATCTTCCCACGACCTCCCGGCGGACATCAAGTGGCATGATGCAAGCATGAACGACAGCCAGAAGGAAGCAATCCGCTTCGCTCTAGCTGCGCGCGAGGTTGCATTGATCCATGGCCCGCCTGGCACGGGCAAGACTCACACGCTCATTGAACTCATTCTACAGCTGCTTGATCGAGACCAGCGCATCTTGGTTTGCGGACCGAGTAACATCAGCGTCGACAACATCGTTGAGCGTCTCTCACACTACAAGGTGCCAATGGTCCGACTGGGGCATCCCGCGAGGCTGCTACCCAGTGTGTTGAACCATTCGCTCGAAGTCTTGACCAAGACCAGCGATGCCGCAGCTATTGTGGCAGACATTCGCTCCGACATGGACGCGAAACAGTCTTCGATCCGTAAAACACGCAACGGTGGCGAGCGCCGTGCAATCTATGGGGAGATGAAAGAATTGCGGAAGGAGTACCGCCAGCGTGAACAACGTGTCGTCGGCGATCTCCTGCGCACGAGCACGGTCGTCTTAAGCACGCTGCATGGGGCCGGGGGCTTCCACTTGAAGAACGAACGATTCGATGTGGTGCTGGTAGATGAGGCGAGCCAGGCACTCGAAGCTCAGTGCTGGATCCCCGTTCTCAGCAGCGGCGCCCCAAAGCTAGTCCTTGCTGGAGATCATCTACAGCTGCCACCAACCATTAAATCCTTGAACATGAAGGAGACGAAGAAGCACAATAAAGTGTCAACGAATGCGAAGGTCGAAGAGGTGACTGCTGATTTGCGTGCCATGAAAGCGAATGGCTCAAGCGACAGACCGGCGGAAAAGTCTGGGAAGAGCAAGCAAGATCCCGTGACGCTGGAGACGACGCTTTTCGATCGATTATTGGCGCTTCACGGGCAAAAGATCAAGCGCATGCTCAACACGCAGTATCGAATGCACGAAAAGATCATGGCGTTTCCGTCGTCTGCTCTGTACAACGGGGAGCTAGTCGCCGCCGACACAGTCAGGTTGCGTCTTCTCAAAGACCTGCCGTACGAAGTTGAGGATACAGAAGACACGAGGGAGCCGCTGGTGTTCTGGGACACGCAAGGCGGTGACTTTCCCGAAAAGGCGGAAGACGAGTCATCGCCAAAGGGCAAGAGCAGCTTACTAGCGGAGAGTAAGGTCAACGAGAACGAGGCGTCGCTCGTGCGTTTGCACGTGAGCAAACTCATCTCGGCGGGAGTGAAGGCGGAGGACATCGCGATCGTCACTCCGTACAACGGGCAATTGGCGCTTCTGGCACAGACGCTCAAAAGCGAGTACCCCGCGCTGGAGTTGGGTAGTGTGGATGGCTTTCAAGGTCGGGAGAAGGAAGCAGTGGTGGTGAGTTTGGTACGGAGTAACGCGGAGCATGAAGTTGGATTCTTGGGAGAAAAGCGGCGGCTCAACGGTATGCATGCACCGTGCCGTAATGTGGTGTGACTGGCTGTTACAAAGACTGACGGATGTCGATGACAGTGGCAATGACGCGACCCAAGAGGCACCTCTGTGTGATCGGAGATTCAGACACGGTGGGAAGGTGAGTGCGCGTCGTCTGAGCGGCCATGACGCGACATGGAGTGCAACGTTGCTGACAGCAAGCGCAGGGGCTCGAAGTTCCTAAAGTCTTGGATGGGGTATCTGGAGGAACACGCCGATCTGAGGTATCCAGACTTGGCCGAACTCCAACACGGAGGATGAGCGTTGTCCACATTGTGGCCTCCAACATGTTTCAAATAGTCCGAAGGGTGCGAGCGTGGGGCAGTCTAGCGACTCGTCGCTCGCCCACCGCTCACACATATGTATACGCGTGGGCCCGGCGAATATGCTGAACGGAGAAGTCCATCATCAGCATATGCAGATGCCTCGCTTCGCTACCGAGCCCCTGAACAATGCAGCCCACGTGAACCGTCGGAATATTTTCGAGCGGGCGAGGGTGTCATGAGGAGATGACAGCGCGGAAGCGGCCCCACGGCTCGACGCATGCCGGATGGTTGCGTGGGCCGCAGACGACGAATGTGATGAAGATGATGATCGTCGAAGCGGAGGTATGCAATAGCAGCGGGGGGATTATAGCTTCCAAGGGCATGGTCCTCTTGCCATCTGGCCAATCAAATGACTCGCACGGGCACGAGATCTCGGCCTTTGCAAGCCCCGGCAAGCCTCAGGCTGGTTGCTGTCGGTCTGGGGGCCTGCTAGCGAGGAGATTTGCATACAGTTTGACCTTCATTTCGGATGTCGAGGGCGATGCGGGGACCGGGGCGGGTCGAGATGGCGCAACTGCGGCCGGCCAAGGGCCACATGGATCGTTTGCGTGCTAGAGCGTTTCAGAGGCCGCGGCTCCTCCGCCGACCAGCCCTCGACAGAAGCCTTCTTGGCGCAGTGATTGGTGGCATGCCACTGCACCTTCGATCTGGGTGTGTGGGGGCGCTGCGAGTCCAAGAGGCGCGGTTGTCCGCATCGCCCATGCACAAATGGTTCTGACCTCAACGGCCGGATCGAGGCGAAGACATCCCTGCTCACTATGCGCCTGCCCTCCCTCCACGCCATTGACCAATCGCCAGTCCTGCCACACGTCGGTGGATCTGCTCTGCTCGCGCCGCATGCTCATCCTTCTCACCGTTGCCCCGCGGGCCTTTGCGCACTGAAACATCCATGGCAAGTGTGCGCCGTGGATGCGCCCTGTTCGAGGTTGGTGCCAACGGTCGAACAGATGCCGGAGGGCTGCTGACCCGCCCACACGACCATCGCGAACTGTATGTCAGCACATACCCTCCACCTTGCAACGTCAATGCAGGGCCAGCCTTAGCTCTATAAGCGCTCTTTTCCCTCTTCTGTCCTCCTCTGCCTCCTCTTCCCTGTCTCACTGCGGTCCCTTCCTCTTAACTGGCCTCTTATGGCCGCGCCATTGGCCAAGTTGGCTTGCTGCGTCGAGATTAGGTGGAAGGATTGAGAGACTCGAGGCGCCTTTCAGCTGCCGGGGTTCTGTCAGCACGACTCACCAACAACATTCCTTCGGCCTGAATTGTCTCTTTCAACACGACATCCTGGAAGCCTTGTGCCGCCCGACAGTACATACCCTGACCCTGGCCGCGGATTCCGACCGTCCTTTAGCCCTCTCGCTCACTACACCGCCGCTGTCGTTACAGTCTTTACCGCAGTGTGCAACACTCATTCGAATCGATTCACGAGAGAAATCGAGGCTTGCATTACCCTGCATGCACTCACTTGCACGCAAACATGGAGCACACTCTTTATGAAGACTACGGTCAAGCACGGCCCATCCCAAGTGCAACGCTTCCCGAACGACGAAAGAGTCTGGACGGCAGCCAGCGCCAGGGGCCGCGCCATTTGCAGAAGAAGCGCCCAGATACCAAGGGCCCTGCATTCCCCCGACAGAATGCGCCAGACGTGGATATCTTTGATCAGCTTGATTCCCTGAGTGCAGAGCAGGCCATGAAGATGAGAAAAGGGTCCTTGCGGTACGCCGTGCGGCGAATATTCGGACGGCGATCGCGAGACGTCGAAGACCCCCCATCTCCAGCGTCTCCTCCGCGCGCGGACTCCATCGTCGCGGATTCCATCCCAGTCGAGTCATCGATAAGCTCCGAGGACCCGACACCGTCTGACGATGCCGTCCAGCGCACTCTCTCCGCACCCGTTTCCATCTTGCCTCAACCTGGCCTTCGACGCAGTCGATCACCCTATCAATTCCCCCACAGCGCCAGTCTCAAGCCACTTGCCCTTGGCAATCCATACACTGCACCCGGAAGTCGATTGAAGAGACGCAAGTCCTTACCAAGCGTCTTGGTTTCCGAGAGCGAAGCAGCAACTCTCTCCATGGCGCTTGCGTCACCTCGAACTCCGATGCAGTCTAGCCCAGACGCGAGCCACGAACTCCCCCCCGATGTAGTCGAGATCACATCCAGACGTGAAAGGAGGCGATCGCGAAGTGTCGACGACCTGCTGCGTAGCGCATGTGAAGCGCCGCTATCGCCACAAAGCGGGAAGCGGGAGATGCGACAGTGGCGCGAGAGCTTCCAATACGACGTGTTGCGGGCAAGCGGCTTTACAACCCGAAGCCCTGTCGCAGCAGCCCAAGACCAGCGCCATGAAGACGACGCCCCTCCGTCCACTCCGAGAACATCTCCCAAGAAACCCAAGCGAAGCATCGTTACACCACCTCTACGACAGGACGCCAGCATCAAAGGAACAGGCGCGACCTCCACTGTCGGCACGGAAGCATCTCGAGATCTGGAAGACCGAGTCGCGACACTCGAGGCCGGCGTGCACACATTCCGTGGACAGCTAGCTCAACTCTCAGCGGATCGCCGTCGCGGCACTGCACGGATTGGAGAGTCATCGCCCGAGAGTGTCAGTTCGCGCGGCGGTCGCTCCGCAAGTGAGCTGGCGAAAGATTTACAGCAAGATCTGCCCCCGTCGGACTACCAGTACGAGCGAAGTCGACCCGTGCGGACAACGGCATCGCCGCCCAGGCGTTCGCCAGTAACCCCCACACGCGCCAATCCCTCCACACTGACGCCACCATTGTCAAGCTGCGATCCGCCAGGCAACAACGACCCTTTCGTCTCGCCCATCCGCGAAGCAACGAACAAAGCCCTCCACGTCAATACCTGCACCAACTTCTCCATGCCGCAATACACCTTCCGCTCTCTGTACGAGATGCTGGCCGACGAGCGCTCGGCACGGCGCCGTCTAGAAACCGAAATGAAGGCTCTGAGGGCGGAGGTTGCAAGCCTGCACGATCAACTGTCGCAGCAAGCGGACGTGCGAAGTGAACGAAGCATCTATCACGCTGCTGTGGATCCCATGGTGGGCTCGAGTCGATTGCATGCGATGTTGCAAGGCACAGAGAGCCCGGCGAGCACCGTGCAGTCGCACACGGAGCATGAATCAGGCGAGTACCGAGCAGCGCGGGAGAGACTTACGAGCAGGTTCAGCCGATCGGAGAGCGAGCTGGGGTATGCGTCGCAGATGGAGGCAGAAGAGCTGCACACGCCTTACGATGAGTATCGGACGCCGATGGAAGAATTCTACTTTTTCACTCCGCGGCCGAGTGATGACGAGACATTTTGAGCATGAAGCGGATGTGAATTGATTAAGCATTGCGATCTGTATGTATGATGGATATGATACCCAACGCAAGAAATGTACTCTACCTGCCCTAAGCAGAAAGCACACCTGGCTGCCCAGGCGCCGCGCTGGATTTCAGTCTTCATCGTATTCTTCCCCACAGTAGTCCGGCGCGGTGCACTTGATGGTAGGCCACCCAATCTCCTCATCTGTCAAAAGTCGGGCGGAGTGCATGACGTCCTCGAAGGCTACATATCTCTGGGCCACACTACCCACCAGGCGGGATGGTTGCTGTATCGTGGTATAGTTATGCTCCCAAAAGTCCGTATCTTCTGCTGCGTCTCGCCACCGTCGACCAAGCGCCGCGGACTCGGGCGGGTAGTAGGGACCCTCGTTCTCCACGGATTGGAATCGCATGCAGCTTTGGAAGCCAAAATGCGGGAGGGAAGCGAAGAAGTCGTCGTATCGCGGGGCCATCGCGTCCCTCAAGGAATTGAACGTGGCATTGTGGCCAAAGTCAGCGCGCAGGACCGCCCACGGTTGACGGCACGAATCTTGGCCGCAGGACTTGGTGACCAGCAGTAGCCCGCTCAGCCGGTCCATCAGCCTCTGAGTCTGAGTGTCGGGATCGATGGCCAGATTCGTGAGTTCATATGGATCCTTGACCGTATCGTACAGCTCGGTTTCGTTGGAGAAACACCAACGGTTGAAAAGATACCCTTCAGCCTCCGAGACGATGCGAAGAGACTTGTAGCTGTTGTGAGGTACATCGCGGGTGTATTGACTGGCAGGAGCCTTTGCACTGCCCCAATATTCAACATTTAGCACTTCTCTTGAGATCTGATCGTGAGGATGAGACAGGTTTTTCCATTCCGGTAGGAGGCTGCGACCGTCGAAGAAAGGCGGCCAGTCCTTGGCGGCTACGCCGGCAATGTCCAATAGAGTCGGAGCAATGTCAACATGTGTACTCGGAATGGCCGAGACTTTGCCAGGAGGTATACCTGGACCCCGGACTGCAAACGGAAGGTTCACGTCCTCGATATATGGCAGCATCTTGCCTCCTGGAACACGATGGTTTCCAAGATGGAAGCCTTTAGGTATGTGGTCAGATTCCACGTTCCCTGAACAGTTGAAGACCCAAACTTACCGTTGTCAGTAGTATAAATGACTGTGATGGATCAGCTTATTTTGCACAAGCCCATCGATGGGTGTAAAAACCCACCGTATGTATTGTCGAGCACGCCTCTCGCTTCTAGCAGATCGAGGACATCTTCGACAAGCTCATCAACCCCTTGTAGCGCCTGTACCCGTGCGCGCATACTCGCATCAGATGCTGTCATCACGGATGAGTTCATCCTTGGCATGTCTTTGAGCCAGCCGGGCTTCTGCATGGTGTACTCGTCGGAGGGGTTGTAATTTGGAAGCCGGGGAGCTGTCAGTCCTGGAAAGAGATGGGCATGGCGAGCAAGTGGAATCGTCGGATAGCCTCCAGGTACGACGTGTGGGCTTGAGGGTGCGATTTCCAGATAGAACGGTTTCTCTTGAGAAGTCATCCACTCCAACCGTCTCAATCTGTATGGCTCGTTATGCTCGTTCATGAATCACTGGCCTTGCCACTCACGCTTTGGTTCTCAGCACATCGAGCTGATGCCATCCTTCGTAATGGATCGGCCGCTCTCCGTTTTCCGACATGACCACATTGGTGAAGCTGTAAATGTATGGTTGCACCTGCGACACAGCCCTCGTCGGTCAGAGAAACGGCTTCGGAGAGTGGAAGAACAATGCTCACTAAGACGTCCGTCCAATCCCAGCCGGCTGGCATGGGGCTATAGTTGCTCAGGCTGTATGCGTTGAAGAGTTTGCCAAAGTCTGTGGGGGCATATCAATACAAGGGCATGGGCGGGCTGCAGTGCATGTCCATACGCACACGCGGTAGTGTAGCCGGCGGTACGCAGCCAATGTGGGAGGTAGTCTTTCGACTCCCCGGACCTGACCCATTTGCGGTAGCCACCTCTGACGGACGTTAGGGTGAGTGTTGCCGCAATCAGCTCAAGACTCACCCCGGGAGGCCGACGTGGGTGAGATTGGTATTGTGCGCCGCCTGGCCGCGAAAGAGCGTGGCGCGAGCCGGGCAACATAGTGAGACTGTGCCGAAATGATTTGCAAGGTTGAGGCCTTCGCCAATAACTCTTTTCTGGAGTGCGTTCATGTAATTGAGCGATCCAAGCCGTACATCCTACCGCAGTCGCAAATCAGGCGAGCTCTACAACGCTTCGCTTCGTCGAAAGCGATACTGACCTGGTCGTCTGTCAGGATGAAGACGATGTTGGGTTGTTTATGGCCAGCCTCTCTGCCGCAACCGAAGCTCGAGAAGAGGGAGAGGCGGGAGGCCAAGATCTGAGGCCAGAATAGGTATGTGAGCACCGAGATAAGTAAGAGTATTGGTGATAGACGACTCCAGCATCGAGGTATGCCATGGCCGCTGTCTCTTCCCCTCGATGAACCGTCAGACAACGAGTCAGACGTCTTACCTTTCTCCATCACTTAGTCCAGCTGCCGCGGAGCAATCTGAACAAGTACACATCGAAGCTCGTCGCCGGTCCAGTCCTTCGCGTTAAGCATGTTATAGATAAAGTGCGGGGGAAGAAGGCCGTCATGTTGAACCATGCGATTGATGTCGTAGAGCATGTGTCTGCCTGAGGCATCAATAATCTCGAACTTCCCCTGGCGAGCTTCCGAGATGATGCTTTCCCGCGGACATCATAAACATGCGCGGAACGCGACCAGCCCCCGACCCGATTTCAAACGGCGCAGATCACCCTAGCTCAAGCAATCAGACTACTCGACGTTCGTTGCGACGATTCGCCTATCAGGAGAATGGCCGGACGGAGCCAGCGCAGCAAGATGTAGAGGCTGGTCCAGCATCCGGCAATGAACAGGGAACGAGCTTGGGCAAACGCAAAAGAAACATTGCGGAGGATGTCATAAATCACACCAAAGCGGAGGCGCATCGCCCGCCCCGAAAGCAAGAGACGGTCCCCGAATCAAAGCCGCTCCGGAAGCCTCGCAGACAACCAGCGAAGCACATCAAGGGGCCCAATGGTAACGTCACAGTAGAGGCACCGGCCGATTGGCAACGTGTGTACAACACGACTGCAGCCATGCGGAAACGCGTGCTCGCCCCGGTCGACACCATGGGATGCGAGTCACTCGCCGACACGACTCGCTCCCCGCAAGACCAACGACTACAGACTCTCGTGTCGTTGATGCTGAGCAGTCAGACCAAAGACACGGTCACGGCGGCGGCGATGTGGAACTTGCAAGCCAATCTACCCGGCGGCTTTTGCTTGGAGTCGTTGCTGCAGGTGGAGCCGGAGGAACTCAACAGATTGATTGAGAAGGTGGGCTTTCACAACAACAAAACCAAGTTCATCAAGGCGACTGCCATCATTCTGCGAGATCAGTACAATGGCGACATACCCGACACCATCGAAGGCCTGGTCAGTCTGCCCGGGGTGGGGCCGAAGATGGCATACCTCTGCATGAGTGCCGCGTGGGGCCGTGACGAAGGCATTGGGGTGGATGTGCATGTGCATCGCATTACCAATCTATGGGGCTGGCATAAAACGGCGACGCCGGAGCAGACGAGGGCGGAGTTGGAGGCATGGCTGCCGAAGGACAGGTGGCACGCCATCAATCATCTTCTGGTGGGCTTTGGACAGACCATTTGCCTACCGGTGGGAAGGAAATGCTGGGAATGCGACTTGGCGTCGGAAGGATTGTGTCCGAGCGCGCAGCTGAACAGGAGTCCAGTGAAGAAGAAGGTGGAGGTGGGGGTCGAGATCAAGGTCGAGGATGGGCAAGTTACTACGGCGGAGGAGATTGTCACTCAATCGGACGGCGTCGGTATCAAGGTCGAGGCACAGCTGGATGGCGAAGGCGTGGTCGAGATGCAAGCCTTCTCTGGAGCAGGATAGTCAGGCAGGATGGTCCAGGTCGTGTTGCTATCGAAGCTCGCGGATGGGGGCAAGAGCCGGTCGCTACGGTGATACCGATTGACGAGACTTATGACTCTGACACACCAGCATGGTCAGGGTCTGGACTGTTCGGAGGCGCACCAACCCCATGCATGAAAACAACCAGGCCCCTTGGGGCGCCTTGTCGAAGACCCAGACCCAAAGTCTGGACTGCATGTGGCGTTGGAATTGCAGCGCTACAGCAATGTGGGGTTATTTCCTCCGCTGCAGGGCGATGATAGAAGCCTCCGTGGCTGCAGTTCAAGAAGACATTTGGGTGGATGGCGGTTGTCTCGAACATACTAGATGAGCGGTGGCAGTCATCGCGCGCAAATGCATGCACAGCACCACCGCGGTCATCTAGTGCCCTCGCATATCGCTGTGATTCGGCGGACAGCTGGTGACAAGAGTCTCCCCGGCATGCCACCCTTGGTGCCTCGGATGTGTTCTGAGCGGTGACGTTGCAGAATTCACATGGTCATGGGTACAGTGCAGGATATAGAGAGCGATAGATGTGAGGTGTTGACGCGCTACAGCATAGACCGTGGTCTGGACCCTGGCAATTAAGGTTACTGGCGCCTAGCCGTAAGGCACGCAATCCAGATTCCAGGTCGCCGTGCGAACAACGGACGAGGGAAATGAAACAACACTACTACGGCACGGAGGCTCGGAGGCTTGGAAGTTGGAGGCGCCAATGCATGCCTCAGCCGGCAGACCCAGTTCCGTGTTTGGGCACCTGCGGGTGATGACGGATGCCTTTCTAGGCATGCAGCTCCGCTCTGTTGTGGCTAGTGACGCGGCTCATTCTTTCGTCGATGCGCGATGGCAGGTCGCGACGGTAAGGAGAAACGAGTTTGGTGCAAGGTGAAGCGAAGAGCGACATTCACCTGCCGGGATAGGCAAAAGATGGAAGGGAAGTAGTTGCTAGGGCGGGCGGTCGGTCAGCGGCCTATCAGTAGCGCGCGAGCCACACGCGGTCGGCGCGGGATCGAGATGCAAGGCGCAGGCCATCGGTGGGCGTGGCGGCATCGACAAAAGCTCCGCCTATTCGGCGGGCCAAGGTTTCTCGTTTTCCTTCGCCAGCATCCGGCTGCAGCCTAGCTCGTCTTTGCAGTCATGCGCGGCCTGCCGCATCCTCGATGCCTGCAATGGTGCCGCGATCCCCTGCCCGTATTAATGTCGTCTTGGGTCGTCACGCTCTCTCTTATTGCTGATCACCGCCCTCACGATCCTGACGTCCTCCATCGTAACCCTCTTCCATCGTCGAGCCAGGCCTTACTTCTACTGCCGTGCTCCTCGCTTCTTTCCTCGTCCTCCACACAATGCTGGCACATCAGGCCTGCTACTTCACCCTACCGCCTACACCTCATCGACCATCCTCCCCCGAGACGCCCCTCTCTTCTCCCATCATCAGCCCTGGGGAGACGCCAGTCGATCCCTTCCACCCGCTGTTGGCATTTAGAACCTCCTGTTACCCACTTCTCACCTCGCCTCAAATGCCTGCCCCATCGACCATCCTGCAAATGCAGACTGCCGCAGCACACTCCGGCTCTTCCAGCCGGCCGCGACCGCACCCGGTGCAGCACGTACTGCACGTCACGGGAGACGACTCCACCCGATCCGACCGCCCTTCCTCCTCCAGCCGCTCGGAGACGTCTTCTTTGGATCTCGCACGCTGCTCGAGGTGCCAGCGAACGTCCAGCATCGACGTGAAGACGGGCAGGAGCAGTTGCATGGTGCAGTACGGTCTCAATTCATGGTACTGCAGTCGTTGCGCGGCCATGGTTGGACTCAACAATCGCTGAACCGAACGAATGATGTCCTCTCACACTTGCCACCTATCGATTGACCCACCTTGTCTCCAACGCCTTGTCGAACAGTATCGACACACGCAGGGAGGACCGACTCGTTTGCACCGGCGGGAATAGATCGTCAAGGATCTTGCCGTGGCAGACAGCCACCCGCCGTCCGCCACCTACATTTTCAGCAGCGGACTACCAAACTGCAAATCACCACACACACACTATCTATTACTACCATCACCAAAGATCGAAAGGAGCACGACTCGAGCAGTCTTGCAATCAATGGAGACGCAGTAACGATGATATGAAGCTCACGGCTGGCTGAATTGATGCATGCAGTTGCTGCTGGCAGCAAGACACTGTCTATTGTCACGTATATAAACAAGCATTGGAATGACTGGCAATAAGCCATGCTTCCAGATAGAATTTTTGGAATACATTTTGGACTAAATTCATCCCATCCCATCGTCGCTCTCCTCAACGATGAATGTTGTTGCGACGTCACGTGCAGAGGAGTCTGGCGGATGCATCGGAGATACAGTTCAAACACCGAAGCCTGATCGGCGATGTCGAGCAGAAATCCAAATCTTCGATGAGCCGCACGCGGATTTTTGGGTGGGCAGTCTGCCGTGCCTTGGTCCCTGGCGCCTTTCTGCCGATGCCCTGCCACTTCCCAGATCGCACGCCCGAATGTCACCTTGACCGAAACACGACACCGTGGAGCCAGGAGGGGTGATGTGACTAAGGTAGTGATGAGTAGCAGGGCGCAGGCTCTCGGGTCATCGCCATTTCGCGTCTGCTTTTACCAAGTATTGGCCGCGCCTGCACGTCGTAAGGTACGCGTCACGCGCATGCAATACCATCTTCCGTCTCCGGCCTGTCCGCCGATGCGCTGGTGACTGTCGATTCCGTCAGCTTACTCTCATCTCCCCGACTCGGCCGCGCGCCCTTCGGTTGTATCGCATGCAGTCCTGCAATGGTGGATGCTGCAAAGGGAAGGGGACGAGCAATCGCACGATTCCACTACCGCCCAGAATGAGCAGGAGTCATCGATCATCGAGCAAGGTGGGTGATGGGCGTCTCAGGAACCCAGCGGATTGTTACCTATCTTGCCCGCCCAGCTAATAAGGTTTGACCTGCTTTCCCTGCTCCACACCGTGTGGCGCAGGCTGCTGCTCCGTGCGCTCACACCGCTGCCGCGTTTTTCGCAAGGCTTTTCGCAGGGAGCGCAAAGGCTGTAGCCAGATGCATCCGATCCCGCGAGACGCGCTGGACGCGATAGACGATGTTGCTCCGGCCCACGCACACACGCTAAATCGCATCTGGACCTTGCACCGCGATAGCAGCCCATCACGGTCATGGCAGACGTGCACAAGGTGGTGGAGCAGCTTCGTCACGATCCGTACAACCTGACCTTGTATATCGACCTTGCAAACCAATACCTCGATCTCGACTATCCCGATTTGGCGGCTGGCGCGGCTTACAAGGCTTTGTTGCTGTCTGACGCCGTCGCGGATGAAGGAGACGAGTTCCATGACCAGGCTTTGGCTTCTTTGCAGGAGCAACATGGAGCGTGTCGAGGGGATGATAGATTGACGGCCGATATAGACGCGCTGTCTGTTCGAGACGATCCCATTGATTCGAGTCATCACCTGTCACTCGTCGAGCATCATGTTCCCATCATGTAAGCAACCCAAGATCTTACCCCTGGGATTCCCAGATGAACTCCAAATGCTAATACCTCCACAGATACCAAATCTTGAGCCGCAGCCTTCTCTCATGTGGCTGTTTACAGAGTGCTTTACTTTACTCTTCACAAGCTCGTCGCCGATATGCAAACAATGTCGAGCTTCAGAAGACACACCATCTGGTCTGCGCCACGGCTGCGAAACATGCTGGTGTCGATGAGCAAGCGCTCTTTGCTCGCAAACATGACGGCCCGGTAGAACTACCGGATAGAGGCGTTGTGCGACGGGAGATTTATCCCTGGAATACTTTCGAACCGGACAGACTCCGCGAGCTGTCGACTCTCAACGAGATGATGGACAAAGTAGCTCCTAAGCTTGAAGTCCTCGTGGTGGAGCTGCCAGATCTGACGACACAATCAGACAGCGGTTGCGTATCGACAGTAAAGCAGCTCGGAGTGTTTGCGAAAGAGGACATTGCCGCTGGGGAAGTGGTCTTGACCGAGGACTCCATCCTGACTGCCAACAACAAACTCCAGGACACGCTGTGCGATGCTTGTAGCACGGATTTGCCGGAGCTGGGCAACTCTGAAGCCGGAAACACCGTTTCTTGCCCTGATTGCGAAGTCGTGTTTTGCAGTCAACAATGTCATGACCGCGCAATGGATCTCTATCATCCAGCTCTTTGTGAAAGGGACGTCGAGTCGATTGCCAAAGACGTCTCCCCCACTGCCGCGAGTGATGCTTTGTACTCGCTCCTCCTGCTACGGACCTTGGCCATGGCCGAAACCCAGCAATGCCATCCCCTCGAGCTCAACGAGGTCAAGTACATCTGGGGCGACTTCCACAACACCCACCCGCAACATGCGTCCGACTCCGCCGACTACCCCAACTCCCTACCCTTCAGCTTCGAGCATAACATCCGCCTTCCGTTCCACATGCTCGAGAAGATGGACATCGACATCTTCGCCAACCCGCAGTACGACGTCTGGGTTTTCAACACGCTGTACGCCAAGTTCCGCGGCACTGCTTCCGCCCGGCTTTCAGGGCGTGGAGGCCGAGCCGCCAGGGGACCGGAAGTCGGCGCCGTTCATCCCATGTGGTGTCTGGCGAATCATTCCTGTGATCCAAATGTGAGCTGGGAATGGGGCGGTGCTATAGAGTTTCGAGCTCGCGAGCAGCGCGTTGCTTGGAGTGATCCGTATGGCAAGTCGCCGCGTCCTGCTGCTGAGCCTGGTATCAAGAAAGGCGAGGAGATCTTTAATCACTACTGCGACATTGATTTACCCGTCAAGGAGCGCCGGGAATGGGCGGAAGGCGCACTGGGCGGAGCGTGTCGATGTCCGCGATGCATTTTTGAGGCGGGAGAGAATGCATGAACACAGAAGTCATCTTTGCTACGGTTTGAATGTGCATTGCATTGATGGAGACGGAGACGAGCTCTATCAGTCGCCGAGATACACTGGCACTCCATACACAACCGGTGCAGCACCGTTGAGATATCGCAGGTAGCAAGCTTCTCTACTACGAGAGACCGCTTCCACCAGACTTCGCTTTCCTTGGACTCCCTCTAGCGATCCGGCGCCGCGTCTTGCTGGCGTCTTGAACGGCGCGGGAGTCTTGGCCACCCTCGGCGTCTTAGGAGTCTTTGGCGCTCGCTGAGGGGTGGACGGGACGGCAGCAGTGTTTCTCTTCTTCGGCGATTTGATCGGCACCCTGGCCTGTTCAGAAGCCGGCCACAGGCCCCACTCCTCACCAAGACGGAGCGAGAACCGATCGATGTCTTTATCCGTCACATCCCACAAGTTCGCCACGACTGCTTTACATAGGTTGGTGGTGCCCGTATCAGACTGCCGCCCCGTTCCGGCGAGCAGATAGTCCAGAGGAACAGCACTCGGTTCGAAATCGCCGTGTTCGTGTACAGTCCCGGATGAGCAACCCATCAGCCACGCGACATCGCAGCAAGTGCTTAGGCGCTGAATCGTGCTCGGACGGATGAAACTCGAGCCTGCACCGTGTCCAAAGTACATTAGGATGGAGGACTTGGCGATGGCGGTGGCGAAGCGATCTTCGTCGGGGCCTTCATTGACGATGGCTTGCCAGTTGCTCGAGTGTTGTTGCTTGAGGCCGGATAAGACGGGCTCCAATGCGGCTTGCGTATTTGGCAGATTGGATGAAGGATTCAGAATGTACGTGCCTGACGTGGCATCTGCGACAATGCGGTCGACGTGCTTCCCGGAGGGCTCGTTCTGTGCTGCTCGAAGCGCCAAGATACGCTCGCGGATCGATAGCATGCTTCCGACTCTGCTCACGCTCGCTTTCTCCAAGCAGGGAAGACTTTCCCAAGGGAATGCTTGCAGTCGTCGATCGAGCACAAGGATGAGGTGCTGATGGGGTTGATCGTTGTGCGATTGTCGGATATCCTCATGGTAGGCGCGTAGCGCATCGAACATATCCACGGTCATCCCATCAAAGTCGATTTCGTCGCAAGCATTACGCTCACCACCAAATTGCAGCATATCGACGACAAACTCCAATAGGTCCGCTAGCGACTCGTCCAGATCGATTTCTCCATCGTGATCATCACCAAGCCCGACGAAAAGTTCCAGAATCTTGTCGTCTACCGACAGGGCCTCTGTTTGGCGCCGAGTGCCTTTCCGGGATGGCAGATAGCGACCCAGAATTTCTTCGAACGACTTCCGGAAGTCTCTCATTGAATCCTGACGGGTCGTAGAAGGAGCGAAGATGCCCTTGAAGCCTCGGAGCCAAATGTCTTCTATGTTGATGAGTAGGTCGTGAAGACGTCTGTCCAACTCCTCCCGCGCGCTCCACCACGTGTGCCTATTCGTCCCTTGCGGATTGTGACAGCTGTAGTTGGACATATCGATGATGTCCTGCAGGTCGGATTTTGCATAGTGAAAATCGAAGACTTCTTCGTCATCCAGGCCGCTCGGGCTGTGTCGCAGGAGTGGGAGTCTCAGGATGAGTGGCGTCTGTCCGCTATCGTATCGAGCAATATATAGCTCTCGGCAATCTGCGCTCAAGCACAATGACACCGCTGTCCACGACTTTGGCAGGATGTCGATGAAGTCTCGTTGGAACTCAGCGGCGGTCGTGGATGTGGGAATGCCGGAGTAATCGCTAAGGTGCGGCGATACCGACGAGCTCGGTGACTCTGAGCGCGATCCGCTCAACGCCACAGCCTGCTGCTCATACTGTAAAGCCTTCACCCGTGGAAAGTCAAGAGCGAAGCACTCGACCGCCGAGTCGAGTTGACTGGCAGTAGCTCCTGAGGCTGCAGACATGTAAAAGCCGGCAGACAACAGCATCGCACTCTCGGTATGAGTGGCACTGGTCCCGCATAGCTTGTGATTGTTGTCATACCCTAAGAGCAGCGAACCTCTCGCAGTCTTGATCAGGTCTAGGAAGTTGTCTGCGACAGTCGTTGTTTTCGTGATTGCCTTTCTAGCCGGCTTCTTTGTCGGATTTGACGCTTTAGCTGATGCTGGAAGCCTCCGCTGCGATTTGGTGGGTTGGGGCTGTTCAGCCACGACCTGCCGTAGGCCCGGGATGATGAGCGTCGAGTCCAAAAGCACGTTCAGCGTGACGTCCATCTCGAGCGATTTCAATGCTTGTGACATAGCGATCTGGAACTGCGCATTGCGCAAGAGCTGCAGATCCATGGTAGACCGTGAAGCTGACACGTCGACATCACCCTTGGTCGGGTCAAGAGTGTTTCCAAGACGAAGTTGCACGAGTGTTTTTCGCAACAAGACCGTTCTTTGCAGTTTCTCCATCGAATAGGAAGGACGAGTATTGGCGCCGTCAGCGTGTGACTTTGACATTGGCTTCGAAGCTGGTATTGGTCCTCGTTTCCGTCCGGTCTTGGGCACAGGCGCTGCGCGTACTTTTGATGCTGGACGCTTCTGGTCGCCGCAAAATTCGCCCTTCGCGGTCTCACACAGCAGCTCCACTCCAACTGAATCTTCTCGGGATACGGTATCCTCCGCGAGACTCTCCATTGTTGGAGCAAAGCCTCTCTGAAACATCTGACGGATGTAGCTTTCCGCTTTCTCGTAAGTAGCAAGCGCATCCTCCAGAGAGCCAGATTTCTCATACACTGCCGCCCGTGCACACTGTCTTTCAACGGAAGCCAGCGACAGTTCTTCAATAGAGCAGGTATCGTTTTGGGCAAGACAAAGTTCGGCGTCTTCGAGGCGGCCGGCCGAGAGCAACAGTTGACTCCTGCAGCTTCGAATGCGGGAGAGCCAGGCTGTTGATCCAACGGACTCTGCAATCTGCATTGCCCTCTGCGAGTGATAGTCTGATTCGTGGAAGATTCCATGGTGGGCGTACACGTCGGACAGGTGCAGCAAAGCCTCGATGAGTAACGGCATCACTGGCCAAAACGGTGCTCCTCTTCCAAGTCTTTCATTTGTTTCGCTTGACGGAGAGTCTCTCGCTCTTCCCAAGTCAAGCTTACTGACCTTTCTTGTGACTTCGTCGAGTTCAGATCTGGCCGTCTCGACTGTGCTTGACTCGCTCTTATCTTGCCAAGCTCCCTCAAGATGTGACCACAAGGCTTTGAGACCTCTGACCGATTGACTCGCAGCGGCGAGAGCCTGGTGAGGAAATGCGCTCCTCAACGATAGCTTGGAATGCACGAGTTTCGCTTGACAGCTGAGTAATGCCTGTCGACGTCCGCCAATACCCGTCACGCCTCCCAAATGATGTTGCGGTAGCAGCCGCTCAGCTTCAGCCAAAGCTGCGCGACAATCGTCGAGATTGTCAGTTGCTAAGAAACACTCGGCTCGAGCAAGCTGATAGTTCAGCTTGGCCAGAGGTGACACCTCGCCGACTTCCAAAGCATTCCGTGCCTCGTCCAGATGGGCCGATGCCGTTTCGGACTCGCCCAGCTGAATATACAGCCGAGACAGAGCAGTCCGAGCATCACATGGGGAAAAGTCGCGATCATCGTGCAGACGCGTTAGTTTGACAAGTATTCGTTGTGCAGCCAACGCACCCGCATCTTTCCCAGTCATCCTGAAGTACGCCACAAGCGAGTCGAGTTGCTGCAGAAGAGCGCGCAAGTCATCCACATGGCCGCGGAGGTCGCTGCTGGAGGTACTGTTATCAACAATCCGCTGCCAAACAGTCAGAGCAGACTGCAGGTCTTTGGCTTGCGGGCGTCCACCTTCGAACAAACGTGCGACAGCGAGATTCGCCTGAAGATCGCCGAAGTAGCCCTTCAGGCCGACGTCCGCTCCCAGACTCTCGATCTGGTCAAGGGCCGGATGTAGCCATACGTTGAGATCCTGAGAAGGCAAGAGATCTGGGTGGCCCTCCAACAATCGCCATGCAACAATCGCCACCCTGGCCCTTCGTAAAGGGAACTCCGAAGGAGTGTAGATCTTCGCCAATGCTTGCAAGAGCTGAGGGAGTAGTTTCTGCAGGGCACTGCTGTACTTCAGTTTGCCTGACAATTCAACCATGCACTTGAGTTGCCATTCCAGCAAGATCCCTCTCTCGCATGCCTGCAGACTCTCATCGTCGAAGAATGGCGGGATCTTGGCATTGGGCTCTCGGGCCGTCTTGATGGTCAACGCGTGGAGGATGCGGGATAATGAGAGCACCGAGGTGGATATCTTCCAAGCATCACCAAGGCATTGCGACGCTGCTGCCCTCGCAACATCTCGAGCGGACCCGCTATCGACAAACGTTTGCACGGCAGGGCCACTGGCCCACTCAATAATGTCCTCGGTGGACTGAGCGATGACAAGGGCATCTTCCAGAATAATTCGAATGTGCTCCACGTGGCTGCTGGGGTAATGCTGTGCACAGCCGGAGGCGTATATCGCAGCGAGATGAGACAGCCGTCTTGCAGAGGCAGATTGAGAATGGGCGGGAGCGACTCTAACCCGTCTGGTAAGCTGCGCAAGAGCCTTGAGCAGATCTCCATGATCCGAGCGGGCACCGCTGAGCGTACTCTGCAGCATTGGCAGGAGGAGATCAAAAACGGCCGCCGATGTTGATATCTTTGTCATGAGCGTCGTCCTTTTCACAACGCACATGACTTGCCTCGCGTCGTTGATCTTCAATGTCGAACAGTCTTCTTCCATGCACTCAGCCCATTTCAATGCTGCATCATACATCCCTGCCTCTTCGGCCTGCACGCACATAAGCTGATAGATTTGGAAAAGCGACGGTGTCGGCTCAGTCTGTTTGCATGGTCCGAGAGACTCGAAGCAGCGCTCGAGTGTTTGATGAACTGTATCTGCGTCCAGAGTCAGACCTCGTCGGATAAAGGTCAATGCACATCTGTAGAATGGATCAAGAAGGTCTTTTGACGGATCCTGCCGATGATTTGCCAGGTTCCACGACAGTTTCCGGATTCGCAGGGAAAGTACTTGGAATTCGAATGCCGCCTTTGGAGACGGCTGTTCCTCGGTGTTCAGCGCGGCAGCATCGGCGGACGCTACAATCGGAGGGCAAAAGGCCAGAATCGTCCTCGAGAGTGCATCGAGGTGCTTGGTAGCTTTGTCATTGTCTCCAGTACACTTGTATTGTTGCATGATCACGTCGGCCGGGGAGTTCCGAACTCCGACTAGGTCATGTCCGAGAACTTCATCGTAGACAGCGGCCTTGCATGGGAGAGAGAGGGTCCGTAGCACGGTATAATGGAAGGAGATTGCCACGCGAAGAGCGTCTTGATCCATGACCAGAGCGTTGCTGAGACAGAGCATTGAACCGAAAGTCTCATTCGATGGAGAAGATCGGTTGACGGGCTTCGGCCCTTGAACAGGATGGCAGCGGTGTTCCAAACTGCTTTTGACACGGCGAAGTTGCTTGACGGCGATACCGCGGAAGCCATGAGTAATGGCCAGGCCGGCCAGGCAGAGCATCCCTTGCTCGAGCTGCCACTTGGGCGGCTCTCGAATGCCGCACTCCTTGTAGTTGAGAGAACGGAGAAAGGCGAAAGCCACATCGGCGCATTCTGCAACATGAACAGCACGTATAGGTGCATTGCTGAGAATGATAGTCTCTGCGGTTGATTTTGCTCCGCGGATGGCCTTTGTCTTCTCGGGTGACGGATGGTCCGGTACAGTGTTGCTGGATCGAGATTGCAATACGTTTAGATCTCCCGCCTTCCGAGGTGGTGTGGTTGAGTCAGAGTCTGAATCTTGACAGTGGCCGGAAGCTGTCTTTTCTGCGGCCTTGCATGGGCCACTTAAGACCTTCAAACTCGCATTGGCCGCGTGAGTCGCCAAGCGGTGCTTCTCCTGGACCGAGAGGGTGGGAAGCCGGTCTTCTCGCACGAACAGGCTCACATTCTTCTTCGTTTTTGATGCCACGGGTTTCGGTTTTCGCGAATCTGCCGTGCCCCGTGATTTATCATTAGGTCGGTCGACGGGCTTCTTGCCATTTGCTCCGTCGGAATTTGGCCGCTCGAGACCCAAGAAGGACTGCAGCGCCGACACTGTTGCTTCTGTGGCCGAGCCAGCCGCCAGCGAGGACTCCAGCTCCTGCAGCTTCCATTTTCCTCCCTCCATCGATCAAAATCTGTCCCACCCAAAGAATGCCGCCCTGAACGTGGTCGCAAGTCCGTAGTATGTGCAGGATACGCGCCAGCAACGCGAGGTGAAGTTGGCTTCGGCCACTCCCGCCGGTTGACGGGGCAACAATTCTCCGCCACCGATCACCTCTGAAGTCTACCAATCTTATTAGCTGCTGTACTCGAACTCCAGCTGTTGAATGGCCGGCGAGACACGGTAATACATTCAACGATGGCACCCTCGAGAGCAATGACTCCGCTGCGGAATATCTGCGTGCGATGTCCGATACGGCAAACGACCGCAAGCCGAAGATTTGGAGCCAGCGGCCGCCGCGGATATGCACAAGAGTCCGATCTGCCGCGCATTGCAAACCCTTCCTTTTGGGCCTCACTTGTCCCAAAGTTCCTCCGCCGCTCCAAGGATCCAATCGAGGTGGCGGAGGTGGCGAAGGCGAAGTCGACAAGATCCAAAGAATGGAACCCGGCCACCATCTTCCTTTTTCTCGGCATCTTTGTCGGGTCCAACGCGATTCAAATCATTGCTATGCGCAATGAAATGCTGAACTTTAGTCGCAAGACCGATGCCAAACTCTCTTTACTCCGCGAGATCGTGCAGAGGGTGAAGAATGGGGAGGACGTGGATGTGAGGAAGGCTTTGGGAACTGGAGATCCCCAACACGAGGCGGAGTGGGAAGAGGTCGTGAAGGAGCTGGAAGAGACGGATATGTTATTGGAGGGAAGTAGAAAGAGGGAAGCAAAGAGGGCAGAGAGGCTGGACCAGAAGAGAGAACAAAGCAAAGAGAGGACGACGGAATCTCGCGATCGTGAGGGGCCTGGAGACGGTCACGAGCCGGACACGGCGCAGGGTGATACGAATCGACGACCAAAGTTTCTCATGTGAAGCATGCTAGATTGAGGCCCTCCAGTATGAGGAGCTCAATTTATGATTCTCTGTCATTGAAGGCTCTGAACACCGCTGCCGCCACGGAAGCATGCGTCGCTACCCTGTTATGGCCTAAGAGGGAATCAGTGGATTGACGGACGGATTACGTGGGACTTCGTCTCACCTCCATGCTGCAGAAGCTCGAAACGGACTCTGGGGGCGTCATCGGACTTGACGCCCAAGACAGCAGCACCCTTGCTACCATCGATGCACTCCGCGCCATCAACAAATATCCGTCGGCATATCATCTCAGTCTGATGATAGGAGATGTCGAAGTCGTCCAGCGAATGAAAGATTTGCAGGCTGCCCAATCTCGCTGCATTCGCCGGCGCAAGCCCGGAATCCCCGGACAGGGTGGCGTGGTACGCGCGCAGTCTCTCCGCAGTATGCCATTTGTCCACCATTTGAGATGTGAGAGAACTTGCCAGTGCCGGGAATGGTCGCAGGGGAAGCAGGAGCGGGAGAAAGCCTCCCATTCGGTATGTGAGCAGCAAGGACGGCAAGCTGGAGAAGGGAGCAATAAGGATGATGCCGGCAAAGATGGTCGGCTGGAGTCCATCTTTCTCCACCACTCCGGGAATTGGTTCTGCAGCGTTTGGCCAGACCAGCTCATTTGACGGATCGGCGAAGCGTAACGCAACAGCACTCGCTACTGCAGTGCCCAGGCTCTGGCCGAGAATTGCGATCTGATTGGGCGGGATGTTCGCAATGCGCAGCACCCAATTCACCAGTGCTGTCCCATCCTCGATCAGACCGGCCTCGGTGGGATATCCGGAAGACTTTCCGAAGCCGCGATAATCGATCGTGACCACGTGCGTGTTTGGCTGCGCGGTGAGATGCCGAAGCGTTTCCGGTCGCCAGCCTTGTGCGATATGTCCAGCATTGCCGTGGACTTTCTGGTCAGCCTTGGGGATATTGGGGGGATCGAACGGATAATGCTTACAGCTCACCACAACTTTCGCTTCACTTGAAGTCAATAGATGGAATGCATGTGTATTGGAGAAATCGCCAATGGACCCCGCTTCCTTTCGCAGAACCTCTTCGTTGCGAGCATAGGCGTCGATGGGTAGGACATGCCAGGCATACAAAGTCTCGCCATCCGCGGTGTGAATGCTGAAGGGCGTAACCTGGCCTTTGGCGAATCCAAACCGTTCACCGTTGTCGATGTCGTGGAGGAAAAGGGTGTTGATTTTGTGGGCATACAGAGCGAAGCGTTGGAGATTCGGAGTAAGCAAGGCTCCAAGAATGATGGCGTAGACTCCAACGAGGGCAGCGGCACCTATGCCGACCCTACGCCACGCTGAAGGCATTGTGGTGTAGAGATGTTGCCGCTTCAATCAAAGTAGACGTCCATTGGGTCTTCCTCGAAGTGGACAGACAGGGATAATGACGATGGAAAGGGCAAGGGCTACAATTGCTCGCCTGGACGATCTCTTTGGGAATGCTGCGTCTCGCCCATTTATAGGACGTCGAGGTGCAAGGAAGCGTGGCCGCGTTCAATGGCTGAGAAGTGCCAGTTGGGCAACGCTACGGCCAAGACGAACGTCCACTAGCGCCTCCTTGGTTCCAGCCAATCACAACGCAGACTGTTGGTCACTCAACTTCCATCTGTACCTGACCGTGATCTCGCAATTTCCATGACACAACCACTACAAAGCACCACAAAGGCGTTCGCGATCTGTAAGAGCAAGGTGATGCATAGGTCAGACCGACGCGACGCACCATGGCGCAAAGTGAGATAGCGGCGGCGGGACACAAGAGAACGGCCAGCAGGTTGTCGAAGGGAGCACAGCCTGCGGGCAAGAAGAGAAAGATCTCCGCCGCCCACGCCAGTTCTCCATCCCCAGCAGTGCAGACGCCCGCCGAGACCTCGCCCGAGCCCGAAGAGCCCATCATACAACTTCCAGCGAGGGTGCGCGGAAGCAGACCTCTTCCCTCCCTAAAAGAGCAGCAAGCCGTCTCCCTCTCGAACAACGACTACCAGACTATCGCCGCGTCCGCCGTGTTACAGACCTCCCTCGATCGCTCCAGGTTGAAATGGATCCATGACGGTGTGTTGGAGCGCTACTGGGTCAAACCGGAGAGTGGCAAGAACGCGAAACCCACGCCACCAAACAATCCCGAATTGAAATGGCAAAAGCACAAAGGGCCATGCAGGATTCGTGTTGAACCGCACATCTTCGAGGCGGAGATTTATGTCGAGGAAAAGGCCAAACCGCCTCCGCCGCCTCCAGTGAAGCACTACGTACCTCCAAACTATCAACAGAGCGCATATGGCCAGCCCTATCGACCGAATCAGCAGCCATATGGCCAGCAGTACTATCAAAACCGCGGTCCGACTCCTGCCCAGCGGCAACCCCACGGACACAGCATGTCGCCTGGCCCCAACGCATCCCACCCTGGAACCCCCGCACTCCAGCCTCACCGGCCTACACCCCCATCGGCTTCCCCACCGCAAGAGAAGAAGGCTTCGCCCGACCCGGTCATCAGCATGCTCGCCAATCGTGCATCTTCCGATCCCGAGCTGAAGGCGTTGATGAAGGAAGTGGCGACGGGAAATGCCTCACAGGAGCAACTGAAGGTCTTCCAAAGCCACATTGATGAATTGACCAAGATTATCAATGACAAGAAAAAAAAGGAGGAAGGCGCCGCGGCCGCTCGGCCTCCACCCCAACAGACTGAAGCTATTCAATATGACGGAGCTGGTGAAGCTATCCAATATGATGGAGCCGGTAAGCAGCCACATCAACAGCGGCCATATCAAGCCCCAGCCCCCGCATACCAACCACCTGCCTGGACCCCCGCTCCTGCTGCTGCTGCTCCTCCGCCGCCTCCCGCGCCTAGGTCTCTTCCCGTCGTTCTGGCATTCACGAACCCTGGAGCGACAGAGGATCGCTTTCTCTTCCCGCAGAACAGCATCATCGAAGCACTGTCGCCCCAACACCTTCTCGCCAGCTTCATCACTACGCGAAAGGGTCGTGAATCCCCGGAAGCCAGCAACCTCGAACCCGACACGGAATACTGGCAACCTGTGACGCTGATGGTCGAGGTGGCGTACAACCGCGAGCATATTCTGGACTGTGTGCGGAAGTGGGTCAAGCCGGCGGAGGAGGTCAGGAAGCATATGGAGGAGGTCATGGCCAGGTGTACCAAGGCGGAGGAAAGCTATTTGGCTATGAGACTTCCGTTCAAAGGCAGTGCGCTGGCAGAGGCGGAGGATTCGGGAGCGGACGAGGGAACGAACACGCCTAACCCCGCGTCCGAATTACAGCCGAAGCCGCGGAAGTATACGAAGAAAAGCGCGGCAAAGAGCGTAAACACCGAGACAGAGAAGACTGAGGCAGAAAAGAACGAAGCAGAGAAGAATGAGGCTGTGAAGGGTAGTGCTGTGGACAGCAGCGCCGCCAAAGATCAAACCGCAGCTGAAGCGCCAGCGACGGAGAAGCCTTCTAATGATGGTCCCGTCTCCGACGTCGCTGCTGCTCCTTCTGCTGCCGAACCTGCCGTGGAAGACAATCTCGAGGGTAGCAGACCGAAGAGAAGCACGAGGAAGAGTGTGAGAATTAGCGAAGCTTGAATGATCATGAGAGCATTTTCGATAGTCTAATATCTGCTACGAACCCATGCTACCTCACCCTCGTGATTATATGTCTAATTACCTTTAATTTCACTTTTGTAAACCGTCGCCCGTTCTGGAGTAGAGTCGAGATCTGATGAGAACAATGCATTGTTCTGCACAATGCATTGTGCAAGCCCGATCACCTCCAATGGCCAACATGGCGTACCAGCTGCAATGGTCGTATTTGGCCTCATAGCACCAATTCCTAGGGCTACCTGCTTGCAGTGCCATCTACAAAGCTAATGTACACTGCAACAAAGCCCAAAAATCTCATATGGGCTGCTGTTATTTGAGGGAAAAATCGCCATTCGAAGCAGGGTGATATCTCACGGTATCAGGCATGTTTGAATATCAAATCCAGCCTCCGGAACCGGCAAAAAATGATCGTGCCAGGGGTCGAACCCTATTGAATCGTTAGAATGAGCTGTAAAGACGTATGAGGCATGTGGGTGATGCATACTGGAATCTCTTGATGGACAGGAAATATCGTAGTCAAGCGCCTTGCCATTGGGCCACACGACCTGCGTAGGAGGATGTAGGGAATTGATTCGAGTTTGTTTATATTGCTGAGGAGTTTTCCCCGAAGTTCAACCGCATATCCGCTCTATCCGACCTACCCATCGCCCTAGTGATCCACGAACGCGAGCAATTTACGGAGACGAGAATACATGATAGTGGACAATTACGATTCAATGCATTTCCATTCGGTGGCCAGCACACAGTAATGCAGGCTGCGAGCTTAGGTAGGCTACATGTAGCCCGCCGGCAACCCTTTTATCTACAAGATCATAGCGGTTCATCATGTTGCATCCTTCGTGTATCCTGCACATGCAAAGCGTTTTGGTATCTCAAAAGGTTCCGCCGCCCATCTAATCCCGCCAAATGCAAGCGGCTCACGCCATCAAGCGGTCGAGCTCGGCATCATCGTCAATCCACGGGCCCTTCTCCTCTTCCGTCGCGCCCAGCACGCCCTCGGCCCGCAATAGCGTCTGGCGGTCGAGGTCCGTCGTCCACGTGCGACCCTCGAGGTCAAGCGGGATGCGGACTTCGTGTTCGCCGTCCAGCATCATGTCGTCTTTCCACAAGCGGCGCTGTCCGTCATACACACACAGCACACGCTTCTTCATCTTCATCTTTTCGGGAGGCGCGCCCCAGGAGATGGGGTAGTTCTTTTTGCGTTTCGAGCCCTTGCCGCTCACGGGGCCGGTGAGGGGAACGCCGTTTTTGGAATACGTCAGGCCCTTTCGCGGCTTGCTGACGGCGCCACCGCTTGAAATGTGGTTGCCACCCCCGACGTGCTGTCCAGAGACACCTCGGGGATGTGTTAATTGTCAACTCGGATTGCCATCGGCGTTCTTGCGTGACTTGATGGCTCCCTTGCCGGACTTGCTCGAGTGGCTGCCGTGCGTGCCGCTTGGCGAGTCATTGTCGTCGTCGTCCTCCGCGTCGTCCTCATCTACGACATCTTCATCATCTTCTTCGCCAATGGAGGCAGTAGAAGCGTTGTAGTCGAGGCCGGTGGAAAGCATGTGCTTTCCCATCGTTTCCTTCACATCCTCATCATCCGCGACGGACTGGAGGAGCTGTTCATTGATGGCTTCGCCGGGATCGGTGCGCTGGACCACGCGCAGAACGCAGTCGTCCAAGTGCTCGTAAAAGTCCTGCGCGTTCGCAAACGTAACCCCACATGTCGAACACGTGCCCGATGTCTCGCGCGACATGCCGTGCTGACTGCTGGCGAGGCTCGCCGGACTCTTGCGACGGGAATTGGGCGGGGTCTGCTCCACATTGTGCACCGAGGTCAAGTGTCGCTTGAAGACGTCGGCGCGGTTGAAGCTCTTCTCCGCCGCGCTCCCGCTGCCGGGACAGAAGCCGCAGACCATGGTGCCTTTGTAGTGCGTCAAAGTGTGGCGATTCTTGTCGTACTTGCGGGCAAAGCCCTTGACATGATACGCGCACGTGGGAATGGGGCACTTCTCGGGGCGCTCATTCTGGTGCGTCAACATGTGGGCCTTGAGATCCTTGACGTGCCTCCCGCATGTCGGAATGGGACAGAGGCCTTTGTTGTTCGTGTCTTCGGACGAGATGGAGCCTTGACTGTGCCGCGAATGCTGCGAGGAGATGGAGTGTCTCCGCGAGCCATGATGCGGGAGGTACGGCTGGACGGACGGTGCGTACATATATGGCGACGCCGTCCTGCTTGCCTTGCCGATCGTCAGTTGCGGACTAGGCGCCGAAGATGGTGCTTGAGGAGCAAAGGCAGTATACTGCGGCGAGTGCACGGCGGGGACATCGGGAAAGAGAGTGCCGGAGAGTTGTGATGGCGAGAAAGTCGGTTGGATGAGGGCGGGATCTGCAGGATTTTCTTAGTCAGCCAAGCTCGGAATTCGCGCAAATGGAAAGAAGCCGTCGATGACAGGCAGGATAAAGGCAAGAAGACGAGGAGTAGGAGACGGACAAGAGTAATCGAAAGAAGATACGAAATGATCACTGGAGTGAGAAAAGAATGGAGTCATCGGCGTTGCCGGAAACGCAGGCGGGCCAGCGGGCACGTTGCTCTCGTCGCAAGGCAATGCCTGAGCAAGTGGCGGAGTAGCCTTGCGACTCTCCATGGCCCGCTCGAGGCCAGGCCAGCTGGTCAAAGCAGACATGAACCCGCTGTCACTCCGACTGGCGCGAGCGTTCCGGGAGCTCGGAGAAATGGCAGGGAAGTTGCGCGCCCAACGATGTGCACGAACGGGCTGGTATGGTGGGGAAAAGAAAGTTTGTGTCGACGGCATGTTTTGGCGCGGCTGAGAAGTAATGGAAAAGGTGGCCAACTCACCCACACACGATTTGTCCATGACCGGTATGGAGTCCAGGCTGAAGTTGGACGTCGAATAGACGTGGTGCGCCATGGGCTCGGATGACACGACTTCCGGGAGCATGTGATGGCCGTGATTCCAGTCGTTGGTGTGTTGCGGGTAGCTGGACGGCGAGCCCATTGTGGACGAGATGGTGCTCTGAATCGACGCGCCCGAGTCGGAAGTGGATGACAGGGCGGGTGGGTTGTGAGGGTCGAAAGAGTGGGATGCGGACTGCGCGGGCGAGTAGTTGATGCTGTGCTTCACCAACTGTTCATCAAAAACGTATTGATCCGGCTGCGCAAAGGCGGACTGGGTGCTGTAGGAGTCGAATGTCGTCGCGTTCGCGTATGGCTGCTCGGCGTATGATGTTGGGGGGAGGTAAGGCTGCTCTTGATGCCACACGTCTTGGTATGGGTACAGAGTGAAGTCGTTCGAGGCCATGCTATGAGAGGGGTATTGCGCAAAGGTGGCCATGCCTAAGGTACCCTGCCCATATGCGAGAAGGCGGCGGCAGGTTACTTGCGATCGTACAGATGCGCCCAAGGCTGCAAGACAGTCAGCGATGTCGGTCAGTGTGGAAGGAAAGAAGAGTGTGCTGCTCACGTGTGTTTGGATCAATCTCTCGAGTCGGACGCTTGGTCAGCAGGTTTGAACGGGATCGGTCGCGAACACGAGGTGAGGTTCCTGCCAGAGGATGGAGAGGGGAGGGAGTAGGCTGAGACAAAGACTTGTTGGAGAGGAGAGGTATATGTCAGCCTGGGGACAGCACGTTGCTCGCGAGAGCAGGGGTATGACGGCGATAATAGAGACGATGGTGGAGGGGATGCGCATGGGGGCGAAGCATCAAGGCTATGTATATGTATAAGAATATCTTTGGGGCCAAAATGAGACGCAGCACGAGCCACACGGCCGCTGGGGGCTGCCTTGAACGGCCGTTGCCCTGCCCTGCCCTGCCCTACGGCGGAGGCGGCGAGCAAACGTTTAGCGTGACACTTTGTTGTCCGCCAAACTGGCCCCTGCAGGTCTGCAAATCTTCCATGCCTGGCGGCAGAGGGATGGATCATGATGTCGCCCGTTCCAGTGGTCCACGACGCGGGACATCGTGGACCCGCCTCGCAATCTAATGCCCCACGCACCCCATGTGGTGTGGGTGACGGTGAGCCGGCGAGGGCGCGATCGGCGAAGTGCAGCGAGCCCGCTTGCACCTCCCCCATGCATTCCCCCCTCGCCATGGCGTCTGCCTTCCGGCTGTGTGCCAGCCCGAGGAACCCAAGCCGGCGCAGGTTGCGATTGCTGCAGACGTACAGATACGTACCGGGGTGGAGGCGCATCACACAGTAGGCCAGACTTGGAGTAGATGCGAGGGTGACTGTGAGGCGTGGGCGTGGGCGTGGGTTGCGGTCGCTGCGCACCATCCCGTGCCATCCTGGCTCCGGCATGGTGGGTGGGGCTACCACGGTCCGCAAATCAAGCCCTACCACCCATCCGCTCGGGAGCGTTCTCGCGCGCTGATTCGAAGCATCGGCTTCTCCGCAGGCACACTGGCTGCACGCGGATCTGGTGGTTGGAGAAGCGTGGCTTGGCCGTCGTTCCCGCTCAAAGCGGTCTCACCATTCGCTAAAAATGTCGGCTTGGCGGCTACGCTTGACCCCGAACGGCCTGGTGTTGCTGGAATCTAGCCAGATGGGGCAAAACAAATGCACGGGGGGCCCATGGGCACCAAGCCCTACCGCGCAGCACTGCTGCACTTGAGATGATGTGCGCGCGACGGGTTCACCGCAACGTCCAGCTCGGCGACTTTGCAGCGTCGCCGTTGTGTACCACAATATGCCGTGGGCGAGAGTACCCGGGTTGAGCACTGCGAACACGTCCGCCGATCTTGCTTCGCGAGGGGTCAGCGCACCCCTGCTCTCGCCATTACCCTACGCCAGGAGTGCCAATGGGTTGACAGCTCGGCGGTCACAATCGCCCGTCTGACCACCAATATCGACAGCGACGACGCGGCGCAAATGGGCGATCGCGTGCGCTGCAACGAGCACTGGCTCGATATCCGTGTGTGTACAGTAGGCAGGTGTCGGGAATCCTCTAGGATTTAGCATTCGCGGGTAAGGCGACGCCGCAGGACGCTTAGTCCTCGCCTTGCCCTTATCGCGGCTCCACTACGATCCTGCGCGCCAGCAGTGCGGCGGGCCGTCTCCAACCACTCCGCACCAATCCGCACCGAGCTTCTCGCATCCTAGACCCCTTCCCGCTGCCTGATGGTGTGATGGCCCTGCCCCATCGCACGTGCAGGCGGGCACTTGGTAGTGGGGGTTCCGGCTTACTAATGACACAGTAAATGCCTCTAGTCTTCTCGGCTCGCGGCCCCTCAATGTGGGCGCGCCTGTCATTGGATGCTGCGGTGGTTTGTATCGCGCGTGATGGCCATTTCAACCCGCCGGGAACCGCCCGAACACGTCGTTTTGGAAACGTGCTCGAAGCCCTAAAATTGACCTCCTCTACCGGGCTTCCTTGGCGATGCAGATCAACGGACGCAGCGACGCGATTCCACGGAAGCAGCTATGTCATGAGCACGTTCTTACTCCATTCTTGTTAGACATGCCTCATCCAGCGACGCTGCTGGCTACACAAGGTATGTTCTATTTGTTCGCGATCATCGTCAGCCCTACGGAAGAGGTAAGCATATCCCTCGGACTCTCCGTCTCGGACTCCCCTTGGCTGTGCTACTTCTGTACCTACACTTTCCAGCACCCGCGCCCACCCCCACCTTTTTGCGCAAACGGCTTGAAACCTCTCCGCAAAACCTGTCGTCACGCCCCTCTGTTGAGAACTCTCCCTGTATCATCTCGGCTACCTTGCCCGATCGACGTCTGGATGATGGACTGTGCTTGGTGGGTGATCAGGCAGCCATGACGCCGCGAATTACCTTGCTTTGTAATAAGCGCGGGTAAGGAAAGCAGGGCAGCGTCTCTGCCAACGACAGTGGTGTCCGGCGTCACGATCATGCCGTCTTACAGGTACTGCGCCCTGCCCTCCATAGCCACCAGACGTCAAACGCCAACACGTGGCTGTGCTCTCGCTCGGCGAGCTCGGAACACTGCAACCTTACCACCCCTGTCATCCTCGTCATTTCTCGAGGCACGCACATGAAACTACCTTAGAAGGACACTCAATCGAGCTCAGAGTTGGTAGCACTCTCCTTCATCCCACATGTCGTGTTACGCGTTCACCAGGTCTATCCAGTACCTACGTAGAGAAGTGAATGACCTCAGCCGATCTTCACGCTCTACCGAATGCCCCCATCCGGTTAGTACTGCGCCGTCGCGCTCGACGTATCACACCGCGGGGAATGCGGTGGATGTCGGTCATTGTCTGTTCCATGAGGTATGTCATCGCTCAGACAAACAGACTCGAAGTGTTGCCGCGGTCACCGTCGTTTGCCGCAACATATCTCCACAATCATTACGACAACTTCGCCGATTCACCTTGCAACGAGACGGTGTACGGCCGGTGTGTGCCTCCACCAATGATCCGCGTGGTACAGGCTAGCACCTAGTAGCGTTTAGGTGAGTAGGGCTTGGGCAGACTGCAGGGCACCGCCCACCCGGGAATTTTCGAGGCGCCTCTCAGATGCAGCCCTACGCCAGGACGAATCACACCGGGAAAGGCTAATCCCCAATTTCGGCCAAGGTGATCTGCATCAAAGGGCAGCTTTGGGGCCGTCGCGTCGCTGCATTGCAACATTGGCGAGAAAGCAGTGACACGTCCCTCGACTTCGATGCCGACACCGCTTTGCGCGTCGCCGTGATCGACGTGATCGGTTGTGTGATAGGTTTATGCCGGAGGTGTGGAGAGGCCGTTAGCGGTGAGGCAGGCAGCCGCCGTGTGCTTGGTGAAGTGCTGGCATCAGGCTAGGGTGGCTTTGGCTGTGCATGCGTTCTGACCGCTGTACGTAATCTCTGCAGAGCGGTCAATCGTACTCGAGATACACACGCTGTACTCTGGCCCCAAATTCCCACGGCCACAGATGCCCTAGCGACGTGCAAATGGGAAGGACGCAAATCGAGCAATTCTCTCCTGAGTGCTTGCCATAGGAAGACATGGCCATGCCACCACAAATCTGTACCCATAACCTATGCAAAATGCCTCTATGATGTACAAACGCCATCTTCTTGCTCCCCTACCAGCCCAAGGCCGTGCCAGAGATCGTGTGCATGCCTGTAATTGCAAATCACACCTTCACTCGCAACTTCCACCCTCCTCGCATGATTCTCAGTGCAAAGAAAACGGCCGATGCTGCGATAAAGGTGACGCCAGCGTAGATCCAGACCCCGGTGAAATGTAAGTCGTGCTCGTTTGATCCAAGAATTCCACCACCTCCCGGGCCTCCGGCAAGCACTCCGATACCAAGCATGGCGAACCCCATGCCGATGCGCGTGCCAATTTTGGACTTGTCTTTTGTCAGGGCGACGAACAGGACCGGGGGCATGGCGATGAAGATGCCCGAGAAGAAGCCGAAGAGCAGGGCGAGGACTACGAGGCCCCCGGCGTTGGAGACTGCGTTGTAGCAGAGGGTGACGATGCCGACGCATAGCGCGCCTGTGTAAGGAGTCAGTATGGTATGATGACGCGAAAGTGGTATAATGGGCTTACCTGGAGCAATGACATTGAAAGGGCCAATCTTGTCGGATAGCCAGTTTGGCAACGTCCGGCCAAAGACGGAGCCAGCGTTGAGGATGGGGACCAGATAGAAGGACAAGCTAGTATCGGTGTAGCGCGTGGCTTCTCCATAGTACGAGGTGTAGAACAGGCCGACATAGAGTCCGGCAAAGCCGACGACGGTCCCCGCAACGAAGAGCATGTATGGGAAGTCCGTGAAAGCGGTCCAGTCGACGACGCTCCTTGGCTTTGGTGGCCTGACGCGGATCTTCATGACGAAGATGGGTAGGAGCAAGGTGGCCAGGGTGGTGAAGCCTAGGATGCGCACACTCCAACCAAAGCCCACTTGGTCGATGAGTTTATAAAACATGATGGGATAGATGATGCCGCCCATGGAGCTACCCGACGCCGCCAGCCCGAGGGCGAGACCGATCTTGGAGGAGAAGTAGGTGGGGAGGATGGCGACGGCGGGGATGAACAGACATGAGGCACCAAGACCGATGACAAAGCCTTGGGCCAGCAGCGTTTCCCAGTACTTGTGGGTCAGCGAGAGCATCATATGGCCAAAGACGATGCCAAAGGTGCCGGTAACCAAGAGCGATCTGAGGTAGCCACGGTCAAAGAGAGGGCCAGAGAGCGAGCCGCCGAGAAGCACCATTAAGGCCTGGATGGATCCGATCCACGAGATGTCGGAACTGGAGGCGGTCCATAACTGCCCGCTTTCGTAGTATGTTTGATATACACCAAATGTGCTGTAGGTGTCGCGAGTCAGCGAGGAACGAGGGCGAGGGAGGGGGACACATTGAGGGCATGGGGAGGTACTCACTTCAAGAGACCCCAGGTATTGAAGAACAGCATCCAACTGCCCGCCACCTGGAGCCAAGCGATGGCGCCTCCGTTAGGTGGTGGTCCAGGGCCGCCGGAGGGTGCGGCTGGCGGCGCCGCCTTCTCCTCGTCAGCGGCAGCGGCAGAAGACTCGAGCGCGTCGTCTTTCGGGCTTGAATCTCTCGTGAGAGATTCCTTCGAGTGATCGTCCTTCGCCTCCTCCTTGTCGAGGTCGGCGGCCAAGCTGTTGGCCCTATCCTCGGCCATCTTTGCTCCGCCGAGCCGGGGGGTCCGCACGCGTGGAGTAGAGGGATCCGCGTCGTGCACAAGCAATCGTGACACCTGGAAGTGCAGAGATGGGAATTGGAGATGAGCAAAGGATGTCAAACTGCGTGTGATTGCGACATTCTACTTTTCACTTTGCGCGTGGCGATGATGATGCGCCCTCAGCAAATGATGTTGGGCCGGCCTTAAGAAGTTAGCGGGCATTGGGCATTGATGATGCTGATCGCCGCCCGGCTGCTGCGGCTGTGGCGGCGACGGCTTCATGTCGCTCCTTCATCCTTATTATTACTCAATCTGCATGCCGGGACTGGAGTATTGCCTATTGTTTCGCGATTCGGGGAGAGATGATCGTGGTGGATTGCTAAGCAGACGGGCATTACAATGAGCCAAGGACGAGTAGGCGATCAAAAGCCTTCCCCCTCCCTCCCATGCCTCCCAGACTCCCTCGCTCTTTGCGCAGGATCTCGGCCTCGCTCCAGCGCATCCGCCTTGCTTCTGTCCATCTCTGATTTCAGCCGCAGAATCTCGTCTGTCAGCCACTCCTCCCGCCCAACCGTCGGCACCTCCACCATCTCCTGCCTCCCATACCCTGGGTCATTCCCATCGTGTTCGCGAGCAGTCGTCTCGTTGGCCGCCGCGGACTGCAAGGCCTCCAGCTCCTCCTGGTAAAGCTTTCGATAGTGCTCCAGCTCAAAGTAATAGTCAAACTTCTCCGCATCTCCAAAGCAAATGCCGTACCCGTCGCAGTAGCACGCACTCATGCTCGGACAGTGGAAGGCGGAGGAGGTGAAGATGTATTGCCACGTATACTCAAACACACGTCCAGAGAGAAAGTCGTCCAGGTCGGTGTGAACAACCCACTCCCGTAGTGCGATGAAGCGGTCCCGTGGAATCACCTGCACTCGTTCCCGTGACACGGCGAATTGCGCGCAGCATGGTTGCGCCAGAACATCGGGCAGCGCTTGGCCCGGAAACAACTCGGTCCACGCCGCCGCCATCACTTCTTGCTCCTTGCGGTCGCCCTTGACGTCCGCGTCGTTGGGTCGCATCCAGTCCGGGCATCCCGGGTCCCAATGACAGCGCAGGTTCATGTAGCCCTCGCGCGTCACTCGCTCAGGGGAGAGGTGCCGCAGCATGAGCGCGCTGTCCTTCTCGAGAAGCAAGTTGTTGTGGCGTGCAAAGCGGTGGGCGTGCATGAAGACCAACACGTCCGGCAAGGAATTATAGAAGTCGATGATGTAGCTGAGATATGCCATGACTTCGTGACCCTTATTCATGATCGGATGCAGGGGCGCAGTATCGTCATCCATCGCATATATCGCGGTGTCCAGCACCCCGGAAGACAGCATATCACCGAGCTCCTGTTGTATCCAGCTCGTGTCTTCCCCCTTCATCTTGGGCACGACTAGCGTGCGGGTGTAGTTGCTTCCAGCAGGCTTCAATCGCCCAGCCGGATACGGGCTCTTCGCATCCACCTTTGGCTCCCTGAACAACCCTTTTTCGCGCCCCTCCATCCACGCCTTGGGATTTATTCCACCATGCCCGACTGTTTCTGTGTTCGTATGGCCGAGAGCACTTGGCCACGCGTAAGAGTGCCATTTCGAAGGGCTCCAGAGGAGCAGCAGAACTGTGCAGACGACCGTGACAATCACGATCAAGGTGCCTCGACGCAGCATTGTACCACCTGCTCTTGCTGGAGATCAAACACTCCACATCTCCACGTCTCGCCAGATATCACTGAGGAGTGCTGCTCATCGTGACCCGGGTGGTTCGCTGGACCTGTCGAACGGTGTCTGTTGGCGGATAGGCAGGTACGAGGCTTCACGGGCCGAGGAGCATCAGCGACTGATACTGTTGCCGAGACGTGTTGGAGATCATGCTATTGCACAAAAACAGCATGTGAAAGGCATTCGCCGCAGGTGAAGGGTTGGTTGCTATGGCCTGGTTCGAGTGTTTACCGCGATACTTGCGCTGACGTGAAGGCGCTTCAAGGGTCCTCGGCTTTGCTACCAGAATTGGGACGAGGGAATCATTCACATTGTATTTCTCCGGCTGCGAATGCATGTTTCAAAGTACCTATCTACCGATCTAATGTCCGCCACTGTACTCGCACCCCTATGTAATGAACTGGAGAAAGTAAAGGAAAGTCTGCCGTAGACCTACGGCCACTGAGTGCGACTCGCCAGACATGGCTCAAGCACGAGGACGATTGGACGCTCTCGTGTGCGCATGGATTGCCCAGACTACGATTCCATTCGCGAGGACGGTCAGGACGGATTGCTGCGAGGCATGCAAGTCGGGCTCTTGGAGGAGATGTCCGTAGCAAACATGTGGTGCGGCGCGCCATACAATGGTCTCGCCCTTCTAATCCGTTCATCTACGCAAGTGGTCAGCAAAGGTCAAAGTGCATTGTACTCACGCTTCTGCCTGCTCCAGATTCTGCTGTTATGGCTGTCCGGAGACTGATACTTAAGACCGCATCGCACTGGACGGTGATTGGAAGCGGAAGAGGTTCTGCGGTTCGACGGCGGAACGCACGTTGAGCTGACCGACGGAAACGAGTCGAATTTCGAATATGCTGCATGGCTGGGCGAAGAGGGAGACGGAAGGCGTGGGCGGGGCTGTGCTTCAATCGAGAGGGCGAGATATTGCTGACTCGGGGCGAGTTGACGCGACGCGCACACAGCATCGATATCGAAGAGGTGACTTGCCGGCTACTCGTTCGTAGCAATTGTGTAAGCCGCAGGCGATTATGGTGTTACTGCGCGTTGCCGAGTTGATTTCATGGCGATACTCGCGTCGAAAACGGGAAAGTGAAGCAGTCTGATCCATTCTATCGAAAGGGGGGAAACTTGGCAAGCTGAAACGCCGTGTGCATCTGGGTCAAATCTGCCGCCCATGACCCGCGCGAGTCGAAAAAGACGAGCCGAAATTGTAACATGTGCTGCACGCCAGTCTCGTGTCGCAAGGCAAAAGGAGACGCGAGGATTGCGAGGGTACAGTGTGTTGCTGCCGCGCCGCGCCTGGAAACAACTCCCGAAAAGTGACTTCTGTCCCGTCGTAGCAGTTTAACACACTCTTGCTGAAGCAGAATCTCCTCGATCACAAACACGCGAGTGTCGATCACCCGAGGACTTCTATGTTAGCAGGTACGCAAGTGACCTCACCCTCGGATTCGTGCTTAGTCGTAGCGACGAGGACGGTCTTCGTAGTCGCGCGGGGGAGGAGCGTCACGAGGAGCGTCGCGAGGAGCGCCGTAACCTGGCTCGGCCGGTGGGCCTCTTGGGGGCCGGTCGTATACTCCGCCGTATCCGCCGCCACCACCGCCACGACGATCACCACGATCGCCCGGGCGGTCATCGCGGTAGCGGTCCGAGCGAGAGTAGTCGTCACGGCGTCCGCCGCCGTACCCGCGGTCGTCGTAGCGGTCACGATACCCTCCACCTCCACCACGGCGAGGTTCGTCGCGCCTGCCTCCGTATCCACGATCCTGTGAGAGTGTCAATCTTCCGTGCTCAGCCGCGAGAGGGACAGATGTACTTACATCGTAGCGGTCTCTGTAGCCACCAGTACGCGCGGGGCGGTCATCTGAGAGGGGTGTCAGCGCGGCTACAACAAGCATCGTATAGGATGGGATGAACTGACCTCTCTTGGGCGGACCGAAGTACTTGCCGGGGGTCGGAGTGCGAGGCCGAGCCCTGCGCGCCTTCTCGATACTCAGCGTCCTGCCCTCGTACACGACTCCCTGCAATCCGTCCTTGGCCGCGTCAGCTTCGTCAGACGTGGTCATCTTCACGAAGCCAAAGCCACGGCTGTCACGAGTGTGCGGATCCTTCATGATGTTGCACTTCTCCACCACGCCGTACTTCTCGAACAGACGCGTGACCTCCTCTTCGCTGAGACGGGGATGAATGCCAGTGACGAAGAGATTCGAGCCGGGGTTTGTCGCGTCATCCCCGCTGTTCTTATCGCCTCCGTGGTCACTGTTTCTCGTCAGCTCCTTGGGTCCACGGGATGATGCAAGCAGGCTGGTCCTCACCGTTCAGCACGGCCGTTCAAGGGCTCGTCGCGGATCCTCGTGTCGCCGTCACGATCGGGGCCAGGCGAGCGAGAGCGGTCGCGTCCGTAGTCACGATCACGATCATCTGTGCGAGCGAGATGTCAGTAACGTTGTCAGGTATATACAAAGTCGGTAGGTCGTAGTGATGGATTCGTGAATGACTTCACCCTCACTTTGGTCGTAGTAGGCTGCGAGTGCTGGAGTGGTAGTAATTACCTTCGTAGCCGCGCTGGTCATCTCCGTAAGTGTCCATGTCCGCCATTTCGATCTGGTGTCTGATGGATGTGCGAAGGGTGGGGATGGTGGAAGAGAGGGAGATGGTGGGCGAGAAGCGGTTGTTTGAAGAAAGTCGCGAGGAAGGTTTGTCCGCAGGGGGTGGGGCTTGGCAACGATTCGGCGCCTTCCGAAACCTTAAACCCGGACAACACATCAATCGCCCTCGGAGTGAAGCGCAAGAAAATACTGAAAGGCCTAGAAGTGATGCAAACGTGGAGTGGGAGAGTGGAATCATTGAAGTTCACTCGCACGCTGGCGCTTCTGTCTACACGCTCAATTCCTCCAGAGACGTTGAAGAGTTGAGCCTCTGGCGCTCGCTCTCCCTCCGTGGAGACCTCGCTCTTCTACCGCAACCATGCCCGCACAGCTCGGCAGAGACTCGAAGATGCGACACTCGTTAATCATCATCATTTCCATACCCTCTCATCGCCATGCTCATCATCAAATCCGCGTTACAGGGTACACTGACTCACTCCACTAGTCCAGCCGATGAGTCGATTGGCAATGTCCGAAGCATAGCAGGAAGTCGAGCCGAGAGCGTCGCCCAGATTGCCACCCGCCGGCAAGCTGCCACTATTATAAATTCGAGCCGCCTGGTAAAATCGCTGAGCTCCAGTGCCGGGAGCTTGGGTAGCGCATTGCTGCAGCCCCGCGCCACTCGAGGTTCCACTCACGCCCTGCTGGACCATTGCTTGAATCTGGGCGGGGGGGCAGGTGGGTTGCTGGTAGCAAGTTGCGTTGCCGTCATGATCCTGGAACAGCCCGGGATTGACGACCCCGTTGTTCGTGGTGTCGACAAAGACACATCCCAGGGACTCCTGCATCATAATCGCGAGGGCGAACTGAGGCGGAATGCCTGCGGCCTGCGATTCACTTAGAAGGGCGGCTTGGAGCACCGGCAGCGACGATGCGGGTGTATTTGGAACGCCAAAGGCGGACGTGCAGGTCTGGCCCATGATCGGCTCGTACGCTGTGAACAGGTCATCGAAGGCGATCCAGTCGCTCATGGTGGGCCAGCCATCCTGGGGAGATCCGTCGCCGTTGAATTGTGTGTAATGCGAGCCCGTGCCGGAAGGCAAAGGCGCCGCGGCTGAGGAAGAAGTGGAAGCGGCACTTGGGTAGGAGGAAGTTGATGTGGGAGTGGAATAGGACGGAGGCGATGCGGGAGTGGAATAGGCTGGAGGCGAGGTCTGGGTGGGTGCTGGAGCTGAAGTCGAAGTCGAGGCATTCCCGCTCGGCGAAGAGCTCGGAGCGGAGAGGTCGTCGTCATTGACGATGCCACAGTCACCGGCTGAGCAGTCGCACGAGGTTCCAGCAGCGGTCGCCATCCAGACGATGGAGTTAGCGACCGTACAGAGTCCCCACTGGTTCTGCCCATTGCACAGCAGCTGACCGGGCGTGTTGCATGAAGGGGCGGCGACAACGTTGACGGGAGTGCGGACCAGAATCGAGGCGGGCGCAGCGGCAGCCAGAGTCACGAAGGCGATGGCCGGAAGATACATGGTTGCGCTTGCGGAGTGGGGTGGCCGGTCTTTGAGTTTGAAAGGTGGTCTCACCGGCCAGCGATGAGGTTGATGTGGGTGGTGTGGTGCTTGGAGGTAAAGACTGGACGAAGAAAGTGCGTAGGATTGCCGAAAGAAGTGTCGTCGAGACAGACTCAGGCGGCCAAGAAGATTTAATGCAAAGGAGAGAGTGAATGGGAGGGCAACAATGGGGTTGTGTTGGGGGCTTTGTTTGTGTGACGTGGCTTTGTGCCGAATTGACGGTGGTGGTGCAGACAAAGAGTGTGCTGGGAACAAACGAAGTGAGCGGGAAGGAGGTCGACGGCTTGGCATTCACCGGATGCAGCGAGGTCGTGTCTTATGTTGCGTGCATTCGTTGCATCGCGCTGAATGCGGGGGTGTGGCTATTGAAGGCTTCGCTCGGGTGAATGACAGGCCTCACCTAGTTTGAAACGAGTGAATGGGACGGTTGTGACAGACGGTTAGTGTTCCATCCAACAACAGCGAAGTCCAGGGGTGATGTTGTAGGGGAGGGGCGTGAGGCAAACGAAACGCCCAGTGATTCGTCCGGATTGGGCAGGTCCGGCAGGCAACCGTGCGCGTTCCCGCTGCACGAGATGTTTCAGGCTGCCGCAGGCTGAGCGTGCCACACGACCGCGTTTGTCTCTGTGCGACATGAGCCATCTCAAACTTCCACACCCTTCGCCCCGTTTCCTCTTTCCTTCACCACCCCTCCAATCTTGACGCCTCCACCACTGGCGCCTCATCTTCCCCATTTTGTTCATTCCATCCTCACCACAAGGCTGTAACAAGCTACCTTCCACCCCTGGCCTCTCACCCCGCCGATCTTTGGGTCGTGACGGGGCAGCAGACACTGGCAGACCCTGGACTGCCACCCGCACGATCGCTCCATCACCCGCAACAATGGCTAAGCTGACCGACATTCCGGAGGAACTCGTCTCCAACATTGCCGCCCGGCTTTATGCCGACGACAACGCCGCCTTTCGCCTGACATGCCGTACGCTGGAGAAGAAAAGCTTCCACGAATTCGGCAGAGAGTACTTCTCCCAGAAGGCCTTCGTGATCACCACCGACAGCCTCAAAGTCCTGCAGGCCATCTCTCGCAGCGAGCGACTCAACAGCTTCTTGCACCACGTCCATTTCATCCCCGCCCTGTTCTCTCAGCGTGCCACAGACTGCTGCCACGGGGCCAGTTGTGTGTGGCAGGCGAGCGTCAAGCAGAAGGAAGCCTATCGAGACTATATCGAAGACCAAAAGACCCTCGTCAAGACCAAACAGGACAAGAAGATGATCATGGACGCGTTCGCTAAGCTCTCCAACCTCGTCGCCGTCTCACTCATCGACTTACCCACCGCCATCCCTGCCGACATCGACCTACGCGGCCGCAACAAAGTCCAACGCGTGACTGGCCGTGATGCTTCCCTCAAGCCCATCGGTAGCTTTGACAGGGAGTTCAGCACCTTCTTCCGGCACGTCTGGACCATCACCCTCCAGGCACTCTCCAAATCCCCGGCCGTCCGCGAGCTTCATACAAATCTCATTCGTCATGGCGGCTACCTACCCATCGAATGGCTCAACCCCAAGAAATTCACGCACTCCACCAAAGCGCTCAACAGCCTGCACGCCGTCTCCCTCAACCTCGGCTGTCCGGACGAAGAAGATTACAACGAGGGTGAGTTTCTGTTGAGCCCTGCGTTCCGTCGCCAGCTTGTCATGGTCAGCAAGTTCGCATTGCTCCTCACCTCTTTGACGAGCCTGGTTCTCAAATTCGACTCCCCCTTCCCCGCACACAGTGGCGTTCAATACCTCACGTTCACCAAGGGTCTTGACATGTCCAAGCTTACCAAGTTGTCGGTGGATGGCATGCACATCGGCGCCAAGCAGCTGGCGGCCTCGTTCGTCCGACTGTCATCCGTCAAAGACCTGCGGCTGACCTACGTCGCCCTCGACAAAGGTACGTGGGTGCCGGTGCTGAAGTCAATCACGACCCTGCTCGAGCACCTCGAGCATCTACACCTCATGTACCTCATGGAGGGATCACGCAAGGTGTATCTGCTCAAGAGAAAGGAGAAAGAGGCACCACCGTATCCGTTTGATGATTGGCTGGACGGAGACTTCGTCTTCCCTCCCGGAGAAGCGTACGAGACGGACGATGATATGCCTGGCCTGGCCCCGGGCGACACTTCTGGCTGCTCCGAGCACGATCATTCCAGTCATGTCGACGCACCCTCCGACGGCATGACACCCTCAGCAGACGCGAGCAAGGCCCACAATTCCACAAATGCACTTGCTAAAGCGGCCCCTGCCTGCAAAGCCCGTTCTAATCCCTTCTATCTCGGCGACAGCGACCCCGACACCGGTGGACGTGGGTTTTATGTTTGCGTTCAAGGCAAAGAGATTACCGAGCAGCTCCCAATCTTCATGGAAGAGTACAACACCTTTCCTGACGACAACGATCTACTGAAGGCCGGCACCGACTCGAATTACAATGCATTCCTCAACATACTCACCAGTGCTTTCGGGGGTCCTCCCGCCGGCTTCACGGGCGGTACTGCAGGCTTGGTTGGCCCCAACACTGCCCAGCTTGGTGTCGACGGCACCACAGTCCCCATCTTGGTCGGTGTTTCACCGCCCACCGTCGCCAATCCTGGCCAGACCGCACACACTGCTACGGCCTCCTCCAATGTCAGTGGCGCTCAGTTCGATGCTGTGGCTGCCGGCTTCCCCCAGTTGAACATCACTTCACTCCCTGCCGCCCCTGCACAGCCTGGGGTTCCCGAGTGGTTTACCGAGGAGGAAGAGCCGGAGGGCTGGCACTAGTCTGAGGGCGCATGCTCGGCACTCATCGCGTGGACGAGAAACGGAGAGTACGGTGGCGGAGGTAACGGAGGTGACGAGACCGATATGACATTAACGCATGATGTCCCTCGACGAAAAGCATACTACGGTAGCATGTGATTTTTGGGACTTTGTCTTCTCTCGCGAACAGCGTTGCAGCGCTTCACCCTACGGGTAGCTTTAGCAGGGTGTTAACGGTAGCTTCACAGGAATGGCTTATCAACGAAGCGATGATTTTCTCCCCTGTCCAGTTTATACCATCGTGACGAAGAATGTGAAGAGTCCCAAAAGCTAGGGTTAGATATGTTTGCTTTTGTGGTGGCTGTATACAGGTGCAGCCGTTGTTGATCTAACATCGGCCCGGGCATGCGTACAATAGGTATATGTTACAGTTCCCAGGGAGCCTGCCTTCATCGTGGATCAATCGACAAGCAGACTTTGTAGTCGTGCCTCGGTGGCGATGACCTGCAACTCATCAGCATCAATGTCCAACACGAAGGGAAGAAAAACGGGTCAACTTACATCCACAGCCTGCCTGACTTCCAACACCCTCCTGCACTCACCCACCCAATCCCGGCTCAACACACCCGCCCATCCCTTCAGCCCATTCATCTCCCTCGCCGCAGCGTCCAAGTCGCCTTCTTCGAGCAGCACCTCTGTCCTCGCGAGCGTCGCCTCGACGTCCTCGCCCTCTGGCAAGCCGCGTTCGGACTTCTTGGGGAACATGAGTCGGCTCAGCACCGCGCTGGCGGCATGGCTCGCGATGCCCGCATCCTCGGGCAAGAGCGATGCTTTGCGCACTTCCGCGGCCACGCGGCGGAAGCGATCAATCAGGTGTGCCGGCGAGGGAATGCCGCGTTGGTAGGCGACGGGGTTGATGGATGCAATCGCGGCCGTCACGACGTCGTCATCTTTGCTGATCTCCTTCAAGGCGACGAGCTCGTTGATGAATGGGGTGGGGAAGTCGGAGGACTGTAGTCTGGCTCGAACGGCTTCGAGTGCGACTTGCAGGTGTTGTGTTTGGAGAGTGCTGTCGACAACGTTGTTCCACTCGCCCGTCAGCTTCTCCAGCTCGGACACGTTCCCAGACAGCTCTTCCAGTTTGGACAGGCGGCCGTCACGCTCCGTTTCGACTTGATCTTTGACTTGGTCCATGAAGCGCTTCTGGAGGTCGATCTCCTGCTGAAGTAGTGCGTTCTGCTCCTTCTGTTCCGCCAGCTTGCGCGCTGCGTCGAGTTCTGCAGACAGCCGGTGCTGATAGCTTGTGCTCAACCTCTCCCGCTCGCCCTCATACTCGTCCCTCCACTTCACCTCCTGCTCCTTCATTTCCCCGTCCAGCCTGCGGACCAGCTCCTTGGCGGCTTGGTCAAATTCGGTGTGCGCGTTTTTGATCTGTTGCTCGGCATCGTGGTTGACCTTGTCTTTCAGCGTAGTCACTTCACTGATGATCTTGTTGACTTGGTCCTTGGCAGCGGTGAGGGTGGTGGCATATTGCGATCGTTCGGAGGACGCATTGATGGCGGTAATGATGTTGTTGACCAGCGTGACGAGATCCTGTACCACAGGCTCGGTGGCCTCGGGCACGTTGAGGTGGTCAATTTGGGGGGCGGGAGAGGAAGGCTTGGGTTCAGGGGCAGGTTGTTTGGAGGCGTCGCTCGAGGGGCTGCTGTCTTTCTTCACGTCGGTCTTGCCGGCGTCTTTCTTGGCTGGCTTTGCTGCCTGCGCCGGCGCCGCATCTTTACGCTGACCTGACGCAGGCTGAGTGGTATCCTTCGCCTTGGCCTTTTCGGCATCGGCTGCCTGCTTGTCCTCCTTCGGCTTCTGTCCAGCACTTTTGCTATCTCTCGGCGGAGGTTTGTTGTCCTCTGTTGCGCTAGAGTGCCTTCCCTTCTGTCCCAAGTCCGATCCAGCATTCGTCTCTTCTGCTAGTCTTGGGGTCAGGCCGCTTGATTTGCCGATTGTCACCTTTTGCTCGCCTCGCGGTTGAGGCCACGTGCGCGCGGATGTCGGTGAATCTCTTGAGGCGTAACGTTTTCGGAACTGGCGTTCTTCGAAGTAGGCAACCGCATCCTCGCTAAAGGGGATGTACTCGGTGAAGAAGTCGTGGAAATTGTCGGAGACGAGCGAATAGTAGACGCCCCCAGCGTAGCCGAGGACTGACAAGACGATGAGGCTGAGGAGGAAGTTACGGAAACGTCTCCGTGGTCGCTTTGGAGGAGGAGCTGCTGCAGGACCGGTACTGGCGGTTCCAGTGCCAGTGGGGGGAAGATTGGCGGTATTGAGGGATGGGGGAGGAGTATGGGCGGCGGAGGCAGCTGAAACGGGGGTGATCTTATTGTTGGCCGAGATGGGGCCTAGAGGAACTCCAGCGACGGGGTTCTGGTCGGCGAATGATCGCTGTTGGATGGCATCAGTATGCAATCTTTCTTACTGGTATGGGGTGTGTGGACAACAAACCTTGAACGCAGGTCGTATCCGTTGCGGCTGCCATTGGCGCCGTGCAGCAAGCCTTGCGGAATGCTCAAGGCTCCCTGCACTCCGAGCGATACCGACGCGCCACATGTTGCGCGAGCTGGGGGCGTGGATGGAGCGAGGGTCGATGTGGTTGAAAACTCGCACTCAACTCCTGCTTGCTCTGCCGTCGTAGCTCGGGAGCTTTCGGCTGGGGAGCGGGACGGGAGGGAGTACCCGTCCACATGTCTGCCTCAGGCAACATCATGCCTTGATCTTGTCTGGCTATTGCTACACCTACTCCCTCCTCTCCGTTACGGACGTCGTCGATCTGCAACAACTCCTACGTTGCTAGCATGGAAGACATGCGTAGTATAACGCTGCCTGATGCCGATGATCACAGCTCTCTGCCTCCCCCCACGCGATGGCGCACCGCGTCGTAAGGAATGGCACAGCATCATCACTTGCAACAGGGATCGATTCAAGGCGCGCAACCAACCTCTTGCAGAACCTGGCCCTGCTACCCCTGTTTACCTTAGGTGTTCACCTGCACATCTGCTGGCCAATCGCTCCAGCTGTCTCATGCCCCCGACTTTCTCCATCGCGGGGTAGAGCAGCCATATTCCCCAGAGACCTTCAGAGTCGTATTCTTGGCATTGTCCGTCACACGACATGCACCAAAGGCTTCCGTCAACCCGCCGACGGCGAGTTTGTGCGGCTGAAGTCTCGCTGGGGCTCTCACTAATCATCCGCTGCGATTTACACGCCATCCGGCCCACAGCTGTGATCGAGAATAGGCCCGATAAGTAGGCCCGGTGCGGCGCACGAGCGGTTCGTAAAGCGGCCCCGCGAATTGGCGTTTGGAGGCGCATGCTAGACGGCAACCATCGGCGTCATTGTGCCTCGTTTCCACCACGTCCATTGGCCTTGACCAACGTCGGTCCGCGTGCGAGCTCTAAAGCAGCACCAAACTCGCGCGCAGGCCCGCACAGCATCGCGCACCAAGGTCCGGTGACTCTGTAGTTCAGTTAGTTCCCTTCAGATGATTATGAATCCCCGCCTTTTCTCTTTGCCACTCTCGAGTCCTTTCCACATTCCTCCACCGTTAACCACATCTCTCTTCTCTTCTTCCATACTTGGGTGCTAAGGAATCACGATGAAGGACCGTTACTTTGGCCTCCGTGGAGGATGGCTGACCTTTTGGATAACGTGGGGTTTGCCCATCTCCTGCTCACAGATTTGATTTACTAACGTTACCAGCGTCGCCTGCGGCACGGACATGACACTTTTTGGCTATGGTGCGTCGATTGACGATCCATATTCTCTTCGTCCTTCGCTACACATGCTCATGCCATTCCCTCGTATGCAGACCAAGGCGTATTCGGCGGCGTTATCGTTACCAATGACTTCTTGGACACCCTCGGCATCCAGAACGATACCAGTCTTCAAGGAACTATCACCGCCATTTACGAGTAGGTTCGATGAAGCATACGCTATCTTCACGCCGTTGACTGAACTCCTTCAACAGCATCGGCTGTTTCTTTGGTGCAATCGCTGCGTACTTTATCGGTGACCGACTCGGTCGTAAGCGCTCCGTCCTCCTCGGGACGACCATCCTGAGCGTGGGCGCCTTGCTGCAAATCACAACATACTCCGTGGCTCAGATCATCGTTGGTCGTGTGATAGCCGGCATCGGCAATGGCATCAACACCGCTACGGCTCCCCCGTGGCAGGCGGAAACCTCGAAGGCATCCTGGCGGGGGAAACTGATTGTCGTTGAGCTCATCCTCAACATTGCCGGCTTCTCCTTGAGTAACTGGGTGACATTTGGATTCTCTTATCTACCTGGAGGAGTAAGTCAGGCCATCTGAGAGGCACTTGGAAGCGACGATGAATGACTGACTTGTGGTAAACAGGTTGCTTGGCGGATTCCACTTGCCCTTCAATTCATCTTCATCATCATCCTCTTCGCAACGACGCCCTGGCTGCCGGAATCTCCCCGATGGCTTGTCAAGGTTGGCCGTTACAAAGAAGCCGAACAGATCTTGGCAGATGTCGAGGGGACCGAGATTGAGGATCCTTTTGTGCAGACAGAGCTTAACGAAATCAAATTCGCCGATGAATATGAAAAGGAGCATGCCGTGCGCATTCGCGACTTGGTCCGCGGGAAAGTCGCACCCGGAGATCCATGCACGCTTCGTCGAATCTTGCTCGGAATGGGTAAGCACGCAAGGCCAGCCGTACAACACTTCAATGGATCGTCTGACAATTTCCGCAGGCGCCCAGGCAATGCAGCAGCTTTCCGGAATCAACGTAAGACGATTCTAATCATTTCTAGGCTATTCTGACAGCATTTTGCAGGTCACGTCATATTATTTGCCTACTGTGCTGATTAAGTCTGTTGGCTTCAGCAACAAGAGGGCTCGTTTGCTCGCCGCGTGCAACAGTGTATCATACCTCGTCTTCTCCACCATCGGGATCCCTAACGTTGAACGATGGGGCCGAAGGAAGATGATCATGTACGCCGCCGCCGGTCAATGCTTTTGCTACCTCTTGATCACCGTCCTCCTGCGCTACAGCGAGCTGTACAAAGCCGAAGGGGGCGTTGCCAATATCAACAAGTCCGATACAATTGCAAGCGCCAGTGTCGCCTTCTTCTTTTTGTATTACATGTAAGTGGATTAGACTTGAGCTGTCTAAAGCTTCCACAGACTGACCTGGCTCTACAGATTCTTCGGCATTGTAAGTGAAGAGACACGCGAGTAGCAACAGCTTTCCACGACCACTGCAGTAACCCAGGTGCTGTAAATAAACCACATGCTAATCATCACCAGGGCTTCCAAGGCGTCCCTTGGTTATACCCAACCGAGATCAATGGGCTCGCAACAAGAGCAAAAGGAGCAGCGCTCGGCACAGCAACGAATTGGATCTTCAACTTGTAAGCGCTCATTCATCCACATCGCTGGCATTTCCTCTTAATACCAAAGTAGCATGGTCGTCGAAATCACCCAGATCGGCATCCAAAACCTCGCTTGGAAGTTTTACATCATCTGGACCGTTCTGAACGGCTCCTTCGTACCGCTCACGTACTTCTTGTACCCCGAAACGGCGGGCCGGACGCTGGAAGATATCGACACGTACTTCCGGGGCCAGCCCAGCCTGCTGGTTTTCCGCGATCACATCGCCACCTCTTCCAAGCGCCCAATGGAGTTCATCGAGAGGGAGGAGCAAGAGGTGCACAGGAGGAGCTCAGTGGATCCGAGGGCCATGAGCTTGGCGCAACAGCATCGCAGATATAGTGCGATCAGCGAGCAGGGGAGGCTGGGGAGTGCGGTCAGCGATAAGGAGAAGGAGGAGCGTCACGATCGGGTGTGAAGTGACTCTTTTCAAGGGGATTTCGCATCGCACATGTGGAGCTCGTTGGAGTGCTCCGGGGTAAGTCCTATATCTATGGAAACATACACATGCCTAGCAATCGAGGTGAGAGGTATCTTGCTACAAGCAGCGCGCAGGTGTCACATTTCGACTCAACGACCCCATATTCCCGTTTCTGACCAACGCTCTTTCAACCTTTCGATTAAGAACACAACGAGCTCAGCCACGATTTCAATTAGAGTTGGCACGCAGAGAAAAGCATCTATGGACGCACATCGACATTTTGCTGTAGTTCTGGTGCTCTCGGGACTTTGTTGACTCTCCCAAGACAATTACGCCCGCGTCAATTTGATACACTCCGCTCCGAGCCCCCGACATCTTCCATGAACCTCCGGATGAACTGCCGTCGCCCCTGCTCGGTAGTGGGATCTGGCTCTCCAATCGGCAAATGTAGCGGGCCCTTCTTCAGTTCGGCCGTGTTTGCGAAGATGCGGGAATACTCGTGGGCGTTAGAGCGAGAGAGTAACTGCTGTACGGTAACACCGTCTCGCTCGACTTCGTACACCCGCTTTCGCGAATGGATATAGAGCGTGAAATTGGGCACGCTGTGTAAGAACTCCTCGAAGAGGTCCCAGTTCGTCGTCAAGCTTTTCCAATAGCAGTGAGAATCGCCGGATTCTCGCCACCAGCTTCGATCATTGCCTGCAGCGTGCGAGTATAACTGATGATGCGACGAGCTGAATATTCCCCCTGGCAGTATCGAAGTTCCAGTACCGCGTCCTTGACATCTTCTTCAGTAAGAGCAGGGAACAGATTTGACTTGATGTCGCGCACAAACAACCCCTGGACATCTATTGGTATGTCCACTGACCAGTTCATGACATTTGCGAGCTTCTCTGCGTATTTGAGCGACTGTGAATATAGTCCACGAGGAAGCGCGACCGCCTCGGCAGTTGAAGGGAGCCTTAACTGGCTGCAGCGGAAGACCACGATGATGAATGTGGGCAATTGTGGGAGGATGGGGGCGGTGAGCTGGATGGGTAGGGTTGTACCAGCATATTCGAAGCTCGACACGTATTCGAAGAATTCTTCATAGCCGTGATTCATGTTCTTCCGTAGGCCATGGTAGTCGATGAAGTGGAGACGCATCAGCCCCTGTTTTTGGTAAGTGCCGCATGCAGGGCACTTCCACTTGAAGAGCTCGGGCTCTTGGTTGTAGTCGTACCGTTGCTGTCTTCCGTAATTGGTGGTGGCAAAGGCGGTGTTGGTGTTTGTGTCTGAGTAAAATCGTTGGCCATGGACTCTTTTGGTGCCCGCTGCCAGTTCAAAGGTCTCGCCGGCGTGAACGGCCATCCAGTGATGACGCCGAGTCCACTTACTTGGAAACCGTTCACGGCAGCCAAGGTGCTCAAAGAAACATGCCAGATTCTCTCCGTGTGCAGTGATGTAGTGGGCGGCCAATGTCTCATCGCTGATGATCAACAGATCACAGCCATGCCTGCATGCGAACTCATAAAATCGTGTTTGTAGCAGCGAATCCGGGGCCCTGGACATCAAATACAATGGTCGAACTGATTGCCTGGCAGGAGCATGGATATCGAGACCCAGTTGAAGTTGGCAAAATGCCGTCGTCCTTTGCTGTCACGGCGTCGAACATTAGTCACATTGTAGATTGGGCAACGGAACTGAGCATACCACGGAAGAAGTGCAAAGCTTGCATTACACCGACGTTGCCATTCGCTGCTGTTATATAAATCCAGGCGAGGTGGTGAGTGGCAGTTTCAATGCTGGCAGTGAACTGGTGAAGAAGAAAGCCAAGGGCGATACCAGTGTGGCACCAATGAACTTGCGGAGAAGCACAAGGGCGGCGTCGAGGATGACAGCCACGAAGGACAAGCGAACGGCGAGGTTCGCTGAACATCCACGACTGCCGTCCAAGGCGGAGACGGGTGCGAAGCGGGAGCGATCTGCCTGGGGTGCCCTGGCGGTTGGAGAAGGAGGAACCGTGGTGGAGAATGATTGGCTGGCAAGGTCAATGCTCGAGGAGCTTGATCAATTTGGTCTCAAGCATTGGTCAGAGCTGGATGAGCGGGCGCAGTTGCGCATTGTCGGACTCTGGAAATACGAGCGAGAGAGGACCATCGCGATCAGCCAAGCTAGTAGTACCTATGGAAATAGTCAAGGTATGAGGTATCTTGCTACAATCCGCGCGCAGCTCTCTTCTCTCCTCGTCGCACTGTCTGAGGCACAGGAAGGCCTTGACGCCTCAGCACTGTCTTCAACATCAACACTTCAGCTCTCAGCCTTGCGACTTCCGCCTCCACCTCGAGAAGCTTTGCTTTCGTGGGGCTGCAAATGTTGCAGTGCGACTCGTTTGCGTTCTCCTTTTGCCCGTCAATCGGCGGGATGGCGGCTTTGCATGCGTTCGACGATGGAACAGCTCTTCTCGCAGTAGAGTCGATTCTGGAGCCATGTACCGCCTGGTTTGCTTTGGCTCTCGCCCATGGGCTTTTGACTTGACGCCCGGCGATTTGGTTCGGCGCGATTTCGGACAGAGGCTGGCTTGTGGTCTTTGGATTTTGCTGCGACAGGCCGTACTTCTTCGATCGGTGATGTTTCCGCGGCGACAACGAAGACGAGCGGGGAAACAACTCCCGCACGTGTTGAGAAGAAGGGGAAAATGCGCCGCTGGACGTGATGGGCGCTTCTGCCGCCGTGAACATTTCCTCTTCGGTCGAGCCGTCCATTCTGTATGCCTGAGAGTGCTCCGCATGCGGAACGCCGAGGGTGCTGAGCGTTCCTTTGGAAGTGACCCTGGATCGTGAAGTCTGTCTCGCTGGAGGGCGCTGAGCGGTAGCCCGCTTGCGTCTTGCGGTCTGATGCTCATCTTCACCTGAATCGGAGGTAAACCAGATATCGTTGTCCAAGGATGATGCTTGAGTTGAATCTTCTGGCCAGTGTTGTTTCTTGCGGACCTCGTCGTACGCCTTGCGGGCCGTCTCGGAATCCGCCTCTATCTCAATATGGTCCGTAGATCGATGCAAGAAGCGAGACTTGTTCTCCTTTTTGCCCGACGGCCGAGTAGAGGCTTTGGCATCTGAGCTCGCATTGGCGATAGACATGGATGACAGTACACCACCAGGCTGTCCAGTCTTCTGACTCGTGCTCATTTTCCGCAGATCTGCTAGTAGCTTTGCATTGCCATTCGGAGGATCCAGAGTGGGTTTTCTAAGACCACTGCTTCTTCGACGTTGCCGAATAGACTGAGCTTTGAAAGTAAGCCGTCTATTTGGTTCAGCAAACGGCGAGTTGTTGAAGCTGGACCGTTTCGCGGCGGTGCTTCCCTCCACTGGCGATTTGTTCGGCGCAGGCCCGGAATCCGTTGACGGAAAGAGCTCCAAGTTTCTTCGCCGAACGAGAGTATCGTCCACAGCTGCAGTCACCGCTTCCGGACTTTTCACAAAGGTTTGGCTTGTGATGCTCGGGCGCGACCTTGGTGGACTTGAAAGCCGCTGCTCCGAAGCGGCCTTGGGCTCGGGAGGCTTCACTGGCGAAAATAAGTCGAGGTAGTCGCCTTTCTGTACCAACACCGGTCCTGTGATTTTAGGCAGTGGAGTGTGACGGACCGTATCATCTTCAACCTCATCAGGATGTATAGTAAACTTCCTGGAGGACCCGGACGCTTTTCGATGGGGAGATGCGGTCGCAGGCTTGCGGAGCGAAGGTGGTGGCCCCAGATACTCGACCGGTGCTCCGTTGCGAGAGCTTTCGGCTTTTTCAAGCATGATGGACGCCTTTTGTAATTGAGAGTCTGCTGGTTGATCACAAGGAACCGCCTGCACGACTTCGCCGGCGTCGATGGACGAGACTGGTTTCGGTGATGGGCCTTTCACCCACTCCACGCTGATGATCTTTACTCCCAGCTCCGTTAGTTTATATTGATCCAAGAGTAAGCCAAGTGAGTCGTAAATGTACAGTTCGCCATCCTCCCGGCCGATAGCTAGCAAGCTATCAGTGCCGACGCTCGGACGTGGCATATGTGGTTTCGGCCGCCCAACACCGCGATCCCGGCTCGGCTCTGGTGGAGCTGGGAAGAGGACGGATATTGAGGTGACGGGTGCTCTTACATGCCAAGTCCGCAATACCACACCACCATCGGCAAAGTCTATGATGCGGCACTTTCCATCTCTGCCAGCCGTGACAGCTCGTGTGGTGAAGCCTGGCAGGAACGCCGCGCCAGTGATGGCTCCCTTCTTGTCTGCCGAGGCTGCACGGTGCAAAGCGGTAAGATGGGATAGTTCCCCTTTGTTGACGTTTTCCTGATCGGACAGACATCCGGTGGCGGAGCGCAATACCCTCGAAGCATCGTACTCGGCGATCGAGCCATCCCGAAAAGCCAGTAGGAAGATGTTTGGTTTTTCGGGGTGGAATGCAGCGACTGACACGGCTGCTTTGGACACTCGGGGCTCAATGAGGATAGGCGGGCCGTTCTGAAGCAGGTCCCTGAGGTAGACAACTGGCGGACCGTCGGATGCAGATACCATCAGTCGTTCCGTTGGAGATATAGCCAAAGCGACGGGAGGCGAGGCATGTGTTCTTGTGGGACTGAGTAGGCGGGATTGCTTGATCGAGTAGCGCTGAATGTCGGATGTCAAGCTGGTACACAGATACAGCGAGCTGGCCGAGTGGGAGTACTCCAGATGTCGCACTTCGTCCTCGCTCGCATCGAGGCCCCAGCTTTTCTCCGAGCCTCGTTTGGTGTCGTGCAGGACGACAACATGTTTGTCGGCCACGGCCAGGATGCCAGACTCATCTTGTGCCTCCCTTGCGGCGACAATACCGTGCTTGCTGCTCCTGAATACGGTATTTGTGCCAGCTGCGTCCCGTGCGTAGATGCAATTGCGGGTTGTGATGAGCAAGTGGCAATTGTTTGGAAATACGAATGGCCTATCAGTACTTTGAATTCGTTTGGAAGTCTGTTTCGCTGATATAGGGCGATCTGGCGGCATTGTGCATTGTTGCGCTGCAGAGGTGAAGGGCGATGTTGTCTGGGGGAGTAAACAGCCTGGGCGGGAAGGCCGACCAATAGCATCGCGGCAATTCCGCAGCGGCTTCCCTCCAAGCCTTGTCACTAGAAGCGCCCGGAGGAAAGTGCAGTGCAGTTGGACTCGTTGATGTACTTTGCAATCATTAATGCAATCATTAATGAGAACATCACGTCGTCTAATTCCTCTTATGCTTCACGTTCTTCCACTCCATCGATGCACTGCCAATCAATGTAACGCATGCCAGCGCAACGGGCAGGTAGAATGTTTGAACTATGCTGCTGTCGAGTCCAAGGAGGACGTCGTGCAGTTGCGCCTTGCCAACACGCCCTTTCAAATCGCTCAGGCCCAGGTTCTCAATGCTTTTGCCGCTCAACGGGCTTCCGAGTTGCTCCAGGCTGGCAGATAGGCGATTGGTGAAGATCGTCTGGGCCACCATTACGAACAGCGAGGGCCCGAATCCTTGGAAGAAGAGCTGAGAGGGCGGTTAGCATTCAACCGGTCCGTGTATTGCATCTCAAACCACTCACAATAACTGCTAAACCCATTAGTGCATCCGACTCCTGTAGACTGTTCTGCACAGCGATCTGCGGTGTCTGAAAGCCAATGCCTGCCGCAAAGCTCAGGAACACCATGAACGTGACCACCGTGCCGATGCCGGTCTCAACCGTCAACGTGGTCAGAAGTCCCGCAAAGATAGGCATCAGTATTGACGCGGTCAGCATGAAGGGCACGTAGTATCCCACCGTGTTGACGGCAGATCCTTGAAGAAGCAGTGCGACCAGGAATGCGACGACGCCGGGTATCATCAAGATACCGCTCTTCTGTGCGCTGTACTCCTTGACCGCTTGGAGCCACGTTGGAAGATAGTATTCCACGACATAAATGGAGCTGCTGCAACAAAGAGTGAAGACGCATCCTAGACCACGTCAGCATCTCGTGTCTCACGTGATCGCTACACTGGACTCGACTCACCGGCCAAGATGCTACGGTTCTTGAGTATCCGGGGAGGCAATGTAGCCGTGTCTCCCTTGATCCACTGATCGACGGCGAAAGCTGCGAGCAGAACGGCGAACACGCAGAACAGCGCGATGACTTGGGCAGAGTTCCACGCATACGTGCTTCCGGCCCAGCTGAGCGCCATGAAGAGACTGGTCAACGACGGAATCAAGACCAGATTGCCGATCAGATCGAGCTCCTTGAGACGATACTTCCACGTTGTCTGCTCGGCCGGAGGGAGTTCGTCCAGAAAGATGGCGAGAAATATGAAGACAAGGCCGCCGGAGGGAATGCTGATGATGAAACACCATCGCCAGTTGATCTCGACGAGAAAGCCACCGAGCACAGGAGCAGCAATTGGCGAGATTCCTTCCAGCGCAGCAGCGATGCCTGTGAACAGTGGTCGCCGGCGGAGGGGAACAGTCCGGACTAGGAAGGCAAATGCACCGGCAACAATGCCGGAACTTGCGAGGCCGGCCACTGCTCTCCCGACGACAAGCATCAGACTGGACTGTGCCGCGGAGCAGAGAATGCTTCCGATGAGAAACAGCGCGACACTGATCAGGAAGATGCGCTTGAAGCTGAACATTTTGTAGAGCTTGCCAAACAGGAACTGAAAGCTGCAAAGACACAGACGATAAGCCGAGGAGTACCATCCTGCAAGAAATCACGTCCATCAACGCCTGTCGAGGCAATATTTTTCCAAGTGTGACCATACCTATATCAGAAACCGTATGAAAGTGGTCCGTGATCGCCGGTACAGCCACGGCGACGATGGAAGAGTCCATTTGCGCGATGACCAAGACCAGACATATCGAGAGGAATAGAACGTAGAATCTGGTGCCGGTAATCTCGTTCACGGCAGGGGTGGAGGGAGGGAGAGGTTCTTCTTGCAGCTGATCGGTCGGATGTCCAACACGTGCCGGCGCATCCTTTGTCGTTGCCGTGATTGGCTGAATCACATCGATTGCTGCCACGGCACGAGCAACCTCGACTTCAGTGGCTGACATGATTGATCTAGGAGATGTCTCGCGGTTGATTTACACAAGCCTGACCGCATAGTACTGGAAGGGCAGAGACTGAAATACACGCAAGCAACCTCGTCATTGCGCCGAAGTCCGAACTCCGCCTCTTGTTCCAAGCGGGCTTCGCTGCCTCCCCGTGATCAGCCCTACGGAGGAGCTGTTCAGCCTGCGATTGCATCTCACGAGGTCGAATCGAGGTGTTGGCTAGTAAGCCGTATGACAGCGTCATGATGATCAGGAGCGCAGGCAGATGCAGCCTGATCGGAAGTCTCCGCCATGCCTTGGCACAGAGGACGTCGTTACTCATTTGCACCTGCCTTTTCCAGGACAACCCCGTTCGAGCAAGCGCCCCGGAGAGCTCCGCGCCTCGGATTCGCCCAACTCGCCCAACTCCGCCACTCTCTACCCCGGACCAAGCTCGAAGTCGGGGTGCGGGCCGAGCGGGGACGGTTTAAGCATGAAAAGCCAAAGTGCCATCGGCGGCGCGTTTAAGCTTTGTGATTATGATCGACAGCGCTGCTATTGGTGGCTGCAAGGTTTCCCGCGCATCATTTACGACCAGAGTTGAAGGCTCTGACGAAGGGGCAGTTTGGCCACGGGTCAATCTCGTGCGCCGCGTGGCCCGATTCACATGATGAGCCGGTGTAGCATGGCAGCAACATGGCCAGCGGCATAGGAGGCCAGGCTGACCTGGGTTTGCCCTCCGCATTTCATACTGCCTGCTCCCCCGGCCCATACCGTTGTCACACTCATCAGCAAAGCAAAGCCGTTGGATGCCTCGGCTCATTTCACGCGCTACCACTCGGTATGGCGCACTATTGGTCTCTGGCGCACTTCGCGTCCCCGTTTCGTCCCCCTATTGCCCACCTACGGGGCAACTTCTCCATCCGGCCTAATCATGACCGCAACTGGCGGCGAGTATCCTCGTACACCTGGGCGAGCGCATGTGGAGAACACAAATCAGAGGGTGGAGTGAGTTGGGCGAACCGTATACATATATTCGCTGATCGCCTCGACATCGTTTTCCGCCAGGTCTGCACGCCCAATCGTCCGTTCACTTCCCATCGCTCTCTGCCCTTCACACATCTGCTCCCCCTTTCTACTTCGCTACCATGACACGTTTGGCTGTTGTTGCCGCGTGCCTGGCAGGCTACGCCGCCGCCTTCCCTCGCCTGGAATCCCATCTGCTCAGCCGAGCGGCAGCGCCACCGCAAGGTGCTGGTGCCCTTCCCGTGACGCCGCCGCCCTTTGACGCTTCGGCTCAGCTCGTTAGCACGAGTGGACAGTATGCCTTCGTTCCACCCGGCCCCGGCGATGCCCGTGGCGAGTGCCCAGGCTTGAACGCCATGGCCAACCAGTAAGTCTTCCGACGATGCAGCTCCCTGCACGACGATGCTGAGTATGATTGATAGTGGCTATCTCCCCCACAACGGCTATGCGACCATCGCTCAATTCACCGAGGCCTGCCAGACCGTGTTCGGCATGGGCGCCGATTTGGCTGCCTTCCTTGCCGTCTACGGAGCTGTCGTCGACGGTGACTTGACCGCATGGTCCATTGGCGGCCTGCCGCATACCGGCATCGGAGGCTCGCACAACGACTACGAGGCCGACAGCTCGCCGTTGCACGCCGATCTGTACCAATACGGCAACCTCTACACCCTGCCCAAGTCTCAAGCCTCACAGGTATGGCCCCGGTAGACTGGTGTTCATGTCAGGCGGAGAAACTTACCATTGCCGCAGTTGTTGAACATGCAGTCCGACGCCAGCACGGCCAACTACAACCTCGAGGTCTTGCGGGAGTTCCGCGCGACTCGCTTCCAACAGAGCGTCTCCGAGAACCCCAAGTTTTTCTGTGAGTCGTTAGCATCCTCGGCTTCGACTTCTCCGCTAACGGTGCTTTAAGACGGTCCCTTCACGGGCATGGCTGTGTCTCAGGCGGCATTCACTTTCATCTACCGTTTCATGGCCAACAAGTCCTCCGAGGCTCCCGAGGGTATCTTGAACCAAGACGTCTTGAAGAGCTTCTACGCTCTCAGCGGCACGAATGACGACGTGAGTTGGTCAGGATGTGGCAAAGTCGTACATCAGCACTAATGTCTGTACAGCCCGTCTACACGGCAGGTCACAACCGTATTCCTGACAACTGGTACAAGCGTAACACTGTCGACGCCTACACCATCCCCTACTGTGAGTCCTACCCAATGCGCATGCGTAAGCCCTTCCCCTAATCTCTCCTTCCTAGTCTTGACGGACGTTCTTTACTTCTCCGAGACCTTCCCTCAGCTCAACGGCGTGGGTTGCAACAACGGAAGCGTCAACACCTACGACACCATCTCCGTGTCGACGCTCACCAACGGCGCATACACCGCGGCAGAGGTCGCCGCGAACCCCATCTGCTTCGCTCTGGAGTACGCGGCGGCAGACGTGCCCAGCCTCACCGGCCTTCCCACCGCTGAGCTTGGCCCGTTGGCCTCCGTGCTGTCGAGCGCCACTTCGGAATTGAAGTGCAAGCCCATTGCCGCGATCAACAAAGGCGCGCTTGAGGCTTGCCCGGGCTTCACGTTGTACGGAGGACCCACGGCCCCCGTCGCCAAAGGCGCGATTCAGCCGTCGTAGAGTCGCCGGGAATTCATGTCGGCCCTGACGGGACGGTCTCTTTCACACGATGACGTGTTGTATGACAAGAGGGGTGCTGACGGAAAATTGCATGCTGGACGCAGATGTTTTTTAAATGATGTGTTCGGTCGAGTTATGTAAAAGCAATACGCGCGACGAAGCTGGGTTTGAACATTGGACATGCTTCGTCTCAATTTTACACACCCTCATGTACCTACAATCTCTCGGCGTCGCACCCTGCGACCTCCGGGTGACCTATTCGAAGCCAAACGTCGTTCCCCAACGTCGATTCTCCGCGTCTCGGATGTCTACTGTGCGTTTCTATATTGGTCTTCAATGGGCCCCGGGCCGCACGAGCACCAGCCACTGGCCCGGCGCTTACAAAGAGATGCACCATTGGGCAGTCTCTCGTGCGACTGGACGTCTGGACGCGAAACAAAGCCTTCTCTTCCTCCCTTCCCCAACGGCGCTTCCAGGCCGTGAGATCGTGGACCGTTCCCAAGCGCCGGATTGCGCCCGGTCTACTTGGAGCAGCCTGGCCCTCCTGGCCACCTATGTGCACCCGCCTGAAGCCCACCGAGACTTTGCACCCGACCGCTTCCCTGCCACTTCCGTCCTTTACATCTTCACTTCCATCGATGGCGACCATCGGCCTCGCGCCTGTTTCAAGGCTGATGCAATGTCGTTTGCTTCCTGCTTCATTCTAGCGCCGGCATCGCGTCCACTCATGTCGGCGTCCGGAGATCTGCCGTCGTTCTTTGAAGAAGCGCCGTACAGAACTCCTGCTGGTTTCAAATCAATGGGGACTTCACGATGCTCGAGCAGGGCGTCGTAGGGTCTGACCATGACGATCTCATTCCATGTTTCAGGAATTGGAAAGTGAGCGCTGACAGTCTCAGGATGTCTTTTCATGATCGTGCATTCATATATCGAGCTGTGCGCTCCTCTCACTGCACTGATCTCCGCAGATCAAACACTCGTTCGCAACATCCAACTCCCTCACCTTCTTTGTGTCCTTTCCTGTCTTCTTGTCTCTTTTGTTACTATTCGGTCTGGCATCGCCGCCTTCCCCGTCAACTAATCTAATACCTTACACCAACTCTCGTTTTCATTGCCTGCCTCGCAAGCTATTGAATTTCCATACTCTCCGACCCAAGGGGTCGCCCATGTCATATTACAGCAACCTGCCAATCATGCCGAAAGAAACGCGGAGATCAACCTCAGCAAACCACAGACAACCGGCGCCATATCCAGCGCAGCCGAACGCAGCCGCTCGAAACGCCGCAATATGGCGGTCGGTGGATGATGAAAAGCTCGTGCACGCCCGAGCCTCGGGATTGAACTGGCAGCCCATCGCCAGCCGCTTTTTTCCCTCCAAAACCGCCAATGCATGTCGGAAACGGCACGAGCGGTGAGATTTACTCCGCTGCTCATGAACGTTACGGGAGCTGACGCTATATTCTTACCGCAGACTGGTTGCGCACCGGCAGGCAGATGCCTGGCCTCTTGAAAAAGAGGAGGAGCTCTCCGAGCGGTATGTTGCCAGAAGTGGGGAATTTTGGGAGGCGCTAGGAAGGGAGATGGGCGAACGTGCAAGTGTTGTCGAAAGCAAGGTGGGTTCCACAGGGAACAGCTCGCCAGCCTGATGACTGACCGGTGAACAGTGCTTCGAAAAGGGGCCGAAACGCTTGCACGCTGAAGCCCGGGCGGCGCAAAAGAGGAGGGCAGGGCACGGTCGAGTGACCTCTGTCGACGATCAAGGTACCACTGCACTTGATCGTCGCCGAAGCGACTCTGGTGTTGGCCTTGGCGAGGAGGCTGAGATGGAGGTAGAGCCCATGCCTGAGCCAAGCAGAACAGCATCAATAGGGTGGCACCGCCATTCGAGCGCGCGTGCGCCGGACCACACCCGGACTCACAGTCTGCCTCAACTATTGCCGCTCTACCAGCCGCCGCCACCTCCAGCCATGACGGACTACACGCGATATGTTGAGCGCGATCCGCGGGGCTTTTGCAGCACTCGAGGCGAAGTCAGCATACAGTCTATGTTATCGCCGGCTGAGCCGCGGTACTCTTGAAGTGTGCGGCGAGGGAGCGAGGCTGCTTTGACAGTAGCACGGGCGTTGTATGATGGCGAGATGATGATAGATGGACGTTTTGGCGCATAGAGGTAAGCTCACTGTAGGTGTACGTCGTGGGGCTCGATGGTAATTGGCGATTCTAGAATGGTAGTATTGTACGATAGTAACATGTGTGTATCATTAGTATCAGAAGAATGTCTGATCGTGTTTCGCTGGAGCATGGGCAGATGAACTTGAGCCTCAGGCATCAATGCGCGCTGACCTCTTCACATGCAGTTCACGTTACGCATTCCATCATCACCTCACACACGACCATATTTGTCACCCCTCCACTCGTCTCTGCTATTGGAGAAATCATCAGTTCCACAGCAATGCATGAATAGCAGGAGGACAGCTGTTGCCGCTCGTTGCGCCGGGCTCGAATAGATGCCTCTGCCCCGTTTTGTTACCTCCACCGCAGTCCCTCCCTTGCATTGCTACTCGCGTCACCTGAACAGCCACACGCGCTCTGCCCTCCGTGTCACCCTCGTTCAGCGTACCGTATTTACGAGCTGCCGGTCACCACATCGCCCAACTCAACTCTCGCTCAAGTCGCCGCTTCAATGGTCTCACGTCATTAGACTCCTCAAACCTGCCTCCATCCCAATGGCCCCGGGCCCCGATCCCGCCGTCGGCCTGGTGCAAGTCAGAGCACACGGAGGACACTCCCACTCACATGGTCATCACCACCATCATGACAATACCTATCTTACCAGCAGTAACAAGAGCGATCCGGGCGTGCGGATAACGAGGATTGGACTGTATGTCAACCTGGGCATGGCGATTTGCAAAGGAGCTGGAGGGGTGGTGTTCAATTCGCAAGCGTAAGCAGCAGAGCGTGGTGATGTGGATACAGGACAAACCAATCTGACGAGAGTGCATCGATAGGCTCACGGCTGATGCGCTCCATGCATTGACCGACTTGGTGTCGGACATCATGACCCTCGCCACCATATCTTACTCTCTCCGCCCGGCCTCCAAGCGCTTCCCCACGGGCTATGGCAAGATCGAATCGCTGGGTGCGCTTGGTGTTTCAGGCTTCCTTTTGACAGGCGGCTTGATGATTGGGTGCGCAAATTCCCTCGGAAGTTGCATTGACGAGCACCGTGCTAACATTGGCGTTCAGTGTACAATCTATATTGGCGTTGAGCCAACAATTCTTCCCAGAAGTCGCACACACTCTGTCCCACATTGGCCTGTTCGAGCACGCTCATAGTCACGGCCACAGCCACGGGGGAGGCGAACTCGGCCCGAACATCAATGCAGCCTGGCTCGCAGGCGGAAGCATCGTTATCAAAGAGTGGCTATACCGAGCGACGATGAAGGTCGCAAAGCAGAAGCGGAGCAATATTCTGGCGAGCAATGCCTACCATCACCGCGTCGACAGCCTCACCGCGTTCGTGGCCTTGTTGACCATTACCGCTAGCCATTTCTTCACCAATGCACAGTGGCTTGACCCGGTGGGCGGCCTCATCATCAGCGGAATGATTGTCCAAGCGGGCTGGGGCAACACCAAAGCGGCTCTCTACGAGCTGGCGGATGTGGGAATCCAAGACGAGATCAAAGAGAAAGTGCAGAAGGCATCGGCGGCTGCTTTGCAAGAGCAAGTCGGCTCGGAAGCAATTGTCAAGGGTGTGCAAGGCATCAAGAGCGGACAGAACGTCCTGGCTGAGATTGAGGTCGCCGCACCCTCTGACTGGACGCTGTCGAAGATTGGCGAGGTGGAGGAGCGCGTACGGGACAGCGTGATCGCTCAAGTTCGAGGGGTCCGACGAGTGGTAGTGCGATTCACGAGCGATGCCGACGGGGATAAGGAAGCTTTTGCAGACGACTTCGCCCCCGCTCCCGCCAGCAGTCCTGAGCCGGAAGACGGACATGACCATGGCGACCATGAAGCGAAGCACGACCACTCTCATGCACAGTCTGCCGAGCAGTCCAGCGGCTCTGCTCGAAGACGGAAGTGAAAGTCGGGTTGACGTGCACCTGCCTGCGACTAGACATCAAAGCCAAGACCTTCTGCAGGGGACGGATCGCACAAGGCTGGACGTGGGAAGTATCTTGGATGGAGGAACACAAACGCCACCAAATATAGATCTTGGCGGGTCACGTGTGGGCATCACGATCCGACGCCTTCGGCCCATGTTTGAGCTGGAGTGGACACGTTCGGCGCTGCTTCGGTGGCAGCATCACACGTATATATAGGGCCTGCTGTGCGCCTCCCCCGGATCTCGTTCAGATAGATTCGAAATCTCGCGACTTGACGCCTACCATAGTGCTTTCGCCGCGGGCAGGCCTCTGTCCTCCGCTTCATGTCTCATCCGATACTTCGCCTTCCCCCTTCCTCTCCGACCAATACAAATCGAATCGCATCGGGAAGGCAAGAAAGGGCTTCTGCCTGCTAGCACCCAATGCCCAGCATGCTAGGCACACGACACTCCTCTCCATCCTTTCGTTGAGCGCCGCAGCTCGTGAGCAGCGCGAGACGGACCCGCACCAGAATGGCCGAAAATAAGCCCGCTGGGCGGTCCGGTCGCTCCATCGCCGCCTCGCGGATCCCTTCCTGCAGCCCTCAACGACAGGATGCCGGCAACGGCAATCTCTCGGCCAATGACACTGCGTGCTTTGCCGCTCATTTGCCATCGGCACCAGGCGGAGTTAAGTGACCTCTCACTGGGCGCTCGCGGGCCGTCAACGTCAACACCTTGCGCAGAGGAGGCTGCGCACAACGAGCGTTTCTTGGGACTTTGACACGAAGGTATTACTGCATCTTATCGAGCAGGCCGACTGTTGGGCCTTCATTTGCCATGCGCAATCCGGTGGGCTGCACTTGGGTCGGAGTCGGCCAATACCTCTCTCCCAATGGCTCGTTACGCCTTACCTCGCTGCCTTCTTGCCTCCTCCCTCCGTTCTAGACTAATCATGCAGCATTACATGAGATCGCGGGGATAATCCTTGGTCTTCCCCATACATATGGTTTGTGACGCAGTCTTTCCTTTCGATGGTCTCGTTGTCCTCTGTCCTCTCCTTCCCCATGTCTTCCTCTCCATCTTCTACGGGTGCTAAGAGGGCTTGCGATGCGTGTGAGTGACTGCGCCAAGTGTTGGTGAGCATAGCGATCACGTCTGACCGGTTTGGTTTCTTAGGTCATCGACGAAAGGTCAAATGCAACACCAGCGACGGTGCACAACCATGCAGGAATTGCGCTTCGTCTGGTCTCGCATGTACCTACAATGCCGTAAGATGCTTGCCCGTGCCCGTGCAACTCGAGTTCGCGCTGATCGTCCACAGATCCCCCAGAAAAGTAAGGCGCACGGTTCAGTGATTGCCGTTCGAGACGATTCACTCCAGCCACGCTCTCATTGTCCGAGGCTGACAATCATGGCGTAGAGGGCCCCAAGGGGAGTCGCGCAAAGGTCATCAGTGAGCTGAGGGAGAACCAACGACTCGCCGCGACGCACAGAGACTCGTTCGATAGTCCTCCCGACTCCCCGGCTTACTCCAAATATGCCATCGTCCTTCCACCCGAACTCATCGACACCTGCATCGCCTTCTTCTTCGACAATCTGTATGCTACTCAGCCGATCTTGGATCGCGAGGGGGTGCTGCAAGCAGTTGCGCGGATGTACGACGACACCGAGGCATACGTCTTTGTCTTGTCGCTCTGCGCGTAGGTTTGCGTATGTCAATGGACGGAAGCAAGACGGACGCTAACCAGACCCCTTAGCTATATGTGCATCCAGCCCAACCTTCACGTCTCCGCCGAAGCACTGACAGGCCTGGAGATCACAAGTCAGTCGACCGTCTCACTTGGAAGACAGCTACTGCACGAAGCCATACGGATGCGAAAGAGTCTCAACTGCGTGGAGAACCCGACGAGTTTGACCGTCATCACATTGTTCTTCTTCTTTGGCTCGTACTTCTGTCTGGATCGGCACAACCTGGCGTGGTACTATCTTCGAGAAGCAACCACTATCGCGCATTTACTCGGCATGCATGTACGAGGAGTGGGATAACCCGGCACACTGAAGTATCATTGGCTGATCGTTTCGACAGGAGGAATCGACATACGCAGACGGCGCGCCAGCAGAGGTCTCGCGCAGGAGAAGGCTGTACTGGCTTTTATTTGTGACAGAAAGAGCATGTATGTCAACGACAGAGAGGATGGACCCGCCAGTTCAATACTGAGACTTTACAGACGCCCTCCAGCAACATCGGCCTCTCACACTCGCAGCAACCATCAAACTTCCCACGCTTGACGAAGACCCCGCGTTGACATCAGAATTGAACGGCTTTCTCAACCTCGTCAACCTGTTTCGACCATTCGACCATACATTCGTAGGCCTTTGGAATCAAAGCCATGCAGGAACACCGCCTGGATCATGGCTACGCCAGATGCAGCAGGAGCTTTCCGATGCTCTGCCCGTCTACCTCGACTGCACCGAGTGTCAAGCAGTGGACCTACGACTTTCGCAATCATGGTACGTCGAGCATGTGCGCGCACAATTGAATGCCGTCTGACGCGCCTTTCAGGCTCAAGACCATGGTTTGGCAGCTGTCCATCAGCCACGGTGCCCTTTCGTCCTTGGCGACGGACAATTCCATGTCACTCGGATATCCCATTGAAGTTTCTCGACAGCTCGTAGCGGCTACCAGCCAGTTTTCACAGCAAGCGATGGAGGTCCATGGGATTGGCCTGGTACGTAGATGCTCCTCGCGCGAGACGTTGCATTGGCATGAGTACAGATACACTAACCGACTTGCGACTGTAGGTTGAGAAATTGTTTGGTACTGTCGAGCTGCGAATGCGTATGTACGACACGGCTGACTGACACGCATTCCCACAGACGTTGCTTGCACCCTGACGGACGTGATTTCCTGCGTCCCCCGACAGACCTTCGAGTTCGGCCCGCGAGACTACCTCACCAAGATCGTGAGCGTCATCTCCTCGCTCCGAGGAGGACAACAGCGCTATCTCCCAATCCTCATGTCCAAGATCAACGAGGCGATGCCGAGCGTGCCGCTCTCTCCGTCGCTCATACGAGAAGACGGAACACCGATCTCCGAAGGAGCGCCGCTGAGCGCGACGGAGAGTCTGGGACTTCACCCGTTTAGCAGTCCGGCTTTGAGCGCTGTCAGCCCGCAGAGCATTGCCTTTGCGCCATTCCCACACGCCCCGGCAGGCGTCATGGCTCTGGCTCCGACTCAGGCTCCGATCACGACGGAAGTTGTTTACGATGCGCCGGTTATTTCTGCGCCTCTGCAAATGCTGCAGACCAATGGACATTTGTACCATGATTCCCATGACGTGGGATTCGGCACGAGCGCTTGAGCCTGATGCATGACGAAGGACACCAACGTGCAAAATGCAGGAGGGCGAGGCCAATCACACTCGCTCGTTAATGCTGCTACATTCCTGGGAAGCATGTACACCATGGACTTGTCATGGACCAGATTTGAGAGGGCACACGAGCGAAATGAGAGACACGATGAACGACGACCGAACGCGAAAATGACACGGGCCGCGGATCACGTAAGCCAGCCCACGCTAGCAGGGGAACGCGCATCTTGAATCAACGTCACTACACGACTGCCGTCCTTTTCCTCTCAAATACTCCTCCATCAGTGCGCATTGGATGCTTCGATCTTGTCTGGCATGATTTGAAAGACGAATATACACCCGCATCGTATCGTAGATTTCTCCCGCAGTGCTCACTAATCGATCATGACTTGGGACCCCGTAGCCATGCATCGGACAGAGCTTCGCAGTCCCCAGACGTCTGGATGGCCTGGACGAGCAGCGATTGTAATCACATGGCGCTCTCCGTCGAGTCACCGTCCAATGTGCATTTGGATCCGACAGCTGTGGAAGATTCTGCCGGTATTGCGCGCAGTGTAACCGGATGACATCAGCGACAATCAGATGAGATTCCACGATATAAGAGAGATTGATTGCTCCAGTATGCCGCATGCTAACGAGGTTGCTGCAGCCCTCACGTCATCGAAGCCAAAATTCGTGGTCAACAACGCCCGCGCAATGAGGTCGGAGATGACAACAAACATACCATTGCTTGCCGCACAACCTTCTAATCGTTCTGAGATTCTCCACGAGAGGTCGCCATCCCTGTTGGAATCTGCGTGCCAACTTTCAGGTGAACTCGTGCCGTATCCGCAACTGCACAACAATAAGGCTGCCGCAAAGATTGTTCACTTCATTGAGCAAGTCGAGATCCAGCCACCGACTTTCGTCTGCTCCTCAATGAGAAGTTTTCTATTGTGCTCTTGCAAGTCGAACTCTTCCACTCAAGCTCCCTTTCTGCAACAGACACCAACAACACCCGCCCCTTGATTGCCAAACCTTCTCAGACCAAGTACCGTCCCACACAAGCATCCATTCGATCCGACGATAACATCGCCCACCACCCGTGGAGATCAATGATCCGGCAATTCGCCCCGTCGCGGGGGCCTATGGACCTGAAGACCATTCCGAGGATGAACTCCATCGTTCTCACCGGATTGGACTACTCCATGAAGCCAGAGCACGTTCGCTTCGAGAGCAGCAAACAATGTCAGTCCGACGCCAATGCCTATCGACACGGTCGCGTGCTAATGTCGAGCAGTCATTACTCCCTTCCCACAGATCAAGGTCATGCACCTCATCAAAAGTCTTGCGTGAGTCCCCTAACGACCTTCCACAACCTCCGGTCATCAGCGCTGACCAACGCAGTCTCATGATCTACAACCAAGAGAAGCTCATTCCCTACTACCACGCCAATGTGTGCGACGGTCGCAATTCGCTCGCCTACTTCATCTGCGCGATGCACCGCCAGACAGCCCCTCAACCCATGACAAAGACCCACTCCCGCCAGAACTCCATCGTGAGCACAGCCTCCGACCACAGCACTGCCTCCTGCAGATCTGCAACGCCAGGCAAGACTTGCGAACTGCCGAAGCTATGCACCACTTCCATGCTGCCGCTCGGCTACTGGGACAGCCTCTTTTATGCGCTCGTTGCCGAGATCCGCTCTTTGCGCGATGATCTGGAGAGACGCTTCGGTTTCGCTTGCGAGATTGACAATCCCGTGCTGCACGCTCATGGCCCCGACGGCGACTCTAATGCTCCCTTCACCGCAGTCGACTTCGCTGTCATGCTCGAGACGGCATGGTACGCTCTCATGGACAATCGCCTTGTCGCCACTCTTGATGATGCTGTCCGCATGAAGAACCTGCGTGAAGGCGCGGCCAAAGTCGGCAGCAACAGAGCGTCCAAAGAAGACTATACAATGAAAGACAATGCAGACGATGACGACCATGAGGAGCAACTCTTGTGGCCGCCTCCAATCGTGCCGGGCCTGGTCGACGTGTGTGGCATGCTTCCGGAGCAGATCAACGAAATGCTCTGGGAAAACCACATGCCCGCCATCAACCGCGCATGTCAAGAGAATTTCGAGGATGAGTCCATGCTCACGGCTTACCGCGCCGAGCTGCATGCGCGCGATGTTGAAGCGGCTATTGCAGCTGGCTCTCCACTCCCAAGTGCCAGCTTCTGCCCATGCCACCGCACGTGTGTGTGCAAGATCAAGTGCGACAAAGACGCCGACCAATGCACGTGTTTGAACAGCCGCGCTCAGGTCTACCATCTGGTCCGCGAGCAAGAACTGAAGAAGAAGGACATTCACGCCAAGTACGTGAAGGCCGAGCACAATGTGCCGAACCAGTTTCTCGGGGCTGCGACCAATACTTTGGCTCAGATGCAGATCGCCGCCATGGCCAACCCGAGCGTGGTGAATGTCAAAGCCGTTCGCAACATTCACGATGCAAACAACGTACAGGAGGTCCGTGTGGCCCGGAAGCTTCGCGATCGCAGTGGCACGAACGACAGCGACCTCGCGTACGTGCCTAACTCAACACCTGCAACTCGTGGTCCCAAAGACCCCTATCCTCTGGACTTTTACAGGAGCTACTCGCCACAGCGCTATCCCAAGATGCATCAGCAAGAGACAACATACTCGGACTCGCAGGCGGCGCTGCAATCGGTGAAAAGCAGTCTTGCCATGCCTAGCCGCAAACCGGTCCCAGCGCCAATCTCTACCTCGTCAGCTGTTACCAGCCTCCATCAAGCGCAGCCGAGCTATCCACAACAGTTTGCACTGACGCCACCTTCAAGCACTTCATTTGACGCGCCGACGTTCGCGCAGGGAGGACAAGTCACGTATCCCGAGATCCCAGCGTCTCACAGTCAATCCATGTTCACGCAGAGCTATACCCACGCGGATCCATACGGACGTGATGCAGGCCAGAGCGTCTTCAGCCATCACAAGGACACGCATCCCGGCCCGCACGATCCAGCCAACCAGTATACCAGTCTTCTCTCCCGTCACCCATCCACTCTGGAGCACGGACATCACGACTCGGAGCCCAGCCCGCTGCTCTCCCGCCCACATCTCAATATCGTAACCCATGCCGCCACCACCGACGCACTTCCCACATTGAGCACTTTGGGCTCCCTCAAACACAAGCCCCAGCCCGAGCTTCCCGGCCTCGACTTCATCAGTCCCAAACCAGCAAACAAGCAACGTTATGTCCCTGCTGGAGGCAACGCGAAGCTCTCCGAGCGTCCCGAGATCCCTGGCCCTGCGTTACCATACACCACTGCATCGAACAGCGGCACAATCACCAAGGCCGAGATCGATGCGATTCTAGGCGACGAGGAGTTTGTGCGCCGCCATTTCGGCGAGGAGGCGCTTCATATCAGCCCGCAGCGTTGCAGCGAGGAGTCGAATAATAAGCGCAAGTCGGATGAGAGCGAGGCGAGTAAGAAGGGCAGCGGCGACAAGCGGGATAGAACGAGCAGCAGCGCGAGCAACAAGATTGCCGCGTGGAAGAATCGGGTGTTCAGCAGTGGGGGGAGGAAGAATAGTCGGAGCGAGGGGGATTGATGCAAGCGAGCCGGCGCATGCAAGGGACCGAGGAATGCTGGCCGAATCGACTTGGTGGCTGAGCAATGAGAAAGTGGAGGCAAGCATCGGGTAAGTCTGATTTTTCATCGTCTATCGCAATGGCAGCGGGCGGTTGGCGTACGGGCATTCAGGCGGCGTTCAGGCGGATGATACCCCGGAGGCGACGGCGTGGCTTTTGAACTTCGAGATTAGTGACCAAATCAGTCAAACACATTCCGCCTCCATGCACATTTGTCGAGTCCATGAGCGATGTCAAGGTATGGCTTTGCCACACCGCCGGCGGAAGGGCGGCGGAAGGGATGAAGGGTAGGCTGTAGTGAAGCGGTGAGCACTTGGAGATAGTTCAGATTCATCGACTACGTCGTCTATATCGCCCTGATTCGTCCCCTCAACGGCACTGCGGGTATTGCGGCCCCTGCTGTGGCAGAGGCAAGTCGCCTTGCTGCTCGTCCTGACCAAAAGCAACAGCTTGAGCGTGGCGTCCGATCACACCTGCCCTCGCCTCGGTCGATGTGTAGTCGTTGAGACATCCGCCGCCGTTCTTCTTGTCGTCCATCATGGGTAGTCGTCATGCCGGAGAACAGTCGTTCTCGTCAGAAGCAGGCCTCCCATGCAGGGCCTGCCCTGGGCGTGGCCGTTTAGGGCGTGGCCATGCTTCCTGCAAAGCTCATTTCCCACGGCAACGGGCGGGGGTTGCAATGCAAGCATCGAGAACCATCAGAACATCTATCCGCTGCACCGCTTAGGCAACGCTTGCCCATGCCACTCATTTCTTGACAATAGTGATAATGTCTTCATCTTCAAGCTGGTGGGTCAGACCGACTCGTTGCGGCTGATGCTTCACGCTGCGACCGTAGACGATGGCGATGCGGAACTGCTCCACGATGGTCTTGTGGATAGCATTGCAGAAGTCTTCTACCGAGCACGCCGTACTGCGCAGCACGACGGGCGCGGAGTAGTCTGGCAGCTGGCCCTTGGGTTTGGTGTAGACTCGTCGCAGATTGAGCTTGTCCCACATGAGCTCCATCAGCTCGTCGACGTTCCATCCGTGCTCGGAGCTGATTGGACACGCGTTGGGAATGCGGTAGAGGAGATCCAGTTCTTCAATGGAAATGGCATCGATCTTGTTCAAGGCGTAGATGACGGGGATGTATGAGCGGGCTTTGGCCTCGATGACATCGATGAGATCGTCGATGGTGGCGTCGCAGCGGATGGCGATGTCGCAGTTGGCCATGCGGTATTCGTTCATGACGGCCTTGATTTCGTCGTTGTCGATGTGTGTGAGGTTGACGGTGCTGGTGATGGAGATGCCGCCCTTGTCCTTTTTGGTGATTTTGATGTTGGGTGGCTCCTTGTTGATGCGGATGCCGAAGCCCTCCAGCTCGGTCTCGATGACGCGCTTGTCCGTTAGAGGCTTGTTGACGTCGAGCACGATGAAGATGAGATGGCAAGTCTTGGCCACGGCAATGACCTGTCGTCCACGACCCTTGCCATCCTTCGCGCCTTGGATGATACCCGGTAAGTCGAGCATCTGGATCTTGGCGCCGTTGTACAGCACCTGGCCGGGAACGGTGGTCAAGGTGGTGAATTCGTACGCCGCGGCCTCGGAGTGCTGACCGGTGAGGCGCGACATCAGCGTACTCTTGCCCACGGAGGGGAAGCCGATGAAGCCCACCGACGCCACTCCCGTGCGGGCAACATCGAAGCCAACGCCGCCGCCTCCGCCACCGCCCTGCGGCGTGAGGAGTTCTCGTTTTAGCTTTGCCAGCTTGGCCTTCAACAGGCCCAGATGGAAGCTGGTGGCCTTGTTCTTCTGCGTCCGGGCCATCTCGGCCTCGATGTCCTTGATCTTGTCCACCGTAGTCGCCATGTTGGGCCAAGTTGCGATTTGAGGTTGCAAAGTGGCAATTCGATGTCGAAGTTGAGATGCCCGAGGTGAGGTGATATTTGTGACGTCTGTGCGCGGAAGCCAGGACGGGCGCTAAACCAGGAACAGCCTGAGCCTTTACTAATAATTCGACTTCCAACCTCATGTTTCCAGTCGGCAGTTGGCAGTTTCTACCGCGAACATACGTTCAACATTGTGTATGCGTAGACTCATGAGTCGAACAGGAAGTGCACCTTCCAATCTCATGAATTATAGGCATGACTACATGTATTGTCCGACCTCTATCGGCTCCTGAACGCCGGCAGCGATTACCAAATGCCTCGAATGGGACTTATACCGCACAACAGCGTCAACGGATTCGATGGGTGGAAAAAGGAGGGGCTGATGTGAGATTTCTCGACCAAATCACCGTACACAAGCCAGATCCTACGAAGAAGACGGATCGAAGATCGATGCCGACAAGGCTTTCGACTCAGCCCCGCGCGAAGTTTACTAATCATTTGTAAGATATGGCAGCGATGGCACTCCCCGCCGGCAAATTGAGTAACCATTTATATAAGCACACCGTTTCGTTGACCTCTGAAATCGATGCACACGGCATGCACAGTCATCCACAAGACAAAACGACCGCCAGCCATGGCGACCGGCCCTTCGACGAATGCTGGTCAAAAGAGCAGGCGGAAAAGGGTCGTTGCTGTAAAACCCAGCTACAACTACTGCAAGACATGCAGGGCCCGCAAGCTCAAATGTGGGGGGGAGCGGCCATCCTGCCAGCGATGTTTGAAGAACGGCTTGGAATGCAGCGGGTATGCCAGTTGGGAACTTTCGCTCCCCGAAGAGACGCACGAGCCGCCATCACTGAGCGCCGTCGCCCAGAGATACGCAAATCGCATGCAGCTACTCGCCCACTTGCTCGAGGATCGTTTCCCAAAGGGCATGCCTGTAAGCCCTGAGGCGGGACATGTGCGCGGCTTGTCGCTCCCACATCTCTGTGCCGACATGGACGTCTCAAGCCCGTTGCTTAATCAGGCCATCGATGCTCTTTGCGTCACCAACTTTGCGCGCGTGGAGGGGAGCACGTGGGCACTTCACGCTGCGTGCGCATCGCGCAGCACCTTGTTCGGCATGCTGCACCATTCCGTGAATAGCCATGTGAACAAGCCGAATTCACAGAGCGCTCGAGACATTGTCATGACCATCATACTAACGAGCATAATGGCTCAGCTCAATGGCGACTCCACGACAATCCATCTCGAAGGTGGAATACACTTCATTGCAACCCGCGGCCCGTCGTTCCTTGATGACAGGACGCGTCTCGATGCCGTGACACGCCGCCTGGTGCAAATCTATTCGTACCCCATGTCGCTGGCACGCCGAAAAGACATCCTCTACAAAAGTCCGACATGGAAGCGGGCGCCGCGGGTGTGGTTACAAGACGAAGTCGCTGTCCACAGAGCGACTGGGTTCGTCAAATCATCACACCCCTCGGCGCACGACGCTCAGACCCCGGCGCCGAACGACCGGAATCTTCAGCGCGACTTTATCGCTCCACTACCTCGACTCTTGGAGACTGCCGATGCATATTGCCAAGCCCGAAGCTTAGATGCATTGCCACCGGCTTTCCTTGAGGACTTGGAAGCGATGTGCAAGCGATACGATGATCTTCAGGTGAGATGCCTTACCCCGGCCATACTAGAGGGCGAAAAGACGCAAGGCCCAAAGATCACCAATGAGGAGCTGGAAGAATTCGACATGAACATTGAAGAGCATCGCTTTCTTTGCAGTCCCCGAAACGACCAGGTGCGCGAGCATCATCAATTCATTGGACCAGAATATGCGTTCCCGGCCACCCTCCTACGCATTTCTGGCCTGCTGGCGGACACTGCTCTGCTCCAGGTTATCTGCTGTGGAGAGGATCGCGATCAGCTATCACCTAATAGATTTGGAAGCTCGAAAGCGGACATCGAGCAGCGAGCCGCGTGGAAGGCGTGGGAGCTCTGCCGGCTAGTCCACTGCTACAGCCAGCGATCCCTGACCGCGGCAATAATGATGCAGGCCCACGTTTCTGGCGCCATGTACTTTTTCGAGAGCTACGGAGATGAAGCGGCGCGACGCTGGTGTGAGGACTGCCTCGAGGCGACGGCGCGGCGGATCGAACGACTGCGGGCGAGCACCGTATCTTTATGTCCGGTAGTGTCCACTTTTATGGTCCTGACGCGCGGCTGCAGGTACAAACACAAGGCCAATGCATGGAGACGGATCCAGCCTCAAACCGGCGGCAGTGTCGTGTCGCCTCCTTCAGGTGCCTGAAGCTCGCTGAAATCACACCGAAGGAAAGTCGTCTTCCATTCCGCTGCTGTGTGCGCAGAGGTGAAGGCGCCGGTCGGCTTGCTCGACGTCCGGAGATCGGGTGATGTCTGAACAGTGACCACGTCATGTTCAGTAGACCTTGTACGTTTACACAGAGCTATGCGAATGTGTTTCAGTGAAGCTGGTCGCTACACCTGACGATGCTCTGAGCCATTTCGGGCAGGGAATCGGCAACGCAATCCATTCCGCCAAAAATCTCCGTCACGGGCTCGTGCTCGAAGACAGTGCAGTAGGCAGCACGAAACCTAATCAACATCAGCCGTGTCAGGTGGGTGTCTGCGGGTTAGCGAGCTGTGCATCTCACCCCTGCCTCTTTGCGGCCGAAACGTCCCACGCATGCGCTGCTGCAAACCACGGCTTCTCGCCTTGAGCGCTCAACTTTTCGAGTAGAGGAGCATACGCCGCCGATGCCGGCTTCCCAATCGATGTCGAGTCGCAAGACATCATGTTCTCTTCTGGCAGGTCAATGCCAGCTTTGTGGAAGTACGAGTAGATGCGAGAGTAATCGGCCATTGTAAACGCCCAGACGGTGAAGCCATTTCGCCGTAAGGTGTCGATGCATTCTCTGGCCTGGCAGATCATCGTCATCAGCGCGAGTCCTTACATGTCCACACACCATTTCTTACACCAGGCCTCATCTCCATATCCGAAAAGCCGTGCAAGATGAAATCGAGATCCTCTGCCGTTGCAAAATCGTGCGGGTTCGGAACACCAACTTTCCACAGGACCCTCCAGAACAAATGTTTGATGCATTTGTCGTAAGGTGTGTAGCCGCCGGACATGGACAGGTACGTGTACTCGCGCTCGCTGACTTCTATCCTGCGAGGAAGGCTGGTCAGATGGGCAGCTGCATGGCGGCGGATGGGTGACGACCGACCACAAGTATCCGAACACATGCGGCGAGACGCCATACTCACGTAGCTTATTCCCCAGCCGCTCGTCAATGGCTGCATAGAACTTTTCGTAGCCCACCAGCGTGCCTTCTACGTCAAAGACGACGTGTTTTGCGGGCAGCATGGCAGGTGAATGGTGTGTAGAGGAAAAGGAATTGGGGAAATACTGGGGAGATTGGCGTCACTTGCATTTTGAGTGATCAAAGGCCACTCCTGGTCATCTTTCACGCCCTATTACATGGACAATTCCGTCTCGTCTCCCCACAGGCATTTCTTTTGGATTTGTAATGCGGCTTAAAGGAATAAGCTGACTTGGCGATGCTGAGTCGGTTGCTGAATTGAAGTTGTCGAGTTGCTGCTTTTGCAGAGACTTCTTAAGTCTTTCACGGTTCTTCCGCCTATCTCTTTCACGTCGTGCTTGATTGAAGACCAGGAAACGCTATAGTTATCGACATGGGACTTGAAACCAAAGACCCAAACAATGCCGAGAGTTTTAAAGAGGGCAAGCTTTGGACGCAGGGTGGGCAAACATCTAGATTGCTGCAGCCGCGATCCGACATTGTCGTGCTGCTGACCCCCAACTATGCTCAGACTCCTCGAACATTTAACCGGCAGGCTGATCCAACAGTTCTGCATTGCCTTGATGGGGATGACTTCCAGGAATAGCGAGGCCTCTCGCTCGCACATTCCGCTTTGCAAAAGATCTCGCCATCTACACAGCTCAAGTCGAGTCCATGGTCATGGCCAGATTATGCCCCTCGTCCAGAAAGGAGCATGGCTTAACGCACGACAAAGCAGTACCTCGTATTCATACATGTATTTGATACTGAGATACAGTGAAATTGGTTGCATAGAGCACGACTACACCACTCCAAGTGGCTTGCAGCTCGTATCTGCAGACTCCCAATATTCTCTTCAACAGAGCCTGGATATATGCGAGGATCGGGCGACTTGATGTTTTGGTCACGCCATCCGCTTTTATCACATTGATCAGGCCATCATGATGTACAATGGACTTCATGTCACCGAATGTCTTCGTGGCGCTCTCCGGTCCGCTCGTGTCCACCAGGCCATTTGGTTGTGCACTACACATGGTGGCAGATGCGTTAACAGGTGACCAGGCTGACTCCACGAAAACGCCTGCCAGGTGCGTAGCGACTGCTGCATCGGTTTGTCTACACCACGCAGCAGTCTTCGAAGGACGAAATGCAAGGCTGCCCAACATCTTGGCAAGTCCTCCAGCCTTTCCCGTTTAGGAAGGAGCTGCAGCCTCATGCATAACGACTATCACTCTCGGTCAGTCCGTTCGTATCGCGTCCTGTCATGCCGCAGACATATCGAAGATATAAGACGGCCTCTCCTTTTCCTCCTGGTTCTTGATCCGCATCAACAAAGACATCATCTTTCCGACCCGAGCATCTTTGAAGGTCTGCGGCCTCCACAAAGCATATCTGCAATACTCAATCTGCACCAGCAAAGCTATCATGGCTGCACCGGCTGTTGTTGATGTTGGAGGACTTCAATTCAATGTCGGAGCTGCTCCAGCCGGTCCGCTCCGTGCGGTCCTGCTGGCTCCTGGAGCGGTGCCTGATGCCAACAATCAGTTGCCTCCGAGAATTAGTCCTCAAAGGTTGTGGACAGGTCCACCCGTAGCACCAGCAAATTTGAATCAGGGTGCAGGTACGTCCATCTCCGGACCAAGATCAATGATACGGCCGATACTGTTTGTGAAGCCCGCGACTGACTCTCTCTCAGGCCTCTATGTGCACTGGTTGGACCCCACGACGGCCGCCGTCAGACCCGTCCTCCGTGGTCAACACTTCCAAGTAGGGATCGAACGCAGTAACGGAACCTTCGAGGGTGCGGTAGCCGTCGATAGACATGGCCAACCTGCCGTGTTTCAGTTCGCAGAAATCGAAGTGGACGCAACTTTCATGGTCACCACCACGCCCCATATCACACTCCGGTTGCAGTAGTTAGAACCTTGGATGTCTGGGGCTGCGCGTGCCGCACGCCAGGACAAACATTGTGGCAAGGAGGACCAAGTTGTCCTTGTAGCACGCACTCCAAGTCTAGACGCCCTTTCATCTCCATTGTCAATCCTCTCGCGACTCAAAAAGTTATACATCCCAACTCCCCCGCCACGGTGACGCCTTCGGTAATAAGTGGTTTGGGAGGTCGACGCTCTTATTTCGGCCAGCGCATCGATCTGATCTCCCACTCGCACTGGGCGGGCAGTCGCAGAAGTTCCGGGGTTGATGTGCTTCGAAAGTATAGGTAGTCGGTGCGGTTGTGAAGACGGCTTGACGGCTTTCACGCTTCCCTCCGCCAAGACATCCACACCTTCACCCTTCGGCGACCAATTCTGCAACACCGGTTGACCGGTTTCCCAATCGCAACACGCATGTCGCATCATGCCCTTCCACACACTAGCTAGTATGCTCCGGCTCACTTCTTCTGTCTGACCATCCTGCCGTCTTAAAGGCTCGTCCAGGGGCATGTTCTGGTGTCGACATCACCATGGACTACCTAATCCGCTTCATCCAGATGCACGAGAGCTTTCGCCAGCTCGAGATCGAAGCGTTGGCGGAGCTGCATCAGCTTCAATTCGAATGGCTGTTCTATTCCAATGAAGTACGTACGGTGACTTGGACAGGCGAAGGGTGAGGTCTTCAATACGGGTCATTGCGGCTTCGTAAGTGCCTTTGGATCTTTCCCTCACCCTTCGCCTTCGCCTCCGACCCTCTCTTCTCGCATCAGACATACGCTCACACTTTCTGGTCCAGTCTCCCTTTGCCATCATTCGCTTCATAAACACAGAAGATCCCGAGGGAGCTGCCAAATCCCTCATCTCCCGCTCAATCTTGTCACTCGCCATCCACGAGCTATGGGGAATAGGCACAGACTACCCAACCCTGCACGCCGACGTCCGACACCGCACGCAACACCTCTGGCCCCAATACCTCCACTCCACCTTCCGCTTCGAAATCGACGCCTTCCACGGCAGCCACTCGCAAGCCTCGCAGCGCGCCATCATCGAATCCTTCAGCTACACCGCCTTCCAGGGCGCAATCCGAATGCACAACCCCGACAACCAATTCACCGTCTTCGAAGACTACACCCTCAACACCACTGTCCCCAAGCGCGTGTACCATGGGCGCCGCGTCGCCGAGAGCGGGCGCAAAGCAGTCACAAAGTACAGCCTGAAGAAACGCCGCTACATCGCCACCACCTCCATGGACGCCGAGCTGTCGCTCGTGACCGCCAACCTCACCCTCGCGGCGCCCGGCAAGCTCGTCTACGACCCCTTCATGGGCACCGGCTCCTTCCCGCTCGCATGCGCGCACTTTGGCGCCAGCGTCTTCGGCAGCGACCTCGACGGCCGCAGCATCCGCGGCAAACCCGACGGCAGGAACGTGCACGCCAATTTCACCCAGTACGGCACCTCACCCCTCTACCTCGGCGGCTTCGTCGCAGATCTAACCAATACGCCCGTGAGAGCCGCCGGACGCGGCGGCGGCCGTCTTCTCGACGCCATCATCTGCGATCCGCCGTACGGCGTGCGCGAAGGGCTGAAAGTGCTGGGCAGCACGCGCGCCGCGCTGCAGGAAGTCGTGTACCTCTCCGATGGCACGCCGGCGCACCTCTCGCAGTCGTACGTGCCGCCGAAAAAGCCGTACAGCTTCGTGCGCATGCTGGACGATGTGTTGGCTTTTGCTGCCGGAGCGCTGGTCGATGGGGGACGGCTGTGTATGTGGATGCCGGTGGCGGGGGCTACGGCGGAGGATGAAGGAGAGGAGGAGGGCGGAGAGGAGTATGCTGTTCCCTTGCACCCGGCTCTGGAGCTTGTGGGCGAGTGCACGCAGCAGTTTAGTAAATGTCGGTGGCTATGAGTTTCCATGGATTTTGTGCTTGGTCTGCCTGCTTACACGCCCCGTCTAGGGTCTCGACGCCTGCTCACCTATCGCCGTCTACAAGACAGTGTCATCGATCACGACCGATTATCCGCATACCAAACGACAAGATCTACAGCGCAAAACGGCACCGCAGAGAGCAAAGGAACAGCGGACGACTTGAACGACTTCAGACGAAAGGTACAGCCGCCACGGCAGCTCTCACTTCATCTTACAACGAGCTAATCGAAATACTGTACAGTATTTCCAAGGGTTCAGAGACCCGACAATCCCGCGAAAGCATGAGAGGCTGCCTCACACGTTCTGAACATTCCTCGGGCCAGGAAGACATCAAGTTCTAGCCAGGCCATGCAGTCTCCGGCCTTCTCTGGCTCGTCCAACCCACGCGCAATCTCGCCGTAGCGAGCGCCTCGACCTGAGCCTTCATGGAGGCACAGATGAAGCGCCCCCTTCGACATCGAAACGCAACTGCCACGCTGCTTTGCCATCTCAGACTCGGTGACCAGTCGGCAGCAGGAACGGACTCGTCATCATGAACTCGGAATCTGCGCCACGCACACACCCGTCAGTCGCAGGACTCAACAAGCTATGAAGACCGCTTGGTCAAGTGGAATAGGAGGGCGGAGATTGCGTGTGCCACGGGCGCTGAGTGGGGAAGCAGAAGTTGTTGGCGGTATTTGAGCCAGACTGGAAGGAGGGGTGGTGATGTCGTTGCTCTGCTCGTGCTGACATCGGCGAGACTCAGCATGGGGAGCTTGCAAGTCGTCGAAGACGGAAGAAAATGCGGTGTATTGATGTAGATATTCGTCGCCAAACGATACAGCACATCTCCCCAACTCACTGCTGCGTCCGGGGGTACGACCAAGGGTACGATGCGGGCTTGCGAGCAGGCGCCTCCCCGATAACATCCTCGGCGGAAGTGAAGTCGAACGTACCTATATCATCCGGACTCGCGTTCCTCTGATTCAGGTAGTCCACCACCGCTTGCCCGTCCTCCGGCCTGATGCGGCCAGCGTCGTGGTCTTGCTCGACGGTAGGTATGCCGCTCTCGCGCGCGTCATAGCCCGGCGGCCGGGTATCGACAAGCGTTGAGTTTATAGGGCCTAAAGGGGAGGGCGTCTGCTCGCTGTTATCGAAGCGTGGGACTTGCTGCTGAGCTGTGTTGGTAGTTGTCGAGGAAGTGGCGGTGGTGGTGGCCGGGGTCGCCTACATTACTCACAAGAGTCAGCTTGGAGGGCTTGCTTTGGGGTCGATCCTGTACTTCAACGGTACGGAGATTCCCAGTGATCGAACGCGTGATCCCCGGGTTCGAGGTGGGTGTCAAACTCGGGAAAGGGGCGGGATATTTTGCGGGTGAGGGTAATGTTGGCGGGAGGAGGAGGGGTGACGGGGCCGGAGGCATAGGCGGAATCGAGTGGAGGGCTGGGTGGTGATTTGAGGGGGGCACGCACAGTTTCGACCATGTGGTCGCCTTCGACCTTCATCTCGCGATCGCGCAGCTTGCGCATGAGGTTCAGGAATTGGCTGTTTTTGAACTTGTCGCTCTGGTTGTGTTGCACCTTCTCCAGTAGTTCTCGGGCCGTGGCGGCCAGAGCATCGTCATCGTTTGGTTTGGGATCCAGTTGTTCTTGCTGCTCTGCATTGGAGACTTGCTCCATCACCAAGACGTCGCCGAGCGGTTCGAAGGGATTCATGCGAACAGCATCTTCGAGCGCCTGGGCATCAATCTCGGGCTGAAGTCGAGTTTGATCCGTTGCAGATGTAGCCTGCCCATTAATGGATTCCATCAGGGTATCATAGTCTAAGTCCACATTCCCAGTCGACGCGCCTGTTTCATAAGCAGTTCTCTCCATCTCCTCGGTGGCAGTGGCAGTCTCGGGGACCATGTCCAGGCTGGCTTGGTCGAATGCTCTCTCGAAGGCGGCCTCATCAAACTGTTCCACCATCGGCGCCTTGCCTTTTGAGGTCGTCTCTGGTGCAAAAGCTGGTTGAGAGAAGTTGCTTTGAAAGTTGTTCATCCCATATCGAGCCATGTGCTGAAACGCCTGTGGCGAATGGGCAGAGAGTTGTGTGCGCGGGGCATTTTGTCCGATGTGCTCTTGGAATCCTTGTGCCCAATTCGGCGTCGCCGGCTTCGATTGAACGACAGGAGATTGATGGAAGGAGGGAGGAGGAGGATGCGAGATGTGCATGCGCTGGAAATCGCCGGCCCATGACGGACCCTGCGAAGGCGCGGCAAAGTCCGGCCGTCGCTGTTGGAATTGAGGAAGATCGGGGATGGGGTGGCCGGCCTGGAAGGCCTCGAACTCGGGGTCTAAGAGGCCGACATTGGGGTCGCGCGAGCGGAAGCCTTGACCTGGCTGATGTCGGGAGGCGAGACGGTCTTGTTGGAGGGTGCGGTCAAACTGAGTCTGCTGCTTGAGTTGCTGCAGCGGATTGGACGGTCCGCAAAGCGCGTCCGCCATATGGGAGGATGCTGATGAGAGGATGCAAGCGCCAGAGAAATGCACAGTGAAGGTGGGATGTAGAAGGAAAGGGAGGAATCCTCGGTCTCACATGGCATCACACGAGCTCATCACGCTCCACGCCGAGGTTCTTTAGGCCAGCGAAACAAGTGCTGATCCCGGGCACTACGACTTTTGTCACTCCATGTTAGGACACTTTTCAACACCCCCAGACACATCTGAGTCCAGGCATGCAACACTTCCACCTCTTCACACCCTCCAACCATGGCACAAATAATATCACAATCGGGTCACGATGACATGATCCACGACGCCGTCCTCGATTACTATGGACGCCGGCTAGCGACCTGCTCATCCGACAAAACAATCAAAATCTTCGAGATTGAGGGCGATCAACACCGGTTAACAGAAACATTGAAAGGGTATGGATGCGGGCGGAGCAGCTTATCAGTAGTGCAAGGTGATTAACAAAGCATGACAGTCACGAAGGCGCAGTATGGTGCGTGTCGTGGGCGCACCCCAAGTACGGCACGATCCTAGCCTCCTCCTCCTACGACGGCCGCATCCTCATCTGGCGCGAGCAAAACGCGCAATGGCAACGCATCTACGAGTTTACACTGCACACGGCGTCGGTGAACCTGATCGCCTGGTCGCCGGCGGAGATTGGGTGCCACTTGGCCGCCGCGAGCTCCGACGGGAACGTCAGCGTGCTCACGTTTGAAAACAATACGTTCAACCACGTCATCTTCCAGGCACATGGAGCACTGGGGGCGAACGCGGTGAGCTGGGCGCCGGCGAGAGCGCCGGGGGCATTGATGGGGGCACAGGCGCCGGGACAGCAGCCTGGGGCGGTGCGAAGATTCGTGACCGGTGGCAGTGATAACTTGGTCAAGATTTGGAACTTCAATGCGGCAACGGGGTCGTATGACAACATTTGCACGTTGACCGGACACACGGACTGGGTGCGAGATGTGGCGTGGTCGCCGACGCCGCTGTCGAAGAGTTACATTGCGTCGGCGAGTCAGGACCATACCGTGCGCATCTACACCTTGCCGGCGAATGGGGAGGTGGGCGATGCCAAGGCATGGCACTGTGAGACGCTGGACTTTGAAGTGGTGGTGTGGAGGGTCAGTTGGAGCATGGCGGGCAATGTGCTCGCGGTGTCGGGCGGGGACAACCGTGTCAGTCTGTGGAAGGAGAAGCTGAAGGGAGGGTGGGAGTGTGTCAAGACGATTGAGGAGTAGATGGTGCATGTGTGAAGCACGTGGAGGGCATTTCTAGCGCTGGCGCCATGATATTGAGTAGATGGTGGGAAGGTAGACGGCCTCGGCTCTCCGCGGAGAGAGACGGGGTGTGTATGACATGAATGCCAGGAATAGCATGTTAAGAGCACGCAGGCGGTGTGCCACGTGGGGTTGATGCAGTCCCGGAGTAGAAGTGGAATGCGATGGATTCCACCTGCAGCACCCTGTCGTAGGGCGGACAAGTGTCGACGATGCTCATTGGCGATGATAAAGGCAATTCAATGTTGAGGGCTGCTAGCGGATGAACAAGGTTTCTACCTACTGTGAGCGAGGTCGGGGTGCAGCTTCCCAGCTGAGGGTGAGATGGTCGCGCCTGCCTGAGCGCGCCGGTGACTCGCCCTCGTTGCACAACGCAAACAATCCCCCGAGCCCCTTGGGCGATTGCAATATTCATTCACTTGACTTGCATTCCCCGATTCCCCCCCTTCTCCTCCTCCTCCTCTCCACACACCCGCCCGCCATGCAGTCCCCGTCGCAGCAGGCGCAGTATGCTGCGCTGACGGATGTGCATGCTCGCGGTCCGCCACAGCAACAAGTCCCCTTCATTCCGCTCCACCACCTCTCTCCTCTGCCGCCGCTGTCGCAACCATATCCGCCTCCCGCCCACTTCTACCACCCCAGCGCCCTCCTGCACCCCGCCTCGATGCCACCCAATCCCGAAGCAACGGACACTCTGATGCACTACCCCGCGCCGTCCCCGCCGGTGGCGACGCCGACAACGATGGTGATGGGGCCCAGGCAGAACAAGGACGTCAAGCGGCGCACCAAGACGGGGTGCTTGACGTGTCGCAAGCGGAGAATCAAGGTGAGTGGGAGGGTGTTGTGAAGCAGAGAGGACGAGCTGGCACATCGACGCTCCAAATCCCACCTCATGCATCCTTTCGCTTAAGGAAGCAGCGCGGCGCCCGGCCGGGATGGCGGTAACAAGCGAAGAGCCTAAATCACCCCCAACTGGATGCCCACGACTTCATCGCGCACCGCTGCATTCTGCTGACTCGGCGCGGATGACAAGGCTGACGTATCGCATCATAGTGTGATGAAAGTCACCCCACGTGTCGGAATTGCGACAAGAGCGGCCGGGACTGTCTGGGCTACGATCCCATCTTCAAGCCACACTCCGCCCATCCTGCCATTCAGCCCGCGCCGCCGTCGAACACCTCTTCCCTTGCCTCACCCACCACCCCGACCGCCTATAACGCGCCGCCCGCATACCCCGGCTTCGGTGCGAGTCTCGACACCTCCTCGTTAGACCCGGCTTTGACGGCCACCGACTCCCCTCTCCTCTTCACATCTGCTCACCCTCTGCATTCAACCGCGCTGTTGCCGGCGAGAATGGGTTAGTGCTTGTCCTTGACCGCGCGGAATGATCGAATGCCTTGTACTGACACCCACAAGTCATGCCGATTCCCATCGACCACCTAATCTCCCTGGATCACCTTCCGCCCCAACATCAGCCTCAACCCGGATTCCCTCCCAATCCAGCAATCCCGGCGCACGAAATTGACGACCTCTTCCGACTTCACTTCGCCCAAGGCCTCGACAAGCTCTTCGAGACTCACTGGTATTCATCTCACGGCCTTGCCAATGTCCAGCAGGATGCCTCACTACGTGGCCTCATCACACACTGCATGGAGCAATTCCAGTCCCACGACCCTTCTGCCGTCCCCGCCATCCAAGCACTAGAGGCACGCTTGGTGTGGCAATTGGCCATCATGCCTCACCAACCACTCTCCAGCAACGTCTCGACTACAGAAAATAATGCCCGCCAACCCGCACCAGACCTTCTCCAAAGGATAGATACCGTGGAAGCGTTGCTCACCGGCCACTATCTGCCCCCCAATAGAATCCCTCCGCCCCCGCGATCCGACGAGAAGGATCCCCTCAAATACAACGAAGACCAATTCTGGCACCACCTCGCCACCTTGACTTCCCTTCACGATGACGACGCTTCCGATCCCAACATCCACCAATCCATCGACGACGCATTCGTGGGTATGCGCGCCATCCTCGGCATGATGGAGAACAGAGACGTGCTCTACTCCATCGCCGTCGCTCGCCACTTTGGCGGCAGACATCCCGACTTCCACCCGCGCCAGCAGCTTGCGGTGTCGGATTCCAACGCAGAGGAACTGGAGAAGCTGGAGGTGGCGAGGAAGTTTATTGAGGCGGAGGATCAGCGGGGGACGACGCAGGTTGTGCAGCGGATATGTGGACTTGCTATCCGCTGCTGGGCGTTGCAGAGGCGGCCGTAGCCGTCTTGTTCGTATTCCGCCTCTTGTCTGGCTGGCTGCTGTTTGCTTGCGACGATTAGCGTGTATGATTATATGCATCGGAAGAACCCTCGAGCAGGAGTGGGCGACGGCACACGCTGTCTATGCGATGCTAATGAATGCCGCACGGCTTGCTCTAGTCATGCGCTGTAGAGATATGGCGCCCGAACCAATAGAACGCTAACCTCTCTATCCCTCTCTCATCTTTCTCCCTTATACCTCCCGTCTATACCAACCCCCTTTGCTCCACAACCAAATCCACCAGCCTCCCCTTCGTAACCGCCTCCCTCACATTCACCACCACGCGCTCCTCCATGGCCGCCATCGTCTCCAAAGTGTACGTCCCCATATGCGGCAGCAGCATCACATTCTCATTCCTTATCAATCCCGAATGCACATTCGGCTCGTCGTCGTACACGTCGAGCCCGCACGAGCGCACATGGCCGCTGTCGAGCGCCTGCACCAGCGCTTCCTCGTCGAGCACGCCGCCGCGCGCCGTGTTGACTATCACCACGCCGGGCTTCATTTTGGCTAGTTGGGCGTGCGAGATGATGTGGCGGGTGTGTGGCTATCGTCCTCTCCTCTCAGTACATCGCTTCTTACATCTGTCTCGGAAGGGAAGGGAAGGGGGACTCACATTCAACGGCAAATTCAAACTCACCACATCTGCGCGCGCCAACAGCTCGTCAAACTCCACGTACTCCGCCCCCGCCGCCTCTTCCGCCCCCAGTGGCTTGCGATTATGATAAATCGTCCGCATCCCCAACGCATCGCACTTGCGCTTCAGATTCCGCCCAATGCCCCCCATCCCCAGAATCCCCAGCACTTTACCGCGCGGATCATGCCCCAAAGGCGGCGCCGGCTCCCCCCTCCACTTCCCCTCCCGCAGCGCCAACATGGAAGAATTAAACCCCCTCAGCGCCCCCAGGAGCAAGAACAAAGCCGCATCCGCCGTCGCGTCGTCGACCGCTTTCGGACAATTCGACACAAGCAAAGGCGGCGTGCGCGCCGAGCAGGCCGCGACGTCGATGGCGTCGTACCCCGCGCCATTGTGGCAGCAGAAGCGCAGCGAGGAGGGCAGGGCGGCGATGAGCTCTGCGTCCCAGGGGCCCGTGAGGGAGCCGGAGTCGAAGGTGCGGAAGATGGTGTGCACGCCGTCGAGCTGGCCGGAGGTGCATTCTTGGAGGAAGGCGGGGCGGGTGGTGGATTGTGGGGTTATGAGGGTTGCGATGTCACTTAGGGCGTTCCAGGCGTCGTGGGCGCTGGGGGTTGTGGTTAGTTTTTGCTTGGGTGGTGGATGATGGAGGGGGGTTTACTATTCGATTTCGCCCAGGAGGAGGACTTTTGGTTTCGTCATTTTGGTAGACACGATCTGGAAGATATTATCGAGGAGAATGAATGCAATTGGCGAGTCCGAGGGCATGCAATTATCAATTGGAAATGGGTAAGAGTCACTGCAAAAAGCGTGGGAAAGACGAGATGAAGTCGCCGGTCGATGAACTAGCGGCAAGCATTCAGGCTAGGCTGGGCCTGTAAACTGGGCACGATTCGGGCAGGTTCTCGAACGGCAACGACAAGCCTGTGAATCAGAGAAAAGGCCACAATCACAATCCGTAAGTACAGTCATATCAAGAGTGGTGTATTCATATAGCCATCCAGATGTAAAGCCCTTTTCCATCCGCCCCGTCTACAGCAACCAACAAACAACAAAAAGAGCCCACGGTGTATCACAACCCCAAAACCCCTATTAGCAAAGCACACCAAACGCCGTGCGCAACTGTGGTTGAACAAGGAAAAAAACCGATCTTCACATCGCATCCGTGACCCCACTCGCATTCGCATGCTGCCAAGCCGCAGCGTTGAAGTTCATCGTGTCCATCATCGCGTTAAACTCCGCGTCCGACAAGCCCATCATCTCGCTCATCGTGTCCATCGCGCCGGGCGTAAAAGCAGTCGAAGGCTGGCCGGCGGGCGTAAAGCCCATGCCGCTTGCACCGGCGCCAGCTCCCCCGTCGCCGCCTAGGTCGCCCCAGTCGTTGGAGAGGGGGAAGGCGGAGGGTTTCGCGTTGTGGGTGGTGGAGGGGGTGGAGGCGCTGTGGTTGTTGGTGTTGGTGATGGTCGGAGGGGCGGGATAGAGGTTGGTGGCCATTTCGAAGTCGTGCGGGGGAAAGGCTGTGTCGTTGGGGTCGAAGAGGGAGGGGCCTGTCAGACGGCCGGGGGTATCGTTGTATTGCTGCTGTTGCGGTTGGTATTGTTGTTGCTGGTGATGGCCGGACGGCGGGGTGTACCCCGTGTGCGAAGTATGCGCGGAGGAGCTGTTGTGCTGCGACTGATTGCTGGACGAATGCGGCGAAAGAGTGTCCACTCCGGCACTACCATCGGGACTAGTCTCCATGTCCGGATTGAAGGATTGCGGACTCTGATGCATCGAGGAGCCCGGGTTGGATGCAGGAGAGCGGACATGACTCGGCAGGTCGTAGGTATTCATTGTGCCCGGGATGAATTCCATGGTGCTTTCGGGCGCGAAGCCGGGCAGGTTGCTGTCCCCAAACGTGGGCACATTTTTGGACAAAGGCGAACAATCCTGGCCTACACCCACCCCGGGTGCGCCGACGTTGGTGTATGACGGCTCAAAGTTTTCGCCCACGCCCATCTGGCTGACAGGACAGCCCTCGCCTCGCACGGGGTACTTGGGCATGTTGATGCTCCCTCGCACCGCCTGCGAGTCGTTCAAGCCGGCGCTTTCGAGGTCCACGTCTAGCTGCACGAGGAAGGACTCGGTGAGCGGATTTTTTCGCTTGAAAGCTTGCATGGCGGCGAGCAGGAATTGGAGCGAGGTGTGGATTTGGGTGTCTTTGGGTCGCGATTTGAGGTATTGCACAAAGACTCTGGCGGCGACGTAGAGACAGAAGGAGAGGAATGGGTTCATCTGCGTGTGCGTCAGTGGGAATCCCGTCAAATGCATAAGCAGGGCAAGCTTACCGATGTCAGGTCCAGATGGCTGATCGTCCGCATGATACTCGCCGTTTCCGCGGCAGCGGTAATGCACCTCACTTTACTCTCCGCCGAGACGCGAGAAGGCATGCGGTTCTTGTCGGCCTTGTAAATGGCGGCTTGGTGTAAGCAAATGGTCGAGGTGTGGATGCACATGTTCATGTACACGGCATTCGCATCGTTGAGACATATCGGCAGCCGCATCGAGTCGGGCAAGGCCAAGGCAATGTTCAGCAGCACATTGTCCAGTTCGCGATGTCGTTTCCAGAACCCGCCGTCCAAGTCGTTATCGTCGTCGTCCGGCGCGGGTCGATGGAGGTGGATCAGGTTGCGGCCAAAGAGACAAGCCATCAGGACCACGCCGCCGGCAGATGTCAAGTTCGGGGTGCCTTCAGGCGAGAGCGCAGCCTCAAGCGGCAGCCCTTTGACTTGCTTGCTGAGCTCGTATGATTGCTCGTCACTCGGTAGATTGCTTGCAATGTCCTGCTCCACGATTGTCATCGGCCAGCCCGTGCCAATACTCGAGTAGCGATCGACGCAGAAAGCCATCCAGAACGTTCGCCTCCGCTCCTCCCTATCCGTCCAGTCTCTGGGCGGAGGCAAGCATTGTTTCACATCCAATCCAGCACCGTCGACGCGATGGAGGCCCATCATCTGCACCATCCTCGTGCCTCGCCCGGACGACATCCAAGCACGCGGGAAGTACATGAGTTTGAATTCGAAGCCGGCCAGCAGGATCCAGGTCTGGGCGTGGGCGATGGTGATCATGCTCTCGCCGTGCCCCTTCATCTCGTCTTGCTGGATGTATTTGCGGGCGCGCGCGTAGAAGTGCTGGGCCAGCGGTTCGTACTTGTCTATCACGCTCGCGGCATGACACCACATGGCGTAGCGCAAGCAGACCGGCGGGCGCATGTGCGGGGCGAGGTTCATGGCGGCGTAGTATCGTGGGCGGTGGATCATGGGGAAGGAGGGGTGGATCCGTTCAAAGAAGACCTGATTCAGTTCGTTGATGACATCCGAGGTGGGCAGCGGTTCGTCCAGTCCCAGTCCGATCATCTCCCACGAGAATGGCTCTTCCGGGGGTAGCACGTTGGCGTTGATGTCGTCAAAAATGTCGTGAGGGAACGCGGCCGACTCTTGCCCCGGCTGCAACAAGATATTCCCATTGCCGTTTGCCAGCGCCATGTCCGCATACTGCGATGTCATCCCAATGTCCACGGCGGCAGCGCCATTACTCTTCGGCGCACCCGCCGGCGGATCATCTTGCGTTTTGAGCAGCGTCTCCACCTGCGCCAACCGCGCCTCCAAAGCCTTCACATACCCCCTCTTCGGCCCGCTCTTCTTCCTCGCCTCATCATACGAACACTCGTGCTGCAGGCGGGTGCACGTCCCGCACGAAGGCTTGTTGCCGTCGCACTTCAGCTTGCGCTTGCGACACAGCACACATGCGATTCTCTTGACTTTGGGGATCTGGCCGTTGGCGCCGTCGTCCTGCCCCCCATCGGACTGCTTGGTGGGCTGCTGCGAGAGATCGTTGAAGTAGTCATCGCCCGGCGAGTCATCGTCACCGGACCCCGCCATCTTTCATCGATAAGGCAGCGTGTGGGTTATTGACTGGTTCGAGGGATGGGAGGGCTGCTGCACTCGGGCGGACTGTCGATGGATAGGGTATATTGCGCGAAGTGTTGGCATTCAAGGCAGCACAGCGCATGTACGGCGAGAGGTGACATAGGGCTGGCTGGGTGGAGCGAGGGAAAGTGGAGCCCTTTCAGCTGAACTCTAAATCAATGCCCTAGCCGGAAGCCATCCAAGTCCAACCTTGAAACCCTACATGACCACGGCGTGTATGAATACCAGAGAGGTGCATGTGGTTGGGGTGTGCACAGCGTGACGAAATGGCTGCACTCATGCGGCATTGCATCTTCCATGCTGACCTCCCGACTCGTCCGGCAAAATCGGCAGACATCAAACGGGAAATGATCACGTCTACCCTTCCGCCGCGCGATGCTGTTTCGGTAGTGATTGATGAATCATCCTCCTTCAGCGGTTGGTCCACCGACGACATCATTGCGCCAATGGCATCCTGAGTCCTACAGCTGTCCAGGACTGAGATGAGCACATCATGCCAATGAGCGTTGCATTGTGAGAAAGGTAATTCCATTTCCGCTGCACGATAGCTGCTGCTCGCTACCCAAAGCACGAGCAAAGAATCCCCCATGCCGGCCACTCCTTCGTCGAAGACACGATGTCCTCCATGGTATGCAACTCCGCCCCCTCGTTACGCCGTCTAAAGATCCCACGATGCATGCTTGCTTATTTTCAGCACAGTAGTGACCAGCGATGGTCTTGCGCATGTCGAGATTAGTCGAATGAGTAGAAAAACAACCCCGATCCATATAACTCCGTCTCCGTTGGTCGTAGGGTATGCGTATGAAGACTGGAAAGCAAAGTGACAGACAGCAATCAAGCTGAATGATGGGCGACGCCACCGGCAAGCCTCATTGGCGCCGGCCGTGATGCGTCTGATGGCAGCTATGATGGCGTGCGGCCACTGCTCGGCTGAGGCACGGCACCATTGAGGTACTCCGGTGCCCACTTCTTGGCCCACTGGCGGAGGACGATGGACGCTGCGAGGAGTTAGCAAGAACGCAATGCATATGAAACAACAACACCAACTGCTTACCTTTCAGAAACTTCTTGCTGGCGTACTTCTTGAAGAAGGCATCGTGGGCCACGGGGGCGGCGAGGTAGTCGACCATCAGCTTAAACACCGGCTGGATCTCCTCCTCGGTGTAGCCGGCGTACTTAACGAGCGTCGCGTCCCATTCGCCGCGGTTCATCACCAGACGCGCCAAGTACATAGCACTGGCGGCGACGAGAGACGGCGGGTGCTTGAGGAAGCGGTGGTCCAGGCATCCAATCTCGAGCAGGTACTTGCCGAGCGTGCGCGTCTGGATGTCGTAGTTGTCGGCTTTGGAGATGCGGCGGAGGAAGTTCATGGGGTTGGGGTAGGACAGGTCGTAGTCCAGCGAGGTGAGGACGAAGCGTTCGGCGGACAGGATCTCGGACTCGGGGAATCCATCGTCGGCGACGTGGACAAAGTTTTGCACGTGCGGCGAGAGGACTTCCTCGTACTTGGACGCGATGAACATGGCCGTGACCCCAACGAGCTGCAGGCGTTCCAGCTGCACCACCTTGCACGAGAGGAAGCGATCGATGATGTTGACGGCGAGGAAGAGCGTCTCGGGCAAGAGACGGAAACGCGTGTGCACTTCGAGCAGCCAGTCGACGAGAATGCCGCGCATCTTCCATTCAAGTTCCGCCTGATCATCCATGTAGTCGGGATTGGGCATGGTGGAGATCTCGAGTTGCTTCATGTAGTCGAAGATTTCGTGCACGTACTCCGCGACCATGAGCGGGTCATCCATGTCTTCGGTGTCGAGGTCTTTGGCGAGGTCTTCAAGTGACTCCAAGTCGACTCCTTCGTCCACCTCGACGGAAGCCGGCTTCACCTTCTCCTCCGTCTTCATCTTGCCGCTCGAGCCATTCTTGGGAGGCGGCACGTTCTCCGACGCCTCGGTGTCTTCACTTTTGGAAGCAGACTTGACGCGCTTTGCATTCACCGGACCGCCGATACCCGATCCACTTCTCTTGAGATCAGAGGGTGCCGCATTGCTTGACTTTTGTCCGAGAGGAGCTCGTGTGGAGTTGAGACGCGCGGGCTGCTTTTGGATGCCACTGGGTTTGGCGGATTTCGACAGCGATGTCGCCCTCGAGAGCACGTCCTTCTTCAAATCGTCCTTCTCGACCGGGTCCTTCTTGGCGACATTGCTGACATCCCCCAAAGCCGTCCGCTTCCGGGCGAGTGGGCCGGTTGTGACATTGGTGGCCGAGCGTTTGGTCGTCAAGGCCTTCTTGGGGGGATCACCAGCGATGACATCGTCGGTCAGAGTGGCGGCTTTGGCACGCGTCAAGCGCTGGGTGCCGATGGCCTCTGCATTCTCATCGGTGACCGCTCTTCGGACGGTTCTTGCCTGAACGGGTCGTGTTAGCCAAGCCATGATGTCGGACGCGATGTGGTTGAGAACGCGAGGGAATGAATGAGTCATGATGGGGTTCAGTGACATACTGGAGGCATGATGGATGATGTGAAGTGATTAGAGTGGTGCGTAAGGGTGAAGAGGCGTGGTTGGTTTCTGAGTGCAAGCAAAGCATTATGTTAGCGTTGTTTTGACCGCAACAGTGAGGGCGACGGGGAGTGAACGAACGTGTACGTGTGATTAGAAGCGACTCTGACCCAGTCAGCAGTCACCTGGACTAGTGCTGGAGGTCGTGAAGAGTCGTGATGCGTGAGCGTGCCGTGGTATCAACATGAAGCAATGGCGATGTATGATATCAACAAGCAGCAATGATGGAGGCGTGTTGCGGAGTCCGACCACCGTGAAGAGCGTGGCGAGAACGCTGAATGGCACCGACAAGCCAATGCAGCGTGTCGGGGAGGGTGTAGAGGGTTGGAGTGGGTGTGGTGGTGTAGAGAAGTTGTCGTGGATGGAGGGGAGGTGGTGGGAAGCTATGTCTGTGCTTGTTTGGAGTGGATCCCGCAAGCGTGAGCGAGGCGTGCAGCGTGTTGGGCTTGGCGCGCGTTGCTCGCGAAAACCAACCCGCTACCCCGTTCGTGATTCTTCCCAAATTGCGTTCCCGTCTTTTCGCGATGTGGGCGGTAAAAGGCGCGAAACATGCGAGGAGACAAGTAGTAGATGAGCAAAGACTCTCGACACTGAGTATCGACTCTGCGATCGTGAGAAAGTGCTTCAAGCTGTTCGTTGCCCGGGAGAGGAAAGCCAGAGCCTAAACGCGGGCACACGCAGTCACGTGATGAATTCGTCGGCGGCAGGTCTGGCGAGAGCTCGACAAGGTATTTCCTAATTTCATGAAGCTGTCTAAGGTATCTGTCAATGCAGTACATGATGTATCAAACGAATCCTCGCTCTCGCTCGCTGTAGATTGCCTCATCTCTCGAGCTGGTATACAGCTCTTCGCCACACCGCAGCCATGCTGCAGCCTCGAATACGATCGGTCTGCACGCAATGTCGACATCACATCCTTTCCTCTTCCCTGATTCGAGGATACGCCTCGTCCGCAGCTGCAGCAGCGACAACTACAGCATCAGTAACCACCAACGATGGCGCAACAGCGGCGACTATCGCCCCACCATCAAGCAGGCGCAAAACCGCATTCGAGATGAAGACCTACAAGCCTCGCACGCCGGGAGTGCGACATTTGCGCAGACCCATCAATGATCATCTCTGGAAGGGTGGACCTCATAGACCCCTCACATTCCCCAAGATCGGGCATGGAAAGGGTGGCAGGAATAATACCGGAAGGATAACGGTGAGACATCACGGCGGTGGTGCGAGACGGAGGATCAGAACGGTGGACTTCAAGCGCACGGAACCCGGCAAGCACACGGTGGAAAGAATCGAATACGATCCCAATCGCAGCGCTCATCTAGCTTTGCTCGAGAGCGTCGACACCAAGAAAAAGAGCTACATCATTGCTGCTGAAGGCATGAGGGCGGGCGATGTAGTTGAGAGCTACCGTTCTGGCGTGCCAAAAGAACTCATCGCCAGTATGGGTGGCACGGTGGATCCGGGCATGCTAGCAGCAAAGACGGCATTTCGAGGCAACTGCTTGCCCATGCACATGGTCCCCATAGGAACACAGGTCTACTGCGTGGGCTCCGCTCCTCAGCGTGGCGCAGTGTTCTGTCGCAGCGCAGGGACATACGCCACCGTCATCGCGCGGGATGAGTACGGGTCTCGTGTCCGAGACGTCACGGTGCGTCTGCAGAGCGGCGAGATCCGCAAAGTGAGCAAAGACGCTTGTGCCACCGTCGGTGTCGCTAGCAACCCTCATTGGCAGTTTCGTCAGCTCGGAAAGGCGGGACGCAGTCGCTGGCTGAACATTCGGCCTACGGTGCGAGGTGTGGCGATGAACGCGGCAGATCATCCTCATGGTGGTGGAAGGGGTAAGAGCAAGGGCAATGTGCATCCAGTGTCTATTTGGGGAACTCCGGTATGTTCAATCTGCTCGCGCGTTCCATTGACACTGCTGACTGACTTTGGTGTTTAGGCGAAAGGAGGATACAAGACAAGGAAGAAGCGAAACCCGAATTCCTGGGTGGTGCAGAATCGGCCGCGAAACCATGGCAAGCGGCGCGCGAAATAGGCCATATACCATGGTTGGCAGATGCGTGGGACTCTTCCGAACGTCACTCTGTATATATAGACCGCATAGCGAGCTGTGGACAATCGACAGTTAGAGACATGCCGAGCCAAATCCGACATCGCACCTGCTCAAGTACGTCACGCGCATAACACAAAGCCGAACCTCCCACTTCGCACCGCAGCTCTTCCACTCCCACCCCGCCATTGACCGTGCCCAATGTCGTCCATAGAAGAGCTGTACCCCGTCGAATGCGCCTTTTGCAAAATCGCCCAAGCCTATCCCGCCAATGATCCCTCCTCCTCCTCCTCGCCCGTCCCCCACGCCCCGGACCCAGAAAAGGTCTTTCCGCAATGCCAGCTCCTCCTCTCCACGCCGCTCGTGCTCGCCGTGCTGGACATCATGCCGATAGCTCCGGGGCACATCCTCCTCATCACGCGCGAGCACTACAAAAAGTTGACGGATATGTACCCCTCCAAAGCACCCAGTAGCAAAGACGGAAGCGCAGCGGGAGGAGGAGCAGAAACAGCCAAAGCGCTTGGCGAATGGATGCCCATCCTGTCCGCCGCGCTGTGCAAAGCAACCGGCATCGAGGACTGGAACGTGGTGCAGAACAACGGCGAGCGCGCGGCGCAGGTGGTGCCGCACGTGCACTTCCACTTCATCCCGCGGTATCAGGAGGGGCGGCGCGAGGTGGCGCGCAAAGGGAATGTGGATATGGGCATGCTGCGCAGCTGGAAGATGTTTGGGCGGGGTGCGCGCGAGGAGCTGGATGAGGATGAGGGGGCGGAGCTGGCGAGGGTGTTGAGGGAGGCGCTGAGGGAGGTTTTGGGCGAGGAGATGCGGGAGGGGGGCAAGAGTAAGCTTTAGTGTGGCATATCACTGGCGCGGATAGATGGTCTGGTGCAGGTGGAATGTATATACAATTTCTATCGCAGGGGGAGGGCGTAATATACAGCTAGAACGCCTGCGCTGAATGCGAAGAATATTCAGAGCTGGAAGCTTAGGTTCGGATCGGAGGTACCAGAGGCCGTTGAGAAGGTGTCGAAAGAGGGTGCTTCATGTCGCAGGCTCTCTTCAGACGGCATCACCTCTCATCTTGCGGAAGAAGTCCATGACCCCGGTGAACACCACGAGCAGAATACCACCACCTGGTCCCAATCGAATGACCTTGGGCAAGAAGCCCTTGTACAGCGCGCGGAAACCCTCTTCCCGGTACACAGTACCCACGGCGGGCACAGCCCAGTTGTACTTCCTCACGCCGCCAGCGACACGCGGGCTGTTTTGTATCCTGCTCTTGACCACGTCCATGGGGGTGTTGAGCATGGTACCGATAGTACCACCGATGGTGCCGGCGACGATGTCGTTGCGTACTTGCAGCGTCTTGTCTTTGGTGGGGTTGGCAGGGAGCATGGCGCGGACTTGGAAGATGCAGCCAAAGTAGCCGGCGTTCCAGAGGGCGTGGCGCCACATGGTCGACTCCAGGCCTTGGTACAAGGTCAGGATACCTTCGTTGCGGATGATCTTCTGCAGGCAGTCCATGGCGCCGTTGTATTTGGCGGCTTGTGCTTTGTCTAATACAACACACGGGTATGGTCAGTTGCCCTGCTTCTGTGCTCTTCATGCTGGCTATGTGGATGTACCTTGCAATCTGATCTTGACGAGCTCGAACGGCACCACGACGAATGACTCGGTGACACCGGCTGTTGCCCCAGTAAGGACTGACAAGCTTTGCGTCATGCTTGACTGGCCGAAGACGCGTCTGTAGAACTTGCCCCATTCGTCATTGGCGGCGAACTTCGTTGCACGCTTGGGCGCTTCCATGAGGATGGGAGGGATGATGCCGCGGTAGAGTCGAGATGCACTGTAGGAGGTCAGTACAGCTTCCTAAGGGGTGGCTAGACGCTAACATGCCCTTCATTCTTGACAATCTTCTGGAAACAGTCGATCATGCTGGTGTAGTGGTCTGCGCCAGCAACGGCAACATTGCTCTGAATCTGGCTGTATGTTGACGGTCAGCGCGAGCGCCCTTGCCATTGAGCATGCCATTGTGGGCGGCGCATAGCCTACATGCGGGTTTTGACCACGTCAAGAGGGTACATGACTATGATCTCGCTCACACCAGCCACAGCTCCTGCTATGAACTGGTAAATGAAGGGCAGCGGCTTGTCGGTCGCCATGGTGGCAGCGGTGCTTGGGGTGGTTGTGGTGGGTGAAAGGGGGGAGGTGGTAAGAAGCTGTAGAAGAATTCAGGTAGGCAGAGTGTTGTAGTCGGAGCGGAGATTCGAGGGAATGCAGATTTGAGGAGTGGTGAGGGAAGAGTCGGATTGATTGCAGGTCTCATGGAAAGTGCTCGCCGTTGGCTTTTTCTCTCGACGTTCAGTTGCCGGGCCCGGCTCCGGGAAGGCGCAACGCGTAACCTCAGGCATCAACCACGCTCCGACCTGCGACCATCCACCAACCACACGATTCATTGCAGACCGGCATCGAGCTGCAGTGATGGAGTGATGAATTTCTGCGAGTGCAAATAAGGATGGGAAATGGTCCAAAATCGGAGCTTACCCCGACGGCACAGCCTTATAGCTGTCGTGCTGGTTGCTCGCCTTCGACCTGGCCCAAGACTGATCTTCCACTATCCTCCCAGCCCTCAGAGACGTCCAAGGGAAGATGACTGGCCCGAACATAGCAAATACGATAGCGAACCGGACCCGGATGCGGTGGACTTGCCTTCCAGTCTCACGCAATCTGCTCGGGACGTGCAAGGAATCTCTCCAACCGGAACAACGGATGCCGACAACGAGGAAAACGCTACGGGAACTCTCTTGGGCTATTCTGAGGACACGTTACAGAAATTACTAGCTCCAGGCTGCTGGGCGGACAGGAAGAAGTTTGAAGTCTGCCTCAATGGGCTTACATTCGTAGGCCATCCGGTCTGGGCCGCACAGGATGGCAGCTGGTCGAGGAAGCATGCACACGACGATGCCGGCACGAAGCAGGAATCCACACCCAAGGTGAAACCAAGCCGCGCCACTCGCAATGGAGATGGCTCTCACTCCGAGCTCGACGATGCAACGAAAGACGACCCAGCACCTACCAAAGCCACCCTGGATTTCCAGCGTGTTCCCAACAGCTTCGACTCTCAAGCGGAGGGCCAGACGCTAGGCACATCTGCAGCCAGCGGATCCGACACCTCCGTCCCGACTAGTCCAGAGCCCATCTCAATGTTCAATGTCGTCTTCGTGCTGGACTCTGCTCGATCAAATGACAATCAGCAATTAGCATCCGACCTTTACAATCACGTCGCCCGGAAGCTGAGCAAGGCCCTCCACTATTTTCAGAGGCAGAGTCAGTACGTAGGGTTGCAGACCACGACTCTCCTGCATTTAACAGCAAAGGCGCGACAAGATGGAGCAAGTCTCGCGAAGCTCAATGTCCAGGCAGTTGATCGTAGCGAACTCGCTTGGGTACTCAAGGAGCTTTACGAAAAGATTTCCATCGGCGAGATAGCCGGCATCAGGCTGAGCGGTATGGAAATGTCGCTTCAAAAACCGCAAGTCGCACCTCCTGAACGACAGGACGAGAGTGAGTTGGGGCCCCACTCCGGCCTCCTCCTCCTTCAAAACAAAGCAGCATTGCTTCTGGAACTCACCCATGCGGATGCCTCGCCTCTCGTAATGTTCATCCAAGGCCACACGCCCACGAAGAGTATGCAGAAGCAGTCGGCGAAACTCGGCATCCCGCTCGACGAAGTTCTCGGCCTGGCTCGTCACCTCATCAAGTGGCGAAAGGCGCGCGCCATCAAGCCATTGCATCCTCGCAACACTTATGTCATCGGTCGTGAAGCCCCATTCGAGCAACTACAGACTTACTACATCGACGACTACAGCAAAAGATTCCCGCTACTACCATCACTGCCACAAATCCTAAAGGTCCTCAACGGGAAGCCGATCAAATGGGGCGCACTCATCATGTCGAGCGATCATCGAACGCCGTATATGAGTATTCTGGCGTATCTGGTTCAGCATCGCTTTGTAGAACAATTGAAGACCTACGGCTGGCTGCAAGCTCCGACCGTCGCCGTACCCAGGCAGAAGCGGATGTCGGAAGAGTTCAATGAGAACAGACGGCCGTTGTCCGTGACAAGCCTCCTCTCACCGCAGATGCGTCCGGTACTCGACGATGATAATAAACGGCCGCTGTCCGTGACGAGTCTCCTCTCACCCCAGATGCGTCCGGTGCTCGACGACGATACAATCAGCGTCAGCTCTGAGCGAACATCCATTCCCATCTCAGCAATCGACACTGCCCGGAAACGACTCGCTATGACGCCGAAGTCTCACGAGTCCGTCGAACTGGCAGCACAGGAGGATTTGCCAGAAAGGATCAAAGATCCTGCAAACCTCACTGCAGAAGACATTCGGCGATTACGACACATTCGCGACTCAGTCGATGACCAGGAACTCTCCGATCGACTGCCCGCCCTTTCACAGTATTTTGACGGCTTCTGTGCTTTGGAGGAGATTGCTGCAAAGCAAGGCCTGAAGCGGTCAAAGTTTGAGACGTGGCTGGATGCTTTGCAGCGCGGCGGATATCTGGCTACATTTCGTTCTGTGTGATGATCCGTTATGACCCAACGGATGGTATTGGGGCCGCCCTCTCGCTATGAGGTTAATGCTCTCCTACTTTTGAACTACTGTTGAAAAGTGGAGATACACGGCGACCTGGTGCTTGTTCGGTGCATCGGTCCGAACCTAGCTCAGAGTCTCAGCCTCACCTGAGGGAGATTAAGTTACCTAACTGTACTTATTGGAATAGCTCGCCTCGACCCCGTTCGCATCTTCTCCTCAGACTCGCTGATCGCCTTACTCGTGTCGAGAGCATCGATCAACCACAACTGACCAAATCACAGCTGCTCAATATGCTATTCGCAGCATCCGTGCCAGCAGTCCTGCTTGCCTTGTCTGCCACAATACTCTATGCATTGGCCAAGGTGGTATATCGCCTTTACCTACACCCACTCGCGTCTTTTCCTGGACCGAAACTAGCCGCAGCGACGTTTTGGTACGAATGCTACTTCGATGTCTTCAAAGCGCCTGGCGGACAGTTCATCTACGAAATTGATCGTTTGCATTCAATCTACGGACCAGTGATCCGGTGCAGTCCCGATGAACTTCACGTCAAAGACTCGGAGTGGTTTGATGTCCTCTTTGCCGGACCGGGTCACGTTCGCGAAAAGTGGCATCGAGCAAACCGCGCGAACGGGTCTCCTGGATCGGTGGCATCCACCGAGTCATACGACTTGCATCGGATGCGCAGGGCCGCTCTCAACCCATTCTTCTCCACCAAAGCCGTCATGGAGCTCGAGCAAGAGACGCGCCGCAAGTTTGATTCTCTATGCGACAGATTGAGAGATTATGCGAAAGATGGGCGGATTGTCAACCTTGGAGGCGCGTTCACCGCCGTGACGCTAGACGTCATCAGCCAGTATTGCTTCAACGAATGCTATGATTGCGTCGAAACGCCCGATTTTGCCCCGCATTGGAAGATGCTCATGTCTGCCCTGTTCGACGGCGCTCCATTCACCAAGCACTTTCCCAGGCTGGCGATTGCCCTGCAGAGCTTGCCGAGGTCGATTGCCTTAAAGATGAACCCGGTATTGGGGCCGTTCTTCGAATGCCAGGACAGAATCTACGTACAGGCTCGACAGGTCTGGGAGACTGAGCGCGATGCGCAGGCTACTACGAAGACGAAGACGATTTTCCAAGGCATCATGCGGAGCAATCTCCCACCCGAGGAGAAAGCGGTGAAACGAGTGTGCGATGAAGCGTTCGTTCTGGTTGTCGCGGGCGCGGAGACGACGGCAAGAGTCTTGTCCGTGATCATGGCTCATTTGCTGCAAGACCGAGAGTTGTTCGATCGGCTCAGGAAAGAACTCAGTGGCGTTGTCAGGCCAGACCTTCCACCGAGTCGGGACCTCGAAGCCATACCTCTGATGAAGGCAGTAGTGCAAGAGGGCGTGCGACTCGCAGCGCCGGTGACGAATCGTCCGATTCTTATCGCCCCTAAGGAGGATCTCAAGTGCCACGATTGTGCCATACCCCGAGGAGTAAGTCGATGAACCCGCCCTCGCTCTCAATGCATTCCCTCCCAGCCTGCTCACAGAAGGAAACACGTAGACCCCCATCTCAATGACATTTCGAGACGTTCTGTTCGACCCGACCATCTTCCCGGACCCTAACGCTTTCAAACCGGATCGCTGGCTCGAGGCGGAGGCGCAAGGCAAACGCCTGGATCGCTACCTGGTCAGCTTCTCCAAAGGCTCGCGCGGCTGCCTTGGTATCAACCTGGCCTACTCAGAAATGTACATTGGCGTTGCTGCTCTGGTCTCGCGATTTGATCTGAAACTGTATGAGTTCGATCAGAAGCGGGACTTGGACACTGTCAGGGACTATTTCATTGGGCTGCCGAGTAAGGAGAGCAAAGGGGTGAGGGTGAAAGTTGCTGGGAGGAAGACTTAGGGATCGTCTTTGGCCCACAGTGCTATCGCAGTAGCTGTTCGTTGCATCCTGAATAGAAAGGAAGTCGGTTAAGGCGGGGTGGGTTCGTTCCCATAACTGCCTTATAAGGTTAGTTCACAAAACCTAAATCACGAAGCAAGTGAAGCGAAGTTCGACCAATTAACAGCTCCCTCCCTCACCGCCATCTTGCACGAAACGCCTGACCTGTTCGCGCAGGCATGCAGATGCGCCAAGTGCCGGCTGCTTGCAGGCGGCCTTAACCCGGAACAGACACCTCTGCTGCTGTCCCACTTGCGGCATCCCCGGATGAGACGCGCTGCGGTGCCGGAACGGGGTAGAAGAGGCGTTGCCCGTGGGCCAGAACCACAGCGCTCCATGTCGACTCTGGGCGAGCGACTGTCGACATCATCTGCAGGCCGATGCTAGTCTTACGGACCGGGGAGGGCTCCACCGGTGTCAGCGTGATCGCATGCAGGATCCGTGAACCCCGCCCAAGCGTGTACGATCCCGCCTGGGTGCAAACCATGCTCACATCCAACGAACCTGGTCTTCGTCTTTCTGTGAACTCATGGAGCTCCACGACCTCTACCTCGATGCCCAGTGAACTCTATTTGCCGACGCTGGTGCATGCTGCCTCCTCCTCTCACATCTGCCAACACATCGCTCGAGGTTTATTCCGAGGGTGCAGGGCAAGGCCCGCTGCAAGCCCTCGTCATCCATAAACCCTCGCGCACGAGGGTCATCAGTAGCGGCTTCTACTAGCTTTGCGACCAGGGAATGCTGACAGCCGCGATGAGGTCGTGCTGCACTGTCACACCCGATGAATGCACTGCAGTCGCATGCCACGTAGCACCGCTGCGGGTCAGGTTATGCAGACTAATGTAAGTCACCGCATGCTTGAACCTGATGTACGATTTCCTCCCTTCAAAGCGGTTGTTGTGCGCTTGCTTCTGTTCTCATCCTGTTTGCTGCGCATTCGCCAGTTCCTCGGGCCTGCGAGCGATCGGTTTCATCTGCTCTGAAACAGGCAACGCCCCAGCCTTGGAGCTCAGCTAACTACGACTCTCAGCGAACTCTGTTTCCATTTTCGGACGCAATTGCGTACGACTGCATTGCGCATGTCAGCTGCAGACTGTCTGCGGTGTTGAGTAGAGCAAAAGGCCAGCAAGTCACCACTCGTGCCCGACAGGAAAGGAAAACACATCGAGTCTTGTGTGACGACATCGTCAGACTCTCTTAGCAGCGTCTGTCCTTCATTGGTTCAGTCTGGACTCGAGAGGGCGAATAGCAAGCCGGCCTCTATTGTTGCCCAAGGCTTTGCCCGCGCGTGCCACGCAGAGGTATTCCTCGCACGATGCAACCTCTTTGGTGTCATTCACCCGGCTGACGTGGCTCTCTGCTGTCAGGGTATCGATCATACATCGGAAGCGCGGCGGCGTCGAAAATCCCATTTACCGCTCTTCACCATCGCCGCCTTTGCTCTTACATCGACCACCTCACTCGCGCTTGGCTTCTTGCTGTGTGCTATTGGCTCTGCCTGGTCGTTGCTGCGCCGTCTAATTTACATCACCGCAATCTCATTCCCGCACGTCACCGATTCGATCGACTATCGAGGCTATCGCTGGCTCAGAGCTTCACGTTGGTGGAAATCTGTCTTGGCAGTTGTGTTGAGTTCGCAGTATTGGTGGAAAGCACGCGAAGTACTCGGTGCTGTGATATCTTGGGCCTCCTTCCTGGACGGTCGATCACGAATCCATCACGACGGACCGGAAACGTTTCCGCCACCAACCACACGACCCCCGAGCGTGTGCTACAGAGACGATTGTTGGGGTGACAGTGTGACCGAGGGTACACGACGAGCACTACAGACACGTCTCATCGTCAAGAAGTCATGGTGCTGATCGAGCAGGATTTGAGATCATCATCACACCTGGAGTGGCGATACTGGGCCGGATAATCGATGGCCGTCTCCCAAATCGAAGAAAAGATTCTAGGTCGTCTTGCAAAGGACAGCCTCCCATTGAATGAAGGCCTTGCTACCTCCCTCTACCAGGTGCTCGGCCTCTCAATTATGCTGTCCAAGAAGCTTCTCAAAGCACGTCGGTATCGAAGATTGGACACGAATCGCAACACCAAGTCTCTACAGCTATATCACCACATCATCTGGTTGACGCGGGAGGGGCTCTTGATCACTGAACAAAACATTCTGCCATATTGTCAGAGTGGCCAGTACGGTGGTGAATGCCGCGTAATGGCGGCCAAGCTACGTGCCTCGTTCTATCACGTCCTTTGTCTCTTCCACAACCACCCATCCTCCAGTCCGCTGAGCTCAAGGGCATACGACACGGGGGGCTCGCCATCCTCCGTCCTCGCGCCGAAAGCGGACAATGGACAAAATCGTCCATCAGGGAAGAAACGTCAGAACGACGGCACAGAGAGTGAAGAAGGTCCACGAAGAAAAGGCAAAGCACCTCTACGCGACCCCGTCCTCTCAATGACCTCGGACGCATCGTACGTCACCAATCCATACACAGGCACGCAAGGGCAAACTCCACCCCCCACGATGCCGCCACCTCCCATACCGACAGAAGCAAGACGCACTCCCGCGCTTCCACCAGGTCTAAATCCAATCAGCATTCCCGCGAACGCAGCCTCGGCCTCCTTCCTCCTACCCGCCCTCGACTACGTCCCAATCGCCAAAGAATACTTCAACGCCGCGCAGTACCTAGCGACCAACCTCCTCTTCCCCGCTAATCCGCTCCGCCTCTCCCTTTCCCTCGAACACGCCGCGTTCCTTCAAGACTGCAGCGACGAGCCCGACCGAGCGCGCCGACTAGCCAGAGCCGCAATCAAAGACGTCTACGCCTCATCGGAAGGACTGGACGACGAGGAGTTCGCAGACGCTTCCACGCTCGTGCAGTTGCTAGGTGGCGTGGTGCGCCGCAACAGCGATAGCAATACCACCGCGCCATCCTCGCGATCTGGAAGTCGTCCGACTGTCAGCAGTCCTGCTCGACAGCATGCGTCTCCGGCTTCCGAATCGCAAATCGCACCGCTGATCGATAGGACGATTGCCCTCTCACCCAGCCGCACGAAGTCCACTTCACCAAGCCACCTGCGCACCCTGCTCCGCACACCCGAACGCCTCGCCACAGTACCCGAAGTGAGCTCTGCAACTCCCAGTCCGAGAAAGCCGGCGCGCGATGCAGCAGAGCAGCAGAAAGCAGCAGGAGAAGAGATAAGCCCGCCAATTTCCCGCCTGATTAGCAGGGGGAGCCGGCGCCAGCAGCAACAGAGGAAGTCTCCTACCTCCCCCACGACCTCTGAGAAGTCCAGCGAGAGGCGAACGATGCCGGACGAGCGACGGCGGCAGCAGGGTGGGAGAAGCGACGGTGCCGGCAGTCCAGGCCGTACGACTGCGGGCGGGTATGTTGCGAAGTCCTCGCCTCCTTCCCGGGACGCTTCTTGAAGTAAGGGAGGGTGGTAATAGGTGCAGTAGGGCGGCGATAAATCGAAGCCGACGTTCTGCCTCCCCTGTGGATTCGTGGAGCAGAGCGGACTCGAGTCAAGTTCAGCGAGAGGCGGTCTTGACGGCGCTGGGAGTCGTGTCTTTGACATTCCCGAGTTGATATGAGCACAAGGCGTTGAGGATATCGAGACATACCTATGTATCGGGGAGGTTGAGCTCGTCTACTAACATGACTGGAGTATACACAGCGCTATCCAAGACCAGAAAGCATAACCAAACACAGTACACATCAAGTGCATTCTTCTATTCCAGCATCATTACTCAGGTACATCAAACCGGCACCGTCAGTGCCAACACCTCAACATCCTAAAAACCAAGCTCTCATCCAGCACCTCACAAAACCACCGCCGCAACTCCAAAAGCAACAACACCCGCCCCAACACCTGCCCTCGTGGCCCGAGCACCCAACTTCCCAGCTCCAACCCCCTTCACCGTAAACGTCGTCCCAGGCGCACCTATAAAGCCCCAAAAGCAACAAGTCAGCACGCCAAATCCAACATGACCGGCGCAAAGCACGCACCGGTGTCGACTCAGAGTTGAAGAGGAAGAGAGCGTTTCTTGGGCTTCTTGGGCTTTTTGACCTTGGGTTTGGGGAGGGGGGGTTTGAGCTTGGCCAGCGCCTTTTTCGCTTTGGCTTTTGCTTTGGGAGGGAGTTTGGGCTTGGGGATGGGCTTGTTTTTCTTGTTATTGATGGTGATTTTGGGCTTGAGGGTGGTGGGCTTGATTTTCGTGGTTGCGACTTTAGGGATAACGGTGGTCTTGCCTTTGATAGTCGTCGTGACCATTTTTGTCGTTGGGCCTTTGACGGTGCTGGGGACGGGCGAGACGGTAGTGATGGTTGTTAGCAATGAGGTTCGGGAGCCGTTGAGCGTGGTGACCTGCGTGCTGGTCGTGGTCTTGGTGGTGGGCGGCTGGGCGTAAATGAGGGTCATGAGTTGGGTGACGGAGGTCGGGGTGCCGAGGATGGAAGTCGCTTGGGCGACGGAGGTAATGGTTGTCACGGGCCCGCCGAGCAGCTTGCTTGTTAGGGAATCGAGGAAGCCTTGTTTCGTTGAGGTGATGGTGAAGGTTGTCCCTGGTTGCGTGATTGTGACTGGCAGGGTGGTGCTGACGACTCCCAGTGAGGTGATGGTTGATAGCGGCGCGGTGATTACGCTCACGACTGAGACTACCCCGGTGGACATGCTGACGACTGTGGCGGCTGGCGCAGTGGTGGTGATGGTGGTCAGCTGGGGAGCGTTCACCAAGGATGAGACGAAGCTGACGACAGTGGTGAGAATGTTGCCGCCAGACGTGATGGTATAGGTCGTCACGGAAGGCGTCTGTGTGCTGACTGTGGTTGGAACGCCGGCCGGACCAGTTATAATCGTCAGAGTGACCACTGTAGCGCCCGGGATGGTAGTCTGGGAATTGGGAAGGGTGGTGGTAATCATTGGCACAGTCGAGACCACACTACTCGGGGGAGACGAGACCACAACCACGCTGGTGACGCCTTGGGGGATTGTGACCGTGCTGCCAGGAATGGTAGTCGTCAGCCCAGAGGTCCCGCCCGTCAGTGTTACGGTGACCAGACTCGAAGTCGGCGAAGAAGTAATCGTGTACACGCTTGGCATCACCGTTGTCATGGGTGGTGAAGAAGCAGTGGTAATCGTGATGACGCTCATCGGCGCACTTGTCGTAGCAGTTGACGTTGGTTTCGAGGAGGTGCTGGGGCCAAGTACGATCGTCACCACATTGCCATTCGGCAACATCGTCATCGTTCCCAAGCCGCAAATAGACCAAGCAATAGGCGAGGTGGTCGTGGAGTTCACCGCCGTGGTAGTATTACACGGCATGCTCATCGCCGTTGTCGGAAGGGTCGTATTGCTCGGATGGACGGTCGTAATGCTGGTGATGTTCTGCGGCGGTTGAGTTACCTGCACAGTCCGGACGGAGGTCACGGTCTGCGGCGGCTGAATTAACACCGTAACAGTAACGGTGGTGCTGTACTTCGATGTTGTCGTACTCCCTGGGCCACTGATAGTGACCGTGGCTGTGGTTGCAGATGTTAACACGCTGGCGACTCCATTCAAACCGGGAGTAAAACCTGGCACGACGCCTGGAGTACTCGTTAAAGATGGCGCTGCTGCCGGCGTGGTTGTGCAGGAGGTCACTGTCGAGATTTAGCGATGGAATAGAGAAATGTCTATGTTGAACGAACTGTTTGATGTCTGAGCAGTCGTCGGCGGGGAACTCTACACCAGAGCAGAAGACAGCACAGCAGGCAGGGTGGTATTGCTCAACCAGGCTGACGAGAACAAGGTAGAAGTCGTATTCGTTGCGCACGAGGTGTTTGTGGTCGCCACGAACGCTGCAATGGTCGGCACCGAGCTCGCGGGCGAAGTGGTCGAAGTACAGGTCGTTGCGATGCCCGACGAGGTGGAGGGAGACATGCCGTTCATTGTGAAGGTGGCGCAGGCCAGTATCGTGTCGTTCGCGAATAGAATCACAACACTTGTATTCCCAACAAAGGCGGGCGAGCTGGAAGAGGTCGAAAGGTACGGATCGACGTAGCTAGTACAGTGGTCAGTTGACAAAGACTCCACGCCTCATCGTATGGCTGCTCACCTCGTGACGAAATTGGAAGTATTCATCGTCCCATACTTGCCCGACAAATCGCCGACTTGACAGTACTGCGGAGCCGCCGGATTGCAGGGCGCGGTCGTGCTGGCGCCGTAAGGGTTTAGGCAGCCGGCAGGCGAAGGACAACTCCCACTCTCGACCTTGTAGACTTGAAGTCGCGTCAGCACTGCTCGCGAGATGGGTATGAGCTGGCGGCACGGACTGAATGGACCGCCCTGGGTCGGCAGATTCGAGATGGTAATCTGAAAGACCGTCCCGTTCCCATTCGGAGCAGAGCTCGCAATCACCGAGCCGCTCGGCGAGCCGTTGGCCGGTAAAGCAGCAACATACTGCACGCTCGGCGGGTTGTTCAACGACACGGGCGCAGCAGTCTGGGCCAAGGACGTAGGAAGAAGCGCGGGTACGGCGCCGAGGATTAGGGCGGAGTGGTGGGTGATGCGCATGGTGAGAGAGTTGACCAAGTCGAAGATCTGCTGCGATGGTGATGTGGAGTTCTGCTCAAGTGCGAATGCTGGCTCAAGAGGAAGAGTGACGAGGAGAGGAGGGTGGAGGAAGCAGCTGCATCGATGCGAATGCCGGATTCGCGCGTCTTTGCTGACTGCACTAGGGAAGAAGAGGTGCTGCGGGAAGGGGTGCAAGGTAAATGTGAGTTGGGAGTGAGGAGAGGGGGTGAGAGGGGAGTGAAGGAGAACGAAGAGATTGGCGAGAAAAGGACATTGAGGTCATATCGAAAGACTCCCGGGCTGAAGGCAGGGGCGAAGAGGGATTGTGAGTATAAGGAAAGAGGACTCTGACGGGAAGCAGCTGCTTCAGCCGAAGACTTACATACGTCGGTGATAGCAGCAGCAATGCAGCATCGGTGATGGGAACATTGGGTGGCAGACAGACTGTGCGTGGGGATGAAAGACGAGGTGGAGGAGCCAAGCCGAAATCAAGCATGGAATAGCGCAATCACATGACCAGGCTATGGGTATGGATGGTCAAGTATCGTCGGCATTGCATTGATTCAGAAGACTCGATTCAGGTGCCAGAAATGACAGCACGCCTATCTCAAGATATTCTCATCCGATCACTATGCTCAAAAGATCCAAACGCCAATGCCAGGGTATCATCAAAATCATCAAACCTCGGTGTCCATCACGAGGCGCCAATCTCCCTTAAGATCCCAAATATACACTTCCATGCGCTCCCACGACCGACCGTCGGAAGGCAAGCTTTATGACCAAGTCCCAATGCCAGGATGAGGCCAGTCTCGTCACTCCCTCGATGGGGCGAGCACGACTATGCCTTGAAGTGGTTCTCCACCTTCTTGACCTCGTCGAGCCGCTGCACCTTTGTCATGCGCTTGCCGCCCATGGACGAGATGGTGCTCGCGAGCTTGTCGGAGTCGTGCAATGCTTGCACGTCGTCGCCGCCGCCTATACTCCGGCCGTTGATCATGACGTTCGGCACGGTTCTTCGACCGGTCAATCTCGCGAGGGCGAGCTGCAGGCCCGGTCCGAGCTTGTGTTGGTCGAGTTCGACGACATATGGCGGTGGTACGATCGAGTATTGGTCGAGGAGGATGTTCTGTAAGATGGCATTAGTACAGTCTCGCGCCGACAAGTCCGGGATAGCTTACCTTTGCTTGTCTGCTGTGCGGGCAATACGACTTTGAGAAGATGATGATCGGGCCTTTGCGGAAGATGTCGTTGAGCTCAGCTTCGATAGCCACATCGCTGTCGTTGGCATCCGGCGCATGCGATGAATGCGGATCCACGTTGCCGAGTTTGGCGACACCGTCATCCTCTACGCCCTTTGGCGGCTTGTATGTCACCACTCGGCCATCCTTCATGTACTTGCGGCCGGCCACTTCCTTCTCGCCAGTGTTGGCGTCGACGACTTTGCTCGCGCCGTAGGGCATGATGGGCTCCTGGTCGACGTCGGCGCCGCTGGCGCGCGTGGCGGCCTTGAGCTCTTCCTCTGCTTCTGCTGCGGCCAATGCTGCATTGTGTTCCTTTTCTATCCGCTCCAGCCGCTCTAGGCGCTGTCTCTCGCTCGTCGCGGCTGCTGCTTGTGCTTCGGCGGTCTCGCGATTTTGGATGACGGTCACTGTGCGGGTGTAGAAGGGGGAGTCTCGCGTGCTCGAGGCGGCGGTGGTGATGTAAAGCAGGATGCATAGGGTGAGAAGAGCAGCCAGGCCGGTGGCCTTTAGGCGCCGGCTCGAGGGCATGGCTGTGTGAGGGGGTCGAGTGAAGTCCGGGCTGAGGTGTGGTGATTCGCTGCCGGTGGTTTCGGAGCGGAAGAGGGCAGTGAAGTAGTTGCTGCGAGGCCAAGACAAGGCAACAGCAATAAAGTGTCAGACGCGGGAGTGTCGCGAATGACCCGTCAATGCGCGAGATGAAGGATGTGGCGGCAAGCTGAGACGAGTGGAGGGAAGCTATTAAACTTCACGCGCCGTTACGAGCGAAAGTTGCAGGGCATGCTCTTCGGGTGGGGCGGAAATGGAAGATACTCGGCCGGCGGTGCCTCTGAGATGGATTAGATGTCTCACGAAAGGGAAGATGTTGCGACGAGGAGAAGAGTTGGGAGGATGGTGGCACAGAGAAGAAGGAGAGGGGGAGGGGAAGGTACATAGACAGATGCACGTCGTAAAAGGCGTCAGGCAGCGCTCGCGTGCGGCCATTGAATTTCCATTCTCCCTGCACCCCAATCCTTCCCGCCGCCCCGCATCGCGCGCGCGCTCTTTGACTAAGGACGAGCTAACCCGAACCTTGACCCAGCTCTGCATCTCCCTTTACCGAGTCCTCCCTACCGACTCTCCTGCATTTCCCCAGCCCATCCCCTCCTAAAACCATGGTTAGTCTGGCCGAGAAGCTTCGGCATTCAGAACCAGACACGCTATAGCCTCCACTACACAGAGGCAGGCTATTGAAAACCGTTCCGCTCTGATGAGCATAGGAATGTCGTGCTTCAATGAACATATAATGCCACCCCGGCCAAGCCTCTGGGCGCAATTACCGCACTATCGCCTTTGCCTTCCTTCGACGACTGCGCGCCTGATCACGTTTGATGATGGACAGGAGCGTTTGACAGCCTGCTGACCCCGAGTCTTAATCATCCTGTCTCAGGGGCGTTTTGCCGCTGAAGCCGAAGTGCGATACCCGAGCTGCACGTCTGCCGGCCTCCCCCAGGTTGCCAGAGCCATGGAAGCCCTGTACTGCAAACCATATTTATGACCAAGCTTAGTATACAGCCAGGGGCACACCTCGGGGTGGTTGGTCGGTTTTACACGCAGGTCGACCTTCAAGCTCTCGAGAGCCACGATCAAGCTCTGCGTGCCTCAGGTCCTACACTGTGCGACTTCGAACGTTGCGCCTCGTGATGTCAATCGCAGTCTTGCCTTGAAACACCATGCGGCCCCCGCGTGCATCATCAACAACGTGCTCTATTTTCGTCACTTTGGTGAAATTGCAGGCGTCGTTTCACATCTCCCTCCGGGACTTGCGGCACTGGTCTTTGACACATCCCGCGAAGCCCCTGATTCGCTCTGCGGCTGCACCCCCGTTACGACCGTTGCCTGACTGACAGCGAGGCTGACCTCCTGAGCGAAGCATGACGCCGGTGATCACTGTCCATGCTACTGGTCGTCCCGTACTGCGGTAAGCGTCCACTTTTCCCACGTGCTGGCGGCTCAGCGTCATTCGTGTCGATATTGCATCGACTTTTCGCTTGCTCGTATAAGTCATCTTTACGATCTCTCCCACACGTCTCAGCATCCCCTAGCGTGGGTTATCCCGGGGCTTACGGATGTGCGACTGAGCAATGGAGGACGTCGCCAATGATTCGACTTGTTCGGCGAAGACATCACTCAGCAGCGCACTTCAATGAAGGTATTGCGGAACAATGGAACAGACAGCCAATTCCCACCGTAAAGCCGACTGCAAAAAGGCCGTCAATTGGTCGGGCAAGGTCTGGGGAAACTCCACCCTCGGCCCCGGATGATGCGGCACGTCCCTTGATGCGATGCATTCTCCGCGTGCGCAACTCGTGGGCGCTGCATTTTGCATCTGCGGCCTGCCTTCACCTTGCCCGAACGCAGCAGCGATCTTCGAATTGTACAGTGTACTTGCTTGGTCATTCGTTGCGAATTGGCCTTTGGGGCAAAAGGACTTCAAGGCATTCACCTCATTGGTTCACACGACGTAATTCCTACTCGACGGCCGCCTTTGAGTTCGCGGTGCCACCCACTTGCATCCCCGTCATGGACTCGGAGGAGACGGGTTGACCGCGCTGTTTTCCACTTGAGCCGCAAAGAGAAGGCGTCTTGTACATACCATCACACTGGACATACTGTACATTGGACCAGCATACTACCGCGCCCGACATGGCCGATTCCAAAGAGTGGAGTGAGGAGAAAGAGTTGAGTGATGGCAAGGACTCGACATCGCAGGTCGACGACCTGCCCGGAGGCAACGGAGAGGGAAGTAGCGCGCCCAAGACCGAGGCGACTGTATCAGACACCGAGCAGACATCGCCGCCAGCACAAGAAATAATATCGAAACCGGCGCCCCCACCCAACGGCGGCTATGGCTGGGTCATTACCCTATGCTCGGCCACGATCAATGCGCACACTTGGGGTCTGAACTCCTCCTACGGCGTCTTCCTCGCCCACTACCTCCGCACCAACACCTTCCCCGGCGCAACGACCCTGGACTACGCCTTCGTCGGCTCTCTATCCATCTCCTGCGCCATGTTCATCTCCCCCGTGGCGACCACCTGCACGCGCTACTTCGGATCACACACCACCCTCTTCATCGGGGTGATATTGGAAACAACCAGCCTGATCGGCGCCTCCTTTGTCAAGGAAATCTGGCAGCTCTTCCTCAGCCAAGGCGTGTGCTTCGGGCTAGGAATGGGCTTCCTCTTCATCGGCTCCATCCCCATCGTGCCGCAATGGTTCACAACGAAGCGCTCCCTCGCCGCAGGCGTCTCCGCCGCCGGCTCCGGCATCGGCGGCCTAGTCTACAGTCTCGCGACAGGAGCCATGATCGACTCCATCGGCCTCCCCTGGGCCTTCCGCGTGCTGGGCATCATCACCTTCGTCGTCAACAGCATCTGCTCGGCACTAATGCGCGACCGCAACAAAATCATCGGCAGCTCGCTGCTCGCCTTCGACACCAACATCCTCGTGCGCCTCGAGTACATCCTGCTCGGCCTGTGGGGCTGGTTCAGCATGCTGGGCTACGTCGTCCTCATCTTCTCCCTCGCCAACTACGCCAACGCCATCGGCCTCAACTCCTCGCAAGCAGCCCTCATCTCCGCCCTCTTCAACCTCGGGCAGTTCCTCGGCCGCCCGCCGATAGGCTACTTCTCCGACACCGTCGGCCGCATCAACATGGCCATGGCCACCACCTTCGTCTGCGGCTTCTTCGCCCTCGTCATCTGGATCTTCGCCAAGAGCTACGGCGTGCTCATCTTCTACGCCATCATCGGCGGCACCTGCGCCGGCACCTTCTGGACCTGCATCGCGCCCGTCACCGCCGAGATTGTAGGCCTGCGACACGTCCCCTCCGGTTTGAATTTAATGTGGCTCACCATCGGTCTCCCCGTCACGTTCAGCGAACCCATCGCGCTCGAAATCGTGGACGGCACGCATAGCTATCTCGGCACCCAGCTCTGGACGGGCTTCATGTACATTGCCGGCTCGGTGTGCTTGTTGTTCCTCCGGGGTTGGAAGCTCGGCGAGCTCGAGGAGGTGGCGAAGATGCGCCACGAGAATGTGGAGGATCTGGAGAATGTGGAGGCGGAGAGTCCGCTGCGGGCTTTGAAGGCCGGGCGGAAGACGATGCTTAAGCATATGTGGAAATGGAGGAAGGTGTGAAATACGATTGATATGCGAGGCGTTATTTGGAGATACGGACTGCTTGACGACCCGATGAGCCGCTTGGAGAAAGCCACAGCCATGCCGTGCATCACGGCTTCAGACGAGGCTGGTGCCTTGCCTCGCGACAAACGCCTTTTGTCACGAGCATTCACCGCGCAACGGCGGCGGCGCGGGAACGACACGTCCCTGCAGCGGCTACACAATATGGCCTGGGAGGTGAATGAACAGGCTTCACAACACCAAGCGTGAAGATGGTGTTGTCTGTCTCGTCTACTTCTTTCGAACTTCCAACCTTCTTTGCCAAAGTGCTCTCCTTCATCCATCCATCCTTCTTCGTCGAGCGCTTTGGTTCACGCTCTCTCGTCCACCGCGTCTTGTTGACGCAGCCTCATTGAAGCGCTTTCGTCCTCGCAAGGCCGCGCCCTTTCGATATCACCACACCCACCATCCACGTTGACTGAAGTCCATCTGCGCTCTCCGGTCGACACATTCTCATTGCCGTGCTATTCGGAGCTAGACCTTCTTCAACTCGATCCGAACTGATCCGTGCCACTACTGTGCAACGAGAAGGATCCACGTTCACCATGTCCAACCAGTGGCACAGCGCCTTCATCCTGGCAACCGAATTGATCTGCAAAATCGTAACCACCAGAGGCAAGGAGATTAGGGTTGCGTACGTCTCTAAAACCACGGACTGGAGGCGCGTCCTTCTCGCAGAGAGCGTCCAGCAGGATTTCGCCGGCATGATGGAGAAGAAGAAGGACACTTTCCGTCCGGGCACGGTCGAGGTTGCCATGAAGTAAGTCGGGCGTTGGTTTTTATTTTGGTGTTTGCATTGTTGACTAATTGCCATCTTCACAGGGAGCCTAAGCACGCCAATGCTGCAGATCCCCGCCAGCATTTCACGGTGTACGGACTTAACAAGTACGGAGAAGTGTTCTGGGTGCGTCACTTCTACGCCACAGGAGAGGAATACGAAGAGAACGAAGATGAGTCGGAGTCGGACGGAGAGTCGGACGATGGTGGCGGGTCGGTGTGCGACGGAGATCATGACGATGGAGGCGAGGATGGTTGCGAAGACGAGTCTCCAGGCGAAGGCGAGTCGGATGGCAAAGAGGATTCTGACGATGAGGACGTGGCCAGGTTCGAAGCAGAGACGTGGCCATACACCCTGTTCTAGTGGGCTTTTTGGTTGATGTTATGAACACGGCCAAGGACGCTGGATGGAATGCGCTTGAGACGACGTACTGTACTTCACACGATAGCTAAGATGCTATCACCTCGAGGCACCGACTTGGTAGTCGGCCTACTCTACTTGAGCTTCGACACTGCTTGCAGTTCCCACGACGACCTTGCCATCCCCCATCTCCTGCACATCTGAGAACCAAGCATGCTGCAACACTTCTCGCGCCGTTGGACGCTTGCGTTGATCCAAGTTTGTCATCTTCAGAACGATGTCTTTGAATACGACGTCGTCTTCAACCTCCGGCCACGTAGAGAAGTGCTTGTACGGGATCTTCGGCGAATCCCGCTGTTCCCACGACGCGGTCAGCAGTTTGTGAAGCAATCCATCGCGCTTCACGAGCTTTGCCAACGCCTTGAAACCCTCGTCGTCCCCAAAGTAAGACAACTGCCGCTGCATGAGAATGAGCGGGCCAGGGTTGCCTTGGGATTCTTGGTACTCGTAATCGCTGTCTTTGGCGAAAACAATCTTCCCGAGCATCGCGTATATGCACTGATGTAACATGGTCAGTCTCCAATCCGCACATTGTGATTTCACTTCAAATTTGCTCACCATGATGCCAAATGCGAAGATGTCGGTTGGTTTGCCGATCTTCGCCGCAAGATGTCCTTCCGGGCTTCGCCAGTTCTCGTTGCCGGTGAGGGCCCCGTAGTAGAACTTCTTCGAGCCCGGTTCGAGCGGCAGGGCGTTCTCGAAGTCGGTAAGTTGGACTTTGCCGATGGTCAGGATGCCAGCGTGTTCGGAACAATCGACCATAACATTGTCTGGCTTGAGATCAAGGTGGACAATGTCCTTATCGTGGAGCTCGACAAGTCCTTGGAGCACCGCCTTCAACACCTGCTTCCGAGCTTGAGGCGTGAGATCCTGTTGCGCCAGGGTCAAGAAGTCGTGGGTCAGATGATCGTAGACGACAGTGCGCTGGTTGGAGATGGTGTCGCAAGGCAGACGAACGTTGGGGTGTTGCCTCGTCTTCAAGCGCGGCAGGACATGTTCGGAGAATCCGTTGAAGTAGGCTTCGGGAAGGTCTTTCAAGATGTATCGTTTACCTTCGGCTCTGATTTGACGTTTTGATGTCAGCCTTCGTCCGTCTGTAGGGAATCCTTTGCGGGCACTTACTCGGCCACCCAGACCCTACCCAGATGCTCTCGCTCCTGGAGGAGCTTTTCGAAACGATAGATGCGTCCGGAAGCACCAGTATGCTGTGCAGTGGCAGAGGCAGTCACAGTGGCAGCTTCTGCAGATTGCGCTGCCATGGAGAAGGCTCGTCGAAGCATGGCTGCTGCACTGGAGAGTGGAAAGGTAGTGAGTCTGTGGCGGGCTTAGGCATGGTCGTTGCTTCAAGTTGAATATGAACTTTGAGGCCAATTACTGGGCTGTGGTGAAGGGTTCGGGTCACACAAACGCGGTAGTGACTGTGTGTTAACGTTTGGGCGCACAATGCGCAGTGAATGTGGGATGTCGTCGATTGATGTCCGGCCTTGCTGAGCCAATGAGCTTGCCCAAACTCGGTAGGTTTGCGGGACGTGCCGCCACTAAAATGCTCTGGCACGAAGCGGCGCAAAATTGTGAAAGCACCTGAAACTGCGAACTACTGCCACATCACTACCCGCTGGGGGACGTAATTCGTATCTGGACTCACAGGTCGATCGACGTCGCGACGACCTGAGGTGCAACTATTGGAAGACCACGGTAGACTTCAGCTGTTCGACCTATGGACAGGATGTCCAAAATCTCCCAGTTCCAAGTGCTCAGAGATGTTTCGCGCTCTGCTGTGCGGCACTGGACAGGACACCGTCAACGCATCTTTCTTAGAGAGGCTTCACATCTGCGAACCATGGATGCTCGAGCGCTTCGCGCGCTGTCAGGCGCTTCTCTGGATCCAGGTTCATCATCTTCAGAACCACGTCCTTGAACCCTTTGTCTTCAATCTCGGGCCACAAAGAGAAGTGCTTGTAGGGCAATTCTGAATTCTTGCGATCCTTCCAAATTGCATCGAGGCTCTTGCGAATCGCCATCTTATCCTTCCCAGCAGCGAATCGCCGTAGCCCTTTGAGGCCTTTCGCGTCTCCGAAGTACATGACCTGACGTGTTAGACGAGCCAGCTGATCGGTGTTGCCGAGAGCCTTGTGGCGTTCGAGATCCTCGTCTCGCCAGAAAATGATGCGGCGAAGCATGCCATAAATGCACTATTGCAAATGGTCAGTATGTAACGCACACTTCGCGCTTGAGGCTTGAAATTACTCACCGTGATGCCGAATGAGAACATGTCGGTGGGTGCGTAGAGGTACCCTCTGAATGCTTGCTCAGGGCTTCGCCAGTTCTCATTGCCACAGAACCTTTCCGCCACGTACTTCCCAGGTTTCAGCAAGGCTCCGTCCTCGAAGTCAATGACCTGGACCTTCTGCACAGTGGGGCTTCCATTCTCGAACGAGCAATCGACCATAACATTGTTCGGCTTCACGTCCAGGTGAGCAACACGTCTGCTGTGGAGCTCAGCGAGACCTTGGAGAATACTCTTCAACACCTGTCGTTGAGCTGGAGCAGGGAGCTCTTGCGCGAGGTCCAGATAGTCGTGGCTCAGATGCTCGTAGACGAGAGTGCGCTGGCCCAAGATGGTATCGCACGGCAGACGGATGTTAGGATGCTTGTCCAGGCTTGGCCAGATGTTCTCCAGAAAGTTCTCCCACCTCCAGCTCTCGGGAAGCTCTTTCAAGACGTATCGTTTGTCACCGGCTCTTTCAGCAGTCCGGTGTCAGCCTTCTTCATCATCTCACATGCGTACAACCTCGTTTGCAGGCACTCACCTTGCAGCCCAGACCTGACCAGCGGGAAACCGTATTTCCAAGGATTCCTCGAATTCGTAGACTCGTCCCGAAACGCCGACGGACTGAGCAGCCGGAGGCTCAATCACGATCGACGTCCAACATGCTCGGCGAAGCGTGGGCGCCAGTTGTCGGATTCGAAGTAGTGACATCTGAGCTGCTTCAAGGTGACACCGATCGTGGTGTCCTTCAACAGTTCACAATGAAAGATACGAAAGCAACAAACACTGTATCGACTGCGAATTTAGACGGTGTAGTACACGAGGCTGCACAGCGACAGAGGCGGGCCGTCCCGCAGATCTGCCTCGACGTCTCGGCGCAAAGATTTTCCGGGCGCCAAGACGAAGCGGCACCTCGACGGCAGCCCACACCGAAAATTGTAGAGCCAGGACCGACATTGAACGCATCCTGCACCTACAACCACATCACCACACACTCGCCCAAGATGTTGAACATCCACTCCCGGGAGGTCCTGGAGATTCCAGAGGGCGGTACGTGTATCCTATCACCCCTACACACATCCTGCACCCACCCTCGAAACATCGCAGACCCCCCATCAAAAGCACAAAACACTAACATCCAGCTCTTTCCCTCCACAGTGAAGGTGCACATCAAGACGCGCATCGTGACGGTCGAAGGCCCGCGCGGCAAACTTACCAAATCCCTCAACCATCTCGCCGTCTGCTTCTCCCACCCGGAGAAGAACATCATCCACATCGAAATGCACCACGGCAGCCGTAAGGCCGTTGCGACCCTCCGCACCGTGCGCACCCTCATCAACAACCTCATCATCGGCGTCACCAAGGGCTTCCGGTACAAGATGCGATACGTCTACGCGCATTTCCCCATCAACGTGAACCTCGATCAGGATAAGGAGACTGGTTTGTGGGAGGTAGAGATCCGGTAGGTCATACCTTCACACTGTGGGTGAGCAGGACGGAGTACTGATTGCGTGTGTGTGTGCAGAAACTTCCTGGGCGAGAAGATTGTGCGTCGTGTCAAGATGCAGCCGGGCGTGGATGTGGAGGCGTCGAAGAACGTCAAGGACCAGCTGGAGCTGACGGGCAACTCGCTCGAGGCCGTCTCACAGAGCGCCGCGGACATTCAGCAAAAGTGCCGAGTGCGGAACAAGGATATCCGGAAGTTCTTGGACGGCCTTTACGTGAGTGAGCGGGGGAACGTGGTGGATGCCGAGTAGATTGAGAGGGGAGCCAGCATTGTGCAAGAGTTTTCTCCGGGCGTCTCTGAGCAGGGGCGAGGAGGACTCTTCCAGTGGTAGATGGAGAAGAACAAATTCATTCACACATTACCATTGTGCCGTTCAGTTCGTCTTGCTTTGGGATTCTATGTCTCATCATCATTCCCAAATACAGCCTTGAAGACCTCCTCCCCCGCCCTCGAAGCCTCAAGGGCATCATTCCTCTCCGCATCCACAGTCGCCCACTGCCGCCTCTGCCCCGACTGATCCTCTCCACCCTCCACACCCGCAGAAGTGAACCCACCACCCGCAGCACCACCACTCTTGAAACTCGCCTCGCTCATCATGCGATCCAAACTAGCCTGACTAACAACATCCAACCTCCGATTCTCCCCAACTCGAGCACCACCACCCTCCCCGCCCTCACCGCCAGGATCGACGCCTACATTTGCCGGCGGCCGGACGTTGAACCGCTTACACAGCAGTCTAGGCGGGAAAAAGGGAATCCGCGATCGCGTCATGGGACCGTACATGCCCATCCTCGCCGCCTTTTCCGCTGGATCCTCTTCCTTCGTTCCATCACCAGCGGAAGTAGAATCAGGCGCATCAGAAGCTAGGCGCGGCGCAGAAGCAGAGGCAGATGTAAAGCGGCTCGCCATCAGTCCCGACACAGGCTTGAAGACCTGCGCCGCTTGCGCAAATTCAGACATTTCTTTTGCCCATTCGTCGAGCGAGAAGGTTTTCGGGCGAGGGGGGAGGTTCGTTTCCAGTCCCGCGCGTAGCTCGAGGAAGGCGCGGTACCGTGCGCGCTTGGCTTCGTCTTCGCTGTATGGCATCCAGCCGGTTGTGCCTCTTTGGAGCGCTGCGGCGGCGATGGCGCGGTCGAGGGGGGGAATGAGGTCCCAGAGGGTTTTGGTGCGGGGTGTTGTGTCGGGGTCGGTTGTTGATGTGGTGGATGGTGTTGGGGCGGATTCGCCTCGTGCGGGTGGGAGGTTGGTCTTTCCGCTTGCGGCTGCGAGGCGGTCGCGCGCGGCCGGGGAGAGAAAGTCGAAGACGGATTTGCCTGGTAGGGCTTGCTCGCCAAGCAGCGCGGCGCGAGCTTTGGGGTCGAGAGTTGAGGCTTTGGCGGCGTCGGAGGTGGACTGGTAGGAGGGTGTAGTTGAGGTGGGTTGCTGGGTTGCGAGGAGCTTTGCAGGTTGCCAGCCTTCGGGTGGAGTGGGTGGTGCATGCTTGTTCTCTTCGGAGATGGAGAGTGGTGCGAGGGATAGGATGAACCCGTCAATGGGCAGACGGCCGTCGTGGCACTTGCGGAAGCCGCTCAAGGTAGATGTTCGTTGCGTGAGTTTCTTCGACGTGATGACGGGCTTTTGCAGGGTGGAGTTGGCAGGGTTTGCCCCGAGGCCGGCCTTCTTTTTCTTCTGTTTGTCGCCGCCAATGACACGGTTGTAGCTGATCTGCGGCCCGATGCTGTACTCGTCTTCTTCGTCCGATCCAGTGTCGTTCAGGACGCCAAGACCCAGGCCGCTCTTTTTCAGCTTGGGAGGTTTGGTGAGTACTTTGGAACGATTTGCGTGCAGGATGCGGGCATCTTTCTCCTCATCATCACTGTCGGCATTGGAGATGTGGTGATTTGCATTTAGCCGTGCCTCGCCAGCATACCCAAGGCCTTTGCGATCAGTCTTTCGATGAAAGCCAATCACTTTGGAGTCCTCGGGTGCAAAGAGATGCATCTCCCCCTTTGTATCGCCTTGGATCCTTCTCTTGACCTTTGGCCCTATCCCTTGGCCTTGCTTCCAGCCCATGCGCTGCAATAGTTTGACACCCATTGTCTCGCCAGTCGGTCGGAACAAGTCGGCGAACATGCCTCCAGTCTTGCCCTTATCACCATGGTTTCCTCCCAGCCCGGCAAAAGTACCCTGCGTCTCCAACTTCTGACTCTCGGCCAGCTCGGCGAGATCCTCCTCGTCCATGAAATCCTCCGCCTTCTGTCCACCCCCATCTTCCGCAGACGTTTTGGCGCGATTTGTTCTGGAGGACACAAAAGATGCCGGGGTCCAGCCCTCCTTGCTGCCTACGGTGTTGAAGTACCCAGCGCTCCAGCCGCCGGTGAAGGCGCCATGGAGTCTCTTCCGACCATGCTCGTCGGTGACTTCTTGCTTCCAGACGGGGACATAGGAGCCGTCATCGTTGGCTTTGGGGTCGTAGGGAGGGAGAGGGGTGCCGTAGAGGACGTATGGGGCGTGGGGCGGTGGACGATCGGAAGTGGATTCGAAGGCGGCTCTGGAGCGCTTATTGGACATGATGTCTTAGTTTCTGTTTAACGGCTGACAGCACATACATTGAGATGGTTTGTTGAAGGGAGGCGATGGAGATGAGTGCTTACCTAGGGAGCGATCAGAGCGGGTTGTGTTGTTCACATGGCGGCGGTCAGTCCATCTGGTGCGTGAATACACACTGTCCGCGGATCAGACTGTCGAGATTGAGTGTACTGTATCTGGTGGTGGCTTGATATGAGCATTACCTTACCTAAGGCTTAAGCACGTCGGCAAGCCACACTCTCAGCGGAAGGAGCCGTGCTTCTCCACCAGCCTAACCCTACCTTTCCCTGGCTCAGGCGGGTGATCGCAGTCCCTGGCCCAAACAATTTCTCGAGCGTGAAACAAACGCCCAAAGGCGGAAGACGAGCCATCCGACGGGCAGCATTGCCGTGTCTACTGCGTCCACTCGCGCTAGCTGTTGTCCCACGCGGCCCAAGAGGAGGCCAACGGTGATTGCAGCACCACGCCAGCGCATTGCCTCACCCTCCACTCACCCTCCGAGCCTCCTCTGTTCCCCAGCGCCACCGCCCTGCCCTGCTCCACTGCCAAACGCGTGCGAAGTCTAAACGCAACCTCACCACTTCCCCCTCAGGCATCCAACAGCCCCCGGGGCTCTCTCGCAGCAAACCTCCCTTCCACTCCACTCCCTGCTCCCTCGCAGAAGACACGTGCTGCATGTCGTTGCTCCGTGCCTAGCCCTCGCCCACTTTCCTGGCGCAAGGAACCCTTCCAGCGCGCTCCTACTCGGCTTCGTGCTCTCTCCGACTCCCACGGTCTGTGAGCGCGCAACGGCCTGCACGATTTCGCAACAGGGCACACTCACCCCCTTCACCCCTCCTTCTCCATCATGTCGACGACCGCGCAGCCGACCTCACTGCCACGCACCGCCTCCTCACGCCGCCAGCAAGCTCCACCCCCCCTTTCCTACCCCACCGAGCCCGACCGACCTCACCGCACCCAAAGCGCCACCACTCGCTCCACCGATCCCACTGCCAGTTCCTCGCGAAGATCAATGTCCGCCTCACAACAGCAAGCTGCCTCCACCGCTTCGCCGGCAGCGCGGAACAACCTCAAAACGGTGCAGCAGCGCGACTTTGAACAAACTGACCTCGCCCGTCCCGATGCTTCAAGGAGGAGCGACGCATATGATCGTCCGGCAAACGGGGCGACTGCGTCACGAACGGAGTCCCGCAGAGACGGCACTGGCCACTCCAGAACACACTCGCGATATGCAGAGCAACCCACGCCTGCCCAAACAAACAGCACCACATCGCATCACACCTCCTCAAACCTGCGGCGGAGAACCTCCCTCGATGCCACCACTGGGCATTGGCAGCTAGGCAAGACTATAGGTGCGGGTAGTATGGGGAAGGTCAAGATCGCCCGCAATGCGGAGACCGGCGAACAAGTGGCCATCAAGATTGTCCCTCGCCAAAGCACCGAGGGCGAACACCGCACAGAGGCCGAGCGACAACGCGCAGACCAGAGCAAAGAGACTCGCACGGCTCGAGAGGCGGCCATTGTCACCCTGGTCGATCATCCTTACATATGTGGGATGAGGGATGTGGTGAGGACGCCTCACCATTGGTACATGCTCTTCGAATACGTCAACGGCGGACAGATGCTTGACTACATCATCTCGCACGGTCGGCTCAAAGAGAAACAAGCGCGCAAGTTTGGCCGACAGATCGCTAGCGCCCTCGACTACTGCCATCGCAACTCCATTGTGCATCGGGATTTGAAGATTGAAAACATCCTCATCAGCAAAACGGGCGACATCAAGATCATCGACTTTGGCTTGTCAAACCTGTTCAGTCCACGCAATTATCTCAAGACCTTTTGCGGCAGCCTGTACTTTGCCGCCCCGGAACTGCTGCAGGCCAAGCAATATACTGGTCCGGAGGTGGACGTGTGGAGTTTTGGCATTGTCTTATACGTCCTCGTCTGCGGTAAAGTCCCTTTCGACGACCAAAGCATGCCGCAGCTACACGCCAAGATCAAGAAAGGACACGTCGAATATCCGCCCTGGCTGACACCCGAATGCCGGAATCTGATCGCCCGAATGCTGATTACGAATCCCGCGGAGCGAGCACCTCTGGCAGAAATCATGAATCACCCGTGGATGACGAAGGGTTTTAATGGCCCACCAGATAACTATCTCCCCGCCCGAAAGCCCTTGCATCTACCACTCGATCCCCTGGTGATTGACAAGATGACGGGCTTCGACTTCGGCTCGCCGGATATTATCACGTCCCATCTCACCAAGACGCTTGAGTCGGAAGACTACCAGCGCACGGTCAGGCAGGCGGAAAAGAGGACTGCCGCGCAACAACCGAATGAGTCGGAGCGCAAGCGTGGCGTCTTTGACTTTTACAAACGACGGAATTCCATCAGTAGTCGCGACACGCTCAACACTCCTTCGACGGAGGCTATTGGGCTTGGGAGAGATCCGATCAATGCGTACGACCCACTCATATCGGTCTACTTTCTCGCGCAAGAAAAGCTGGAGCGAGAAGCGCGAGAGACGAATCCCGGTGCGTTGTCGATGCCACACGATCCTCACGAGAAGCCGATCCCCGTCCCGAGTATGCCGTCTGCCCCCGAGGCAGCATACACCAACAGTCACACGGCGGAGATGGCCGGAGAAGGCCCAACTGGTGGCCGATCGAGGCCCCGAGCTCGCACACACGGAGAGGATGAGATCTCGGACGGCCTACAGAATCTAAATGTAAATAATGCGCCAAATCCGACCATTGTGGAGCCATCTGAGCCGCAGCAGCAGCGGAAGGAGAGAGCTGGAGCTGGACTGTTGCGACGATTGAGTACGAGGAGGAATAAGGAGTCGGCCGAGCGGGAGAAGGAGAAGGTTGAGCGATCAAATCCCCCGCCTTCCACTCTTGCAACTTACGGCTCTTCGGACGGCCCTGGGCGGAGCATCAGTGTGCGCAGAACGAGAGAGAAAGATGGCGAGAGCGACCGAAGTGCCGATCGTCCCGACAGCGGACAAGGCGGCCGCGGAGTGGAGTCGACTCCTACCGAAACGCCTGCTGATGGTGGTGCTCGCGAGAAGCCCGGCCGGCGCTCGTACGGCCTGGGACGCTCGATCAGCGTCAACTCCAGCGACGTCCGCAAACGGCTCATGAGGCGGGGGGTATCCGAGGGTTCGTCGATGCGGCCGCCCATGGGTACCGCGAGTACACAGGACCAGCGACAGAGCTCGGATCAGAACGGAATAATCGACGGGGCAGCCTCCGACGCCGAGCCCTCCACACGACCTCAAGTAGGAATGGCAAGCCGCGCCCGCTCAATGGGCCACGCGCGAAAAGAAAGCATGCAAGCACGCCGAATGCGCCGAGACGGAGCACGCACAGCAGACGTGCCAGAAGAAACGGACGCGGAAATGCAAGACGAACTCGAAGGCACTGGCACTGTGGGCGCCGGCAGCCCGAACGGCATGAAACCCGTGTACCTCAAGGGCCTGTTCAGTGTGTCCACCACGTCCAGCAGACCCCTGCCCGTCATCCGCGCCGACATCATCCGCGTGCTGCAGCAGCTCGGCGTCGAGTACCGCGAGATCAAAGGCGGCTTCAGCTGCAAGCACGCGCCGAGCATCATGCCGAATGCTGCTACACAAAGCGGCAGCGCAGCAGCAGCAGCACCAGACGACAGCGGCGTCGTCTCACCCCCCAGCAACCCCACGCACCAACGCAAAGTGTCTTTCGGCCGGCTCGGCGCCTCCTCCACCAAACAACAACCCCCCCGCACAACCTCCTACAACACCACCTCGGGCGCCGTCTCCGAAGACTCCGAACTCGACGACGAAGCCATCGCCCCCACAACAACCAACACCTCCTCCTCCGTCGCCCCTTCGGCCTCCACGGCCACCACCCGCCACGCGCCGGGCGAAACGACGACGCACGTGCGCGACGACATGGGCGCGTCGATGGCGCTCAAGTTTGAAATCTTCCTCGTCAAGGTGCCGTTGTTGAGCTTGCATGGGATCCAGTTTAAGAAGGTCGACGGCGGGACGTGGCAGTATAAGAATATGGCGCAGATGATTTTGGGGGAGTTGAGGCTGTGAGGCACTGATGTGGAGGAGGGAGGCTGGCTGTTGGTGGATTGTTTAAGGCTTGGGCAAGGAGCTCTAGCGGGGAGATAGGAAGGGAGAGGGGTCTTTGTGTGTCGAGTTCGAGACTTTTTGTAACGGCCGAAAAAGAGCGAGGGGGGGTTTGATCCTCCTGGGATGGATAGATTTCGATCGGATGCGGCGGCTTGCGTGCATCGACGAGCTGCGTGAATGAGTATACTCAATGACATGGCCACGGTTTCTTCGTCACAATCTCCACCTCCTGCTCCTTTTTGTAGCATTCTCACGATACCGCATCACCTCATTACGTTAAGAAGGAAAAGGAACGGAGGAGCAAAAGTACAGGATCCATTCATTGGAAGAATAAACAGCGATTCGTTTTTCCACAAACCCCTCACTCCCCCTATCAACCACCCCAAAGACCGAAGCTAAAAACAGAGAATAAGAAGGAGGCGACGCAAGGAAAACCACTCCCACATCGCCATCGAGAAATAAAACCAGTGCCTCTCCAACCCGCCTATCCCGCCTCACCGACCCCAAGCGCCGTGCCGCCAGACCCATTCAGCAGCGCCGCGCCATCATGCGCCGCCGCCGCCGCCTGTGCCCCGCCCGTACTCCGCGACGAGCGCCGCCGACTCGCCTTCTTCCGCTTCTCCACCTCGCGCACCTGCGAACTCGCCGTCTCGACATCGTGATTCTCCCTCTTGACCCCCCCGCCGCCGCCCCTAAGCTCGAAAGCGTCTCGCGTCGCTTCCTGCTGCTGCTGCTGCTGCTGCTGTTGACCCTGATGCTCGACGTCCATTTCCTGATCTGCATCTTCCTCTTCGCCGTCGACTTCCATTCCCGTCTCTTGATTGAGCGCCCAGAGTTTGCCTTCGTCTAGTTCGTTGATGTCTGCTGGTCGGCTGCGGAGCCATTTCATGCGCGGCCCGGTTTTGGAGACTTCGGCTACGCGGAAGCCGTAGATGCGCGGTTCGTAGATGGAGTTCACGCCGCCGAGGCCGGGGGCGAGGTTGCGCGTTATGATGCCGTTGATGGAGTCTGGTTGTGGGGGGAGAGGGGTGGTTTGTTGGGCGGGTTGTTGTGGCTGTGAGGAGGCGTTGTTGTTGTTATTGTTTGAGGAGAAGGTGGCCGGGGGAGAGGTGAGGGAGGAGGCAATTGAAGAGCGAGGGTTGACGCGGTCTAAGTTGGTGGTGTGGTTCATGCTGCCCGGAGGGGTGGATGTTGATGCCGGGGTCGGGTCCGATTGTTGTGTGTTGCTGCCGTTCGTAGGCGGTTTTGTCCCCGCCACGTCGAGATCGGGGAAAGTCATGAAGAACAAACAGCCAAAGGTGGTGCCGAAAAAGGCGCCGTCGACGGTTTGGAAGCGGCTGTTGGGCGGGCTGTACACGTCCAGACAGCTGGGGCAGAACAGCTTCACCGTCTCCTGGCCCGGGATGTCCGAACATCCCACCGGCAACACCTTTGCGCCGTGGCAGTATACTCGCGGGCATTGGCCGAAATGGCCCAGGTCGTACTTTTCCGCCATCTGTTGTATGCCCTGCCGGCTGGTGATGAAACGCTGGTGTATGAGACCATACAGCATTTCGGCGGAACTCTCGATGACGCTGAAATCGCTCGCCATCCGCATGTGTCGCCGGTCCGCAGCACTCTGGCCCCTCCTGTAGCCCCTTCCGGCCCCATCCTGCATTTCATCCTCGTCCTCGTCTTCATCTTCCTCCTCCTCTTCCTCCTCCTCATCTCCTTCACTCGTATCCTCCGGCTCGACGTCGAGAATCATCTCCAGTGCCTCCTTGTACATCGGCACTTGACTCTGCAAGCCCGTAAGATTGAAATCATCCTCGATGAAGTCCTCGCTCACTTCGGCAAAATACTCGTGGCCGACGAGGGAGCAGAAGGCGCTGATCCACGACTCCGGCGCCTGGCTGGAGGAGGACATGTCTGTGTCTAGGCCCACCGTTTCGTCTTCTTCCTCTTCTGCTTCCTCTTCTACTTCGTCTTCGTCCTCTTCCTCTTCGGCGTGGTGGTTGTCGCCGCCGCCTTCCAGCTTTGCTGCGCCTTGCTCTTGGGCGTCGTCTAGGTGCAACGCCTTGTCAAAGGCCGCTGACAAGCCGTGAATGTATTCGGGTCGAGCTTCGAACCCGCCGTCGGCTCTGGGACTGCTGGGTGGGGTTGCGCGGGGTCGTGGTGATGCAGCTTCGGCGTCGATGGGAAGGTGGGAAGGGTGGTCTCGGTGCGGCGCCAGCTTCGCGGTGCGATTCGGAATCCCAGGAGAAGTGGGATGTGACGGGGTGTGAGGTTTGAGATGGCAATCGGCTGGTGGGGAGATTGAAGGCGAAGTCCTGATGTTTCCGTAGAGCTTTCACTGGCAGCGCAGCTCCAGGCGCAAACCAACGAGCCAGTCCTCAACGCCTTTGGCAAGTAATCGTCGTTGTTCAGCGTCCTGGAAGACAAGCACTCCAGGCCGGCAGCAAGTCAAAACACCTCCCTCATCGGCTGCGATCTTTCTCAACGTGCGAGGTGCAGGCGGATCTGACAGGCAGAGTGCAGCGACGACCTACTCAGTCATCGACCGTGTCAGTAAGGGGTGTGCGCTGGGGACCGCGAGGAGGCGAGGGGGCGCAAATCACACGAGGTGAAGATGTTTCCTTCGCGCTGTAGAAGGGCGTGAAGTGCTTTGGAGATTTGGCAGCTCACCTAAGCCACCTTTTGGTTCCCGGCGCAGGAGGAACCGCGCTTTGCCCGATTGGGAAGGAGCACTCAGCGAGGAATACAGAGATGATGAATTACGCACATACACACAAGCTCCCACACGCTAATCGCATACAACTTCACCCCCTCAGAACATCATCTCCAGAATATTGGCCAACTGCTGCTCACTCAGCCCCCACTCAAGCCCCGGCACTACGCCGACGCCTCCATCAGCACCTCCCGCCCCTACGCCCAACACATGTCCATTACTAGCAGCATCCACAGTTCCATTCCCATTTCCCGCAGCGGCATGCTGCGCATGCTGAGCGGGATAATTCGTCATCTGCCTCTCGAACAAACTCGACAAATTATTCGCCAGAGCGTCGGGACTGGTACTCGACGCCGGCTCGACGTTGCCCATCCACCCTCCATGGTGCAGTGCCATTTCATCCACGTTGTGGCCTGCGAGACCCGCCATGGCGACTGCGGCGGAGTGGCTGGCGTCCAGGTCGCCGCCTGTTACTGACGAAGGCACGGCAGAGGGAGTGGAGGTGGTGGCAAGGCGGGGATCCGAGCGCAGCGGATCGCGGTCTTTCGACGCCAGGCCTAGCTTAGGTGCGACGTCGCTTAGGATGCGCACGGCTTTCCACATCCGTTTGCCGACGTAGCTCTCTTTGCTGAAGTGGCGCACCAGCTCGACGCCCATGTAGTATTCCTCTCGCACGGCGTCGGCGAAGGCGGCGGGCGTGTGCGCGACGGCGAGGAACAGGGCGCCGAGTGCGCTTGAGAGGAAGGCGTTGAAGAGCATTTGTTGCGACTCGTAGAGGTCTGTTGTCGAGCGGATGAGGGTGAGGAGGCGGATGGTCTCTTTCGCGAGGTTGACAGCTTTGTCTGCCAGGTTGCGGTGGTGCACGATTGAGGTGGCGGAGAGCAGGACGGGGCGGTAGAGGGAGATGCGCATGAGGTTGCGGCGTAGGTACAGCAGCATGGGCAGGCGACGTCCGGCTCGTGTTGGGGCTTGATTGAGCAGCATTCCGTTTTGGTCGAGTTTCGATGGATCGAAGTACAAATGCGGCGGCACGTTCTTGTGCCACTGCACGAGCTGGTAGTCGAGTCGCTCGATGAGTTCCGTGTCGATGGGGTTGCCGAAGCGTCCAGTAGCCGCGCTGCTAGTAACCGCGTGCCAGACTTTTGCTCCAAGCCCGTAGAACTCAATGATGGTGCCCAGGTACGGTGAGCGACCTTCGGGTTTGGGCAACATTGGGTCGATGTCGGTGTCTTGAAGAGCATACGGCATACCCGTACCGAAAGCCCACCGTCTGTCGAGGACGTAGATGGACCAGAAGACGAGGATGAGCTCCATGCGTTCTGCGGGGTCTTTGACGGCGTCGTATGTCTCGCGGCGATGCAGGCCAAGTTCTATACAGAGGCGAGCGGCGAGGCCGATGAGGCGCCAGGAGGTACCTTCGTGGTCGCGGTGGAACTCGTACATTGCCTAGCAGAGTCAGCTTGGGTAGAGTTCGATACACAGTCCGGTGGGGTACTTACAGCCATGGCGAGCATTCTAATGCCGTTGACAGACCCGGTGTCCAGTAGCAAGCTGTCCAATGAAGGCTGCACACGCTCATACATCTTCCGCCCCAGTTCATTGCGACCGCCCGTCTCGGTCACCATGCCCGTCGCCAGCACCAGCTTCAGAATACTCGTCTCGGCATCATCCAGCGCATCTGCACCAGGCCGACCCGGCTGGAACAACCCCGCCCGCCGCGCCGCATTCATAAAAGTGTACAGCTTGTTCGCATACGCCTTGACCTTGTCGATGTCCAAGACGGGGTACATAACGCCCATCTCGTCCTCGTAGACGTCGCACAGGCGCAGCGCCTCTTCGTGGGAAACGGCCCAGATGGGATCCTTCTCGGCGTGAAAGAGGTGTTGCAAAGGTGGTGGCCGGGGTGAATTGGCAGCCGGCGAGCCCTCTCTTGTGCCGGAACCTGCTCCTCCGCTCCCGTCCCCTGGCGTGTCGGTGTGGCTTGTTATGCCCATGGTCTGCAGACTGCTCTTAGCCACGCCAAAGTTGAAATCATTGCTCATCGGGCCTCGAAACGTCGGGTTGGCATTGTGGGATTGACTCCTCGGCCGGACAGCTGCAGGGGAGAGGGCAGCGACGGAGGGGTGGGAGGTGAAGTGGTGCGCAGGCTGCAGCGCGGGATCGATGGGGGTGTGTGGCATGGCCAGCGAAGCGACTCCAGGGCTGCCGAGTTGGCCACGCACATCCTCGACGATGCCGTGCAACGAGTTGACGGTGTTTTGCAGCTGCGAGAGGTGCGCGGTCATCTCCTTGTACTCCTGCGAGTCCTTGAAGCCATTGCAGCAGTTGGGCGCGTAGACGCAGTCGAGGTTCATGTTGCCGCAGCGCTGGCACGGCGTCTCGCCATTGCACTTGATCTTGCGCCGTTTGCACTGTAGCCATTCCGACTGTCAGCAAACCATCTACCTCCTCCATATGTCGGGCAAGTCGCACCTCATTGCACGCGATAGAAATGTACCGGTTGCGCTTCGCCCGCTGCTGCGTCTGACTCCCGCCCCCGCCTCCATCCTCCAACTTTCTCTTCGTGCCCGCCGCGCCAGGAGTCGGGCTGTCATCACCCTGCAGCGGCGAGCCAAACTCGTCCGACGGCGTTGCTGCGACCATTACCGTGCGCTTGAGGTGGACGGAGTGGAGAAGTGCAGCTGCGTCTGCGGAAAGAGCGCCGAGGCTGGCGGCGGCGGAGTTATTACCGCGATTGTGGGGAAGCATCTCCGCCGGCAACGACAGGACAGATGTTGGTTGCTCGATGTCTTTTTTTTCTTTGACGAAATTGAGAAGCAGTAATACAGTTGTGCTGGTGTAGACTGTTTGTACGTGTAGTCAAGTAGTTACTGTTCTACACCGTGTCACCGTGAGGTCCTTCCATGAGCACCTATCAAATGCTGTCGCACAGTGAAGGTGGGCAGTAACAATTTAATGCAGCGTCACCTGCAAGTGATGCAATTCGGCAACAATGAGAGTGACAGCAACAGGCTTCATGCATGCTTGAGGTGAAGAGCGAGACGTGAGCTGACGACAATGCATTGCACAAAGTGTAGCCAGGTGGGGTCTGTTACTATATATCTGGCTTGTCTCTCGCACGCCTGCAGTTGGCCTTTTCTGCAAAACGTTGTGAAGGCCGTGGTCGTGGCCTTGGAGCATGAATAGTCCTAGCCATGTTGCTCGTAGGCTGCCGGTTCCACGGCTGATCTGCCAGCGTAGGGCAAATCAGGCGATGCATATGATCAGCACGGCAGCATTCGCGCACGTGAGATCGGTGCCGACACCATCGCTGCTTGTGAGTCGAGGTTTGCTCGTAGTACCGCCACGATGTCAATCCATGCGGAGCTCGTGACTACTCCCCACGACTCGATCACGTAGATGCGGACCGCAGGCAGCATTTCAGAACACTCGTAGCCTGCTTCACTTCCCACTCGCCCCCGCTTGTCCAGGCTGCTGCTCAGCAATCATCTTCTGCCTCAGCACCTCCTCCACCATGCGCAGGTTGTTGGCTTTCCCGTTGACAATCGTCTCCAGGTCTTTGATGTTTTTTCCAAGCTCCTCCACCTTGGCATTGTAGAAAGTCTCTGCGTCCTTGGTGGTCTTTTCGACGTAGAAGCCGGTGCCCACGTCTACAATTACATGCTCGGTGTCTGCTAGTTTGCCGGGGACGTAGAGGGAGGATGTCAAGGGGACGAGGATGGGTTTGTCTGCGAAGGATCATCGTTAGACATAGAAGACCGGAAGCAGGGTAGTGATGGTCCCACCTTTCGTGCTCTCTGCAACGCCATCTTGGACATTCTTGATGCACTGCCGGAATTTCTGCTGCGCATTCTTCAAGTTCTGGTAGGAACTGCTCAAGTGCTGGACTTCATCGTCCAATTGCTTCTTAACCTGCGACAACTGCTGGGCAGAAAGGGTGGCGAGATCGACTGGGAATTGGTCAGTGGGAACGCCAATTTGCCAACGAGACACCTTCACTGACTCTGCTGCCCCTGCTGTTGCGCCGTGGCCATTATGTGTTGATGGGCATGAGATGCAGTGTTTCAATGCCAAGTAGCAGGCTACGAGCAGCAGTGACACAAATCGAGAGTTGTCTCACTTCTTTTGGCACCGACATGAGCTCCAATCAAAGCTAGTCCCGAACGAGAGACGGAGTTCATGCGCATATGTACGAGCTCCACGGGCAAAGCAGGCGAAGGATGGGGAACTGAGTTTGGGGCTGATTGTTAATCAACGCGACGCGCGATGTATGGCCGGGGTTGGTCACAAGAACACCTGTTCCTAATAGATATCGTGATGGTCCGGAGGATCCTCGATACATTGCGCTGAATTACATGGTGTCAACTACGTGGCCTTTAATCCCTGTCCTTGACGCGAACCTGGATACGTGGTTGCCTTACTCGGCCTGGCTTGGCGCATCTCAGGCAGACGAGACGATACTCCAGTAGAGGAAGTCGGCGACCCTCGCTGCTACACGCCAGATCTGGAACGATGCATTGAATTCCCTCGGATATGGCCGCGGGTGCCTGCTGTACCCTTGGCAATTTGCCTGAAGACTGATAGGGCGCAGTTCGGTAAGCAGAGGCTGAGCAGCTCAATCGTACGTGCGGTGCCGTTTACGGTGTTCGGTGTTGGATTAGCTTCTACCCTTCCTGCAGGCCGCGCCGGTGAAAAATTTGATCACGCCTTACTCTTGGCACTGGATGGAAGTCGTGAAGGTGAAGAAGACGAGCGTTCTCAGTTGACGAGATGAGAGATGAAAGGAATGACATTACCAATGGCTGTTAATAGAGAGACGTGTGTCTATCAATGCATTGCCATCAAGAAACACGCTCAGCGGTGGCTTGGGGATTATTAGGCTGGTGAAGATTGTGGGTCCGGCGCGCTCGAAAGGGCGTAAGGTAGGAGGGTAGCTATGAGTCAGAGCGAGCCAGCGCTGCACTTAAACTCTTCTTTCCGCTCGCTCCGCTCTTTCGTTTCTCTTCCACCCACCTCCAGATCAAAGACACACCACCACACCAGCATAGAGACAACCACATGATGGCTGCCTCTATCTAGACCGTGTCACCCGCCACGTTGACTACACCCTCACCTGCCCACCCCCCCACCCTTCAGGAGTCCTCGGACATCCTTCGCGCCCGTCTCTTCGACACCGCCCCGCGAAACTCCCAAGTCGTCACCACGGCTTCTCACAACAGCAGATCATGGCCCCCACCATCATGGTTTCCCCCAACATCTGCAGGCACCCCGCCTCATCCTGTGTTTACTCAAGACTTCGATCTCTACCAACGCGCGACTCCGACCCCGGATCTCCCACCCCGTCGAGCTCCCTCGCTCGATTCGACGCTGCTGCCTTTGTTTAACCCCGCTGCCCCCGCGGAGGTCCACGACACTACCAACGTGCCTCTCCCCTCAGCTCAACAAACGGTCAACTCTACTCAGCGTATTCCTCGGTCTACTCCTCGCCCGCAAGTGCCTCTATTCCACTCAAACTCCACCGGCAGTCTCGCCACGGCTCAGCAGCAGCAGCAACAATTCCCAGTGACAGATCTCGCACACTTCACCATGGGTGGTGCAGGTAATTCACACAGCCTCCACCTCTTTCCACCCCTCAATCTAATCATGCCCCCAGAAATCAACGTTGCCTATGACGGCACATTCGCCGACCTCAGCTCCGCTGGGGAAAGCATGTTCCCCGTCGACGACACCTTCGACTTCAACCAGTTCATGTCCGCCACCGATGGCTTCACCGCCATCAACGGCGTCGCTGCAACTGGCGGAGTCACCGTCTCGCCCAAGGACATTTTCAACAACGACTCTGTTCCCCCATCCACATCTTTCACCAACCTGACCACTCCTGGCTCTGCTTATCTCGAGACCCCGGACGAGGAATACCAGACGTCTCCCCTCCTCGGCACCTTTGACTGCGACAGCCAAGGCGCCGACAACTGGTACTCGCTCTTCCCCGACGATGGCCCACCCGCCATGATCCGCACTACGTCCACATCTTCAGCCAATCAAATCGTAGTGCATCCTGGCGGCGAAGGCAACCGCAAGCGCAGCACAACTCTTGCATCTCCCACCCCGTTCACCCCGGTCATGAAGCATTCGACCGCGGCCGGCGTGGGCGCTCGCAAGCGTGACAAGCCCCTCCCTGCCATCATTGTCGACGAACACGATACCGTTGCCCTTAAGCGTGCCCGCAACACGGCCGCCGCCCGCAAGTCTCGGGCGAAGAAGGTGCAGGAGCGCGATGAACTGGAGTTGAAGATTGCCGACCTGGAGGCACAGGTCGAGCATTGGAAGTCTATGGCCCTCACCGGTCACCCACCGGCCGAGAGTGTGGAGGAGTAATCTAACTCCATCACGCCCTCGCCGCTGGCTCATCGGTGCGGTTGCCCAATCGAATCAAACACAAAAAAAGAGGAGGACAGCACAGCCTGCATGCAGAAGGGTGCTACTTGATGGTGGGAGTTGCCCACCTGTTATTTCCTATTGCGACTTGGTTTTTTTGGAGAGCGTAACCGGCGCCATCGTCGCCCCGCCTCTCATCACCCTGGCCGTCGTTCGTCGTGGTCTCCCACTTACACCTCGTTTGTGGTCGACGGCCTGAATCGACGTGTCTTTGATTTTCCTTCGCAAGGCCGTTCTGACGTCTCCTACCTTGAGCTTCTTTTGGCGCAGGGTGGTTTTTGATGGACTCGGGGCCTGAAGTTTTGTGCTTTTATTCAGACTTAGTTTAGTCGAAAAGTTATTGTCGGTCTTTACCATACTACTCTCCCTCCTCTCATTCAAGCTTAAGTGATGATGTGCTCGTGGTGCTGTTGCCTCGTTCCTTGATTTGGACGTGTGCGAGTATAACTCCAGAAGTCGTTGTGGACATTGAAGACGTGGCATGAAAGAGAGTTCATTCAGCAATTCCCACAAACCAGCTGCAAAGCAAAACGTAAAATCCATAACCCTCCCAAATCAAGTCCAATGCGGCGCCTGACTCTTATCCCCCAACTTGCCATTCGCACTCCCATTCATCACCTGCGTCCCCTCAGGCCGCTTAAATCGCGGCTTCAACGGCACCCAGCTCTCCGCATTATACCCCTTCTGCACCTTGGCGCACTTGGTCAGCCCCCACTCCGTCACGCCGACCATGAGCGCACTCTCAAACATAAACGCCATGCTCTTCTCCCCGACCTTCATGGGCTTCAGCTCGGCCTCGCTCGCCTTGGCGTGCGTGCCCGCATCCGGGCCGTGCGCGCTCATCACATTGTGCAAACTCGCTCCCGCAGGCTGGAAGCCGCCGCCGGTCTTGGCGTCGTACTCGCCGTGGATGAGGCCCATGAATTCCGACATGGTGTTGCGGTGGTACCAGGGGGGGCGGAAGGTTCCCTCCTGCACGAGCCAGCGCGGGGGGAAGATGACGAAGTCTGCGATTGCGGTGCCCGGGTGGTCGGATTGGGCGGTGAGGACGGTGAAGATGGAGGGGTCCGGGTGGTCGAAGGCGATGGAGCCGATGGTGGCGAAGCGCGCGAGGTCGTATTTGTAGGGGTAGTAGTTGCCGTGCCAGGCGACGACGTCGAAGGGCGTGTGCGTTTGTTGGGCGGCGAAGAGGTGGCCCGCGAATTTGGCGAAGAGGGTGTAGGTGTTGCTTGTGTCTTCGTCGAAGGCGGCGATGGGCGCTTGGAAGTCGCGGGTGTTGGCGAGGCAGTGGGAGCCTATGGGCCCGAGTTCGGGCAGGGTGAAGTGGCCTTGGTAGAGCTCGAGGATGTAGCCGCGCACGGGGCCGTCGGGGAGGGAGACGCGGTAGCGGATGCCGCGCGGGATGACGCAGATTTCGTTCGGGCGGACGAGGATCTTGCCCAGCTCGGTTTGAATATCGAGCGCGCCGTGCTGCAGCACGATGAGGAAGTCGCCGTCGGCACTGTAAAAGGCAGAGTGCGGATCCATATCCTTGCCAGCGGAGAAGATGAAGATGCCCAAGCCAGATTTGACAGTCGGGTCGCCAGCACCAGCCACGAGGCGCAGCGAATGCACCCAGTCAACGCTCTCATCGATATCAAACGGGTCCCAGCGCAGCTGGTTGGGGATCTGATGCCATTTGTGCGTGCCGTGGATGCTGCCGGGGTTGGTGTCGAAGGTGGCGGTCTCGCGGGGCTCGAAGGGCTCGTGGGCGGATGCGGGCAGGATGCGGTGCAGCCAGGTTTGCTGGTTCTCGTGGCGCGGGGCCGTGAAGGCGGTGCCGGACAGCTTCTCGTTGTACAGGCCGTATGCGCATTTCTGGGGGTTGATTTGGCCTACGGGCAGAGCGCCGGGGATGGCTTCGCTCTCGTGGTAGCTGTTGAAGCCGTTGAGATATTGGTATTTCTCCGGGAGTTTGAAGTCGGTGACGGGCATGTTGGCGGGGCGAGGATGTGTGAATCGTATCTGCGAGTTAGATGAGATGACGATGTTTATGCTGCATGCATTTCTTGTGATTTTTATTCGGGACGAGGTTGGTCTGCGGCGGAGTGAAGTCGAGGCAATTCCGCGCGCCTTGCACGCCCGACACGCCCCACTTGTGGGAGGCGGAAAGGGTCCGAAGGTGCTTAAGCCGAAGATGCTCGCTGGTGGATGGCGGGATAATCGCGGATTGCGATGGGCGGACGCGGTTTCGAGCAGTGCCCGTGAGGAATTCCGCGTCGAGTCTGGTGCGGAACGACGGCCACACTTCACCTCTTGAGTACCGAAAGGGAAGCAACGACCGACAAGAGGCTGCATATCGTCTGTGTCGATCAGACTCATTCACCTGTGCCATCACATCCATCCACTCAACAGGACAACTCCAATCATGCCTCCTCTGAAGAGCTGGTTGTCTATCGACCCGCAATCCCACTTCTCCATCCACAACATCCCCTTCGGCATCATCTCCACCGCACAACACTCCAGCCCACACCCGGCAATCGCAATAGGCGACCACGCCTTGGATCTCCAAGTCTTCACCGAGCAGAATGGATTCGCAGCCTTGTCCATCATCCAACCACACCAACACGTCTTTGGCGAGAAGACGTTGAACGCCTTTGCGGCCCTGGGCCGTCCCATCCACCGCGTAGTACGGGAATACCTCCAAAGCGTCCTCCTCGAAAATGGGCCCTTCCCCGATGTCCTCCAAAACAACACTCAACTCCAACAACATGCCTTGATCCCCCTTCACTCCTGCAAAATGCACCTCCCCATGCAAATCACCGACTACACCGACTTCTACGCCGGCCTGAACCACGCCTACAACGTCGGCGTCCTCTTCCGCGGCCCGCAGAACGCCCTGCAACCCAACTACAAGCACCTCCCCGTCGGCTACCACGGTCGAGCCAGCAGTGTAGTTGTCTCCGGGACGCCCATTATCCGTCCGAATGGCCAGATCCTCCTCAACCCAAGCGCAGAGAAGAAAGAGCCCATCCTCAGCGCTTGCAAACGCCTCGACATCGAACTCGAACTCGGCTGCTTCGTGTGCAAACCTTCGTCTCTTGGCCAGCCCATCTCTGTTAAAGATGCACCCGAGCATCTCTTCGGCTTGGTACTACTGAACGATTGGTCTGCCCGCGATATCCAGGCGTGGGAGTACGTGCCGCTCGGCCCATTCAACTCGAAGAACTTCGGAACGTCGATATCAGCATGGGTAGTGCTGATGGATGCGCTCGAGCCGTTCGCCACGACGGGCATGGCGAACGATACGCAGGTCCTGCCTTATCTCGACGAAAAGGGGAGGAAGAGTCATTTCGCGATTGATTTGGAAGTCACGCTCACGACTAGTCAAGGCAACACGAGCAACATCGGCAAAACGACGGGGAAGAATCTCCTCTTCTCGTTCCCGCAAATGTTGGCGCATCACTCTGTCGGCGGGTGTCCGTTTAATGTCGGGGATATGATGGGCTCGGGCACCATTTCGGGGGAGTCGAAGAGGGAGAAGGGGTGTTTGCTGGAGCAGACGGATGGGGGCAAGACGGAGGTGGCGTTGCAGGGTGGTGAGACGAGAAAGTTCCTTGAGGATGGAGATACGGTGAGGATTACGGGGGTTTGTGGTGGAGAGGCGGGGGCGTTGGTTGGGTTTGGAGAGTGTGTTGGGAGGATTGAACCGGCGCCTGTGTTGAAGTTTTAGAGCAGAGATGTATGCGATGTCGTCAAGTACGATTCATTTACGTCCTGCCATATAAGACGTAAAACATACAAGCATTATACATCAACCTCCATCGAAACCACCTACCCGTTTAGGCGAAAAAAAAAAAAAAATAAAGCAGAGACTCATCATTCGAACTCGCGACCTGCCAAACATACACAAAAAAACAAACTCCTTTTCAGCCCTTTTCAGGAAGGAGAGAAAGCAAGGCGAGACTCGTAGGACCCCAACAGGTTTGCATTTTTGAACCTCTGACCAACAGACTTGATGCTGCGGTCATTGGTCAGAGGCGGAGTGTGGATGATTCAATAAATAGATAATATGTGTTGTGATGAGGTTTCGCCGGGTGCTGTCAGTGTTTGTGTTACAGGGCTGAGAACCTGGATGGATGCAGCACGTGATGAGTTAGAGTCCTTGATCCCGCGCGGAATTGACCCGCGCTACGACAACTCCCCCACCTCCACTCACCCCGCCATGCCCGCCCAGCGATCCAGCCCCATGGAGAATCAGCGCGGAATGGGCGCGTGCAACGGACCTCTGCGCGCGTCGTGATTTGCCCTGTGCCTCTGCGGTTTCCACCCGAAGGGTCGCGCGAGCGGAGTAGCTCCAGACCCCGACCGCACGCCGTGGTAGTATATACGGTACTTATTCCCCTCGGCGACCAGACGGTAGGGAATGCTTTCAGAACATCTTATGCTCCCCCGGTGAATGAGTGTGCCCGTCTTCCTGTCGACTATTCATTGCTGAGCTTCTCTCTTGTCCTTTCTTACTGTCCTCCTCCCCCTGCACCGCTCTTGAGCGCTCCCTCCCCCACCATGGCCATCCTCTCGCAGACCGAAGGGCAAGGCCTCATCGCCTTCCTCCTCTCCCCCACCATCGCCCCCTTCTTCGTCGTCGCCCTCATCTACACCATCATCAAAATCATGGACCGCACCGACGTGCCCAAAATCAAAAACCTGCCCGAAGTCCCCGGCTGGCCCATCTTCGGCAACCTGGCGCAGCTCGGCGACAACCACGCCAAAGTCGCACAAGAGTGGAGCGACAAGTACGGCCCCGTCTTCCAGGTGCGCATGGGCAATCGCCGCATCGTTTTCGCCAACACCTTCGACTCGGTGCGCAACTTGTGGATCACCAACCAGTCTGCCCTCATCTCCCGCCCCATGCTGCACACCTTCCACACCGTCGTGAGTAGCAGTGAAGGCTACACCATCGGCACCAGCCCGTGGGACGAGAGCTGCAAAGCGAGGAGGAAAGCGGCCGCCACGGCGCTCAATCGCCCCGCCGTGCAGAGCTACATGCCCATCATCGACTACGAGTGCACAAAGTCCATCAAGGAGCTGCTCAAGGACAGCGAGGGCGGGAAGAAGGACGTCGATCCCAACGTCTACTTTGCCCGCTTTGCTCTGTCCACCTCGCTCACCCTCAACTACGGCATTCGCATCGAGGGCAATGTCGACGACAAGATGCTCGCCGAGATTACGCATGTCGAGCGGGAAATCTCCAACTTCCGCTCCACCTCGAACAATTGGGCGGATTACATTCCTGCGTTGCGTCTGCTGCCTGGTGGGAGTGATAAGCCGCTTGAATACAAGAAACGTCGGGCGACCTACATGTACGTAAATCACCATCCCTCATCGCTACCATCACAACCTAACAAGCACACCCAGGAACGAACTACTCAACATGCTCAAACAGCGCATCAAAGAAGGCACCGACAAGCCTTGCATCACCGGCAACGTCCTCAAAGACCCCGACGCCAAACTCAACGACGCCGAAGTCATGTCCATCGGCCTCAGCATGGTCTCCGCCGGCCTCGACACCGTCCCCGGCAACCTCATCATGTGCATCGCCTACCTCTCCTCCCCGCACGGCCAGGAAATCCAGCGCCGCGCCCACGCCGAAATCACCGAGCTCTACCCCAACGGCGACGCCTGGGAGCGCTGCCTGCACGAGGAAAAGTGCTCCTACGTCACCGCGCTCGTGAAGGAGACCCTGCGCTTCTGGTCCGTCATCCCCATCTGCCTGCCCCGCACGTCGACAAAGGACATCACCTGGCGCAACGCCACCATCCCCGCCGGCACCTCCTTCTACATGAACGCCTACGGCGCCCACTACGACACCTCGCACTTCACCTCCCCCCACGAATTCAACCCCGACCGCTACCTCTCCGACAATTCCATCGACGACGCGGCCGCGCACCGCGGAACCCCGCACTACGGCTACGGCGCCGGCTCGCGCATGTGCATCGGCTCCCACCTGGCGAACCGCGAGCTGTACACCGCCTTCCTGCGCATGATCATCGCCTTTGAGATTGTCGAGCCGCAGAGCGCGCGCGACAAGCCCATCCTCGACGTGTTTGGGTGCAACAAGATTCTGACGAGCTTGACGCTCAATCCCAAGGAGTTCAAGGTGGGGTTGCGCGTGCGGGATCGTGGGGTCCTGGAGAAGTGGATTCGGGAGAGTGAGGAGCGGACGAAGGATTTGTGAGGGAAGACGAGGAGATTTAGTTGTTTATTTGGAGAATGTCTGGCGTGATATGTAGCGGTGGGAGGGTGATGCGAATCTAGTCTTGTTGTATATGTCATGCTGGCTGAATCCTCATCGAGCTTCACATACTCCGCTATGAAGAGTCTCATCGCGCTTCCTTCTACCGCGACCCCAACACAATCCCCTCCTCCTCCGCTCCCCTCATAATATAACTCTTCACCTTCGCATCCGGCGCAAGATCAATCGCATACGCCCCCCCATTATCCCTCTTATCCGCCTCCGCCCCCGCCCTCAAAAGCGTCAACGCAGCCTCCCCCTGCCCCTCCGCAATAGCATGATGCAACGCCGTGCACCCATCCATATCCGTCGCGTTGACCGGACTCCGACTCTCCAACAACAACTTCACAATCGGTACATTGCCCACGGCGGCAGCGCGATGCAGCGGCAACTGCCCGCGCTTATCCTTAACGCGCGCCGAAGCCTTGTGCGCCAGCAATTTGCGCGCAATGTCGAGATTCGATTTCGAAGCGGCGAAATGCAGCGCCGTTTGGCCCCCGTTGGTCTTGACGTCTACGTCGGCGGATTTGTTGAGCAGCAGGTCGACGAGCTCGTCTCCGTCTTTTAAACTCGAGGCGATCATTAGCGCCGTCCAGCCGGCGCCGTCTTGTGCATCTACGTCGAAGCCGCGGTGTTCGGAGAGGAGTTCGACTATAGGGAGGCGGTTGTAGGAGCTGGCCCAGTGGAGGGGCAGGCGGTCGTCATCGTCGCGGCGGGACACGAGGCGGGGCTCGGCGTGGAGGAGGGAGTCGACTTTCTGTGCTGTTTGCGGGGCTCGTGTCAGTGTCGTGGGTTTTAGAGTGATGGTGTACGCGCTGTTACCGACTCTGTCCTTCTCGGCAGGCGGCGTGGATGGCGTATTTCGCTTGTTGCTCCTCGAGATCCATGTCTTCCCCGTCACGGCAAAGTGTCAGTGAGAGAGGTTGCTGTGCCTGAACTTTTGGCGTCCGCGCGGGGATGACGCGGGGCCGAGAGTCCCCCGAAGTTTGCCCTGAGCACGTGAAAGCAAGGCTATCTCAGCCTCCTCCTCCTCCTCCTCCTGAAATCCACACGCCTACATTCTGCCTCTCGTCATACTTGACGTTCTTCCCGCCAGGCAACACCCGTAGAGTCTTCTGATAGTACGAGTCGACGATCTGCAACACCGGCCAGATCCAGCGCCCGCCATCGCCCTCGCTGCCCTTCACATCCTCTCGCTCGTGTAACACAATCCGATACTCGACTTGCTGTCGACTGAGAGGCGCCAGACTGATCGCTTGGTACTTCGGTCCGCTGAAAGCAAAGTCCTCGCTTGCTTCCATGGTCACGACGAAAGTGAGGAAGTGCGTCGAGGGGTTTTCAATGTAGTAAGAGAGCACGGCCGGGCTGGCATCGGCGGGGGTGACTGTGCAGAGGACTCGTGGCTCTGATACCGGGATGGTGAGTCGCGGAGCGGGAATCTGCGTCGTCACTCGATCCGTGCCTTCTTCGTCTCGAGACCACGTCACTTCTACCGTTGATTCAATGGACGTCGGCAGCCGGTCGTCAAGCGAGTTTTTCTGGCTGAACAGTTCGAAGGAGCACGGTGTCGTTTCGCCAGGTTTGATCGACTTCTTGTCCGCCCCATGCGAAGATACAGACAGATGCGAGTCACCAATGATACGCTCCACCGAAAGCTCGGCGCCATGAACGACAATGGTATCCGCAGCGATCGAGTGCAACCGAGTCGTCAGCTCCCACAGCTGAGGAATCCCACCCGGCGAGTCACTCGTTCGTGCACGCTCTGCATCGAAGTAACTGGGCCAAGCATCGGCGTGCAGCCGCGGCCCAAAATCAAACATCGCTTCGAGCGGTGCAATGAAGTTGAAGTCCAGCGAGATGGCCTTCTGTATGGGAGTGGCATCCGTGGCGAGCGTGTAATCTGCAGAGATCTCAACAACGGCTTTGGCGGGATCCTGGGGCGCCCGTATGATTAGCGTTGTCTCGTGCGAAGCTTCAGGCTCGAGATCTGGGAGATCTGTCGTAAGTCCGTTTTCAGAGGATGAGTGCTGCCAATGCACCTTCAGAGGCAGCGCCGCCTCGCTCTTATCGCGGGAGATTATGCTGCCCTTAACAGCTTTGCCTTCGTGGTTGACGATGCGCACAGCGACTCGAAGGGTTTCGTCGACGTAGTTATGCTTCTTCAACCCGGACACCAGTATCTGCACTTTCGGTGGCTTCGGCGTAATATTGACAACCGTCGGCTCTGCATCTCGCAGATGCCTCTTGACTAGTGCCGGTCCCGCTTGGACGAAGACCGAGTCTACCTGCAGAAGAGCCTGATCCGTGAAGGAATGCGTAATGGCGAACTTCTCCCCTTCGATAGCGAAAGTGATCTGGGAAAGTCTCACCGCGCCACTCTCTTTGAATGAAAGTGCAAAGTTGAAGAGTCGGCGCTCGCTTGCTTTGAAGGTCAGATTCGTCTTCATCTCTGGTATACCCTCGGTGACATTCGAGTCTTCCGTCAGAGGAACCATGTCATCCTCTGATGTCTGCGAACTGGGATCGTGCACGATCCGCACGGCTCTCCCGTTATCGAAAGACAGCGTAATGCTCGCAAGAGTCGCAACTGCTGCATCACCGCCCATACAACTCGATACCGCAAGCTGACAGCCCATGCGCTCTCCAACGCACGTCTCCTTGTCGACAAAGGCGAAGCGCATCTCCAACGGGCTCTGCCGCCTTCCGTTCTCAAATTGCAGACTGATCGGCTGGTCCGATGATCTCGAAAGCTCAGTCAAAGCCTGAGAGAGATCCCGAGGTATGCTCGGTGGCAAGGCCAATCGACAACCAAAGAGTTCGTAGACGGTGCTGACGAGAGTTTCCGCAAGCTGGAGGTGAGAAGCACATTGATACGCCAGCAAGAGCGCATCGGTTAGCAAGTCTTGCCAGCCATCTTGTCGCCATGTACTTTGGTCCAGTAAGCCAGTCAGCAGGTCACTCGCCTCCTGGTAGCGATCCACGTCCATCAGACTACGAGCCGTGCCCAGAGTCAGGAGCTCGATCATGCGAGGTTGAGAAGCCAGCCGGAAGTGTTCTTGCGCTTCTTTGACAAGCTCGGCATACTCGGAAGTATGGTCAAATGTATTGCTTTCGGATAGCGGGCATTCTTCGTGGGGTTCGGGGACGAGATAGAAGTCGTGATTTTCGGCTCGATTCACCACTGCAGATGCTGGAGACTGTCCGGGTGGCAGCCGGTCATCCTCGGGGATATCCAATGCCTTCGCTCGCCTGAACCTCGAGCTCTTTGAAGCCATTCGAAGCCAGAAGCCCGGATGGTGAAGATTGTGGTAGGGCTGTATGCCTTCCGAAGCAGTTGCTGGCTTCTCCGGACCGGCGTATATTTGCCATTTCCGGGCTTGCCGGCCGTCCGGATCCTGCCCAGGTGTAGGCTTCAGGTCTTCAAAATCAGCCCGGACAATCAACTGCGCCATCGTCCGGGCCCAGCGCGTCTCCCAAGCCGCCCAGGAATACGTCTGTGTTCCCTTTCCGCGACGTTCAACCAGACTCCTGGTCCGAAGCCGATACGAACCCCACGCCTGAGCAGCAGCAGTCGTCGCAGAGTTCCACAAAAGGCAGCGCACAACTCGCAAAGCCACGATATCCGCCAGCAGCCGCGCTTCATTCCACCTCGGCGACCAGATGGGCGTGAGCTCCAGTATGCCGTCCGCACTGAACAGCTCATCCAGAGCGGCGCTGAAGTGCCGTTCCGCAACGTCCATTTCTTGCCTAAACTCTGCAAACACGCCGAGCTTGACTTCGTAGCGCACATTCCAGCCCGGCGTGGACAAAGCGTGCGTTGCACTGCCCACAGGCGAGGCTAGGGATGAGCCGGGAGGCACGCGAGTCTTTTTCCGTCGGGCGTGCTTCGTCAAGTCGCGATACAGTTCGATGCAAATAGGCTGCAGCGTCCTCATAACGCCTTGCACGAACGTCGACAGCTCCTGCGGCGACGATGGGGGAGGCATGAAAATCAAACCAGACCGCGAATCCAGGCCCGTAGCTCGACGAATATACGCCACCCGCTCCTCCAACTCGGGTGACTGGGCCATACTCCGATCAGCAAGTAAGACGGCCGCGAACTTCGACTTGTACCCCGAGCGAGCAAGCGAGGCGCGAACGGCGTTGATGTCGCCCTTGATCTGCTCGTCGTTGCTGTGATCGAGAGCAGAGATGTCAAAGAAGGCGATGATGAGCGCGGGCACGTGGCGCTGGTATTTGGCGAACCAGAGCGGCGTGAAGGCGCCGTCGGGGAAGATGGGCGAGCCGGGGGACAGAGGGGACAAGGGGGAGTGCAGGTCTGTTGATCGCGGGGGACTGATGGAGTTGTTGTCTGGTGATGTCGGCTGGGCCACTGGTGCTGCTTTCCTGGGTGGAAGCGGGTATGTCTGCGACAGTCGTTAGCCGTCAATCGTCACAGCGTACGATATAGCAAGTCCATTTGCAACATCTTACCCTCCCGATGGCCTTCATCCTGTAGTACAGCTTCCCACCCGGCCCCGGGAGCGCAGACGCATTCCATGCCTCTGTCGAGCCATCCAATAGCATAAACTGCTGCAGCAGGGACTGCGCGACTTCTGCTTTGCATTCTGGACACGATATCTGAAGGCGAGTGCCGCTCTCTCGCGACAAGGGACCGGGGGAAGTGGCTTCTTTGGTCGCCGGCTCCCCCAGCCCTGAGAGGAGCACGAGGGGGAGCTCATGCTCGACGGCATCGCTGGGGAGCGCTTCCATGCTCTGCTACGGAGATTGGGAGCGCGGGGACCACGCTTCCCCTTGTTTCGCGGCGAGGGTTGTTGATGGAGGTCCAGACGTTTCCACTGAAAATGTACCGAAGCGGACTAGTGCCAGCCTTTACGCAGGACAATCCTACGGCATGGAGGTGTGATGAGATGCTCTGGAGTAGTCAATCGTGAAGACGCATAGAGAAGAAGACCAATGCTCATTCATTTCTCACTGTCATATAGCCAAAAAGGGTATCTACGCACAATCTCAAAAGCCATACAATGCACGCTCACCCCTTACAAGGCACCCCCTCTCCAATACCCAGCAATCTCCGTCAAGACATCGCCCATAATCAACGGACTCGCCATAAGCCCATGCCCCTCGCCCTCCAGCACCCTCATCTCACACCCCGGTCCATCCAGAATCTCGCCTTCCTCCGACGAAACCCTACTATCCCGGAAAGCAGCAGCATGCCGATTCATCTGCTCCGCCAACCAGCGCACGTTCGCCACGGGAACCCGCTTGTCCTCCGAGCCGTGCATGATGACGACCTGCTGATGCACGTCTGTGTACCGGAAGCCGATATCGTGGTGGCGCTCGAGGCAAACGAGTAAATCGGTGGCGGGGTTGCTGTCGCGCGTTGCTAGTTCCCAGGTTCGTTGGGTTAGGAGGGCGGTGTATTCGTGCTTTCGCTCTTGCTCGACGTAATCGGCAGCGGTGAGGCTGGCGGAGGCGAAGGCGAAGCTGGCTCGTTTGGGAGTGGCGTTGGCGGAGGTGTGGATGGTGCTGTTTCGGGAAGATTTGGACGGGAAGGGGTCGGTGGGGTTCATCTCGGGCATGAATTGGTCCATGAGCATCATTGACTCGCGGCGATGGCCGTTCATGGACGCTGGTCGCGTTTCGGGTGTGATGTTGAGGTTTGACTGCCGTGATTCGGGCCGGGTTTTCGCTTTGCTTCCTGGCCGCAGTGAAGATGATGTGACGTTCATGAAGGATGCATTCGCTGCTTTGAAGAAAGGCGTGGGCAGTACTCGTAGAAGGCGCTGGCTACGAGGTAAAACTGCGCCAGGAGTGGGTGATGCGGTAGCATGCGAGAACGTCTCGAGCTGGCTTGGCGGAATCCACGGCGAGAGTAAGTGCAGTCTGCCCTTGACCAAGTGCGGGAGAATCAATGCCGTGGCCAGGGCGTAGATGGCTCCCGCTGAATGCGCAAGGATGCTGAATTTGGTAATGCCCAGATGTTGGCACACGGCAAGAACATCGTCCGGCCAGGAAAGTGGTCCGCTCTTATCGTTTGCTGGGTAAGGTTCACTGTTTCCCACCCCAGGGCGATCGAGTGTGATCAAACGCAGTCGGAGCGTAGCAGCGAGCTCGTCGTAAAAGGCAGACACGTAGCGCGTCAGACCCATACCGAGACAAACAATCACAGCAGCACCTTCCCGGTCGCCGACCTCGGAGAAGCTGATCAGGCGGCCAGTCAAAGGGTGCTTGATCCTTTGATTCAGTCGTGGAGCTTGCAAATACTCCCGGACAGCAAGCTCAACAGTATCGGGTTGAGCGCGGGCCCAGTCCGGCTCATTATCGAGGCTGGGCGTCCGTCGCGAAGACTTCCTTTCGCCGCTCAGGGGAAGGTCAGGGTGCTGGAAAGTTTTCCATCGGGAAGGTTTCGAACGCGAATTGCCCGATGTACTCTCGGGAGACTCCCTTACAGTGCTAGAAAGACCGCTAGTGTTACGGACGGGGAGGGCAAGCGGAACAGGCGAGGTGTTCCTAATTTCAGGCCGGCCGTCTTGCAGCACATCGAGTGCGTCTGTGTACGAATAATCCAGCCTAATTGGCGTTGCGAGCGAGCCATTGGACATTGCAGATGGAGGCCGTCGCGAAGACGACGTATCGTGGCGTGCGAACTTGTCTCGCGAGGGAGTGCCTTTAGACTGGCTGAGGTTGCTGCTGCTGTTTGACTGCTCGACAAAGGACGGAACAGCCAGCTCGGTTGCCCTTGCCACTTTCCTTTGAACGCTCGGCGAGGATTCACTGACATTTCGATCGACGATTGAGCGTAGCGGTGAGCCAGCCCCTGCATCGGCACTGCGGGTGGACGCTTGTGACAGGAAGCTCATGTCGGAATTGGCTGAGGGAGAGAGGCCGCGGATGGGAGACTGCGGGGGCTCCAGCAAGCGTGCTTTCCGCAGCTCCCTCAACTCGAAGATGCGACGGACGGTCTCGTCTTCTTCACCCAGGTCATTCCAGCTCGAATCGGGGATATCCTGGGAGCTCACACTGCTCACCAAGCTATCTCTGTGCGCGCCAGCTTTTAACTTGGCCGTCCGTGCAGTCTCGCTTTTGCGTTTGGACTTTCTTTCCCGTTTCTTCCCCGGCGCCGGACTTCTGCTCGATTGTCGTAATGAGGACGTCCGCAACGGGATCGAGTCTACAATGCTCCCTCTTGCTGGTGAAGTGTCTTTTGGAGTGATTTGCGACCCCTCTCCCTTTTGCTGCTGTTGTTGCCGCCGCACCTCTTCCATCTTCACATGCTCTTCCAGTATTCGCTGAACGGTTGAGTCCACGTCAGCATCCGCCTTCCTCCTCAACGTCTGATCTCTCGGACTCAGCTCCGGCACTTCAGTAATGCTTGCAGGTAGCTCCGTTTCCGCTCTTTCTTCATCAACACTGGCAGTGTCCGTGAGATATATCCTACGCTTGGAACGCCCACCTCTCGGAGCGGAAGCCAATGCGATGATCTGCTCCGCTCTGGACACACTCCGCGTGCTCGGAGGCTCGAAGGGCGTAGGGGTGGGCGTGAGTTCAATGCGTGACGGCGGCGCTCGTGCAGACTCATCGGAGCTCTTTCGGCGGAGAACTGAGGTCTCGCCATGCAGCAAGTCCTTCGGGGGAGAGCCTGGGCTCGAAGGGCCTTGTTTCACCCAGCTCTCGGAGCTCAGCTTGTACCTGTTGGGACTGTCTTTTCCCTTCGCCGCAATCGAGGCGGAGGTGCGCGAGCCGAAGGACGAGCTTCTCCTTCTCTCGGATGACCGGACACTCATGAAGCTCGGGGAGCGGGTGGGTCGGTAAGTGAGGACGCCAACGTCGAATGGTGCGCGAGATGTTCCCACGATTGGCGCCAGCGCGGCATCGATTATCCCGGTTTCGTCGTCCATTGTAAGCGAATGGCCATATTCCATGCCGAAGCCGCGCGCAGCGGCATGTGAAAGAGTGGAGGTGCTGCTGGTAGCTTCGCCGGCGGTATGGGGCCGCGAAGGGGTGTAGACGGGAACGAAGGAATGGTCCTCGGCGGCGAGGATTGTGGGCGAGTGCAGGGCATCGAAAGACTCGAGGATGGAGTTGATGATGACGGGATCGGCGCCGCGGGCCTGGATGCGATGTCGCTCGGAGCGCCGTCTATCGCGGGGGGTGGACTGGGGTTGCGACTGCGGTCGGCGATCTGGATCCCATGATCGCAGATGGGAGGACTGGGACAGCGTCGTGGCCATTGCTAGCCAGACATTCGGGATGCGGAGCGGTGACGATCATCGGAGAATTATATGTCCATCTCCTCCTTTCTGAGCGCAAGGGTGTGGTGATGTCAAGGTCGGCAGGGATTGGAGGTGTGGGCGAGGGGGTTGTGAGAGTATGCGACCAGCGCGCACTCACCTGACGAGTTGAACGAGAGTGGTGGAACGTAATGACAATGAACGGAGGAGTGCAATGGTTTCGGGTGGCTCGTCAAGAGAGTGCAGTGCTCCGACACCACGGCCGTGGAAGGCTCGGCGGGACCTCCCCTTCCCGCTGATGGAAACTCCACTCCGATTGGCTGCAGCCGGGAGGACGGCAGGGGAGATGCACCCGAAATCCACCCGCTTCATCCATCCACTCCACCAAGTCTTCTCTTCCTCACGTGCATTGGGCGGTGAGCATCGTACAATGCGTTGCGAGCATGCATGGCCCTCGATATCAGCGAGCCCCGCAGCGCATTCATCATGGCCTGTTTCTCCGCACTCGACATCTGCACGTGTTAGCTGACTCAGCGAGGAAGACGACTGGAATACTGGATGCTACCTTACTCTGCGCCACTTGCATTCCACACTGCCTGCACGAGCTGGCGTAGAGCGATCGAAGCGTTGAACATGTCTCGAAGCCTGCTGCATCTTGTGTGGGATCTATCATACCTACACATCCTTTTCGAAATATGGCCAACTTCCGCTTGCAACCTACCCAACTTCCTTTCCTGGACAATGTCTGCATCCTCGAAGCTGTAGATCAATCATCTGCCAGTATACAGTGAGTCAACATTACTATTGGCCCCTCTTCATGCTCTGCAAACCCTCTTATCAACACGCCCACCCTCCCCTCTTTTGTCTCTCCTCTCCTCGTACCTGTGTGACATTTCATTGCTCCACCGTTCGATCGCGCTGGTGCCACTGCGAGATGGCAACGGAGTTCGAGTATCAGATCCAACGGCACCCAGGCGAGACAGACCGGTGAGGATGTGTCTTGCTCCCATGACCCTTCGCACGAGACTGATTCCTTAGGCTGAATGCTCAACACAAGTTGCTCGTCAAGTGAGTTACTGCGGGCTCCCGGTATCCGTCTCGACAGCAACTGATCGAGCTACAGAGCGGTCGGATACCATCTGCACCCCACCATCATCCAACCACACCTCCCCGCAGAGCCCAAAGTAGCCGATCTGGGCGCAGGCACCGGCACCTTCCTCGTCGACATAGCAAATCAATACCCATCCACCGCCCAATTCGACGGCTACGACATCTCCGACGTCGCCTGGCTCCCTCCCACCGAACGCCCAGCAAACGTCACCCTCCACTTAACCAACTGTAAGAAGCCGCCACCTCCAGCCCTCCACGGCGCCTACGACCTCGTCACCCTGCGCTTCCTCAACTCCGGCATGGGCATCGAAGACTGGCACCCCCGCGCCTCGCACGCCTTCCAGCTCCTCAAACCCGGCGGCGCCCTCCAATGGATCGAAGCCAACTTCGCCCAGGTCCTCCCCATCCTCCAATCCCATCCCGACGCCGTCACGAGCGCGAGCGAAAAAGGCACCGTCCGCGCCATGCACGAATCCCCGCACACGGACTGGTTCGTTGCGAACTTGCCCCCCATCCTCGACTCCCTCGGCTTCCACGGGATCAAGCAGAACGTCACGCGCACGGATCGCCTGCCAGAGACGAGGGCGGAGTTGAGTCGGTTGTTTTTCGGCGCGCTGTATGGCATCTTGCGCCGGATGGCGGCGAGCGGGCGCAAGGATGCGTGGACTTTGGAGGAGGCGGAGGAGATTTACGCCGAGATGTTGCGCGAGGTCGATGCGGGCGCGTACGTGACGTGTGATTTGCATCAGTTCTTTGCTTTCAAGCCTCTGTAGACCAGTGTGTCTTGTCAGCAGCATGAAGAGGAGGACCGAGGCAGTGATTCGCCCTCTTCTCGCGCCTCTTTCCACCCGACAGCCATGTCTACCTAGGCACACTCTTACGCTGCACGTGCACGAGGCTGAGGTCAGGCGGAATTGACTTTCGGCGCAGCGTGGAGACTTCCCCCCGACATCATGACGCTTCCATAGCACATCGGCAGGCCACGCGCCTGGATCGCGATAGCCCCGTACATAGTGTCATGAGGACATGTAGTTACAGCGATTCATGTTAGCGTGAAACAGTCTTTTCATTCTCATTTTATCGTAATAGATCGAGTCGCCGGGCAAACGGCGCAATTCGCACATTCCTTCCGCTCCTCATCGCAGGGAGGCAAGGCAATCCAACCTTTTTTCCACCAGGGTATCTACTCCAATCGAATCTCCCCAATCCCACCACACCGGAAAGAATTCACACAAACGAAAGCGGCGCCTCGCCTCTGCCCGCCCTCCAAGCATTCGTGCCGGCAATCATATGCTCGCACCCGACGAGCAAAAACGCCCACCGCCGCGCAAACGGCTCCGATAACTCCCAGCTCGCCAATTGTGCCGGTGGACCCCAGACAACGACGCCGCCTCGCTGCCAAATCCCGTCGCGCTGTTCGAGTAGAGCGCCACTGGCCCGTAGCGATTGGGAGAAGGCGGCTGCATCGAGCTGTGCGGTCGCTAGGGCGTTCATGATGTTGAGACGCAGGCGGGCGTGCGGGATTGTGTCGATGATTGGGTCGTGAGGGAGTTGGTATTGTATTTCTACCGGTGTGAGAGCGGATGGGATGGAGAGCAGTTGTGGGCTTGGCGCTATTCGCGGCGTGGCGATGTGCGTCGTTCCGGTCTGCAGGAGCGAGGCGTCGATGCCGAGTTGGCGGGCATTGCTGAGTGCAGCGGCCATGAAGTTGGCGTTGATGAGGCGCGCCAGCTCGTCCCAGACTTCGTCTGTCTGGGGGTCGAGAGCGCCGGTAGGGCGAAGGGGGTTTCTTGATGGCGAGCGTGGGAGCGGGCTTGTGGGTGTGGGTGTCGGGGGTATAGCGGTGATGGTGGTGTCTGCGCTGCTCTCCAATTGCAGAGGTAGCATGTCGACGTCAATGTCCTCTGATGTTTCTCTCGACGCACTCGAGCTGCCTGCGCGTCGCGATCGGCCGCGTCTGGTGGTAGAGTCGCCGGAGCGTTGGCGCTGGCGGAAGGCGCGCTGGTTGAGGCGGTTCTGAATGCGTCGGCGGACGGCAGGGTCGCTTCGGCCTCTCCAGTTCTCGTTGGCTGTGAAGAGGCCGGCGATGGGGATAGCGGGGGATTGGGACTCGGAGCGAGGGAGGTATTGGTCGTCGTCGGAGTCTGGCTCGACCTTGTCGTCGTAGGGTGGGCTCGCCATATGGTGTTGCTGGCGGGGGGAGAACGAGGGTGGAATAGCGAAGGGATGGCGGAGTGGAAAATGAGTGTGCGCGACAACGGAGCAGACACTTGCGTGCAGTTATAAGCCACGAAAGAAAAATCTGCCAAATACTCAACTCAAGGCGGCATGGTTGGGGATTGGGATACAACGCAGGCCACGCCGGGTCCGTGGAGGGAGTACATCTCCTTTATCATCCTACCGCTCCGGTCTAACATGTGGGCCGGGTCATGTGTAAGTTCTCCGCTCATGGACCAAACCGGACGAAAGTTCGAAGAAAGTCATGAGGCCGACGGTGTCGTGGGAGTTGGGACGTTGTGGCATTGGTCGATTGGGATAGGCAGTCTAGTAGACGAGGGTGGTAGCGGGTGGCCTAGTGAAGGGGTGGGGCATGGGTATGTACACAGTTAGACGGCCGTGAGAGGCAGAGATTTGCAATGGCCGGAGCGCCTGCCGGGGGAGACCGCGCGAATGGCTGCCGTTTCACATAGCAACTGCCAGACTAGGATGATCTTCCCGTAATGGAGGGTGGCAGAAGAGCAGAAAATAGCTAGGTTCGCCCGATGATGATGGTGAGATGCCGGGTGCGTTGGAGGGAAAATGCAGGGTGTGCCGTGTGGATTAGCAATCAACTCCAGGCCACGGGGTCACACGTGCCGTAGGAATCCAGATGCTGTAGGCAAAAGTACGACGAGTCGCCGTATAGCGGGCTGGATTAGCTGCAGGCCGGAAGCCGCGCAACCCAGCCAGGTTCGAGAGTAGGTTTTCGCGGGTGACGTTTTGTCAACATTTGCCCAAAGCGGCAGCTCCAAGAGCGCGCTAGCCGCCCGCCCGCCAGCCTAAACGAAAGCGTATTTGGCGGCTGGCGGTGCGGGAGCGCGGGGAAGGCTCAAAGCAAGATTTCGAGGGCGCACGTCATCGCACGGCTGCGCGCGCGCTTCTCGTATTATTCCGCAACCACACCACGCACCCGCCAGCAGATTCTCATATTACGATACCGCGATTCCGATGAATCGCGGATCAGTCCAGATTCGCCATCGACCTCATCGCCGATAACGCTGTCGTTGGAATCATCCTCGCGTCTCGGCCCTTGCCCTTGCGACGCGACGCTGCAATTCCCTCCGCACGTGCTCGTCAACAATGGCTTCGCTCGTGCACGCCCTCCGTGACCGCTTCTTTCACTCGACGGGCTACCTGCAGGGAAGCGCCTGGGCCCTGCCGCGCAACTTCACCGACGTGTATGGCTTCTTCGTCGCCAAGTTGACGCGTCTGCTCGCCCTGCCGCTGCCCTTCATCTCCTTCCTGGCCGTGCCTTTCCTCGGCGGAACGTCGACGACCATCAGCATCGTCGCCTTCTACTTGACCTGGACCGCGTTCGTCCTCAGCCATTCCCAGATCACCGTGGAGTTGTATGGCACCCTCGCCGCCCGCCTCTTGTGCTATCTTTTGCCCGCCCTGGGATTTGTAATCTTCGATGGCTTCTCCCCGAGCTTCGCACGGAGCATCAAGAACCGCGGGACGAAGCAGCTGCCCCTTGCGCAGTTCAAGCGCAACAAGCTGCTCGAGGTGGCGGCCGTGGCGATCTTCAACGTCCTCTCCGCCATTGCGCTCGAGGCGCTGCTCGAGCTCCTCGCCACCCAGGTCTTCCACATCCGGAGCATCTTCAAGGTCACGTCGATCGTGCCGCTTCCGTGGAACATCCTGCGCGATGTGGCCGTCGGCTTCATCGTTCGCGGCGTCCTCATCTACTTTGCGCATCGATACCTGCTGCACACGTACGACTCGCAGTTGAAGACGTGGCATCTCGAATGGCAGCACAGCGCGCGCCTGCCCTTCAGCCTGCTCGCCGCGTACGACCATCCGGCCAATTACCTCCTCACCCAATGGCTGCCGACCTTCCTGCCCGCGTATCTCGGCCGCTACCACGTCCTCACCTGGCACCTCTTCGTCGCCCTGTGCTCGTTGGAAGAGCTCTTCATCTACTCCGGCTACGCCATCTTGCCCTCAACCATCATCCTCCTCGGCATGGCGCGCCGAACCGACGAGCACTTCCACGTCGTCTGGGAGGGCAAGAAGGCGGGCAATTTCGGCCGGTGGGGTCTGATGGACGTGCTGTGCGGCACGACGTGCGTCAACGAGGACGACGCGCTCGATGACTTCCAGAAGGAGGCCGATAAGCATCAGGTGAAGGATCGGGCGCAGGGCGCGATCGACGGCGCCGTTGCCGGCTTCAAGAGCAAGACGTCCAAGTCGAGGCTCATTGGTGGCGGGGGCGGCAAGAACCAAAGCCAAGGGAAAGGCTCGAAGGCTTCTTAAAGGTTGGCGGATGCCGGTAGTGAGTTCGTGTGTGCCATTATGTCGAAGGGCAGGGAAGCCCTCCGCAAAGACTGCCGCGCGTTGGCTGAGGGTGGGTAGCGTAAGGAGTTGGTTAACGTTGGATTTTTCGGATATACCCCTGTCGTCATACTGCTTTGCGAAGATACCACATTAATACCATACCAGGAGTCTTGAAAGGAAGTCAACAAGAGCATCACGTCTGCATAGAAAATCCCCCCCGTGCTCAGCTCGACGTGCGAAACGACCCAGCCTTATGTATAGCGCTGCAAGCCGTGCATTACCCCCTCCCCATCGTCGATTCACTTCATCATGCACGCCGGTTGGAATCACCTAATAAGCCCTGCTGCACCGGTCTTGGCCCCCTACGAATTAGCGTTTCCTACAACCCAGCCTGTTGGGAACCAACACGCGCATCCCACCGCAAAGCCGCACAAGACCACAGCAGGCCAGCGTGCTTGGCATCGACACTTCGGCTCCGAACTGGGCTTGAGCCGGGCGCGTAGTTACACCAACAATGACGAGCCTGACGATCGTGGCGCGACGTGACTGCTTTTTACGCGTAGGGCGTAGGGAGAAGCCCTGCGCACGTACAGGCTGCATGTGCCCTACGTATAACACGCCATCACCCGACCACCTAATGATGGACCGGGCCAGCGTGATGACCAATGCCCAGCCTCCCACAGCCTATCATTGCCTCGTCGAGGCAGGGCCGGCAGTGGGCTCTTTGCTCCTACGTGCCATGCAGTGCATGGTTGGCCGTTGAGGGGTGGTCTGCACGAATCCTTCCCCCGCTTGGCTCGTATTCTTGTGCACGTCGAGTTGGCGGGGGGTAAGGGATGGTCCGCCAAGGTTGGTGTTGGTATCGGTGGACTGCTCGGTGCGTAGTAATGATGACTACATTTGAGTCAGCTGGCACGTCTCGATTTAGGGGCATTTCCCATTTAGGCAACTACGCGTAGTGGGCTTTTGCGTAAGCAAGTCGAGCCGGGGATACACATATAGGACGACTGCGGGAATACTGTGGACGCGACACGGGGAGATATGCATGTACAGGGCTTTTAAAGTAGGCTCGCGGCATGCTTGACGTTGTTTATGACAGTAAGAGGATGGTCGCACCATCGTATATGGTGTCTGTTCAGTCTAGACGCGTACTCATCCACCAACAGCTGATCGCCCGCCGTCCTACTTGGTAACGCGACGCCAGAAGCAAGCCACCTCGATCTTCCTCAGAAGTAAGCCCCTTTAACCTTCCTTCTTCGCATCCTCCTCCTCTTCCACCGTCTTCTTCACCCCTTCCACAAATCCCTCCACCGCCTCTCCTCCACCCAACGGCATACTTCCCCCGCGAATCACACCTCCATTCTTCACTTTCAGCCCCAAAGCCTCTCCAATCATCGGCAGCCCGCCGTCCCTAAGCGCCACCGTCAACGAGCCCAAACTCTGATGCAGCTGCGGACTTCTCAGCACGCGCTTGAGAATGTCCTTCTTCTGCTCAGGAGAGAGGGCCTCGATAGCTGCCTGAGCAGCGGCAGGACTGGGTTCGGCGGGGAAAGTGCTGGTCTCGGATTCCTGCGCGAGAAGGAAGAGGTCGGGCGGGAGGTAGGCGCATAGATGGTCGAGGTGTTCTGGAGACAGGGTGTCGATGTATGGGATTGTGTTTGTGGTTGTGAGCAGATCTGGGAGGGTGGTGTAGGGCTTGTCGGCGGGTTGCTGTGATGATCCACTGCCGGATTTGAGGGAATTGAGGAAGTTTTGGACGGCTAGATTTGCATCTGCTGGCAGGTCGGAGGAAGCACTGGAAAGAAATGATATACGTTAGCTTACCTTTTGGTACGTATTGAGAAGTGAGGTGGAAGATGAGGGAGGTCTTGGGGCAAAACATCGCGTTCCAAGCCGCATTTTGATACGCCCGTAGCCAGCCACGAGCGCCTCGCTGAATACAATCATCGGTCGACGGGGAAGACACACAGCATCGTGCACTTACGCTCTGCCTCCATCAGCTCCACCGTCTCTACTCTCCTCGCCTTCGTCTCTGATGTCCCCTCCCGTAGCGTCAGCACCAGCACCTCCAGTCTCCTGACGGTCCAGCTCCATCAAATCCTCCTCATCCGCAGCTCCTCCAGCGTCCCCTCCGGCCCGTAGATCAGCCACCTCCCTTTCAACATCCACATCATCCCCGCTCAACAGCCCGTCCACAATCTGTCCCAACCGCTGGTCTCGGTGTGAGAACCAGTCCGCATCGCCTTGTGTGTGTTGACTCTTCGCCTGCATCCAAAAGTACTGCTTCTCGCCACTGCTGCTGAACCGCAGCACAAAGATGCGGCCGTTGGTCGGGCTGCGCACCTCTTCGGCGCCGGCCTCTTTGACGAGAGGGGTGAAGCTCGCATCGCCCGGGATGGTGATGAGGTCGATTTCGGGGTCGGTGGCGGGGGCGCTACGCGGACGCCAGCAGAGGTGGAAGAGGTCGTCTTCGGTGTAGAGGTAGACGTATCCTGGTGTGGCTTGAGGGGTGATTTTGCGGCCGTTGACGGTGCAGCGGCCGGCTTTGAAGGTGATGAGAGGTGATGCAGCCATTTTATTTGATGGATGGCGGCTTCGATGGGAGGGGAGGATGATGGAGGCGGAAGTGTTTGCTGTTTCTTCCAGTGTGCAACATGACATCAAAGAGAGCAATGGACGAAATTCCTGCCTCAGGCACGACTCTACGGTTGGCCAAACCGGCCTTGCGGCAAATCCCGTTCGAATGTACCTCACTCCTCTGCTCCGAAGTCCACCTCCACTCATCCACCCTGCGCACATCCTCGCAACCCCCGGCACCCCAATCGCCACAATGCCCCTCCTACGCCCCAACCCGCGTCTCCTCCTCACATCGTCACGCGCCCGGCTCCAAATTCTCCCGAACCTCGCCCAGCAGACCGCCCACCCCCGCCCTCTCACCTCCACATCCCCCCGCAGCGCCGGCGATGCGCATGGCCACGAATCCCAGTACGATGCACCCGGCGGCTGGCTGTTTGGCGTCAAGCCCGGCGAGAAGTACGAGAATGAGGGCTGGGAAAACATCTTCGTCTATGGCTTTGTGGGGACGTTGCTGTTTGGTGTCGTCGGCTACTGCTACAAGCCGGACACAAGGTATGCCCCGAATGCTGCTCGTCTGCTTTGTGTGATGCGTGTGTGTACTGACTGTGATTTCTAGCATACAAACATGGGCGCTAGAGGAGGCCCGGAGAAGACTGGAGGCCGAGGGCATACTGGCGGACCCAGATACGAAGAGCTGAGTACTGGTACTTTCAATCTGCGCTCTGGTGACTTCGAACTGCATGGTTTCGCGAGATGGACCGAGGATACAGGACTTGTGGTGGGCTGTCTGTATATACGCACTATTCACGCCTCACAAGGCTGCTAGAGGCACACGTCCTGGCTCACGAGCGGCGTTGGGCGAGTATTTTCAATAACATTACCACTACTTACTCCGATCGTGTCAGTTCCGGCGCCCGAGGTGCGACAGTTCTCGGTACGTTGTCCAATCGCGTGTCTGCACCGTTGAGGCTACTTTTGTGCCACAGCAGTAAGTTATCAAACTCTATTCTGCTTTCCTCTGCGCTTGTCGGTCAATCAAACTTCCTTTACGCAATTCGGTTACACAGCACATTCTTTGTCGTATCTTACCGGAATCAAAGGGCCTTAGAGTGACGCGAGAGCATTCCAACCCAACACTACACCGCACGTCAGTTTACCGGCTGTACCGCTAGAGCAACGTCACTGCTTGGTACTGTCAGGGAACTCATCAAAGGCGAGTTCACATCACCTTCAAACCTTACACGGAATTGTCACATCAACATCGCCGTCCGTCCGGAGGGGATAGGTGGAAGAAAGCTCCGAAGCACCAGGTCTACCGGTCGCTAAAGGTGAGCCATCAGCCAACGATTCTCAATTCGAACACTCCACTTACTCGCAAACTAAGCAGAACGGGAGCCCACTCCAGGCAAACACCGACAACTCATCCCAAACGCCCTCCCTCGTCTCCCACACATTCAAGATGTGCTACTACATGTACGCCCACCACGTGCCCTGCGCCCATCTTCTGCATTGGTTCGCTCGCTGCTTTCACGCCCGACAATGGGAGCTCGAGGATTGCAATCTGCCCGTCTTTCCCGTTTGGGTGTACGATGAGCTGTTTCTGTGTCCTCATTGCATGGCCGATTTGAAGGAGGACGATGAGGAGAAGACGTGGGCGTGGATAACTGCAGCGTAGGATCTTTCAAGCGGTGGGATGCATGGAGAGGGAAGACTGCAATGATCATTGAGAGAATGCGTAAGATCAGCAATCCGAAGATTGGCGCTTGGTTGGTTTAAGCAGGCTCAGGATTGTGATGGTTGTATTGTCAATAGGCGGTACTGGGGCGACATGCCCATCCATAAGACTACACGAGACCACCTCAAAAGGCTCCTCACTTATCTGGTCAATAATCGTGAGTCCATGGGTTCGACTCGTCGTCGCTCAGCCTGATCGCCTTGCACGGAGTGAATGCAGTGAACGTGGTGGTGTTCTGTCAAATTCTGAGAGCGGACCCCAATGTACGCCTTGCATCCAACAGCTCATCACTGTGACGTCTTTGAAACCGTGAGGAGCTGCTCCATGCAGGTGCTTGTGGCACGCGACCGATTTCAGATCTTTCTCTTGGTGACGTCTCTTTCAATTCCTACCATCGTCTGGATCGATTGAAATCATTGATTTCCAATAGCACTTGAGAGCAACTACACATCATCACACAGCTACCCAACATGACCTCCAACCAAGACCCTCATCAAGGCGGCGACCTAAGCGACATGGCAGCCAAAGGCACCAAAATGCCCAACGACGCCGGCGACTACGAGGTCCTCCCCTCAGTCCCCGACGAGCATCAGAAAGCCGAGAACCCGGCATTCCACAACCAATTCATCAATTCTGCCGATCCCCAGGGCGCCGTCGACAACGCCGTGGATATGCCCCGACGCTTCAACGACTCCGGTGCGACGGGGGAAGTCATCACTGGTACAGGTGACCAAATGCCAGTCGATGTGGAGCAGAAGCGATTTGGGCTGGATGAAGCTGGTGGGCCTGCGGCCAAGGGCCATTCGCGGGATGGCAAGGCGAGTTCGAAGCATCATAAGGATGAGTTTGGACGGTTTGCTGGGGAGGGAGCTGAGGTTGATCCGGCGCCTGGAGAGGAGGAGCTTGAGCAGGATGAGATTCGGGATTCGAAGGGAGTGTAGGTGGATTGTTTCAATCTGAACCTGAGATACTGAGACTCCGGCAACTTGGATGGCTTGGTGAGACCGGCCATGCCTTTCGACCACTCATCTTCTTCGTGTCGCTGCGCGTGCAATGCACCATTGACTCTCACTATCTCTCCAGAACGATCAACTAAAGTCATCAAGTGGTGTGCAAGGACAGCAACCATATCCTGTGGGAAGGCAAGGCCAACAGCCCGCGCACGGACACCACCCAATCCCCGCTAAGCAGTTACCTAAGCAAACAGCTGTATAAAAATTTCTCGGCTCTTGCGAACTTCTTCCCCCCAACCATCAGTAGAGGTGACTTAACAAAATGTCATCTTCGGAGCTTCGCAACACGCGACATGCTGAGGGTTACGCTTGCTTCGTGCAGATGAGTGGTCTTCCGTTCCCGGCTCCGTAGAGTGACGCCCAAGCGTCCGTCTTTCCTACCAACTGCAGTGGCCCGGCATTTAGTATGGGATGGAGTTGTGGGATGGACGCTACAGACTTTTCGTGTGCATGTGTGATTTGTGATTCTCAGGGATCTGGTGGACGGGGAGCTTGAAGGCCTTCGACAGAGTGCATGTCGTCTTGGATGCCTGCGAGTCGCCCACGCGGAGCTGCATGATCGACTGAGGAGTTTCGACTGGGAAGGCGAGTAATGGTCGATGTTCGCAAGACCGAATGCGTCTAGAAGTCGAGATTACCGTAACTCATCTATATCGTCTCATCGTTATTGACCTCGCTGCCCTCGCCTCCACTCATCCACCGCTCGTTCCATCTCTACTCCCTCATTGTCACACCTCTCGCCTACCAGGCCCCACGTCCTAGCTCGAATGATCCCCTCTACCACGCGCTCATTCCTCACCAACGCCGCCAGCGCCTCTGTCCTCGTATCTCGAGGGAAATACCTCCCGCTGTACGGATCCAACCTTTCATTCACCACTCTCTCCCTCGCTCTTTCATCCTCCACTTCCCGCAGCATATGATCGGGATCGTCGGGATCGGGCGACGTAGCCACGCCTGCGCAGTAGTTCAAGACGTCACTGCGCACTTGCCAGCTTGGGAAGAGAACCTTGTCCTTGAACTCGCCGCATGCCTGCGCATCTATTCTTCTCCGCCCGATTGGTCGCGGCTGTCGCTCGGTGGTGCTGGACGGATCGAAAGGTCGGTCACCGGGGGTTACGAGGGCGTTGAGATTCTGCGAGATGGTGTCGTCTATGGCGCCTCTTGAGACGCGGAGGAAGTCTAGCCGGCTTGAGTATGAGCGTGAGCTGGAAAGCAACGGCGGAATGGAGGATTGTACATACCTCGCAGAGCAGTGTGGTTGAAGCAGAATTGAGGGGTGAGTTTGGGGGGATCGGGTGTCCGTGACATGATCGGTTTGATCGGGCGAGAAAGAGGCGGAGATGGAGTTGAGTCGGGTTGGGGTGGGGTTGGTGGGGAAGAGAGGTGTGTCCAGAGAATGCCTGCCAGATTGACGATTTGAAAGGCTTGCTGTTGTAGTCCAAGATTATATATTAAATTATGATGACGGGGTTGTGAAGAGCGACGAGGGCGTGGGTGTGACTTCATCGACACCTCGCCTTACATGATCCTTCCAGATGCCTATTTGGGCAAGCTCTCTAATTCGTCACGCGTCAAAAACGCGACTTCCATCCATCTCGACACTCCAACATGTCACACAACACCGCGACTCCACACTCACAACCTCTACACCCTCTTCCTGCGCTAACATCGAGGCGATGAGGTGATGCTATGGTCTCGTTGTCCACTGCCGCGATCGTCCTGTTCTTCAAGGTTCCGACGTGATCCCGCCCGCGTCATCCTCTTCCTCAAGTCCGTACCTCTTCCCGAGCCTCCCATCTCATCTCGAGACCCGCGAAACCTGTTCAAATCCTGGTTTCCGCCACAAACTGGTCGCTTGAGAACCGGCAAAATGCCTCCCAAACAGGCTACCCTCGGGTACGTGAAATCGTCCCAGCAGACTCTTGGGTGCGGCCCTCTGCTTCGGTGTTCTCTTTCTCTCATCAAGGTCATCTGGAACTGACACATGTTGCAGCAAGTTCTTCGGGAACCCGAATGGCGCGAAAGTAGCCGCTCCACAGCAATCGAAGTTGAAGTTCTCTTCGAAAGCGAGTGCCGCGCAAGACAAGGAGAATGAAGAAGTAGAGTCATCGCCCGCCGTTGCCGCAGCCTCCGCCTCCCCAGCCTCCAATGGCATCGCCACCCCCACTGTCAACGGGGACGTCAAGATGGAGGAAGGAACGCCTGTGAAGAAAGCAGAGACACCCGAGCCGACCGATGTCACGATCGAGCCTGCTTCTGCGAGCTCTTCCAAGAAACGCGCCGCTTCTGCGGAGCCAAGCGAGCAGGACGAGGACGATGATGAGCCACCAACCAAGAAACAGCGGGGCCGCGGCCCCAAGAAGGGTGTTGCTGTGAAGAAGACGAGCAAGAAGTCGGATATCAAGCCTACACCAGTCAAGGAAGAGGACGATGATGATATGGATGTTGATGATTCTCCTGAGCCGTTGACGAAGGCTACAAAGGCTGGATCACCAGTCGTCAAGCAAGAGCCTCCCGCTAAAGTGAACAAGGCCGCTGCGAAATCACCAAAGCCAACCAAGTCTTCGAAGGACATCGAACATGCTGCTGCTCGGGAGGTGGAAGAGGTGAAAGCAAAGAACAAGTCGGACACAGATGCCGAGATCTCAGAGGAGGACGAGGAAGACGAAACGCCCGAGATCGCAGCCAAAGCACGCGAAAAGGTGCAAACCACACTCAAGTCGGCCGGAAAAGAGCCATATCCCGACTGGAAAGCTGGTGAGCCCGTGCCGTACGCAGCGCTCTGCACGACCTTTTCCAAGATCGAACTCACGACCAAACGATTGGAAATCCTGGCGCACTGCTCGCTCTTCCTGCGCCAAGTCCTTCGCCTCACCCCGAACGATCTACTTCCCACGGTGCTGCTCATGATCGGCAAGCTGGCAGCAGACTATGCCGGTGTCGAATTGGGAATCGGCGAATCGCTAATCATGAAGGCGATTGGCGAGACTACTGGCCGCAACCTGAAGATTATCAAGGACGATCAAAACAAGATTGGCGACCTTGGACTTGTCGCTGCGAAGAGCAGGTCGAATCAGCCCACCATGTTCAAGCCGAAGCCCTTGACCGTGCGTGGCGTGCATGAAGGGCTGATGAAGATTGCCACGACAGAAGGTCAGGGCGCCCAGGGCCGGAAAGTTGATGGCATCAAGAAGTTGCTCTCTGCTGCCGACACCAATCTGGCCAAGGGACAAACCGTTGACATCACCCAAGACAAAGGTGGTCCGAGTGAAGCCAAGTTCATCATTCGTGCTCTGGAAGGGAAAATGAGACTTGGTCTCGCCGACAAGAACCTTCAGGTTGCGCTTGCGCATGCGATGGTCGCCCATGCAGTGGCCGAGGACGGGAAGAAGGTGCCCAGCGAAGCGGAGCTCAAAAAGGGCGAAGAGGTCTTCAAGGCGGTGTACAACGAGCTGCCGAGCTACGAGGTTATCGTTCCCGCTTTGTTGAAGGACGGCATTTGGAAACTGCGCGAGGCGTGCAAGCTGCAGCCCGGCGTTCCGCTCAAACCCATGCTCGCCAAACCCACAAAGTCGATTGGTGAGGTGCTGGACCGATTCGAGGGCAAGGACTTCACGTGTGAGTACAAGTACGATGGCGAGCGCGCACAGATCCACTTCGTCGCCCACGAATCCGACCAGGATTTTGCTACCACCGTAGTGCCATCCGCTGGAAAGTCGGAGCGCGGCGTGTCCAACATCTTCAGCCGCAACAGCGAAGACCTGAGCAAGAAATACCCCGACATCCTCGCCAAATTGCCTACGTGGGTAAAGCAAGGCACGAAGAGCTTTGTTCTTGACTGCGAGACTGTTGCGTGGGATACTGAAAAGAAGCATGTTCTGCCTTTCCAACAACTCATGACGCGCAAGAGGAAAGACGTGAGCGAGGAGAACATCAAAGTCAAAGTGTGTGTCTTCGCGTTCGATCTGCTCTTCCTCAACGGCGAAGCACTCGTCAACAAGTCTCTTCGCGAGCGCCGCGATCATATGTACGACGCTTTCCAGGAGGTGGAGGGCGAATTCTCCTTTGCAAAATACGGCAACTCTCGCGAGATTGAAGAGATTGAGATCTTGCTCGAAGACTCGATCAAGGCGTCTTGTGAAGGATTGATGGTCAAGATGCTAGACGGCGTCGAGTCGCACTACGAGCCCTCTCGCCGCTCTCAAAACTGGCTGAAGATCAAAAAGGACTACCTCTCTGGCGCCGGCGACTCTCTTGATCTCGTGGTGCTAGGCGCATACTACGGCAAAGGCAAGAGAACATCGGTCTACGGCGCCTTCCATCTCGCCTGCTACAATCAGAGTTCCGAGATGTACGAAACAGTGTGCAACATCGGGACCGGCTTCTCGGAGGCCCTGCTCGCAGAGCTGCACGAAGCGCTCTCACCCCTCGTCATCGACCGCGCGAAGCCCTTCTACGATCACTCGACAGGCAAGAACGATCAGCCGGATGTGTGGTTCGAGCCGCGTTTTGTGTGGGAGGTCAAGACGGCGGACCTGACGTTGAGTCCGCGCTACCGTGCTGCGGCGTCGGAATTCGGAGGCGACGGCGTGCACAAGGGCGTCAGTCTGCGTTTTCCGCGCTTCATTCGTGTGCGCGATGACAAGAAGCCGGATGCAGCGACGAGTAGTCGGCAGGTGGCGGAGATGTATCGCAAGCAGGAGCATGTGGGCAAGGATAAGAAGCCGGCGGTGGATGATGATTTCGAGTATTAGACGTGGCTGGACGAGTTGTGGTCGATCACGACATGGGGTCCTGACATGATGTCGCAAGGCTTTGTAGACTCTCTAGCTTCGGATTCGGCGGTGAGCGGCGCTGAAATTTGCTAAGCATGACTCCAATCTCACCAACGAGTAACTACATTGATCGACCATAGATCAGTTAAAAGCTCGGATCAGCCATTGAAATAACCTACAATGCTATCTCATCCTCCATTGAATATACCGTGATCCAAGTACACCATGGCGACCAAATCGCCCTACCACATCATCACCATCCCACCGCTTCAGTGCTCCCTATCAAACCCAGACGCAACCGCCACCACCATCGCAGAGAAGTTCCGAACACTCCGACTCCACTCCCTCCAAGTGAACCCGGAAGCCTTCGCCGCCAAATACGAAGAAGAAGTACAAAAGCCCCTAAGCCAGTCGCTCGAGCGCATCCTCAACCCCAAGGCAATCCACTTCGTCGCCCTCCAGACGCCCTCAGACATCGACCCCGCCACGATAGAAAAGGATGCCGTCACTCGCCTCGTGCACGACCACTGGCTCGGCATGATTGTCCTGCTCGGTCCGCAGGAGGACAAGGGCGAGAATCCCCGCGACTTTACGAGTAATCCCTTCCCTGCTTTCACTGCTGGTGGTCAGCTCGTTGAACCGGATGCGCTACTCTACCGTATTAATGGGACGTTCACGGCGCCTGAGGCACGCGGGTTGGGGCTTGGGTTGAAGCTTATGCAGGCTGCACTGGGCGCTGCGGTGCAGGGAGGACAGCAGTTTGGTGCTGCTGTGCGGGTTGGGTTGGCTGTTTTTGCGCATAATGTTGCGGCTACGAAGTTGTATGAGAAGGCTGGGTTTAAGATTGTGGAGGATAGGGAGTCGAGGTCGCAACCTTGGACGAGGGCGTTGGTGATGGACAATGTGTTGGTTCCGAGGAAGTTGGTGATGGAGAATGTGCTGGTGAAGAAGACGTGAGGAGTGTCTAGGATTGATACGTATAGATCGAGGGATTATATCGCCTGAGATACAACTGATTGATGGTCACCACGTTCAGAGCCTTTCATCCAGAGGACCTGTAGAAGCATGCGATGCGATGCCCTGACATGCCATAATCAACTTGGATCCAAGGGTTGTTAGGGTTAGGGCCGACCGGCCTCGATCTTGAGGGTTTGGCGGGAGGCGACTGATGAGTCAGCCGGGGTTTAGCGCACACCAAATTCTGTCATTTCAGTTCTTGCCGAACGCCCCTCGCATCAACTCCTTCCTCCCTCATCATCAAACTACACAAAACCTACGCAAAGCCGTACCATTAGCCGTCGCAAGACAACTACTGGAAGACCGAAGCCAACATGTCGAAAATCACGGTCGCTGGTGTGCGTACGAACGTGCAGGAGCTGCTCAAGCACTCCAATGAAGAGAAGAAGCGCAACTTCCTCGAGACCGTCGAGCTGCAGATCGGCCTGAAGAACTACGATCCCCAGCGTGACAAGCGTTTCTCCGGCACCGTCAAGCTGCCCCGTGTTCCCCGCCCGAACATGGCCGTGTGCATCCTCGGAGACCAGCACGACATTGATCGCGCCAAGCACATTGGTGTCGACGCCATGTCTTCCGACGATCTCAAGAAGCTGAACAAGAACAAGAAGTTGATCAAGAAGCTGGCGAGGAAGTACGATGCGTTTGTCGCCTCCGACTCCCTCATCAAGCAGATCCCGCGTCTCTTGGGTCCGGGTCTCTCGAAGGGTATGCATCACCGTGACACTCTGCTGCTCAATCTCCGCAAGACTGACACATCCCACAGCCGGCAAGTTCCCCACCCCCGTCTCGCACGCCGAAGACCTCAACGCCAAGATCACCGAAGTCAAGTCGACGATCAAGTTCCAGCTGAAGAAGGTGCTCTGCATGGGTGTTGCCGTCGGCAACGTGGACATGGAGGAGGACGAGCTGATTGCGAACGTGATGCTCGCCATCAACTACCTCGTCTCGCTGTTGAAGAAGGGCTGGCAGAACGTGGGTAGCTTGACCCTCAAGGCTACCATGTCGCCTCCCAAGCGTCTCTACTAGACAACTCCTTGTGGATGGGCTGCTACGAGCGCGTGGCTATTCGTTGTGGTATTAGCTAGATCCTTTCGCCTTGAATGGTAGAGAGGAGCAATAGAGCCTCGAGTCATCCAACCATTCTCTTCGTTTCGAGTTGGCGGTGGTGTTTCCTGCCAGCCTTCAAACTGTAGACCGTCTTTCAAGACGTAACTCTTGCATGTCCCAAATTACCTGCCCTCACGTCGACTAGGCACCATGTATTTCTAATCTGCCTCGCGGCCTTTCCAGGTGCATCGTTGATTTTCCGCTCACCATTCACCTTCCCTCGTTCAATCCCATCGATTTCAGCACCAGAATTAGCTTGAACCTTAATACCAACAGCCGACTCGGGATTCTCAGGTCCAAGCAAGCACACTCCTCTTACCTCCCACCTCACCACTTCACCGCGCACCACCCTTTTGGAAGGATCTTACACCGCAAGACCCGTCGACAAACACGTTCACCTATCCCGTAGCTCGCCACCCACCTCTACTCCACAGGTGCGGCGGGCGACTGCATGCGCGCGACCCACGTGAACATGCAGCACAGCTTCCCGCACCAAAACCCCTACCAACCCGACTGGCAACACCACCCGCACCCCCAATCCCATCACCAATATGCCCAGAACCAAGCGGCCGCCGCCGCGAACGCCGCCGCACACCAACAGCAGCATCAGCAACAGCACTACGGCCGACTAGCGCCGAACGGCAACTCGAACGGTTCGGCGAATATGAATCAGGCTTCAGGAGGGGGACGCGAGATTGATCATGGTGGAGGGGGAGGAGGCGGCGGTGCAGTGGGCAGCATTTCGAATTTCGACCAGCAGATGAATGAGGAGAATCGCAAGGTGCTGGAGTGGGTTGCGCAGGTGCTTAATCCGGGCACGAGGGAGGCGGCGTTGTTGGAGTTGAGTAAGAAGCGGGAGCAAGTCGCTGAGCTGGCGCTCATTTTGTGGCATTCTTTCGGTGAGTCGAAGACGGTGTGCATGGGGTTGAGGGTGTGAGATGCTAATGGGTTGGTGTGCGAACTTAGGCGTCATGACGTCTCTGCTGCAGGAGATCATTTCGGTCTACCCGCTGCTGAACCCTTCGCAGTTGACTGCTGCTGCTTCTAACCGCGTGTGCAATGCTCTTGCGCTGTTGCAGTGCGTCGCTTCGCATCAAGATACCCGGCCGCTGTTCCTTGGAGGTATGTCTGCGAGCAGCTTGTGTCAAATCCGAACTGCGCATTGACAAACGACAGCACACATCCCCCTCTTCCTCTACCCATTCCTCAACACCACCTCAAAATCCCGCCCCTTCGAATACCTCCGCCTCACCTCTCTCGGCGTTATCGGCGCGCTGGTCAAAAACGACAGCTCGGAGGTGATCAACTTCCTCCTCACGACCGAAATCATCCCGCTGTGCCTCCGCATCATGGAAACAGGCTCGGAGCTCAGCAAGACCGTGGCCATCTTCATTGTGCAAAAGATCCTCCTCGACGACATGGGGCTGCAATACATCTGCCAGACGTACGAGCGCTTCTACGCCGTAGGCACCGTGCTGTCGAATATGGTGACGCAGCTGGTGGACCAGCAGACGGTGCGACTGCTCAAGCACGTTGTGCGGTGCTTCTTGCGGTAGGTTCTTTCAAAGCCACTCACGGCAGTCAACAAGATACTAACATTTACATCTGCACAGGCTGTCAGATAACGCCCGCGCCCGTGAAGCTCTTCGCCAATGCTTGCCAGAGCCCTTGCGCGACGCTACCTTCTCCCCGGTCCTACGAGACGACGCGGCAACCAAGCGGTGCCTGGCGCAGCTCCTACTCGCCTTGTCGGATCAGGCGGAGCCGAACCCGACGACTTCGTACGGCCATCCACAGCAAGGTCTGTTGCCGTAGAACAACAATACGTCAATTCTTCACCAGCCAAGTTACGATCTTCTGCGTTTACTGTGTACGTTGAGAGGGCGCACTTCACGTGGGTTTTTGGGCTTTCAGGCGGCTCCTCACTGGAACACCGGGTGAGGGCCTCAGCATAGCGATTGGCGACGAACGGCGGGCATTCTTTGATCTCTCTACGCCTAGGGATCACACGAAGTTACTCTTCCCCACTTTCCAGTTGGGCTTTTTGCGTGGTTGTGGATGATTTACTTGGGCATGCGGAGGGGGCGTTTCATTGGCGAAGGAGAAATATATGTAGTGATGAGTGGGATTACGGCACGGAAGGCGATTGTACTTTGGGCATAGACATTTTCGCGTTCGATGGGGAGTTTTCGCGCATGTAGTTGTACAAAAGTGCTTCACTGTTTCGATTGACGGCACGCTTCCAAATAAGCGACGGTCACGTGCTGACCCTGAGTGGGCTTGGCGGGCTTGCGAAGACGTTGGAAATCTTAGCACGCTTCCGCTGCCGCTTCCACTACCACCACACACATCCCCTCCCTCTCCACCGACCACTCCACGCAACTACCACTCCTCCGTTCTATTTCTTGCCGATCCCGGTCGACCGTGTCAATTTAAGGGTGAGTGTTCTTTGTGTTTGCTGCGCCCGGCCCTCCGCCCTTCGGCGCGCCCCCGGTCCACAGGAATAGGGAGTTGTTGGGGGGCAAGAATTTGTGGAATCACCGCCTCCCGCCTGCTGCATCGTGCCACCTGGTCGTTATCACCAGGCAGCTGCATTGCTCCCTACATCTCGCGCCAGCACGCACCTGCCTCCGGAGCGATGGACTTCTTGTGCTAACGCGACCTTCTCTTCCCCAGACACAAAGGACCGATTTTCATCCCTCACACCACCCCTTCCACACCCCTCAACGAACACCCCCCCTTCCACACACCGCCAAGATGGGTCTCACATTTTCCAAGCTCTTCGATCGCCTGTGGGGCAAGAAGGAGATGCGCATTTTGATGGTTGGTCTTGATGCCGCCGGAAAGACGACCATTCTGTACAAGTTGAAGCTCGGCGAGATCGTCACCACCATCCCCACCATCGGTACGTTCCCGCCCTTGTTCATCTCCTCGAAACCCGCACCACACAATACTAATACGCGTGCAGGCTTCAACGTCGAAACCGTCGAGTACAAGAACATCCAATTCACCGTCTGGGATGTGGGTGGGCAGGACAAGATCCGGCCGCTGTGGAGGCATTACTTCCAGAACACGCAGGGCATCATCTTCGTCGTCGACAGCAACGATCGCGACCGTGTCGTCGAGGCGCGCGAGGAGCTGCAGCGCATGCTGAACGAGGATGAGCTGAGGGACGCGTTGCTGCTCGTCTTCGCCAACAAGCAGGATTTGCCCAACGCCATGAACGCCGCCGAGATCACCGACAAGCTGGGCTTGCATAGTTTGAGGCAGCGTGCTTGGGTATGTCTTGCACTTTCCTCCATCCCGAAGACGCTTCACTAATCCTCTCGCCCAACAGTACATCCAATCCACCTGCGCCACCTCCGGCGACGGTCTCTACGAAGGTCTCGAATGGCTCAGCAACTCCCTGCGCAAGGCCGGCCATAACTAGGCCCCGCCTCCGCGCGCAAGGCAAGGCAACACGCCAATGCACGGATGACATGCTAGCAACGCGTTTGAAATGGAACAGAGCAAAAAAAATCGATCCGATGCTAGATAACACATCTCTCGTGCGCTTCATCACACACCAGGTCCTCCTCCCCCGACAAGAAATGATGCATCGTAGAGATGAATGAGAAATTCACACCCATGGTTGTCTTTGTGCTTTTTGCTTTTGCTGTTTTGGTTTTTGGTATGAGCTTTTTACGCTTGACGTCGAAGCGTGACAAGATGGCGGGCGGGCTGGCAAGGCCGATGGCATTGAGGTATGCGGGATTCGGGAGGGAAAAGTTGAAATGGCTACAGCGATGTAACTCTAGGCTTTTTTCTTCTTCCGACTCGATATCTTAGCTTTGGCTACTCTTGTGTCGCTGAGTTGATCCTTTGCCTTTCCTTTTGTGCTGAGAATCTTGAACAATTAAATCGTGCGGTGCGGATCTGGGGCAGGACAAAGGGTGAGTCGATGGGAAACAAGTCCATTCTGTTTTGTGATTTGCTCATGTCTTGACGCAATGCCCCTCAAGCAAACCCATGCTATGCACGCGATGTCCCGTTTCCGTCATAACGCCACATGAGCGAAAGACAGCCACTGTAAAACACTTCAATCCGACCACGCAGCCGCGGTGCCCGCATTCCCAACTCCCGCCCCAGAAGTCGGCCCAACCACCGTCGACGCCCCACGCTCAGGAACACTCGTCGGCGACGCCACCGAGCCCCCCTCCTCCTCATACTTGGGCAACACGCCCTCTTTAATCCACAAATCGACGAGCGGCGCCATGGGCTCGATGTCCTTCTCGCCGAGCAAGCGGTACGCCCGCCCGACATTCATAAAGTGCACAAAGCACGTGTTCAGCTCGCGGTGCCCGCCGAGCTCCCAGAAGACGAGCCAGTGCTGCCAGTACAGGTGGGCGTAGCAGCGCAGCATCTGCTTGTACATATTCTTCACTTCGCTCTCGAAGCGCTGCGGGAAGCCGGAGGTGCGGCCGAGGTAGTGGGCGGGGTCGGCTTTGACGTCGCTTGCGCGCGGGAGGGGCGGGGCGGTGGTGAAGTTGTCGGTGGGGAAGAGGGCTTGGTCTTGCACTTTGCCGCTTACCCAGGTTTGGATGTGTTTGATGTAGGTTGGGGCGGGGAGGTTGATGGGGTTGCCTTTGGTGTCGATCCAGGTGTAGGTGGTGCTGTGGATGAGGAGTCAGTGGATGTGTTGGGCCTTCACGAGCGGTGCTTGAACTTACGGGCCTGCGGACATGCTTGGGCAGCTGTGTTCGTTGCAGGTAGGTCGGCCGGTGGTGCGGTCTTTCTCTTGTACGCACCGCAGCATTCCGCTGAGCAGTCGATTTTGTTCCACGACTGGATGTGTGTGTCAGCATATTTCATCGTGGACTTGCGTGAAGTTTACATACTCTGATGTGCGAGCCACTCTCCCTCCTCCACGAGATGTGGCTTGGCAGCGAGGGTCATGAAGTTTCCTTTGACGATGAAGCCGGCATACTCGCCGCGGAAGAAGAGCGGCATCTTGTTCTGCGCGAGGTTGGCCTGGTGGGCGTCGGCATTGGCCGTCATGGTTGTTGAAAGGGATGGGGAGGGCGGGATTTGTGGTAGGCCTGGCGGGTATAGTGAGGTTGGGCTGGGGTTTGACGACCCGTTGTTCGGTTGATTTTGCGGCTGATTTGATGGACTGGGATTGTTTGAACGTCTTGCTCCGCCAAAGGCTCGCCTGGGCAGATGGGTTAGCTTGAAGGTGCTTGGGACTCGGGAAAAGTCTCGAGGAATCTAGTAGCAGTCGAGTCCGACTCCTGAAGACGCAAAGAAGGGAACCAGTTGCGGCGTTCATTCCGCGCCAGTGATCTGTTTCCGTGGTGCAGTGTGACCAGTTATTCCAGAAAGGCGCTGATTGAAGTGAGTCGAAACCGACACGATTGCAGCCAAGCATGTGCTCCAACATGTGACGGAATATAGCCGCCATTGACTGCCGTCTTGCTGACGTTCTGTGGTCCAGTCGGGGGCAATATGGAGCCAACAAATTTCGAGGACAGTAATCGGAGCTCCTCCACGATGCAGCGTCCAATTGATACGGCGCCTGCATCCCCTGCCAATCTCACACCCGAAACAAGCTCGCTCTGAATCCCCGGATGCTCCCACGATGGGCAATGTGATAGAATGAAAGAATGCAACACTCACAAATTGTTCATTGTCTGATTCATCCAGGACGCCATGGTGATGGAGTCGGCTTCGACGCTCCTCTTCGTATCGCTCGGCCGCAGCTGCAGGAATGAAAATCGAATAAATCGGTGGAAGTCGGTGACAGGAGGTTGAAACCCCAACTTCACTTGCCAGACCAGGGCCTACGGTGCGGATGCGCTAAGGAACGGCCCGGAAGACTAACCTTAAATTGTCAACCTCTCCGTCTGCAAATTGGTGAAGTACAACATTCACATTGCTACGCGCTTTGCGTGAATACAATCCCGGATACTCAATGGTTGCGCGACAACAAAAGCTTCCAGACCTCTACCAACCCTCCAGCGACTCACGCGCATCTGCCTAAGCATCCGAACCGCGCGAGTCTCCTGCATCAAACGCTCGCGACTCCAACATGGCTTCAGCTGCTGCTGTTGCCGCCAATGAAGCCAGATCGCCGCTGGGAAATGACATAGGCGAGGACAATGGCTACGTCGGAGAGGTCACGAGTGGCATATACTCGAAACAGGAGGGACTACCCGACGTCGATGGTGGGCTAGAGGAAGATGAAGACGAGGATGATCTCCCCACCAATCCTTTGAAGTATTCGAGGAATCGAGCTTCCAATGGCGATGCGGGAGAAGATGAAGATGAGCCGGATCTTTTTGGTGATGAGGAGGAAGAAGAGCAGACAAAGTAGGCATCCGCGCTCCTCTGTCACGAGGTGTGAGGCTAACCGTTTCCTAGGGTGCGGCAGCTGGATGACGAAGAGCTTGATTCGGGCGACGACCAGGACCGGCTGGATCGAATAGGTGATGAGCCCGAGGAAGAGCAGGAAGTCATGACTATGGAAAAGGCGGTGATGGACTTGGAGATTCCAAGACAGCCTGGTCCGGAGCCCAGCGATAGAGAGGTGTGTATTTTCGCTGGAACACGAACCATTCACCACCACTGACACCGTCCAGCTGTACCTTTTCAAGGTCCCGGACTTCATGGCGATCGAACCGCAGGCGTGGGATCACTTGACTTTCCAACCACCCAAAACCGATCACCACTCCAGATTGGCGGCCTCTGCAACTTTTTCTCCTTACAACACTGCCCTGACAACTATCCGATGGCGACACTCACCCTCTAAGCCCTCGCAATTACAATCAAACGCCAGGATCAACCGGTGGTCAGACGGCTCACTGACACTTCAACTCGCCTCCGACCCGACCGTCCAATACGAAATAGATGGCAATTTCCTTGCACCCCCTCAACGGAATCCAGTCAAACCCACACCAACATCCATCCAAACGAGAAATCAAAAGGGCGGCAGACAAGGGGTGGACACTACCGAAAAGTACGACCAACGTCACGATGCCTTTACCTACCTCCTCCGCCCCAACGAGGAATCGAGTACGCTTATCGTCACGAACAAATTTACCACAAACCTCACGGTCAGACAATCCTCGAATGTGGAAGGCGAGGCCATCGAGCGCCTGCAAGCCTCGCTTGCCGCAGCGGCCAATGCATCCAAAGTCAACGGCGCAAGCGGTTCGAACCTCCTCGTGAACATTGACGAGGATCCCGAGCAAGCCAAGATCCAAGCTCTAGCCGCAGTCAAAGAACAGGAGAAGGCGAGTAAACGACGACTGGCAGCGAGCGAGCGCGAAGCTGTCAAACTCACTAGTCGCTTGCAAGGTCGCGGCGGTGGCAGGCATATGGGGCTGAACGTGGGGATGCTCGAGGATGACGAGCTTGGAGGTGAGGGGCAACGCGGGCGCCCGAGTCCCAACAAAGCCCGCGCCAAGCCTCGCCGGAGACGCAATAGCGAGTACAGCGAGGACGAAGACTTTGGACGCAAGCGCTTCTCGCGCGAGGACGAGTACGATGAGGAGGATGACTTTGTGGCGCCGAGTGATGAGGAGGAGGTGGTGGAGGACGATGACGATTCGAATGACGGGATTGTCGAGGAGGACTATGAGAAGACGAGGAAAAGTGGAAAGCAGAAGTCACCAAAGAGAGACCGGGAAGAGGAAGAAGAGCAGGCGGGGGATGATGAGGCTGACGCACCAGGGGAAGACGATGAGGCAGAGGTGCAGCATGTGCGGACGAAGCGACGTCGGGTGGTGGATGATGAGGACGAGGACGATGAGTGATCCGTCGAACTCTTTGCTAGCGGCTTTCATTGATTACGAGCGTTGCAACCCTGCCAGTCGTACGTACGAGGCTGGAGGAAGTTGGATTTCCAATCCAAGCTTAAAATCGGTCCGATTGAGGATCTTGTGCCCAGCAGAACACGACTTCACTTTGCCCAGCGCTGTGGAAGGAAGTTGCCCATGCTGTTCGTCGCCCTGTTCTTCGAGAGCATCTGCTTCCCCACCATTGTCGCTTTGGGCATGCGCGGCCTCGGCAAGCACAGCAAAAGCGGCTCCGGCTTGATCGTTGCGGGTGTCAGTGGCGGGGCCGTTGTGCCGCCTCTTCTTGGAGTCACAGCGGACATGCGAAGTACCGCTTTTGCTATGGTGGTACCGCTGGTAAGTGATTGGCGGAACGTGGTGCTTTTGTGTTGCTGTGACGTGCTGACTTGGAGGCAGTGTTTCTTCCTCTCGGCGTGGACCTACCCTCTTGCCGTCAACTTCATCCCGCGTACCGCGTCCCGGCCGACAAGTTCTCGACGACTGAAGTCGGCATCCAGCCCGTTGCCCACTCCGAAAGCAAGGAAGTCGGTAGCTCTGCAAATGATGGGTCGGGCAGCGACGTGGAGAAGGGCGAGACTGTCAGGGTGGAAGACACTACAGCGGGGAGCCATCGATCACAAAGACTGGACTCGAGGCTTATCCCTAGGTTATGGTCACTCCAACCACATGCATAGCCGCTAGTACCCAAGTTACTCTCGCAGACGTCGATCCCATCACATCCCTTAAACCGCCGCATCCCTCTTCGCAAACTCCCTCGCCAACGCCTCAATACTCTGCACCACGCGCGCAAACTCCTCCCTCTGCTCCCCCTCCACACCCTCCGCACCCTCCGCACCCCCCTCCTCAGCATTCGCCCACTGGATGTCAAACGTCGTCAATTCCAGCCTGGCATCCTCGCCGAACACATCTTTCGTTTCGTGGCTGGGGAAGCCGCGCACGGCGGACACGAGGGACATCAATTCTTCCACATCGTCTTTGGGCACATCGCCTGCTTTTTCGTTGGTTGCGGTGCCGGAGGTGTAGTTTGTTCGCCGCACGACGGCGGGGCGGTTGGGTTGGCCGAGGATTTCGATGTGCGATTCCGGGGGGCCTGGAGATTGTAAGAGGGATGGTTGGTGGGTTTGGGGATTGATTGCTTTACCTGAGAAGGGACGGATCAAGGTGATGTTGAATTCGCCCGAGGGCGGTGGTGCTACCATGCGAGGCTGCGGGGAGAGGGCACGTCAGCCTTGTTGTCTCAGTGTGTCATTAAATAGTGCGGTCGTACCATCTTATCGTATTGTGTCGTTTGAAAGAAGTTTTGAGGAGGGGTTTGGATCACGAGAGATGGAAGAAAAGAAAGAAAGAAAGAGATTGAGAGGTCGTGTGCGGGTGAGAGAGCTCTTTTACTGCAGGAACGGAAGCCAGCTGCTGATGTCACTGTTGCGTTGCTCCCTGCAGCTCTGCACTTCCGCGTTCCGTTTCGGGAGCTCTGGAACGTCCCCTGATGATGAACCGCTAGGAAGATGTGGAGAGCATGCCCTGGTCGACATCCCAATCGGCGCCGCTGTCCGCCAGAGATTCAATACTCTTCACAATCTCCGCAAACTCCTCCTTCTGCTCCTCGCTCGCAGGCCCCTTCGCTCGCCGCCGTGGCATTCAACCACTGAAACGTCGGAGAAGTAATCTCCAACTTCGCATCCTTGCCGTAAATGTCTTCATTCTCGTGGCCAGGGAAGATGTCTAGCTGGGCGAGCATCGCGAACAGAAAGTCGATGTCCCGACTATCGCAGGGGAAGGGTTTGTTAGCTGGGCGCGACGCGAAGACTGGAGAGCAGGGAACTTCGGAGGAGCGCACTCATCTTGTATGACGCCGCGGACATTGCCCTTTTGGACGATCGTGACCCTGTCCACGCCGCCCTCCTCTTCGCCCATGAGAGTGACTTGGTCTTCCGAGCCTCCTGGTGTGGACGGCGGGTGAGTGAGGGGAATTTCATGAGCTACCTAGAGGCACACCACGTATTTGAAAACGGCCGAGTCAGGATGATTCTATATTTACCCGTGATGGATGCCATCTTTTGTCGTGTTTCCCTGGGAGAGATTTGATGAATGTAGCAAGGTGAAGTCTGTTATGGATTGAAGACGGTGACTGGAAATGCTCAGAATGCATCTTCCTGTCCTCTGATATAGCAACAATCGAACACAACGGCTGATGTCATGTTGCGTTTCTCATACATCTGTTGGGCGTACTAAACCCCCCGATTGACATCCACCTGTCCATCAATTGGATGGCGGGGAGTGGACGGTGATGCGGAGGTGCGGATTGCCTGTGGACCACTCCACTCTCGCACTTCGGCTGTGTCGAGGGCACTCCACTCGCGTACATATCTCGCCAGAACCACCATGACGTGTGGATCGAGACACCCGCCACTTTCGGACTTCATACATTCCACATGGAGGAGAAGATCGATTCGCGTGTACCAAATCCGTCTGTCACCTCTAATGCTGCCGCACGACCCCCGCCTGCCCGGCCTGCGCACTAATCCGCTTCTTGTAATCCTTCACCGTTCCATCGAAATGCTCAATCGTTCCCTTATCGCAAATCCACAAACTCGTGCACACATTCTCCAACATGGTAACGTCGTGGCTAACCATCAACACGCCGCCCTGAAACTGACGCAGCGCCGTGCTCAGCGCATCCATCGCCTCGATATCGAGGTGATTGGAGGGTTCGTCGAGCACGAGGATGTGCGGGTTGAGCAGGCCGAGGCAGGCGAAGGCGACGCGGGACTTCTGTCCTCCGGAGAGGAGCTCCATTTTTTGGAGACCCGTCATGCCTGTTATGCCGAAGGCGCCGAGGTGGCGGCGGTACTCTTCGTCTGATTTTCCGGGGTAGCGGGAGGCCATGAAGGAGACGGCGGAGGTGTTCATGTCGAGGGCGTCGACGTGGTGTTGGGCGAAGAAGGCGAGGCGGAGGCGCGGGTTGGAGGAGATGAGGCCGGAGGTGGGCGATAGAGCGCCGATGAGGAGTTTCAGGGCGGTGGTTTTGCCGGCGCCGTTGGGCCCGACGATTCCAATCCGGGAGTCGAGTTGCACGTCGAGGTCGACGTTCTTAAGGAGCGGGGCGTCCTTGGTGTACCCGAAGCTGACGTTTGACATCTGGATGATGGGCGGGGAGAGCTTCTCCACGTCGGGGAATTTGAAGTGCACAATGTACTCGCTCTCCGGCGCTTCAAGAATGGGCATCTTCTCCAGCTTCTTGATGCGAGACTGTGCCTCCGACGACTTGGCGGCGTTGTAGCGGAACTTGTCGATGAAGGCTTGCAGATGCGCGCGCGCCGCCATCTGGTTCTCGTACTCGCGCTTCGCCGTCTTGCGTCGTTCTTCCTTCGTCGCGTAGAAGGAGGTGAAGTTTGCACCCTTGTAGTAATCGAGGCGCTCGGAGTGCTGGTGAATGATGTCGGTGGCGACTTCGTCGAGGAACGCACGGTCGTGGGAGACGACGAGGACTGTGCTGGGATAGGTTTGAAGGTAATCGGAAAGGAAGGTGATGGAGGGGACGTCCAACATGTTTGACGGTTCGTCGAGGAGTAGCAAATCCGGCTCACAGAATAGGGCTCGCGCAAGGGCGAGACGCATACGCCAACCTCCAGAGAAAGTCTTGGTGGCGAATTGCTGACGCTCGTGGGAGAAACCGAGACCGGCCAAAATGGAAGCCGCGCGAGATTCCGCTTTATCTGATTCCATCTCGGCCAGTTTGCCTTGGATGTCGCTGAGGGTGATGTCGAGACCTTCTCGTTGTTTGTCAAGCCTAGCGGCATCAACCGAAGTGTCTGCCAGAGACGCCCGCTCGGCCTCCAGCGCCGCCAGTTCTTTGGAAATCTTGTCTTGCTCCTTGAGCAGGTGTTTTCTCCAAACGTCTGCGTCCAAGACAGCCTGTAGAGCCGGCGTGTCATCTCCAGTAATCTCTTGCTCCACGTGTAAGATGGAGATGTGGGTGGGAATAGCCACCTCACGCCGGCTCAAGGCGCGAAGAAGCGTGGATTTACCGATACCGTTCTGTCCCACCAGACCATATCTTCGGCCGTAGGCGAGGGTCAACATCGTCTCGGAAAGGATACGCTTGCCACCAATCGCCACATCAATGCCGTCGACTTTGATGTCTTTGCTCTTCGACTGCGCATCACTTCCGAGCTGGAGAGGGTTGACGGCCATGAAGAACTCCTCGTACGACTGTTGCTCGTCCGGTTGATCAAGAAGTCGTGAAGCCTCGTACTCCACGGTCTTGAACTCCTTTCGATCCTGCTTGGCTCGGAGTTTCCTCTCCGCCTTTTCGAGCTTCTTCTTGTCTACGCGAGACTCGACCTTTCTCGTGTTGGCGGATTCCAGGTCGACGGCGTTGCCAGTTAAGCCAAGAGTAGAAGAGATGTTCCGTTGAGATCCCACCTGGATACTGTGGTCGAGGCGCCTGGCGGATGGGGCCTGTCGTTTGCTTTCGCCATCGGTTCCGGCTTCGTTGTGGAGACGCTCGATGAATTTGGATACGAGATTGTGTACGGAGACTTCGTTTTCATCCGACAAGTCGCCAGAGGCGGAGAGAAGCAACTGGGCAATGACGGACGCTGCATCTGCGAGCGGATCTCCATCGGCGCTGAACTGGCGGGCGGCATGATGTAGGTAGCCGGCGGCATAGTCCACGACCACCTCGTCGATGTTGGGGATCTGTGCTCGGATTTCGGCCTGCATTTTGATGGTTAATCCGTGGTGCAGGGTGTAGTTGATGGAGAGCAGAACAGAATTTTGAGATGGCAATTAAACTCCGGCCGCTGGGAAGGACGACTCTCCGGACTGGGATCAGTGAATCATCAAAACAGACTTAATTCGATAATGCGGCGGTGAGCATGGTTCCGACGACAGTTTTCACAGGACGTTCGCTCTAGATGGATTCTGACACCGCATGTACGATATCGGTTCGCCACGACTCACGTGCCCTGGGCTTGGCGTTCGATGGGTAAGAGCAGCCCACGACTAAAAACGCGAAAGGTACGCGGGGGCCAGCTCGTGGACGCCTTGCATGCCGCCGCGTCGCGTATTCGCCGCCGTGCAGGCAGAATTGCCGACGGTGTCAAAAGGTATCAAAATGCTGTGATGGCATCGATGCATGATCTTTTCTACTCCACTCCGCTCTGCTGCCCGCGCAGCTTCGACTGTCTCCGCTCCACGCCCTTGCCTCCCCCCGTACCTACTGCAGATGCAAAGACTGCAGTTGGTCTGCTGCTCCTCGGCGTATGCACCTAATCCATCGGCGTCAAAGCCTAAGTTGACGCGCCAAAGCGAAGTGGGGTGTGGTTGGCGGCCCCTGACTGGGGGAGCGTTTCTCTTCCCTGCTCTTCTTCATCATTTCCCGGTCCGGCAGCTCGCACAATTCATCCAGAAATAGATGAAGAAAGGGCAGACGAAGCGAGCGAATGTGTCCTTTTATCTATGACCGGGCGACGGAACCGCATCCAGACAGCTGTCGTGCGGCCATGCAGGTCAAGTCCCCGGGCAAGGACAGGCCTTGATCTCGTATGCATCGCGCCATTCAAGCGTGCCACGCGACTGCTCTCGTCAACGTCATCTTGGCTGGAGGTGCAATAACCGGATTCGATCCGACGATCTGGTATCCACCGCCCGTTTGTTTTGCAACCCCCGATGTGGTGCGGCTGGAAATCTTCGGCCAGATGCATACTCAAGCAGTTGAGCGACGAGAAGGGTGAAGTTGGTCAGACAATGGCACAGTCAGACACTGCTGATTCACGCTCGTACCCGATCCATTCGAGCCTCAGCTGCGCGTGAGCTGGATTGGCAAGCCACATGCAACCATGGGGAGATGTTTGGTAGAGTCTAGCAGGGTCATGTAACCAGGGTACAGGGATGGGAGGATTATGCAAGATGCACGTCTTCTGGTCAAAGTGGGCTTCCAACTGCCTGCTGACATCTGCCGCGGACAAACTACGTTCCATATGTGGGCAAGAGGGTGGGGCGTGAGCCCGCTCGGCCTGGCAATGCACGACAAAGGAATCCCCCTCGAACCAATGGCGCGTGTCGCTGCCTTGCTCTTTCACCCACGCTCGTCTCCCACGCTAGCCAGTATGGATCAGTAATAGAAGCCTGTCCACGGTTCGGCTGCAGGTGGAAATGCTCCGAAATCAGCGTGCCTCAGTCAGTGCGGGCTGATGAGGAGGAGGGAAGAAGTTTGGCGCCTGTGTCCTGGGTGGTGTGCGTGTCTGTGTGTTGCACGGTGGCACGACAGGCCTGGCGGGTAGGGAGGAGATCAGAGCGACAGTGCTGCATTGGGGGCGATGCGTATATGTTGTGGCCAGCGACTTTTTGCGTGCATTGTTCGCGGTGGGGGAGAGGGGAGGAAGCGCCGTGGATGGGCATTTTATCTCCGAGCTGGTGTTGACATTCTTTCCTCGTCTAATGTACTCCATCTCCTCAGCTTTTCCCAGCTCTCCTGCACCACACCCTTGGCCTACCTTGTACCTTACCTCACCCGTACCTCACCTTTCCCCCTCCTTTCTCTTCCCCTCCCCCCGCCCACTCTTCTCCACGCCGCGACACGCACGTTATTTCCCGGCCCATTGTGCTGGTAACACGCGGGAGCGGCTCGTGAAGCTTGTATCACTGCCTCGCTGCCAGTGCGAGTCACCGGCCGCCCGACTCTCCCCACCCATGATGCTGATGACCGACACGACCCTTCTCACGGTTCATGACTCTCTCTTGTCTCTAGGTTGCTGTTGTCGGAGGGCGAGCGGGGCGGGAATAGCATGAAAACAGTCTCCACCGTAGGTCACGCCCTCCCATCGTTCCTTCCCTCCCGCGCCGCCCCCAAACACCATCACCACCACCACCACCTCCCCACTGCGCGGTGCTGCGGACTGACTGGCGTCGCAGTTGTGTGCGTCTGGTGTTGGCCTTGGTCTGGCGCCTGTTGGCCTTGCACTGGTTCGCGCAGACGCTCCATCCAACACCACTCTTCGAACTTCCTCCGCCGCGTCGGACGTGGAGATGACCGCGATCGCCTCCTCCTACCCACACTTCACCCACGGCCTACCATTGTCGGTGCCCAAGCGGCCATCTACCCGTTCCGTGAGTGAGGGTCAGACGTGGAATGAGAAGGCGCGGTCGGCGCGGGCGGTAGTGGGGCAAAAAAGGACACTCACGCCCAGTGCGAGTTTCAGCGTGGGAGCAGGGGAGAGGACAGAAGAGCGAGATCGAGAACGAGACGACACGGCCGGGGCAAGACTAGGCACGCCGACCTCGCGACCAACCTCCTGGTTCCGCCGTTTGTCCAGCAACATGTCGAACTCACGCGACTCCAGTCGTACACCCACCTCTCGCCCGGGCTCGGCGGCCGTCTCGCAGTCGAATGGCTCGGTAGCCTACTCCCACACCGGTTCCGCCTCGCCCATCTTCCCGGAAGCCACCAGCATGGCCTCCCCCATGCCGCCAAACAAGCTCGTCAAGCGCTCCTCTTCCATGCGTAGTACCAATGGCGTGCCCGTCTCTTCCCCAGGTTCGAGGCTACCTCTTCCGGTTCTCAAGCGGCCCGCCACCAGTCACCAGCGATCCGTCACCCTGCCGCAGGCCTCTTCTGCAACGCCGCAAAGTGATCGCATGTCCATCGATGAAGTTTCTGCCGACAATGGTGACTCTCGACCCCGCCACTACTTCACCCCCAAGAGCGCCCCTGCCGACTGGTCGTCTCTGCGCAATCGAAACCCTTCCAGCATCCCGACTCCCAGCAACATCAAACGAATATACCCCGATCGGAAGTATACGCCGATTCTTGTCGCTGCTAGATCAACTATCCAACCAGCTTCAGTCGAGGTGGATGACGGCGTAGGCTTGGACGAGGATGAGGTGGAAGTCGCCAACTCTCAGGCGCTACCGACATTTGGTTCGTCGCCACTGCCGTCCGATAGTCTTCAAGTTCAGGAAGGTCCAACGCCCCGCCGTTCGTTCTCGATCGGCGATCTCTTGTCCGGCGGACCACAACCGCTATGGAGGCGCCCTTCTCAAAAGAAGGCCAAAGGGCCTCCAAGCAAGCTCGTCCGTAGACGCAGCCAACGCATAGTCTCCGCACCGCAGCAATCAATGGGTAATACACTCGGCATTGGCTCTGGTGCTGACGGCGAGCGGCCTGCCAAACGACGCGATCTCACGAACCCTCTCTTGACCCCGCGTAGTATCTACTCGTCCTCCAGCAGCAATCCACCGGCAGAGAGGGATACACCGCAGGAGATTCAGTTGAACCTCTCTTCGAAGATATCACCACAGTCCATTGCCCGCAGCCCCAGTCAATCTCCGAGTGCTGATGCGGTCCTGTCTCATGCGTGGTCAACTCCTCCTTTGGATCAGAACAGACTACCTTCCGCCACCGGCGTCTCTGGAGCCACGAGACACTCGCAACTTTCCGCCACACATTCGGAAGCGGCATCCTTTGCGGACTCGGACAGCGAGTACAGGTCCATTGGGGACGCCAGCACAGATTACCAAAGCGACACCGTGTTCAACTCCTACAACACGCGAACCACGAGAAGCAGTTCTGGCAAACGAGGACCCCACATCGAGAAGATCTTTGAAGACTCGCCTCCCGCCTTGAACTCTGCTCGTAGCACCAAGCTCCAGGATCTCCTACAGGAGGGAGCGCTCGCGGAGAATGGAAGACGATACCGCCACAGCACCATCGAAGAGGAAGGGAGCATCACCAGTACTCCCGTGCGGTCTTTGCGGACTAACAGCGTAATGTCTACACCCTCTGCGCGACCCGGTGCTGTGCCTTTGGCATTTACGTCTTCCCCGCCAATGATGCAAATCATGCCCGATCCCGATGAGATCGATTGGGATGCCTCGGAGGATGAGTCCAATGCCGTCCAGGGTCACGAGGGGTTGGGCCTGCGCACGAATGCGCACGATGCATATCCCGTGAACCCACAATTCCGCTTTGGTGCCACTTTGCAAGAGCCGCATGGTCTCGACTCAACTCCGAACCGCTTGCTTGGCGCGCACGGAGAGAGAAGCAACCCCTTCGACTGGTCTGAGGTTCAGCCGAGTCCTAGTCACAACACTTCGCCCCAACGGCCCCGAACGGTGCACGGCAAGAAGAACGCCGAAGGCCGGGGAAGCAGAGCAGTCGGCCGACGCGCGCCGAGCGGCATCCACGCCCGAAGCCACAGCGTGCCCGTGGCGCCCGAAGCCAGCGGTCGTAGGACGAACGTGGCTGCGAATCGATTTGGGACGTGGGGCGTTGGGAGCAAAGTGGTGACGGAAGACTGGAACGATGATTTTACCTTTGATGATGCACCGCCGCCCGAAGCGCCGTCTGGGAGCAACGACGGGCGGGGAGAGGGAGAGCGGGACGACGACGCTGAGCGGAATATGTTTGTCCCGCGCTCGATTCGGGAGCAGCAAGAGAATGTTGTTGCTAATATCACCTTATTGCGGGAGTGGGGTCTACTGATTGAAGAGCTGAAAGTGTTGCGCATACGGGCCAGCGCGCTCGGCATGCTGGAGGGACGATATGCGCGCGAATGGGAGGAGGTGGACGCGATGATCGAGCTCGCGGATCAGGAGACGGAGGAGAAGACACTGGAGCCTCGCCGCTCGCCGCCTTCGTCGCCGAGTTTCGACCATTCCGCATTTGACGAGCAATTCGCCCCTGCGCCAACACGAGCTCCCGCTACGGCACCTCCACCGACCATCACAGCACCAGCAAGCGAAGCAACCCCCTCTGCCATCCCACCCCATCACTCAAGCGAAATCCTCACCCGCCCCCGTAAAGACTCCGAAGCAGTCGCGCAATCCATCATCCAAGCCCTGCAAACCAAACGCACCGCCCCGGGCCCCTCCACCTCGCAGGCCAAAAAAGTCCCCTTCGACACCGCCACGCTCCGCCACATCGTACCCTACGTGCACGGCCTGGCGCGCAAAGTCAAGGAGGCGCTGCGCGAGACGGAAGATCTGCGCACGAGTCCGCAGCGGCCTGGGAGTGTGGCGAGATGGGGTCTGCTCGGTGGGGAGGAGGGCGTTGTTCCTTTCCCGAGTCCTTTTGCGGCACGGTCGAGGAGGGAGGAGGCGTTTACGGACCATGATGGGGGTGAGGAGATGGATTTCGAGGATGAAGAGATGGACGATGGAGAGCGTGGGGCGGCAGCGGATGTGGAGCTCGCGAGGCGGGTGCAGAGGATGAATCTGCCTCGAGGCTGATTTCACCCCCCCTCCTGGCACTGCACCCACGAAGCTTCTCGTCTCGCTGCCGCCAATACGACGCACGACTACATTGAGACTTTTGCATACATTGTCTTTTGCAGCAAACACGAACAGGCAGAGAAAGATGGAGAGAAAAGAGAAAAAAGTTTTGCTTTCAACTTGGCTGCTCCTGGAGGTGTGGTGGCAGTGGCGACTACTACTACTACTAATTTGGTCTACTGCTGCGGATGGGAGGGCCTGTATTATAATATGTGTGAGGTGGAAGGGCACGCAAGCAAGAGAGGAGGCCTTGAAGACCTGGATTGAACTTCTGGCACGACGTCTGCACAGCACGCTCGACGGGACGTTCGTCATTGGACTTTTGAGGAAGCTCTTTTCGGTCTTGCTGCCTCCCATCTCGCTGAACGGACGGAACTGGGTATACTGGGAGGCTGCTGCTTTGCGTTTCCATTGTCCTTTTTTGTATCGCGTACGGGGATGAGCATGGGAAGAACACATGCATAGCGAGTGCTTTTGCTTTTCTACTTGCGGCCGGACCGAGCTAGTTGAGATGAGATGGAGCGGGATGAGTGGGTGGACAGCGTCGCTATAGGGCGTGTAATTGTATTTTGTGTTGACAAGTGGATCTTTCACACTACTCCGATGTGTTTTCCATGGTGATCAAGGTGAGGGCCGGGGCCAATGGTGGTGAGGCTGATGGCCTGCACGTGTCATCATCGGACCCACTCTAAAGCCGAACGGCGGAGCAACTCAAAACCGCCAGATTTTTTTTGGGCAATTGACATCAATCCCTCCCACCATTCTGCTTACTCCCCCACCTTCTTCCCTTCTCTTCCACTTTCCCCTCTTCACTACCCTTTCCATACATCCCACCCATACCACCCACACAACCACATCATCAGACAACATGGGCGAACCCGCAAAGACGTACAAGGTGGCCGACATCAACCTCGCTGCTTTTGGCAGGAGGGAGATTGAGCTGGCCGAGCAGGAGATGCCGGGCTTGATGCTCACCCGCGAGAAGTACCATGCCGACCAGCCATTGAAGGGCGCTCGTATTGCCGGGTGTCTTCACATGAGTAAGAGAGGCCCGGAGGCGAAACCCGCCAGCATTGGCCTTACCTGACTGACCTTCCACCACAGCCATCCAGACCGCCGTCCTCATCGAGACCCTCAAAGCCCTTGGTGCCGAGCTCACCTGGACCTCTTGCAACATCTTCTCCACCCAGGACCACGCTGCCGCCGCCATTGCCGCCGGCGGCACCCCTGTCTTCGCCTGGAAGGGCGAGACCGAGGAGGAGTACGAGTGGTGCTTGGAGCAGCAGCTCAAGGCCTTCCCCTCCGGCCAGCACCTCAACCTCATCCTCGACGACGGCGGTGATCTGACCGCTCTCGTGCACAAGAAGTACCCCGACATGCTCAAGGGCTGCTACGGCGTGTCCGAGGAGACGACCACCGGCGTGCACCACCTGTACCGCATGCTGAAGGACCTCGGCAAGCCCTCCGGCCTGCTGGTCCCCTCCATCAACGTCAACGACTCCGTCACCAAGAGCAAGTTTGACAACCTCTACGGCTGCAGAGAGAGCTTGGTCGATGGCATCAAGCGTGCCACCGATGTCATGATTGCCGGCAAGATTGCCTGCGTCGCTGGCTTCGGCGACGTCGGCAAGGGCTGCGCACAGGCTCTGCACTCCATGGGCGCGCGTGTGTTGGTGACGGAAATCGACCCCATCAACGCTCTGCAGGGCGCCATGGCCGGCTACGAGGTCGTGACGATGGAAGAGGCGGCCCCGCTCGCGCAAATCTTCGTCACCACCACCGGCTGCCGCGACATCATTGTCGGCAAGCACTTTGAGCAGATGCGCGAGGACGCGATTGTGTGCAACATCGGCCATTTCGACATTGAAATCGACGTTGCGTGGCTCAAGAAGACGGCCAAGGACAAGGTCAGCATCAAGCCGCAGGTCGACCGCTTCACCATGCCCAGCGGCCGCCACATCATCCTGCTCGCCGAGGGCCGTCTCGTCAACCTCGGCTGCGCCACCGGCCACTCCTCCTTCGTCATGTCCTGCTCCTTCACCAACCAGGTGCTGGCGCAGATCATGCTGTACAACGCCGGCAACAAGGCGTTCGCCAAGAAGTACGTCGAGTTTGCACGTGCCATTGAGGGCGAGGAGGATGCTGCTGGCTCCGTCAAGAAGCAGGCCAGCTCCAGCGTGCCCCGCCTGCCCATTGGCGTCTACGTCCTGCCCAAGATCCTCGACGAGCAGGTTGCTCTGCTCCATCTTGACCACGTCAACGCCAAGTTGACCAAGATGACCGACGCGCAGGTCGAGTACATGAGCTTGCCTCGCGAGGGACCCTACAAGAGCGAGATGTACCGCTACTAGAATGCGTATCACTTTCAGGAGTGATCGCGGGGGGTTGCGGTGGGAGCTTTGTTTTTAGTAATGATTCATGATTCAACACTGCGCATGATACCAGAGCGGGAAGGGACAGTGGGGGAGTTCAAAAAGAAATCGACTCTTGTCTTCAACGGCATTTGCAAAAAGGGAGACTGGTGTAGAGTGCGCGCGCCGAATGCTCGAGCATACACGGGCGCGGCGGCGTTTCGGGCGCTTCAACGAGACGACTGATGGCCTTGATCTCTCTTAACAGAGATCGGCTTGCTTGGCATGTGGGTGTGTGTGAGAAGCCCGTCGGGGTTGGCTGGTCGGATGTATAGGATGGATGGTGTGTTGCATGGCATGTAGTCTGTTCTATACGATGGCTTTGCTTGCCCCGCGACGATTCTACATGTCTCACTCACGTCAATATGCTTTGTCTTTTGATCTATCGAACTCATCTGTTCATAGATGAGGTCTCACACCGCTGTCCGTAGTAAAATGGTGGATTGACACAAGAAAGTCCAACACCACGACTTTCGACAAAGCCTTGCCCACCATCGCTCCCCACCTCACCTCACCTCTCTCCCATCCTCGACGAGAACCCGCACCCAACCCCCCACAATGTCGCGTTTCGTCTCCGCAGGCACAGACGAAGCCCCCACACCCCGCGACGAAGCATGGCAAAAAGCGCAAGCCGAAATCGAAGCAAAACGCCAACAATCCACCCCCTCCTCCGCTCCCCAAGGAAGTGAGAAGTCGCTGTACGAAACGTTGCAGGCTAATAAAGGTGGCTCTTTCCCCCAACTCCCAACCCTTCAACTGAAGCGTGAGTGTCTGAAGGATGTGGGCTGACGAGTTAGAATTTGGGTGATTGTAGCCGCGAAACAAGAGGCTTTTGAAGAGGCTGCTCGGCTTCGGAATCAGTTCCGCTCGCTGGATGAGGATGAGGTGGAGTTTTTGGATGGGGTGCTGGAGGGGGAGAGGGAGAGGGAGAGGAGGTTGAGGGAGGCGGAACGTAAGGAGTTGGAGGCTTTTCGCCGCAGTCAGGAGAGTGAGGTTGCTGTTGTGGCTAAAGAGGGGGTGGAGGGGGGGAGGGATGAGGGGGTGGATGAGGGGGGAGATGTTGTGTGGAGTGCGGCGGGGAAGAGGAAGAGGAGGAAGGGGAGGGAGGGGGTCCTTGGGGGGGTTAAGATTCGGAGGACGTCGGAGGGTGTTGGGCAAAAAGACGCAGAGGTGGAGGCTGGTCTTGCAAGCGCAACGTCGCCGAAAGAGGGCGAGGAGGTTCTGCCTGCTGGGAACAAGAGTGGAGGCGAGACTGCTGGTTTTGAGAACGCTGATGCTCGGACTTCAGACGTTAAGACGAGTACGGCGTCGGTATCACCTCCGCCGAGTAAATCGCCGCCGCCTGCTGCTGCGCTTGGACTTGCTGCTTATTCCTCTGACGAGGATGATTGAGAACAAGGGCGAAAGAAGATATACGAAGCATCCGGGGACATGACTCGGCTGTGCTCGATTGAGCCGTCTGCTGCCTGAGAATGGCACGACAAACATTGGACCCGAGGCGGGCTACTGTGTGCATTGTCCGCAACATGTGAACAAAGAAACGAGGCCAAGACACAATGGAGTGGCGACTGGCATGATACCGTACACTGGTTCCAAGCCAGCTCAGCATCAAACGACTCTTGACGGATCGAATGTGCGCAGTCTCGTGCGAACCCCCACCCTCGTCGGCGTCAGTGGCATTGTGACAGGCTTCCAAAGAGAGCTGCGATGACTATACATAGCGAGTCTCGACGATTCTCTTTGTCATTCCTTTGTGTCCTCACATTCGACTACCGCCTTTGTGGCTCTTTTCTTTGTTCCTTTGTTCCATTGTGTTCTGAGGCACATACAATGGAGTCGACACCTCGATACATCCTTTCCTTGACTTTTCGTTCTTCTATTCAAAGATTGCCTCAGAAATGACCGACACCATCGCACCGAGCGCCGAATTCTTAAGCTTCACCAAGATGGAACACGTCAAGCTGAAGAACAGACCGCAAACCATCTCCAAAGCGCAACTCCACGCCCTTCTGAACCGCTACGAAGACCAGCTACAGGTGTGTGACAACCAGCGAAAGACGCTAGAAGATGCGCATACTAACGGTCGCCCAATCAAAGACTTGTTCGCCCCTGTCGAACCCTTCCGCCCGGTCAAGGCACTGGCCTCCAAGAAACTTGACAAATCCGACGAAGCGTTGCTGCCAGCAGAACTCCGAGATGTCATGCTGAACCTGACTGCGGGCGACATGTCGCTGGTGGTGACGGCTTTGAAGCACCGCATCGACCGCATTGGCACCATCATTGACAATGCGAGGTTGTCCTGCAACGACCCGACGCAGACTTGGGATGAAGTACAGACCGAGCTGGCCGGAGTGAGTAAGTCTACATGCGACGACGGCGATGGCATGTGCCTGTCGTTTGCTGATATCGTACTTGGCACCAGTCAGGATGATATGTGTACGGGGCTCGCGGCTTTCGACATTGCCAGCACGCCGAAGGAGACGTGGAAGAAGGCCGTGCCGAAGGATTTCCGGCTGTACATTGGTGCGCCGCATGCTGGGAGGCAGAGTCTTGCTGACAAGTCTGTTCAGAACGAGAACGATGTCACGGGAAGTCTCAAGCGTCGGGATCCAACGACGGTGAAGAACTACGGTGAGTATCACGGCGGCTTTCACCCCGAAGAGCTGATGAAGAAAGGAGCGCTGACTCCCAGCACGCAAAGCCCCGGTGTCCCTCCGACCTGCACCTTGACAACCGAGATCCATCCCATCTTCGCGCGGGAGAGATTCATCGAGTGTCCGCAAGAAGTCTACAACGTTCTGAAACCCTCCCTGCAACTCGCAACACTCGTCCTCCAACACCGCGCCACAAGCCGCTACTGGCACACCGCCGCCTTCAGTCCACGCACAACCCGCCCCCTTGCAGAATCAACCAAACAAGCCATCCACATCCCCACCGAAGTCCCCTGGACAGCCCCCAACGCCACAGCCTTCGCCGCACGCCTACAAACCCTCACAAACCACTGCAGCATCCATTTCAACCTCTCCTCCCCCGACGACGCCAACTACGGCATGTGCATCGCCGCGCAAAAACCCAACCGCTTCGTCCTCCCGCTCGACAAGACACACGTCCACACAGCGCTCATCCACCTCTCCTTCGACTTCTACACCACCGCCGTGCGCCTGGCCAAAACGCGGCATCCGGATCCGCACATGCTGCTGCGCTTTCAGTTTCTGTTTGCAGTCGTGCTGCTGCATGAGATGGCGCATTGGATCGAGTTTACGCACGCGAGCACCTTCCTCGGGGAACCTTATATCGGCGCCGACAGATTCAACGAGTCTGGATTTGCATTTGAGGAGAGGACTTTTGGGGGCAGGATATGCGCTGTGAATCACCGCATGGATTGCGCTTATGGGGTTTGCATGGCGGTTTACGACGCTGAGGCCAAGGGCGGCGCGTTCTACAGCGTGCCGATGGATTACATTGTTCGGGTGCAGCAGCAGAGTACATGGGACGATCCGGCGCTGCTGCTGGATCCTGTGAAGGAGTTGCATATCCCGAAGGATGGAGCGAGGGCTTTCGGGCCTTGTACGTTTTCTTTGTTGGCGTGGAATGATGAGGAGGAGGTTGGGCGGATGATGGACGTTGTTGACACGGGTTTGGTCGTTGGGAGGAAGAAGGATTGCGGCAAGGCTGTGCATTCGAATCTACTGAGAGTCTTGAGTGGGCGGATTGAGAAGGCGAGGGAGAGGGAGGCGGTTGGGCCGCGGAAGGTGGATTTGCGGAGGAAGCAGTTCCTTAGCAACCTGGTGGAGGAGATGGAGGAGATGTGAGCGTTGGAGTGTGTCAGAGCCGCGTCTATCAGTCCGTACATGTCCCACGCCATAGACTATCCGAGTATATCTTTTGCTTTTATCCGCAGTCACTAGAATCAATTTTGTCTTCGCAGTCCGCGAGACGTAGGGTATCTTTCCCACCAAGAACAGCATCAAAAACGCCTTCAGTCCCTTTTATTGGTAACTTCTCACACCTCCACGCCATCAAACTCATAAAGCGCCACCCGCCGACTCAACACCGTGCCCAGCCCCCTCACCACCTCCGCCTGAAACGGCTCAAAAGGGACACGCTCTCCATCAACCGAAATCAGCCCCTCCCGCACTTTCCCCCCACCCCCAAGCCACCGCTCAAACTTGACCCGCACGCGGCTCTTCGACGGCGTAGCGTGCATCCGCGGCGTCACGCGGTACGCCAGCACTTTCCGGTAGCTGACTTCGGGGAAATCGATGAGCGTGCCGTCGCCTGCGGTCGCGAGCATGCGCAGCCCCGTGGCGCGCGGAATCGTGCCGGAGATGTTGATCATGTCCATTTTGCCGTCTGCGGGGCGCGCGGTGGCGAAGAAGCAGGCGTCCGGCGACATCCAGCACATGTTGCCTACGTAGAAGTTGCCGAGCGTTGGGAGGTCGTGGGTTTGGAAGGCGGGGTGGAGGGGGGAGGCGATGGTGCCGTATTGTAGAGTTGGTTCTGGTGAGGGAGGGGTTTCGTCGGTTGGGTCCTCGTGGTGGTCGCTGTCGCTGTCGGCGTGGGTGGACGATGGGAGCTGTTTGCTTTTTGCGGCTTGGTGCTCGCTGACTGCTTGCCGGTATGCTTCTTTCATGCCGCGCTTGTCGTCGCTGTCGAGGACTACCGAGAGTTCGACGGGGTACAGCGTTTTGCTGAGCAGGCGCACGAGAATGCCCCACGTGAATCGCAGCGAGCCCATCCAGCGCAACGACTCCGTCCCGAGATCACTCTCCGCCACAATGCCAATCGCCTGCGACAGGAAGCTGTAGTACTTCTCTCTTCCCTGCGTAATCGCCACCAAGTCCAACGGCGTGCGCTCCCCCTTGACAATCGCCAGCGCCGCGAGCGAAGGCGAGTCCGTCCCGTTGAGATTCAAACTCATCGCATTCCCCGACCCGCACGGAATCTGCACAACCGCCAGTCTGCGCAGCGCACGACCCGCGTCCGCTCGTTTCGCCAGCCCGTTGAAGACTTCATGCGGTAAACCATCTCCACTCGCGCACGCCACGACATCATACGCATCGACATCGATCTTCTCCGCAATCTCCACCGCGTGCCCCCGGTACGCCGTCCGCTCAACATCCACCACACACCCCGCCGCAGCAAACACAGCCTCGACCTCCTCCTCCCAGAGTTTAAGCGCATACCCCTGGCCCCCAAAAGGATTGATCAACACCTTAAACCGCCGCCTCCTCTGCGTGCCAGCAGGATACGCTTTCCTTAGCAAGCGCTCCACCCACGGCTCCGCGTGCGCCTTGTCCGCAACCCCATAACTCACCGTCCCCACGCGACAGCTCTTCTTCCCCGTCAAGCGCGCATACCGAATCGTCACATTAAAATCCACAACCTCCGCCCAAAGGACGTGATAGAAGGGGATGGCGCGCGTGGTCTTCGAGCCGCCGCGGCCCGGCAGCAGACCGCAGCAATTCGTCGCGGCGCGGCGGCGGTCGCGCAGGCCTTCGTCGAGCACGATGAGGGCGTCGGTGCCGAGGGTGAGGGTTGCGTTGCGGTCGACGGTGAGGACGTCGGAGGAGGTGGTGTCGTTCAGCATGTCGGCTTGGGGTATGGTGGGGTGGTGAAGGAGGCCATCGGGGCCGCTCGGGTTGTCGGCAAAGGGGTCGGAGGGCGGATCTTCTGGCATTGCGCTGAGCGAGTGAAGCGCGAGATGGATGGATGAAGAGGCATGCGGGTGGAATGGGAGGAAGAGAAGACGCGGCTGCGGGAGAGGGCGAGCGAGTAAGAGCGGAAAGCGGCCGATGCTGCCTAAAGCGGCAAGAAATACGAGAGGTCACGAGGCTCGCGGGAATTCACGAGCAGAGGACGAGCCGACGCACGCCTTTTACGGTGGAAGCCGTGGGCAACACATTACAGGTACGTATGTACAATGCTTCTGCTTCTCCTTCATCTTGGCGGTACACAATCGAGCCACGCAGGTCATCGTCGACCCCTTCCTTGCATTCGAACAAAGACACGCTGACGCCCGCTCCGAAGGAAAAAGCCAGTGGTATCATAAAAAGACAACGAGCGATCCGCCACACAATCAAAGAGACTCAAGCAAGCAAGATATCGAACATAAGCAAGCCCCTCACAGCCGGTTCTGACTCCCATTCCCCAGCCCCAAATTCAACCACCCCAGATCCGAATTCGGCGTCGGCTTTTGCGACTGCGACAGCTGCGGTTGATGGCCCCGCGCATAGGAACCCGGCTGCGCGGCCACGTTCGGGAAAACCGAGACGTTCGCACGCGGCTGTAGAGGTGCAGGAGCGAGGGCAGGTCTGTTGGCGCTGGTAGGTGGCACAGGCCAGGCGGACCGAGCGCCCACGAGCTCCTCCGCTTCGGCCTGCGCTGCTGCTGCGGCCTGCTCGGCGGGTTTGGAGTAGTCTGCAGAAGGGATGTATTTGGGCCAGACGGTAATGTGGCGGTCGGCGTCGTCTGATGCTCCGGCAACAGGAGCAGGGGGAGCGGCGGCCGGCGTATTCGGGGCCGCTAGGAAACCATCTTTAGTCGTTGTCGACCTCGATGACCGCGGAGGACGGTACGAATTGTTGCCACTACCGTGCCAAAAGGGGAAATCCGCTCCGCTGCGTGACGGCACACGTCTCTCCGCATCGTCCAAGACATTGCTGGGCGGCCGGGAGTTGACGTGGTCTTTGAATGTCGACGGGTCGGTGGGATTCCAGGGCATCGCGCCACTTTCGCTGAGGTACTCGCTGGTCCTCGCACTGCTAAGCGCGGACTGGTTGTAGGAGCTGACGCTCTCTGATTGCGAGTCGCGACGCCGGCCCGGATCGACAATGAGACCCTCCTGCCCATCAGTCCTGGAGCCGCGTTGGGCAAAGTCGTCATGTGAATTGCTGAAGGACGGCGAGCCCATGTTGACATGCGACACGGGGTTGCCATCGATGGATTTGGAGAAGTCCACGAGTGCCGGGGCGAGTGTTGATGATGGGATTCGCGAGTGCTGAGACGCTATCCTGTCCACGGAATAGGTGGATCCGTCGCTGGGAGGGTGCTGCTTGATGGGAGTGACGTTGGCGGCGTTCTTCTTGTAGGCGGAAGGAATGTGCGAGAGCCCGTTAGGCCCTGAGGGTACGGTGGTGGCGAAATACTTCGACCACCCCGAACTCCTATTCCTGTTCGCGCGTGTAGGGGTGTCGCGTGCGTCCTCGGGGGTGAGGTTGGGCCCGTATTGCACGGTGGGAGGTCGATCGCTGCGTTCCATCCGTGGCGTCATCTTACGCGCCAGGGGAGGCTTCTCAATATCGGCCAACTCGACGGCATCGCTCGCTTGCCGATTGTCCACCAGGTTGGAGGTGCTGTCGAAACTGCTCTTGGGCATGTGGCCGCTAGGGGTGCGCTTGTTGCTGAGACGCTTGTTGAATCGGTCGACGAGGGAGTTGCGTGAGCCATTTCTCGACTGTCTCCATGGCGCATTGGCCACGCCCGCCGCACCTTCCCCGGTCTCCTTCATGAACGAGGTCCCGCGATCTTGAAAACTCATGTGCTGGTCGTTCTTCTCATCCACCCACCCCTCTGCCCTTCGCTTCTTTTGTCTTCTCCACCGCAGCAAAAGGAGGATGATGATAAAAATGACCGCAATGCCACACAACACTCCGAGGATAATACCCAGTAGGCGCAGCGTGCGATCATGTTGTGATAGGCCAGAGCCCGATGGTGCCGCTGTGGACGTTGTGGATGGTGATGATGTTGCGGTAGGTAAAGATGTGGGTTTCGTAGAGTGTAGTGATGATGTCGTGCTCGGTTTGAGCGGTTGTTGGGTGTGCGAATCGAAGAATTTACTCGCGTCAACCCAGGAATTCTGATCTTGGTTGAAGATGGCAACCGGCTGTTGGCTGTTGCCTCCAGCGAGGACGGCGAGCCCACTGGAACCTTGGGCCACCGAGAAGTCTGTCCGTATTGCGCTCGGCGCGTTTTGGCTGTTGTAGGCAGGCCAATTACTCAGAGTGAGTCCTTGTTGTCGCTTTCGAGACGCCGTGCCATTGCCCACTTTCTCGCCTGTGTACGCAGCCGCGCCACCAGCGCCCAGCAAGACGACTTGAGCAACGTAATTCGGGGACACATTAGCGTCGTAGACTTCCAGCACTTTGCTGCCGTCGCTCCCATCGACGAGTATTCCTCTCGCGCCGGGGTTCAGAGGGGTCTCAAGGGTAGCGGAGAGGAATTGCCAGCCACCTTGGGGACTGAACAGGGAGATCTGAGTATTGAGCACCGAGCCGCCGACCATGACGACCGAGCCCGTATCCCACGGCTGCAAGATGGGCATGTTCGCCGTAGGCGCGTTGGAGGTGTAGGCTTGAATGGTGTAAGGAGGCTGGGTGGGGATGACAAACGTCTCTGACGAAAGCACAGTCGGGGCATTCTGCTGCGCTCCAGCATAGACGACGATGGATTGCGAGTCCTGCAAGTAGGCGGCGGTGTGGTTTACTCGGCCCTGCATGACCGGGACAGGCGAGTCGATGGACTGCCATGACTTGTTGGCAAACGAGTAGACCTGCACGCCTTCGTAGCTGCTGTTGCTGCTCGTGCCGCCAATGACCCACAGCTGGGCTTGGGAGTCGGTGCCATTAGGGAAGATGGTGACACACGCCGGGCCCGTCACTCCCACGCCGGCCGTCTCTTCCGCCCATTGCGCGTGTTTCTGCAGCGGTAGTGATTGGAAGGCGGTGGGGGAGAGGACGTATAGGGTGTTGTCGACAATGGTGGAACAGTGGCCCTCGAGCTCGACGGGCGGGAGGGGTATCGACATGTGAAGCGACGCCGGGTTCGGCAGCCTCAGCGCCGGGACGCGTGCAAAATGATGTCGGTGGAGTGTGGTGGATGCGGGAGAGAAGAGAGTCTGGCTTCGGGGGTCATATGGCGGCAGGCGTTGGTCGTTTTCGTCGACGCGGCTGAGGAAGGGGTGGAGGCCCTCTTTGGTTCTTTCCCTGTCCTGCGTTGTACAACGGCCAGTCCGACTTCCACGCTCTTCAAGCGGCCTCCGAGGAAAAGGCTTCTTCACTCTCTTGCCACAATCATGTCACGAGCCAAAGAAGATCCGCGAATCTCGTTTCCAATGGATGGCCAGGCCCAAGTTTTCCAAGAACACGGTCGACAAACAGCACGAGAATGGAAAACGCAGGCACAAAAGCTCTGTGGAAGGCCCGGCTGAAAAAAAGAGTGTCACCCGAGTAGCATGCGTATCGGGTGGAGTGAGTGGACGGGGTTGTGAAACGCGCCGCGACTGGGGCTGGGTATCGAGGGGCCGCGGAGGCGAATGGGCACGCACACAGGGAACGTGAGCAAGCTGGTTGAAAGGGTGCAGAGAGCGACGAGAAGAGAAGTCGTACACGCGCACACACACACACACGAAGTCGAGTCTGCTGTGCGTGGGTGGACGCAGGACACGCTCGTCAAGGGGAGACGATCGGATGCTGGAGGCGGGTAGAGAGGAGCCGTAGCGCCAAGGCGAAGCGCGAGCGAGCACAGGGCACGAGCGTTTGCACCAATCCAACCCACCCAGCACTTCCCCCATCCGGCAAGGCGGCGAGGACGTGATAGGAGAAGAGTGTGGCCAAGGCAATCTCGTCTTCCGCGCTTCCACTCGTCCTTTGCCTTGCTCACTCGTCGCCTCATCACATTGTGTTGGGCGCGTATTGTTATTACTGTCCTGTCCTGTCACGCTCCCCCATCGGGCGCTGCAGCACGCGTGGAACTCGCTTTGCAGACGTGAGCTGCCCGCGTACCACAAATTCACGCACCCCGGTCAGGCACAGGCTTCGCCCTTATGCATCCCCCTGTTGATCCCTTAAACCTTAACCCGACATGCTTTCCCGGTGCAAAGGCACGACAAATAGTCTATTCATCCCTTGTCTGCAATTATGACGCATGATTGCACTCGCATGAGCTCGAGTCCGGCAGTGTCAAGATGTCGCGGGTACATCTTCTGCCGGCGCGTAATGCTCTCACCGCCAAAACTCGAGTCGCTGCTGCTGCCGCCGCTTGCACGCGCCGCTTAAAAATCCATTGTTGGCGCTTGCGGTCGCTTGCCGCCGACATGCATCGCGAGTCTTGATTGCACGCTTCCCAAGCGCCCCCGGCATCCTCCTCACCTCGACAACTCGTTCGTCACTTGCACAAACGCCTCCCACTGCTTCAACGCCGCTCCGCTCGTGATACACCATCTCGCCCTCCGTAATGCCTCCTTCCATCGCAGCCCACCCGGCCCGCGCTCCTTGATCACCTTCCCGTCATCCCCAGCTCCCATATGGCTCTCGTCTGCCTCACAGATCCCACTCACCGCCAACAGCGCGGCGACATTGATCAACACAAAATGCAGCACCGGATGGTCATGCGGTAACTCATCCTTCAAAATCCGCATGAGAATCTCGGCATTCTCCTTCGGCCCTTTACCGCCATGCACCTCGCTCAGCGGATGTCTTGGCAACCCAAAATCCTCGGGCGATACCATGATCTTGCTAATTTCCACCCCCGCTCCTTGATCGTGAATGTACCAGCAATGTGTCTGGCCAGCACACGATACTTCGTCCAGGTTCTCATCTCCGCACACAACCATGGCTTTCTTCGCACCTCCGAGCATTAGCGCCTCGGCGAAGTTGAGGCCGACGTCTTTTCTTGCGACGCCTAGAATGCGGCACTCGACTAGGCCGGTGTCGTGGACGGGGTTTGATAACGGGCCAAGGAAGTTGAAGATGGTTCGCACGGGAACTTCCTTTCGCACGGCCGCGGCGTACTTCATTCCCGGATGCCATTCGCGCGCGTAGAGAAAGGCGTAATTGGTCTTTTCGTAAATCTGCGGTAAGGTCTTGTTGGTCGTCGCCGCGATGACTGGGGGATTGACGGCGTTTTGGAGCAAATCTGCCGAGCCGGACATGGAGGTGGAGGAGTTGTTGCCGTGCTTGGCCATCATGAGGAGAGCAGAGGCGATAATGGAAGAAGTGGTGGAGACGTTGTATGTATCGTGTCCGTCGCCTCCCGTGCCGACAATATCGCACTGCCACATCGTTAGCCTGCGGTCCACGTATTCAATCAATGGGTAGACGTACAAGATGCCCGGCATAAGCGCCCTCGGGCTTCGCCTTGCGCTTCACCACATCAATCAGCGCCGTCTCGTTCACCTGCGCCGCCGCCTCGCGCATCACTTGCGCGCATGCCGTCAGCACTTTCGGATGATGATCGCCCTCGTGCACATGCAACGCCCAGAGCAACAGTCCAAACTGCACGGGCGAGAGTGAGTCGGTGAAGACGAGGGCCAGCGCCGCCGCCACCTCCTCTGCTTTGACGCTTTTCGTTGACTCGACGGTCGACAGCCGTTTGAGCAGCGAGGAGATGGAGACGTAGCCTTTGACGCTTTTTTCCGCCATCGTTGTGCAAAGGGATTGGTCTATAGGGTATGTGAGAATGTAGAATTCATTAGAATGAGAGGGATTTGAAGGAGACGCGAGTCCAATGGTTGCAGTCAATGATCTCGGCAGTCCCCTCGCATTCCTGACTCAATGTCAGCCGAGTGCGGTGCGGCCGGAAAATTCGATTCGCTGCCCGGAGCCCGGCATTTGCGTCCCACCACTTTCTGTCCGCACGATCCGCACTGCTTGATCAATCCTCGAGCCTGCGATGACTTCGGCATATTAGATTCGATCAAGACGGGCACGAGTTCTGGATATTCGCACCCGTATGACCGACAGACTACAATCTCGTGATTGAACATGGGCCGCGAAGAACAAAAAGAGGAGCGAGAAGTGCTCGACTCCATCTTCCCCGACGAAATCCAAGATATCTCCGACACAGAATACCGCGTGACAGTCCAACTGGAAGCCTCTGCCGACCCGAGCGAAGAAGACGCCGACAGCAGCCCAACGCTGATCCTCAACGTCCGTTACCCGGAAGCATATCCCGACGAGGCGCCGCGGCTGGACATCACGCAGCCTCCCAATGCACCTAAGCACCCGCACCTGGATGTGCAGGAGGACAAGGCGCGACTCCTGGACGCGCTGCAGCCGACTATCGAGGAGAATCTCGGCATGGCAATGGTCTTCTCGCTCGTCAGTACGCTCAAGGACGCCGCGGAACTGCTCATCTCCGAGCGGCAGCAGGCCGTGCAGGCGCTGAAGGACGTTGAAACGCGGAAAGCGGAGGCGGAGGAGAACCGGAAGTTCGAGGGGGAGAAGGTGACGCGGGAGTCGTTTTTGGCGTGGCGGGACACGTTTCATCGCGAAATGGCGGAGGAGAAGGCGAGGCGCGTGGTGGAGATTGAGGCGGAGGAGAAGAAGAAGCGGGGTGGGAGGGTGGAGGAGAAGAAGTTGACGGGGAAGCAGCTTTGGGTGCAAGGGTTGGCTGGCAAGGTTGGAGAGGAGGAGGATGAGGAGGGCGAGGATGCTATTGAGAGTATGCGGACGCTCAAGGTCGAGGGTTGAGCCAGGCTGCTGGGTGGTTGTGCAGTCTTTGTCTGCTACGGCGATGCTCCACGAGCACATCCACGCGTCCGCAGCGGAATTCATACGAACATTCCGGAGCGAGCGAAGCAGTGGGCCCGATCGCGCCTGAGGCCATGAAACGCAGGTCACGAGGGATTGCCAGAGAGCTGCCCGAAGGCTACTTTACGAGCTACCGTGGCAATGAAAAGGCATCGAAGATTTACTCGGGGCAGAATGCGAACAGCATCGCCCAGAATTCATCGAGAGATCGTCGATCTAGTACGAACACAGATCCTCCCACGACATTTTGCCGTATCGACCTTGCTGTGTCGACCAGAGCAAGAAGAAACCTCCAATGCGAGAAATTCTACTTCTTCTCCGGCTCCCCCTTCTTCGCCTTGTTCTTATTGTCGCCCGTGTCCTTGTAATCCCCTCCCTGCGCTTCGTATCGGCGCGCCATCTCGCCCGCCTTCCACGCAGACCAGTTGCCTTTCCCACCGCCTACATGCCGTTAGTGACTATTTGACAACATGAGATGACGGAATAATGAGCTGGGGAAATCACCTTTCTCCTCCGCCTTCACTTCCTCCTTGACCTTCTCGCGAAGTTCGGGGTCGGTGGGTTCGCCTTTGGAAGAGGGCATGTTGGCGGTTCTTGAGACAATGAAGTTTGGTGTGGATTATAGTTGGTATGCTTTTATCGGGAATGCTCTTCACGTAATGCTATCAAAGACTAAAATGCAACGGACACGCGAGCTTACTTGTACACTTTCAAAAGCCTTGGATGCCCCATTCTTGAATTACAATGACGAGGTTCCCCGTACCAAGCACTCGTTGTGAGCCCGCTAAGCACATGTCCATGATGCAATGACATTCGTCGGATGCAGGTACCAAAGTTTCCCAAATCTTGGTTCTGATCGAGCTTCTCCGCAATCCCCGTACTTTCTTTCCTCTTTCCTTCGCAATGGGTGTGAGCTAATAAAGGAAGTACAGTTCTATGTGATTCATAGCTCATGAGCTGCAGAACTTCTTCACGTCCTCGTCCGCGCAGACCTTCTCGATCCCGGCGTCGCGGGCTTCTCTGCCTTGGTCGGCGTGGCTTTTGCACTCCGACCCTTCTTCGCCGGCGTCTCTTCATCAGGCTCTTCCTCCTTCACACCGTTGGTCTCAGTGCTCTTCCTCCCTCGGCCCTTCTTGGCAGGCTTCTCAGCCTCAGACTCGTCTTCCTCCACCTTCGACTTCCTCTTCTTGCCCTTCGCGGGCTCCTCAAGTGCATCATCTGCATCCTCGTCCTCCACATCAGCCGCAACAGCCCCCGTCTTCTTCTGTCTCGACGGCACAATAGCGCTCGTCCTGCCTCCCACCTTCAAATGCACAATCTTCTCCCCATTCGGCAGGACATTGGCGTCCTTCTTGCCCTTGTCCCAGCGATACTTCATAATCCAGTCCGCAGGGAATTGCTTCGAATCCGCCAGAGTTTCGACGGCAAGCGTGCACACTCCAATCAGCGCGTCGTGGAGCGTCTTGATCTGCTCATCGCCGAAAGTATTGCAGTACTGCTCTGGGTGTACTCGTGCTTGATATAGCACCTCGTCCGCAACCCAGTTTCCCACGCCGGAAAGGTTCGCCTGATCCAGTAGCAGAGCTTTGATGGGCACCTTCTTCCTCTGCATCAACGCTTTCAGCCACTCAACCGTCACAATGTCCTTATCCTGCACGGGATCCGGGCCGTTCTCCTTCAGCGGACTAGCTTGTCGTATCTTGTCCGCCTCGCAGTCCACCAGCCGTATGCGTCCAAGTCGTCTGCCGTCCACGAACGCCGCTTCTACGACTTCTTTGTCCACTCCGTCCACCTTCTCCGCTGCACACTTCCACATGAACTTCATGAAACGCGGCGGCCATTCCTGCTCTTTGCCCTCTTCTTCCTTTGCCTGCTTGTAATACGCCGTGTCTTCGACATTGAACTTCACCCACCCCGTCATGCCCAAGTGCATTACCGCATGCGGAGGCTTGTCGAACGTCACCCAGAAGTATTTCCCTGTAGTCATTCACATCAGCAAAGCACATTGATGTGGACTAAGGGCTGTTAGGCCTACCCTGCTGCGCCGCTCCCGTCACTCGCCGGCCTTCAGTCGCTTTGGCGAAAGCGGTCGCGCTGCAGCCCACCTTGCCGTACACAATGTCATCTTCGAAGGCTTGGCAGGTCTTGATTGTGCGGCCGACGAGGTGTTTGCGGATGTAGTGCACTACTCGTGCGATCTCACCGATCTGTGGAGCGGGTGAGTGAGCGGGTTAGGGGTAACAAGCAGGGTTTGGCGTTGCGGATTCATACTTCAGGCATGTTGGATATTGTTCATCCAAGACTGAAAGGTTGGAGGTAGGATCGCTTTTGGCGTAGGTGTTGATGAACTGGGCAAGGAATGAGGTTGATGGAGATGTTGCAGCCTGATGAAGTGAGGATCAATTGAACTGCATTCACTTTACGCGCTCGAGTCAGCGGATGACGCGACAAGCTTTCGGCAGCTCGCGCCCGCTCCTTCCGAACTCGGACAGCTGCGATATCACTGTCAGTCTCTGCGGGGCACTGCCGAATGTCGATGACTTCAAGGTGGTCGGAATAAATAATCATGCGACCTTCCACGGCTTTGGTGCTCTGTGCTGCAGCCGTTGGGCTAACGCATGCTCACGCTGGTCATGACCATGTAGAGGATACCACCGAGCCATTCATTGGTTGGACCAAGGAAGACCTGGATGCCAAATGGGGGACAGATGTAAGCAGCATTGCACCATTATTAGGAGTGTATAGAGGTCCCAGACTAACTACAGCATCAGTGGGGATTCAGCGGCATCTCAACCTTTGCCCACCTCCAACACGAGCGCTGTCTCCAACACCCGGAAGTGGAATACGACATCGCCATCCTCGGAGTCCCGTTCGACACCGCCGTCACCTACCGCCCAGGCGCCCGGTTCGGCCCACGAGCAATCCGCGCAGCGTCCGCACGACAGACCAGCTTTCGAGCCTACAATCCTCGAGCGGGGGTCAATCCTTACTTGGAATGGGCCAAAATCATCGATTGCGGCGACATTCCCGTCACTCCTTTCGACAACACTTTGGCGCTGCGACAGATGACGGAGGCGTATACCAATCTCGCGCACAGCTCGCCTTCTGCGGCGAACAAGGACTCTCCTGTAAAGTATCGACGGACGCCTAAATTGTTCACTCTAGGCGGAGATCATTCCATTGCGCTCCCGACACTACGCGCGTTAAACAAAATCTACGGCGAAGTTGCGGTCGTGCACTTCGACGCTCACCTCGACACCTGGCACCCGGCCAAATACCCCTCCGCATGGGTCGACAAAGACGACCCGTTCCCCGTCTCCTTCTTCACACACGGCACCATGTTCTGGATCGCACACAACGAAAGTCTGATTCAAAAAGGCAAATCCGTGCACGGCGGACTCCGCACCCGACTGACAGGGATCGAAGACAACGAAGACGACGACGCGCAAGGCTGGCTGCGCTTCACAGCAGACGACATCGACGATCTTGGCGTCGCGACGATGGCGCGCAGGATCGTGGAGCATGTCGGCACCGAGACGCCGGTGTACTTGTCGATTGATATTGATGTTATTGATCCCGGGTTGGCGCCGGGGACGGGCACGCCGGAGCCCGGGGGGTGGACGACGAGGGAGTTGATAAGGGTGTTGAGGGGGATTGAGAGTTTGAATGTGGTGGGGGCGGATGTTGTCGAGGTTTCGCCGAGTTATGATGGGGCGGGGGAGGTGACTGCTCTTGCGGCGGCGCAGGTTGCGTTTGAGGTGTTGACGAGTATGGTTAAGCGGGGGATGGATGAGGGTGGGAAGGCGGGCGGTGCGGGTGTTGTTCGAGACGAGCTGTAGACGATAGTATGCAAACGCCGTATTTCTCAGTTTAGTTCTGAATCGTCCTTCACCTGAGCTCGTATCACCATGCATAGGGTACACGCCTGCATAAATCATCGCCCAGGCTTCATAAGGCTGGGCGCCGCGTCCGCTGCTGTAACCCCATCTTTCGCCTCCAGATCCACCTCCGCATCTCCAACATTCCATGCCAACCTCACCTCACCCAAATCAGCAAAGCATGGCCGTCAAACCCCTCCACCGCCTCCAAACATCCTACCAACAATCCATCAGCCCAATCTACATCCAACGCCTCTGCACCTCCTGGCTCCTCTTCCCCATAGCCCTCGCCACCCTTCGCGCGCTCCTCGCCCTCTACATCTTCACAACCATCTTCACGGTCTTCGGGCTCAATGACGCCCGCGGAAACTCCGAAGACACAGAGCATGACTTCTCCTACTTCACTTTCCTTTCGTACTGGGGATTGGCTTTTTACTTCGCCTTCGCGGCCGCGCACACGGCTTCTTATGCGCTGAGAGGACGGGCGTGGTTGGAGGGATGGCCTGCTTGGTTGCGATGGGCGCATAGTGCGCTGTATGTTACTGTAACCGTCTATCCGTTCGTGGTGACAGGTGAGTTATCCCTTCCATCTCTCCAAAACCCGCAGACACGCTAAGACACAAATCGTAGTCGTCTTCTGGGCCGTCCTCGCCTCAGGCGCCTTCCGCTCGCCCTTCACCACCTGGTCCAACACCTCCGAGCACGCGCTCAACTCCGTCTTCGCCTTCGCGGAGATTGTGCTGCCCTGCTCCGAGCCGCATCCGTGGATTCAAACGGCGCCGATTGTGGTTGTCGCGGCGCTGTATTTGGCGCTCGCGTATGTGACGCAGGCGTCGGAGGGGTTTTATGTGTATTACTTTTTGAATCCGTGGGTTTTATCTTCTACTTGCTTGTCCCGGTACACGAGACTGACGATGGTGTTTAGGGCGCATGGAAGGGGTTTGGTTGCTGGTGCTTGTATTGGGATTTTGGCGGCGATGATTATTTTCTTTGTGGTTGTGAGATACTTGATTCTATTACGGATGTGGATTACGGAGAAGAAGTTTGGAATGACTGGGAAATTGTCGAAGAGTGCGATCAAGCGTTCTACCGTGGTGGAAGACGGCCACGGCGAGGCTATGAGCGAACTGTCCAAGACTGGAGTACGGACTGTTGAGCAGGCCTAGCCGTGCTCGCGAACTTCTTGTAATCCTGATTTTACGATACGAGATCCTCAAGTCTGTCTTATTGGATCGAAATATGCTTTCTGAACGCCATAATCATTGGTACGTAGATTGAGTACGCTCGAAGCTGTAAGAGCGCACGAGGCTCCGAACTTCGGAGCAACGTCATACGCAGATCACGGGAATAAACATATAACCACGGCACAACCCTTCTTCACTACTCCCTCTCCACGGCGCGACCTGGAACTCCAGATAGCACATCATCCTCTCAAAATGCCACCCCGCTCCGACCAAATCTCCATCCCCGCCGCCTGGATCCGCGGCGGCTCGAGCAATGCAGTCTTCTACCACGAAAAGGACCTCCCCCCCGAAGGCCCCGTGCGAGACCGCGTGCTAAAGCGAGTAATGGGCACGCCCGACCCCATTCAAATCGACGGCCTAGGCGGCACCAAAGCCGTGACGTCGAAAATCGCTATAGTGCGCCCGTCCACGCGCCCCGACGCCGATATCGACTACATCTTCGCGCAGAGCGGGGTGCGCGAGGACGTTATTGATTACACTGCGAATTGCGGGAATATTAGCTCTGGCGTGGGGCCTTTTGCCATTGACGAGGGGCTTGTGCGGGAGTTTCGCGAGGGGAGGTCGGTGGATGCCGACAAGATTCGCACGCAGGAGGTGCGCATCTACAACACCGGAACGGAGAAGGTGCTCATCTCGCACGTCCCGATTGATGCCGAGGGCTACTCTGTTGCTGAGGGGGAGTACACTATGGCTGCGGTGCCGGGGACGGGGGCGCCGATTTTGATGGACTATCGCGAGACGGTGGGCGCGTCGCGGAACAAGGGCTTGTTACCTACGGGGAATCCGAGGGATCGGATCGAGGTGCAGGGGCAGAGGGTGGAGATTACGATTGGCGATGCGGGGAATTTGATTGTGTTTGTCGGTGCGGAGGAGATGGGGGTTTCCGGGCATGAGACTGCAGAACATTTGACTGAGAAGGCTGGGTTGCTGGATCGAGTGAGGGAGGTGCGAGGCAAGGCGGCGTGTTTGGTGGGGTTGTGTCGGGATTGGCGCAAAGTGGACGAGGAGTCGCCGTTTATGCCGATGTTGGTCATTCTCTCTGGTCCGCCGCGGGGTGATTATGGCGAAGCACACATGTCTGGTCGGTTGTTCCTCGATAACATGTGTCATCCCAGCATGGCGGGGACGGGCGCGGTGTCGACGGCGGCGATGAGTCGGACAAAGGGAACGCTGGTGTATGATCTGGTTGGGCAGAAGGCGAGGGAGAAGGCTGTGCTCAACATTGCCCATCCTTTGGGCATTATCCCGGTGGCGGTGGAGGTGGATGAGGACTCGGATCTGCCCACCTTCGCCAATCTGTCGTTTATCCGGACTGCTAGACGGCTGATGGATGGGAAAGTGTATGTGCCGAGGAAGGTGTTTGAAGGTGATATCAAGGGAGTTAACGGAACAAACGGTGTCAATGGGGTCAATGGCCATGGTCATGCAGGGAATGGCAGAGGTTAAGGCAGTTGATATATGTGTGAAGTGTACGAATGAGAGTGACGAGGTTGGGTATCAATGAATAAGACTTGTAGTGATGATTCATGAAGCTGCACTCATCACGACTGAGCACTCATGTTCTGTGCTTGTTCACTTGATATCTTGAAGAGAACAAGGTGAATGACAGAGACAAAGCCTTGTCACGTACGCACGCTGTCGGCGCCCCACTTATTTCCCGAGGACGAAATTCGAAGCTCATGCGAGCGCACTGCACACCATCTCGCACATCCGACAGCCTGCCCGATCCCGACCTCCCCTCCCCTCTCAGCCTCTGCAGGTCCGGAAGCATCTGCTTTGCATCCTTCGAGGCACCGCAACATCTTCCACGCCGCCCAAGGCTTCCCGCTTGTGCCTCTTCCCCAGCCCACCCCCGGATGAAGTGAATCCTCGGCCACTTCACAATCCACCACCTCCATCCCCCCGCCCAGCATGGCGCAAAAGACACAGCAACTGCCGACAAAAGAGGCCACCCTCTTCCGGCATCTGCTGCAAGACTATGAGGCCAAACGACACAAGAAAGGTCTCAAGACCGCCGACCAAATCCTCCGAAAACACCCCACCCACGGCGACACCCAAGCTATGAAAGCCCTCATCCTCAACGCCCAAGGCAAGACCGACGAGGCCTTCGACCTATGCAAGCTGGCCTTGAAAAATGCAATGAAGAGCAATGTGTGTTGGCATGTCTACGGCTTGCTGTACAAGAGCGTGAAGAACTACGAGGAGTCCATCAAGGCATACCGCTTCGCCCTGAAGCTCGACCCCGAGAGCATCCAGATTCTGCGAGACTTGGCCCAGCTGCAGGCGCAAATGCGAGACTACCAGGGAATGGTGCAGACGAGGAGAACTCTGCTCCAGGGCAAGCCTCAGCTGCGCCTCAACTGGACTGCTCTAGCCGTGGCTATGCATTTGAATGGAGACTTGGAGGGCGCCGAGGATGTGCTGCACAAGTTTGAGGAGACGTTGAAGCAGTCGCCCCCCAAGAGCGATATTGAGCACTCCGAGGCCATCTTGTACAAGAACGCCATCATCGCCGAGTCGGGCAATCTCGACAAGGCGCTCGAGCATTTGAACAGCATTGAGCGATTGGTGTTGGACCGGACGGCCATCATGGAAATGCGAGCGGACTACTTGCTGCGGCTGAAGAAGCGGGAAGAGGCGGAGAAGGCATATCGCGCGTTGCTCGAGCGGAACCCGGAGTCTCATGCGTATTACCAAGGCCTCGAGCAAGCCCTAGAACTCGATCGAAGCAATGCAGATGACCGAGTGAAGCTGTTGGAGATGTACCGATCTTATGCCGAGACAAGTGAACGGACCGATGCCTCTAGACGCATACCGCTGGACTTCCTAGAAGGTGAAGCCTTTCAGCAGCACGCGGACAAGTATCTGCGAAGGATGTTGGCGAAGGGCGTGCCGAGTACCTTTGCGAACGTCAAGCAGCTCTACGAGGACGAGGCAAAAAAGCAGGCGTTGGAGAAGATCGCACTGCAGCTTCTTTCCGAAGACTCGCCGTCGAGCAACGGTGCTCCAAAGGAAGGGGCGAATGGCAGCGTGGACGGCTCGCACCATGCCACCAAAGCCGACCCCGCAAACACATGGCAGCTCAGCGTGAACTACTTCCTGGCACAGCACTACGACTACCACCGCTCGCGCGACCTCAGCAAAGCAATGCAGCACATCGACAAGGCCATCTCGCTCAACCCCTCCAAGACCGACTACACCTACCATATGACCAAAGCGCGCGTACTCAAACACCAAGGCGACCCAGCGAAAGCGTCGACGGCCATGAACGACGCGCGAGAAATGGACCTCAAAGACCGCTACATCAACACCAAGTGCGCGAAATACCAGCTGCGCAACAACGAGCACGACTCCGCCGTCGCGACCATGGGCCTCTTCACGCGCAAAGAAGCCGTCGGCGGGCCACTCGGCGACCTCACCGACATGCAATGCGTCTGGTTCCTCACCGAAGACGGCGAAGCCTACCAGCGCGAAGGCAAGCTGTCCCTCGCGCTCAAGCGCTTCAAAACGGTGTATGACATTTTCGAAACGTGGACCGACGACCAGTTCGACTTCCACCACTTCTCCCTGCGCAAGGGCATGGTGCGCGCATACGTCGACATGCTGCGGTGGGAGGATAGATTGCGTGAGCACCCCTTCTTCACCCGCGCCGCGCTGTCCGCAATCAAGATCTACCTCATGCTACACGACGACCCCAAACTCGTGCAGCAGTCGCAGATGAACGGCTCAGGCGACCTCAGCAGCGCAGACAAGAAGAAAGCAGCGAAGAAAGCGCGGAAAGAAGCTGAGAAAGCAGAGGCCGAGAAGAAAGCGAAGACCGCCAAGCAAGCGCAGCCCAAAGCCGCGGCGGACGAAGACGGCGTGCCGAAGAAGGAAGACGCGGACCCGGATGGCCTCGAATTGCTCAAGACCGATAAGCCGCTCGAGGAGGCGATGAAGTACCTCACGCCGCTGCTCGAGCTCTCCCCGAAGAATATCGAGGGGCAGGTGCTGGGGTTCGAAGTGTATCTGCGCAGGCGTAAGTGCTCACCTTCCGTTCCCCAATCAAACATTTACCCCGACTGACTTGCCATGATGTAGAAAAATTCCTCCCCGCGCTGAAATGCCTCCTCGCCGCGCGGAAGCTTAACCCGCAACACCCCAAAGTCGCCGAGCAAGAAACCCGATTCAAAGCCGCGCTCGACAAGCTGCCCGAGCCTCTCCCGCCGAAAGTCAAGCAAGTCATCGACGCTTCGCTATAATGTATAGAGTTTGGATGCTCGACAGGTGCAGGTGGAAATGAAGCGCAAGACTTTTGTTCATACGTGTAGCAAAAGCGAGGGATGGACGGTAGCTAGGTAGCCATGCATTAGCGACGATATACTGAAAAGTCCGGTTCCTACCTTAGTTCGCTGTGGTCATCTTGCTTATTCCTCGCGTCTGGTTGGTTGGTTGAATCGCAGACAAGGCTGGCTGGCTTTCATGATTTCGCTCGGATTCGCTCGCGCAGGGGATATACACACTCCCTATGCCTCCGGTTTCAAGTTTTTGGAAACTCATACTGCCCATCTGGCGCATCTCATCAATCTCAAATCTTCGTCACAGCGTATTGAAACACCCTTCCACCCCTTCATCGACAGCACAGCTACTGAGAGCCGCCCGGCTTCAACCTCCGCTACGTCGTCACATCTCCTCACCACCAATCCTCCCTCACCAGCCCCTGAATCTCCCCTCCACCCGCTCCACCCCCAACAACACCCCAGAGATCCATCCAAATGGCCACCCTCCCCTCGTTACTATCACAATACGAAATCCTCGAAACCCTCACGACGCACATCTGGGCTTCTGACCTCGAAGCCCTCGCTTTCACGTGCCGCGAAATGCACACCTACATCCGTGGCAGCGCGAAAGTGCACGCGCACCTGCGCAAAGCGACGCTCGCGTGTAATGGCGTCAGCGGACGGGCGTGGAAGGAGGAGTGGCTCGCGGATCCGGGAAGGATGTTTGAAACGAGGGGTCGCGTCCTGGTCGAGCGGTTGCGGGTTTCGTATCAATCAAGCTGGAGGTGGTTTGCATCGGATCAGGAGAAGAAAGCGGTGATGCGGAGGTGTCGGGAGGTGTTGTTGGATGAGATGAAGTGTACGGGTGAGACGGAGGGGGCCGAGGGGAGCAGGCCTTGTGTTGTCTGTCAGGAGCCGGTGTGTGAGGTGAGTGCTGTTGTTCGTGTCTTGCGATTGATTGTTTCCCACGTTGCTGATGTGAGATCCACAGAACTGCCGCTTCCGCAGCGCCATTTACGCAGTCACCACCACCCCCCGAGGCACCACCATTAGCCCGAGCTTCGCCGGAGATTACAAGCAGAAATTGGCCGCGCGATGGGACGAATTCTGCCGCGCGTGCGTCGACTTCACGATAAAGGCGCGTCCGGACGGGAAGAAGGAGAAGTTGCCCAAATGCTCGTGTTCCGTGCTGGAGGAGGGGGAGCCGTGGATGTGCGCACCGTGCTACGGGAAGCAGCGCGCGGCTCGGCTGAGCGTGGCCCCGACGTGGTGTGAGGAATTGGTGCCGACGACGAAGGGGTGTTTTGGGTTGAAGCGGTGCCTGCTGAAGTGTCGGTGGTGTCTTGGGTATTAGAGTGCCTGTGGGTTTGTTAAATTTCCGAGGATGGGACGTGGGTGTTACCTATGAAGGATTGAAATGGCGCTGTCGCTTGTACATTTTGTAGCATTGGAGCTGTATATTGTTCAGAGTACGCTCACACTTTCACACTAGACTTCGGTATTAGCACTCATTCGATTGCACGATCGTCATGGAAAGACTCACCTCCAAGGATGCCCGGGCTCATCGCCGTACTGGATGCCTTCAATCCAATCCTTCATCCTCTGCGCCACAGGTCCCGCCTCCTCGTTCGCCGGAAGTCCGCATTCAATCATCTTACCATCCCAACTTATCGCCCGCACTGGGCTCACCACTGCTGCCGTGCCAGAACCAAAAACCTCCAACAATCTTCCCTCATTCGCAGCCTCGTCTAGTTCACGCATGTGGAAGCGTCGTTCGTTGACAATCCAGCCCTCGGAAGCCAGGCGTTCGCGAGCGAGTGTGAGGATGGAATCGCGCGTGACGCCCTGCAGGATCGTGCCGTCGAGAGGGGCAGTGACGAGCTCCTTTTGGCCTTGCTTGTTGAGAATCGCGGCGAAGAGATTCATCGTGCCCACTTCTGTGGCGAACTGCTCTGGTTTGCCCGTCTCGGGGTCGATGTCTTCGAACAGCCACAGATTCTGGTGTAGACCCTTCTCCGCCGCTTTCATCTGAGGCACAATGCAGGGCGCGTAGTTGCCGCCGACTTTGTAGTGGCCGGTGCCTCCGGGCCAGGCACGAAGGGCATAGGTTGTTGCTTCGAGGGAGATGGCTTTGAAGCCAGTGGGGTAGTAGGGGCCGACAGGGGAAGCGATGACATAGAGGAGGGCAGATCCCGGGGGACCAACTCCGAGCGTACGTTGCGTTCCGATCATGGTCGGGCGAAGGTAAAGGGAGTAGCCCCGGTCACTGGAGGGCATGAGAGTCAGTGTGGATGTTAGTGTGACTAGTGGAATTAAGAACGTACTTGGGAATGAATCGCTCGTCTAACCGCACAAACTTCTTGATCAACTCAATCAACATTTTCCCATCGAACATGGGAAGTGCAAGGCGCGAGCTGCTCTTGTTGAACCGGGCCATGTTCATGTCCGGGCGAAAGAGATAGAGCTCGCCGTCTTTGCCTCGATATGCCTTCATGCCCTCGAAACATTCAAAGCCGTAGTGGAAGACACACGTCGCCGGATCAAGACTGAGGGGGCCGTAGGGTGTGATGCGTGGGGGAAACCAGCCTTCCTTCGCCGTCCATTCCAAGCTCAGCATATGGTCGGTGAAGTTGGCGCCAAAGACGAGCTGGTGGTGGGGGACAAGCTCTTTGGGGTCGGCCGTTTCTTCGACCTCTAATGTTGAAGCATCAATGGAGATGAGCTTGGGGTTGAGGGCATCGGGGGCGTGGATGTCCGCCTTTGACTGGGACTGGAATCGGTGTTGTTGCTGCCAGCGAGGTTGCTGTTGTTGGTGTTGTTGCTGAAGCAGACATCTTGAGGCATTGAGTGAGGGTAAGCGTTGGAGCTGTCGCGTGCAGCGGGGAAGATGGTGGAGAGAGCGTAATGAGGACGCCATGGTCGTGAATGAGCGGGTCTGGAGGCGATTGAGCACACCGTCCTCCGTCCACGACCACAAAGGGAGAGATAAGAGGGACAATGGCGTGAGAGGCAGATGTGGAAGTATGAGCAATGGAAGAAACTTGAGTTTACCCCATGGAGTAGCTTGGCCAGCGATGTCGGGCTCGGCGGTGGGGCAGGTGTGCCGAGGCGCTAGTGCGGCGGGCGGCGAGTCTAATTCCGACGATCGTCAAGGCTTGACCTTTGTCCATATCGCCAGACACCACTCGGTCGCATACCTTTAACTCTACCACAAACCCAGCGAGCATTCCACATACGACAATCTCTATACCACCGACGATTGCGGCAACACCCTCATCGCCCTGCCAGACTTGGACTTCCACAACTCGAGACACAACTTCCTAATGGCACAAAGATAGAGACGACACACTTCTTGCCCTTCCTTACACCTTCACCACACTCTCTCCGACCATGTTCTCCGGCGCTCTCAAATCCTTCACCTCCAACATCACCTCCTCCTACACCATCGCCGCCCAGCCCTCCTCCACAGCCGGCCCATGGAAGATCTTTGATGCGAAAAAGAAGTCGACCGGCAAGGCGGCCTCCATCTTCATCTTTGAAAGACGATCTCTCGATCCCAGCCAAGGCTCCGCCAACACCCTCGGTTCGAGTCGAAGTAGCAATGTCAGTCTCAAGAGGGCACATGACGAGGTTATTGAACGTTTAAAGAAAGAGGCGAGCAGTCTTGCGAGGCTACGACATCCGAGCATATTGGAACTCGCTGAGCCGGTGGAGGAGACGAGACATGGCGGTCTGATGTTTGCTACCGAGCCGGTCACTGCAAGTCTCGGCAGTTTATTGCAGGAGAAAGATGAGCAAGAAAGGTCTGGAGGCAGGGGTGCTGGCAAAGGGAGAAGATTTGTTGTTGAAGAGACCAATGGCTCCACCCAGCCCAGGGAATTCGAAATCGACGAGCTGGAAATTCAAAAAGGCCTGCTACAACTCGCCAAAGGACTGGAATTCTTACACGAGAGTGCTGGGCTCGTGCACGCAAATCTCACCCCCGAGGCGATTCTCGTCAACGCCAAAGGTGACTGGAAGATCTCCGGCCTATCTTTCTGCGGACCCCACGAGACGAGCAACACCCCTACCAGTCTCACGGCTATCTCACTGTCCGAGGTCTTGAATCATGATCCTCGCCTTCCACGCAGTGTACAGCTCGATCTGGACTACACCAGCCCCGACTTTGTTCTCGACAACTCCTTGACCCCGGCCGCCGACATCTTCTCCCTCGGTCTACTGATCATATCCCTCTACAACTCCCCTCACACGTCTCCGCTGAACGCAGGAGGCTCCTTATCAGCGTACAAGCGTCTCTTTTCCAGCTCTTCGAATGTTCCGACCCAGCACAATAACTTCCTCGTCCCCTCATCACACCCTCTGCCTCCAAAACTCGCCTCAGAACTACTGCCTCGCCTCATCACCCGGCGACCGGCGCAACGGCTAAGCGCGCGAGAGTTTCAGGAAGCCAGCTACTTCGACAACATTCTCGTATCAACAATCCGATTTCTCGATGCCCTTCCGGCAAAGACTCCGAACGAGAAGGCCCAGTTCATGCGCGGCTTGCCCCGGATTTTATCACAGTTCCCGAAATCTGTGCTGGAGAAGAAAGTCCTTCCTGCGCTGTTGGAGGAAATGAAGGATCGCGAGCTCCTGGCCCCCATCATCGCCGACCTCTTCGCTGCTGTCAAGCTCATGCCGACAGGCAAGAGGGCGTTTACTGAACAAGTTGTGCCGAAATTGCGCGAAGTCTTCGTCACGAAAGCCGCAGCGGCTGGCGAGAGGGATACCAGTCGCGAAGCCGGCTTGATGATCTTCTTGGAGAACATGGAGACTGCGGCGGCAAATTGCCCCGGGAAGGAGTTCCGAGAAGACATCCTACCTATCCTCATCTTGGCCCTGGAATCGCCAACGCACGCCATTGTGGATGCGAGTCTTGCGACACTGCCTCACGTCTTACCCGTCCTGGATTTTAGCACCATCAAGAACGAGCTCTTTCCTGTCATTGCCAATGTCTTCGCAAAGACAAGCAGCCTGAACATCAAGATCAAGGGCTTGGATGCATTCTATACGCTCTGCGGCGGGCAAGCGACATCTACCTCCGGAATTGCAGACGACGATCTGAACGGCATTGGGTTCGCAAATAACCAATCGTCAAAGCAAGCCTCTGCATCGAGCAACAGCAGCGCCATTCTGGACAAATTCACCGTGCAGGAGAAAATCGTGCCGCTCCTCAAAGGCATCAAAACCAAGGAGCCGGGCGTCATGATGGCCGCTCTCCGCGTCTTCCAGCAAGTCGGCACCATGGCCGACTCGGATTATCTCGCCATGGAAGTCATTCCCATCCTCTGGAGCATGAGTCTCGGCCCGCTGCTAAATCTGCAGCAGTTCAAGGGGTTCATGGATCTGATCCGCGGCCTAGGCGACAAGATCGAACGAGAGCAGACGCGGAAACTGCAGGATTTGAGGGGCGCGGGAAGTGATAACAGTGGCAATCTTGGAGGCAGAGCTGGCGTGAGACAGGCGCACGGTAATGCAGGAGTCAACGGGCTGAGCAATGGCGACGAGACGGACTTCGAATCGCTCGTGTCTGGGCGAAAAGCGGGTGCCAACAACGACGACTTAATGAACGAGTGGGGTGGTTTCTCCTCCAAACCGGCAGCAAGCCCAGCACCGCGCACCACCAACGTCAACACCAACAACCAGGCAACTTTCTCCTGGCAGACGGCGCCAGCCGCACAGTCTCAACCCATCAACTCGCTCAAAACCACTACACCCGGTGCAAGGACCATCACGCCCGACCAATCAATGTCGAACTTCGCGGCCCTCCGACCTTCAAGCACGCAGTACTCCCAACCTCTTCAGCCTAACACCGCCACCAACACAATGCCTTTAAGACCCGCGCAGCCTATGCATCAATCGTCAATTTCCAGCACAGGAGGCGGCGCAGGGATCGATTGGTCCGCCGCATCCCGACAACCATCAACGAATACCTGGAGCAGCAATCAACCTGCCTCTTCTTCTTTTGGCGCCACCACGACGTCGAGACCTGCGCAGAGTGGGGGGTTCGCGCTTGCGCCGCCGCCTACGAGTCCGCTGACTTTGGGCGGGTTTAGGGCGCCGCCTTTGCAGTCGCAGCAGCAGAGACCGAATCAAGGTCGGGGGCAGGGGCAGGTGCAAGGGCAGAAGAGTGGGTTGGATAGGTATGAGAGTTTGATATGAAGGTATTGGATGAAGATCTAAGGGACAATCTTCAATACGAGACTATTGGATGCCGACGTCTATTTGTTCTGCGATATGACTCTCGGCCCACCGCATGGCTTGTTGTCAACAAAGGCTCGAGATCCTTGCTCCAGCGCTGCCGTGCATCTCTCAGTTCTCCAAATGTGATGTGAACAGTGGCGTAGCCCGCTTGGAACTGCTGTGATCCAGGCGTCGGCGGCTGAGGCATGGAGCCAGATGTGGGCAACGATAGATGAGGCGCATACGAAGGGGCTGCCGTGGTCGCTGGGGCTGGCGCCTGCATATTGTTCCGGTATGCACCACACGTGCACTTCGGCGTACCGAAGGGCTGCATATTAGTGTACCTGGACGTGTTTCCTGAGCCACAGCATCTGCAACATGCCTTTGCGCGTAGTTGGTGTATGTGTCTTCTTGCATCCAGGACAGTCTTCGTCAAGCGTTCCTGGCCCGGCTTGCCCATCGTAGATGGATGCTCTGCACCAGCGATAGGCTGCAAAGCCAGTGTCTGGGTAACTTCGGGATCCCTTGTGGCGGGCCCGGTATATAGATCATCTCGCTCGGTATATAGAGGGTGATGAGCAGGTGGGGATCGCGGTGCGTCGAACAAAAGAGAACTTGAGAACAAGCTTCATCTGATGTTCAACCAGTGACAGCGCTCCCACGGTGTTGCTTGCTCCGACCACTTCGATCCCATTCCAACCTGCGCCGGCTTCAAGCATCCGCCCAAGAATCGCCGGTCGCACCCGTTCGTCGCCGATGCCTCCAACCTGTACACGGCTCATCGCTGCCATGGTGGTGATAGTAGCACATCGGAGCCATGTCCACCTCCTTCAGCTCCGCTCGAAAGGCCTCCTCGTCCCTCACTTTGTACAGTGCGATGGCGACATCCGCGAGGAACTCATGGTTGACGTCGGCCTCTGCTTCAAGCCACGTCTTGTCGCCGTTTTGAACGTACAAGTTGACCATGAGCCGCCGCATGGGATCGCCTTTGGGCGTGTTGCGGTACAGGGTGTCGATTGTTTCTTCGAAGTCCGGATATGTTCGAACGACACCCTGCTCTGGATCCACCACGGCATCTCTCGTGGCGGCGTGGAGGGCGTCCGTGATGCAGTCTTGGAATTCGCGGTCCAGGATCTTATCGCCTAGGAGGTAGAGATCGATGAGAATAGCGTAGTTCTTGTCTCCATCAGGCTTGTTGACATAGATCTCGTGGGTGTACAACCACTGGGCGTACAGTCGAAAGCTCTCTGGATCGTCTTTCGGGAGCTCAATGAGGCGACGCTTCCCTTCTTGCCAGCACTTCCGTAAGGCGGAGTAGAAGAACGTTCCCTCTCGATCTAGGACGCCTTCGTGGATGAAGAACATGCGTCTATGTGGTCCAACGACGATCCTGACTCCGGCAGGTTTTCCAAGACTTGGGTGGGTGGTTAGCATCGATGTCGACGTTGGGATAAGAGGTGGTGACTTACTCAATCATGCAGGCGTTAGCGTCCGCTCTCTGGTCGTTGAGCTGTGCCATCTTGAACAGTGGACAGAACAGAGTGGTGTTGAGGTGGTATTGTTGGGGGTGTTGTTGGGCGTATTAGTCGACTTCGGGCTTACGGATGTATAAGACATGGTGTCCAAGGTGGAAGAGGTTGTATATAAGGAGAAGATTGTGAGGATGTGAAGTATAGAATTGAATGTAGAGAGTTGGATGTCGGCGAGGGCGTTGAATATATAGAAGATTCAAGCGGGAGAGAGCGTGAAGCAGAGTGTCTGTGAATGCGATGTTGTGTTGTCAAATAGATTCAGGCAGCAAAGACATTGGGAATGGGTGTTCGGTGCAAATGCAATGTTGCGTTGTTTGACATGGGCGGAACAAACATCGTGAATGGAGTGGGTGCGAACACGGTGTTTTGCCTTGAGACGCTGGCTGCCTGTTCCGCAGGGGTCGAATTGCGCGCAAGCAGAGCTCGGAAGAGAAAGAAGGAAGAAATCATACGAGACATTTGCCTTTTGTTCCGGACGATTGTGACTTGCGCGCAAATAGAGTCAAGACGCGGGAAGAAGAATGAATGCAGGGCGACGCGTACCCCGTGTTTTATACGGTGTCTTGCGCAAAGATGGAGCGGAAAGAAGGAAGACGGAAAGGAGGATGTCTCAAAGTGTCTTTGATTTCCCATCACCCACATGCATGCCCTGAGTCAACGCCGACCCAGCGAGGGTATCCTGTCCCCAGCACGTCCTTGCTCCAATCGTTTGACTGCTCTTGTCCGCGTCATTTCCACGTATGCTCTTCCGCACCACAGTCACAACGCCTCGATCTTCTTCCCGCCGTAGCTTCCGCATTCTTCATCCTTGCCGTGGTGATGGTACTCGCACCCTGGGTCTTCGTCCAGTTCTTCAAGCTTGTCCATGATCGTATCATCTGCCTGGATCTTGTAAAATGCAGTAGCCAGATCTATCAGAAATTCGACATTAATGCCGTCGGGATCGTTTTGGGCGGGTACCATCCACCCTTCACCGCCCTGGCAAATACTCAGATCGATCAGAAGCCGTCTCATCGGACATCCCTTGGATGTGCGCCGATAAAGTGAGTCCACAACACCGTCGGAAGGGAACAAACGTTTTGAGCTCTCTTTGTAGCCAGTGTCGTGGCTCGCCGCGATCGTCGCATCGACGACACGATCTTGGAACTCCCGGTCCAGCAGCTTCTGCCCGAGTACGTACAGATCGAAGAGTAGTCCGTAGTTCCGTTCCTCTGTCTCGGGTTCTTGCTCGTATAAAGGCTTGCAGAACAACTTGCCAGTATACAGCCACTGAACGTATACGTGAAAATCGTACGGGTCATCTTCCGGGAGTTCGATGGTGCGATGGTGTCCTTTGATCCACGGCTTCTTCAACGCGGTCTCGAAGAACGATCCGGGCTTGGTGAGGTAGCTCTTGTGAACTCGATATGTGTACTTATCGGTGCCAACCACGACTTTGATTATTGACGCTTGGAAGCTACTTTCATTAGTGTAAACCACACACTGACGTTGAAGTAATAACGTACTTCATTGTGCTGGAGTCTTGGTCTGCTCTTGGGTCATTGAGGTTGGCCATCGTTGATTTGTTGTGCTTTTCGTACTTCGTGCACGCTGAGAGACAAGGAAAAGAAAGAGAGAAAGAAAGTTGAAGTTGAACGACACCTCAAGCAGCACTGACCATGTGCAGCGTTTGCTGAATGAACGCATGCACGAAGTGAAGTGACAAACGGGGCTCGCAGAAGTAGCGAAAGTCAAATCTTGAAGCATCTTTGAATCTCCATAACTTACATTGCAACACCCTGAACATCAACCTTCACTCCAAGGCTGACACTCGCTCCCTCGTCTCTTCACATCCCATCCCTCCCGCCAGCGGCCCCAATATGACTCCCCAAACCCTGCCCAACACCAGCAGCCAACTTATGATCCTGCGGATTCGCCGCAGCCTCATAAAGCACATTCACCGGCTCACGGCTCAACTTCATCCACTCCCCCTTGAACCCCAAATAACTCACCCTTGTCTCATCCTCCTCCCCTTGACTCCAGTTGTCCTCGAAAAAGAGATCCAGCGACCGCACGGTGTTGAAAAGAGCCCGCTTGACGGGAACCTCCTGCACGTCATTTGATTGTGCGAGTTCGAGCGTTTGCGTCGGCTGCGCATCGCTGGCGGAGGAGAAGTCGAGGTTGTCGGTGTTGAGGAAGAGTTTGAGATTTTGCGGGGCGCTGGAGGTTTGGGATGTGCGGATTAGAATGCTGTGGAGTCGGATTTGGGCTGTGAAGCTAGATGGGGTGTGAGGAAGATGGCTTTCCTATATGCTTGTCTTCTGAGGACGTACGGAACGTGCATGAGCAGCTGCTCATCCGTATCGCTTTTCAGCTCCGGCTGCGAGTCGAGTCGATCAGTCCATGTCTTTTGTAGGATCTTGGTGCCAGATTGCGGCTCGGATTCGTTCAGAGTGGTGATTTTGGAGAAGTCTATCTGCTCATAGATGTGGTTTTGCAGCGCGGGGGTCAGGTCATCGGTGTGGTCGTGAGCGGCGCCTTCGGAGTGGTCATGGCCGTGGTGGTCGTGTTCATCGTGACAGTGAGACATTTTGGAAGCGCTTCAGTAAGAGAGAACGGGCCAGCCGGAAGGTTGAGGGTAATGATCAGGACATTGTTGATGGAGGTGATGGAATGAAGTCGATTCTGGAAGCGGAGGGAATTGTGGGGCGTACGCGAAGCTCACACCACGGCACGTGTTGTGGAGCTGGACGCCATAAATACTCGAGATACATGGTATAAAGCTGTATTGAACGCTGCTTTGCGGTGTGTTTAGAAGAACAAGTCCTCCAAGGGTATTTCCAACGCCTTCGCTCACTGCACAAAAAGGTTTGAAATGCACGGGACGGTAGAAGCATCAACAACCAGCTCAGGCGGCAAGAGGTTCGGAAGCCGTCTGCTTCGAAGCCCTCTCGTCTCGTCTTCGCTTTGCTCGCTCGGCAGGCGTTTCTTGAGGCACGTCGGGTAGCTCTTCACGAATGCCATTGGGTGCGTCAGGCAGAGCTGGCACGGCGTTGACCTCTCGCTCCATCGCCTCGAGCTCATCCTCCACCTCGTCTTCGTCTTGATCTGACATCTTGCCTCCAAGAAGCTCGTCGATTTCCTATGAGAGCAATGGGTAAGTCTGAGTTCGTCATGCAAGACGCGGAGAGAAGCAAACCTTTTGATAAGCATGCGCCTCTTCGCTTTCCCCCATAATCATCTCCACCTTGTCGAGGCCACCCATCTCCCGATGGATGGCTTTGAGCACAGCAGTACCTTGTTGCAGACCGTACAGAACATCTTTCTGCACCAAGGCAAACTCGACGTCGCTGGTTAAGGTCTCCAGCTGCGCAAGTTGCTGGTCTGTTTTGCTCAAAAGCGACTCCTGGTACTTCTTCTTCCGCAAGGCGAGCAAAGCCTTCTGTTTGTCACCATTGCGCAGACACTCCCGGGCAATTTCATGCTCTCGAGTAGTGATTACGGTGATTCGCTTTTGATATTGATGCAGTTTGTCTCGTTGGTTTTTGAGATCCAGTATCGCTCTGAAATCGAGTCAGTCTTATAGCAAATAGTAGCCCTCCGCCCGGAAGAACGTACCGATCTTGAGCAGAGACTTTGTGAGAGCTTCCAGAGTTTCCCCCTCCGAATAGCCGCTGGAAAAACGCCATGCTTCTGGAATGTCGGAGTTGATGTTGCACACAAATAGAGGAGATGGCATCAGGCCTCTTTCGGCTTCGGCACGGTCCGGCGCCACGTGGCTGCAGGGATCCAGAAATCTGTACGAGCAACATCCGAGAATTTAACCAGACGCCACACATCATTCCTTGCGCCTCGTCTTCATCACCACAAAACGATGAAGCGCCTGCAGTCCGCGCTGGATAACGACGTGTGGATCTGCGTGGAGAGATTTCGAAAAGACGGCGTCGCGGCCGACGCCAACAGTCTATACACCGCGTTCCAAAGATCGAATTCCTCATTGAAGCGCAAACCGAAGAAGGTCTTGGTCAGCAGTATCGAGCGAGTGCTCGAAGTCTTGGATATCAACGAATCGGACGGGAACGACTCCGAAGCAGAGATCGAGAGGAAGTCAGCACAGCGCGCCAGCGATCCGGATGTCATGAATAAGTCGCTGCGGTCGACTTTAGCAGCGCCTCCTCCATCAGCCATTCCTGTCTCGACTGACGATGATGGCGCACGAAAGCGCCGCTTGGCCAATGGCGAACCCGCACCCAAAAGACAGAAAGCGGACAAAATCAGCACCGCCCCGCCGACGGAGCTTGCTCTCGAAGACATCGCGGGCATGGACCAGGTAGTCGAGCAGATGGGCGAGCTTCTCAGTTTACCACTGCTGAAACCCGAGGGCTTCCGTCAGCACAATCTTCCATTGCCCAGGGGTGTCTTACTGCACGGTCCACCGGGATGCGGCAAGACGATGATCAGCCGCGCATTCGCCGCGGAGCTGGAGGTTCCCTTTATCGAAATCCTCGGCCCGTCAATTGTATCCAGTATGAGCGGAGACTCGGAAAAGGGTGTCAGAGAGAGGTTTGAGGAGGCAAAGAAGAATGCGCCATGTCTCCTTTTCATCGATGAGATTGATTCCATTGCTCCGAAGCGAGACTCAAGCCAGACCGCGATGGAGAAGCGCATTGTCGCACAGCTTCTAGTCTGCATGGACGAGCTGGGCAAAGACCCCGACAAACCGGTCATTGTATTGGCTGCGACCAATCGACCGGACAGCCTGGATCCTGCACTAAGGCGCGGTGGGCGATTTGACACCGAGATCAACATCCCCGTCCCCAACGAGATCGTTCGGGAACACATCCTCCGTGCGCAAACTCGACACATACCCGTCGCCGCCGATGTCGACTTCAAAGCTCTCGGCAAAATGACTGCTGGCTTTGTGGGAGCAGATTTGAAAGACCTGGTTGGAAAGGCTGGATCCTGGGCGAGGAGTCGATATCGACAAGCACTACGATTGCAAGCGTCACAACTCCTCCCTCCCCCTGAGATGGACGTTGACCAGCCCGATAACCACTACGTCGCATCAGCCACAATCGTCGCAGAGAAGCTACTCATCAAGCGATTGAAGATGCGAGACATCCCAGAACCCGCCGGGTTCGAAGATTTCCGCATCGCAATGGAAGCCTTCCTCGCAGTCCTCCCGAGTATCACGCCATCTTCGAAACGAGAAGGCTTCGCTACAATTCCAGATGTCTCGTGGGAAGACGTGGGAGCACTTAAATCAGTGCGCGAGCAACTTGACCGCGCGATTGTGAAACCCATCAAAAGACCGGAGATGTTCAAAGCTCTTGGATTGCGCTCGCATACTGGTGTCTTACTCTGGGGGCCTCCAGGCTGTGGAAAGACGCTCCTCGCAAAAGCCGTAGCCGCCGAGAGCAAAGCGAACTTCATCGCGGTGAAAGGGCCCGAACTCCTCAACAAATACGTGGGCGAATCGGAAGCTTCAGTCCGAAAAGTATTCACCAGAGCACGCTCCAGCGTACCATGCATTGTCTTCTTCGACGAAATCGACGCCCTTACGCCAAAAAGAGACGATGCAAGTTCAGAAGCCAGTTCGCGCGTCGTCAATACCTTACTAAGCGAAATGGATGGCCTCAACCAGCGCGCAGGAATCTACATCATCGCCGCCACGAACCGCCCAGACATGATCGACAACGCCATGCTCCGCCCCGGCCGGCTCGACAAACCACTCTTCGTCGACCTCCCCGGTCCCGAGGAGCGAGTTGAGATTCTCAAAACGCTGCTGCGCGGTAAGCCGGTTTCGGACGCAGATGTGCCGCATATCTTGGATTTGGCGCGAGGACCGAATTGTAAGGGGTTCAGTGGGGCGGATCTGGAGTCGTTGTTCCAGAACGCTGGGTATGCGGCTGTGGATCGAGAGGGGGAGACGATTGTGACGAGGGATTTTGTGCACGCTTCGACGATGGTGAGGGGGAGTGTTACTGATATTCAGAAGTATCATGCGCTCAGGCAGAAGTTTGGGAATTGAGCGGGTGGCGGCATGAAAGGGGTTACTGATATCTACCAGCATGTGAATCTATTGAGTCATCACGTGAGTGCTTGGCATTTTCATCCTTTGGGCAGCATCCTTGGATCATCTCCTCATTTCATCCAACGCCACGAAGGTGGTGATTCTTTTGCAAGATTCGATTCCAAGCAAGTTCTTGAGCGGTACGGGCGGGTGTGGGACCTCCCTCGCTCCAAGCTTTGTTGGCACAACAATCCAGCTAATGACAAGCCAGACAAATGTCAACATGCAAAAACTACAACCACGGGATCGAAAGTGGAGCCGGAGTCATCATTTGCCATGACAGAGATCGAATTTTCGCTCATGTCGCTTCTCGCAAGTATATATACCGCCTGCCGCGCCCACACCCTGCTTTCTTCTTCATCCACAGAAGGATAGCAGTGAGACGATTCATCAAGCCGAGCCCAAATCCACCGCCATACCCCGTCTTCCGACAACCCTGCACGTCTGGCGCACACCTCGCAACCCGCTCTTGTCCACGTTCCAAGCCGATGCTCGCGCGTTCTGGTTTGGGAGGAGGAAGGAGTTGTGGTTGAGGGGGAGTGACTCTTTCGTGCGCGGGTATCGGGTCGATGCAAGCGGGTGAGGGTGTCGTCCAGGGTGTCGGTCCATCGACGCACGTGAGTGATCGCGACCGCAGCGTCGGTTGCCGCTCGAACGAGACATCGCTGACGTGTTGAGAAGTTAGCACACGCTGTGAGGACATGAAGGCTTGTGTGACGGCGAGTGGGCTGGATGCCAGTCTTGATGGATAGCAGAAATATGACGTTTCATCAGCGCAAAGCTCGAGGGCTAGGCTATGAGGTCGAAGTTTCCCGTCGGGTTTCATCATTGTGGGCAAAGTGAGGGTTCTTGAATGCGAGACACTTGCCTTTGACGGAGTTGTGTGCTGACATTGCGATGCAGGACGGCCGTCTCCTCGAGTGGAGCAGAGACGCGTCTCGATGGGACCGCTTTCTCGATCGGTTGGCCAGCTTGACGAAGACCGGCATTTGAGCCATCGACACGCCGTTGGTAGTGTGCAAATGGACAACGTGAAAGGCAGGGGAAGAAAGTCAGCCACAAGGACTGAGCAGGGAGCACATCAGAAAAGCTGTGAATTTTATGTCAAAGCCCGGGCAATTGCCACAGGCTCATCGACTCAACGCAGAGTGATCATCGCTTGCGACATCACCTGCCTTTGGAACTGCCGGTCTCTCGTTGGACAAGCTGGCAAAGATCGAGGGCGGGAGAGAGAGAGGATCGACGCTTGGATCGCGGGCGACAGACGGGCAACCTAAAAGGCCGGTGAAAAACCGTCAGCCACAAGGACTGAGCAGGGACGCACATCAGACAAGCTTGTGCATTGGAATCAAAGCCCGGGCAATTGCCACAGGCTCATCGACTCAACACGAAGATATCATCAACTGCGACATCACCTGCCTTTTGGAGCTGCCGCGTCTGTCGTCGGACAAGCTGGCGAAGATCGAGGGGACAGACAGAGAAAATCGACGCTTGGATCGCGGGCGGCCGACGACGACCTAGAAGGCAGCGGAAACACCGTCAGCCACAAGGACTGAGCAGGGAGCACATCAGAGAAGCTGTCAAAGCTGCAAGTCAACTCAAAGCACGGGCTATCGCCACGAGCTCGTTGTTACCACAGAGGCAAATCATCAACTGCGACATCACCTGCCTTTTGGGATCGTCTCGTCGTTCGGCGGACAAAGACCGAGAGCGGGACAGTCGGCGCTTGATTCGAGGGCAACAGATTGGACAACCTGGAAGGCAGGAGAAAAAAAGTCAGCCACAAGGACTGAGCAGGTGCCCCCATCAGAACTGCCGTAGTCCAAATCATTGCCGGGGCTCATTGTACACACCGGGGTTGTCATCATTTGAAATATCACCTGCCTTTTGGGATTGTCGGTGTCGCTCCTCGGACAAGCGATCGAAAAGACAACGAAGCCTTGTCAACCGCCGGAGAGCCGGCAAGGGTGCGCATCTGAGGTGTCCGGAAATCTCCCCAGCCGTCGCGACTGGCAAAGACTGATGAGCAATGTGTTACCACGGGGTTGGCCGCTTGCTACTCCGACGTACCTGAGGGAGAATCATCGATCGTGTCCTCGATGCAAGCACGCCACGACCAGCGATGAAGTGTCGATGACCGACAGACAAGATCGAGACACGAAGACTTTACTGCATCTCTTCGTCACCGGGTGTGACTGCAGAAACGTGAGCTGGGCATTGGATCATCATTTGAGACCACCTGCCCGAGAGGAAAAAAGAGTTGTCGATCTTTGAGAGACGCGACCTAGAAAAGAGCGAGGATTGTCAGCCACAAGGACTGGCAGGCATCTCATCAGACTTTACTCCTTGTCTTCGTCATTGCCCGTGAGGGCTTAGAAACGTGAGCTAGGTTTCGATCATCATTTGGGACACCTGCCTGAGAGAGAGAGAGGAGAGCCAAACGAGGTTGTCGTTGACACGATCCCCCAAGACCAATGATGAAGTGTCAATGGCCGCTGCCGGACAAGATCTGGACGAGCATGGTCAGACCATAGCTGAGGTTTTGTGGAGGCTGGAACGCTCTGAGAGGTTGGGGTGCGTGTCGAGAGTATCGATGAGAGACATGGAGACGAGAGGGACGATGCACGAGACTTGATCGAGGGTTTATGAGGATTGCAGTGTTTACATCGATCTATCTGGAAAGGACATATTGCAGTACTTGGGCTGACATTGATAGCAGGGACTACAAAATTTTTATCCCATCGGGAAGGCAGAGGGGAGCGAACGAAGGAAGTTGGAGGTGGTTGCGAGGGAGTCACACGCTCGCGAAGGAAGTGTCTACCCTTTGTGAAAGAAGATCGACCGCTTTTGGAAGAGAAGCACCGTGTAGAAGATGCTGTCACTCAGTAATTTGTGGGAAGTACGACATTGGGAGGCAGCGTCGTCTCCTGTCGGATTGTACAGCAGCAGTATCTATCGCCTACAATCTATAAAAGTGGTAGGCATATCACGACGGTACGGAAAGCACTGGACTCCTCCAAACTACATGTACGAAGTGAAGCTGGCGATGAGAGCTAGGTACGACATCGGACGGTTCTTGCATTGATACTAATCTACTGTCCCCCAACACAGGACCTCACGCCTTGAACCCCTCGGCCAGCAATCCCCGAATCGCTTTCAGGAAAGGCCCAAGCTGCCGACTTTCATTCAACTGCATCACGAGTGGTTCCAGATTCTCCTTCTCCAGTGTCGGTGTCGTGGCCGCAACTTCATACTCCTTGCCATCCATCAGCAACTCAAACGTTGCCTCCTTATTGCCATCCCGATCATCCACACATACAAAAACAAATCTGAGCTGATCCTCGACCCCAAATGCAGACGGCTCAATGCGCAAACCAAGACAGTGCTCCCAGAAGCGCAGCTCGGGAATGTTATGCCGGGCTTGAGCCTCCAGCGTGCGCTGATGTACCGCCTGCGCCTCGCGCTTTTGCTTGATAGACGTTTGAATGGATGCGATATCTGCTTTCAGCCGATCGCGACGTTCAAGATGTTCCTCCTTTTGTTCGGTGAAAGTGCGGATCGCATCTTCCATTTCCTCAGCTTCGGCCGCTTCCTTCGCCAGTGTCTGCGCGTGCGTGGAGGATTTGGATTCGAGCTCGGCGATGGCGATCTTGCGTGTTCGCTGCAGATCTGCGCCAGACATTGTTAGTATGCGATGGTGTTGTTCTGTTGCGCTGCCGGGAAAACATACCTCCAAGCTCGGCCATGTTCATTCGGAATGCATTGCGCTCTTCCAACACCCGCTTCCTCCCGCGTTCGATGAACTCATCAAAGCGCACCGTAAATTGCGCCATTCTCTCGCGCAAATCGTTGAAGCCGAAGTCGACGCTGGGCAGTGTGTCGGCCATGGACACCGCATTTGCGCTGTACGGATGCTGGTCGCGTGAAGGGCCGAAGGAGTTGCCGAAACGGCTCGGAGTCATCGTTAACGTAGACATGTTGCTCAATCAGATGAGATGTTGTCAAGGAGCGTTGAGAATAGGCACGGCCTTCAAAGGTGTCGGGACTGTCGAGTAATTGTATGTTGTTCAAGAAGTGAAGTTGCAGCTGACGTTCGAAAGCGCGCGGATGTAAACATTCGGCAACAGCGGGCCGCGCCGGTTGCGATGCTTTGGCGCAAACCTTAAATTCGCATGTCTTCAAACTGTGCACACACCTCTTCCCTACACATCTCACTACATTCACATCTCAACGGCTATCATTGCGACGGCGATTTATTGCACCTCAACAAAGTGAGATTGCATCACACCACGGCACTCTTGAACATGTCCGCAACACTCGCAACTTCGAGACATAGCCAAACAAAAAACAAGCCCGATGGCTGAACCCGGCTTGGACAAGTCCTTCTATGGACATTTTGGCCAAGCCGAATACAACGAAAATGAAAAGGAATGGCGCTTCGAACGTAACTTGCAGAGCAACTTCGGGTTTCAGGTCCTTGGAGACCCTAAAGCGATTGTCGAGCCAACACGTGAAATTGGCATCGAGCGAACAGTAGAGGGCGAGGAGGGCCCAAGCAGACGACGGGAAATCCAGATTCAACGGCTCGCTCGATCCTATCCCGACCTTACCCCAGCAGGTCATCTATTACCGGAGCTGGCGCGGATCTCGGAAGCTGTGGATGATACAGTCAACTACCATGACCCGAACCAGGGACGGATGCTCGCCTTTGGCAAGATCAACGACCATCGATGGAATCGTGGACGTGAGGTCGTCGCTTTTCCTAATGGCCCCAGTGGCAGTGACCTCCGTGTGATCCAGATTCAAGATGAGCCGAGCGGATGGCAGGATTCAAAGAAAGTATGGCTCAAAGTTCCCGTCGTCCAAGGCGAAGAAGCAGTATGGGAAGGCCCTGGGGTCGCAATCCAGGCGATCGAGTTCAACAGTCCGAAAGGGCGTGGTGAGGTTTTCCTCATCGTACGTTTGATTACCGAGGTCTTGCTGTTCCGTCCCTTCTTTTCTTCTGGGGCGTCAAAGCTAGAGCTGAATCTTCTGTCTCGATTGTCGATGGACGAAATTGGAGGCTCACCGTACGCTCATGTGTCATTGAATCCCTGGAACTCCCGACAACTAACACTCGTGGATCAAGCCGGGGCATGGTCTGTTCATGATTTGACCACACGCGGTGCAATATCTGGCCCGCCACTCATGAGCTCAGCCCTCATCCCCGGCTCAGCAGACGCTCAGTTTGATCCGATGTACGACGGATGGGCTCGGATCCTCTGGACAGCGGCCTCTGATATCGTCCTTGTGTGCAATCGAGAAAAGGCAGTCCTCTGGTCTCTCTCCAAACAGACCAGCAGACAGCTTCCCAAAGTTCAAACATATTTGGACAGTGGAATGGGCTGGATCCTCGACGTGGCCGTCGTTCCGTCTCATGACGATCACGTTGCTCTCCTAACATCTGCACATGTCCTGATCTATCGCATCGGCTCGATAGAGCTGGGCGATCTGTCAGCAGAGATCGTCGCCTGCATTCGACATTTTCGGAACCCGGAGGACATCGGAATGCGACTTCACGTCTGGCAGGATGATAATGGTACTCGAAGCCCCACTCGATGCCATACACTTGTACTAACTTGTCCAGGCGTTGTCGTCTCTATTTACTCGTCTCTAAATCGAAGTGCTTACACTTACTATCTGGAATTGTCAAACACTCGTCACACCCAGGTAACCGATGCGACAGTCTTTGCTCTTCCCACGCCACTCGATGAGGAGGATGCTGAGGCTGGAGTCGTGGATCTTCATGTCCAGGCCTTGTCCATCCATGCAAAGAACCACGCACTGTCTGACGAGTCGTTCCTCGGCCGCTATCTGCGGCGAGGCGTACGCTTCTATTCAATCACGACACTCCAGGAAGACTTCTCAATCCTGCAACAGCTGTACTTTGTCAGCCCTTCAGGCCAATCTGAGGACATATCACCGCCAACGTGGGCGGGAAAGACGAAAAAGAGTGCAGCCAAGATCCTGGAGGATGACTTTGTCGTTGATGATGAAGAGTCGCTTGGGGAAGGCGGGAAAGACATGTATGAAGCACCACGGTCGGCGTTTAGGCAGGCTTGGCGCGCGGTTTCCGATACGCGGTTGTCGGAAGATTGGACGGTGAACTACGAGAACACTGCGCGACGGCTCAACCAAGATTCAGCAAGCTTGGCGACATTTGAGGATGTTGTGCACGAAGCCCGACAGGAGCTATTGCGAACAGACCATGTCGACGCAGTCCCATTCCGGACATTACGAGACTTGACGAATGATGAGATCGAAGTGCACGACTATGATGAAGCAGCAAGGCTCTTTGGGGATCTTCGGAACCCGACGTTGTCAACACGAGCATCGCCGAGGCCCGATGAAGCGGAGGATCCGGCCAACACGATTTCACGATTGGTGCTGCGCACTGTGAGCATACCACCACATCTAGGCTTGCCTCTTTTGGGAGACCTCTCTCTTCATGATATGATTGAGGCATTGCGTAAAACCTGGACTTTGCCGCTCGCTGATGACCCTGCTTCTTCCACGGAAACGTCGAGAGAGCACCTTGTCAATCAAGTAGCGGCACAAGTTGCGCTGGCAAGCCACCTTCTAAGATACGAAGAGCCGCTTAGTCAAGCCGGCGACACGCAACCCAGCCAGACTCAGAGTCAACCCACGCAAGACGACCTCCCAGCTCACTCACCAGCGACCCCATCCTCTGCCCGCCATACGCCCTCCATCTACTTCGACGCCTCAAGCCAACCACCCTTCTCTCCTTCAACATCGACCTCAATAACCTCCCACCGCTCCTCCACGATTCCGGCACCGGAAGTCGTCCGTCTCCGCCAATACACCTCCTTCTCCAAACCCAATCCACCCCCGCTATCCCGCAGTATAAACCGAGTCCTCTCCCACTGGCAACCTGGCACCAACCCATCAACCTACGACTGGAGCGCAGCCCTCACCCGCCGCACGCGCGAAGAAGAAGCCTTAGCAGCGGAAGAGAACGAAGGCGAAATGACCGAGAGGCAGCGCAGACGGCTGCAGAGGCGCACGGAGCGGTACATGGCGCGGCAACGGCGCGAGGCGGAGGAAAGTCAGCGGCAGCAGATGCTGAGCAGTCAAATTCCGGATTTTGGCTTCAGTGCCAGCCAGCTGATGCAGTCTGGTTCCCGCGGAGATATCCGAGAAGGCAGTGTGAGGAGTGGAGCTCCTTTGCAGAGTAGCCAGATTGCTGCTAGTCAGGTTGTGGCGGGGCGACATGCTGCGCGGAGGCCGGCGAAGAAGCAGAAGAGGAAGTCTGGATTTTGAACATCCGGGCCATGGATCTTGCTGCGCCAAGCGATTCGACACGCATGATGCGAAGCCCGCAAGCATTGGAGCACATATCGTTAGGCATATGCCACGTCGGTCTACCCGTGAATCTGATGGAAATCAAACGTAATGCGTCCTTGTTAAGCATCCAGTCTCATGCTCCATCAAAGAATCAAAGTACTCCTGGGCCCCGCCATCAGCACTTGTCCACTCCGCCTGAAAAGTGGAGTTCCAAGGCGGCGCCGGCAGCCAAATGTCCGTCAGCGAGGAGGGCGAAGCAACCCAGTCGTCGGACGAGGAGGCCGATGACAAGGTCGGCGACGGCAACACCGACGTATTGGGCGCAGACACGATGGAGAAAGAGGCGTGCGAGGAGAAAGAATGCAACGATTCGAGGCGCGAGGAACGGATCTTGGAGAGCAGTGACGAGACGTACTGTTGCCGGGTATCGGGCAGTTTGGACACGAGGAGCAGTAGGCGGTTTACTTGCTCGTCGACGTGGGGGTCGCGGTAGCCTTGAAGGTGGAATTCGTGTGCGGTGGCATCGAGGACGCAGCAGGCGATGTCGAAGAGTTTCTTGGTCTGTGGCATGGTCAGTGATGATTGTGGAGAATGACGAAGACGAAGAAGGGGTGTTGACCACGTACCAGAAGGTGGCCATGAACGCGAAGAGTCTCGATGGGATAGTCGTTTACGAAACGCGTGACGCTGCTAGCCAGCTCGCATGGGTATCCCAAACTCAGCACCCCGGTATTGAATGCGTGGGAAACCAGGCCTTTGCGAAACGCGAGGCGCCAGAGCAACACGTTCATCCAGATTTGCAAGCAGCAGACGTCTACCAGATCGGCTGGGCAGGCGGCGAGCACAAGCGATGCCAGTTGGAGCTTTTGCTCGACTTTGAATATCCACTCGATTGACAAACTTGTCGTCTCTTCATCGTTCCAGATGGAGAGGAATTGGGCGTCGATCACTATGCACAACTCTACCCACCGCATGAAGGGAATTAGCTGTGTAGCGTCGGCACTGCTGCTATACGTCGTCAAAGCGTGGATCGTCGGGTGGAGAGTGACGGGACGATACGAGCGCAAAGCATGTGCGCGCTCAGCAGCGAACAAGAACCAATGGAGCCGGCGATCTCGCGTCGACTGATGCAGATTAATGCCGGTGTAGTAGCTCTCTCGATGCATACTAAGCATATGTGAGAGAGTGGTTGCTTCTCGAAGGTAGAACCACGCGCGATCGTCGTCGCCGCTGCGCTCGTAGATGCATGCGAGGAAGGTGTCGATGATGATGGCGGAGGTGAGGGCTTGTGTGGCGTTGGGGCCGCTTCTGCGCTTTGCGATAACGTGCGCGCACAGCTGCATTGAGAGCGAGCTTGCTGAGGCGGGGGCTTCGGTGGAAAGGGCGATGTCATCGCTCACGAGGAGGGCGAGGGAGCACAGGGCTAGGATGATGCAGTGGGCTTCGACACTCGTGTCGACTTGCAACACCATGTTTTGCGCATCTTCGCGGTCGATCAAGGGTGCGTGTGGGTAGACGTTGGTAAAGAAGACGCCGAGACAGACTGCAATCATGTTGTCGGGTAGACAGGACGGGCGCGAGGTTGGCACACGCTCTGTCGAGGCGGGTTGCGTCGAGGCATTGTTCGATTCGAGATATGTCAGCCACGACTCTTGCTCCGGAGACGATGTCGCGCGTCTAGCAACACCCAGCTTCGGGCCCTTCTTGAGCACGGGATACTTGAAGGTGCAGAAGAGGCCGATGCTGGTGCATTTGTCGCAGGCGGCCGATTGCTCTCGACGAATGCATTTCGTTTCTGCCCTCCTCGGTCAGCGTGTTCACCCCCGTTGTTGTCCACAGTGCGGGCTGCTGGTTGAAGGAAGCGGTGGAACGTACTGCGTCGACGACACGAGTCGCATGCTTTCGAGCTCCGATCTGACGGACCCTCCGAAGACGAGCGCGAACTTTCCATCTTCTTCACGTAAGTAAGAAGTTCAAGAACAATGGCCGGGGAAAGGCGAGGAATGAGGCGCGACGAACACCTCATCCATCATCACGGATTACACATCATACCACCCGCCTTCTCGACAAACCCCACCAGTGTCCCAACCGCAATGCAGCGCACAGCAGTGCAGAGCTCTCCCCTTCAGCCCATCTCCGCCATCCATGCCCCCCACACATCCCCAGGCTGGGGAGGAGCAGAGGCCGAGAGAGGCCTAGCAGAGTCATCCGCAGCCCAGCCATGGCAGCAACCCGCCAATCATCGCCGGGGCCGAGCAATCCGGCTGCGCTAGGGGAAATGAGGCAATGCGCTAGAGCATGCATCGAAACGAGCTAGAAGGCGCGCTAGAAGGCGAGGGAGAAGACGCTATGCCACGTCGGTCGGGAGATCGGCACGCTAGGTGGTGGTTGATCGCCGTCAGTGCCAGAGTCGGGCCGGAGATGACATGATGCAGGAGCGGCTCGAGGGTATCGAGAGAGTTTGCTCGTCTGGAGTTGGTGGGGGCCGCCGTAGCGTTGGAGATTGGGCACGTTTGGGTGTGATGCAACGCTGCGCCAACGACATCAGAGGCCGAGTGGTGAATTATTAATCAATGGGCAGATGACGAGATAGCAGTGTGTCAACACGAGTCTTATCTTCATAACCCCCAACATCCTACCCATTAGCTCCTTCCCCTTCTGGACGCTCCACAGTAAGACCCAGCCCTAAAACTTCCTCTCCTCATGATCCACCTCCGTTACGCTCAAACCCCTCTGGGGGCCCCCGTTGAACACCCGGCCCCAGCGCCCCGCGAAGAAATCCTTCGTCGTCTCCATCGAGCTGGCCATGTTCTCGCGCACAATCTGGCGTGTGGGCTTCTGGAAGATCAAGTCGATCTCCTCCAGCGTCTTGCCTTTCGTCTCGGGCATGAAGAAGATTTGGTAGAACCAGCCGAGGACGGCGATGCCGCCGTAGAAGCCTGGATGGAGGGGATTAGTACGGCGGTTGTACAAGTATTAACGGATGATGGAACCACTTACCGAGTGCTAGGCCTGTCTTGGAAAAGGCCTTTTGCATGGCGCTGAAGTTATAGGTGACGATGAAGGAGGACAAGAAGAGCCAGCCGTCGCTGGAAGTCATGCCGTAGCTTCGGAGGTACGTGGGGTAGCTGCGAGCCAAGTGTCAGTACATTGTGTACGAACGATCTCAGGAGGAGAGGAACACGCACACTTCCGACGGAATAACCCATGTCAAACACGCGTAGGAGCCAAAGAACAACTCGTAGATGATGAGGCCGGTGAGGTAGACGGCTTCGGTGCCGGCGGTACCGTTCACATGGTAGCTTGCGCCCACGAGCACGAGACCGATGAAGAAGCCTGGGAGAGTTGCGATGGCCCAGAAACGGCGGCCGAAGCGTTCCATGAGGAAGATGGCGGGGATGGTGCCGATGAGCAGCGAACCGCCTCCGACTAAACTCATGTAGTTGGCTTGGTACTTGTTGAAGCCGATTTGAGACATCAGGACGGACTGGCTGGTGTTAGATATGCGCTCAGAGTAGAGCAGAATAGAGTGACTCACCATGTAGTACATGATAGCATTGATACCCGTAAACTGTCCGAGGAAAATCATGATGTTGGCATAGACGATCGCCCTTCTCGCACGCGGCTTGGTGAAGAAGTCCATCCACGGGAAGCGTCGGCCATTAGAACCAGCATGAATCTCGCGCTCCTCCTCCTCAAGGCTGACCTTCATGACGAAGAACTCTTCGCGACTCTCGGCGCTCTCGGTGCCACGGATGCGCCGCCAGACGCGGAAGGCATCGAGCGTGCGGCCCTTGTGCATGAGGAAACGCGGCGACTCGGGCATGAAGAGCATGCCCGCGAACATGATGGTGCTGAAGACCAGCGAGCTGCCGAGGATGTAGCGCCAGTTGCCCGGCACGCTGATGAACATGGCGGCGACGGCGTAGCCGAGGACTTCGCCGAGGGCGATGTTGAATTGGTACAGACTGACGAGATTGCCTCGAAGGCGGCGCTCGACGGTTTCGGCGACGTAGACGGGGACGGTACCGCCCTCCAATCCCACGCCGACGCCGAGAATCAGGCGGGCGGCGATGATCATGCCGTAGTTGATGCTGCCCGCTTCCAGCGCTGCGCCGATGGTGTAGATGATTGTGCTGATGATGATCGACATGCGACGGCCAAAGTACTCGTTGCATGGCGACAAGATGAGAGCACCGGCCACGGCGCCGAGAGGCATGCCAGAGTTAACAAGACTATTCTGCTGAGTAGAGAGGCCCAAATCCTTGGGAAGGAAAAGATTGGCGCCCGAGATGAGCGACTGGTCCAAGCCGGACAGCAAGCCACCCATGGAGGCAAAGGCGACAAGCAGCCAAGTGAAATGCTTGGGATCCTTGAACTCGAGGTGGAAAAAGCTTCGCTTTTCGCCGCCCTCTTGCCGGATCTGCTCCTCGAGCTGCCCGACCAGCGCATCCGCTTCCCATCCGCCTACCTTGGCGATGTTGAAGGCTTCTTGCTGGCTGTGGATGGCGGGGACGGAGCCCGAGCGGACGGCGTCCTTGATCTCCGCCTCGGACATGTTGCGCCGCTCCTCGAAGGTGGCGTCTTCATAGTGGTGACGGTCGTCACCCTCCTTGTGCTCTTCCGATACTTTCTCCATGGTGGCGATGATGGTGTGGTAGGAGAAAAGGGCAGAGTGGTGGACAGAGGGGAAGGCGACGAGCAGCTAAAACGGCTGGCAGGAAAAGACTTCTTCCACGCTTCTTCTTCGCGCGCACCATCCCACTCATATACCGAACATTGGTGGCGAGTGGGACAAGGCTCCACCGGCGATCGGCACGACGAGGGTGGAGCTTCGTCCGCGGCCTCACTTTTAGCGTCGGCCCTATGGCCAATCCTTATGGATAAGTCGGCAAGTAGCGGGTATGGCGGTGCTTTTCAATCCTGGTTGTACTCGGTGACCTGCTCGTGTAGGGATATTGCATCAGCGGCGGTCGAGGGATCTTCGTCCCAGGTCTGTTGTCGAAGCTCAAGCTCTCGACACGCGCGCGGGGTTGACTCATCACGTCTGTTCAGTGTGCGAATACTGTCACTTCGGTAGTTGATGCTATGTCTCCTCGATCGCATCGCTTCAATCTCCCTTGGGTGGGGACGGAGATCGAGAATTTTGCACTTCGAACGCCGTTGTCGGCAAGACGGCAACTGGCTGCTCGCGCTATGTGTCAAGACAAGCCGCCGACGTACATGCAGTACAGCACTACCTGACCTGACCATTGCGTACTTTGCCGGCGCACTTCATGCATGAACCCCGCTGGACACCGTACAGTATGCAAGAATGCATGGGGGGGCTCACGTGCTCCACATTCTGTATTCTTTCCATCTTCCCACGCGTCTGGATTGGTGTGGGGGCATTGAGAGGACCGGAGATGCATTGGTGTCCTCGCGAGATCACGGTCTGAGCTTGTCTTCCGCCGAAGATGCTTCTTCCCAATTCGAGCAAGCGATGAGCCGACGCGGGAGGTGAGGATATGGTTCATAGTACAGCAATGACCTCATTCGAAGCTCTGACATTAGTCGAAACATATGAACAAGTACCCAGCCAAATCTGTCCACCTTCCTCCCACACGTCCATTCCCCTCCAACCCCTCCGTCACATCCACTTTTGCCCATCTCTATTCCTCCTCACCGCAGAAGAGACACCCTCCAAAATCATTGTCCTACGATGTCACATCGCAAATCGTCTTATAGGCCATCAAACTCGTGTATGGCTGGGTGCAATTGGTTGGATCGCCGGGGCGCAGGAAGAGAACGGGTCTGACCTCCGTGAAATCCGTCTCGCACCCCTGCAGGCTCTGGTACAGCTGGATGGAGCAGGTGGAGGCGAGGTGCACAATCTTGACGGACGACGCGGGCGCCTTGAGCTGTTGGCAAGAGGCGGTGGTGGTGTTGCTGATGGTCGTGGGTTTCCTGCGATGGCAGTAGGTTAGGAATATTTGTAGTGATTGATTGGGCGCAATGAAGGTTGGGGAGAGGGAAGGGGAGGGGCATTGAGAGGTACTCACCCGCCGCACGTCTTGCCGGAGTAGGCGTGGATGGTGTAGAGCGCGGTGGCTCTGCTCTCGAGGCTGGCTTCGAGCGTGTCGACGGGCGAGCAGGCGCCGAGGGCCGCAAGAGCAGTGAGGAGGGAGAGGACGTTGGTTCTCATCTTGGTCCAGTTCGGGGTCTCAAAGAGCACAATGTCGCCGTAGTCACCACGCCTGCTGCTACCAAAAGCTTGTATCGCCTAGCGATCGGTCCGGGATGGTGGTTTTGGATGTGAGGATGTAGAAGGAATGGATGTTCTAATGGTCGGAGAATCAATCGCACTGGTCGTCGCCGACCTCTGGCCCGAACGAAGCCGACCCAAACCCTGTTGCTGACAGTCGTGAGGGGGAACCCCAGAGAAGCCGAAGCGATCAGGGCACGAGAAAGGAGTCCAGACTTCTGCTCCCCCGCACTTTTCCCCAGGTTTGGCTACGATTGCTCTCCCGAGTCGCCGGGTGCTCATGCTTTGTAGATCCGTAAATAAATGCCTTGTGTGATTTTTGATCGCCGTGATTAATGCTTTAGGACAGCTCAACCCATCCATTACTCATATCAATCCCTCCTTCTTCAAAAGGATAAGCACAACGCCCACGACGCCAGCACTGATGACCAGGGCAAGCACAAACGCGCTCACCACCCGACAATATCGCCATGTGGCCGACACCCCGCAACCCAAATAACAAAACCCCTTGTAAGCGCCAAGCGACATAAAGTAGAGCAACATATACACCCCTAGACACACGAGGTGTAGTGTGCTCGGTTTGCGCCTTCGTGTCGACGTGGGGGTGGAGGGCGATGCATCGGCCATGCTTTCAGGTGAGCGGGTAAGAGTAGATGGTAGTCCCACTCCCGCCGGTCGTTGTAACCTAGATATCTGAGCGGACATGACTGAGTTGCCCGACTCGACATCCACCTCCTCCGCAAACATAGCTCTCCGTCCCGCGGTAGCCGCAGCGTAGTCAGGAGGCGGCTGCGCGGGCCCAGCATCCAGCAGGGGCGTCTCTTCCGTAGCATTCGCCGTCCGAGCAGGCGATCGAAGCGCCGAAGAAGACATATATGCCGGCTGGCGGTCATGTAGCGACTCGGGAGGCGAGACGCGATCGAGGGCATCAGCGACCTCGATGGCTTTCGCCGCTTGCGACATTCGGTTTTGATCTTCGAGTGCTCGAGTCTGGGATGATGCTGCCACGGGGCCGGTGGCTGGGTCAGCCTTTCCGGACGCAGCCGCTTCGTCGACGTCGTTGTCGGGAAGCGTCTCGACTTCCCATTCTGCCTCGTCTGCGTGCGACAATTCATCGAGATCAGGTGGCATGGTCGACATGGCTGTAGCCTGAGAAGCGAGGCGGGGTACTGCAGCCTCTTTCCAATCGCGCGTCAACGTCGAAGCTTCATGATATTGTACATGGCAACGAGTGATGGAACGTTGCGATACCGTCTATCATGCGTGAAGACTGGAAGCTGCCCGAGCTACCCTCATCAACAGTCAAAGAGGCAAATGGATGCCTCCAGGCAGCAAGCCAGCCAGCTGAACGCGGAGGGCGAGCCCGCTTGCGGCGCAGCCCGAGCCTTTCGCAGACCGTGCACGGGGATGCGGCAAACGGTGCGATCTGGTTGGTTCGAGCATTGCACTTTGCGACATCATCGTGCGCATCAACACTGTGCTCTTCAACATGAACTTGTGAGCCACATGGATCATGTCAATACTGTCCGGCTTGAGCGGGCTCTGCGGGTGATATCAACTAGCGCCGCTCCCCGACGACCTTGTTCGTCAGCTCTCGCGGAAAGTTGCCGTTGAAGACCTCAATAGGTGAAGTTTACGAACAAGCAAACGACAACAGACCCCAATCGAGCATTCCACCGTCCTCCCCCCGCTGAATAACCGTGCATCGCGTGATACCGTAAGCCTCGCTAGACCGCAGTCCGGAAGAATGCGGAAAGTCCGTCTGACGTCGGCTGTAGACTCGTTTGGTTCAAGGGCCAATCACAAGCACCCGCTCGTTTGAGCGTCACAGCCTCGCCATCGGGCGATATGAGCGCGGCATGATGGCTGGCGTTGCGGCTTACTTCGGAGCGGACGATGCCCTCAAACGACCCTCCATGCAGAATGCGATTCGTGCTATCGTGATGGCGAGTATAAATTGCGCCGGAGACGCCCGGGTACGTACAGGTTTGCGACATTTCTTGTGGTTCATATCCTCCCGAATACTCTGGTTGATGTCGAGCGTTTCGTCTCTGTCTTGACTCTGCTACCGTCCGGAAGTCTTAGCGATGTTGTCCCGCAACCTCGTCCTTCTCTGCCTGGCCGTATTACTGCGGTGCTCAGCGGGCCACGAAGACATGCAGGCAAGCACCGCAGCAATGAACGATCAGAACGTCGCACCATCAAGCTACTTTCGACATCCGTACGCCACAGGCTGGATCTACGCACATATCACCCTCATGATTGTCGCCTGGGCTTTCGTGCTGCCGGTTGCTGTGGTACTCAGCATTGCCCGGGTTCGGTTGGCGAGCACTGTGGAACTCGCGTTCCACGCCTTGAACACTGCTGGTTTGGTCCTCGGAGTTCTCTATAACAGCATGACACCTGATTTGTATGCGCATAGCGTCCACGGGACTTTTTCCTGGATAGTGACAGGGCTGTCGATTGCCTGGTCGCTGGCCAGATGCTCGACACTGATCAACCAGCGGATTCTCAAGCCGTTGAGAACGGCAACGTCGAGTTACAATAGGATGCAACGAATTGCCGAAGACAGCGAGAATTCCGACGACTATGCGGAGTCAGACGACACATTGCTCGGGACGGACGACATCTTGCCCAGCGCCGCCAAAGTACGCCCAGAAACCTCTCGAGTTTGTCGCTGGGCTTCGCAAAGCATTCGTCTCACTCGACTCGTCCTGGACAGACTCCTGCTGCTACTCGGCTTCGCAGCATGCGTCAGCGGCTTCGTGGTGTTCAGCGGGAACTTCCGCAATCTGGAAGTATATGGTGGCCTGTCACACTGGATCAAAGGCGGCGTCTTCTTCTGGTGCGGCCTTCTCGCGCATGGTCGCTGGATCGGCGCGTTTGCAGATTTCGGTTGGGCATGGAACATAAAGCCCAAGGGGAAAGCGACGAGAACGCCTTCGCTCGAGTTTTTCGAGTCTTTCTTCATATGGCTCTACGGAGCATCGAATGTCTTTCTCGAGCACTTGTCCAACTGGGGTGGCGAATGGTCGGCCACGGACTTTGAACATATCAGCATTACACTGCTGTTTTTCGGCGGCGGTCTTCTTGGCATGCTGGTGGAGTCCGACGGGGTACGTCGGATGCTGGATGTTGGGTCGTCACAGAACAAGTCCAGGGACGACTAGAACGCATTGCGATCGCCTCCAAGGAAAGTGTCTCTGAATCCAATTCCCCCTTTGACAATCATGCTACTCGGCCTCATGATGTCTTCCCATCACCAACAAACCGAACTGGGTACGAAGCTGCACAGCCAATGGGGCCTCCTCTTCTGCGGTGCAGCGATTTTCCGACTCATCACACTGATCAGTCTGCACCATAAGCCACCATCACATCAGCCTTCACGGCCAATGACCGAGCTAGTGGTTGCATTCTGCCTGACGACCGGCGGGATTCTTTTTATGATGAGTGGTCGTGACTCGATTGCAGGCCTAGCCTCGAGTAAGATCATGGCGATGACAGCATTCACCGCCACGGCAGGACTATCCGCAGTCATCCTCAGCTGGGAGGTCGTGGTATTCGCAATCAAAGGCTGGGCGCAGAAGCGCGAGCCACAATGGATCGGCCCAGACAAACCATTCTCGAAGTGAACCACCGAATTCTGCAGCACAGCGCTTAGTCTCGCAAAGATGGAAAAGCATCAACTCTGTCTGACCCGATAATACTCCGGAGCATACTCCAGAAGCCAGGCTTTTTCGATCTTCGTCACATCGCGGATAAAGACTTTGTCATTCGTTTCCACAATCTCGGTGAAGATGACCCAATCCGCCTTGCGATTGAACATCAGACTGGAAGGGTGAGCGTGCAGCACATTGCCGCCGTCGATTGTTTTGAAGGTGCCATCGGGCATCATCCTGGCGGCGTGCGTGAAATAGCCAGAGGTCAAACAGCGGCGGATGGATTCTTCTTTCGGCAGAGTGTTTTGGGTGATTGCAGGTTTAGCTCCATCGCCGACGACATTTAGTCGCTCCAGGTATCGCCAGAGCTGGTTGCGGATGGATACAGCACGGCTCATAGATTTGAAATTCAAAAAATGCTGTTGACACCATTTTGCATCCTTTTTGCCTTTTATCGTGAACGCCTGGTATACGTTGAGCAGCGTGAGTTGATCGCCTTCCTCGGCAGCAAACTGTCGTCTCGCACTCTCTTCTTTCTTTTTCTCGTCGTGGCTAAACCACACGCTTCCTTGCAAGCTTGTCATTGCTGCAATTGTAAGCATCTCGTCCAGGCACCCGAAAGAAGGAGCAGATAACAAGCACTTTGCAAGCATGGGATCTAGTGCGAGCTCGGCCATGCGCACTCCCAGTGGCTTCGTAAGCTTGGCGTATTCGTCCAGTGCGCCGAGGGAGTACAGAAGCTCAAGAGCGCGCACCACAAGGTCTGCAGGCGGAGGAGTGAGGAAGGCAAATCGGGCGATATTGTCGACACCGAGAGCTTTGAGCTGCAAGATTGTGGGTGCGAGGTTTGATCGTTGGATCTCTGGGACAGTCACGTCTTGCAGTGCCTCGAATGTCGTCTCAGGGTACAAACGATGACATTTGCCTGCCTTTGTACGACCGGCTCTGCCTGCCCGTTGCGTCGCAGAGGCTTTGGAGACAGGCGTTGTTATGAGCGAGTCGATTCCTGTCTGGGGGTTGTATGCCCGTAGTTTTACGAATCCACAATCGATCACATAGACGATGCCATCGATTGTCACACTGGCTTCTGCAATGTTCGTGGCGCAGATAACTTTTCTCGTTTGATCCGGAGCCGGCTCGAAGACATACATTTGCTGTTCCACACTCAGGCCAGCATATAGCGGAAGGGGTAGGAGTCTGTCCGAGTCCTTGGGAAGGGAAGGCAGACGCTCTGCAATCATGTCCATCGCCGTCTCGATCTCTTCGCGTCCGGTCAAGAAGATCAGGATGTCTCCTTCTGGCTCTGAGGCGTGAATATCGAAGACAGTCTTGACAGCTCGCTCAAGATAGTCCTCGCACGGTTCAGAAAGATAAAGGATGTCGACGGGGAACGCGCGACCTTCCACGCTCACGATCTTGGCTGGATGGCCATCCGGGCTGGGTTCTGCATCGGAGTCTGCAAAGAAGTCGAGGAAGCCTTCGACATCAAGTGTAGCCGAGCTGACGATGATGCGAAGTTCCGGTCGCCGCTTGCGAATCTTCTTCAGCAGCCCAAGCAGGACATCAGAACTGAGGCTCCGTTCATGGGCTTCATCAACCATGATGACGCTATACCGACTGAGCAGAGGATCGACCAGAGCCTCTCGGAGTAAGAGCCCGTCCGTGACGAATTTGATCTTGGTAGTTGCCGAAGTGACATCTTCAAATCGAATAGAGTAGCCCACTTCTTGTCCCAGTTGGCACCTCATCTCCTCGGCCACTCGTTTGGCCACAGTGGTCACTGCCACCCGTCGAGGCTACATTGTCGCTGTAAGCTGTCAACCGTCATTGCATGAAAATAGGGGGACGAAGGGTAGGACTTGCCTGCGTGACGGCAATAACTTTTCCATCGTTACACCAACCTGCTTGCTCAAGGAATTGAGGCAGTTGCGTTGTTTTACCACTACCAGTTGGCCCGATCAGAATTGTGACGGGCGACGACTCGATGGTGTAGAGGAGAGCCTCCTTATGCCGAGCAATCGGGAGTAGCGATGAGGGCTTGTACAGCGCCGGGATGAATGAGTCGGTATCTGTCATGGCGACAGTCCTTCACGGCGTGAGCCCACCCTGCTTAATTACATTGAATTGTTCATTTCGCCGCAACACGCGCGCGCGAAGTGCATCTCAAGCTTACTAAGCCCTATTGCCAAGACAATGACGAAGCTTCCGCGTTTTAGCTGCGGCGCAACTTGGAGTGTTGAGGCAGCAGCTCAAACATAAGTTGTAACTTGGACCCGAACAAACGCCCACAGCAATCCGTTTGGGCTATTCTCCGTTTCAGCACGACATTGACCCTTCCTGTACTCTGCTCATACTTCACGAGGAGTTGTCACGGAAAAATTTAGCAACATCAAAATACCATGGCCGACAACCCTCAGTCACCGCTCAAGCACGAGGAATCGGCGACGACGCGAGAAGAGATGGACTTTGACGATAATGACCACGATCAAGCGCCGAGTCCCGTGTCTCCCATTGAAGCCGAGCCTCCCATCGGTGTCACTCCCTCCAAGAAAGTCTCGTTCCAAGAGACGGCAGAAGAAGTCGCTCCACCAAAGCCCCCGCGGCCGCTGAGTCCGCAACAGCAAGCCGAGCACACGCTGATTGAAGCTTTTCCCACCATCGACACCAAAGTCGTCAAAGCCGTTTTGATGGCCAGTGGAGGCCAGGTGGAGCCGGCATTCAATGCACTCCTCGGCATGAGTGATCCGGACTTCACGCCCGAAACACAGGCACCCCCGCGTCAGCCTCCGCGCCCAACTCAACGAGCTCCAATGTCGCAACTGGAGGCCGATGAGCAGTATGCACGACAGCTGGCAGAGCAGTACAACTCAGGTGGAGCACGCTCACAAACAAGGTACAACCAGCGGGAGCCAGCTCGACGTGGACCAAACTTGCAACCTCGCCCTGCATACGGTGACGACGAAGACCGCAATTTCTTCGACGACGACCTTCCCGAGATTGGCAGGAACATCCAACAAGGCTTCGTGGAGACGCAGAAGAAGGTGAACAGCTGGTTCACGAATTTCCGAAAGAAGATTGATGGGCAGGACGAAGACGAGGACGAGGACGATCTGTATTCTGCCTCGCAATCCAACAGTCGAAAAAACACCGGTGGCCTAGCCCCAGGCCGCCAGAACTTCGGCGCCAGCCAAAGCGAGCAGCTCTACGGGATTCAGAAGCAGGCAGAAGCGCGGCAACGTCAGAGCACCGAAGCCAGCAGGTACGACGCCGACCCACACGAGATGGGTGCCGACGATTTCGAGCGACTTGAGCTGCGCGACGACGACACGGCACCTGGTCTACCCCCGCGCACATCCAGTCGCAAGACGGCGAATCCGGACCTGTTTAAATCGGCCGCCTCCAAGCCGCCGCAGTCGGGGCCGGTGGACGAGGTGGAGGCCGTCGGCGATCCTGCGGACGCGAAGGCGCGCAAATGGCAGCCGTTGACGTCCGTCGCGCCGCATCCGGAAGAGGACAACGATCCGTTCAGTCTGGGCGATGATGACGAGGACAAGGGCGAGGATTTGAGGAAGGAGGATAGTAACAGGTTGAAGGAAGCGGCGCGGAATAGTATCAGTGGGCCAGCGCCAGCGAAGCAATTGGAGGAGAGCGAGAGGAGCGGAAGCAAGAATTTGGAGGCGGAGGAGCTGTTGAGCGGGAAGAAGGAGTAACGGCCTCCAACACGCCTTGATGGCGAAAAAGCCCGCTATGCTAGAATGATTCATGCAGCGAGAGTCAGGCCAGAGTAGTATCACCACCACCTCTCACCTGCCCATCTCGCTCCAACCTCCCCTCCTTCCGCACCCTCCCTCGCTCCATCCTCTCGCTCTCATATAACGCCCTCTCCCGATCCACAACCCCCAACATCTTGACAGCCATCTGCCGATTCCTCCTCTTCTCCTCCTCCAACTTCCAATCCAACTCCGCAATCGCATCCCGAAACGCATCTCTCCAAGCCACCCGCTCCTCCCCAATAGTCTTCCCCTCAATTACCACCCCCGCCTCCTCCGCCAGTAACTCATCCCACTCGTCCTCCCTCTCCGCCACGCTCTTCTCTTCATTCAAATGCCACCGCCAATTCTGCCGATTCTGCCGTTTCAAAATGCGCGCATTCAAATAGCCCGAGAGATTCGCGGGTTGCGGTTTTTTTATGCGCAAAACGGGGATGTGGTTTGCGTTGAAGAGGACGGGGATGTGTCTCTTGCCGGCGAGTTGGGCGAGAGGAATCGGGCGGTCGAAGATTGAGGGTCCCTTTTTTTCCTCCATCCCAGAAGAAGCAGCACTTCTCGCTGGAGAATTTGCAATAAGCTGCGGCGGAGGAGGAGCAAGGGGAGGAGGCCCCTTCACCCTCTCTGGTGCCCTCCCAAGTAAATCGATAATATACCCCCGACTCGCCTCTTCCCCTCCCACGGCCGCGTCTAGATGATCGATACCTTCATACCCCGCTTGGAAAGAGATTCTCAGCCGCCGAATGCTGTGCAAGTGGCGCGCTTGTCGGAAGCGGTTGCGCACGATGTTCTGGAGCTCGGCGCGTTGCGGGGCGGTGATCGGGGAGGGGAGGGCGCGGCATTGTGTTAGGAGGGCGCGGTAGAGGGCGAGGGTGGCGGCGCGGTGTTCTGCTGAGCGGGCGGGGAGGCGGAATTTGGGGGGCATGTACTATGTGTGTGGGTGCGGCATTATTCGTGGGGGATGGAGGGTGGGTGGAAGTGCGAGATGGAGGAGGAGAGGTTCGAGGTGCGGGTGCGGCCGAGGCGAGATTGTGCACTGGCCAGCGGGGCGCGCAGCCTTGCTGTTTTGCCTCCTTACAAATCTCACGGAGGTAAACGATTCGGACTAGGGTATGTTGGCCTCGCCAAAAATCCCAAACATCTCTGCGCAAGTGCCAGCTTTCAGTCCCTCGATCGTCGCAACAAGTTTGTCTCTTACCCCGGCTGATGGGAAGAGAGTCTGCGTCTCCGCGTGGAAGCGAGAGACGACGGCTTCAGCATCAAGCCACGGCACGTCTTGCAACTCCTCGTTGATAACAGACCCATCCTGCAGCGAGACTTGGATCCGAGCAGGCTGACGTCCTTCTCGGAAGCCATCGGCAAAGGCAGCGTCGGCTTCCACGATACATGCCGCAGCCAGCCTTGCGACATCCTGATCATCGAATTTCTGGAATAGCTGCTCGGAGATGTTTCCGTGAAGTAGGACAGCACACACGCCGAATTGGATGCTCATCTTGGTCTGTTGCACGTTCGTGAAGGGGCCTGGGTTGTCGCAGCCAGGATAGTTCTTCGCGCCACTCGTGCAAGCTACTTTCACGCCTGCAATCGCTTTGGCATCCAGCTTGTGCGCTTGCGCGAGTCTCAAAGCCACGGCCAAGGGTGTTTGGGCGTAATTGCAACCCGGCGCTGGCTTGAAGCGTACATCGAGGATACCTTGGCCGGCCTATTTGTTTAGTCCGTCGCGGAACAGCTGGCTACCTTCAGACGCCCCCAGAGCGGCAAAGAGTCCTGCTCGTCCTTCCAACAGCGTTTCACTGCACTCCAGGCCTGCCACCGCGAGATCGAAAGCGACGATTCCACTCTGGCTCGCCATTCCCATTTCGGTATATATCTCAAGTCCGCCCGCCCATGCCCACTCGTTATACCCGCTTGAAGCATTAGCAGCGAAAGCCAAGGCATGGACTGCAACGTCTTCGCTGACCCTCGACGACACGAATGCGGCAGTGACTGCTGCAGCCGCAGCACCAAAGGCTCCACAGATGCCACTCGGACGGAAGTGGCGATTGTAGGAGGCGCTCTGCTGCACACTGACGCCCAGCAATGACGCCGCCTCGTAGCCGCCTATGATTGCTCGCAGGAGCTGGTCTCCTGTCCAAGCGTCTCGTTGGGCGAGAGCGAGAGCGGCGGAGATGACGATGGAGCCGATGTGGGAATTGGATTTGAGGTGCATGTCGTCTCGGATTGCACTACTCTTATTAACATCCATGTCGACATCGACCACGCACAAGATCACTCGTCAGGCATACCTATGCGCCAGAAAGGCATTGACAAAAGCAGCCGATTCGGCGGAGACATTCTCCTCTGAAGCCCACGAATGTGCTTCTGGGGCACCTTTCCGACTGCGAGCGTACTTGCGTATCTGTGGAGCCCATGGTGCTTGAAGGCCTGAAGCGATGGCGCCTAGGTAGTCGAGAATGGCAAGGGTGGCCTTTTGGTTAAGCTCGGAGGGCACATCCAGTGTCGCGATGGCGTGCAGACGGCGGACTGTGAAGCGTATCAAGCTGACGCTACCCGGTACTGGTTTTGTTGCGTCCATGTCGTTTTATCGGACCGCAGCATGTCGGTATCAGCAGGCGGCGCGGGGAACGGACGTAAGGTGATGAAGATCAGGCTAGAGAAGCACACATCTCTTGGGTCTAGCTGGCTGGAGCTCGGCAAATCCAGGAAAGGTCAGGGTCCAGCGGGCGTCGCCGCCGCAACGGCTCGGGGCAACAATCCCGGACAAGGCTGTGGGATTGGACATGGGGAATTTCGTGTCAATTGCGCCTGAAATGATTTGTAGTTATATCATTGATGACGATGGAGCTGGAGTAGATGGGTCTGCCTAATTAAAAATTAAAAAACTCCGGCTGACGTAGCTGCATGACCCATCAGCCGAATGATTACTGGTGGCGGGGCTTTTTTGCAGAGGAGGCTGGGAAGCTGTAAACCTCCGCGCCAACCAAAAGGCGGTGGGGGAGATTTTTGACACCTCTCTCAACCTTGGAACTCCCTCCCACTCGACTCTCTTTCCCCAAATTCTCCGTCTGCACCTTGCCGGAGCTTTTCGACATCATCCCTATCGACACCGAAGAATGATATCGCCCTGACACTCCCACGTCCCGCACATCTTCGCAACGCCCGGAAGTGGGGCTCACCTTTGCTCGAGCTCGAGCATTCCACACCACACCACATTCCATCCCAACTCCCACCACCCTTCCGAAAGATGCGGCTACATCTCGCTCCCGCACCCCTTCTTCACCTCATCGCCACCATCCTCCTCTCACCAACCCCCACCACCGCAAACCCTCATCCGCCTCCCCGCGCCCTCGGCGGCTTCGACTACAACGAGCTGTTTGCAAGATGGGAATGCAACGGCGTCAAATGCGGGTACTCCTCCCAGCTATGCTGCAACGCCGGCAGCGGCTGCTACACCAACTACTTGACGCAGGCGGAATGCACGCCGCTCGCCAGTCAGAAGGCGAGCGGGGGCTACTGGACGACGTACATGGCGACGACGGTGACGGATGAAGAGACCGTTACTACGACTGTTACGCGGTACATCCAGGAGACGAGCACGGCTCGCTGTAATTATGCTCTAGGCGAGAGTTCGTGCGGGAGGATTTGCTGCGACAAAGACCAGTACTGCAAGTCCCCCGGTCACTGCGCCCCCGCCTACCCAGGCGAGACAACAACGACCGCAACGGAGATCATCACCTCTCAATCCCAACGCACAACGACCACCCAGGCCGCCCCCACCTCCAGCGCCTCCCCCGGCGTCCGCCAAACCACCTCCTCCGGCATCCTCATCACCCAAACTTCGAGCCCCACCACCACAGTCGCCTACATCACCCCCGTCGCCACCGGCGCCAACGTCACCATCTCCGAATTCCACTCCTCCCCCCACCTCTCCGGCGGCGCCATCGCAGGCATCGTCATCGGCGTCCTCGTCGGCATCTTCCTGCTCGCCCTGCTCTGCTTCTGCTGCTGCCTCCGCGGCATCTGGGACGGCCTGCTCGCCATCTTCGGCTTCGGGAAGAAGAAGCGCGTCACCGAGGTGGACGAGTATACGCGTCGCACGCACTACTCGTCCGGCGGGCAGCAGCGGACGTGGTATGGAGCACCGAAGAAGTCGAGAAGGGAGCGCGAGGAGCGGATTGGTGTGGATTTGCTGGGCGTTGGGGCCGGGTTGGCGGGTTTGTGGGCGCTTTTGGGGTTGAAGAGACGGCGGGATGAGAATCGGAATCGTGAGCGGAGGGAGCAGGAGAAGTACTCCGAGTCGAACTTTTCGTCGAACTACTATACCAGTGCGAGTGAGTGATCCCCCCAACTAATCGAGAGAGATCGACGTGCTAATTTACTGCGAACAGGTAGCGAAAGCTCGGGTCAGCGAAGATCAGAACGGTATTCGCGGCATTCTGGGCGACAGTCGGGATCGAGGAGGCCGTGAAATGAATAGATGAGTGTGTCTTTGGCTTGATATGAATGATGTTGCATTGCGTTGGGATGGTTCGATGGAGTAACAGAGCGCGCATCGCGTACAAAGTGTACAGCAAGAGAAGAGACAAAGAGCGTGTTATACCCCCTTCGTGCGTGCATTGGACATTACATAGAAGCAGTGACTTAGCATTGTATCCAATGTGTTGAGACAAGACCAATCCCTCGTAGAACATGTGTCCAGAGCGTGCCATTGAAACCCCGTTTGACTGGAATCAAGTGTTCGATCGAACTCATCGACCTGACGGCTGTATGCCACATCTCACTACCAGCGCCATTTCCAACGCGAAGAGAGCGTCCGGAAGACTCGCCGAAGTTTGCGACCTTGACAGCACGGAGATGCACCGCAAGGCCGACGGCGGACATCCCGAGGCACGCCCGCTAGCGTCCGCTTCAATCTGGCCAATCAACACAGAAGCTTCAAAATTTCCCCCAAAAAGTTGCCCGCTTCACTTCCATACCACGATACTTCCATCCTCTGCAAAGAGTAAGATTCCAATCATGGCCAAAAAGCGCAAAGCACCCTCCTTCGCTCGATCCGAAGAACTCCCCTTCACCACCAATCCGGACATCGAGGCGCATGCCCCTTCGCGGAAACGCATCACGACATTCGAAGATGTCGCCGACTCGGATGATGAGTTCCACCTTGGGCGCGATGCGATTTTGCTAGACGAGGGGCCGGAGGCGAAGAGGAGGCGGAAGGTGATGGAGGAGGAGGCGTTTCTTGAGGAGGAGGGGGAGGAGGTTTTGGGGGTTGAGGATGAGGATGATGAGGAAGAGGAGGATGAGGAGGTGGATGGTTCTGATGGGAGTGGAGATGAGCGCAGTGAGCATGAGGAAGACGCCCTGGGTTGGAGCACTGCCAAGGACGATATCTATGGTGCCGATGAGATTGAGACGGAAGAGCAGGCGTTGGAGGAAGAGGCGGAGGCGTTGCGGTTGCAGCGGAAGCAGTTGCAGGCTTTGACTGCTGCGGATTATGGCTTTGATGAGGGAGAGTGGAAAGGGGAGGCGGACGAGGAAGAGGAGGATGCTGATGCTCGTGTGGTGACGGAGACTTTGCCGCAGCTGCAGGTTGGGAAGGACATGCTGCCTGCGGAGCGATTGAAGTTGCTGCATTCCCGCTACCCGGAGTTTGAGCCGTTGAGCAACGAGCTGTTGCAGATTCTCGCCGAGCAGAGAATTCTGAGCAGAGACATCGTGTGGTGGAGGAAGCAATACACGGAAGACTCTGCGCCGAATCTGACGGCGAAGATCCGAGCGGCTTCTGCTTATGCTGGGGCTTTGACGATGTACTTTGCCCTTTTGACCTCCCCTGCAGCGGAGGGAGATCCTCATGCTACGGCTTTGTCTGCCGTACGACTGCGAGATCACCCGGTCATGGACGCGTTGGTACGTTGCAGAGAGCTATGGTCCCGCGCAAAAGACCTGCCCATCGATGCCGAACCGGTTCAGACAAGCCGCCAAGTTTTGTCTGGCACTAACGACGAAGTCGTCTCGAAGAAGAAGTCGAAGAAGAATAACAAGGCCGTCCCGGTCAAGAAAAGTCGAGCTGAGAAGCATGCGGAAGCCACACGCAAAGCTGCAGAAGCACGAAAAGCCGAGCGGATGGAGAAGGTCGAGGCCGATCTAATGGACCTGGACAGCTTGATCAAAGGCTCTCGGAAGACCAGATCTAAGCGACCAGCCAACGACGCAGATTCAGACATCGGAGACGAGACGCCACTGACAGCACAAGAGCTGGCCGAAAAAGCCAAGAAAAAGAAGAGTCTGCGCTTCTACACCTCGCAGATCGCGCAAAAGGCCAACAAGCGTGGCGCCGCAGGACGAAACGCAGGTGGAGACGACGACATCCCGCATCGCGAACGTTTGAAGGACCGACAAGCGCGTCTGAACGCCGAAGCGGAGAAACGCGGGCAGCGCAACACTCAGCCCAGCGCCGCGGATCTAGGCGGCGACAGCGATGAGGAAGACGCGAAGCAAGCCCAAGCTATTCGCGCGACCGCAGGCGGCGACGACGACGGCTACTACGACCTCATCGCCTCTCGCACCGCGCGTCGCAAAGCGGACAAAGCAGCTCTCACCGCCGCACAGAAACAAGCGGCCGAGAGCGGCGGGCGCGTTGTGCCTGAGGAAATCGTGGGCGTGGACGGCAAGCGGAAGATCACGTACGCGATTGAGAAGAACAAGGGCCTCACGCCGCATCGGAAGAAGGAGGTGCGCAATCCGCGGGTCAAGAAGAGGAAGAAGTATGATGAGAAGAAGAAGAAGTTGGCTTCGACGCGGGCTGTGTTTAAGGGTGGGGAGGGGAGGGGTGGATATGGGGGTGAGTTGACGGGGATCAAGGGCGGGTTGGTGAGGAGTGTGAAGTTGTGAGGAGGAAATTGCGATGGGTGCCGTGTTCGCTGCTTCGTGCCTGCCTTCAATGGCGGACTACTCGTGGGAGGCGTGAGATCTAGCAACGCTTCTATATCCCACCTACACGCGCACCTCGATCGATAGAATGTCACTCCCTGCCGCTCCCCAATTCCTAAGCAGCTTCGCCACGCTCGCCGTCGTCATTACTCTCTGCTTGAAATTCTTCCTCGACTACCGTGCATTCAAAGCCCTCGGACCAGGTGGCACACCATCCACCATCGTCGGCTTCCTCCAAGTGCAGATCCTCGGTTTCTTTGCAATGTCGAATCGCTTCGAGCTCCCGGACACATCAACACAACACTGCCAATCTGGGCTACAGCCTGATACGGCCTTCTTGAGTCGCAATCTTCCACAACGGACTGGTCCCCGGCCAGTAACGAAAGGCATAGCACCCCAACGCCAACTAACTCAAAGAATCACGGGCGAAATATACACCATCCTCCTCGCAGGACTCACCTCCATTCCAGCCGACAAAACCACCACCCTCTCAACCTCTCACATCGAAGGCCACAGTCCAGCTCTCTTGCAAGCGAGGTGTGCCATTTACACGCCCTCGATGGCTCGATGCATGTGGTTCTCGGGCGCGAGGATGCGAGGGTTGTGCTGGAGAGGGGATGGGGGGAGACGCATCCTTTGGCGAGGGGCGGGTGGTTTGAACGGTTTGTGCCTGGGGGGTTGGTGTTGGTTTATGCGCCGAGGGATGCAGGGGAGGTGGGTGTTGTTTTGGGGATTGTGGGGGCTGCGGTGCGGTGGGGGAGTCAGGCCGAGAGGTGAGGGTATGCCTTGACTGTCATTCTTGGTTGGTAATAGTAGTTGACTTCTTCCAAATCGCATGACCTATCGTCTTGATAGCATAAGCCTTTTGTTCAACACGGCTTCGCGGCTCGTCAAGCTCTCAAGGTTCCATTGGTTCACAGACGGCAAGCTTTCATGAACCAAGTGGCGCACGTGAGTGGCGTTTAGCCTTGTGCAGGGGATAGATCAAGGCACGGAAGGCAGCGTATTTGCCTTGATGCACTGTGCACCGATGAAAAGTTCGAATTGCGTGCTCTCAACGAGAAGAGTGAGCGGCTTCGCGGGGGCCCTTCCGTACCACCAGCCATTTCAACAGTTTGTGCCCGCGAGGAGCTCCCCCTTCCGACCATCAACCAAGTGGAATCCCCGGCTCGCCGGCCCAGTTAGCATGATGCTCGCATGGCCCCTCTTGCCCCAAGCGGCTAGCAGGAAGGCGAAAAGCGGCCGGCGCTGCGTGGCGTTCGGGCAGGTGGGGCCTTGGCGTGCGGAGCGACGTCACATACATCGATCCTGCCCACACAACGAGCGCACAATTGCTTGACGGCCTTGCCGTGGTTGGGTGAAAGCCTACCTGACGACATGCGAGCTGACCTCCAGCTAGCTGCAACCGCGCGCGCTCGTTCGTTCGCTCGCCCGCCCGCCAGGTACGTAGCTACTCGCCTTTTTCTTCTTTTCGCTCCCCCCATCCCCATCGCGCACTACTGCTGTTGGCGACCCACGCGAGATTCCATATTTATCTCGATTCGCTCGTCTCAACCTTAAACATCTCTCCCTCTTAACCTCTTCATTTTCTCTTTCATCTCGCTGCATCCCCAACTCGACAGGATTTAATGCTGCAGCCCGTCACCGGAGTCGACCACTTCTTCCACTTCACCGGCGTCTTCAGTCGCGCCATCCGCTCGGTAAAATGGCGTTAGGTTTCGGCAAGCGCAGCAGCACTTCCAACGAAAAGGATGACGACAAAGTGTCGTCTGAGAATGAAAAGGGCACTGGCTTTGGCGGCGACTACAATGGCTTCGCCGTCGACAGCGAGGCCCAAACCAACCCTCAAGGCGGGCGAAAGATGAGCCGCATCGACCGCCCGCACACTGCTTCCATCGCCGGCCATCTCTCTGGCCGCAAGCCTTCCGTCGAAGAGGCTGCCGGCGAGGTCACCATTGGTGAGATGCGCGCCGCTGAGGCCTCCAATGCGATTCAGTACCGCACGTGCAGCTGGCAAAAGACTGCCTTCCTCCTCTTCGCCGAGTACATCTGTCTGGCCATCATGTCCTTTCCATGGTCTTACTCCATCCTCGGTCTTGTGCCCGGCCTCATCTTGACCCTCGTCCAGGCTGGCTTCGTCCTCTACACCTCTCTAATCACATGGTGCGTGCCATACATCTTCCTTCTATGCCTATCCGCGCTAACACCCACATAGGGAATTCTGTCTCCGCCATCCGGAAGTTAAGGATGTCTGCGATGTCGGGCAAATGCTCTTCTGGGGCTGGCGCCCGGCGTGGTGGCTCACCGGCATCATGTTCGTCCTGAACAACACCTTCATCCAAGGCTTCCATTGTCTCGTCGGCGCCAAGTACCTCAACACGATCAGCAACAACAACAGCGGCGTCTGTACCGTCGTCTTCTCTGCAATCGTCGCCATCATCGCCTTCTTCGCCAGCTTGCCTCGCACCTTTGAGGCCCTGTCGAAGCTGGCGCTGCTCAGTGCACTCTTCACTTTCGTCTCCGTCATCCTGGCCACCATCTTCGCAGGCATCGAAGACCACCCCGGCGGTCCATCCGTGGACACGTACTGGCCATTCAAGGGCACCGACTTGACCCCCTTGATTATACCTGCAGCTGGCACGACGTACGTCAACGGCATGAACGCCTTCCTCAACATCAGTTACACCTTCATCGGCCAAATCACCCTGCCGTCCTTCATCGCCGAGATGAAGGAGCCGCGCGACTTCCCCAAGGCGCTGTGGGCCGTCACCATCGCCGAGGTCATCCTCTTCTCCCTCGTCGGCGGCATCATCTACGGCTTCACCGGCTCGACCTACACCGTCGCGCCCGCCTTTGGCTCGCTGGGCAACGCACTCTACATCAAGGTCTCCTTCTCCTTTATGATCCCCACGCTCATCTTCCTCGGCGTCCTCTACGCCTCCGTCACCAGCCGCTTCGTCTTCTTCCGCCTCTTCGCCGGCACGCGCCATATCGGCTCGCACACCGTCGTCGGCTGGCTCGGCTGGGCCGGCATCCTCGCCTGCACGTGGGTCCTCGCCTTCATTATCGCCGAAGTCATCCCCTTCTTCAGCGACCTGCTCTCCCTTATGTCCTCGCTCTTCGACTCCTTCTTCGGCTGGATCTTCTGGGGCGTGGCGTACATGCGCATGCGCCAGGCCGACTACGGCCCGGGCTTCTGGAAGAAGCGCGGCTTCCGCGGCTACATTGGCTTTGTGGTGAACATCTTCATCATCTGCGTCGGCTTCTACTTCTTGTCCGCCGGCACGTACACGTCCGTCGATGCGATTCTCGAGGGTTACCGAACGGGTGGCTTCGGAGGGGCTTTTAGCTGTCAGAGCAACGGTTTGATTTTGCCATGGCAGGTCAAGGCTGCACATGGTGGGCAGGTGTAGTGGAGGAGAAGTGTTCCAGACTGCTTGTCCTCTTGTGACTACATGTTGTGTCTTGCTCGATTACGGGTTCTGCGAGTGAGAATGGAAAGAGAGGCTCTTGGAGGCGCTTTGATGCTGGCAGAGGTCTTCGGGCCTATGAAACGGCGCTGGTTGCTTGCTTTTTTGATACCAGGCCACGTATATATTGTTGGTGGCATCGCGAATACAATATCTTGGAATAATAAATGCCCCCTTATCATTCCTTCGTATCTGGACTGGCATTGTATTGCCTCAGGCGTTCAAACTCAAGCTCCCCAGCTGTTTGATCGCTGCCCCGCGATTGGTCGGAATGACGTAGAGCGGGTGAAATTCGCATTGGCCGGGCATATGAACTTTGGCTGATTGGCAAAAACACCTCCATACGAACATCCACCCCTCTCTCGCTCCCATCACTCGAAGCGAATGAACAACACAGCAAGAAGAACCTAAGCCCATCATGTCTCTCACCAACGGCCTGGTAGATTTCAGCCAGCCAAGCCTCTGGAGTAAGCCCCAACACCCCCATAACCAGTCTTCCCCTCCCTAACATACCCAACCCCCAGTCTCCGCCGCGAGCATAATCTTCAACCCGACCTTCTGGAACATCGCCGCCCGCACAGAGTACCGCCACCACACCCTCACGAAGCTCGCAGGCGGCAACGCGCTGTACGGCTGCTACGGGCTAGCAATCACCATCTTCTCCCTCGGCATCTTCCGCGACGCGCTGTACGAGCGCGCGCTCCGCCCGCAACCCACGCACCCCCTCCTCCTCACGCCCCTCAGCCAAGCCCTCGCCGTCGCCCTCCTCGCTTCCGGCAACGTCCTCGTGCTCAGCAGCATGTGGGCTCTCGGGATCACGGGGACATACCTGGGCGACTATTTTGGCATTCTGATGGATGATATCGTCACGGGGTTTCCGTTTAATGTCACCGGGAGTCCGATGTATTGGGGGAGTGCGATGAGTTTTGCGGGGTCGGCGTTGTGGTTTGGGAAGCCGGCGGGGTTGGTGTTGACGGTGTTGGTCGTGATTTGTTATCGGGTTGCGTTGGGGTTTGAGGATCCGTTTACCGCGGAGATTTATGCTAAGAGGGAGAGGGAGCGGATGACTTTGAGGGATGGGAAGTCGATTCCGACTAAGGGGGTTAGTGGGAAGAAGGGACAATGAGGTGGGAAGAGGTGTGAGAGGTGAGGAGGTTTGGGGGACGAGGAGGAATGAGAGGGATTGAGATGGTGGAGGTGGTTCATTCAACATGAGCGTAGGCGCTGGAGAGGCGTTCATTTTGCGATACTCGCTTTTTCTCCTTTTTCATCCTACATACAACACAGATGTGCGGATACTTGAGCAAAGCAGACTCAATAAGCCCATTGCTCTTCCAGGCATTGTCCAATTCTCTGAAGAGCCCTCCCTTTCGGGCCGTCCTTTCACTGCATAATTGTGCGGTCCCTCGGCAGTCTCGTCATGGACGGCAGGATACAAGGCGGAGTAATCAGTCCCTTGATTTGACCTCTAAGCCAGCAATACAGCCTCGGGAGTCCAGCGCACTCGTAGCCTGCAATCGACCCTCTGGCTCACAGTCGGAACACTCGTCCATCATCCATTGATCCGTAGGCAAACCAGACTAAGGGGAGTTCACTTGATACACAGCCCCAAGCTCTCGTTCAAGTTTGCGACCGTGCGGTCGAAATCGTCATATGCCTCCCTTCGGAGCGCCAGGACTTCGCGGCGTCTGAGAAGGACATTCCATACCATCAGCCTGCACGCCATACCTCTCCGAGGATTACGATGAAGATCACATAAGAGAAAAATGAAAAAGGGGTGAGAGAAACTCACACATTGCCCGAAGAGTACACCAACGCCCTACGCTCGCCCCATACCCGCACCAGATTCTTCACAATCCTGTGCTCCAGGCCTCTCGTCTTAGCCGCGTGGTCAAGGAATTCTAGCGTGCGCGTGATGGAAATTTCGTCGTAGGCTGACGCAGGCGAGAGACGGAAAGCGTCGCGGAGGTGCTGCAGAGCGGTGTAGCGGGCGGGTTTGGCGTATTGGATTGCGCGGAGAGATGCTTTTAGGAGGCGGCGGTAGGCGTGGAGGATTTGAGTCTGTGAGGTACTAGGGAGGGTAGCCATTATGGTTGTGGGTTTTGGAGAGGGAGGGGATGGGAATGGAGGTGCATGGTGAAGGATGATACGGAATTATTGTGTCGACTGTGGCATATGAGAGCTCATGAAGAGAGGAGTGAAGTTGGAGGACGCGAGAGTGCGTGGAAGGGCTAGCCTTGTTGAAACTCTAAATTCCATCTGCGTGAAGGGAAGCTCGAATTCCATTTGCGACAATCCAGGACCCAATCTTTGTCACGAACCTCCTCAATCCACCTCTATCCCTTCCGCCATCTGCGCATCTTCATCTCACAATCCGCGACAATGGCCATCTTAGCAAGTGCCCTCAACATCGTCGGCCTCCTCTTCCTCTCGCACGCGTACGTACCCTCATCCTTCACCACCTCCTTCCCAACTAACTCTCCCTTCTCCACAGCGTCTACAGCGCCTACGAACACTCCCTCCTCCCCACCACCGCCTTAATCCCTCCGACACCATCCCGCACTTTGATCCCCGCCTTCCTAAACCCCAAAATCGACCTCCCCCTCGACATCACGCTCGAAACGCTCTTCTCCGTCGTCCTGCTCTGCATCGGCGTAGTAATCAGCAGCCCCGCGCTCATGCCTATTCAGTGGAACGTGTGGGCTGGACGGATGGAGAGGAGTAAAGAGGCCAGGCTGGTTACTGAGGTGGGGGTTGGCGGAGGCAATCCGTATGCGGTTTTAGAGGAGAGGCCTGGGTTTGTCGATATTAGGCGGCAGAGGAGGGAGTTTGCGGAGTGGAAGGGGGGTAAAGGGGTGGGGTTGTGAGGGGACAGCGGTGCAATAACATCACCGTTACCGGGTATGGGTGGTATTTGAGAGGAGGATTACGCTGGGTCGCGCCTTCCTTCTGCTGTTGCTGCAGGTGGAGCTCGGCTTAGACCTCACCTCTTCTTCGGGGGCCTTTCCCCTCCGAAGCCATCTCCTCTGGCAGTACATGACGGCCTGATACAAGCGTACAGCCAGCATGGCGCCCTCCAATAGATCACGAAAACGTCGTCCTAGCGGCAGCACCCACAACTCCCGCTCTGTGCAGCATCGGAGATCGTCCCAGCCGACACATATCCCATCACGAACACCTTCCAACTCCACACGGCCATCGGGATCTCGAAGATCCTCCAATGACTCAATAGCTGGTCCTAGCCGCCGTCGCAGCCTGACCTCCGCCCCGCCGCCCTCTCGAAGTCCATCTTCGGCCCCGTCTTCTCATACCTTCCCCGGTGAGGATCGCAATGCAGCTGGCTTCGAACAGGCACCAGAAGACCTGGAGTTCGACTCGGAGCACCTCCATGAAGTCGTTATGGCGGTAAATGTCACCGAACGCGGAACAGTGGGTTGTGCGTACTACGTCGCCCGCACCGAAAAGCTGTACTTCATGGAAGATGTACAGCTCGGTGGGGTGGACGTTGTGGATGCCCGTAAGGAACATCGCCCTCGCCTTCACAGTTTTATATTGACTCCATCCAGTCAAACTATTCATCGATCCTACCGTCGTTCTGGTCTCCACGAAGTGTGATGACGAGCTGTCCAGCCGGCTTGACCCCAGCAATCTAAACCCAGCGGCATCTGATGATGGTCGAAGTGTTGATCAGTCCAGGCTGCCGTACTTACTCGAATATCGACCGAATGGAGATTTTGGCTACGATTCTGCCCGCGATAAGCTCGTCAATCTCCGCATAGGGCAGCGGGATGGACCGAATGTCACGTTTGTCGTGCCGGGGGATATCGTGGCCTTCGAAGACGACGAGGCGAATGCAGATGCGACTTTCATTGGAAGACATGGCCAGTTGCTAAAACTCGCTGGATGGATCAATCTGGAAAGCAGGATCACTGTCGGTTGTGCGGGTGCTGTGCTTTCATATCTCCAACGACGGCGAACTGCTGCGTCTCTGCCCCATGATCCAAATCCGATCTTCGGAATCGCGACGGTTGAGATGTTTAGTCTCAGCGGCTCGATGCTTGTGACCACAGACACTCTGCTATCTCTGCAGATTACGTCTACCGAGACGCATCCCAACGCACAGAATCACGGCCCATCCAAATCCTCTGCCGGCTCGAAAGAAGGCTTCTCTGTATATGGCCTCTTTCATCCACTTGCCAAGACATCCCAGGGCCGCTTCCTCCTTCGCCAGTACTTCCTGCGGCCCAGTCTCAACCTGGTAGTCATCAACGAGCGCCTAGATACGATCAGCGTTCTCCTTCGCCCCGAAAACTCCACCATTCTAGAAGAAATCACCGAGAAGCTTGCAAAGATCAAGAACATGCGTATCATCACTGTCAACCTCCGCAAAGGCATCAGTGCCGGAAAGGGCCGCGGTGCCTCTACATCCGTCTGGGCTACAATTCGCGACTTCGTCTACTTCGTCCTACGGATAGCAGATCACATTCACGAGCTGAACGGGGCCGAGTCGCTACCAATCCGCTCCAAGATCGCACAAAAGATCGACAGGCGAAGCATGGCGGTCGTAGGTCAGCTCATCAATGATGTTGTCGATTTTGACTCGTCCAAGGAGCAACGCAGGACCATCGTTCGTCAGGGCGTTGATCAGCAGCTCGATGCTGCCAAGCGGACATATGATGGGATTGAAGACTTGCTGTCACAGGTCACGGAACACATTGCTAATCAAGTGCCCGCCGTGTTGAACGCCAACATCAACGTGATCTTCTTTCCTCAGATCGGCTTCTTGATAGCTTGCAGAGTGGATGAAGATACTGGCAGCAGTGTATTCGACGGCCCGCAAGGCGACCCTTGGCATCAGACCTTCGCCACCGAGCAAGCAGTCTACTACAAAAACTCCAACATGCGTGAGATGGATGCGCATTTCGGCGACATCTGGGGACAGATCTGCGACAGGGAGATCGAGCTTACTCAGCAGCTTGGGGAGCGAGTGTTGGAGTATGAGACCTTACTGAACGAAGTCTCGGACCTCTGCGGTGAACTGGACAGCCTGGTCGCTCTTGCTCGCGGTGCTGCGCAGCACAAACTCGTCCGGCCGCATGTCACTGAGGAGAACATTATCAAGATCAAGGGCGGCAGACATCCCTTACAGGTGCTCACGGTGCCGGCTTATGTTGCAAACGATACGTACATTGTCGGCGGAGCGGGAGGTGATGTTCACGGAGATAATCTGAATGGCCTGTCATCTCCTCGCGAAGCACTGGTGTCTTCTCAGCCTGCGGACTTTCGAAATCGAATAGGTCCCAGCATGGTGCTCATGACCGGCCCGAATTACTCCGGCAAGAGCGTCTACCTCAAACAAGTCGCCATCATCGTGTACATGGCGCACATCGGCAGTTTCGTCCCTGCCGAGAAGGCCAAAATCGGCCTCACCGACAAAATCCTCACCCGCATCTCCACTCGAGAAAGTGTGTCCCGGATCCAAAGCGCCTTTATGATCGACCTGCAACAAATCTCCCTCGCCCTCCAACTCTCCACCCACCGCAGCCTCCTCGTCATCGACGAGTTCGGCAAAGGCACCGAATCTTCTGACGGAGCCGGTCTAGCCGCCGGCGTCTTCGAACACCTCCTGCAACGCGGCTCACACTGCCCGAAAGTCCTAGGCGCAACACACTTCCACGAGATTTTCGAAGCGGGCTTCCTGCTTCCCCGCCCTTCGCTCAGCTTCGCGCACATGGAGGTGAAGATCGACACGCAGGCGTCGCAGGTCGACGAGCAGATTACGTATTTGTACACATACCGACCGGAGCGCAGCAGTACGAGTTTCGGGACGTGCTGTGCGGCGATGAATGGGATTGATCGGAAGGTGGTGGAGAAGGCGGAGGAGTTGATTTTGCTTGCTGCCCGAGGGGAGGATTTGGTGGAGGCTTGTGCGGAGATGCCGGAGGGGGAGCTGGAGGAGCTGGAAGATGCTGTAAGTTCGTTGAGTTTTGGTATTGTTGTAATTGGGGTTGCTAACGAGATGAGCAGGAGGCGATTGCTCGGGATTTCCTTGCTGCGGAGATTGGGTCTTGCGAGCCTCGCGGGCTACTTGATGACTTGCTCACGCTCGCGAGTACTTCGTTGAGCACATCGTAAGGGACATCCTTCACAGAAACTGTGTGTTCACCGCTGTAGACAAGACAGCCTCGCTCCAGGCGGAATACTACATGCTTGTAACTGCCTATTTAGTACCTAGACCGACCGCGCTCGGACCAATCACTCACGAACCCCTCCACCTTCCAACCACTGCATTGACCCCATTCAAGTCACCTCCAACATCCCAGATAACCACAAGAAAACACCTCAATCCAACAATGCCATCCCCATCCCTCCCCCTCCTCCTCCTCACCCTCCTCACAAAATGCCTCTCCCACGAAATCGCCTTCCCCTCCATCTCAGGCATGCAAGAACCCCTCCTCACAGACCGCATCCTCAGCACCAGCGATCTAGACATCAGCTCCCCAGTCTACGCCGGCCTAACGACGTACGCTAACCTGCCGTACGTGCATTGTCTCGCGGACGCGGCGACGGAGGTGGAGAAGTACGATATTGCGATTTTGGGCGCGCCGTTTGATACCGTACGTTTCGTCTCCGTTAATTTCGATTGCTCATTCGTTGTTGGGAGGGTGTTTTCGTGCTGATGTGGTTCTAGTCCGTTACTGCTCGACCTGGTGCTCGGTTTGGACCGGGTGGGATTCGGCAGGGATCGAGGCGGATGGCGCCTTGGGGTGGGTTTAGTGTTTATACGGGTGAGTTTGGGGGTTTGTGTTGGCGTGTGCAACCTTGATGGTGTTCTGATGTGTTTGTTTTCTTGTTAGGGAAGAATGTTTTCCAGCAGGGATATAAAGTGGTAGATTGTGGGGATGCGCCTTTGACGTTTCTGGTGAGTTGATGGGTTTGATGGCTGTTGCGGATCATGTTGTGCTGATTGCTGCAGGATAATACTGTTGCTTTGAAGCAGTTGGATAAGGCTCATAAAGTATGATACGTGAATTGATCGCGATGATGAGTATTGGCTCATGGATATATAGGTGATATCTGGGAGGCCAGCAAACTCCTCCGACGATGTGGCTCCGCGGATCATCACTCTCGGCGGAGACCATACTACCACGCTCTCCGCCCTGCGCTCGACGCACAATCGTTGGGGCAGCGTTAGCGTCATACACTTCGACAGCCACATCGATACATGGGATCCCGATGTGCTTGGCGGCGGCCTATCGCATTATGCGTAAGTCGCACATTCCGCTCTTCAAACCCCAACCGACTAACATGACACCAAAAGCGGCGTCAACCACGGCACCTTCCTCCACATCGCACACGAAGAAGGCCTCATCCGCAACACGTCCATCCACGCGGGCATCAGAGCACCCGTCATCACTAAAAAATACGACCTCCGGCACGACAAAGCCTGCGGCTTCAGCATCGTCACAGCGCGCGACATCGACAAGCTCGGGACCGCGGGCGTCATTCAGAAGCTCAAGGACCGCGTGGAGGGCTCGAAAGTGTACATCAGCGTCGACATTGACGTTTTGGATCCGGCGTATGCGCCTGCGACGGGCACGGCAGAGCCGGGTGGGTGGACGACGCGCGAGCTGTTGACGATTTTGGATGGGTTGGTGGGGCTTGAGGTTGTTGGGGCGGATGTTGGTGAGTGATGATCGGATGTTTTCGCATGTGTGTTTGTTGATTTGCTGACGATGTGATGGAAACAGTGGAGGTTGCACCGATCTACGATAATGCTGGGGAAACGACGACGTTAGCTGCTGCGGAGGTGGTGCATTCATTGCTCGGACTGGTGGTGGAAACTCCGGTGAAGAGCCTTGCACGATGAAGTCGGCTTAGAGCAGGCGAGAACAAGAAGGATAATCCGTATAAATTAAAATAAGGACGATTATAGACGTCGTCTATTGCATGAATATTGAAACTCCATCCCTCCCCATCAACCTCACTCATACATCACCGCAGTGCCTTCCATCTTGGGTTAGCTAGCCGGATCCGCGGTTCTGCCCGCGCCGATGCCGTGGAGCGGGATCGAGTCCAAATTGCACGCCATCGCTCTCCATCCCATCGCCACCGCATCACTCACGGCAAACCGCCAGAAAGGAGACGTCCACAATGTCTTTCGAACCCAAGCAAAAGGTCAATCTCGACCCGCCAAAAGACGACCCCATAAGCGCCGAGTACCTCTCCAAATGCAACGGTAAGGTTAGCATCTTAGAATGCAATGGCTGGCTCAGGCACTGATCGCAATCGACGAACAGGCAAGAACCCCGACTATCCGACTTATGTCGCTATAAAGGTATGCTGCCATCGCATTCCATCTCTTACATTCAGTTCAATCGAGTTGACGACAGCAGGGCACCGTCTTCGACGTCAGCGGGAATAAAATGTACGGGCCCGAGGGATCGTACAAAAGTGAGACGACTCTCCCTTCTCCCTTCTACACTGAGCTCTTGTCTGACTTTCCGCGGCGCAGTTTTCGCTGGCCGAGACGCTTCTCGCGCTCTGGCGCAGTCTTCTCTCAAAGAGGAGGATTGCCGGCCGGATTGGTATGATTTGGCCGATGAGCATAAGAAGGTGCTGAATGATTGGCATACTTTCTTCAGCAAGCGGTATAACGTCAAGGGCAAGGTGGAGGGGGCGACGAATACGTAGAGGTTAGGAGTGGTGTGAGTTCAGGTGTGGTGGATTTGATGCTGAATGCTCTTCACGCTTTGATACTTTTCCGCCTGTCTCATGTTGTCCACATCAAAGACAATCGTAATCCACCCATCCTCGAACGCAGCAAAGTCAAAGCACCAAACGGAAAGGGGTATATCCATGCAAGCAAGCATCCTCTGTCCTTCCCCATCACCCTCCCCATAACTCTCACGCCATCTGCCGCTGCTGATACACCTGCTGCTGCTGCTGCATCTGCACCCTCCGCAACCAATTTTGATGCGCGCACTCGGCGCACACCTGGTTCGCGCTGATCCACTCGCGCTTAATCGACCACGATCCAGAACACATGTGCTCCGGGTCGTTGCGCGCAAAGTGGCAGTGCTTGATGAGGCGGCGCCCGGCGTGGCCGCAGTGGAAGTGGATGACTTCGTACTTTTTTGATTTTGCTGTCAGCGAGGTGAGTTGGGAGGGGGGTGGTGGGGATGGGCTGTACCTGGCACATTGTGGGTGACGGTTGAAGGTGGTTGTGATGGTGTTGTGGTGGACAGTGAGTTTGCTTTTGGGTGGGATGTGAAGTTGTGCGGCTGTGTGGTGTGATGTGCTTATGTATCACGACGAGGAAGCATTGAGTATTCTTCTGAAAATCGAAGAGACGGAAGAAAAGAAGTGCAGCAGAGAGCAGACCGCATGACTTAAGAAGCAATGCCACCGACCTATGCGAGTGAATGACCGGGGTGGCGCACAATAAGCACCATTCACCTCTCGCGCGTATGAACTCACGAGCGCGAACCACCATGTCTCTCTCTCGCTGGGCGGGTGAAAGGACTTTGCATGATCTCCACCATGCCCGTTCCCCTCGTCTATCGGTTTGTCTTCCACCGTCCGGATCTTACCTTACCCACTTCATCCACAGCTCGTGTGAAACCAGCAGATGCGAATCATCGGCGTCGCCTCAAATCACCAAGCCGAGGCGTCGCAACGAGCAATTTCCTTGGCCGCGCAACACGAACTCCGAATGCCTCAAAGCGTCGTGTACAACAACGCAATACTAAAGCCTGCAGAAAAGGCGCAAGAGCAAAGGCGAAGAGAACGAGAAGGAGGGGAAAGCAGCCAAGCAAGTGCAAAGAAAAATTGCCACAAAGGCAAAGAATATGTTATATATCGCATTTCCCCACCCCAAGAATTACCCCGTTCGGAAGGCGCGCGAGCGCCAGTGGAGCCCGACTCCACTGCCTTCACGCGAGCGTGCAGCGCGCATTGCGTACGGAAGAGGTGGCTGTGGTACGTATGGCTGGGGGAACTACGTGGCGGCATGTCGAGAGCTCGAGCAGTGCTGATCTGTGGGTGCGGGGGTGCTTCTGCACGTCGCCGACGGCCGCTTTGCATTCCCATTCGTTCTCGAGCGACTTTTGAAGGCGCGGACGTTCAGTGCCGAAAAGCCTGATCCCGGTAAAGAGTGGGCGGTTGTGTAGCAGCTGGATGCAATCGGGGAATAAGCCGGCACATTTTTTGCTCTTTTAAACATGCCGTCAAGGTACGGATCGTGTCCGAGCCGGCGGGAGGAGGGGCGGGAGGCAATAGTATATTTCATCGACGGATGAGAGCATGTTCATGCGCTGGAGAAACCAGTTTGCGAGGTTGGAGGAGCGATGCTCGACGTGGCCGAATGGAACTGTAGACTTGACGTTGAGAAAAGTGAGCAGTCACATTTCCGGTCGAATAGCGTCCGACTACTTTCCGCCCTTACGAGCTCGACGCATGGCTCGTTTCCGCCCAATGATGCGGTTGCGATTCGCAGTCTTCTCGTCCACGGGTTGCTTCGCCGCTGCGCCAGGTGCAGCATCTGTGCGGCCGGCAGGAGGCCTAGTCGGTCTTGCATCGTTCCCACGTCCTTCTCTCCCACGCGGGCCTCTCTCCGGACGCTGTGCTCCAAACCCTGGCCGCTGTGCTCCAAACCCGGGCTTCCCACGCAGAGCTCTCTCTGGACGCTGTGCTCCAAACCCAGGATTAGGATTCCCACGCGGAGTCCTCTCCGACCGCTGCGATCCAAACCCTGACTGCCCCCGCGGAGTCCTCTCCGGCCGCTGTGCTCCAAACCCTGACTGCCCCCGCGGAGTCCTCTCCGGCCGCTGTGCTCCAAACCCTGGCTTCCCACGGGGAGTTCTCTCCGGACGCTGTGCTCCAGTTCCCCACTGTTGTCTGCCTCCGCCACTAAATCCGTTCTCACGATCGCGTCGCCCTCGAGGTGCATGCTCAGTTTCAGCCGGAGGCGCACCACCAGCACTGGGATCCACAGCCAGACTCCGATCCCTCGCCTTCTGCTCTCGGTCTTTGCGGCGCAGAACGACTTGCGCATTCTCAATTGCGAACTCGACAATGAGTCGCTTCTTCCGATCCTGGATTTCGTCCTGGGAAAGCTTGGACTTCTTCTTCTCTTCCTTGACTTGATACCCGATAGCGTGTCCATTGAGCCATCGCAGCCCCATAAGCGCGCAGCGATGCGTGTAGAATTCAATGAATCCGTAGCCCCTGCTTCTGCCCGCGCCACTCGACTCCGTAACTTTGGTGCCACTGGCGCCCTCAAAGACGACCTTGGCTTGCTTCACCACACCCTTGCCGGACTTCTTGCGAGCCTTCTCCGCAGCATCCATCTCCTCGCCGCCACGGATGAGCTCTTCTTTCGACAGCTTCTGCCGCAAACCTGCTTTGACGTCCGTCGCGAACCCCACGACGGCTTCGCGCGCCAAGGACTTGAGGTCTTTGGAGGTGATGCTGCGGGGGACGTTGCGGACGGATAGGCGCGTCAAGCTGAGGTGCAGCGAGGGGTTGCTCTCGATCAGCGTCTTGCGCTGCTTGGCGCTGGCGTCACGCATATTGCGCTCCGTCGGAGTGAGCTTCTCCCAGAGCTTGGACTTGGTGGAGATGGTGCCCTCGGGGAGCAGGTAGAGGCGACGCTTGTCTTCGTTGCGTTTGCGGCGTTGTGCGACGCCTTCCTGCGTTAGGCGATTCGCCTCGGACTTTTCGACTGCTCGGCTGACTTGAAGCACCCGGCCATCGATGCTGTACTCGCCCGAAGGATCGTTGGCTTCGTTTTGGAGTACAGAATTGGGCGCCTGCTTCGTCTTGACGTCTTTGGACTCGCTCTGCGCTTGAGGGTTCGGCCGAGGTGCGTTGCGCACGCAAGCATCCGCGTCTTCTTTCGAGTAGAAGCACACAAAGCCAGTCCCTCTGGACCTTTCGGTTTCGAAATCCATGACGACCCGCGCATACCTTGTCTTGCCAAACTTGGCGAATGCATCCTCCAGATCCTCGTCGGTGCAGGTGAAGGGTAGGTTGCGAACGAAGAGAGTGGTCGATGTGTCGCTCTTCTTCTCCGCTTCGTCGTCCGTACCGTCGTCCATTTCAACGTCGACATCGTCTTCGTCAGCTTCATCTTCATCGCTTCCAGGCTCCATGCTATCGTCCAAGTCTTCGCCGTCAACAACACCCAGCTTCCCGTCATCTGCGTCACTGGATTCCTCTGCTCCTCCGTCTTCTTTCGACACTTCCTCCCCTCCTTCTGCACCACGCTGAAGCGCATTCTCATAGACATCCTTGCTGACCGCCCAATCAACAGCCAATGTCCGGCCATCCACTTCCTTTCCATTGATCCCCTCGAGAGCCTTCTCGGCATTCTTCCTCCCACGCAGGACCACAAATCCAAACCCGGACATCTGCCCCTGCTTATTGGTAGGAATATACGCCTGCTTGATCTTCCCATAGCTCATAAACAGCTTCGACAAGTGCTCGGGCGTCTTGATAGTCCAGGGCAAGTTTCGCACAATCAATCTCGAGGCCTGGGGAGGAGTAGCTTCCTCGCCCTGCTGCTGCTTGCCGAATGTTCGCTTTCGTTTATTGCCCGCCTCCGCAGCTGTATCGCCTTCGCCATCACGCTGTCGAGGCTCTGCGAGCTCGATGCGCAGCTTCTTGCCCTCTAGAGCGTGCCCGTTGAACTCTTCCTTTGCTCTTTGTGCATCTTCGGCGTCGGCGAAGGTCACGAAGCCGTAGCCACGGCATTGCTTGGTCGCGGGGTCTGTGACGGCAATGGCATGCTTGATCGGGTACGAGTCGGAGAAAAGGTCGGTGAGGGATTGCGTCGTGGTGGTTGCAGGGAGCGAGCGGACGAAGAGAGAACGTCGGTGCTCCGGCCCATCTTTTTGTGAGTTGGCTGGGCTTGCTTCTTCGGTAACTGCGGTGTCTTTGACGGCGGGCTCGACGACTGGCACTGCACCATCGACGAGCTTCACTTTTTTCCTCGCTGGTGCCATCGTTGATGTGTTTGTTGGTTGGTTCTTGATCGCTCAGAAAAAGTCCCAGAAAGTTTCAACTCGGCATGGGAAAAATTCCATGACAAATAATTTAGTCATCAATCGGCGTGCACGGATGTACAATCGAGATGCATCTCGGTCCCAACTAAGAAGAGACTCAATATTGAGGAAGAGGTACATGTGTATGCAAGAGGGTATGGCCTAACTGGGAACTATCCGCATGACCACCTTTTGTACGCGCGCGAGGATCTCCGGTCGCGTGGTTTGCTACACCAAAACATTGAAGCTCGACTTAAGTTTCCTGGAGCTTTTGTTGCGCATCATCCTTGGCTGATCGCAAGGCTACGCTGCCAAAGGGTTGGAAACACGGAAGGCCTTCTCGCGCATAGATAATGAGCAAAGCAACGCCGGGATCAAACCGATGAGGGACCATGACCTCATCTTCTGATGGCAAAACATAAGGGTCGGGGATGGTTCGCCGCATGCTGTGTAACTGGTGCCACCTCACACAAAGACCAAGGCTGCATGGCGGACGGGTGTGCGTCTTCGATCGCGTGTTCTGAGCGAAATCTTCAATGCCTTCATAGCGAAAAGGAACACGTTCGATTGTAAATGCGGTTTTGCAGGGTGAAGAGGGTGCTTACAACATGACAGCCGGCATCCGATTGGTCTCCCACCACGCGACAACAGACGCGATGACGAGCTGTGAGTGGTGTCGAGAGGGAAGAAGCATGCATTAGCGCGTGCATCCCTCTGTCCAACGGTGCCGCCTTGCCAGAAGCTCTGCCATGCGGTGTGCTGCAGGCACGGCGGTAGCTGCAGCGAACGGGGAAGACATCTTGATATTCCTGTCTATCCTTTGCATCGGCGGTGAGGCAAAGACAGGAGGAAGATTGGGATGCTCGGCTGGACCCTTGTAGATCGCATTCCTGTGTGGCGTGGGATGCGGTGCACAGGAATCCGAGCCGCATCCCATGATAACACGGTGCAGCAGAAGCGCCGGCTGGCTGCAGTGCAGCAGTGCAGAAGCGGGAGGGCTGCAAGGGAGAAAAAAACAACACACCCTTGCTTTCAGGCATGAATTTATAAAAGTGTGTTTGTCGAATAGGTGCAGTTGAAGAGGAAGCACAGTTCGTACCTTCCGGATTGTAGGAAAGATAGGAGAGGGGCATGCTTTGCCGAGAGCTCGCCTAACGATTGGCTTTCTTGATACACACAAAATCGCCCTCTGCCCCCCCTGCACAGGGGGTGCGCTGCAGGCCAAAGTTGGTCAAGCGCCCGCAAATTGAACGACCACTACCACCACCAAATACACAACACCACCACCACCTGCACCTGCATTTTCCCTCCGCCGCGGCCCCCCAACCGAGCTCTACCATTCCCACTCAACCACCCTCACGCATCCACGGCATTCGCGCGCATTCCTCTCTGGCCTTTTCCCCCGGCCAGCCTTCCTTGCTCTCAACTGCAATCCACCCCTCGCTTACACCCGATTTTTTCCATACGCCATTCGCCTTCAATGACCTTCGACTCTTTGTGCAGCAGCAATACCTGGTTTGACGACCTCAATGGCAGTCTCTGCCGCTTTGCCGCCTCACATCCCTCACATAACAAGATCGCACCAACAAAACATCCGTGGGAGGAGGAATGGAGCAATGGATGAAAAAGCCGAAGCTCGGGGGGAGGATGCGCTGCGGTCGCGCATGAACGCGTTGATTGGGTTCTGGGAGGCGCTGGGTGATTGTCGCCACAGCGCTCCGAAATGCTCGCTTGCTGGCAACGAGCATGGTTTCTCCCCACGCAAGGAACTGAGCGCGCGAGATTGTCGAAGACGAGAGATTTTCAGGCCTTTCCATACACCAACAACCGCGATCGCACCGCCTCCACCCTACGAGGAGGCTCTGTCGGACGCGCCGCCCGACTACACTAATACAAACGAACAGGCTGTGGCGCGATTCAGCAAAGATGGGGGCCTGAAAGAGAGCAACGGCGAAACACAACCATTGAGCGCGCATCCTGCTCCTCCACCCAGCGACGCCAAAGTCGACCTGTCCCAAATTACAGGCATTCGATCCGCGGCGAGCAAGAAAGCAAAACAAGCCGCGAAGAAGGCGCAGATGGAGAAGTGGGCAGACAGCGACAACGAAAACGGCCAATCGGGCGGTGGCGATGGAGGCGAGAATGGTGGAGAGGGGAATAATGCAGGTGATGGAGGAGCTGGTGCTGGTGGAGACGGCGGCGGCGGCGGCGATCCTCCGGACGGCAATGGCGGGGACGATGGGGACGATTGGTTCACCGGCTGGGGATCCAGCAAGAAAGACAAGAAAAAGAAGAAGAAAGGCTGGTTCGACGACGACGAAGACACGAAGAAGGCCGAAGAGGAAGCGGCGAAGAAGGCGGAAGAAGAAGCTGCTGCTGCTGCTTCGAAAGCGACGGCCGATGCCGATGACGACTGGGCCGGCTTCTCTACCGCGAAATCGAAGAAGAAGGGCAAGAAGAACAAGGAGCCTGATCCAGAGCCAGAGCCGACTCCGTCCAAGGACAGCCTTGACCTTGGAACTGCAGCGCAGGCCGTCGATGCGAACGCCGAAGACGAATGGGGTGGCTTTTCGAGCAAGAAGAAGAAGGGCAAGAAGGGCAAGGTACGTGATTATTCTATTGTTTCATTTCCAATCATGACGATGTGCGAACGGCGAGTGTTGCATGAATATGCACGACGAGAATGCGCAGCGCCAATCGCGTGGCTCGGCGGGAAAGGAGGCTCTGGGGAAAGCTCGGACCTCCGCAATCTCACCCCCAGCCAGCCCAGACGGGGCTCACAGGAGCCTGCAGGATCGCAAGCAACACGCGACCTGCTTCTGGCGTGAACTTGTCTGCCATGCAACAACTGCCCTCTCACTCGACATCGCCTCCTCTCCGCATCTCGATCACATCAACCATGTCGCTCACGCGTCGCGCCTCCTCACTGATTTGACCTGCAGAACGACCCCGCCACCGACACCGCCGCAGACAAAGACATGAAATTCGACAGCATCAACCTCAACGACGACGCCAATGCCCCCAAACTAGACCTCAACTTCGGCCTGGACGCCGTGGACGACAAGAAGTCGAGTGGGGGCGGAGGCTTCAGTTTTGGCGGAGGCTGGGGCGGCGGATGGGGCTTTGGCGGTCTGGACGACAAGAAGGACAAGGACAAGGACAAGGACGGCAAGGCTGCGGAGGACTCCGGCTGGAACTTCTCTTCGTCCTCCAAGAAGGACAAGGACAAGGACAAGAAGAAGTCGGGCTTCGACTTCAGCTTCGATGGCTTAGGCGGCGACGACAGCCTTGACCTTGGCACATCTGCCAAAGCGGACAAGGCTGTTGAAGAAGACCCTTGGTAAGATGGCCTTTATCCGCAGTACACTACCCACACGCTGACACACTCGACAGGTCTGCCGTCGGCTCCAAATCCAAAGACAAGAAGAAGTCGAAGAAAGGCACCACCACCGACCTCGACCCTATTGTCGAACCACCCGCCGCAGCCGCCCCCGCGGAAGAGAAGGTTGACGACGACCCGTGGGCGACCTTGGCGAGCGGCAAAAAGTCCAAGACCAAGAAGAAGAATTTCTGGGACGCTGAGCCTGAGCCCGCGCCCGCCGCGCCTGAGCCGGAGCCCGTGAAAGAGGAGAAAGTCGACGATGATCTGTGGGCATACGGCACAAATTCCAAAGCCGCGAAGAAGGCGGCCAAAAAGTCCGCGAAGGCCGGCAAGGAGGACGAGAAGGCGGCAGATCCGCCAGTGACTGCTTTGCCTGAACCTCCTGTCGAAGCTACGGCGGACGATGTCGACGGCTGGGGCGTCTCGACTTCCAAGAAGGACAACAAGAAGAAGAAGACTACCGCTTTTGACTGGGGCAGCGTCGACCCCGAGCCCGTCCCCGACCCTCCTGCCGCCGCCGCGACCATCGAGACCGACCCTTGGGCCGACGCGATGTGGACCGACACCAAGAAGTCGAAGAAAGGTAAGAAGGGCGCGCTGATCGACGAGATTCCCCCGCCTGCGCCCGAGCCGGTGGTCGAAGAGAAAGCCGCCGACGACGACTGGTACGGCACGAGCAAGAAGGACAAAAAGGACAAGAAGAAGGGCAAGGCCGAGCCGGAACCCTCTCCTCCTCCCACCGCTACGAAAGAGAAAGTCGTCGTTGTCGAAGAGGCGAAACTGGAAGACGACGACTGGGCGAGCACGTGGACTACCGGCACGAAGAAGAAGGACAAGAAGAGCAAGTCCAAGGGGATCACGGAGATTGTCGAAGAGGCGCCTGCTGAGCCGCCCAAGGCTGAGAAGGTGGAGGAGAAGGCGGCTGAGGAGGACGATCTTTGGGGCAGCTGGGGCACGAAGAAGGATAAGAAGAAGGCTTCCAAGAAGGGGGCTGTTGATGCGCCGCCGCCTGCTCCTACGCCGCCTGATCAGGGACTTGATGCGCCTTTGGTTGATCTTGATGATCCTTGGGGTGGGTTGAGTTCGGGGAAGAAGAAGTCTTCTAAGGAGAAGGAGAAGGAGGCTAAAGAGAAGGAGAGGGAAAAAGAGAAGGAGAAGGAGGCTAAAGAAAAGGAGAAGGAAAAAGAGAAGGAGAAGGAGAAGGAGGAGAAGAAGGACAAGGACAAGGACAAGATCAAGGAGAAGGACAAGGACAAGGAGAAAGACAAGGACAAGGACAAGGACAAGGACAAGGAGAAAGACAAGGACAAGAAGGGCTTGCTGAGTCGAGGCAATTCCGCATCTGAAGTGCCAAAGGCCGACGACAGCAAGATCAGCAAGACCAAGTCCAAGGACTCAAAGAGCAGCGCTGCCGATGACATCCTCGCCATTGTCGACGAAGAACCTCCATCTCCGAAAGACGACAAGAAAGCTTCGTCAAAGGCAGGATGGAGCAGTCTGTGGGGAAGCAGCAGCAAGACCACCACGAAGACTTCTTCCAAGGAGTCGGAGAGGGAGCGCAGAGAGCGAGAGCGTCTGGAAGAAGAGAAGAAGGCCGAAGACGAGTTTGCGGCCCTGCTCGGCGACGACATGGACGATCTGCTGCCTACCGAAGAGCCATCGAAAAAGTCTACCAAAGACTCCAAGTCAAGCAGCAGCAGCACGAAGAAGCCCGCCGACAAGCTGTCCAAGAGCGACAGCAAGTCCAGCAAGAAGTCGGACACCAGCAAAGACGACGCCGCCGCGACCTCCACTGCAGTGCCCGACATCGTCGATTCGCCCGTCAAGGCCGATGGTTGGTCGTTCTGGGGTTCGTCGATGAAAGCATCGACCAAGGCAAAGGAAATTAGCAGCGGCGCGCAGACCACCAAACGCACCTCGCTCGAGGATCAGGCCAAGGACACTTTGGATGACGAACTGTTGACGCCACCGTCTACCAAGACGGCAAGCAAGACAAAGAGTAGTACCAAAGCCAGCGCGACGGCCACGTCGACGAGTGTCGTGCAAGAACGCGTCAAGGCGTTGCAGGGCGAGAAGGAGAAGGACGCGAAGGAGAAGGGGGAAAGTGGAGCGAGCGCTAGCGCGAAACGGTCGACAAAGGACGCTAGCGGCACGTCCGCCCCGCCTCCACCAGCTTCCCCAGTTTCTGCCGCTCTTCCAGACTCTCTTTCGCCCGACGACAAGAAGTCTTCTTCCAAGAAGACCGCGACGGCCGTCGAGACCTCGTCGTCCTCGACTATCAAAAAGGACAGGAAGGACTCGGCGTCGCCGAAGTCGGGCTCTCCTTTGCCAGGTGGCTTCCCCGGTGACGACCTCTTCGACTCGCCCGAAGAGACGATGGCGCCCTTGCCCAAGAAATCGAGCAAGAAGTCGACTACGAAGTCTTCCTCGAAGAAGGACGCCTCTCCAGTCCTCGTGGACGCGCCCATGATCGATCTGCTCGGCGACGACACCAAACTCCCCACCCCTCCACCCGAGAAGCTTGCGAAAGACGACTCCAAATCATCGAAGAAGGAACGCCCCAAGGTCGTCCGCGACCAGCAGTCTTCCTCTTGGGGCTTCTGGAGCGCCGCCGCGCCGCCAGCAAAAGAGAAGAAGTCTTCGAAAGAAGGATCAAAAGATGGTGATATCTCTCCGACCGAGAAGAAGCCGTCGTTGCAGCGGTCCAAGTCTGAACGCAAGAGTTCGGAGAGGGATATCGTCGACAAGTCTCCTGGTTCTGACAAGGAAGCCAAGGGCTCCAAGTCGCGACCGAGCACGTCACGTGGCTTGAGTTTTTCCGGCATGTTTGGAGGCGCACCACCGCCTTCACGAACCAAGTCGACGCGCGATCGTCGTGACTCTCGCCGGCAGTCTGTTGCCGTGGGAGACACTTCTCTCCCATTGTCTCCTCCTCCCGAGGATATGAAGCCAAGAGACATGCCTGAGAAGGCCGCCAGGATGATGGGCGTCGAGCGCAGCAAGCCCTCACGTGACAAGCCAAAGTCGCGCAAGACTCCCGATCCCTACGCTCTCGACGACGACGACCTGCTGGTTGATACCAAGGAAGACTCTGCCAGGGATGTTCCGCAGTCTGACATTCCAAGGGAAAAGAAGTCGAGCAGATCCAAGCGGCAGCCGGTCGTGATGTCCGGTGGCCTCGGCGAGCCGGATGATGTGCTCATGGGCGATGCTCCGCGGCCATCCGATGATTCGGACGGCTTGGTCAAGCGTCCTTCGAATGCGCGAAAATCAACTTCAGGCGCGAAAGTGGGCGGTCTCATCGGTGGTCTGTTCGGCGCCATGGGCGCTCGCCCCACTCCCGACCGTCGACAGAGCAGGGTTTACGAGAGCGAGGACGTGGATCCGCGGCGTAGACGAGCGACGACTTATGATGATGACGCGGCGAAGCGACTCCGCCGCGAAGACCGTCAAGTCCGTCGATCGCGTCAAGCGCCCGATGGCGATCTACCCGCCGATGCTGTCCTCACCACAGACGCCGAAGCCGCAGAAGCGAAAGAGGCTCGGCGGGCCGAGCGCCGGGAGAGAAGAGATCGAGAAGCGGCCGAAGATGCGGAACGAGCTGCCCGGCGTCGGGAGAAAGAGGAGTCGCGCAGAGTGAAAGAACGGGATGATCGTGACAGGCTGGACAGAGAAGAGGAGGAGCGACAGGCGCGGAAGGAAGACGAGCGCAGGGCTCGACGTGAGGCTCGGCGCGCTGAAGAAGATCGCGCCGCGGCGCAAGAAGAAGCACGAGACGCCGAGCGCCGGGATAGAAGGCGTGATCGCGAGCGCCAACAGCAACGCGAAGTCGAGGACACGGCTGCTGCTACCTCTACCCGACCGCGAACCGATCGCCGCCGCTCATATATGCCCGACCCAGCGGAGGAAGAAGCGCGCCAGCTCCGTCGCGACGAGCGCCGCATGCGCAAATCCGCCGACGTCTCCGCTCCCAACGGTAAAGACCGCCCGCGTACTTCTCGCCGCCGCTCCGATTACCCCGCCCCCGTTGCAGAGGAATACTTCGACCGCCGCAACAGCGAGCAAGCCTCCTCACGTGCACGCCCTCCGTTCGCCAAAGTCGCAAGCGGCAACGACAAGACTTCCTCGTGGGTGAATTCTGTGAATCAAGACCCGCCTCCGCCGCCGCCCATCGTGGGAACCATCGTCGATGGCCCCGTGCATCATCCTTCGGCGGCAGATCCAGCTATGGATGAGGAGACGACTGCGCGCGAGCTCAGGCGCAAGCGGAGAAAGGAACGCGAGGCGTATGGTGGCGGTGATGATGCCGCTTACCGCCCGCGCCGACGCGACGATCGTGATTTCCAGCGTGAGAGCGATGGCAGCTCGCATGAGCGGCGCAAGAGCTATGCTGGTGGGTATGGAGATCGGGGATACGATGCTCGGCCTGCTGCTCCCGTGAGACGAGAGAGCTGGTTTAAGAAGCTTGCGGGCTTTTGAGTTGGAGGGACGGTTGAATGATGATGATGACGACGATTATGACCTTGTTTCTTGCATTCTTAGCGGACGGCCTGACGATTTTGACTGCTTTTGATTGTGATGTGGGGTTGTCGGGAGCATGTTTGGTTTGGTTTTGACGCGCATAGAGATACCCTTCTTCTTGAGTCCCTGGTTTGGACTCGGTTTTGCTTTTGCTTGTTGAATGGTGGGTTTGTCGGGCATTGCTTGATATCTTAGGCGAGCACTTTATGATGGCATTGATCTTCGCTCGTTCCTTGACGCTTGTGTTCCTGTCACTTCCCTCTATGTTTCAGTTTGCATGTTGCATGGAGATTTGGTCGTAAGCTTTTGACCGTCAGGGAATGCGTCTGCCTTTGAAAAGAGAATGCATAAAACGTATCATGATGCTCGTTGCACGCTATACAGCTGCGACAGTGATGCTACACTTCCGGGTAGACATCACTTTTTCAAGTCAGCATCACACTAACAACATCACCGCACAGGAAATGCCACTCACGTTCGCCTCGGAAGCGGAATCTGCCGCCTCGCATGCGCAATCCGCTCGGGATCAATCGAAGCAAGCAGCATCTCCGGCTCGTCTTTCTTCTCGCCGCCCAGCTCGCCCACCACTTCGCCCCACGGGTCAATAACGACGCTGTGTCCGTAGCTGGTCCTCTTTTCCGTATGGGGTCCTACTTGGGCGGCTGCGATGATCTACGACGAAAGCGTCGGTTAGCGGGAATGAGGTAGAGATGGAGCGTCGGGGTTCCAGCGTACATATGTCTGGCATTCGATCGCTCGTGCTCGTAGTAATGGCATCCAATGCGCTTTTCCTGTGGGCACTGTGAATGCTGAAGGGTACAGGATGATGTCGGCACCCTGTCGTTTCAAGGACAGGGCGATTTCAGGGAAGCGGAGGTCAAAGCAGATTGCCTCGCCGATTTTGCCGATGACGCTGTCGAATGGTGGCAGGATTTTGTTGCCGGGCTCGACGAAGTCGCTCTGCGTTCATCAGTTGGTGTCAGCACGTATACTGACAGGAGTCAATGGAATCAATCCTACCTCCTTGATCTTTGGCACGCCATCCAATTCAATATCGAACATGTGGAGTTTCTGGTAGCGCCGAGCGATTTGGCCCTTTTCGTCAATCCACAGGAGATTGTTCTTGATCCGTTTGCTTTTCGGGTCGTCGCTGGGCTCGTGCACGCCGACGGAAATGGGTAAAGAGTACTTCCTCGCATCTTCTTGGAGACCCAGAACGAAAGGCGATTCGCTCACGGGCTTACAAAGGGACAATGATTCTGCCGGCGAGCTTCCGATGTAGTCGCTTGCTTCCGGGAAGAAGACCGCCTGTTATCGTCCATGTTGTGTTAGAGTGCATATTACTGGAGCGTGTCATTGGCAACTTTCGTACCCGTGCGCCTGCGGCAACTGCTTTCTGGATGACAACTCGGCATTGTTTCAGATTGTGGACCATCGAGTTTGTGGAGCAGATTTGCCCCAGAGCCTGAGCGCATCAGCATATTCGTTCTACTGTATCGCGCAGTGGTGACGAACGACAAGCGGCGGACCTGGTCTTTTGCCGCCCTGATCGAGATACTCTGAACTCACCGCAAGAACCATCGTGAAGCTGTCGTTTGTTATCTCGAGGGAATAGATGCGTGGAGATGTGTTGCCATTCAAAGCCTCGGGCAAGGTGCGGTCGGTGTGACGCTGGATTCCTGCCTCAGGCGTGAAGCTCCGCCAAGACCTAGTCCTGGTGGAAAACTTCGCGCTACACAACGCGACTTCTTCACACTTCTCCATCTTCACGACTTCGATCGATCGGCACCGCCCGCCATCACAGACGGTCGCTTCACCCGCGTCGCCGACATGTGCACCATGTCGGTCTTTCGGCGCCCCATTCACCGCGGCGGCTGAGTTGAGTGGTCCACGAACGAGGTACGTGAAAGCGCTGCCAGTCCATCTGCAAATCCAAGGATGTTATCCACGAACAATCCAAATCCTATATCACCATGCAGGATATACTAAACTTAGAATTACCCTGAGAGCATTGCTTGGACGCGTTATACTTCAGCCATTCTGGCGAGTGAACCATGGCTGACCTTGCGTGCCAATGACAGGTCTTTGCCTCACATGGCTATCTTCATCTGCTATGACAATGGTCCTGACGCCATGCCGTCACCGGCTACGAGTTCCCTCGCTCGAAGCTCTTCACTGAAAGGTATGCAGCTTATCTCATTCGCCCTTGCATCTCCGTGATGATACCTTGACACACGAATTGGCATTCCTCGATCTGAATTTACACTGTCGATTTGTCACTATTAGTTTCAGCCTTGTCTGATCGTTCCCTTCAATCTTTGACATCTATCCACACGCTGTTGGTGCTTCTTGAGCTGACATGAAGAACCAGGTACACCTCCCAATTCTACCCCCTTCGTTGCTCCACGTGATGAGACCTCCAAAAGGCAACGGGCGGACAGACTGTGCACTCCAAGCCACCATCTACCTACGCAAGGACGTACAAACCTTGCAGATGTACTGGCGAAGAGATGCTTGTTGAGAAAGCCTGGACTGATCCAGCTGCCTGCAACAGACGACATATCATCCTCTTGGCTGCGAACGTCATGCTAACAGTCCGCGACAGGTATGTAATCTGGTCGGCTTCTCCTTCTTTCCTTTGCAATGATGAATACTATTCACACTGTTTGAACGCCCTACGTGTAACGAACGTGGTGGCGTTATGAACGTACTACACTGAAAATTCTGATTTAATGAGGTGAGCTTTGTATGGCGTTCATTGCCAGTCGGCCCTGCTGACACGATCACAGACTGAAATGCGCATCCTCTATCTGCTTTCGACATCGGAATCTCCGCTGCAGGGCTAGATGGCTAACATTCACTGCTGCATAGTGCCGGTATGAGGAGTTCGGCCGATCGCAACCCTCTGTCGTTGGCATCACGCCGCGAGGGATTCAGCCCCATGCTCTGCAAGATACCTGCCCGAAAGGTCAGTAAGATTTTGCTTCATATTTCCCTGCCATCCCCTGCACTGATGAACTAAATTTATTTCGCTGTGTTCTTTCCGAGTCACACTATGCGGACACCTATTCAACCTTGGAGAACTGAACTGTATTCCCCTTTGATTGCATCATTTCAACTATGCACCGAGACTTCTCCGCCAGCATGCTGACATACGTGTGCAGGGGTTCAGGTGCAGTGAGAGCAGGGCTTTTGGCGTCGGGGATCAGCTTAGAGGGCGCTTATCACGCGAGCAGTGTGCGTCAAGATGTTGTACAGCTGCAAGTTGTGCAGTCGTTCCGCGGTAGTGGTTCTCGAGCAGAGACTTGCCGCGGACGGGCATCGTGTGTAGACCGAATCAACAGACATTGCAGGTGACTGCGTGACTCCTCAGAAACCCTCCATGGTCATTTTTTAGACGTTTACAATCCCGCATTGGAACGTGAACACTTTGAAAAGGTAGCATTGAGCTCATCCTAAGCTACACATGCAAGCATCCCGGATGCCACTCCGCCGTCTCCTCCACCTCCACGCTCTCCCACCTTCCCGCCCGGTAGAAAACGCTCAGAAGTTTTTGTCTGCAAAACCCAATGCCTCCCCCCTTACTCGGCCTTGACGGCGAAATTCCGCTGGGGAAAGTGCCTCGTCCTCTTCTTCTGCTTCTCCGTGACGGCGCCGGCCTCGGCCTTGGTTAACCGTCGGCGCATGGCGCGCGTCTGCTTGGGGCGGAGGTCGAGCGGCATGTACTTCTTGTTCTTGTAGAAGATGCGCAGCTGCGAGCGCTGGTTGGCGTTGATGACGGTGAGGACGCGGGCGATGGATTTGCGGATGTCGTGGCTGTGGGCACGCGATGGGTTAGTGAGATGCTCTTTCTTGCTGCTTCACGCGAGGGGCGGGCGGGATGGTGTGCGTACATTCTGGTCAACTTCGACGATGCTCCGCCTGCGATCTTTGCTGTTCGGAGCTGCACCAGCTCGGCCTTTAGGTCGTCGAGTTGCTTGGTCAAGTCCTCCTTGTTCTTGCCCCAGAGCGTGGCCGCTTTCACTTTGGTGGTCGACTGTGTTTTATTCTTATATTAGCGACCAGGTCTGAGGGTTTGACGTGTGATACGGGTGTGCATACCATTGTGTGTGGGTGATGTCGGCTTGTGTAGATTGTCGTGAAGTGGATTTGCTGCAAATCTTGAGTCGGGCTTGCAAATTCCCACTGTGTATGCCAAGATTCGTAGTGTGGCACGGGAGCAGCCGATGGTGGTGTCGGTGTCATAAGTCGCGGCTTGGAGTGCACACATTTGACACGCCGGCTGTTCCAAGCCTAGCCCGCAATATTTCCCATCCCTTCACCCTCTATTTTTCAACGCTTCATGTATGCGCGATTGGTTCGACTTGCAGCGCGTCGTATACGTGCGATTGGGCCTACTTATTCGTCTGTACATGGATGCCCCTTGTCGGGATCTGAAGGACTTGAGTTCACCCCTGTAGACTGGATGCTAGCCTTCTGGTACGAGCTCAATTGTTTGCACGTCAAACTGCCTCATCGCATGGATTTTCAGCCTCGGAACGAACACACAGTACTGAATTCATAGGTCTCCAGGTCCATCCCACCAAGCTGAACAGCCTCATTGCATTGCTGTCCCTCCTTCGAAAGCTGCATACGCGCTACAGCACGACTGCAACTTGATGGTCGCCGAGTGTGGCAACGGCCTTGTGCGCCGCGGCTCGCAGCCGGATGGACAGAAGATCGCCAGCCTTCGCGCTGGGGGCGTGTTTAGCTTTGGCGGAAGTGGATTGGCTGAACCGACGCTATGCTCATTACAAGCTAATCAACGGCTCATCCCCACCGACTTCCTCTTCCGTCATCTTCCAGCACGCGGAGACATCTTGTGCGACAGACGAGAGACGAAGAATGACCATAGAGTGGCCTGCGTTTGATGACGCGCGCCTGAACAATGGCCTGATTTTTTTCGGGACGAGCTGCAGCCTGCCGCATGTCGAAACAGGTACGAACGCGAGAGAGCGAGGTCGCCAAGAAGCCGGCGGCCGGGTTGTGAGCGTTTCCATGACTGTCCGTCCGCCGGGTTGCGCCTGCCCTGCGGAATCCAATCCAATCCGTCTCTGTCCGTTTCGCCTTGCCTCCACTCGTCATGCTGATGAGTGCTCGTCCCATTAAATAATCCCTAATCCCGTACCCGGCCGTCTCTACGCGCCCTCACCGCTAATCTCCGCCGGCATCTTTTCTTACCCTTTATCACCGGACGTCGTTCCTCAGCCCTCGCTCGCTCTCTTCTCACCTCATCCTCCCTCCCTCGCACCCGTCTCCGCTGCACCCGCCACGTGACGGTTTTGGTTTGTCATCGACGTTCGGGCATCTGCGGGATCATCCATTCTCTGGCGCGGCAACGTTTTTTTAGGGTGCAGTCATATCGCCATCAAGCAATCATATTAAGCCTTGGCTGCCTCCCAACGGCGCTCCTTTCCCCCTCCCCTGCACACCAAGGCATTGCGCGCGCTCGCCCTGCATTCTGCATCTCCGCCCCGATCTGTTTGCTCGCTCACTCACTCACTCACTCATCGCCACCACTTCACCTCTGGATTGCATCCTGCACTGACCCCCACCTGCGCCTCAACATCCCCTCACAATAAGCAACGAGCCAAGACAACTAGCTCGGCAGCTTGCCCCCCGCCCAATCAACTCATCGCTGTGAGCGGGCGCCCTTGAATCCACCGTTTGGGTCACTCGTCACTCATTACCACAATCGCATCCCCGTCTGTCGCTTCCACCATGCTCGCGGAGGAGAGTGCGCGCGGCAAGCTGGCCGACATGGCCGCCCACGACAGTGACTTCGAGGCACCGGCCACCCGCAAATTGTCGAATGTCAAGAAGTCGCGAAGTCCCAAGCATTTGCGCCGCATGGAAACAGCCTTGCGCTCCTTTCGCGTCCTCAAAGGCCTGACTCAGCAGCAGGTCGACAACTTCATGAACTCCTACATCATCTACGACCTCGACTGGAAGGACGAGAAAATGATGACCGAAAAGCTCGGCCCGGACTACCAGAACCGCGTGGGCGAATGCCTGCGCGACTACTACTCCGTCCTCAACCACATGTGCGCGCTCGGCGAGCTGGAGAAGATGTACATTCCGCCCGTCATGGACCTTAACGCCACCATTTTCATGAATCAGATCCTGTACGAGGAAAGCATTGCCGAAGAATTGCAGCTGCCGGAGAATGCCAAAGTCTTTGATTTGGGCTGCGGTCGTGGTCGCGTGGCCGCGCACATGCACATGCTCACCGGCGCCGAGGTGACCGGACTCAATATCGACCATGACCAGGTGGCGAGTGCCATTGCCTTCACCCACGAGCAAAAGTTCCCCAACAACTTCGTCCGCCGAGATATGAACGACCTACCTCTGCCATTTGCAGACGAAGTCTTCGACGGCTTCTACCAAATCCAAGCAATGTCTCTTTGCAAAGACATTCCGAAGCTTTGTGACGAGCTCTATCGCGTGCTCAAGCCCGGCGCCAGGCTGTCGTTGCTGGATTGGGCAAGTCTGGACGCCTTCAACCCCGAGGACACCCATCATCAGGATCTCATGCGCAAGATCAAGCCATTGATTGGCGCGGTTGGTACGCCCACGCCGAAGAGTCTCGCCGACGCCCTTGAATCCGCCGGCTTCACCATTTTGAAAGCGAACAACGCAAGCATCGACGGCTTGCAATCTCCGCTCATCGAGCGTGCCGAGTTCTTCTTCCGCACCGTTCGCATCGGTCTCCGTGGTGCCGTCAAATTCGGCCTGCTACCCGCTCACTTCAACACCATCTTCGACCGCTTCGCTCAGGATGGCGATGCTTTCATCGAAGCGGACAAGGCCCGCCTCATCACCACCAGCTACCACTGGCTTGCGGAGAAGCCAAAGTCCGTTTCTTCCGCCACCAAAGCAGCATCGACGACTCCCGAGCCTGTAATGCCAATCAAAATCGCGAGTGAACCACTCCAGCCGCTAGCAGCCGAGGGCGTAGTGAAGTCGGACTCGTCCGTGCTGCTGAGTCCCACCCCGCAACATTCGGCGGCGAGCTCCAACTTCACCAGCAAGTCTCCGTCACCTGCGCATTCGGATTCCACCGGCATCACCGAGCCACCCGCCGCACCGCCGTTGGAGTCCGTCAAGGCGTAGACTCGGATTCGGCCCCGAGAAAAACCCGAATCACCGAGTCGCATCATGTGCTTCGGGTGCCTTGGACTGCCATTCATCTCGCAGTCAGCTAGTCACGTCACACCCGAGTCTGGCGTGCCGTTTCCTCTCATCGATCGAATGGGCGCCGAGCAGGAACGACACATTCCTCTCCCACCACTCACTATCCCACATCCAGTCTCTCGAAGAACCCAAAAACAACACCTTCAGTTCTCCAATCTACTCTTGGCCACGATATCCCATTCCGCGCAGCAACGATGAAATCGACTCTCCAACCAGGACTTTGACGCGTGCGGTCGACACTCTCCCGGTGGAGAAGGTCAAGACAGGACAAATGACCCTCATCGTCCATTGGCGCACGTCCTCATCCTGCCTCTTTTCCGCATCTGCCCGCCCGCCTGCCATTACAGCATTAACGCCCTAATACCACCGCCAGCTCACCAGAACAAGCGTCTCTGGAAAACGACACACCTCAAGCTAGACGACGTCCATGCCAGCATCAGCACAAGATAGCCCCCGTTCCACGAAACTTTCCACGGATTGCGTGAGAGCGCGCGCAGCCAGCACGGAGCCGATCGAGTGAAGTGAAGAGAAGTCGTAGAGGAGCATTCTCTGGTTTTATCTGCGACGGTGGGTTTCTCCCGGGGGGCTAAGAGGGAGCGAGCGATGTGGCGTGCCGAGCTTTAGCTATATGTACCTAGTGCGGCTCGGCCGCTATTACCGTAATTATCGAAATGACCTTTTTACTTTTTGCCGTTTGTCTTATCACCATTTGTTTGGGTAGAGGTGGCGACGTGAGGTCCGATTATGGATCTGATTAGATTGTCGGTGGTAGTTCATCTGTTGGTCGAGTATTGCAATGCTGCTTTGCGATGCATTCACAACTAAGAATCGACTATTCGCAGAATGAGAGAGCTCGGCCGAGGTCAAAGGAGTGTGAGTGCGATAGCAGGAGTGAGCTCGCCATACGCTATTGGTCTACATCACGCGGTCCATCCCTCCACTAGGCAATGATGAGATGGCGTCGTAGACGCTCACAGCAGTCACACCACTCCGTGACGCGGGGGCGTGCTGGCGAGTGCAGCCTCTACTCCTCCGCATCGCCGCCCTTGTTCTTCTTCTTCTTGCCCGCCGGCGCCTCGCCCGTGGCTTTCTGGTGCACCTTGAACTTCGTCCAGCTCTCCTCCTTGTCCCACTCGAAGCCGGCGAGGTAGGGGTTCTCGAACTCGTCGTCGGCCTGGCGCAGCGTTGTCAGCGGGGTTCATGGCAAGCAAGTCTGCGGGGAAGAGGGGGGAAGGAGGGAGCCACACGCACCTTCTTCTTGTACTGCTTGAAGATGGCGTCTAGGGCGTCTTTGATGGTGACGCCTTTGGGGTTGCGGGCCGTCACTTCGGAGCCGAGGGGGAAGACGAGGTCGATCTTTTTGATGGGCGGCTCGGTCAGGAGCTTTTTGAGGACTTCTTTGTCGTCGAGACTGGCGGGGGAGGTGTTCATCTTCCTGTGTGAATGTGTTAGCCGAGTTGAGGATGGCATGATGAGCAACAGGCTGAGATGAAGTCGAGTGCAGCACGGCATTGTCACAGTCATCGCCATCAGAGGGTGTCACGTACCAGCCCAGCTTCTGTGTTTCGGGGGAGATTTTGATCTCCTTGCCTTCCTTTTCTGCTCGATTGTTCAGCACTTGTCCGACATCGGCCGAACTGCCCCTTGGAGGACGGCGGCGATGGCGAGGTTAGAAGTTGCGTACCTAGGTCGTTGATGTTGAAGACGCCAGGCAACGAGCTGCTCGCTCGCTTGTGCATGACCTTGTCATCAGGCGCGGCCGAGTCGACCTTCTTGAGCTTGGCTTCTTGTGCGTCTGCTGCCATGTTGCGTGAGGGGCGAAGACGGGGATGGAGAAGGGGTGGGGATGGAAACGCGAGGGGGGAAACAGTGGTGGTCACGAGATGAAGTCGGAGGTGCAAGAGCTGTGGTGCAGGAAGGTCCGCACACTCAATTTCAGCAAAGGGTGTGGAGGGGAGGTGGAAGGGAGAGCGGGGGAGGGAAGGCAAAGGGAAGGGGATCTGAGGCCGGGGCCCCTCCTTCCTCTCCTCCTTCCCAGAGCTGTTGTCACGCGACTGCTCGTCCAATCGAAAGTGGGGAAGGCCCATCCCCGGACCCCCACAAACGCGGGGTTTCCACCTGCACGTGATGTGGTGTTTTCGACGCGACATATGGCAATGCAATTGTTCTGCAAGCGTGTTGCTGTATTTATATGTCATCGCGGACTCAGCAGTCAAGTCGACACTACGACCACTCACCGGAAGCAAGTACACAAGTGTAGTCACGTGAGTGAATCCACACAACGGCGTCGGTGGAAAACTCAAAGCATACATGCCCTTTCCACACATCAATTCGGACAAAAATGTCTGCGAATGGCTGTCCGTACATGCATACTTTCGTGCCAGTTGACCAACACCAAGACGAACAAATCGAGTCGAAGTGGGCGAGGGAATCTTATAACCAACCGAGCTCGCTTTGCGGCTCTTGCCTCCGATGACACGAGCAAAGATGTTGCAACACCTGAGGCGCCTGAGCCTCTCGGCTCTGGGATGCTGGATGGATCATGGCGACCGTCATCCGGCCCCAAGACCCTGAGACCAGCTCAGGAAAGGCGATTGAATCCATCACGATCGCTTTCGGCGCTATGTCCCGCTGCACGAACCCCCGACAAACCTGGATGCAAGGCAATCAGTGTTACTCGGGGCAGTCGTGCTGCACGTGGCGATTGGCAGATGAATGCCGCGGTAGGGCACACTGTGGCGGCGGCGGCTGAATTTAGAGCTGGAACAACGATCCTGCCCCCTCTCCACACTGACTCGAAGGCTCTTTATAATGCCCTTCTCTGCCGCCAATGGGTATGCGTATTTGCCTCGCAACCAGAATGCAAGGCTTTGTAAGGGAGCACGAGTTAATTACATAGCAGGGGCACAATTTCCACGATGCGGCTGTGTGGTCTCTTGGACTTCCCGATGCAGTAGTCGTCGGCTTCCCAATACAGTGAGGGTGATGCAGGACAGCTTTATTATTCTCTTCGGCTTCCAAGTTCGATTGCAGCAACTTGAAGTCTGTTTCCTGGATGCAACTCTGCAGAGCGGCCCATCTCTATCAACATGTCCGCAGCATTGCCACGGTTGGACGCCGCGCAGGTTGTGTCTTACAGACTCACAACACAGAAATAGACATATTCAGCCCTACGGACCGCATGGCTAATTGGGCCGAGATGGACAGACACATCGATGGAGGAAAAACTTGAAGCCATCGCAAGAATGCCTCAATGTGGAAGGTGACGCTGTAACACTCGCCGACCAGGCAAATGACGGGGGACCGAGGAAGAGCGGCGCTGGGGCTGAAATGTTGGAGCCGGTGCTGAAAGTTTGACGCAAAGATGGGCGAGATTCGGGGGTGTCGTTGCTTATTAACGATACCCAAGTCATGAGCTTCGGACGGTCGCAGGTATCCCGGAGGAACAATGGCGCTTTCCGCATGTTAATCACGGCCGTGTGTGAACGTGGCGTTCCAGGTGCCGGGCGGGAGAATGTAGTTTCGACGTGACGTGGTTGGGACCGGTCGGTGGATGTTTCCCGGCCGAGCCCAGTGACGATCTCCCGCCCATCAGCGCGTGCGCAAGATAGGGCAGGTCCCCGTTTCCGTACCCTTTGGTGTATGGACCCGCGGACTTTGCAAAAACCCGCGGGATTTATAACACACTTGTTGTTGATGCGAGTGGGGGAGCATACACCAACCCACCGGGTATTGCTCGTGAACACTGTGGTGTTAGGCAGCGGACACGAAAGAGGTGCGTAGACGGCAGTGTCGAGATATGCCTGGAGTGACTCAGCGGGTTAAGCCTTCGCTTAAAACTTGATAAAAGGCAGGCTGCCACGACTGTCCTGAGTTGGGCAATTCATTAGCGACGGGAGCGATGGCGTGGCTTGCTTTGTCAGTGGGCCCAGCTGTACAGTCAGGTGCAGTCGGGAAGTCGCTCGTTCGCTGCATCGCAGGGCTGTGATCTGCACAGCCGTGGCTATCCCATCCATACCCGTGATCCCAAGACCCTTGGCGCGGGACCGCGGTGGATCCGCGACTGCCCGGGAGCTTGCCGTGCGTGGTATGCGCCCGGGCTGATTCGGACGCTCGCATCGAGGACTGCTGGATGAAGCAAAGGGGGCACCGCCGGCAGCACGCCCTATCCTGCTCCAACGCGCGTGTCTGAGCCTTTCCGCTGCTACGCGGCGGGTTCGTCTGCTCGATCCGATCGAACCATTCCCTCCATCCGGCATAGCGCTGCACCCGCCAGAGCCACTCTTCGCATAGCTAGCCGTCTCCAGTCGGCCGTTAATCACGACCGATGGGCAGGTCGGAGGCCACCGGGCGACCATCCAGCTCGACGAGTGACGAAATGATGGGCCATGAATGTCAGGCAGCCCTTGCTTTGCAGCCGCACGTCGGAGAGGTGGGCCATCCTGCGGCCTACGGCCGACACGCCCTGATCGTTAGGGCCAGCTAAACTCCGTGACCCCAAACCGCCCGTACGAGGGCAGGGTTCCGCCCCGGGACTGGAGCGTCGCAACGTGCGCGTGCAGCTCCGGCTCCGATCCTCGCATTCGTAATGCGCTGCTGGCCAGTACTGAGGTACCGAACATTTATAGATACTCATTCGCAGCCTGCTCTGTGCTCTCGATCCTACCTGCCTTGACCCACCCTCTACCCCCATCTCCCATCTCCTGACTATCTCTCTATTCAACCATTGTGAAGACGTGCATACCACCGAGCATGCATCGTCCCGCCAGTCATAGCTACCCCCCAGTGACGCACAACACGGCGCCTTCCAAGGCCCGCTCCTCCTCGCATCAAAACAGCAGCGCCTTCAGTGCAAGTGCCAACCCGAATGAAGACTGGACGCAGATTTCCGACCTCGCCGAGCGACGCAGGATACAGAACAGGATTGCACAACGAAACTACCGTAAGTTGTTGCGTCGCGTGTTACCCCCTCGTCACCCAGCCTTTCCTGACCGCGGCTCCAGGCAAGAAATTGAAGAAACGGTTGGAGGACTTGGAAAAGAGAGCCGGATCGAGCTCTGCTTCCCCTGAGCAGACACACGAAGAACTGCCCGAGACGTCGGAGCTGCCGTTGGATTGGGACGACGACACACGACGCGACAGCTCCAGCAGTGCGCAAGCCAGTTTCGATCACGCGTCGCCCGACCTCCTTCCTCAATCCATCACATCGCCTTTGGACGATCGGGGCATGTTCTCGACACAGTCAATCAGGCAGCTCTCCACCTCGCCTCCGCCTTTCTCCTTCCCTGCCTTCTCGGCAATCGACGACGTGAGCTATCCGCAAGCCTCCACCATCCCTCCTTATCGCGGCGAAGTCGACGTTTCACTGTACCCGCAATACATGCAAACGGTCCCGGCCTGCTACCCGCCAATACTGGAGAGCACGGGCGCTGCACCGCTGAAAGCAAACCTCTACAACGACCACGATTGGAATGTACTCAACATGAGCTACGCGTCGACGGGCGGTATGGAGCAGCAGCAGCCGCAGCACTTCTACGATGATGCAGCAGCATATGTGAGTATTACGCGCAACCCTCATCTGCCGCCGCCGCAGCACCGCATCTCCAACGCCGCGCCGCAGCAGAATCCAAGACGCACCGGTGGCTGATCGACGACTGCAGACTCCGCCTCTCTCGGACTCCCTCGACCTGTCGCAAGCCGACTCGCCGCTGGACGAGTTTGCAGAGCACCCGACCACCCCGCCTTGGATTGCACAGTACTCGCCACCAATGCAATGCTACGACCCGCTTTACTGGAAGTGAGGCACGCGCCGTGGCACACGACATGCAAACGATATACAACCCTCGCTCTGGCCCGAGTTCATTACAGATCCGGTCTTGTACTTAATCGACGCACGCTGCCCATCCATCCGTTTCATCGTTCGGTGAATGTGACGCTCGCTCGCTCGTGATCGGGTCGGGTTCGGAGATCGGGTCCGGAGTTGCGCCGGGCCCGGGAAATGATGTCGCGACGAAGGAAGCTCTCCCATCCATAGGAGAATCAGGCCTCGGCTGAATAATAGATAGACAGAAGGGAAAGGCACGGGATCCTACCACTCTCTAGACTATATGTTATCAAACCTACTTGCTCAAATTCTTGCCTCATTGAGAGGTATGAAGCGCCACCGATCGATCCCTTGGCAATTTCAAGGTCTCGGCAATGGATCAACCCAGGGGAGGCTGATGATGAGACGTATCTGCGAGAAGGCGGCACCGGCGGGCAACTCACAACACATTGGCTGCGAGGCCGATATCCGAAACGCAGCAGCCTACTGTAGCCTAGCCGCGTCCAACCGTCCTCCTTCCCCATCGAGGCTTAGCAACGCGGAGGATCAAGTGCGGTTATTGCGCACAACGAACAATGACACGACGCTATGTATTATACGCTCCGTAACGCAGCTGCGATACCGAAACCCCACACGGCAACGGAAACTACCATCCTCCACCTGCACCCCAGCACCTCATGACGCGAATCGCAGCCCACGTGTGTCCCCCACGCAACCCGCGTGGACGAGCCGAGGACGTTGCAGAGCATTTCTAATCGGCAAGCGCCGCGCTTTGCGCGATTCGCGCGGGCAACATGACACCATTTTGTCCATCCGGGTGGCCCAGAGTTGGGGCTGAATCCACGGAAGCGGAAGTGGAGGAGGTCCGCTCGTTGTCCGCTCGCGTGGTGGCGCGCGAAGAAAGCCTCGAGCCCAGCTAGCCGGTTTTCGGTGGAATTTCGGGCTGCATGCCGAAACACTCGACTCCACCCGCTTGAACTCACTCCGCTTGGCACGACATCGATCGGTCGTCGACTGAACAATCAACTCGAGGTGAAGCCGCTGCTCGCCTGTTATCGAACGAGCTGCTCAGCCGCATTATTGCGTCTTCATCTACCCTTGTTGACGGTGGAGTCGACGAGATGAAGGCCAAGACGCTCTTTGGTGGTGTGGAGTACGTATCCACGACTTTCCATTGACTATGATGCATGCTAATGCTTCTGCATGGTAGTGGATGGCAGAGCGACGATTGGACGGCCAGCGACGACTCTGTGCGTGGGGGTAGCTCAAAGGTGTGGTTGCCGTGTGGAGGCTCTGCGGCTCCTTGCCTCTCCTGACTGACGATGCGAAACAAAGTCACATCTGTGTTGTGGGCAAGAAACTGCCCACTTCTATGGCACGCTCGACACAAAGACGCTGGGCGGCGCCGGCTTCGCTAGCCAGCGCACCGTGTCCGACGACCTGAAGCTGGATTTGTCGGACTACGCCGGCATTCAGCTGGACATCGAAAACGGCGATGGTAGGCCCTGCCGCTCCTCCACCATCCAGACCAAACCCACCAGAAGACTAAACAACATCACAGATAAACGCTACACATTCATCCTTAAAGACGACCTCAAATCGCCCGGCATTGAAACCGGGCGCGAGAAATCGTCCATCTCTTTCGAATGCGACTTTGACCTCGAAGACGTCGCCGACAACACCATCTTCTTCCCCTGGGATGCCTTTACGCCCACCTACCGCGGTAAGCCGCAGAAGGACGTCGCGCCGCTCGATGTCAAGAACATCAAACGGGCGAGCATCATGGTCCGCTCGTTTTTCGATGCGCAGTATGGAGACTTCTCCCTCACGCTCAAAAGCATCTCGGCGCTGAGTGAGGCGCCTCCTCCTGACGGTAAACATCCCCCGCTGTCAGGAAAGATAGACGAGGCGGATGTGGAGAAGGGTGGTGTAGCGGCAGCATCACCTCGCCGTTCCACTTTTGGTAATATTAGATTGCTAATCCAGGTATGAAGACGTCCAACAAGTCAAAAAGTCTATGAATTCATTAGTGCTAACATCTAAATCTATGTAGGAACGTCGGCGCGCGGCAATCTATGCTGTTGTTGGCTTAGCGGCCTTCTGTCTTCTATACTCTCGCTGCGCCTGGTAAGAATGGACGAATGTACGTCCTGCAGAATGCTCATAGCGGAAATGGGGACGGAAACTTTGGCCATGTACGCAATAACGATGGACGCTGGTGTTTCTGCTGCAATAACGAAGAATGAGATCGTCCAATGCTTTGGCGTCCGGAGTTGTTTGGGCCAGTTGAACTTGCTTTCTCAAAATTCTCATACCCTATCACGGCATTCGTTGCAATGTGGATTCGTATCGCCTCGCCTGTCGCTGTCAGATATTGTTCAGCACCCAGGAACATCGAGTCTCGTTTGTGGTCAACGTGATCTTTCCCAAGGCCGTCGCTCCATCGCAGGGCTCAGAAAGCACCTCCAGATCCTGGCCCTTGGTCGCGCCTAGACAAACGGGCACCGCCGCGACTCGAGTCTTGTGCATAGTTCGATTGCTCTCTGAACCCGCCTCGATCAATTTGGCGATTCGTGCATCGGCGGTGCTCTTCGCAATCCGCTCCATGCCAGCCAATCGGTAGACAAACAGCTGCGTCGACGGCGTCGGCCAATCCCGCCTCTTCTCCCTCTCCGCCAACACCAACATCCGCCCGCACGCACTGAGCATGAAGCGCGGCCGATGCTCGTGCGCACTCGGCATGCTGCCCCAAGTGCCCATGTTGATATCCGAAAGCCCGGCCAGGTTGTAGTCTTGGGCGCTGAGGAAGCTCTCCAGCCTGTTGACTTCCACCACGCTGCCGCCATCAACGGTGGCAAGCGGGCTGCTGACGACTTTGATGTGCGATAATGTGTAGCGACTGCTGTGTCCGCCGCCGTGTCGTTGCGCTGCAAAAAAATACCCTTTCTGCAATGGTCGTAGCAATTGTAAGCCCGACAGCCACGCCATCTGGCCGTCCGCGGCTCCAATCGCCGGGACGAGAAGTGAGGAATCCAGAAACCGATTATTGAGGCCTCCGGTGCCCTCCCAGTGCTCGAAGTCTGCACTCGGGTGCGTCTCAGGGTGCTCCGCTGGTGACCCGAGATACACTACCTGTCCCTTCTGACTCAGGTGCACCCTCAGTAGGAAAGCTCTCTGGGCAAACTCCACGCCGACAATGGAGTTCTCGTTGACGCTCGACACGTCGTCACTGACAAGACACCGCTCCGATCCCGCGGTCAGATCGTACAGCTGAATCGTGTGCATATGAGCCAGAGCCAGAAGACGACCATTTGCGGCCAAGGCGATTTTACAGCTTGCGGGTGGTGGAGCTGGCATCCATAGGCCGCTGCCGAAGCGGGCGTGCACACGGCGCTGGCAGTCGAGTATTTCTGTGCTTGTGGAAGTGTCGAAGACTCGAATTGTGGATCCGTCCAGGACGACCATCGTGCCGGTGCGAATGGAGTGAGCCGCGGGAAGGCCGTGGGGCAGGGAGCAAGGTTTCAGCGCCCGGCTCTCGCCCTCATCTTCGTTGTGCTCACTTCGGCGAATGGAAGTTTCGAGCATGAGGGTGCGAGAGGCATCTTTGCAGAGTGCATATATTCCCTCGGCATCGTTGTTCGCGCCGACGCCGGAAACCCGCGGCGAGACGAGAGGCAGCGTCTCCAGCAACCGAGTTGTATTGAGCAGATCGAACGATGCCGTATACCACCATCTACACACTTTGCGCGCAGCAAAGTAGGATCGCGCGTCGAGGCTGTTGAAGAGTTGCAGAAGGACCTCCAAGGGGAGCGCAGCGGCTGGCGACGCCATTTTGACACGAGTATGAGAAAACGAGAGCAATTCACGTAGGAAAGACAAGAGAATACAAAAGACGCATGCGGAAAGGGCGGCCGCCCTCCCAAATCCCTTTCTTCGCTTTTTCTGCTCTCTTTGTGACAATAATGGACAAGGGGGTGGGTAATGCTGCTGTGCAGGCCTCACCTTGATGGAATGGCGCGGTGTCGGATAAATACAGTACAACCCACCACCGGGTGCGCCTGACGTGCGCCGCGTGCGACTGATCCCCCCGGCATGGCATCATAATGGTTGAGTCAACGAGCACCGTGTCTTATCAGCGCCATGTTTCGCGTCAAGTCGTGCTGTTCCTTTGTGCTGAGCCGCCATTTTATCGCACCGCGCTAGTGCGCTTTGGGCGACGGAATAACGCGACCACGTGATTGATGGCTTGCTGTCGAATAGGCTATATCGTATTTCTCTTATCATCCAGAGCAAGAGGCCAAAATCGCACGACAAATCAGTTTGACAGGCCATCCATATTTATTTGATGATCGGATCGTTTAAATTAATCATCCGTCCCCGGAACGCCGCGCCAAACTTTCGCAACAAGATACTCTACTTTCTGCTCGTCTTGCTGGACTTGCTCGACCGCCGCGACAACGAAATCTTCCTCTCCTCATACCGGAAACTCTCCCGCGTATTCGTGCGATCCAAGTCAAACGGACTGTCATCGTAGCTCGTGTGCTTCCTCGACAACGACGGCCGCTTACTCGCCCGCGACTTGATAGGTTCCAGTCGGGGCTGCTCCTCCTCCGGCCCGTAGGAGAAGTCGATGGCTTCCTGCATTTCCTCTTCCTCCCTTTCCTCCCTGTGTTCCTTTTCCTTGTCGACGGAGTGCTCCGAAACCTGTCGCTCTTCGCTAGATGTGCCCTCGTCCTCGCTGTCGTCCATTTGGCTTTGCATCTTCTTCATGAACTCTGCTGCTTCTGCTGCGTACTTGCAGCGGGCTCGGATTGCCGGGCCGTACTTCCAGAAGAGGAAGGGCATTGGGATGCCGAGTAACGACAAGAATGCGGGGATTGATCCGGCCCAGTGTAAGCCGAGGTTTTCGTACATTTGACTGCGGTAGGGAAGACGTGGTTAGCAATTGGTCGTCTGGTGGCTGTGCAAGTGCTTTCGAGTTCGACTCACCTGGTGAAGAGAGGGAAAGCGAAACCGAAGAGAGATCGCAGGACGGCGTTTGCAGCCAGGACTGATGCCGCGAAGATCGTCTATCGCGAAAAGCAAGAGTTAGCTTGAACAACGAGTGGTGACCAATGATTGCATCGAACGTACGTATGCGTCAATCAGATAATTGAACACGCCAAGGAAGATCAGCACCATGCCGAAACCGAATGGAGCACCGGCCGCGACGGACGCAATCCACGGATACGAAGGGTAGTCCGTCCATGCGAACCTGGACAATGAGTCAGCACTGGGTCAAAATGCCCTCAACATGCCCTCAACTACTCACCAAAACAGTCCGATGGTTCCCAGAACGCCTCCAATCATCGTCGGCGGCAGGCGGGCCTCAGGTGGCGCAAATCCTTTGTAGCGGTCGTAAAGCTTCACATAGCGCACGTGATTGTCGATGGCGCTGTAGAGCACTGCGCCCATCATGCCGACGAGGATGCCGATGAAGGGCAGAGCGCCAACGCCTTGCGACCAGCCGCGCTCCATTTCGTAGACGATCGGATAGGCGGTGAATAGCATGTAGAGCGTGCCGTACTCGATCGCGAGGTAGATGGACAGCAGCAGCACGATCGGCTCCTTGATCAAGAGAACCCAAGGCCTGAGAAGGGAGGTTTTGAAGACGTGGCCGAACGTCGCTTTCCCCTGGCGTACCTCTCCTTGGCTTTTGTAGACTTTGCCTGTCAGCTTGCTGAGCTTTTGCGCCCGGCGTTGGAGAAGGACGGGCGGGTAGGTCTCAGGGATGACGAGCGTGCCAATGATCCAGAGGGTTCCGGTGAAGATGGCCATGATGCCTTCAATCCAGCGCCAGCCGATCGTCTCACCGACGAAGCCACCGACAATTGGACCAATCACCGGACCCAGGAATGGTGCAGATGCGAAGGCGGTCAGTGCTAGGCCACGGTCGCGAGCAGGAAACATGTCTGCAATCACGCCTCCAGCATTCGTCAGAGGGCTGGATCCAAAGGCTCCGCCGAGGAATCGCAGGATGATGAGGGTGTAGATGTTCTGGCTTCCTGCCGCGCCGGCGTTGAACACGGTGAGGGCGAAGTAAGTGCCGCTGAAGATGACCTGGCGCCCGAAGAGCTCCGACAAAGGAGCCCAAAAGAGAGGGCCGATGGCAAATCCGAGCACGAAGATGGAAGTGCCTAGGGTGAAGATTTCGGTGGTGGTGTGGAACTCTTCAATAACCTCCTTGCTGCCTCCGCTGTACGCGCTGGAAACGAAGGCCACGGCCAGCGTTGCGACTGCGACCATCAACGTGATGCTCCATTTCTTCAATGGGCTGTAGCTCATGGGATTTCGGGGGTCGTCATCAATCCATTGAACGATGTACGGGTCCTCTTCCGTGCCGGAGCCCTCGTACTCCCATGCTTGTACTTCCGGGGTGATGCCTGCTTGGTCGATGACTTGTCGAAAGTGCGGGATCCGCGTTGGTCGAGGGGACTCGAGATCGTCTTTCTCCGCCATTGCGGCGATAGTCGAGGCGACGGCAACAAAGAGTTACGACGCGATCCAAGACGAAAAGATGGGGGATGTCCTGGGTGAGAAGCAACAAAACAACTACAGAAGATAAGAAGTCTTTCTTGGTACAATGAAACAATGGTATAAAGAGAAGGAGTGTTTCTTTTTTTCCCAAGGTATAAGTGTCGGGTATACGGCGATGTAGTCTGGCGCATTAGGGGAGATGAATGACGACGTTTATATTCGCGCCACATCGCGGCCGACGCGATTTCATTGCAGCCAGCCGAGGCATCTTCCATTTCACATCTCCTAGTTATGCCCAGCTCGGGTTGGTTCCCCAACCGTTCTTCGCATCCTCGGCGGACAGAAACGCTGCAAAAACATCCGACTTGCAAAGAGTGATGACGTCGTGCATGGAATAAATCGGAAGATCGGCCCTCGGGCTGCGCCTCCCGAACCTTAAGCAAGCCACACCCGTCTTTGTGCACGGCTTTGGCACCACACGCCGCCCTTGTGCAGTGTTATGCGTGCACAAAGGCCATGGAAAGGTTCTCGTGGCATTCAGATCTCTGTAAAGCGTCGGAATCCCCTTGTCCAGTGGAGATCTCGCTGACGAATGCACGGTCGACCCTTGATGATCAAGCACGTCGCCTTTACGGCCGAGTGTTCCTCCCGTCGTATATCCCCATTCGTCCTTTACATCAGCTCATGCATCATAATAGGATCTCTGCTCTGGCGCATGCGCCGTATCAGGGCCGGCAAAAGCCAGTCTGGATCTTCCGCCATTACCGTCCGCGGACAGCGCTCCGTATCGAATGGGCTGGTCTAGATATGTATCAGCCAGGTCTCGGGCCGTGGCATTCGAGTTCGAGTCGGCCAAAATCGCCGCCTCGAATCCCTGCGAAGCCATGTCAGCACGATACCGATAGAGAGGGGGGGCTCTATCCGTGCGAACAAACTAACCTTTGCGATCTCGAGCGGCGAAAATGACACGGATCGGCCGAGTTTCCACCAGCCCCAGTATGTTGGCGCGATGAGACAGATGCACATGAGCTCCAGCACAACGGCGCCTGCAAAGTAGGCGTATGTTGTGCGGAAGACGCTCCGCACGCCTGTAACTTCTCCTGTCGTTGTCGCATGTGTCGGGTATTTGGAGTGTGTCTCGGGCGGGACGAAGGTTCCCCAACGCACTCCTTGAGCGGCCGCTAAGCCGTAGTACACCTGTGTGTGATAGTTAGTGAGTTGCTATGCGATGCAAGAAACACTCGACCGGTACCATGAGTTTATTCAAGCTGGCCATATATGCGTTGGTCGCATTGAGGAAATCTGGACAGGCACCCCCGGTCGCACTCGGCGTGATGAAGGCTTCGGCGTCCGCTGGCCCATTCCTTATCGCGGTCATCGTACCGTTGACGTTGATCAGGGTTTGGAAGGCCTCCCATGATAGTATCATCTGGTCCGCAACGCCGCCCAAGGTAGACCAGTGGAGTCCGTCATGGTAGGTCTCATTAATCACGGGTGCGTCCGCGATGGCAAGAATCTTGGGGCTCTCGGCCGATTCGATGTATGTCGTGTCTCCGCGGACAGATACCTCGTACTCCCCGACGGCAGACTCGAGGGTACAAACGGTGTAAGTAAAGTTCCCAACACAGTCCTTGGTGGTGGAATACCCGATTAAAGTATTGATCTGTTCCTGTGGGCCATCGACCACGAGCATGGTTGCAACGATGAAGGCGTTGGTCTCCCAAGGTACAGCTGATGTGTCGACTCCGACCTCGTCTTGAGCGGGCAATGGCGTATTGTAATCTCGCGGCGACGACCTCGTGACGCAAGTTTTCACTGCTACGGCGGGAGCTATGAGTTTGGCGGTGCACTCGCCTGTGCATCCACGAATGACTCCGGCATATCCATCGTCTTTTGTCCAGTGATCGGATGTTCCATCGAAAGCATTAGGAGGACTGGATAGATAGACGTTGGTAGCAACATGGCCGCTCGGAGCTGGCATTGTCTCGTTGAACGATGGCAATGTAGAAGTACCTGACATGGTCTTCCAGGAACCAGAATAGCCTATAGGTGACAGTCAGTCGAAATTGGATCATATATCAATCGCGTGGAGAGAGTGGCAATAGGGGGACCCACCGATGGGAAGGTTGGACACCATTGTGGTGTTCAGGGTGACGCGATGGGAAAATGGGGCATCCACGACCGTAGAAGCACGTTGCAGGAGCGGGCCATCAATCACCACCAGGGTTGAGCAGATGCATGCGACGCCTAGCCAGCCCATTCGCCGACCGGCTGTGATTGCACCGCGGATACTCGTGCTACAAGAGGTCAGCACATCTCGAATTCTTCCAATGCAGACTTTGCTCTTACCCTGCACGCCAGTCATAGTGCAAACTGTCTACGGTGGAGCCGTGCAAAGCCTTGAGCCACCACGTGATAACGACGCCCTGGAAAGCAGCATAACGCACCGACAGATTCCCCAGCGCGGTGAAGACGGCTATGAATGTTGATGGTGGAGTCGGCCAGGTTGCAACTGGAGAACCATTGGAGCCTGCAAGTACGCCAAGTGATGCGATGATTGCCAGTCCCGCCGAAAGCAAGGCCAGCATGCCAGATAGTGGGCCCAGACGGATCTGCAATTCATGCGTGAGATGAAGAGCCTCTAATTCAGTGCGGTTCCTGCCGGGAGGTCATACCAATGATCTAGTCCAGGACCGTCTGTTCTGCCCTTTCGATCTTACCCAGGGATTCGAAGGACTTCCCGTTGCGTATGCATACAGGTGCCCGGTCCAGTTCACAATGGGAATCGACCAGATGCGAGCTCGGATGCCTCGCGGTCGAAGATGCTTGGGCTCCCGTCCACACTGGACGGTTGACGTGGAGGACGGTGGCGGCCAGACATTGCTAGAAGCCGAGTCGACGGCGAAGCCATGCTTTTCACTCCCCATGCCTTGCTTCCGCTCTCGTGCACCAGCTCGCAGTTGTACCGATGAAGACTTAATAAGGAGTGTGGTAAGACCAGGTCGTCTATACTCCGACTACATACTGGGAGTCAGTGCCCTGCGACGGTCCGCCGGGATACCGCGGGGTCCATTACAAATGAGCTGTAAAGCGCATCGAGGTTTCCATGTTATTGACGATGCTCATTGGCTGCTGATCCAAGTTTTGAGTCAGCATTACGGATGCTGTGCAACCCTCAACGCCCACATAAAGACGGCAGATGAAGCCGACTCCAATATTCTCTTTGGTGTGCTCGTGACTGCTTCACAGTTGTTGCACGTAGGCTTCAGTGAGACTAAGAGCTGACAAATGGAGGGGAGACTTGCACCGTGCGATCTCGTGTGGGACGTTGCACAAGGCTGGCTGGATGCTAGTCTCGACGTCTCCCGCGCGGCTTACCTAAGACAACTATACGTCAGGGAAATAGCGAACGGAGCTGCCAAGATTCCCGCGCGGCTTACCTAACTCCACGTAGCCTTGTATAGCTTGTGGCGACAAGCAATGCGTGCGACCAGCGATGAAGCAGCGGAACATGTGGATACGCTGAGAATAATGCAGTGTCTCTGACGTACATTACAAATGCATGGTCTCGGTCGTGAGCACTTTCTTCTACCCGAGAGAGCGGATTTCGGACTATAAGTAGGCTGTGTTCACTCCTCAGGACTCTCCAATTCTGCAATTTACCAGTCCTCGATTGAATTTCGTAGACCACAGTCTACAGAAAGCAACCCACGACCCACAATGGCAAGCAATCAAGTCGCACTCATCCTCGGAGCTGGCCCACGAGTAGGAACCGCAGTCGCGAAAAGCCTCTCCTCGAAGGGTTACGCGGTCGCAGTTACATCAAGGAGAGGCACTGGCAGCAAAGACGCCAATGGATTCGTGTCTTTGAAAGCCGATTTCAGCGACCCAAACAGTATCCCGACACTGTTTCGAGACGTCGAGACCCATCTCGGTTCCCCTCCAAGCGTGGTTGTGTACAATGCTGCAGGAATGACGCCCCCGCCCGATAAAGACAGCGTGCTCTCCATTCCAGCGGATCGGTTTGCCGCAGACCTCACGATCAACACCATCAGCTCTTACGTCGCTGCCCAGGAATGCATTAAGGCTTGGGAAAGGCTTCCGAAAGAGACGAAGAAGACGTTTATTTATACTGGCAACGTGCTGAACACAGTCGTCTTGCCCGTCCCGATGATGGTGACCTTGGGTGTTGGGAAATCGGCTTCGGCGTACTGGATCGGCGTTGCGGACGCGACGTACTCGGCTCGCGGACATCGGTATGCATTCTCATGTGGGACACGACTGAGCAGTTTGACTAATCTGAACCCACCGTTCAGCTTTTTTTACGCCGACGAGCGTCACGCAGACGGGAAGATGAAAGGTATGGATCTCGATGGTCCTGCCCATGGCGAATTCTATGCCCAGCTGGCCGACCACCCGGCAGATGTACCATGGCATGCGACATTCCTCAAGGGCAAGGGGTATGTCAAGGCGTAGAAGCTCATCATAGCTCTAGACCATCTCTTAGCATCATGTATGGAGTTTGATTTGGGAGCAACCTCGCCAATATCGTCATTCTGAAGTAGAGAATCAACAGCCTTTCCTGTACCGAATACTGCAGATCAGATCTCAGGTATGAGGAGGTAAAGGACATAATCCACATCTTGCGTAGATATCCCACCCGGGGGCAGTACCAAACAGACACTTTCCTGAGTATCTTCCCTTTGTTTAGATCCCAAGAAATCGTGATCACCATGAAGCAGTCAAAGGTGATCATGTACATTGAGAGATCTAAGCTAGGACTACAAAACACACACAATATTCATGTGTTCGTGTGGGCAGTGCTTAGTAGCGAGAGTTACGACCAATGAATGTAGAGGATTCGCGTGGTCTCGAGTGCTCGCATTCGCAACAGATCATTGAATGAAGTGAAGTCAGCCGCACACGCTGCCTGGTGGCGCTTAGGTTGATTACTAAACGCTCGTTTCTCCGTGTACCTCACGGCATGTGCTGCTACACTTCCTATTTCCCCTCGCCGTCCGTCTCTCTCGAACCAGAAGCTTCCGAGATGCGTGGTTTGCGGGGCGTCGCGAAGGATCTACCGCAAAGGCCCCATGGATGCAAATCCGCGTCGAAGCCAGCACTCCATCAGCAGCACGCCGCGCAGCTCGAATGGCTGCTGGACTTGCAAACTCCGTCGCAAGAAATGTGACGAGCAGCATCCCGCTTGCGACATCTGCACTGCTCTGCGTATTACTTGTCATGGTTACGACCCTGTGAAGCCGGAATGGATGGACGGTGGAGTGCTGCAGGAGGAAATGAGTAAGCGGATCACGGGGGTGATTAAGGAGCACAATAAGACCTACGGCCGCCGAATGGAACGCATGCTCGAGCCACACTCTGGACAGAATGGTTGGCGTTCTATCACCGAAGGTGGCACGTTACCACGCCCGCTCCAAAGCACAGCATTCATCGACGACGAAGGCCCCGTGTCCACGAAACCCTCCCATTCACCGATTGGCCTGGTTTCGAGCACTCAATCGCCAAGCTCGACCGAGGACCGACCAACGAGCAGCTGTACTACACGCTGCTCACTTGCCCCTGCATGGAGTCTATCACTCACCCGGTCCGACAACGTTCTCCTCTCGTTCTATTTGGAGCACTTACTCCCATTCATGTTCCCCTTCTTCCGTCCATCTCTGCACGAAGGCGGTCGGGCATGGCTCCTGGAGCTGATGATCAACAGCCCAGTCATGCGACGCGCGACCTTGTGCCAGAGCGCGTATTTCTTCCCGCTTCTTGTCATGGGTCGCGAACCGGAAGTGGAGAGTGTGCTGGGGCAGACAAATGGGGCCTTTGAAATTCTAAGGGCGGCACTCGAGCTCATCGGCGGATCCTCCGTTGTGGAACATCTACATGGCACCGTCAGGATCTTGGCGAGCATCATGCAGGTCCAGCGCTTCTTCATCGCCCTCTCGAGCTTCGAGCACTGCCAAGCCCATCTCCATGCGGCTCTGGCTCTTTTCGTGCAGATACTCGACAGCGTTGACGCGGATGACCAGCCTGCGGAACAGGGCACGAGCTTTGACATTGTGATGAGTCGCCTTGGCCCGCCAACCGAAGTCGTCCAAGTATCAGGTTTCCGCGTTCCGAGCGCAGAACAAACCGCTTTTCGTTTCGCGTCTTCTCTCTTGATCCTGGATGACATTGTTGCTAGTACCGAGCGCCAGGAGGAGCCGAAGCTCTACAGACATCACAGAGAGCTCCTTGACCCAACTACAGCTGCGGGTTCGGCCATCAAGGTTGAGCATGTTGTCGGATGCCAGAATTGGGTCTTGCTACAGGTGGGCGAGACGGCAGCGCTGGTCGCATGGAAGAAACGGTGCAGAGAAGATGGTGACCTCGATGTCATGGAGCTAGTCCGTCGTGCCGCGGACATCAAACACGCCCTCGAGAGTGGGCTCGCCTCTCTTGAACTGGCTCCAGTGGACCGTGGCCATGAAAGAAACTCCAGTCTCGCAGACATGTTCGCGGCAGACTGCTCACTGGACCCCAGTGCAACTGCCGCTTCTGATTCCGTCCTTGCCACACGCATATGGGCGCATGCAGCACTCATCTATCTATCCATCATGGTCTCCGGCTGGCAACCCTCCAATGCCACCATCCGGTGCCACATAGCTAGCATCATGCAGCTCACGAGTGACCAGAAAATCTCGACTTCGCTATTGAGGACGATGGGGTGGCCGCTGTGTGTCGCAGGTTGCCTCGCCACGTGCGAGCAGGAGGCCTTCTGGCGGTATCTGCTGGGGAACCTTCAGCCGGCCGGCGCTTTCGCGCCGCTGAAAAAGGCATTGCAGTTGATGGAAGAGGCATGGGCTAGTAGAGACTTGCCGGGCAGTCCCACCGATCGAGATCTTGCTACTATTTTCGCGTGTCGCGAGGAGCTTGTGTTACTTGTCTGATAGACATACAGGGTTGATGAAGGTTGGCCCACAATCAACTAGCGGGTTATTCATTCCCACAGCAGCGAATACGTGCTAAGACCGTGTCTCCCTCTCGCCCTTCCACTCTCGATGATCGTCTCGATTAGGATACTCCACGTCCGGAAGATCCTTGTGCAAAAACCGACAAAGCGGCTCCCATCCACCAGCAGTGGGAAACTCAAGCAACCTTTCCCGCGGCGTCTTTGCCCTCACCAGAGCCTCATAGCTCCTTAGGTACTCCCTCCCGTAAGTCGCAAAATCGTCTTTCCAGCAATACTTGCGATACGCGTCCCGTAAGGGCTGCATGGGACTCGGAGCCTCATCTTCGCTTCGAGGCCGGCCAAGTGTGGACTCCATTGATCTGAACCACGCATCCTCGTCTCGCTGCAGCAGGATTACTTTCGCTTCGGGATACAGCTGGATGAGGTCTTCGGCGAAGATGGAGGCGGGGAAATCCGCCAGCGCCTTGTGCACGTTTCAATCAGTCCCTGATCCTTGATCACAAGAGATCTACTCCACTCACATCAAAGTCCCCCAGCAGCGGTTCAAAGTCCTCGCGCCGAAGCTGGCGAGGCTGCTCACCGAATCTGGCATGCAACAAGTCCGCCCATTGCCGCGCGTGTCCGTTTTTGCCGACTTCCCGCATGTGGTAGACACGCTCATATCCAAGGATTATGAGAGCGTCCGCGACCGCTGTACTGCCCATCAGTAAGTGCGTACCTGCAAGGGTATTCTGGCTTACATTGCGTGCCCATGCGCGGGGGGCTCAGGACCAAAACTCGAGGAGCCATTTTTGCTGGCGACAGTGCTTCGGAAATGAATCGTCTGGTATTTCCACTACCCGCAGTGTCCTCGTTCGCATAATGAAGAGTCGGTAAGCTGCTCGCCTTCCGTCTTCTTCCGATCGTCGCAGGGCTGAGAGCCTCGTGACAACCCCGCAGCTGCAAACCCTCCGGCTAAACCCGATGGTCGCAACATGGCCTTCTTACCTGCGACCCTCCATACAATGCTTGCGCTCTATCAGCCTTATGACAAGTAAATGCAAGAAGCTGGGCAGAGACGGCAGCATCAGGCAATATTGAAGCACCCTGCCCCGCTCGCCTGTCTATTATTAAATTCCGCGGGCGGCTCAGCCTCAAGGGCAGCCATTGAATCCTAACACCACGAAACAAGCCGACCTTCGCCTCCAAGCCCCTCAACGTTACGGTGCGCGCTGGGGAACGTCACTGGATCCCCCGGAGCTGAAGGCCTGGTAATCAACCACGCTAGGCTGCTTGCAGCACCTGCTTCAGTATACGGCTGGAAGGGGGTCGCTACAGTCCCAAGATAGCCAAGATGGCCCTAGACGCCCATGGCGGGCGCGGGCGCGACGATCTCGGGGTCCAATCACCTCTGCTGGCATTGACCAGAGATTAGAGGGATATGTTCCCGTCGATGGCCAGTTTCTAGTTCTTTCTCCTTCGCTGTTCATTGTTCTCAGCGAAGCCAAGGGGGATATCGCAAGCATTCGGCAGCATGGACCCAACCGCTCAGCCAGGTGCGTTGTTAAAATCAACAGGAATGCCAGATTGGGAGGATCGCGCTAATCGATACACATACATAGGACCGGAGCACCACAACGGAGCGCCAACGTTCGTAATCCGCGCGCAACTTCCTGCCTCCCACTGACCAGACTCCAGCGAGTTGGAAGCGGCCCGGAGTCCAGCAATGTCACCCCCGCCGACCTACGGGGCTGCGCAGGCGATTCCCCAACCGCACGCAGAACACTACGGGATGCAATACAAGAGCGATACTCGACCCATGCCGTCTCCACAAATGCAACAAGTCCACAATGGTCAGCCGTACCAGCGGCAGCAACATCCAGCTCAGTACACCCCGCACCCACAACAACAGTACAACATTGCAACCCCAATCCCGAATCTCGGCATGTCGAGCATGCCCGTCGACTGTCCGAATTGCGGGCAGCGTAGCTTGACCAAAGTCGATTATCAGAGCGGAAACACCACGCAGTGAGTTTGACTCCTCCCAATGAAGCGATGTGACTCCCGCATCTCATCCCCGAGCATTTCAGCTGACCCGTGTGCACTACCGCAGCGCATGGGCCCTCGTCCTCTGCTGCATCACCGGCTGCCTCTGCTTCATCCCGTACCTCATGACTAGTATGAAAGACGTGCAGCACCGCTGTGGGAGCTGCGGGTGCTTGTTGGCGACGTGGCACAAGAGTGGGAATGTGGAGGTGCATGCGCATCCTTGATGGCCCAGGCCAGGCTTTCGGGTCCAAATACTGCAGATACCCGTATTTCTTCCAAGTTTTCCATGCTTCACCAGAATTGGAAAATTGGCCTCTAGTCAGTCTATTGGCAGACTCGAGGAAGAAGTCGGCCAGCCGCTTTGGAGGAGTGTGACGTCCTCCCACATCTGCTTCTGCATCCATGCCGTTGTCTCCCCGGAGCTGTGTGCAACGGCGTCAAATCAGATCGCAGATTCCGCCAAGGTCTTGACCGAGGACTGCACTCGTAGCCAGACCGATACCGAGGACTGCACTCGTAGCCAGACCGATCCCAACGCGCGTCGCCATTCCAAGTTTCCAAGGAGTTTTCTGAGTAGCCGCGAAGGCCTTTTTCAAGCCTGTAGTTAACTTCTCTTCATGCAATGATTAAGCTCGGCCCCACTCCCCGTAAGCATACACGCTCTACATGCAATACCTGCTCGGATGGGAATAACGACCTCCTATCCACACCCGGGATCGAGTCTGGAGCAGCTCGGCCGTATCACTGCAGTTGCACACCCGAGACACGCCTGTACCCTCCCGTTCTCCATACCCGAATGCATGCGATCAGCTCTCGTACCCGCCCTCGCTTCACTGAGGAGGTTTTAATAAGCATCGAGGAGAGTGTAGTCAGAGAAGCCCGACTACCCAATCCATCCAAAACTGGCCGATCTCCACGCGCCAGACCTAAATTTGATTGAAACGACGGGGTCCCCCGCGAGCTGTCAGCATGGCAATCCGCCGCGCTAAACTGTTTCCATTTCTCTTCTCAGCCTTACGCGTGCCTTGAACGCAGGACACCCGACGCACGCAGGAGAAGGAAGAAGGGGTTGCAGGGTTCTTTCAGCTTTGCGGACAGCGAAGAAATCAGGGGGATATATTCCCGTCAGGTATCGGTTTTCAACCTTCCCTTCGTCGTTCATCGGTCCCTTTTCGTTCATTGTCCCTGTTGTTCTTCAGCATCAATCCAACCTTTACATCAACCATGTCCGGTGAGTTCAATCCAGTCAAGGAAGCCAGTCCTCTCAAGACCGCGCTAACGGACATCACCACACAGGAAAATAAGATCCCATCGCAGCGATGACGTTCGTCCTCCAAACAAGCGCAACACGTCAGAAGTCCCTCTAACACGTGCGTCCCCAGCGAGTCGCCTCCAAGCTACCAAGCAGCATCCGGGACTCCCCAATTCTCCGCAGAAAAGAATGGAATGCAATACACGAGCGACCCTTCGCCGGCAACGCGAGAAGTCCACAGCGGCGGCCAGCACAGCAAGTACAGCCAACAGCCACAAGGCCAGCACAGCAAGTACAGCAGCGCCACCCCGATCCACACCCTCGGCATGTCGAGCGTGCCTGTTGATTGTCCAGGCTGCGGGCACCGCGCGCTGACGCAAACCGATTTCCAAGCGGGGAAAACGACGCAGTCAGTTTTGCGACCGAATCACCCCCTTCTGATGAAGCTGTGTGCTTTGGCTGACTGATTGGCTATTCGTAGTGCATGGGCCGTCGGACTCTGCTGCCTTACGGGTGTTTGCTGTTGGATTCCGTATGTTATGAACGGCATGAAGGATGTGCAGCACCGGTGCGGGAGTTGCGGGATGCTGCTGGCTACGTGGCATAAGAGCGGGCACGTGGAGGTGCATGCGCATGCTTGAGCGCGCTGTTGGCCGGGCTCAAGGTTTCAGATTGTGTGAATAATGGGGGGGTGTCAAGTCGTTGTTGTGGTGTTCTCTGGTCGATTGAAAGAGAAGGTGAGAATGCCTCGACTCGATTATCAGGTAGTCAGCATCGTTTTCTAGGACGTTAACAATACATCTGTACACACAAAGCATCGGGGTATCACAGTACCAACAAACATTCGCCGTCCCAGTCCCTCAAACCGAAGAAGGCAGAAACAGAACCCCACCCCTTTCATACACCACTAAAGAAGCCAAAATCTAACATTCCAACGCCGGAATCGAAAGCCCATACCCACACGTCCGCCCTTCCGTATCCGCCGAATCAACCTCAACGCGCACCGCCACATCCAACCCAAACCGCCCCGCCAACCCGGTCTTCTGAATGCCCTGCGCAGCAGCATGGCTCGCGCCCGCGCCCTCTTCGCCTTTGTGCAGCGCTGAGCGGGGATTACTTGCGGGCGCGAAGGGCGCGGCGGCTGCTGCGTGGTTGCCGTTTGTAAGCGGGTGACCGTTGGTGGTTGGTGCCGCTGTTGCTGTTGCGGCGGGAGATGGAGAGTGGGAGTGTGATTCTGCGATGATGGCGTAGTTGCGCGAGGGCATGGTGGCGTGATTGTTTGGTGCGGATTTCGGTTTTACGCCTTCGCCTTCGCCGGGCTGCTTGTCGAAGAGCTCCAGTAGCGTCTCGTCCGTCTCGTCGTCTAGATGGTGGATCTTGTTCCGGCGCGCGAGCAAGTTTGCCACCGCTGCCGGGGGCGGCTTGTTAGTAATAGCGCTCGAGACGATGTTGGCGGTGAAGCGAAAGTCCTTCTCCACGGGGATGTGCAGGTCGGGATTGCTGTAGAAGCGGCCGAGGGCGGCGAGGTGGACGTCGCCGCCTAGGATGGTGACGCGCACGGAGCGGGATTTGGCGAGCTGTTGGATGCGGAGGACGAGGTCTTTGCGCTCTTTTTTGTGCTGGTGGGCGGTGTAGTGGTCATCGAGCTGGGAGGAGCGTGTCAGTTGGTTTGCTTGTATGATGTGAAACAGTCCATGCACTTACATCGTCTACCAAGTCTACAGAGCCGTCGAAGCTGTTGAAAAAGCCGCTGGCGATTCCAAAGCGCTTATTGAGGAATTTGATTGGCCCAATCATGGGTGATTGCAGGATATTCTCGAGCCATTGCAGGCGAGGGTATGCGATGGGAACACCAAGGAGGAGAATAAGGTGTTTGATCTCACCGTTAGAGGCCTGAAGGGCGGAAGAGATACGGTTGAAGAAAAGGTCGTAGGTGTCGGGGTAGTTGACTTGATGGCGGGTGCGCTCGGTGCGAGCGTCGATGCCGGCAAAAGCAATGTGCTTGCCGAGCTGGCAGTACATGTTTCGACTGCACTCTTCAACGTACGGGCCGGGTCGCTTGCCGAGGACGTAAGATGGCCCTTCGGATTGCTCTTGCAGCACGAACGCTTCCTGCGTCTGGACGGCCGGGGCGGGAGTGTCGGCTTGTCGGGAATGGTGACGCGAGAGCTTCTCCCTCATTCTAGAGTGATGGCTGATGGATGTGGTAAAAGAGGAGATCGGGGGAGCAAGATGCTGCTGGAATAGCATGTAGTATTTGTGAGCGACGCCGCCAATGCCGCGGAAGACGGGACACTTCATAAAGTGGTCGGTGTATGAGCCGAAGCCGTCGATGATGTCGTGGTCGTCCCAGATGTTGAGTTGGGGAATCTGTGCGTTGGCGACGGCAAAGGCATCGGTGGAGTACCATTTAACGTAATTCTCAAAGTAGTAGATGTCGCACTTCACGCGCAGGTCTTCGCCAAAGGGATAGTCACGCCGCTTGTGAGGGTTCTTGATGTCGGTCCACTCCTTGAGAGGGCCTTCGGTACGGATGCCATCGTTGTAGATCTGATCACCACCGCCAATCATGACGTGGAAGGGTTGTTCGGTATGCACGCGCATCACATCCTTCCACAGCGACGGCCCTTTCCATGTGTTCATGTCTGTACCGACGGAAAAGCCGTTGCAGGAGTGGAACATGATGCGCATGCTCTCATGTTTGGAGGGGATCCAGAAGCGACAAGTCTTGTTGGGGTTGATGTGACTGTGTTCTGCCGGAGCGGGCACCATGTTTGAGATGTTGTACTCCCACTCCGACTCGTGATCTAAGAAAGGGACATCGATGGCGTAGCGGAAGAAGGCCTTGCGCGAGTCTTCGTATAGTCTTTCGGGTTGAAACGAGTGCGAGTCGGATGGGCTAGTGGCGGAGCTGGCGGAGCGAAGGGAGAGAGGTTGTGGATGTTGTCCGGGAGAGGTGACGATGAGCACGCTGCCGTGCCAGATGGGAGAGGAGGTGTATTCGCCGGTCATGTGGCGATAGTTGAGTAAGGGGCCACACATGACCTCGCATTGCTGCGAGGAGATGGGCACTCCATTCGTCGCCATCTTCTCGTGTCTCTCCAGCTCTTCTGCCGTCAGGTCTGCTTCCAAGGCTGCTCTTCAAGGCTGCGCGTATACAGTTGGCTCCCTCGAGAAGGAGATGGAGTGGTAGGGTATTCTAAATATGTTGAAGATGGGAGGAAAGAGGGAAGGTGGGAAGGAAGCTGAGGGAGACGACGCGCCTCTGGCCTGGCGATTCCTTGGCCGTCTTGGCCTGCGTAGTAGTCCATCCTCAAAAGTTCGCGAGTGACGTCTGAGCGTCGCTCCAATTGCGATCGCCCTCGCTGCACATGCTACGCCACCCGAAACTCTAAAACCAGCCCAACCACTTCACCTCATTCTTCCTCCCTGTCGTTCGCTACAACAAAAGCAGTCTCAACCTCAACCCTCCGAGTTGAGGACCTATGCCATTCACTTCCATCACACATATTGCTCTGAGTCCGTCTCATCTTCAAACACCTCCACAACCCCTTCCTTCCTGCCGACCCGCCCTCCAGCCTTGCCACACTTGCTCCTCCCCATCCTCCCCGCCTTCTTCTGCCCCTCTTCCTCGCCCCTCTTCCCACTCGTCTTCACAACTCCAGTCTTCTCTCGTGTAGCCGGCCTCGCAGCCTTCTTCTCAACCTCAATCTTCTCCATCTCGCGCCTCTCCTGCCCACGAGTCCGGTGCGATCTAATCTTCGACGCATCCACCGTCTGCATGTCGCGTTTGCGTTTCTTCCCAGCAGCGTTTTTGATAGGAGTTTGATCGCCGTTGTCTTCGACATCAGCGTCGGAAGCCTTTTCGACTTCGGCCTGTACCGGGGTATCCGTCATGGCATGGTCATCCCCTTCGCTGCTTCGAATCGCCGGGGTCTGATTGACGCTCTCCTCGAAGTCACCATATCCACTCGGCCCCGCCTGCTCCTCCCCATCCACCGAAGGTCGACCACTCAGCAAACCATCCATCACCTCCGCCGCCGTGTTCATCTCAGGCGCAGCGGGCGACGATGCTGGAGGCGAAGCGAACATCCCAAACTTCTTCGGCGTCAGGAGTTTGCGCTTTGGGCTAGGTTCGTTGATTCCCCGCGACGATGCTACTCCGCTTGTCGCAGTATTCGTGTTGTTTGTCTTGGACGTAGCGAATTCCGCAAAGATGCTGGTGCCTATATGTAGGAAGAAAAATGAGATCAGTAAGTGAAACAACCAAGTGAAATTTTGTCAAACTCACCTCCCTCTTTCCTCCCCTTTCCCTTCACATTCACAACCTCACCAGCTTGCTTCACCAGACCAACCGGCGAGAAGAAGCGAACATGCTGCACAATTCCACCTTCTCGCCTCTTTTTCTTCCCTTTCTGGCTGTCAAAGTCGTCATCGCTGCTCTCTTCATCACACCGATCGTATGCCCGGCCGATTTCGTCTTCCTTTTCGCTGCTTCGCTGGGGATACACGTCTTCGTAGTAGGGGAGTGGGAGGTCGTGGATTGTGCTGGCGTTGTTGTCGAGCACGCGGACGCGTCTGGGCGGTTGCATTGTTTTGGTCGATATCTGATGACCGGAGTTGCTGAGTGTGTGGTATTAGAAAGGGGAGAAGATGGATGCGAGCGGTCTTCTAGAAGGAGGTGTGTGAGCAAATAGTGAGTGAAGCTTTCCAAGTGAAGGCAATCAGCGTGAATGAAGAGAAGCAAAATGTGAATTATTCATTCCCACGCTCTATGCAAACGCCCACGCTTTATGCTATGTCTATTCGTTCAATTAGTCGGGTATTCTATTTAGTTGTGATCCAGAAGTCTATTGTCGCTCTATATCCGGAGGCGAGTGAGAGACGGGAACCAGCCAGGTTATGGAGCATGGGCGACATATGTCTCCAGCGCGCCCGAAATCGGGCTCGTGTGGTGTTGGCAATTAGCGTAAAACACCCGCAGGTCCTTGGCAAGGTGGAATGGTCTCGAAGTATCCATATCGCTTCAACGCTCGAAGTCGGCATCCGTAAGCAACTGGTCTGAAGTTGGGACCGAGAAGGGCAAAGCCGCCTCATCGATGATTCTCCGCCTTCTCCATCCCACTTGCATCCAGGAAGCGATCGTCGTTGTCTTCTTGACCAGGAGCAACACCAGATCCACTCCCACTGGATTTCTCCCTTAGTTCCTCCTCCTGCTTCTCCAACTCTGCCGGGTCTGGAATGCCCGCCTCCTCATCTAATTCCCTCTCTGCTTCCTGCTCCGTACTGGAACTCCCATGCCTGTCTTGCTCTTCATTCGACGTCTCTCCCTCGCCCTCAGCCTTGCTCGGCGTAGGAGCGAATTTACTGCGCTCCCGGATCTTCTTGCCGTACTTGTAGAACAAGAACGGGATCGGGGCGAGCAGACATCCTACGCCGGCGATGAGACTTCCTCCTCCGCCCACGCCAAGGGCTTCAAACATGTAGTTCGTGAAGAGGGGCGCGGCGGCGCCGGCGGCGGAACGGGCGACGGTGTTGGCTGCGATGGCGGAGGCGGCGTACATCAGGTAGCTGTCGGTGAGGTAGTTGAGGTAGGCGACGAAGATGAGGAGGATGGAGGTGGCGAGGAAGACGCCTGCGAGTGTGGGGATGATCCAGGGGACGACGTTGTATTCTCCTGACCATGCGAACCAGAACCTAGAAGGAAGCTGTCAGCGAACGGGTGGGAGTGGCTTGGAGAGGGGATTCGACTTACATGGTTATTGGGAATAGGATGCCACCGAGCATAGCCATTGGCAGTCGGTCTTCCGGGGTCAGTTCGTGTCCGGCTAGCATTTTCTTCTTATTCCTGTGCGAGTCCCAAAACACGTAGGCTCCGCCGAGCCATGCGCCGAGCGCGGTTCCAATTAGAGGCAGTTCGCCGACACCGGAATTCCAGCCTCGTTTCTCCTGAAAGACGATGGGATAGATGGAGAAGAGCATGTAGAGCAGACAGTACACCACCGAGATGTAGATGGCGATGAGGAGGGAGATTGGGTCGAAGAGGATGATCCATGGGCGGGTTAGGGCGACTTTGTAGATGCCCATCAGTGAACGGTCGGTAGCCTCAATGGGTGCCTTGACGTCTTCGTAGCCCGGGATCTTCAACTTGCGGATGCGCCGGGCTTTGTGGGCTAGAGCAATTGACGGGAGGGTTTCGGGGATCGTGAACATGAGAAGCATCGTCCCGAAGCTGAACCAGATGAGGACGTAGAAGGTCCATCTCCAGTTCTCGGTAAGCTCGAGAAAGCCGCTAATGACTGGACCGAGAGCGGGTCCGATGAAGGTCATCATGGCGAAAAGGGCCATTGCGCTTCCTCGCTCCACGGGACCCCAGAGATCGGCAATGATTCCCGGAGCATTGGAAAGCGGCGCGCTGGCGAAGGTGCCTGTGATGAAGCGGCCGACCAAAAGCCCAGCAAAGCTATTCGTAAAGGCGCAGAGGAAGTTGAAGGCGAAGTAGCAGGTAAAGGAGATGTAAAAGATCCATTTGCGGCCGTAAAACTCGGAGAGCGGCGCCCAGAACAACGGGCCAAAGACATAGCCGAGCAGGAAGAGGGTGACGACGAGGCCGGCAGCCTCCTCGGACACCTGGAATTGCTTGCTGATGCCCTTGAGCGTGCCGGACGGACTGCTGGAGGCAAAGGTGGCGTTGACGACGAGCAGGACGGAGACGATGGTGATGTACCATCTGCGTGCCGTACTCCAGTTCTTGGGATTCTTTTCTTAGGATTAGCAAGTGCTTCGTCTCACGTAAGGGTATTGGGTAAACCAGGTCCGGTGCCTCTGATCAATCGCGCGAAGTTGCTACCAGTGGCAACTGCACCGCGCACAGGCAGTAGTATCGCTGCGATTGGTCTCGAAGCAGCGCGACAGGTTCTCCCTAGAGAGTCTTACTTCGATGTCGTTGACCGAGAACTGAAGGTGTCCGTGTTCATCTAAAGCAGGAGCACCAGAATCATTAATGCCTGCAGAACGGTACGGCTTGGCGTTCGTCCGTGATATCACGCGACTGAGCCGGTCCATTGTGACGCGCGCAGTCCACTGAGGGTGGGAGAGTGTAGCGGTGGATGTGTGGGAGAGGAAAAGAATGTAGGCAAAGACGCGATTAAGAGCAGACGCATCGGGGTTTCGAAGGCACGAACAACCCGGCGTTCGTCATCGATTCGGTACTCGGCACGGCTGTTTCCAACAGATCCGCTCTAGTCCGCAAAATTTATGCTGACTAAGACAAGGCGAAGGCCTCTCTTCAAGTGGCGAGGCTGCGTCCAACGCCATGTGAGGATTCGGAATCCTTGACACTTGAGGATATCCAGTACTGGAGAGGTCGCATGACAGTTCAAATGTATTCTATACACTTTCTGTGGCTGTACGTGTAAGGTCTATGCGTCTTGATTCCCTTCACTCTCCCGTACAATCCCGCGGACAGCACCGTTTGGTGAAGGCTCTCAGAGGCCTTCGAGTTCGTCGCCTTCACGGGGAAATGCCAGTGTGCCATGGCGTATATTCGGCATCGACGCGCCGTAGCCACACAGCCCACGCGACTTGGGCAATGCGAAAAGGTTCTCCTCGTTTCCCGGCGGTTGGATCGTCGACGTAGCGGCCTTGTCGTCCCATTCATGAGGACCGCGCCACTGCGGGCTTACATAGTGTAGCCGATGCTGTCTCGGTCGGGTGTCGTCGTGTGCTAACGTAGGAAGCAGGCGTGTCGTGCCCCAGATGATAGCTCGATATCGGTGAGCAGACGATTCGTACTCACGGAGCACCATCCCTCTCTTTCCCTCGCCTGGCCTCGGACGGCGTCAAACCGCGCACCACCACCTCCACCGGCTTCTGCGACTCCTTGCGCTCAAATCCCATCAGCTGTCCAACAAGCCCCGTAGGCTTGGGAATGGGGCACTCGTGTCTCGGTCGTCCACCTTCATTCTCATCCACCGTACGCTCCGGCACTCCGTCCATCTGCTTGACCCGTCTCTTTTTGACCCGGCCAGTTCCATTCTCTCCGCTGTCGGCGAATTGTCGTCGGTCCACGGGACATGGTAGAAGATGGGGGAGGGCGACGACGAGGAAAGAGACGGCGAGGGTGGTTGTGAAGAGTGTGCTCGTGCCTCGCGACCGCGGATGCAGAATGTGCATGTCGGCGGTGTGGAGGCGAGCGCTGTGGGAATGGCGCACCGTGATTGTCTGCTTGGAGTGCGAGAGTGGTGGTTGTGATGGATGATCCTTAGAGCTTGCAAGATTAAAGGCGGTGAGCGGAGAGGGCGGCAGAAAAAAAGCGGACCTCCGCCGACGTCTCCACGAAGTTTTGAGAGCAAGCAGGACACTGTCTCTTACAACACCCTCGACCGCAACACCTTACCGCTGCTCTCCATCAGCCTCCCCCTCTCGTTGCATCCTGTGGCATCAACATGGCAGAGGTTGCGTCCACCGCGCCAAGTGCGCCAGCACCTTCACAACCCTCCGACAACATCACTCAGTATGCGAACCAGGCAGTACGGCGCTCGGCGAAGCGAACGCGAGAAGTCTTCGCAGCAGACTACGGCCAGAACTCAGCACTACAAAAACCCTCTCAACCCGCCATCGCCCCTCCCGACCCCTCGCCCTACGACCGAGCACGACGAGCCAACATCGCCTCGCGCATCAGCAGCGAATACGCGGACGTAAAGGAACTCCCAGCAGTGCTCGCACAAAAGCAAGCAAATGCACAAGCTGGCCTGGCGGCGCGGCGGAAAAAACCAAGAGCCGACGAACAAGCTAGCGATCCGCAAATGGCACAGATGATTGCTGGCATTTCCAACAAAGCGCAGTCGAATGGCGCGAGCACGAATGGCACATCCATGGCTCTCACGCGCATCGCCGGCACCGCGGGAGCAAAAGCACCGCCCAACGCCCATGGACCGACTCCACAGCGCAACACACCCTCTACAAGCCTCGTACGCAAAGACACCGTCCGCTCGCAACGACCGCAATGGCACGCACCGTGGAAGCTCTTCCGCGTCATCTCCGGCCATCTAGGCTGGGTGCGCGCCCTAGCAATGGAACCCGGCAACCAATGGTTCGCCTCCGGCGCGGGCGACCGCACGATCAAAATCTGGGACCTGGCCTCAGGGACACTCAAACTCACGCTCACAGGCCACATCTCCACGGTACGTGGGCTCGCCGTCTCTCCGCGCCACCCCTACCTCTTCTCCTGCGGCGAAGACAAAATGGTCAAGTGCTGGGACCTCGAGACCAACAAGGTCATTCGGCATTACCACGGCCATCTGTCGGGTGTGTACACCCTGGCGCTGCATCCCACGCTCGACGTCCTCTGCACCGGCGGGCGCGACGGCGTTGTGCGCGTCTGGGATATGCGCACACGCTCTAACATCCACGTCCTCGGCGGCCACAAGGGCACAGTATCGTCGATCGCCACGCAAGCTACGGACCCGCAAATCATCAGCAGCTCGCTCGACAGCACTATTCGGATGTACGACTTGGCAGCGGGGAAGACGATGGGCGTGCTCACGCACCACAAGAAAGGCGTGCGAGACCTCGCCATCCATCCAACAGAGTACACATTTGCATCAGCATCACCGGGTCAAATCAAGCAATGGCTATGTCCAAAGGGAGACTTCATGCAAAACTTCGAAGGCCACAACAGCATCGTAAACAATATCTGCGTCAACGAGGATAACGTGCTCTTTTCCGGTGGCGACAATGGCAGCGTGGCGTTCTGGGATTGGAAGACGGGGCACAGGTTTCAGTACGAGGATAGTATTGCGCAGCCCGGGTCGTTGGATGCCGAGGCGGGCATTATGAGCGCGACGTTCGATTTGACGGGTTTGAGACTGATTACGGGCGAGGCGGACAAGACGATCAAGGTGTGGAGGCAGGATGAGAGTGCGACGGAGGAGTCGCATCCGTTGGCTTGGCAGCCTACGTTGGGCAGGCAGAAGTTTTGAGGCAGCAGTATGTAGTGACGAGATACCCCTTCTGCGGACGCACAATGCAACCGTCCACCAAGACCCGCGAGCGGCCGTTTGGCTTGATCTCGACGACTATGCCCGGTCTTAGTAAGAGGGCGACGACTGCCATCTCCGCGCCATCAGAGCTGCCAGCCTGGAGATGCTCCGCTGTGCCCGACAGCTGATACGGCACGATCTCCTCTACCATCCTGCTGCAATTCCCATCCAGGGCGCTTAATCCGCATTCATGCCCCCAATCAAATCCCCATCCTTGACGTCCCTCACCACATCCGCAATGCACTTCAGCCTCGCCATAAGCTGTCTGAACCCCGTCCCCTCCCTCTCCCCCTGCTCCCCATCACTCGAACCCCAAGCAAAATCTCGCGGGAACCATGCATCACTTGCATCATCCCACTCCACCATCTCGCCAATCTTCAACTTCCCGTTCTCGGCAAATCGGGTGTCCCAGGCTGTACAAAACACGTTGAGATTCCAGCGCGGCTCATGCATGCCTGGTGTGGGGGTGTTTGAAGCGGTAGACGCATTGCGGGTGCTTGGGACGAAGTATTGCGACCGCGTGAGCTCCAGCGTGTAATCCGTGGGGGGTCCGGCGACGGAACGAACATTGAAACGGTAGCTCGTTCGCTGCTGCACGTGCTTCAGACTCCCGCCGTAGTGTTTGTAGTTGATGAATAATTTGTCCGAAAGCTGCTTCCTGGCGGCCTGGTCGTTGATCTGAACATCTTTGGCGAACTTGGCCAGGGATCCAGGGAGGCGAGCGTCCTCTACGAATTGAGAGGCTTCGATGCCGAAATGCCATGCCGTGCCGGTGTTGAGGTCCGAGAGGTTCGTGTCGAATAGTTGGGTCGGAGTGTCACCGTCTCGCTCGAGGCGAGTCCACTTCTCGGAGGTCATTTCAAGGTTCTTCGTGGATGTGGTAGTGGACTCGACTTCTTGCCAGCATTTTGTCAAGCAGAGAGGGCCCGCTTCGTCTTCGAAGGTGAAGATGGCGGAGTAGCCTGGTTCTACGTCGAACAGGTCGGTAACTTGATTGTCCTCAGGCTGGAGCAGGTCGGTTGATGTACGAAGGAAGTGGAGGACGGCATGCTCGATGGCGGTATCCCCTATTCTGTAAAGTCGTTAGTCGAGCTTCAATAAGAAGGGGGTCTCGCGTCTCACTCCTGAGTGACTGCAGCTTCAAATTGCGACATTTGGATCATTCTCTCGTACTCATCGAGCTCGTACACTCCAATGCTTGGATTCTTGTACTTTAGATACTTCAAGGCCAGAAAAGCACCTAGGCGGATCCGCATTTGTATGTTGCCGCGATAGTAGTGGAGCTGCTTGAGGGTGTCCAAAAGTGAAGTGTGCACTCGCTCTTCATTAATCGCAGTCTGTCTGGCGAGGCGGCTGGCGTCCTCAGACTCAGACGAGCCCTGTGCGCGAGGCCGTTGGCTAGCTCTCGGAAACCCGTCGTCAATGTCGTCAACGGGTGGGCGCTGATATGACTCCAGGGACACGTGAGATGGCAGGCGAGATGGCAGCGCGAGGGCGTGGGGCCAATGCAGCAGGTATCGGCGCACGGGTGCAATCTGTCGTGCAGCAATCTGGAAGCAGGTCCTGCGGAGACGGAGGAGGCCTTGCTTCACATTCTCAATCGATCCCATGACTTGGAACACGTTCTTCTCCTTGACAAAGATGATATGACAGCGGCCGTCCATGCGGAGAGGGTCGAGGGCTTCATGGCTGGATCCCAGCACCTCCTCAGGGCGACATTCTTCGATGGGCCAGTGGAAAGAGCCGATTGCACCGAAAGTGACGTTAGGATCCGGGTAACGGCGATAGTTTTGCAGTTGCAGCTCTTTCTTCCACTTATTCTCCAGTGCTTTGCGCTGATCTGGCGTTGGAGACGAGATTTTGGGGAATTTGGCCCTGAGCCGCGAGTTGCCCGAGATGTATTGGTAGTAGTCTTTAGCCCAGGCGAGGAGGGCTTGCTTCGCAGCCTTCACGTCTGGCATATTTCCCCAGATGCCGAAAACAGTATTGGGTGTGTTGTTTCGGTCGGACTCAGCGAAGACAAAGGTGGCATGTTGACGAGCGATTGACTGGTATGTTTTGTCCTGAAGTACAAGATCTGTCGGCAAGTTCACATAGTCTTGAGGACGCTCTCGATTGCGCCACTTCTGTTGTGCTTCATCATCGCTGTCCGACGCCAGCCGGGGTGGATGACGTTGGCGAGGAGATTGGGCAGGATGGGCAGGTAGGTCAAGGAGGGCAGGGTGGGCAGGTTGGGGACGATGAGTGTTGTGTTGCACGACCGGCTTTCGGGGCGAAATAGACTCTCTCTGTCTCGCTTTTTCTTGCTTTCTGCTGCTGGTTTTGACAGGTTTCCAGTCGCCATCGTCAACTTCGATTTGCTGCGCAGGGGGCTGCATGCTCCACGCGAGTGCATTTCTCCGCTCGTAGTCCTCCATTTTGGGAACGGGATTGGGTCGGCGATAGTGGTGTGAGTTGATGATGAAGAGGGAGAGTTGACAACTGAGCGGAGGTTTGGAAAACTTCCAAAATGTCAACAGCAGAGAAGGAAGGTACGGCTGTGAGCAAGGAAGGAAAGAGCGAAGGAAGAGAAGGAAGGAGCCGGTTAGGCAAATCGAGGGTGCTGATGAGTGAAGTGCTTGTCACAGCGCATCGCATCGCATGACACACTCGGAGCAAACGGCAATGTGGGAAGCAGCAAACATGAGAGAGCGCGTGGAGGTGGCGGTCGCATGAGATTCGCTGAAGACATATGCAGCCACCCGCGCAAACGGAGCTGGACGGTCTCCGTTGTGTGGTGATGTACGCAGGGTCTCACGGATTAGGATGTCTCCTACCACAGTAAACGAGACTGGAGAAATCATTGTTATTTCAGTGGTAGCTCGAAGGCGTCTCGGAAACGAGCGCAGAGCCGACTCGGTGACCGCAAGGCCTTCGCCGCCGTCGACATGTCGGAGAGGTGGCTTCATCGTCTCGTAGCCCGTGTGTAGCGTTAACGGCTTTCGACCAGGTATAGTTGGCCGATTTGTCGCATCCCATTGTCAAGTTTCGCAAGAGAGCCGCGATGCGATCATTAATAAGTAGCGTTTAGATCGACCTGTTCGTCGAGATCATCCGAAGCCGGCGATTCTGAACCATGCCGCCCAATCGGGCCCAAATTTGACGCGCGCGCTACGCGTCCCCCCCGCAATTACGCGTAGCATCGTTTTTCAACATCCCTCGAAGAACCACACACTTGACACCCAGCAATGCCTCCCAAACGCAAACGAACAAAGCTCGAGCAAGCGAGACACTACCTCTCCGGCGGTGGTGTGCTCCGCGAAGACTCCGACGACGAGCTCGGCATCGAAGACCACCCATGGGAATGGATCTACGAAGACGAGACCAAGGCCCGCATCGTCGGCGCCCGCATGGGCAGGTTCGAGGTGCACGCCGGCGATGTCGTCCTCTTGAAAGCGCCTGTCAGCAACGAGGCGTGGCTTGCCATTCTATACGACTTCATCGAGAACCGAGTGGAGGATGAGGATGGTGATGTGGAGGCGCAGAAGAGCGCGAGCATGATGTGGTTTTCGTCGGAGAAGGAGATTCGCAGCAAGAAGAAGAGGGTCGACTATATGCCGAATGAGCTGTACATCACCGCCAATTTCGACGAGAATCCGCTCGCCACCATTAATGGCAAGGCCAAGGTTGTTTCGCCAGAGGAGTTTGCGAGACTGTATCCTTCGGGCAAGATTGGGAAGAATTCGAAGGATCTAGGCAAGACTTTCGTCTGCAGAAGAGGTGTCAGTGTGCGTACGGCAACATATACGGAAGAGTTCAAATGGGAGGATGTGTATGGTGGACGAGAAGACATGGACAAGCTATGCGAGATGGTGCAGAGTCAGACGATCAAGACACGAAAGCGAAAAGTCACCAAAGGGACAACAGAGCAGAATCTGGATGAGTTTGTCGTCGACGATGAGGATGTTGATGGACCGGCGACCCCGAAGAAGAAACGAAAGCTGGGTGCCAGCACGCCTACTTCATCCAAAGCCAAACAGCAGACACCGCGCAAAGTTCTCACTCCCTCAGGACGCAAGATCGTGACCAAGAGGCCTCTCCATTTCACGCCCCTCGGCACTCGACTCCTTTCGCCATCGTCCACACAATCGTCTCCGTACCAGATTGCACGATCCACTCTGCACGTCTCTGCCGTACCGCATGCCCTCCCCTGTCGCGAGTCGGAATTCGAAACCGTGCACTCTCATCTCGAGGCAGCCATTGCTGCCGGCACAGGAGCGTGTATCTACATCTCCGGTACTCCAGGGACAGGCAAGACGGCTACAGTGCGCGAGGTGGTGGCTTCCCTCCAAGCAGCCGTGAGCGAAGAGCAACTCGACGACTTCTACTTTGTCGAGATCAACGGGATGAAAGTCACAGATCCTCACCAATCATACTCGCTGCTATGGGAAGCGCTCAAAGGCGATCGCGTGAGTCCCTCGCATGCTCTCGATCTGCTGGAGCGCGAGTTCAGCACGCCCAGTCCCCGCCGCGTGCCCTGCGTGGTCCTCATGGACGAACTCGATCAGCTCGTCACGCGCAACCAGGGCGTCATGTACAACTTCTTCAACTGGCCGCAACTCCGGCACTCCCGACTGATCGTGCTCGCAGTAGCAAACACCATGGACCTACCGGAACGCACGCTCTCCAACAAAATCAGCTCCCGCCTGGGCCTCACACGCATCACCTTTCCAGGCTACACTCACACCCAGCTCATGATGATCATCCAGTCGCGCCTCGAAGGCGTCGGACAGGTAATCGTCGACCCCGACGCAGTGCAATTCGCCAGCCGCAAAGTCGCCGCCGTCTCAGGCGACGCACGCCGAGCGCTCGACATCTGCAGACGAGCAGTCGAGCTCGCCGAGCAAGAAAGCCTCTCCACCTCCGACACAGGGAAGGAAAATCAAGCACCCGACACACCCAGCAAAACCCCCGGTCGCCAGCAGAACCCGCTCCCCTCCAACAACAACAAAAAGGGCATCGTGACCATCGCGACCATCAAACGCGCCATCAACGAAGCCACCTCCACCCCTCTAGCAGCCCATCTGCGCTCCCTCCCGCTAGCATCCAAAGTCTTCCTCGCAGCGCTCCTAGCCCGCCTAAGAAGAACAGGAATAACGGAATCCACCCTCGCCGACGTCCTCGACGAAGCGCGCAAAATGGGCCTAACATCGCAAAACAAAGCAATCGACACGTACCTCCTGACACCAGACACCACTCCCAATCACCCTCGAGAGGAGTTCACTGGCGCAGAAGCGCACACCACGCCTTCGAAACGTGGCCGCCCGCCGAAACCCAAGGATCCGGAGAAGGCGGCGCGAGTGCTGGGTTTGGGCGCTGCGGCGGAGGAGCTGGCCGAGGCGGGGATTGTGGGGTTGGAGGCCAGGCATGGGGGGCGGGTGGGGAGGGTGCGGTTGGGGGTTGGGGAGGAGGAGATTCGGGGGGCGTTGAAGGAGGATGAGGAGGGGAGGGGGTTGGGGTTTGGGGGGTGATGGTAGTCTGCTTGGGACTTCTCATGAGGCAATGATAGAGGAGTATGAAACGCTCAACACGCTTCCATTAAAAGCCCAGACTCAGCCGAGTCGTGCAAGAGAAATGCTATCTACTGAACTTCGTTATAGCCATGGATACTCGTAGCGCACGTGGGGAGTGCGACTTCGCACCGCGAGAAACAACCACAATACTCAGGTCCAATGCTCGCTTCACTTCATTCCCCTCTTCTCCGCCGCTCGCTTTTACGCAATGCAATGCATTTCATAACCGTGATCTCATAGCCATATGGACAAAAGAAAGCTCTTCTGGAGACAAAACAAAGAAAAAAAGGCTCAAGACCTGGGCGCAGGACCCATAGGATCCCACTCCGCCAGCCCATGCGCCAAACGCTGCAAAGGATTTCTGTGCTTCTCGTCATGCTGGTCGTCGTCGTCATGATGCTTGTGATGATGAGAGGGCTTATGGTGGTGCTCCGTCGATCGCCCCTAATAGACCGCCGGCCCCTCCATCTCATCATGGCGAACGATGTCAGGCGGACTGAGGCTGGAACCTCTTCTCTCGCGCCGCGAGGGAGGACGAGAAGGAGAACGACGGTGATGATCTTCCTAAGATCCGCCTCTCCCTCCATCGCCTCGAGGTGCATAGGGGTTCCCGCTTTGGTCAGGGACAGGTTGCTGCTGCCCGCCGCCTCCTCCTCCGGCGTTCGGGACCCGAGGCGAAGGCATGCTGTACTGCGGCAGCCGGGGCAGTTGCGGCATCATGCCCGACTGCTGCATGTTGGCGTACATGGCGAATTGCGGGTTCTGCTCCATCATCTTGAACATGCGCTCTTGTCGCTCTTCTTCTTTTTGGCGTTCGAGTTGTTGCTGTTTCTTGCGGCGCTCGCGCTTTCGCTTTTCGATTTCGTGGATTTCGCGTCTGTTGATCGGGTGTTAGTAACAAAGGACAGAAATCATATGTGAGGCAGCGCCACATACCTGTGCTCGTTCATCTCCTTCCATTCCGAGAAAGCACCCTTGATACCCAGCGCCGCAATACCCACGGCTGCAGCATCCTGCACCCAAGCCTTTGTTTGCTTCTTGCGAGCCTCCTGAGGAGACATTTCGCCCTCCGCAACCAGTCGATGTCGTTTCTCGTGTGCCGCCATGCTGGAATAGACTCCGTGAACCGCGTGAATGGTAGCAACGGTGGCCAGTCCAGCCGTGAGCAGCTCCTTCCCCTTCATATGCTTGCGTTTGTTCTCCATGTCGGTAGTACTACTACTCTCACTCTCATTGCCAGATCCCTTCTTCTCACCACCTTGCGCGGCGGCAGCAGCATCTCCACCCTTGGCCACCGCACCAGCTCCCCCGCCACCACCGCCGCCATTGCCGTTATTTTGCGCATTACCCTGGTTGTTGCCATTCTCAATACCGCGAGACCCGACTTCTCGACTCTGACCTTGGCCTCGATTCTGACCTTGGCCTCCGCCCATACTCCGAGCGCCCGTATCTGAAGCTGGTGAGCGACGTTTATTGCGACGGCGGTTGCGAGAAGGAACATACGAATCTGCGGAGGAGTCCCTAGACGGTGAGCCTCTGTTGCGGGATTTCGAGCGTACCCGATCATAGACCGCCTTGCCGGCCACTGCTAGAGCTCCACCGGCGGCCAGTGGTTTCCAGGCGCCATAGCTTCCACCGGCTGCTCCGGCGTCGCTGCGAGGACGAGACTGCGAGCGGCCACGGAAGCGGTCGATGATGCTGCGGCTGCGTGAGCGAGGGTAGCTTTCTGGAGAGATGCTACGACCGCGGCTGAGGTCACGAGCACGAGACTTGGAGCGGGGACCATTGGCGAGGCGATTGGCGGCAAGACCGCCGATGACTGCTTCAGCAAGATGACGTTTGGTCTTCTCATTGGGGTTGCGGTCAAGAATGCCGTCAATGCCACCAGCTCCCAAAGCAGCAGTGGCAATGCGTTTGCCCTTTTCGCCGTTCCATGGACCAGGTTCTTTGCGGTTGCGGAAGGCCTCGATAGCACCAGCGATGAGAGCAGCTTGAGCAGCTTGCGCCCACTTCTTCTCCCTGTTGTGCTTGTCGTCGAGGCTTCGGGGGCGAGAGGTGCGGGAAGCATCGCGGGAGCGAGCGCGGCCGGAGCGTACACTGCGGTCATCGCCTTGGTCTTTGTTCTTCTTCTTGCCAGCCAGAGCGCCGGCAATGCCGCCAAGGCCAAGACCACCGAGCACGTCTTCCAGGCCAGACTTGCGTCGCTCACCGGGCCCACTTCGTGTGCTACGTGGAGGAGAGTTGGAGTAATCAGAGTCGTAGTCACGATCATGACGACGCCTGGTGCCAGCACGAGAGCGAGAGTATGAGGTGTAACGCTCGTCTTCGGAAGAATAGTCATCGGAGTTGTACCCTCTGCCCGCGCTCTTGGAACGGCGATCGTAGTCGCTCTTCTCCGACCTGTACGTTGAGCGGCGATAGTTGCGATCACGTCCACCTGGGGGAGGAAAGTCGCGTGGAATGTCTTCGGTGCTGTCTTCCCGCGTGCGGTAGACTAGGTCACTGGAGCCACGAAGGCCGGGACCGGGGCCCTTGCCGCGCTCGATGTATGTCTCTTCCCGCACAAAGTCCGGCTCGTTTGGTCCACGTCCAGGACGGGTCTGCACGTTGCGGTAGCGCCGCGGCTCGTCGTCGTCGTAGCCATACTGCGACATGGCGACGGTATTGCGAGTCGGTCAGTCGACGGTCAGGCGGTGAGGAGGTTGGGGTGGGCGGAAGCAAAGCACAAGAGATGCCGGGGAGCAGATGAGTGGATTAGGTGGGCATTGATGAGAGGTGAGGTGAAGTGTGTTGAGGATGTCGTAGGTGGGAGCTGTTGAAGTGAAAAATAGCAGGTTCTCCCGGACCCAGTGATCTCAGGCGGAAGGCTCGCAGACTTGGCGAAAGCTTGTCGGTGTGGCTGTGAGGCGCGAACTGCCACCGCCACTTGGCGAGTTTGGGATATTTCGTGCCAGAAGCGGACAGCAGTGGGCAGTGCAGTCGAGGTTGTTCAGCTGAGAAGTGGCTGCGTGCGTTGTGGTTGTCGCACGTGTGGAAAGTCGAAGTTGGAAGGGGAGTTGCGGAGATATTCTGAGACAAGCTCGAGGCAGACGTGTGGCAGGAAATGTGGGCCCGAGGTGCTGGCTGTGACGCAAGCGCGCGCCTCCAGCGATACCAGCCACACGCTACTCTTGCCCAACTCCACCCTGCAACCCCTGCAGCTCGCAATGGAAGAGTGTTTGCGTGCGACGAGATACTGGATTGAGTGAATGTGCACGAGAAGATGTAGAAACCTCAGTACCGGCCCAGATATTGCTCGAATCGGGCTGGGCTGTTTTAGACGCTCCCGTAGGCTAGGGAAGTATCGTCCTGCCGCTCCTTCCACTCTTGGTACGGGATCAGTTCCACAAAAGTTAAACCTCACCTCGTATCTCATCATACGGTAGCCGAGGATGCTATCAACAACGCCGTCTTCCCCGTAGTCCTTAACACTTTTTCATCCACCTTTGTGCCCAGATGCCCAGCATGGCAGCACCGGACTCCAAACCCATCAAATTCACCCACCAATACTCCTCAGAGTCCGAATTGAACACGGTCGATATTTGCCTCCCACGGAGTCCATCACGGGACAATGGGAAACGATACTGGGTAGTCTTCATCCACGGCGGCGCCTGGCTGGATCCCGACACAGACTCCAGCTCCTTCGCCGTCACACAAGACCATCTTCTGGCCGGGCGCCACCGCGATTTAATCGAAGGATATGCCTCTATTAATTACCGACTCTCTCCTTTCCCCTCGCACCCCACCAACCCCTCTCACCCGGCCGATCCCGCGCGCAATGCAAAACACCCAGACCACATCACCGATGTCCTCCGCGCCGTCTTGTACCTGCAGGAAACCTACCACTTCGGGGATCGTTACATTCTCGCCGGCCACTCGGCGGGCGCAACGCTGTCCTTCCAACTCGCCATGAAGCGCTATTGGGGCCAGCAGTACGAACCCACCTACGCGCTCGAGCTCAACGTCGTGCCTCCCATCGCCATTGCGGGGCTCGCAGGCATCTACGATCTCCACGCTCTGGTGCGCAATCATGCAGACAAGCCTGAATACCACGACTTCATCGCCGGTGCTTTCGGTCCTCCTGCGGAGTGGGACAAGGCGAGTCCCAGTCATGGTGCGTACGCTTCGAGCTGGAAGGAGGGACAATTGGCGGTCATTGCGCATTCGGCGGGCGATACGCTGTTGGAGGAGGAGCAAGCGCAGATTCAACTGGACACTTTGCGGAAGTCAGGGTGGAGCGAGGGTAGGGCATTGCACGACCTGGAACTGCATGGCGATCATGACGAAATGTGGAAAGGTTCGGAGGCCGCGCGGGCGATTGATTTTACGATTCAACAACTCGTAAGTAGATAGTCAGTTGAGGTCCATCAGTGAGCAACCAAGACGAGCGGGGCTCATGCCGGCGCGCCGTAAAGCAATGCTCTTAGACAGCTACACGGAAACGCGTCAAAGACGCGAAGCAAACCCGGAGAGTCGCTCCTTCCTCTTTCGCACCTGCCTCAGCATTCGGAACAGCATCATGTGGCGGCAATTTCATTTAACGGGCCGCACGCGTCAAAACCCAGCACACAGCGCTTGTCCCCTCTCACAAAGATCAAAACAACATTTCGTCGGTTTGCGTTTTGCACTTCCCACTCCTTGTCAAGCAAGCTCTTCCGCAACATCATCCTCCCTTGTCATCGGCATCACACTGCGGCCCATCATGTCGCTCTCAGGTGGACTCAATGAGAAGCGCGACATCCTGGCGAATGTAGCCGCTCGCTTGAGAAATCAGGTGGCTTCAACATCAACTCGCAGGTGAGTGCAATTGCCATCACATGTGTAGCAGCTGGAGGCCATCGAGAGGCCGCTTGATTCATGTTACTTACCAAAACAGCCCCAAGAAGGAGAACCACCGCCCCTCACCTCACCGCTCGCCTCGTGGGTCGATGTCATCCAGCAGATCTTCAGCACGCGGAACATCCTCAGTGCGTGGAGATGATGATGTGAAGATGACCGACATCGCCGCGGGACCATCGCTCTTCGGCACCGCCGATCAGCTTCTGGTAAGCTCATTTGCCAACATTGTTCTCATCGTACTGACTCTTTCTACAGGCTGCCAAACAATTCTTAGCTACAGCCACTTCAGGCGGGCAGAGGTCGCGTCCCCTTCGTAGCGGTCGTCATCGTTTGTTGACGCATCATGCCAGCCAATCCTCCTTGCAAAGCTCCAGCAGCTCGGTGCACACGACGAAATCTACACCAGCAGTCACGCAGCACGCTCCCTTCCAGCCGCAGCGTCCTCTTCCTCCTTTCGGATCTCCTTTGAGCAGCAAGTCTGTCAACGTGGCTACGCCATCAACTCGTCCTTCGGTGCAGCTCGCGACCAACCGTCCCCCTCCGATTCCCAGCTGGGACGCGTTCGCCAAACAGCCAGTACCTTCGGCCACTGTGAAGACAGGCAATGGTGCTGCGACAGTGCAGACTCAGACGACGAATCGCACCCACGCACACCCGGAAACCCTGGCTGTGACCAAGGAGCAGGATGTCGACGCGACCATGGAGCAGGATGTCGACGCTCGTTCCGCCTTCGCCAACCATGCAAAGTCGTTGCGGAATGGTACAGAGGGATCCAAAATGCCGCCTCATCTCAAATACCAGGCCGCGGCAGCAGGGATTCCGCAGAGAAAGACGCCTGTGCCTGCAGCGGCTGGCGGGGTTTTGTCCAATTTGAACAACGTGCATGTCGGGACTGCGGCGAGTCAAATGTCCCCTTCACCTGCCAAAAGTGTCGCTGCCCCGAAAGTGGCCGATGTGGTGCCCACCTCTCCCAGCAAGAAGAGGAAGACCGAGTCGCTGGATGCGGTCGAGAAGCAGGTCGCCATCAACAGCACTAGCACTACCGCCGTCGCCGCCGCCGCTTCCTCGTACGGAGGGTCGAAGACCAATGGCGAAATGAATGACACCAATGGCATCATTGCAGCAGTCCAACTGGAGCTGTCCGCCGTCACCAAACGCTTGACGACGTTGGAGCTCGAATTCCAGAAGCAGGTCGAGACATTGATGCAAGCGGAGGAGCGTCGCGTGTTCCTTGGAACGAGCAGTGCGAAGGCACCATTCGGGCTGGAAGTGAAGCTCTGTAAGTCTTGAATGCATTTCATCCAACATACGGAAAGCTGATCATGCAATATAGCAAACGGCAGCACCTGCGTCGTCCAAGCTCACCAGGAGCTCAAAGTGGCCGATCTGGTGCGTCGCATTCGATGCAAGGCCAACCTCTCTCATGAGGTGACGAAGAACCCCACGATCATTGTCAACGGTCAGGAAGTCGGACACGGCATGATGCTGGGTGAGGTTGGAGTGGGATCAGACAAGCAGGTGAGTGTCGACTTCCGCTTCAGCGGATGAGAGACATTGGGTGAGGCAGAATGGCAGATCACCGTGGACTGGGTGACACGTGGGGATTTTAAGGCGTGGAAATCATGCTGAGTGCAATGGAAGATTCATCTGACGTGAGTCTTCAGGGAGAGACTTGTTTGATGGAAGATACTTGCTTTTGATGGAGGCACTGCACTTTGGCAGATGCAATTCTCCGTACTGCGGTACATCGTCCGTAGATAGCCAATGGAAAATGACAGGAAAAAGAATTCTCACAATGTCTTTACGAAGAGCATCGCATATGCTGTTCGATAGATGTCGTCTCACGGCTCCGTCCGGCTCGGCCCGCTGACATTTCGGGTGACGCTTGCAGTTGCTCATATGTCTCGAGGTTGAGCTTCTTCACTTCAGCACACGACCAACGCCTCCATCCTCTCATGATCCACAAAATGCCGGCCGTGCCATCGGCGGCAGTCGAAGCAGGAATGTCAGCCCTCTCCTCGTCCGCACGATCCATCCCCCGAAGATCCATCGCAGCGCTGCACAACTCCCGCTATCCCCTCCTCTACACCACCCAACGAGCCACCTTCTCATCCTCCCCTCATCATGCCCTCCCAGGCCCCGGCGAGAGCATGTTCCGCTCCTCATCCTCCCTCGGCGGCGCCCCAAGCACCTACTTCCAGCGCTCCAGCCTCCCCGCAAACACGATTGTGAAATTCGTCCCGCAGCAAACGGCCTGGATCGTCGAGCGCATGGGCCGCTTCAACCGCATTCTGAATCCCGGTCTCGCTATCCTAGTCCCCGTCATCGACCGGATAGCGTACGTCAAAAGCCTGAAAGAGAATGCCATGGAGATACCGTCGCAGAGCGCCATTACTGCCGACAACGTCACGCTCGAATTGGATGGCGTGCTCTACACTCGTGTCTTTGATGCTTTCAAAGCCAGCTACGGCGTCGAAGATGCAGACTACGCCATTTCGCAGCTTGCGCAAACAACTATGCGCTCGGAGATTGGGCAGCTGACGCTCGACCATGTGCTGAAGGAGCGCGCGGCGCTGAACACCAATATCACGCAGGCGATCAATGAGGCTGCGGCCGACTGGGGGATTCGATGTCTGCGGTACGAAATCAGAGATATCCATGCCCCCGGCCCGGTGGTGGAGGCGATGCATAGACAAGTCACAGCGGAGCGGAGTAAGCGCGCGGAAATTCTGGAATCCGAGGGACAGAGGCAGAGCGCAATCAACATCGCAGAGGGAAGGAAGCAATCCGTCATCCTGGCTTCCGAAGCCATCAAAGCGGAGCAAATCAATTCCGCGTCAGGCGAGGCGGAGGCAATCATGTTGAAAGCGCGCGCCACGGCGACCGGCATCGATGCCGTCGCCCGCTCGATCTCCGAGGGCAAGCAGGCTGCTCAAGGCGCCGTGTCTCTCTCCGTCGCGGAGAAGTACGTCGAGGCTTTCGGCAAGCTGGCCAAGGAGGGCACGTCGGTTGTCGTGCCGGGCAATGTGGGCGATATTGGCGGTATGATTGCCACGGCGCTGTCGGTGTATGGGAATGTGAGTAAGTCGCAGGCGCAGACGATGGGGCAGAAGATTATTACGGATGGACAGGGGCAGAATCAGGGGCCGCAGAGTGCGGCGATTGAGGCTGTAGCCGGAGGGCAGGATGGCGCGGTGGATTCAAAGGAGCAGATTGCGAAGAGTGTGTTGGAGAGCTTTGATCGGACGAAAGCGAGGCATTGAGCGGATGGAATTGCGTATGGCGCTGTGGCGTGGATGAATCCAACTCTGTTCCATCAGGCTAAGAGTAACGGCCTATTGTAAATACTACCCTCTACTGCTCGCCCTCCTTCCCCTTCTTCTCCTCCTCCTCCAGCATTCCCCTCCTCCCCTCAACCGTAAACCACAAATTCCTCCCCGCACTCTCCAGCGCACTCGTAACACCCGCCCCAACCCCAGCCAACATCGCCACAAGCTGCCCCCTCAGTCCCTCCATCCCGCCCTGAATGCCCCCAACCCACCTCGCACCATCCATATCAAACACCTTCCCCTCCACCCTCGCAGCCAACAGCATCAACTTCTGCACCCCACTCTGCACCGCCGGCTCATGGTACCCGGGATTCTCTCTCCGCTTCGGCGCAGGGAATTCCTTTGAGGGCGCGAGGATGGAGATGGCGGCTTTGAGGTGCTGCGGCGAGACGGTGGGGAGGTGCAAGATGGCGAGCGGGCCGATGAGGATGGTTTCCAGCCCGTGCTTCGTTTTGCGGTGTTTGCGCTCCGAGTAGCGCCAGGCGCGATGGGAGAGGCCGTGAGTGAGCATCGCCTCTTCACTAGCGGGAGTATCTTCTTTCTGCAGGCTTTCGAATTTCGGGTCCCAGAATTCCACGACTCGGAGTGCCGATGCGAAAATCCCCGTCTCCACGGCTGTAATCTTCGTCTGCTTCCCGATGTACTCTTCATTCCCCTGCTTCGCGAGATCCTCGTCTACTTTTCGCAGCGCAATCGCCAGCTCTCTGCGCACGGCCATCCATTCTGTGGCTTTGAGGTTGTTGTGCTGGAAGATGACGAGCAGCGGGTTGGAGCGCAGGAGAGATTGGTATTGGCGGTGGATTTGGGATTTGCGGAACTCGGGGGGTTTGTGGGAGGGCGGTTGGGTGCGGGGGTGGCGGGCGATGGGGGGTGCGAGGTTGGTGATGGGTTGGGGGGTGGGTGGTGTGGGTGCGGGTGTTGTTGCTGCTGCGAGGGAGGCGTGGCGGCAGTGTTGGCAGATGTAGGGTGAAGATTGGATTGATTGTGGGCGGATGGAGCGAGTTGAAGGGAGGCGGATGCGTGGAGGCATTGTGCGAGGATGTCAATGGACTGAAACGATAGGAATGCAGCGCTTTCGGTGATGAAGGTCAAGGGGATAGAATTCCTCAAAACCGTGAAAGGCTACGCCGTGCGTATACGTGAGCATGGAGGCGAATTCGTGGTACCTCAACTGCAATCCAAATCACAGGACGAATGCGCTCCTTCTCGCGTCTCTCTCACCCCACCTCTCATCGCCTACATGTACTGTGTGCCTCACCTTTGCTTCTCATCCTCTTCTTCTCTCGTGCCAGCCGTTTTTGCTGGCTTGCTGCACTCGAAAGCACCATCTGCAGGGTTCCACGCTCTAGATTGTGGTGGTGAGTTGGCATCAGCGAATCGTAACACGAGCCGTTGAAATTGCTCCGCGGAGCAGCCCAAGATTAGGCGCGGCGGCGAACTCAAAGTACCTCCTTGCAGGTGGCGCCCGCATTGATTCTTCCTCTTTCTGGAACGGAGGTTTCCCGTCGGTCTTACTCTCATTTCCCGGGGCGTTTCCATGAAGGCGAAAAGTGCGGCTACATATTCGCCTCGCTCCCTCTCTCAGGCGCGCCGGACTTGGTAGGTCGTTTCTCTCTCCCAATACTTTCTACTACGCCGCATCTCTGCCCCTTGTCTGCACACTCTGCCTCGTGTTGAGGAGACCGAAATCATGCACGTCAACACCCTCGCGCTCCTTACGAGCATTGCCCTCGCTCGCTTTGCCCTCGCAGCCGGGGGCCACGACGGGGATCGAAACTCGCCTTACCACACTTCCTGTTCTACGCAATGGGGCTGGTCCGGCCATGAGTGGAAGACGCATTGGACTACTTCTTACACCCCATGCACCACGACGAAAACGATCACAAGCCTTGTCACGTCAAATCTGTCGACCTCGACTTCGACGGTGACCGTCCCAACCAGTTCCGGGTATGTTGCATAAATGCAGTCGGCTTGTCCGCACCGATACTGATACTCAGCCGGCAAACAGCTTCCAACCCGTGCAGTCGACGCTTCCGCAAGGCTCGTATTCAGGCTCCGGAGGCTCAGATCCCGTGTCTAAACGCGATGTTGGTGGCGAAGGAAGCAGCCGTCATGTAGCGGGCAGGAGTGAAAACACGCACATTACCGGTGTGTGGTGCACGCAGTGGAGACCAGGAAAATGCATGCAGACCACCAAAACTGTCCACTCTACAACCGTGGTGTCGCCGGTCTCGACAACGACAGTCTATGCGGCTTGTGCATCTAACAACTTGGCGGACGCTTTCGGTGGCGCTCCCATTACCGCCATATTTCCCAATGGCGGTGCATCGGACACCGAGAACACGATTGAGGCCGACTCCGCATACGACTGTAAGCTACCCATTCCCAAAAGCCTTGCGGCAGCTCTAATTACCATGGTACAGGCTGTGTCCTCGCCATAACGACCCCCAATTCGGCCTTCTTCCAATACACCCCAGCAGCGGCCGGAGCGGCAGGCTCTTGCGGTGTTTACGTCCTCGACGCGAGCACTACGTGCGCTGGCCAGGATACGTCCCTTTATGATGTTGTCTCTGACCCTGGTGACGCTCAGATCACTGTTGGCAACTCGTATTGCGGAAATATACAATAGTATATCTGGCGGGTGTATGATCTTGCCTTGTTCGCTGTTGCGGCAACTCAACGCGACACCGGATCGCTCTCCGAATGACCAGGGGGAATGCGGATTGCAAAGAGCGCATCCTTGCTCGGTCGTGCGTAGAATGCAATTTTTGTCAGGCGCGTCTCCAATATGCATGCTATTTCATCCGCTCACATACCGTTGCGCGCTAGCTATGCTACCTGTTCGTGCTCTTTGCCACTTTGCTATGTCAGAATTCCCTCGATAGGATCGCGGCACTGAAGCCTCCTCCTCATCACACCCGCATAAAGAGCTCCTACCGGGCTTCCCCGGGCGAAGGGCGAGTGGCACTTTCCGATCAGCAGCTGTCAAGCATCGTATCTTACATCTGCAGCTTGGCCTGCATTAGAGGCCCGATTGTCTGGGCTACGAGAGGATTGTCAGCAGTCTTTCGTCGAGAGCTGTGGTTGGATCTGGACCGCTCTATGCATCACTAGAAGCTTTTAGACTTCCTGGGGCAGCAGCGTTGCTTTCTGTTTCGGGGCAAACTTAATTTCCACCATCAACGACATGCCTCCGCGGGTCGCGCCGGGCATCAGCATCTGGTCTATCGACTGACGCCCACGGGCACTAGCATCATGCGGCATGTATTGGAAGTGCTATACTGTTAGCTGAGATCCAAATGGGCTTTCTCATCGTTCCGCCCCGGGGTAATATAAACCATTTCCACCCCATCTCCTTTCCCCTACCCACATAATCCACCTCGCCTGTTACCGTCAACCCCTCAATCTCGCAATCATGCAATTCTTGCATCTCGCTCTCCTCACCTCCCTCTCCATTTTCGCCCAAGCTGCGCCCGACTGGGGCGAACCTCCCTCGAGAACTAGCTGTACGACCGAGTATGGCAAGTCTCGCCTCCCGTGGCATACTCACTGGTCTACCTACTGGGAGCCCTGCACTACGACTCGCACGTCAACGAGAGTTGTCATTGCTTCGCCCTCTACGATTACGCACACCACAATCGTGACTGAGCAGGGGCCCCCCACAACCATCACTCAAAGCGTAACGGTGACACAGATATCCGGGACGATTGTGACCGCTAGCACCACATACACTTCTACATCTACTGTGCCGGCTTCCGCTGGGTAAGTCTTGAGCGTATGGTCGGCTGATATCAAGACTAACACGACCAGCTTCGTTCCTGTCCAGTCGAGTCTGCCGGGTTCAACCTACTCTGGCTCAGGCGGTGCAGATCCCGTGGCCAAACGTGACACTCTTGATCATTCGAATCTCGATGCGCAAAAGTATGTTGTGGGCGTAGAGTGCCACGTGTGGAAGCCGGGGCATTGCGTGCAGACGGTTACGACTGTTACATCTACTAAGCAAGCCTCTCCGACTACGATCACCGTGACACAACATCTGCAAACCACTGGAACGACAACTCTCACATCTACCACCACAACAATATCCACGTCGATCGTCACGAACACCCCAACTATCGTTTCGACGGTATACGCCGCATGCGCAACTAACAACCTGGCCGATTATTACGGTACATATCCCATCGCCGGCGCGTCATTTGTTAGCACATCCGGAGCAGACGCAGGTTCCGCATACGACTGTGAGTGCCATACCATACCATACCAGAATGATCGCCCTCCCGTTCTCGAATCCCCACACGTACAAATCGAGACTGAACGTCGACTAATCGCAGACTTTCAGGCTGTGTCCTTGCCCTCCAAACGCCGAACACACAAGTCTTTGTGTTTCAGTCTGCAGGTGACGGACTCCCAAGTACTTGTCAGCTCTTGAGCAACCCTTCAGTTGTGTGCGATGGCCAGACCTCAGGCTCGTATATTGCATGGTCTGCGGGCACAAGTCTACCCTTGGCCGCTGTTGGCAACGCGTACTGCGGAGAAGTCACCTCCTTCAGCATTGTCGGTTGAACAGCTGTCATCAAAAAGGGATTTTGCGCAGACGTATGTTGTCGATCATTGACGCGCCGATTCCTTTCCATTTCTTGGCCAAGTGGCAAAGCTAAGCTCCCACCAACATGTCCAGCAAGCTGATCAACCAGTGCATCGAGGACGGCGTTCCATAGCTCATCCCAGACATGAAGGATCTTGCCGTCTCCACGGTGCGTGCCTCGGTCGCAACCAGGAGGGGCCACGAGCCCGAAGCAGAGTCGAAATCGACCAGCGGAGCCTCACTTGCATCCGGTGAATGCTCGTAGGCCAAGGCTTCTCGAGGGTCGGCACAGAGTCGCGATAGTGGTATACACGTATCTTCAATGATCTTGCAAGGTTGCAGAGGGCAGACTCCACAGTGTGCTGGCCGAGCTGACTCCCGGGCAAGGGTGTAGTTCTTCGCGCCGAGTGAAAGTGACAGATTTCTATTGACTGCTGGATTGTCAGCACTTGCTGCAGAGATGTCCAGCTGAATGGATTTCGAGGGCGCGGATAGCGAGGTTTCTGTGATTCTACGCGACATTGGGGATGAAGCTTTGGAAGAGGATATGTGGTCTCGGTCTGGATGAGATGGCCGCATATGGCACTACGTGGCTACTTGTTGGCAAGCCGTCAGGAGCATTGCTTTGAGCGGAGATATTGGACGTCTTACGATGCACCGGCATCGATAGCGAGCGGCGTGAACTCTGTCTCAGCCGCAGACGTTCCTAGAAACCAGACATCGAAAGCACCCAAGCTTTGAATGCTGTGCCCAGCAAACGGCGAAGTACAGGACATGGGACAGCTTCCATCACCAGCAGGCGTAATGACGCATGTCATCAGTTTGTCTCCGGCATTAGTTATGTCGGTCTGGTCCCAGAAGGTTACAGGCTCTGGGTCTTCGACGCCACTCTGGGAACCGATAAACCCTGGCGTGCCGGTATCTAACGTGATGGATCCTTCGCTGTTGAGACTGAAAACGCCCGCTCCGTCGTCCGTGGGTAGCGTGAATTGGATTTGCGAGGCCGGGTCGGGTACGTCAATAAGCCCGTACGCTAAGGAAAGAGTGGCGTAGAGGTAAAAACTGGAAGGGACAGTTGTGGTGGTAAAAGTGGAAGTAAAGGTAGATATCGAAGTCGTTGTCGCGGTGGTCTTGATCTATAGGTGGCAAGAAAGTCAGCAATTTGCAAGGTCCGCGTAGGGGTTGGACCAAGTCGACGTTCTGGAACGCGCCTTTCTGGTAACTGTGGTCGTGGCGATCCGTTCATGCTTGAGGGTTTTGGTAGGAGCCGTGATACCAAGACAGCTACACGCAGAGGAGATAGCCCAGGGGGCGGTGTAGCCTGCGAAACACGCAGGCTTGGGGTTGGCGGGATGGCTTCCCTCTCGCGATGGGTCACGACGAGCTTTTGCTGTTACAGTAGGGAGTCCACAAGTGGCGGTGACGGTGGTGGTGGTCGTCGTGCTGCTGGACGTCGTGACAAGGACGGTGGTTGCGGTTGCCATGACGAGGAGGGAAGAGGTACTGCTCAAATCGAAGTATCAGAACAAGGGAACGCGGTTAAGCCTCTCGTGGTTGCTTACGATGTCACGGTGGTTGTGATTGTCGAAGTTGGGTACCAAGAAGAGCAGAACCTGCTCGCCGCGCCTTGCCATCCCCCGCTCTGGACCTACTCGCCTCCGCTCCTAGTTAGGTCGTGGGTCTATCGCAAAGCCATTCTGGCCAAGGGGAGGTACGAACGGATTTATGAACATCAGCGCAGGAGGCTTGATTCCGTTTGGCATCGAACGCGCAAACAGTAGCGATGAGTGTCGCGAGGAGCACGAAGCGCATTTTGACCGCGCGGGAAGACAGATGGCACTAGATTCGTCCCAAAAATGCAAGAGACGGCAGTCACAGTCGCATCACAGATCCGGAAGGCCAGCGAGTTGGCAGCCTTTATGTAGATATCGTGCCCACTCCTGTACACGAAATCCGACGAGATTGATGGCCCTTGGTCATTGGCTCCACGGGCGAGTGGCGTGATGCATATGTAGAGCATGTATGACATTAGTGCAGCTAATGTCGCCTAATGTCGGTGTGAGTAGCGTGTTGTCGCCGAAAGCGTTAGGCTAGAAGCCAGACCAATTTCCACACAGTCTAGAACACCCTTTTTCACTGCAGACTTGTAACCCGTAACCACCTCGTCTGTGGCTGGCTGTCGCCTTGATTGATCCGAAGCTACCCTACTATTATTCTCCGTCGTACCGCGACTGCCCTCACGTCTTTTCCCCAGCAGGGCGAAAGTCACATACGTAAAGCATTGTGCTGGAAACCACGTCTCGGATGGGTAAGGTGATGCCGCGGAAATTCTTACCGAGCTGAGGCGCCACGTTCAAGCTCGCCGTGCCGTGCCGTGTTGTATCATCGTGTCTCCAGCGAGCGTCTCGACTTTTGAAGCACCACAGGTAGCTCGGCGAAGGCAAGATGAGCCGACGGGTCCTTCGGGGAACGCGCAGACAGGGCATAGGTACCACGCGGGGAACGCTGCGCATCATGAAATGTACCATTTCTCGATAATCAGAATCCATGAATGCATGGTGGACTGGGGCGCCATATTCTCCTGACTGCATCAGTTACGCATGGCCGAGTCGATCCTCCTTATCGCCACCTCCCTCACTCCCCGCAAGCACCCATCTCACCTCCTCCGCCACGATATCCGGCCGCGTGGATTGCAAATTATGCGTCCTGCCCGTCCCCGTCGCCCTTCTGACCCTCACCTCACCCTTTGTCAATTGCGTCTGAGCTGCTTGAAACTTGAATACAACTCGCTTGCAATACTCGATATATCGCTCGAGTTTCCCATGCAGCTCCTCATTGCCAAATCCATGCGCCCTCCCGTGCTGTAGCGCACACCCGAGGTCACGCGGCACGTCGCCATGAATGACGCTGATGCGGCCATTGCCCAGCGGCTGTTTAGAGAAGGAGAGGTCGATTGTCCTGCCGTCCGCATCCTCGACGGTCTTGAGCCCAAACGCAGAGTCAACGGTGGCCTGGCTTTCCTCGGCGGTGGAAGCTTCGCCTGGAATCACACCCGATTTCTCGGCCATGTCCGAATCGTGCTCAAGGTCGGCGATTTGGCTGGGAGAGAAGATGCTGTTCTGGTGTAGACCCACAACCCTTTCGTACCCATCTGCGCCGCAACACGTGCCGATCATCTCCTCGAGTTCCCGCAGGTCCGCCCTCTGTAGGTGCGGGTTGGCGTCGACAAAGACCATGCCAAGAATCTCATTGGCGCTGCGTTGCCGTAGGATTTCGCGGATCGCGAGGCCACCCCACGATTGGCCGACGAGGACGTAGGGCGGGGGAAGATTGATAGTTCCCAGTGCTGAGAATAGATCCCGCACCGCGTGCTCCATCGCGTAGGAGTCCTTGTCTGGGTTGAGCGGAGTCGAGGCGCCGTAGCCTGCTCGATCCCAGCGGAGCACACGAGCGAAAGGGGAGATGAGTTGGGCCACCATGACGTGCTCTGCGGCGACACCGCCTAGGCCTGCGGCGATGATTACGAGGGGAGTGCGTGGGTGGGCAGCTGCTGGTTCGGAACGTGGCTGGCCTGATACCATGAGGGAGAGCTGCCTGGTGCCGTTGGCGACTGGTACCAGGCCGGAATGCCAGCGGGCTGTTTGCCATGGTGAGGATTCGTTGGAAGCTGCCATGTTACGAAAATGGCAACTTTTCAAGGATTTGCTACGATGCGGGACGGAAATGTTGGGTCGCGGTTGTCGAGAGTTTCGATGTTGAAGCTTGAAATGCAGCCTTGCGAGATGTCTGATGTCTGATGAATAAGCCGTGATGAAGGGGGCTGCTTACTAAGCAGATTACCTCTTATCGATAAGAAGAATTTCCGATCACGCCGACGAGAATTTTGAAGTCGTCCGTCTCCAACTATACAAGTTGCATACCCGTAGTCTAGAAGAACCGAAAGACTCAATGAGCAAAGAGGCATGGCTAGGACGAAAGTAACCTCACGACGACCAGGAGGAACCGCCCGGAACGCAAAAATGAGCAAGCCACGAGAAACGCCAGAAGAGCTGTACGCCGCCGCTCTGCAACTAGTCGAAAGATCTGAGCCCGATGCTGCGCTGGAGAAGGCGACGAGTCTCTTCGCGCAGGTCAAGGACCGCAGTCCGTCTCAAGTACTACCGGCTGTGAACCTACTGGGGGAAATCAACGTTGAGCTCGGAGATGTCGACAAAGCTAGGGAGTGGTTCCTTCACGCCACGCGCTTGGACCCGGAGGGCAAACTACCGGAGACGGTGGGAGGGGGAGCAGAGAAGTTCCTCTGGCTGGCGCAGCTGTGTGAGGAAGGCGGACAGGAGAGTGTGAAGTGGTTTGAGAAAGGCGTGCGCGCTTTGCAGGCCGAGATTGTCGCTTTGGAAAGCGGAGACGCTCGCCCTGCCGTGATGGACGAAGAAGCGCTGCTGATCGCACGGTTGGAAAAGAAGCGCAAACTAGCCAATGCGCTCTGCGCCATCGTCGAAGTCTACATGACCGATCTCTCCTGGGAAGCAGACGCAGAAGCACGGTGCGAAAACCTGCTCACCGAAGCCATGACGGTGGAAGACGAGCCCAGCCCGGAAGTCCTGCAAACCCTCGCTTCCGTGCGACTATCGCAAGACCGAAAAGCAGACGCGCAGGCCGCGCTCACGCGCTCCATCGACGGGTGGAAGGATTTGGAGCCCGAAGACCCCGGCGTGCCGGACTTTCCGACGCGCATTTCGCTCACGCGACTACTCATGGAAGCGGAGATGGAGGAGCAGGCGATGACTGTGCTGAATCGTTTGATTCTGGAAGACGACCAGAGCGTGGAAGCTTGGTATTTGGGAGGGTGGTGCCAGCACTTGCAAGCGGAGCGGCTCAAAGAAACCACTTCGACCGGAACGGAGGGCCCTGACTCGGAGCGCGCGCAGTTAGTGGAGGATATCATGAAGGGCAGCAGGCATTGGTTGAAGACCTCGATGAAACTGTACCACCTGCTGGAGTATGAGGATGACCGGCTGTTTGATCACGCGAACGAACTTGTCACAGGCCTTGACGCGGTACTGGGTCCTGAGGAGGAAGGCGAGGATGCGGAAGGCGGAGACTACGAGGACGAATGGGACGGCATCAGCGAGGAAGAGGGTGGCGAAATTGACGAAGAGATGAAGGATGTCTGATGACAGCGCGTTGTTTCATTATCACATGCATTCGGCTCGACTTTCACGATTTTCATCGCATGGCTGTGTCGAGAGGTCACTAGGCTCATGCACGTGTCTATCGGAGTCGCCGTCAGAACCAGTCATAGTCAACATAAAGCAAGAATAAGCGTTCTCAGGCTTAATATCACCGAACCAGGCGCGCGGAACAGAGCTCCCCTGAAGCAGATGACCGGTAAGTTCAAAGCTACCGAAAGATCGTGGTGTGGGGGTTTGCAACGTCTCCTGTCCTACTGGTTCGCAGGGGTTTGTGGCGCCTGTCAAGAAGCAGCAGCAACCAGGTGTAGACAGGGATGATGTCGCAATTTGTGCGACGGGGAGAGATTCCTGCAATGCGCATCACAGACGCACAGAAGTTGATCTGCGATGACGGTGGTGAACGAAGATGAAAGCAGAGCAAGCAACATCGCCGACTTGGCGCCGCACCATCGAAACAAAGCACACGCCCGCATCCCCTCCATTCGGGGAAAAACGCTAGAGAGGGGCCAGAGAGGTGTGGTGACACAAGGCTTGCAGGCGTGCATGCATCCGGCCTAGTTGTGCATTCCGGAAAGCTGCCTGGGCAAATTTCTCGGAAGAGACCGAGATGCATGTACCTGGCTGGGTTCGGGTAGAGTTGCGAAATCGACCTTCACGCGTTCAGGTGACGAGGCTGGCCGTTGGCAGCCGTTGTGGATGGCAGCTGTCGGATCAAGCTACGACAGCAGGCCTTCTCATCTGATACTAGCATGCGTCTCAACGCTGATTGGCGAAATGAACAGATGTTGTGGGTGTTTGTTGCCGTTTCGAAAGGGGCAACACCACCAGCCAGGTTTGTGCTGCACTTCTATCGACGCCAAACCACCACCACATACACCCCTGCAGATCATGCTCACTGCAGCTGGCCGCCGAGATTTGTATGCAGGATTGTCACGCCGCGCTTGCTTGCGTCAATTCTACCCGCCTTTCCGCATCCGGCGGGCAAGGCTGGCTCGGTAGAAACGCCGCATGCGGCAGCAAGCCGGGGCCCGCGAGGAATGCGGCTGTCGGTGGGAGCGCCGGGTCTGTGCGACGGGCGATTGGCTCGCTCCCTCGCCTGTCCGCATGGGAGCGGTGGCCAGAGACAAGCTTTGGCAATTGCTTGAGTGAATCGCTTATCAGATGATAGACGGACTGACTCCACGTCCATCACCCGCGCCGCTCGCACTAGCGGCGGCCGTTTCGATGCAAGACATACGATCGTCGCGGAGCGGGCGGGCCGTAGTTTGGAGGCGTAGTGAAGAGTCCCACACGCGAAGCCCGTGGCGCGGAATCCCGATGCCAACCTCAGTGTCGGGACGAGATGGTGGAGATGACCGTGGGGTGGAAGGAGGATGGATCTCTCGAGACGCCTCATGTATATGGTGAGGATGCGCATCTCTGTCGTCTGTCGCTCGGCTCTATCGTGGCGTGCTCCTCATCAGTGCGTTGTGCCGTCAACGATTTCCGAAAGCGGCCATCCGAGACCCAGGCTCAAGATACACCTACGGATGCGGCGAAATCGATCACGGACGTCTTCAGGCAAGCGCGCACTCCTCTGCACCGTTTCTGCCCGGAACCAGTCAGCACCGGCGTGAGCGGTGGGAGCGCGCATTTGCTACAAGTAATGTCCAAGGGCCACTTACACAAAGGAATCTGGTGTGACCGCTGCTCTTCCCTTCCACTGCCCTGCTTGCCGTCCCCCGTTCGTCTTCTTTGCTCCTTTACCCGCACTTAACAAAGCCTTCGACAGACAACGACTGCACCAAAGAGTTTGCCCGGTGATCTGCTGAGGTGACGGGAAGCCTGAGTATTGTTTGTTCATCCGCGTCCAGGACAAGGAGACGGCTTCCGAGCCAGCGCGGACAAAGTGTCCTTCGCAGCGGGTAGTTGCACAAGGTACGTCTGCCATCTATCCGTCGCATCTCTTCATGCCGGCATGCGTGCCATGCAAACTCGCAGCGGCAAGCAGAGGGTGGGAATACCATGGCTTACAAAACTGCAGATCTTCCGTCAGGCATTGACGTTCGTCCGTTCAGTCTCGGCAACGTCCCGTCGGAGATAATCACTCGTCCAGCCTGATCAGAGTCAGTGATGGTCGGGATGCCTTCAAACGCTGCCCACTTCGAGGTGGACGACTATGGCCTTGGCGCCGTGGCTCAGCACAATGCTGCTGTGAGGAAACAAGAGTCGTCTCCTCGCCAGAACGATGTGAAGGGCCCGGGCATTCATGTAAGCAGGAGTTCATTCCGTGTTCGACGAAGTAGAGTGCTGACCATCCATTACCAGCATGGAACCTACCTCGACGACGATGCATTCTTGCACAACCCACCAACTCCAAGATCAACAACCGAGACTGAAGGAGTCCGTACCAGAAGCGGCCGCTCCACCAGACGTACAGACTCCCCATTCAGCACCGGCAACGCCCGCGGCTCGAAGTCTCCAGCAGCACGATCCAAGAAGGAAAAGAAGTCCAAGGTGCTCGAGAAAGCCAAGACGCCGAAGCTGACGGCACCGCTGTCCGTCCTCACGAAAGACCTTGATGCGCCCGTCAAAGACATGGACGCATGGGTCCACCGCTCAGCAGCCGTGCGACGCGAAGAGGTGGAGAAGCGACACGGCTACGTCACTCGACCCATGAACTCCTTCATGCTCTATCGCTCCGCGTACGCCGACCGCACCAAGCAGTGGGCGACGCAGAACAACCATCAAGTCGTGTCGTCCGTGGCGGGGGAGAGCTGGCCTATGGAGCCGGAAGAAGTGCGCAATCAGTTCAACGAATGGGCGAGGATCGAGCGGGCCAACCACGCTGCTGCGCATCCGGAGTACAAGTTCTCCCCGAGCAAGGCGACGAAGAAGCGCAAGAGTGAGTTCTCGGAGGATGAAGACGAAGCCAGCGATGTGGATGGTGATCCGGATGGCGAGTATCGTGCTGGCGGAAGGAGTGCACGCCAGCATCGGCAACGCGAGCCTGCTGAGGTCTTCTACCTCAACGACACCGTCGGCTTCAGTTCGAACCCGTACTACGCGCAGCAAGGATGGAACATGCCTCCGCAGCAGCATCTCGGGTACGGACACCCAGGCCACACGCTTCCATCCAACGCATCTTTCGATGCACGGAGCATGACCTTCGACCCGCAGATCAAGACCTTCGTGCACACCAACGCCCATCAGCAGTACTCGGGGTACGGCGCTTACATACCGCAAGAGACACGCATCCCCACTCCGAACTCGCAGCACGGCGCCCAGTCACTCGGAGGGTACGGACTTCCGGGCCAGATGACGACAAACGATCTTTTCGGCAGCTCGCGGACAGGGACACCAGCAATGGCGCAGCAGCAGCAATACAACCCGTACGGCCAGTCTGTCTATCAGCAGCAACAGTACCTGCCCTTCCAGAACAACGGCGGCGCCAACCCATCGCATCAACAGCAACAATACTTATACGAACATCAGCAATACCTGCAAGCCGCATCGCAGCCACAAGCAGCCATCGATCCGGGTCTGGAGGGTCATGCTCAATTCTCTGCTTCGGAGAACCACTTTGATGATGCTTTTGCGGGGCTGACGAGTGATGGGACATTCGTCAACATGCCGGAGTACTTTCCTGAGTCGATGAGTCCGAATCAGACTTTGGCACCGAGGTGGGAGCCTAGTGCGGCGGATTTGAATTGAAAGGGGTATGGGAATGGTGGGTCCAGTTCTGTGGCGGATGTGGGGAGCTCGGGATGTGTGGAATATGCTTGTGCATATTGTAAAGTGTGATTGGGAGAACCTGAGAGATACTTGGTTTAGATGAAGGAGATTTGCGAGAGATGTATTTGTTTAGATGGTGGCTTCACAGCCGACTCAGGGGGAGGGATGCGACTGAGATAGACGCTTTGTTTTTGGGTCACGTCGTTCTGTTCTTCTTCATCTTCTTCGTGCAGAATTGGTCCAAGGAGCGGAAAGAACGTGAGAAGGAGAGACATGCGTCTGCGGGTAAGCGGTTTGAACAAAGGCATTGTCTGGAGCTTGCAAGAGAGTGTGGAGATGGTGTGACGTGACACTCGGATCGGGAAGCATCGTTTTGTGATTCTTTTCGAGCAGACGGAGCCGTCCATAGAAACTGCCTTACATTGAAGACTGAATGAAGATGGACCTGTTGTTGAAGAGATGATGGAGGAGGGTACAATAGAGAGGTGTAGTCGAGCGGCATGCGCCACAAAGTGTGGCACCTCCGAGCTCCGCAAAGTCGAAACCTTCGACCTCTTTGCGTTCAACCACACCTCTCTGCACGTCGAACAATTTACAGACAGAACAAAATGAAGGCACCATCGCCCCTCTGCCTGCATTCCCTCCGTCTCCTAGCCTTCCCCTGCTCCCGCGAGTCCACCTCATACCTCCAACGAAGATGCTACGCCTCCATCCCCGACAAACCACCACCACCACCCACATCCCACGGGCCTCCAACCCTCCGCAACCCCGCCATCCAACGCCCCCCACCACGCCCCGGCTCCTACCTCCGCAGCAAACGCGACGACGACGAAGAATTCACCCCGCAACCCCTCTCGCGGCCCATAGGGATGCCGCAACCACCCCAACCAGGGGAAAACAGCGGTCTCGACCAACGCACGCTGCGCCAGAAGCGCGACGATTTCGTCGATTACGATAAACACCTTGCCAAGCGCGCGAGCATGAAGCAGCAGATTATCAAGCCTTACTTTCGCGATTGGAGTAATATGCGCTTTCACAAGGGGAAGGTGTTTGTTGCTAATGAGCTGCTGTTTCGTGCGAGGCATGCGTTGTTTTTCCCGAATTTCTTTGGGCGGACGTTAAACAAGGGTGCTGGGGCTGCTTTGGAGACAGCGGGGGATGGGTATGGGGGCCTTGGGAGGGATACGTGTGAGGCGATGGCGGGGAAGGTCAGTGTGGTTAGTGTGGTGTCGAATGCGTGGGCGCAGGGTCAGGTGGATACATTCTGCGGAGCGAAAGAGAATGCGAAGCTGGTGGAGGTGCTCGAGGGGGCGAAGGATGTGGCCCAGAGGGTTGAGATCAATTTGGAGGACAATTTGTTGAAGTGGTGGGTGCTGAGGTTGTTTGGGTTGGCCCGGTTGAGGAGAGAGAGGAGCTTGGAGCAGCAGGGAAGGTACTTCCTTGTGCGGCGGGGAGTGAGCGACGAGATGAAAGAGGGCATCGGCTTGTTGAACGACAAAGGCGGGTATGTGTATCTGGTTGACGGCGAGCACAAGATCCGTTGGGCGGGCAGTGCAATTGCAACCGAGACGGAGAAAGCAAGCATGATCGCGGGCCTCCAACGACTCATCTCAAAAGCGAAGGGCGAGAAGAGTACAAAAGGTCAAAAACCGCGATTGGAAGAGGCCGTGGCCGAGGTGGTTGGAGTCGAGCAAAAGACAGCCGCTGCAGGAGGCGTCTGAATCTGAACAAACACAATGATACCCATCTTATGTAGCCGCTCAAATGCGACACTCCTCCCAGCGCCAACAACACCACGCATGCATCCCAAGAACCCTCCCTCCTCACCAAAACCAAAGCACCAGCAAAAAGCACACGGCAATCAGCGAGCCCAGTATAATCCCGTCCCTCCGCTTCTTACTCCCAATCCTCTGCATCAACCCATTGATCCCCGGAATCTGCGCCGCAGCCCCCGTAATCCGCCGCTGAATACTCCCCAAACTCTCCCTCTGCAGCCCAAAACTCTCATTCACCGCGTACGCCTGGCTCAACACGCTGTCCGCCACGTTATGGCTGCGGTCCAGCCGCCGCCGCTCGTCGAGCATGTACTCCGCCTCCGCGGCTTCGGGGTTCTCGCGCGCGCGGTAGGCGTCGATGTCGTTGCGGACGTTGGACAGGAGATTTGCGCGGTCCCGTGCGGTGGCGATTTGTGCTTTTTGGCGGGCGAGCTCGGTGCGGTGTTGGGTTAGGATTTCGCGGTGGCGGGCGAGGTTGGTGGATTTGAGGGCCGAGGGGGTGGGTTCGGAGTCGAGGGTGCGGGCGAGTTGTTGGAGGAGGGCGGAGCGCTGCGGGGGAAGGTGGGTTGGTGTGAGTTGGAGGGAGAGAGACAGGAGGAGGGGGCTTACCTTTTCGAGGAGCTCGTTTAGTTGTCCTTCTATTCTTTGCTCTTCTTCGCTTGGCTTCGGTTCTATGTCGGTTTTGGAAGCATATTGCGCGTAGGTGTGGAAGAGAGTCTCGGTCTGGCTCGTGTGTCAACAGCACAGTCTGCTAGGTGGTTTGTGGTGGACTCTTGACTAACCTGAGTCTCCTGTGCTCGTGCTTGCTGCCGGAGTTGCGCCCAGCTGGACTGACTGGCTGCCATGCTCAACTCACCACTGGTCTTGAGAGTGGATGTATATCAGAAGAGGTGCAGTCAGGCGAAAAGACTTGAGACCTGCTTGGCATCCTTTGAAGAGGGGTTGAATCACTGTTTCACGCTTCCCGAATCCTTGACGTGGAACTCGAAGGGGAAAGTTGGAGATTTCCGCTTTGGGACAAGATCTGGTCCGTGCACTTCCACCTCCAACCCGAGGGATCGACGTCGTCTCTGCGTCTCGTTCATCATCCACCACACCACACATGCTTCTCCGGCGCGCAGTGGGCGTGCACACTCCGCAATGTAGGAGACTCAGCACCGCACGTGGCCCCCGCTCCGTGCCCGTGCTCCCGAACGCCAACATCGACACCTTCCGGCAACAGGCCTTGGACCGCGCAACACCCGTGCAGCTACTACCCAACACCTTCGCCCACTTACCCGCAATTCAGCATTGGTTCGTCCATCAACCAGGAACAGGAACAGGCGCACTCCTCAACCATGCCTACCTAAGCCGCTACGGCTCCACCATCGTGCCCCTCGAGTTCTCCAACGACGCCAACTTCTCCCGCATGCACCATTCCCTCAGCTTCTTCCTCGAGTGCGTGCACGCTTCCTCTTCCAAAATCGACGTCCGGCCGAATCGCTACTTCAGCGCTTATGTGCCAGGCGCGCGGGCTGTCAAGAAGAGCAGCAAATCTAACGACTTCTTCAGTGCTGCCTCCTCCGCCTTGACCAAACCCACTGCTCGCGTTTATCTGGCGCAGGCACCTATCGCGGATCTACCTCAGGGCTTAAAGGATGATGTACCTACTCCGGATTTGGTGCTGAAAGCTGGTAAAGGCGATGTCTACGATTCGTCCATCTGGCTGGGCGAGGCGCCTACTTACACGCCCTTGCACCGCGATCCCAATCCGAATCTGTTTGTGCAGCTGGCTGGGCGGAAAGTCGTGAGACTATTTCCACCCCATGCGGGCCAGGCCATTTTCGCCAAAGTCCAGGAGCAGATTGGGGGTTCTGCTTCGGAGACCATGCGTGGTGAGGAGATGATGCAGGGGGTGGAGAAGCGGGCTTTGGAGAGTGAAGTTTGGGGAGACGAGGGTACGAGCGAGCTGAGAGATGCTGCTTGGCAGGTTGAGCTGAGTTCTGGGGGTGGCTTGTTTATTCCAAAGGGCTGGTGGCATAGTGTGAAGGGCGTGGGGGATGGAATGATCGGATCGGTAAGGTGACCCTGACCTGTCGGTATTCTCGTTCGGCTAGCTGACTCGATTACAGGTGAATTGGTGGTTTCGATGAAAGGCGATCCACGACGATATTCAACGAACTGAAACAGTCCCGTCACGCTTCGGATTCCGGAGCGCTGGAAGTGGAGTCGCCCTCTGACTTCACTGTGTCACACAGTCCACGCAAGTGCACAACCCAGCGGGCAATTGATGATTGGCAACGTAGACTGAGACTCGCGCTGGCGTGAGCCCATGGTTGACGTGTAAGCAGCGCAGTCAATTACCGCTCCATGAATGCAATGTAAAACGTCACAACAAACAGTAGCATACTTAAAGCTCGTCGCCTACGTTAGACACACAATCTTCCCCCCAGCAGCACTCGCATCCATCAACCGATGCCCCTCCACAATCTCCTCAAGCCTCAACACCCTCCCAATCGGCACCTTCAACTCCCCCCTCTCCACCTGCTCAATCAATTCCTGCAACGGCATCTGCAAAAACTCCTCCACCCACCCCCCATACACCGTAAGCGCGACCGCAACCGGAATATGCTCCATGGGATTCCAACCGTCCACCGTCCAAGTCCCGCCCACAATCCCCGTGATACAGCACACGCCGCCCCTCTTCAGACACTTCATCGAATCCTCCATAGTCTTCACGCCCACCAGTTCCAAACACTTGTCGAAATTTCCTCCGACCTGCTTCGCCAACGCCCCATCGTCCACCAGCACATGCTGCGCTCCAGCCTCCAACATCACGCGCTGCCCTTCAACCTTGCGACTCGTACTCGTGACTTCACACCCGTAATTCCTCGCAATAGCCGCAGCCGCCAAACCCACACTCGACGTCCCCCCTCTTATCAACAGTTTCTCTCCTTTCTGAATCCGCAGCGAAACAAACAGACTGCCCCAAGCAGTCTGCAACATCTCCGGAATCGCACCCAGCACCTCCCACCCCAGCGTCGTGCGCACCTTTCTAACCTGCCTAACAGGCACAACGACGTACTCCGCATATCCCCCGTCGAAATCGCGGCCCATCCCGCCCATACAAGTAAGAACCACGTCTCCCTTCTCAAAGACACCAGATGGACAAGAAACCACTTCACCCGCTGCTTCGATCCCCAGGATGCGAGGGAACTTCACGCTCGGCGAGTGGCCTTGGCGCGTGTACATTTCAGAGCGGTTGAGGCCGAAAGCGCGCACGCGGATGAGCACTTGATCTGGCCGCGGGACTGGGATGGGGACTTCTTCCAATTGGAGGACGGAGGGGTCGCCGGGGACGTGGATGACCGCTGCGCGCATTGTTTCGGCCATGGTGTTTTGTGTGCGGCTTCTGAGTGGAGTGTGTAGAGATGGGTGAAGTGGAATGGAGTGGAGGAAGATTGTGCGATCTCGCTCTACTTTTGGGTTGGCTTTGCTTCTAGAATGGACAAGCAGTTATGTTGATCTGGTGTGTAATCGATCATAGCCCAGGAGCCGCCGGTTTTATAGTATTCCCACCATCGCATCGCCCTGCACAAAAGAGATGATGTCGCGAGGCAGCTCAGCCGTGAAACATTAATAAGCGCCGGAGCCTCGCGTTCGCCTTGGCACTAACTCCGGCGTCTTACAACACAACGTCCGGTGCAAGATCATGAAATGAAGAGGAAACGTGTTCAAGCATGCCCAAAATAAGCAACGCTTATGCAAGCCGTACAATAAGACGTGAAAGACCTAAGGAAACTCTTGCCAAAAATGCGTCATCATCGTTTACGCCGTCGGCCATAACACACCATACCCGCCCCTCCAACCAGCAAAAACCACCTGCCGACCAAAGCTGTACAGATGCAGTCTCGCCCCGTTTCTGTTTGATGCCTGTATCCGTTCTAGCAATTCTTCCGTCGCTCACTTCTAGTCATGATCGAATGAGGTGGTTTGATGTGAGTCGGCCAGGGTCAAACTTTCATTTTGCCCCGGCTCTCTGCCGTCGTAGTAAGCCTGAGATAGCGCGTGCAGGCTGGCACATGTCGAGGAGTCGTAGAATTGATGTCGCGATGAAGGACGAAGCAATGGTTTTATAGAGCGTACGGGTTCAGAGAGCGGATAGTCAAGCACCTGCACAACAAATCAGCAAAACATTCAAACATCAGGGATAATGAGGAATAAACTCACGGCGGACTCTTCGTCAAATCCGTCTTCAACAACACCGGCACGCGCGTCATCTCCTTGACATCTTGGATGTAGTTGCCGCCCTGCTCGCGCAAGGCAAACAAGCCGAGATATTTGTCCTTGTTGCTGATCTTGCTCTCCGGCGCACCAGCGTTCAACAGCTTCGAGTCCGATTTGCTGCGCTGCGGTCCAGTGCCGTTGCGGGCGGGCGACGATGGGCCGGATTGCGTTCCGCGGTCGCCGTTGAGTGCAACGCCCGTTTCCGAAGCGTTGTCATCGTCATCGTCGAAGAGGGCATCAACGTCGTTGGTGTCGATCGAGCCAGTGTTCATCGACTTGCTCTCAGAACCTTGGTTGGCACGTGAGAAGCCGCTGTTAGCCGCACCGCGTCTTCCCTTTTGCGCAGCGGCACGCTCATCCTCCGGCACGAACATGGAAGACGGCACACCCTTCTCCCAGTACAGCTCGAGCAGCCTCTTGTTCTTGTCGAATTCGGCCTTCTTGAGCGGCAGCTGATCGCAATGGACGCGCTTCTCGAAACCATATTCCGGGATGAGCACGTCGAAAGCCGATTCGTACACGCAGACCACAATACCAATGGAGATGAGGTCACCGCCTTGCTGTTCCGACAGGCGAGACATGCGGCGGCAGGACTCGATGTGCACGCTTTGCTCTTGCGCAGCGTGGGCCGAGTCCTTCTTCGTGTTGCTGCTTTCGGCCGTCTTTGCGAGCGATTCAATGTCCTCGTTGAACTCTGCAATGTTGCCAGACAACACGGCTTCCAGCTGGCGGTGGACGACAATGTCGGCGTACCGACGGCTGGGGTTGGTGAAGTGCGTGTACAGCGGCAGATTCAAAGCGTAATGGCTGAAAAAGTTGTCGGTCGCCTTCGCCGGGATGACGTACTTCGCACGCCCCATGGATTTGATGACCAGAGTCTCCATGCCCTTGCGGATATCGTCGTCTTCAATGCGGAAGAGGCTGTTCTGCAGGGCCGCGGAGGAGGAAATGTCCATCTCGTAGCCAATGTTGTTCATCCTTTCGGCAAAGGTGGCCAGGCGGCGAGGGTTTGGACTTGCCTGCTTCCTCAAGAAAGCTCGGTCGGGCATGGCTTCGAAGATCTTCTCCGCCACGACGACATTGGTCTTGTTGGACAGCTCCTCGATCATCTCGTGCGCCGGGCTGGAGTCGAAAATGTTGTGCTCCACAGGGACATTCTCATCATCGAGCTGATACATGAGACGCAATGGTGGGATGTCGGCGACCGTATCGCCACCATATCTCGCCTGGCGGAACTTGTTGGTGATGGAGTAGAGGGTGAGGATCTGCTCCGCACGCTCCTCGCCCACTTCGGCCGATGCGGAAGAAGTGCCGTTGATAACAGCATCGACCTCATCGTACGTCAACTTCCCGGAGCTCTTGATGATGCCCTTGCCGATCCAGGTCTCGTCGTCAATGACGCGACCAGAAGCGGCATTGACCTTGAAGATAACAGAGATGGTGTAGCGCTCCTCACCCGGGTTGAGGCAGCAGACATCTTGCGACAGCCTGGGCGGCAGCATGTTGACGGTCCTATTCATCAGATACACCGCAGTGCCTCGCTTCTTCGCCTCGCGGTCCACGAGGCTGTTCGCCTTGACAAAGTGCGCCACATCAGCGACGTGCACGCCAATCTCAACTTGGCCATCCCCGAGATCGCGGAAGTGGAGGGCATCGTCGAGTTCCTTGGAGCCGTTGGGGTCGATGGTAAATGTCTTTTCGTCGCGGAAGTCTCGGCGAACTTGAAGAGCAGCCTCTCCATCATTCGCAACGGACCATTCCTCGTACCCGACATTCTTGATCACAGCGTCGGAGAAGTCGTCGGGGCCGAAGTTGTTGTCGCGGAGCAGTGCATCGGTTTCCACCTTAAGGTCGCCGGCATCGCCCAGCTGCTCCACCAGCGTGCCAAAGGGATGCAGCGAAGTGATGGGCCAACGCTTGATACACGCGACAAAGATCTTGTTCGCATAATCCTGATGACGCTCGACAAAGTCCTTTGGTGCCTGTTCCGTGGGAATGGCGATGAGTGGGACTCGCTTGTCCGTCGGCTTGAACCACACAATCTTGGGGCGTTCTTGCTGGCGGTCCTGTTGGCGGCCGGCATTACCGCTGCCCTCGCGAGCTTGACGTTCGGCTTCTTGCTTCTCCTTGGTCGCTTGGCTGCTTGGGCGAAGCAGGCCGAGGGTACCGGAGAACATCTGGCCAGCAACGCGTTCGATGACCGCAACAATGTGACCGGCGTAGAGAGGCTTCTGCTCGTCGTTGATCTCATCCTCCTCCATGAGCAGCAAGCTCTGCCCTTCGACTTCGACGTCATCGTTCTTCTTTTGTGTGGGTCGCTGCTTCAAGCTGCCACGTCGGCGGAGGCCGCCTTCTTGAGCAGCGGATGCACTTTCGGGTGCGGTGGTGGCGTCGTTGACAGCAGTGACACTGCCTCCGCGTGCGTCCCCGATGTCCTTGCGCTTCTTCTTCTCCTCCTTCTCACGCTTCTGGCCCCATACCTCATCAACGTCTAGCAGCTCGACCGCGACAAGGTCTCCCTCGAGAGCACGATTGCGATCCTTGCTGCCGCAAATGAAGATGTCGGCATCGAGATCGGTGGTAGTAACGTAGGCGTCGCTGCGGTTCTTCTTGTTGACGCGGAGCACACCAGCGACAAGCTGGCCATCAGCGAGCAAGGCGGGAAGGGTGGCCTGGGGAAGGTATGGAGTGAAAAGGGTCTTGCGCTGCTGCTGTTGCTGCTGCATGCCCATGGGTGCGTTGTGTTGGCCTGTGAGCTGGGCAAGGCTTGGAGGCTGCAAGCCCGCAGATTGATAGGCCTGGAGCTGCGCCAGTTGCAGTGCATTGAGTTGCTGCCCACCGTAGATGTTGGGCTGCTGCATGAGGATCTGCCCTTGGGGGAGCTGCATCAACTGCGGCTGCTGGAACTGTGGAAAGCCCTGGATGGAGCTGATTGACTGCGAGCTCATGGAACCACGGTTGCGGTGACCAGACTGGAAAGACGGGGCCGCGGCAGCTTGATTAAGCTGGAAGCTGCCCATGTTCTGAGCTTGGGGGTCGTTGGTCTGATTGTTGTTCTGTGGTTGACGCCAGTTGCCCTCGAAGTTACGAGACTGCGTACGTCCATGACCAGAACTGCCGCGACGGTTGAGGTCGGAGGTGTTAGCTCCTCCGTCGGCCGTGGCTTGAGGTGGGGGAAATTGGAAACCAGCAGGCCCACCACGAGTGCTGGTGCCCATGCCGCGGCCGTTTCCAACTGCCATGCTTTGGCTCCGTCCATGGCCCCGACCCGACAGTCCACCACGGGCTCCAGTGCCGGTGGTTTGAGCGGTGTCGGCCTGGGTCTGACCTGGGCTGGTGGAAGCATTGGTGGTGGACGAAGAAGCCCCGCCAGCGCTCGGAATGGGGAACTGAAAGCCACTAGTCTTTCTCTTCGCCTCTGCAAGCTCTGCGGCCTTCTTGGCTTCGGGCAATGCAAGGGAGTGTCTGCGAGCATGTCCACCTCCTGCTGCACCACCACCACGGCCACCAGCGCCGCCGCGTGGGGCATTGTTCTCATTTCTGTTCTGACCCTGCGCAGTGAAGTCATTGAAGCCCGAGGTGCCGGCGGAAGGGGCTGGTGGGGGACCCATGCTCATGTTGGGTAGGGCGGATTGGTTGCGGCGATGTGCTTGACCCATGCCGCCCATACCACCCGTCATGGGAATGCCCATGGGCTGTTGGGGCATCTGCTGGGGAAAGTGATATTGATTGGGATTGGGAGAGATGTTGAGGTTCTGCATTTGACCTTGCAGTTGTTGGTACTGGGTGGGGAGTTGCTGTTGCTGGGGGATCATGCCCATGTTGACGTATTGTTGGTGGGTGGCAGCAATCTGCTGCTGTTGCTGCTGGAGCATTTCAATCTGTTGGGCGAGTGCAAGTTGCTCCACTGGAAGGGAAGGGGGAGTCAGCTTGAGATGTTATCGGGTGCCGGGGAGAGGGGACGACGAAGGACGTACTCATCAACGGCGTCATCTCTGACGGGCTGCGACGGTGGGCAATGTGTAGACGACGCCCGTTCGGGCCTTGTGCGGAGCCATTTTGCTGGGGAGCGTTGGGATCCATCACGGCGGGGTATGGGTGTGCTGAAGCTGTTCGTGCGTATCGTACAATTGGCTGGACGGGCGAGAGTTCGCCGAGAGCGTGTGCCACGCAAGTGCTGACGACGAAGTCGTGCAGAGGGGATGGTGGGGGTGGTGTATGATGTGATAGTCGGATGACGACGTGTCCAGGATCAAAGCCGGGGTGCTTGAACTTTTTCTAGTGTGTAGCCAAGTGAGGAAGTCGAGTGCAGTCGCCGTGAGATCTCACGAAATTGCAAGGGACAGGGAGTGTGGGAGAAGCGGAAGTTCGGTGATGGAGGGAGTGGTGGTGTCAAAGAGAGACGGCGGAGAGATGGGTGATGATGTGGTGGTGGTGTGGGAGGTAGGGATCGAGTCAGCCGGGGCAGGCAGGTGGAGTCGGGCTTGCGTCAGGAGCGATAGGACGGGTAGTTGGAGCCTGTTACAAGAGACGGTGAGCGGATGGCAAGGAGGGCACGATGGAGTGCCAATGTGGAGAAGGAAGGTGGGGATGAAAAGGTGGATGGGTGGTGATGCAGGAAGGAAGGAAGGCAGGAGAGAGTAGAGGGAGGTCGAAGGGTTGAGAGCCGTGCCCCGAGTGTGCGTGCTGTGCTGCTGCGAATATTAGAGTTTACGTCTTCTCCTACCCTTACGTAGCTGCGGAAGGATCGAACGGACCTTTTCTCGTGATTCCCCTTGGCTGTCCCGCACGGCTTGCGGAGAAAAAGCTCCACGACCGCCAATCAGCGCGGGCGGCTGTCGCTCCACAGCAACGTACAACGGTGTGGATGGTATGAAGCATGCACCTCGCAGTTTACATCATTAACTGTGTGCATCCGTCTGCTTGGAAGGCCTCAACTAATGCAACAGCCTCTCCCTTGGCAGCCTGGTTGCCCACTGCATCGTGTTTTGCACCGGCGTGTACGCCATGTCCCCAGTCGCCACACGACCCCTGCCGCCAGCCGCGCCCCTCGGCGGGCCGAAGCGTCAAGCCTGAGGCATCCGTGAATTCGCTCTAGCCTCATACACAACCACGTTCCTCACACTTTTAAGTGCTCGTCACCTTCACCTTCTCGTCTGCACCACACCCCCGACAGACATGACGACAAAATGCCTTTTCTGACTTGTTTCAACACAGAAGCACTCTTACTGCTCTCCATGGCGCGCTCGCAACATCCCACGTTACTGTCATCGGAATAATTGCTGTCGACTCGCCCTCCATCTCCTTTCCTTAGCGAGGAACCTCACCCTTCGTCACAGTCTAGGCCTACCAACTCGTTCCGCCAGCAGCAACAGCATCCATCATGTCTTCTCCCTTTCGAAGATCCGATCACTCTCCGTCGAGTCAACGTTCCACGCCCTCGCGTCCGTATACAAACGGCGTGCGCCGTGCAAATGGCTATCATCGCTCCTACCACGACACCACCCCGGTCTCGAGCCCTTCGCGACAACTGCTCGAGGAATTCAACCGCATGCTCATCAACGACGAGCGCGCCTTCAGACAGTCTCTCGACGAGCAAACCGCTGCGCAGCAAAAACTGCATCTCGAAGCTCTCGACCGCGCGTTGGCCAAACATGAAGAAGTCAGGGAAAGTGCGGAGCGGACGAGGGAAAGAGTGGAGCTGGAGCTCGAGAAGGAGAGGAGGAGACAAATAGAAGAGGAGCACCGGGCGGTGGAGAAGGCGAGGCGCGACCTGGAAGAGCAGAGAATTGCGCAGGAGAGAAGGCGGCTGGAGGAGCTAAAGGCACAGGAAGAGGAAAAGAAGAAGGCCGAGGAGCTCAAGAGGGAGCAGGATGCTATGCGTGAGAGACAAGAGAAGGCGAAACAGGAACAAGACGAGACGAAGCGACGCGCCGAACTTCGTCAAAAGGAGGAGGAACTGAAGAAGGCACAGCAACCGAAGCCGCTTCCGAATGGTACTACACCCGCAAGTGTACCAGCAGCGTCTTCCCCTGCTCCTCCTCCTCCAAGTACAGCGGTACCACTGACAAGTCAGCCAGCTCCGGTAGCTAAACCAACGCCGCCAGCTCCACAGCCCGCAGCCGCCTCCGCCCAGGCAGCGCAGCCGGATTCGAATTTACCTGACGGGCTCGTGAGCAGCATGCAAGAACGCGAGGCCATTCATCGACAATATCTGGACCTTCACAAACGCCTCAAACAGATGCGCGAACAGGTCACCGAACAAGCAAAGCAGGTACCGGGCCTCAAAAATCAACTATCCGACTGGCGACGAGCCATCAAGAAATGCTGCGGCCAGCTCAGCAAGGGCGATACGGCAGAAGTCAAGGCGGGTAACAAGCGTTCCATGGTGGAGATTGTGCAGCACCTAGATGCCGCTGCCAACATTTCCGAGCCCAGCATCGACGTGACTCAGTATCTTGTCGAAAATAAGCAGCCTCCAGGCGCCAACAAGCAGGGGCCTGCGTGTCTCCTCTTCCTTCTCAACCACTTTGCCAAAAACGTCGTCAAGCAGTTCATCTCCGAGAGCGCAGTCGACGCCAAATCTGCCGATCCCATTGGTGTCCTCGCCGTCACCGTCTTCGCACGACCCCAATACCTCTTCAACGGCCAAAGCCTCATCGATCTCCTCTGGGCCAAGTATCACGTCCACTGTCCCATCTTGTTTGGCATCTACGGCTCCGAAAAGACCAAGGGCGGACGACTGCGACTCGGCTGGAAATTCGATGCGGATGCCGGTGCTTTCGTCTCGGAGCAAGAGCACTACGACCGCATGTCGGGTCTAGGCGTGGGCTTCGCCTCCATCACGCTCCGCGACTTCAGCAAAAGCAAAAACGCCAACCCCGCGCCCAACAGAATCTACTGGCAGTCCTTCGCCCGCATCCTCAACACCCCCGCCAACGAAACTCAAGCCACGCATTTCGTTATCCTCAAAGCTATGATCGACCAGTACGTCCCTCGCATTATCGGCACTTTCGGCGGCGCGGGCATCGCCCTTCTCCGCCGCGCATTGATCGATTTCCCCAATGCAAAGGGCCCGCAGGATGACAAGGGGAGGAAGCTGCCGGCCGTGACGGCCGTGCAGGCCATGCCGACGGTGCTGCAGCGCGACTTGTCCCTCTCGTTGTAGGCCAACGAGGCGGAAATGCAGTGCGCTGCAGCCGCTGTCGCTGCTGGCAATTCCTTCACGGCCGCGCCATCGGCACAGAAACATGGACACCCGCAAGCGACGACATCGGGCTTTAGTCCGCTCGCGAGATCGACGATGACGTCGAATGCAAATGCTCGTAATACTAGCAATTTGAATGGCTTTATGGCTCAGATGGGTGGCGACGGTGGCGTCTCGAGGAACAAGGCTTCGTTGTCGGCGTCGATACACGCTGCTCCTGGAAGTCATGCACATGCTCCTCGGCCGGCGGGGAACACTTTCGGTGCACTTTCCGCCCCAGCAGCTATGCGGACGGAGAATACAAGGCCTTCAACGGGGTCACGCGGTGGAGGGAATTCAGCCGGCTCGAATTCAACCGATGCAAATCACGGACATCGACGCGCGGGGATATCGCCGGGATTGCTGAGGACGACTGGGCTGGGTGATGCGTGGTATCGGTGAAATACAAAGCGATAGTTGAGGAGGCAGTCTTCCTTAGGCTGCGCGCATTGGGCCTGGATATGTGGTTTCTCACCGGATGGGAATGCGTGCGAGGAACTAGATTACATCACAATCGACGCTGCCCACTTTCGCAGTCTTGTCCTATCAAGTCCCAATTTCTTTGTGCGCTTTCGATAGTGGGTTGGCAATGGCCTGCTATCGTGGACGATGATTCCATCTCAAGTAAATGACTCACAGGTTAATGTTACATTGAACTCCGCTGCAACTCCGCGGCTGAGGGCGTGGAAGTGGAAGGTAAAAAGGTTCAACGACACCTCACCCGTGAATAAGCAGCAGCCTTACGCCCTTGAAACTACACATCTCGCCCTTGGAACTACACGCCTCCCAATCGCAAAATCCATAAATCCCCGCATCGCCCGACTACAAAATAAACATAGACCGCGATAAGAAATTCCTTATTCCTCTCCATCTCCCCACCCCATCACAAACCAAACCACGATGCCCCTCCAACTCCTCCCCCTAGCAGAATCCGACATCCCGCGCTTCGCCATCATCGACGAAGCAGCAATGGCCAACTGGCCCTACGCCGAAGCCATCATAGGCAAAGGCGACGCGCGCATCGCCCTCGTCGCCAAATGGCTGCGCGAAGGCTGGGGCAAAAACCCCGCCGAGCACTACATGAAAGTCGTCGACACGGAGACGGGGGAGATGATTGCCGCGTGCATGTACGAGTTGCATCCCGAGCCGAAAGCCAAGCAGGAGGAACTGTCGTCGCAGCGTCACGCGCCGGGGGAGGAGGGCCCGGCGAGTAGTGTGTGGGAGGCTTCGGGGCGGTTGGGGAGGGAGTTTGATGCGGAGTTTGTTGGGGATAAGCCTTATTCTCGTGCGTGCTTTGCTTGCTCTCTTGGTTTTTTTTCTTTTGTGCGCGATGGAACTGACTTATTACCAACACTAGAACTCAACGTCCTCGTCACCGACCCGAAACACCAACGCCGAGGCGCGGGGAGTCTGCTGGTCGCGCACGTCTGCAAAGAAGCAGATGAGAGGAACCTCCTGTGCAGACTGACGGCTTCGCAAGCCGGGTTGGCGGCGTATCTCAAGCATGGCTTCGAGGTGAAGAAGATTGTGCCGTTGGACTTGCGGCCGTATGGGTTTGATTCTATTGAGGACAGGCGGTTCATGCTTCGGCCGGCGAAGGATGCGGCGGCTTAAGTGCGGATGTACGTAGAAGTACTTGGTAGCTAGTCATGTTCACGGGTAACACGAGACGCGTGCATCTGGGGTAGTACTGCGAGACCGCCTTCACGCTCTCAATGCTTTTGCAGCACCCCTCTCACAGTCCCGTCCACTTCCACATTCCCTTTCACCATCATCTCCTGAATCCCCTCGCCGCCCTCCCCGTCCAACCACTTCTCCAGCAGCGCATTAGACTCCACAGGCTTGATGCTCGCGTCCGCCGTACCAACAGTGACATGCGCCACCCGATTCGTGACGTTCCACTGCTCCCCACCCTCCAGGGCATTCAATCGCACGACAAAAGCCATGACTCGATTGTCCCATACCACCCGCTCCAGCCGCACCCCGCAGGCTCCAAGCTTCGGCTCCGGATCGACGTCGGTAGCTTTGCTTTTATGTAAATCCGTCAACTGGGCCCACTGATTCGCGTGCTCGGTCGCGCCAGTCCGATGGATCAGAGTGACGTGAAAGGCTCCTTGAATCCGACGCTGGTGCTTCAACGTATTGTACATCTTCGCCTGCTCTGGGGTGCTGTCGCGGAAGAGGGCTTCAAGGATGGCATTGATGCGTGGGGCGGGGACCTGCACGGCGAAGTACTCGAGCTTCTTCTCCTTGGGTTTTGCAGTCCCGTTCGGCGCACCGTTCGCTCCTCGAGAACCCTGCTGGCCCCGACGATCATCTCTCCCCTTGATCTCGTGCTTGATATCGACGGTGTACTCATTCGTGGCAGCGGCGATGGCAGCATCCATGTCGTCGGCGGTAGGCATTTCCTGCCCGTCGAAGAGCTTCGGGTACTCCACGTACAACCTGCTGATGGCAGTTTCGAGGTTCTCGCGAGAGCTGACGCACGGGTCGAGATCGATCACCAAATCGAAGCCGTCATCCGGTTGGGCGTCTTGGTTCACAGGCTCAAAGCGGTACAGGAAGCCTTCCATGATCCCAACCACTTCTTCCGAGCCTTTGGTGCCGGCCTGAATGGTTTGATGGTTGTCACCGCGCCCCAGCACTCTCTCGCGAGTCACTTCCCGTATCCTGTCGTAGTTTCGTCGGTCATGCACGTAGTGAAGACACACAAAGTGAGCGTTGGTGATGACTTTGGAGACGTCCTCGAGGAGCTGCTTCCGCTCTCGTTTTTGGTGATTGTTTCGATCTGCAATCATGGCGGAGTGATTGCTCAGGGCGTTGACGCAGGCGGTGGCGAATGCTTGCGGCTTGCCCTTCTTCACCGTGATATTGTCATTCTGAACATGCCCCCAATTGAACAGATTGCTGAGCGCCAGGGCGACAGTGGTCTTCCCACAGCCAATGGTGGCGACTGTGGCAAGTAAAACATCCCTCGTCACCGCCTCATCCTCACCATCTTGCTCTTCTTGCCGAATGATATCCGCTCCATTGAGACCACGAGAAGCGAGAAAGTCGTCGCGCATCTTTATGATGCCGTGGTTGGCGAGATACGCTTTGGCGAGCTGCGGGTTTGCATGTAGTTGTTTGCGTGCGAACAGGATGTAGTCTTCGGTGATTTTCTTGTGTTTCCTGTACTTTGGCTGTTTGCCGGAGATGACGGCTTTGGTGCACTCTCGCCATTGGCGGTACATCAAGTAGGGCTCCTCGAACTTGTACTTGAAGAACCAGTCGTGCCATTGTCCGGTGTTTGCCTTGGACTGGCAGCGAATGACGAAGCCTTCGGTGTCTCGACCGTCGTACGCTCCTGTGTCTGCGATGCCCTCCAAGAATGTCTTCACATCCTCGATGGTGTCTTTGATGATGAACGTGGTGGTCCTGAAGCCCCATTCCTGGGCGAATTGATTGACGAGGTCATGCGGGTAGGTGACAAAGTCGGGAAGGTTGAGGTTGATGCCGTGTAAGTAGAGTCCGGCGGATTCGGGAGTGTAGGCGAGCACATGCTCCTCGAAGTCATCATCACACAGTTCGGCGACTGCAGTAGCGTTCATGTCTCGTAATATCTTTGCGAGATCCTGCCTGGTCTTGCCAATGCGCTCCAGCTGTCGATCGATCCACTGCTCTCCAGCTTTGGCATGGCTGACATCAGAGTCCTGTCGATCGCCGGTGGAATGTTTGCTGCAGACGATGAGGGTGCCGTCCTTGAGACCTGCGAGGAAGATGATGCATCCATTCTCCTTCACACTGAGTTCGTACGGGCCTCGAGTGTTGTTCTCCACATTCCGCCATTCCGTCTCGCGCACTTCTTCATGATTGAAAAACTTGTCGTACCCTCGGACAGCAATCTCCCGCTGACCACGTTCATTGGTTGTAGTGAATAGGCCTCTCGCATAGGTGGGTAGATTGGCCTTCTTGTAGTCCCAGTCCATCATTTTCCAGGAATCGACGGTCAACTGGGAGCCTTGGACGTCGAAGGTCGACTTTTTGCAAGAGAAGCCGCCGCGGCCTTTGCCTTTGCCGGAATTCCTGTTGTTTTCGAGGCCTTTCACCATCTGCGCGACCTCCTCCTGGTCCTGTGCGCGGTAAGGCGGAGCCATGGTGAGAAGCGACTTTGAGCGTGTGAGTAAAGGATGAGGTTGTAACGGATCCAGTCAAGCTAGCAAGGGCAAACACCGTTATAAAGGGTTGGTTGGACGAATTCCAGGCGATGCGTCTTTCATCGGTGACCGGAAAACGCAAGCTCGGCGAATGAGTGGCGAAGAGTCATAACAGCACGGACAGCCTGGATTTGCGGTGTTTGTGTCACCGTCGCCACTGACTCACAGTACAATCACAACTGCCTGCGCCTTGAACTTGTTGGGAGTGGGAAGGAATGCATTCAAAGGTGCAGATATGTGGAAAGAGGTTTTGCAGAACAGGCGGCAGCCACGACTTTTGTCTTTCGTCTTGGCAGCCTCAGGTTGGGAAGGCTGACGGCGAACATCATCCAGTCCAACGATTTGCGCGTTTTAATCAGATCAAGGTGTGCATGCAATAGCTAGAAAATCATGAAGAAGGGGCGGTACGCATGACAGTCCGCGCGATTATCCCTCCCAGTTCGGAAAACACCCATCCCTTATCAGTACATATGTAGCTTCATTCACCATTTGCGTCGCGCTCAATGCCAGAGCACTTGCCCAACACTTTCGCCTCAGCACCAACGCTAGTCATCAGTTATGACCTCCCAAAGTCTCCATGGACCCATGATAACGCCAGAACGAGCATGCAATGTCCCTCAAAACCACGAGCCCGCCCCACCCTTCATCTTCCCGCCTTGCCTCGCCATTCTCGCAATACGATCCTTGTCCTTCCAGTACTCCTTCTCCTGACCCCACACATCCACCCAGTACTGCACATCCGCCCACACTCCCTCCGGCCCGCGCGTGTAAAGCCACAACCCCAGCATGACAAGTCCTCCCCAGAACACCACCCTTCTCGCCAGGCGCAGCCAGAAAAGCACCGTTTGCCACAGCAGATCGAGGAGTTTGAGCGAGATGAAGAGGATGACTAGCAGCAGGGCGATGGTGGCGATGTCGGGTTTGTGCGTGATTTTGTCGATGAGGGGGTAGATGTAAGATTGGGCGGTGGTGACGATTGAGTAGAATTGGCGAAGGTAGGGCGTGTAGGTTTGCAGGGCGGCATGGTTGCCTAGCAGCTGTGCTGCCCAGTCTTTGATGGCAGTAGTCAGTGGATGGGATGGGAGGGAGTTGCCTGTTAGTCTGTCTTCTATCGTACCTTGTATATCCTCCATGTTGTTTGTTGAGAGGAAGTTGAGAGATGGCAGAGGTCGCGAAGGCTCAGCTCATGGTCTATCAGACACCTCTGATTGATCGTGTAAGATGTGAAGGTGATGGCTGGAGGAAGGTGAGAGTGAGGTGAATGATGAACCAAACAAACAGACCAAACGCAACACGCGACAGGTGTTCGCGAGGAAGCCCCGCAAACCGACAACACCGACCCCCGCGCCCCACTTCCCGTCCGGACCGTCCCCACATCCTCTACCGTACTGTATACTTCACCTTCACACCAGGTCTTTCGTTCTGTTGGACACTCGTCCATGAGCCTGGCCCAGAGGATGAAAGATGATTCAGCACCGGTGTGACAAATTTCCGCGCCGAAGTCTCCTCGATCTCAACGGAGACCCATCGAGTAGCGCCAGCTCCGGCGCCCATGGCGTGATGGCGAGATCTAGTCCCCAATGGAACTCCTCGCCTGTGCCCTGAGTTGAATCCGGAAGCGGTCGATAGCACATATCGTCGGGCTACTGCATGCTACCTGTACGTGGCAAGTCTTTTTCCTTAACTGGTGTTCGCTGACGAGTGCAAATACTGGCATGTGTCTCCCACTCCAGCTTGCTGCATTAGCTCTGCAGGCTGCCGCTCGTTTTGCAGACATCAGCCCATCAACTTACATTAGCAGCTCCCCCCACCCAGCTTCGCGGCACCTCTCTACGTGCACTACCTTGATATCGCCTAGTGGGTGGCTCTTAACAGCTGCTTGCGGAAGCCCTAGGTACAAAGTCCTAAGTGTCTCGTATTCGCCTCTGCACGTCTCGTCACATGCATCCTAGACAATCTCGTGCAGAAGGCAATGTTACTGGTCACTGTCGCCCTCGACACACTTGTCTTGTTTATCCTGCTCTCGTCCTTTCGAGCTTTTCCGTTTTTCCAACAACGGTAAGAGCTACAATTCAATTGCGAATCAGACATCTCCTCTCTTGACATCGCTACTGCTTCCTACGGCCCTCATCATGGCAGTCCCTATCAATTCGAACGACTATGACATGACCAAAGCAAAACCTCTCACTGCAAGTGATGCCGCACAAACACACTTCGTTCTGATGCAGTGCTCCCGCCCGTTGAATGCCGATGACGATAAACAGCTACTCGCCAAGAAGATCCATATCGAGGCATACCTGGACGAAGAAACGTATACATGCTACTTTGAACAGGCCGACCTGGTTCTGGAGGCGGCTAAGCTGACGTTCGTTAAAATCATTACGGCCTTCCCTACCGCGCTCAAAATACGAGCGGAGCTTCTGGGAGACCTCCAGGCAAATCCTCCGGCATCCGCGGCTCAAAATAAAAGTACGTTCTTCTTTCTCCCATGACCATTGCTTATCTCTATCGGAGTCCGCTAAGAAGAATGGTGCCACACAGCGACACGCAGAGTGGTCATCACTCTTCACAGTGAAGATCCAACGCCGTACGCGGACGTCAAGCGAAAAGTCCTAGCGGTGGGTAACGCCAAAATGGTTTCCGAACCCCCCGACAATTTTGTCATCGAAATCGAACAAGGAGCCCTGTCCGCACTCACCGCCATCGACAGCATCGTTTCAATCGGTGATGAGCGGCTGCCGGAGACCGGGGTCGAGTGGTCACGTAGCATTCTCTACGGCAATTTGCCTCCTCGTGGCAGTCCGATGCTTGGGGTGGTCAGTGTTGCTCCAAACATCATATGGCCCGAGGGCCTGGATGGAACTGGCCAAGTCATTACCGTCGCTGACACGGGCATTGATCCTGACCATCCAGCCTTCACTGGACGCCTAGCTTGCAAAACGAGCGTAGGTAGCATGTCGGGTGGCGATGACTTTGGTCACGGTACCCACGTCGCCGGATGTGCACTAGGCAACGGGACCACGAGAGACGGATGCTTCGTTCGAGGGATCGCCCACAATGCCCAACTTGCCTCCATTCAATTGCTCATCAACACAGCGGAGTCGGAGCTACCTGGCCGCGCACGTTTTGTTCCCACTTCTCCGAAGACTCTGATAGACCTCACTTTGCACATCCCCAGGCCTCCGCCTTATTCGCCCCTGGGCTCGTACGTGCACAACTGGTCTTTCTACCAGTCGCTGGGCGGCTACGATGAGACAGCCAAACGGCTAGACCTGTGTCTGGAGAACTATCCGGACGTTACGATATGCATATGCGCAGGCAATAATGGTAAAGAGGCGGAAAAGTGGCTAATCAGCGGAAGTCCCGCCGCCAAGAATGCCATCACAGTGGGAGGATGCGACACCAGTTCGAAAGGGTACAGAGCTGGCGGAAAGACGATACCAAATCTTGCGGACTTCAGCAGCCGAGGGAAAGAGAAGCCTGGTGCGCTCAAACCCGACGTTGTCGCGCCCGCTGTGGAAATTCTCTCAGCAGCTCCCAAGAATGCTGAGTTCCAGGAAGCAGCAGTAGCTAAACAGCTGAACTATCTGCCAGACAATCGCTATTGGTATGCGCCTGGTACCAGTTTTGCCGCTTCCGATGGTCGCCGGCTGCGTCGCCATCCTTCGACAAGCGTTCTTCAAGCATCACGCGACTTATCAAGACCCAGCAATAGCAGAAAAAAGCCCAGCTGGCATCGATCGCTTCCTATGGCCACGATCAGATCTCTTCAAGGCTCTTCTGATCAACAGCACCATCGATCTCCAAGGCGCACAATATCAAGGCGATCGGATCAGTGCGGCCCCGAACGCGTATCAGGGCCATGGTCTCGTCCAGCTCCCTGCTGCCCTCCGACCGCTCTTACCACCTGCTGCCAATGCTCCTGCTGCCAATGCTCCCGCCGGCTTCGCAAACGGCGTCGTACTAGATATCGGCCCGGCGAACCGGGCCTCCCGCCCCGCGATTGGCCACGCAGGTATCGCCGTACCCAACGACGGCCACACGTATCGACTCGCGGCGACGATTGCGTGGATCGACCCAGCGGAAACCACGCTTCAAAATAGTCTGCAGCTCGTTGTGTGCCGCACGTTAGCTGGGAAAGACACAGAGCAGACGTACAAATCCAAATACACCAATGTGATCAAGGCGATCATACCGGCTGTGCCGGCTGGGGCCGCTTTGCGCTTCCTCGTGGAGGGCGTGCGGTTGACAAAGAAACCGCAATGGTTTTCGCTGGTGTACACCTTGACACGGAATCCGTGAGATGGAGGGTTTCTCGGGAACCAGCGGGCATCAATGACTTGACGCTGCACTCGAGGGGGTTTGGCTGGGAGTTTGGTGAAGACAGCAAGTCAGATTGGTACATGGAATGAACACAGTATTTTCACCTTCTCCAAACAATGGTCTCCAATGAATAGCCCACCCAGTTGCTGCATTTCTTGTGTATCACTGTGCAGAAGCTGAGTTCAAACAACGTCGGAAGTAGTAAGAAGGGTGAAGTGAGGCTGCGGGCGGATCACATGCATTTCGGCTCCACTTTTAACTTTTGAGCTTACTCATCACCATCCGGAACTTCTTCACCTCCACCATCCACAACCACATCCTCCACGCAACGTCACCACACACCAACCAACCACCCACCTCCCCTCCCAAACCCGCAAAAGCCACATCAAAAATGTCCCGCGAACAATACACCCCACCCACCCTCCAAGACCGCAACGCCGGCCCCTCCTCCTCCTCCCAACAATCGCAAACCCAACAAACCACCAGCCAACCATACACAGGCGGCGGCTTCAACCTGACAGCCGCCTCGCTCGACGCTTTGGGCGACGACTCGCGCCCCATCCACTACCTGTGCGGCGACTGCGATGCGCGCGTGACGCTGAAGAAGGGGGATGCGATTCGGTGCAAGGAGTGTGGGTATCGCGTGCTGTATAAGGAGAGGACGAATCGGTGAGTTTTCCTCTTTTTCGCTTTCTTTGTGCCTTGAGGAGAGCGAGGGGTGGACGTGTGTGCTGATGATGTTTGGGATAGGATGATTCAGTTTCAGGCGAGGTAGAGGGGGAAACGGAGAGGCGGGATATGTGGTCACTTTTGAAGCGAAGGGCTTTTCGCGGAGGGTGAATAGAAGATGACGAGCGGGACGAGACATGATACCCAGATATCCCAGAGCAGCGCTTCGCTGTTGCGCTTGCGAGGAACCTAGACGCAACAGAGTCGGATTGACAGGGAAGCAGAGGAGAACGGGATGCAGAAGAGAGGCTGCGAGATGAGCAAGGAAGCATTCGGCAGCTATTGCTCCTCATTATGAACCCGCACGCTCGCGGAGAGGAAAAGAAACACTCTGACCCTCAGCATCATTCATCTGTGTCCATTCTCAATCGCTCGCTCGCTCCATGCACCATCAAATGCCGATAATGCAAAAGAAAATGCAACCTCACTCGCATGCCTTTCCTTTCCTTGCCTTTCCTTCCTCGGTCCTCCTCACTCTTCTGTTCTCTCCCCTTTCCTTCTCACTCACCTAATTGCCCCGAAAAGCATCAAACCGCTTGTAAGTATACCCAATAAACGGCAAAGAAAGCGTACTCTCCTCGCCGCCCGCGCCCGTCGCCTGCGCCGCCTCCGTCTGCGCGCGCAGCTGCGCCGAGTTGTCCACCTGCGGAATCTCGTCGATGGGGAAGTACTGCGTGTCGACGTTGGACTGCAACTTGGGCTCAAAGGGCGCGCGGATCTTGCGCAGGCTGTCCCACTGCACGCCGTGGAAGAAGGGGTGTGCTTTGAGCTCCGCCGCGCCGTGGATGCGGCCGAGGCGGTTTTGGGAGTCGCAGATTAGGCTGGGGGATGTTAGTTAGTGGATGGGGATGTGGAGATTGGGGAGGGGTGGGCGTACCTTCGGACAAAGTGCTCTGCTTCGGCGCCCAGTTGTTGATCTGGAGGGAAGTTGAGATACCGAGGCCAGTCGACAATCTTGCGATAAGTGTCGTGCGGCTCTTCAGCGCAGAAAGGAGGCCAGCCGATGAGACACTCAAACATAATCGTACCCACGCTCCACCAATCACAGCCAAAGTCGTAGCCCTTGCCGCTGAAGATCTCGGGAGCAATGTAATCCGGCGTACCGACGGTGGAGTAAGCCAGCTGACGCCGGGACTTGCGCCAGGTGTTGATCTGGTTGCGGTTGGAGACGGTGAGTTGAATTTGGTCGATGGAGACGGAGTTGCGATTTTGCGTCATGGATTTGGGCCGCGTCTGGGACATGAGTTGTTGGTAGTAGGAGGCGGAGTGTTCTTTGGAGAAGCCCGTCGACAGCCCGAAGTCAGTGAGTTTAATGTGTCCTCCGCGGTCGAGCAGGATGTTGTCGGGTTTGATGTCTCTGCAAAGGAGTGAGGTTAGTAAAGATGTTTAGTTGCAACGGAGTATTGTCTTAACCCACCGATGAATGAACCCGAGCTTGTGCACAGCTTCAATGGCCAGCGTAATCTCCGCCATGTAGAATCTCGTGATATCCTCAGAGAAGATCTCATACTTGATGAGCATGGTCATCAAGTCGCCGCCGGGCAGAAACTCCATCAACATGTACAAGAAGGTCGAGTCCTGGAAGGAGGTGTGCAATTTGACCAGCCATGGACTGTCGGCGTTGGCGAGAATGTCACGCTCGGCGCGCACATGGGCGAGCTGATCCTTCTTGTGCTGCAAGGAGGGAAAAGAGGTAAGCAACAATGGTTGAAGGGGGGTCGTATAACCCAAACTCACCATCTCGGCCTTGATCAAGGACTTCAACGCGTAGATCCTGCCATCATGTCTCCTCTGAACCAGCCTGACTTCTCCAAACGCACCCTTCCCGATGATCTTCAGGGTGTTGTAGTTTTGCGGCCGCTCACTCGTACGTAGGAAGCGGAGGAAGTTGGCCTCTGACTTGCGCATGTTGTTCTTCCTCGATTCTTTGCGGGAATCGGAGATTTCCTTGCTCAGGAGGGTGCTTTCGAGATCCTTGGCTCTGGAAGGGAAGTCAGCCTTGTGAAATACATGAGGGGAATCAAGGATGTCTTCCACCCACCTCTCATTCCTCGCCCTCGCGCGCTCCACATTCTCCTTGAAAAACTCCTGCGTGAGCATCTTCTGCAACTTGACCCTCTCCGTAATGGCCGTGGAGTACTTCTCCGGATTCTTCACCGGCGGCTCATCATCGTAGATGCTCGGACCTTGGGGGTGAGGCGGGGTATTGGAGGTGGTATTCAAATAGCTCCCATACTGTGCTTGGCCCGCAGTCCGCGCCCTCGAAGCAGTACCGGGGGAGGGCTGTCTGCCATATGGACTTGCCGACCTCGGGCTATTCCCACCCAGATTCTGATGCTGGAACTGATGTGCCAACCCATTCGTAGCATCACTGAAACCACCAGGTGAAGTACGAAAGCTCGTAGCCCCAGGCTGGGGCGAAGGCAGACCATGGCTGGCGTAACCCTGCTGCTGCTGCTGCTGGTAGGGATTGGGGTTGTTGTAGAAGTAGCCCTGATTCGTGATGCCACTGGTCGTCTGCTGTGTGCCCCACACCTCTTGCTGGCCGTTGCTGTTGGGGAAGGGTTGGGGGAAGGTGGAGGGGGTGGTGGGAAAGGCGCGGCCGGCTTCCGCCCCGAAGGCGCTGGGCGAGTTGTTGAAGCCGAAGTTGAGGTGTAGGCGGTTGGGGTTGCGGTTGTCGGGGGCTTGTTGGCCTTGTTGTTGGCCTTGTTGCTGATTTGGGTATGCCATGATGGATGGCGGTGTGAGGGTGGAAGAGGTCTGGGGAAGGGGGTTAGATGGGGGGAGTTGGATGTTAGTGAGGAGGACGCAAGAGACTCACGAGGTGAAGTGAGTCCAGTCAGGTGATTCAACACTGCCCTCCTCTCAACAAAGCAGAAGAAGCGGATGTGATGAGTCCAGGGGAGCAGTAGAGCAAAGTGAAGCTCGAGGCAAAGGATAAGCAGCAGAAGGCGGTGACAACCAGAGCGTTGCAGCCGCCTCAACCCTTGCGTGTGTTTGCCTTGGAGAGCTCACTCCATTGACTGCTGTCGTTCGGGTGTACAGTTCTGCATTCACCGACGCGTCGAGTGCGTCATCTGCTTGCAGGGAATGGAGTGTCGATGGGGATGGATGCAAGCAGCAACACCAAAAGACGTGGGCGGATGGGCAAGGGTCCGTGGGAATGTCTCAGATGCTCGTCCGTGTCCCCGATTCGATTAAGAATTCAAGGGTCACCCTTCACCTTCCCCTTCTCGGCAGCCGGCAAGGCTAACTGTACAGTCATCACATCACCTCAAGAGGTCAAGTGAACTTCATTAAGGTACAAACAGTATGCGGCATAGAAGACTCAATATGGCCATGCATAAATTCCAAATCTATCCATCTCGTGCCCCTGGCATCCAATCATCAATCTAGGTATCCAAGTCCAACTCAGATACTGTATCCCCATCGATAGATGCATGCAAATCAAACAAATGTAAACGCATCGCAATGCAACCCATACTCCAACCGACATCATCTCCAATCCTCTCCCAAACACCTCAAAATCCAAACCCCCTACCGCATCAACTGCTCCGCCCGCACCCTCTCCGCCCCAATCTCCTTCTGCAAGCGCCTCATCTGCTGAAACGCGCCATCGCGCTGCGTCTGCAGCTCCGCCACCTCCAACTGACTCTTATTCACCTTCGTCACCACATCCTGCATATCCTCTTCGGCCTCGCGCAGCAGCGCCTCCAGCTCGCGCACCTTGCGCTCCAGCATCTGCGTCTTGCTGCGCTCCAGCAGCGACGCTGCAGCCGAAGAAGCCGTGTCGGAGGCTTTGCGGCTCGTGCTGAGTTTGGGGGATTTGCCGCTTGCGAGCAAGGGGGAGGTGCCGGGGGTGAGGTGGCGGGAGGCGTTGGACAGGTTGCTTGGGTAGGGGCTGAGGCGGAGGCGTTGGAGAGATGGGGACGACGCTTCTTCCAATTTGCGCACTTCGGCTTCGTGCGTGCCGAGTGTCGTTTCGGAGTGCTGTTGTGCGGCGAGGACCGAGTCTTCCATGATTGTCAGGCGCTTTTGCATTTCGATGATCTTGCCGTTGGACTCGCGTTGCTCCAGCTCGCCACGCGCGACGGCCTCGGCCAGCCGTTTGCGGAGTTCGATGTTGGACTGCACCTGCCTCTCCAGCTGATCTGCTAGCTCGTCCATGCGTTGAGCGCAAGCGATGAGCTCATCGGAGCTTCCGTCTTGCACTGCTTCGGCACGTTGGCGGTACTCGGCCGCGACTTTGCGCGCTTGGTCGCGCTCAGTCTCGGCAGTCGAAATGCTCTGCTGTAAAGCCTCGTCCGCCGCGCCGTCTCCACCCTGTCCATTGCCGAAGAGTGTTTGTTGGCTCGAGCCGAGGATGTCGTGTTCCTGCAGGATGATGCGAAGACCTCTAGTCTCCAACTCCGCCCGGTCGAGATCCATCTTGATCCCTGACAGCCCTTTCTCATACTGCCATTTCTGCTCGAGAGCATCTTCTGTTCGCTTCCGTAGGGTGGCCACCTCCTCCTTCAACGTGGCCACTTCTCGATGATACGTTCCACCACGGCTGTTCGTCGACGACTCGGCCAAGTTCTTCGCCGTAGTCAGCTTCTTGATGGCCAATGCGTGGTCCTTTTGCTGCTTCTCCGCACGAAGAATCAGCAGCTTCAGCGCCTTGTGCAATGCGTCTCGCTGGTCCTCAATTTCCTTGACGCCCTCTGCAGTAACGATGGCCCCGGCACTAGATCCAGACCGTTCTCTCGAGCCACTCGCGTTCGTCAGAGACCTACTCAACGACCCTCCGCGCCGGCTTGGATTACGAGCAAGCGATCCAGATCTCGTCAAGCGGACAGGAGATGCGCCCTCCTCTTCCTCGGTAATGGGCCCGAACTTGGAAACCATCATCGATTTCAGCGAGGTCATCTCATCCTTCATCCGAGCATTCTCCGTCGCATGGCGTTCGAGTTCGCCTTTCGTCGCGGTGTACAGATCTTCAAAACTGGCCTTCGCCTGTCGCTCTTGATTGAGAAGTCTGCGTGTGTCTTCCACCGTCGTCTCCAGCTCATCGATTCGCTCTTCCCGATCCCCTCGTACATCCTCTTCATCCTGCTTGGACTGTACTTGTTCTTCGAGCTTGTGGACCATGATTTCAAGATCTCGCCGGCGACCAAGCTCGCTCTGTAGCCGTGAAGCCATCTCAATCTTGACCTGAGCCTTCTCCTGCTCCGCCTTTCGCAGCTTCTGCTCCAGCTGCTCGAACTTCGCCTCCTGGTCGGAGAGCGGAAAGCGACTTGCACTTGCGCCCGAGTCGGAGAAGTAGTCGCTACTCCTGCGTGTAGACTCCGAGCCGGTGCCACTGGGCGGGTCCACGCGCAGCCGGTCAATCTCATCCTCCAATTCCATTTCTCGCTTGATGGACTCGGCCAACTCCGTGCTCACTTGTGTCAACTCCTTCTCCAGCTCCCGCACATGGGCATTCGTTTCAGGAGTGCCGAATAGTAAAGGAGCGTCATCGCTGTCGAAGTAGTCGCGACGGTGATGGAGGTTGGCGCGCTGCACCTGGACCCCTGGGGGCGTCAGACGTGGCGCGGTAGCAGTATTGTCCATTGAGTTGGACCGGTGAACCGTGGGAGGATAGAGCGACGAATCGGACGGTGGAGAGTCCCCATTATGCTTCTTCCAGCTGAAGAAGTTGCCCAGCCTGCCGCCCGGCGACTTTGGCCGGAAGGCAATGGGCGAATCCAGCGAGCTGATCGACTCATCGGTGAGGGTCCGTTTAACACCATCTTGCCGGAGGCTCGGTGCCTCCGAGATGCCCTTCATTGGAGATGTGCTGCGACCTCTTTGCGCCGGCGTGTCCCCAGACGCTGAGTCTAAGCTTGAGGATTGAGGCGCATTAGATATGGAGCGGTGGTGGGAGTATCTTGCGTGTATGGGGATGGCGGAGCGGGTGTAATCGCCGTGTGTAGGGGAGGGAGGGACGGTGTCGGAGTATTGTGAGCCGAGGGAAACGTTGCGATTGTGTGGGAGAGAGGTAGGAGGGATGATGGATCTGTGGCGCTTGTTAGTTGGGGCCTTCATGGAATTGTGCCGGAGGAATATCTTACCGTTCCGGTTGTGACCTATTGAAACTTCGTGCCTGCAGCGAAGACGTTCGCACAAGTCTGTGGCTGACCGTCCTTTGTGGACTGGGATGACGTTGTGGTAGCGGGCCTGGCTGCGGTAGGCGACTCGGGGATGCTCTCTCGGCAACGGAGGTGGAGGCCGCTCGGACGGGCGATGACAGGGACGTCCGTTTCCCACTGGTGGGAGAAGCAACGGGGATGCTGGAGGTGCGGCGATGAGAGAGCGAGGGGACATTCACATGCGCCAGCGAAGGTTGTTGTCGACGATGCTGCAGGGCTCCCGAAGTGTTGCGGGAATGTGTGGTTGGCGGCGGGGGAAAGGCGGCAGAAGCCTCACTCAAGGAGGAGGAGGCGGAGTGGGAGTAGGTGTAGTAGTCGACGTCGGCGAGGGAGGAGCTCATGGAGTGTGAAGAAGCCATGGTCACCGGGGACCAGTGGCAGAGCCGGATAGGACAATGCGCTGTCGAGGCTGGCCGTTATGGGGGGGTGGAGGGCTAATCGCAGCGGGATGCCGCGATCCGGACGGGCGAATCAAGGCACTAGCCCAGCAGCAACAGATGAAGATGCAACGATGTTCAACGTCCGCGGCCGCCGAGAGATAGAGTGGAGTGGGCCCTCGCACCCAATGGAGGTCGGAGCAGGGGAGGAGATCCCAGAATAGCGCGGGTGATGGCAGGTGGTGTGTCGCACAAAGAAGGCAGTTGCGCGGAGGGGGGAGATGAGGGAGGGCGGTGATGGCAGAGCGGCGCAAGTGTTTGTGCAAATTATTGGCGGCTCCGTTGTGATGATGAGAGGGATGGGGAGCAGAGACCGCTGGATTAGCGGAGGGACGTGCGTGTCGTCTGGTGGGGGCGCTGGCGCGAACGGTCGGTGTTTGGTTGCTGCGGTGAGATTGGGCGAAGCGAGGGAGGTTGGAATGATCATCTTCTGCTCGAGGCCACGGATGGCCGATATGCTGATGTTCCATGGTCTGTCATTGTCATTGCCATCGTCTCATTATCAGTCCTTCTCTTTCTGCCCCCATCTGCTTGTCTGGAGCCGCCGACTTCAGTGCATTTCCCATTCTTCAAAAGGGGAGGGCTTGGCACAATAAGCTTTCGTTCCTGCTTTAGCGCCATGCCGCACCTCGAACCGACGGCCAATGAGCGGAGAAAGGGGTCTTCACACCCTCCAGGCGTTTTAGACTCCGACCGACATTTCACCATCATCAACGGTCGTGCAAAAGACACCAGCACACCCGTGTCTGATACACATGCCACGATCTGCTCAATTTCAGATCTCCGACGATCAGCGTGATCGGGCCTCGGAACACGACGCATGTGCAACAGCGCGCCATTCGCTACTGCTCAGATTGCATCCAACTGTCACGCATCTTGCAGCATCCCGAAGAGGCATCGAGCGGCCGTTGAAGTGAGAGTGCCAAGTATGTGCCTTGATCATCCACTACACCGCTACAGAACTGTATCTCATTGCGCAACGGCTGCTTGTCTTGTCCGTTGGTTTCAGTGTCCTACATTCCATTTTATTTTATGCACGCCCAACCGTCCGTCATCAGCGATGCACTATTCCTTGCCGTCCAAGTCGGCGTAGAACTTGTACCCAAAGCTGGCCGACGGGTCGTTGAAGCGCAGCTTCTTGTCGATCCCGTCAATCTTCTTGACGTCCTCGGGGTCCAGCTTGAAGTCTCCCGCCAAGTTGTCCTTGATGCGCTTCTCCGTCTTGGACTTGGGCAGGACGGTGCGACTGGGAGATTAGACCGTCAGTTTACGCATGCTCACCATCAATCAGTCACAACAGACAGAACTCACCCATGTGCGATGCCCCAAGCCAATGCGACTTGTGCTCCCGACTTGCCGTACTTCTTACCAATCTCCACCAGCGTCGGGTCTTCCATCAGCTGGCCCATCTTCTGGCCCTTGTCGTAGATGGCGTTGGCGTTGCCAAACGGCGAGTACTGCATGATGAGGATGTTGTTCTTCTTGTGCCACTCCGCGAAGCCGGGCTGCTGGAGCCATGGGTGCAGTTCTGAGTAATAATCAGTACGGACGTAAAGTACCTGCTACTGGGTGGTGTGGCCATACCAATTTGATGTGCTGCCGGGGGCTGTGTAGATACATCCATTAGCGCTTATCCATCTATCACCATCTCCCAGACATCACTCACCGTATCGACAGACTTGACCAGTCTCTCCATCTCTGCCTGCGAGAAGTTGCTGACACCCACAGCCTTCGTCTTGCCCTTCTTCTGGCACTCCAACATCGCCTTGTACCTACAGCAACAGTCAGCCCTTGCCCCACCGCCAGCCACTCCCAATCAACGTACGTATCAACAAAGTCTGTATCGCCCGGAATCGGGTTCCCCTCCTTATCCTTGGGGAACTTCTCATCCCCATCTTTGAACGCCGAAGGCCAATGCATGAGGTACAGATCAACGTATTCCACGCCCAGATTGCTCAGCGACTCGTCGAGCGACGACTCCACCGACTTGGGGTGATGCTTGTGGTTCCACAGCTTGGTCGTGATGAAGATCTGGTCGCGTGGGACGCCGGCTTTGCGGATTCCCGCGCCCACCGCTGGCTCCGTGCCGTAGATGTTGGCCGTATCGATGTGGCGGTAGCCTGCTTTGAGCGCGATCGCCACTGCGTCTTCTTGCGCGTCTTTGTCTTGCCATGTGCCGAAGCCTGGGGGTGTGCCGCTGGTTAGTAGGGTCTGCTGTGTTACGTGAGGGGAGGCCAATGCTTACCGAGGGCGGGCATGCTGGCCCCGGTGTTCATCTTGTGCATGGTGGAAGCCATTCTGATGGGATTCTGGATTCTTGCTTGTGAGGAGAGCTGTTGGGAGACTTGAGAGAGTCGGGAGATGGAGGAAGTAAGTGCGCGATGCGACATGGGAGATTGTCTTTAAAGAGGTCAATGGAATGGGGAAAGAACGAAAAGAATCGAAATGGCAGAGAAGCAAGAGCAACCACGTCACTGCTTGTTTCGCTCAATGATGGCGGGTTACCTCATTCGACGTTGCCGTCTGGTCATTGATGGTGGCGACTTCCACGGCGGTGACGTATTGGCGTGTCAGGCACGCGGGCGATCGCGAACCGCATTGCTTGATCGGCGTGATCGAATGGGGAAGTTTCGTGCGACGATTATATTACAAGTAGAGCCTCACTATCATGATCATTGGCTTCAAATTGGCCATGAGAAACTATGTTCCTCCTCAACCCTTCTTGAACTGGGCGCTGGTATGGTATGCGAGCGCCTCAATGTCGGTCACGTGACCCCAAAAGTTCGCCGCTTAAAATCTACAGAAGTGCGAGCGCGATGGATGATGGAACCATTGAAGCATTCGAAGCTTGAACAAACACGGTGGGCATATGGACGAACAAAATAGCTATCAGGGAACTCCGTTGAAAAGCTTTTGCATTTTGGAATACCGTCATACGGATGCGTATCTCGCCCTTTCACTCTCAGCAGTCTCCCGATGTCAATGCATGGTGAATCGATCAACTATGCAACTTAAAGAGCAAGAAGCCCAACAATGCCGACGACACCAGCAAGCCCGGCGCCAATGACACCAGTAGGCGCCGCGCCACCAGCAGAGGAAGAACTGCTAGCAGCAGACGCCGAAGACGAAGCAGACGACGACGCAGACGAGGCCGCAGAGCCGGTGAGGGTGGTTTGCGTCGTCATGACGCTCGTGCCCTCGGTCTTGGTGTGGTGCTTGCCGGACGAGGTGCTGCTGCCGGTCACGGTGCTGTTGACGACCGTCGCGGTGCCGTTGCCGGGCACGAGCAGCGTCTGGATTTGCGAGGGCAGCTTCGTGAACCAGCCGGGCGTGTGGCCGGCCTTGAACTCCGAGGCGACGTGCGTGTAGAAGCCTGCGACGCCGGCGGTCTTGATGTAGGCGTCGGCGGAGGAGGGCAGGATGGTAGCGATGATGGCGAGGCTGCGAGGGAATGTGTTAGGGAATGTTGTGTCTTCGTTGCGATAATACGACGTCTACTTACTCGCTAGCGGGGATGGAGGGGGTCTGCGCAGACACGGCGGCCACGAGGGCAGAGATGGCGAGAAGCTTGAACTGCATGATGAAGGACGGTGTCGACGAGTCAATGCCGCTGAAGGAAGGTAGACGAAGTGAAGTGGTGCGAAGTTGGAGAACGAGCGAGCGGATTGAATGGGGGAAGGAGGGAGGGAAAGCAAGGGGGACGACGTGGGCGGGCGGGCGAGTTAAATATACCGCAAGAGCGATGCAGTAGCTGCCTGCGAGCCTGCCTATTCGCAACTTTTTTAGCTTGGCCTTTCCCTGCAGATCGCTGGATCAGGGGCCCAAGTACGAGGCGGCGTAAAAGCAGTCGCTCTAGGGAGCAGAAGGGCCCAGTCTAGACAACCCCGAGGCGCCAAGGCGCGTGGTAGCTTCGCAAGCTTCGTGTTTCCGGGGTAGCAACACGCGTTGCCGCCATCCCGATGTCCAATCGCCGTCGGCCAAGCGTAGACCCCGCGCCCAACGCGGCATGGCGCGGGAGACGTAATCCCTCCCATCGAGGCTGAGGGAGGCGCTACCCGCGTCGTGTGCTTGCTCCCCTTGCTGCGACCACGGAGTCGCTTGCCAACCTACCAAGCGTTTAGGCGAATGGGCAACGTCGACGGTCGAGGAACGCGACTTCAAGGTTTAGCTAATCAACAATCGCACGGCTTGAGCGGCATGCTTCGTACTGCAAGCACAGAGCGCAAGGGGCGTCTCGCCGAAAGTACTTCGGTAGAGTTCTTATGCGGTGTTCCATGTGGGTGGCGCACATCACACCACCCCAAATACTTGAGTACTGTGATTCGACGCGGTGCAAATTGCCTAATTCACCGGAAGAACACCATCGCCGTGCGGATCATCGTACATTCCACGCACACGCGACATGCGCACGCCGCGTGATGAGGTGTGCAATTACTGCAAACAGTCACTATCCATCACCGCACCTTGCGCAGCCCGCGCTCCTGTCCAACATTCGCCACATCCCTCACCAAACTCCTGCCAGTCGCGCGCGCGGGAGCCGCGCAACCCCCCATCCGCACACTTCGGACAATCTTCACCGTATTGCCGAAAGCAACCGCGATTGATTGGTCGTCGAGCGGGACCGCGGGCCCGGCATTCGTCACGTACAAGGCTGTGCTGTCGGTGTTGAGGAGCCCGGTGTTGCTGTCGTTGGCTTCGGGGAGCACGGAGATGCTTTCCAGCTCGCCGTTTGCTGATAGTCGATAGCCTTGCCATGCATCACTGTCCTCATCGTCATCGTCCTTCCCGCCATCTGCGGCCACGCTGGAACGCGTATGTTGCCGGCGCCTTAGTCGCGAGGACCCACCAGCCCTTCTCTGTCCCTCATGAGGAGAAGCAGGTTTGCGCAGACCAAGGATAGCTTGCGATTTTACCGCGCTCCAAGCTCCTGGCTTCGACAGACGGTGACTGGTCTGCGTTGCGTCGTCGAAGGAAGTGCACTGCGAGGTACTTTTAGTGGCACAGATGACTCCGTCGGCGTCATCTCTGGGCCAGAGAGCCGTGGTTGCGCACTCGTCTTCGCTCGCCGGCTCCCCTATTAACATCGCAGAGCGAAATGCCAGCATCCCGCATCTTGGACACGTAACAGCCGTGCCTAATGTAACATGAAGAATAGGTGGATCGTCCTCGTTGACGTCTACGACGCACAGAGTGGCGATCGATTGTCCATCTAGAATCATCACTCGCCGCGCTGCCGTCACAAGCAAGACGTCGGAGCCTAGATCCGAGTAGTGCTGGATGTGCACCGCTCCCAGTAGTCGTCCCATGAACTTTTGCGCTGGCAGATCGTGCTGGCTCCTTCTCTTCCATGCTCCGTCGTGCCAGGCGGACAATATAAGTTGTGCCTCGTCCGTAACAACTACCAGTCTCGGCTCCTTGCCATTTGATCCTGGAATCGTTTTTGCTCCGACCAGCGGAGTATCGGCAAGACTGACCGCCGCATTCGCCTGCCCACTCTCGATGTTGAGCATTCGCAGCCGTCCCCCAGTAGTCAGGACGACAAAGTACAGATTACTGCCACCCTTCTTAGGCAGTCTGATGAATTCGAAGAGGAGCGTCTCGGTATCGTCCGGATATGACAGAGCATCAGACAACAGCGAGCCCGCTCCCACGCTGTACACCATGATGCGATCGTCGGCGCAATGTAACGCCGCCCATTCGCCATTCTCCTCCAGCGTGATCTGATGAATTGGCCAGTGGGTGCGGGAAAGCGCACCGCCTGCCAGTCTGTGCGATTGGTGGGACCGATGTACTCGATCGTAGAGTGAAACAACAACAGACCGATCGAGGCCGACAGTGATTATATGGCCCTTTTCGGTTCCGTATAGTTTCACAATATCCAGTTTGTGGGGCAAAGCCACAGTTGTGGCGCTCACAGCTTCTTGCTCGTCCTCATCGCCTCTATGCTGTTCGTCTTCATGCTCCGTGTAGAGGAGAAAATTCATCAGGACTGCAACAAAAGCCACTGCAAAGACCACCGCAGTCGCCACCGGATAGAAGTGGTGGATGGCAAAGCTGCGCAGTGCTGTCGTCCACTCTTGATCCTCCACGCCAGTCCTATCCGCTCCAGCCAGCACAACAATCAGCGGCGCAAAGATTCGGATGACGAAGCTGTCGGCTCCTGGCCTCGCCAGTTTCATCACTTCCTTGGCGGTGTCAAAGTCTTGCATGCGCATCCACTGTTCGGGAGTCATGGTTGCGTTGATGGGAAGGGGCGCAAAGGTGTCGAACTCATTGAGCTGCGGCGGACCGTTTTTGACCAGACGAAGTAGATGGCGAAGGCTTGTGGCCTGCTCCTTTTGCTCGAAGAAGTGGTAGTTCAGCGAGAGGATGAAAGTCGTTGTAACCGCAGTGCCAGCCATGCGAGTGCTGAACGGTAGTCGACCATGCACCAGCGCATCGAACCACGTCCGGTTAGGAATGGGAGAGGGCTTCCGCTTTGGTTTCGCTTGGTTTGCGCGCGCCAGCGCGTCTTGGAGCTCGAAACGGCGGATATCGACCATGAGGACGGCAACGAAGAAGGTCAAGAGGAAGAAGGCATCGAAGAGAGTGGCGATGCAGGCGAAAGCGCAGAAGGCTGCAACGCCGGGAGAAACGAGTCTGCCGAGGAGTGACAAGATGACGAGGTTCTGCGCGACAGTGGCGAGAGAGACGGGTCCAACATCGCCCAAAGCGTTGGCGATGCGCAGCTCTGTCGCCATGGTCGCGGGGTAGGCGAGAACTGCGTTGATGATACGGAACAAATTTTCCAGCCCAATCACCAAGACCACGAAAGGATATGCGTTTTGCGGAATCATGGACAGGTTGATCTTCAGCATGCTGCAAATTGTGAAGCTAGCCAGGATGGAGCAGGTCATCTGCGTAATGACCGTAACGACCAGCCCGAAGCGGCTGTGGAAAGCTTTCAACCTGCGCAGACTCATGAGCACGTAGAGGGCCATGAGGCTGTATGCAAAGGTGAGAAGGATGTTTTCCTGCAAGCTGAGCGGCGTGAAGCTGAATTCGTACACCTTGCTGCGGTCAACATAGCCGTCGTGAGGAAACAGTGTACAGCCATTGCATGCATCGGCCGTTAACGTGCTCATGCGATCTGTCCATTGATTGCCAACATCACCCTCCACCTTGTTGATGAGGGTGATGACCAGTGCATCTGCGGCGGTGAGTCGGCGACGCTCGAACTTTTTGCCTGCAAAGACCGAAGCCGGGCGTAGGGTGACGTTGAGGGAGGACGATGTTGTGCTTGCCTGTCGATTAATGGTTCCCAGGATATCAATGTCGTTGTCAATCATTTGCCGCGAGTTATTCCAGTACATAAGTGGCGAATGATAGCCCCACGACAAAGCACTTGTCCTGAGGGAGGGGAAGATGGAAGTCCACGAGTCGCTTCCAATGAGCGATTGCTGGATGTCGAGGGCACCATGGAGGACTTCCTTCTCCAAGGCTCTCATGTAACTCCCGTGGATCCACACCTGCCGCATCTCAACATCCGCCGGCTCGGTGTATTCGTCGTGAGGTTTGGCAGTGGTCCACACGTGGTGAGGGTAAGAAGCTAGACCGGCAGTTGGGTTTTCAGCCAGGAGAATGGTCGGATATGTAAAGGCCATTGCGATCGCCACGGTGACCAGCATGGCGATGAGCCAGTGTTCTGCCGTGGTTTTGCCATGTCGATAAAAAGCGCGGCGTAGCGGGTGGTTTGCGGAGAGACGAGGAGGCTGTGTAGTGCCTCGGATGGGATATAACAGATACCAGAGCATGGTAGGAGGGCTTTTAGCCGGCCAGCATATTTTTGAAGCGCCTTACACCAGTCGATACTGGTCTCGTCTCGTTGAATCAGGTAAAGCAGGTGTCGAACCGTTGAACGTCATCAGTCGCCAAAAGGCAAGCGGTCACATCAGAAATGAAGAACTCGGTGATGAAAAACTCAAACAAAAGGGCAGAAGAGAAGAGAAGAGTATTGTACAGGAGTGTTGAAAGTGAGATGAGACATGGTTCGATGTCGACGAGATGGATGCCTGAAGTGTGGCCTTGCGAGCGTTGGCGTCGACTACGGCGGGCGATAACGTCGCATGCGACATTTCGTCACAAGCAACCTCCCACCTTAATCAGCTCTCCGTCTCCAGCACCAGCCATTGTGCAGTGCATTCTCTCGCCCTTGCTGCCGTCGCTCCACCATCATGTCTCTCGACCCGCCCGCCTACGTCCTCTCCTTGCAGAACAACATCCGCGCCCGACCGATCAGCTGGGAAGGAGCGGTACGAGCAAAGACCATCAGCGACGCCGATCTGAAGAAGATCAAGGCAATAGACAAGGTGCGCAAAGAACAGCGCAAGCAGACCATCGAGGAGGATGTCGACACCTACACCACCCTCCTGCTTGGCGATGGCGAGAAGAAGAGCATCTTCGAGAGCGCCGCCAAGCGCACCGACATTGTGCAGTATATGCTCGTCCTGACGGGTGATCTCATCGAAGGTATGTCGACACGGTGCTCGGCAATATCGCTCAGACGGCACTAACACACATGCATAGATATTCCCTCGCTCACTCAATCGCTGGTCAAACACCCCCACCCGTACAAACCTCTGTTACCGCTGCTCAAGCAGTCCAACAATGCCGAAGACCCCATTCCCCTCTTGACCTCCTCCGTCCTCTCTTCCCTGCTCTCCCGTGCCCTCATCGCGCAACCCAAGTCCACCCCCGAAATCGACGAGGCCCTTCCGAAGCTCTACTCCTACATCGCGCTGTTGTCCAATACCTCAGACACAAACCTGCAGGACATTGGCGTACAAGAGTACAGCGCGCTCCTCCGGACGTCCAAGTCTCGTCTGCAATTTTGGGAGCAGCGGAAGGAGACCCTCGGCCCGCTGATCGATGTGTTGCGGAACGCTGCGGGTGGCAGGGACTCGGACAGCACATTGCATAACGGCAGCACCGCTGGTGGCTCGAGTATACGGAGCACCGCCGATGCCAGCATGGCCGCCAACATGAAGGTTGGAGGGGGAGTCGGCCTGCAGCTTCTCTACCACGTTCTCGTGGTCATCTGGCAGCTGTCGTTTGAGGGCAAGGTGATTGGCAAGGGTTTGAACGACGAGCACGATATTGTTCCCCTCTACACCCAGCTCCTACGGATCTCTCCGAAAGAGAAGACGACACGAGTGCTTCTCGGCACGCTCAACAACCTCCTTTCATACGACCAAAGTACATTGATGCCGGCTGCCCTACCTGCCAAGCTCCCCGCAGTCCTCGCCAACTTGAAGACTCGACATCTGACCGACCCGGACCTTCTCGAAGATCTGGACAGCATTACCACCTTGATGAAAGACTACACCTCATCCCAAACCACATTCTCTGAATACTCGGCGGAAGTTAATAGTGGGCATCTACGCTGGTCTCCGCCGCACAAGAACGCGGACTTCTGGCGTGAGAATGCGCGGCAGATCATCGAAGAGGAAAAGGGTGAGCTGTGCAAGAAGTTGGCCGAAATCCTTAGCAAGGATTGGCAGAACGACAAGCAAGTTCTCGCAATTGGCTGCAACGATGTCGCTTTCCTGGTCAAGGAGTGTCCAGAGAAGAGACAGCAGTTGGATAGGATGGGGCTGAAGGCGAGGGTGATGGTGTTGATGCAAGATGAGAACGAGAGCGTCCGGTGGGAGTCTCTGCGGGCGGTGGGAGAGTGGCTACGGTACAGTGTTGACCAGCAACAACAATAAGCGTGATCACAAGCTGCTGCAAGCGCAGGGACGAGGGATTGGTACTGTTGCATAGAGTGTACAATGATTGTCGTCGCCATGACGAGATGCCTGATCGACATGCATTTTTCCCCCGCAAGGCATTCAAGGGTGGTGCACAGCCACACAGCCCGACGCCACAGCATCATTGACGCCACATCTGGCTGCCGTCCAGACATCACATCTCGGCGCCTTCAGATCAAGCATGAGTCTCTTGTTCGAGATACAGAACTACAGCCGGCAGCATGGTAATACGATTACCTCTGTCTACTCGTTCAGGACTCACATCGATTCCGACAGTCACTGTGGGCGCGTACGAGGCCTCCAATGTTGCAATCAACATCGGACCCTTGATTACAACTACTACACCTGCAGCTCCCAAAAACAGGTTTACAATCTCTAGACCTCCCTGCACCATGCCGATCACTGTGGCGAAGCAGCACCCCAGACCCGCCATCGCCCTCCTCTGATAGGTGTGCGCCACACCCCCGACCATGTGTTTCTCCGGAAGCACGACACACCGTGGCGCTGTCGAGCACGCCTCACTCGCTGCTGCCACGATCAAGCTTCATCCGGCCTTTCATCCTGCATTAGCCCTCGATTGCTTGGTCGGAAAGCCACTCAATGCTCGTGGAGTATCCCGTCTGACGGCTATTGGGGTCTCGCTCGCATGGGTTGGTAGTCCATCTTGACTTGCTACCGCGGGTAGCATCCTTGCAAGCACGTAGGGTAATGAGGGGTTCTTGTCAATGCCTGTCTGGTATGCTGTTCGGCATTTGCACTGCCCGTCTGTAAGATTGTCTCCATGGTTTGCTCTTAACGATGTATTTCCTCTTGTCCCTGTCTTCTTCTTCATCCATTCATCTACGTTAACTCTTACTTCTGACGAGCGTCTCATCTTGCGCTGCACGATCATATTGCAGTCGCTACTCGGACTCAACTCCAACTGGTCATCGATACAACATGGTCTATTTCTGCAGCGTCCGCCATGTGGCGCTTGCGACAATGCTGGTCGCAACCGCTAGAGGCCAGCCTGGAAGCCGTCGCGATGCCTCTCCAGTACCAGCAGTCTCATCGACACCGACCCCCGCATCAAGTGCATCGCTGTCCTCCAGCTCGACAACCGCTGCTCCCGCCGGCTACACCACAGCAGTCGTGCCAATCTACCTCTTCGACATTGCAGAGTCGTTACTCAGCCAATATTTTCCTTCGACCATCCCTGCCGATCTGGCCGCCGTAAAGTGGCCTTCAACCGTCGTTCTCGGCACCGCCACATACGCCTTGCACGAGAAATCGACATCAACCAGCTCACACCAAACCGCTACCCCGACACAGTCATCTCATAGCCAGCAAAACTCTGATCAAAAGGGCAACGAAACACTGGCAATCGTTCTCGCCACCGTCATCGGCGCAATCGCCATTGCCATCATGGCCGTCATCTTCTGCTGTCTACGCCGAAGGAAGAAGCGAACTGGCACCATGTTCATGCGTCGCTCCTCGCCCTCCACTAGCACCAGGGGATCTCGAAGAGCAAACGTCTTTGGCGGCAACACGGAGTACATCCCCAATGGCAACATGGGCCACGCCGAGGAGCGCGACACGACTTTCTTGACTGGCGCTCACGTTTTACCCCCCAGTAGCCATGCTCACCACAATCGAGAGTTATCTGACGAAAGCCCCTTCTACACCCCGCAAGAACCACAAGCTTCGCATCGCGGCCGTCACGGTATCATGGACCAGACGGAGCTGCAGAACCAGCGATCGCCGTTACCGTCCAATCCTCAAGGAATCGGCGCAACACACCCCTCCGACGCTTTCGTGCCTTCTCAATCACGCAAACCCATGCCTCCACATCGACTGACAGACCTACACACCAATCCCTTTTCTTCCGCAGAGGATAGAGAAGCCAATGATGTCGTTTCCCCGATTTTGCCCTCTAAGAGTTCAGATCGCATGAACTCTCCGCTCGTCCATTATCCTTCTGTATCGGAGGTTAGTGAGTTTGACTTTGCGGGTAGAGATGGGGAGAGTGGTGCGTTTGGACGGGTTAATAGTGGTGCTTGGCGGTCTGGGAGGGAGAGGTTGGATGGGAGGCATGAGTTGGCATGATGCATGATATATGTTGTTTCGAATGTCATTGAACGTCTCTTCATGCTTTACAGCTTCGCGCGAGATTGGCCTTTCTATTTGCTGTCGGCAGTGTATGGTCTCGAAATAACGTCTAGATAATGACTAGATGACATGAATACAGTATTACAATCATCAAATCATGTTCCGTATGTCCTATGACCGTGAGTACCCGTGCGTGTGAGTCGAGAGGCTGTACCCTAAGGGTTGAGGTGAAAGGCTTGTCGCCTCAGGCAGAAATCGCGTCGCGTCTTCCCGAACTTCAACCCGTACCTTCGAGCTGCTCGAGACAACAACCAAAGTGCTTCGGATCATCCACCAGCATCTACACTATTGGACCACATGAGCAGTCTTGGAATTGAGTAGATCATACCATCCTACTTTACGACGCACATAACATGCGCGGGCGTCACCACCACCTCCAACCCTCGGCCGAATCACAATGGTACGTCTATCGTGCTCAACCTCTCCGCCTCACTTGTACGCCACTAACACCATGCAGAACTCCAAATCACTGCGTCGCTTGGCCGCCGATCATGCCGCCCTACACAGCCAACCTCTCCCGCCCAACTACCTCTTCCCCCTTAACGCCTCCACCTCAGACGACCTAACTCAGCTGGACATCCTCCTCGCCGGACCGACACACACCCCCTTCGCCGCAGGCGCATGGAAGCTGCACCTCACCATCCCTCCCGAGTACCCCCAAGCGCCGCCCACCGCGCACTTTCGCACCCCCATCTTCCATCCGAACGTTGATCCCCAGACCGGAGGCGTGTGCGTCGAGACGCTGAAGAGAGACTGGGATAGCAAGCTCACGCTGCGTGATGTGCTTGTTACTATCAGCTGTCTGCTCATTCAGCCGAATCCCGATAGTGCGCTCAATGCCGAGGCGGGAGCGCTGATTCAGGAGGATTATGCGGTTTTTGCGAGGCGGGCGGAGTTGATGACGAGTATACATGCTGTTGTGCCGAAGGTGTTGCAGGCTGCTGTTGCTGAGGCACAACGAAGAGGGCAGGAGGAGAATGCTGGGAATCAGCTAGGCGCTCCGGGCCGGCGAAGAGCAGTAGCAAGACAGCGAGGTGCAGCGTCACGGCGATCAGACGGCTCACCCAGCGGTGCGATCGCTAGGAGACGACAACAGGCTGGCCCGAGTCAGCCATTCATCTTGCAGACGCGCAACGATGATGTCTTTGGAGACGCGCTGCAAGAGGAAGACCGCATGGACACGACGGCAGATGAAGACAGTAGCATGATGGATGTGAACCAGGAAAACGACACGAATAAAATGCCTGCGCAACCTGCAACACCGCAAGCAACGACACCCAGAAGACAGAATGGAGTGGCCATGCCTCTACGGGAATTGATCATGGAGGATGTCACCACCGACAGTGAGGACGAAGACATGGAGCCCGAATACCCTCCAAGCCCGCGAAAGAGTCCAACGAAAAGTCCGGCCAAGCGAAAACACCAACCGACAAATGACACACAGCACGCCGAGAGCAGTCGAGATGCGATGCACCGCGCGCCCAACCTCACACCACCCAACAATCCCAACGCGCAGCCCCTAGCGGAAGATTCTCCCTTCGCCGCGGCTCTCAGCGTATCCCCGCGCAAAGCACAGAAACGGCCAACAACCCCCACATCCAACTGGACGACTGCGGCAGCCCCGCTCATCCCTCGTCTCAAAACCCCGCAAAGCCACGGTGGCATCTTCAAGACGATAGCGCCATCCTCCTCGGAGAAGCGGCGGCAGGAAGCGCGGCGGAAGGAGGAGTTGGACGCCAAGCTTTGGGAGTTGTGTGGGAGAGATATCTGCCGGTGGAACAGCGGTGACTTTGAGGGGGAGCCGTTTGGGATGAAGGCTGGGAGGTGGTGAGGTCAAATGTGCCGATGCGTGATTAAACCAATCAAGCGCCCGTTGTGCGATTGGCAATGTTCATCTGTGCCCCCACCTCGCCACGTGAACTGTGTGTACCCTACCCATGTGCTGACGCGCGAACAGTCAAGCTCTCGTGGCAGTGTGGCCTTTGTCAGGACTTCTTGCCTAATTAGGCAGGTAGCTGCGAATCAGGCTGTGAGCATCGTTTGGCTTGGCGGACATTTACTCAGCTCAATACCTGCAAGCTGTCACTACCAGTCATCGCTCATTCCAACTGAACCCGGGGTGTCTGTGTTTGAGGCCGCGACATGCGCATGCAACCTGCCCCGCCTACCGGAGCCTCGTTCCGGGCGGCATGGCGCTGTATCTTACCATCTATCGGAGCCTCGTTCCCGGGGAGCTGGTCCATGGTTGCACCGGAGCGTTCGTTCCAGGCTATCCCGGGTCAAGCTGCCGAAAACGTTCTGCTTTCAGTCCTCCATGCAGGCATGGCGAACCTAGTAAGCATGGAGAGCACCGGATCTGCACGGAAACCAGGATGTTGTGGAGGCAAGACACCACATCGCCGTCAGTCGGCGCTGGTCCGCGTCCTTTTCGCCGCTCATTAACAATTTGGCCGCCTCGTTTCGCCGCTCATTAACAATCCCGACGACGAAGCATACCGATTCGTAACCGTACCATGCAAGCTTGACGCACCTTGTAATCAATCAGGAGGTGTCGACGAGGGTGGCTCCTTGCCCACATAATAGCTGGAACACACTCGCTGCGCCGGCTCTGCTCCTCTTCTGGTGAGCATGCTCTGTATCTCCAGACACTCGTTAGTGTTGCACAATCGAACATGAGGACGGCACCGCGACACAATGGAAATCGAAAAGCCCCTCCCGCCATCGGATGAGACTGCTGACACTCGCACAACCACGGACGACATAAGCGGGTTGCCCGCAACGCCCTTGTGCGTAGCTACTGAACCCATCGTCTTCTTCTTTGTGCTAATACAGCTCTCCACGCAGCTCCCAATGTTCCACGCCGCGGGAGACTCCTCTCAAAGAACCCCAGAGCGATGTCTGGAGACAACCGCTCCCCGAGAGGGCGCACCAAGTGTTCGAGCAACTCACTGGAAGCCGGCTGGGTCCGTGGAGGATGCAAGATGAGAACACTGCCATTCCATGGCGACAAGTCTTCGTGCGTACTTCTCTCGTATGGGTGCGACCCATATCGCTGACCGAATTCGGCTCTGTAGTTCCGACTTGGGCCCTTGTCCGGGATTCTCGCTCTCTGCCTTGCTCTTGTCTGTGTACTCGCGTCGTTGAGCGTGTTGCTCGGCTCCAACCAGACCGAGGTAGCGGCCTGGCCGAACCCACCGTCGACGTACATTGCAATCTTCACCGCCCTTGGCAACACGTTAATGAGATATGCGGCGTTCCAGGGGGTGATAACTGCGTGGTGGAGGATGGCATTAAATGGGACAAGTCTACGGAATCTGCATTATCAATGGCGCCAGGGGTTAGTCTACCTTCCATCAACAGATGGCGGTACGCTGACATTCCTCCAGCACGAGCCTTCGTGGAGCCATCACAGCTGGCCGCGGCATAGGCTTGCTGGGCCTTGCTTGTCTCTGCTCGACACTTGTCATCATCGATGGACCCCTCCTTCAACGCTCCTCAACCGTCAGGAGTGTTGCGTTCACCATTGATGTCCCCTTGCGTAGGACGATGATGCCTCAGATTCCGACTAGTAAGTCGATTGGCTCGACATCAAGCAGAGATGAATGCTTCCAGTGCTTCGGCGGGCAACAGCGTTGCTACACCCAGCAGCTAATATAATACGCAGATTATACAGGTACTTGGTTTCCAGACCAAGGTGGATACCCCGGGCAATTTGACGACACCGCATTCAACGGCACCATTCCCACTCCCAATGGGCCTGTTAGCAATGGCATCTTTACGACATTCAACTTCGGGTTCAATGAGTATGTCAAGCTCTGGCAGCAAAACAGTGGACTCATGAACGTCGTCGAGGGCTGCCCAGAGGGGTTGGAATGCACGGCGAAACTTGTCGGACCTGCGCTGGCACCGACGTCTTGTGTCTCCCGTGCACAGACGTATGACTTTATGACACCTTGGCCCGCGAAGGACGAGGCAAAGTTCAACAGGGGCGTTCCCTTTCAATTGCTTCTCTTCTTGACCGCCACCGAGCTGGTCGTAGACGGATCAAACGAGAAGATCAACTCGATCACCGGGTCGTCTGAGTTCGTTGGAGACTCGTGTAATGCTACATTCACTTACAACATCTGCACGCTGGAGTCGGCCATTGGCGAGTACGATGTGTCGATCATCGGGAATACAACAACCATCCTGTCCGCGAGTGCGCCGAACATCCTCGCGATCGCGAAGAATGCGCCCGTCACCCGTGTGCAGAACCTGCCGGGATTCCCTCAACACAAGTCGACGCTGGGCGGCGTCGTTGCTTTCCATCACCAGCGGTGGGATGCCTTTACTTACTTGATGAATGCAGACGGACAGGGAGACTACGACACCTTCATCGGCGGCTCTAACACGCCTTCGTCGTTCGCGCTGCCCTCTGGACACCACGCAAATGGCCCCGAGGGTGGCTGCACTGGCTTCTCCGACCCGAGAGACGACTACATGGCCAGTATCAACAAGCTAATGGTACGGCTGTCCTCCGCCCTTCCCACTCGTCAACGTACATGTCCGCTTCGAATATGCTAACTTCATGAGCCACAGTTGTCCTACGGGATGGCTGCTGCGCAAGGCGTAGGAGACCTGACATTAGAAGATATGGATCCCGCCTTCCAAGTCAACACTCAGACCATGGGGCAAGCTTATGGCCAACACAACGTCTTTCATACCGACTTCCGGTACTTCGCCGGCGCTCTCATCATCGAAATCATCTGTGTCGCGCTCGTGGTCCCGACGTACTGGGGCTGGTGGAAGGTTGGACGAACAGTGTCCTTTTCGCCTTTGGAGATTGCAAAGGTATGGCAAGCAGAGCAGTTTGACACCTCCAAGTCGTGTTAGCAGTCGCTGATGCATAGTCCAGGCATTCGAGGCGCCGATGCTGGCGGAAGCGCATTCGAATTCCCCAAGTGCTGCGGTCGCCGATCGCTATGCTGACCGCATCGTTCAGTATGGAGTGGTGCCCGTGGATGGAGACGGAAGAAAAGTCAAGCTTGCATTTGCGGATGTGGATCGGGTGGCGAGGCCCAAGCAGGGCACTCTTATTGATGTGTAGCCTTCCACTGCTTCCCCTCACAAAATAAAGAGATCAACGTGCTCGGTAATAATACAGACGTCGGATTGCTCCCGCCTCTCAACGATGAAGCTTGCAAGAACGCTACAATTGCATCAATGTACGTTGCTAACCTACGGTAGATTCGGAAAGATCTCCGCGCCGGGCTGAGGATAGATTTTCGGTCCGTTCGTGGGGGCCAGCGGCTGCCGGCCAGCCCAGTCTCTGATGTCGTGGAAGTTGCGGCAAGTATGCTGCCTGGTGAAGTCGGGGAAGATGTGCGCGTCCTCTTCCTCGCCCCACCAAACGAACGGCACGAGGCCAATGTCCGCGTTGCACATGAGCACTTGGCGCAGATTGTCCAAGCAGTGAGCTGTAGCGACGGGGTGTCAGTCATGGCCCGCATCAGGGACTCTGGGGGCCGCTGTGGATGTACGCACTGATGTGGTATTTGAGCGTCGCTTCGCTGTTCACGAACGGGCCCTTGCCCTGCGCTTTGTAGTAGTCGATGTTGAGATACGAGCTTTGCCGGAGAAGGTTCTGGCTTGCGTCAATACATGACCGTTACTCATTTGGCGGGAATGCAGAGGGGAAGGGGCCCGTCGTCGTACCAGGCAATGCAGCTGATGAAGCACCTCCACCGTCACCGGATACCCTGGTCCGCCTTGCTCCTCGGGGTACATGACTCGGCCTGAAGGCACGCCGGCTCTCGCGGCCTCCTCGGGCGATAACAGGAACGCGTGGACTGCCTCGACGGTTAATCAAACGACTTGGCTCGTGAGGGATGAGCCGGCGACTCACAGTCAATGCCGAGCGAATCCCAAGCCTCATCTGTTTCCGGCCCGGCCTTTCCTCTCCACGGCGTCAGATTCAGGAAGGAACCGTTGAAAGTCTCGGTGTGGTATGTGATGTCGAAGTCCTTCTGCACCGGGCCTGGAAGAAGCGTGGTAAGTCGAGTGCTCATGCCAGGCAGGACATGACAGGCTAACTCACTCCAGTATCTCGAGGTATGCGCCGTGCACAACTGATCTCTCGATGACCGCCACAAGATCATCGTGAACCCCCACCACAGGACGAGTTGCACGCAAAAAATGGCCAGATGGATTGTGAACGGCCGTCGCCATGAGTTCGACGGGCCATGACTGCGTCGAGGCGCCTCTTCTGCCTCACTACTGTCGGTCGTGTCGCTCGCTCCGTCCATCAATTGCTGTTTCTCCCCCAAAGGCGTGTACTTGTGGCTCAACGACTGAATGGCTTTGCGGACGTCCATTATTGCGAGGCCGATTGGAAAGATTTCGTCCTCTTGGAATAAATTGAGAGGAAGACGGACTAGAAAGGATCGGAATCGACGGGCCTTTGTCGACAGCGAAGTCCTATGCGCAGCTGGCGTGGATGTTGCCGACCCGTAACCACGCAGCTGCATGTTGCACTCTGCGGGGCTGCTAGCCTTGAGCTACGCCTTGTATCGGCGCAAAGTCTATCTCGCTAGGGTCGTTACATCCGCATTCGCAATGCACGTTGGTATGGAATGCATAGGCTGTGCACGCAGGCTGTGCACCGACTACGCGTGATGTGTAGAGCGCGGCGAGACTCACACTGCTATTCCACACCCCTCAACGAATGAAACTGGTGATACACCGCGCGACTTACCGTTGTGTGCATTGTCGGCAGCTCTGAAGGCTCCACTCGCTGCGATGTGAGCTGCTCACGGTTGATACCGACGTTGCATCCGGACCGACGCTCACCGAGCTCGACACTAAGAGATCAGCAACGAAGCGTGGAAAAGGTGTGGACGGATCCACTCGTGTTGAACAAGCGGACCATGGCTGCTCGCGAGCCCTGCGGCAACATGCAAAGATGTTGCATTGATGGAGGAAGATGCCGCAGAAAGGTGTGGAGTGCGAGTGCAGCTACCTTCCAAGGCCGAGCGAGGCGGATGATGTGGCTCGGATGATGTGACTCTCATATAAGAGCGGCTGTATCAACGCATCCGGAGTGCCACACCTTCGAACCATTGACCTTTGAATCACACGCCGTTCTGCTCATATCATTGTCGATCACCAAATCCGCCTACGAGATACAACGCCAACATGAAGTCCGGCTTTCTTCCTTTGGCGGTATTGACTGCTTTGGCTGCCTTTGCAGGCCCGATTTTGGCTGCTCCCGTGCAAGATGTGAAGGTGAGGTGGTAATGCACGCTGGCCTGAGTCGTCTAGGATGGCTAACTCGTAAACAGCGCGGCGAAGATCAGGCCAGCACCGTCTTCTACGTCGGCTATCACAAGGCGGTGGAAGATGCTGTTGCAGCTGAGAAGCGCGGCGAGGATCAAGCTAGCACCGTCTTCTACGTCGGCTATCACAAGGCGGTGGAAGATGCTGTTGCAGCGGAGAAGCGCGGCGAGGACCAAGCCAGCACCGTCTTCTACGTCGGCTATCACAAGGCGGTCGAGGACGCAGCTGCAGCAGCAGAGAAGCGCGGCGAGGACGAGGCCAACACCGTCTTTTACGCCGGCTACCGCAAGGCTGTCGAAGATGCAGCAGCGGCAGCGGAGAAGCGTGACGAGGACCAAGCCAGCACCGTCTTCTACGTCGGCTACCGCAAAGCGGTCGAGGATGCGGCGGCGGCGGCAGAGAAGCGCAACGAGGATCAGGCCAGCACCGTCTTTTACGTTGGATATCGCAAGGCGGTCGAGGATGCAGCTGCAGCAGCAGAGTAGCGCCATGCGGACCCATGGTCTTCTACACTGGACAAGGCGAGCGTGTCCATGATGGGACGGCTGACGAAGAGTGAAAGGGAGAGCGGCAGCGAGGGTAGGAGATATGCGTGCAAGTACACAGACGGGCGGGTCAGATGTTTCGAATCGATCATTGCTTGCCTGCTTGCTTACTTTCCCCGAGTCTCGTCTTATCTCGTGGCATGCTTTCGCAGATTCCGCTTCGACGGAATGTAACGAAGTGCCGGCATGCCGAGCACGCCTTGGCCTAGACCCGGGAAGTAGAGTGATGAGGGCAGGCAGGTAGGGTGTCATCAAGAGGGCGTCAGTATGGGCTAATGCAGGCCAACGTCAAGCGTGCCGCCGTTTTCTTGCATTCGTCCGGTTGGCAATAGTGGACCTGCTCGCCTTAGTGAATGTTTCCGTACAACGTTGGCCAGGTCGGTGGCATTGATTCGGGTGGAACCAAGGCGTGATATGACAAATGCATCAGCGGCTTGCGGCAGAAGAGAGGGGGCGTTGCATCTCGGCATGAAGTGAGGTTGCAGGTAACTTTGAAGCTTCGCACGCGGCTGACGCATGGCAAATGGACACGCGAGCATGAAGGTCTGCTTCAAGAGTGCAACCGCAATAAAGCACAGCAGTGCGGTGACGGGGTAGGAGAAAGCAGCGTGGGAAAGAGTAGCAAAAAATCCAAAAGAATTACTGGCCACCACTCGACAGAGTCTGACGACGTGGGCAGGACTCGAACCTACGCCCCCGAAGGGAATTGATATCTACTCAATCACCCAAAGGTAATTAAGTTCTAGTCAATCGCATTAACCGCTTTGCTACCACGCCAGCAAGGTTGGTGCCGAAGTGTGCGGGTGAATTCAAGATATCCACTGGCTGAATTTACCCGAAACCTTTCCGTCTCCCACTGAGCGTTGGACGGCGCAAAGCTGTTCGTGTTCGGTATCTTTGATAGATTTTTTAAACATACGTAGCCTCATAAACCTGAACAGAGATGAGACGTGATTACTATTGTCGACTTGGGCTGTTCTTTCACGGCCGGTATCTTCAGCGCGCTGCGGGGGTTTTGTAGCTGGAGAAGTGAGCAGCGAAGGGATCATCAACACAAGTACATTTACTTCGCCGACCGTCGACATCTGGAATGCATGAAATTAATTGATCTTACCGATATTTTGACCATCAAAGAAGGCGTTCAAGGCGTGTGTTGAGATGAAGGCAATCACATGCAATCGCGGGGCCATCCACGCCTACGTCATGCGCACGCACAAAGCGGCGAATAAGGCGACGAGCAGGCACAAAGGCAAACCCAATGGACGGGAAGAGCACAAGAGTTGCCTGTTCCCCCCTGTGCCATCCCGTTGATTTGCCGAAACGTGCACAGCTTCATTGGAGCTCTTTGCTTCTGCCTTCTTTTTCTCTCTTCCTCACATAATCTACCATATCTCACTCGTATTCACCACCCACACACGGTGCCATCGGAGATGAACGCGGCTTAATCCCTTAAATGAAATGTGCCTGGCGCTAACCACATCCAACCCCACCACCACCATCCTCGTCTCACTCCTCCCACGACATGTCGTCTCCCACCCGCGTAGACTCGCCCATGGCCGTCCCCTTCCTCCCCATCACCTTCGATAACGCGGAGCCCGAGGCGTCCGCTCTCAAGCTCGCGTATGCCCTGCGGCCCGCGTGGAAGGAGTCGGAGGGCGAGGTGGAGATTGAGAAGTTCACCGACGGCATCACCAATGTCCTCTGCAAAGCCACCAAGCAGCATCCCGGCCGGACGGATGCGCAGAATGATCAGGACGCCGTGCTGATGCGCGCGTACGGACAGGGCACCGCCGTGCTCATCGATCGCGAGCGGGAGATGAAGGCGCATAACTTGCTCGCCAATACCGGCCTCGCTCCGCCTTTATTAGCGCGCTTCGAGAACGGCCTCATGTACGGCTTTGTGCAAGGGCACGTCTGCTCGCCGGAGGATCTGCGCAAACCCGCCGTCTACCGCCAGACGGCCAAGCTCATCGGCCAATGGCACGCCGCCCTCCCCATCTCCGCCATCACCTCCACCCCCGACCTCGAAAAGGACGCCGCGGACCGCAAGCACTGCGGCCTCAAAGACGGCAAGCACACGCGGCCCATGCCCAACATCTGGAGTCTGATGCAGCACTGGATCGACGCGCTGCCCGAATCGACGCCAAAAGAGAAGGAGCGCAAAACCGTGCTCGACGCCGAACTCACCCAGCTCTCCGCCCGCTTCGGCGAAACGCCCGGCCTCGACGGCCGCGACTACATCTTCTCCCACTGCGACCTGCTCTCCGGCAACGTCGTCATCCAAACCCCGTCCGGCACAAAGTGGGACGGCAGCGAGAAGCCCGTCTCCTTCATCGACTACGAGTACTCCACCCCCGGGCCCGCAGCCTTCGACATCGCAAACCACTTCGCCGAGTGGGCGGGCTTCGAATGCGACCACGCCGGCGTCCCCACACGCTCCCAGCGCCGCGACTTCCTCAAGCACTACGTCGGCGCTTTCCGCTACCATTCCATCTCGGATGATATCACGACTTCCGTGGATATCGACATGCGGGAAGATGTGGAGCAGCTATTTCGCCAGATTGACGAGTTCCGCGGGCTCCCTGGCTTCTTTTGGGGGATTTGGGCGCTGATTCAGGCGATGATTAGTTTGATTGAGTTTGATTATCCGTCGTATGCCGAGCTGCGGTTGGGTGAATACTGGGCGTGGAAGGCGGAAGAAGATGGGTCGCGGAAGCAGAAAGGAGAGGAGATGACGGTGCGGGAACGACGGTGGGCGGAGGAATGATGATGATCCTCTGTCCTTTGTCATTGTCGTCATCACGTTGGAGGTGGTCTAATTGCCGGGGGTTGTGAAGTGTGCTGGAGGAATGCGTTGCAATCTCATTCAACATGATACCCCCGATTGGCGAGAGCAGAGCGGATGCGCTTAGATATTGCTCCTTCTAACCTGTAGACATCGCCTGGGTAGAGAGAGGAAAATCAGCTCCATGGGAGGGAATGATGGAGCAGTCTCTAATAATGATCTACATAGCTGCCTGCAAAAGTGTACATTTCACCCCCCTTACTTCCCATGAGCAATGCTAATGTGCTGCGCAAAGTACTGCTTCACAATGGCAATGTCGTTGGCGGTGTTGATCATGTTGAAGCCCTCGTCGGCATACTTCTTCGCCTGCTCGCCCGTCCCGGTGTACATGCCGCTGTACTTGCCTGCGTCCTGCGCGGCCTTGTGGATCGTCGCAATCGCCTGGTCGAGTTCGGGGGCAGTCTTGCCTCCATTCAGAACCATAGGATGACCAATGGAGTTGCCAAGATCGTTAGGACCGATGAACAGCACGTCAATCCCGTCCACGCCGGCAATCTCTTTGACTTGCTCCAGTGCAGACTTGGTCTCGATTTGCACGATAATGACAATGGAGCTGTTGGAGTGCTCGTAGTAATCCGCCCACGGCACCTCCTTCACCTCCCCCGTCTTGCCGGAAATCCACTTCTCCATCGACAACGCGCTACCGAGCCCGCGATTCCCCTGCGGCGGGAAACGCGAGAATTTGACGATATTCCGCGCCTCCTCGGCCGTCTGCAGGAGCGGGACGATGATGCCGTGGGCGCCTGCGTCGAGCGCGCGTTTAATCATCCAATGCTGGCCTTCTTGCACGCGCACGATGGGGCTGACGCCGCAGGCTGCGATGGCGGCTACGGCTTCGTGCATGCTGTCGTCGGACATTTGGCCGTGCTCGCAGTCTACGCAGACCCAGTCGAGGTTGGGAGTGCGGGCGATGAGGCGGGAGAGGTTGGTGCCTGGGAGGCCCTGGGGGTTTGTTAGAAGGGGGGTTTGCATTGGAGTATTGGGGACGGACCTGCCATCCTCCGAATGAAGGCTTGCCTGATTTCAAGGCTTGTAATAGGCGGTTGGCGGATTGCATTGCGGACATGATGGCGGTTGGCGTGGACTGGCAAGGCTTTCACGGGGATGAGGAGGGAAAGAGTAGTTTCGTAGGTATCAGCAAGGTCGATGGTCGAGTTATGATCACAAAAGTAGTAGCAGGATGATTGGTATTCGGAAGAGCGATCTCGCAAATTCAGAGTCGCATTGTGGTGGGGTCTGACCCCTCGAGCCCCTCCAAAGCCGCCGGGAGTCGGAGTTGTCATCCGCATTAGGCAGTTGGAGTAGACATGCGGGTGTTGTTGATTCTTATTACTGTCCAGATGATTGCAATGCTTGGGTGATGGCCTGTTCCAGCTCGGTCTGAGTGAAGCGATGCATCAATTTCCGCGCGTTTGTCGTGGTTTCGAAGGGCTGCTGCTGCTTCTCCGGCGCGTCTACGTGAAGCTATATCCATCCATGAGTGGAGCATTCTTGAATGAGAAGAGCGATTCACGTACCACCGGCGTGTCAAATTCATACAACGCCTTCCACTTCTGCTGCTGTTTCTCCATCACGTCGATTTCCTCGTACTCAAAGGGCCTTCGCTTGCCCACGTAGTTGATGACTTCTTTGGCATCGTCGCACAAGGAGCAGTTGGGACGGGTGAAGAGGGTCAAGCGGAGGCGCTGCTGCAGCAGGATCGCCGTTGCTCTCATCTTCGTCGATCTCGTTGTCGTTAGAATTGGTTTGTGATGCCCTCGACAAGTGTCGGAGGCTTCTTTCTGCCTTATGAGCCCTGAATTTCCCGAGCCAAGCGCGTGACGTAAGGCGACGAGATTCGGCGGGCTGAAATTGGAACTTTTGTCAAACACCACTTCCGCCGCCATCCCATCCCGACCTCTATCCCTCCCCGTCCCTCGTGACGCAGCATGGCGAGCAAATGCGTGCACAAAGGCTGCGGCAAGGTCTTCTCCGACCCTGACGAGCCTTGCATTTACCATCCCGGTAGGTTTTGCTTAACCCAACAGCTCCGCCGATGCAGCGATTGATTGTCTCTTCCAGGACCGCCCGAGTTTCACGAAGGTCAAAAAGGTCGGTCTATTCTTTGGTATACACACCATCCACATGTTTGACTGACAATCCATGCCCAGGCTGGAAATGCTGCAAACCTCGCGTCCTCACCTTTGACGAATTCATGACCATCCCGCCTTGCACAACAGGCAAACACAGCACCGTCGACGACACCCCCGCCCCCACCCCCAAAGCGAACAACGACGAAGTCGAAGCCAAGATTCGCGCGCAGACCGAACAAGCCGCAGCAAACCTCACCCCCGCAGTCGCCCGCGTGGCCGTCTCCGCACAACCGCCGCCTGCAACGTCCAGTCCCGCTCCGCCCGAAGACGAAGACGACGATCCTGACCTCCCGATCCCCTCCGGAGCGACGTGCAAACGGAGAGGATGCGGACAGACATATACTGCAGGACAAGATCGAGACGCCGAGCAATGCGTGCATCACCCCGGGCAAGCCCTCTTCCACGAAGGCAGCAAAGGCTGGACATGTTGCAAGAAGCGCGTGCTCGAGTTCGACGAGTTCATGCGCATCCCCGGGTGCAAGACAAAATCGCGACACTGCTTTATAGGGCAGAAGAAAGATGCGTCGAAGGAGGAGGAATTGGCGGACGTGAGGAACGATTTCTACCAGACGGCCACCACGGTCATTGCATCGTTATATCTCAAGAAAATCGACAAGGAGCGGTCGAAGGTTGACTTTACGTCGGATGGTCGGACGCTGGAGCTGGATTTGCATACTGCTGATCACAAGCATTACCAGGCGTCGATGCAGTTGTTCGGATCGATCAAGTCGGCAGAGAGCACGTTCAAAATCATGGGCACCAAGTTGGAGTTGACGTTGGCCAAGGCGGATGGCGCTGGCTGGCCGGTATTGAGGGCGACGGATCCGCATACGGGGAGTATCATTCAAGCTGGACGGGCGGGAAAAGTATGAGAGGTGGGAAGGCACTGGGAAGAACGATACAGGAAGCATAGCGTCGGAGTTGTTGCTGTCGGCGGATTGGAACTCCGTACGGCCTGGGTTTAGGGGGAATGGTATCCGGCTGTGGTCCAACAAACATCATTCAATACAGATTACAATCGAGCACGCCATCCACTGTCCTACACTCTACACCACGACTCCCCCTTCCATCGCGCCCTCGACTCCACCCTTCCACCTTCTTAAACCATGCCCTCGACTCTACCCGGCTCCAACGCCAGCCCGCTACGAGACAGACAACGTAAAACGAAAATGTGCATCCACCAAAGCAGCACAACCTACACCTGTGGCCTCCACATCCACCGCCTCACTCGTCGACGATGTCTCTGTCCCTCCTCCTCCAACAGACCATGCACCGCACGAGTAGTCGAGCAACGGGAAAGGCGACGAGAAGTCTGCTCGACTTGTGCGGGATGTGGGAATGGGCTTGCTTTGCGTATGCAGTCGATTGGCCACGAAGAATGGATGGCGGCGGTTGGGACGGGGAGGCGCTGGAGAGTGGTGAGAGGAGTGGGGAGGTGTGAGTCGGAGTCTGTGAATGACGTTGGGAGCATGCGGTTTGAGGGGAAGGATGAGAGCGGGCTGAGCGTTTGGAGGGAAGGAAGAGGCATTGCCTTCGTGGCATTTGTGCTGTGTCGTGAAGAGTGGTAGTAGCTCTTTGGGAATGGCTGTGCCAGACTCTTAATTCCCATCTCTGGGGCTAGAATGATGATGCACTTATGCGCGTGCTTGTCTTCTCTGCCACGTGCAGTATCAGTGCACTCGAAAAGGCGATGTTCTTCCGCACCATCTTGTGTCGAGTGCAATCGACCAGGACGCGTGATGCGCCATGTCGGCCACGCAGGGGTATAAGGCCAATACCCGCGTTTCGCCCGCCGTCTCTGTAGAGCAAGCGTTAGGTAGTCAACATCTTCGTATCCATTCTTCAGCATTTCGCAAAAACGACAACCCTCAAGTCCCAACCCCAGCAAGCGCCGCAAGCACCTCCTCCCCTACTCCCCCCTTCTCCACCACCATCTTAATCATCTTCGACACGAGCGCGCGGGGAATCCCTCCCCTCGGCGGCCGCCATACACTCTGTCCTTGATCCTTCTCGCGCAGAGCCAAGATTTCCGCAGACGTGAGTGAGGGTCCGCCTGCTGTGATGCTGTTTGGTACGGCGGAGCCGGTGAGGCGCGATGGCGGGTCGATGGTGCGGAGCGCGACCATGTTCAGTGTATTGTTGTTGTTGCTGTTGGAGATGGAGGTGGAGGGGGAAGCGCTGATTGCTAGGACGGATTCGGCGACGGACAGCTCCTCTCTGCTCGGGTCGAAGATGATGTTTTCGCCTACGCTCATGACGAGCAGGGTGAAGGGGGGTTTCAGCGTTTGTGCTGCTGGCTCGCTCGCGCGAGGGTAGAGGTAGAGTGAGGCTTCCCAGTCGTCGTTGAAGAGAGGGTCTTCGTCTTTTTCCGAGATGAGAGCTGGCAAGCGCGTGGAGAGGAGGGCGAGGTGGGTGGTCAGGGACAGCAGGGGTAGCGGGTAGGAGAGCGGCGATGAGAGGAGAAAGACCTGTGTTGACAGTCTCATTAGCATCGTCCGCCATCCGAAAAGAGGGAATGCGAGCACCACGCACATCAACGTATAACCTCCAGTGAAAGCGCGCATTGATCCACAGCCTCTCCTTCAACCCGCCGTCCGCAAGCAGAGCTTCAGACAGCATAGCAGACAGAAAAACAGGAAGCGCATCATCGTCCCGCACGCCAGGAATCTCAATCGCAACCTCCAACCACTCCCCGCGTCCACGACTCTTCTTCCCTCGTTCCCCCAAACCAACACCACCACCATCCTCTTCATCCATATCAACATCCCCATCCCCAGCCTCCACTCCCAATCCCAAACTCCTCTCCACCTCCGCCTTCACCCCCACAACCGCCTCCGTCCCATCCGCAAAACAAATGCGCGCGCTCCCATTCGCCGAAGGCAGGATATCCGTCTCGGCGACCAGCGGGCGGAAGTCCGTGGGCGAGCGGCCGTCCGGGCGCAGAGGTGGGGTTTGCGAGAGGGAGGTGTGCAGGTAGGAGAGCTCGGCGGGGGAGAGGGGGATGTTGGTGAAGGGGGGCATGGTTGCTGTTTACTTCATGGTATGTGCGTGGGTGTGTGTGCGGAGGAGAATATAGGTGTTGGAGGTATTGTGGTGTAACGGAGTTGAGCTTGAAATTTTTGGGAGAATGAGAGCGGTTGGAAATTTGAGGAACGCGGTTGGAAGTGACGTGCCCCGCGATCGTCACCAGCTTCATCTTCACGCCTGAGGCATCACATCAACCAGATACACGAGTAACAACCACGAAATGAAAGAAAGCAGATAGTGAAGGGTCAAAGACCGACACAACGTGTCTCTTACGCTATACAGATATCAACATAAGTCTGCTGTACAGCGTACAAGTCCACAATCTCGAACCCCTTCCTCTTCATGCTCCTCCGCCTTGCCCTTCCACCAAAACCAAATAAATGAAACAAAGTCCACAGCAAAAGCAACAAAAACAAGCGCATTTCTCGCGCTTCTCGGGTATCTGACAGCAAGATGTAGGGATAGATGATGTGCCTTTCCGCAGATCGCAGACGAAGGATGGATGATAGATGATGACGGGATTCGCTGGCCAAATGTTCGTCGAAAAGTAGTAGGAAACAAAAAGTTGGGATGCCAAAGGTCGCTGTGTTGCTCCTTGTCCGATGCGGATGAAGTGAAGTGCTGGGTTGCGTTGATTCGACTGTACAAATCGCTCGCAGTCGAGAGAGAATGAGTGTTCTCTTCGCCGGCGGTGGAGTATGAATGAATGCGTCGCTCAAGTGCCGGAGATGAATGGAGGCCGTGGCGAATCCGATAAAGACGCCAGTGGAATGCAACTGGTAACATAGGAGATGGCCTCGGGCGATGCGAGGTGCTGGTGGTAGCGGAAGGATCTTCGGTGTCTATAGTAGACATCATCGCAAGACGCTCATCGGAATGCCTGTTGCGTGGCAAAGATGCTGGCCGAAGCCGCCGCGGCCCAGTCGTTCTCGTCGTAGGGAGGCGTGGGCCACTGAGGATTGACCGATTGATGATTCTTGGCTGGCGCACGCGGGATCGGCATCGGCTGAGTGGGCGCGTAATCATGCGAGCCTCCAAAACTCACGCCATTCATGTCCTTCGAGGTCGATGGCGTCAGATAGGGAGTACTGTACGTAGCGCCGCCAGAGAAGAGAGACTGCGATGCCGGCTGGCTGATGTTGTGATGCTTGGCCGGAACCTTGGGCACGTCGTCCAGTCGTCGCGCAGCGGTGTGCGCTGAATGAATCGCCTCGTCCAGCAACTCGTCCTCCTCGCTCGGCGTCTCGTACTTGTTCTGCGGGGGGTGTCGAACCGACCGACGGTTCCGGCTGAACATCGAGGTAGTCGATGGCAATGCTGCCGCCGATCGCTCCTCTTGCAAGGATGCGTGTCGGTGGAGTGCAGGGCTGCTCGCCATCTTCTGAGGTTGTCGTGGAAGCGACGGTTGCCTGACAGGCGGCTTGACATCAGCAGCAGCGTTCAAGTTATGGCGTACATTGCGCAAAGCCCGATCGAGATCGGCAAAGCTGGAATCGAAGGCCCTGTCATCCCCGGCGGGAGCGATGGCTTGTCGGTTGCTGCTCTGCCAGGTTCCGCGTCCAGCGTTGGCCTCGATATCCTCGGCATTGGGAGAGTTGGGACCTTGGTAGCGTCCAGAGAGTCTCCGAGCACGCTTGCGCAGGTGCGAGAAGAAGCCTTCCTTTCCACTGCTGCTCGTCGGAGACTTCAGCCCGTTGCCTCCATTCAAGATGCGCTCTGCCTCTTGCCTGTGCATATCGGCATAGTGATTCCCAGACGAATTGACAGACAATTGTCGACCAATCTTCCGGTGGCTCTCCATCGGGACTTCAGCAGGCTTCGTAGTTGCCTGCACGGTCACTTCGTCCCGGAGTGGTGAGATGGGACGGATTGACGGCAAGATGGGAATCGGCGCAGGATTGCTCTGCAAGCCGTGGCCCCATGTTGCGCGCTTGTCGCTAGGATTTCGGATCCGCGATGCTGAGGGTGCAGCATCCACAGTGTTTGCATGCACAATGGCAGATCGTTTAGGAGCTTCGAGGATCGGCTGAACGTGTGCAGGCACGGGTGGTGCTGGTGCAGACGACTCTCTCGCGGGCATGGATCTTCTGAACCACGACGACGTCTTGGTCGCAAGTGTCGGGACCGAGTCAGCGACAGACTCGTTCGTGGGAGTCATCGTCGATGCCTTTCGTCCCAGAATTCGATTACTGCTGTTGGTCTTCGGCCTCATCAAGGGGTCGACGGCATCGGCAAAATACTCGTGCTCGAGAGCCTGCTTGGAAGTCGGGCGGTGCTTCGGGTCCCACATCAGGCACCAGGTCACGAATTGCACAAGGCTGGCTGGCCATTGTGGTGCTGGCAGGACGGTGGCCAGCGAATGAGGTGCCATCTTGGGGAAGGAAAACCCGAGTCTCTGTGCAAGCTTGATGCCTTCTCTCCATTCACCACCGCCAATCTTCTGCCCATGCTTGTTGACCCAGTTGCTTGGGCTGCCCATGATCTCACATACTCTCCACACCTGATCGACCTCGTTGCCACCAGGGAACAAAGGCCTAAGTGTCGCGATTTCCACGGCCATGGCGCCAATCGCCCAGATATCGACGGGTGCAGAATACTCCCCTGCTCGCAAGAGCACTTCCGGCGCACGATACCATCTCGTGGACACGTATGTTGTGTATGGCACTCGCGAATGCATTTCACGGGCCAAACCAAAGTCTGCAATCTTAATCGAGTAGGTTGGTGGCGTTGAGGGAGGCGTGATGAGGGAGGAGTATCTCTTGAAAGCGTTGCCAGTTTCCGAGACGGACGTAGAGACGAGAATGTTCTCCGGCTTGACATCACGGTGGAAGAAGCCGTTGTCGTGGATGTGTTCCAGACCAGATAAGATCTGGTATAGTATACTCTTCACACTGGAGGCATCCAGCGGCTTGTGATCTCTTGCCTTCATGAGCTGGTATAAATTGCCATCCATGTGCTCCATGGCGATGTGAAGCTTCTTGGTGTAGGGGTCCAGGAATATGTCGTATGCGGGGACGAGGTGAGGATGATGGGGAAGAGTCTTGAGGAAGATGACTTCGCGAAGCTCCATGCATTGGGAGAAGTGTTCGAAAGTCTTCTTCATGGTCTTGACGGCCACCTGCAACGATATTAGCACAGCTTTGTCGGAGGTACAGCATTCCGACGCGTACCAAGGTGTTCCTCCGAACAATATGAGCTCCCGCCGTACGAGTCCTCCCAAGCGCGACACTTCCGAAGCTGCCATCTCCTATCTCTTTGAGTATTTCGAACTTGTCCTCTAGACATAAGGGAGATGGCGAGCCGGAGGGCCAGCCATGGTTGTGGTAGGCAACCGTCATGGTGTTTCGCTTTGTGGTGTGGGAAGGAGGGGCTATCGCGACATAGATGGAGTAGGGGATATGTTGGATGTATCTGGCAAGAGTCAGCATGGGACAGAGCAACAGATCCGAGACATCTCACCTGGTCTCTAGAGACTATAAGGTAGTAATGCAGGGACGGTCCGGGTAGAGGGCGAGCGGGTGGGGAGGAAGTATGAGACGCGGATGTATGTGTGGTATTATGCTTGTAGATGCGCTGAAGAGCTGCAGCAGATGTCGTGGCGGCGTAAATGGTAGGACGAAAGGAGCGTGAGTGTCGACAAGGCGGCGAGAGTAGGGTAGAGTCGAGGGAGCGAACGTCGATGTATGTTCGATCCCGGCGGTGCGGAACGAGTGAAGCGTTTGGCAGGTGATCAACAGGGACAGTGCGTGAGGTTACAGGCGCGGCCGGGGTGCCTTGAACGTGGTGATCGGGGAGGCACCGGTAGCTGCAAAGGTGCAACGGAAGCTCGTTTCACTGACAGTCGCTGTCGCCGCCACCGAGATAGAGTTCGAGATCCTGGTTTGACAGGGGACGGGGAGAGTGTCCAGGTTGAAGGGCAGAGTAGGAGTAGAGTCGGGGTGGAGTGGAGTGATGAGTGAGCAGGCGCGGAGCTCGAGCGCGTGTCGAAGACTGAGACACCGCTCGTGGGCCCGCGTGTGGTGTGATGCGGAAAAGGAACCAATGGTAGGGATAGTTAGTGGTGTTGGCGGCCGAGCGATTGGGGCCCCAGACGGTAGATTGCAGTCCAGGGCTTTGCGGAAAGCGTGAGGCGTGGGTGACGTTGGGCAGAGACTAGAGGTGCCGGGCGGCGAGTGTTGCCCCTTTAGTTTAAGATGCGCGGATGCGCTAGCGATGATGGGGAGGAGGAAGAGGATGCGGCGGCGGGATGCTAGTGAGCGCGGCGAAAAGGGGAGAGGAAGGAGGATAACAGGCAACGTCGCGCGTGGTGATTCGCGGCGCCCATCAATTCCATGACAGCAGCTTGGAAAGGAAGGAGCCGTGCATTTAGAATTGGGCCAGATGGACGGAGAGGGGAAGGCGTGAGCGAGGAGCGGCGATGGGGCAGCAACGGGCGGGCATGCGCTTCCGCGAGCGACACAACGGGACGTGCAGCAAGTGCGCGGATGATGAGATGAGTTGAGACTAGGCGGTAGGCGCAGGGGCAAAAGACTTGACGTTGGAATCCAAGGGTGCAGGGGAAGGGAGGGAGAGGCGCGCCCGCCCGTGCCTGCCCGTACCCGTAACTTCCCCAAGCTTTCGGCTCCCCCCCCCCTGGCTCCTTCCTGTGATGGCCACTTTCCCCTGCTGCAGCCCGCCAGGCTGCATGCAGGAGTGGAGACGAGGTGATTGAAAGTTATTTTTGCTCACGCCAGAGACACATCGCAGAGAAAACAGCAGCGCCCATAGCATCCCCATTGCAAACATCGTGGGGCACCTTCGACCATCGGGTGACGCGTGGTTGCGTGTCGGGTGATAAACAACACATCCGTCAACAATTCCGTGATTCCGTCCCAGTCGCGTCCCCCGCCAAATCCTCCGATTGGCCATCGGCGCATTTGTTGCTTCCTGGCCGCTTCGCCTAGCAACACCAACGACAAAATGGCGAAAGCATGGCAGAAGCATCGCGAGTCACGATCCGCCTCGCCAGCTCATCACTCCAACACGCTCCGCTCCGCTCATGGAATTGATTGATCACATCGGAGAAGCAAAGCAACAGCGCCGGTCTGTCGGCCCTGTGCTTCCTGCACCGCTAGCGTCGTCCGTGCCTTGTTGTTTCCCCTGACTACTGTGCGCTAAGCTGCAGCCTCATTGGCTTACCGCGGTGCCGTTGGCAGCCAATTAGCTCCGCAATTCCGGGTCGTCTTTTTCAAATCATCGCCAGGACGTGATCAGTGTGACGAAAAGCCGTCGAGGGATTCATCACAGCCCGAGGACCTCAACAGAATTCACAGTCTTGGAGAGATGGAGGTGGCATACGGGCAACGCGCTGTAGTAGACCCCAATAACCCCTCTCATGTCAACACCCGCTGCAAGATCACGCATGCTGTCTGCAGACGATCTGCACAAATCCCTTCGGATGCTCATTCCCGCCGCCCACGCGAGACCACATGCAGCTGCCCTGTGCCAAGCGCGGACTCAGTCGCCCGTCATGCCAGTATACGACACGTCCAGTCTACGCGCATCGCTTGAACTCCCACCCATACTCAAGATCAATGGAATCCAACTCAAACACGGCCCTTCCCCTTCTAACAAATCCTATGCTCCGGAGGCCTCCAAGGCACCCCCAACACCTCGAAAATCCGCTTCTCGTCCCTGCCCTCCACCAACGTCCCCTCGCTCAGCTTCTCCCGCCCCTTGCCGCGGATGACATCCTTGTACAGCCCGCGCTGATTGAGGCGCATGCCCTTTGTGCTGGCCAGTAGTCGCAGCGAACGGTTGAAGATGTCATTGCCGGTGAAGTAGATCAGTGCCGCGCCTAGTTCGTCCGAGGGGACGAGGAGCAGATCGATGCGCCGCCAGATGCCGGTGCTGCTGCTGCTGCCAGCGATGCACGAAGCGCCGTGCCATTTGCTGCCGTCGTCGCGCGACGTCGCTGCCAGCTCGGCCATGAGGAATCTCTTTGCGAACAGCTTGGGAACCAGTTGGTCCAGGACTACTTGTCTGATGTGCGGCAAGTCCGTGTTCGGCCGGGTGATGATGCAGTCAATGTCGCCCGAATCTTTCGCGCCTCGTCGATATGAGCCGCCGACAATTACGTCGAAAGCGGGATCGATCTTGTGCAAGGCTTTGCGCACCGCATTCCCGTGCTGTTCGACTTCGGCGCGCGGGATGCGCGAGTTGAAGTCTGCGTAATGGTCGATCCCAATGCGCTGGTTGGGCGTTAATTCCGCTTTCTCCACCAGCTCGTCGAGGGTGGTGTAGCCGGCGTTGACCCATTTGCTCGCCTGCGCGAATCCAGCGCCATACACCTGCATAAAGGTCTGCAGCACTTGGTCTTGCGGCTCGGCTTTGGCGTTGTCCAGGCGTCGCAGGCGATTGGTGTAGGCAATCTCTTCGATCTTGGAGGCGAGTCTTCCGCCGATCTGAGGTAGGGCCAAGGCCTCCTCTCGTGTCCAGACTTTGGTCGGATGGTTTCGTAGGGTCGATATGGCCTTGCGATATGCTCTCGTGCGCCACTCGTCTCCAACTTGATTGTAGTATTCCGCCATTTGCTGCAGAATGGCAATGGTGCCAACATTGGGGTTTTCGTCGGAGCCGGTGTGCTTGTGCATGCATTGGAATTTGGCTTGATAGTTCTGGGCTTTGCCTTTTTTCCGTCGGTCGAGCTCGGATCCTGCTGGTGGTCTTTCATCGTCCGTCGCTGGGCCGTCAGAGCTCGTCGGCCTGCTGCCCGAATCCTCTTCCATGTCTAAAGGAACGTGCCGCAGATCTCGAGCTTGTTTCAATGCTGCATCGAACTCTGCGGTACTTTCGATCGGCGGCGCACTGGGGTTTCGATCCTCCTCGCCCTCACCATCTTCAGTAGACACAGTGGGAGGCGACTCTGGTACACGATCATCTTGCACAGGCGTTTCCGGCTGACGAGCCCGCACGGAATCAGGAGCGGGCTTCAACTTTAACGAGCGATCTGAAGAGGCTGATGATATGGGTGGTGCAGCGGCAGAAAGGTCGTAGCCTCGGACTTTGAATTGCGGTTGACGAGGATCTAGCAGTCTGCAGAACGTGATGCATTCGGCAGGGTAGTTCTCGGAAACGAGGGCAATGTGTGGTGGTAGAGCGTCCTTTTTCAAGTACTTCAGCAGAAGGCCGTAGTCCATGCTCTTGTCTGCCACGATATGCGTTACGCTCTCGTTGAATTCCGACTCCCAGGTCGCTCCAAACTCGATGGCTTTGGCAATTCTCAGTTTGCGTGCTGGGTGCTTGTCGCTATTGGGGAAGAAATAGAAGCGTTGACTTTTGAATATACGCTGATCGTCTGGGACCAGTCTGATCTCGCTGTCTCGCTTCCTTTTGCCGACGGCCTTCTTTGTGACTGCCGACGAAGAGGTGGTAACAAGAGGCGGAGGGCCTTTTGCTGTGTCGGAGGAGTCTGCACGACTCATAGCCGACAGCCTTACTTGACCATTTGGATCCGAAGCACTTGGACCGATCGCACTCAGTGTCTTGAGTTTGTGGGCAGCGTTCATGTTGGATGGCACGAGATGGCTCTCTGATGCTGATCGAGCCAATGAGTTCTTCTTGTGGTTTCGAGTGTTAGTTTTTCTCAGTTCTCGCTTCCTTTCGCGGCCTTTTTGCAGTGCTCTGATGGATGATTGTCTGCCAGGGTCAGAAAGCTCCTCTTCGTCGCTTTGAAGAGCGTCACGCAGGCCGTCGAAGAGGGCTTGTTTTGCTTTGAGACTCTTTTCCGCGTCATGATCGACTTTGTCCATCATGGCCAATGCACGTACGCAAGGCACAATCGACAACCTCATGCAAGGTCATCCTCAATTCAAGTCAGCTTGGGGATTCTGTGCGAGCCTGAATGTGGACTCGCGAGCAAGGTGGAAGTATCATCGTTCCACACCGATTACACCAAGCAGGCAGCAGTACGACGATATTCAGTGCTGCCAATCATAACTACGATAGTCGTGTGACAGCGCTATGAGAGTGGTGGAACTCCATGTGGATGTGAGGTTGGTGCCTGCATGTGCCCCACCTTCCTTCGCGCTTGCCCCACTTCGCAACTTCCACTTCCATCTTCATGTGATCGCAACATCACCCACGCGTCTCTCCACGACGGCACGCGTGTTCAGCCCAAGATGTACGCCGAGCAAGCCACCAAACTTGTCCTGGACGCCAAACGCCTCGCATCACTCCCGCACCTGCCGCCGTACGCAACGACAACAGTGCGCTCAGTAACCAAGGAAGTGCGCGACATCGAGCGGGAGAACAGCCGGCTCCTTGCCCAATTCACCGCCGCCAGCACGCAGAGCAGCGATGGCAGGCGCTTCGACCCCTCTAATGACCCTGGCACGGCGGCCGCGCTCCTCGTGAACCATCTCAGCATGCGTCGGAACAAGCGCTGTCTGCTCGCCTATCACCGCACCCGCACTAACAAGCTGGAGGAGATGTGCTGGAATGGGGCGGACGTGGCGGAACTGCAGACTAGTACTGTGCAAGTGTCTGCTGCTGGCGAGCCCAGACATGCTACCACTGCGAGTAGTCTGAGTGCGGAGGAGGAACTCTACGCCCATCAGTACAGCGATTTGCTCGCGGCGTACAAAGGCCAATGGACTGATATCGATCTGACCGGCAGTCTGGAGCCACCAAAGGACATCTTCATTGATGTGAGGGTGCTGAAGGACGCTGGTGAGATTCAGACGGAGTACGGGTCTATCACTCTTACGAAGAACAGCCAGTTCTATGTACGGCAGGGTGATGTGGAGAGACTGATTCAGCAAGGCTATCTGCAAAGATTGAGCTAAGAGCCGCTTCAACATGCGGTTGAACCTGTCCTCAGAAGGTATCATCCTGCGAGGAAGGAGTACTTGTGGCGCATTCTCCTTGCCACACACTGGAACACCCTTTCCCAATGGCAGAACGGCCGCGATACCAACTTCTGCCGAGCTGGAGTAGAAACGACAACATCCACACTCCAACAACATCACCATTCGCATCTCGACATACATTGTCGTTCCATTGCAACCGGTCATCTTACCAGTCTATCGCTTCTGTCGCCGCTTCCAGCATGAATCCTCATAACAACAACGTGCCGTCTGCCAAAGGCAAAGGAAAAGAGAGGCGGATTGATTCTATTGTGCCGGGCTCCACGCTGCAGAATTGGCACATACCTCGCCCGCCGATGAAACCACCGCCCCCTGCCCCTCCCAGGCCTCTTTTACCCAGACTGGACATTCCAGACGGCCGGGCACCCGGTCAGCCACCCGCACTTGACCCCGGGCACAACAGGGAGAGTGCGCATCGCCTTGGACCATATTTACAAGAGAGAGAGGAGCCCATGCAGGATGTACAACCCAGTGCCGCAAGCTCAATGCCCGCTCAGCAAATATGGGGATCCGTACCCGGCGCACAGCTCGCAGCAATCAATCAGACGACTTCTTTCGCACCCCAGGTACCGTAGCCAGGGCCAATCGGTGCGGAAGCTGGACAATATCCTGGCCAGATGGCGGCCCCCAGCTATTATTACCAGGTGCCCTACGGTCAGCCCAATCCTTACCATTCCGCGCAGCCCATTGGACACATATATTGCTATCCTGCGACTGGCGAACAAAACTTCCATCCCTATCCCGCGGTCCCAGGGGCTGTTGTTCCATACCAGCAGCACGCATGGCAGCCGACGAGTTCCAGTCAGGCACAGGGGTTTCATCAGGCGGTTGCCGGACCTTCGAACCCGCCGCCGATGCCGATGCCGATGGGCGGAGCGTCGAACGACTTCTCACAACCTGTTGGAAATTTTGGCCATCCGTCCGTTGCGAACCACGCTGGACTTCCTCCCAACGAAGGACAGCCCCTCCCACCCTCCAAACCGCGGCACCAAGCCCCACCACCACCACCAAGACCGAAGATCCGCGACCCTCTGGCTCAGCGCCCCGGCGAAGGACTCTGGGACGTCGGCGAGCGCCTGCACCACCAATTGAACATCGACGAGCAGACCGACAGAGAGCTTGATCCCAACAATTTCATCTTCGACGGCCCCTTCAACAATATCTCTGGAGCGGAGATTGCAGACGTAAAGGCCCAGTGGCTCGAGAACACACCTATGGCAACACGGGATAGTCTGCGCCAGATCTATCTCTTGACCCTCGACGACAGGGGCAGGCAATTCTTCATCGACAACAATACGGACCCGCTTGATCGCCTGTACTTCGCCAACATCCGCCGCCACTATGCGCAACAGATGAATGACCGAGTGGTGCCGGTGGAGCGCTGGGCGTGGTTCCTCGAGGAAATCAGCAAGCAGACGTCCAAGGCGAAGGCGTGCTTCACGCAGCATCCGCACAAGCCAACGGCCGAGAGATACAACCACGACATCGAGAAGTTGCGCAAGGTGACGAAGCACGGGCGGTTGGCGCTCAAGCGATGCTGGATGTTTGGCATGGGCCTGTTGAACGTAACGGAGCAGTACGGGTGGTTGCAGGCCGCGTTCGGAAAGGAGGTGCTTGAGGCGCGGCAGAGACGGGATGCCGAGAGGCAGCGGATTGAGTCGCAGAGGTCCGCTTGGGGGTAATCAGACGCTGTCTCTGGTTTGATTGTGGCGTTGCGGTGGTGGATGGGATGAGGTTGTGAAATAGCACTATCGTTCCGAAGGCAGATGGCGGGAATCGTGCAGTTGCAAAGCGTCCAAATGTCCCGCACCCATTCTATGCCTTGTCATAATTGTCGTCATTCATGCATCTCCTCCTCCCCTCATCTCCACCCCCCAACCCGCCCCTCATCCCACCGCCCCTTCCTCTCCCTCCGCAAGAAAGCCAACTTCCTCCCCTCCTTCACCCTCTTGACAAAAGCCTCCACCTCAGCACTACTCGCCGCCCCTCCATTTCCCCCAGGAGAAACATCCTCCATCCAACTCTCCTCCACCCCGCGCACCAGATTCTCCTGCTCCCCCACACTAGCGCTCAACCGCTGGTACAGCGCCATGGGACTCCACTGCTGCAGCGCGCTCTCCGTCTCCTCGAGTTTGGCGCGGTGTTGGCGCTCGAGGGCTTTGAGGGCGAGCAGGCGGGATTGTGTTTGGGCGCGCTTTTGGGAGAGGGTTTGTTCGAGGGTGAGGAGGGTGTTGGAGAGATGGAGGTTGGCGTCGAGGAGGGGGGTCAGAGCGGAGTGGCTGGCGGGGATGGAGGGGTGGGTTGTTTGGGGGGCGGAGAGGAGGGATGTTTGCAGGGTTGTGTTGGAGAGGAGGTGGTGGAGGTCGGATGTGCTGCGGTGGAGGCAACGGTTAGTTCATGGGTGTAGGGGGATCGAGCTGCGGTGGATATACCTCTTGTCTTTGATGCTCTCGGGCAGCCATCCCGGCTCAATTGGCGGAATACTCAGCTGCTGCTGCTGTGGCGGCGATGCGTAACGTCGAGGCTGTTGCGAACTCGCGTCATATGCAGAGCGGCCGTCTAATTCGAGAGGTTCATTGTAGTTTGGTGGGGGTGGGGGAAGCGGAGGGCCTTGGTGTTGCTGTTGTTCGGCCGAGGAAGGTTTGGGTGGCGGAGCTGGAGGTGTGACGGCGTAGTATGGCGGAGTTGGCTGGGGCTGCGGAAGGGAGGTGGCATCATAAGACATTGTCTTCTCGCTGCAGTAAGAGAAGGAGTGTAAGTCATCGATGGAGGGGTTTGAGATGACGAGGCAGTTGTAAGCGATCCGCACTTCTGCCCCACCGTAGAAGCTGCATCGTGCATCGACATCTCCCTTTGCTCATGCACCACCGTTACACCGAAAACACATTCATTGCACTCATCACACGATTTACCCTTGGACTTGGCCTTTCCATCCTCACACCCAATCATGCCCCACGATCTTCACCCCCAATAACAACAAGCCGGCAATGCGGCGTAGGAGAAAGAGCCACCCCCTCTCTGGAGCGTTGTACATCTCCCCGTATTCAACATGGCAGCGAAGAAGGGTGGAGGATGGGGCTCCGTCTTCTCCAGCGCCGTAGCAGGCCTCGAATCCCGTCTGGACACCATCCTCGCCGAAGATAACGAGGCGTCGGCAAAGGCTCGCGCGGAGAGGGAGGCTCACAAGACGCTAGGCGTCCCCGCGGCGCCTTCGGACAACAGAGATGCCCGCACCCGTGCGAACGACAGACTGGCGGAGCGATTGGCCAAGGTTACGGCCGCCAAAGCATCCCCCCGAAATCAAAGCCCTGCGAAGCCCAGTCCTCGCCCCAGTCAGGATGGTAAAGAGGTCGATAAGCAAGAGGAAGAGGCTGCGACTTTGACAGAAGACGTGGCTGTGGAGGTCAAGGAAGAGCGCCCAGATGTGGCGTCGTCTGTGGAACAAGAGCAGGACGACGTGAAAGAGGAGCACTCCGCCATCCCACCCATCACTCTACCCCTCCGACCGTCCGTGGAGAGCAGCGCCCGACCATCAATCGACATTCCCCGATCCGAGGTCTCCTCCCGTCCCTCCACCGAATTCGCCAATGGCAGTCTGCCTAAATCAAGCATCGAACTACAAGCAGCCCTGGGCCAACAGCGGGAAGAAATGCACATCTACCTGGAGAAGATCGATGCTCTCCAAGCCAAGCTCACGTACCTCGCCCAACAAACTGTCGCTGCGGCGAAAGAAGTCAACGCTTCAAGTCCTGCCGGCAGCCAGGAAGGCAAACTGGCGGAGAAGGACGAACAGATCGCTCAGCTCATGCAAGAAGGAGAGAAGCTGAGCAAAGCCGAGTTGAGACATTTGCAAACCATCAAGAAGCTGCGGCTCAAGGCCACGGAGGAGGAGAAAATGGGGACTGAGACGAAGAGGAAGCTGGAGAGAGCTGAGCAGGCGGAGAAGGAGTTGAAGCAAAAGCTGCGGAGGGCGGAGGTTGCTGAGCGGCAGGCGAGCGACAAGGCGAAGCAGATCTCGGCGATCGAGAAGCAAGTTGATGAGTTGAAAGTCGATCGCGAGAATGCTTCCGAGCTGGTACGGAGCCTCACAACTCAATTGAAGGAGGCGAAGGAGCATGCCGAGCGAGTTGAAAGAGACGCCAAAGAGAAAGTAAACGAGGCCGACAAGGGACGCATCGCAACGCTTGAAAACGATTTAGAAGACGCGCAGATCGAGCGCAAGTTGGCCGAGACTCGTGCGGAGGCGGAAGTCAAGAAGATCCGCGAGGACCTCGAGGGGCAGAAGCAACGCTTCTCCGTCCGCGAACTGGAATTAAAGAATGAGATGAGCAGCCTCGAGACAAGAGTGGAGGCTATGCGCTCGCGAGCGGAGGAGGCGAGTGCGGATGGTGGTGTTAGTGGTGAGAGCAGCATCAAGTTGTTAAGACAGGTGGAGACGCTTCAGAGTCAGTATGCTCTTGCGAAAGAGAACTGGGAGACTATCGAGGGGTCCTTGAATGCCAGGCTGGTGGCTCTCGAAAAGGAGAGGGACGAATCCGGTCGACGAGAGACGGAGGCCAGGAAGCGAGCGAGGGAAGCTGCTGTGCGGGCAAGGAAGGCGGAGGAGGATGGGGAGAGCGAGAAGGAGAAGACGCGAGATCTGGAGGTGGACATACGAACTCAGAGAGAAGAGTTGGAGTCGCTTAGGTCGAAGCTGGAAAGAAGTGAAAGCAGCCAGACCGATGCCAAAGCAGAGCTCGAACGTCAAAAACAGCAGCTCGAATCCGAATTCGCGCAAAGACTCGAAGACGAAAGGATAAAGTGGCAGCAGAATCAAGCGCTCTCCGCTGCCGCCCTGCCGCCGCAGACGCCGACATCCCCTCTCACGTCCCGCAAGGCCTCAAACCACTACGACACGCGCCGCCCACTGTCCCGAATGGTAACGAGCGAACTCACCACCCCTCAATACACTCTCGACTCCCCCCGCCCCGTGAGCAGAAGAAGCTGGACCAGCGCCTTCTCCCCTCAACCCAAACTCTCCCCGCAACAACCCAGCCCACCCGTCCTCAGCCGGCAAGAAAGCACCTTCTCCCTCGACCGCAACAACAGCTTCCCCATCCAAACCCCCACCATCGAAATCGACACCCATGACCTCGCCCCAGACGAGGCCTTCGAGATGCCCCCCGCGCCAGACACGGGTCCGCAATCGCCCGATTTCAACGGCGCCACTTTCGCCGATCTCGTGTCTACTTCTACCGCTCCTACTTCTGGGCCGTCGGTGCAGCTTATGGAGCGCATGTCTGCTCTTGTCCGGCGCTTGGAGACGGAAAAGGCGGCAACGAAGGATGAGTTGCAGCGTCTCACGTCGCAGCGGGACTCGGCGCGCGATGAGATTGTGAGTTTGATGCGCGAGGTGGATGCCAAGCGTGATGCAGAGGCGACGATGAAGAGGGTGGAGGGGGAGATGAAGGTGTTGGAGGAGCGGTATGAGGCTAGCTTGGAGATGTTGGGGGAGAGGGAGGAGGAGGCGGAGGAGTTGAGGGGGGATGTGAGGGAGTTGAAGCGCTTGTATCGCGAGTTGGTGGAGGAAAAACTGGGGTCGGGGAAACCGGCGGCGAGATAGATTGAATAGAACTGTGAACTGCTATCTGTGAGCCACTTTGTCGGACTACTATCGCTCATCCCCGCCGTTCTTCAACTCTGACCGTCGCCTCCCTCCCATCAACGTACGTTCCTAATGTTCTCGTACCAGGCACAAGCACAGTCTCTCGCTTTATCCACTCCCCTTCCGCACCCGCTGCAGCAGCTTCTTCGTCATCGCTACTATCCCACCACTCGGGTGCGCCCCTCGCATCATTCCGCCCGGCGGGATCCCTCTCATTCGTCTCGAGTATCAGATTCAAGTCCAACGGCATGACGCCTAGCCGTTTGCCCACCGTGCCGAGCAGGGCGTAGATGTTGAACGTTTTCGGCACCTCTTCTGTCCAGTGTCGTTCACTGATCTGCGGCATCTCACTCGCAGCTAGTATGAAAGTGACGGCGACAAGTCTCGCGGCAAGACTGTTGGGCTCCACTTGTCCATTGGCTTTGCTTCGCCGTTGAATACTGGGCTCGCCGTATTCTTCGCAAAGCTCACGATATCTGGGATGTTTGGCGAGGATACCTGCTTCAGCTTCCTCCGAGGCCAGAGAGAGTTCTGCAGCTATTTGGCCCAGATAATACGTCTCAGCGTTGAGGCGCTCCTTTTCGGTGATTTTGGCGTAGTTGAGGAATTGTAGTTGCGGGAGGCGGGCGAGGGTCAGCATGTAGCCGTCTTCTGATGTTAACGGTTTGCCTTCCGCTGAGACGAGATGCTGGTAGAGGGAATTTCCTGTGACGCGGAGATGGGTGAGGTTTGGGAAGGTGTGCTTTGTTATTGAGTTGAAGAAGAGCCAAGTGTCGACGGCGTTGTAGGTGAGGTCTATTTCTGTAACGCTGAGTGCGAATGCTGGCTCAGCTTCGGTCGTGACGGTCTGAATGCGGTTGCGTCTCAGCAATATTGTGTGGAGGTGTGGGTTTTGTAGATGGCGAAGGTCGGAAAGCGAGATTAGCTCGTTGTCGGAGAGATCCAGTGTCGAGAGATGAGGAGGTGTTTGCAAGTGCAACGGGCCGGAAATTTCATTTGCTGTGAGAACGAGCGTCTCCAATTTTGGGAAGCGAGAAATGATGCCGTCGCGATCTTTGGGTGAAAAGAGCGTTGTAGCGAGGCTGAGGTACTTGACAGTGGCGATGACTGACAATGTGCCGTGCCCAGAATCGCCATAGCTGCCACCCACAGCGAAACGATTGCTATCGAGCGTGAGCGTTCTGAGTTTGGGAAACAACTTGCACAACACCAAGACCTCTTGAAAAGCCTCGAAGAGATTGCCACTGAGATCGAGCTCTGTGATGTCGGCACATAGATGCTGGATCGCGGATTTTTCCTCGTCAGATTGGAAGGCGTGTTTTATCCGCATGCGGTCCAGAACCAGAACATGCACGCCATGCAGACGCGATTGGCGCTGGGAGAACTTCTCGAATCCCACTTCCTCGGCTTGCTTTCCGGAGATGTAGACGATCTGGGCCTGGTCGGCGTGGTAGTCGGGCATGTACTTGTCTTTCAGCGCTGTAAGGAACGAGCGTGGCGCATCCCATGATTGGGCTGGCTTGACAAATGAAGCCGCTGTTGGAGATTTGCTGCGACCTGCACCGATATTCAGTGATCTGTGTTAATCATTCGGTGCTTCGGGAGGACATACAGTGGAAGTATCTCACGCCGGCGAAGGTGCCATCGTGTTTCCCGCGGGCAGGATCATCCCATTCGACTCCCAACCATGAGCCAGCCTTGTCTCCAACTGTACCGAGATATTGAACAGTACACGCTTGGCCTTTAAGCGAGAGGCGTTGGCCGACGTAGTATTCCGGTGTTGTCATCTGACTGACATGGTTTTGTAGATTTGCAGCATGCGTGTTGATTCTTGATCAGATAGTTCTCATGAATCAAGGCGAGGTGAAGTGCAACAGTGGCCCACGACTTTTGACCGCCAGAGTGTAAGAAGTTGACTGCCTCGCGAAACTTTTTGGACTCTTCCATTCCCTCTCACTCCACCACGCCCGTGAGTGTAATCACACAACAACATGGACTACCAAAACCGAGCGGGCTCCAAGTTCGGCGGCGGCGGTGTCGCCTCGCAGTCCGCCACCAACTCTGATCGTCGCGAGCGTCTACGCAAGCTCGCCCTCGAAACCATCGATCTCGACAAAGACCCGTACTTCTTCAAGAACCACGTCGGCAGCTTCGAGTGCCGCCTGTGCCTGACCGTGCACCAGAATGACGGCTCCTACCTCGCCCACACGCAAGGGCGCAAGCACCAGACGAATCTCGCCCGTCGTGCTGCCCGCGATGCGCAACTCGGTCGGAAGAAGGAGGAGGAGGCGTATACCGGGGCCAACGCGGTGCAGGTGAAGCGTAATGTAGTCAAGATTGGTCGCCCGGGGTACAAAATCACAAAGACACTCGATCCAGTTACGCGACAGCAAGGCTTACTCTTTCAACTTCAATACCCGGAAATCACCCAGAACGTCATCCCGCGTGTACGATTCATGAGCGCATACGAGCAGAAGGTGGAGGATCCGCCCGACAAATCATTCCAGTATCTTCTCGTTGCCGCCGAGCCATACGAGACTTGTGGGTTCAAGCTGCAGGCGAGGGAGGTAGATCGCAGAGAGGACAAGTTCTGGACGTGGTTTGATCAGGACAGCAAGGAGTTTTGGATTCAGGTCACTTTCAAGACGGAGAGGGAGGAGAGGTATAGTGGTGTGCCGGGTCTGGCGCCGAGTGGGCCAAGGGGTGGTTGAACAAAGAGAAGTGAAGCTGGACCAATTTGAGCTGGACGACCGCGCTGCCCTTCCACGAACAATATTGCGGTTGGGGGGCGATAGAGCTCGACGACGACGACTACAATGTTTAGTTCTGAGAGCAATGCGCCAAAGTATCATCAGAGGCATGGAAAGCGCGCACAACATGCAATGGAGGCGTCAGAAAGTCGTAGACATATGGCTACAGGATGTCAATTGCCAGGAATGCCATACGATCAACTCCGCGGGATACTCCTATGTGCACCTTATCGACTAGAACTAGTCCAGGAGGTATTCGCGCTGCAGGAGCTGCGAGAGAACACCGAATACAGATGGTGTCTCTTATGCTACATTCCATAGCTTGCTGCAGACAATCGTTGGAAACTGAGCACGTGATGAACATTACTCCTTCCTCCTCCTCGAAACAGATCGTTTAGAACTCGTATAATCGGAATACAATGCAATGCATGACACCTGCGTGTATGAAGTATTCGTATCGGCACCGTGACAAGGCTCGGTGAACGCGAAGGGGCTGTGGCGGAAATTCCAAACCTCCCCGGGCTTCTTGAAAGTCGACCTTTCCAACGCGACACCTCGCGTGCCACACGTGTTGACCAACTTCACATCACTTCTTGACCTTCTGGACACCGCCATCCCCTTCACCTCTAATTCAAGCCTCGATGGTATTTCCCTTGCTCTGACTCCACATCAACAACCATGCCGCCGCGAAAAAGCAACGTCTCGGTGGTGTCTAATGGGCCGGAGGAGGCAGCGGCGGAACCGACGCCTTCCAAAGGATCGAGAGACGGTGCGGGAATCGAGGTATGCTTCCTCTCTCACGCCGCGCAACCAGCCAAATGCCCTGTCGCTAAGACGGCCCACGTTCTAGGACCTGAGTCTGCCCAAGTCCATGATCAGCCGGCTGGCCAAAGGAGTTTTGCCGCCCAATACTCAGATACAAAGGGATGCGCTGTTTGCGCTGCACAAAAGCGCTACTGTTTTTGTCAGTTATCTTGCTTCAAAGTGAGTGCATACTCTCTCCTCTTGTACGATTGGGGCAGACAGGCTGATCTTCTTCACCACGCAGCGCAAATGAAAGTGCACAGGCGGGTGGGAAGAAAACCATCATGCCTGCTGACGTCCAGGCCGCTTTGAAGGACTGCGAATTAGAGGGTTTCCTGCCCCGGTTGCAGGCAGAGCTGACTAGTGAGTACTTCTACTTTCGTCAACATTTCCTCTGAAGGCGAGGCGTTCTAACGGCGGCTGTGCAGAATACGTGGAAATCCAAAGCGACAAGCGCAACACGTACCGGCGGAAGGTCAAGGAGGGCAAGGCTGCTACTACTACCGAGGAAGGCGAGGGAGGTGAGGCGCGGCCAGATGCTGGCGCGGGCGTGGATGATTCCGGCGCCACGTTTGCGAATGGGCATGCGGACGGCGATGCTGGGGAGGGGGATATAGACCGGCCGACGAAGAAGTTCAAGGCTGAGGATGGCACCGCTGTGAACCCGGATGGAGACGGGGGAGAAGATGATTCTATGGAGGACAGTCGAATGGAGAGAGAGGACTACGAGGACGAGGATGGGGATGGGGATGAGGCGGAGGAGGAGGAAGACGAGGAGGAAGAAGATGAAGATGAGGATGATGGCGGGGCGCAGCTTGCCGACGACGACCACGAAGAAGATGCCCCTTCTATCAGCCACATTCGTGATGAAGCGCTGGACGAGCGGGACAGCGACAGCGATTGAGTGATGACTTCATGGGGGGAGTAACAGGGGCGGATTTCATAGATGGTACGGGTACGTACGGCGGATGTACCATGAATTGGCAAGACTGCATACCAGTCCAAACTTATGAGAATGGTCAGGACGTGACACTGAGTTCACGTTAAACAGGTTCATGTGTTCAATGCCGGAGTCATATCGTCACGCTGTTACCCCCGGGGAGAATTCGGAGAAAAAGTGAGAGGAATATTGGCAACTAAAATTTCTTATCCCCGCAAAATCCGTCCAAACGGACGGCGAAAAAAATTTGCTATTGCCTGAGCCTTGCTGGCGCAATGGTAGCGCGCCAGACTTCTATTCAATTAGAGATCTGGAGGTTGTGGGTTCGAGTCCCGTATGTTGAACAACCTCCATCAATTCGCGCTACCTTTTCGTACTGACGTTTGTTCAGACGTAGGGTGCAACACGAACAGTGTTTCTTTTTCGCTCCCGTGTTCTCTTTTTGGTTCCGGTCGTCGTCGTTGTCGTCGACCCTTATTGGCGGAGGGTTGATTTTAGAACCTGTCTACAATTTCGAGCCTTCCCTCTAGTAAGCAACACCGCACTTCACCTTAGCGACAGCCGTATTCCCGCTCGGCGTCCTTCATTCGAAAGATGCCGTCCGCGCCGGTAAAGCGATCGGCCTTTTTGATGTACACTTCCTCCACAATCTCCCGTTTATTATCGATCATCATCACCATCAGAGAAGCGGCGTCGAATTGGACCCTCCAGCTCCGCCAGCACCAGCCTGTTACCTCTTCGGTCTCGTCATCGAAAATGGAGTCCTTGAGATGAACAATAACCGTCTTCGTTTCTACACCGTAGTCGTCCAAAACGACAAACACACCGCCCAAGACCCAGTTGAAGCGGCGCGACCGATCGTTGACAATGTCGCGTAACTGGTCGTTGGTAAAGTCCTCAAACACGTCGAAGTCGACCTTTACGACGAAGCTGTTGGCTTTCGTCTGATCCGCTTCTGCCACGCGGGCTGGGTTGAAGGGGTTGGTCACCGGGAATTCCTGGTCGGCCTCTTGCAATTGACGAACGAGCTGAATACCGTGTTACTAAGGCCAGGTCGGCGCTCTCGACGGGTCTGCTTACATCGGGTGACGTGTTCTGGGAGGTGATGAAGAGGAAGGATCTCGACATGTCGGTTGCCGTTCGCGGGAAGTATTGAGAGGTGGTGAGAGGAGTCGCGGATAAGAGAGATGGTACCGTAGAGACGGAGGCGAAAAGATGGTAAGAAAGGAAGAGAGGCGATGGAAGGGCGAGTGCAACGAATGAGCCACGCGCCAGAGAGGTGGGCGGCTAGATGTTATATATAGCTGGGCGGCACGGCAGGCGTAGATATAACATGAAACGGTACAACTCAACTTACCCGTTCGTACTGACGATTGATCAGACGTAGGGTGCTGTGCGCTGCGGCAGCCTTTTCTTTTTCGTTTCCTCATGGGTCTATCGCGTCGCGTTGTGGTCTCGTCCTCCCTCGTCGATGGAGCGTCAACTTCTTTCCTTTCCACTTTTCTGTACTTTTTGCTATCTGTTTCTGAACTCCTACCTAGGCTTTAATCGTGAAAGGATCTCTAATCTCCTCGCCCAAATCGAGCATGACATTCTTCGTCCTGGTGTACTCCAACAACGCCTCCGTCCCTCTCTCCTTGCCATAACCACTGTGATCAAACCCCCCGAATGGTGCCATTGCCGAAGAAGCCCGATAGGTGTTGATCCAGACTTGGCCAGCGTTGAGTTGTCGGCTGAGTAGATGGGCCTTTCGCACGTTGGTCGTCCACACCCCAGCTGCCAGGCCAAAAACAGTGCCGTTTGCAATTTGAATCGCTTCCTCGTCGCTATCAAACGGTATGATGGCCAGGACCGGTCCAAAGATCTCCTCTTGCGCTAGAGCACTGCTAGGGTCCACGTCCGTGAACACGGTTGGCGCGACGAATAGGCCTCCGATTTTGAGGCTTGCTTCTCGCCCGCCTGCAGCCAGCTTCCCTCCTTCCTGCACCGCCCTGTCGATGTGGCGATGGATGGACTCCCATTGTCCGGCATGGGCACATGGGCCCATATCCGTGGTCATGTCCTGGGGATCCCCGAAACGTATCGACTCAATCCTTGCCAGGATGGCTTTTGTGACCTTTTCGTAGACGGAGCGATGCACGAGTAGTCTCGAGCCAGCGATGCAAGTCTGGCCCGACGCCGCAAAGATCCCAGCAACACTTCCAGCCACCGCTCGATCGATTTCAGCATCGTCGAGAATGATGTTGGCCGACTTGCCGCCCAGCTCGAGCGTGACGGGGACGATGTTTTGTGCGCCTTGTTTAGCAATCTGGCGGCCAATGCCAACGCTGCCGGTGAAGCTGATGCGCTTGACCAGCGGGTGCGTGACGAGCGCCTCTCCGACGTCTGCCTTGCCAGCTACAACGTTGAATACGCCAGGCGGGAATCCGGCCTCGATGATTAGCCGGGCAAAGTACAATGTGCTCACCGACGTGAACTCGGACGGCTTGACGACGCACGTGTTCCCCGCCGCCAAGCACGGAGCCAGTTTGTTCGCCAGGATGGCGATCGGGCTGTTCCAAGGGGTGATGAGCGCACACACGCCAAACGGCTCGCGCAACGTGTAGTCAAACACCGTCAGGCTGTCGAGCGGCTTCACCTCGCCCACCAGCTTGTCCGCCATGCCGGCGAAGAAGCGATAGTTGCGCGCGGCAAACGACATCTGCGCGCGCGTCTCGCGCCGGATCTTGCCATTGTCCGACGTTTCGATGCGTGACAGCTCGTCGGCATGTTCGTCAATCACGTCCGCCAGGCGGTGCATCAGCGTGGCGCGATGCAGTCCCGAGGTCTGCGACCAGGTTTTGAACGCGGCTGCAGCAGCCTGAACTGCTTTGTCTACATCCTCGACTGAGGCTTGCGCGACTTTCGCCCACGGCTGCTGGGTGAAGGGGTTGACGGTGTCTTCGTTGCCGGCCCTGCCTGCTACGTCTTGGCCGTCGATGTGCAGCTTGTACTCTGCATGCTCTACTTTCTCCATGGCGCAAATACTTCAAGTGCTTCTCCAGGAAGAGACAACGATCAGTGTTTGTTCTTGTCCACTACTACTTTGGCAAATTAACAATTCACAAACTCGCCGGCCGTCATCGGAGCTGAAACTCGACGTGCATTTCCCGCGATTCAACGAGTTGTGAGAGCCATTCGAGCCCGGGATTTCGGGGCATGTTTCCCGCAACAGGCGATGGAGTTTATTTATGCGCTTGCGGCAGACATGCCGGTCCTTGGGAACGCAAGATTCTGCTTTGTGCATCTCGGAGTGAATGAGTTCGTTTCATGTCAAACTTGTCGGAAATACGTGAGAGCTATACTAAATAGCTTGTGAGATACGGAAGCGGACACTGGTATTCTTCTTCCAACCATCAGTTTGTCGTGGCTTTACAATCAACTTTTGCTGTCCTTGTTGGAGCAAACCCCTGACTGAAAAGGACGATCTTTGCACACGTCGAGGTCAGAATATGTCCACCAATTCAGTCGTCGTCATTGGACTCGGTGCAATGGGTGGCGCCATCGCTGTCCGTCTAAAGGAGCAAGGCGTGGACGTAACAGGCTACGATATCAATCCCGAGGCTCGAGAGCGCTTCCGGGCAGCTTCGGGGAAGGTTGCAGCGGATGTCGAGGTCGTCCGCACCGCCGATACGGTCATTACGAGCTTGCCAAACGACGACAATCTGTGCGCCTCGCTGAAGGAGGGCGGCGTGATAGAGCGACTGCAGCCGCATCAGACCTTCATCGAGATGAGCACAACACTTCCGCAGACAATGGTAGACGTAGCCGAGTCTCTGCGAAGCAAGGTCCGGGGAGTAGTCGACGCGCCCGTCAGCGGCGGGCCAAACGAAGCCAAAGCCGGCAAGCTGAGCATCCTCGTTGGCGTCGAGGGGAAGGATGGAGACGGCGAAGGAGATCTTGCGCCCGCGACCAGAGAACTCCTGTCCAACCTGGGCACTGTCCACATCATCGGCCGGCCGGGCAATGGCAAAGCGTTGAAGCTCGTCAACAATGCCATATCGCTAAGCAATACGGCACTCGCCATGGAGACTTTCCAGCTCGGCACGGCACTGGGCTTGGATCGCGAAACGATGTTCAAAGTCATCAGCACATCAGGAGGATCATCGACCATGTTCAAAAAGCGCATTCCATATGTGCTGGACAACGACTACTCCGCCCGATTTTCTGTCTCTCTCGCAGAAAAGGACACGCGATTGGCATTGCAGACGGCTGGGAAACTGCACTTCCCAACCCCTCTGCTGGCAAATGTGCATCAGCGGTATGAGGCTGCCATGGCACAAGGCTTGGGGAATGAAGATATTGTAGCACTCATCAAGCTTTATGTGCGAGAGTGACATTGAAACGGTGTATGTGCATCGGCAACAACTTGCCCTTTCCGGCCTTGAACTTGCTTTCCTGCTCACTCGAGATGTTCGAAATCTATCACGATCTAGAACTACCCCTAAGACGCATCGACACCCGTGAACGTACGCAGTTCCGCAATGGTGAGGTGGAAAGTGGCGTGACATGCCGAACGAGGTGCCCTTTGATGAAAGGGCATGCTTGCTGGAGATAACAAGAGGCAGGTCGGTGCCTTTGAGGCGAATATGCCAGCGTCTTCGCAAAGATTGTTCGCTCGATGTCACAATCTCCAGAGGACTTTGCGAGGATATCATTCGATAGCATCGAAACATCCTTCAGCTTCGATTATCAAAGCCAGCCAAATCACCGAGCTGCGCCAGGTCTAAATCCGTTTGCCACGCCGGATCGACACCAAAAGAAGTATCGCCATTGCATAGTAACTCGTTGAATGGATCAGGGGGAAGCGAGTAGCTTCCGAAATCGGGCAGTAGAGCATCCTCCCACTCACCGCCCAACGTATCCGCTTCCATGCCCACAAAGCCATCACTGCTCCCTGTATCCAGACTTGAGGACTCCGTCGGATGAGTGGCAGCCTCCAACATCTTCTCATACAAGCGTTGCAGGATGCGAAAAGCCGAGCCGGCCAAGTCGTTACTAGCCCGCAGCACCTTCAGCCTCTCCAAAGCCCCCTCAACGTTCTCTTTTGTGGCTGCAAAGTCCCCCATAAACTCCTCCGGAAAGCGAACGTGCACGGCGACAATCAGCACCGTGGCATCGAATGTCGCGAAGACCCACCCGAACGCTTTGTGCTGCAGAGGCTCCGTCCGGTCGAAGAGCCGGGCTTGCGATTCGAGGATCTGCGTTGCCGCGTAGACTGCTGTGGCGCGACTGCGCGCGGATGCGAAGATGAAGGGTCGGTGGAGGGAGAAGAGGACAAAGTACATGTTGGTTGTCATGATTTCCAAGGCCGCGGGGAGCCAGGCGGGTTCACAATCGCGAGATCTCTGGGGTCGGGCCCATTCGGGCAGGTTGGAGAGGTTGGCGAGGAGACGGTCGTGGATATTGTCGACGAGTAGGCGGGAATCGTCGATCTTCTCCAAGTCGTGGATCTCTTGCAGGTATCTGTAGGCAGTGTGGTAGCCGCACAGAATCACGTCTCTAGGTTGGGGTGGCCGGGGTGCATCGGCGCTGCAGTCCCATGGCGTTGGGGATGGCACATCGTCGGGGTTTAATCTCGTCGACATTGGCCTTCCAAGGACAATGCCCATATGTGCATCCCAAAGGTGGAGCATCAGCCACACCTTCCGGCCCAGGTCGTGGTGTGCGGTTTCGGTCCTCCACGATATGCGCTGCTGCGGCTCCAGCTTGTGAAGACCAAGCTCTTGGGCTTCGCGAATGGCAGTTCCTAGGGTATGCCACGCCTCCGTGACTGCGCCAGTGGTTTTCTCAAAGCAGCATCGCATGAGTGTTGCCTGCACTATCGTCAGGCTGAGCTCGCTTTTCTTAAACGACGACGCAATGCGCATTCCTGCGTCACTGTATTCTGCCGCCCGGTCGGAGAGCTCCATGTCGGCTGCATACTTCAAGTCATTAAGACACTCGTCATGTCGCTGAGGTTGAAACAGCAGAGCTTGTGCTAGAACCTGGAATAAGAGGGCAGGAAAAGCCTTGAGGCTAGTCGGGAGGCCTTCTGGCGCCAGCGTCAGCTGTTTGTGCGACAGAGCGCTCCATTGGGATAATTGGGCGGTAAAGGTGGCCTCGTCCACAATGTCGTAGTGCCAGGCGACATTTTGGAAGAAGGCTTGTACTAGAAAGTCGACGTGCCGATGGGCTGGAAGTTCTCGAATGGTGCTTGCGTACTTATTCGTGGTAGAATCATGGCGGGTGCGCGATTCATGATATACACCCGTGGACGCTCCTAGGCCGCGGATGATTCCCGGCGTTCCCTTGGTGTCGTTGGCATAGCCTAGCACTCTGGACTCGTCGTCCTCGGCGCTCGTAGCCGTGGAAGTGGTGTCTACATGGGATTGCGTGAGGTCATCCGCTGCTTGTCGGTCCGGGTGGGCAGGAAGGAAAGCGATGCGCTCTCGCTCTAGTTCGTAGACACATGCACTCTGTTCTCCTTAGCAAATGACAGGTTCTGCAAGAAGCCAACATACTCTTTTGCCTCGCCTCATGCAGCGAGTACACGGCTGGCGACGATCGCACTACAACATTAGCCTTGTTCGCGCTGCGGGCCTGTATACGGCTAAAAGGTACCTTTTCTTTCCGCCGATGGCATTCTCTACATGAAACCATGGGGCGCTTTCGCCTTGTAGAGGGCGCAAAGCCATCATTGCTAGCTGACATCGGGATTGCAGGGAGAGAAGCTCGAGTCGAGGTCTTGAACGTACAAGTGTGGAATGAATGTAGATGTGTGAGGAGGTTGAAGTTGCCCTGCAGGTTGAACTCATGTGCGGGGGCAGTTTCACGAACCTACGGGAATTTGCGGCCGCGAGTGAGATCTTTATTTGCATCAGGGGTTGGGACTAGAAGTTGAACGTTTTAATGACAAAGAAGCATTATATTATTGAGCATTAGATGTCGGTGTGAGATACGCTGCTTGGACGATACGTTGCGGCGCCTGCAAGGCTGTCCTTGTGAATGCGGCCTTTCACACAAGACCCAATCGTTTGACCTCCTCCCAAGTGTCCTCCACGGTCTGCCGGAATGGGGTGAATGTCAGATTCAACACCCCTTCGGCATTGCTTCGATCAAGACCAAAGTGTTTGGCCCTGTCACAGTGTGCCCCTTCCTCTCCCAATCCCTCTTCACCCCTCGCCCTCAGCTCCCCAAGGCCATCTTCCAAGTAATCCACCCCTCCACACAGTAAATATCTCTCGCTAATATTCTTCTCTAATGCCAGAGCTCTCACATGCGCCTTTGCCACGTCTCTGACGTCCACCCAAGCTGGCAGCCCCGGCGTTGCGACCTTTGGCTTGAACGCTGGATTCCGGCCCTGCAACCCCACGACCAAGTCCTTCAAACTAGTGTTCAACCCCTCTACTCCCTTGTCCGTGTGGACCTCGTGATAGGGCGGACCGTAGATCATAGGCGGACACAACGTGACAAGGTCCCAGGAGATCTCGCCCTTGGCTTTGGCCTCTTCCCACATGTCCCAGGCCGCGCGCTCGGCAAACGTCTTGCTGGCGAAGTACCCAAAGAATCCATTCTCAGCGGCCTGGTCGCGCGTGACTGGATTCCAGTCGGTTGTTGTGTACATGTACCCGGGCCGCGTGCCTTTGGACATGTCCATGACGGCGGCAAAGCTGCTCAAGATGGTCATTTTCCTCAGCGTCTTGCTTGCGAGTGCGCTTCGGACGACATTGCGAGTCCCATTGACGGCGGGCTCGACGAGGCCTCTGATCGGGTCGTCCGTCGATGTGAAAAAAGGGGAGGCAACGTGGCAGATGAAGTCGACTCCTTGAGCAGCTTCGTCGAGGGCGGCTGAGGCTTGGATGTCGGGGACGGCGATGAAGGTGAGGTCTTGGTCGCGGCAAGCTTGCGGGTATTTCAACTGGAAGAAAGTGCTTTTCGACAGGGATCGGACAGTTCCACGCACGCGGTAATTCGCCTTCAAGAGCTGATCAAGGACGTGAGCACCGACGAAGCCATTCAGGCCCGTTAGGAGAACGAGAGGCTTGGTTTCATCAGACATTGCAGCAATCGAATCTAGACTTCGATAAGTCGCAGGGTCTTGTATTCTTTGCATTGGAGGAGTCGTATGTTCTTCTTCTCATGTACTGGTTCAGCCGTTTATATAATTGCAGGCAACGAGGTACATCCGATCGCAGGTCGGCGTTACTTGACGGAATGAGGCGGTGTTGGCCATGACCGCACAAGCGGCCGCCGTGGACGAACCGGAGATAAAGTATACCAACGGAGGAGAGAAGGTATCATGCCGCGTATTCGGAATGTGCAGTGCCATGGCTCACAACACGCAAACTTTGGCGGTGATGTTGGACATGATGGCGCTTTCGGCTTCGGCGACGATCCTGGCGTCGGAGATGTTTTTGGCGACAGCTTTCGGCGACGACTTTCGGCGACGACTTTCGGCGACGACTTTCGGCGACGACTTTCGGCGACGACTTTCGGCGATGATTTTACTGATCGATTCAGAACCGATGTTGTTACTGTTCGAATGGCCCCAGTGCTTTATAAATTCAATCACCTATGCTGCTTCCGTTGCGCTGTTTTGAAACGGTACACGAAAGTTCCTCTTCCTTGGAAACTTCTCTCTACACACATCAACGACTCGCACTCTATCATGCCGTCCCATGGCCAGTACACCACCGAGAGGGTCAAGTACGCATCTCACGGCGAGACGGTGGCCGGTATGCTTTTCAAACCGACCAATGTTTCCAACCCGCCAGGCGTCGTCATAACCGGGCCTTACTCGTTCGTCAAAGAACAAGCCCCATTCCAGTACGGCACTCGCCTTGCCGATGAAGGCTTCGCGGCACTCATCTTCGACCCGCGCACCGTCGGCGAGAGTACTGGAGAGCCGCGTCGTCTCGAGAATCCGAAGATGAAGAATGAGGATGCTCGAGCCGGGCTCGACTATCTCATCTCCCGGGGCGATATCGACGCCAACAAATTGTTCCTCGCGGGAATCTGCCAGGGAGGACCAGAGTCTCTGGACATTGCCTCCTACGATGATCGGGTCGTAGGGGTGGCATCCGTCTCGGGCTACTTCCGGGATCACGAAACGGACATCTACATGATCTGCGCTGGCTGCGTCAACTGGAAGCCGGGAGATGATATCGGCGCGATGAAAATGCCAACTCCAGAGCAAGGCGAGGCATTGTACCAAGCAAGGCTGGAGCGAGCCAAAAAGGCACGCGAGGAGTTTGAGGCTACCGGAAAAGTTCAATACAAACCACTGGTTGATCCACAGGCAGCTGATCCAACGACTGGATCTCTGGCAGGACTACCGGGTCCGGTGGTGTGGTCATGGTATGGCCCGTGGACGCTGAAAGGGTTCGACAACCGCTACGCGGTGATGAGTGACCTGGATCACTTTGGGTACACAACGGTGCCCGGCGTTGCCAAACTCACCAAGCCGGCTCTGGTGATCCACGGCGACAACTGCATGAACCCGGCTGCGGCGAAAAGACATTTCGAATCGATTCCGACGAAGCGGAAGAAGTTGGTCTGGAACAATGACGTTTCGCACTTCCAGCATTATGATCAGGCGGATTGTGTGGATCGGAATGTGGGTGAGATTGCGGCTTGGTTTGCATCTTGTATGTAGATCGGGTCTTTTGTAAACTGATCGAAGAGGATGAAGGCCTTGCCTTGCTCTGACGTCGAAATTGGTGAAGAGAAGAAAGTGCAATGATGTCAAAGTGTGGGTGATCACGGCTTTATCATATATCCTGTTTACCGCCGGCCCGGCCCCGGGCAAGTCTTTCTTGACCGGCACCTTCGCATCGAAGACACTCTGCTAAGATTCTCGTAAACGTGTTGCTGGAAAGGTATTTGCTCGGGATCCCCGGATCTTCGAACGGCCTCCGTCTCGGGCTTTAAGTTATTGGCGTCCCCGGGAGCCCGTAATGCTCCGACATCTTTAGAGATGGCAACCGCAGGCATGCCAGATTCTTGATAAAATGGCACCTCGCCGCGGCTTGCATATCTGTCATCTGGCACACTCGTCGCTCAATCTATCACAAAGCATAAGCTGAAAACTTCCCATCGAAGATGACCACACTTTCCGAGGTCGTGTCTCAAGCCATAGAGCTACAATCTCAACCCCTTACCGACGGCCTCACGTTTGGCGAAAGCCCTCGATTCCACAATGGCAAGCTCTACGTCAGCGACATGATGGGCCGGAAGATATACACGATTGACCCCCGTACCGGTAGCAAAGAAGTCGTGGTCGGAGTCGAGCAATGCCCGAACGGAATGGCCTTCCTCTCGGATGGGTCTCTCATTTATTCGTCCATGTTCGACGGCAAACTATACCGATTGGCCGATGGCGTGTCCGAGCTCTACGTGGACTTGGCTTCTGTTCTGGCCGGTTATCCTGGGGACATGGTGATTGATCAGAACGACAGGGTCTACGTCGACGATGTTGGTTCCCGCGTGCTGCACGGAGAGCCCATGAGCCCTGGTCGAGTGATCATTGTCGAGCGTGATCGATCGATCCGGACGACGCTGGAAGGGACTGCATTCGCGAACGGAGTCGCTATTGACAGCTCGCAGCGACGACTCTACCTTTCTGCGAGTGGAGCACGGACAGTGAGTGTATACGATATCGACCAAGGGGGAGATCCGCAGCACGGAGAGGTCATTCTGGACCTGGGTAAGTTTCCGGATGCGAAGGAGTTCACGATGTGTGATGGTCTGTGCATTGATGCCGAAGATGCCCTGTGGCTGAGTCTGCTGGAGTCCGAGATGTTTGTCCGACGAGACCGAAGTGGACGCTTCACTCACGTTGTTCATACTGACGGTCACGCCGTTGCTTGTGCGCTGGGAGGGGAAGACGGGAAGACGCTCTACATGCTTACGAATACCAGTCCGAAAGAAAGGAGCCTTTTTGAGGCGATGGCAAATCGGGAGACGCGTTGCACGATAACAACCGCACGGGTCAGTGTTGGTCGGGGTAAAGGACGGCCATGAGATAGAGATCATCTGCCTCCAAGGCTGTCTTGAATTTAGATGTCTATAGTGTTTCCTTGGTCTTCTTTATTTAATCGACAGCCGCTTGACATTCTCTGCCAGATTTGATCATGACTCGTGGATGTACGACACGGCTGCAGGCCAAGGTCTTGTACGACCGTGTTTGCCACGCTCAATCAAGAGAGATGCGGGATTGACGCAAGCGATAGATGGATGTACATCTCGGCGCACTTTAACCGAGCCCGCAAACATCTGGTGACCAGTCGTATGAATGGTGGCGGTAGAGCTCGAGTAGCTTGGCAGCCATCACATGCAAGAAGCTCGATTGTCACGGGCTATGCTGCTTTCGACCCTTGCAACGGAGGGAGATCGACAGACAGACGGGGGGATCGGTGGGGGATTGCGGGGAGTCCAGCCGCGTGGCAAAGCATGGAATGATAACAGGGGACGGAAGGAATTGGACGTCAGCGATTGTGATAGAGGCGTGAGGCTGGCAGAACGAAGTAAGCTGATGTTGGACGAGTCATCTATTTCGACCACAGCCCGGTTCGGCTTCGCACAAAGAAAACCTTTGCCATCGAAGCAACTTGCGGACGGAGAGGGGTCCGACGTAATGCGGAAATGAGAAAGCAAGGTCCAAGCTGCTACGGCCGGTTTTCGGAGACTTGCATACGAGACGATACGAGGTTGAAGGTCTCGCACCAGGGAATTGTCCAATGAGTGGCATTGTCCTCACTTCTCGCGCATGTACTGCGCCGTGAAACATGCGCGCACGCGGGCATAAGGCCGGGTTGACGGCGGATGGTCCGATATGACTCTGACTTCCCTATCGGAGGCTTGCGCGCACGGACAGCGGATGGAATCGCGATTTCTCCAAGTGAACTGCTGAGCGAGAAAAACGGGGAAGCTGTCAGATGGAGTAAGTCGGTCGATGAGTCCATGACATTTGTCCGTCGATCAGCCCGGGGCAAGGTGATCTTCGATCAGAAGGGCTGTCCATGGACGACACTCCTCACGAAGCTGTTGAACGTTGAGCAAAGATGCAAGTATTTGACTCGATCCATGCCTCGTATATGCGACACTCGTGATTCAATCGAAAGAAGAAGGAGCACCTTCTTCATTTATACCCATCACCTCGCACCTTCCGCATTTTCAATACGAGCTAGCGCGGCCGGGGCGGGCAGATCCATGCACGTCATCAGAAAGTTTGGGCGCGGGCCGAGCAGTCGGTGGAGACGGCGCGGCGGTGGATGACGGACGGCCGTAGCAAGCCGGCGGGTCGTCGTCTGCGCGTCCTTCATCCTCGCCGTCGGCCGTAACGAACACGAGCGAGCCACTCCACCTGCACCTCCACCTCCACCTCACCTCCCACCCTGCGGCCATCATCCCGTCGCCCGCACCGCACCGCACCTCTCCATCCCCGCACGCCACTGCATCGCACTGCACTCTGCTGCATCGCACCGCGCCGTGCGTTTTGCAGCCGCACAGCCACCCGACGCGAGCAGCATCAACAGAGGCAGCACCGCGCCATTTCTCACCTCATCCCCTCTCGCGATTGGTCCGTCATACCAACACCGCCCTTTGACCTACGCTCTCTTCAGCTCCTGAGGCACCCGGGGATAAGACTCCTCCGCCCCTCCATCCCCAAGGTACATTCACTTCTGCTCGACCCCTCCAGGTAGCCAACGAGTCACGACTACCCTCCTCACCCCACCCACCCCGACACTCCTCGCCTTGGAAGCCTTCGAGAAACACCAAACGCCACGCCCTCGGCCCGACGCATGTAAGTCATCCTTTGTCCTCCTCACGGCTGTCGTTGTGCCCAAGCCACCCCATCTGTCCCTTGCGTTGCGCCCCGCCCGCCAGGCACGTGTAACCTGCGTTGACCCTCCCTTCCCTTTCTGAACCTCACGCCGCACGCTTGGCCGTGTCTGGCGACGCCCTCTCCTCATCTCCTTCCTTCGCCGCCTCTCTTCCCCGCAGCGTGCTGACCTGACTTTCCGCCAAACAGCCTTCCTGCACCGTTTGCTCAGAGCATCATCCGCAGCTCCGCCCTCGCCCAGCCTTCACCCACGCCCCACCTCACTCCCACCCCGCTCGAGAGCCTCCCAACACCCCTCCATGCATGCTGGAAGATTAGCTGCATCGGTATCGCCCACAATCCGGCTCTGCGCACGACGCATGCCATAATACGAGAGGTGATGTTGGTTGCGCCTCTCATCGCATCTTGATCACTTCAACTCACCTCCACTCCGGTGTCATGGATGAGACGGGAACCATCAATCCAGCAGCATTAAAGGCATCCAGTAAGCAAACACACCGTACATCGCAGCATCCTGGGAACACCCATCATGCAATGTGACCCCAAAGCTCCTCACTCAGACTCCGGTGCTAACGTCTGCCTCTTGTAGACTCATTCAGCCCCCGAGGCATCAAGCGCAGTCGGTCGCCCGACTCGAACACATTGTTAGGGCAAGAGGGGGACAGTGGTACGTGATCCGTCCTTCGTGTCATGAAGAGCCTTGCTGGCGAGCGAAAGTACCGATTATCAAGCTGACGCCCATGCGACAGGTGACTACCACAGCAATCGCCGCAGTAAAGCGGCCAAGCAGATCGACAGCCCCAATCCCCCAATGTCTTATACCTCCGTCCAGGCGCCGGTTCAGACTCCGCACGTTCGGACATCCTCGTTACCACATGTCTCTCCAGGCCAAGCTTCACCCTCGCGATCGACCCCGGGATCCGGCACGAAAGCGGCGACGGTAAAAGCATTGCCCACGGTTCGAGATCACACCACCGATCAGCTCGGACCGGAGGGCGACGAATACCTTGCGCGTGAGATCGACCCGGATGGAGAGACCAAAGTGACGCCGGACGGCTACCTTCTCGACGGCCGCGAGTACCGATGTCGCACTTTTCAGGTCCCCAACCGTGGCAAGAAGCTCTTCATGCTCGCGACCGAATGCGCTCGCGTGCTGAACTATCGCGATTCTTACTTGCTCTTCAACAAGAACAGGTCTTTGTACAAGATCATCGCAAATCAAACCGAGAAGGAGGCTCTGATCAATGTCGAAGTTCTGCCGTACTCTTATCGGTCCCGACAAATCGCAATCGTCACGGCTCGTAGCATGTTCCGGCAATTTGGCAGTCGTTTAATCGATCACGGCAGACGCGTTCGCGATGATTACTGGGAAGCCAAGGCTAGAAAACAAGGCTTCACCGAAGAAGATGCAGCGGGAGAGAAGCGACCTGGAGCGGCGAAAGCACGAGAAGCCGCGGCGGCTGAAGCGAGTCAGGCCGCTCTGACCACTCTCCCACAGGGAGAGATCATCTACAGCAATAGCCCTGGCATGGATGGCCAACCGCCTGGCCTTGCTCAAGTCTCACTGGCTCCCTTGGCGATGTTGCAGCTCCCTGGTGAAGACTTGAGACCGAGTGCGTACGGCAACTTGATTCGGCCCCGGCAGGAGATGAGCGGCCCTCCGTACCAAGACCGTATCCAATCCGGCAACACCACGGAACTTCTCACGCAGGCTGCACAAGCGGCAGAGTACAACAAGCAACTCAGTCAGACGCGCACGCATCGTGCGAGATATCTCGATGACTACTGGGCACGACCGCACGAACAACCGGAAGTATCACAGGCCGAGGCCGATGCTGGCGCGGTGGCACCTCAGCATCTGCAAACCCCGCACGCCATCCCGGGCATGAATCAGGGCCGGCTACCACACGATCAGATGGCGCATGCCGGCGCGCAGATGATTCCACAGGGCTATCCGGGCTACCCCAACCCTCACTTCCCTATGGCATCGCCCGTGCAAGCCATGCAAAGACCGATGCAGGCCAGTCAAATGCACCCTAACACCCCCATGGGCGTCCAACGACCCCCATCGTATGGCGGATACGTTCACAACCCCATGTGGCAAACCCCTCAACCGCAGCCGTCACCACTATCTCAATCCCACCACGCCCCCCAGTACGCGCAGCAGCAGCAGCAGCAGCAGCACCATCAGTCTCCAATGCACCCACCCCCGCCGCAGATGTCGCAACAAGCGGGCATGGCGTACGCGCAGATGAACCCTGCGTTTGCGGGAATGGGCCGCAACATGTACCAGCCGAACCATCAGCAGCAATTCGGCATGCAGGGCGGCGGTCAGCAGCAGCAGCAGCAGCAACAACAACAGCCCGGGATGCAGAACTGGTCGTCGAATCACAATGCCGCGGGCGGTATGCAAGACTGGCAGCGCTATCAGTGATGAGATTGTCGGTTCCCCGGTGTTTCGGGTCTCCGGCACTTTCGGCATGTTTTCAATGCGCTCGTTGTGGTACATTGCTATCCTTTCCTTCGACAGTTCTTTTTGTTTTGTTATGTCTCTGCTCTATGCACAGTTGGAATAGGAGTTCGTCCCGGCGGTACATGCAATCAGAAGTGGGGGCGGAGACGGCAGAATCGTAATGATCTTGGAAAGCATAGCGTCGCACAGGAGCGGTTGATGATCATTACGAGGACTCATTTGGGCTTGTTTTCGCGCGTGTTTGCGTTTTTGCTTTGAGAGCGATACTCCCCCCTTTTCATAGTCCAGACTGCTGCGCGCCCCATGTGCTTTCACTCGCATGTCTTTGTTTCGGGCTTTTGTTTGCGCTGGGGAGAGCATGTGCTTCATTTTGCTGTTGCATAGAAGAGTAATTGTCGTTTCCACGAGTCTACATTTCAATTTAAAGAGCACTCCTGGAGCAATGCATCCCTCTCGCTGCTCCAGGCTTGTCTCGCTCTACACCAACTGCAGTCGGATCTTCCTCTTTCCCGTACTCTCCTCCGCCTCATCGGAAATCCTGACCTGCACCTTCTCAAACAACGCCACCGTCCTCTTCCTGCCCTGCTCCTCAATCTCCAGCGTGTAGCTTTCTCCATCATACACACTCTCCGGCTCCCTGCCCGCCTGCTCCTGCCCCACAACCATATCCCTCAACCGAATCAGGCCCTCAATCCCAAACTTGGGCACAAACACCACAAACCCGTTGGAGAAGATGCGCATCACGAAACCCTCCTCCTCCAGCCGCCGCCCCTTCAGCGCCTGCCCGACGTAGTACTCCACGCTCGCGCGCCCCGCCATCTGCGCGTTGCGGTGCCGCACGTTGAGGTTCTTGCACACCGCTTCGCTCTTCGCTTTGCTCTGCAGACTGGCGTCGAGGGGCTCGTAGTCGATTGCTGCCGCGAGCTGGCGGTGCGCTTCGAGGTCCGAGTAGCGGCGGATGGGCGAGGTGAAGTGCGTGTAGATTTCGGACGCGAGGCCGTAGTGTCGGTATTCCGGGTAGGCTTGGGCGCCGGCGCAAAAGTACTCGGCGGACATCATGCAGCGGGTGGCGAGGATGCGGATGAGGGTGTTGAAGAAGGGCTCCTGGGGGTCGATGCAGTGGTCCAGGCTGTCGGCCAGTGCTTTCGAGGAGTCGGTGTGGAGGTCCATGCTCTTGCGCACCTTGAGCTGGTTGCTCAGCTCTTCGAAGTTGTTCTTGGGCGGCGCGGCGTGGCGGCGCAGGAGGGCGGTTTGCGGGAATGCTTCGTAGTTTTTGGCGGCGACGCTGATGTTGGCGAGGAGCATGAATTCTTCCACCAGCTGGTTGGTGTCGAGTAGCTGCTTCGTCTTGACGTCGGCGGGATCGGAGGTCTCGCTTTCCATCTCCACGCGGACCTCGGGGCTTGCGAGATTCAAGGCCCCGGCTGCCATACGCTTCGCTCGTAGCTTTTTCGATAGCTGCATCAGTGTTCGCATGCCTACTGTCAGCTCGTCCTGTTGTGATTTGTCGTCGATCCGTAATTGAGCTCGTTCGTAGCTGAAGGCTTCTCGGCTGCGAATGACACTCTTTGTGAACGTGGTGTGCACAATGTTGGCGGAAGTGTCCAGCTCCCACAATACGCTGAATGCATATCGTTCCACGTACGGCTTGAGCGAGCAGAGATCGGTGCCGAGCAGCATAGGCAGCATGTCAATACGCTTGTCCACCAGGTACACTGTAGTGCCGCGCAGAGAAGCCTCTTTGTCCATGGCGTTATTCGGCTTGACGAAATGCGAGACGTCCGCGATATGCACGCCGACTTCGAAATTGCCGTTCGGAAGCGGTCGAGCGTGTAGGGCATCATCTATGTCGACGCAGCCTGGCGGATCTATCGAGCAGACGAGCAGGTCTCGTAGGTCTTTGCGGCCATTCCAGCCAGGGTCATCCAAAGAGGCGGGAACGGTCCAGGAATGTCCTTCTGCTGGCAAGCAATCGAGGACGGTCTTGGGGAACGGGCGGTATTGGACATCCCATTCCAGAAGGAGGGCCTCGGTCTCGGCACCCTTCGTTTCCAGTTCGCCCAAGCTACGGATGAAATGGCCGACAGGGTAGCGAGACTCGCGATCCCAGCTGTCAATCGTAACCAGCACACGCTTGCCAAGTAGGTCAGCCGCTTGACGTGTGCGTACTCGGATTTTCGGGACGCGCTTGTCCATGGGGATGAGAAAGACGGTCTGTTGCGAGCGTGTCTCCTTCGCTTGCGAGCGGACAGAATCCTTGTCGATGTGGCCAACGTATTGTCTCCAGTTCCGTTTGATCACTCCGACGATTCTTGCGGTTGCCTGAGGCTGACCCTCTGCACTTCTGCCGTGAACTTTCTTCACCGCATCCTGCAGAGCCCTTCGCTCCTTTTCGGTGACGACGGCTTCTTGTTCGTCGTCCCCATTCTCTGCATTGTCATTACGATTGACGTCTTCCTCTTCAATGACTTTGCTCGACGGTGCCTTCCACTGGTCTTTGGGCAAGACCTCAATGACCACAATATCTCCCGAAACCGCTCTGTTGCTGTTCTCTCGTCCCTGCACAATGAGTGCCTTGTCAAAGGCGGGCACATGCACCGAGCCCTCGAGATAGTTATATGGGGAGACATGGAAGATGCCTTGATGCAGTGTCCCCGCCTTGACGCCGGTAAGCATGGCTGACATCGTCATGTAGTTTGGGTAAAGCATCTGCGCCTTGGAATCCTTGACCGCCCGGTTCTCGCGGCTGGAAGCCACCATGTCCATGAGTTTGTCTGCATCCGGGAGACCAGCAACATAGGCTTCCAGGCCCAGTGCCTGGATTCCTTCATCTTTGGCCTTCCGTAAGTTCGCACGGTCGTCGGAAAGCATGACAATAGTAGGGCAGCGAGCGCTTTTCCTGGAGCGAACGGCCTGCTGTAAATGTTCCGCATACCAAGTGCAAGACTTCCGTACTGCCCGGTCATTTCTGTCGTTGATGGTTTCGCCGGCGTCTCGCTGGATGTAGGTCTCCAGACGGAAGTCGTTGAAGAAGACATAGAATCGCTTTCCCTCGTTCTTCGTCAGAGCAATCAGTCGATGGTAGAGGGGCAATGATCTGTTCTTGACTTCTTCAAGGACGGTTTGCAAGACAATGATGTCCTGGACAGTGCCTTCGCTTTCGAACAAGTCCATGGCCGAGAGGAAGGCGTTGGTATCGGGGATCAGATAGTGGCCGTTCGGGAATGCTTTGGTTGCTGCTGGTGTGGCGGACAATACTGGCGCATCGGCCTTCTTGTGGAAACTGGCTGGCACGAGGTTGAGACATGCGGTGCAGAGTTGCGAGGAACAGGCGATATCTTGGCGAAGGTAGACCTCGCGGACAATCTTCTGCACCTTGCCCGACTTCAGCGTGCGCAGATATGTCTTGCTGCTGAGGGTTGTTGACGGGGCCGTCGAGGCGTATGTGCGCTTGAGCGAGGTCATTGTAGATTTTGCCGCCCTCTCCGGCTCGATGTTTCTTTTTGCGTTGGCTCGTTTGGTCGATGGCAAAGAGGCGTAGAATCTTCGTGGTGAAGGCGAATGTTGATGACTAAGCTTTGACCATGCAGCGGGCCGGCGTCCCGGAGGGATCCACTTGGACCTCACCGCCAAATCCACGCGCGCTGGGCGGTGAGCAACTGCGAAACGCCGGCAGAAAGTGGACGATCGCAGAGCACGACTCACCGTTGACGGATCAAGTGGCGGACGAGTGGACGATGGGCAGACGACCAAATCCGCTGATTGGCGAGTTCTTCATTCGAGGCGCAAAACTTGCCGATCACAGCAATCGATATCATCACACCTGCAAGAGATGCGGTGAAGAGGCAGGTGGAGACGTGACAAGGCTGGCTGCCTGCATGACGCTTGACTGACTTTCTTCTAACAGTTTCCCAAGGGCCGCATTGACAGTCTGACCAGTCACCTTTTGCGTAGATGCCCCAGCGTTACAGACGAAGATCGACAATGGGTATTTCAGCAAATGCAAGTCGCTCCCAACAGCCGCGGTGGAAGGCCGAGCGAGCCTTCTCACGACCTACGTCTCAATGCTCAGCACGCTGAAATACATGCAAAAGAGCCTGTGTCTGCAAATGAACAACACACCCAATCAGCCCTTGACACACTTGCAGAAGTCTCTCGACGCCATCTTGATTATTCTCAACCAAATCATCTCGAGCACGACCCCGAATACGACACCCAAGGCGCGGACGATCGTCTGGCAGATGAAACACTGCTTTCCGAACTCCAAAATCACGGTATCATCACTGCGGCCTATGTCTCTCTATTCATCGCGCGCTCACATTATTCAGTCAGGAACTTATCCGCCCACACCTCCCCTCCGAGCAGTTCACACCCGGCAACAACAACGTTCGACGCTTCACCGCTTGTTGAAGCTGCATCTGCCGCTAGTAGACAGCTGGAACTAGACCAGGGACAACGATCGATGCAAGATCAGGCCCACCTTCCGCTCGACCCTCAGCTGAAGATGACCTCGCCGGAATTGCGTACTTCTCCCAACATCCCTGCACCAGTCGTACCCACTCGCAACGAGTCCCAAACGATGACATGGACACCCAAATCTGTGAATACCTCTCAAGCATCACTTGGCGCCTTCCGCCTAGCCTCCGATTATCCTTCAGAAGGCTTCGGCCTGTTGCAGAAGCCCACAAATAGCAACAAACGAGGTCGATTCGATGATGAGCGGCGCAAGGAAGTCTCGGAGATTCGAAAACGCGGTGCATGCATCAGATGTCGGATGCTCAAGAAACCGTGTTCAGGCGAAACACCGTGCAGCACCTGCAAGAATGTAGAGTCCGCGCGTGTTTGGAAGACCAGATGTCTACGAACTAGACTTGTGGACGAGTTTACGCTTTGGTCATTGGGCCTTTTCCACGGCAAGGTAAGAGTCAGAGAAGGAAGGGTACTGCAAGACAGAGTTCAGTCGCTGTCGCCTGGGCATGGACATGGACGCGCTCGGCTTTCAACCGACGGCGATCGATGGTTCAGCGTAACAACGAAGGCGTACAGTAACGATGGGGAGGATGTCAGCTCGTCAGCAGTCATGGCATTGGTAGAAGATGAACATTTGGAAGCTGCCCTCGCCGGATACGCGGAAGCTTCTTTCGACACACTCGAAGAACAAAGGAGCTCCGATTTCATGCGAACCACTTTGGAATGTGCGCATCGTCTCACCCAAGACCTCGAGATGCAACCCAGCTCTGCAAACAGCACTGGCGGATCTGGCCCGATATCACCACGACCCTCCTACAATCTCCACAGCCAACTCCTCCAAAACTGTATCAAGCTCTACAACCTCACTGACATGCTTCTTGCTCCCTACGAGAAGTGGTCGATACAACTACAATCTTCTACAGGAGTTGAAGCCGTCGACGCTTCTGAACAACCCTTCACCGACCTCCCAGCATCCTCTCCAAGCCGCCATTTGATAATCGATCAGATCAAAGCTGCAATTGAGCTTCACTGCAGCAAGCTCTGCAAGACGGCGATGAACGAGCTTGAAAGGCAACTGCTGCAACGACAGCAGGTCTCGCGATTGGTCACCTTCATCTCGGCCGTCATTCTTTTGAGTTGCGTGGAGCGCATGACGGGCTTATTCCACTCTTTTGATACTGTAACGGGGACGGACGACGCCCAAGCTCGTTCGAACATGAAGGAAGATGATGATGATTGGCCACTGGAGGTGCCGCCCTCAGCTTTCTGGATCCAAGGACAGCAGTTCGCAGATCTGCTTGTCATGCTCTTACGCCTGCGTGCCCTGCCGCCCAGAACTATAGTCAATGCTAACGGTGCACTGGTCGTCAGTCGGGATCCCAATTCACTTATACGAGCTCAGAGCAGGACATCAGGGGACCAGATGGCCGAATCGGCTAGAATGGCGGCTGATTGGCTTGAACCTTTGCAGTTGAAAGCGACCGATCTTGTGAGGAAGAGGGATGATGGCGCACCGGGCGTGGAAGAGGGCGTGGAGGCGTGGGAGCTGAAGTTTGTGGCTTCACTGCTATTGCCTGAGAACTATCGGTGACTTCACATCGAATACTACGCAAAGGAAAGCGTCCCGGAGAAGGGAGCAGATAGAAGGACGTCTGTCCCATTAATGAGCTACTCTGATGCTCAAGAATCTTCTTTGCCTTGCGCAAAGGTATCATCGTATGCAATCGCACATCAAGGCCAGCACGTCAGTTCTCCAAGACCTGGAGTCCTCAATCCAGCTGCCTGATAAAGTGCATCCGCCACTGTGAAGTATTATTACCGCTTTTGTCGAATGAGCAATTCAAGCACCGTCGCCTTCGATGAATTTGCTGAAGTTCTCCAAGCGAGCCTCTTCATCCTCCTCATCGTTGTCAGTCTTCTTGCTCTTCTTGTAACGCGTGCGCCCATCCGAAATCGACGCCCCAATTCTGCGCCCACCAAAGTTACGGCCCTCAAATACCTTGACGCATGCCTCTGCGGCGACAGCATTGGCGAAGCGGACAGTCACGATGCCTGCATGCTCCTTGTCGTAGAGGGTGACGCTGGTCACCTCGCCGAACTTCTCACACTCCTCGCGCACGTCTTGCTTGATGTCGAGCAGCGCCTCGGGCTCTTCGTCGAGTTGATGAAGAGTGAACATGTTTTTGAGAACCACGACTTTGTCCCAACGGCTTGATGTGTCGGGTATGGTCGATGGATCATCATCATCCCATTCCGCGAGGCGGCTATCAACCAATTAGCTTCGAATATCATCACGATCGGCAGTGAGTTACATACTTCGCCATCTCTTGGTTCTTCTTGATGATCTTCTGGCGGTCGCGATTCGCATTGGTGCCTTTCGTCTTCGCTTGATCGGTCGCCAGAGGCTGCTGTTTCTGCTCTTTGAAACTCTGGTCGGCTTGTTGGACACGCATCGGCCCGGTGACCATCTTCTCCCCAAGGCGGAAGTCGGTCTCGTCGAGCATGTCGATGGCGAGTTGAACAGACTCGGGGCGGAAGTAGACTGAACGTGTGACCTAGTTAGCTGCGTGGTAAGATGGGGATCATGAAACTCACCGATAAGCGCATCTCCCTTGAAATGGCCATTCTCGTCTTGGTAGAGTTTGATGCGGGGCTTGTTGCTGTCTGCGCTCTCTGCGATCACACCGAACTTGGAGAAGACGTCGTGAAGCTCATCAACAGTGACATCGTCGGGGAGCGAGGTGATGTAGATGGCATTATTACGCGGAGGCTTGTCGGGCTTTTGCTTCTTGGCGTGGCCATTGCTTGCTCCCTGCTCAGTGGTTAGCGAATGCATGTCTGACTCGGGGGAATACATACCTCTCCAGCATCACCTGCAGCCTTGCGCTTGCGCGGATCCATGGCCGGCTCATTCTCGTCGACTCCAGCAACCTTGTAGGCTTCTTGCTGACGGGCAACCTCGGCCTCGTCCGTCTAGGGTTGGTTTGGTTAGGAAGCGTCGACGGACGGTGTTGTACTCATAGGATGGGAAGCGAATACGCAGGCCAGAGCCTGTCGGATGGATGGACAGAAATCTGGGGATCGCGTACCACTGGGACCCATTTGCCGGGCTTCGTCAACCACTCCCATTCCTCTCCGCGCTCATCCTCCAGCTTGTACGTGTCGGTGAGGCGATCGAATGAGACACGCTCGTCGGCGTCAAAGTCATCGATCTCGGTGGGGAACGGAGCCCTCTCTGCCATGTTGAAGACCTAGTCACTGCACTGCAGAGTTGTTAGCTGACTGAACGACAGCTGTCTTCAGCGGTGAAGTGCGGTGTGGTGTTGGGGTCAGGAAAGTGCGCAGGTGGATGTTCATATCACAAAGTGAGGCAGGCGTTGCGGAGATGTTCGTTGCGGAATCTAATGGGACTGGCCAGAAGTCGTGACATGGCCCTTCGCCGGCACCGCCTTGCCGCCGACGTCACTCCTTCCTCATACTTCCGGGCATAGAGGATATATGAGGTATCTGCTTCGCCAAACAAAACCGGAGACGACTGATTTTCTTCGCATCACCGTCAGTTCCTGCTGGATCACCACCGTTGGCTCGGCTTTCTCTCAAGCATGTTTGTGACCTTTGACCACCTCAGGCGGGACAGAGTGGCACATCTCCAGCTTGCCTCCAGCCATCGTTCCCAATAACACTCAGAACAATGCCGAGCCGAAAGCTGAAACTTGCCGCCGGACATCCGATATCTGGCGACCATGAGACTGGAAGTATTCCGCACGCAAAGAAGCCCAAGGCTCGACCACCGCGCGGATGGCGAGACAAGGCTATCATCCCGGCAAAGTCCTTGCCTACATATACCGGACCGTATCCTGTCGCGACCATGGAAATTGAAGTGCCAGCGAAGAATCCGAGAGTCTTCTCCAACATCACACGACACGGACGCCACGTGTTGCAGCTAGAGACTGTGCTGATAACCATCTACTATCCCACTTCTCACGATGACTTTCATTTGCAGCGGCACGATCCGAGGTTTTCAAGGTACGTGCGACGCTCCGCAGTTTCTACATATATACGCCAAAGGAATGGGGGTGCTAACGTTGCACGATCGACTGCAGACAGTTATGGTTAGGCAGACCCAGGCTTGGTATAGCAACAGGCCTCGCAGCTTTCGGCGGGTTTGGCGCTTGGGCGACCCCGGTATTCTGGCCTGCATTCTGGACAAAGCTACCGGCCTATCGGAATGCACCTATCGCCAGCCATTGGGCACCCCTGGCAGATACCAAGGCCTATGGGACCAAAGTGAAAACCCAAAGCGTCGCCCGGCCCGCCGGCGCTCCCGAAGAGCCTGTTTTTCCTTTGGTGATGTTCAGTCACGGCTTGGGGGGAACTCGCACCATGTACAGCTCGCATTGTGGAGAGTATGCGAGCCATGGCTTTGTGGTGTGCGCAGTCGAACACCGAGACGGCTCTGGTCCGCGTACATACGTCAATCATGCCAAGTCGGGATCGGGAAGCATGGATGATCTCGAGGCCAAGGGCCATATCGATCACACCCCCCAACAACACGCAAAAGGCTACGATATCATCGACTACCTTTGGCCAAAAGACAACCCGCTGGATACCATGCCGAACAACAAAAAGGGCGTTGACACGGAACTGAGGAATGCGCAGATCAATCTGAGGCTGGCGGAGATGGAGGAGGCGTTTGACATTGTCCGCGAAATCGCGAGCGGAAATGGCCAGATCGTTGCAGACCGGAATTTCCGGCGGAAAGGGTTTAAAGCGTCTAGCTCACACGGACTGAAAGGTGTCAACTGGCCGAAATGGAAAGGGCGTGTTCATCTGGATGCGGTGACTGCTTGTGGGCATAGCTTCGGCGCGGCGACAGTTGTTGAGATCTTGCGACACACGGATCGCTTCCCGTACATCTCACAGGGCATCATCTATGACATTTGGGGTGCCGGAACTCTTCCTCCCGAGCCAGATGCACCGAACCATCGGATCCGAAGCCCCCTCCTCGCCATCAACAGTGAGGCCTTCACCTACTGGTCAAGCAATTTCGAACTAGTCGAGTCGCTTATTCAAGAAGCGTCAGAGGCTCCAGCTTCTTGCCCAGCCTGGCTCATGACCTTGAGAGGGACGGTGCATGTGTCTCAGTCCGATTTCTCGCTGATGTGGCCCAACATCACCAGTCTGCTGCTCAAAGCAGTTGCCAACCCCCAGAGAGCACTGGATCTCAACATCAATGCCAGTCTGGAATTTCTCAGCCTCGTCCTCCCGAAACACATCGCCCTCGTCATTCGGACGTATAGTTACGAAGGGCTTTTGGAGTTGGACGAGGAAGCTCTCGAAAATATCGCGACGAGAGAGAAGCACCAGCCCAAAGAGAAGTTTGTCGCCATGCGATTGCATATTGAACATGAATGGCTGTACCGCACCAGGCCCGGGTGGATGCGTGCGAGACAGCGTCGGAAGAACCGGAAGTTGGGTCGAGAGCCGGACCCGGGCGATGAGGTTTGGTTGCATGTGAAGCCGCCAGCGGAGTGCGTGGATGCGCATCAGAGGCGTGTCGAAAGCAGTGCCCAAGGGCGGGCGGAAGAGGCGGGGCGGAATGCTGTCTCACCATCACTGGAGGACAAACCCAGTCCAGCGGGAGAGGCGGATGGTGGCATTTGAAGGCGTCAGTCTACATCCATCGGATCGTCTGTGTAGTCCGCTTCGAAATCTGAATCGTCGATATCCATCGGATCCCAGCTGGGATCGCGCTCCTCTGGCCGCAGTAATGTCACCTGGAAGCAGCGTTCGAGAACATCGTTTGACGAATCCCACGGGCACCATTCGCGTAAAACCTTCCACACCTGCTGCGACGTCTGCTTGCGCGCTTCATACCGCTCCACATCCTGTTCGCGGAGCAATTTATCGTAGTCACTGTAGGCGTGCCGGACGTGCGCGACGACGATGCTCGTGAGCCGACGAGCGCTCCATCTTTTGGATTCCGAGAGGTTGTAGGTGAAGTCTTTGCCGATGCAGATGTCGAGGATGCGCTCCAGGGCGGTGTCGGGAATGCGCGGGAAGAGATCGGTCAGTGGGCTACGGTTCCACTCGCGTTTGCGTTGGCGGGCTTCGTTGTCGGATAGGCCGAGCAGGTTCTCCCATGCCTTTTCCGGCGGCATGAAGGAGTGATGCTGGCTGGATAGGTGTTTAGGGGGATCAGGAGTTGTCAAAGCGAGGTTCGTGGAGGTGTAAATCTTGGCGCGGACCAAATGACTGATTCAAGACATGCATGGATATGTCTGCTTTGAAGACGTCAAGACAGGGGAAGCTTGAAAGAAATGACGATGAAACTAGCCTGGAATGCTGTGCTACGTCGTATAAAGACACATATATGCATCCGCCTGCCACATCCCGTCGCTATGCAGCAGCCGCGCCGCCCTCTTGCTCCTGCTTCCATCTCTGCGCCGCCGCCATCAACTTGCTCATCTTCTGGCTTCCCTCGTCGTCGGCGGGGAAGACGTAGTCCATGTACTCCTCGAACGTATCGTCGTCCAGCTTTCTCCTCTTCTTCACCCTTCTCGGCATCTGCTTACTGAGCGCCTCCTGGTCGGCCTCCGACCCATGCGTATCCTCAAACGACTTCCACGCGTTGAGCAGAGCCACACGCTCCTCTTTCATCGCTTTCTCTTTGTACAGCTTGTTTGCCCGCTGGAACACCGCTCGTGCGCGCGCCTTTGCTGCATCCGATACCGGCATCTCCTCTTCTTGCTCGTCCTCCTCGACATCTGCATCCGGCACGTTGATCTCGAAGTGGGCGTACGATATCCACACCTTCACATGCTCCGTCTTCTGCAGCAGCCGCTCGTACAACTCCCTCGTCTTGTCGAATTCACCTTCTTCCTCTTCGAAATCAATGTATCCCTTCCACAGCAATTCCGGCATGTCGAGGACCGGTTGCTGCACGGCGAGCTCGAAAATCGCTCGGCATCGCTCCAAGTCGTCCAATCCCCGCTCCAGCTCCGCAAATTTGATCCAGGCGGTGCAGTTGCTGGCATCCCACTCGATCCATTTTTCGTAGAGCGTTCGGCAGCGCACGAATTCGAAAAGCTTGAGTTCCGTGTCGATGTAGGCGCGGAAGAGTCTGTTCTTGGGACACATGCCAATTGCCTGGCCCATGGTCTTGCGCGCCTGGTGAAGTTGACCGCGGCGCAGCTCGAACTGTGCCTTCAACACCCAGATTTTGGCAAAGGTGAACTTCTTGTGCGGGATGAGCTTGACAACTTCGGCGTAGATCTGGGCGGCGCGGTCAAAGTCGCGAGCCTGCAACTCCTCGTAGAGGGCGTAGAAAATCCAGAGATAGATGTAGCGCCGCCAGTGTCTCTTCTCTTGGGAGGGGGGCATCTGTGCGATTGCGCGTTCGTAGACGTCTCGTACACGATCCTCGTTCTGTGAAGTCTCCTCCAACCTGGCGTAATCGATCCAGCTGTCGTAGCTCTTGGGGTTCTCCTTGACTTGTTCCTCGTACATAACCCGCCTCTTGCTCAAGACCACGTCTTCTACGCCTTCGCGGTCGCCAAATTGCTTTTCGAATGTCGTGTATTGCTTGTGTAGAGTGGCGGACTTCGATCTCGGCATGTGGTCCAAGGCATACTTGTAAATGGCCCTCGCCCGCTCGTACTCCTTGAGCTTCGATTCGAATCTTGCGTACGCGATGAACAGCTTTTCATCCATGAACTCGTCTCCCAGCGTCTCGATTGCCGTGCCAAAGACCTCTCGCACCAGATCACTCGTTCCGTTTTCTTCCTCAAATCTTGCCCACTTGATCCAATTCCTGGCCTCGGGATGGACAATGGTGAATCGCTCGTAGACATTCCTCGCCCGCTCAAACTCGCCGTATCTCTTCTCGAGCTTGATGTAGGCGCCCCACGCATTCTCATCCGGTTCCCACGACATCCATCGCTCAAACACCTGCCTCGTCCCGGCGACGTTGCCCAGCATCTCCTCCATGTACACGTACTTGTACCACAACTTGTCCACGCGCGGGAGAATGGTGACGGCTCGATCCAGCAGATTGCGCGCATGGTTGATATTGCGCTCCTTCATCTCCGCTTCGATATACCGGATCCACAGCTGCACGTTGGTGGCCTCGACATCCAGCGCCCGCTCAAAAACCGAACGAGCGCGGCGGTACTCCTTCTGCTCCAGCTCCCATGCGGCATAGCGCATCCAGTTGCCCATGTTGACTCGGTTGCGGCGGACATGGTCTTCGAACTCTTTCCTCTTCCGCCCTTGGAACTCGTGCAGCTCTTCGAGATCGGTGAAGCGTTGGGTAGGTTTGGTGAGCGCGGGTTCTTGTCGGTCTACTGCTTCTCGGAGCAGCTGTTCGGCGGAGATCTGCTCCGGGGCCGGAGCCTTGTTCTTGACCCGCGGAGGGCCCCGTGAGGACTCCATCTTGCGTGGTGGAGGAGAGGGACAACGCGAGGCGGTGTTGGGGGTTGCGGACTTGCAGGTTGTTTGAGACTTGGACTTTGAGTTCTTGCTGGTCGAAATTTTGCTGACTCAGCCATCAGCCAAAAAACGCGCCGGCATGTGACATCAACTGACGTGCCGCCGATAACGCTGGCAAAGAATTGTCATCTCGCGGCCTGCACTCTTTACATTCATCAATTTCTCGCACCTCATGTGTCCCAGTCGAGGCCAGCAACAACGACAACATGTCAGCCATCCTATCTGCTGACGACCTGAATGATTTCATAAACCCCGGCGTGGCATGCATCAAACCGGTTGAGACTCTCCCCAAGCAGCAGCCGATCGATGGCGCGAATCCCTACGAAGTCACGACGGAGGAAAAGGTGAATGCCGGCACTGCACCACCCGCCCAGATATCTCTGACAGACTGCTTGGCCTGCTCGGGTTGCGTCACCAGCGCCGAAGCAGTTCTCGTGAGTCTGCAGAGTCATAATGAAGTACTGAGTACACTGGATCGCCACCCCGAGCTGCCGTTGTCGTGGCCCTCAGATGGGAAGCAGGATGGACAGAGTACGAACGAAGATGGCAGAGTGTTCATTGCGAGCGTCTCGCCGCAGTCAAGAGCGAGTCTGGCGGCGACATACAACATCTCGGAGCGCGAAGCGGGCTACATGATTGCCCAGCTGTTGAGTGGCCCGTACGGCCTGCGAAGTGGTGGCGAGTACGGCTCGGGATTCACGTGGATCGTGGACACCAATGTCATGCGCGAGGCATGTCTGGTTGCGGCCGTGGAGGAGGTGCAAGAGGCGCTATCGTCTTCGGACGCCCCGAAGAAGCCAGTCTTGACATCTGCGTGTCCCGGCTGGATCTGCTATGCAGAAAAGACGCATCCACACATTCTGCCTCATCTCAGCAAGATGAAGTCGCCGCAGGCCCTCACTGGCACCCTCCTCAAGTCTGTACTGGCGAAACGATATGGAATCCCAGCGAGCCAGGTATGGCATCTGGCCGTCATGCCTTGCTTTGACAAGAAGTTGGAAGCTTCGCGTGGTGAGCTCACGTCGCATGCTTGGACGGGAGATGAAGAGAAGGCGGTACGAGATGTGGATTGTGTAATCACAGCCCGCGAGTTGCTCATGTTGGCCGAAAGTCGCAACATTAGTTTTCCCTCCTTACCGCGGGAACCACTGTCGCAGCAATTCACGACCGCATTTCCAGATCCGACTATCGACCGATTGCTCTTTGGACGACGCCGCGCACGCAAACGCAAGCGAGAGGAGGTTTCTAGCATAGGCACGTCTGGAGGCTATCTCTATCATGTACTGAAATCACAGCAAGCGCGACATCCTGGCTCAACAATCAGCACGCAGAGAGGTCGGAATGTTGACGTCTCCGAGTATTCCGTGCTGAGTCAAGATGGCACACCGGTGTTCAAAGCAGCACGGTACTACGGCTTCCGAAATATCCAGAACCTCGTGCGACGTCTCAAGCCTGCGAAAGCCAGTCGTATGCCGGGTGCAAGTCGCAAACCGCTCGGTGGACAGCGAAAGCCTGTTGCGAATGGCGGCACTGGAGGCAACGACGGGGAGTACGCATATGTCGAAGTCATGGCGTGCCCTGGAGGATGCACCAATGGCGGCGGGCAGATCAAGGTTGGAGATGTCGCAACGTTGAGACAGGTGGGAGGGACTGGTATCGAGAATGGCAGTGTGGAGCAGGAAGTCTTACCGCTGCAGAGGGAGTGGTTGGAGAAAGTGGACGAGGCGTATTGGAGTGCGGAGTCTGCCGATGACGATCCGCAACCTGAGCATGCAAATGGCGATGTTGATATGGGCGGGACGAATGGGAGCGGTGGGCCAGTTGTCATCGACGGCATCGACGTACGATACGTCAAGAGCATTCTGGACCATTGGAGCGACATCACCGGCGTGGAGCTGGAGAAGCTGGTACACACCACGTACCGGGTGGTGGACAGCGACGTGGGCAAAGAGAAAGGTGGCGGCAGCGACATGGAAAGGGTATCTGCCTTGGCGGTTGCACAAGGTGGCGGTTGGTGATTTGCCACCGGTAGTGGGAGAACTTTGCGCAGCAAATCAATTCGAGCACGTTGTCTGACACACTGCCGGATGGAGGTAGAACGCCGATGACGAACTACACTCTCGCCCTCGTTGTTGATGATGGCGACGTGTACGCGGGAAATTAGCTATTTCATGCCTCCATGTCCGCCCGCACAGCTCTGGACCGGGCGAGAGCGTTGATGATTTGGAGCGCCACACAACACGCCGGACAGAAGCGAGTGTGGTCGCGACTCAAGCAGCTCAAAGGCCGGCGATGGAATTTCTACAATCTGCCCCGCATCCAATCAACACTTTGCGAATCATCCGCCCTCTGATTGGCAGACCCGCAGAGCCGCCCCCACGCCTCGGTGCAGGAACGGCGAAGCTTAAATGCGGCCCCGCCACTTCTATCCTCCTTCTGGAAGGTGGTCGGACAACACGTGCAGGTTTTGTTGTCGCGAATGGACGATAAACTTCAACCCGCCCATGCCGCCTGCTCTCTAGCGTCTGCGAGTGATTTGCGTCCCTCATCATGCAGGGCATGGGCTGGACCATTGGTGTACGGTGCAGGTAGGCGTATGTAACCTCGCCACTACCTCTCGAGCTTTTTTTTCCCTCCCACTTCTTCCTCATCATTCACGACTGTTCCTGGTTGATTGTTGTAGCTTGTGCTCCATCCGTATTCCTTCAGAATGCGATCCAACGCACTGTTGAGCGCCCTGTTGGCGGTGGGCGGCGCCGTCGCCCTCCCGGGTGAGAAGAGAGATGTCAGCACCAAATACCCGTATACCGGGCCCGCCGTGCCCGTCGGCGACTGGGTCGACCCTACCATCAACGGCAATGGCAAGGGTTTCCCCCGTTTGGTCGAGCCGCCTGCCGTCACTCCCAAGTCCAAGACGCCCACCAACAACATCAACGTCATCCAGGTCTCGTACATTCCCGGCGGTGCCAACATTCACTTCCAGACGCCCTTTGGCATTGGAGGCAACCCGGTGGTCAACTGGGGCACGAATGGCTGGAAGCTGAGCTCCAAGGCTACCGGTCTTACCCAAACGTACGTCGTGACATGTTGACCCTGCCTGTCTTGCGGGTCGAGCACTGACACACATCCTAGCTATGGCCGTACGCCATCGTGCTCGGAGATCAAGGCGGTCACCATGTGCAGCGAGTACTTCCACAACGTCCAGATCACCGGCCTCAAGAACAACACGCAATACTTCTACCAGATCCCGGGCGGCAACGGCACCACCCCGTCGGGCGTGTTCAATTTCACCACTGCTCGCGCTGCTGGTGACACCACCCCGTTCTCCATTGCTGTGCTCAATGACATGGGCTACACCAATGCTCAGGGCACAAAGGCCCAGATCCAGGCGTTGGTGGACGAGAAGAGCATTGCCTTTGCGTGGCACGGTGGTGACATCAGTTACGCTGATGACTGGTACTCCGGCATCCTGCCTTGCAACCTCACCGACTGGCCTGTCTGCTACAACGGCTCCTCGACCACCCTCCCCGGCGGCAAGCCTTATCCTCCGGAGTACTTGGACGCTCCCCTGCCCGCCGGAGAAATTCCCAACCAAGGTGGCCCACAGGGTGGTGACTTTAGCGTCATCTACGAGTCCAACTGGGATCTGTGGCAAAACTGGATGAACAACATCACGACCAAGATTCCTTATATGTCTCTGCCTGGCAACCACGAGGCGGCTTGCGCCGAGTTTGATGGTGGCAACAATACCCTGACTGCCTACTTGAATGACGACAAGGCCAACTCTTCCGCTCCCACGTCCGACCTCACCTACTACAGCTGCCCGCCGTCGCAGAGGTAAGAACATTGGCAATAATGCGCCGTGATCTCCACTAACGTGACAACACAGAAACTTCACTGCCTTCCAGAACCGCTTCCGCATGCCCGGAAGCGAGAGTGGTGGTGTCAGCAACTTCTGGTACTCATTCGACTACGGCATGGTCCACTTCGTGTCTCTCGACAGCGAGACCGATTTCCCGTACAGCCCCGAGTACTCCTTTCTTGCCGATACCGACGGGAAGTCGTACGACCCCACGGAGCAGGAAACGTACATCACCGACTCCGGGCCATTTGGATACATCCGAGGCAACTACAAGGAGAACAAGGCATACGAACAATACAACTGGCTCGTCGCGGATCTTGCCAAGGTGGACCGCAAGGTGACTCCCTGGGTGATTGCCATGGCCCATCGCCCGATGTGGAGCTCGCAGGTGGCCAGCTACCAGAAGAACGTGCGCAACGCCTTCCAATCGGTGCTGATCGAGAACGGTGTCGACATGTACCTCTCCGGACACATCCATTGGTACGAGCGGCTGAACCCTCTGACCGCCAGCGGTACCGTCGACAACAGCTCCATCATCAGTGCCAACAAGTACCAGACGAACCCCGGCACGTCTCTTGTCCATGTGATCAACGGCATGGCGGGCAACATTGAGAGCCACAGCACGCTTGGAAGTGACCCTCGCCTCCCCATCACCGCCGTGCTCAACCAGAAGGATTACGGCTTCAGCAAGCTCACCGTCAACAGCGCGACCGAGTTGACGTGGCAGATGATCATGGGCGCGGATGGAAGCGTGGGAGATGAGTTTACCCTGACCAAGAAGTCGTCGTAGGTGGATGGAGAGGTGCGATGGGATGGAATGTATACAAGATGTAGTGGGTAATAATTGCATTCGTGTAATGTTCCTGCAATGTCACGATATTATTCCGGGATATGTCACGTGATGATAGTCATTCGCCACACCTGCTAGCCGATGTCGCCCGAAGTCAGGGTCTAAGCCACACCTCCGCATCCTCCTCCAAGTGGCGAAAGCGGGCTCGTCATCTCCAACATCACCACCGCCCCTCTCTACTCTTCGTGCTGAGCACACTCTCCAAGATGCCGCCCATACCAAGCGTATGGCAGTGGCACAGCCTGGTTGCCAGGCATGCCCAGGGCATCCGGGAGGCCTTGCACAAGGTCGGCCGCGCCCTGGACGCCCACCTGTCAACGGGTCAGCCTCAAGCGAAGTTGGAAACCATCCTCGTTCGCAATACGCCCAAACAACCCCTACACCCCCTCGCACGCATTCGCCAAAGCCAATCGAGATGGTACAGTACCGCGCGAAGGTACATTGACGGCGCGAGGAACTTCTCCTCCGCTTCCACCACGCGAGGCGGCCATGCCTATGATCGAGCTACGTTTGCGACGTTCAAAGTCGGTTCACGCATCTCTCAATCGTCCGGTCGAGCTCCTTTTGCTTCCACCCTGAGACCCAATCTCACAGGAGGCACCTTGGGCCGGACTGCCGGCGGATACACTATAGGCTCGGGCAGGGTTGGCGGAGCGCGCTACTTCTCCCACGGTCCAGCCAGTCAGGCTCAAGTCGTGCAGAATGTCTCCCAGGCCGTACGAGCCTTCTTCATCTCGGGACATAAAGCGCAGTTTGACGGAGTTTCACCAACCGGACAGAAGAAATACAAGGCTGTGAGCAGTCTCCAGGAAGAGACCGGCCGAAAGATGCGCTCCCTGCCCCGCGCTACTCCCGGCTCTCGCCTTGAATTCGTCGTCAATCCCACCATCACTGCTCTCACCCAGCTCAACTCCATCACTGGATACGACTTGTCTGAGCATGCGCAAGCCGACCACCTCAACACCGATGGCCTCCTCGATGTCCTATCCATCGACTTCTCCCGTGCCCTCAAAGACCTTGCCGCCGTCTTCAACGATTTGAAGCGGCTTTCAGCGCTCGGTGATCTGCCCATTACATATGAAGGCTCGTCACTCCGCGTGCACTTTCCCGGCTGCGACGCAGAAACCGTAGAGAGGCTGTGCGATGAGCTCAATGTTCTTCGAGGGAATGTTGTCGAGGATGAAGCATTCGACTCCTTTGTCGGCACCGACATTGCTCTGCTCTTTCCCTTTGCTCCCAGTCAAGACGTGTCTGACTGCGAGAGTCTGTTCGACGAGGTACTCCCCAGGAAGGCCATCGACTACCAAGACATGTTTATCCCTTCGAGTCCAGCATACTCAACGCAATCAGACACCGGCATGGAGGATGTCGAGGACGTATTGCTAGTCGACAACCCATGGCTTTCCTCACCCTCTGGATACGAGTCTGCAAGGTCGAGCAGCGAGTATGGATCCAACAAACACGACCCTCTCGAATACCAGGGCTTCGACGGCATCTACAAGTTCATTGAAGAGCTTGATGCCGTGCGCAAATGATGAGGCGCAGACACGTATGGCTACACCGCGGTTTAGAATGATATCCCCACTTCAGCAAGAGGTCGTTAGGCGTACTTTCCTATGTAGCATTGCAATCAAGTTGATTGACCTTCATGCTCACAGTACTTCAGAAGTTGTAGTCAAATTGAATTTTTGTAGACTATCTAATCCCATGTGCAGACTTTTACACGCAGCGACCACCATCGACGGGCAGCGCAACCCCCGTCAGATAATCGGCCTCGTCGCTTCCCAAGAAGGCGGCGACATTGGCAACATCCCTGGGAGTCGATCCACGGCCGAGCGGCACCACGGATACGAACGCCTTCTCGTTCTCCGGCTTTCCGATGAAGAGGTCCGTCCTGGTGGTGTTTGTTAGCGATTACGTTCGGCCAAAAAGCCCCTTAACCCGCGAATACTTACAAGCCAGTGCCCAAGGCGACAACGGGGCAGATGGAGTTGAAGCGGATGTTGTCCTTGGCGTATTCCACGCCGAGGGTGTTGGTGGCATTGATGACGGCCGCCTTGGAAGCGTTGTACCAAGTCAGACCCGGGCGAGGTCGAATACCGGCGGTGGAGGCAATGTTGATGAACGAGCCTCCGTTGCCCTTCTTTTGCATGTACGGCACCACCACGTTGCTGGAGTAGTAGATGGACTTGACGTTGACGGCGAACACCTTGTCAAAGTCTTCGTCGGTGACCTCCTGCGTGGGCTGGAATGGTGTTAGCTTCACTGCCCGCGATGGACGGGATGTCTGCGACTCGCCTTGTTCCTGTACGTCGTCCCGGCATTGTTCACCACAATGTCGATCTTGCCAAACTTCTCGTCGGTCGTCTTGACGATGCCCTCCCACGACTCGCGCGAGGTGACATTGCCCTTGACGAACTCGGCCTTGATCTCGCCGGCCGTCTTCTGCCCGATCTCCTCGTTCATGTCCACAATAACCACCTTTGCTCCCTCGGCCACAAACTTCTCCGCAATTCCCTTGCCGAAGCCGCCTCCTCCGCCGGTGACGATGGCGACCTTGCCCTCGAGTCTGCCAGGCATGTTGGATGTGTGTTGGGTGGATGAGTGGGTGAGAGATGTACAAAAAGGTGTGGTGAAGTTATGCTTAGTCCGGAGGGAAACGTGGTGTCGGGACAAACAGGGTCAGCGTGTGGTTTATATCTTTTCCCAGCTCCCCATAAGAACCCCGCAGCGCAATGCGATCATAAGTGGGGGCCTCAGTATAGCCGGATCGCGGTGGTTTGCACGTCTTCCGAGAGCACGTGAGACGGCTATACGGGCAAGCATCGCCGGTGCCGGGCTAATAGACCATCAATGTTTTTCACCAAGACATCGATTGCTTACTTCGTTGGCCGGGAATAAGAGTCGAGGAATTGAAGCGGCCGAACGAGTACGGCATAACTCTACTCAGAAGGGAAGCTTGTTGGAACGGGCATGCACACTTAGTGCTATGGCGTTGTTGATCTAACAAGAGCAGCTTTTCTACCTCATACCAAGGAATATCCCCCATCAATGATCAAATCGGCTCCTGGGCACACGTCAGTAGAAGGCCATATAAGGAGCCTGCCATTGTCAACGCACCTGTCATGTAGGACGAAGCGTTACTGGCGAGGAAGACGTAGGCCTGCTCCGTTCATTAGTCTGGCATGCATCTAGAAGGCGAGAGACCGGGCACGAACGCCTTTCAATTCTGCAGCATCTGCGAATCGTCCCCCAGGGACCAGCTCATGCCACTTGTTGGCCCACTCCTTCGGGAGCTCGTTGATCACTGTTGAGCAGTCAGCCTCGTAACTGCAAGCAAGCCCTGAGCTCTGCCCTACTGTCGGTCGCGATGTATCCCGGGGAAATGCAATTCACTCTTGCAAACTCCGTCCACTCCACGGCGAGCCCTTTGGCCAGGTGCACAACCGCAGCTTTCGATGCGTTGTAAGGGGCCTGCTTCTGTGGAATGTTGATCAGGCTCGCGGACACTGAAGCGGTGAAGATCATGCTGGCATCGCCGGATCCTTGCCGTTTGAAGATATTGCCCGCCGCCTGTGCCGTGAACATGGCTCCGTCGAAGTTGATTGCCATCATTTTCCGCCATGCGTCTTCCGTGTACTCCAAGCTGTCGAAGTGCTCTGCAATGCCGGCATTGGCAACGCAACTTTTCCCATGGCCATTAGTTTGAAACAAACCAATGCATAAGTCAATGGCATCTCGGATAGACCTACATATCGAGCCTCCCAAACTCCTTGGCGATCTCGTTGATTGTGTCGGTGATTGTGGCTTTGTCCCTCACATCTGATCGATACGCCTTCACCACCGACCCCGTCTCCTCCGAAATCTTCGCCGCAGTATCGTGCGCATCTTTGCTGCTGGTGTAGATGAGGCCGACAGTTGCGCCGGCTTCGGCAAACGCCCGAACAACCTCGACACCAATTCCTCTCGCGCCTCCCGTGACTGCGGCGACTTTGCCTTTGAGGGAGAAGTGAGACAGCACTGGGCTGTGGGCATTGGCGGGCTTTGACAGAGGCATCGTTGAAATCTTCGACGACTCTCAAAATATGGGAAGGGACATCGTAATATTTCAATGGACGAAAAACCCAGTCGGCGAGTCCTCCGGTGGGGCCCGCAACAACTGGCTTGCTGCTACTGCAAGGTCCCACGATATGCGGGCAAATCATGGGCTGGGTTACAACGTCTCAATTGTCGGCTATCAGGTGAACTCCTTCACGTCTTTACAAAGATTGACCCCCGGCAAACCTTCAACATCACCTCTCTCCACGCATCTTATGGCCACGAAGTTGCAGCAACCTAATTCCCGTTAGTGTTCACCCCTCGCACACAACTCGCAGACACCGTGACTTACATGGTTGGCAGAGTGGACACGGCAACAATCAGCCCAGTCAACAGCCCGGCCATGCCTCCAAAGCCCAGGGCAGCGATTGCCTGTGGAAACCAGAAAGGACCGATGAACCCCCAAATTTGCCTCACAAACGTGATGAATACTCCCACGCTTGAAGCCTCTTCGCGGTAGCAGTCCACGGCGTACGTGATGAGTACAGTGGTCACAATCTGATTTCCGGCCTGTGTTTCCAGGGTCAGTCGAATGTCAATACTCAAAGCTGCCACGGCTGGTACTCACTGCTCCAATGGCGGCACCGATCATCGGCGTCACGTTGTAGGTCTTGATGTTTCCCGTCTGCACGAGGAACACCACGAGTCCGCAGATTGTCAACAAGAATCCGGAATAGCTCAGCCACAGACGGAACTCGGGTTCTGGTCGGCGGCCAATCTTCTTCGTACGCCATGTCATCCAGCGATCGGATGAAATGCCGCCAATTTGTTCACCGATGATGGACCCGATAATCAACGAAATGTATTGTAGCCCAATCTCTTGCGTGTTGAAGTGGAACAAGACCGGATATAGCTGAGGGATCTCAATGGTGATCAACACGCTGCCAAAGCCAAACACCATCGCATAGGCTGCAGCGGGGATCATGACACAAGGCCGGGCAGCAAAGCTGAGTGGCGAAACGAATTCCAACCAGGTGAGTGGCTTCGGGTCTAGTCGGCGGAAAGACAGGTACTTTTGTCGGAAACCGGATGCAACGTTATGCACTCCACTGTGCAGGTAGCGAGTTTCGTGGCCGAAGAAGAAATAAAAGATCAACTGGACGCCGTTGGTGATGGCGAGGATATAATAGATCCAGCGGTAGTTGACTCGGAGAGCGACGAATCCAAAGATGAACGGGGCGATTGGCACACCAATGGTCACCAGCAATGTCCAGACGCCCAATGCTCTTGCACGGTCCTTTTTGAAGAAAGACTCGGCGACCACGGCGGAGCCAATGGCGGCTGCCGGACTGATGAAGAATGCCACAATCGCTCGGCACAAGCCCATGGTTGCGTAGCTGTAGCTGTTGGCGCAGCCGATGTTGCCGACCAGGCTGCAGATCAATGAGATGATGAAGATGGGCCGGCGGCCGTATCGATTCGCCAACGGCCTCCAGAACAGAGGTGCCCCACCCAGGACGGCGATGAAGAGAGACACGAGGTAGCTAGTTTTTTGCAAGCTGATACCAAGGTCTAGGGAAATGTTGACAAAGGCAGATTGGATGGATGACGCGGTGAAGGTGGACATCATGGCGTGAAAGGCTACCAGGGCGAGATTGATGCATTTCTGGGGTGAGTTAGCTTTGTGAGGGACAAGCGCGGAACGAGATGAGAACTGACCTTGGACGTTGACCAGTTGTACGGGTCCTTGGCGATAGTCAGCCTTGTGTCGCGAAGAGTATCGCATGCGCAGGAACACGCGTGGAGGATTACATACGGCGTCGCTCATGTCCGGCATCGGGTCGAGATCGAGCGTGCCATGTCGCTGAAGGAGATAATCGCGATGTTCTGGCGAGAGATCTGCGACGGCGACCGACTCGGGCAGCGTGTGGACCTGCTTGACGTAGTCGTCTGGTGTCGTCGATTTCTCTAGGTCATGGGACGCCATGTCGATGCTCGAGGATGCAGTGCTAGGCACCGCTGAGAGTGAAGAATGAACGATGCGAAAGAGGAAAAGGGTATGGTAAGAGAGACAAGGAAATGATCAACAAGACCAAATCCTGGGGCCCCGAATCATCTTTACGTAGCCCTCGCTCCCCACTCCAGAGGAGCGTGGTCTGGGGAAGATCCCACATCTCGACCAGCCGTCAGTGCCGTCTCATCCTGCCCTAGGGTCCAGAGCAGTCAATCTTACCGTTGAATGGTTGCGTGGACGTCCTCGTTCCCCACATCCCCGCCCAGCTGTCCTGCACACGTGCGGCACGTGCGGCGGACGATCCGGCGCGTGGGGCGGGGTCTGTGCGCGATCCCCACGCAACTCCTCGCCCCCCGCCGCCCTCTCCTCACGCTGTCCCGTACGTCCCACACGCCGCAACGCCCTTGCCGCAGGAATGGCATTGACCTGCCAGTACTGTAGCAAATCCTTCAACAAGGGCGAGCATTTGCGGAGGCATGAGCGTGGACACACGGGCCATCGGCCCTTTACGTGTGCGCACTGCAAGCGAGGCTTCAGCCGACAGGATTCTTTGCTTCGGCATCAGAAAGTCCACGACCAGAAGCCAAACAAGGCTTCTTCCAGCAAGGCGGTATGTCGGCGACGGCGCAACGATTTGCATAATCATCTGCTGATGGGGTGATCACAGAGCTATTCTCCAACTGCAATCCGCGCACCGAGCGACATATCAACTCCCTTCAACGATGCCGCGAGTGGGGCAAACGTTCAGCTCTCCACGAGTCTGACCAACGATATCTTTACGTCTCCAAATGCTGGAGGAAGTCAGATTAGCGGGTAAGCCAGGGATGCATTGAAGATTGCTGCAAACTCGCTGATCACGCGGTCTCGCGATAAAGGACGGGCGATGCCTTTCAATATGGCGGCACGATGGGGTTTCAGGATGCCAATGCACTCTCTGACATGGACTTCAGCCTCATGTGGCCGGACTCTGAAGATCTCTTCCAAAGTATCTTCTCCACGGACTTCAGCAACTCCTGGCAGGTGCCTCCAGGAACGTTGCCGCTGCCTTCGGGGACGCTGTCATTGCCACCAGCCCCTCAGACACAAATCGCAAGACCACCTCGTCTCCACCCGCTTCCTGCTGACGGTAGTGGCACGTCAACTCCCCGCCGAGACGCCCGTCCGAACGAGAGCCAAGTACCGTCCGGCGACAACCAGATCCGGGCCGGGGACAATCAAGGAGCGGTCGATGGCGTGAGCCAGATGGTAGCAGACTACTCTTCGAGTCTGACCGCTGCAGTGGACTCCAAGTCGATCACGTCCGTCTTCCTCGACGAAAGCTTGCACATGTTCTTCGATCGCTTTATTCCAATCTTTCCCATCATGCATCGACCAACGTTTGTCTATCGGGATTGCTCACATGCTTTGTTGCTTAATGCTATTGCACTTGGCTCTCTGTACCTCGGGCCTGCGGACAGCATCGCAAAGGGGGAATCACTGTGGCGTCTGGCCCATACTGCCGTTGCAACATCCTGGCAGACACTCATCACCCACCGGGGACCCTACGACGCGTGTTCCGGGGTTCAGCTTGTACTAGCATCCCTTTTGAGCGTCGTCTATGGTGCGCTTTCAAAGAACTCGGACATTCGACGTGCGAGCTTGGCTTTGCACGCTTCCGCTTTCTTTTGGGCAAGACAGTGCGGTATATTCAACTGCGAGCCTTACAGCTTGGCTGATTTGCCTGCAATGTCGGCTCCTCGCGCAGATAAAATGCATCAATGGAGAACATGGGCGGCGAGGGAGATTCAGCAGAGAGCTTTGCTGTCGCACTTTGTGTTGGACGGTATCATTGCTCACATGCAAGGCAATTCTACGTCAGTTCGGCACACGTCGAACACGTTGAAGCTTTCCAACTGCGAGCGTGCCTTCCAAGACACCACCGTTGATGCGTGGCTTGAACGGATGCATACGGCGCGGCAGGATCAGAATTCTTTCCGGGATATCTACCGGGGGCTGTTCATACGACCCGAGAACCTGTGGGAGATTTCTCAAGGATGCTCAAATTTTTCCCTCCGCGTGTTGCTGGAGGGGCTACAGTCCATGATTGCTGATAGCGATGACCTTGATGGCGGTGAGTTGATTGGTGATAAAGAGCCGAGATATGTTCTAATTGTTGTCCAGCCATCATCAATCCTCCGAACCGATCACAGATTGGACACGCTCTGTCGTGGATCTACGAGAAGATTTCAACATGTGGTGACATGGCGGAGGTGGAGAGGCTGGAAGTGTTGATGAGATGGCATGCCGTCTGTCTGGAGGCCGTGACGAAGACGCCACAGCTCTGCAATTACATCTGCAAGCGCTGGAATACCCAACAAGCTCTCTGGCCGAATCCCAATTTTCGTGACAACGAGTACGACCTTCCGAAGCTGGTGAGCAGCCCGGACGGTCGCAAGGCGTTGCTACACGCGGTAGCAATACAGCAAATCGTCGAGCAACTCCCAAGAGGGCGTGCTCACGCCGTGCATATGCCAAGCTCTTTGTTCGCCGCCGCGACGATTTATGGCATTTTTTCCTTTGCGGGGCAGACTAGTGTACGGACTCCGAGCGCTGTGGAATGGAAGGATGTGGTCCTTGCTGCCGAAGATTTGCAGAGTGTTCACCACGAGACTGCGGACTTTATCCAAAACAATCGGTTCCCCTCGGGTCTGTCTTCGGCGACGGCAAAGAACGTCTTTTACGAGCTGAACTCGGTGCAGAAGCTTTTTCGCACGCTGGAGACGCAATGGGGCGTGGCTACGGATATGGAAAAGGTCATATCGCAGTGGATTGCAGTCTGCCATGCATGAGGCGCGCAATCAGGACCGTCGGCCAGCCCGATGGACATCTTTGTGGGGACGTTGCATAACCGCCACTCGCTATCCCTTACGCCGAAGGTTACTGTCTACACATCGAGGGAAGGCGAGGCGGGCAGAGTAAGCCGTCTGTTGTGTCCTATATCTATGAAGCAACAAAAGCCGACGATATGGTCTAGATGTGAACGATGGGTCGCTGCCCCACAGCTTCGAGACTGTCCCATGTTGACCTGCATGGTGCCGTTGACATTGGAGTACGTGTCTCTCCACGGTGATGGTCTGACCACGCGGGCATTGCGCTGCCGACGAACCGTACCCGCCTGTCCAATCGGCTTGCTGCTCACTCGCTGAACGTCTGATGCAAGCCAGAATCTAGGCCTTCGCAGAGTCGAGCAGTCTCGGCACATTCTCAATCAAATGCTCTACCACCGCATCTGGCCCTCTTTGCACTTGCAGGCCTTGCGGCAAGGCATACGTAACAATGCTCGGGTTGGCATCTCTCGCCAGGGACTGAATCTGTTCTGCTTCTTCCGGCGTCCACATGGATGCACAGAACTGAGTCGTAAGTCAGCTTCACTGTGGGAAGTCCTGGAAAAGACTGGTCTCTCACCAGTACATTGGGCTGGATTCTGGACACTGTTTCGTGGACCTCGTCGATCTCTGTTGGCGGATCGTTAGTTAAGCACTACGAAAATGCTCGTATCTCATACAACGAGGCTTACGAGAGCAATTGGCTTCGTGAATGACTTGATATCGATCGCTGAGCCCTTCAATCATCTTCCCCACGAGTCGTTTTGCCCTCTCCGGAGCTGTGTTGACGGTGACGAGTTTGTATGGGCCTTTGGGTGATGTTGCAGCTGCCATGTTGGACTTTTCGTGTTTGCATCAATGTGGTGCAAGTAGAGTCGGTGAGAAATTTATAAATGGCATGTAGGCCATGCTAAGACAGTGTCCCGCGTGTTGAAAGGCTTGAAAGTGGGAGGCGCGAGCCTCGGTGGTGGGCGTGGGGACGAGTGAGGTGGAGACCGCCGCCGGCAGTTGTCGTCGGCCGTGGAACACATACATCTCTCATCAGTGATTTATATGCCATTCCACACCTGGCATCCGCATCGCCTAGCATTTGCCCATCTGTCGTCAGAAAATCGTACAACATGCCTACAGCAAACGGTGTGAACGGTGGTGTCGCCGAGGAGTATCGACAATATCTTCCCGACCTGAACACTCCGCGCTTCCAGGTTGGCAAGACTCAGACTCCATACGAATATGTCGAGGCATTTCAAAAGACCAAGTTTCCTCCATGGATTTACAACCTCACAGAGACCTGGAAAGGCCTGCTGGAAGAGCCTTTGGTGGGCGTGACAAGCCAAGGTAGTCCTGCGCCACTGCAACTGCATCTCGATACTTGCTGACGACTTGCGCAGGAAAGATTGAGCGTGGATTGTTTGAATTAGAAGATGGCGGAGTGGAGATGGACCAGATCGTGCAGGCGGTGAATAATGTGTTGAGTAAGGCCACTGCTGAGGAGAGATCGAAGCTCCAATATTCGGTCAATGCTCGAGAATGGAGAGCATGGTCGAATCCGGAGGTGAGTGAATGACAGGCAAGCCTCAACACTGCAAATCTAACACGGTAGTATCGCAGTTTCTACTTCGTCCCTTTGGACTACGGCTTGAGGAAATCCCGGAGGAATTGGCCCTTTCCATCCTCGCCGTTGTCGAAGCCACCTTTTCTACCGAAGGGTATCAAAAGGCCCTGGGTGCAATGCGGGTCAATCATTTTCTGGGCGAACTCTGCGAGCTGACGAGCATCATGAACAAATACTCCTACAACTTCCTTCTTTTCGGCACCCCGTCAACCACCGAGGCCTGGGGCTGGTCGCTCTACGGTCACCACCTGTGTCTCAACGTCTTTCTCAAAGGCACGCACATCTCCATCTCTCCCACCTTTACCGGCGCTGAGCCCAACATCATCGACGACGGGCCGTTCGCAAACACTCAGATCCTGCATTACGAGGGTGAACTCGGCCTTCAATTGATGCAAAGCTTGTCTCCCGACCTCCAGCAAAAAGCGCAGACATTCAAGTTGCTTCGGGATCCCGGCATGTTACAGAGTGGAGATCTCCGGGTCGACCGTTGGAATCAAGACGATCAGCGACATGTCTGTGGTGCTTTCAGAGACAACCGAGTCGTGCCGTACGAGGGTGTCAACGTCGCCAGTTCTTTCAACGAGGAGCAGAAGCAGCTCCTTCTCAAAGCAGTGGAGCAGTTCGTCCTCTATTTACCCTCCAAGGCGAGGCAAGTCCGGCTGGAGAAGGTCCGTCAACATTTTGCGGCGACATATTTCAGCTGGATTGGGGAATATGGCAACCACGATGCATACTACTTCCGCATCCAGAGCCCGGTGATCATCTGCGAATTCGATCATCATTCCGGAGTCTTCTTGACCAACACCCAGCCGGCCAAATTCCACACGCACACGATTGTGAGGACGCCGAATGGAGGAGATTATGGAAATGCGCTTAGAGGTGAAGCCGAGAGGGTTCCGTAGCGTTGGAAGAGTGTACAATGTTGACAGGAAATGAATCACGAGTCTGCCAAGTCAAGATGCGCCTCTGATTGGCTCCCACAAATCCACGCCCACCAAACTAGGAAGTTCCGTCGACGCATTATGAGTGATGTTGCATTCATCTTGGGCCAGGCGAATTCCATGTTCTGCAACTTATAAAGTCCTGTGCTCTTTTAATGTACCTCCACTGAAATCGTCACAAATCACGGTCCCCAAGACACCCGCAAACTGGAGGCCTCTACGACTCTTACAAGCTCTGCCTTGGACAGCAAGATGGACTACCCAATGCCAATTGGCGTCCACGCCGTTCCTGAACATCTACTGGACCTCCGATCTGATGATGAGATAGATCGTGATCTGATGAACCCTCCACCGGTGCGAGATGAGAAAAACGTCTGGTTCTTCTGGCACTCCGGCTTCGCAAATATGCATCCATACACGCAGAGAAATATCCGCGCGTGGCACCGGCGATTCTCTCGACGAGGGTGGGTGGTCCGAGTGATGGATCGTGCGACTTCGTCTCCCCTCAACATTGCCAAATTCCTCGATGTGGCAGACCCACGCACTTTCCCGCAATCTTTCATTGACGGCACGATCGGCGGCGACTACGCTCCACAACACACTTCTGACCTTGTCCGGTTTCCACTCCTCCTCAAATACGGCGGAGTATACGCAGACGTGGGTATGATCCAAATTGGCGACCTCGACCGGCTGTGGAACGAGACCGTGGGAAATCCGGCCTCAACATACGAGGTCCTGTCGTATGCCATGGGTGGACCGGAGACACGCGGCTTGGCCAACTACTTTCTCGCCTCGCGTCGAGACAATGCATTTTTCACACGCTGCCACAAGCTGCTGCTTGCGTTGTGGGCGGCGGACGGAGGCAAAGCGGATACGGACGGAATGCACAGCAGCCCGCTCTTGAAAGGTGTCCCTCTGCTGGGAGCAAACGACAATATGAGTTTCGAGGAGAATGGCAAGTTCTATGGTCCAGAGGAGGTGGCCAAGCTTCTCAGCGATTACATCACTCAAGGACAAGTCATCACAATGGTGATGGGCTTGGTTGACGAAGAGGATGGCTGGAATGGACCGGAGTATGTGGTGAAGCACATCTACCACATCCAGTTCATGGTGGGGTCTCAGTACATCAACCACTTCACCAACTGGGACGGGAACCGGGCGTTCGAGCTGATGTCATTGCCGTTGCCCAAGGCTGGCGAGACGGAAAATGACGATCAAGCCAAAGCCCGAGAGATCGTCGAGGCGTGTCTCAGTCAGAGCTTCGGGTTCAAGCTGGCGCATGGGTTGATTTTGAGAGTCATCGGGCACACACTGGGGTCGTTGTGGCGGAAACATACCGGCTCCGATGATGTGCCTGGGACGTATGCCCATTGGCTGCGACATGGAACGAAGTATTGGAATCAGGACGACATTCCCCCTCCTTTGGAACTGGAAGTGTTGCCGCCTTTTAAAGTGGGACGCTTGTTGGAAGCATGATGCAAGTTTGCGGAGAAAGAATACAGATAGACATTTGAAAGAGTGATGTATCAACAGATGTATGCGCGCGCACGGAGAATTGCCGCCAAAAATAACCCGATGGTCGGAGGTTTAAGAAGGTTTGGGCTAGCGCGCCTTCCATTCGTTCCTGCATCCCGGTCGCTTTCGTCACGTCTCGTAAAGTTAAAAGCTGCATGGGGAAGGAGGCGGAGGCAGCGCAGCACAACGGTCGTAGGCGGCCGGAGCGCTTCACACCCGTACTGCATCGCGACCTCTTGGCCGCCGGCCTCCCTCTGCTACCTTGCCACCCCTTCAACATGGCATGACCTGCTTCGGTCCAGGCATCCCGTCGAATCTCCCGGCTGAGGGTCGCTCGGCGTCATTGGCGACAAGGCGCACAACGTGGGGTGATCCCCATGGCGCCCCTAATGGACAGCAACCGGAGACCGGTCAGGTCTATCCCCTCGCCCACCCTCACCAATCCAGACATGCTCCTCCCCGACCAACCCCCCAGCTTCCCCCTCCTTCCATCCTCGCCGCGACCTGTGCGCAGAGACAGACCGCCGAGTCCGGGTTACCTGCGGCATCAGCCAAAGGCTCCTGTCCCAAGTGATCTACGAGATCAGACGAACCATGCCTCGAATCGAGAAGATGCCGCTATTGCTACAGCAGGGAAGAGGGAGAAGCGAGGGTTGATGAGTCGCAAGATGATGTTGTTGCGCAGTCGCACTGCCAGCAATGGTTATGGATCACGAGCAGGCCAAGAGGCGACATTTTCACCCAACGCTTTCGTGACGGACATGGGGGACATTGGCCCCGAACAATACCCAGGATCCAAGTGGAGCACCGACGAGAGTGAGGCGGAGAGCGAAGACATGTCGGGCCTGCCACAATTCTTAGCAAAGTACAAGACCAGCGCGCGTGCTTCCCGTGCCGATGACGACCTCGAGGGGAGTACCGCAGTTGGCCTTCATGAGTACCCCGAAAGCACTGTTGCGCCGGTCTCGGATGAGGACGAGGAGGAGCGTCTGCAAAAGGAAAAGGACGAACAAGCATCGGCAATTCTGAGCAAACGAGCCGAGCAAATCCTTGCCAATGCGAAGAAGCGATTAAATGTGAGGGAGCTTGCAATCCGTATACCACTTACAGCTGCTGACGTGTTATAGCTCATGGAGGGAAATCTACGCGGCGCAAGGGATCTCGTTGCCCCTCTGACTGCGGCCAACCTGAAGCGAGCCACATCCGTCGCCTCTTATGTCCCGCCAATCAACAACTTCGGGGGCATCACACGCTATGTCGAAGGCGGCTACCAATACGATCCAACGACCAGAAAGAGATATCGTCGGCTGCACGCCCAAGCGAGCAACCCGGTCCTCGGTCGAGATTATCAGGGCCACTCCCGCGGATTTAGCGAGGCGGACATTCCAGAGCGGACCTCTCCAGCTTTTCACGCTGTCCAGAGCTCCGCATCTGTCACACCCCAGAGAGCCTTAAAAGGCAGCAGAAGCCATGAGTCGCTTGGGAGGTCACGATTTCTCGACAGCAGAACATCCCCCGATCCCGGTCTGGCGCCGTTGATCGAAGACGAGGCTCCGATATCTCCCGTCGAAACTCCACGGAGTAGTGCGAGCAGTCGCGCAGAGCTTCGCAATAACAGATCTTCCTTGACGCCGGAAAATCTACACGAACAGATGAGCAGTCTTCGTGGCAGAATATCCGCCCTGAAGGAACGTGCGAGGGAGGACAGCCTCAAGAGGAAGAGTACGCAGAATATGCGGGAGGTATCGCCATTGAACAACGCCAGTGCGGACGCTCCTGAACTCTTCTGCGCCTCATCTTCTACTTATAACAGTCCAAGCATGGACACCCGAGCCGGACTCTTTTCTGCGAACCAACGAAGTCGGGAGGCTTTACCGCCAGCGAGTCGCATCAACACTGGAAGTCGTAATGCGTTCGCTGAACAGGCCAAGCACCTTCGAAAACCGAGTCATGACAGCGATAAGAGTACGGGCTCTACCGTTCGAGGCGGGGGAAACGCGCTTTCACCGTTGACCCACAGACGTACTCCAAGTGGTACGGCCGTGGTGCAGTCTTCTAAGCATCGCTATTCGCATCATCAATCTCAGCAGGTGCAAGACGCTCAAGGCATACATGGCGAGGAAGAAGAAATTGGTACAGCGCATGATGGTACTTCGGATTATGGGGATGATGAGAAATCGGCGGTCGGAGGCAGTGTCTACGAAGATGCCACAAACGCACAGCCGCCGCTCGTCGTTGCACACGAAGACCGCGAGGATGCATTTGACTACGAGAATTTCTTCCTTCACAGCGCAATGAGCTACTACGCCAGCGATCTCAGGCCGGCATCGAAATACAGCGAAGACTCTGTCGATTCCGGCGAGACTGAACGAGGGCCAACAGCAACCGCTGATATTTTGGACAGCTACCGTGACAGCTACGCCTTTTCCAACTCTGGCAGCGAGCTCGAAATGCCTGAGACGCCGGAGCAGCTCAGACAGATTGAGAGAAACTTACACCGTCGGACAATCTCGGAAGACAGTGCCAGCTCGTTCGCCACCGCCAACGAAGGGCAGGAGAGTTCGGACACTGACGAAATGTCCAGTGCTCGAGTGTCGACTGCAATGGAATGGCCCATGCCGCCTTCTGACCCCAACACTTCTCGCCCGGGCACGGCGGTGCCGATCAAGCCCCGACAGATCGAGATTGCACGTAGCGACAGCTCGTCGGATCGAGCAGACTCTGGTCTTGGGTCGAATGGCAGCCAGGACAGTCTCGCGCGCCCTCAAATCAAGACCCCGATGCATAAATCGAGCTTGTCAAGTAGTGCGGCCATGAGCAGTCCAATGCTCGGTCCGCCATTGTCCCCGGGGGCTGTTTCGAAGGACCCCGCCACGTTGGCAGTGAATGCTCTACTCACGCCCGATGGCCGACGTTTGGGCCTGAGAGACAAGGCTTTGGTCTTCTCCATGGTGGAGAGCCTGAAGACGGTCTGTCGTCAGTTGCAGGAAGGGGAAGAGACCAGTCTTGAAAGCCGCATGTTGAGGCGGCGGCTGGACGATGCCAGACGAGTGTTACTGGGAGGTACAGAGGTGCGGCCTGGGACGAGTTGATGATTTGTCGAAATTTGTGATTTACTTCCCACGGAATACTGTAATATATGTCACTTTCGTCCAACAGCGTCGTCATTCCTAGGCTGAAGCACGGCCTTTCAGATGTAGTCTCTCTCCACAAAGCTCTGGATCATGCCCTCCGGACTCGGCTCGTACTCCTTCAACACAATCTCCTCTCCCTCCAAAAACGTGTTCGCCTGGACGAAAACCTTCCGTGGCTTGGCCTGCCGGATGACCTCTGGTCGCAGTGTGTTGGCATACCAATCATCCACGTTCGTCATCTTGTCGAACAAGGCCGTCAGCGCCTTGACGTCTGCCGTGGATTTATAGATGTGCAGCTTTTGAAGGAAACTGTTGACCGCGGGCCGTCCGTGTGATTCGATCTTGTTGCGGTCAAGGTAGATGGTCAGGTCAGAGGCATCGTCCTTGCTGTAGTTGAGTTTGCAAAATTTCACACCGGCGGAGAGGAAGACCTGAAGGATTGCAAAGCGGGCTTGCATGTGTGGTTGTCAATGAGCTTGGTCAGTATCACTCTCACGGACGGCGATGACAGACAACTCACCCCCACTTCCGCGAGTTGGGATCCCAGAATTGAAGGGCGGAGACGCCGGCTCTTGCCATTTGCAAATAGCACACAAAGAGCACATCCCCGGCCACGCCGTTGATATCCTGAAGTGCTGTTAGGAGTGATCAGCACGGAAGTTGGATGATAGCGTACCTCTGTCCCGTCGCCGATCCCGAAGATCTTGAGGATGCCGTAATCCGGACAGAGCGACATTGCGACACACTCTGCTCGACATTCTTCACACGCACCGGCCATGCCGCCGAACACGCCTCCCCAAGTCTCACCCGGCTTGTAGTACGTCGACACTTTCTTGCCCGTCACTGGGCTGATGGGGGGATTGTCGATGTCGAAATTGTATTTGCCCGGCTCAGTCTCTTGGAGAAGCTTCCCGCAGCCGTGGCCGAGAAGTTCGTGCCTAGAGTGAGGATGTCAGAGGAGGCGAAGGTCAATGTTGAGGAGATGACGGGATGAGAACGTACAGGCCAACTTGAACTTCAAAAGCTTCATCTTTGTACTTGTCGTACACCTCTTGGTCCTCGTCTTTGAGGAAGGGCGTCGGTTCTTTGGCAACGGTGGCGCTGAGGACATTGCCAAGTGAGACATTTTTGAAGCCTTCGGTTTGGCGGACATCGTCATAGTTGGGAATGTTGATGCCAGCAGGAATGCCACTTCCCGCAAACGTGAGCACCTCGAGAGACGTAAAGTCTGGGGCAAAGAACTTGTCCTTTTCGAATTCCTTTGGCCACGGCAGCTTTGGGATCTGCTTGGGTGCGGATGTGACGAGTTGTTCAAATGCCTTGGTGCGCTCCTTGTTGACCATCGCAGCAAAGCCCTCCCACTCACCACGCTCTCCCGAGGGGTCTCGATAGGTTTCGATGAAGCCGATGTTGGTCTCGACCATTGGACCCTTGTCTCTGATCCAATGGCGCTGGGAGTCCTTGTGGGAGTTCATCGAGCCGTCGTGAAAAGCCTTGATGTAGTCGGCCTGCATGGCAGACTCTTCGTCGTTCAGGGCGTACTTTTTGGCCTCTGTGAGATTTTGGGCCTAATATTGTGAGTGTCAGCGGTGATCGAGATGGGAGTTTAGAAAGCCAACGCACGATCTTTGCCATTTCCGCGTGATGGTCTCCATATTTGATTCGCAATTTCTTGTCTTTGAGAGAGCCTTCCAGGGTGAACTCGTCGCCATCGATATCTCGAGTGGTTGGATCCGTAATGGCAGATGCAATCAGGAGCTCAAAGTCGCCAGAGGCCGTCTGTCGAAGACGTGTGTTCTCGGGCATCAACTTCTTCCTCTTGAGGAAATCAGCAATGCTCTCAATCTCGGCCTGCGTGATGTTGGGAGAGTCGGGATAGTAGGTGGTAACGTGGCCCTTGTCGGGGAAGCCCAGGTGCATTCGCGAGGAAGTGGATTCGTAAAGCTCATCTTTGAACTCGGAATATAGCTTCTCTGCTTCTGGAGAGGCTTTGGCCAGCTTCTCAAACTCCTCCGCTGGGATGCGAGGGATGAATTTGGAGTCGCCGAAGGATTTGAAGTTGCCAGTGTTGCCGAGAAATTGTGCGGCATAGCTCAAGAAATGGCGCATGTCCTCCTCCGACACGCCAGATTGAGACGCAAGATGCTTCCAATTTCCTGCGGAGGAGTATTAGTGGGCTACATGTCAATCGACGAGCAAGGCGCCTACCATTGCAAGCCTTGTGCAGGGCGAGGATGAAGTCGTAAATCGGCTCGCTCTCCGGACTGACTTGACGGAGATTGATCCTCGTTCCGGCAAATGAGGCGCGACTGATGTAGTGGGCGTACTTTTTCTCCTTGCTGTTCAGCGCCTCGAAATGAGGTTTGATGGCGAGCTGGGCAACAGTGGGAGGGTCGTCAGCAAGGTATTGCTTCCGACTGGCGGTGTCGACTTTGTCATGCATTATGACTGGGGATTATTGGCTGTGATGAGAGAGGACCGATGTAGGCCGAGCTGCTGGAGATGCTGCGAACGGCGTGTTGTACGAAGACTGGCAGTGCGCAAAGTGGGTTGTTAGGGTTAAAAGCTCCAGCGGAGGAGAGCTTGGAGTGTCGTGCAAGCCCGCCCGTTGAACAGCCGGCTGTCCTTCGTCTTCGTTTACGAATCGACTGCAAGTCTACTTGTTCGTCTTGGGCATGCTGGAAGTGGATATGAACACCGTCGCCTGGTCGACGCTGATCAACTCATGGGCAGAAGGTCTGGATGTTCTCGGCTGTACAACTCTACGAAATGGTTGTGGAGTGCTACACCGCCGGAGGCCTTGATCCACACACCGAGACGTCTGGCCGTTCCGGCGTGGCACAGTTCCGTGCCTCAAGCATGGTTCAACTCAACTCCATCCAGTAGAATGATGCCATGCACCAATTCACGCCCACTCTTACCATCTCATCCATACCTTTCGCTGGTCGCGTGCCAACCTCATTCACTTCCCGCCTCGGCAACGGACGAAAGATTCTCCGAAACTCTAAATATGGTATGCTCAACTGAACAACATATCGCCGCGCTGCTTCATCTCAACTAGCTCACGGAGCGGAGGACACCGGGACAAGACTGCGCAAATTTGCAGGATAAATAGAAGATAAGTGGCGCCTTTCCTTCATTTCCTCATCTCACCATCTGCTTCCCATTCCCAACACATCACTCACCTTTCTCGCGGCAACGAGGTCACTCTGCCGCCTTCAACCGTCGCCATTTTCTCCAATCTGCTGAACTCGTGAGTGTTTGCCCCAGAGTTGCTGCCACCCCCGCATCTCCACTTGGGCGGACCAACGTACTAATCCCGCGGCTCAGGCTGCATCACCCGTACGCCGGACGCCGCTGCTCCTCCACCGGCTGGGTTCACGACTCTCCCTACGTCAAATAGACTTAACTTCACAACCAGACGATCAATCTTACCAGCCATGGCACCTCACGCAAACGATTCCGAAGGCAACGCCTCTGGAATCCAGATGAATGGAACTGCCACTTCCGCGCCTGCCGACTTCAAGGTCCTGTCCCCCAATGTTCACTACACGGACGACACGGTCACCAGCAAGTACACGTATCGTACCACGGATGTGGAGCTTCTGGGGGGGAACATGGTCGCCACGCCCAAGGAAACCGTATACGACTTCAAGACCGACCGCACCGTGGGCAAAGTCGGCTTGATGTTGGTGGGATGGGGTGGCAACAATGGCAGCACCGTGACCGCCGGGATCTTGGCCAATCGGAACAAGATGACCTGGGAAACTCGAGAGGGTCCCCGTGAGGCCAACTACTATGGTTCCGTCGTCATGTCCTCCACCGTCAAGCTTGGTACCAATGCGAAGACTGGAGGAGACGTCAATGTCCCGCTCCACAGCCTCGTCCCCATGGTCCATCCCAATGACCTCGCAATTGGCGGCTGGGATATTAACGACATGGATATTGCATCCGCCATGGACCGCGCTCAAGTTTTGGAGCCCACGCTGAAGATGATGGTCAGGAAGCAGACCTCTGCCATGAAGCCGCTTCCCAGCATCTACTACCCCGATTTCATTGCAGCCAACCAGGGCGATCGCGCAAACAACCTCATTCCCGGCCAGCAGGCTTGCATGGAGCATGTCGAGCACATTCGCAAGGACATTCGCGATTTCAAAGCCGCCCAGGGGCTCGACAAGGTCATTGTTCTGTGGACCGCCAACACCGAGCGTTTCAGCGACCTTATTGCCGGAGTCAACGACACTGCCGAGAACCTCATGGCTTCCATTGCTGCAGGACACAGCGAGGTCTCACCTTCTACCATCTTCGCTGTGGCCTCCATCCTCGAGAACGTCCCGTTCATCAACGGTTCGCCGCAGAACACATTTGTGCCGGGCTGCATCCAGCTCGCCGAACAACGCGGTGCATTCATCGGAGGTGACGACTTCAAGTCGGGCCAGACGAAGATGAAGTCTGCTCTTGTCGACTTCCTGGTCAATGCCGGCATCAAGTTGACCTCCATTGCGAGCTACAACCATCTCGGCAACAACGACGGAAAGAACCTCTCCAGCCACAAGCAGTTCCGCTCCAAGGAGATCAGTAAGACCAACGTTGTGGACGACATGGTTGCTGCCAACCACATCCTGTACAAGGAGGGCGAGCACCCCGATCATACCGTGGTGATCAAGTACATGCCGGCTGTCGGTGACAACAAGCGCGCTCTGGATGAGTACTACGGAGAGATTTTCATGGGTGGGCACCAAACCATTTCCATCTTCAACGTTTGCGAGGACTCCCTGCTGGCATCCCCCCTCATCATCGACTTGGCCATCATCGCCGAGTTGATGACTCGCATCCAGTGGCGCAAGCATGGTGAGGAGGAGTGGAAGCAGTTCCACAGTGTGTTGAGCGTGCTCAGCTTCATGCTCAAGGCTCCTTTGGTGCCGACCGGTACGCCTGTGGTGAATGCCCTTGCGAAGCAACGTGCTGCCTTGGTCAACATTCTCCGTGCGTGCGTCGGTCTTGACCCCGAGAACGACATGACTTTGGAACACAAACTGTTCTGAGCGAGAACTTTTGGCTTTGTTGATAGATGGTCTATTTTTGCAGTAGATACTCCCGCTCGATTAATACCTTGCATACACCTACCAGTCCACTTACCGGCCAAATATTCCACAATCGATTTCGCAACCATCCCGCCCAATCTTCGTGCTGGCTCTCCCGGAAACGCGATGGATCGACTCGCACCTTGTCGTATACCGACGGCAGATACGTGGCATGATATTTCGCGCGGATATCGTCGTACCACTTGCGATCATAGATCCTCCAAAACTCGTTCTCGGTGTAGTAGGTTTGTGCATACAGCCATTTGATACCTCCCAGTTTACGTACCTCGTCCTCCAACCGGCGATTCGTCTGGAAGAACTCGCTGGGCTTTGACGGGCCTGGACCCCAGACACCAATGTTGACGAAAGAACCTTGTTCATCACGCCGATCAATGTCGGGGCGCATGGAGATCGCATCGCCTTGCCTCATTGGACATATCCACAACGGCCAGAGTCCTAGATCGGCATTGACGTAGTCTACAAACTGCTCTGCTGTCTTCCGCGGTAGCAGCAAGTCCTGAATGATGTACTTGGAGGCGTGGCCGGAGGCGTGCAAGGCATGATACATGACACGCGTGTGCATGAAGTAGTCTAGAGCCCAGCGAGTGATTCGATTAAAGGGGGTGATGAAGTACTGAAAGGCATATTTTCCGGTCCAGAATGCTCCGCGATCGTATCGGAAGAGATAGTCTTGGATGGGCACCATTTCTTTCGTCGGCTTTCCGGTCTTTCGCATTAGCCGATCGGCATGGATATAGAACCAAGGGTCTTGCGCTCGACTGAAGCGCTGGAGACGAAGGTCATTGGGGATGCGGTCGGCTAGAATTCCCGTGACAATCACACCACGGTCCATGCTGAGCAGGATACCGTCGACGAAGTCGTTGGAAGGATCTTTGGTTGCCTGATCCATCAAGTCAAGAGCTTCGGCTACACTCTCGGCAGGACGATAGGTCAGTTCCACGTACGGTTTCGCAGTGATTAGCTGGATCTCGAACATGGTGGCAACACCCAGAGTTCCCAAACTCCCTGCCGCTGCGGAGAAGAGATCGGGTTTGTGCGTGGGAGACGCAACGACGACTTCGCCGGTTGGCAAGACAAACTCGATCCAATTGACGGTGTGGTCGAAGAAGCCGTACTTGTAACAACTGCTCTCCCCCGCAGTGCCTGCAAATGCCCCTCCTACGGTGATTCCTGGAAACTCCGGGACGACAGGTGGTAACAGGCCGTGCTCCAGCACGCCCGCAACTAACTCGTCCATGGCGACATTGGGCTCGACGAGACAAGTTTTCTTTGCTTTGTCGACATGCAGGATATGGTTGAGGCGTGATGTATCCACGATCTTTTTCCGGTCAATCGTCCGATGTTGAGTGCTGTTCGTCGAGCCATGGTAGAGTCTGAAGGGCGTTTGGGCCTGGGAGAATTGCCGGACTTGCGAAGAGATTACCGCGACTGCAGCATTATGATGGTCCATGCGAGAGGTTAACAATATATATACAGGGAAGATATGTTGCGAAGTATATGTATAGAAGACGTAACAAATCCGGTGAGATCCGAGTGAAGGCAAGCAGGTGTTGAAGGGTCTGTGCGGTACCAAATGTGGGCCGCGGAGTTTGGGCGACGAGTCTCATGCGTGGTGATGGTATGTATGAGCTACAGCAGTGTTGGTCTTTGTGCCGGCGTGCAGTTGCAATCAAGCGCGCTTGGAATGAGCCTTGTTGGCTGTCTCGTCTTGCATCGATGCCTACCTACATAAAATCATCCTCCCAGTTGGCATCCCGATCCTGATTGCTCGACTCCTGCATATTGTCATCATTGTGCAGGTCATCGTACATGTGCGCCTTCTGCCACTTGATCTCCATCCGTTCCTGCGCCACTTTGGCGTCTTCCTTCTTCTACTCGGGGATAGATCAGTACACGCTCTCCGCACTTCCATGGACCAACATACCTGAATCTGCGCAGCCATCCTCTCCTTCTTCCGCTCCTCTCGCTCTTTGTCCGCCTTTTCCGCGCGCAGGTCGGGGAACTTCTCCACCCTTGTCTTATTCAGGCGGTTGACAATGCCATTCTCCCGCTGCTCCACGTGCACCTTCTTCACCAGCTTGTTGTCCTTGAAACCCACCTGGCCCGTCGCCATGTCGCCCGTCTTTTTCAGATTGCTCCATGGCGTGTAGATGACGGTGACGTTGTCCTTTTTGTTTCCCTCGATGCTGTTGGCCTTTGTGAGTTGCGCGCAGTCGGTGAGGAGGTCCTTGGGGATGGCGGTCCAGGGGGCGTTGGCGGGATCGGGGAGACGGAGGTAGACGTGGGCGGAAGAGAGGTTGTCGACGTGGAACCAGACGTCTTCCGGCCAGCCGTGGGCTATGAGATCCTCATCTCTAGACACGTCAGTTGGAGGGGGATTTGGAGAGGATGTACGAGCTTCTCACTCTCCACCTTGTCTTTGCCAACGTAGATGAAGGCCGGCGGGTCGACGATGTTACTTTGGAAGTAGTACACCATCTCGATCTCCAGATTGGGCGTGTTACATTGCGGGAAGAGATGAAATGGTGGAGGATTATTGTCTTGTCATCGTTTTGGCCTTGAAATGCAAGCTCCCGCCGCCCCACACCTTGGCCAAATATAAAACTGGCACGCCGCGGCTGAAATTGAAGGCTGCCGCGACGGATGTGTTCACTCCAACTCTCGACACGTCCTTCACATGGCATTGGGCGTGTACTGGGCGACGCTCAGTCTCTGTCTCTTCCTGGTTGTGTTGATGCTGGACAGAATGGGCTTCTTTTCACGCAAGAACCATCTGGAGGTGGATGGCCGGGTAGGTGAAGCGCGAATCGTGTGCTGGTAGGGGAACTAACCCTCCACCAGACCGTCCTCATCACCGGCGGCTCACAAGGCATGGGACGTGCACTTGGCAAGCTGCTGGCTCGGAAAGGTGCGAATGTGATTATCGTGGCGAGGAATGAGGCCAAGCTCGCGGAGGCTTTGCATTACATCTCGGTTCGCAGCATTCCCATTCACGTCCATTCACAGAGAGCACCCTCTGATCTGTCCTAGTCCTCGGCCAAGGATCCTCAGAAACAGCGCTTCCACACAATCAGCGCAGATTTGACCAAGTCCGACGAGAACATCCGTATCATCAACGAAGCGACCAAATGGAACAATGGCCACCCTCCGGACATCGTATGGGCCAACGCCGGAAGCTCTTATCCGCATCTCTTCATCGACACCGACATCGATACCCTGCGGTCACAGATGGATACTAATTACTGGACCGCTGCGTATCTTGCCCACGCTACACTGCGGGCCTGGCTGAAACCGACTGCCTCCAAATCCACGCGGCCGGATGACAAACCCCGCCACTTCATCATGACCTCCAGCCTCGGTGCATTGGTCGGTCTTGCCGGGTACGGTACTTATGCACCTGCAAAGGCCGCCATGCGTTCGCTGGCGGACAACCTCCGCTCCGAGCTCCACCTGTACAACGGGCATCGCCGCACGAATCCCACGTCAGGACCGCCAGCAGATGTCAAGATTCACTGCGTGCTTCCCGGCTCAATCACCTCGCCGGGATATGAGGAAGAGAACAAAGTGAAGCATCCAGTCACGAAGATTTTGGAGGAAGGCGACACGAAGCAGACGGAAGATGAGGTGGCTGCTGCGGCCGTGAAGGGGCTGGAGCATGGCGAGTTTCTGGTGACTACGACGCTGCTGGGCCGGGCAATGAAAGCCAGCATGATGGGAAGCAGCCCTCGGAGTCATTGGCTCGTTGACACACTGATTGCCGGGGTCATCAATTGGGCCTGGCTCTTCATCGGACCCGACTTGGACAAGAAGGTATCGCAGTACGGGGAGAAGAACCCGGTGCAGCTGCCGAGTTGAGGCAGAGTGCTGGAGCTTGCGTCTGATGACATTCTAGACCCGGCTGAATAACGCCATTTCGCCTCGTCTCTCTAACATCGCGAAATGCTGAATAAAGTCGCAGTCATCAATCACCAATGCGGAAGCAGGCCGTTGCCCATCCGGTGTAGGCTGTTGCTTATCTCATGCCGGCGTAATCGCATCGACCAATCGTAACAGCTCGAATGCGAAAGCGTCGACAGGGTCCGCCAGCCCAGCCTTGCTTACACTGCTTTGCGACGTCTTTCAACACTTCTTGTGCTTTCATTTCGCCTGCTTGCTATTCCATAGCGCAGCCGGAACGGAGCGGTATTATCCATTTGAGGTGAAGTGACGCCCTTTGCCGAGAGACCATCATTACTCATGTCTTATGCAAGAATCAACGCCATGCAGTCAGCGCCATGGCGCGAGACCATACATAACATGACATTTAGGGCTGAACCCTGCATTGATTTGTTGAAGTCGCTCTGTTCAGCCAGCCGGTCAGCAAAGTTCCATCTCAGACACCACTCGCTCAGTCTTCTCAAATGGCGGGCGGTCGTGAAAGCGTCGACGGAATCGGCAATACAATCAGGCCAGACAATGATGAGCAGGCACCTCGTCCGATGGTTGGAGGAAGCGAAAAGGTCCCTGCCATGGCGGCAGACTCCATCACTTTTCCTCCTCCACCGCTGACGAGTGTGGACGACTGCAAGCCATCGGCCATCCGCCGCATGATCAATATGCTGCCATTTCGCCAGCAAGAGCGCAGGCCCTGGCGTGCATCATTGATCTTTTTGGGCCCGTTGTCTGGCCTTTTCGGCATCTTACTGGCAATGGCTTCACTCGTCGCATCCCTCGGCGTGTTGGCGGGATCCAATGGCCAGCCAGTCGAGTCATGGCCCGCACCACCCTCCACGTACCTGGCCATCCTCACCGCCGTGGGTAACCTCTCGATCAGATACGCCGCATTTCAAGGAGTCATCATTGCTTGGTGGAGCTCCGCGCTGAGGGGAAGCACACTGTCGAAACTACATCAGGACTGGCGCTCGGGAACATCTTTTCGAGGCAAGGCTCTCCCACCCTCAGTCCGTGTCGAAGCTCAGACTAACATCCCAATGCGCAGGTTCAATAACCGCCGGGCGGTCTACAACCTTACTCGGACTCGCATGCATCTTCTCCACACTAGTCGTCACGGATGGTCCGCTTCTGCAGCGTGCGTCCACTGTGAGCACGATTCAAGACAGTGGAGTGGTAATACTGGATGTATCGATGGCACCCGAGATTCCCCACGGATTCACCGGCATATGGAACACGGCGACTGAACTGGGGCTTCCCCTCAACAACACCGCAAGTCAGCCGTTGTACGTGTTCAATGAAACGTATCCGACTCCGGACGGACCAGCGTTGAACGATATCTGGACGGGAAATCTGCCGCGCACTACCAACCCCATCATCCAGTGGTGGAACATGGCCGACCTTCCAGGAGTGATTTCTGGCTGTCCTGGCGTCTGCAAGACCACAATCAAAGCACCCGCCCTATTCGTGACGTCTTGCACGGCATACGAAGCAAAGGTCGATCCAAAGTTCGATTGGGAGATTGCTGCCACCGCCAACGACCATTCCGTGCCGTTGGAGACGTTGGGATTCTTCATCGCCCCAGGTTTGCTGCTACAGGACACTGAGTCCATTGTCCTCGTCACTGGCAACACCACTTTCGATGAAGATTGCACCGGAACGCTTGCCTATAGGACTTGTAAGCTGGAGTCCGCAATCGGGGCGTACGATATCACGATACAGGACGACCAGATAGTCATGTCGACCATCTCAGCGCCATCTCTCGTGGCTCTGGCAAACAACACGGGCGTCAATCACACGTACGACAACTATTGGAGCGGTCATTTCTCAACACTGGGTGGAATACAGGATTACGTGGCAATCAAGTGGCAGTCTTATGTGGCCTACACCCCCTCAACGGACAATGGAGTCGTTATTGCTCTTGAGGACAACACAGAGGGGCCTCTTTTGCAGCAGCAGTTCTATGCACCAGACGCGCGACTACAATGCCCGTCGTACGTCGATCCGCACGATTTTATGATGAACGAGATTAACAAGTTGATGTTTTATGTTGGCGCCGCGGCGGCGCAGGAAGATCAGGAGTATTTGGAGGCAAATCTGGATCCTGGCTTGTCCGCGCAGAGTACTGTGCCTGGACGACTTGCTGGCACGGTCACTGTGTTTCATACGGATTACTGGTTCTTTTTGGGCGCGGCAATCGTGGAGGTGGTGTGCATTGCTTTGGTGCTGCCCACGTATCGGGGCTGGTGGAGGATTGGGAGACCGACGTCGTTCTCCCCGCTCGAGATTGCAAAGGTACGCGATTTCTGTCCGCTTTAAATGACCATCCTGACATGGCCTCAGGCTTTCAGATCCCCGATCATGGCTGATGCCAATTCCAACTCGAATGGCAATGATCTGGCTGCCGTGCTGGGCGAGCGCCCGATTCGGTATGGGGTGCTGGAAGACGGTGGGCGTACAGAACTTGCGTTTGGATCGCCGGATGACGTGAATCGACCGCGGAGGGGCATGGTTTTTGATCAGTGAAGGGAATATTTTGAATGCGGCGATGATAGACTCGGGAGGGTTCGTCTTATAAACAGACGTGCAGTTCCAGCTTGCCTGAATGGGGAAGGAATTGGCTGATGATTTGCGTACCCGCTTCAACGCTTGCAAGCGACCGCCACCTGCAACCTGTGCTGACTGGTCATCGGCTCTTGCCCAGATCCACTGATCGTCACACCGGTGGCATGCGTGTGTGGTTGACGAATGACGATCCCGCAACGACGGAGGCACAAAATGGAGTCCTTCCCCCGTGCTTGCATCTTGCAGTTTGCGAGACTTTGACATTTCCTGCACAATGGCTATCACCGAGAAAGGCGAAGCTGTAGTTACCCATGACTTGGAGGCTCCGACACCGCCGAATGAGGGGATTGGCGATGCCACACAGCAAGATGAGATTGATATGCACCGGCTGGGCAGAAAGCCTCAGCTCAAGGTAGGCCAGACCGCGTCTTGCGATGGCTGACTGCTGACCAGCGGCAGAGGAATTTCCACGCCATTTCCATCCTCGGTTTGACGAGCATGACCATGATTTCCTGGACCGGTGGATTCACGTACATACCAAGTGTCTCAACGTCTTGCACTACATGCTTATTTTTGCCAGAGCTCTAGCATTTACCTACACCAACGGAGGCCGAGCGGTAATCTCGCAATTCATCTTTGGAGACCCAACAGTGCTGACTCCTAACCAAAATACTAAAATGCACCGTTATAAGGGTGGATTTTCTGCTCACCAAAACATATCTCAGAACGGCTAGGTAACTTATAGACCGGGGTAGGGTGGATTTACGTAGGGTGGATTTTCCAAAAACCCATAAAATTGCGCCAAATCTAAGTATGTTATAGAGCGAATTTTTGTGAGCAAGATTGATATGAAGATGATACCAGACAGAGGCCGTGTTAACCCAGTATATGTGATAGAAGTGCATCCAGCAGGTTTGAAGTTCCACAGTATATAGACGCAGAACCACAGCATACAAAGCAGCCCGTGTAGCCCGAGCGTTTAACGGGCAAGGCGCGGATTCGCAGAGAAGGCAAGGGGTAATATAACAAGGGTTTGCCATTACAGTACAGCCCGCATACGTTAGATTAGGGGGGATGCATATATAGTAGGATATTTGAAGGTGCGAAGAAGACAATTGAGCCATTTTCAACCCATTTCCAACCCGATTTGCACCAACAGAAGCCACACAAGATAGAGGAATCTAGGGGAGGCATTAAGTATTTCCACTATATACCAGAGTGGCAGATCATTGTTTGCAAGGAATGTCAGCACGCCGTGTGGCCACAAGAGGTTCTACGGCATTTACAAGGCAAGCAATACCAGGTTCTATTACAAGCGGCCCGAGCCATTGCCATAGAGGTACAAGAATAGCCCGGAGTAATTCACAATAAGACCGATTTAGCTATTCCGCCATATATCTATGGGCCTATTGCCGAGTTGCCATTATACACCGACGGATTGCAGTGCCGTGTAGAGCCCGAGAGGTGTTCACAGATATTCCGTGATCAGAAGACAATACAAAAACATTAGAGGGAAAAGCACTAATGGTCAGTAAAGTTACAGAAGGGCAGGCCACAATCCACCGATAAACCAAGGATCTAGCGACAATTAAAACAGAACACTAAGAGAGTATATTGCCAGCGATTTTTCCCTAGCCGCCATGGATCCTAGTACATTGAAATCCGAAATCTAGATGAAGTACGACCCGAGTAGGTACACGCGAGCACTAAGGAGGCAGCATAGGCCCAAGCGTGGAAGCAGGCCAACGAATATTAGGATCAGATGTAGAAGGAGAGCGGCAGTCAGATCCAAAAGGGCGAGAAGGACGAAGTTAGCCTATGGTTAAAGCGGACAGGGTAGATTAAATATTTGGAGGGGTGTAATCTAGAGGATTTATTACAATCTATTCGAGAGCCTAACACCGACGAGGAGGACGAGCCCGAACCTATCGCAGCCGCCGTTTGGCAGGCTATGTCCGACGTCGCTACACAGAGCTAGGCCACCGTCGAGCGTAGTAGAGTGATGTTGCGATTAGAGGCCATACGGACGGAGATGCACTAGACGCGGTACCACCTATTACAGCCGTATTAAGACGCCAAATCCATCAAGGACCGTTGTCGCAGTTGGCAGCAGATGTTGATGTTTTTCGTGCGTACGTAACAGCTATATGAGTAGAGGAGTCCTGCGTATCGATTTAGTAAACGATAGGCTAAGGCATTTCGAGAATTGATCGCCGTAGTAGAGGCGGTAGTAGAGGAAGAGAAGGAGGAGGAGGAGGAGGAGGAGGAAGGTTAAGAGTAGGACAGCGAGGATGAAGATAAGAATAGCAACCTATCCGAGTCAACTAGCAACAATCTACCGCCATTGACCAAAATCCAAGCAGCGTGTTTAGCGTTTTGCGTGGAATTGTTGAACCAACGTATCTATAACCGCGAGTATGATATGGCATTAGTGTGTGCTACGGCCGTGTTAGGCGTCTATCCTACACGTAGTAGATTCCGCGATCCCGAGTCATATCCGCCGATTTTGTCCGCTATCATTAAGGTAGCGCATTTCATGGTGGTTCAAACCGCGGAGGAGTTAACGCCGTCGATGATAGACAACGATAAGTTTAGTCCGTGTAGTAACCTATGTGATTTCGACGACAACGGGTATAAGAGCAACGATAGGGGGAGTACCCCGATCCGTCGATGTAAACCACCACAAAGCAGTTTCGAATGGGTCTAGAAGATGATAGACGCGTTCATGGTGCGCGGCACAGGCAGTCCCATCTAGTAGTTATTAGATTTACGGACATATAGGTTAAAGATCCATTACAACACGTCCGCCATTGGCCACGTCAATTAGAAGGACAAGTACACGTTAGAATACAAGGCGTTGCGGTTTAGCATAGATTAGTTCCGCGGCATAGTGTATTAGTTATGCGCATCCGCGCGGTAGGCGTTGACAGAGGACGTGTTATTAATGCGGGACGCTACGGGGATCCCTAGCATTCTATGGGACGCGATCTACGATGATCCTACTAACAGAGAGGTCGGGTAGAATTAGATTCAGGATCAGCGGTCGCGATTGCCTATCAATAGATCTAGTTGGTTATATGAACACATCTAGAACCAGCCCGAGTTACGCGATCGATTCGTACAGAGCGACAGCGCGAGTAGATTTAACCGCGAGCGCGTACGGGATTATATGCGGGGGATCGCGCGGTTTCGAGGGTTGTTGTTAATATTAATGCACATCACAGGTAGGCAACCTGCGAGAGGGTCGGAAATATTAAGCGTCCGCCATCGAAATACCGTCGTAAGAGGGCACTACAATTTGTTTGTTAAGGATAGAACCGTGGTGTTTGTGACTAAGTACTACAAAGGATATCAGATAAGCGGTAATGTGAAGATCATCTATCGATATTTGCCGCGAGAGGTAGGGGAGTTAGTGATGTGGTATTTGTGGTTGGCGTTGCCATTCATCTAGTAGATCGAGGCAGTAGTGTAGTAGAAGAAGGGCGCGTCCGATCATATGTGGCCCGCCGACGTAGACAGTAAGAAGTGGACTACCGACCGCATAAAGGAGGAGTTGTAGCGGGCGAGCAGCGCGGCGTTAGGGCAACCCATCTACGTGGCCGCGTACCGCAAGATCGCTATCGCTATCAGTCGATAGTGGGTACGGGGGGCGACCTAGTTCTAAGGGGACGAGGGGGATAAGAATACGGAGTGGCAGAAGGAGAATATGATAGGGGAGGCGGCCGACGAGCAAGCGGCGCATTCACTATACATCGCCGGATTGATATACGCCCGAGAGAGCATAGAAATGTCCGGAGCGACAGGCGACAAACGCCGGTAGTTTCGCGTAGTTAGTACGGATTGGCATCGATTTTTAGGGTTCGAATCGACGTAGATCAAGGACGAGAAGACGGATTTGAAGCAGAGGCAGTGCCTATTTAAGCACGACGTAGAAGCGGAGCAATTCCATCGACGGGTGTAGTTGCGATAGATAGACGCCATGTAAGAGTTAGGGTTGATAATAGGGGAGAAGGCGACGTTCCGTAGTGTCTAGAAGGAGGCGATAGATGCTATCTAGCGTGGCGAGAGTCCTGTGGTCGCTATCATGCCGACCGGCGTAGGGAAGAGCGTGTTGTTTATGTTACCCGCGTTTGTAGAGCCTAGAGGGGTCACCGTCGTGGTAGTACCGTTGCGGGCGTTACGTAAGGACATGATTTTTCGATGTGAGAGGTTAGGGATCCGATACGCCGTATAGGATGGCAGGGTGGCTGTGGACAGCGCGTCCATTGTGTTGATCACACCCGAGAAGGCGACTAGTGCCGAGTTTGGTACGTATTTGAACCGGATCCGACAGACGCAGCGATTAGATCGGATCGTAGTGGACGAGTACCACGTGGTGTTGAATGATCAGTTGAGTTTCTGCAAGCATTTGCAGCAGTTAGGCAAATTGGCTATGGCGGAGACACAGATAGTGTTGTTGACCGCGACATTGCCGCCTATAGTGGAAGAGCAGTTGTTTTAGAGGATATATTAGGTACGGGAGGAGGTGAAGGTGATCCGGGCGTCTATAGTGCGAGCTAACATCTAATACAGCGTGGTTAATAGAGGCCCGTCGATCCTAGAAAGGCAGGCGCAGTTACGAAAGATAGTAGAGGAGGTGTTAAGTGACAGCTAACTACCTGGAGGCAAAGTGGTAGTGATATGTGAAAGCAAGGACCATGTAGAGGAGATTATGTAGGCCGGATTGTTTTAGTGTGAGATATTCTACGCGGATCTGGCGGAGAAGAGTAAGGAAGAGACATTAGATGATTTCCGTAGTGGGATCGTCTATGTCATCGTCGCTACTAGGGCGTTTAGAATAGGCATCGATATTCTGGATATCCGGTTGATTGTGTACGTCGACAACCCACGGAATTTGATGGATTATGGCTAGGCGAGCGGGCGAGCAGGGCGCGATAGTTTAGTTAGTAAGGCGGTGATCATTCGAGGGGGGATCGATTTTGGGGATGAGTTGGTGGAGGAGTATATAGATCCTAAAGAGTCGTAGTGTCGACAGGTCGTAATCGATCGGTATTTAGATAGCGACACCACGCGGGATCGATGTGGCGAAGGGGAGTAGTAGTGTGATGTTTGTGTAGCGCAGGAGAGTGATAGAGGCAAGTCAACCTACGGATTCAGAGTAGAAGATGTAGAAGAAGTTAGGGTAACCTAAGTACCCGTAAAAGAAGGCGTGGCAACCTAAGCACGAGGAATAGAAGGCGTGGCAACCTAAGCACGAGGAATGGAAGGCATAGCAACCTAAGTACCCGTAAAAGAAGGCGTAGCAACCTAAGCACGAGGAATAGAAGGCGTAGTAACCTAAGCACTAGAAAAAGGAAAAGTCAAAGTAACCTAAGCACTAGGAAAAGGAAAAGCCATAGCAAACCACTAGGTTACAAATGAGGAAGCCTAAGCACAGCAGTAAGAGCATCAAATCCGACGCGAGATCGCCGTCCAAGATCAACAGCGACAGACACCCAGGGCGCGACGTATAGAGCAAGTACGAAAGTCAGCGTTGTTCTACGAGGAGGTAGAGTAGCGGTTAGCAAGATAGAAAGGCATTTGTGTAGTGTGTTACGCTAATGAATTGCCCTATTACCATCCTATTAGCCGGTGTCGAAACCAAAGGAGTCAGCTAGTAGAAGTGGAACGGGCGATAGTGCAGCGGAGTGTACGGTTTGAAGTGAATACAGGGTGTTATTAATACGGCGCACCA